GCGGCGAGGAGACTGCGGCGATGCGGTGGCTTGAGGGCGATCTCAGGTGTGAGCGTATCCTCAGGACGTCGAGGCGGACGACGGCGATGTGCAGCAGGTAGAGGAGCGAGAGCGACCAGAGGGCTAGCAATGTCAGGGAGAATGGCTCTCTGATTTTCCAGAGGAACTCATCGCATTGGTCGAATAATTTGGTGAAATATTTAGATTTCAGTAACTGAGACAGCTGTTGACAGAAATCGGAACACCTCTTCGACAATTGACCAGCATTCAATTTGGAGGCGTGCCCAAATGTGAATCCATAGCTGTACAGCGTTGGCGCGACACCTTTACATTCGACTACGGATGAGCAATTACATGCTGATTTTTCATCGGTGAGGCCATGCTTGCCACTCCTGCACTTGTCTCCTCTGAGACATCCACGGCAGCCCCAATCTTGACAGTTTATACCACAGAACGCATTGTAGAGATTGTTTAGTAGATCCCAAAATGTCCATGGAAGGTATATGGCCCAGGAGAGATAGGTGTTAGAATTCTTAAATGGCATACAAATGTAATAGTCCCTATAGAGCGATGACAGATACGGAGCACAGTATACTTCTTGGTTACGATCAATACATGCTGACGGCATTGCTAAACTAGAAACGTCTGCGTATGCAGGAAGATGATTTTTCTCGCCATATGTAGTATGCTTATTACGGTACGCATTACGCAATGCATCTGTGAGTTTCGATGTTTCGTTATATAGATGGATAGATACCTCCTTGGCGGAGTTTTCGATATTTGTTTGTATAACATCCTTAACATATTTTGAGTCATTATGCCATCCATTAACAAGCGCCAATGTGAACTGGAAGTGTTCAGGCAAGGAGGCTGGCGGCTTGGTGACAAGGCAGAGGAGAGATCTAAGATGAACATCATCAAGCAATTTGGCAAGGACGTCACATATGTCCCTACCTCTTCTCATGCTGCCAGAGAAAGTCTTAAATCCGAGAGGTGTTACACAAGGTGAACCACGTTGAGATGTGGGACACGTTTTGCATTCGGCTTTACAGCCGACTGACTCCAGTCGGTGAGGCAAATGGCCGGGTAGGCAATCGTTTAAGTAGCTTTGTAGAGGGGATTTTGGTTGGCACATTGGTTCACTATTTGGTTGGTCAGTTGCCTGGCCCTTTGGTTGGCCTCTTGGTTCGGGCTTAGGATGCTTGTCACACGGCCACTTGGCTGGCTTCACATCTTTGCCGTAACGGCACTGTGACCAACCGCCAATGCTAGCGGGATAGCTGCACATGTGTTCCAGATATCTCAGCGTTGGCAACAGTCTACGGAGAATTTCAAGGAACATCTGAAGGCAATCGGCGCCTCTATTAGGGTATTTCAACTTAAGTGAGTTGGTGCAGAAGTCAACACCGTAAATGGTCTCGGCGTCCCCGGTGCCGAGGATGCAAACGAGAAGATCGTACGCCTGTGAGCACATATGCGTCACTGCTGCTTGCGTATGGTTATATGTTATGTCATGTGGGAGGGCCCTTATGGCCACGGTGCTCATGTCTGTTACTTCCATTTCAACACCGTCAATTACTTCTTTCGTCTTCTTCTTTGGGTCCTCGAATAAGTCTGTCACGGCCACGTCACGCATATCTGTAAATACGGGATGATGCGGGAGCCCTGACATCCAAACTAGAATTTCAAATATGCTACACGGTAATTTTGTTGCGGATAAAGTAGAGTAGTGGCAGACTTCGTTGTACTTCTCTGCATAATCGAAGAGACTGTGAAGAGTTTCCATAAGCGGACGTTTAATTGACCTTGACACTTGGTATCCGGCGAGCGTGGTAACAATAAAAGTGCTACTAATACTTTCCTTGCACTGCAGCTCGGCGTCCTGCTTGCCGTTGTCCTCACTGGGGATCCTGTAGCCGCACCTCTCGAAGAAAGCGCCGAGTGAATTTCCTGTGCCCTTCTGCGTCTTGCATATTTTCTTGTCCTTCCAGCCGTATTTCGTCGCGTCCTCGCACCTCTCCTTCAGCGTGGCCATGTCTTCGTAGAGGACGTTTAGGAGGGTGAAAAAGGCCTTAGCGGCGTTTCTACCTTCATCTGTTAACTCCGTTGTTTTTGCCTCAGACGTGATAATATCAATAAGCATATCGCCGCTGAATGATAGACCAGAGTATTTGTTAACGTAGGCGTACTCCAATTGGGTGTCAAAGGATGTCACTCCCTCCTTGACTATGTTAAGCAACTCGGGATGCTTACCATCGCCGAATTTATCCGCGTTTAAGGCGCCTACAGAGGCTTTCAGCGCATCTAAGTCTCTACTAAATTGGTCGTCGAAACGATATTTTTTAGTTGACTGTTCACTGCTAAGATTACTGAGCAAGGTATTAAGCTTGGTCTGAATGTCCGTCACCTTGGTGGCATGAGGATCTGCAGTTGGAGGTTGAGGCCGCACGTTAGGAGTAATTTGCGCAATGACGTATTGCAACAACGGATAGAGGAATAATCTGACATTGCTCGCCAATCCGTCTAATTTGGTGTTACTGTTAAGCGTTGTAATCTGTAATGTCTCATCAAATCCTTCATTTAATCGTGCTAAAAACCCTTTGACGCCATTTATGGAATCATCGTGAATTATTTTCTTAATCTCCCTCAACTGCGCCGTGACGACGCCCTGCAGCTGCGTGAGCTCGGCCTGCTTCTGCCGCGCGAAGAGGGATTGGACTTGGGAGGTGAGGGTGGCGAAGGCGGAGGAGACTTTGGCGAGGAGTGTCGTTCTAAGCAGGGAGAGGGATTGGCTTGCACTTTGCCTGGCCTTTTCCAAAGCATCTTCCAGCGATATGATAGCCCTATTTAGTTCTTCGTCTGCTGTTTCGACTGACTCTCCAATGGCTCCAATTTCGCTCTGAAGTTTTTTAATCTCGTCTTGTAACTCCAACATAAGGTCTTCGGCATCTTTTTGCTTCTTCTTAATTCGGCCGTCTTGCTCATCTTTCCAAATGTTATTGAGCTCACCGAGATTCGTCTCGATTTCTTTAATCTTCTCTTGAATTGCACCCCCATCGTCTGCCATTTTACCTAGCAACCCCTCAAGCTGCGTAATTGCTGCACTCACCTTCTGCAACGCTGCGTCGATCTTTGCGCCGTGATCGGTATTCGAGTCATCGCCGTTATCTCCATCAGTAAATTGATTGCCGATATCCTTGACATTATCGATGGCCGTCTGCAGGTTGGTTTTGATTTTTGATTTCTCAATGAAGGACTTTAGTTCCGTGGAAAGACGACTAATGTTATTTACTATGGACATAGCAATGCCTTTCACAGCGGCTGTGAGATGTTTATCATCGGAGAGTGGCATTAAAGCGTGTTGTGACATACCCAAGTGGAGCCCAATCACCTGTACTGCAACTCCAAGTGATGAACCATCGCTAAAAATTTCACTTCCTACGTTGTCCGCAAATCTCTTGAACTTTTCAGCAATGGTTTCTATTTTTGCACCTTTCAGGTACTTATCTGCAACAATTTGAATTTCGCTCGCAATTAAATCTGGAAGCGTGGATGTAATGGCCTCTTGCACCGCCTTAGCCTTAGGTGTATTTCCACCTTTAATAGCATCCAGCTTACCCTTGTTATAATTCTGTCTGACGTACTGATAAATATTGTTATACACAGCGCCACCTTCTTCTTCTCCAATCTCTCTCACCCAAGTACTCAAAACATCCTTCTCAAAAGCCTCCTCACCAAACCCCTTGGCGTACTTCAGTATGCCGTCTACGACATCCTGTAGACTTGAATTCCCACCATTTTTACGGGTCAAACCATCAACAAACCCCTTCATCTTCTCTTTCAGCGCATCCCATTCTTGATATATAGTAGCTTGTAGTCCTGCATTTTTCTTCCCAACGTCTGTTTGAATCTCCCTAAACTGCACCTTCGCCTTCTGAACCAATCCGTCAAGGACCCTTTTGTTTAAATCTAACTGTGAATAAAGATTTTCCACTGATTCGCGTATACTATCGAAATGACCAGCAATAATGTGCTTATAATTATCGTCAAAATCGTTCCCATCTTTACCAAGCAATCTGTCAACATCATCCTTAGCAGCTTTAACAGCGTTCCTTAGCAACTTGAACTGTTGCTCTTTCTTACTATATAACGTTTGAACATTCTTTTTGATACCCATAAATCCACTATTCAGAGTATTCTGAAGATTTCTCGATTGATTATCAATCGACTGTAAAATACTTCTCTGTTTCTCCTTCAACCCCTCGTCCACCACTTGCGCCTGGCTCCTAACATTTGGATTCTCGGCAACATCCTTAAAACTCTTCACAGCCTGCACAACCAATGAAACATGTTTATCTAACTTACCTTTAAGCGTAGTATCCAATTTCTCCCTGGCCTCATCGGCTGCTTCGGCCTTCAGCAAATAGTATTGCGCCTGCGGCTTAATCTTATCTAACTGGCTAACTAATTTACTATTATGCATATTATTAAATTCATTATTTAGTCTGCTAATAGTGTCGCTAAGTGAAGATAATTGTGTCTTGACATCTTCCGTTCTTGTAGAAAAAACACTCTCATACCCCTGCAGCCCACGCTGCACAATCCCAATGGCCTGCGCAAATCCTGGAACACCAGAGCCCTTACCAATTGCATCACGCAATTTACTAATAGTAGTATCAATACCATCATAATAATGCTTTAACAAAGGTTCACTGCCTCTAAGACATTGGAGGAGAAAAGACATCACCCCGTCACACAGCCTGTCAAGGTCGGAGTACACGATGCCCTCACCCGAGTAGCCTTTGGATTCTGAATTGAAACCTAAAAACTTTTCTAAGCCTTCAGTGAGATTTTCTAAAAGTTTTGTTGCAGGATTCTCACCATCTTTTGTGCCAATAAATTTCTCAAGATCTTCTTTAAGCTTATCAAGAGACTTCTTCCTCTCATTAAGATCCTTCTTAGCTCCTTCCCGTTTAGACTCAGAGGAATGTACTTCGGAATAATGACCATTATACTGGGATTGTAACTTGGATTTTTCATCACCTTTAGCTTTCTTAATTTTCTCCTTCAGGTCATTACAATGCTTGTCATACAGATTACTAGAGCCTTTATCAGCGCATTCAAGTTCCTTACGCCTCTTTTCGAGACTCTCAGTTGCATTTTTGATAGCCTCCTCAATCAACTTTTTCAAAGCTTCAGCCAAGTTCTTAAGACCTTCACCACCATTCCCATGCTTAACCTGGATCAACCAGTCGATGGAGGCCGACGAAGGATGTCGAGAAGGAGGTCAAAGATATGAAGAAGAGCGAAAAAATATTAGAAAAGGATCAGATGATGCGCAAAAGACACTTTATTAACTTTGAGCTGATGGAAGCCACGATCCCAGGCCCATGATGGAGGAGTGCAAGTGGACAGGGCGAGTGCATGAAGGCCAAAAGATAACGACGATGATGAAGCGACAAGTGGACGCACGATCTTCGGGATGGATGTACGCGGAAAACGATGATCGCCCAAGTGACCTGACCGACTGATGATGCGATGGAATAGCGACGGTTTAATCAGCAGATGCGATTGAAGGATGAGCGATCAGGCGATGAGCGATGAGCCGATGAGCGCGAGCAGCGGGCGGCGGCTGGAGGGCGAGCGGCGAGTGAGTGGCGAGCATGAGCGGCGCGGCCGATGGGCGGCGAGCGAGCGATCAGGCGAGCGCGTGAGCGATGCGGAGTGGGCCGATGGTGGCCGAGCGGGCGGCGGCTGAGGCGGGCGGCGGCTGAGTGGCTGAGTGGGTGGGCGAGGGAGGGTGGCTGAGTGGGTGAGTATGTGAGCTGTAGTAAGAGGGGTGAGTGGCAAGGAGCGGAGTGGTTGGAAGCTGAGTGCAGCGATTGTGAGTGGGTGAGTGAGTGATGCACAGATCACACGTGAAGGCACGATTATGGTGAGAAGTACTTGACGTTGGCGAGTGCCTTGACGCGTGCGGCGGCGAGCAGCGACTGCGCGGCGATCCTGTGGCTTGATGGCGAGCGCAGGTGGGAGCGTATCCTCAGGACGTCGAGGCGGACGACGGCGATGTGCAGCAGGTACAGGAGCGACAGCGACCAGAGGGCTAGTAATGTCCATATGAAATTCTTCCTGACGCAGAACATGAGTTTGTCGATGGCAGTTAGGAATTGCTTCAGGGCCTCTGATGTCAATATGTTTTCAAGTGCTTGTCTGAGGTAGAAGCATTTTTTCCTGGACTTGTATGCCTCGTCTGCGTACGTTAGACCGTATTGATACATTACGCACAATACACCGCGACACTGTAGGATAGACTCGCACCCGCATGGTTTGCTGCCGTGTCTACCTTGCTGACAGTCTGCTTCATTAAGGCATTCTCCGCAACCGGAGTCGGAACAAGAGATGTCACAGAATGCATTCTTGAAATTCTCAATATACTTCACAAGTGATTCAGCACTGTAGAACAGCCAAGAGAAATATTTGTTCGCATGTGCTGGCGCAAAGAGCGAGTACGGAAGAAAGCTAAGAGGTTTTACGAAACCGCCGCAATTCGGTTGACTACAACCAACTAGATGGCTGAGATCGGAAGCGTGACTTGCATGGTCATCAAAGTGAGATGGATGTTCGTATAACCACAGGCATCCGTTCATGAAATCGCGCGCATCTTCGTATTTACAGGATATGGTTTTTTCGATGGCATTGCAAACGTCATTCTGAATAGAATATGACGTGTTGCGATGTTGCGTCATTTGAACCCACATCCGAATGAGTTTGTAATAGAACGAAAATATGTCAGGGAATGTCTGAGGTGGACGCGCAACGAGGCACGTGAGCATTGGTACAAGATTTTTAAGTACGCCATATTTGCCGAATAGTTCATCCAGCAATTTACACAGCTGTTGCGCTGTACGCGTACTGCCAGAAAAGGCCCTAAAACCTAACGGAGTTATACAATGTGTTCCCTTTGAATTAGGGGTACATGTCAAACATTTCACTCCACATCCAACCGATTTAAGTTGATGCGGTAAGTGACCGGGAAGACAATCATTAAGATAACTCATTAGTGGTGACGTAGGTTGGCACGTAGGTTCACAGGTTGCCTGGCACTTTGCTTGGCACGTTGGTTTACTATTTGGTTGGCACTTTGCATTCTCGCTTGATTGCTTGTTACACTGCGATTTTGTCGTAGGCACGTCCCGGCCGTAGCTGCAGCCGGACCAACCGTAGTGTTTAGTACTAAGCTTACATTGCTTATGAACGAATTTTAATACATGGAATACTCTACGCAACATGTCCATAAACATATCGAAGCACGCAGCAGCATTAGAAGGGTAGTGCAAATTAAGAGAATTGTTGCCGAAGTCAGACGCAAATACGGTCTGGGCATCACCGGTGCCAACGATTGTGGTGAGAAGATTATGTGATCGAGACGGAATACGTTGGAGAGCAGATAGCACATTTTTGGCGGTGAATGTGTCGGGATGCGCTTCTAGTATGAGTTCGTTGTCACTAAACATGGTGTAATCATCTTCCTTTTCCTTGCCCTTAGGTTTAGGGAAGTAGGTTCTAACGTGCTGAAGAAGTGGACCATACACACGGTTGTGAGGGAGGCCATCGAACCACACTAGCATATCATATACAGAACATGGATGCCTTTTGGAGGCGAATGTAGCTATGTGGTAAACTTGATTATATTGGTTAAGGTGGCCAGCAAGGCACGTCATGATGTCCATGAGATTAAAGTTATAGGCTTTTTTGTGCTTGTCTGGTTCACACCATTGAAGATGTGCACTGTCTTGTTGTACTGTTTTATCGAGGTTCCTGTAAACATTCTCACCCGTCATCTTTTTCTTGTCGTCTTGCAACTCCCACTGCTTCTTGTCTTTTTCAGACACTTTGAAGCCGTTGTCGGAGAAGAACTGGCCGAATGACGTTTCTTTATTTATGTTGTCAGGTTTCCATGAGCTGTTAGAGTATTTTCTTAGTGTGCCTAAGGAAGTGTCCAGAGTGGTGAGCAACGTGAGCAACACCTTAGCGCACTTGTCCTTATCGGCGTCTGCCTGCTCACTCCACTTCAGTCCGCTATACCTGTTCACGTACTGTTTGCCCAGCTCGTCCGCCAGTCGCTTCGCTCCAGAGGCTAGCGCGTCGAGCAGCTCAGGGTGTTTGTGGCCGTGGAACTTTTGCGGGGTTAGCAGTGATAGCGCATCGTTAAGTGCAGCTAGGTCAGCAGTAAACGTGTGGTCAAAGTGATATTGTTTATCTCTGTGAGAGTTTTTTAGGTTAGTGAGTAGAGTGTCCAGTTGCTGTTTGAGGCGGTCGACATGGGGGGAGTGGGACTGGGAGGAGGTATAGAGAAGGATTTTATTGAAGTAATTTCTTACTCTCTCTGCTGCGTCTTTAAATTCATATTTAATGAGAATATCAAAAATCATCTCATGCTGCGTCTCCATAAGATTCATCAATCCCTTTATGCCTGTCATGCTGTCTAAGGTTATGATGTTTTCGATTTCATCGAGCTGAGTGGAGACGATGGTTTGGAGGGCCTGGATTTCTGTCCTTTTAGTGTTAGTGTAGCGTCTTTCAGCTTCTTTTTGAACGTCAGTGAAGCCCTCAGTGATTCGTGAATTGGCATTATTTTGCAATTCATTCATTATTGTATCCGCTATCTTGGGCGCGAAATTTAAAAGCCTCGTTGCTTTCTTTATGCAGCCGTTGAGCTCGGTTTCAACTTCGACAACATTGTTCGTAACGGCGGTCACCTGGACGCCGAGGTTCTCAATATTAGTTTGGAGTGTTTTCAAATCGTTATAGACCGTTTTCGGAATATCTCTAGTTTGTCCAACGTTATTTGTCAAAAAAAGTTGGATCTGGTTTTCGAGTGCTTTGGCTATCTTCTCAAGAGGGGACTTGCCATTCTTTGCGCCTGTTTCAACGTCTGTGTCTCCCATTCTAGTTTGAAGCTCTGTAAGGGCCTCTTTAATAGGCGTTAGATTACTAGTGACTATGTGAGTGACTTTAGTCTGCAGTTTAATGAATGCTTTCTCAGCTGTGGATTTCAGGAGCTTAGTGACTTGTTCGTTTACCTCAACGGCCTTATTGCCGACTTCATCTTGAATTTGTTTACCAAGGTTTTGGCCAGTATTAGCTTCTACCGCCTGTTTTAACTGATTTCCAAGCACCTTAACAGCTTCTATAGCATTAGTCAATGTTCCAATTTTTGACTTATCGATTAACGATTTAATTTCCTCCGCCGTTTTCGAAACGATGGCCGTGAGAGATTTAAGGACAATTGTGACGGCAGATGTGAGATATCGATCTTCGGACGTACTACTAAAAGGTGAATCTGACTTAACCTGGGACACAATCGTGTCGGAGTGTCTTTGCCTAGTCTTGATTATTTTATTAAGTTCACTTGCGAATGTTCCAAATTTCTTTCCCAAACTACTCAACTCTAAATCAACATAAAATTTGGCCATGTCAATGGCTTCCGGGATTGCCTGCTGAATAACATCTGGGAGTTTAGCTCTAATCGCCTCTTTAACAGCGTTACGTTTCTTAGTTTCATCGTCCATACCGCCGCCATTGAAATTACCCTGATTATCCGCAACGTAGCAATCGATGAAATCGTCTGCCACACCGCTGTTGACAATCATATCAACCATGTCATATACGGCGCCCTGGAAGGTAGCCTCAAACGTCTTAGCATAATCCTTAACACCGGAATCAATATTCTCCAGATGGCCTGGATTTCCGGATGCAAGATCCTGTCTAGCAATTTGATCAGTAAGCTTTTCCAGCTCCTTCCTAATTTTGTCTCCTAATCCATTTGTAACATATCCCTTAACGTTATTTTGAATTTGCGTTTTCAGCCCAGTGACCTGAATTTTTAAATTCCATGCGTCATCTGAGCCCTGCTGTTCAAACGTATCCAGCTCTGATTTTTGAAGAGCTTTCTTCAGCTCCACGTCTGCTTCCTTAATCTCCACAATCCGCTGCTCCAAGTCACTTACTTGTCCGTTTAATTTCTTTTTCTCAGCGATCACCTCCGCTTTAAGCGCTTGTGCGTCCCGTACAATCGGGGCCAATCCCTCCACAATTTTACCCTTATAATTTTTCTCGAGCGCCTCAATCCCCTTATTCACCGACTCAAAAGCCTGTTGAAGATCATACTTGACAGCGCCAACTAACGAAGTAAATTTACCATCACGCAAATCTGTAAGTTTTTTATTCAAACCTGCAATGTGTTCGTTCAAATAATTCCGCAACTTCGATTTACTCTTGTCGAATTCTCTTCTCACCTCATCGAGCACCTTCATAATCTTGTCGTACGCCACCGCGTGAAGCACCTGTAAATCATCATTTCTTGCCGACCACAGAAAATTCTCCGTTGCCTGCAACACCGATGAGACACTACATTTCAACTTACCTGATAGTAAGGGATCGACGTTCTTCAATGCTATTTGAGCCTCTGTCACTTTGCCAATGTACCCATTGGCACGATTGGTCCACTGCCTAACTAAGTATGTAAGATCATGAACACTGTCAGCATCAATATTATCTTTATGTGTTTCTATGTCATTCTTAAGTACGCTAAGTGGCCCCGTTACCTTCTTGATTTTCTCCTCCACCTGCTCACCATGTCTGTTCAACCACTCACTTACCTTGGACACGGCTCCACCGAAGGCCTCACGGCCTTTACCTACACTATCATGTAAATCACTAATAACTTTATCAATATTAGGATCATTATTTTTATCATAAGTTGTAACGTTCTCATCATCCTTCACACTCTCAAGAACACCATGAAGGAAAGACATCACCCCGTCGCACAGCCTGTCAAGGTCCGAGTACACAATTCCTTCTCCGGTGTAATTACCATTATCGTAGCCGAGAAATTTTTCGAGGCCTGTGCAGAGGTTTTTAAGAATTTCTGTGGAAGGATGTTATTAGGCACATTTTGAGGGCGAATTGGGGGAATTTGGGGAAAGGCGATTTTAGGTCAAGGAGGCAGTGAGGCAGCGAGGGAGGTGGGTGGACGAGGTGAGGGAGGTGAAGGGGCGAAAGAGGGCGATGAAGGAGGAAGATGGGTTGAGAGGAGGCGGTTTCGGAGGTGGAGGGAAAAAGATGAAAATGAGGATTTGGGTGAAGGACGCCGACGGAGGAGGTGATGGAAGGGGTGATGGAGAGGGAGCGAAGCGACCAGTGAAGGAGGAGGTGGGTGAGTAAGTGGGTGGGTGGTTGAGTGATTGAGTGAGTTGGTGGTTGAGTGGGTGGGTGGTTGGTTGAGTGGGTGGGTGGGTGAGTGGTTGAGTGGGTGAGTGGGTGAGTGGTTGAGTGGGTGAGTAGGTGAGTGGTTGAGTGAGTGGTTAGGTGAGTGGGTGAGTATGTGAGTTGGTGGTTGAGTGAGTGGTTAGGTGAGTGGGTGGTTGAGTGCTTGAGTGGGTGGGTGGGTGGTTGAGTGGTTGAGTGATTAGGTGAGTGAGTGGGTGGTTGAGTGGGTGAGTGGGTGAGTGGGTGAGTGGGTGAGTGAGTGAGTGGGTGAGTGGGTGGGTGAGTGGTTGAGTGGTTGAGTGGGTGGTTGAGTGGGTGAGTGGGTGGGTGAGTGGTTGGGTGAGTGTGTGAGTGGTTGAGTGGGTGGTTGAGTGGGTGAGTGGGTGAGTGGGTGAGTGAGTGATTAGGTGGTTGAGTGATTAGGTGGGTGAGTGGTGTGGGGGGTGAGTGAGTGGGTGGTTGAGTGAGTGGGTGGTTGAGTGATTAGGTGAGTGAGCGATTAGGTGAGTGAGTGGTTGAGTGGGTGAGTGGGTGGTTGAGTGGGTGGTTGAGTGGGTGGTTGAGTGGGTGGGTGAGTGGTTGAGTGGGTAGTTGAGTGGTTGAGTGGGTGAGTGGTTGAGTGGGTGAGTGGTTGAGTGGGTGGGTGAGTGGTTGAGTGATTAGGTGAGTGAGTGGGTGATACACAGATCACACGTGAAGGCACTCTTATGGTGAGAAGTACTTGACGTTGGCGAGTGCCTTGACGCGTGCGGCGGCGAGTAGCGACTGCGCGGCGATGCGGTGCGACGAGGGTGATCTCAGGTGGGAGCGTATCCTCAGGACGTCGAGGCGGACGACGGTGATGTGCAGCAGGTAGAGCAAAGAGAGGGACCAGAGGGTGAGTAACGTTAGCATGAATGGCCATCTGATTTTGCATAGGTAATCGGGAATTCTCCTGTATATTAATTCTGCTAGCGCAGCTTTTACATTCTCTTTCTCGTTTATAGCGTTGCTCAATGCCGTACAAAGATCCTTGCACGTCCGCTTACTTGAGTTGTCAGAAAGCATCTCAATGTTCTCATGTACAAACCCAAACTTGAACAGGGTCGGAAGCGTATATTGACACTTCACAATGGAACCACATGACTCATTGTGCTTGGAGTCTGCACCGGCGGGAAGTTTGTTCGCTGTGCATTCCTTACTGCACTTGGTAACACGGCACTTCGGTTGCTCAGCGCCGCAATTACCGTTGCACTCATCATACAATTTCTTCAGTAAAGAGTGAAACGTTTCGGTAGTGTACACAACCCATGAGAGATATTTGGCTGCGTGTTTCACTGAGAACGTTACACATACGTCTCGGCAAAGCGGTCGCAAGTAAGGACCGCAGGGATGTCCGGCAAATGGCTTCGACTTATGCTTGCACTCCACCAGAGAATAGAGATCACCGGTGAGATGACTATTCTTCTGGTCCGGAGGCTTGGGAATAGTATGTTCGCTGCTCTTGAATAGCGGAGTGATGTCCAGAGTTGTCGGCTCCTCGAAGTTGGCACTTGTCACAGCATTGTTGAAGGCATCTATCCTATGTTTATTGCTCTTATTCGTGTCATTAAGTAAATTATAGTAAAATCCAAACATGTCACCAAGCGTTGCCGGCGCACTAGGTAATAGACATACTAGGTAGTTACACATTTGGCTGAGCGGCTTATACGGTTTGCCACAAAATTCGTGGAGCACATTTTTGATGTGCTCGCCGGTTCTACTTTGTGACGCCAATGTGCCGATATTGTTAAAACCCATAGGCGTTTTACACGGTAAACCCCTGTGCTTACCAACAGAGCATTCCGCTCCGCATCCTAGCTTGGTAAGGGTATGTGGCAAAAAACCTTGCAGCCCGTCCTCTAAGAAGGATTGCAACGGCGACTTAAGGCCGCAACTAACACTTTGGTCACACTTTTGCTTACATATTTGCCTATGTGTTTGGTTGTGCATTTGGTCGGCCTTTTGGTCACCTTGTTGGTTGGGACACTGCATCTCATTGCACTGCCAGCCTGACCCGGCGACTCCCTTGCCGTACCAGCACTCACGCCAGCCGCCATATTGAGTGGTGTAGTAACACTGATTAAACAGGAAGTACAACTGGTGATGCACTCTGCACAGTACCTCGGTGAGCATCTGAATGCAGGCGCCGGCTTTAGAGGGGTACATTAATTTATCTGAGTTTGCGTTGTAGTCGCAAGCATATGTACCATCCTCGTGACCATTGCCAAGTATGGCGACGAGCACGCCGTGGGAATACTGACATACTTCTTGGAGCGTGTCTGTTAGTTTGTCAACTGTGATATCATGTGGATAAGCTGACAAGGATAGTGCGTTAAGGTCAGAAACTGTGAACTCCTCCTCACCTTCTGCCTTTGCGGCTGCTACAGCTGTGTCGGAGTCTTTCTCCTGATATTGCTTTAACAGCTCTTCGAAGCCGTTGAAAGATATGTCATTGTACACCGCAGTATACGGCAGGCCACTCAGCCACCGGAGCATCTGGTTGACGGTGGTCGGGTGCTTGGTGGAGGACAATGTGGAGTAGTGACATACACGGTAGTATTCATGAACATGTTGCATAATACATTGAATAAAATCTATTATGTCAAAGTTATTTTCTTTACCTTTTGGCTTACACTGTGGAACATGCGTGGATGAATCTATGTATATGATGTCAGCAAGCTTCTTATGAATATGCTCACCCCTCATCTTGGAGCAATTCCGCAGTTCGCCGTTCTGATTCTTGTCGCTGGTGGCGACGCCGTAACCAACCGACTGCAGGAAATTTCCCAGATGGGTAGTGCGGTTAATTTGTTTCTTGCCCCAACTGCCTCCATTGGTGCAATTGTCCTTGAGCTCACTGAGGTTGTCCAACAACATTTGCACGCAGGTCATAAAAACCTTGGCGCATTTCATTGCCATTTCCGACGGCTCTTTTTTCTGAGTTTGCCACTCAAAGCCCTCCGCAGCTCCCGAGTACCTGCTGACGTACTGCTTGCGTAGCTCCTCGTGGAGCTTCGCGACGCCGCGCCTTATGACGTTGAGCAGGGGAGAGGCGTCGGCGAATTCCTTGGGGGTGAAGTTGTGCAGTGCTGTGTTGAGCGCGTCGATTTTGTCGGAGACTTCCTGGTGGAAGTGTTGTTTGGTGTTCATTGTGGAGAGGACTTGGAGCAGGGCATCTTGCAGTGTTGTGATTCTATTTGCGTCAGTGGTTAAATCGGACTGCTCATTTAAAGCGTTGAGGAATTTGTCATAAAAGCTTTTTACTCTGTTGGCAGCGGTTTGTAGATCTTTGGCCGAATTCGTCAGACTGGGAAATACAGCTTTCAGCTTGTTCATCAGGCCTTTCAGGCCTGCATCCATGTCGTCGTCAATTGAGTCTTGGATCTTAGGAATTTGCGATGACACAGATGTTGAGAGAGCCTTTAATTCAGCTTTCTTCTGGGCATCGAACATTTTTTGGACGTGTTCATCCAAGTCGTCAAATGCCTGACCTACTCGTTTTTGCAAATCTATTCGGAGAGCTGACGTGACAACCTGGGCATTACTTTCAGCGTCTTTTATTGATATTTCTAGCAGTGAGATGGCCGCCTGTATGACACTAGTGGCGGTCCCGATAGGCCTGTCGATTCCCTGAATTCGGGATTGAATACTCTCGATCCTCTGTTTCAATTCGGCCATGTACGCACCGGCGCTTTCTTTCTCACTGTTGACGGCTTCGGGAAGCTTCTTAAGGTCATTAAGCTCCACCTGGATTTTTTGAACGGCTGCGCTAAGTTCCATTCTGGACGCCTCAAAGAGCTTCATTAATTGTTCTACATCAATTTCAGAATCACGATCTTTCTTCATTGTGAACTTCTTAACCGCCTCTGTAATCGCCGTCTTGGCTGCGTTTTGTATTTCTTCAACGGCGGCATTGTTGAACTCTTTGACGGCGGCGTTAAGGCCCGCAACTTTACCGTCTCCTTCAATCTTACTCGTTAAGTCGTTGATGAAATGTGCAAGAGATTGCTCCGCGGGTTTAGCGGATGTTCCTCCCTTTCCGTAGATGGCATTTTTAAGGCCTGCGAAATTATCAGGAAGTATATTAAAATTTTCCTTCACTCCAGACTCGTAGTGAGCTGCCAAACCTTGTGAAGCTTCCTTGATTTTTTCGATCGTAGTACTACCTAGAGTCGCCATCGCCGTCTGAAGCTCCGCCAAATGACTACTTACAAGGCCATTACCGCCAGCCTTATCATTTTCCACACCTGCGGCAAGTTCATTAATCCTCTGCTTTAAACCATTCAAATCCCCCTGCAGAGTTGAAGACAGATCGGTAACGTGCCGACTAACAATTCCAAATTGCTTCAGAAGCTCTGTGCTCTCGGAACCCTCCTTAGCAAACGTCTCTATAGCAGTTTTAATTACACTGAACTTTTCGGAAATCTTTTCCTTGTAACCCTTTTCAAATCCATTTGCCTCCTCGCTCAGTAATTCCTTAGCCAACTTCTTGGCCGATTGCACGGCGCTTGTAATATACTTAAGATGCTTATCTTTTTCCTGTTTTACATTTTCGATTTTTTGACTGATAGCTTCAAAATTCTGTTTTAACGCTTGTTGCATTTCACTTATTTTTAACGCAATATGCTCATTCACTTCTCTGCGTTGACGAGTAAATTTCTCACTCAACTCATTTACGGAATTTTTCACGTCATCATTATTCACCGCATCCCAAAAATTCTGCATCACCTGTTTTAACAACTCTATTTTACACGCTATTTTCCTACTCAGGCCATCATCAATATCCCTTAAAGCTCTTTCCGATTGCAGAGCCTTTTGGAGGTAAAGTCCAGCAAATCCCTGCCAAGTCAACAACTGATCTGTAATAGAAATGTCATTCATCTCCGTCTCCATATGCCCACTTAACGATTCCTTAAGCTCTTCCAACGGCCTCATCACCTCTCTATGCTTTTCATCCACCCCCCTCACCCACTGCTTAATCCCATCGCTCACAACGCGAATACTACTATCAAAATTTTTTCTATTATAGAGAGCTTCAGTAATTTTTTGAAGTGGCACAGTTAAAGGAGTATTATATTTTTGAAGATTATCATTTGTATGAACTTCATTTAAAACACCATGCAAAAACGCCATCACCCCGTCGCACAGCCTGTCAAGGTCCGAGTACACGATTCCCTCTCCGGTGTAATTACCATTCTCGTAGCCGAGAAAATTTTCGAGGCCTCCACAAAGGTTTTTTAAAAGGTTTTTACAGTTATCATCTTGTTGACTTTTAAGAGATTCAAATGACTCATTAAGGCTCTTCAGCTTCTGAAGAGCATCCAACTTGGACTGATGAGAGGATAAAAGGCGAGACTCTTCAGAGGAGAGGGGAGGATTTTTGTTATTTTGTCTATCTTCTAGAGGCCTTTTAAGGTCTTCATAACGCTTAATTTCCTTCTCAAGCATCTTTTCATTTATGGACACAGCAGACACGGGAGCAGAAGACTGCACAGGCGAAGACGAAGAGTTTCTAAGGCTTTTGAAGTCATCATCACTGTTAATAATGCTGTCAATACCATCATTAATTGCTTTGGTAACAGCGTCACTTGTGCCAATAAATTGGCCAAGCTTCCCACTGAGCTCAGCAAGAGACACCATCCTGGACTGGATGTCCTTCAACGCATTGTCCCTTTTGGACGCATTGCTGTGCACTTCACTTTTGTGGCTGCTTAAGTCAGATTGAAGTTTATTAAGCTTATTTTCATCAAAGTTATTCTGAGATTTAAGGTTGTTAATTTTGTTAGTCAAGTGACCACAGTATGAGACAGGGCTAGTGGAGGCCGACGAAGGAGGCCAAGAAGGGAGGGCAAAAGAGGTGAGAGAAGAAAATGGAAAAGAAGTTAAAAGGCCATTAGAAGAGGTGAAATGGGACACTTTTGGAGAATTTTAGAATTTTTTGAGTAAGGCGATTTTAGGTGAAGGAGGCAGTGAGGGGGTGAGGGAGGTGGGTGGACAGGGTGAGGTGAGTGAAGGGGCGAAAGAGGGCGATGAGGGAGGAAGATGGGTTGAGGTAAGGCGATTTAGGGGGTGGAGGGAGAAGGTGGAAAATGAGGATTTGGGTGAAAAACGCCGACGGAGGAGGTGATGGAGGAGGGAGCGAAGCGACCAGTGAAGGAGGGAGGTGGGTGAGTGGTTGAGTGGGTGGTTGAGTGAGTGAGTGGGTGAGTGGGTGAGTGAGTGAGTATGTGAGTGGTTGAGTGGGTGGGTGGTTGGGTGGGTGAGTGATTGGGTGGTTGAGTGGGTGAGTGGGTGGTTGAGTGAGTGAGTGGGTGAGTGGGTGAGTGAGTGGGTGGGTGATACACAGATCACACGTGAAGGCACGATTACGGTGAGAAGTACTTGACGTTGGCGAGTGCCTTGACGCGTGCGGCGGCGAGGAGGGACTGGGCGGCGATGCGGTGGCTTGAGGGCGAGCGCAGGTGGGAGCGTATCCTCAGGACGTCGAGGCGGACGACGGCGATGTGCAGCAGGTACAGGAGCGACAGCGACCAGAGGGCTAATAAGAGGTGGGAGAAGGGTGTACGTATTGCCCAAATGAATTCTTCGCACTCTTCTAATATATGCTTGAAGTGCTCCGAATCTATTACCTTCTTTAGTTGCTTGTTAAAATCCCGACACCATTTTCTTGTGTTATTACTCAACAATATTTGTGGATTTCCGTAGGTGAACCCATATTTGTATAATGTCGATAGCACACCTTGACAACGTACTAATGCATTGCACTTACAGTTATCATCAATACCATGTTGACCTGGCTTGCAATAGCATTTCGTGCAGCCCGAGCCACCGCAATCGATGTTCTGGAAATCGCTCAACAGTCCTTTGAGTAAGTCCCAGAAGTCCGACGCCAAGTACAACAGCCATGAAGCATAGACACTGGCATACTTCTGAGGATAGCTGTGATGAGCGTTGTCGCATAGTGGTTTGAGATATGGAGCGCATATGGTGGGACTGCTAGCTGAACACGTCTGCTGTGGATTCGTTGAAGCTTCTTTGCTAAGACTCCAAAGATCGCAATGCCCTTTATTGATTGATTTATCACTGTGATCAGTCGCCGAATACTGCAGCAATTTGAGTTTACTGGTGAGGTTTTGAGAAACGTAATAATTGTGGAGGCCAATGTACAGTGGGAAGCATTCGTGGATGGCGGCGTCGATTTTGTTTATGTATTCAGCGCCATGCATATACTTTGAGCTAGACCACCTTTGGAATATGTTACAATGGAACGAAAACATGTCGGCCAAGCTTTTCGGCGGATATGGCGACAGACATTTCAACGAATAAAGAAGCACGCATAGTGGTGAGTCCGCCTTACAGCAGAAGTCACCAAGCGCCTTGCATATATCCTCACCACGGCCTGTAATAGACCCCGCGTGAGTTAAATCCCCAAAGCCCATTGGGGTAATACACTGCTGCCCTGGTTTAATAGAACGGCATGTGGAGCAGGTCGACTTGCAGCCAACAGACTGCAAGCTATGCGGCAATAATCCAGGTAGCCCATCCATCAAGTGGGCTTGTAGAGGAGATTTGGGAAGACAATTGGGGCTAGCATCGGAATGCTTATCGCAGTCGAACCTATAGCCCTTTACGTGCTTGCCGTACTGGCAGTCGCGCCAGCCGTTGCCGTGAGACGCGCTGTACATACATTGGCCATGCAGAAAACATAGTGACTTCAGTACACGTGTACATATTTCTCTCAACATATCAAATAGCTCATTAGGGCTGTTAGGGTAGTAAAAGTTACGTGAGTTGTTGCAAAAACTGTATGCATAGGGATAAGCTGCTTGGTCAAATCCGCGGCCGTGACCGCAAATCCTAACGAGGGTGTCGTAGGATTTTTGAACGGTGACGCGTAGGCTGTCGTATAGGTCGGTGTTCAGGATTCTAACGATGATGGGATCCGGGGGTTGTGATTTTTTCTCAGCGTCTTCGACCTCCTTTCTAAGAAGTTCTGTGCAGTGCTGTTTAATTTCGGAGAATACCTTAGTGTAAGGCAGGCCGGACATCCATGATAACATATCACGTACGCTGCAGGGGTACTGTGATTTAGATGGGATACGTAAGTGACAAACTTTATTGTAATCTGCAAGGCTCCAGTAAAATGCGGACACGGCACCTCTGGATTGCCTTATGCAATAAAGGTACTGGCCAAGGGTATTATGCCCGTAGAATTGTGCATCGTAATCTGCCTGGAAATCAACATTGTCCTTGAAAGCGTCGGTCAGAATTTTTGCAACATGGTGACCAGAAAGATCTGTACAAAGATTATTTGTCATGAAACGTTGGCGCACCAAGTAGTCTTGCAAGTCAAATTTATTCTTAACCCGGCCGCTACCATCAACCTTGAGGTGACTCCAGTCCGTGCGACAATAATAGAAGAGATGGTAAAATTGCTCATAAAGAGTTGTAGCCATGGTAAGCACAATCTGTGCACATTTGATACCATCGGCAGTTATCTCCTTACTTAATACGTTGTAGAGTGTGACAGACTCACTGTCGTACACCGATATATACGCCTTGTCGAGCTGATCGTAAAAATCTTGTACGGCACCCCTGAGAATATGCAGCAAGGGATTGCGGTGCTCATCGTAGGAACTGGGACGAATGCCATTAAGTAAGCTCCCAAGTGCATCTAAGTTTGTTGCGAACTTTCTATCGTATTTAGTGAGGTTGTTGAGCAAACCATTAAGTGCACCATGTAGCTTGGTGATCGCAAAATGCTTGGGTAATATCTCCTCATTGTGGATCAGAGCGTCGAACAAGTTATTAAAGAACGGCTGAGCATTGAAAATCAAAGTAGAAAGACAACCGTTATCGTCCAATGGACTACTTAATGAACTGGACTCTAACTTTTCATGTAACACATTCATGAAGCCTTTAAAACCAACACGGCCATCTCTTTCCACGGCATCCGGCAATTTGTCCAGCTCCTTGGTTGCCTTTTTGGTGAACTCCGTGAGTTGCTCTTTGATGAAGGTGACGTATCTTGTTTTGATGGCTGCGGTAATATTGTTCTTGGCACCGTCAATTTGTGTGGTTACTAAGGCATCGATTTCAAGTATAATCTGAGAGCCTAAGGCGATGTTTTCACCCATTATTTTTTCGATTTTGTCGATTAATGGGTTTAACGTAAATCTTTGCAAAGCGCTGAGTTTTATTTGCAGCGTCTTCAGCCCACCACTTTTATTTTTTCCTATCATCTCTTTCAACTCCTCCAATTTGTTTTTGGCGCTATCCGGATCATCTTGTGCCGCCTTTGAAATTGCGTCGCACATAGAACTTAGTTTAGTGTCAACGATTTCTATTGCCTTCTTTTTGATATCTTTTTCACCTGCTTCACTGGTTGAAACGACCTGTTTAATGGGTTGCAGTGCATTCTCTTGAAGGTTTTTAATTGCGCCGTAAAGTGTATTGCTCTTACCATCATCAACACCAGCTCCTATTTGCTTAGCGTAATCCCTCATAAGATTCTTAACCTTATTAGAATCTGAATGCGCCTCTTGGAAAATTTTATCAACCTGCATTTGAACACTTTTCTTGAGGGCGGCTTCTAGCTGAGAAACCTGGTTAATTAAGCCACCCAAAGCCAGACTAATCTGTTGACCAGAGCCTCTAGTAACATTGCCGCTGATTGATTTGACCTTCTCTATTGCGGCATGTATGTTATTACCGAGGTTGTATTGGATGATCTGATCGGTGGTGAACGATTTGAGCTCCTCAGCAACCTGCCTGGCTCTACCAACCAGCTGATGGAGTGTTGCGTAGAGTGCGGTTTGAAGCTTGTCTTTAGCGGTGTCGTGGCTTGTCAACAGCTTCTCGATTTCTTTGGCCAATGTAAGCGCACCAATTTTATCCTCCTTAAGTTTCTTCCCAAGATCTTCGGCAAATGTACTGCAAACATATTGGATCTTTTGAACATAATGTTCGAATTCCCTTTTGTCGTTTACTTTTTTAGAGGCCAAAACGGCCGCACCAATTTCCACGCCAAGCTTCCCCTTAATATGCTCAGCAATTTTGTTGTTACGGTTTGTATTAATACCATTCTTGTCCGACTGTGCATAGTCCCCATTAAACTGAACACGTCTATTATCTCTGTTGTACTCAATATATTTTGCAAGCCAGCTTTTAACAGGATCCGTTTCCAGAATATCCTTTATCCACTGTTTTAATATACTTCCAAATCCATCACTATCATCCACCTTAGTGAATCTTGCAGCATACTCCTTTATATTCTCTATAATTCCCTCCAGACCTTTGAAATGTGGCCTAACAATTTGCCCATCTTCACCATTAATCTCCCCGGCCAGTTTCGAAATCTCACTTGCAACCTCTTTCCAATCTCCCATTATACCTTCATTGCCGTCGCCTTCCGGTCCAAGAGTGTTGTCTTTAATAACGTTAAAGTGCTTCTTCGCCTCCACAACATAGTCGTGAATCGTCGAGTCAATGCTGCCTTTCAAGTCAAACAAATCCTTTCGAACCCTCAAATCCAAAGCAGCGACTGACGTTCTAACTTGGTTAGCTAATTCGGGCAAAGCTCCATTGGCCTTCGTATAAGCATGATACAATGTCAAAGCCTTTGATTCCAATTGTCTAACGGCTTCCACGAGCCTTTCCTTGTTCGCAGCTTTTCTTGTATCATCGCCAACCTCATTCAATATTTTCTCAACCTTATCCAAAGCCGCCGCCACGGCGGCATCCGCCTTATTGATCCATTCGTTTAGCTGAGAAACATACTGTGTCAACGCTGTATCAGTCTCGGTGATTTCATTTTTAAGTGTCGTGATCCTCTTATTTGCTTCACTCACAAATGCCGTTATGCCTCTCGCACTCGTCTCATTGATTACACTTTTTGCGTCGTTCAACTGCTGCTCAACTAGGGCAACCACCTCCCTCAGCTGCCCCTGCTGCAACCTATGAATCCTGTCTAATTCACTACGCTGATACGCAATATTATCTCTAGCTTTATTAACATTACGTTCTAAGTCATCTGACAAATCGCTAACGTGTGCGCTATTTTGTGCAATATTATCGATAAAGTCCCGTGCCTGCTGGAGACACTCCGTCACCTTGTTGTCAATTGCACCTGAAGCAGAATGAGAATCATGAATTTCACGTACCTTATTTTTTAGGTCTTCCATCTCATCTTGAAGCTTTTTTATCGGCTTCTTCACAGCATTATTAGAGTTTTCAACACCCTCATTATACTGCCTCACCCCCTGGACCACTTTGACAATCGCAGTATTAAAACCATCTTTACCAGAGTGTTTATTGGCGTTAAGAAGCCTTATAGCTTCATCAATTTTATTTCTATGTAAGCCTAATGTAGGCTTAATGTGATGGAGAACTCCATGAAGGAAAGACATCACCCCGTCGCAGAGCCTGTCAAGGTCCGAGTACACAATCCCTTCTCCGGTGTAATTACCATTACTGTGGCCGAGAAATTTTTCGAGGCCTTCAGTAAGATTTTTAAGAATATCATTACAGTTTCCATCTTTATTTTGTCCAGAGTTATTAACACCCTCATGAAATGTAATAAGCTTCTCAAGATTTTTAATAGACTCCAACGAAGCCTCATGAGACTGCAATTTAGCCTGCGCAGTTTCAAGCTTACTAGAAAGACTGTAGGGAATGGATATATTTTTATCATCTTTATTAGCATTTTTAAAGGCTTCAATTTCCTTTTTATGCGCATCAATTTTCTCATTAATGCTGGAAATCAGAGACTCAATTTCCTTTTCAGGCTTATTTAAAGCACTTTTAAGCTTCTCAATTTGCTCTTCAAGAAGACTTTTTTGCTCTTTAAGGCTCTCTTCATTTTGCCTAATTTCCTTTCAAGCTCCTTAATCACAGGCGCCTTTCGAGGCGCCTTACTTTTTTCATCTTTTAGCTTATTAAGGCCATTAATTTTGTTCTCAATTTCATCATATTTTTCAAATGTCTCTTGAAGCATTTTAAGATGATCAACACGGAATTTCACAGCCTTATCACAACACCCCTCACCTCCACAAGATGTTTCCAAAAGCTTTTCAAGCTGATTTACATTGCTGTGCAAACCCTTCAACAATGCATTTTGAACTTCCTGTCCACTGCCAATAAAATCCGAAAGTTGTCCAGCAAGCTGTCCAAGAGAGATGCGGCGGGCATCAACATCATCCAAGGCGCTTTGTCTGGCATCCTCAGTAAGGTAATGAACTTCATTGTAATGGTCATTATACTTGGATTAAAGGTAGATTAAGGGAGAGTTAAAAGGAGTAAAGGGAGGTGAAATGGCACGTTTTCAGGGCGATTTGGGGGAATTTGGAGAAAGGCGATTTTAGGTCAAGGAGGCAGCGAGGGAGTGAGGGAGGTGGGTGGACAGGGTGAGGGAGGTGAAGGGGCGAAAGAGGACGATGACGGAGGAAGATGGGTGGAGGTAAGGGGATTTTGGAGGTGGAGGAGGAAGATGGAAAATGAGGATTTGGGCGAAGGACGCCGACGGAGGAGGTGATGGAGGAGGAGGGAGAGGGAGCGAAGCGACCAGTGAAGGAGGAGGTGAGTGGTTGGTTGAGTGGGTGGGTGAGTGAGTGGTTGAGTGGTTGAGTGGGTGAGTGAGTGAGTGGTTGGTTGAGTGGGTGAGTGAGTGGTTGAGTGGGTGATTAGGTGGTTGAGTGGTTGAGTGGGTGAGTGAGTGGGTGAGTGAGTGGGTGATTAGGTGAGTGAGTGAGTGGGTGGGTAAGTGGGTGAGTGGTTGAGTGGGTGGTTGAGTGGGTGATTAGGTGGGTGGTTGAGTGGGTGGTTGAGTGGGTGGTTGAGTGAGTGAGTGGGTGAGTGAATGGGTGAGTGAGTGGGTGAGTGGGTGAGTGGTTGAGTGGGTGGTTGAGTGGGTGGGTGGGTGAGTGGTTGAGTGGGTGGTTGAGTGGGTGGTTGAGTGGGTGGTTGAGTGAGTGGTTGAGTGGGTGATTAGGTGAGTGGGTGAGTGGGTGAGTGAGTGAGTATGTGGGTGGGTGAGTGAGTGGGTGATACACAGATCACACGTGAAGGCACGATTATGGTGAGAAGTACTTGACGTTGGCGAGTGCCTTGACGCGTGCGGCGGCGAGGAGGGACTGCGCGGCGATGCGGTGGCTTGCGGGTGATCTTAGGTGTGAGCGTATCCTCAGGACGTCCAGGCGGACGACGGCGATGTGCAGCAGGTACAGGAGCGACAGCGACCAGAGGGCTAACAGTGTTAGCATAAATGGCCATCTGATTTTTTTAAGGAATTCGTCGCACTCCTCAAATAGATCTCTGAAGTATTTTGATTGAAGTATGCTGTTCAACTGTTTTTGGAAACTGTAACACGTTTTTTGTTTATATTTTTCATTTAGTGTGTATACGTCGCCGAAACCAAATCCGCATTTGTACAGTGTCGGTGAGACACCTTTACAACTGACTAGGGATTTGCAGTGACATGAGTACATCTCTTCTCCGTGTTTTCCTTTCTTGCATCTATCGGCATTCATACATTTACGACACCCCCAATCTGAACAGAATATCTGTTGGAATTGGGAAAGCAGAAGTTGGAGGTAATCCCAGAACGTCCATGGTAGGTAAGTGGCCCATGACAAATAGAGATCGCAGTTCTTGTTAGACATGTATTTGTAGGCATCCGTGTAAAGAGAGGAAACATATGGAGCGCACTGCATCTTACTACTCTTCCCTTTACAGAGGTCAGAGGTTGTAAGACTTTTTAGGTGAATGTTGTCACATTCAGAATGGTTGGCGGAAGCGGAACCGTAGGCGGCGGTAAAGGCATTAGTAAGCTTGTCGCCAACTTCATATAGGTAAATGGACTTTCCTTTGATAGAATTTTTGAAAGACTCTGCAAACGATTTAGGATCGTCAGCCTTATTCGACTTCCGTGCATTTAGACCGTTTGCAAGCGATAATGCAAAGGAAAAATGTTCAGGAAGCGTGGACGGCGGTTTGGGAACTTGACAGAACAGCGATGAAAGTTTAACGTTCTCGAAGAAGTTGATGAGCACGTTACATAGTTCTTTGCCCGTCCTCGTACTTCCAGAGAAGGCTCGGAACCCGAGTGGAGTAAGGCAAGGCATTCCCTTGGAGTTAGGGGAACAGTTCAAACATTCAGACTTACAACCGACACTAATTAGTTGGTGGGGCAAATGCCCTGGTAATCCATCCGTTAAGAAGGACTGAAGTGGAGATGTAGGTTGGCAATTTGGTTTGTCATTTGGTTGGCACTTTGGTTCGGTGCTTGGTTGGCACCTAGGTTGACCATTTGGTTTATCGGTTGGATGGTCGTTGCATTGCAATTTCGATGTTAATATGTCTTTGCCATACTGGCAGTCGGACCACCCGTAATATTCGGCTTTAACGTTACATTGGTTCTGCAAAAATCTTAGTGTCGGCAACATTCTACGAAGCATATCGAGTAACATGGCGAGGCACTGTGATGCATTACTTGGGTAATGGAAATGAAGTGAGTTGTTATAATAGTCCGATGCATATATGGTGTATGCGTCCCCGGTGCCAAGGATAGTGGTGAGAAGATTATGTGAGTAAGGCGACAGATTCGGTACTCCGTGTGTCACAGCGTTGCTTAATTTCGACACAACGTAAATGTCCGTTTCATCTTTGACTAAGCCTCTGCAATGGGTTGAGAAAGGTTCGTATATCATGTTATATTTCAGGCCACTGGTCCAACACAACATATCGAAAACGGAACATGGGTGTTTCTTGGAGAATGAAGCAGTGATGTGACCAACACGGAAATAGTCATGAAGGTGAGACGTAAGGCATCTAAGTATGCTTATTATATTGTCTTTGTTTGTCGAATCTTTAAGTGCTGAACACGTATTAAGGTGCGCGTTGCTGTTGGCGTCTTGAATTTTATCATTGATTTTGTCAAGAATATTCTTCCCTCTGAGGTCTTCCTTATTCTTCAAATGACCGTCTTGTGATTTTGGCTGCGTGGCAACACGGTACCCATAAGACGTGAGTAAGTCTCCCAAATGAGACGATTTATTAATTTGACTAGATGAGGAAGGATTTTCACACGTATTCTTAAGAACATTCAAATCGCTGTTTAACATGTTCAATATTGTGAGAATGATCTTAGCACATTTCTCACCGTACTCAGTCAATGTATATTTGTTTTCGTCAGGCTGTACGGCTTTTGTCCCAGTTTGTTTGGGGTCAACTGGGTTTTTAGTCTCTGTTTTAACCAAATCATGAAGAAACACTCGACCACTAAACGTCGACACGTACCCCTTCTCCAGCTGCTCGACGAACGGCAGCAGGCTCTTGGGGAAAGCGTCGAGCACGGGGTACGCGGGGTTGGCGAATGCTGTAGAAGTGAGTGCTTGGACGGACGTCTTGAGTTCCGCGAGCATTCCGGGGACCTCGTGGGTGAAGTGTTTTTGCGTGGACAGGTGGGAGAGGAGGGTGGAGAGATGGGAGTGGATGATGGAGACAGCGGTGGATTGGGGATTCTCAGTGGGATCAACTGTTGCTGGGGATGCCGGCGGTGTCATGACTTCAATCTCAGTATATGTTAGAATTTCATCAAAATACGCTTCCAATGCAGGCGCCAATAACGCAACAGTATCCTTCCCTATTAACGCTTCAAGCCTAGTGGGAATTGAAGGTTTAGGGATTACGTTTACCGAAGTGCCACTCAATTCTTTCAAAAATCCTTTTACGCCTGTTCTAGTATCATGTTGAATAAGATATTTAATACTCCTTTGCTGCACTTCTACAATTGCTTTCAGGTCTTGGAGCTCCTTATGTTTGCGTTCAGCACACAGGGATTGAGCTTTGTTTTTTATGTTGTTGGTTGCATTGGCCACTTGCTCACGAAGATGTTGATTCATTTGTTGGATGGTGCGCTTTGCTTGTTCTGGGATTGTTTGGTCATTGAATGTCTTGGCTTTTGTTATCAATGATACCAACTTAGCGGAAATGACATGGTTAAGGCGCTCTTGTATTTTACCCAGACCATGAGTAAAAACTCCCCACATGTGTTCATTTTTGAGACCATTCTGAAGCTCTAACAAATATGTTTTCACGCCCTTTTGTCCACTTACGTATAGGTCACCAGTAGTATTCTCACTAACCAGCTTGGTCAGTTCAGAGAGCTCTTCCTTAATCGCTTCAAAGGGCTTCTCGAAGATTCGGTTTCTTTCATCTATTATATCCTTGATCCCATTATCGGTGAGTTTCTTTGTCACCTCCCTTTTGATATCCCCGATCTTTTCTGGAAGCTGACCTTCATTTGCGTCCGGATTCCCAGTTAGTTTAGCGTTTGCTGGCACTGTAAGGCTACCAAGGTACTGATTGAATTGCTCTGAAAGTTTGAATTTACCCCAATCACCACCATCATCACCTTTTCCAATTTTTTTATCCAGTGCCTCGCTGATCGTCATCTGAATATTGGCATCAAGCTGATCCTGTTGAGGGCCGGAGCCGGGGCCGACAGCAGGGACGTAGGGTTTGGCGGACTTATATTTAGGTTGATCGGAGGACGTTACAAGCGCCGTGTCAAAATCACCGTCCATATCGGTAGCCACTTGAAGCGCGGCGTCGATGTTCTTTCCGAGGTTGTCGCCCGTACCATCGTCCTCGATACCAGTAAAAGATCCAAGCTCGGAGAGAACTTGGTTGGCTTTGGCGGAGAGTTCCGCTAAGATGACGGCGACAGCCGATTTTAGGAACCCTAGGGAAGTATCTTTCTGCGTGCTTTCCACCACAAAGTCATTTATCTTGTTGGCTATTCCAAAAACAAACGTGCTTGACTCTAAAGATATCTTTCCTTCCTGCCTTATCTTCTTATCAAGACTCGCTACAAATGTGGTTATACATTCTTCCACAGCGTCAATGTTTGCTTGAACGCTATCGTCTTTGCCACCATCAATGGTGGCATTTTTGATTATGATCTCCTTTCCATTCTCGAGCTGCTGCTTTATTACACCTGCGACGTCACCGATATCATCCGTCTTCATTACCTTTGCACCCCTATCTACAAATTGTTCATTAAACGTAACACCATTATGACTTCTCTTAACATACGTATTGAAATACTCTTTAACTACAACGTCTGTCTCCAAAATGTCTTTAATCCAATCCTGTACTACTTTTCCAAAATCATTCCTAAACTTCTGTGCATACTCCTCCACTATTCTCTTCTTAATCCCCTCAAGACCCTTTCCATTTGCTCCTCCTTTCTCCCCCTTTATCTCCTTAACCTTCTTTTGCACTTCTTCAACATACCCCCTAACGTACGATGTAATACCCATCTGAAGCGCCACTTTCATGTCATTGAGATTCAATTTAAGCGTCTTGTCCAACTGAACAACCTGAGTAAGCGCCTGCTCCACCTGCTGCTGGACAGCCGCCTTGGCTGCAAGGGCGGCGTCACGAAGTTGGATGGCTTTTGTTTTCAAAGTTGTGGCAGCGTTTCCAATCGGAGTTTGCAGAGCATTCGAATTTGTCTCTTGGACCTTTCGCAAAATTTTATAACACTTCCCAACAGCCTTATGAATAACTTTCTCCGCCTCATTAATCCAACCCCCCAAATCGGCATCGATAGCAATTAAATCGGTTTTAATATCATCGATATTATCCTGAATCTCACTTTTGAAATTGCTTTTCAGAATGTTTTCCATTTTTGTTATCCTTTCTTCGACATCTCTCTCCACTTTGCTCTGCAGACTCTTAAGCTCACTTGCTGATGTCGCAGTAAGTCCCTGAATGTCTCTTATTTTTGAAGCATTCATGAACGCATTCAATGCTTGCTCAATCAATTGCATTGGCATCTCCAATTTCCTTCGAAGATGTTTATCTAAATTGTTTAGAGCCTCTTGAGATTTTGCAAGTTTTTCGGAAAAAATTCTGGTGGCCGCAGTCCACTGGTTAATTTGACTCTCAACAGGTTGTTGTTTCAAATTCAAATGGGACATCTCTAAATCTTTAATATTCAGATTCAACAATGTCTGAAGCGGGCTAACTACTTTCCCTGTCCTCCTCCCCAACTCCCTCTCATACCCCCGCAGCCCCGCCTGCACGCTCCCAATGGCGGAGCGAAATCCCTGAACACCATGGCCCTTACCTATAGCAGCACTTAAATCTCTAATAGTATCGTCAATATTCTTATTATAATGTTTTAAAGTGCTGTAACTGCCCTTAAGACATTGGAGGAGAAACGCCATCACCCCGTCGCACAGCCTGTCAAGGTCGGAGTACACAATTCCTTCTCCGGTGTAATTACCATTCTGGTAGCCGAGAAATTTTTCGAGGCCTGTACACAAATTTGTTAAAAGTGTTTTACAATTTTTATTGTCTGCATTTTTAACTTCCTTATGAAATGTAATAAGCTTTTCAAGACTCTCAAGAGACTTCAACGAAGCCTTATGAGACTTCAATTTAGCCTGCGCAGTTTCAAGAGGATTGGAAAGATGGGAGGGAATGGAGATATCTGCATCTTTAAGAAAATCATTTTCACGCTTTTCTTTCTCTTTATACTGCTCAATTTGCTTTTGAAGCCTTTTCACTTCTTCAGTAAGGCTGTCAATTGTATTCTTAATTTCCTTTTTAGGCGCTTCTAATTGAGTTTTAAGCTGTGTAATTTGCTCTTCACGATGCATTTTTTGCTCTTTAAGCTTCTCTTCATTTAGCTTAATTTTCTCATCAAGCCTCTCAATCTCAGGATCACTGCCGGACGGCGTCCCTACGGACGCCTTACTTTTTCCAGCAATTTCATTTTTAAGGCTATCAAATTGTCTCTCAATTTTATCAATGTCATTAAATGTCTTTTGAAGTTTTTTAAGAGGTCCAACACTGAAACTCTTAATATCACAATTACACTTCCCATCTCCGCAAGATGCTTGTAAAAGCTTTTCAAGCTGATTTACATTACTCTGCAAACCATATAAAATTGCTTTTTCAACTTCCACACTTTTGCCAATAAAACCCATAAGCTGTCCAGCAAGCTGACCAAGAGAGATACGACGGGCATCAATGTCCTTCAAGGCTCTTTGTCTGGCTTCAGCAGTAAGGTAATGGACATCATTGTAATGGTCATTGTAGTTGGATTGAAGGTGGATTAAGGGAGGGTTAAAAGGAGTAGAAGGAGGTGAAATGGCACATTTTCAGGGCGATTTGGGGGATTTTGGGGAAAGGCGATTTTAGGTGGAAGGCAAGCAGCAGGAAATGGGTGGAACAGGTAAAGGAGAGTGAAAAGAGCAGAAAGACGATAAGGGAAAATGGGTTAAAGTAAAGATTTAGGTAAGAGAAAAAAGCAGAAAAGTTGAAGACTGAACAGAAAAGATGGAAGAGAGGAGAAAGGAAAACGAAACACCAGTCAATAAAAGAAAGTGCAATAAATTGTAATATGCGTGAAGAGTAGTTAAATGAATTAAGTAGTTAAATGGGTAAATGAATTAAATAAATTAAAGTAAGTAGATGAATTAAGTAGTTAAGTAGATTTAAGTAAGTAAAGTAAAAATGGGTGAAATGAATTAGAAATGTTAAAGTAAATTAAATGAATTAAGTAGAAATAAGTGAATTAAGTAAGTTAGAAATGGGTAAAGTAAGTAGAAATGATAAATGGTAAGTAAAGTAAATTAAGTAAATATAAGTAATTAAATGAATTAGTTAAGTAGTTAAATGGGTAGAAATGGTTAAATGAATTAGTTAGAAATATTGAAGTAGAAGTGGGTAAATGAATTTAAATGATTAAGTAAATGAATTAGAGTAAATGCATTAGAGTAAATGGAATTAAATGGGTAAATGGGTAAAATGGTTATAGAAATGGCCAAGTAAGTAGAATTGAAGTAGGTGATAATTTAAAGTAATTGAAATGGAAGTAAATAGAGTAGAGTAGTTAAATGAATTTAAGTAAATTAGAGTAGAGTAAGTAATTGAAATAGTTGAAATAGATTTAAGTAGAGGGTTGATAGTTGAAGTAAGTAAGAAAGAGTAATGCAGTAAAGTGGATTAAGTGATAGAGTAGAGAGTAGGTAGGTGGTGAGTGGTTGAGTTGGTGGGTGAGTGGTTGGGTGAGTGGGTGGTTGAGTGGTTGGGTGAGTGAGTGGTTGAGTGAGTGGTTGAGTGGGTTGTTATTACACACAGATCACGTGAAGAGCACGATTATGGTGAGAAGTACTTGACGCTGGCGAGTGCCTTGACGCGCGCGGCGGCGAGGAGGGACTGGGCGGCGATGCGGTGGCTTGAGGGCGAGCGCAGGTGGGAGCGTATCCTCAGGACGTCGAGGCGGACGACGGCGATGTGCAGCAGGTACAGGAGCGACAGCGACCAGAGCCCTGCTAATGTCCAGATGAACGGTGCTCTGATGGCAAAAAATAGTTCGTCTGTCACTTTAAATAGATGCTTAAAATACTTTGAATTTAACACTTTTGTCACTTGACGGTAGAAATCATTGCAACTTTTCTTTCTGCTGATGTGCATCAAGGTTTGCGCATTTGCAAATGTAAAACCGTAATTGCGTAATGTGGGAAGAACGCCACCACATTGTACTAAGGAGAGGCACGAACATGATGCTTTGTTATTCGATGTATTGCCATGGTCACTTGTTTGACATCTACAGTTGGAGCATCCGTGTTTGCTGCATGAAATACTTTTGAACGAGTCAAATAAACATTCAAGTAAATCTCTAAGTTTCCAAGCAAGATATAGAGACCAAGATAAATATACGTCAGCATTCTTGATGGCGTATGTGTGATGCGCACTCATGGACAAGGGTTGAAGGTACGGAGCGCAGAGGAGTGAATTGTCGCAAGTTATTGACAAGGTTGTCATACTAGACAGGTATGAGTGGGCGCCGGGAAGGCTGTCAGTTTGACTATTACTTACGTATTTCTCAGAGGAATGGTGTAATTTAGTGAGTGCGTTGGTGATTCGGGATGCATCAAAATAGTTGTGAAGCGCAGGCAAGAGTGGTAAGCACTTTGGAATAGTTGTACTTGTCATGTAATCAATAAGATTATGATGCGATGTGTATGCGGAAGATTTTGATACCCAGAATTGAAATACATGACAGTAAAACGAGAACATCTCAGAGAGGCTCCTAGGCGGTGAGGGGTTTAGTGTCTTAAGAGCATGGAGCAAGGCACAAAGTGGAGAGTCCGCGTTTTTGCAAAACCCAGATAGCACATCATATAGTCTATGCCCCTGACCAAACATGGAGGCGGCATAAGTCAAATCCCCAAAGCCCATGGGCGTCTTACATGGCATACCAGGTGAATTGGTAGGGCACGTCAAGCATATGGATGTGCAACCGACGGACTTCAAGATATGCGGTGTAAAGCCTGGCAGGCCATCCATTAGATGAGCCTGAAGAGGGGATTTCGGAAGGTCCGATGCAGAATGATCATTGCAATCCCACCGATAGCCCTGTACTCCTCTGCCATATGCACAATCGCGCCAGCCGTTGCCTTCCGCAGCACTGTATCGACACTGCATATATATGAAGTAAAGTGATGACAATAGACGTTTACAAATTTCGCCAAGGATACCGAACAGACTATTAACGTCCGCAGGGTAGTAGAACCCTTTACTGTTGTCTACAAAATGACAAGCATAAGGATACGCTGAATTTGGCGCACCGTGGCCGTTACCACAGATCGTAGTGAGAATATCAAGTGATATTTTGCAAGTTGATGATAGGTTTCTGTGCAAGTCTCCTTTAAGAATTTTACTGATTGTGGGATCGTCTTTGTTAGTGATTTTGCCTGGCTCTTTGACTTCCTCGTTGAGCAGCTTGGTACAATGGTTCTCAACCTTACGGTAAACAGCTGTGTGAGGAAGGCCGCATAGCCAAGACAACATGTCACGCACATTGCAAGGGTATTTGTGGGATTGGGTAAGTTGAAGGTGGCATGTTTGGTAGTAGGTGGCTAGGTGGTCTACAAGGGTTTTTAGGCTGCCGTTGCCATCTGCACTGAAGATCTGTCCAACGCCATCGAAAAGTACATACCCCTGTATACCACCACGGTTTTTTAATTCACCGTCCTGGAGGTTCTCAGCAGTGGGGAGGTTATAACCGTGTGACTGGAGGAACAGGCCAAGTGGATTTTTGTTACCCAAATGCATTCTACATTTGCTCCATGTTTTTGAGCAGTTCGTTTTAAGCTCATTCAGATCGTCATGGAGCATCTGTAGCATGGTGCAGAGAATGCTGGCGCATTTCATAGCTTCACTGGTTATGTCTTCTGCGTTATTGCCACTGGTCCACTCAATTATGTTACCAGAATAGTAATTAACATACGCATACGTAAACTCGTCAACCAAATCTGCAAGGCCCGCTTTCAATGGAATTAATAGAGCTTTCAGCGCGTCTTTGCAGGCCTCTGGATTGAAGACGCGGAGTGTATCCTCAAATGCTTCGCGTTTTGAAGTCACGTCATGGTCGAAGTGTTGAGACAATATGAGTTGCTGAAGCAGAGAATCAAGCGACGCTACCACGTCACCGAAATTACACTCAGTTTCCAACATCTCATCTTGCAATGCCAATGCATTTGTAAAATTCTTGAAACCATCTTGTACTTTTTTGGCAGCTTGAGAAACTGGAGATTCGGACTTAGACTGGGGGTTGGTTTTGGGAGCGTAATTAATGCTTTTAATTTCTTCAACCCTTGTTATGAATTCAGTTCGCAACTTCCCTAACATACCTTTCATTCCGTTCTCTAAATCATTGTTAATCAGTTTTGAGATTGCGGTTTTTTGCTCCTCGACCAATTTTTTTAGCCCTTCCAAGTCGGCCTTATGGCCGTCAGCGAACATTTTCTGCACCTCCTTAGTTACTGCCTGGAACGCTGATCGGGCTTTCAGAATGAGCTGATCCCTAGCAGTATAAAGGGCCTTTTCAATATCCCTTTGAGCCTCAACGGCAGTTGTCCCGAGGGCTTCAATGGCTTTATCCATTTCTGTTTCTGCATTAACGATTTCCGTATCAGCACCATCAAGCTTTCTTCGAATGTCTACAACAACCTTTTCAAGCTTCTGCATTTTCTCCAACGCTTCCTGCCTCTTTGCTTCAACTTGCTGGGGAAGGGCTTCAAGTTCGCCAATAATAGTAGGACTTATTGCTTGATTAGCCGTTTCGTACTTACGTCTGGCATCGTCCGCATCGTAACCAGCCATTTTAGAAGCAGTAAAGGTTGCTGGTTCGTCTGCTGCGTCGAATCCGTCAGTCTTAAGGTTCTCCTTAATTTTTTCAATCTTGGCTCTGAGCGTGTTAGGATCACTAGCATCCTTTTCCGTCTGCGCCATATATTCCTTCATGAGCTCATTTTGATCATGCGTTGCTTGTTTGATGAATCGTAATTCTGTATATGATTGCTCCTTCCCCGATATAACATTCTTAAGCTGCGCTTCCATGGCCTCATTCAGTGAGGTTCCAAGTTGCTGGAAGAGTTCGGCGCCCGGTGGATTGCCACCCATGCCTTTTGCCAGTCGAATATCATATAATATGGTGTCAATTTTTTGCGAAAGTTCCCTGTTATTCTGAGCTACATTACTGAGTTTTGTTCCGAATTCTTTCAAATTTCCACTCAAACGGCTAGCAAGACCAGTAATTGCGGTTGCACCGCCGCTACCCCAATTCCACCCTTGGGCTCCAATAATTGCTGCTTCCAACGCACTTTTCACGTCCTCAACAAAGGCTTCCAACTTTGTCTTTATATCTTTCCTCACTTTCCATAACCCATCCTTCACTTTGTTATCGACAGTCGCAAGGTGGCCCAAAACACCATGGTTTTCATCCTTACCAACAGCCGCAACAACCTTTTCTTTAAGCGTTTCCAGCCTCCCCTTATAAATCGCTTCAATCTTATTAACCGCATCAGTCACCTTCTTGAATTCATTCTGAAGCTTGGATTTTCCTCCCTCACCCTTCTCCTTATCAATCTTATCCATCGCCGTTATCAAATCTTTAAACATGTCTTCAATTTTATTCTGGTACGTGTTGTAAAACTCTTGGAGCAAATTATTTACATCCTGCTTGGCCAAAAAGACGGCATGTTTCACTGCGTTAAATTGATTTTTCTTAGTCTCAGTCAAACTACTAATTTTTTTCCATATATTCATAAACTCTGACCCTAAGGCTTTACGCAACGTTTCGCATTCCACTTCAATCCTTTTTGTCACGCTTTTCTCCTGTTCCTTTAAGGTCTGGTCCACCTTTTCCACCTGCTCTCTAAACGCCTGCACGTCAGCACTGTCAGTCAGCATCTTTACAGCAGCCTTTATAGGCTTTATCTCACTATCTATTCTACGTTTAAGCGCATTATCTAACTGACTAATATTATTAGTATCAATGAGTTTTACCTCTGTTTCGAGGCTATCAATCGTCGACCGCCAAGTGGCCAACTGCTTTACAAGGGTCTGATCCCTACTGTTGTGTACATTATTAGTATGAGTGTTTGCTATGTCTTTGCTAAGGGTATAAAGTGCTCCTGCAGTTGCGTCCGTCTTGATGCTAACCTGCGCACCATGTCTATTCAACCACTCACTTACCTCAGTCACGGCGGCCTGGAAGGCCTGACCGCCTTTACCTACATTAGTGTTAAGAGAGTTAATAACTGAAGTAATATTAGGATTATTATCATTATCATACGTTGTAACACTTTCATCATTTTTCAAAGTGTCAAGAACTCCATGAAGGAAAGACATCACTCCGTCGCACAGCCTGTCGAGGTCCGAGTACACGATGCCAGTGCCGTCGTAGCCTTTGGAGTCAGGGTTGAATCCTAAAAACTTTTCTAAACCGAGACAGAGGTTATCTAATAGCTTTTTAGGATTTTCATTTTGCTTGGCAATTTCCCCTTGTTTCTTCTGAAGATCATTTATTTTGTCGTGTTCAGGACAGTGGCAAGGCTTAAGATTTTCCGGAATTTTTTTCTTAAGTTGTTGACACTCATTACACTCATCTATTTCTTTTGTAATGACGCCAATTGCATTTTTAATTGCCTGAGTAACTTCCTCTCCACCACCAATTAAACCCATAAGCTGTCCAGCAAGGTTACCCAAAGAGATGCGCCGCTCAGCAAGATCCTTCTCAGCACTCTTTCTCTTAGACTCAGAGCCATGTACTTCGGAGTAATGGCCATTATACTGGGATTGTAACTTAGATTTTTCATCACCATTGGCTTTAGCAATTTTGTCTTTAAGTGTCTTACAATGAGGATGATCGGGACTTTCAGAGCATTTAAGTTCATCTTCTTTTTCTTTAAGACTATCATCAGCCTTTTTAATTGCATCACCAATCAACTTTTTCAAAGCTTTGGCCAACTCCTCAAGCCCTTTACCATCACCACCATTCCCATGCTTAACCTGGATCAACCAGTCGATGGAGGCCAACGAAGGAGGCCAAGGAGGGAGGGCAAAAGAGGTGAGAAAAGAAAGCGGAAAAAGAGTTAAAGGGCAATTAGAGGAGGTGAAATGGCACATTTTCAGGGCGATTTGGGGGAGTTTGGGGAAAGACGATTTTAGGCCGAGGAGGCAGTGAGGCAGCGAGGGAGGTGAAGGGGCAAGGAGGGCGATGAAGGGGGAAGATGGGTTGAGGTAAGGCGGTTTCGGAGGTGGAGGGAGAAAGTGGAAAATGAGGATTTGGGTGAAGGACGCCGACGGAGGAGGAGATAGAGGAGGACAGAACAATGATGAAGGAGATAAAGTGGGAGATGGATGGTTGAGTGGAAGTTGGGTGATGCGTGAGTGAGTGAGTAGTAGTGAGGTGAGTGAGTGGTAGATGGGGAGTGAGTGGGTGGTTGGGTGAGTGGTTGAGTGGTTGAGTGAGTTGGTGAGTGAGTGGTTGAGTGGGTGAGTGAGTGGGTGAGTGGGTGAGTGAGTAGGTGAGTGGGTGGGTGAGTGGGTGGGTGAGTGAGTGGGTGAGTGGGTGGTTGAGTGGTTGGGTGGTTGAGTGGGTGAGTGAGTGGGTGAGTGGGTGGTTGAGTGGGTGAGTGGGTGGTTGAGTGGGTGGTTGAGTGGGTGAGTGGTTAGGTGAGTGAGTATGTGAGTGGTCGAGTGGGTGAGTGATACACAGATCACACGTGAAGGCACGATTACGGCGAGAAGTACTTGACGTTGGCGAGTGCCCTGACGCGTGCGGCGGCGAGGAGGGACTGCGCGGCGATCCTGTGGCTTGAGGGTGATCTCAGGTGGGAGCGAATCCTCAGGACGTCGAGGCGGACGACGGTGATGTGCAGCAGGTACAGGAGCGAGAGCGACCAGAGGGCTAACAACAATGTCATGAATGGGAATCTGATTGCTAGAAGATATTCGGGAATTGTCTCGTGTATCAACTTGGCGATTGCAGCTCCAACTGCTGTTTCTTCATTGAGAACACCGTTCAACGCATTACAGAAGTCCTTGCAAGTGCGCTTCGTCAGAGAGTTCTGTGATGTTCCATGTAATGTACTTACATTTCCGAAATAGAAACCATATTTGCATAACGTGGGAAGTGTGGATGGGCACTGAACAATGGAGTTACAAGTGGCATCATGATTGGAAGTAGAACTCTCCTTACCGACAGTACAGGCTGTCGGACATTTAGCAACACGGCATTTGGGTTTTTCGCCGCCGCAACTACCGTTACATTCTTCGAACAAATTTTTGAGTAAGTCATAGAATGATTCAGTTATGTACACAATCCAGGAAAGATATTTGTCGGCGTTTTCTTTGGAATATATAATACGAGCTTCATCGTCTAATGATTTTAGATATTCACCGCAGGGGTGCGCTGCATTGCCATTATTGGTGCAACTAACAAGGCTGAACAAGTCACCGGCAAGATGCTTGCCGAATCTATGATCACTGCTACCGAAGATGGCAGTCGGGTCTAACTTAGTGGAGTCCTGTCCGAAGTTAGCATCTCTGACGGCCTTTTCAAATGCATATTTTTTATGGTGAGCGTACCCGATCCACTGATTGAGGAATCTATGGTAAAAGGCAAACATATCACCCAGCGTCTGAGGTGGGCGCCGAAGGAGGCAGTTGAACATGCTACACAGCTGACGGAGGTGAGATGCTGGACCGCACAAATTTTCCAGAACCTCGGCAAGATGAGACCCCTTTTTAATATGAGAGGCTCTAACACTGATGTCCGAGAATCCCATAGGGGTCTTACATGGAATGCCGCGATGGTTGGAAAGAGAGCAACTCATTTTGCAATCAGGCTTATTATAAGGATGCGGCAGGAAGCCTTGCAGCCCATCCTCTAGGAAGGATTGGAGTGGTGATTTGAGGCCGTACTTGGGATGTTGGTCACACGTTTGGTTGGCCTTTTGGTCACACGCTTGGTTGTGCTTTTGGTCGCAGTCTTGGTTAGGACATTGGAGCTCATTGCACTGCCAGTTTGACCCGGCGACACTCTGGCCGTAATAACAGTCTCTCCAACCGCTTAATGTAGTTGGGTTACAACACTGCTCATACAAGAAGCGGGATTGATGAAACACTCTAAAAGTTAGTTCTAAGAGTAAATCAAAACATTTACCAGGATTAGTGGGATAGTCGAGTTTTTCTTCGTTCGTGTAAAAGTCGACGGCATAACGGCCACCTTCGTGACCATTGCCAAGGATGGCTACTAGAGTGTCCTGGGAGTGTAAACAAATATGTGGGATTCTATCCCATAGGGTCTTAGCGGAGAACTCTTTGTAAGTGGAGTCGAGTGTAAGTTCGGTGTGCTTGAATTCAGAATACTTCTTGTCTTTGAGCTCTTTAGGCTTCTCAAACAATTCCTTAACGTAGTCACGAACTTTATCAAACATGTGATTGTACATAAGACCGGAAATCCATTGGAGCATATGGTGGACCGTGGTCGGCGCTTTTCGTTTCTCAGGGATAATGTAGTGGCAGACTTTGTAGTAGTTATATACATTTTCAAAGTGAAGGAAGTAAACGATGTTGTGGAGATTAATTGGAACATCACCCCACTTCTCACTAGGAACCTTATTTCTCTTGCCCTTCCACTCCCTTAGCATTTTAATTTTGGAAGCTTCCTCAAGTTTCTTGATGACAAGATCACTATTAATTTTTTCACCCTTCATGTCCCTCTTCAACTCCCCGTTTTGTGTGTTCTCATGTACCGATACCCGGAAGCCACGACGCTGGAACCAGTCTCCGAGGGGATTTGAAGTTTTCTCGTTTTTTGTGTTATCAAGGTCATACAAGCGAACATATTTATTTTTACATTCCTTTTCATTAATACAAATACCATACAGATGTTTCATATGACTATTCAACCCCTCCAGTATGGTCAGGCAGACCTTGGCGCAGTTGCGGCCCTCGGTGGAGAGGACTTGATACTTCTGTTCTTTGCCATCAACAATTTTTGTCTCTTCCTTTTCCCACTCTGTTACAGGCTTACATCCACTGTATTTATTCACGTACGCGTGTGAGAGTTGCTCGGTGAATTTTTCCATGCCGCGCCTGAGTGCGTCGAGGAGCAGCGGGTTGTGGAAGTCGTAAAAGTTGGAGGGGGAGAGGGAGGAGATGGATTCATTTAATTCGGTGAGGTGTCGAGTAGAATAATGGTCAAAAGCATATATACGTTTATCAGGAGATTTATTATTTTCGTCCACATTAATTTTTATTAGGTAGTCCAGTAAAGTGTCCAGTCGGACGTTAACGCTTCGTACCAATTGAGACTCCTTTGTTGGTGCTGGCGGCCTAGATACATCTGGACTTTGAATGCTTACTTGGTTCTGAATATATTGTAGGAGAGAGTCTTGGAAATCCTTGAGATCGGAGACCATGGTCTTGAAATCCTCCTTGGTTGGCGGCTTGCTCAGCTTCTCAGGAGAAACAAGAGTTTTGATTTCTTCAAGCGTTGCTTTATTACCGTTCATTTTCCTAAGTAAACCTTTAACACCAATTTGTTTGTCCAGTTTAATAATCCCTCTCACCTCCGCCAATTTTTGCTCAACCAGCGTATGCAGCGCCTGCAGGTCCGCGACGTGCTGCTCGGCGAAGAGGGAGCGGACGGATTTTGTAATGGTTTCGTGGGCTGTTTTGGTAACAGATTCGAGGGCATTAATAGCGTCTTGGATATGTGTATTGGCGTAGTTGGTGGCAAAGTGAATCGATTCAAGCTTCTCGTTGAGTTGTCTTTTCAAGTCATTCATAAGCTCTGAGGCCTCACATTTCATTTTCTCGAAACTTATGTCATTACTGTCTTTGCCATTTTGAAGTTTCTCCAGCTTTGTCAGAATGTCTCTAAGTTTTTCAACCGCCTGTGGAATTTTGCCGCTATTTCCCTGCGGTGCTAACAAATCATTAAGATAGTTAATTCTTGCCCCAACGATTTTAAATGCCTCCTCGATCTTCTGACCATGACTATCATTACTTCCGTTTTTGAATTCGGTCTCGATTGAATTCGAACTTGCTATAGCTTCCTGTAAACTGACTTTGATGGTAGATGTTGTGAGGAAGGACTGCAGTTCAGAGGCGAATTTCTGGGACATACCATAAAGTGAAGATATCAGGGCTTTAACTGCGAATTGGAGAAAGTAATTGCCATCGTCGGAGTCTTGAATACCCAAAACCTTTGCCTCAATGGCTTTGGCTATATCCGCTGCAAACGTAAGGCTTCCATCAACTTCCCCTTCCTTAATTTTTTGATTGAGTTTTCCAGCAAATGATTCGCAGGCCTCTTTGACCTGACCAATTTTTTCAATGCCATCTTGGTTGATGTTTGTGATGGATGTGAATGCGTCGCCAATTTGTTGCTGAATGTTTTCCACAATTGCGCTTGCGATCTGTTTAATTGTTGGTTCGTCAAATGCATTATTACCTTCGTTTAATTTCCCATCCAGAGTATTCTCACTGAGTTTGCTTTTAATATACCCAACGTACTCCCCAAGCCAATGCTGAACCACAGCATGACTCATCGAAATGTCTTTAATCCACTCCTCCACCTTCTTGGTAAACGTATCTTTATTGAACTTCCAACCATAAGTTTTCATGCCCTCTATAATCTTCTGAAGCGCTCCACGATCTCGTACCTTATCATTATTAATCTTTTTAAGAGCTTCCGTAACGGTACTTTTGAGAGTGTTCCAATTGCCATTTAGATTGTCATCCTTTTGCCCATTGTTCTCCCCAACCTTTCCTTTCAAGATCCCGAATTCCGTCTTAGCAAAGCTGACTAAGCTAGCAATCTCCTGCTTTTTGTTGAACAATATTTTGTAAGCATCGATGATTTCCTTCTTCAATTGCCCGAAACACCATGTTATACCATCTATAGATTTCCCATCAAACTCATTATTCATGAAGTTCTGCGCAGTCTCCAAAGACGCTGTGATACCACTAAAATGCAGTGTTTTAGCGTTATTCAGATCATATAATGCATTATACATTTTAGAGAACTGGACGTGTAGGCTATAATCTACAGTTTTCACCTGCCCCTCCAGCTCCTTGCTGTCCGCCGACCCCTTCAGCACCTGCACGGCGCTTTTCACAGGCTCTATCTTATGCATCAATTTATCACGCAACACGGGATCTAAGACATTAACGTTATGAGTTTCAATACGTTGAAGCTCCTTTTCAAGGATGTCTGTAACAGCATTCCAATTCTTCAACTGCGCTTGAAGGGTGTCAGATTTTTTATCACATACATCTTTTTTGTAATGTCCGTTTATATCGGCGCTAAGCATGAATAATCCTTCAGTCACATTCTTGATTTTTTCGTCCACCTGCTCACCATGTTTTTTCAACCACTCACTTACCTCAGACACGGCGGCCGGGAAGGCCTGACGGCCTTTACCTACATTATCATGTAAATCACTAATAACTTTATTAATGTTTTCAGTGTCTTTAACATCATATGTTGCAACGTTATCATCATTTTTCACACTCTCAAGAACACCATGAAGGAAAGACATCACCCCGTCACACAGCCTGTCAAGGTCCGAGTACACAATTCCTTCTCCGGTGTAATTACCATTACTGTAGCCGAGAAATTTTTCGAGGCCTGTACAAAGGTTATTTAATAATGTTGTTGAAGGATTATTTTAGGTGCATTTTCAGGGTGATTTGGGGGAATTTGGAGAAAGGCGATTTTAGGTGGAGGAGGCAGCGAGGGAGGTGGGTGGACAGGGTGAGGGAAGTGAAGGGGCGAAAGAGGGCGATGAAGCAGGAAGATGGGTTGAGAGAGGGGATTTCGGAGGTGGAGGGGGAAAGTGGAAAATGAGGATTTGGGTGAAGGACGCCGACGGAGGAGGTGATGGAGGAGGGAGGCAGGGAGCGAAGCGACCAGTGAAGGAGGGAGGTGAGAAGGTGAGTGGGTGGTTGAGTGGTTGAGTGGGTGGTTGAGTGGTTGAGTGGGTGGTTGAGTGGTTGAGTGGGTGGGTGAGTGAGTGGGTGGGTGAGTGGGTGGTTGAGTGGTTGAGTGGTTGAGTGGGTGGTTGAGTGAGTGGGTGAGTGGGTGGTTGAGTGAGTGGTTGGGTGGGTGGGTGAGTGAGTGGTTGGGTGGGTGAGTATGTGGGTGAGTGAGTGGGTGAGTGAGTAGGTGGGTGAGTGAGTGGGTGTGTGAGTGGTTGAGTGGTTGAGTGGTTGAGTTGGTGGGTGGGTGAGTGGTTGAGTGGTTGAGTTGGTGAGTGGGTGGGTGGTTGAGTGGGTGAGTGGGTGGGTGGGTGATACACAGATCACACGTGAAGGCACGATTATGGTGAGAAGTACTTGACGTTGGCGAGTGCCCTGACGCGTGCGGCGGCGAGTAGCGACTGTGCGGCGATGCGGTGGCTTGCGGGTGAGCGCAGGTGGGAGCGTATGCGGAGCACGTCGAGGCGGACGACGGCGATGTGCAGCAGGTAGAGCAAAGAGAGGGACCAGAGGGCTACGAGAGTCCATATGAATTTCTTTCTTACTGCTAAGAAGAAATCATCGATTGCGGTGAGGAAGTCTCCCAGTAATTTGGAATTTAATATATCATCAAGGGCTTTACAGAAATTGTTACACTTCTTCGTGCGCCTGTAGGCATCTTCACTATACGTGAACCCGTACTCATAAAGAAGAGGCAAAACGCCTCGACACTTTGTAATTGAGCCGCAACCACAGGGATTGCTGCCGTGCTTACCCACTCGGCAGTCATTACTGTTAAGGCATCCTCCGCAACCCGAGTCATAACATGATATGCCACAGAATGCTTTCTTAATTTGCTCGAGAAATGTCTGAATTTGTGGACAAACGTGGACCAACCATATAAGATATTTACCTGCGTGTTTTGGTGATAACGTGGTGTAAGCAGTAGAGTTGAGTGGTTGTATGAAACTGCCGCAATTTTGGTCATTACAACCAAGTAGGTATTTGAGATCACGCTCGTTGTCATCAGGATCATGTTGATCATGAGACGAGCGCTTATACAGATTGCAACACGGATCGAGAAGTGCCACGGCATCAGTATATTCACAGGACACAGTATTTTGTATTTCTTTACAAATGGCATTTTGCATAGGATCTGATGGTTGGCCAATCGACGACATTGTCTTCCACTTATTTGTAAGTTGATAATAAAACGAAAACACGTCAGCAAACGTTTTAGGCGTGCCACCAACAAGGCATGAAAGATATGAATAAAGTTCGCGGAAAATGCCATTTTTGCCTAGCATTTTGCTTAGCACGTTGCATAGCTCCTTGCCTGTGCGTTTGGTTCCTGAGAAAGCCCTGAAGCCGAGTGGCGTTAAACATGGCATCTTACTTGAACCGGTGGAGCACGACGTACATTTGGCTTTGCAGCCCACTGAACCCAGCTGATGAGGCAAGTGACCGGGAAGAGTGTCAGTGAAGTAGGACATTAATGGCGATGTAGGTTGGCACTCAGGTTCGGGCGTTATATGCTTTTCGCATTGCCAATTGGGTGACGGTACACCTTTGCCGTACTGGCATTGTTCCCAGCCATTGTACCTAGCGCCGATCGTGCATTGGGTATGTAAAATTGTAGCACAGGGAACACTCTGCGGAGGATGTCGAGAAGCATGTCGAGACAATCGTCGCCATTCTCAGGATATTTCATTTGCAGAACGTTACTACAATAGTCACTGGCATACGTGGTTTGGGCATCACCATAACCAACAATGGTGTTGAGCAGGTCATGGGATATGTATGTGACATCTTTTAGAAGAGTAACTAAATTCATGTATGAAAAGGCAGATGGATACGCATCAATCGACAATTGGGTTACGGGGATTTTGTCATACGGTTCATCATTAAGCCCATTGGGCTTATCAAATTTCGTCTTAATAGCATCAAGCAGTCTGCCATATGCACGGTTAAATCTGACGCCACTAAGCCATATAAGCATATCAAAAATACTACACGGTGATTTAGGCGCAGGGTGAATAGTCAAGTGACATACTTTATTGTATTCTGTAAGGTGACGGTAAAGACACGTTAGGAGGTTCATGACGTTGAAGTTTTCGTTGGTTCTATTTGGCTTACAAGTTTGAAGGTGTTTATTCATGGCGGCGTCTGGGATTACTGCCTTAAGAAGCTCTCGGAGAATCTTCTCACCCGTCATGCTCGTCTTACATTGGGAGTCACCTTCCTTGGAGTCTTCTTTTTTGGCGACCAGAAATCCGCAACGCTGTAGGAATTGGCCGAGGGGATTTTCCTTGTCGCCATTTGTCTCACAGAGCGTTTTGTTCTTCCAAGAATATTTGGAAGGATCTTCGCAGTTTGTATAAATCTCATTCACATCGCGGCTTATAGTTCTCAAGGCTGTCAGTAAAACCTTAGCACACCTTGCTTCATCACCCTCACTGAGGCCACTCCACTTGAGTCCGCTGTACCTGTTCACGTACTGTTTGCCCAGTTCGTCCGCCAGTCGCTTCGCTCCAGCGGTGAGCGCGTCGAGCAGCTCAGGGTGCTGGTGGCCGTTGAACTGCTTGGGGGTTAGCAGTGAAAGCGCATCGTTAAGTGCGGCTAGGTCAGAAGTAAACGTGTGGTCGAAGTGATACAATTTATCTTTGTGAGAGTTTTTTAGGTTAGTGAGTAAAGTGTCCAGTTGCTGTTTGAGGCGGTCGACTTGGGGGGAGTGGGACTGGGAGGAGGTGTAGAGAAGGATTTCATCGAGATACCATTGCAGAGTACCGGAAAAATCCGTGAATTTCTTGTGATATTGTGAACTTTCAGAAACCGTCCGATTAGCTGTTTCCTGCAAATCTTGTAGCTTGTTATTCGTAGTGAGAGTTCCAATCTTGGGAAACGCTCCGCCGTAAATTTTAGGCATAAGGCCTTTAAGGCCTGTTTTTTTGTCGGTTTCTATTATTTTTTCTATATAAGATTTTTGTTGCTCGACGAGAGTTTTGAGGGCATTTAGGTCTGCGATGCGTTCGGTTGTGAAGAGTTTTCTCACCTCGGAGGTGAGGGTTTTGAAAGCATCTTCGGTAATATGGGCGACATTATTTTTGAGATCTTCTATGGCTTCTTTCAGCTCTTTTCGGGTTTTATTGTATGCATCTACTAAGTCGCTGATGGACTTTGTCAATGCTCTCTTAGCGTCGTCCACTATATCGGTGATATTTTCCATTTGCTTGTAGAGTCGCTTTCTCAACTCCTCAATCAGACCATCCGCTTCCTTTCTCCTCTCATGAACCTTGCCTCCTTCTGAATCTTTTCTAACATCATCCAGTTTCTGAATAACGTTCTGAATATCATCCAAATTATAAACCATCGAGCCCTCAACGCTCTCATTTTTCAAAAGCCCACCAAGCTCATAAATTCTCCTCTTCGCTTCCGCCAATGCTGTCTCAATTTTCTCACCTGGACTCTTTTGGTTGTCTTCAAATTGCTCTTTTATGTTCTCCACCTTCTTTATAGCCGGCTCCAGGTAAAGGCCAATCATTGACGCTCTAGAGAACGATCCGAGAGTTTTCCATGTTTGCTTAGCGGCGAAGTGGAGAGCGGGGAGGGTGGCTCGAATCGCGAACTCGAGATAGTGTTTATGAGCCTTATCCTTGTCTAATCTGTCTATTCCATCTTCTTTCTCAATCGCCGTGGCTACCTTTTCAGCATCAATATGCTTTTTTTCTTTCATCTTCTCTCCAAGCTCCTTGGCAAATGATTCCAGACCGTTTCTTACAGCGTCGATATATCCTTGAACAGTGCCGTTTTTCTCGATATGTTTCGTGGCAGCTTCACAGCCTGGATTAATGATTTTGGCTGTTTCTAGTGCTCCAGTAATGCACTTCTTAATTGCATTACGCAATGACGGATCAATTTCAAAGTTGCCAGTCAGCTCAGTACTCTTACCCTTAATATACCTCTGAAGCCTACCATTAACAACAGTATTATCATTCAGGATATCGTCCAACCACACATACAAAACGTTTTCCTTAAACGTCTGCTCCTGTTTGAAAACATCCGCATACTCCTTCATTCCTGAAACAATCTTATTTACGCCGGAGCTAGTCCATATTGATCCTTCACCTTTAATGTCCTTAACAAGTCTCTTGACCCTCTTTTCAAGCTCCTTCCAATTTTTGTCTATGCTCTCACTGTTAGTGTCCTGAACACCTTGTTTCAAGTTCGCAAAGCTCTCCTGAGCCTTTGTAACTAAATCAGTAAGTGTCACTTTGGTAGTGTATAATTGTTCATAAATGGTAGTAATTTCCTGCTTAATGTCTTCGAACTTCCCTAAAATTACATTTCGGTAAGTCCCGTCACCATTCCCTAACCAACCCTCAAGAAGCTCTTTTGCATCCTTAATCGTTTCTTTAACCCTCTCCAGGTGACCATCTTTAGTTATACTCACGTTTCTAATACCCTTCCATATTTTCTCGAATTCTTCCGTCAACTGCTCCTCAACCCTTCTCGCTTCTTCAGCAATCTCCGATTGGATATACTCCTCTTGTTTTAATAATTCGTCATCAACAGCCTGCACCTGGGTCAGCAACTCAGGATTTCCCGCAGACCGAATCAGCACCTCAACCGACTTCTGTATCGGCTCTACTTTGTGCGCTATCTGTGTTCTAAGTGATGTGTCTAATTCACTAATATTATTAGTTTCAAGTTTGTGAAGGTCTCCTGTAATGTCTCCCAGCGTCTTGGTCCACTCGTACAGTTGGTCTTTAAGCGGCCGCTCTTGCTGACTTGCAATATGATGATAGTATTGTCCACCTGCATCAGATGATAATTTATCAATCAACTTACCTAATTCCGCAGTCACATTCTTGATTTTTTCGTCCACCTGCTCACCATGTTTTTTCAACCACTCACTTACCTCAGACACGGCGGCCGGGAAGGCCTGACGGCCTTTACCTACATTATCATGTAAATCACTAATAACTTTATTAATGTTTTCAGTGTCTTTAACATCATATTTAATAACGTTATCATCATCCTTCACACTCTCAAGAACACCATGAAGGAAAGACATCACCCCGTCGCACAGCCTGTCAAGGTCCGAGTACACAATTCCTTCTCCGGTGTAACTACCGTTACTGTGGCCGAGAAATTTTTCGAGGCCTGTGCAAAGGTTTTTAAGAATTTCTGCACAATTTCCATTTTTATTTTGTGATGATTTAACTTCCTCATGAAATTCAATAAGCTTATCAAGACTTTGAAGAGACTCCAACGAAGCCTCATGAGACTTCAATTTAGCCTGCTCAGTTTCAAGAGGATGAGAAAGACTGTAGGGAATGGAGATATTTTTATCATCCTTTAAATTATTTTTCTGCTTTTCATCCTTTTTATACTGCTTAATGTCCTCTTCACACTGTTTTACGCTGGCAGTAAGCTTCTTAATGTATTCATCAATTTCCTTTTCAGGCTCATCTAAAGCATTTTTAAGGCTATCAATTTGCCTTTTAAGCTCCTCATTTTTCTGTTGAAGTTCCTGATTTTTTTGCTGAATTTCCCTTTCAAGCTTCTCAATCTCAGGACCACTGCCGGACGGCGTCCCTTCGGACGCCTTCCTTTTTTCAGCAATTTCATTTTTAAGGCCATCAATTTTTGTTTCAATTTTATCAACTTCATTAAATTTATTTTGAAGATTTTTAAGATGATCATCACGGAATTTCACAGCTTCATTACAACACCCCTCACCTCCGCAAGATGCTCTAAAAAGCTTAATAAGCTGATTTACATTACTCTACAAGCCATTCAAAATTGCAATTTTTACATCATCACTCCCACCAATTAAACCCGAAAGCTGTCCAGCAAGCTGACCAAGAGAGATACGGCGGGCATCAATGTCCCCTAAGGCTTTTTCCCTGGCATCATCGGTAAGGTAATGAACGTCATTGTAATGGTCTTTATACTTGGATTGAAGGTGGATTAAGGGAGAGTTAAAAGAAGTAAAGGGGTGTTGTTAGGCACATTTTCAGGGCGATTTGGGGGAATTTGGGGAAAGGCGATTTTAGGTCAAGGAGGCAGCGAGGGAGCGAGGGAGGTGGGTGGACAGGGTGAGGGTGGTGAAGGGGCGAAAGAGGGCGACGAAGGAGGAAGATGGGTTGAGGTAAGGCGATATTGGGGGTCAAAGGAATTTTTTGGAAAATGAGGTTTCGGGTGAAGGACGCCGACGGAGGAGGTGAGGGAAGGGGTGAGGGAGGGAGCGAAGCGACCAGTGAAGGAGGGAGGTGAGTGGGTGGTTGAGTGGTGAGTGGGTGGGTGAGGATGTGGGTGGTTGAGTGGTGATGTGTGAGTGGTTGATGGGTGGCGGGTTGAGTGATTGAGTGGGCGAGTGAGTGAGTTAGGGTGAGTAGTGGTGATGAGTGAGTGGTGATGATGGTTGATGAGTATGTGGATGAAAGAGTGAGTGGGTGATTAGATGAGTGGGTGAGTGGTAGATGGGTGGTTGAGTGGGTGGTGAGTGGGTGGTGAGTAGGTGGGTGAGTGGGTGAGTGAGTGAGTGGGGTGATGGGTGAGTGGGCGGAGTGGGGGTGAGTGGGTGGGTGGTTGAGTGAGTGGTTGAGTGGGTGGTTGAGTGAGTGGTTGAGTGGGTGGTTGAGTGGTTGAGTGGGTGGGTGAGTGAGTGATACACAGATCACACGTGAAGGCACGATTATGGTGAGAAATACTTGACGTTGGCGAGTGCCTTGACGCGAGCGGCGGCGAGGAGTGACTGTGCGGCGATGCGGTGGCTTGAGGGTGATCTCAGGTGGGAGCGTATGCGGAGCACGTCGAGGCGGACGACGGCGATGTGCAGCAGGTAGAGCAAAGAGAGGGACCAGAGGGCTAATAAGAGGAAAGTGAAGGGTTCTCTGATTTTCCAGAGGAAATTGGGAATCGTCCTGTAAATTAATTCCGCAAGCGTTGCGCCTATTTTCTCGTCCTTGTTAATAACTTTTTCCAATGCGTTACAGAAATCTTTACATGTACGTTTCGTTTCGACACTTTTCGTGCCGCTTAGTTTATATATGCTCTGAAACACGAAGCCACATCTATACATTGTGGGACGCATAAGGTTGCAATGTACTATGGAATTACATGACCCATTGTGAGTAGAGGCTACAGACATCTTTGCGTCTTTAGCTTTGCAATCATCCTTACATTTACTAATTTTGCACTTAGACGTTGCGGAGTCGCAGTTTTTGCAACATTCCTCGTGCAATTTTTCAAGCAACTCCAGGAATGACTCTGTCAAGTAAACAATCCATGAGACATATTTATCATTGTTCTTAGCAGCAAAAATGCCGCACCGATAGTAGCACAATGGCTGCACATATGGACCACATGGATAGGCTGGATGTGACTCTCCATTATACTTGCAGTCCACAAGGGAATGGAGATCACCTTTCAGATGTGGCATATTATCGCCGGAGCCATGATCGTTGCTCTTTAATATTGCACTAATGTCCAACCGTGCGTTGGTGCGGTTGAAATTAGCTTCGTTGATGGCGTTATCGAAGGCCTGCTTTGCAGTCTTATTCCACCCATTGACTAGATTAAAGTAGAAACCGAACATGTCATCTAACGTTTTGGGAGCACTAGGCAGCAGACAGTTCAGGAGGCTGCAGAGTCTACTGAAAGCAGACCATTCGCCACTGCAAACATCGAAAAGCGCTTCTCTTATATGCCTACCAGTTTGCCTATGCGATGCCATGTGACTAATATCTGAGAAACCCATCGGCGTTTTACATGGTAAGTTAAAGTGCGGTTTTACTGAACACTCAAGTTTGCCTCTCTCAGACTTGAGGCTGTGAGGTAGGAAGCCCTGAAGGCCATCCTCGAGGAACGATTGCAAAGGTGATTTCACACCGCAACTAACACTTTGGTTGCACTTTTGGTTACATGTTTGCTTATGTGTTTGGTTGGCAATTTGGTCACCTGATTGGTTGGGACATTGGAGGGTATTACACTTCCATGCTGTACCACCAATATCGTGACCATACCAACAGTCTGACCAACCACTAAGCTTACTGTCATGCATACATTGTCTATACAGGAAATAAAGTTGGTCGTGAAGGCGTTTTACGATCTCAAATAGCATACATATTAAGCTGTTCATGTCAGAAGGATACGAGAATTTATCTTCGTTAGTGTTGAAGTCGACGGCGTAGATGCCACCTGCGTGGCCGTGGCCAAGTATCGAAGTGAGTACTGAGTGGGCGTGTGAACATGCTTCTGCAAGTGCTTCATACAGTTTTGGAACTGTGATCTTCTCTTTGTACGCATCCAGCGATTCTTCATTTTCGTCTTTGAGAGTGATACGGCTTTCGTCAGTGTCGCCGTTGTCGACATCGACAGACAGACTCTCATCGCCAGTGTCCGTGTCCTGCTCCTCTGGCTTATCAAGCAGGCTGCCAAAACCGTTAAGTGACAAGTCGTCATATACGGGATTATATGGTAAGCCTGCCAACCACAGAAGCATTTGGTACACGGAGGATGGATATGTCTTGGACTGTAATGTGGAGTAGTGGCAAACACGGTAGTAGATGAGAAGATTGTCGCAGATATGTTTGAGAGTGCTAATGACGTTGTATTCGTCACGTTCGGTTATAGTTGGAATGGTAAGTTTTGCAAAAATTTCATTACCGTTCATATATTTAGAACATCTCAACTCGTCGTCCTGCACGTCTTCCCTGGATGGAACTCCGTAACCGAAACGCTTCAGACATAAACCGAGATCATTGATGCTTCCATTGCCATTCTTAAGGCATATCTTTCTATTCTTCCAATTCGTCTCACATTGATGCTTGAGCTCATTAAGATCATGACTAAATATCTCCAGTATGGTCAGGCAGACCTTGGCGCAGCTGCGGCCCTCGGTGGAGAGGACTTTGTAATTTTGCTTGGTTTCGGAATTATATTTATCTTCTTCCCACGTTATTGTTTTACCGCAGTATTTGTTCACGTACGCGTGGGAGAGTTGCTCGGTGAATTTTTCCATGCCGGCCTTGAGGGCGTCGAGGAGCAGCGGGTTGTGGAAGCCGTGGAAGTGGGAGGGGGAAAGTTTATGGAGAGACGCATTAAGCGCATCTAAATATGATGTAGAGATGTGATCGAAAGTGTATTTATTATCATCATGATGAGCAACATATTTTATCAAGCGGTCGAACGCATCTTTAATGTCTCCGACCTGAAGTGACTGCTCAGTGGGCTTGACAATGGCACTTGGATTTCTCGCTTGACCACCGATGTAATCCAAAATAATGTCTGAATATTCTCTGAATTTGTCGGATACGTTTTTTAATTTTGTCCGATCTTCTGTGTTTCCTTGAGTTTTCACAGCTGGCGCAGGAGACGGAGTTAACGCACTGCCAAGAGCATTAATTCGGCTACCCGCTTTATCATACATCCACTTTAAAAGACCTTTCACGCCATTGCTTTTATCATGTTTAATGATCTTATCGATCTCTTTTCCTGCTCCTCTACCAGCGTTTTGAGCGCCGCCAGGTCGGCTTTGTGGCCCTGGGCGAAGAGAGCGCGGACCTCGGCGGTGAGGGTGGAGAAAGCATCCCGAACAACTTTATCAATTTCATCAATGGCATGTGTTAAAGCTTCATCCGCATCTCTCGTATTCCATTCGATGACATGAAGTTTGTATTTAATTTCTGTTTTTAGCACATCCATTTTGTCGTCGGCTTCCTTGGTCTTATCATGGATTGTGCCGTCTTGTTCATCCTTTTTAATGTTATGAAGATTACCAAGTTCCTCTTGAATCTCGTTTAGCTTCTTCTGAATTGAGCCATCTTGGCCTACCTTTACACCTAACAACCCATCAAGCGCTTCAATTTCATCTTTCACCTTTGCCAGCGCATCATCAATTTTTTTGCCGTAATTAGTTGTTCCGTTAATTGTTTCAGCTTTTGTGCCGTCAAAATATTTTTTGATGTTGTCGACATTGTTGCCTATTTGCGTCAAGTTGGCGATGTGGGAGTCCTTTGCGAACCGCTTAAGCTCCTCGGCGACTTGCATGAAGTTTTTAATGATAGAGTTAGCAATGGCCTTAACGGCGGCTGTAAGATATTGCCTGTAATTGTTCGTTACTCCTTTCAACCCTAACTTCTCCTCAATCGCTTGGACTGCCGATCCAATTGATGAGTCCCTATCGTTTGTAAGTTCACTTTCGATCCTGGCCGCAAAAGCGCTCAATTGCTCATCAATGTTATTCACCTTGGTATTTTTCAGCGTAGACACGGCAGCGGTTTTAACATCTCCGTGAATGAACGCTGGGAGTTCTGCTATAATGGCTTGTCGCACAGTCTTAGATTTATCTGAACCAACTTCTGCGCTAAGCTTACCATTGTTTTGGTTGAATGTAACGTAATTCTTAATTTTACTACCCACAATACCTTCATCTGCATCGTTCACTATCTCATCAATCCACTTTTGCAAAACCTTACTAAAAGCCTCATTCTCAAAGCCATTGGCGTATGCCTCAATTCCCTCAACAATCTGCTTTAGACCACTATTATTTTGAACTTGAACTAAACCTTCACCTGGTTCCCCCTTTAATCTGTCCAACAAGTTTCTTAATCTCGATCTTAAGCAAACCCCAACCACCGTATACAGTATCTCCAAATGAGATGCTTTCAGTTCCGATTCCTATTTTTATCTGATAAACATGCTCCTGAGCGTCCATGACAAGCCCGTCCAGGTAATTCTTCTTCTGTTTCAACGAATCATAAGCATTTATTATTGCATCCTTGATCGCAGTAAAGCAGCCTAATATTTTGCTTCTATACTCCCAGTCAAAACCATTGTCCATAAAATGCTGCGCATCTTTTATCGCTTTTTTAATTATGTCAAACTTCTCCCTTTTCTCAATTCTTAGATTCCCAACGGATGTTCTAACTTTTTGTTCCTGTTTCCAGAGCGCATCATCCACCTCCTTCACCTTGCTCTTAAGCCCCTCCTCCTTAGCCGCCCCAAGCAGCACCTCCACCGATTTCTGAATTGGTTCTATTTTGTGCATTATACGTGTGCTAAGTGATTTATCCAAGTCATTAATCTGTTGTGTTTCTATTATTGTGAGCTCAGTAGAAATCCCTTGGAGAGTCTTAGTCCACTCGTGCAGCTGACCATTTAAGTCGGTCTGGTCGTAGGCTTGATTGTAGTATTTACCTGAAGGAGATGACAAATTACCAATCAACTCACCTAATTTATCCTTCACTCCTCCCGTTGCCTTCTCCACCTGCGCACCATGTTTTTTCAACCACTCACTTACCTTATCCACGGCCTCCGGGAAGGCCTGACGGCCTTGACCTACATTATTATGTAAAATGCCAACAAGCTTATCAATATTAGGATCATGATTTTTATCATACATTGTAACACTCTCATCATCTTTTACAGTGTCAAGAACTCCATGAAGGAAAGACATCACCCCGTCGCAGAGCCTGTCAAGGTCCGAGTACACGATGCCGGAGCCGGTGTAATTACCATTCTGGAAGCCGAGAAATTTTTCGAGGCCTGTGCAGAGGTTATTTAATAATGTTGTCGAAGGATTATTTTAGGCACATTTCAGGGCGATTTGGGGGAATTTGGGGAAAGGCGATTTTAGGTCAAGGAGGCAGAGGGGGAGGTGGGTGGACAGGGTGAGGGAGGTGAGGAGGCGAAAGAGGGCGATGAAGGAGGGAGATGGGTGGAGGTAAGGTGATTTAGGGGGTGGAGGGGGAAAGTGGAAAATGAGGATTTGGGTGAAGGACGCCGACGGAGGAGGTGATGGAGGGGGTGATGAAGGAGGGATCGAAGCGACCAGTGAAGGAGGAGGTGAGTGGGTGGGTGAGTGAGTGGGTGAGTGAGTGAGTGGGTGAGTGGTTGAGTGGGTGGTTGAGTGGTTGAGTGGGTGGTTGAGTGGTTGAGTGGGTGGTTGAGTGGGTGGTTGAGTGGTTGAGTGGGTGGTTGAGTGGGTGAGTGGGTGAGTGGTTGAGTTGGTGGGTGAGTGGGTGAGTGAGTGGGTGAGTGAGTGGGTGGGTGGTTGAGTGGTTGAGTGGGTGGGTGGTTGAGTGGGTGAGTGGGTGATTAGGTGGGTGGGTGGTTGAGTGGTTGAGTGAGTTAGGTGAGTGGGTGGGTGAGTTAGGTGAGTGGGTGATTAGGTGAGTATGTGGGTGAGTGGTTGAGTGGTTGAGTGGGTGGGTGGTTGAGTGGGTGAGTGGGTGAGTGGTTGAGTGGGTGATTAGGTGGTTGAGTGAGTGTGTGGGTGAGTGGTTGAGTGGGTGGTTGAGTGGGTGTGTGAGTGGGTGGTTGAGTGGGTGATTAGGTGAGTATGTGGGTGAGTGGTTGAGTGGGTGATTAGGTGAGTATGTGGGTGAGTGGTTGAGTGGTTGAGTGGGTGAGTGGTTGAGTGGGTGGGTGAGTGGGTGGTTGAGTGGTTGAGTGGGTGAGTAGGTGGTTAGGTGAGTGGTTGAGTGGTTGAGTGGGTGAGTGGGTGAGTGGTTGAGTGGTTGAGTGGTTGAGTGGGTGGGTGGTTGAGTGGTTGAGTGGGTGAGTGGTTGAGTGGGTGATACACAGATCACACGTGAAGGCACGATTATGGTGAGAAGTACTTGACGTTGGCGAGTGCCTTGACGCGTGCGGCGGCGAGTAGCGACTGTGCGGCGATGCGGTGGCTTGAGGGTGAGCGCAGGTGGGAGCGTATCCTCAGGACGTCGAGGCGGACGACGGTGATGTGCAGCAGGTACAGCAGAGAGAGGGACCAGAGGGTTAACAATATCAGGGAGAATGGCTCTCTGATTTTCCAGATGAAATTGTCGATTGCATGGATGAGTTTAACAAGAACAGATTTTTCATTTAGCACTGTTTTTAATAGTGTACAAAAATCGTTACATGTGCGTTTCAATGGCATTCCATTCATGCCAGCGAGGTCTAACGTGTTTTCAAAATATAGACCGTATTTGCACAATGTTGGCAGTGTGAATGTGCAATTTACAATTGAATGACAGGATTCATCATGCCTCGATTCAGGGCTAATCGGCCACTTTGTAGCTTCGCAATTGCTAATGCATTTACTTTTACGGCACCTTGGTTTTTCACCGCCACATCTACTGTTACACTCATCATACAACATGCTTAGCAGCTTATAGAATGTCTCTGTTAAATAGACAATCCATGATAAATATTTGGCTGCGTAAGTCTCTGAATATATGCCTCGGATGTCATGGCACAGTGATCTCAAGTACGGACCACATGGGTGTGACGCAGCGTCCCCTGTTGTACCGGTGCATTTAACAAGAGCGTGCAGATCACCGGTGAGGTGTGGCATACAATTACCAGATTTATGATCGCTGCTTCTGAATATTGGAGCAATGTCCAGGCTTGTACCTTCATTTTCGAAATTGGCACTGATCACGGCTTTGTTGAAGCCATCCCTACGATGGGTACCGCTACCACTCCATCCATGGATGAAGGAATAGTAGAACCCAAACATCTCTCCTAATGTTCCAGGTGGACGATTTACAAGGCATACAAGGTAGCCGCATAATCTGCTGAGCGGCTTGCTAGCATCGCCGCAGAAATCGTAGAGCACATCTCTGAGATACGCGCCGTTACGTGTATGAGATGCTGTCGTGGCAAGCTCACCGAAACCCATAGGCGTCTTACAAGGAAGGCCTCTGTGATTTGACACTGTGCAGGTTAGCTTGCACCCTGGAGTGGTGAATTGATGCGGCAAAAAGCCTTGTAGGCCGTCTTCAAGGAACGATTGAAGCGGCGACTTGAGGCCACAGTCAGGATGTTGTTTGCACTTTTGGTTACATGTTTGGTCACACGTTTGGTCAGGGCATTGCTTATCGTTGCACTGCCACGATGACCCAGCTACATTTTTGCCGTAATGGCAGTCACGCCATCCACTGCATTTACTTGTGACACAACATTGTCTGTAGAGGAAACACAATTGTTGTTGAAGCCTACACAGTATATCTATAAGCATGTCCATGCACGCAGCAGGGTTGGTGGGATAAATTAAATTGCGGGAGTTGTTGGCGTACTCGCAGGCATAACGGCCGTCGGAATGTCCGTAGCCCTGGATTGCGGTGAGTGTTTTTTCGGCTTGACGGCACACTGCGGTGAGTGTGCCTGCCAGTGTGTTAGGTCTCAGCGTTGAGTTTGGTATCATTCTTAAGACGTCGTGTGGAGCTGTCACGGCCAATCCTTTCTCTGCGTCGCTAAACAACCCGTTGAAGGCACTCACGACTGGCTGACACATCGGATTGTACCGGAGGCCGACCAGCCATTGCAGCATGTCGTTTACGCTAGACGGTGACTTAGGTGAAATTGGAATAATTAAGTGGCTAGTTTTATTATATTGAATGAGGTGATCGAACAGACAGTCAAGGATGTCCATTACGGGGAACCCAGTATCTTTCTTTGATATGCATTGCTGAAGATGTAAATTATCTTGCGATTTGTCAATTGGCGCGTCAAGTAAGTTGGTAATTGCGTCACTGTTCTTCTCCTTGTTCAACTCGCCGTTTTGCTTGTCTGGAGAATTCGACACCGTGAAGCCTCGTTTATCAAGCCACTGGCCGAGAGGGTTGGCAATTTGTTTTCTGTCCGACATTTCAAGCAAACATATTTTCTTGTCTTTGCAGTCACCATCGCAGTGCTCTCTTAACCTGATCAAATCGTGACATACGGTCTTCAAAAGCGTGAAATATATTTTTGCGTATTTGTCGGAATGCTCTGATTTCCACGGCTCAGCATCATACACCGACACGTACGCCTTTTCGAGTTCATCGTGGAAGTCTCTCAGTCCACTCTTGATAACGTCCGGCAGCGTGTTGCACGGACCCTCGAAATTTGTCGGAACTAAACTATGAAGTGCACTGCTAAGGTTACCAAGATTAATGGTGAGACTGTGAGTGAAGTGATTGGAGCTGTGAAGTTCATCGAGGAGAGTGTTGAGTTTGGATTGCACGGTGTCAAGTGCGTCGGCGTAAGGATGTTTATCGGTGTCTTTGATAATTACGGGAGGATTCTTCTTTGCGTTGCTGTCTTTATAGAGTCTCATGATCTCCGTGTCCAAATACCCCTTTAGTGGCCCGAAGAATTCCTTGAATTTTGTAGACAGCGTTTTGAAGAGTGTTGCTTTCTGCTCAGCTGTGTCAGCGGACTCACTTGCAAGATCTTTGAGCTTTTTAATGTTTTCGTCAGTCGTTGCATTATCGGTCATTTTGCCTTCAAAGGTTCTCATAAAGCCTTTGAAGCCCTCCCTCCGGTCGGTGTCGATGGCTGCTGGTAAAGGACCTAATTCGCTGCTGACCCTTTCGGAAAATTGGTTGAGCAGCAATTGGATGGAAGAGACGTACTGCTTACGTGCGTGAGTAGTTATATCGATTTGGGCAATTGTAACCTGGGAGCGGACGTAATCTGTAAGCGTGATCGTCGTTGATTCACGTAGATCGTTGGCTTGCTTTTCGAACGCATGAGCAGCCTTAGTGACTTCAGCAAGTTCGGTGCTGATCAGGTGCTGTATTTTATTTTTTATAACAATGAGGGATCCTTCAAGCTTATAATTCTTAAAATCCATCAATTTCCCTCTGAGATCCTTGCCGACGTTAGAGAATGAATTGGTAAGGGCGTTGAGATGTTCTTTGATATCGCTGGACAGATTGTCGAGGGCACCTTTTGTTTTATCTACGTTAAATGATAGCGATCTATGGTTAATTGCATGGACGGAATCGATGAAGATATTGCGTATATGTACACCGTAACCTATCATAAGATTCCTGACCTCTGCAGGATTGTCCTTTGATTTGAGGGCATCACCAAATGCGCCGGCAACTGCAGCCTTGAGGTCTTTTTCCATGGACCTGTCAAGCTCCGAGATACTTGCCTTCACGGACGTCAACGCCATTTTAATCTTACTGCCAGGCTCGTTTGGTCTTCCTTTGCCGGTCTCGTCGCCAAACATATTTTTTATTGTTTCAACTCGGCTTATAGCCAGCTCTAGGTTGGAGCCGAGGTGGTATGTTCCATCCTTGGTAGAGGTGAATGATTCAAGCGTTTTGGCAACACGCCTGGCGTTGGACTGAAGTGCGGCCAGAATAAATTGAACGGCGTGCGTTAAATGATATTCAACATGCTGTTTCCGATGGCTTTCTGCTACAACATCCTTATCGTTCTTAATCTGCTCCGCTATTCCGGAAGCGGTTATCTTTCCGCCGTTCTTAATCTGCTCACCAAGTTCCTTGGCAAAATTATCGCAAACCTCCTGAACGAATGCCACGTTTTTCGTGATGCTGTATGGGTGTTCAGCATCCACAGGTTGTTTAACCTTTTTAGGTTCCCAAAATTTGTCATTAAGCTTACTCTTTATCTCCTCTTTGATCCGTTTCGCGATCGGTTTCCTGAATTCGTCATCAATAGCGTCTTTACCTTGTTGCTTAACTTTCTCGTGCACAAAATGCGTCTTGTTATGGTCATAGCTGATATAGTACCCAATACGCTCAATAACAATCTCATTCTTCTCCAGAATTGTTTTTATCCAGCCTTGAACTGTACTCTCAAAACTCTCCTGAGTGAAAAACTGAGCATATTCCTTCACCTTTTGTTTAATTCCCTTAAGGCCATCATATTTCTTCGGCCCCGGCTCTTTGCCAATAACCTCACCAACAAGGCCCGTAATCTCCTGCTTAAGCTTTTCCCAACAAGCATCTATGCTCTCATCATTCCCCTCTAGTGGGCGCTCTCTGTTTCCAACGCCCTTTTTAATCTTTCCAAAGTGCCCACTCTTCAACTTCTCAACATACTCCTTGATCGCGCCTTCAATATAACCCTCCAATACCTTCAAATCCGTTTGAAGCACTTTGTCAAAACCTTTAACAAGCTCCTCACCCTTGGTAGCAGCAGCTTTCACATCACCCTTGAACCTATTTACGTTGTCATCTAGCGCAGCAAGAATATCTTCCAACTCCTTCTCTTTACCCAAAATCTCATCGTAATTAATTTTTCCGGGATCCTTTCTCTCGATTTCACCCGCCACTTTGCCGGTACCATCCACAAGTTTTGCTGCCTCCTCCTTCCAGTTCTCTAACTCCTTAATACGATTCTCAAGTATTACACCGATGCCTTCAATCTGAACCCTTATAGCAGCAACTTTCCATTTCAACTTCTCCACCAACTCATTTACCTGCGATGTGTTTACTGCATTCACACCTGTTTTTAAAAAGTCAAACGTCCCCCTTATTTGTTTCTCCATTTCATCTAGGTCCTTCTTCTCCTTTCCCCACAACGACAGGAGCCTCTTGCCTTCATGCGCAATGTTCTTTATTGCCCTATCAATTTTTGTTTTGCAATCAAAATTAAGGTCTGCTGTGTTTAAATGTGTGCTAGTCATATTAGTGATAAAAGTCTGGGCATTTGTCTTGCAGTCCCCCAACTTCATGTCCACTTGTCTCACAGCCTCTTCAATCTGATCTGCAGAAGAATTATTACTTAACACTGAACTCACCTCATCTCTAAATCTTCTCCCAACATCATATTGAAGCCTTGTTATAACACTTTTCACAGCATCATTCGACGCTGCCACCTTCTCATTATATGTATGTACTCCACTCGCCACCTCGGCTATCGCCGCCTTGTATTTAGTAATACCATTATCATTTGTGTCTTTAAGTAAGTTAAGTGCGCTAGTTAAAGTGCCTTTATGCTGGCCTAATTTAGGCTGAATGTTATCTAAAACACCATGAAGGAACGCCATCACCCCGTCACACAGCCTGTCAAGGTCGGAGTACACGATTCCCTCTCCGGTGTAACTCCCATTCTTGTAGCCGAGAAATTTTTCGAGGCCTGTGCAGAGGTTATTTAATAAAGTTGTTGAAGGATTATTTTAGGCACATTTTGAGGGCGATTTGGGGGAATTTGGAGAAAGGCGATTTTAGGTCAAGGAGGTAAGGGAGTGAGGGAGGTGGGTGGACAATGCGAGGGAAGTGAAGGGGCGAAATAGGGCGATGAGGGAGGAAGATGGGTTGAGGTAAGGCGGTTTAGGAGGAGGAGGGGGAAAGTGGAAAATGAGGATTTGGGTGAAGGACGCCGACGGAGGAGGTGATGGAGGGGTGAGGGAGGAGGGAGCGAAGCGACCAGTGAAGGAGAGAGGTGAGTGTTGAGTGGTTGAGTGGGTGGTTGAGTGGGTGGGTGGTTGAGTGGTTGAGTGGGTGAGTGGTTGAGTGGGTGGTTGAGTGGGTGGGTGAGTGGGTGAGTGGGTGAGTGGTTGAGTGGGTGGGTGAGTAGGTGAGTGAGTGGTTGAGTGAGCGAGTGAGTGAGTGAGTGGTTGAGTGAGTGGGTGGGTGGTTGAGTGGTTGAGTGGTTGAGTGAGTGAGTGGTTGAGTGAGTGGGTGGGTGGTTGAGTGATACACAGATCACACGTGAAGGCACGATTATGGTGAGAAGTACTTGACGTTGGCGAGTGCCTTGACGCGTGCGGCGGCGAGGAGGGACTGTGCGGCGATGCGGTGGCTTGAGGGTGATTTTAAGTGGGAGCGTATCCTCAGGACGTCGAGGCGGACGACGGTGATGTGCAGCAGGTACAGGAGCGACAGCGACCAGAGGGCTAGTAAGAGGTAAGTGAAGAAGTTGAGAAATATTGAAGGATTATTTTAGGCACATTTTCAGGGCGATTTGGGGGAATTTGGAGAAAGGCGATTTTAGGTGAAGGGGCAGTGAGGCAGCGAGGGAGGTGGGTGGACAAGGGAGGGATGTGAAGGGGCGAAAGAGGGCGATGAAGGGAGGAAGATGGGTGGAGGAGAGGGGATTTTAGCGGTGGAGGGGGAAAGTGGAAAATGAGGATTTGGGCGAAGGACGCCGACGGAGGAGGTGATGGAGGGGGTGAGGCAGGGAGCGAAGCGACCAATGAAGGAGGAGGTGAGTGGTTGAGTGGTTGAGTGGTTGAGTGGGTGAGTGAGTTGGTGGGTGAGTGGGTGGGTGAGTGGGTGAGTGGGTGGTTGAGTGGGTGAGTGAGTTGGTGGGTGAGTGGGTGGGTGAGTGGGTGAGTGGGTGGTTGAGTGGGTGGTTGAGTGGTTGAGTGAGTGGGTGGTTGAGTGGGTGAGTTGGTGTGTGGGTGAGTGGTTGGGTGGTTGAGTGGGTGAGTTGGTGAGTGGTTGAGTGGGTGGGTGGGTGATTGGTTGAGTGATACACAGATCACACGTGAAGGCACGATTATGGTGAGAAGTACTTGACGTTGGCGAGTGCCTTGACGCGTGCGGCGGCGAGGAGCGACTGGGCGGCGATGCGGTGGCTTGAGGGTGATCTCAGGTGGGAGCGTATCCTCAGGACGTCGAGGCGGACGACGGCGATGTGCAGCAGGTACAGGAGCGAGAGCGACCAGAGGGCTAGTAAGAGGTAGGAGAATTTCTCTCTTATCTTCCATATGAAATTGTCAATTTGTGTACGTAGTTCAACAAGCGCACATCCTTCACCAATGACTTTTTCCAAGGCGTTGCAAAAATCTTTGCATGAACGTTTCTTCCCCATGCCGTTGTCACCGCTTAGTTTGTAGGCACTCCAAAAGGAAAAGCCATATTTCGTTAACGTGGGCAGTGAATGCGGGCATTTGATGATTGAAGTGCAGTCGGACTTATGTTGTTGGTTCCCGATTTTGGGGGGCTGTTTATCCGTTGCAGAAGATTTCTGCGATTCATAGGCAGCCTTCACTGGACACTTTACAGCGCACCTTTTGTTATGGCATCTGGTGCCTGCTTTAGTGCAGTTGTTACAGCACTCTTCATATAATTTTTTTAGTAAATCATAAAATGTTTCTGTGATGTATACGATCCAAGACAAGTAAGTGCTTTTATTCCGGGATGAATACATGTTACAAACGTCGAAGCTCAGTGAGTCGAGGTAGTGACCGCAAGTGTCCTTCGAGTCGGAATTGCAATTCATAATGCTGAACAAATCACCATTTTCATGTTTGCCGATTTTATGATCACCGCTGACAAACAAAGTGGCAGGATTCAACTCAATATATTGCTGACCGAAGTTGGCTCCGGTGACGGCGGCATTAAATGCGGTCTGTTTATGTGCCGCACCCTTACCACTCCAGTCTGTTAGGTAACCCTGGAAGAACCCGAATATCTCTCCCAGATTTTGCGGTGGGCGACGCAAAAGGCAGTCAAACATACTACGGAGCTTATTGAGGTGAGACTCTGGACCACAGAATTCTCTCAAAGCTTCTTTAAGGTGACCGCCTTTATTAATATGCGACGCTGTAGTCGCAATATCGGTAAAGCCCATCGGAGTGAGACACGGCTTACCGAAGTGATCACGCACTGTACACGTTAGCTTACAGCCGGGAGAAGTAATTGTATGAGGGAGGAACCCCTGAAGTCCATCCTCTAAATAGGATTGAAGCGGTGATTTCACACCACAAGTTGGATGCTGGTCACACGTTTGGGTAACCAATTGGTTACCATTTTGGTTGGCACTTTGGTGTGTGTTTTGGTTAGGTCTCAGGTCGCAGTCTTGGTTGGCACACTGTTCTGCTTTGCACAGCCAACTGGAGCCACCGACGTACCTGCCGTAAGAGCAATCGGCCCAACCACCACGACTAGTACCATTCTGGCACTGGCTATATAAGAATCGGAATTGATAAAGCACTCGCTTCAATATATCTATAAGCATGTCTAAGCACGCTGATGGATTAGAAGGATAATTTAATTTGTCTAAGTTTGTGCGGAAATCGCAGGCGTAACGGCCACCTTCGTGGCCGTGGCCAAGAATATCTACTAGTGCAAGTTGTGAGCGTAAACAAACTTGGCCGAATGATGTGTTCAAGTGGCTAGCATTGAGATGTGAATTAATTGTGTTGTGCTTTCTGTCTAGATAGGTGACTGGTAATTCTGCTTTCTGCAATTTAGACTCTTCCTTCATATCTTCAAGCATTTTTGTGAAATGACTTTTTAGTTTCTCATACATCGGATTAAATCGAAGTCCAGACAGCCAACACATCATCTGGTAGATATTGGAAGGGGCTTTAGGTGAATCGATATGTATATGCTGGCACACGTCATAGTACTTTCGGAAAACATCGCGAAGGATGTCAACAAAATCGGTGAGAGTGATTTCACCAGCGGTTTGGTTACTGAACTGAAATTTCTGTGCAATCATCTCTCCTTTCCACTTCGTTAGGAAACCAATTTGGGAAGCACCGTTAAGATTTTTGCTAAGATACTTCTCATTAATTTGTGTGCCCTTGCACTCATCGTGGTTCCGCAGCTCACCGTTTTGCTTGCCGTAGTCAGACACTTCGAAGCCACGCCTCTTGAACCATTGCCCGAGGGGATTAGGACTTTGCTTTTTTGTTTTATCCTCCTCAGTTAAGCATATTTTCTTTTCATGCCATCTATTCTTACCATCAGGCTTACATTCATTTTGCAAATCAAAGAGATCTTTTCTCAGCCCCTCCATTAAGGTGAGCAAAACCTTCGACAACTTATTCTCATCGCCTGCATAATCTATCCATTTACGTCCGTCATACGCATTAACGTACGCGTGTTTCAACTCGCCGGTAACGCCAAGCATCCCTTTCTTCAGCGCGTCGAGCAATTCGGGATTCTGGTGGCCGGCGAATTTTTCGGCGGACAGGGAGTTGACTGCGTCGGTGAGTGCGGAGAGTTTTTGTTGGAAAGCATAGTCGAAGTTGTAGAGTTTTTCTTTTTGTAGGTGGAGGAGTAATTTCTCGACGGCCTTCTGAATTTCTGCAACTTTCTTGGACCCCTCACTCTCTACTTTCTCTCTCTTCCCCTTGCTCGGCGCCTTGACCTGTTCGGCGGTGTAGGAGAGGAGGGGGGAGAGGTACCACTGTAATCTCTGGGCAAAATCTGTGAACGTTCTCTGTTTTTCTACGGCATCTAGAGTAGGCAATATTTCATGCATCTTGCCCATAAAACCTTTGACGCCGTTTGTAATATCAGCGTCAATTATATCTTTGATCTTTTTGGCCTGGCGTTCGACGAGTTTGTGCAGCGCGGAGAGGTCGGCGAGTTTTTGGTCAGCAAATGATATCTTTATGGTAGAGGTCACCGTATCGAAAGCCTCTCTGACGGCTTTGTGTCCCTCGCGTTGGGCTTCAATCAATATCTCATGTGTGGCATTTATGCCGGTATCCAAATCCTCGTCAGCTTTCTCAACGATATAAATAATGTAATCGACACGGTTCTTAATTTCAGTTTTTAGCCGACTCATGAGCGTTTCAGTGTTTTCCCGAAATGTTTTTACATCTAGAGGCACCTTCTCAAGCTTGGCGACTATGTCCATCACCGCCTTTATGGCTTTTTGAATTCTGCCGACCTTGCCGGACATCTCTTCTTGTTTAATACTGTCAATGGCGTCCTTAATTTGCGTGAGGCCATTATTAGACTGACCCAGTGGAGTAGTCTGAAGCCCCTTCTCAAGAGTGTTTAACTCGTCCAGGACGCCGTCCTTCTGGGTGCCGACCTTATTGTTCCCCTTATTCTTATCAACGAAATTCGCAATGTCTTTCAATTGCGTGATGATGGTGGAGAAGAAACCGGAGAGTTCTTTTTTCTTTTCGATGACCTGACCATTATTACCGTTGTCAACACAGCCGTTGAAATCGGTAAGAGCCTCAGCTTTCACCTTTTTTATTGCATCATCAAGCAACTCTTTCTTTCCCTTACCCCCGTTCTTATATTCCGTAATGTTGTCCGTTTTTACGGTATATTTAGTACCTCCTGTCGTAGCACCAGCAGGCTTTTCAAGCCAATCTTCAAATTTTCTAACTTTCTCGATCTCATTATAAAGAGTTCCATTCAGTTTAATCTTGTCGTTGAATGATGAAAAGAGACTATCGAATTTTGCAGTTACATTGTATACAGCCTGGCTAACAGCTGCACCGAGCATACGACCATCGCTATTACTAGCGCCGCGTTGGGGATTATTATAGGATTGTAAATACTGTTGCAGCTCGCGAATAAGCTGACCCCTCACTGCATTTTCTATTACGCCACTAACATCATCTTTCAACCCCGTAAGCTGCTGCAATGCCTTTTCCACATCCGTATGCACCTTCGTTGCAACTCCTTCAATCTTCTCTTTGTACACCTTCTCTAAACCATCCAATGCCCGCGTGATTTTTTTCGACAAACCGTCAAGCCCACTATATGAGTCTCTGTAAGCCTCCAGAAGCTTAAAAGCCGCTTTGTACAAATCCACAGAGTTTTTAAGAATTACTGGAGTGTCATAGATGTTGTCTTTAACTTCAACCCGCTGAATGATCTCATTACACTGCCCAGCAGCCCTTTCACGCACTCCTTTTGCGCCTTCAATCCAATTCTGTAAATTCGTGACATACCCCTGCAGCTGATCACCTACCAATTTCAACTCCTCAGTTATTTTGTTCGCATCCCTTTTCATCTTGGATTCATCATTTAAGGCACCAGCATACGTATTATTGGGATCTAATTCCGTCATCGCACTGCTTATTTTATTAAAATACCCTTGAATAATCTCCCTATAATCATTGTCGAATTTACCCCAAAATTGCTGAGCGTCCCGTAGAAACGCTTTAATGTTATCGAGCTTATCTTTCTTAATGCCCCTCAGAGCATTGATCACCTTACCGATTTCGTTAAACCACTTATGCAACGTTTTCTCAACGCCTTTTCTTTCCTCATTCAAATACATATCAACAGCTTTAAGCTGCCTCTCAAGCGCCTTATCCCACGCACTTTTATTCAACATTCTAACAGCACCACCAATAGCATTCATCTCACTACGTAATTTATCTCTAAGATTAGGATCTAGTTTGTCAACATTAATATCTATAGTGTCTACAGTGTGCTGAATCTTCCCAATCGTCTCCTTCCACTCCCTCAGCTGCTCCTGCAGCTCCTGCCCCGATCGTCCCGCAACTTCCTTGTAGTAATCACCTACAGAACCATGAGACCCATCATGTAACTTACCTATAAGTGTAGATAATCCATCGGTCACTGCTCCAGTCTTGTTTCCAACTTCCTCATTATATTCCCCCAACCACACCTTCACCTTGGTGACAGACACCGAAAGGCCAACACGCCCGGAGCCAATTGAAGAAGTAAGAAGTTGAAGGACATTATGTAAATCATAATTATTATCTGTTAATTTAATATAATTATTGTATGTTATAACGCTCTCATCCTCCTTCACACTCTCAAGAACACCATGAAGGAAAGACATCACCCCGTCGCAGAGCCTGTCAAGGTCAGAGTACACGATGCCGGAGCCATCGTAGCCTTTGGAGTCAGAGTTGTACCCCAAAAATGTTTGGAGACCTGAACACAATTTATCAAGTAAATCATGTGGATTATTATGTTTAACAGTATTAACTTCATTACAATGTTGACACAGCGTTTGTAGACTGTTGAGAGACTTCATGGAAGCCTGATGAGAGTCAAGAGATTTTGCATCTTTTTCAGGGAAATTATTTTTTGCTTTTTGAAGCTCTTTTTCAGCATCTTTAAGCTTCTTTTTAAGGTCTTCATTATTTTTCGCAGCATCAATTCGCTTTTTAAGCTCATTCACTTGACGTTGAGCTTCAACAACATCATTTTTCTTGAGTTGAAGTTCAGAAATTTTCTTTTGAACAGCGTCAATTACATTTGTAATTTGCGTTTTAAGGTCAGAACTTTGTTGGAAAATTTCTTTTTCAAGCTCTGGTAATTTAGCTTTAAGCTGTCGTAAGACAACAGCATCAGAATCACTGTCATGAGAATTCTTATTTTCTGCAAGTTTCTGCGCAATTTGTGTTTGAAGAGCATCATATGTAATACATTTTTGCTTAATTTCAGTAAGAGATTTCTGAAGCACATAAACATTATTATGACCATCACACTTCCCATCTCCGCATGACGTTTTTAAAAGCTTTTCAAGCTGATTTACATTGCTGTGCAAACCATGCAAAATTGCATTTTTTACATCATCTCCACCGCCAATAAAACCTGAAAGCTGCCCGGCAAGCGTACCAAGAGAGATACGGCGGGCATCTATATCATCCAAGGTTTTCCCCCTGGCATCCTGAGTAAGGTAATGAACGTCATTATAATGGTCATTGTAGTGGGATTGAAGGTGGATTAAGGGAGAGTTAAAGGAAGTAAAGGGGGGATGAAATGGCACATTTTGGGGGCGGTTTGGGGGAGTTTGGGGAAAGGCGATTTTAGGTGGAGGAGGCAGCGAGGCAGCGAGGGAGGTGGGTGGACAGGGCGAGGGAGGTGGAGGGGCGAGAGAGGGCGATGAGGGAGGAAGATGGGTTGAGGTAAGGCGATTTAGGGGGTGGAGGGGGAAAGTGGAAAATGAGGAGTTGGGTGAAGGACGCCGACGGAGGAGGTGATGGAGGGGGTGATGGAGGGAGCGAAGCGACCAGTGAAAGAGGTGGTTGAGTGGTTGAGTGGGTGAGTGGTTGAGTGGGTGGTTGAGTGGGTGGTTGAGTGGTTGGGTGGTTGGGTGAGTGGGTGGGTGGTTGAGTGAGTGGGTGGTTGAGTGGGTGAGTGGTTGAGTGAGTGGGTGGGTGAGTGGGTGGTTGAGTGGTTGAGTGAGTGGTTGAGTGGTTGAGTGAGTGTGTGAGTGTGTGAGTGTGTGAGTATGTGAGTGAGTGGGTGGTTGAGTGAGTGGGTGAGTGGTTGGGTGAGTGAGTGAGTGAGTGGGTGGTTGAGTGGTTGAGTAGATGAGTGAGTGGGTGGGTGGTTGAGTGGGTGGTTGAGTGGTTGAGTAGATGAGTGAGTGAGTGGGTGAGTGTGTGGGTGGTTGAGTGGGTGAGTGGTTAGGTGAGTGGGTGGGTGAGTATGTGAGTTGTAGGTGGGTGGGTGGGTGAGTATGTGAGTGAGTGGGTGGTTGAGTGAGTGGGTGAGTGGTTGGGTGAGTGAGTGAGTGAGTGGGTGGTTGAGTTGGTGAGTGGGTGGGTGGGTGAGTGGGTGGTTGAGTGGGTGGGTGAGTATGTGAGTTGTAGGTGGGTGAGTGGGTGAGTGGGTGGGTGAGTGAGTGGTTGAGTAGTTGAGTGTGTGAGTGATTAGGTGAGTGTGTGAGTGGGTGAGTGAGTGATGCACAGATCACACGTGAAGGCACGATTATGGTGAGAAGTACTTGACGTTGGCGAGTGCCTTGACGCGTGCGGCGGCGAGGAGGGACTGTGCGGCGATGCGGTGGCTTGAGGGTGATTTTAAGTGGGAGCGTATCCTCAGGACGTCGAGGCGGACGACGGCGATGTGCAGCAGGTAGAGCAAAGAGAGGGACCAGAGGGCTACTAGAGTCCAGATGAAAGGTTCACGAATTTTGAATAAGAATTCTGGAATTGTTTTAAATACGAATTTGGCAAGCACATATTCGTCCGTTTCTTTGTCGTTGAGAATGTTTTTCAATGCGCTACAGAAGTCTTTGCACGTTCTTTTGTGTTGCTCCACTCTCTTATCTTCACCGCTGAGCTTGTGCGGACTAGAGAACATAAAACCGTATTTGGTCAAGGTTGGCAATGTGAGGGGACACTGAGCGATGGATTTGCAATCCTTATGGTGGTTATGGTCCTTATAATTTGGCTCCGGTACAGTTAACTTACACTCGTTAGCACAGACATTGCCGTTGCATTTAGATGCTGGTGATGTGCAGTTGGTACAGCATTCGTCACGCAACTGACATAGCATGTTGTAGAACGCTTCGGTAATATACACGACACATGAGAGGTAGAAGCTTCTAAAACTTTCACTGTATATGTTATAAATGTAGAAGCTTAGTGAACTGATGAAGACGCCGCATGTATCTTCCAAACTATACGCGCAATTAACTATGCTTAACATGTCACCTTTGGTATGGGTTGTACTGGTGTGGCTGTGCTTACTGCTACCAAACAGTGGGCTAAGATCGATGGAATACGGCTGACCGAAATATGCTTCGCTAACGGCCTTTTCAAATGCGTCATGTTTATGCTTCTTACTAAGGGTGTCTTTTCCTTTGTCACCTCCTTCCCAGTTCTCAAGGTAGCCATAGTAGAACGCAAACATGTCTCCCAGGGTTTGAGGTGGACGTTGCATGAGGCAATTTACTATACCGCAGAACTTAGTGAGGTGAGATTTTTCTTGACCACAGAAACTGTGAAGAGCGTTCTTGAGATGCGTTCCGTTCTTCATGTGTGAAGCTGCAACACTGATATCCCCGAAACCCATAGGCGTTTTACATGGTAAACCCCTGTGCTTACCAACAGAGCATTCCGCTCCGCATCCAAGCTTGGTAAGGGTATGTGGAAGGAAACCTTGCAAACCGTCTTCGAGGAACGACTGGAGTGGCGATTTGAGTCCACACTTAACACTTTGGTCACAGTTTTGGTCGCACTTTTGGTTATGCTTTTGTTCACCTATTTGGTTGTATGGTTGGTCTGGACATTGCAGGGTGTTGCAGTTCCACGATGAACCGGCGACTCCCCTGCCGTACCAGCAGTCCGCCCAGCCACCACGACTAGGACCGTTCTGACACTGGCTATATAGGAAACGCATTTGATTATATACCCTAGATGATATTTCTAACAGTAAGTCAAAGCATTTAGCTGGGCTGCTTGGATAATCTAAGTTATCTGTATTAGTATTAAACTCGACGGCGTACCGGCCACCTTCGTGGCCGTGACCGAGGATTGCGATTAGAGAGTCTTGGGCGTAGGCACACGATCTGCCAAGTGCATCTATTAGGTGGCTAGGCTTTAGAGGTGATTGAATTGTGTCGCTCATTCTGGGATGCAGCGCGGCTGGTAATTCGGCGCTCGGCAAGTTATACTGTTTCTGTAGGGCAGTGAATATTTTTGTGAAATGCCCCTGCAGCGTCTCATACATGGGATTATACCGCAGGCCACTAAGCCATTCAAGCATTTGGTAGATATTTGAAGGGGCTTTGGGAGATGGAATATGAATATGCTGGCATACTCGGTAATACGTTCGGAAAAGATCGCGAAGTTTGGTAAGTGGGCTGTATTCTTCATCATTTAAATGATTAACTACGAAGACATATTTGTTTACTTTCCCACCGCAAAGCAGAGGGAGAATGTTCTTACCCTTGAACTTTTCATTATTCCTTAATTCCCCTTCTTCCTTGTCGGACTTGGACACCCTGAATCCACGACGCTGGAACCACTGCCCGAGTTCACTAGCTGAATTGATTGTATTGTTTGACCACTTGCCACCACTATTACATTCTCTTTTCAAATCAGTGATATATTTTTGCAGCCCCTCCATTAAAGTGACACAGATTTTAGACAAATTTGTGCCTTGCTCAGACAATTTCTCTCCCTCAACTAACTTTTCGAAATCTATTTTGTCCTCGTGCCCCTCATACCTGTTCACGTACCCCTTCTCCAGCTGCTCGACGAAGCGCTCCAGGCTCTTGGGGAAAGCGTCGAGCACGGGATACGCGGGGTTGGCGAAGCCTGTGGAGTGGAGTGCTTGGACGGACGTCGTGAGTTGCGCGAGCATTCCGGGACCTCGTGGGTGAAGTGTTTTTGCTCGCGCAGGTGGGAAAGGAGGGTGGTCAGAGCGGAGTGGATGATGGAGAGTTGGGAGGGGTATTGGGAGTTGGGGAGATGTTTGGGAGGTCGACAAATACATATTGGAAAATATCGTAAAGATAATCTTTTAATTTGGGAGAGAGATTCAACATTTTTATGGCCTTTGAGGTCATGGAGTTTTCGGCCTCCATTATGCTTGTCTAAAAGGATGCTCAAAAAGCCCTTGAGCCCCGTCTTTTTGTCGGTGTCGATGATGGAGTCGATTGCGTTCTTCCGCTCCTGCAGTAGCTCTCGGAGGGCTTGGAGGTCGGCTTTGTGGGAGTGTGCATAAAACAATTGTACATCGTTTGTTAGGTTTTGGAAGGCCTTGTTGACGTCGGTTACAAGTGTGTTTATGGCTTCCTTCAAAGCTTTGTCGGCGTCCTCCACTTTTGCTTGGACTTCTTGTATTCTCCCTTTAATCTCTGCTTTCAACTCATCCATGAGCCGTGCCGCTTCATTCCTTTGCTTCTCGATTTTGCCATCTTCGTTGTTTTTAGTACTTTTTTCATTTCGAATGTCGTCAAGCTCTGTAATGGTTTTTTGTAGTCCGTTAACTTTATCGCCAAGCTTATATTTAATGGAACCTTCCTTATCATTCTGGTCTAGCAATGTGGTAAGCTTTTCAATAGGAGCGGCAACGTTTGCCAATGCGGCGTCGATCAACCCGCCAAATTTCCCCTTATTATTCAATCCGTCACCAAACTCATTTTCGATTTCTCCGATTTTGGTCATAGCCTTTGTCACGTTGGTAATCTGTGAGTTTGTGGTGAATGAGTGAAATTCCTCGTACACTTGCCTGGCAGTAGCAGAAAGTGATGCCAGCGTTATTACTACGGCGTTCAATAGTGAAGATGGAGAAGGCGATGGCGGATCGGAAAGCTTCAATTTTGGAGCCTTCTCAATTTCTTCGACTATCCCAGAGACCAGCTCATCGAGTTTTTTCGACACAAGCTTTGCTTCGAATTGCTTGAGAAATGTATCAATACCGTCCTTAACGGCATCAATGTTTTTTCAATTTTGTATTGTTTATCGCCTTTTACCTCATTGATCTTTGCCTGAGCAACTTTTATATCTTCGTCCAGCTTTTGCCTAAAGATACCGGCGAAATCTGCCGTCCTATCTGAATAGAATTTATTGAAATCAGAGGTCTTATATTCTTGCTTAAAATAAGTCTGCATCCACCCCTTCACCGGTTCCTTTTCCACAATAGTCTTTATCCACTTCTCCACTTTAGTCGCAAAATTGACCTTCGCAAATTCCCCAGCGTAGTCCTCAAAGCCTTCGACTATCTTTTGGAGCGTTCCAATAGCTTTGCTTGTATGTTTAACGTTATATACCATATCTCCAATAAGTCCCCGGATGTGTCCTTTGAGCCCACTCCACTTTTTCACTATACTGTCACCGTCTTCCTGGATATTTGTTTTCACTGTCGCAAACTCTCTCCAGGCATCTCTAATCAACATTTCAAGCTTCCTTTATCCGCCAACAAATTGTCGTGCACGATAGTGACTTCTCTTTTTATATCTTCGAACATAGCAATGATTATGTTCTTGTAATTCCTATCAAAATCCTTCTCCAAAAACCTCATCGCGTCCTTCAAACGGCTATAAATAGTTGTGAAGTGCTTGTCTTTCACATCTCTCAGACTGTTTATTTGGTTTATTATTGCCCGTTTCTGTGCCACTAGCTGCCCATCAACGTGCTTAGCGTCATCAAATACACTACCACTCACACTCACTTTTCGCATATGCTCTACCACACTTTTTACGGGCAGGAATTCACGCAACACACTACTCTTCAATGCATTATCTAACACATTAATTTTCTGTTGTTCTATATTGTTTACCTCAGTTTCGAGGCTTTCGACGGTATCCCTCCAAGCAGTCAACTGCTTTTCAAGCGGCTCGCTAATTTTACTATTTACATCAGCTACATATTTATTACCTAAGTGATCACTAAGTTCGCTAAGTGACGTGTTAACTGCATTTGTTTTCTCATTTAAGTGTTTATCATACTCACTAAGGATATCACTCACATGGTCTATGCAAACACGAAAACCATAATCACCAAGATGCATATGTTCTAAAATTTTATTAAGGTCATTTTGTGATATAAAGCTATAAGTTGTAACGTTATCATCCTCCTTCACTCCACTGAGAACTCCATGAAGGAAAGACATCACCCCGTCGCAGAGCCTGTCAAGGTCCGAGTACACAATTCCTTCTCCGGTGTAATTACCATCATGGTAGCCGAGAAATTTTTCGAGGCCTGTGCAGAGGTTATTTAATAATGTTGTTGAAGGATTATTTTAGGCACATTTTCAGGGCGATTTGGGGGAGTTTGGAGAAAGGCGATTTTAGGTTAAGGAGGCAGCGAGGGAGGTGGGTGGACAGGGTGAGGGAGGTGAAGGGGCGAAAGAGGGCGATGAGGAAAAGATGGGTTGAGAATTTATGGAAGGAAAAAATGAAAAAAAAAGATTAAAACGAAGGACAGAGGAAGAAGTAAAAGGAAAAAGATGAACAAAAGCGACGACAATGAAGAAGGGAGAAGTGAGTGATAGTCGATAAGTAAATGATGAAATGATGTTAAATAAGTGGTAAATGGTGAAATGAATGGGTAAGTGGTTGAAGTGGAATTAAGTGTTAAAATGGGTGGTAAATTAGTAAGTGAATTAAATGGATGTGTGAAATAGAGTGAAGTAGGTGGGTAAGTGAGTGGTAGAGTGAATTGATGGGTGAAATGGGTAAGTGAATTGGATGTATTAGATGGTTAGTGGTTGAGTAGGTGAGTGGGTGAGTGGGTGGGTGGTTGAGTGGGTGGTTGAGTGGGTGAGTGGGTGGTTGAGTGGTTGAGTGGTTGAGTGATACACAGATGACACGTGAAGGCACGATTATGGTGAGAAGTACTTGACGTTGGCGAGTGCCTTGACGCGTGCGGCGGCGAGGAGGGACTGCGCGGCGATGCGGTGGCTTGAGGGTGATCGCAGGTGGGAGCGTATCCTCAGGACGTCGAGGCGGACGACGGCGATGTGCAGCAGGTAGAGCAAAGAGAGGGACCAGAGGGCTAGTAACGTTTGCATAAAAGGCCATCTGATAGTACACAGGAAATTGTCACACTCGTCGAATAGTTCTGTGAAGAGTCCCGATTTGACAACTTTTTTTAATTGACTAACTAAATCAGAACATTTTCTTGGGTAACTTATATCATTTAATTCTCTTGGGTCACCGAAGTTGAATCCATACTTGTATAATGTAGGCGCTACTCCCCTACAGTGAACAATGGTAATACAATTACACAGATGTTCGTCGTCGCCGTGCTTGCCACGTTTACATGTATCACTGTTAAGACATTTACGGCATCCCCATTCCGAACAGAATATTTCTTTAATGGCATCTAGCAGTCGCTCAAGATATTCTAGGAATGCCCATGGCAAATATACAGCCCAAGAGAGGTACAGATTACAGTGTTTTTTGGCTAGCAGTTTGTACATGTCTGAGCATACAGTGGATAAATATGGAGCGCATGTATATATTTCACTATTATTTTTTCTACAAATACCCAGAGTGGTAACGCTCCTAACATCGCAGTGCTCTGTTCGAGTATGGCAATTATAGTCAGCGCCGTACGCATTTCTCAGCGCTTTGGTCAATTCTAGGCCATTTGTCTCTAGATGTATTGTTGCGTCATGAATAGATGAATGAATCCATTTTCGAAGAAGATGATTTCCACTATTCTGCCACTCATGTACTAATGACAGTACAAATGAGAGGTGTTGTGGCAGCGTGGATGGCGGTTTAGGCAAAGCACAGAAGAGGGCTGAAAGATACTCACTCCTCAAGAATTCCCGAATACTTTTACATAAGGCATAACCAGTTTTAGTGCTGCCAGAAAAGGCCCGGAAGCCAAGAGGCGTGAGACAGGGCATTCCGGGTGTAGATTTAGTACAGGTGGAGCATCTGGCTCTACAGCCAATAGATGTTACTTCGTGAGGCAAGTGACCAGGTAGGCAGTCATTTAGGTAGCTCATTAATGGAGACGTTGGTTGGCACTTTGGTTGGCCATTTACCTGACACGTAGGTTGGCACATTGCTTGGTCACTTGAGTGATCAATACACTGAGATATAGATGACTTTATATCTCTGCCGTAGAAGCAGTCGCGCCAACCGCTGTGCTTAGTAGACATACTACACTGCGTTTTTAAATATTTGAGCGGATGAATCAGTCGACCGAGTATATCTACAAACATGGATAGACAGTCCCCGGCGCTGGAAGGGTAATACAAGCCTAGCGTGTTGTTGGAAAGATCGCTGGCGTACGTTGTGTATTCGTCTCCGTGTCCGCGTATAGTTGTAAGCAACTGGTGAGAGTAGGAAGTTATATGCGTTATTGCCTCATGTATGTCGCTGTATGTTACGTCACGTGGGTAAGCCTTCAACGACCGATCGTTGAGTTTTTCAACAGTGAGTTCGTCTGCCTTTACATCTTCGGAGCGCTTTTTCTCCGCTTTGTCGAATAGATCACTGAAACTGTCAGACATCAAATCTAAATATACGGAATTGTAAGGGAGGCCTGCATACCATACAAGCATATCATTTACTGAACATGGGTGCTTTTTGGAAGTGAATTTAGAAATGTGACCGACTTTATTGTACTGGACAAAATAGTCGTAGAGATCATAAAGTATGCCGGAATTATCACCACGCTTCGTCGACTTGAACAACTTCGCAGAATGTGGCCCTAGCATGGACGCAATATGAATGCCCGCTAGTTGGTCGCCATTATTCCGCACCTCACCATCTTGTAGGTCCTTTCCTGTCGACACTTTATATCCATAGTTGGTGAAATAATCACCGAGAATATTCTCACTTCCCTGGGATGAAGCGTAGATTTTTCGTGCCCTGCACTTCCCATTACAATCTACTCTAAGATCAGTCAAATCTGTCACAACTTTAGGAACAACCGTCATAAATATTTTGCTATATTTAGTATCGTCGGCATCCTTGTATCGTAGACCCGAATATGAATTCACGTATGCATTCCCAAGTTGCCCGGCTAACGCCTGCAGGCCGTCCTTTACTACGTCTAGCAGAACAGTGCACGGGCCGCCAAATTTAGCCGGAGTGAAAGCCTGCAGTGCGCAACCTAATGCGTGCAGATTATCTCTAAATTCATAGTTAAAGTGATTCGATATCTCAAGTCTAGAGAACAATCTGTCTACTTTACTTGTGACACTCACTAGAAGATCAGCAAGTGGATGTGGAGTCTGTGACTGGGATGCAGGATCTTCGTCATCGACGCCGTCAATTTGATATTTGACGTACCTGTGCATCTGGTCGTACAGGTATTGGAAAGTGGAGGTAAGGGATTTTAAATCGTTTTTATTAAGCTCGGGAAGTTTTTTGTTAAGTAGTGTGAAGAGGCCTTTTAGGCCCGTGATTTTGTCGTCGGAAATACATCTGCCAATTCTTTCTTTTTGCAAAATGACTAATTTCTTAAGTGATTCCAAGTCTGCTTTATGCTGTTGTGCAAACATTATGTGAACCTGTTTTTCCAAAGCGTCAATGCCTTCTTTAAGTCTCTTTCTATACGCGTCGGAGAGTTTGGCAATAAATTCTTCAGCGTCCGTTTGAGCATAAGTTAGTACATCCTTCACGTTTTTCGTCAGAGCATGCATTCTACCGGTAACTGTCTGTTTGATTTCGTCTCTAAGATTTGTAATCTCTTGCTTCAATGTTTCCTTTAGTGATTCTGCGTTTTTCTTGGCTTTTTTGACATCTTCGGGAACTTGTTCGAGTTCTTTAAGTCTCATGTTAACATCCCTCACGGCTTCACCAAGGCCAACGATGACGCCTCCAATATTCAGCGCTTTGATCTGATCTTTCAGGTCACTGAATTTTTCGCCGAACATGGCAGTGTGTTCCTGTGTAAGAGCCTCATGAAGCTGATTTGCTTTCTGGACTGTACCCACAAGGCTAATATCTGCCTGCTTGATTTTCTCAACTATGCTGTCAATTTGTTTGGTAAGGCTCGTCATATTTTTCGGTAGGCTTCCTACAAGGCCGTGAAGAATTCTGTCCGGATCATTGGTATCCGTAGATTGCGTTTTTAGAGTTGTAATATCCTTTTCAACGGACTTGATCATGCCATTTATCTCTTCCATATGGTCTTTAAGGCTGCGCATAAATTCCTCATTCGCCACAGAATAACCGTGGAATATATTATTGCTTGTACTCCCCGCATTCGGATCCAGAGCTTTGTTGACGGCGTCAAAAGCGGATTCGACAAACGGAGGATAACCTTTAAGAAGGTCCTGAATTACGTATGTGTATGTAATGGTATCGATGAATTTCTCCATTGGAACTTTTAATGTCTTTTTCAACGTTTCCATATCAACTTTTAGCTTGCTCGGTATAGATTGCAATGCTTGTGTCACCCCCTCAAAAAACCCTTCAAGTGCTGACTGAGACATTGGTGTCATTATGCGGATATTTGCAGGCAAGGAAACATTCATCGGCTGCACAACTTGTTTAATGCTGTCAAGTTTTTCATGAACCGTTCTATACTGCTTCACAAACGTTTCGATGTCGGCAGTTACGTCATCCTCCACAACAGCAAACTGCCAAACGTTCGACAGCCATGCCTCCAATGGCTTCCTAATACTTGTAAGTTCGCCATGAACCAAATGAGACTGTTGAGCGAATTCCTCCAGAGCCTTTTTAATAGCATTCTCTGTAGTATCCAGTCTACCCGTGGCGGTATATTTACCCTTGCCTTGCAACTTGTCAAATCTCTCTTCCAGGTCTATAATCGCCCTGTATAGTTTATTGTCCTTACCTTTATGATTTTCTAGTTTTTCCTTAGCGGTCACCAAAGCACTGTGCGCCTCCCTAATTTGCGTTTTATACTCTTTTTCTAAATTGGTCATGTGAAGTCTCGCACGACTCTCAGCTCTCACGAAAAATGCATCCACGTCATCTACAACTTTCAACTCCGTATCTTTTATTTCATCACTATTATGTTTTATAAGATCTGCAATCTTCTTTTGTAAAGCCTTAGTAACCTTATCAGATTCCATCCTCACTGTCTCATCAACGTTCCTACGCGTAGAATCAAATGTCTCAACAGTCTCTTCCACAGCTTTTATAAGGGCCTTATTTTTCGCACTCTCCTCTAACAACTCAACCGCCATCTCAATCGGCTTTATTTCGTGCATTATTTGTGTGCTTAGTGGGTTATCTACAACATTAACATAATCAGTTTCTATGTGTTCTACTGTGTTTGATATGCTAGTTAATGTGTGCTGCCAGTTGGCCAGTTGCTCTTGAAGCTTCACTCCCGATTTCTCTGCAACAAAATTAATAGAGTCATGAATTCTCTCATTAGCTAACTTACCTAATTCCTTCTTGAGGTCTTCCGTTCTTCCGTCCACCTGCGTCCAATATTTTTGTAACCATCCACTTACCTCTTGAATCTTGTCACCAAACACACTGCGTCCCTGGCCAATGGAAGAGTGGAGATGTTGAAGGACAGTATGTAAATCATCATTATTATTTGATGATTTAATGTAATTATTGTATGTTATAACGTTATCATCATCCTTCACACTCTCAAGAACACCATGAAGGAAAGACATCACCCCGTCGCAGAGCCTGTCAAGGTCGGAGTACACGATGCCTTCTCCGGTGTAATTACCATTCTGGAAGCCGAGAAATTTTTCGAGGCCTGTGCAGAGGTTATTTAATAATGTTGTCGAAGGATTATTTTAGGCACATTTCAGGGCGATTTGGGGGAATTTGGGGAAAGGCGATTTTAGGTCAAGGAGGCAGAGGGGGAGGTGGGTGGACAGGGTGAGGGAGGTGAGGAGGCGAAAGAGGGCGATGAAGGGGGAAGATGGGTTGAGGTAAGGGGATTTCGGAGGTGGAGGGGAATAGTGGAAAACGATGATTTAAGTGAAAACCCTCCAACAGAGAAAATGATCGAAAATAAAAAACAAAAAACAAAAGCAACAACAAATAAAAGAAAAGTAAATGAAATGAAAATATAATTGAAATGGGTAAAATGGGTGAAGTAAATTAGAGTAAATAAGATAAATAAATGCATTAAGTAGAAATGAAATATATGAATAAATAAATTAGATGCAAGTAAAGTAAGTGAAAATAGATTAAAATTGAAGTAAGTAAATGGTCAATTAATTAGAGATTAGTAAGAAATGGTGCGTGGAAGTAAATAAAGTGAATTAAGTGGGTTACAAGTAAAATATATAAATTATAGAAATGATGAAATGGGTGGAAGGAGTGGGTGGGCTGAGTGAGTAGTTGGAAGTAGTTGAGTGTGTGAGTGATTAGGTGAGTGTGTGAGTGGGTGAGTAGTGATGCACAGATCACATGAAAGAACTGATGGTGAGAAAGTACTTGACGTTGGCGAGTGCCTTGACGCGTGCGGCGGCGAGCAGCGACTGCGCGGCGATGCGGTGGCTGGAGGGTGATCTCAGGTGGGAGCGTATCCTCAGGACGTCGAGGCGGACGACGGCGATGTGCAGCAGGTAGAGCAAAGAGGACCAGAGGGCTACTAGAGTCCAGATGAAAGGTTCACGAATTTTGAATAAGAATTCTGGAATTGTTTTAAATACGAATTTGGCAAGCACATATTCGTCCGTTTCTTTGTCGTTGAGAATGTTTTCAATGCGCTACAGAATCTTTGCACGTTCTTTTGTGTTGCTCCACTCTCTTATCTTCACCGCTGAGCTTGTGCGGACTAGAGAACATAAAACAATGTTGGTCAAGGTTGGCAATGTGAGGGACACTGAGCGATGGATTTGCAATCCTTATGGTGGTTATGGTCCTTATAATTTGGCTCCGGTACAGTTAACTTACACTCGTTAGCACAGACATTGCCGTTGCATTTAGATGCTGGTGATGTGCAGTTGGTACAGCATTCGTCACGCAACTGACATAGCATGTTGTAGAACGCTTCGGTAATATACACGACACATGAGAGGTAGAAGCTTCTAAAACTTTCACTGTATATGTTATAAATGTAGAAGCTTAGTGAACTGATGAAGACGCCGCATGTATCTTCCAAACTATACGCGCAATTAACTATGCTTAACATGTCACCTTTGGTATGGGTTGTACTGGTGTGGCTGTGCTTACTGCTACCAAACAGTGGGCTAAGATCGATGGAATACGGCTGACCGAAATATGCTTCGCTAACGGCCTTTTCAAATGCGTCATGTTTATGCTTCTTACTAAGGGTGTCTTTTCCTTTGTCACCTCCTTCCCAGTTCTCAAGGTAGCCATAGTAGAACGCAAACATGTCTCCCAGGGTTTGAGGTGGACGTTGCATGAGGCAATTTACTATACCGCAGAACTTAGTGAGGTGAGATTTTTCTTGACCACAGAAACTGTGAAGAGCGTTCTTGAGATGCGTTCCGTTCTTGTGTGAAGCTGCAACACTGATATCCCGAAACCCATAGGCGTTTTACATGGTAAACCCTGTGCTTACCAACAGAGCATTCCGCTCCGCATCCAAGCTTGGTAAGGTATGTGGAAGGAAACCTTGCAAACCGTCTTCGAGGAACGACTGGAGTGGCGATTTGAGTCCACACTTAACACTTTGGTCACAGTTTGGTCGCACTTTTGGTTATGCTTTTGTTCACCTATTTGGTTGTATGGTTGGTCTGGACATTGCAGGGTGTTGCAGTTCCACGATGAACGACTCCCCTGCCGTACCAGCAGTCCGCCCAGCCACCACGACTAGGACCGTTCTGACACTGGCTATATAGGAAACGCATTTGATTATATACCTAGATGATATTTCTAACAGTAAGTCAAAGCATTTAGCTGGGCTGCTTGGATAATCTAAGTTATCTGTATTAGTATTAAACTCGACGGCGTACCATGCAACCTGGCCGTGACCGAGATTGCGATTAGAGAGTCTTGGGCGTAGGCACGATCTGCCAAGTGCATCTATTAGGTGGCTAGGCTTTAGAGGTGATTGAATTGTGTCGCTCATTCTGGGATGCAGCGCGGCTGGTAATTCGGCGCTCGGCAAGTTATACTGTTTCTGTAGGGCAGTGAATATTTTGTGAAATGCCCTGCAGCGTCTCATACATGGGATTATACCGCAGGCCACTAAGCCATTCAAGCATTTGGTAGATATTTGAAGGGGCTTTGGGAGATGGAATATGAATATGCTGGCATACTCGGTAATACGTTCGGAAAAGATCGCGAAGTTTGGTAAGTGGGCTGTATTCTTCATCATTTAAATGATTAACTACGAAGACATATTTGTTTACTTTCCCACCGCAAAGCAGAGGGAGAATGTTCTTACCCTTGAACTTTTCATTATTCCTTAATTCCCCTTCTTCCTTGTCGGACTTGGACACCCTGAATCCACGACGCTGGAACCACTGCCCGAGTTCACTAGCTGAATTGATTGTATTGTTTGACCACTTGCCACCACTATTACATTCTCTTTTCAAATCAGTGATATATTTTTGCAGCCCCTCCATTAAAGTGACACAGATTTTAGACAAATTTGTGCCTTGCTCAGACAATTTCTCTCCCTCAACTAACTTTTCGAAATCTATTTTGTCCTCGTGCCCCTCATACCTGTTCACGTACCCCTTCCAGCTGCTCGACGAAGCGCTCCAGGCTCTTGGGGAAAGCGTCGAGCACGGGATACGCGGGGTTGGCGAAGCCTGTGGAGTGGAGTGCTTGGACGGACGTCGTGAGTTGCGCGAGCATTCCGGGGACCTCGTGGGTGAAGTGTTTTTGCTCGCGCAGGTGGGAAAGGAGGGTGGTCAGAGCGGAGTGGATGATGGAGAGTTGGGAGGGGTATTGGGAGTTGGGGAGATGTTTGGGGAGGTCGACAAATACATATTGGAAAATATCGTAAAGATAATCTTTTAATTTGGGAGAGAGAGATTCAACATTTTTATGGCCTTTGAGGTCATGGAGTTTTCGGCCTCCATTATGCTTGTCTAAAAGGATGCTCAAAAAGCCCTTGAGCCCCGTCTTTTGTCGGTGTCGATGATGGAGTCGATTGCGTTCTTCCGCTCCTGCAGTAGCTCTCGGAGGGCTTGGAGGTCGGCTTTGTGGGAGTGTGCATAAAACAATTGTACATCGTTTGTTAGGTTTTGGAAGGCCTTGTTGACGTCGGTTACAAGTGTGTTTATGGCTTCCTTCAAAGCTTTGTCGGCGTCCTCCACTTTTGCTTGGACTTCTTGTATTCTCCCTTTAATCTCTGCTTTCAACTCATCCATGAGCCGTGCCGCTTCATTCCTTTGCTTCTCGATTTTGCCATCTTCGTTGTTTTTAGTACTTTTTTCATTTCGAATGTCGTCAAGCTCTGTAATGGTTTTTTGTAGTCCGTTAACTTTATCGCCAAGCTTATATTTAATGGAACCTTCCTTATCATTCTGGTCTAGCAATGTGGTAAGCTTTTCAATAGGAGCGGCAACGTTTGCCAATGCGGCGTCGATCAACCCGCCAAATTTCCCCTTATTATTCAATCCGTCACCAAACTCATTTTCGATTTCTCCGATTTTGGTCATAGCCTTTGTCACGTTGGTAATCTGTGAGTTTGTGGTGAATGAGTGAAATTCCTCGTACACTTGCCTGGCAGTAGCAGAAAGTGATGCCAGCGTTATTACTACGGCGTTCAATAGTGAAGATGGAGAAGGCGATGGCGGATCGGAAAGCTTCAATTTTGGAGCCTTCTCAATTTCTTCGACTATCCCAGAGACCAGCTCATCGAGTTTTTTCGACACAAGCTTTGCTTCGAATTGCTTGAGAAATGTATCAATACCGTCCTTAACGGCATCAATGTTTTTTCAATTTTGTATTGTTTATCGCCTTTTACCTCATTGATCTTTGCCTGAGCAACTTTTATATCTTCGTCCAGCTTTTGCCTAAAGATACCGGCGAAATCTGCCGTCCTATCTGAATAGAATTTATTGAAATCAGAGGTCTTATATTCTTGCTTAAAATAAGTCTGCATCCACCCCTTCACCGGTTCCTTTTCCACAATAGTCTTTATCCACTTCTCCACTTTAGTCGCAAAATTGACCTTCGCAAATTCCCCAGCGTAGTCCTCAAAGCCTTCGACTATCTTTTGAGCGTTCCAATAGCTTTGCTTGTATGTTTAACGTTATATACCATATCTCCAATAAGTCCCCGGATGTGTCCTTTGAGCCCACTCCACTTTTTCACTATACTGTCACCGTCTTCCTGGATATTTGTTTTCACTGTCGCAAACTCTCTCCAGGCATCTCTAATCAACATTTCAAGCTTCCCTTTATCCGCCAACAAATTGTCGTGCACGATAGTGACTTCTCTTTTATATCTTCGAACATAGCAATGATTATGTTCTTGTAATTCCTATCAAAATCCTTCTCCAAAAACCTCATCGCGTCCTTCAAACGGCTATAAATAGTTGTGAAGTGCTTGTCTTTCACATCTCTCAGACTGTTTATTTGGTTTATTATTGCCCGTTTCTGTGCCACTAGCTGCCCATCAACGTGCTTAGCGTCATCAAATACACTACCACTCACACTCACTTTTCGCATATGCTCTACCACACTTTTTACGGGCAGGAATTCACGCAACACACTACTCTTCAATGCATTATCTAACACATTAATTTTCTGTTGTTCTATATTGTTTACCTCAGTTTCGAGGCTTTCGACGGTATCCTCAAGCAGTCAACTGCTTTTCAAGCGGCTCGCTAATTTTACTATTTACATCAGCTACATATTTATTACCTAAGTGATCACTAAGTGTGCTAAGTGACGTGTTAACTGCTTCAGTTTTCTCATTTAAGTGTTTATCATACTCACTAAGGATATCACTCACATACATTATGCACTTTTGAAAACCATTTTCACCATTATACAAATAAGCTAAAATTTTATTAAGGTCATTTTGTGATATAAAGCTATAAGTGGAAACGCTTGGATAATCTTTCACACTCTCAAGAACACCATGAAGGAAAGACATCACCCCGTCGCAGAGCCTGTCAAGGTCGAGTACACAATTCCTTCTCCGGTGTAATTACTGTAGCCGAGAAATTTTCGAGGCCTGTACAAAGGTTATTTAATAATGTTGTTGAAGGATTATTTTAGGTGCATTTTCAGGGTGAATTGGGAAATTTGGAGAAAGGCGATTTTAGGAGGAGGAGGCAGCAAGGAGAGTGGTGGACAGGGTGAAATGAAAGAAAAGGAAAAAGACGAAAGCAGGAAGATGGTTGAGAAGAGATTCAGAAGATGGAGGGGAAATGGAAAATGAGATTCAGTAAGACGCAACGGAAGGAGGTGATGAAAGGAAAAGGAGCGAAAAAGCAATAATGTCGAAAAGAGTGAATGGGTGAAATCATCGGATGGAGTAAGTGGTTAAGTAAATTAGTAGATTGGTCATTAAATTAAGTTAAATTCGTGTCGGTAAAGGTGAAGTATGAATTGAGTGGAGTGAAGTGGTGAAGTAGTTGAAATGGTTGAAGTAGGTGGAGGTGTTGAGTAGAGTGTGAAGTGAGTGGGTGGTTGAGTGGGTGGTTGAGTGGGTGATTGGGTGGTTGAGTGGTTGAGTGGGTGAGTGAGTGGGTGAAGGCACGATTATGGCGAGAAGTACTTGACGTTGGCGAGTGCCCTGACGCGTGCGGCGGCGAGGAGGGACTGCGCGGCGATCCGGTGGCTTGAGGGCGATCTCAGGTGGGAGCGTATCCTCAGCACGTCGAGGCGGACGACGGTGATGTGCAGCAGGTACAGGAGCGACAGCGACCAGAGGGCTAACAACAGGTAGGAGAAGGGTGTGCGAATGATCCATAGAATTCGTCACATTTTGTGAATAAGTCCTTGAGAAATACTGTGAGTGGAGGACATGTTTGAGTTGTTTGCAGAAGTCAGAGCATGTTTTTGGTGAATCTCTATTATTTAGTAAAGATGCTGCACCAAACCTGAAGCCGTACTTATACAACGTGGGTGACACCCCTCTGCACTGTACCAATGAAGAACATGAGCAACTTGGTTTCTTGGTGTCGTCATTCATTGATCCATGTGATCCCTTTTTGCATTGTTCACCGCGGAGACATTTACTACATCCCCAGTACTGGCAGTAGATATTAAGGAACGCCTCGTATAGGTTATTGAGGCAGCTCCAAAATTGCCAAGGTAGGTAGATGGAGAATGACAAGTACAACTTGGAATGCTTCTCCGCGAGATACAGATACGCACCGTCGCACAACGTGGATAGATATGGAGAGCATTCCATTTTGCCACTCATGCCTTTGCAGGCGGCTGTGGTTGTCAAATGCATAAGGTGAGAGTCATCGCAGCTGGAATGAGGGGCGGAGGGAGAGCTATAAGCAGCGGTGAGAGCATCCGTAAGACCAGTTGGTTCGTCACATAACTCAATTGACTGCTCATCAATGGATGCGATAAACGTGTTCTTGAAAGTTGTTGTGCCACCAACATTAGTGATCCTATTATCATTAATCACGTTTGCAAGTGACAACGCGAAACCGAAATGTTCGGGCAACGTCTTTGGAGGTTTAGGAACAAGGGTGAATAGTGTCGGCAAATAGATGTCGGAGAAGAATTGGCCGAGTATCCTACATATGTCCTTGCCCGTCTTCGTGCTGCCAGAGAAACCCCGGAAACCCAGAGGCGTAAGGCACGGCATTCCGGGTGTACTGGAAGGACATGTCTTACATTCGGACTTACATCCAACTGATTCTAATCTATGTGGCAGATGCCCTGGCAGGCAATCGTTCAGATAGGACATTAAAGGTGAAGTTGGTTGGCAATTTGGTTTGGTGTTTGCCTGGCACGTAGGTTTGCTATTTGGTTGGTCCGTTGGTTGAGTGTTTGAGTGCTCCTTACATTGCCAACTGGATGGGCCGACGCCATTGCCGTAGAGGCAGTCACGCCAACCGCAGTGCTTGGAGGGAATGGTGCACTGGGTATGCATGAAGTTAAGCACTGGGAACAATCTACGAAGTATATCTAGTAACGTATGCAAACAGTCCTCACCTCTGGAGGGATACTTTAATTTAAGGAAGTTGGTAGAGAAGTCAGATGCATAGTTGCACTCTGCGTCGCCGGTGCCGAGTATGCCGGTTAGGAGTAAGTAAGCGTTCTCGGATACGTGCTCAATTGCGCTACATGCGTCCTCACGTGTGAAGTTATGTGGATATGCTACAATGGGCTGAAGTATTTTTTGAGGCGGCTGCGATTCATCATCCACCGGGAATAAGGTACGAACGTGATCTAATAGTGGATGATACACGCGATTGAACTGCAATCCGGAACACCATAACAACATCTCATAAATATTACACGGGGTTCTGGGTTTGTCAATGTGAGTGGTGTGGCAAACATTAAAGTAATCGTGCAGCAATGAGTAAAGCTTTTCTAATAGGCTCTCGCCTTCGATAACGTCTATTTTTAGATTTTCCGCATCATCACCATTCACCGACGATACGTCGAAGGGCCGTGTGGCAGCAAACAGCTTATGTGTTTTACCGGTAAGATGACTGAGAATACGGCCGGGAGTACAGTCTGCCCTGTGATTCAACTCTCCGTTGGGGACATCGTCAGGGAGACCAAAGTCGTACCCGTTTTCACGGAAGAAAAGCTTATGTAGGCTGTGGTGGGAGGCATCTGGATTATATATTTTATACTCTTTCCATTCGCTTTCAAGTTTCTCTTTCAGCTCCTCTAAGGTGTTGTGTAAGATTGGAGTGATGCTGCAAAATACTTTTGCATAGCGTCCTTGTTCACTCTCATACCATTGCCTCCCAGAGTAACAATTTACGTATGCTTTCTTCAGCTCTGTAACGAGGGGCGTAAAACCATGTCTCAGGGATTCGAGAAGCAACGGGCTCTTGGCTTCGCCGAATTCCGAAGGTTTGAATTTACCGAGGACGTTGTCAAGTTCCTCCAGGTTTCTAGTGAACCTCTTATCGAAATGCTCGGAGGTTGTGAGACCATCAAGTAATTTGGCAAAGGACTCCTTGGTCGGTTGAACTTTATGGAAGTCAGACGTGAAATCGGTTTGTTTTGACAAATCTGCAAAAAAGCCTCTAAAGGCCTCATTCAACATTTTCGTCGCCTTGCCTAGTGGATATTTTTGCGGATCATGTTGCGGCACTTCGATGGCAGAAACGTACGAGTCAATAGATTTAATTCCGTTGACTTTATTAACAAACTTCTCTCCGAAGGTCTTCATAAACTTCTTGTGGCCTTGCTCCAAGTCCTCGTTTATTTTCCCCGGCAGAGGTTCCAGCTCCTTCCGCACTTTGGTGACGAAGTCCGTTAGTAAATTTCGTACGGCGGCGATGTACTGCTTCTGGGCGTGGGCCGTGAGGCTGGTGGTTGCGGTGGAGACTTCCTGGGTGACGTGATTTTCGAGTTCTTGGATGCATTTTTCCTGCAATGTTGGGGCGTGCACTTTGATGAATTCATTGGCATCTTTGATTGCCTTAGTCACTGGGCCTTTCTGGAGTTTGTCCAGTTCGTCGTAAATGATTTGCAGAGTGTTTGGGGCGGCCGTGTTGCCAGAGGCAGTAACGCCGATTTTAGTCTTCAAGGTGGTAACATCCTTATTGAGTTTTTTGCCGATAGCAGTGAAGGCCTTAATGAGGGCTGCGAGATTGGACGTAATATCGGAGGACAGAGATTCAAGGGCTTCAGTGGTTGGCGTAATGCTGATCGCAGTGACGTGAGTGTCGATACCGTCGAGAGCGCCGGTGATATCATCCTTGATCTTCATGAGGCCGGGGATGGAGGAAGGGACAGTGATGGAGAAAGTAGATGGACGTCCTCGGGAGGTATGTGGTTCCAGATTGGTGGCTAGAGTATGCTCTTCACCCTTGTCAATCAGAAGAGACAATTCTTCCAGGTAGTTTCTGACGCCGATTTTTTTGGTAGGATGCCGCGTTATCTGGCTGCTGTCGAGTATGTTGGCGATGGCTGTGAGTTGGCCGGTGATGGATTGGAAGGGGGTTTGGAAGGTGTCTTGCTGCGGAACCTCACTAAGAGCTGCTAGGCATGGATTTTTAATTTTGTCGATCGCCTGTGGAAGTTTTCCATCTAAAGGTTTATCGGCCGCAAGTTTAGGATCCGCGGGATGGCTTATATGGCTTATATAACCCGGGAAACGGGCAAGTGATATTGTTTGGGTATTTTTGCCATCTGAGCTAACTTGAATATCCGGCATATTTGCATTCAGTGCGGATGCGAAGTCTTTGCCGGTGATGTCAGTGAGGGCAACTGTAAGTTCCTTTTTGGGCGTTTCGGGTTCTTTAAAATTTCTAATCAAGACCTTTCCATCCACCTGCTCCTGTATGTCTTCCACATGCTTTTTTATCTTATCAATCTCTTGTCGCAAATCACCTCTATGATCTCCGTCACCACTGATCTCTGTCTTCAACTTGTAAGCTGACATGAATGTGTGATCAAACTTTATTTGACCTGTAATGATATCTTTGTTGAATGCCGTCTTTACCACCTCATGAATATCATTGGAAATGGCGTTCACGAGTTCAGAATCGCCCTGTAGATGAGTTGATAGATAGGTTTTTATTCCGTGTAGGATGCTTTCCAATGATTTGTCGAGACCATTTTTGTTGCCGTTAAGTAGATGAAGCAGATTTTTATACTCCTCATTTTTCCCCCCTAGCACCCTTTTCAGTTTCTCAAAACCCTTTGTATTGCTGCCCCGATTCCACGCATCCTCCGCGTCATTCGCAGCCTCCATCACCTTCTGAAACAAATCCCGAACAAATGGACCCAACTTGCCTTTAATCGTCGTATCCCTCACTTCTACCAACCCCCTTTTAACGTCATCGTCCAAATCCGTGAGCTTTTTCAAAATGCCTTCACCAGCACTATCCTTTCCAACCGTTGCATCCACACCCTTTTGAATCTTTACCAATTTCTGCTTGTAAACATTTTCAAGTTCGTCAGCCTTCAACAAGGCCTGCTTGACATACTTATTAATAACTTCTTCGATGTCCTTCTTAATACTTGTTTTCACATTTTTTAAATCCATTCTTACTGCAGCATCCAATTCTTTCAGAACCTTTTGCACCAAGCCGACTTGCTGCTCAACAGCATTTTTAGCCCTAATTGCCGCCTTCCTGAGACTCTCAGCCTTTGTTTGCATATCTTGAGCTAACTTGTGAATCAAACCTTTGGAAGGATCATCCTGTTTAACCATCTCACCAATTTTCACAGCCTGTGCATCCGCCGCCTCCACAACTTTCCCGGCCACTCCCTTCCAAGTTTCCAACTTTTTGACTTCTGTCTCTTTTGCGTTTTCAACTTTATTCTTAATTTCCTGCTTCTGACTAGTAATGTATTTGTCCAGCTCATCCTTCCAGTGTTTTACCTTGTTCGCATTATCCTTAATCTTTACCTCCGACAGCCATCCACAATGGCGTTCATCCATGATTCTTCTCGTATCGTTTATTGCTTCAACTACAATTTCGTCCGCATCTTGAATCCATTTTTTCAAATCCTTCAGATTATTTTTCAGATGCCAATCAATGTTGTTGAGTATATCCAAAATTGACGTTACTAATCTTTTCAATCCCTCAACCAGCTCATTAATTTTCTCTCTAATCTTTTCAATTACACTCACTTTCAAAGCATTTAATGCTTCTTTTATTTTTGCGATCGTAGCTTTCAACGCACTCTCCTCCCTACTCGACAACGTCCGGAGCCTTGCAGTCTCATGCTTGATGTTCTCTCTCACGTGACTTATTGCAACTTTAAGATCACTGTTGAGATCGTCGATTTTTGCTTGACGATGTTTCATATTTTGTTCAAACTTATTGCCACATTGAACGTAAACGGACGCTAATTTACCTACCGCGGAAACATGTTTTCCAACGTCCTTGGCGGGTAACCCCTCAAGGGCTTCGCCCTCAGGAATTTCTGTTATTTCGGCATCAAACGTTTCCTTCACCTGTCCTTGAAACGTCGTAATTTGCCTCTTGACATCTTCACTAGAGGTTTTTACATAATTGGTGTACTTCCGTACACCCTTAACCACCTCGGCTATCGCCGCCTTGTATTTAGTAATACCATTATCATTTGTGCTTTTAAGTGAAGTAAGTGCGCTATCAATTTGTGTTTTATGCTGGCCTAATTTAGGCTTAATGTTATCTAAAACACCATGAAGGAAAGACATCACCCCGTCGCAGAGCCTGTCAAGGTCCGAGTACACGATGCCCTCGCCATCGTAGCCTTTGGAAGACGGGTTGAAGCCTAAGAATGTTTGGAGACCTGAACACAATTTATCTAAAATATCTTTACATTCTTCACCATTTTTAGTTTGAGCATTCTGATGAAATTCAATAAGCTTTTCAAGACTTTTAAGAGACTCCAACGAAGCCTTATGAGACTGCAATTTAGCCTGCTCAGTTTCAAGAGGATGAGAAAGACTGTAGGGAATGGAGATATTTTTATCATCCTTTAAATTATTTTTCTGCTTTTCATCCTTTTTATACTGCTTAATGTCCTCTTCACACTGTTTTACGCTGGCAGTAAGCTTCTTAATGTATTCATCAATTTCCTTTTCAGGCTCATCTAAAGCATTTTTAAGGCTATCAATTTGCCTTTTAAGCTCCTCATTTTTCTGTTGAAGTTCCTGATTTTTTTGCTGAATTTCCCTTTCAAGCTTCTCAATCTCAGGACCACTGCCGGACGGCGTCCCTCCGGACGCCTTCCTTTTTTCAGCAATTTCATTTTTAAGGCCATCAATTTCTCTCTCAATTTTATCAATGTCATTAAATTTGTTTCGAAGTGTTGTAAGTTTTACATCACGGAATTTCACAGCTTCATTACAACACCCCTCACCTCCGCAAGATGCTTCTAAAAGCCTACTAAGCTGATTTACGTTACTGTGCAAACCCTTCACAAGTGCATTTTTTACTTCCTCACTTTTGCCAATAAACCCCGAAAGCTGTCCAGCAAGCTGACCAAGAGAGATACGGCGGGCATCAATATCACCCAAGGCTTTTTCTCTGGCAGCCTCAGTAAGGTAATGAACGTCATTGTAATGGTCATTGTAGTTGGATTAAAGGTGGATTAGGGGAGAGTTAAGGGAAGTAAAGGGGGATGAAATGGCACATTTTGAGGGCGATTTTGGGAATTTGGGGAAAGGCGATTTTAGGTCAAGGAGGCAGAGGGGCAGTGAGGGAGGTGGGTGGACAAGGCGAGGGAGGTGAAGGGGCGAAAGAGGGCGATGAGGGAAGAAGATGGGTTGAGGAGAGGCGATTTTGGGGGTGGAGGGAGGAAGTGGAAAATGAGGATTTGGGTGAAGGACGCCGACGGAGGAGGTGATGGAGGGGGAGGAGGCAGGGAGCGAAGCGACCAGTGAAGGAGGGAGGTGAGAGAGTGAGTGGTTGAGTGGGTGAGTGGTTGAGTGGTTGAGTGAGTGGGTGAGTGGGTGGTTGAGTGGGTGGTTGAGTGGGTGGTTGAGTGGTTGAGTGGGTGGTTGAGTGTGTGAGTGAGTGAGTGATTAGGTGAGTGGGTGGTTGAGTTGGTGATTAGGTGAGTGGGTGAGTGGTTGAGTGAGTGGTTGAGTGGGTGGTTGAGTGGTTGAGTGGTTGAGTGAGTAGTTGAGTGGGTGATACACAGATCACACGTGAAGGCACGATTATGGTGAGAAGTACTTGACGTTGGCGAGTGCCTTGACGCGTGCGGCGGCGAGGAGGGACTGCGCGGCGATGCGGTGGCTTGCGGGCGATCTCAGGTGGGAGCGTATCCTCAGGACGTCGAGGCGGACGACGGCGACGTGCAGCAGGTACAGGAGCGAGAGCGACCAGAGGGCTAACAGCAGGTAGGAGAAGGGTGTACGAATAATCCATAGATATTCATCGCACTCTTTGAACAGCTTATCAAAATATGTGGAATGCAGCACATTATGTAATTGGTCACAGAAATGGGAACATGTCTTAGACTTATTCTCCTTATTCAACGCTGCTGCCGCTCCAAACGTAAATCCGTACTTATATAGCGTCGGCATCATGCCTCTGCATTGTACCATGGAATCGCAATGACAATTTGCTGAATTCGTTTTGTCGTCGACAAGTCCATGTTGTCCCCGTCTACATTTATTACCGTTAAGGCATTTGCTACATCCCCAGTCCTGGCAGAAGATGTCCTTGATAGCGTTGTACAGGCTTTCGAGGTAACTCCATAACGACCAAGGCAGATAAATGGCCCAGGAAAGGTACAGCTTGGAATGCGATTTGCCTAAGTAAGTGTAGTAATCGGAGCACAACGTATATACATAAGGGGCACACAGCGCATTGGAACATGCGGTGGCCATACAGAGACTTGACAAGCTGCCTTTTTTAGGTTCATCGTTATTGTCGCCAACACTAGTAGTGTGATATTTTGTAGCATCATGGCTAATTTGGCTGCTGCCATAAGCGTTGCTCAGCGCAGTGGTGAGGGTGGAGGCCTCTTCATAGAGGCTAATGGAACGGTCGTCGATAGCCTTTTTAACGGCATCTTTGATTGGATGACTACCACGGTCATTCCACTTATTAACAAGTGACAACGCAAATCCGAAGTGTTCTGGAAGTGTACTTGGTGCTTTGGGTGCAAGGCAGAATAGCGATGAAAGGTATGTGTCACCGAACAAGTTACGCAGCACGTTGCTTAGGTCTTCACCTCTACGTGTGATGCCTGAGATACCTCTGAATCCGAGAGGTGTTAAGCATGGCATTCCGGGTTTGCTGCCAGGACATGTTGTGCATTTTGGTTTGCAACCAATTCCGCTAAGCTGGTGAGGGAGGCAACCGACGAGACTGTCAGTGAGGTATGACTGAAGTGGCGACGTTGGTTGGCAATTTGGTTTGCTATTTGCCTGGCACTTTGATTGGCACGTAGGTTGACAATTTGATTCAGACTTTGAGTGCTTGGTACACTGCCATTTTGCTTGGGTTATGTTCTTGCCGAAGTGGCAGTCCCCCCAGCCGTAGTCTGATTCACCGACTCTGCACTGGAAAAACAAAAATCTGAGCGGTGGGAACATTCGACGCAATATATCTAATAACGCATCTAAGCACTCCGCGCCGCTTTTAGGATAATACAATTTCATGGAGTTATCATAGAAATCACAGGCGTACACCGTATCCTCGTCGCCGGTGCCGAGAACGGTCGTCAAGATGGACGATGATTTCGAACAAATATGGTCTAACAAATTCTCGAAATTACCATACGTGACTTTATGTGGATATGTATTTAGGAATGTATCTTTCATGTCAAACGCAACAAGGCCGTCAGTGTCGGCGCCAAGTGGATTATCTGGCTCCTCAAGCTTTTCGCTAATGCTCGATAGTAACGCAGAATAAACAGAGTTATGCGTGAGACCGGCACACCAGAGTAACATTTCATATACAGAACACGGCGGCTTGGTGGCGAATGAAGTGGCAATGTGACCGACAGCGTAGTAGTCTTGGAGGTATTCGTGCAGTAAGTCAAACGGTCCCTCCCCGTGCTGTCTGAAAACATGACTAAGTGATTCACCGGCGATGAGCTTATAAACCTCTTCACCTGTGAATTTCTTCTCATTCCGTAAATGTCCATTTTGCAATTTCGCAGAGCCTGCCACCTCATATCCACACTTTTGGAAGAAGTGACCAAGGGGATTTTCCATTTCTGTCTTAAGTTTCTCATTACCTCGATGAATTCTGAATGTCTTCCAACCCCTGTTGCATTTTTTCTTAAGTCTACCTAAGTCATCGAACAGAGTCTCCAGTAGAGACAAAAATGTCTTAGCGCAGTTCTTCCCATCAGCCTCCGACGTAAATTCAACTAGAGATGGATGTCCCTCGTATGTGTTCACATATGCATAGCTCAGTTGCTCCAGGAAATCCTGGAGGCCGGATTTGAGGACATCTAGTAGGGGACTGTCGTGCTCTGCGAACTTTGTAGGACGCATTGAGTGGAGGAAGTTGGTGAATAGATCACAATATGATGCACACGTTTTACTATAGAAACCTCCTGACAGCGCCGAAAATAATCGCCGAGTATGCATGTCAAGCCCATCGAAAAACTTCTCAATGGGATTCTTGGTGGACGGGGAGGGAGATGGTTGGACGGTGGGAGGGGAGGGCTGAGATGTGATTTTAGGTGCCACTCCTACACGGCCTGCTGGTACCTCATCAGTGTTCTTTTTAGGATCAACCGTAGTCGCAGCCGGCCGCGCTGTGTAACCGCCGCCGGAGATTGGGGGTGGGACTGGAGTGGTAGGGGTTGGGGGCTTGGTGTCTGGAAGGAGTTGGTATTTAATGTACTCCGTGACATAATCCATGTACCATTTCGTCGTTGTCGATGCCTTTGTAAATTCCTCTAAACGTGGGACTTCGGAAAGCGTTGGATGATGGCTTTGCATTCTTGACAGCAGGCCCTTGATTCCGTTCGCCAGATCCTTGTCAATTATATCTTTGATCTTTTTGGCCTGGCGTTCGACGAGTTTGTGCAGCGCGGAGAGGTCGGCGAGTTTTTGGTTGGTGAAGAGGGAGCGGATTTGCTTTGTAATGGTCTGATGGGCAGTTCGGGCGGCCATTTCAACATTATCGATGGCCGTTTTCACGTATGCATTGGCGTTTTTAGAGGCTTCAAGTATATCATGAATTTTGAATTTAATCTTTCTCTTTAACTGCTGCATTTTCGTTTCAGCTTCATTTCGCTTTCGCTCAATGGTACCGTCCTTTCGTTGTATGCCATATAATGTTGAAATGTCAATCTGGATATCGGCAAGTTTCTGCTGAATTGATCCTTGCTGGTCTGTTTGCTGCTCCACCAACAGCTTATCAAGCTCTGTAATTTTCTGGCCAATGGTTTGCAATGCTGCATCGATTTTTTGGCCATGGCTATCATTGCCAGACTTATTGAATTCGGTCTCGATTGAATTCGAACTTGCTATAGCTTCCTGTAAACTGACTTTGATGGTAGATGTTGTGAGGAAGGACTGCAGTTCAGAGGCGAATTTCTGGGACATACCATAAAGTGAAGATATCAGGGCTTTAACTGCGAATTGGAGAAAGTAATTGCCATCGTCGGAGTCTTGAATACCCAAAACCTTTGCCTCAATGGCTTTGGCTATATCCGCTGCAAACGTAAGGCTTCCATCAACTTCCCCTTCCTTAATTTTTTGATTGAGTTTTCCAGCAAATGATTCGCAGGCCTCTTTGACCTGACCAATTTTTTCAATGCCATCTTGGTTGATGTTTGTGATGGATGTGAATGCGTCGCCAATTTGTTGCTGAATGTTTTCCACAATTGCGCTTGCGATCTGTTTAATTGTTGGTTCGTCAAATGCATTATTACCTTCGTTTAATTTCCCATCCAGAGTATTCTCACTGAGTTTGCTTTTAATATACCCAACGTACTCCCCAAGCCAATGCTGAACCACAGCATGACTCATCGAAATGTCTTTAATCCACTCCTCCACCTTCTTGGTAAACGTATCTTTATTGAACTTCCAACCATAAGTTTTCATGCCCTCTATAATCTTCTGAAGCGCTCCACGATCTCGTACCTTATCATTATTAATCTTTTTAAGAGCTTCCGTAACGGTACTTTTGAGAGTGTTCCAATTACCATTTATATTGTCGCCGGCTTTTTTTGCATTATCTCCTACCTTACTTTTCAAAGTCTCAAATTCAGTGCGAGCCTGTCGGATAAACCTCTCGATCTCATTGGTCTTATATTCCAAAGTACCATATACCCTAATAAGTTCCCACTGTATCTCACCAAAATTGCCAATAATATTACAGCCATAATCACGATCAAAATCATGTTTCAAAAATATTTCGGCCATTTCAATCGCATTCATTATAATGCGGAATTGTTTATCCTTCACATTTCTCAATTCCCCGATCATTTTATATATTTTATCGAACTGCGTAGCCAACGTCTCATCAACAACGTTGATCTGAGCCACAAGGGCTGCTTCCTTGGCCGTCTCACCCAGCATCTTAACGGCCTCCTTAATCGGCCGTAACTCAACATTTAATTTATGTTTAAGTGCGCTATCCAGTGAGTTAATGTGCTTATATTCAATATTATTGATGTCATTAAATATGCTAGGTAACGTCTCCTGCCATGCCTTGAGTTGATCTTGAAGCTTGTCGTTCTCCATCCTTGAGACTTGAGTATAATACATACCTGCACCAGATGAAATATCACTACTCAACTTACCTATAAGTACAGATAATCCATCGGTCACTGCTTTTGTCTTGCTATCAACTTCATCATTATAATTCCCCAACCACTCCTTCACCTTGGTGACAGACACCGAAAGGCCAACACGGCCGGAGCCAATTAATGAACATAAATCACGAAGAACATTGTCAAGTCTACTACCTGAATCAAGCATATTATTGTATGTTGTAACACTCTCATCATCCCTCACACTCTGAAGAACACCATGAAGGAAAGACATCATCCCGTCGCAGAGCCTGTCAAGGTCGGAGTACACAATTCCTTCTCCGGTGTAATTACCATCTTTGAGGCCGAGAAATTTTTCGAGGCCTGTGCAGAGGTTATTTAATAATGTTGTAGAAGGATTATTTTAGGCACGTTTTTAGGGCGATTTGGGGGATTTGGGGAAAGGCGATTTTAGGTCAAGGAGGCGGTGAGGGAGGTGGGTGGACAAGGGAGGGATGTGAAGGGGCGAAAGAGGGCGATGAAGGAGGAAGATGGGTGGAGGTAAGGCGATTTGGGAGGTGGAGGGGGAAGGTGGAAAATGAGGATTTGGGCGAAGGACGCCGACGGAGGAGGTGAGGGAGGGGGTGATGGAGAGGGAGCGAAGCGACCAGTGAAGGAGGTAGGTGAGTGGTTGAGTGAGTGGTTGGGTGAGTGGGTGAGTGAGTGGTTGAGTGGTTGAGTGATACACAGATCACATGTGAAGGCACGATTACGGTGAGAAGTACTTGACGCTGGCGAGTGCCTTGACGCGTGCGGCGGCGAGGAGGGACTGTGCGGCGATGCGGTGGCTTGCGGGTGATCTCAGGTGGGAGCGTATCCTCAGGACGTCGAGGCGGACGACGGCGATGTGCAGCAGGTACAGGAGCGACAGCGACCAGAGGGTGAGCAGTGTTAGCATAAATGGCCATCTGATTTTGCATAGGTAGTCAGGAATTGTCCTGTATACAAATTCTGCAAGTACATGTTTTGATTTTTCTTTCTTGTCAATAACATTTTCTAATGCTTTGCACAAATCCTTGCAGGTGCGTTTAGTGGTTTGATCTGCTAGGCTCTTGCAGTCCCTATACACGAAGCCATGTTTGAAGAATGTCGGACGCATAAGGTTGCAATGTACTATGGAATTACATGACGCATTGTGCGTAGAGGCTACAGACATCTTTGCGTCTTTAGCTTCGCAGTCTGTGCTACATTTACTAATTCTGCACTTAGACGTTGCGGAGTCGCAGTTTTTGCAACATTCCTCGTACAATTTTTCAAGCAACTCGAGGAATGACTCTGTCAAGTAAACAATCCATGAGACATATTTATCATTGTTCTTAGCAGCAAAAAGGTCACATCTATAATAGCACAGTGGTCTTAAATATGGACCGCATGGAAACGCGGCACTAGACTTACCATTATACTTGCAGTTCACAAGTGAATAGAGATCTCCCTTCAGATGTGGCATGTTCTGGTCGGAGCCATGATCACCACTCTTGAAAAGTGGACGAATGTCCAACGTTGCATCGGTGCGTTCGAAGTTTGCGCCGTTTACAGTATATTTTAATTCACGCTCTACAGTCTTATTCCACCCATTCAGGAAAGTATTGTAAAAGCCGAACATGTCATCTAACGTTTTGGGAGCACTAGGCAGCAGACAGTTCAGGAGGCTGCAGAGTCTACTGAAAGCAGACCATTCACCACTGCAAACATCAAAAAGCGCTTCTCTTATATGCCTACCAGTTTGCCTATGCGATGCCATGTGACTAATATCTGAGAAACCCATCGGCGTTTTACATGGTAAGTTAAAGTGCGGTTTTACTGAACACTCAAGTTTGCCTCTCTCAGATTTGAGGCTGTGCGGTAGGAAGCCTTGCAGACCATCTTCGAGGAAGGACTGTAATGGCGATTTCACACCGCAACTAACACTTTGGTTGCACTTTTGGTTACATGTTTGCTTATGTGTTTGGTTGGCAATTTGGTCACCTGATTGGTTGGGACATTGGAGGGTATTACACTTCCATGCTGTACCACCAATATCGTGACCATACCAACAGTCTGACCAACCACTAAGCTTACTGTCATGCATACATTGTCTATACAGGAAATAAAGTTGGTCGTGAAGGCGTTTTACGATCTCAAATAGCATACATATTAAGCTGTTCATGTCAGAAGGATACGAGAATTTATCTTCGTTAGTGTTGAAGTCGACGGCGTAGATGCCACCTGCGTGGCCGTGGCCGAGTAATGTAGTGAGTACTGAGTGGGCGTGTGAACATGCTTCTGCAAGTGCTTCATACAGTTTTGGAACTGTGATCTTCTCTTTGTACGCATCCAGCGATTCTTCATTTTCGTCTTTGAGAGTGATACGGCTTTCGTCTGTGTCGCCGTTGTCGACATCGACAGACAGACTCTCATCGCCAGTGTCCGTGTCCTGCTCCTCTGGCTTATCAAGCAGGCTGCCAAAACCGTTAAGTGACAAGTCGTCATATACGGGATTATATGGTAAGCCTGCCAACCACAGAAGCATTTGGTACACGGAGGATGGATATGTCTTGGACTGTAATGTGGAGTAGTGGCAAACACGGTAGTAGATGAGAAGATTGTCGCAGATATGTTTGAGAGTGCTAATGACGTTGTATTCGTCACGTTCGGTTATAGTTGGAATGGTAAGTTTTGCAAAAATTTCATTACCGTTCATATATTTAGAACATCTCAACTCGTCGTCCTGCACGTCTTCCCTGGATGGAACTCCGTAACCGAAACGCTTCAGACATAAACCGAGATCATTGATGCTTCCATTGCCATTCTTAAGGCATATCTTTCTATTCTTCCAATTCGTCTCACATTGATGCTTGAGCTCATTAAGATCATGACTAAATATCTCCAGTATGGTCAGGCAGACCTTGGCGCAGCTGCGGCCCTCGGTGGTTAACTCCATCTCAGTGTCCGAAGGAGACTGAGATCCGGAAGCGGGGGCATCAGGTTTTTTAGGTAATTGTTTAGTTAACTCAGTGAATTTCATCCCGGAATATTTATTCACGTACGCGTGGGAGAGTTGCTCGGTGAATTTGTCCATGCCGGCCTTGAGGGACTGAAGGACGGGCATGGAGATCTCGGAAAAGGATAAACATTGAAGTTGCGACACTGCTGTTTTAAGGTCGTCAAGCAGTATTTCAAAAGTGTGATCGTAATGTTCTTTATCAATATGGACAAGGAATTTTTCGAGTTTCTCAAGGATGCTGTTGACTTTAGAAGAGTAGTGGTCCCTGTCAGGTGTTAGAGGCGCAGTGTCGAACACTTTCTTAATATCATTATGTATATAAATTAGGAATGAACGTTGGTATGATTTTACGTGTTCTACTAATTTAGTGAAATCTGTTTTATTGTACGGAGGCTTCTTAGTTAATACACTTTCTAGACCTTCAAGCAACTTAATATTTTGCCCTTTGTTGCCGTACATTTTATTGAGCATCCCCTTCACGCCCGTGACTGCGTCCCGCGCGATTATTGTTTGCACGGCTTGCAGTTGGTCGTCGACGAGCGTGCGCAGGGCCTGGAGGTCGGCGGCGTGGGAGGTGGAGAAGAGCTTTCTAATGTTATCGGTCACATTTCGGAATGCGTCTGATACGGTAGAGAGGAGGGTGGATTTGAGGTGCGATACATTGTTGGTGATAGCCGCACTGGCATATGACAACGCGGATCGTACGTCTTTGATGGCCTGTGTTAGGTTTCTGTCTGCGTCGCTAACTGCGTTAAAGACTCCATTAATTTTATCGAATATATCATCTCTCAATGTGTTCATTTTCTTCAGCGCTTCTTCTTGCGCGGCGTCCACAACGCCGGGAAGCTCTTCCAGCTTGTCTATTTTTTTAAGTATGGCGGATATGGCATCAGTGGTAACGTCTTTAGCAATCTTTATTCTGATATCCGCAATTTGTTGCCTAATTTTGGCGAGTTGGCCGTCTATATTATCCGTCCTCAGTTGATTAAAATACCAGTTGACTTTTTGTGAAGCGTCCGCAAAGGCCGTTATCATCTCATCCAAGTTGGAGGTGACATCGGCTGCATGCCGTTCAATCGCTTTGTGCGCCCTGGTGGCTTCCTTTTCAAGTTCAACGACATTGCTGTCAACAGTGTAAAGAGCCGTAATTTCTTTATTTCGCTTAATAGTATTATGGAACTTCTCAATACCTCTGTCTGCCGCGGCCGTCAGCAGTTTTTCGACTTGGTATTTAACATCGTCTGCGATGAATTTTTCTTCAATCGCCTTAACAACTTTGGCGAACTTACTGCTGCCGCCACCAGGTTGAGTAGCCGCATTGTTAAGATCAACAGAAAGCCCGTTGGCAGTTTTGTACGCTTCATCCACATTCTCTGCAAATTTTATTTTTATGTTGGTACCCGGCTCCAGCATGAATGATTTCAGTTCTCCGGCAACTTGCTTGGCGGTTGCGTAGAGAGCAGGGAGAGCATATTCGACGGCATATGATAGATCATCATCGTCACTGGTCACGCCAGAGCCCATTTTAACTGCCGCCGGAATCGAGGAAACGATCGCCTCATATTCTTGAGATTTTACTCTGCTCCCAAGATGCTGCGCAAATCTCTCACAAACCTGCTGTATCGCTGTGACATTTTTTGTAACGTTGTTGGTGGAGTCAACGGTGGCAAATGGTTTTGCGTTCCCAATTTCTCCAGCAAGAGAAGTCCTGATGGCACCTGCTATTTGATTAATAGCCGTTACATAATCGCTATCGTCAGCCTCACTACTAATATTCCTTTTCCCTAACCATGCATTAACCCAGCCTTTAACCATCTCATTCTCTTTCAAAATCTCGCCAATCCATCCCTCCACTATTTTGTCAAAATTTTCTTTTGTCGAGAACCCCGTAACATACTCCTTCACTCTTTCTCTAATCCCCTCCAGGCCTTCATATTTTCCGAGACTTCCTGGGCCTTTAATTGTATCGACTTCCGATTTAACTTGTGTAAAAATCCCCTGCACATGTGCCTCTAAATTACGCTTTAGAACATCTTTAAGCGCATTGATATGACTTATAAGATTCCACTCCCCATCTTTCTGAAATGGATTAATATCAAATTTAGGTACAGCTTGATAAACTGATGTAGGTATCTCCTTAAGCTTACCTCTTGCATCTACAACTTTCTTTACCTCTTCCTTTAACTTGTGTTTTAACTGATAAAATTTGCCATACAACATTCTGGAGTCTCCATCGATCTGCTGAAGCGCGTCTGTAATACCGCTCTTCTTGTCATTCCCAACCTGTTTGTGTATTATTTCCCCAATCTCCTTCTCAGCTGCTTCAATGTGTTTTATTGTTTTACCCATGAATCGATCCAAGCAAATGTCATTACCGTGTAAACTATTACACATTTCTGTAAGCGTCGCCTTAACCTTTTCAACATCCATTTCGAGAGGGCATTTACTCGTGGCATCATTCGTGGTTATTTCCGTCATATCACGTTTTAAACTACCAATTATCTGAAGTATCACCCTCCTATACTCATTGTCAAACGCCGTGACTAACTCTTGAGACGCCTTATTCAGGCTTGCATTAATCTTATCAAAATGATATATCTTACTCTCCCTAAGAGTACGTAATCTTGTCACCATATTATTAACATGTTCATCTAACGCCACCTGCACGGCATTAGTCTCCACATTAATAGCATGAATGATATCATCTTTCTGTACAACTAAATGCTCATCTACCAGTGCCGCGTGGCCCATGTATACCTGAATCTCAGCACTCTTTATCAACTGCGCCACCACCTTCTGCACGGGCTCAATTTTACGCCTAATCTTATCGCTAAGTGCGGGGTCTAATTTAGAAACATTAGTGATTATGTTGTCGTTAATGTGAGTATTAATGTCCTCCACTGTCTTGGTCCATGTCTTCAGTTGCTCCTTGAGTGGCTTGCTTGAGTCACTTGAGACACTTGTAACATATTTACCTGAATGAGATGTTAAATCACTAAGTAACGTACCTAATTCATATGACACTCCTGTAGTCCTGTCATTCACCTGCATCCAATATTTCTTAAGCCACTCACTTACCTCTTGAATCTTGTCACCAAACACACTGCGTCCCTGGCCAATTGAAGATTGGAGATGTTGAAGGACAGTATGTAAATGTTCATTATTATTTGATGATTTAATGTAATTATTGTATGTTATAACGTTATCATCATCCTTCACACTCTCAAGAACACCATGAAGGAAAGACATCACCCCGTCGCACAGCCTGTCAAGGTCCGAGTACACGATGCCAGTGCCATCGTAGCCTTTGGAAGTTTCTTGGTAACCAAGGAACTTCTCCAAGCCAGAGCACAAATTTGTTAAAAGGTTTTTACAATTGTTATCATTTTTACTAAGAGAATTCAAAGACTCATTAAGGCTCTTCAGCTTCTGAAGAGCATCCAACTTGGACTGATGAGAGGATAAAAGGCGAGACTCTTCAGAGGAGAGGGGAGGATTTGGGGAATTTTCAGTAGGTTTAAGACGCTTTTTAAGGTCTTCATAATGCCTAATTTGCTGAGTAAGCTCAGCATCATTTATAAGCCCAGCAGACACGGGAGCGGGAGGATGCGCAGTCGAAGACTGAGACTTTCTAAGGCTTTTGAAGTCATCATCACTGTCAATAATGATGTTAATACCATCATTAATTGCTTTAGTAACAGCCTTTTCAGGGCCAATAAATCCACCAAGCTTGACACTGAGCTCAGCGAGAGACACCATCCTGGAGTGGACGTCCTTAAGCTGAGCAGTCCTGTCAGACTCAGAAAGGGAATGATACTTGGCAACATGATCTTTCAATTGGGATTTAAGTTCGTCGATTTTAGAGTCATTTTGTGAGTTACCAGTGGATTTATCAGAATTTTTAAGCAAGTCAATTTCGTCGTTAAGAGACTGACAGTGGGACTTAGGAGAGTTATCAAAGGAGTAATGTCCGAGACAATTAAGGTGAGAGAAGCAAAGTGAAAAAAGAGTTCAAAGGCGATTAGAGGAGGTGAAATAGGACACTTTTGGAGAATTTTAGAAAATTTTAGGTCAAAGGAGGCAGCAAGGAAGTGAAGTGGTGGACAGGGTGAAGTTAGAAGGGCGAAAGGCGATGAAGGAAAGATGGTTGAAATAAGATTTTAAAGAGTGGAGGGAAAAAATGAAAATGGGATTTGGGCAAGGACGCCGACAAGAAAGTGAAAAGAAAAAGTAAAGGCAAAGACAAAGCGACCGTGAAGAGGAAGGTAAGTAAGTGGTTAAGTGGTTAAGTAAATGGTTGAAGTAAATGGTTGAGTGGTTAAGTAAGTGAGTGGTTGAATGGGTGGTGAATTAAGTGAGTGTGTTGGATGGTTAAAATGCGTGGTTAAGTAGTTAAGTGGATTGAGTGGGTGGTTGAGTGGGTGGTTGAGTGGGTGAGTGAGTGAGTGGGTGGTTGAGTGGGTGGTTGAGTGGGTGGTTGAGTGGGTGGTTGAGTGGGTGGTTGAGTGGGTGGTTGAGTGAGTGATTAGGTGGTTAGTGATTAGGTGAGTGGGTGAGTGGTTGAGTGATTAGGTGAGTGGTTGAGTGGGTGATACACAGATCACACGTGAAGGCACGATCATGGTGAAAGTACTTGACGTTGCCGAGTGCCTTGACTCTTGCGGCGGCGAGGAGGGACTGCGCGGCGATGCGGTGGCTTGACGGCGATCTCAGGTGGGAGCGTATCCTCAGGACGTCGAGGCGGACGACGGCGATGTGCAGCAGGTACAGGAGCGACAGCGACCAGAGGGCTAACAATGTTAGGGAGAATGGTTCCCTTATTTTCCAGAGGAAATCTGGTATGGTGACGTATATTAATTTGGCAAGTGGAGCTTCAACGTTTTTATCTTCATTGAGAACGTTTTTCAGCGCCTTGCAGAAATCCTTACATGTGCGTTTCTTTCCTGCGCCATATTCACCATTTAGGCTTTCTGCGTTGCCATATGTGAAACCATGTCTATACAGTGTCGGAAGTGTGTTTTGGCATTTAACAATCGAGCGGCATTCTGAATCATGGTTACATGGCGTTGATGTTTTAGAGGACACTGGACACTTCTTAACACAGCACTTGTTGTGGCAATTGGATCCCTTCGCACCGCATTTAGCATCGCACTCGTCGAACAATTTCTTAAGCAAGTCGTAAAACGTCTCCGTCAAGTAGACGATCCACGACAAGTAATTGCTTTTATGCTTGGATGAAAATATGCGGTAGATATTTAATGTTAGTGGTTGAACAAAGAGCCCACATGAATTTACTGAATCAGATGTGCAGGTTGATATGCTGTACAAATCACCCTTTATGTCGCTATCTACGTGACCAATACTACCATACAACGGGCTGGGATCAAAGGGATGTTCTTGACCGAAGTAGGCTTCGGTAACGGCGTCCTTAAGTGCTCTTTGCGTATGCACCGGCGATTCTTTGTTTCCATAAAAGCCACCAGTGTAATCCATGATGAAGCCCTGGTAAAACGCAAACATGTCACCAAGGTTTTGTGGAGCACGATGCGTAAGGCACACTAAGTAACCACATAGTTTGCTAAGAGGCTTCTCTGAATCACCGCATAAATCACGAAGCACTCTCATAAGACGTTCACCTTTCTGTGTTTGTGACGCCATTGTGCTGATCTCCCCAAATCCCATCGGAGTCTTGCACGGGATGCCTCGGTGGTTGGTAACTGAGCAAGTTAATTTGCAACCAGGAGAGGTAATTGAATGAGACAAGAAGCCTTGTAGACCATCTTCCAGAAAAGATTGGAAAGGGATTTCAGTCCGCAGTCACTGTGTTGGTTGGCTGTTTGCTTGACCGCTTGGTTGTGCTTTTGGTTACATGTTTGGTCAGCACATTGGAGGTAGTTACACCGCCAGCTGGACCCACCGACGTGCCGGCCGTAGTGACAGTCACGCCAGCCGCTGGTGCTTTTGCCACGGAGGCACTGCGTCAATACGAAGTAAAGTTGCTGGTATAGTCTTTGCAATATATCTAAGAGCATATCAAAACATACAGCAGCGCTACTGGGATACGATAGATTACTCGAGTTATTAAAGTGATCAACGGCATATACACCGTCAGCATGGCCGTAACCAAGCACGGCGATCAGCGGTTTTCTTGCGTTTTGGCATACTTTCTTAAGCAATGTTATTAAGCTACTATAGGTGATTGTCTCCGGATGAGCATCTAATTTCAGTAGTGCACTGGGTATATCCGAATACTTCGAATCTTTATACCCGTCAGGTTTGCCAAACAGTTCCATCAAATAATCACAAACTTTCTCAAACATGTAATTGTATTGCAAGCCACTACACCACTGGAGCATCTGGTAGATGTTAGACGGTGACTTGGGTTTTTCCGGGATGTAATGGTGACACACCTCGTTGTAACATTCGAGGTTGTTGTAAAGCCTCTTAAGGACACTGTAATTTTGTACACTCGTCTGGTCTACATAGTCATCATAGTCGTCAACGATTCTGTACGTTTGACTACTCTGGCCGTGTTGCTTCGTCATAAGATCATAAATATGCTCACCCTTTAACTTCGACTTGTTCCTCAACTCACCGTCGTGGCCATCATTTTCATTGGACACCCTGTAACCGGAGTTCTTGAGGAATGTTCCAAGGCCGGTATTAGAATATATAGTATTAGACGTCCACTTTTCTGGGCAGCGCTTTCGGAGGTTCCTCATGTCTCGGAACAATATAAAAAGGACTGTGGCACATACTTTAGAACACTTCCTACCATAATCCCTCAGCGTTATGATTGTGGTATTATTTGAGGGGGTTAATTCATATTTAGCGTCGACTAAGTTTTCCGTGAATTTCTGACTATCATACCTATTGACGTACGCGTGTTTCAACTCGCCGGTAACGCCAAGCATCCCTTTCTTCAGGGCGTCGAGCAATTCGGGATTCTGGTGGCCGGCGAATTTTTCGGCGGACAGGGCGTTGACTGCGTCGGTGAGTGCGGAGAGTTTTAGTTGGAATTCATAGTCGAAGTTGTAGAGTTTGTCAGATTTGGAGAGGTGGGAGAGTAATTTGTCGACGGCCTTTTGAATTTCTGCAACTTTCTTGGACTCCTCGCTATCTTCTTTCTCTCCCTTCTTCGCCTTGCTCGGCGTCTTGACCTGTTCGGTGGTGTAGGAGAGGAGGGTGTCAAGCAGAACCTTGAGATCATCGGAGACGGATTTAACGTCCGTCAGATTATTTGACACAAACTGTTTTGGGTTGTCTGGCAACCACATTCTAATTTTAGTTAGGAAACCCTTGATTCCGTTTGCCAGATCCTTGTCAATTATATCTTTGATCTTTTTGGCTTGGCGTTCGACCAGTTTGTGCAGCGCGGAGAGGTCTGCGAGTTTTTGGTTGGTGAAGAGTAATCTGGTTTCGGAGGTTAGTTTTTCGAATGCTGTTTTTACTATCTGGGTAAGCTCATTTATAAGGTGGGAGATGGCTTGCGTTAAATTTTGATACGCTGAGCGAACACTATTTTCTGCATCAAGAATTGCATTTCCTATATCTCTGCCGGCTGTGTTGGCATTTATTTCTATGTTACCAATTCTATCCAACAGATCACGTTTCAACTTCTCCATTTCCGTCTCTGCCCCGCTTTTCTGGGTTGCGACGTCTTCGGGGAGTTCTTTTAGATTTTTTAATTCTTCCTCAATTTGCTTAACGGCGTTGACCAATGCTTCTCTGCCTGCCTCGAACGGCGGCATTATAGTCTTAATCTCTATGCTACCACCCGGGCCAAGCTGATTAACACTATGTGTCATCGCTGTTTTTGCCGCTAACAATATTTCTACCTTAGCGGCGTGGTTGAAATTGTCAACTTCTTTGGCAAGATCTTTTGCAACTTGCTGAGTGAATATGTTTTCGAGATGATCCACATTCTGCTTTATTGCTAAAATCGATGTGTTAAGGGTTTGGGCGGGGCTTTCCTTTTGGTCGGCGGTGCGTACGGCCGGACTAGTCGCGTAATAAAGCTTCCTAAAAAGGTCGTCAACTTTACCACTAACATCATCCACCTTTTTTGCCAAGTCCACTTTGTCGGCCAACCAAGCGAATTGGTTGCCGGCTTTCGTCGCCACAACAAGGAGCTGAAGGAGCGTTGAACGGACGGCAGGTGCTAGACTAGAAGCGTCATGGCGTCCGTTGAGATGTGAATCCAGCACAGATGAATCTTGTTTAATCACGTCGGCTACGTTAGAGGCAGTAATTCCGTTTTGCTCAATCTGTTCTCGAAGCTTCTCGGCGAAACTGTCGCACGCCTTTTTCACGGCGTCAACATATTCTTTAATAATTTCGTTGGATTTCTCGGCTTTAGCAATACCATATTTTACTATTCGACCGGCTCCCTCGATTTCACCGCTTAGCTTGGTTTTAATAACACTCTTAATTGCCTGCTCGACTTTAGGTATAAGGGTCGCAGCTCCAAGCGATTTCTTATAATAATTCCTTGCCTGGTTATCCTTAACGTAATAACTAATCCCACTGCTAACCGTCTTATTCTCCTTCAATATATGTTCCACCCACTCTTCTACCTTCTTTTCAAATTTTTTCTCTTTAAAACCTTCTGCGTGTTGTGTCACTGTCTTTTTTATATCCTCCAGGCCATATGTTTTCCCCTCAATTCCCTCAACCTTATCTTTAATATGCATTATAATATGTTTTATTGTTTTCGTTTGCTTTACAGCCCCCGTTGTGCCAGTAACACTATCATAAAGGTCTCCAATTGCATTGTAAACGGCCTCCACCAAACTACTAAGTTTATCAACAATCGCCTTCTTAAATAAAGCTTCAAGATTCCCCGCAGCTGCCGAATTAGTTTGGCTTCTAGAACTTGTGATTTTTTCAAGTGATTTTTTTGCTTGCGCAAGATCTTCCAGCTGCTTACCAACAATATTATCATAGGCACCGACCTGGTCGGTAACTTTGTCTACCAGGCCACTAATCCTCTCCCTCAACGCCTGCAACCCATTACGCACGTTGCCTTCTAACAAGCCGACCTCGGTTTTCACTGCTTGAAAACTTTTCTGAAGCGTAGTGCTGTTGGCATCGTTGATGTAATTATCAAGTTGTCTTCTAATACCGATAAAACACTCGATCACCTTGTCTTTAAAACTGTTACTATAGTCACCGAATTCGCTTTCAACCGTTCCTTTCGCCATTGCAATGGCTTCTCTAATTTTCCCGAGGTGCGCTCTATTATTGTCACCTAAGCTACCAAGGTGCTCAAAAATTTTATTTATTTCATGTGTCACAGTGCTCTTTACCCTTTCGGTCTGCGCCTCTATAGCGTTTTCAATTCTCATCCTCTGCTTCTTCAACTGCTCCTCCACATGTGCTGCCTGGCCAGCAGACACCGTCTCATCAGCACACTCATTCAGCGTTCTAACAGCACCACCAATAGCATTCATTTCATTACGTAATTTATCTCTAAGATTAGGATCTATGTTGCTAACGTGATTATCTATAGTGTCTACATTGTACTGAATCTTGCCAATCGTGGATTGCCACTCCCTCAACTGCACTTGCAGCTCCTTCCCTTCTTGCTTCTCGACTTCCTTGTAGTATTTACCTGCACCAGATGATAATCTCTTAATCAACTCACCTAATTTAGTCTTCACCTCTCCAGTCTTGTCATTCACCTGCATCCAATATTTCTTAAGCCACTCACTTACCTCTTCAACCCGCTCACCAAAGACACTGCGTCCCTGGCCAATTGAAGATTGGAGATGTTGAAGGACAGTATGTAAATGTTCATTGTTGTTTAATTTAATGTAACCATCATATTTCTTAACGCTCTCATCATCCTTCACACTCTCAAGAACACCATGAAGGAAAGACATCACCCCGTCGCAGAGCCTGTCAAGGTCGGAGTACACAATTCCCTCTCCGGTGTAATTACCATCATGGTAGCCGAGAAATTTTTCGAGGCCTCCACAAAGGCTCTCTAAAATATCTTTTGGAGTTTTACTTTTATTACTTTCAAAATCATCACAATGTTGACAAAGCCTTTCTAGACTGTTGAGAGACCTCATAGACTTCTGATGAGAGTCAAGGGATTTTGCATCTTTTTCAGGGAAATCATTTTGTGCATCTTTAAGGTCCTTTTCATGTTTTTCAAGTTCCTTTTTAAGGCTTTCAACATTTTTTGGCTTAGCATCAATTTTCTTTTTAAGCTCATTCACTTCAGATTGAAGGTTATCAACATCTTTTTTCTTTTTCTGAAGGTCATCAATTTTCCTTTGAACAGCGGAAATTACAGTTGTAATTTCCTTTTGAAGCGTGGAACTTAATTGGAAAATTTCTGATTTAACACGCTGTAATTTAGCATTAAGCTCCTTAATCTCAGACTGACCGTCGGACGGCGTCCTTAAGGACGCCTTATTTTTTTCATCCTTTTGCTTTTGAAGGCTATCAATTTTTGTTACAATTTCATCATATTGCTTAAATGTATCTTGAAGATTTTTAAGATGTTCATCACTGAAATCCTTAATATTACAACACCCCTCCCCTCCGCAAGACGTTTTTAAAAGCCCAATAAGCTGATTTACATTGCTGTGCAAACCATTCAACAATGCTTTTTGAATTTCTCCACTTCCACCAATAAAACCGGACAGCTGTCCAGCAAGCTGACCAAGAGAGATACGGCGGGCATCGATATCATCCAAGGCTATCTGTCTGGCAACGTCAGTAAGGTAATGAACATCATTGTAATGGTTATTATAGTTGGATTAAAGGTGGATTAAGGGAGAGTTAAAAGAAGTAAAGGGGGATGAAATGGCACATTTTCAGGGCGATTTAGGGGAATTTGGAGAAAGGCGATTTTAGGTCAAGGAGGCAGCGAGGGAGGTGGGTGGACAGGGTGAGGGAGGTGAAGGGGCGAAAGAGGGCGATGAAGGGGGAAGATGGAAAATGAGGATTTGGGTGAAAGACGCCGACGGAGGAGGTGATGGAAGAGAAGGTGAGGGAGGGAGCGAAGCGACCAGTGAAGGAGGAGGTGAGTGAGTGGTTGAGTGGGTGAGTGGGTGAGTGGTTGAGTGGGTGAGTGAGTGAGTATGTGGGTGGGTGAGTGGTTGAGTGGTTGAGTGAGTGGGTGAGTGGTTGAGTGGGTGATTAGGTGGTTGAGTGGGTGGTTGAGTGGTTGGGTGGGTGAGTGAGTGAGTGAGTGAGTAGGTGGGTGAGTGAGTGAGTGGTTGAGTGGTTGAGTGGGTGATTAGGTGGTTGAGTGGGTGGTTGAGTGAGTGAGTGAGTAGTTGAGTGGGTGGGTGAGTGGTTGAGTGGTTAGGTGAGTGAGTGGGTGAGTGGTTGAGTGGGTGAGTGGGTGGTTGAGTGGGTGAGTGGGTGGTTGAGTGAGTGGGTGGTTGAGTGGGTGGGTGAGTGGTTGAGTGAGTGGGTGGTTGAGTGAGTGAGAGGGTGAGTGGGTGGGTGGTTGAGTGAGTGAGTGGGTGAGTGAGTGGGTGAGTATGTGAGTGGGTGAGTGGTTGAGTGATTAGGTGAGTGGTTAGGTGAGTGAGTGGGTGGTTGAGTGAGTGGGTGGTTGAGTGAGTGGGTGGTTGAGTGAGTGGGTGAGTGGTTGGGTGAGTGGGTGGGTGAGTGTGTGGTTGAGTGTGTGGTTGAGTGAGTGAGTGGTTGGGTGATATACAGATCACACGTGAAGGCACGATTATGGTGAGAAGTACTTGATGTTGCCGAGTGAGTTGACGCGCGCCGCTGCGAGGAGCGACTGGGCGGCGATCCTGTGGCTTGAGGGTGATCTCAGGTGGGAGCGTATCCTCAGGACGTCGAGGCGGACGACGGCGATGTGCAGCAGGTACAGGAGCGACAGCGACCAGAGGGCTAACAACGTTAGCATAAATGGCCATCTGATTTTTAGGAGGAAATTCGGAATCGTTATATTGGTCAAATCGCCAAGTGCATTTCCCTTTTGCAAAACCATATTTAACAAAGTGCAGAAATCCCTACATGTACGCTTGGTTACTGGCTCATACGTACCCGCGAGATCAGATGAGTACCCGAAAGTGAATCCATATCTGCACAAGGTAGGCATAGTTGTTTGGCAATTGACTATGGATATGCAACTGTCACTGTGACTGGAGTTGGTTGGCTTTCTGCCAACATTACATTTTTGTGAACAAGGAGCCTTACGGCATTTCGGCTTGTCACCGCCACACGTCTTACAACAATCATCGTATAATTTTTTGAGTAAATCGTAAAATGTTTCAGTAACATATACAACCCACGAAAGGTATTTGTTGACGTGCTTGTCGGAAAATATACTGCATATGTCTACACAAAGAGGCCGGAGATATGGACCGCAGGGGTGAACGGCGGTAGTCGTTGAAGCACCCTTGCATTTTACAAGAGAGTACAGGTCCCCATTGGGGTGAGGCAAATCTTGCATGGTGCCATGATCCGTGCTCATAAACAATGGAGTGATGTTCAACTCCGTGTTAGGGTTTCCGAAATTGGCCTGCACGACGGCGTTGTTAAATGCTGTGTCTTTATGATTCATGTGACTGCTGCCGTTGGCGTGCCATATAGCAACAAAATTATAATAAAATGCAAACATCTCTCCAAGTGTCTTCGGCGCAGCTGGCAAAAGAACATTCAGTAGGTTGCACAGATTACTGAGGTGAGAAGATGCGCCGCCACAGAATTCACCAATGACATCAAATATGAATTGCCCAGTATGTCTACGGGAGGCTGTAATACTAATATCACCGAAGCCCATGGGCGTTTGACACGGTTGGCCAGACGTCTTTGGACAATTAGTACATGAAAGACCAGAGCCGTTGGCTGTTACATTATGTGGCAGGAAACCAGGAAGACCATCCTCCAAAAACGATTGCAGTGGTGATTTAATGCCGCACTTGGGGTGTTGGTTACAGCTTTGGTTAGCTGTTTGGTTAGTGTTTTGGTTGGCTCTTTGGTCACACTGTTGGTCACACGTTTGTTCAGCATACGTCAACGTATTACACTGCCAGCCGGAAGCACCGACGTACCTACCGTATGTGCAGTCACGCCAGCCACTGAGCTCGGTTTCATATGAACACATAGTATATAAAAAGTGTAGTTGGCTATGGAGGCGTTTGACGACATTCATCAATAAGCATATTAGTGTTGTCATGTTCGTTGGATAGAGTAAGTTAAGGTCATTGGTGCTGAACTGGCACGCGTATATACCGTCAGCGTGGCCTGTGCCGAGTATAGCAACTAATACATTTTCGGCATAGGAACATGTTGAGTGCAGTGATTCCGTGAGGTCACGTGGCCTAATGGTTGACGTGCCGACTAGTTTAAGTAGGCGAGGATCAATGTCCTTATACGATCTGTCCTCCATGCCTTTCGGCTTGCCAAACAACTCGTTAAAGTATGTACAGAGTGAACGACGCACAGGACTATACCATAAACCGGTGACCCAGCACAACATCTGGAATATATTACACGGTGGTTTGGCACCGTCTATATGGCGGAGCTGAGTGACAGCGTAGTAACTGTGGAGATGGTCGACAAGTTGTTTAAGCAGACTTTTATTATTTTCCTTCACATTCTCATTCTCCTCTCCATTGTTAACGAGGTAATACTTCGTATTATCCTCGCCAGAAATATCGGCAATAAGTTTGTCGTAAATATTCCAACCTTCAAGGCCGGCATTTTTTAATTCCCCTTCATGGGAATCACCGAACTTCGAAACACGGTAACCGGCCTTATCGAAAAAGCCTCCGAGTTCATTGCTGAAATTTATGTTATACGTTGTCCAATCACCATTATGTTTACAGTATTTCCTAAGCTTACTCAAATCATTGAAGCATGTCGGCAGACACGTTAGAAAAACCTTGGCGCACATTTTGGCTTCCTCAGTTGGTAGAGTTTTCTTAGATTTACGGTCGCGGTACTCCCAACTAGCTATAGGCGGAGCGCCATCATAGCTGCTAACATACGCATAGCCTAGCTGTGTGGCCAGGGCATTGAGCCCATCTTTCAAGGCATCAAGCAATATGGAACACGGCTCAGAGAATTTCTTAGGTTCGAAGTTATGCAGTGCGAGATTAAGATTGTCAAGGTTTTTGATAAAAGTGTGATCGAAGCGCTTAGATTCTTCAAGCTGTTGAAGCATATCATGCGTACTTTCCACGATGGGATTAAATGATGATTCGAATTCCACAAAATCATTTTGGATATATACAGACGTGAAGAACACATGAAGGAATTCTTTTATTTCTTTGACGAATTTATGTTCTTCTGCAGTCACTTTGGATTTCGATATTAAATCCTTTTCGTGATCTAGCACTGTACGTAATAATTTGTCGAAAAAACCTTTCGCACCGTTCCTTTTGTCTTTGTCGATAATTTGCTGGATTTGAGTTTTTTGGTCGGTGACTAATTTATGGAGCGCTTCCAAGTCGGCCATATGACCTTCGGCGAACGTGGATTTTGCCTTCGTGTACACCTCTTTGAAGGCTTGTTCGGCTGCTTCGGTGAGCGCAGTTTGCGTTTCATTGATTTGGCGTTGCAGGGTCTCGCGGGCATCATCTACGGTAGATTGTGCTTCTTCGATGACCTTTTGAAGCGCCTTATCGAAAAGATTTATTTGTTCACTAAAATTTTCGATGCCCTGCTTGAGATCGGCAACGTTCACTTTAAGCGAATTCACTTGGCCTCTTATATTGTTTCCCGCTTTCCCCTTTATATCGGTGATGGATGATTTGACGGCTTCAATTAGCCCTTTAAGATCTTCGACGGCTTGGTAAATATCTCCGTTAGGTTGTCTTTTGATTCTATTAATTTGATTTTCTATGTTACCCTTCACATTGCCAAGTTGCCCACCAAGAATCCCACTGACTTTCTCATCTAACATTTTGACACCTTTCTCCGCTGCTTGCGTGAGTAGCGGATTAAGTGAGGTGAAGGTTACGGCATCTACGTTAGTATTAACCCTTTTCGTAACACTGTCTTCGAGCTTAACCTCTCCGGAGACAGTCTCGTTGGAGCTAGTTGCCGTACCGAGACTGGAGTCAAGAGACTTAATCTGAAGATCTACATCCTTCAGCGCCTTAGTAATTTTACTGCCTGGTGCTACGCCGTTGCCGGCCTCGTCACCCACTTTTGTTTTGATATTGTCTACATTTGCGATCGCCGTCTCCAGGTTTATGCCGAGGTGGTATGTGATATCATGCGGATATCCCTTTTCCTTGGCGGACGTGAAAGACTGGAGCGCATTGGCAGTCTGTCTGGCTGTTATAACAAGGGTCATGAGGATGTAACGGACGGCTGATGCTAGGTAACGTGTGTATGGGGATGGCGACTGTTTGAGTTTCCATTCGGGATCAGCTTCGATCTTATCCGCAATTACTTTGGCAAAAGCGTCTGTTTGTCCACTCTCCCTTTTTAGCTCCGCATCCAGTCCGCTTACAAAGGTAGTAATACCTTTTATGACAGTGTCGATATTCTGAAGGATATTGTCTTTCGATGTTACACTGAACAGCTCACCGTTTCTTTCGATAATACTGGATCTAAGTTTATCTTTAATCGCCTTATTAATTGCATTACGCGAAAATTCGTCAACTTCGAAATCACCCTTCAGCTGCGCTTTATCCTTTTTAACATACCTCTCTATTCTGCCATTCACCACTCCATCATTCGCGAGAATCCTTGCAATCCACCCATCCAGAATTTTAGTCTCAAATTCGTCCTTGAACTTTTTAGCATAATTTGCCACCTTCTCCTTAATCCCCTTGAGACCTTCATAATTTGGCTTTGCCGGGGTTTTCCCATTCCCATCACCATTAATATCTCCAGCAAGTTTTTCAATCTCCTCCCTAAGCTTTCCCCAATTGTAATATGCACTCTCATAATTTATGCCACTCCGCGTTGTTGTATCGCCAATCTTGTCTCTAATCCCTCCAACTGACTTCATAATCAGGCCGATATACTGCATTATATAATCCTTAATTTTACTCTTGATTTCTTCCTTATGCGTAGTTATTTTAGACTCCAATTCACTTTCAATACCAACCAACTTACTACCAACTGTCTTCTGAACCTCCTCATGACTGCTCTTAATTTCAGCCAACTGCCTCTCAAGAGTACCTAGATGAGTATTTATATCAGTGAACACATTATAAAGATCGTTCGCAATTCCAGTGGTGTCAAGCCCCTGAACCTGCGTATCAATTTTACCTATTTCATCGACGATCTGAGTCTGATAATCCCTCACCAAAGTTCCCGCTGCAGTGTCAGCCTTTCCAACTGAAATAACCAATCGGCCAACCAAATCTATGAGGGACGCTAAGTCAACTTTCTGTGTTTTTTCAATGGCGCGAATTCCTTCATCTATGAGGCCAAATTTTGTCGTCAAAGTTAGTTGTAAGGATTGACATTTACCTCGGATCTGATCAATGACATGCTCCTCCTGCTGCTTAAATTCTGTGTCTACAGCCTTCACATCGTCCCCGAATGCTGTATTCTTAGCAACGGCACCTAAGTGGTCGACCACTTTTTTCACAGGTGAAAATTCGTGCATTATACGTGTGCTAAGTGAGTTATCTAGTACATTAATTTGTTGTTTCTCTATGTCCGTGACTTCTTGCTCGATCCTTTGGATCGTTGTCTTCCACTTCTTGAGTTGCTTCTCCAGGCTCTCGCCTCCACGGTTCTTCACCTCTTGAACATATTCACCTGCACCAGATGATAATTTAATAATCAACTTACCTAATTTGTCCTTCACTTCTCCAGTCCTCTCCTCCACCTGCGCACCATGTTTTGTCAACCACTCACTTACCTGAGACACGGCAGTCACGAAGGCCTGACGGCCTTTACCTACATTATCATTTAAAATGCGAATAACATTATTTATTTTAGGTGTATCAATGTATTCATTGTATTTTGTAACGTTATCATCATCCTTCACACTTTGGAGAACACCATGAAGGAAAGACATCACCCCGTCGCAGAGCCTGTCAAGGTCCGAGTACACAATTCCTCCTCCGGTGTAATTCCCCTCCTTGTAGCCGAGAAACTTTTCTAAACCTCCAGTGAGATTTTCTAAAATTTTTGTTGCAGGATTCTCTCTGGAGTCTTTTGAACCAATGAAACCTTCAAGATTTTTCTTAAGCTCGCTAAGTTTAGTCTGACGCTCCTTAATATCCCCCAAGGCTCTGTTTCTAGCATCTTCAGTAAGGTAATGAACTTCATCATAATGGTCATTGTAGTTGGATTAAAGGTGGATTAAGGGAGGTTTAAAGGAAGTAAAGGGGGATGAAATGGGACACTTCTGGAGAATTTTAGAATTTTTTGAGAAAGGCGATTTTAGGTCAAGGAGGCAGCGAGGGAGGAGGGTGGACAGGGTGAGGGAGGTGAAGGGGCGAAAGAGGGCGACGGAGGAGGAAGATGGGAGGAGAGAGGCGGTTTCGGTGGTGGAGGGGAAAGGTGGAAAACGAGGATTTGGGTGAAGGACGCGACGGAGGATGTGATGGATGGGAGCATATTTGAAATGAACCAGCGAAAGAGTGATGCGGAGCGGTCGATGGTCGAGCGGCAGGCGAGGGCCGAGCGGCGGTCAGATGGGTGAGTGAGCGGCGAGTGAGCGGGCGCGATCAGGTGGTCGGAGCGGTCGATGGCCGATAACAGGCGAGTGGTCGATGGCCGGGTCGATATGAGCGGGCGAGCAAGTGAGCGGCGGTGATGAGTGGTGATGAGTGGCGGAGCGGCAAGGTCGAGTATACCGAGCAATGATGGCGAGTGGGCGATGAGCGCGAGTGAGAGGCGGAGCGGCGATCGAGGAGTGGTCGAGTGGTTGATAGTCGATGGGCGGTCGAGCAAGGCGATGGGGCGAGCGAGCGGGCGGCGAGGCGGCCGAGTTACCGATGGGCGGGCGGATCAGGCGGTCGAGCGGGCGATATCGATGGCCGATGGGCGAGTGTCTGAGTGGCCGATGGTCGAGTGGGCGATCATGGCTGAGTGGGCGATGGGTCGAGTGGTCGATGGGCGAGCGGTCGATGAAGAACAGGCGAGTATGCGATGAGCGGCGGTCGAGCGAGTGCGAGCGAGCGTGATTAGGCAGAGCGCGATGGGCGATGAGCGCGAGTGGCAAGATTGGCGAGCGGTCGAGCGGTTGATGGCCGAGTGGGCGAGGGCGATGAGCATGTGAGCGGAGCGGCGGTCGGAGCGAGTGGGCGAGCGGAGCGATCAGGTGAGCATGCGATGGCGAGCGATGATGAGTGCAGAGCGGCGAGGCGGAGCGATCGATGGGCCGATGGCCGATGGGTGAGCGGGCGATGGCGGGTGAGTGAGAGCGCGATGGCCGATGGTTGAGCGGTCGATGGAGGCGGCCGATGGCGGTGGTCGATGAGTGGGTGATACACAGATCACACGTGAAGGCACGATTACGGTGAGAAGTACTTGACGTTGTTGAGTGCCTTGACGCGTGCGGCGGCGAGTAGCGACTGCGCGGCGATGCGGTGGCTTGCGGGTGATCTCAGGTGGGAGCGAATCCTCAGGACGTCGAGGCGGACGACGGCGATGTGCAGCAGGTACAGGAGCGACAGCGACCAGAGGGCTAATAAGAGGTATGAGAAGGGTGTACGAATTGCCCAGATGAAGTTGTCGATTTCATCAAATAATTCTTCAAAGTATCCTTTGTGCAGCACTCTAGTTAACTGCTTTACAAAACTGTCACATGTCTTCTTGCTTCCGGATGCCATCAACTCTTTCGGCATTCCGAATGTGAATCCGTACTGGTAGAATACGGACATTGGTCCTTTGCACTGGACTATTGAAGTGCAGTGGCAACTGGGCTTAGGAAGTGTTGCAGGTTGCGATGTTTCTTCCTCAGTGACGCCGTGTTTACCAAAACCGCATTTGCATAGACATCCATATGATTGACATGATATGTCACTAAACGCCTTCAGCAACTGATCAAGTAAATCCCAGAATGTCCATGTCAACTGGCAAAGCCATCCCAGGTACAAAGCTTTATGTTTTGCGGGATATGTGTGACAGGCGTCGTGACACAGCGATTTGAGGTAAGGGGCGCACTGTGTATCTTTACCATTACACTTGATTGCTCTGTCTGATGTAGGATTTGGAGACAAACTCCAAAGGTCACAATGACTCTCATCCTGTAGTTGATTGTTGTGAGAGCTATTACGACACGACAAATCTCTAAATTTATCGGTCAGCTTGGCAGCACTGTAGTTGTTGTGAAGCCATGTCTCGAATGGGAAACTGCTTCGGATGGCTTCATCAATTTTACCCTTGTATTCGGTGTCATGACCATACACTGAACCATACGATTTCTGGAATATGTTACAGTAGTACGAGAACATCCCTGCCAAGCCCTTCGGTGGAGACGGCAATATGCATTGTAATGCGTGCACTAAATCACAGAGAACTGATGCGCTGTTTTTACAAAGGTCAGAAAGCACATCAATCAGATCCTCGCCACGGCCTGTAATAGAGCCCGCGGTTGCCAAATCTGCAAAGCCCATCGGGGTGATACACTGCCCAACTAGTGAGCCCTTAGGGCACGTTGAGCACATGGGCTGGCAACCGACAGCTGTGAACTTATGTGGCATGAAACCAGGAAGGCCATCCATAAGATGGGCTTGAAGCGGGGACTTTGGTAAGCAATTTGGTTGGTCATTTGGATGACCATTTGGTTGGCACTTAGCTTGACTCTTTGGTTGTGTGCTTGAGTTGTCGCTTGCCTTGTCGCAGTCCCACTGGTAGGTGCCGACGCGATAACCATATTGACACTCACGCCACCCGTTGCCGTCGGCTGCGGTGTGCTTACAACGTTGGTATAAGAAGCACAGTGCACGCAACAAACGCATACACATATCTTTCAACATGTCAAGCAACGACGACGGATCACCAGGGTAATAGAACCCTCCGTGGTTGTTCTCAAAGCAGCACGCATACGGATACGCAGCGTGTTCGGCGCCACTGCCGTTGCCCTGGATGGAGACTAATAATCTATGTGACAAGTGACATGTTTTAGTAATGTTACCGTTAAGGTGTTGCAAGCATTTACGAAGCACGTCATCATCGTAATAGGGTCTTATACCAGTTGCTTCGTCTTTCTGGTTAAGCAACTTATTACAGTGCCCATCAATTGTTTTATAAACTGCAGTGTGAGGAAGGCCGGCGAGCCACACACAAATATCACGCACGGAACACGGATACTTTTTGGACTTCGGGAGTCCGACGTGGCAAGATTGGTAATACTCACTGACGTGAGTTGTGAGACATTTAAGTAGGTCGAAGAGATCAAAGTTATCTTTTTTGTCTGTTACGCATTTTGGAAGGTGCGTAATTTTCGTGGCATCTTGGAGCGTAGTAACAAGTTTGTTAAAAACATGTCCTCCCTTCATCTTGTCATGGCATCTCAGCTCTCCATCATAGGGCTCTTCCAACTTGGAAACAATAAAGCCGCAGTCCTTGAAGAATGCGCCGAGGGGATTGTAGACGCTTGGCTTGGAGATGAGGGAAATTTTGTGTTCCTTCCACTTGCCGTTTGTCTTGTGACATCTCTTATAGAGCTCACTCAAATCGTGATTCAGAGTCATGAGAATGGTGAGAAGAATTTGGGCGCATTTCATTGCCTTTTCCGTGGGCTCTTGTTTTTGAGTTGGAGGATTATGCTGTTTCGTCCACTCAAAGCTCTCCGCAGCCCCCGAGTACCTGCTGACGTACTGCTTTTCGAGCTCCTGCGCGAATTTCTCGAGGCCCTGCTTCAGGGGCTGCAGCACTTTTTTGGGGGCGTCGGGGAACGTGTCGGCGTGGAATGCTTGGAGCGAAGCCTCGAAGGCTTCGCGCGCCGTGGAGACGGCGTGGTGGAAGTGCTGGTGGTGGAGCAGTTTGTCGAAGATGGCATCCAGGGAGGCGTGGAGTGCCTTGATTTGGGGAGCTTGGTCGGAGATGTCGGATTGAGATTGTAAATAGTGGCATAAATCTTCGAAGTATTTTTTGATTTCGACGGCTAAGGGACGCATTGTTTTATGGTCAAATGTTATGGATCGCAGTGAAATTTTCACGAGACGTAAGAGGCCCTTTGGGCCGGTGATTCTGTCGCGGGAGATGATGGATTTTATTTCGGCGAGCTGGGCGGAAACGAGGGATTTGAGGGCGTGAAGGTCTGCTTGATGGCCGTTGGTAAATAGTACACGTACGTCATTGGTTACATTTAGGAATGCTTTCCTGACTTCCTCTATGATGGCATCCTTGAGGGTTAGCACGGCCTGATCGGACGTTGTAAAAGCATTTTTAACGGCCGTGTTAAGAATATTTATGTCATCTTGAAGACACCTCTCAGCGTCCTCTACAGCTTCTCTAATAGTTTTAAGTTTCTCACTCAGCTCCCTTTTTAATTGCTTCATAAGCTCATCGGTCTTTTCTTTCTTATCTTCAATAGCGCCTTTTTTTGTTGTGTCTTTTTGTATTGTTATTTCGTAAAGCTTATCAACAACTTCTTTCTCAATCTCGCCTAGCTTCTTGTCAATTTCCTTGTCTGATTCCAATTTTTTACCAAGCTCAGTAATTGTGTCCGACACGTTACTTAATGCGTCATCGATGAGTTGACCAGGCTTCTTTGCCTGTTCAATTTCATTTCTTATTTCTGCGACTTTCTTTATAGCTTGCCTCACGTGCTCACTGAGGTTAGACTCTATGGTTAATTTGTTCAGCTCGCCACTAACGTGTCTAGCAGTGGCAGCGAGATGGTGCAGAGCGTACCGGACGACGAGGTCCAAATAACCTTTGTTATGCTTTGCTTTTTTCTCATCCCCTATCAACTCCGGATCTTTTTCAATCGCATCAACTATGCCGGAGGAAAATGCGTTAATGTTGTTGTAAACAATCTTCTCACTGAGCTGCATGGCGAAGTCATTGCAGACAGCTTGGATACCCTGAACGTTATCGTCAATCTTTTCGTTAGGCTCACCTTTGAATGATGGGAATTTGGTGGTTTTAAATGCATTCTTGAGATGGTCCTTGATTTTTGTAGCGATTAGCCCCCTGAATTCATCATTAATCTTTTCGTTGCGATTCCCTCGATACAGGGGCTTCAAATCATTCACATTTTCCAACCACTTTTCAACATACCCCTTAATCGGTTCCTGCTTAAGGATCTCTTTTATCCACCGCTGAACCACAGTCTCAAATCCATTCGTATCTTTAGTCGTAGTGAAATCTTCTGCATACTGCTTTACCCCCTTGACAATGTTATCCAAGTCCCCTAGTTTTCCTATTTTTGCTGTATCTGTCAGACCTGCAACATTTTGCATCACCTTCTTTTTCAACTCCCCCCAATTAAAATATATACTATTTTCCTTAGCTGTTAAATTATTTTCCTTATTTCCAATTCCATTCTTAATAGACGTAAAACTCTGTCGAGCTTCGCTGACCAACTCCAAGAGTTGCGATTTTCGTTGCTGTAGGGCCACGTAAACTGCATCGACTTCGTTGTGTAGTTCGGAAAAATACATCCCAATCTTGTTTTTATAGTTCCATTCGAAATCGTCACCCATCAAATTTTGCGCATTAGTTAACATGCCATAAATGGTCTTAAAGTGCTCTATTTTTGTTTTCTTCAACCCACCAATCTTTCTTATCATATTGTCGAATTGTGTCGTCAGCGTGTTTCTCACGCTCCTGATTTCCGTATTTATCGAACGCATGATATGATCCTTTTGTCTCATCAACACGTTGTCGACGTAATCAACCTGTTTGAAGAAATCCGTATCTGCAGCTGACTTTTTCATAACATCCACCGCCGCCCCAATTTTCCCTAATGGCACATCCAATTTACCTTTTAAGCCGTTATCCAGAGCCTCATAACCTTGTGAATTTGCCTTAAGTGCAGTCAAACCCTCAAACACATCAGCAACGGAGAAGACAAATTTCTCGTGGAGATCCTTTAGACTTTTACCTTCAGAATTATTAAATTCTGGGATATGCTTGTGAGTAATATTTTCTTGTATAGCAGTTAATGCATTACTCACTGCTTCACATTTCTTTTTCACCTCCCCTTCATACCTCCCAAGCCACCCACTCACCGCAGTGACCTGCGGACCCAATGCGCCAGACCCCTGACCTATGGAAGATTTAAGTTCCTCAACAAGTTTATCAATCTTCGGTTCTGCAAGATTCTTATCATACGTCCTAACGTTATCATCATCCTTCACTCCACTGAGAACTCCATGAAGGAACGCCATCACCCCGTCGCAGAGCCTGTCAAGGTCGGAGTACACGATGCCGGAGCCATCGTAGCCTTTGGAATGTTCATTGTAACCAAGGAACTTCTCCAAGCCAGAGCACAGGTTATTTAAAAGGTTTTTACAGTTATCACTTTGTGGATTTTTAAGAGATTTAAAAGACTCATTAAGCTTACTCAGCTTCTCAAGAGCATCCAACTTGGACTGATGAGAGGATAAAAGGCGAGACTCTTCAGAGGAGAGGGGAGAATTTTGGTTATTTTGCTTAGATTCAAGGGATGATTTAAGGTTATTATATTGCTTAATTTTCTGCTCAAGTTCATCGGACTTTATAGGCTCAGCAGAGACGGCAGCGGGAGGCTGCACAGTCGAAGACGGAGACTTTTTAAGGCTTTTGAATTCAGGATCACTGTCAATAATTGCGTCAATACCATCATTAATTGCTTTGGTAACAGCGTCACTTTGGCCAATAAATTGGCCAAGCTTCCCACTGAGCTCAGCAAGAGACAGCATCCTGGACTGGATGTCCTTGAGTTGGGCAGTCCTGTCAGACTCAGAAAGGGAATGGTACTTGGCAACATGATCTTTCAATTGGGATTTAAGTTCGTCGATTTTAGAGTCATTTTGTGAGTTACCAGTGGATTTATCAGAATTTTTAAGCAAGTCAATTTCGTCGTTAAGAGACTGACAGTGGGACTTAGGAGAGTTATTAAAAGTGTAATGTCCGAGACAATTAAGGTTATTTCGCTTAGTTGAAAGGCTAGTATTGGCGCTATTAATAGCATCACCAATCAACTTTTTCAAGGCTTTCGCCAACTCACCAAGACCATCATTGTTACCATTCCCATGCTTAACCTGGATCAACCAGTCGATGGAGGCCGACGAAGGAGGCCGAGGAGGGAGGTCAAAAGAGGTTAGAGGACAATTAGAGGAGGTGAAATGGACACTTTTGGAGAATTTTAGAATTTTTTGAGAAAGGCGATTTTAGGTCAAGGAGGCAGCTAGGCAGTGAGGGAGGTGGGTGGACAGGGTGAGGGAGGTGAAGGCTCGAAGATACGATGGATGATGGAAAGACGGGCAGATGATGACCTTGAAAGTGATGGCGTTGCCGATGATCAAGCAGTGACGACGATGATGCGATGATGATTTTATTTCAGCCTACCAGCAATGATGGCGATGAAGAGCGGCGAGCGAGCGGCCTGATGGGCGCACGATGATGCTACCGGGATCGATGGGGCGGTCGGATGAGCGTATCGATGGCGGTCAGGCGATACGCGATACGCGATGCTGATCGAGGCGAGCGAACAGCGGCCGAGCGCGAAGCACGCGCATATGCGATGGTCACCGATACGATGAGCGATGCAGCGGATGGGCGGTCGATGAGCAAGGTCAGCGGCCGATGGGCAATGATGTCGATACTGATATCGATACCGAGCGGGCGTCGATGGCGGTCAGCGATGCAAGAGCGGAGCGACCGCTGGCGCGATGATGCAGCGATGCGCGGCCGATGGTTTATTATCGATGCCGAAGGAGCGGGCAGCGATTATCGATACCGATGGTCAAAGTATCAGATGAGCGCAAGCGATGCGATGATTATGATGCGCGGAGGGTCAGCGATGGCGAGCCCGAGCGGGCGGGCGATGAGAAAGATGCGGGCGATGGCCGATGGCCGATGATGATGAGCGGGCGGCTTCAGGCGATGAGCCGACCGGTCGATGGCATCGATGGGCGGGCATCGATGGGCGATGGCGGGCGATGGGCGGGCAATGATAGCGATGGTCGAGCAGGCGGGCTGAGCGGGCGAAGCGATCGTTTACCGATGGCCGATGGTCGATATGCATCGATGGTCGAGCAGGCGCAAGCGAGCGGTCGATTGGTTGATGGTCGATGGTCAGATACCGATGATGGTCAGCGATGATGGTCGAGCGGCGGGCGATGAGCATGCGATGGGCGATGTAACGATGGCGATGATGATGAGCGGCGGTCAGGCGATGATGACCGGTCGATGGGCGCGGTCGATGGGGCGGCATCGATGGGCAGAGCGGCGGTCGATGTGGGCGGGCGACCGATGGGCGATGGTCGATGGCCGATAGCGGCAAGACGCTTATGGTCGATGGTCGATGCAACGAGGGCCTGATAAGTGCGGCCGATTTAAACCGAGCAGGCAAGCATATCGATGATGAGCGTATCGAGGGTCGATGGCTGAGCAGGCGAGCGGTCGAGCGGAGCGAGCGGGTCGAGGGCCGATGATGCGATGAGCAAGATTAGGGGCGAGTGAGTGGGAGTGGTTGATGGGCACGATGGGTGCGAGGATGAGTGGCTGGCGGCTGATGGCCGGAGCGGGCGGTTGAGCGGCTGAGCGGGCGGTCGATGGGTGAGCAAGGAGCGGTCGGTTGGTGGGCGAGGATGAGGAGCAAGGAGCGGAGGGTAAGGGTTGAGGGTTGAGCGGGGCGATTGGTGAGTGGGTGGCTGAGTGGGTGGCGAGTATGTGAGTGGGTGGGTGCGATGCACAGATCACACGTGAAGCAACGATTGGTGAGAAGTACTTGACGCCATGAGCGCCTGACGCGTGCGGCGGCGAGGAGGGACTGCGCGGCGATCCGGCGGCTTGAGGGCGAGCGCAGTGGGAGCGTATCCTCAGGACGTCGAGGCGGACGACGAGGATGTGCAGCAGGTACAGGAGCGAGAGGACCAGAGGGCTAATAATGTGATGGAGAATGGTTCCCTGATTTTCCATAAGAAATTGTCGCACTCCCTGAACAGCTTATCAAAATATGTCGAGTGCAATACATTGCGCAGCTGGTCACAGAAATTGGAACATGTCTTAGACGCATTCTCCTTATTCAACGCTGCTGGCGCACCAAATGTGAAACCGTACTTATATAGCGTCGGCATCATGCCTCTGCATTGGACCATAGATTCACAGTGACAATTTGCTGATTTTGTTTTGTCGTTGGTGAGGCCATGCTCTCCACGTCTGCACGTTTCAGCACGTAGACATCCTCTGCATCCCCAGTCCTGGCAGAAGATGTCCTTGATAGCGTTGTACAGGCTTTCGAGGTAACTCCATAACGACCACGGCAAGTAAACTGCCCAGGAAAGGTACAGCTTGGAATGCGATTTGCCTAAGTAACTGTAGTAATCGGAGCACAAGGTGTATATGTAAGGGCACAGCGCATTGGAACATGCGGTGGCCATACAGAGACTTGACAAGCTGCCTTTTTTCGTTTCATCGGCTTGGATATTAACAATGCTAGTGTGATATTTTGTCGCATCGTGACTACTCTGACTGCTACCGTAGGCATCACGAAGTGCATCTGTGAGTTTGCCTGGCTCGTCGTACAGACTAATGGAACGGTCGTCGATAGCCTTTTTAAAGGCATTTTCTATGAGATGACTACCATACTCATTCCACTTATTAACAAGTGACAACGCAAAGCCAAAGTGTTCTGGCAATGTACTTGGTGCTTTGGTCGCGAGGCAGAATAGCGATGCAAGGTATGTGTCACCGAACAAGTTACGCAGCACGTTGCTTAGGTCTTCACCTTTGCGCGTGGTCCCAGAGAAACCTCTGAATCCGAGCGGAGTAAGGCAAGGCATTCCTGGTTTACCAGTGGGACACGTATTACATTTTGGTTTGCAACCAATTCCGCTAAGCTGGTGAGGAAGGCAACCGACGAGACTGTCAGTGAGGTAAGACATAAGTGGAGACGTTGGTTGGCAATTTGGTTGGCAATTTGGTTGGCACTTTGCCTGGCATTTTGGTTGACATTTTGGTTGGCACTTTGATTCAGACTTTGAGTGCTTGGTACACTGCCATTTTGCTTGGGTTATGTTCTTGCCGTAGTGGCAGTCCCCCCAGCCGTAGTCTGATTCACCGACTCTGCACTGGAAAAACAAAAATCTAAGTGGTGGGAACATGCGACGCAATATATCTAGTAACGTATCTAAGCACTCTGCTCCACTTTTAGGGTAATACAATTTCATGGAGTTATCATAGAAGTCACAGGCGTACATGGTGTGCTCGTCGCCGAAGCCGAGAACGGTCGTCAAGATGGAGGATGATATGGAAGCAATATTAGTAAGCACGTCTTGGAAATGCTTATACGTGACTTTGTTAGGATAAGAATCTATGTAAAAGCTTTCGAAGTCGAATGCCATAAGGCCATCGTCGTCGGCGCCAAGTGGATTAGATGGAGTTTCAAGCTTTTCGCTAATGCTGGATAGTAACGCAGAATAAACAGAGTTATAGGTGAGACCGGCACACCAGAGTAACATTTCATACACGGAACACGGCGGCTTGGTTGCGAACGAAGTGGCGTAGTGTCCGACAGCGTAGTAGTCTTGGAGGCAGTGGTACAGCTTTTGCAGTGGATATTCGGAATCTTCATGCTTGTGGTAAACATGCTTATAATCTGTTTCGGTGACGAGAAGATCATAAACCTTCTGACCTTTGCAATCATCTTTATTCCGCAAATGGCCATTTTGCTTGCCGGCAGCGTCGGACACCTCATAGCCGCACTTCTGGAAGAAGTGACCAAGGGGATTTTCGGTCTCCAATATTGTAACCTTTCTTTTGTCTTTAATGGTCGCGATGCCTAGATGAACCGGAAAATCTTTCCAATTATTCTTGCATCTTTTCCTCAGTCTGCCAAGATCATTGTTCAGCGTCTCCAGTAAAGACAAAAATGTCTTAGCGCAATTCTTTCCATCAGCCTCCCGCAAAAAGTCAACTAGAGACGGATGCCCTTCATACGTATTCACGTACGCCTTGCCAATCTCCCCGAGGAAATCCTGAAGGCCGGATTTTAGGACGTCCAGTAGGGGACTGTTGAGCTGTGCGAACTTTGTAGGACGCATGGAGTCGAGAAACTTCTCAAATTCTTCACGTTGTGATGCAAAGGTTTTACTAAAGAAACCACCTGAAAGGGCCAAAAATAATCTTCGAGCATACAGTTCAAGGTCCTCGAAGAACTTCTCAATGGGATCCTTGGTGGACGGGGAGGGGATGGCTGGCTGGTGGGAGGGGATGGAGGCTGAGGCTGATGGTTTGTGGGCGGAGTTGTGCGTGGCATACCGACACGGTGCGCTGATCCCGGAACGTTTGGAGATTGACGATCAGCCTGCATGTTTGTTGCCGGCCGCGCTCTGTAGCCGCCGCCGGAGATTGGGGTGGGACTGGACGGAGGGAGGGAGTTGGGGGCTTGGGCTTAGTGTCTGGAAGGAGTTGATATTTAATGTACTCCGTGACTGGATCTAGATACCATTGTAGTCTCTCCGTCAATTCTTTGAAGTCTTGATGAGTTCGCACAGCTTCTAGAATACCTTTTTGTTCATGCATCTTGCTCAGCAAACCTTTAACGCCATTTGCCATGTCGGCATTTATAATGTCGTAGACTTTTTTGTATTGGCGGTTAGCTAAGGCTTTTAACGCCGTCAAATCCGCCTGGCGTGCATTTGCAAATAGCATTCGCATTTCTGTAGTGACTTTATGAAAAGCGTCTTCGGCTTTTTCAAGGAGTGCAGTTTGGATTTTGTCTACGTTTATATTGAGTGTATTGTGGGCTGAGAAAACAGCGCTGTACACGGCCTTCATTGCGTTTGTCAATGCCTCGTCAGCATAGTCGATGTTCTTGTCTATGTTGTTAATATGGCTTTGAAGTAGCTCAATGTCTTGTCGCAGATTTTCCATCAACTTCCACACATTTATCTTTGCCTCATCCACTTTGCCGGGAAGACGTTCCAGTGTATTTACTGTCGCCATCACCTTATTGATGGCTTGTTTGATTCTACTGCCTTCATTGTCCAGTAAATGGGTGGTCTGCAGACTGCTGATGTCTGTCTTAACTTGTTGAAGACCTTTCGTTGCTGGAGTCAAAGGGGTATTCTTTAGCCCGTCTTCAAGTGTTTTTAACTTATCCAGGACACTGTTTCCAGTTGCTGATGCGCCGTCTGGGCTATCCTGCAAATCTCTTTGAAGCTTATCCAGTGCTTGAGTAATGTTTTGGACGGCATCCCCGATTTGTCTGGTATGTGTGGGTAGCTGGCCATTCAGATCATTGAGTGTACTTTGGATTTTGGCGAGGCCGCTCTTCGTGGAGAACCATGATTCATCTATGTCGTTACCAAGCCCCTTCTTAAGCTCTTCCAAAAGCGGTTTGATGCCTTTGAATTTTATTGCTTTACCTTCAATGGCACTTGTCCTATTGCCACTCACCAACCCGGTGAGTGCTGTGAGATGCGAATGAATTGCGGTTTCTAATGTAGTCACTTCTTGAATATCTGTATTCGTGTCGTTGACGGCTTTCGTGTTACCAGAGGTAAACTTGTTTAGCAGCTCTCTGCCGACAGTATTGAACTGATCATTAATCGCTGATTTGTTTGTTTCGTATCTAGAAAAATATTGCGAAGCTTTGTCAAGGACGACTTTGCTACCACTTTCTTCCTTAAAATGCTGCCTGAGCTTCTCCGTAAGTTTTGATTTAATTTGACCGATAGTTGTATCTACATCGATAGCATTCTTTTTTTGGTATTCCTGTATAGCTTTTAGAATAAGGTCTGCTCTAAGCGGAAATTGTGGTATATGTTTACCGGCGTCTTCAAGCAATTTGCCCAAGCCTTCATCTACTTTCAAATGTAACTTCATGGCAGTGAAACCAGGCGATGAATCATATGAATAACTACTACCTGTCGCAAGTGGCACCCCCTTCGTCACTGCTGCAACCACGGTGTCAACATACTGTGTGATGTTATTCTTAACGTCCTCTTTTGCGCGAAACAGTCCCGCTCTAAGATCACCATCTAATGTCGTTACCGTCTGTTGCGCGCTACTAACCAAGTCACTAAGGCTCGACTCTGCGGCCTGATATGCTTTCAACAGCTTTTCGGCTTTATCCTTTAACGCTTTAGCTTTTATGCCAATCTGAGTTTTAGGACCTTTCGGAGACTTACTATCTACAACTTTCTGCAATATAGTCTCACACTTCGTTTTTGCATCATCCACGACCTTCCCAGCCTCCTGATTCCACCTTTCCAAGTTTTTAATATCACCATCAATCATACTTTTAACGCTGTCAATTTCGTCTTTATCGCCGGTGATTGACCGCAGTTTCATGCGAATAGAATTCCCCGACACATTTTCTTTTTTCAAAGCATCGAACACAGTCCTAGCCTTAGTCTGCGCCGCACTCCGCACTCCCTCCGCACCCTCAATCCACTTATTTAACTCGTCAACTTGGGCGTTCAGTTCAGTGCCAACGGACGTAACTGCCGCCATTATTGCATCAACTTGATGCTCAAGTGGGCATTTTTCTGTGTCACGCTTGTTGATTTCTGTCATGTCATCTTTTAAACCAACAATAGCTTGAAGAATTTCATTCTTATAACCCTCGTCGAATTTCGCCAGCAATTTGCCAATTTCCCTTTTGGCATCCTTCACAGCATATCTAAGGTGCCCGAACTTCTCTTTCCTTTTATCATTCATATTTCTCATATCTGCTAATATCCTATCAAACTCATTTTTTAATTTCAATTTAAGTACCAATGATTCTTTTTCAATCTTCACCTTCATCTCACCTTCCTGTTCCTCTAACCTCTTATCTAACAACATTGTTCCATCTTTAAACAACGGATTCGCAGCAAGACTTTTCATGTGCTCAATCACACCTTTCACAGGCACGAATTCATGCATAATCTGATTGTTAAGCGATCTATCTAAAACATTAATATAATAGTTTTCAAGGCGATCAGTTTCTTGCTCCACCTTCTGCACCGTGGACTGCCAGGCATCCAATTGTAGCTGAAGCTTTAGTCCCGCTTTACGTGACACTTCCTTGTAGTAATCACCTACAGAACCATGAGACCCATCATGTAACTTACCTATAAGTGCAGATAATCCTTCAGTCACTGCTTTTGTCTTGTTGCCAACTTCTCCATTATATTTCCCCAACCACCCCTTCACCTTGGTGACAGACGCCGAAAGGCCATTACGCCCGGAGCCAATTGAAGTTTGTAAATTGGTAATAACTGTAGCAATATTAGGAACAATGTATTTATCATAAGTTGTAACGTTATCATCCTCCTTCACAGTCTGGAGAACACCATGAAGGAAAGACATCACCCCGTCGCAGAGCCTGTCGAGGTCCGAGTACACGATGCCAGTGCCGGTGTAATTACCATACTCATGGCCGAGAAATTTTTCGAGGCCTGTGCAGAGGTTATTTAATAATGTTGTCGAAGGATTATTTTAGGCACATTTTCAGGGCGATTTGGGGGAGTTTGGAGAAAGGGGATTTTAGGTGAAGGAGGCAGTGAGGGGGTAAGGAAGGTGGGTGGACAGGGTGAGGGAGGTGAAGGGGCGAAAGAGGGCGATGAAGGGGGAAGATGGGTGGAGGTAAGGCGGTTTTGGAGGTGGAGGGGGAAAGTGGAAAACGAGGATTTGGGTGGAGGACGCCGACGGAGGAGGTGATGAAGGGGTGAAGGGAGGGAGCGAAGCGACCAGTGAAGAGGGAGGTGAGTGAGTGGGTGAGTGGGTGAGTGATTAGGTGAGTGGGTGAGTGAGTGGGTGATTAGATGAGTGGTTGAGTGGGTGGTTGAGTATGTGGGTGAGTGAGTGGGTGAGTGGGTGGTTGAGTGAGTATGTGAGTGGGTGTGTGGGTGAGTATGTGAGCGGGTGGTTGAGTGAGTGAGTGAGTGGGTGGGTGATACACAGATCACACGTGAAGGCACGATTACGGTGAGAAGTACTTGACGTTGGCGAGCGCCTTGACGCGTGCGGCGGCGAGGAGGGACTGCGCGGCGATGCGGTGGCTTGAGGGCGAGCGCAGGTGGGAGCGTATCCTCAGGACGTCGAGGCGGACGACGGTGATGTGCAGCAGGTAGAGCAGTGAGAGGGACCAGAGGGCCACAAGCGTGTAGAAGAATTTGTATCTTATCTCCCACAAGAATGCTGGAATTTTGTTAATGACCAGGTCGGCAAGCAGTGATCGTCCATGACATACTGTCTCCAATGCCTGGCAGAGATCTTGACACGTTCTTTTTTGATTCGGATCACTGCTTTTGCCACTTAAGTTCCATGGGCTTCCGAAGGTAAATCCATATTTGTAAAGAGTTGGATGGGTATTTTGACATTTGACAATGGATTGGCATTCTTCCTTGTGATTTTTGCCATCCAGGTTCTTGAGTTGTGTCTCCTCACTGTTGGACCCTATCGCCTTATAAGCGGCTTTTATTCTGCATTCAGCAGCACAGCACTTTTCATAACACCTGGTGCCCTGCGTATTGCACTTTTGGCAACACTCGGAATACAACTTCTTAAGTAATTCGTAAAATGTCTCTGTTATGTAGACAACCCATGAGAGATAATTGTCGGCGTAATCTTTAGAATATAACAGCCGAATGTCATCGCTCATTGATTGTAAGTATTGTCCGCACGGCAGTGACGGAGCATCCTTTGGATCACAAGACAAAAGACCGAACAAGTCACCCTTGGGGTGGTTGTCAGCCCTATGATTTTTCGACCCTAATATTTTAGTGATGTCCAAATCAAAATAAGGACGTCCCAAGTTGGCTTTCTTGACGGCATCATCAAAGGCTTTTCGCCTATGCTCTTCTTGTTTCCCCTCAGCACACCAGTGATCAAGGATATTATAATAGAACGCGAACATGTCACCGAGAGTCTGAGGGGGTCGACGCAGCAAGTATACGAAATAGGAACAAATTAGGCTCAGTGAGCACTCTCTTGTACCACAGAACGGATCAAGCACATCCTTAATAGACTGGCCACTGCCATTGCGTGAAGCTATTTGACTTAGGTCCTTAAATCCCATTGGAGTCTTACATGGAAGTCCTTTGTGATTGGACACGGTACATTCCAGCTTACAGCCGGGAGAGGTGAATTGGTGCGGCAAGAAGCCTTGCAGTCCATCTTCCAAAAAAGATTGCAGAGGCGATTTCAGACCGCACTTAACACTTTGGTCACATTTTTGGTTACACATTTGGTTGTGTTTTTGGTTACCATTCTGGTTCGGACATTGCATAGTGTTGCAGTTCCACGAAGAACCACCTACTCCACGACCGTACAAGCAATCACGCCAACCACTACTGCCCGGGCCATTTTGGCACTGCTTAAATAGGAAAAGGATTTGTTCATTTAGTCTAAGACATATATCGACGAGCAGGTCGAAGCATTGATTTACGTCTGTTGGATAATTTAAACCATCTGGGTTTGTTAGGAAGTCACAGGCATACCGGCCGCCTGCGTGGCCGTGGCCAAGGATGGTAACTAATATGTGATATGGGCGGATGGTAATATTGTTGAATAGGTCTGACATTTCTTTAAAGGTAAGATCTCGGAGCATCCTTTCGCTTCTTCTTGCAGGCACAGCGGCTTCTATGGCCTTGCTTACTGTTGTGCCGTTTCCTTCGGGTACATCGAAGAACCCTGCAAATTTACCAGCCAATTTATCATACATCGGCGTGTAGTAGAGCCCAGCAAGCCAGTGAAGCATTTCGTTGACAGTGGTGGGCGCCCTAGGTGATGTGATGTGATTAAGGTGACATACGTTGTAGTAGGAAACAAGGTCTGTGGCTAGCCTATTGATTAATTCGTGGAGCTTGTCGGAGCCGTTACTTACGCCATTAATTTTACTATCACGCAACTGATTAATTTTCTGCGCGTTTGTCTTATCAGAATTGTCTAATTCACCGTCTTGGACGCCAGCCTTAGTGGCCACCTTGTAGCCGCGGTCAGAAAAAAAGTTGCCAATGCTATTACCTGAATTAATCTTATCAGCATTCTTTGCTGGTAACAATTTACTTAAAGATTCAAAGTCATAAAACAATGTCTCCAGTACGGTCAGGCAGACCCTGGCGCAGTTGCGGCCCTCGGTGGAGAGGAGTTCAATTTTTTTAGTGACAGGAGATTTTACGCCCTGTGTTTTTTCGGTGTCAGTAACAGTTTTGTGTTCAGTCAAGGGACCAAACGTTTTCCCACTGTACCTGTTGACGTACGCGCGGGAGAGTTGCTCGGTGAATTTGGTCATGCCGGCCTTGAGGGCGTCGAGGAGCAGCGGATTGTGGAAGCCGTGGAACGCTGAGGGGGAGAGTTTCAGGAGAGACGCATTAAGAGCATCTAAATAAGACGTGGAAATGTGATCAAAATGACATATTTTGTCCGTGCTTTTGAGGTAGCCAAGCAAATTGTCCAGTATGGACTTGATGTCCTTGACTCTCTCAGACTGGTCGTTGGAGTTGCGTTCAAGCTTGCCGGGAATTGGAGTCTTCACCTGAAACTCGATGTATTGGAGAATAACGGCGACATAATCTTGGAACTCTTTGGACATTTCCCGGAATTTTTGTCCATCGTCTTTATTTGGCTGAGATTGCGGAGTTACAAGACCTTGAATTGTTTGCAGATGACTTTTGTTGTTATTCATCCACTTCATCATCCCCTTCAGCCCGCTGTCTGAATCCTTTTGGATGATCGCAGCAATCGCCTCGTTTTTCTCAGTGACCAGCTGCTTGAGCTTCTCGAGCGCGCGGGCCTTGGACGCGGCGAACTGGGAGAGGGCGTGGCGTTTGATGGAGGTGGCGGCGGTGGTGGATTTTAGTTTTATTTCTTCGGTGATGTCTGTTATGTGGACGATGATCTGTGTTCTTGCCGAGGACAATGCATTGATGACCTCCTGAATCATCTCTGTCAGTTTGGCATCCATAACGGCCGTGATGAATTTCTGAAATGCTTTTTGATTTTTATCAATCTCTTTACCTAACTCAGTAACGTTGGCCTTCATGCCCGTATGGTCAGCGGCAAGATGCTTGGAGAAGGATTTCAAACTAATAAGTGATGAATTTAGATTTCTAACTGCATTGTCAAACTCCGTTCTAACTTTACGTTGGAATTCATTGTCAAGTTCTTTAACTTTATCGGCAACAGCCTTTATCGCTTCGTCTACTTTACCTGCCACGTTTTTTTCTTCAGCTGCAACTGGAGGACCGGGAGGAGGGGGGGGGAGGAGCTTTGGGGGCAGATTTAGATTTTTCTAGCGCTTTTTTGAGTTTTTCGACAATGTTTGCGTCGCTTGTAGTTGACGAATATGTTGACTTATAGTACTTAAGCATAGGATATTTGCTATCATCAAGATTGCTCAGCTCGTCTTTTACAGCCTCAATCACGTTATGAAGACCCCTTACCTCATCTCTGAGTTTTCCCACGAACCCTTCAACAGTTGTTTTTGACTTATCACCGATAATTTCAGAAAGATTTCCAATCGCCTCATTAATCTTTGGCGTCAATTGTTCAATACCGCTCTGCAGTGTCGAAATGTTGAGAGCCATTGACTGTAACCACACTTGTTGAGTCTTAGAATCTAAATCCCCCTTAATCTGCTTATCGAGCTGATTCACCTTATCTGCATTCCCTAGCGCTGTACTCAATGCTGCGGACGCCGAAGTCTTCAGCCACTTCAACTCTCCCCTATAAGCATCTGCACGTGTCCTATCAAGCTTGTCACTCGTTTCCTTAAGATGCTGGAGGAGATTTTCACACTTTTCCAAGTAAATGCCAACATTTCGTTTAGTTTCCCTCCCCACTCCATGGGCATAGTCTATAATAATTTTTGTTTGCTCATCCACCTTCCCACACACCTCCTTAAGCCCCTCGTGATCCTGCTTAGTGGAGTCCACGAAAGCGTCCACTCTGTCTTTAATAAGGGTGACGTGTGGAAGTAAATCTTTTTGGAGGTTTTGATCTAACACAGCAACTGCGTTAGAAGCATAATCAATATCTGTAGTAAGCTGATAGAGGGACTTGATAGAAGAATTCAAATTACTTTCCTCCGTGTTGTAGTTCTTATCATCTTTCAGAGCATTGAAATAGTTAAAGTACGCATTTATATTCTCATGAAGAATATTTAACGGTTTCTTAAGATTATTGTTCGACGCACTAACACCATCCAACCACCTCTCAATCCCCCTCTTGACATCGTCAATCACAGTATGCAAACCTGTTTTGCCTTCATAGCGCTTACTTTCTAAAAGTGTTACAGCATCTTTTAAAGTCTCTTTATAAGGCGAAAGGTTATTATTTTTATGAACTTCATTAAGAACACCATGAAGGAACGCCATCACCCCGTCGCAGAGCCTGTCAAGGTCCGAGTACACAATTCCCTCTCCGGTGTAATTACCATTCTCGTAGCCGAGAAATTTTTCGAGGCCTGTGCAAAGGTTATTTAATAAATCACGTGGACTATTTTTATTATTCTGTTGCAATGTCTCAAGTTTCTTTCTAAGCTCCTCAAGCTTCTTATGCTGGGGACAGTCAGAAGAGGGATGAGACTTTTGACAGTTTTCACAGTCTTTATGCTGCTTTTCAAGCCTCTCAATTTCTTTATTAATTAGTGTTTCAATGCTCTTTTCAGAGCCACTAAACTGTGTAAGCTTCACTATAACATCAATGCCATGATGCACTTCCTCCTCAAGGGAGGACGCACGCTGCTCATCCATGTAATGGGACTTAGTGCAGTCATCTTTTTTAGACTTTAAGTCATTGATTTGTGATTCTAAAGAGGATATTAGAGATTTATTAGAGTCTTTATTAGTGTTTTTAGCTTCATTAAGTTTTTGTTGGTTGGACTTAATGTGCTTATCAAGCTCATTACAGTAGGAGTTGGGATCTTGTGGATTTGGGGAGCAAGAGAGCTTTTGAGATTTGTGTTGGAGGGAAGTTGTAGCACTAGAAATAGCGTCACCAATCAACTTTTGCAAAGCATCGGCCAACTTCCCAAGACCATCATTACCATTCCCATGCCTAACCTGGATCAACCAATCGATGGAGGCCGACGAAGAAGGCCAAGAAGGGAGGGAGAAAAAGGTGAGAGAAGAAAGTGGAAAAAAGGTTGAAAGGCGGTTAGAGGAGATGTAAAAAGACACTTTTGGAGAATTTTAGAATTTTTTGAGAAAGGCGATTTTAGGTCAAGGAGGCAGCGAGGGAGCGAGGGAGTGGGTGGACAAGACGAGGGAGGTGAGGGGGCGAGAGAGGGCGATGAAGGAGGAAGATTGGTTGAGGTAAGGCGGTTTAAGGGGCGGAGGGGAAAGGCGGAAAACGAGGATTTGGGCGAAGGACTCCGACGGAAGAGGTGATGAAGGGGGTGAGTCAGGGAGCGAAGCGACCAGTGAAGGAGGGAGGTGAGTGGGTGGGTGGTTGGGTGAGTATGTGAGTGAGTGGGTGAGTGGTTGAGTATGTGAGTGAGTTGGGGAGTGAGTGAGTGGTTGAGTGGGTGGGTGAGTGGGTGGTTGAGTGGTTGAGTGGGTGGGTGAGTATGTGGGTGGGTGGGTGAGTGGGTGAGTTGGTGGTTGAGTGGGTGAGTATGTGGGTGGGTGGGTGAGTGGGTGAGGGAGTGGGTGGGTGACTGGGTGAGTGGTTGAGTGGGTGGTTGAGTGGGTGGGTGGGTGGTTGAGTGGGTGAGTGGTAGAGTGGGTGGGTGAGTGGTTGAGTGAGTGGTTGAGTGGGTGGGTGGGTGGTTGAGTGGTTGAGTGAGTGAGTGGGTGGGTGGTTGAGTGGGTGAGTGAGTGAGTTGGTGAAGGCACGATTATGGTGAGAAGTACTTGACGTTGGCGAGTGCCCTGACGCGTGCGGCGGCGAGGAGGGACTGTGCGGCGATGCGGTGGCTTGAGGGCGAGCGCAGGTGGGAGCGTATCCTCAGGACGTCGAGGCGGACGACGGCGATGTGCAGCAGGTACAGGAGCGACAGCGACCAGAGGGCTAATAAGAGGTAGGAGAAATTCGCTCTTATCTTCCAGATGAATGTGTCTATATCGTTGATTAGTTGAATGAGTACAGAGTCTTTGTGTAGCACTTTCTTCAATGCTTCGCAGAAGTCCTTGCACGTTCTTTTGTATTTCCCTTCCTTTTCTTCTCCACTTAGTCCGGATGGACTACCAAATGTGAATCCATACTTATACAGCGTCGGAAGCATATCCGGACATTTGACGATTGAATGACAGTTGGTAGTGTGCTTATCATTCTGTAATGGAATTTTAGGTTTTCCGGAATTGTCAGTGTATTTTACCTTACACGTTTTAATACAGCTCTTGTCACAGCATCTGCTGCCAGGCGTCTCACACTTCTTGCATGATGCGTACAAATCGTAGAGCAGACCAACGAATGTCTCAGTACAGTACACCACCCAGGAAAGATAATTTGCAGAGCGCTTAGAGGAGAATATGGAACGCATATTCAATGTTAGCGGATGCAAGTATTTACCGCATGGCAGGCCGGGATTCTTCTCATGATTACAATCTGTAAGGCTGAAGAGGTCACCTTGGGAATGTTTGTCGGAGTGTGCATTGCTGACTTGGATGGATGCGATATTCAAGGTTGTTTCGTCATTCCAGAAATTGGCTCTTTTAACAGCTTCAACGAAGGCATCTTCCTTATGCTGCTTAATATTTCTATGATTCCAGTTCTTAAGCAGCTGATAGTAGAAAGCTAACATATCGCCCAGATTTTGCGGTGGTTGACGCAGAAGACACGATAAGTAAGAACACAACTTAGCGAGGTTTGAACCTGCATTACAGAATTGATTCAGAGCATCTTTAAGATACGTGCCGTCCTTGGTATGAGATGCTGCGATACCAATATCGGCAAAGCCCATTGGCGTGATGCATGGGAGTCCTCTGTGATTGGAAACTGTGCACGTCAGTTTGCATCCGGGCGTTTTGAAAGAATGTGGTAAAAACCCTTGTAGGCCGTCCTCGAGGAAGGACTGTAACGGCGACTTAAGGCCGCACTTGGGATGTTGCTCACAGCGTTGGTCGGCGCTTTGGTTAGTGTTGTGGTTGACCTTTTGGTTAGGGCTTAGGTTACAATCTAGGTTCCCACATTGCTTCACATTGCACAGCCAAGAGGAGCCAGCGACGTACCTGCCGTAAGAGCAATCGGCCCAGCCACCCCTACTGCGGTCGTTTTTACACTGGGTATATAGAAAGTATACTCGTTGAAACACTCTATGCAACACATCGACAAGCATGTCGAAACATGAACTAACACTGCTAGGGTACGATAATTTATCTGCGTTTGTTAGGAAGTCACAGGCGTAACGCCCTTCGGCGTGACCGTGACCTTGGATGCCAACCAGTGCAAGTTGCGAGAGTAAGCACACCTGTTGGAGTGCATCTTTTAGCACTTTCGCTGTAAATGGCGTAGTGGCGTCGAGTTTGTAGTTGGAGGGGTCTTGCAATTTCGATTCGTCTTCTGGTTTGTCGAAGAGCTCCTTGAAGTAGTCACCGAGTTTGTGGTACATCGGATTGAAGTACAACCCGGACAGCCAACACATCATCTGATAAATGTTACTAGGTGACTTCGGTGAATCGTTGTGCATATGGTGAGAGACACGGTAATAGTTTCTAAGGTGGTCGCGAAGGAAGAGAGCAAGGTCATAGAGCGAAATCTGGATATTACCGTTGGATGCAGTTGCAGGAACACTGTTTTTATTGTTCTTCCAGTCAACAAGCAAACGAATGTTGGAGATGTTTATATTTTCCTTGGTAAGAAGCTTAGTATGAATTTCTTCACCCTTCATAGAGTCCTTGTCCTGCAACTCGCCAGTCTGCTTGCCTTGCTCGGAGTTAACCTTGTAACCACGCTTCCGGAACCAGGCGCCAAGCTTATTGCCTAAAATAATGTTCATCTCCCTCCATCCACCAGATGTCTTTCCACATTCGTTTTGCAAATCATACACATCTTTTCTCAGCCCCTCCATTGACGTGAGCAAAACCTTCGCATACTTCCCTTCCTCCTCCGGCTTCCACTGCTCCATCGAATACCTCGAAACATACTGATTCTGCAGCTCTTTTACAAATGCCTGCATTCCTTTTTTCAGGATATCAGCCAACTCTGGATGGTGGGAATTAACGAACTGCTTAGGTGAAAAGCTGCTGAGCTTGTCTTTTAGACTTTTAATGTTTTTGCAAAAGGTGTGATCGAAGTGTTTTGACGCGTAAAGGTCGTCGAATAAAGTATGAGAGAGCAGGGAGATGGATTTCACGTCGCTTTTAAGTTCATTGTCATGTTTTACTTGTTCTTTTACATACGTCATAACATTGGTAAGGAACTTATTGAAGTAGAGGGCCATTAGCGCTAATTCAGTTTTATCGGGAATCTGTGATAGATTAGTCTTATGTTTATCAATTTCCTTCATCATCCCCTTCAGCCCGCTGTTGGAATCGTCTTCGATAATCTTCTTAATCGCCTCGTTTTTCTCAGTGACCAGCTGCTTGAGCTTCTCGAGCGCGCGGGCCTTGGACGCGGCGAACTGGGAGAGGGCGTGGCGTTTGATGGAGGTGGCGGCGGTGGTGGATTTTAGTTTTATTTCTTCGGTGATGTCTGTTATGTGGACGATGATCTGTGTTCTTGCCGAGGACAATGCATTGATGACCTCCTGAATCATCTCTGTCAGTTTGGCATCCATAACGGCCGTGATGAATTTCTGAAATGCTTTTTGATTTTTATCAATCTCTTTACCTAACTCAGTAACGTTGGCCTTCATGCCCGTATGGTCAGCGGCAAGATGCTTGGAGAAGGATTTCAAACTAATAAGTGATGAATTTAGATTTCTAACTGCATTGTCAAACTCCGTTCTAACTTTACGTTGGAATTCATTGTCAAGTTCTTTAACTTTATCGGCAACAGCCTTTATCGCTTCGTCTACTTTACCTGCCACGTTTTTTTCTTCAGCTGCAACTGGAGGACCGGGAGGAGGGGGAGGAGCTTTGGGGGCAGATTTAGATTTTTCTAGCGCTTTTTTGAGTTTTTCGACAATGTTTGCGTCGCTTGTAGTTGACGAATATGTTGACTTATAGTACTTAAGCATAGGATATTTGCTATCATCAAGATTGCTCAGCTCGTCTTTTACAGCCTCAATCACGTTATGAAGACCCCTTACCTCATCTCTGAGTTTTCCCACGAACCCTTCAACAGTTGTTTTTGACTTATCACCGATAATTTCAGAAAGATTTCCAATCGCCTCATTAATCTTTGGCGTCAATTGTTCAATACCGCTCTGCAGTGTCGAAATGTTGAGAGCCATTGACTGTAACCACACTTGTTGAGTCTTAGAATCTAAATCCCCCTTAATCTGCTTATCGAGCTGATTCACCTTATCTGCATTCCCTAGCGCTGTACTCAATGCTGCGGACGCCGAAGTCTTCAGCCACTTCAACTCTCCCCTATAAGCATCTGCACGTGTCCTATCAAGCTTGTCACTCGTTTCCTTAAGATGCTGGAGGAGATTTTCACACTTTTCCAAGTAAATGCCAACATTTCGTTTAGTTTCCCTCCCCACTCCATGGGCATAGTCTATAATAATTTTTGTTTGCTCATCCACCTTCCCACACACCTCCTTAAGCCCCTCGTGATCCTGCTTAGTGGAGTCCACGAAAGCGTCCACTCTGTCTTTAATAAGGGTGACGTGTGGAAGTAAATCTTTTTGGAGGTTGGCGTCAATTAGGTTGAGATATTCTGAGGACTCTGTACTAAAGTTTGGAATTTGGTGAACGGCATCCATCCACTTACGTAATGTAGACTGTGAAAGACTATTATACTCTTGATTTTTTAAACCATCGATAACTTTTGAAATCAAAGGCAAATGCTTTTCGTCTAACAAAATTTCCAACGGTGTTGTCACTTTTTTATTCATCATGTCAACCAATGCCAACCAGTCGGCGATGCCTTCCTTGACGGCCTGAACGGACTTACCAAATTTTGAGTGACCTCCATGAATATTCGATTCTAGTTCACGAAATGCGTCAAGCAATGTATTACTGTATGGCAATAAAGTTTTATTGTTATAAACATCTTTAAGCACCCCGTGCAAAAACGCCATCACCCCGTCGCACAGCCTGTCGAGGTCCGAGTACACGATGCCGGAGCCGTCGTAGCCTTTAGAAATTGCATTATACCCTAAGAATGTTTGGAGACCATCGCAAAGATTTTCTAAAATTTTTGTTGCAGGATTCTCACCATCTTTTGTGCCAATAAATTTCTCGAGTTTTTCTTTAAGCTCCTTAAGTGTCTTTTGCCTTTTCTCAATATCCTTCAACGCCTTCTTTGTAGAATCATCATAATAACTGTCATTGTGATAATTGACTTTACAATCTTTCATATAGCCTTCATAAAGCTTTTTATTAGGATTTTCAGGTTGACCAGAATTTTTAGACTCTTCAGCTTGCTTTATTAACCTACCAATATACTGACAATTAGATTCATTTCCCTTATATTTTTTAGGGCACTCAAGTTCCTTTTTCCTCTTTTCAAGACTCTCAGTTGCATTGTTAATTGCATCACCAATCAACTTTTTCACAGCTTCAGCCAACTCATCAAGACCCTGACCATCACCATTCCCATGCCTAACCTGGATCAGCCAGTCGATGGAGGCCGACGAAGGAGGCCAAGAAGGGAGGGCAAAAGAGGGGAGAGAAGAAAGTGGGAAAAAGTTAAAAGGCGATTAGAGGAGGTGAAATGGGACACTTTTGGACAATTTTAGAATTTTTTGAGAAAGGTCAAATTTGGTCAAGGAGGCAGTGAGGCAGCGAGGGAGGTGGGTGGACGAGGTGAGGGAGGTGAAGGGGCGAAAGAGGGCGATGAGGGAGGAAGAAGGGTTGAGAGAGGGGATTTAGGAGGTGGAGTGGGAAAGGGGAAAATGAGGATTCGGGTGAAGGACGCCGACGGAGGAGGTGAGGGAGGGGAGGAGGGAGGGAGCGAAGCGACCAGTGAAAGAGGAGGTGGTTGAGTGGTTGAGTGGTTGGTTGGTTGAGTGAGTGAGTGGGTGAGTGAGTGGGTGAGTGGGTGGTTGAGTGAGTGGGTGGGTGAGTGGTTGAGTGGGTGGTTGAGTGGGTGGTTGAGTGGGTGGTTGAGTGGGTGGGTGATTAGGTGAGTGGTTGAGTGGTTGAGTGAGTGAGTGGGTGGTTGAGTGGGTGGGTGGGTGAGTGGTTGAGTGGGTGGTTGAGTGGGTGGTTGAGTGGGTGGTTGAGTGGGTGGTTGAGTGGGTGGTTGAGTGGGTGGTTGAGTGGGTGGGTGATTAGGTGAGTGGTTGAGTGGTTGAGTGAGTGAGTGGGTGATTGGGTGATTGGGTGAGTGAGTGGGTGGTTGAGTGAGTGAGTGAGTGAGTGGTTGAGTGGTTGAGTATGTGAGTGAGTGATTAGGTGAGTGAGTGGGTGAGTGGGTGAGTGGGTGATACACAGATCACACGTGAAGGCACGATTATGGTGAGAAGTACTTGACGTTGGCGAGTGCCTTGACGCGTGCGGCGGCGAGTAGCGACTGCGCGGCGATGCGGTGCGACGAGGGTGAGCGCAGGTGGGAGCGTATCCTCAGGACGTCGAGGCGGACGACGGCGATGTGCAGCAGGTAGAGCAGTGAGAGGGACCAGAGGGCCACAAGCGTGTAGAAGAATTTGTATCTTATCTCCCACAAGAATGCTGGAATTTTGTTAATGACCAGGTCGGCAAGTACCGATCGGCCAGGACACACTTTTTCCAATGCCTGGCAGAGGTCTTGGCACGTTCTTTTTTGATTCGGATCACTGCTTTTGCCACTTAAGTTCCATGGGCTTCCGAAGGTAAATCCATATTTGTAAAGAGTTGGATGGGTATTTTGACATTTGACAATAGAATGGCATTCATTTTGATGGTTATGTTGCTGGGGTTGCGATGTGTGCTGCTGTGTTTTATAATACGAGTTTACGTTACAACTCTCAGCACAGGTTTTATCATAACATCTCGTTCCCTGCGTATTGCACTTTCGGCAACACTCGGAATACAATTTCTTAAGCAAATCATAGAACGTTTCAGTGATGTACACAATCCACGAGAGATAGTTATCAGCGTACTCTTTAGAATACAACAACCGAATGTCATCGCTCATTGATTGTAAGTATTGTCCGCACGGCAGTGACGACTGCGTCACTGGGTCGCAAGACAAAAGGCTGAACAGATCACCTTTGGGGTGGTTGTCATCTCTATGGATTTTAGAACCTAAGATTTTCGTGATGTCCAAATCAGAATGAGGACGTCCCAAGTTGGCTCTTTCAACGGCATCATCGAACGCTTGTCGCCTATGTTTTGCTTGTTCCCCCTCAGCACACCAGTGATCAAGGATATTATAATAGAAAGCAAACATGTCGCCCAGCGTCTGAGGGGGTCGGCGCAACAGGTATATGAAATAGGAACAAATTAGGCTCAGTGAGCACTCTCTTGTGCCACAGAACGGATCAAGCACATCCTTAATACATTGGCCAGTGCCAGTTCGTGAAGCTATTTGACTTAGGTCCTTAAAGCCCATAGGGGTCTTACATGGAAGTCCTTTGTGATTGGACACGGTACATTCCAGCTTACAGCCGGGAGAGGTGAATTGGTGCGGCAAGAAGCCTTGCAGTCCATCTTCCAAAAAAGATTGCAGAGGCGATTTCAGACCGCACTTAACACTTTGGTCACATTTTTGGTTACACATTTGGTTGTGTTTTTGGTTACCATTCTGGTTCGGACATTGCATAGTGTTGCAGTTCCACGAAGAACCACCTACTCCACGACCGTACAAGCAATCACGCCAACCACTACTGCCCGGGCCATTTTGGCACTGCTTAAATAGGAAAAGGATTTGTTCATTTAGTCTAAGACATATATCGACGAGCAGGTCGAAGCATTGATTTACGTCTGTTGGATAATTTAAACCATCTGGGTTTGTTAGGAAGTCACAGGCATACCGGCCGCCTGCGTGGCCGTGGCCAAGGATGGTAACTAATATGTGATATGGGCGGATGGTAATATTGTTGAATAGGTCTGACATTTCTTTAAAGGTAAGATCTCGGAGCATCCTTTCGCTTCTTCTTGCAGGCACAGCGGCTTCTATGGCCTTGCTTACTGTTGTGCCGTTTCCTTCGGGTACATCGAAGAACCCTGCAAATTTACCAGCCAATTTATCATACATCGGCGTGTAGTAGAGCCCAGCAAGCCAGTGAAGCATTTCGTTGACAGTGGTGGGCGCCCTAGGTGATGTGATGTGATTAAGGTGACATACGTTGTAGTAGGAAACAAGGTCTGTGGCTAGCCTATTGATTAATTCGTGGAGCTTGTCGGAGCCGTTACTTACGCCATTAATTTTACTATCACGCAACTGATTAATTTTCTGCGCGTTTGTCTTATCAGAATTGTCTAATTCACCGTCTTGGACGCCAGCCTTAGTGGCCACCTTGTAGCCGCGGTCAGAAAAAAAGTTGCCAATGCTATTACCTGAATTAATCTTATCAGCATTCTTTGCTGGTAACAATTTACTTAAAGATTCAAAGTCATAAAACAATGTTTCCAGTATGGTCAGGCAGACCTTGGCGCAGTTGCGGCCCTCGGTGGTTAACTGGTTGGGAAATTGGTCAGAGTCCTTTTCTTTTTTAAGCAAGTCTTCTTGGAATTTCATACCGCTATAAGCATTCACATACGCGCGGGAGAGTTCAGTGGTGAATTGCGTCATGCCGGCCTTGAGGGCGTCGAGCAGCAGCGGGTTGTGGAAGCCGTGGAAGTTGGAGGGGGAGAGGGAGTGGGAGTGGATGGAAGAGGAAAGTTGTTTAAGAAGTGTAGTGAATAAGTCATCAAAAATGTAAATACGCTTTTTAGCGTCCTTGTGTTGATTCTTATTATCATCGCTAAATTTACCAAGATATTTGAGCAAATCATCGACCGCATTTTTGATAAGTTTAACACGGCCAGACTGCTCAGTGGGAAGAGGATTATTTTTATCTTGCGAATTATCTTTTACTTGGTCTTCAGTGTACTGTAGCAGTGGATCAATATAATCCTGGAAGTTGAAGGCCAATTCTTTGAATTGCTTACTGTACTCATCGGACGGCAAAGGTGTCGGAGGCTTCTGAACTTGATCAGGCATATCCTTTTTAAGCTGATTAAGCAGATTATTTTCCTTAGTGAAATCTACATTTTTCGTATGAAGTGACACGCCAGACATAATTTTCAAAAGGCCTTTGACGCCCGTGACTTTATCTTCATTAATTATTTTTCTCACCTCCGCCAATTTTTGCTCAACCAGCGTATGCAGCGCCTGCAGGTCCGCGACGTGCTGCTCGGCGAAGAGGTGGCGGACTTGTTTAGTTACTTCGGTGAAGGCGGCGGTGACGGCCGTTAGGGATTTTTTGTGGGAGTCAGTTATCGCATCTCGAAGTGATTTGATGGAGACATCTAACGCACCCTTAGCTTGATCAACTGTTCTATCAATGGCCACACCAATCAGTTCTATATCAGATTTCAACTGTTCCAATAGATTATCAACCGCCTGTTTTGCTTTATCCACCTTTGTAGGAACAAGTTCCAACCGGTTGACCGTATTAAGCGCCTTTTGTATTGCTGTCTGTATATTACCAGGTTGCTTAATTTCACTGGAGTGCAGCGTTTGGAGCTCATTATGGAGTCTCTTAAGACTCCCTTCTGAAGGGGAACCATGATCGGTAGTATGGCCAATTTTAGTTTTTAGGGCGCCCAGCGCGTCCAGGGCGCCGTCGCCTTTTGGATTGGGATGTCCGGGGGTTCTCTGCAAATCTGTTTTGAGACCGTCCAGTGCCCGAGTTATTTCTTTGACGGCTGAGTGTATTTCGCTAGGTTTATTGGAAAATTCGGAAATTCGGGCGGCTAAGTCCTGTTGTATCCCCTGGATACCAGTTGAACCTGTTTGTAAAGAATTTGTAATCCTTTCGTTCAGATCTTCAAAGGTTTTCTGCAAGCCATTGTTATTCTTTAAAGCAGCTTTGCCAACTTCGTCGACGAGCCTTTTGAAAGGTGTAGTAAAGCGCTGTTCCAAGTTTTCGATAGCTTTTGTTTCTCGCTCAAAGGTAGTATGGAAGTTTGACGCCTGTTGCACTAAACTGCTGAGTTCACTGGGAGCATCACGGATGCCACTAAAACTACTATGACGAGTGAACTGCTGAAGTTTATTGTTGACTTGCTGAGCAAATTGGAGTGCACCATTTAATGTCTCAGTTAATTGTTTTAATTCAGAATTATTATGTAGATTCATGGTAGCACTGTTAACTTCAAGTTGAACGCCGCCTTTTATAGAGTCCACAAAAGCTCTCATAAACGCCCTAGTGGCAGATGCATATCCAGTTAGAGGGTCGTGATATGGAGTAAGTTGATCGGCAGGGAGAGAGGATAGTCTTCCACGAAGAAAAGCATCAAGTCCCGGCAGCTGTCGCTGATATTTTTGCCATTCCTCTAATGGCGCTCGTAATTGCGGTGACTGCACAAATTGAGTATATCTATCCCAAATATACTTAATTGCAGCATCAACATTTTTTCCGACATCGAGTACCATCAGCGCTGCCTGGCTCCACTGATGCAGTTGCCCGCCGTTGAGGGGTGTTTGACCTGGCGAAGACGTCAACTGCGAATACGCACTCTGCATCTCCTTCAATCTTTCATTTATCAAGCTGTCAACGGCGCTGGCCAGCTCGGTGAGTTTCTCTTTTGCCTGGTGCCCGATGACGTTAAGTTGTTGTTTCTTAAAATCGATAAAATTACTTGAAGTCTGTCTTTTTAGACTTTCGACTGCCTGAGTAATTATGCTCGTTTTGCTGTCATGAACTGCAGAGATGATAGCGTTAACCTTCTCTGAATTATCACGTATGGTACATCCAACATCCTTAATCCACTGCTGAAGAGAGCTGTCAATTTTACTAAGCGTTCCATTTGTCCCGCCAATCGCCTGTTGTGCACCTTCAATAGCACTCAATCTACCGGCAATTGAGTCAGAGACACTACTCTCCTTCGTCAGTTCACCATACACCTTTTGCGCCTTACTAGCAGCATCGTTGCGCAATTTCTCTGCCGCTTCAATCCCATTTGCCAGATTCGTAACATATGTCTGCAGTTTGCTACCAACATCCAAAAGCTCCGATTTAATGTTGTCAACCTGCATTTCAAGCGCAGATTTATCACCACCGTGGTTATTGATTTCCGTCATTTCATCCTTTAAGCTAAGAAACTTACTACGAATCTGGTCTCTATACTGATTATTCAAATCTAATAAATTTTCCTTACATTCCTTTACAGTCTTCTTCATAAGCCAAATGTGCTTAATTTTCGTTTTTTCCAATGCGCCAACCTTTATACAAATCTTTTCAAACTCATCATCCAGCAAATTAATAAGGTGCATTTGTTGTTTCCATAACTCGTCATCCACCTCCCTGACTTTCTTCTCCAGCTCCTTGCTATCCGCCGACCCCTTCAGCACCTGCACGGCGCTTTTCACAGCGTCTATCTTATGCATCAATTTATCACGCAACACAGGATCTAAGTCATTAACGTTATTAGTTTCAATACGTTGAAGCTCCTTTTCAAGTATTTCTGTAATTGCCTTCCAATTCTTCAACTGCTTTTCAAGGGTGTCAGATTTTTTCTTCTCCACGTCATTTGTATAAAGCCCTCCCATATCGATGATGAGTTTGGATAACTCCTCGTTTACTTTATTTGTCCTCTCCTCCACCTGCGCACCATGTCTGTTCAACCACCCACTTACCTCAGTCACGGCGACACCGAAGGCCTGACGGCCTTTACCTACATTATTATGTAAATTGTCAAGAACATTATTAATATCATTATTGTCATCATATGTTGTAACACTCTCATCATCCCTCACACTCTGAAGAACACCATGAAGGAAAGACATCACCCCGTCGCACAGCCTGTCAAGGTCCGAGTACACAATTCCTTCTCCGGTGTAATTACCATTACTGTAGCCGAGAAATTTTTCGAGGCCTGTACAAAGGTTATTTAATAATGTTGTTGAAGGATTATTTTAGGTGCATTTTCAGGGTGATTTGGGGGAATTTGGAGAAAGGCGATTTTAGGTGGAGGAGGCAGCGAGGGAGGTGGGTGGACAGGGTGAGGGAAGTGAAGGGGCGAAAGAGGGCGATGAAGCAGGAAGATGGGTTGAGAGAGGGGATTTCGGAGGTGGAGGGGGAAAGTGGAAAATGAGGATTTGGGCGAAGGACGCCGACGGAGGAGGTGAGGGAAGGGGGTGAGGGGCAGGGAGCGAAGCGACCGGTGAAGGAGGGAGGTGAGTGAGTGAGTGGGTGGTTGAGTGGGTGGTTGAGTGGGTGGTTGAGTGGGTGGTTGAGTGAGTGATTAGGTGGTTGAGTGATTAGGTGAGTGGGTGAGTGGTTGAGTGATTAGGTGAGTGGTTGAGTGGGTGATACACAGATCACGCGTGAAGGCACGATCATGGTGAGAAGTACTTGACGTTGCCGAGTGCCTTGACTCTTGCGGCGGCGAGGAGGGACTGCGCGGCGATGCGGTGGCTTGACGGCGATCTCAGGTGGGAGCGTATCCTCAGGACGTCGAGGCGGACGACGGCGATGTGCAGCAGGTACAGGAGCGACAGCGACCAGAGGGCTAACAATGTTAGGGAGAATGGTTCCCTTATTTTCCAGAGGAAATCTGGTATGGTGACGTATATTAATTTGGCAAGTGGAGCTTCAACGTTTTTATCTTCATTGAGAACGTTTTTCAGCGCCTTGCAGAAATCCTTACATGTGCGTTTCTTTCCTGCGCCATATTCACCATTTAGGCTTTCTGCGTTGCCATATGTGAAACCATGTCTATACAGTGTCGGAAGTGTGTTTTGGCATTTAACAATCGAGCGGCATTCTGAATCATGGTTACATGGCGTTGATGTTTTAGAGGACACTGGACACTTCTTAACACAGCACTTGTTGTGGCAATTGGATCCCTTCGCACCGCATTTAGCATCGCACTCGTCGAACAATTTCTTAAGCAAGTCGTAAAACGTCTCCGTCAAGTAGACGATCCACGACAAGTAATTGCTTTTATGCTTGGATGAAAATATGCGGTAGATATTTAATGTTAGTGGTTGAACAAAGAGCCCACATGAATTTACTGAATCAGATGTGCAGGTTGATATGCTGTACAAATCACCCTTTATGTCGCTATCTACGTGACCAATACTACCATACAACGGGCTGGGATCAAAGGGATGTTCTTGACCGAAGTAGGCTTCGGTAACGGCGTCCTTAAGTGCTCTTTGCGTATGCACCGGCGATTCTTTGTTTCCATAAAAGCCACCAGTGTAATCCATGATGAAGCCCTGGTAAAACGCAAACATGTCACCAAGGTTTTGTGGAGCACGATGCGTAAGGCACACTAAGTAACCACATAGTTTGCTAAGAGGCTTCTCTGAATCACCGCATAAATCACGAAGCACTCTCATAAGACGTTCACCTTTCTGTGTTTGTGACGCCATTGTGCTGATCTCCCCAAATCCCATCGGAGTCTTGCACGGGATGCCTCGGTGGTTGGTAACTGAGCAAGTTAATTTGCAACCAGGAGAGGTAATTGAATGAGACAAGAAGCCTTGTAGACCATCTTCCAGAAAAGATTGGAAAGGGGATTTCAGTCCGCAGTCACTGTGTTGGTTGGCTGTTTGCTTGACCGCTTGGTTGTGCTTTTGGTTACATGTTTGGTCAGCACATTGGAGGTAGTTACACCGCCAGCTGGACCCACCGACGTGCCGGCCGTAGTGACAGTCACGCCAGCCGCTGGTGCTTTTGCCACGGAGGCACTGCGTCAATACGAAGTAAAGTTGCTGGTATAGTCTTTGCAATATATCTAAGAGCATATCAAAACATACAGCAGCGCTACTGGGATACGATAGATTACTCGAGTTATTAAAGTGATCAACGGCATATACACCGTCAGCATGGCCGTAACCAAGCACGGCGATCAGCGGTTTTCTTGCGTTTTGGCATACTTTCTTAAGCAATGTTATTAAGCTACTATAGGTGATTGTCTCCGGATGAGCATCTAATTTCAGTAGTGCACTGGGTATATCCGAATACTTCGAATCTTTATACCCGTCAGGTTTGCCAAACAGTTCCATCAAATAATCACAAACTTTCTCAAACATGTAATTGTATTGCAAGCCACTACACCACTGGAGCATCTGGTAGATGTTAGACGGTGACTTGGGTTTTTCCGGGATGTAATGGTGACACACCTCGTTGTAACATTCGAGGTTGTTGTAAAGCCTCTTAAGGACACTGTAATTTTGTACACTCGTCTGGTCTACATAGTCATCATAGTCGTCAACGATTCTGTACGTTTGACTACTCTGGCCGTGTTGCTTCGTCATAAGATCATAAATATGCTCACCCTTTAACTTCGACTTGTTCCTCAACTCACCGTCGTGGCCATCATTTTCATTGGACACCCTGTAACCGGAGTTCTTGAGGAATGTTCCAAGGCCGGTATTAGAATATATAGTATTAGACGTCCACTTTTCTGGGCAGCGCTTTCGGAGGTTCCTCATGTCTCGGAACAATATAAAAAGGACTGTGGCACATACTTTAGAACACTTCCTACCATAATCCCTCAGCGTTATGATTGTGGTATTATTTGAGGGGGTTAGTTCATATTTAGCGTCGACTAAGTTTTCCGTGAATTTCTGACTATCATACCTATTAACGTACGCGTGTTTCAACTCGCCGGTAACGCCAAGCATCCCTTTCTTCAGCGCGTCGAGCAATTCGGGATTCTGGTGGCCGGCGAATTTGTCGGCGTGCAGGGCGTTGACTGCGTCGGTTAGTGCGGAGAGTTTTTGTTGGAAAGCATAGTCGAAGTTGTATAGTTTGTCAGATGCAGAGAGGTGGGAGAGTAATTTGTCGACGGCCTTCTGAATTTCTTGAACTTTCTTGGACTCCTCACTGTCTACTTTCTCTCCCTTCTTCGCCTTGCCCGGCGTCTTGACCTGTGCGATGGTGTAGGAGAGGAGGGGGGAGAGGTAGTTGTTGAAGGCGGTGGAGAATTTTGCTACATCTGGATACCTGAGTGCATCGATGTACTCTCCAAGGTTACTGCTCAAAGCGTTCATCAACCCCTTGACGCCAGTCATTTTGTCTGTGAACACGATTTGTTCGATTTCGGATTGTTGCCTGACAGCTAATCTCTGCAATGCTGTTAGGTCGGCGATATGCTGATCTGTAAACATTTTCCGGACAGCGGAAGTCACAGTTTCGAAGGCCTTTTCAGTTGTATTGAGGAGATCCCGTTTGAGGTATGACACGGATTGCTGCGCGGCGATGAAGGCTTCTGTGACATCATCCAAAAGGACATTTTTTAAAACGTCAACGACTCTATTGAGCTCATTCTTAGTTCCGCGAACAATTTGGTCCAGATCATTCATGCCATTTTCTATGGTTGCTGAAGCGTCATTAACCTTAGTTTCAATAGTGCGGATTTCATCTTGAAGTTTAACGAATTCACTTTTTAGTTGGTCCATCATCTCGTCAACTTCTTTTCTTTCTGTGTCAACCAAATCGGGTACCTTTTCCAACATTCTTATTTTGTCAAGGATCTTGTTGTTAGCGTCCTCAATGCCTTTCTTCAATGTCTCGCTTTGTAGAGTATTGATTCTGGTTTTGATTCCCTTTCCCAGTCGGTTATCGATTCTATCACCTTTCAATATATCAACGTACACTTTGACAGCCTCACTAGCTCCTTGAATGACACCGAACAATTTCCCAAGATGTTCAGTAATCTGTTGGTGATTTTGTTGAGCTTGAGCCTTTAGATTGCCGATTTGTGATAGTGTGGTGGTTACTTGGCCTTTTATAATGCCAATTGTATCCTTGAGTTTATTATAAGAGTCAGCACGTTCAAGACCGTCTATGGTTATTTCACTCCCGATGTTTTTAATATCTTGAAAAGGTCCTATTTTCAGAGCCTTAATTAAGGATCTAAGTCTGCCTTTCTCTGCTTCCGTTTTCGTCTCCTCTCTATATTCGTGCATCAGGCCGCCTTGTGGTGGCTTATCAAAGTTTATTGCAGTCTCGTAATCTCTATCAGTGCCCGGTATCTCGTTTGTAAGTTCCAAGTTGATGTCGTTCGTGAGTGCTTCAACAATTTTTGGAACATCTGATTGAAGCGCCTTCAGCCGTGTATAGTGATTAATAGCTTCAAGCGCCTTTTCAAGTCTGATCGCAAAGCCAGTGGATGAACTATCATTAAGCAGATCATGCACATTTCCTCTTTCCAAAATTTTCTTAATCTTTTCCACACCTTCGGTACCACCCCAAACCTCCGTAGCCCCCTGTATTCCGACTTCCAACGCACCTTTCAATTTGGCGATATAAGCCTCCAACTGTTTTTTAATTTTCTCTCTCACGTTGTACAAATCTTTTTTAACCTTCTTGTCAAGATCGTCGAGACGTTCCAAGACACTTCCCTTGGACGTATCACCATCATTCCCAACCGCAATTTCCACATCGGTTTTCACTTTCCACAATTTCTTTTTATAGACATTTTCCAGCTCTGGAATCGCATTCTTCGCATTATTAACCAAACTTCCAATTTGCACGTTAACATTGTTCCCAGCGTTCCAAAGCGCTTCCGCATTAAGTTTTAATTGAGTTGCGGCGTTTTCCACTGTTCTTCTATTCGAACCATTTTGCTTAGCCTCGTTCAGTATGATCTCAATCTCTTTATGCGCAGAATTAATATCTGTCATAGCCTCCGTAATCCACTTTTCCAACTCTTTGACATAACCTCCCAAATTATCCCTAATACTTATAAATTGTGTTCTAACGTCAACGAAATCTTTGTAAAGTATTGAACATCCGCCTTCGGCTCCAGCGTACTCATTCGTTGGATCAATGCTCGTTATCTTTGCTTTTATAGCATTAAAGGTGTGGAGAATCTCGTCTTTATACGCATCATCAAATTTCTTGATGTATTTGCCGACCGTCTTCTTGGCATCATTCACAGTATTTCTAATTAACGCAATTTGTCCTCTACATGTCTCCCTTACCATCTGGATTCCCGTAAAATTTTTATCAAACTCCTCCACCGCCGTCCTCTGAACACTTTTACATTCATCCTCAATCTGGCTGTGCAATTTACTTTTTCGCTCCTCTAAGGTTTTTTCAAGTTCCGCCGATCTGGCTTTAATTGCGTTTTCAATTTTATCTCTTTGCCGCTTCAGTGTTCTGTCTACAAATCTCACGTGACTGAACAACTCACGATTCACGGCACTCTCGAGCAACATCTTAACGGCGTCTTTTAGCGTACGTAACTCTACAACTAGTTTGTGTTTAAGTGAGCTATCGAGGAGATTAATTTTTGTTTCTACAGTGCCAGCGTCACGAAATATTTGTGACACGTCCTTGGTCCACTCCCGAAGTTGCTCCTCGAGGCTCTTGGACTGACGCTCTAGAACCTTCTTGAAGAAACTGTCTGAAACACCATTAAAATTCACACTCAACTTACCTATAAGTGCAGATAATCCATCGGTCACTCCTCTTGTCTTCCTTTCAACTTCCTCATTATACCCCTCCAACCACCTCATCACCTCGCCGACAGACTGCGAAAGGCCAGCACGCCCGGAGCCAATTGAAGAAGTAAGAAGCTGAAGAACTTTATCAAGTCTATTTTCAGGATTATCAATATAATTATTGTATGTTGTAACACTCTCATCATCCTTCACTCCACTGAGAACACCATGAAGGAAAGACATCACCCCGTCGCACAGCCTGTCAAGGTCGGAGTACACAATTCCCTCTCCGGTGTAATTACCATTACTGTAGCCGAGAAATTTTTCGAGGCCAGTGCAAAGGTTATTTAATAATGTTATTGAAGGATTATTTTAGGCACATTTTAGGGCGATTTGGGGGAGTTTGGGGAAAGGCGATTTTAGGTCAAGGAGGCTATGAGTGAGTGAGGGAGGTGAAGGGGCAAAGAGGGCGATGAGGGAGGAAGATGGGTTGGGATAAGGTGATATTAGGGGTGGAGGGAGAAAGTGGAAAATGAGGATTTGGGTGAGGGACGCCGACGGAGGAGGTGATGGAGGGGGTGAAGGCAGGGAGCGAAGCGACCAGTGAAGGAGGAGGTGGGTGGTTGGGTGGTTGAGTGGTTGAGTGGGTGGGTGAGTGGTTGAGTGACTTGGGTGAGTGGTTGGGTGAGTGGTTGAGTGGTTGAGTGAGTGAGTGATTAGGTGAGTGGGTGATTAGGTGAGTATGTGGGTGAGTGGGTGATACACAGATCACACGTGAAGGCACGATTATGGTGAGAAGTACTTGACGTTGGCGAGTGCCTTGACGCGTGCGGCGGCGAGGAGGGACTGTGCGGCGATGCGGTGGCTTGATGGTGATCTCAGGTGGGAGCGTATCCTCAGGACGTCGAGGCGGACGACGGCGATGTGCAGCAGGTAGAGGAGCGACAGCGACCAGAGGGTGAGTAAGAGGAAAGTGAAGAAGTTGAGAAATGTTGAAGGATTATTTTAGGCACATTTTTAGGGCGATTTGAGGGAGTCTGGAGAAAGGCGATTTTAGGTGGAGGCAGCGAGGCAGTGAGGGAGGTGGGTGGACAGGGTGAAGGGGCGAAAGAGGGCGATGAAGGGGGAAGATGGGTTGGGAAAAGGCGATTTTAGAGGTGGAGGGGAAAGGTGGAAAATGAGGATTTGGGCGAAGGACGCCGACGGAGGAGGTGAGGGAGGAGGAGGGAGCGAAGCGACCAGTGAAGGAGGGAGGTGAGTGGGTGAGTGGTTGAGTGGGTGGTTTAGTGGGTGAGTGGGTGAGTGAGTGGGTGGTTGAGTGGGTGGTTGAGTGAGTGGGTGAGTATGTGAGTGGTTGAGTGGGTGGTTTAGTGGGTGAGTGGGTGAGTGAGTGATACACAGATCACACGTGAAGGCACGATTACGGTGAGAAGTACTTGACGTTGGCGAGTGGGTGGTTAAGTGGTTGAGTGAGTGGGTGGGTGAGTGATACACAGATCACACGTGAAGGCACGATTACGGTGAGAAGTACTTTACGTTGGCGAGTGCCTTGACGCGTGCGGCGGCGAGGAGCGACTGCGCGGCGATGCGGTGGCTTGAGGGTGATCTCAGGTGGGAGCGTATCCTCAGGACGTCGAGGCGGACGACGGCGATGTGCAGCAGGTACAGGAGCGAGAGCGACCAGAGGGCTAATAAGAGGAAAGTGAAGAAGTTGAGAAATGTTGAAGGATTATTTTAGGCACATTTTCAGGGCGATTTGGGGGAATTTGGGGAAAGGCGATTTTAGGTGAAGGAGGCAGCGAGGCACTGAGGGAGGTGGGTGGACAGGGCGGGGGAGGTGAAGGGGGAAGATGGGTGGAGGTAAGGCGATTTTAGGGGTGGAGGGAGAAGGCGGAAAATGAGGATTTGGGTGAAGGACGCCGACGGAGGAGGTGAGGGAGGAGGAGGGAGCGAAGCGACCAGTGAAGGAGGGAGGTGAGTGGGTGAGTGGTTGAGTGGGTGGTTTAGTGGGTGAGTGGGTGAGTGAGTGGGTGGTTGAGTGGGTGGTTGAGTGAGTGGGTGAGTATGTGAGTGGGTGAGTGGGTGGTTGAGTGAGTGGGTGAGTGGTTGAGTGGTTGAGTGAGTGGGTGAGTATGTGAGTGGTTGAGTGGTTGAGTGAGTGGGTGAGTGGTTGAGTGGTTGAGTGAGTGGGTGGTTGAGTGAGTGGGTGGTTGAGTGAGTGAGTGGGTGAGTGATTGGGTGAGTGAGTGGGTGAGTGGTTGAGTGGGTGAGTATGTGGGTGAGTGAGTGGGTGAGTGGGTGAGTGGGTGATTAGGTGGGTGAGTGGGTGAGTGAGTGGGTGAGTGAGTATGTGAGTGGGTGAGTGGTTGAGTGGGTGGTTGAGTGAGTGAGTGGGTGGTTGAGTGGGTGGGTGGTTGAGTGGGTGAGTGAGTGGGTGAGTGAGTGGGTGGGTGATTAGGTGAGTGATCATGTGGTTGAGTGAGTAGGTGAGTGGGTGAGTGAGTTGGTGGGTGAGTGGTTGAGTGGTTGAGTGAGTAGGTGAGTGGGTGGTTGAGTGGGTGGGTGGGTGAGTGATTAGGTGAGTGGGTGATTAGGTGAGTGGGTGAGTGGTTGAGTGGTTGAGTGGGTGAGTGGTTGAGTGGGTGAGTGGGTGAGTGGTTGAGTGAGTGGTTGAGTGGTTGAGTGAGTGGGTGGTTGAGTGGTTGAGTGGGTGAGTGGTTGAGTGGGTGAGTGAGTGGTTGAGTGAGTGGGTGGTTGAGTGGTTGAGTGGGTGAGTGAGTGGGTGGGTGGTTGAGTGGTTGAGTGGGTGAGTGGGTGATACACAGATCACACGTGAAGGCACGATTATGGTGAGAAGTACTTGACGTTGGCGAGTGCCCTGACGCGTGCGGCGGCGAGGAGGGACTGTGTGGCGATGCGGTGCGATGAGGGTGATCTCAGGTGCGAGCGTATCCTCAGGACGTCGAGGCGGACGACGGTGATGTGCAGCAGGTACAGGAGCGACAGCGACCAGAGGGCTAGTAATGTTGTCATTTGGACGTCTGAACACTGCGAAGGTATTTCATCGCACGTTTTTAAATAGCTCTTAATGCCTCGAGGTTAATGATTTACAATTGCCGTGGAAATTTGTGGCACGACCTGGCTGTTCTTTTCGTTTAATGTTGGTGCAACCCGCGAAAACGTACCGTACAGCGGTAGGCGTAACTGTTACACTGAACCATGTGGAGAATGTAATTGGAATTTTGGATTTGTCATTAGAAGTCCATGCGTCCACGCCTGCATATTTGTTGCGAATACGTGCTCACATCGAATATGGATAGATTCGGCGAAGGTGCTTATCATTAGATAGATTCTCAAGGTGCTTGTCAAGTTCACTGAACGCCCCGTTATGCGGTAGCCCAGTGAGCCAGCACAGCATCTCGTTGACAGAGCACGGATGCCTTTTAGCGGCAAATGAAGCGATATGACCGATTTTATTGTATGTGGTTAAGTAAGTAAAAATGTCTTCAATTGTCCCGATAACAGGACGGCTGTTGGAGCTAGACGTCGCGGACACCGAAGATGATACAAGCTTCTTATGAATTTGTCCACCCGTAACACTTGTTATACATTGCGACTCGCCGTCCTTGGAGTCTTGTTTTTTGGCGATGACGAAACCGCAACGCTGCAGGAACAAACCAAGTGGATTATCTTTGTCCCCGTTTGTCTCGCTTATTTTCTCAGTTTTCCAGTAATTTTCGCACCTATATTTCAGTTTGCTTATGTCGTGGTAAATAGTGTTCAGAATTGTCAAACACGCCTTCGAACAATGCTCTCCGTAGTCTGTTAATGTCTTTTGATTTGCATCAGTTCCGTGAGTTGGAGACGCAGAATCATTTTTGTCGGCCAGCAAACTCTCAGTGAAATTTAGACCGGAATATGTATTCACATACGCCTTTCCAAGTTGCCCGGCTAACGCCTGCACGCCTTCCTTCACAACGTCCAGCAGGACAGTGCACGGGCCGCCAAACTTGGACGGCGCGAAATAATTAAGCGCGCCATTTAAAGCGTCTACGTTTGTCTTGAAAGTGTAGTCGAAATGGTTGGAGGTTGTAAGACCTTCGAGAGTTTTGTCCAATTTCTGCTTTACTCTGACAAGTTTGTCAATTGCATCTGACGTCTCTAAGGGAGACTGCTTTTTGACATATTCCTCCATCTGGTATTTTACGTAGTCGTAGATGAGATCGAAGTATGCGTGCATTTTTTCCACGAAGGTTTTGAAGTCATTGTGGTTTGATGCATCTTTCAGAGCGACAAGTTTATTGTCGTTATTAGATTTCCTCCTTATGTCGTCTTTCAATTGCTTGAGTAAGCCTTTGACGCCGGAGAATTTGTCGAGTCTGATGATACGCTCGATTTCAGTTTTTTGGGTTTGGACTAGAGATTGGAGGGATTTCAGGTCGGCAACGTGCTGGTTTGCGAAAAGTTGTTTAACTTGCCTTGTGACCTCATCAAAGGCGTCCGCCGTTATGGCAAGAAGTTGGGATTGGAGGTTGTCCAAGGCTATATTGGCATTCGTAGATGCATCAGACAATGTTCTCCGCATAGCGTCTATTGCTGTTTGCAGGAAGTCATCCACTTTATCGATGTCTTGAGCGATGTCTTCAATTTTCTGTTTCAACTCATCCATTTTCTCTGTTGCATCCTTTTTTCTTTTTTCAATGTAATCTGGAATTCTCTTTAGTTCAGTAAGATCTGCTAGCGTGGTAGCCACAGCGGATTGCAGAGCCTGTTCGGCAGCATGGAAACTTTGCATTTTATTTGATAGATCGATATTAGACGTCGCAAATCCATTTGTACCCATCTCTTTATTAAGTATGCCTTTAATCTTGTCTTCGAGGTTGTCTTCTGGGTTAGCCGGGTCAGCGGGGTCAAACTTTGGGGTATCGGTGGTGGAGGATGGGCTAGCAGCGGTGGTGAGATTGTTGTGAAGCTTCTCAATCTTCTCCTTCACAGCGTTCAATGCTTCAGTAATCCTGTTTCCAGGTTGCCCGGGGTTGCCAAATATTGGGCGGAATATTTGGTATTTATTCACAGCCTCCTTCAAATTCTTAATACTAGACTTATCGATGAAATTACCAATTTCCTTTGCCATCTCCGTAGCCCACTCTGACACTGCAGTAAGCAGGGTAGTACAAGCGTGTTTCAGAAAGAGCTGGCCTATCGCGGGATTCGGTCCTTTTTTTCCGAGAATGGCACTGTCTAGTGATTTAACGGATGCCTCAGCCTCATTAATTTTTTGTTCAACATTTTTTGCAACGGCATTGAGATAATCCTTAATTGATATCAACATTTCGTCAACTGTACCGGTCGTTTTAATTTCGGCATTTGGTTCTGGCTTGCGGATGATACTATGCAACTCACCTGTAATTTGTCCCTTAATTCGTAACGTCATCTGAGGTAGGACTACTCTGACGTCTTGACCCTGCAAACCATCGTTACTATTTCCCCTGCTGTGGCTAATAGAAGATCTCAAACAACGCTGCACCGCACCGCTGTTTATTATTTTTTCAACAATCGACGTAGCTGTCCTTTCAAAATTAGATTTAAATTCCGTCGCATACAACTGAACGCCAGTGATAATCTGGTTAAGACCGGAAGTCTTATTTTCGCCCGCACCAAAAATTCCGTTAACAAGTTTGACGATCTCATCTTTAAGCTTCTCCCAATTACGACACACGCTTCTATCATTACCGTTGTTATCCTCCCTTTCCTTCCCAACGCCACTTTTAATTTCATTCACCCTACTTTTCACTTCCTGCACATACTTATTAAGATACGTTTTTATTTCATTCTCAAGATCGTTTCTCAACTTAAACATTCCGGTTTTAACATTTTTTGCTAACTGCGAAACATTTAATTGAACAGCCTTTAGATTCGTAAGGAACATGGTTCCCCCGTTGTTCTTTACATATTTCTCAAGTTCATCTCTAATGAATTCGAATTGACCAACTGTATTGGGTTTGTAATAGTAATCAAATTTCTTTAGCAAACCTTGATCTCCATGTAGAGACTCTTTTACTCTTTCGAAATGCTGTCTCTTAGTCGTTTCCAGTCTAATTATCTTTTGATCGACATTACCAAATTCATATTCCAAATGTCTTTTCAACCCCTCACTCATCCCTTTAATTTCCATATCAACCCTTTTCTTCTGCCACAGAAGAGTCTCATCCACCCTGCGAACCTGCCCTTCGAACGTCCCGTTCTCAGCGGACCCAAGCAACACTTTAAGTGATGCCTTAAGTGGCTCTATTTTGTGGGCTAATTGTGTTTTTAGTGCAGTATCTAAAACATTAACATTTTGTTTTTCTATGTTATTAAGTGCAGTGGAAATATTGCTAAGTGACTTCTTCCACTTGTCCAGCTGTGTAGTCAGATCCTTGGACGCGGCACCTGAAACAGAATTAATTTCATTATGTATATACATATCATTTAACTCACCTAATTCATGCGTCAATCTATCTGTGCGCATCTGCAACTCATAAAAATATGAATGAATCCACGCACATACCTCCGTGATCTGCTTGGAGAGTGCACCGGAGCCTTGACCAATGGATTTTTGGAGACCTGCAAGCACATTATTCAACTTACCATCTTTTACAGTGATGTAACCATCATATTTCTTAACGCTCTCATCATCCTTCACACTCTCCAACACCCCGTGCAAGAACGCCATCACCCCGTCGCAGAGCCTGTCGAGGTCCGAGTACACGATTCCTTTCCCGGTGTAATTACCATTACTGTAGCCGAGAAATTTTTCGAGGCCAGTGCAAAGGTTATTTAATAATGTTATTGAAGGATTATTTTAGGCACATTTTAGGGCGATTTGGGGGAGTTTGGGGAAAGGCGATTTTAGGTCAAGGAGGCTATGAGTGAGTGAGGGAGGTGGGTGGACAAGGCGGGGGAAGTGAAGGGGCGAAAGAGGGCGATGAAGGAGGAAGATGGGATGAGGTAAGGCGATTTTGGAGGTGGAGGGGAAAAGTGGAAAATGAGGTTTTGGGTGTAGGACGCCGACGGAGGAGGTGATGGAAGGGGGTGATGGAGGAGGGAGCTAAGCGACCAGTGAAAGAGGAGGTGGGTGGTTGAGTGGGTGGTTGAGTGGTTGAGTGAGTGTGTGGGTGGTTGAGTGGTTGAGTGGGTGAGTGGTTGAGTGTGTGAGTGGTTGAGTGGGTGGTTGAGTGGGTGAGTATGTGAGTGAGTGGTTGAGTGGGTGGGTGGTTGAGTGGTTGAGTGGGTGAGTGAGTGATACACAGATCACACGTGAAGGCACGATTATGGTGAGAAGTACTTGACGTTGGCGAGTGCCTTGACGCGTGCGGCGGCGAGGAGGGACTGGGCGGCGATGCGGTGGCTTGAGGGTGATCTCAGGTGGGAGCGTATCCTCAGGACGTCGAGGCGGACGACGGTGATGTGCAGCAGGTACAGGAGCGACAGCGACCAGAGGGCGACCAATGTCAGGGAGAATGGTTCTCTGATTTTCCATAAGAAATTGGGAATTGTCTCGTAAATTAATTTCGCTAGCGCTGCGCGGTCTTCTTTCTTTTTACTCAGCACTCTGTCCAGTGCCTGGCATAGGTCTCTACACGTGCGCTTAGTCTTCTCTCCACGCTCACCGCTCATTCGCCATGAGCTTCCAAAATAGAAACCATACTTAGACAAGGTTCGCAAGGTATGCGGGCATTTGACGATGGAACTGCAGTCTGAAGTGTGCTGGGCATTTTTGAGTAGTGTAGTAGGTTGCCCATCTTTATCTGTGTACTTTACTTTACATGTTTCACTGCAGCGTTTTTCGTAGCATCTGCTGCCCTTCCTGTCGCACGTTGCACAGCAGTCGTCATACAATTTTTTCAACAGGTCATAGAACGTTTCACTGAGGTAAACGATCCACGACAAGTATTTACCGGAGTTTTTACTGGAGAACGTGTTCCAAATGTCACGGCAAATTGGCATAAGGTATGGACCGCAAGGAAGGGATGCATCACCGCTGTTGCTTTCGCATTTGACAAGCGAGTGAAGGTCGGCGTTGGGATGCGTCTGTCCAGCGTGGTCACTGCTGCCGAACATGGGACCGATTTCGAGGGTTGTTTTCGGATCCCCAAAGTTCGCACTTTGGACGGCGTTAATAAAGGCATAACGTTTGTGGCCGTCGTTGGAATTCCACTTGTCAAGGAAATTAAAGTAAAAAGCAAACAGGTCGCCAAGTGTCTGCGGCGTGCGTTGTGATATACATGTTAGATAACTGCAAAGTTTACTTAGAGGCTTGTCTGGTTTGCCACAGAAATCTGCAAGCACCTCCTCTAGATACCTGCCCGTCTGCCTGTGAGAGGCCATTACGCTGAGATCCGGGAAACCCATAGGTGTAATACACGGTTGACCTCTGTGACTACCAACTGAACATGCCACTCCACAGCCTAATTTTGTAAGCTGATGTGGAAGGAAGCCTACTAGACCGTCTTCTAAGAAGGACTGAAGCGGCGATTTAATGCCACAGTCACTATGTTGCTTGCAGTTTTGGTCACACCTTTGGTTGTGCTTTTGGTTAGTACTTTGGGTAGCCGTTTGGTCACCTGTTTGGTTGGGGCACTGTAGGGTATTACAACTCCACGATGAGCCGGCGACTCCCCTGCCGTACCAACACTTATTCCACCCACTACAAAACTGACCATGCTTACACTGCTCATACAGCAAATATAGCTGCTCATACAATCTACATAATACGTCTGCAAGAATAGCAAAGCACTGTGATGGAGAAGACGGATACGACAAATTGAGTGAGTTGCTTGGGAATTCGCAAGCGTAAACACCGTCGGCGTGACCATTGCCAAGGATGCCTACCAGCACGTAATAAGATCGGGAACATACATCGTTAAGCGCAGTGACCAAGTGGCTAGGATGTATTGTCTTAGTGCCGACTAAGCTGAGTGAGCTATCTTCAATTTGGTCATATGGCACATCTTTTTGGTCCTTGGGTTTCTGGAACAGCTCCTTGAAGTAAGAGCACAGTGGTTCAAAAATGGAGTTGAACTGCAGGCCGGCACACCATGCCAGCATCTCGTAAACGGAGCACGGCGTCCTGGGTTTGTCGATGTGAGTGAGGTGACAGACGCTGAAGTATTTTACAAGGCAGCCATGCAGTTTCTGTAACAAACCATTCTGCTCCTCGTGTTCGATGGGCAGACCATCGATGATTTGGAAAGATTTTTTGGTACTATACAACTTGTGGTCAAGGCCTTCCAGGAGATCATGAATCTGCTCACCACAAAAGTCTTCCTTGTTTTTCAACTCCTCATTGCTCATGTCTTCACTCTTCGGAACTCCGTAGCCGGCAGTTTTAAAGAAAGCGCCAAGTGCATTACTATTATTATGTAGATGTATGCTGAGAGTATACCAATCACCGGCAATGCTAGTGTTCTTCAGCAACACCTCAAATTCTGACAAAAGGATGGGAACTGTGGTCAAGGCTATTTTCGCGCATCTCATTGCGCTTTCGGTCAGCACGAAGTCATCGTCTTTAACCTCTTGCCACTTAATACTTTGAGTATCATACATGTTAATGTAGGCATATTTCAGCTGCTTGGCAAAGTCATTCATGCCGGTTCTTACAATGTTAAGTAGGTCCGGGTGCTGGCCTTCACCGAATTTAACAGCACCAAACTCGTTTACGGCATCTATAAGTGAGGCTAAATCATTACTAAATTGAGTTTCAAAATTGCATACTTTGTTTTTATTATTCATTAGATGCGCTAGCAACATGGCCAGCTTACCGCTGATTTTCCTAACCTTTGCAGCGTTAGGATCTGTAGGCTGTTGTGGTGACCTAGTTGAGGTACCTGGCGTCCTTGGCACTAATTGGTCATCTACATATTCGAACAATGGTTCAAAGAACGTTACCAGTTTAGTGGCCAGGTCCGGTAATTTCGTGGAAGCCGTCAGCGGACCGTCGAGAATATGCTCTGTAATGCCATCTTTTAAATCTCTTAGAAATCCCTTCACCCCTGTCGCCTTATCCTCCCTGATAATCTCTTCTATCCTCGCCAACTGCGCCGTGACAACGCTCTCCAGCGCCGCCAGTTCGGCCCGCTTCTGCTTCGTGAAGAGGGATTGAACTTGGGAGGTGAGTTGGTCAAATGATCTTCTGACGGCCTGCTGCAGATTAGTGTTCAACTGTTCGACGGCTTCTCTGGATTTCTGTTCGGCTTGGTTATAAGCGTCAGTGACAGTACCAATAGATGCCTCGAGTTGCTGATCGGCGTCAGTGACGGCCTGTTCTATGCTCTCAATCTTGCTTTTAATGCCTTCAATACTTTTACTAAGCTGTCTCATCAGCTCTTCTGTTGCCTGCCTGGCAACATCAATGGCGCCGGGCAATGATTCCAGATCGTTAATCTGAGCGAATAGGTTTTTCATGGCCCAATCGTACTTAGGCTTGGCACCTTGGTCCGTACCACCGGTCTTGTCGTCTTGGTAACCCTTCATTTCCTCGGGTTTGAAACTGGCTGAGTGTCCATCACCTTTGAAACCGTCATTTTTAACACGCCCTTTAAACGCTTCTATCATACCCCTGAGCTTAAAGGAATCGCCATTCAGCATCGTCTCCTGGTGATACTCTTGCATGAGATCTTTGAGTTTTATTTTATCTGGATCCTCGTCTATAACTGCCTTCAATTCCGTTTCGAGGGCAGTGGTCAGCGTTATTTGAAGTTGCTGCAACAGCTCGGAAGGTTTTGGCACCTTACCGTTAACATCATCCTTGAGATTTCTTAAAACATTTCGATGGCGCCTGCGAGGGTGATGTTCTCATTTTGCACCCTTCCAAGCAAATCCTTCAACCCGCTGTCTTCACCTGATAGAATCTGACTGGCATTCACTTGATTGACAAGATATGTGAACCCCTTTTTTTCTCCACTGAATCCGTTATACGTACTGGATGCTCTCTCTATTCCCTCCTTAATCCATTTTCCCACCCCGTCAACAAACTCTTCCAACTGAGTATGTATTTCGTCTCTAACCCCCTGAAGCCCCGTCTTCACTGCAGTATCTACAGTTTGAAGACGGCTCACAGCCTGGTTTACCGCCAAATCAACTTCCTTTTTTATCGTTGTCAACTTTTCGGTGTAAAGCTTTTCAACATTCAGAACCGCCTTTTTTACTTCGTCAACCTCCCTCTCAAGTTTGCATTTATTGTCGTCACTTGTGCCGTCGCCCGGATCCTTCGCTTTTAAAACCTCAACTCTGTCGCCAAGATGACCGAATTTCATAGTAATGACTTTGGTATACGATTCTTCAAAATGTTCTCCATTTTCACCGAACAATTCGTCGACATCATCCTTGGCTTTTTGGACGGCTTCCTTGACCAGCTCGAAGTGTTTTTGTTTCTCTTTACTTAAAATATTAATGTTGTCATGTAGGTTTCTGAATTCACTATCCAATACGCTCTGAACGCTTTTGCCTCCCTTACGATCGCAGATTCAACAGTCTTTTGCTGCCTCACCAACTCCTGTCAACCACACCAGCCTGTCCATTGACTTCAGGCTTCTCTGCAACTTCCTTAAACGTTTTCACCGCCTGCTTCACTTTCTCAACAACCGGCGTTAACTGCTTTTCAGCCCATCATCTAACTCACCAGCGTCGTTTTCAAAGCCTTCTGCCACGGCCCACATTCTCTGGGCCATAGGCTTAATGTCATCATCCAACTGCTTGACCAGAGGCTTACTATGTATCTTAGATAATGTGCCATTTAATGCACCTATGAGTCTATTAATTAAAGTCGCATCATTTACAACCTTCTGACTCCTCTCCTCCATCTCCCTCTCATACCTCTCCAGCCCCGCCTGCACTCTCCCAATGGCTTCGCCAAATCCTGGAACACCAGAGCCCTTACCTATTGAACCTTTCAAAGCTTCAATAGTATCATTAATACCAGGATAATAAAAAAAAAGTGTTTGACTGCCTTTAAGACATTGGAAGAAGGACATCACCCCGTCGCAGAGCCTGTCAAGGTCCGAGTACACGATACCCTCTCCGGTGTAATTACCATTACTGAAGCCGAGAAATTTTTCGAGGCCTGTGCAGAGGTTATTTAATGTTGTTGAAGGATTATTTTAGGCACATTTTCAGGGCGATTTGGGGAATTTGGGAAAGGCGATTTTAGGTGAAGGAGGCAGCGAGGCACTGAGGGAGGTGGGTGGACAGGGCAGGGGAGAGTGAAGAGGAAAGATGGGAGGAATAAAACGATTTAAAGGTGGAGGGAAAGAAAAAAATGAAGGAATTGGGTGAACTCAATGGAAGAGAAATGAAAAAGAAAAAACAAGAAGGCTCAACAGTGAAGAAAAGTAAATGGTTAAATGAGTGGGTGAAGTGATGGGTGGATGAATTAAATGGTCGTGAGTAAAGTAAGTGAATGTTTAGTTAAATATAAAGTGAGTAAGTGAAATAATTAAGTGAAATGAATTAAGTCAGTAAATAAAGTAACTAAATTAAATTAAAGTGAGTATTTAAATGTGAAGTGGGTGAAAGATTAAAATGGTAAATAAGTAAGTAAGTAAAAAAATGGGTGAAGTAAGTGGTTAAATGGTTAAGTGAATTAAGTGGTTGAATGAATTGAAAGTAATTGATGAGTGGTGAATTAAGTAAATGAGTGAATTAATTCGTGAGTATTAATTAGGTGAAATGGGTAAGTAAGTGAGTGAGTGAAATGATAGTTAGTAAGTTGAGTGGGTGTTGAAGTGGGTGAGTATAAGTGATGGTTGAGTGGGTGGGTGGTTGAGTGGTTGAGTGGGTGAGTGAGTGATACACAGATCACACGTGAAGGCACGATTATGGTGAAATACTTGACGTTGGCGAGTGCCTTGACGCGTGCGGCGGCGAGGAGGGACTGGGCGGCGATGCGGTGGCTTGAGGGTGATCTCAGGTGGGGCGTATCCTCAGGACGTCGAGGCGGACGACGGTGATGTGCAGCAGGTACAGGAGCGACAGCGACCAGAGGGCGACCAATGTCAGGGAGAATGGTTCTCTGATTTTCCATAAGAAATTGGGAATTGTCTCGTAAATTAATTCGCTAGCGCGGTCTTCTTTCTTTTTACTCAGCACTCTGTCCAGTGCCTGGCATAGGTCTCTACACGTGCGCTTAGTCTTCTCTCCACGCTCACCGCTCATTCGCCATGAGCTTCCAAAATAGAAACCATACTTAGACAAGGTTCGCAAGGTATGCGGGCATTTGACGATGGAACTGCAGTCTGAAGTGTGCTGGGCATTTTGAGTAGTGTAGTAGGTTGCCCATCTTTATCTGTGTACTTTACTTTACATGTTTCACTGCAGCGTTTTCGTAGCATCTGCTGCCCTTCCTGTCGCACGTTGCACAGCAGTCGTCATACAATTTTTTCAACAGGTCATAGAACGTTTCACTGAGGTAAACGATCCACGACAAGTATTTACCGGAGTTTTTACTGGAGAACGTGTTCCAAATGTCACGGCAAATTGGCATAAGGTATGGACCGCAAGGAAGGGATGCATCACCGCTGTTGCTTTCGCATTTGACAAGCGAGTGAAGGTCGGCGTTGGGATGCGTCTGTCCAGCGTGGTCACTGCTGCCGAACATGGGACCGATTTCGAGGGTTGTTTTCGGATCCCCAAAGTTCGCACTTTGGACGGCGTTAATAAAGGCATAACGTTTGTGGCCGTCGTTGGAATTCCACTTGTCAAGGAAATTAAAGTAAAAAGCAAACAGGTCGCCAAGTGTCTGCGGCGTGCGTTGTGATATACATGTTAGATAACTGCAAAGTTTACTTAGAGGCTTGTCTGGTTTGCCACAGAAATCTGCAAGCACCTCCTCTAGATACCTGCCCGTCTGCCTGTGAGAGGCCATTACGCTGAGATCCGGAAACCCATAGGTGTAATACACGGTTGACCTCTGTGACTACCAACTGAACATGCCACTCCACAGCCTAATTTTGTAAGCTGATGTGGAAGGAAGCCTACTAGACCGTCTTCTAAGAAGGACTGAAGCGGCGATTTAATGCCACAGTCACTATGTTGCTTGCAGTTTTGGTCACACCTTTGGTTGTGCTTTTGGTTAGTACTTTGGGTAGCCGTTTGGTCACCTGTTTGGTTGGGGCACTGTAGGGTATTACAACTCCACGATGAGCCGGCGACTCCCCTGCCGTACCAACACTTATTCCACCCACTACAAAACTGACCATGCTTACACTGCTCATACAGCAAATATAGCTGCTCATACAATCTACATAATACGTCTGCAAGAATAGCAAAGCACTGTGATGGAGAAGACGGATACGACAAATTGAGTGAGTTGCTTGGGAATTCGCAAGCGTAAACACCGTCGGCGTGACCATTGCCAAGGATGCCTACCAGCACGTAATAAGATCGGGAACATACATCGTTAAGCGCAGTGACCAAGTGGCTAGGATGTATTGTCTTAGTGCCGACTAAGCTGAGTGAGCTATCTTCAATTTGGTCATATGGCACATCTTTTTGGTCCTTGGGTTTCTGGAACAGCTCCTTGAAGTAAGAGCACAGTGGTTCAAAAATGGAGTTGAACTGCAGGCCGGCACACCATGCCAGCATCTCGTAAACGGAGCACGGCGTCCTGGGTTTGTCGATGTGAGTGAGGTGACAGACGCTGAAGTATTTTACAAGGCAGCCATGCAGTTTCTGTAACAAACCATTCTGCTCCTCGTGTTCGATGGGCAGACCATCGATGATTTGGAAAGATTTTTTGGTACTATACAACTTGTGGTCAAGGCCTTCCAGGAGATCATGAATCTGCTCACCACAAAAGTCTTCCTTGTTTTTCAACTCCTCATTGCTCATGTCTTCACTCTTCGGAACTCCGTAGCCGGCAGTTTTAAAGAAAGCGCCAAGTGCATTACTATTATTATGTAGATGTATGCTGAGAGTATACCAATCACCGGCAATGCTAGTGTTCTTCAGCAACACCTCAAATTCTGACAAAAGGATGGGAACTGTGGTCAAGGCTATTTTCGCGCATCTCATTGCGCTTTCGGTCAGCACGAAGTCATCGTCTTTAACCTCTTGCCACTTAATACTTTGAGTATCATACATGTTAATGTAGGCATATTTCAGCTGCTTGGCAAAGTCATTCATGCCGGTTCTTACAATGTTAAGTAGGTCCGGGTGCTGGCCTTCACCGAATTTAACAGCACCAAACTCGTTTACGGCATCTATAAGTGAGGCTAAATCATTACTAAATTGAGTTTCAAAATTGCATACTTTGTTTTTATTATTCATTAGATGCGCTAGCAACATGGCCAGCTTACCGCTGATTTTCCTAACCTTTGCAGCGTTAGGATCTGTAGGCTGTTGTGGTGACCTAGTTGAGGTACCTGGCGTCCTTGGCACTAATTGGTCATCTACATATTCGAACAATGGTTCAAAGAACGTTACCAGTTTAGTGGCCAGGTCCGGTAATTTCGTGGAAGCCGTCAGCGGACCGTCGAGAATATGCTCTGTAATGCCATCTTTTAAATCTCTTAGAAATCCCTTCACCCCTGTCGCCTTATCCTCCCTGATAATCTCTTCTATCCTCGCCAACTGCGCCGTGACAACGCTCTCCAGCGCCGCCAGTTCGGCCCGCTTCTGCTTCGTGAAGAGGGATTGAACTTGGGAGGTGAGTTGGTCAAATGATCTTCTGACGGCCTGCTGCAGATTAGTGTTCAACTGTTCGACGGCTTCTCTGGATTTCTGTTCGGCTTGGTTATAAGCGTCAGTGACAGTACCAATAGATGCCTCGAGTTGCTGATCGGCGTCAGTGACGGCCTGTTCTATGCTCTCAATCTTGCTTTTAATGCCTTCAATACTTTTACTAAGCTGTCTCATCAGCTCTTCTGTTGCCTGCCTGGCAACATCAATGGCGCCGGGCAATGATTCCAGATCGTTAATCTGAGCGAATAGGTTTTTCATGGCCCAATCGTACTTAGGCTTGGCACCTTGGTCCGTACCACCGGTCTTGTCGTCTTGGTAACCCTTCATTTCCTCGGGTTTGAAACTGGCTGAGTGTCCATCACCTTTGAAACCGTCATTTTTAACACGCCCTTTAAACGCTTCTATCATACCCCTGAGCTTAAAGGAATCGCCATTCAGCATCGTCTCCTGGTGATACTCTTGCATGAGATCTTTGAGTTTTATTTTATCTGGATCCTCGTCTATAACTGCCTTCAATTCCGTTTCGAGGGCAGTGGTCAGCGTTATTTGAAGTTGCTGCAACAGCTCGGAAGGTTTTGGCACCTTACCGTTAACATCATCCTTGAGATTTCTTAAAAACATTTCGATGGCGCCTGCGAGGGTGATGTTCTCATTTTGCACCCTTCCAAGCAAATCCTTCAACCCGCTGTCTTCACCTGATAGAATCTGACTGGCATTCACTTGATTGACAAGATATGTGAACCCCTTTTTTTCTCCACTGAATCCGTTATACGTACTGGATGCTCTCTCTATTCCCTCCTTAATCCATTTTCCCACCCCGTCAACAAACTCTTCCAACTGAGTATGTATTTCGTCTCTAACCCCCTGAAGCCCCGTCTTCACTGCAGTATCTACAGTTTGAAGACGGCTCACAGCCTGGTTTACCGCCAAATCAACTTCCTTTTTTATCGTTGTCAACTTTTCGGTGTAAAGCTTTTCAACATTCAGAACCGCCTTTTTTACTTCGTCAACCTCCCTCTCAAGTTTGCATTTATTGTCGTCACTTGTGCCGTCGCCCGGATCCTTCGCTTTTAAAACCTCAACTCTGTCGCCAAGATGACCGAATTTCATAGTAATGACTTTGGTATACGATTCTTCAAAATGTTCTCCATTTTCACCGAACAATTCGTCGACATCATCCTTGGCTTTTTGGACGGCTTCCTTGACCAGCTCGAAGTGTTTTTGTTTCTCTTTACTTAAAATATTAATGTTGTCATGTAGGTTTCTGAATTCACTATCCAATACGCTCTGAACGCTTTTTGCCTCCCTTACGATCGCAGATTCAACAGTCTTTTGCTGCCTCACCAACTCCCTGTCAACCACACCAGCCTGTCCATTGACTTCAGGCTTCTCTGCAACTTCCTTAAACGTTTTCACCGCCTGCTTCACTTTCTCAACAACCGGCGTTAACTGCTTTTTCAGCCCATCATCTAACTCACCAGCGTCGTTTTCAAAGCCTTCTGCCACGGCCCACATTCTCTGGGCCATAGGCTTAATGTCATCATCCAACTGCTTGACCAGAGGCTTACTATGTATCTTAGATAATGTGCCATTTAATGCACCTATGAGTCTATTAATTAAAGTCGCATCATTTACAACCTTCTGACTCCTCTCCTCCATCTCCCTCTCATACCTCTCCAGCCCCGCCTGCACTCTCCCAATGGCTTCGCCAAATCCTGGAACACCAGAGCCCTTACCTATTGAACCTTTCAAAGCTTCAATAGTATCATTAATACCAGGATAATAAAAGCTTAAAAGTGTTTGACTGCCTTTAAGACATTGGAGAAGAAAGGACATCACCCCGTCGCAGAGCCTGTCAAGGTCCGAGTACACGATACCCTCTCCGGTGTAATTACCATTACTGAAGCCGAGAAATTTTTCGAGGCCTGTGCAGAGGTTATTTAATAATGTTGTTGAAGGATTATTTTAGGCACATTTTCAGGGCGATTTGGGGGAATTTGGGGAAAGGCGATTTTAGGTGAAGGAGGCAGCGAGGCACTGAGGGAGGTGGGTGGACAGGGCGGGGGAGGTGAAGGGGGAAGATGGGTGGAGGTAAGGCGATTTTAGGGGTGGAGGGAGAAGGCGGAAAATGAGGATTTGGGTGAAGGACGCCGACGGAGGAGGTGAGGGAAGGGGTGAAGGCAGGGAGCGAAGCGACCAGTGAAGGAGGTGAGTGAGTGGTTAGGTGAGTGGGTGAGTGAGTGGGTGGGTGGTTGAGTGATTAGGTGAGTGAGTGAGTGAGTGGGTGGTTGAGTATGTGAGTGGGTGACTGGGAGGTGGTTGAGTGAGTGGTTGGGTGAGTGGGTGAGTGAGTGACTGGGTAGGTGAGTGAGTGGGTGAGTGGTTGAGTGGGTGAGTGAGTGGTTGAGTGGTTGAGTGGTTGAGTGGTTGAGTGGTTGAGTGGGTGAGTGGTTGAGTGAGTAGGTGAGTGGGTGAGTGGGTGAGTGAGTGATTAGGTGAGTGGGTGAGTGGGTGTTTGAGTGGGTGAGTGGGTGGTTGAGTGGGTGAGTAAGTGAGTGAGTGAGTGGTTGAGTGAGTGGGTGGGTGAGTGGTTGAGTGGTTGAGTGAGTGGGTGGTTGAGTGGTTGAGTGGTTGAGTGAGTGGGTGGTTAGGTGGGTGAGTGGGTGGTTAGGTGGGTGAGTGGGTGAGTGAGTGGGTGAGTGAGTGGTTGGGTGAGTGGTTGAGTGAGTGGGTGGTTGAGTGAGTGAGTATGTGAGTGGGTGAGTGAGTGAGTAGGTGGTTGGGTGAGTGAGTGGGTGAGTTGAGTGAGTGGGTGAGTGGGTGATACACAGATCACACGTGAAGGCGCGATTACGGTGAGAAGTACTTGACGTTGGCAAGTGCCTTGAGTCTTGCGGCGGCGAGGAGGGACTGCGCGGCGATGCGGTGGCTTGAAGGTGATCTCAGGTGGGAGCGGATCCTCAGGACGTCGAGGCGGACGACGGTGATGTGCAGCAGGTAGAGGAGCGAGAGCGACCAGAGGGCTAACAGTGTCCATATGAATGGTGCTCTTATGATGAAAATAAATTTGTCGATAGTATCAAACAGCTGCGTGAAGCGATTGGATTTCAGAACTGCAGATAGTTGACTGTATAAATCGCAACATCGCTTCCTCGTGCCTTTGTTATTCAACGTGAATGCATTTCCGAATGCGAATCCGTATCGATATAATGTAGGCGCCACACCTCGGCAGTTGACCACGGATGTGCATTGGCAATGCGGCTTCTTACTCTTTTCATCCGTTGATCCGTGCTTGCCTCTTTTGCATTTGTCACCCAGCAAGCAGGTGTTGCACCCCCAGTCCTGGCAGAAGATATCGTTGAATGCGTCGAGCAGCTTCTGAAGGTACTCGAGGAGTTGCCATGGAAGGTATAGGCAGCACGACAAGTATAGATTTGAATGTTTCGGGAGGAGATAAGTATACGAATCTGTGCATAACGAGAGAAGGTACGGAGCACACTGGCCACCAGCACATGTCGTAGCCATTGATAGACTTGCTAAGTCGGCTGATTTCTTATCCGGGTGAATATCCCCGTGATCGATCTGATTGCAACCATATGCATCACCAAGCTCACTGGTAAGAACGAAAGGTTTATCGTACAGACTAATGGATACCTTAGAGATATGCGATTCTATTGCGCTTTTCAGTGGATGTTTCTTAACGGTTCTCCAACCGTCCACTAAGGATAACGCAAATCCGAAGTGCTCAGGTAGAGAGGTTGGTGGCTTGGGGCCAAGGCAAAACATGGATGAAGTATTGATGCTTTTGAAAAAGCCATCAATTTTCCTGCGTAAAATATCTCCAGTTTTGGTAGACCCTGAGAAACCTCTGAAACCTAACGGTGTTAGACAGGGCATTCCGGGTGTGGACTTGGGGCATGTAGAACAAATGGATTTACAACCGACACTGCTTAACTGGTGAGGTAAGTGGCCATGTAAACTATCGTTTAAATAGCTCATTAATGGAGACGTTGGTCGGCAGTTTGGTTTGGTGTTTGCCTGGCACCTAGGTTGGCACTTTGGTTGGTCTTTTGGTTTGCTATTTGCATGACTATTACATTGTGATTTGGTAGTGAAGACGTCCCTGCCGTAAAGGCAGTCAGACCAACCAAAATCTGATTGACCGAGTAGACACTGCTTTTGCAAAAATTTGAGCACGGTAAACAATCTACGGAAGATATCAAGGAGCATATCAACGCATTCCTCCCCTCTGTTGGGGTAATATAGACCGAGGTTGTTGCCTAAATATTCACAGCCGTAGTACGTGGAGGCATCACCGTACCCGGTAATCGTAACTAACAAATCATATATAGGCGTTGACATTGATGGTATTTGTAGACCACGTAAGTCAAATAGAACATTTCGGAGTTCACCATCCGTTTCGCTTTTAATCAGGGAATCAATGTGCGCTAGAAGCTTATCGTACACTGGGTTATAATGCAAGCCACTGATCCAACCAAGCATTTCAAATACACTGCATGGATGTTTCCTCGATGAAAACGTGGACATGTGACCGACTTTATTGTATTTTTCCAAGCAACCAAAAAGCTTTGATACAACACCTTTGGATTTTATAATGGACACAAAATAGCTATAGAAATCAGCATGCCTGGATTCGGGCTCTTGGTCGAATTCACCATGCTTACTGAAAGCGTCTCGTAGGTTGCCAGCAATATTCCAACCTGTGTAATCCTTAGTGGTCAAATTCTTGATTTCATACCCTTGACCCTGCAAGTAAATTTTCAAACCACGTTTGGTTCCATCGTCATTTATTTTGTGCTTTCTCCAAGACCTGAGACTGTTATAAAACAAATGATGCAATTGGTTGAATAGAGTATGAAAAACTGTCATACAAACTGTTGCACATTTCGTAGCTTCTACAGTTAAATTGGCATCACCATTTTGTAACAAAGCAGTCTTAGACCCCCACTCAATCGAACTGCCAGAATACGTGCTTACGTATGCGTTGCCCAGTTGCTTGGCCAGGCCTTTTAGGCCGTCACTAACTGCGTCCAATAACAATGGAGCATATGAGTTCGCGAATGTTTTGGGTGACAAGCTGCAAAGTGATTTTTCAAATTCATCAAGGTTCTCAGCAAAATTGTGATCATAATGGTTGGACCCATGGAGTCCGTCGAGCAGCACACGCAAAGATGTTCGCACGCCTAAAAGTTGAGCAGGGCACTGCGGCATAGCCTCGTCGGGTTTTCGTTTAAGTAACAAGTTATTAATGTTATTGTCAACATATGTTAGCATTTCCTCTAGATACGTCTTTAATTCAGGGGATGCCAATTTTATTTCGCGCTGGTTTTTCAAAGTGTCCAACATTCCAATATTTTCTTTCATTCTCTTAAGTAACCCTTTTACTCCGCTTTGTAGGTCCTCCGCAATTTTCTTCTCTATTCTTGAATTTTCATCCTTTACTTTCGATTCCATGTCTGCGAACAATTTGCTGATTTTGGAGTGATATTCCGTTTTGGTTTTTTCTCTGATTGCAGTGGTCGTCCTGTCTACCTCTTGGGAGATGAACTGTTTGATGTCAGCGGTGGCATCGTCGGCATATTTCTTAATTACATCATCGTAGATGTTTGTGGAGTATGTGTTCAATGCGATCACGATGCTATTGTTCAGATTGTCAATACGTTCTTTAATTGCTCTGACGGACTTATTAGGATCACCAAAAAGGCTATTATCGATAAAGCCTTTAAGCTTTTCTAGCTTCTGACTGAGGCCATTTTTGTACGTCGGATCCTTCCCGGCAATTCTTTCGATCTGTTTTATAAGATCATTGAGGCTGTCAGTAACGTTGGCATGCAACTTGCTGAGAGTGAAACCGGTGATGTTTTCTCCCTTACCGGCCTCCCCGTCATTAACGCTTTCAATTTTTTTAAGGCCATTGTCATTATCCTGCATATCCTTCAAAAGAGCTGTGACGGATAATACTTTTTTTCTATATGACGCCGTAGAACCGTTGACATGTCTTATGAGTTCCTTTTCCCCACCATACGTCTCTTCAATATACTTCTCAGCCAAGGATTGAAGTTTACTTTTAAAGTCCTTAGCGGCGGGGTCTGCGCCATTGATAAGTGCCGTTTCTAGACTGTTACCGATATTGGTAATTACCTTTATAGCTTCATTTATTTTGCCGAGCTCACTACCTTCAACAAGCTTACTAATGTGCGCGCCGGCTTGATTGGCGATTGCGGCAAGAAGAAATAGGGTAGTCGCAACGGCATATCGGAGGTAAGCCTGGTATTTAGACTCCGATGGTTTTTCCAACGACCATTCTGCTACTTTCTCGAGCTGTTGCTCAATCGCCTGTATGATCTCATCTTCCGAGTGTCTCAAAACCCGCACTCCGACGGCGTACGTACTCAGATACGTCGCAATCTCTTTCAACTTTCCATCAACGGTGCCAGTGTTTATAGATGGCTTCTGTGCTGGAACATTTGTAAGCCTAGCATTGATCTGCGTCTTAACAATTTCAATAACCTTAGCCTCAATGTCATCCCGGTTTGGGCTAGTACTGACTTTACCTCGTAATCTTTTTTCTATCTCCTTGACCCCGAAAACATAGTTCTCAATGAATCTATTAACGGGATCTTTTTTTAAAATCCCGGCAATCCATTCTTCAATGGGCGACGTATGTGTAGCCGGGAAATTCTGCGCATACGATCCTGCTTGCTTTACAATTTTGCCGAGTGAGGCCGAATCATCACTGGCATCAACAATTTGTTTTGTAATCTTCCCGAGCTCACTCGTAATCTGCCCTCCCAACTTAGTCACATACCTTCCAACCGTCTTTTAATAGCGTCTCTAAGTTTTTGCAGATCTGTGATTACCGCATTCTGAAGCTCCTCATTGACGGCCCTAGTAGTCTCCTTAACCTGCTGTTGAATATACCCATGAGCTGTAGTCATCGCTTTGTGCAGCGCCACAGCATCTTTCCTAAGTTTTTCGGCGCCGTCCGAATTTTCTCAGGGCATTTGCCCTTCTCGTCACCAACCAACTTTATAATGTCTCCAACCATCTGTAAAGACTCCGTCAGGAGACCCTGCGCCTGCTCTATCCAGATTTCTAAAATTTGAACATATTCTGTCAACTCTTTACTAACGGTTTTATTGGCTCATGAATATGTTTATAAAATTTCTCATGAATGTCATTTTCCATAGTGTTTATACGGTCATCAACAATTGCTTTCACACTACTCGCGAGACTCTTAAGCTCTCTATGGCTACACAACACCACCTCACGCAACTCCGTATTAGTGGCAGCTGCGTGAAATCTCACCACCTCCAACTCAACACGTCGCACGTAGTCACGCAACCTATCTCTGAGTGTACCGTCTAGCTTAGAGTACGCCGCCTTTGCCAACACGAAGCTCTTATGGAGCTGATCGGCCTGGCCGAAGCAGGCCTCTAGCTTTTCGGGCACCTCGCTAAGTGAGTCACCTTCAAGTGACTTAAGTGCGTTAAGTGAATGATTTATGTGAACACAATTATCATTAATTAAGTTTTTAAAGAGTTTCTTAGCTCTTTCGGTCCGCTCTTCGAGCTCACCGCTCCACGCCTGCAGCGCATCGGAGACTTGTGCGATGGCATCCTGAAAATTATGAGAACCATTATGCATCAACTTACTGATTGAAGAAGGAAGATTCTTGATTTTATCTTTAACATCATAAGTCTTCACACTCTCATCCTCCTTCACACTCTCAAGAACACCATGAAGGAAAGACATCACCCCGTCGCACAGCCTGTCGAGGTCCGAGTACACGATGCCGGAGCCGGTGTAATTACCATTACTGTAGCCGAGAAATTTTTCGAGGCCTGTGCAAAGGTTATTTAATAATGTTGTTGAAGGATTATTTTAGGCACATTTTCAGGGCGATTTGGGGTAGTTTGGGGAAAGGCGATTTTAGGTCAAGGAGGCAGTGAGGGAGTGGAGGTGGGTGGACAGGGCGAGGGAAGTGAAGGGGCGAGAGAGGGCGATAAAGGAGGAAGATGGGTTGGGATAAGGCGGTTTGGGAGGTGGAGGGGGAAAGTGGAAAATGAGGATTCGGGTGAAGGACGCCGACGGAGGAGGTGATGATGGAGGAGGAGGGAGCGAAGCGACCAGTGAAAGAGGAGGTGGGTGAGTGGGTGAGTGAGTGAGTGAGTGATTAGGTGAGTGAGTGTGTGGGTGATTAGGTGAGTGGGTGATTAGGTGAGTGGGTGGTTGAGTGGGTGGGTGAAGGCACGGTTATGGTGAGAAGTACTTGACGTTGGCGAGTGCCTTGACGCGTGCGGCGGCGAGGAGGGACTGCGCGGCGATGCGGTGGCTTGAGGGCGAGCGCAGGTGGGAGCGTATCCTCAGGACGTCCAGGCGGACGACGGCGATGTGCAGCAGGTAGAGGAGCGACAGCGACCAGAGGGCTACTAGAGTCCAGATGAAAGGTTCACGAATTTTGAACAAGAATGCTGGAATTGTTCTATAAATTAATTCAGCAAGCGTTGCGCCTATTTTCTCTTCCTTGTTAAGAACCTTGTTCAGTGCGTTGCAGAAATCTCTGCACGTCCTCCTGCTAGTCTGCTCAAACAGCTTCACCACGTTATCATGCACGAAGCCATATTTGTAGAGTGTTGGACGGGTATGATGACACTTTACTATTGAGTTACATGACTCATCGTGTGTTGAGCTAGCCGATTTCCCTCCAACACTGCAGTTTTGTGGGCATTTAGCAATTCGGCATTTTGGCTTATCACCGCCACACGTACTACAGCAGTCATCATACAACTTTTTAAGTAAATCGTAGAATGATTCGGTAAGGTAAACTACCCACGAGAGGTAATTGCCGGCGTGTTTTTTGGAGAACGTGCTGCTGATGTGATGATTAACAGACTGCAGATAGGGACCGCACGTGACGGCCGATTTATTGATACATACAAGGCTACGCAGGTCGGCATTGAGAGCTTGATGTGAATGCTTAGGATTGCCGAATAATATTGCAGGATCGAAATTAAAATATGCCCCACCGAAATTTGCTTTGGCAACAGCCGTATAAAAAGCATCGCTTCTATGTTCCTTACCGTCGCCTCCCCAGCCGACGATGAAGCTATAGAAGAACGAAAACATGTCACCTAATGTTTTGGGAGCACTAGGGAGAAGGCATGAAAGTTGAGCACACAGCTTGGTTAGAGGTGATTCCACTTTGCCGCAAAAATCGGCAAGAACATCTCTTATGTGCTGGCCTGTTTTTATATGCGATGCTACAGTAGTGATTTCAGAGAAGCCCATCGGCGTTTTGCATGGCACGTTGGTATGGCTTTTGGTTGCACAGTTGACTTTGCTGTTGGTTGATGATAGGGTATGTGGCAGGAAGCCTTGTAGGCCATCCTCTAGGAAAGACTGCAACGGGGATTTTACGCCGCATTGGTAATGTTGGTTGTGCTTTTGGTCACACGTTTGGTTAGGGCATTGGTTATCGTTGCACACCCATGCTGACCCGCCTACTCCACGACCGTACCAGCAGTCTTCCCAACCGCCAAGATGTGTTCCGTACGAGCACTGTGTGTATAAGAAATACAGCTGGTGATATAGGCGTTGGAGGATTTCGAACAGCGTACATAGTAATTGTACCATATTAGTAGGATAGTGTAATTTTTGTGAATTAGTGCTAAATGCATACGCGTACACGCCGCCTGAGTGACCGTATCCGAAGATGGCAGTGAGGACAGCGTGGGAATCGGAAGCGACTTTATGAATCCCATCGTCAATATCTGTGTGTTCGAAGTTGGATGGATGCGCTTCAAAGGGCTTAACTGATTTGCCATATGGGTCTGCCTTATCCTCGACGAGGAACTCGGAGGGCATGTGCTCCTTAAGTTTGTTAAGCACAGGGTTGAACTGTAGGCCGCAACACCATGTCAGCATTTGATATATATTACACGGTAGTTTAGGTGAATCATTATGTATGTGGTGGCAAACACTAAAGTATTGCCTAAGGTGGGAAAGCAGTTTTTCAATTACACCATCTTCGGTGACAACCTCTACTTGCAGGTCACTGTCATCGTCAGCACCGCCGGATGAAGTGTCAACAGACTGGCTAGCAGCGAACAAATTATGTGTTCCCTTTGTGAGATGACTAAGAATACTGCTACCATTAAAGTTGTTTCTGTGATTTAGTTCGCCATGTTCGGTGTTGCGACGACGGCCGACGTCGTAACCGTTTTCACGGAGGAAAAGGGCATATAAGCTGGACTTGCGATCCGAGGAGTTGTAGATTTTATACTCTTGCCATTTACCTCCTGGTTTTTCAAGACCATCTTTCAGCTCCTTTAACGTGCTAAATAAAAGGGGAACTATGCTCAAACTTATTTTCGCGTAGTGTCCCAGTTCACTCTCATGCCATTTTCTCCCCGAGTAACTATTTATGTAAGCATTCTGGAGCTCAGTGACGAGGGGCGTAAAGCCTTTTCTCAAGGCTTCCAGCAGCAACGGGCTTTTTGCATCGCCGAATTTCGAAGGTTTGAATTCTGCGATTTTCTTTTCAAGTTCCTCCAGGTTGTCACTGAATTTGTTGTCGAAATGCTCGGAGGTTGTGAGACCATCAAGTAATTTGGCCAAGGACTCCTTGGAGTCCGCAACTTTCTTGAAGTCATCAGCGAAATCCTCTTGCAGTTGCAAATTTTGGAAGAAATTTTCGAAACCGGCATTCAAAATCTTTGTTGCCTGGCTCAGCGGCGAATATTGCGGAGGATCGATGAGCGAAATGTGAGACTTAATTTCCTTGATACCATTAACTTTGGTAAGGAAAGTATGGAACGTCTTCATGAATTTTTTATGGCCCTGTTGCAAATCTGCAGCAATTTTGTCCGGCAATCCATGTAGCTCGTTTCCAACCTTTTTCGCAAATTCGGTGAGTAGGAACTTGAGGGCCTCGACGTACTGCCTGCGCGCGTGGGTGGTGAGTTTGGATTGGGCGGAGTTGACTTCTGATGTAACTTGTCGCTGGAGTTCTTTGACGTAACGTTTTTCAGTTGTCTCTGCGTCTTTGAGGAATTTCTCAAGTTCCGCAATAGGTTCAGCCTGTAGTTTGCTACGTACAAGGCCAAGTTCAGCATGGATTTTGTTGATGCTATCCTTAACGTCTTCCGGCTTACTTGAATCGTACTGCTTAAAGTACGTTTTTCTCAACTCTTCCAATTTATTCTTCGCGCTCTTCGGATCTAGTTCCGCGGCGTTCTTAATGGCGTAGCATAGTTCACTGAGCCTCGATTCGACATCGGTGGCGTACCCTAGAAGTGTAGCTTGCAGACCGTCAAGTGGTCCCACAGCGGCGGTCACCTGCGTCCTGATTTCCTTGATCGCGTCTGGAAGGGTGCCTTCAAGCTCGTTGACGTCAGTGAGAGTGTCAATGTTATCTTGTCCGACGTGGGATCTGTAATTCGTGAAAATTGCTTTGTTGTCCTTAAGGTTGACTTTCTCACCACTTGCCTCCGGCAACTGCTGCTCGAGCACGTCACTACCTCCACCGGTGGCGCTTGCTATCTGGCCTTTAAGGAGCTTCTGGTGGGTCTCGTGGAATTGGGGCATGAGGCCTTTGTCATTAAGTTTGATACCGCTTTCACCTTCACCGGGAATATGCTTGTCAACTTCTGCTGCAACATCCCTATCAACATAGTATTTTGCAAGATTCACATCCTGGGTGGAGGCGAGGATGGCGGCGCCGGAGCCTTTAGTTTGTGCCTGTTCAAGGTTACTGTACAGACCATCCGCCGCCGTAGAAGCCGCTTCTACCATTGCGGCGATGTTGCCGCCGTTTGTGTTATGTCCATTCTTGTCATGGAGTGTGAATGATTCGATATCCCCAGCAGCACGCCTGGCGGCGGAGATGAGAGCGGCTAAAACGGCACGGACTACGGCGAAAAGAAAAATTTGAGAAGTGTTACCCTTATAGCTTGGCGCCACCTTCGCTTCAATGGCTGTGACAATGCCATGGCCAAAGCAACGCGCATCACTCTCATGAAAATTGTCATTTTCCATCCTTTTCTCAATCTCATTTGCAAGCTTTTCACAAGAACCTTTGACTTTTGAAATATTGTGTTTAATGTCGCTATTTAATTGAGAATCCTGAAAGGCATCGAATGCTGCACTCACTACGCCCTTAAGCGCATTCTTAATTATAGGGGCGATTTCATTCGTTTTGCTAAAAACAACCGCCTTAGCGTCAATGGTTATATATTGCGAATCAAACTTCTGCTGCCCACTCATGTCAACATACTGCCAGAAATATTTCTTAACGACCATATTGTTTTTCAATATATCCTCCAACCACCCATCAACTATACTGTCAAATCCGCCGTTAGCATACTTCTCTGCGTACTCCTTCACTCTATTCTTGATCCCATGCAGGCCTGTGGATCCTGGATTTTCTTTCCCCTTAATTTTATCAACTTCCTTATTAATCGCTTTTAAAACATTCTTAACATGCTCCGTCAACGCGCTCCTAATCCCACTTTCCAACGTCCCTAAATCCTTCTTCACATTAGTATCCAACGTCTTCGCCAAATTGGTAATCGCCTTTTTGATATTCTCCCTCACCCCGTGCAAATCCTTCTTCAGCTCGTCGTCCATCGTTTTCACGGCCGTGAGGGCTTCTTTAACTTTCTCGGCAACTTGCTTTTTAGCTTCCTCTCCCGCAGCCTGAGCTAAGTGAGCCTGTGTCCTTATCTGCTCGGCCGTCGCTCTAATCTGCATAGGATATATGGTTGAAGAACTATCGATGTGCGCTATTATTTCATTAAGTTTCTGCTCCGCCGCCTTAACGGCGGCATCCGCCTTCTCAATCCACTTTCCTAACCTGTGAACACACTGTATCAGATCCTCACTCAATTTCTTCAGTGTCTTTAGAATTTTGTTAATCTCTTCCTTCAACTTGTTAACAAGCAATTTCACTTGAGTATCGATTTTACTGCAGACACATGTCTGAAGCTCTTCCAACACCCTCTTAATCTCCGCTTCCGTTGCTTTCAACACCTTCCCTTCTTGCCCCTTCACCCTCCCCAACCGCGCACTCTCATACTCCACTGTCTTACGCACGCTCTCAAGCTTATCTTTCAATTTAGCATTTAAGTCGGAAATTGCGTTTTTATGTGTGCTACGTGATGCGTCACTAACGTCTAAATTAGTGAAAAATGTCTCAGCATTTTTACGGCATTGCTGAAGTTTGTCATTAATTTGCCTTTCGGCGTCGGTGACGTCCCGTTCAGTAGGCTCTATCTTGTTCCCCTGCGCATCAATTTTTTCACGCAATATGTATTCCACACTTTTCACAAATTTATCATTAACATCATCACGCAACTTATTAATTACACTTTTCACACTCTTATTCGACGCTGCCACTCTCACATTATATGTACGTACACCACCGGCCACCGCGGCTATCGCCGCCCTGTATTTAGCAATACCATTATTATCTTTGTTGTTAAGTGAAGTAAGTGCATCATTTAAAGTGTCTTTATGCTGGCCTAATTTAGGCTGAATGTTACTTAAAACTCCATGAAGGAAAGACATCACCCCGTCGCACAGCCTGTCGAGGTCCGAGTACACAATTCCCTCTCCGGTGTAATTACCATTACTAAGGCCGAGAAATTTTTCGAGGCCTGTGCACAAATTAGATAAAATATCTTTACAGTTTCCATCATTTTTCTGTGTTTTACTAACATCCTTACAATGTTGACAAAGGCTTTGTAGACTTTTGAGAGACTCCATAGACTTCTGATGAGAGTCAAGGGATTTAGAAAGCTTCTCAGGGAAATTTTCTTTTGCAGATTTAAGTTGCTCTTCAAATGTTTCAAGCTGTTTTTTAAGCCTTTCAAGGTCTCCAACTTTCTTTTTTTTTCCCTCCTCAATTTTCTTTTTAAGCTCATTCACTTGACGTTGAAGGTTATCAACTTCATTTTTCTTTTTGTCAAGTGACTTAATTTGCTTTTCAACAGCGGAAATTACAGTTGTAATTTGCTTTGTAAGCGTGGAACTTTCAGAGAAAATTTTATTTTTAAGCTCTTCAATTTTCTTTTTATGCTCCGCAATCTCAGCATCAATGCCGGACGGCGTCCCTACGGACGCCTTACTTTTTCCAGCAATTTCATTTTTAAGGCTATCAAATTGTCTCTCAATTTTATCATATTTTCCAAATTTCTCTTGAAGATTTTTAAGATGCTTATCACTGAAATTCTTATCATAACAATTACACCCCTCACCTCCGCAAGATGCTTGTAAAAGCTTACTAAGCTGATTTACATTACTGTGCAAACCCTTCAACAATGCTTTTTTAACTTCTACAGTCCCACCAATAAAACCCGAAAGCTGTCCAGCAAGCTGACCAAGGGAGATACGTCTCTCATCAATATCATCCAAGGCTTTTCCCCTGGCATCCACAGTAAGGTAGTGAACTTCATTGTAATGGTCATTGTAGTTGGATTAAAGGCGGACTAAGGGAGAGTTAAAAGAGGTAAAAGGGGATGAAATGGCACATTTTCAGGGTGATTTGGGGGAATTTGGGGAAAGGCGATTTTAGGTCAAGGAGGCAGCGGGGCAGCGAGGGAGGTGGGTGGACAGGGTGAGGGAAGGAAGGGGCGAAAGAGGGCGATGAAGGGGGAAGATGGGTTGAGGTAAGGCGATATTAGGGGTGGAGGGGGAAGGTGGAAAATGAGGATTTGGGTGAAGGACGCCGACGGAGGAGGTGAGGGAGTGCGTGAAGGCAGGGAGCGAAGCGACCAGTGAAAGAGGGAGGTGAGTGAGTGGGTGAGTGAGTATGTGGTTGAGTGGGTGAGTGGTTGAGTGAGTGGTTGAGTGGGTGAGTGGGTGGTTGAGTGAGTGGTTGAGTGGTTGAGTGGGTGAGTGGTTGAGTGGTTGAGTGGTTGAGTGGTTGAGTGGGTGATTAGGTGGTTGAGTGGGTGGTTGAGTGAGTATGTGGGTGGGTGAGTGGTTGAGTGGTTGAGTGGGTGAGTGGTTGAGTGGGTGAGTGAGTGAGTATGTGGGTGGGTGAGTGGTTGAGTGGGTGATTAGGTGGTTGAGTGGGTGGTTGAGTGGTTGGGTGGGTGAGTGAGTGGTTGAGTGGGTGGGTGGTTGAGTGGTTGTGTGAGTGGGTGAGTGAGTGATTAGGTGGTGAGTGAGTGGGTGAGTGGTTGAGTGGGTGGGTGGTTGAGTGGTTGAGTGAGTGAGTATGTGAGTGGGTGAGTGAGTGAGTAGGTGGTTGGGTGAGTGAGTGGGTGAGTGGGTGGTTGAGTGGGTGAGTGGGTGAGTATGTGAGTGAGTGGGTGGGTGAGTGGGTGATACACAGATCACACGTGAAGGCGCGATTACGGTGAGAAGTACTTGACGTTGGCAAGTGCCTTGAGTCTTGCGGCGGCGAGGAGGGACTGCGCGGCGATGCGGTGGCTTGAAGGTGATTTTAAGTGGGAGCGTATGCGCAGCACGTCGAGGCGGACGACGGCGATGTGCAGCAGGTAGAGCAAAGCAAATACCCAAAGCCCTAGTAATGTCCAAATAAAAATCTTTCTGACGGTAAACATAAATTCGTCGATGGCACTCAGCCAGTTTACCATTAAGTCTGATTTTCTTGCTTTATCGAGTGTGTCTCTTAGTTGCTGACATGCTCTTAGGTCCCCGTTCAGTAGCTTTTTGACGTTGCCGTACGTCAACCCAAAGCTGTATAGAGTAGGCATGAGGCCTCTGCAGTGAACGATGGATTCGCATCCACAAGCTTCCGTGCCGTGCTTACCCATGCGACATTTACCTGAGTGATCACATTCATGACAACCGTGATCATGACATGAAATGGATGCTAGAGCATCTATGAGACGCGATAGGAAGGTGACAATATTTTCAGAGATGTAGACCAACGAAGCAAGGTATTTGCCTGCGTGCTTTGGTGCAAACTTGGAGTACGCAGTAGCGTTGAGCGATCGGAAATAATTGCCACAACTATAATCACCACAGCCAAGAAGACATTTGAGATCGGCCTGTTTTTCAAAGTTATGTGTACTGTGACTAGTTGACTCATACAAGTACCGGCAGGGTCTAAGGAGCTCTTTGGCATCATACTCACACGATACAGTGTCCGTGATTTCTTTACAGACAGCTGCTTGGACGGGATGCAACTTATTACCATCTTGGCTATCAGACATCCACGTCCAGGATTGCGATAGAGAACAGTAGAACGTGAATATGTCACACAACGTCTGAGGTGGTCGACCAGCAAGGCAGTTGAGTGACGAATAGAGCTGTGTGAAAATGCCTTGGTTGCCGCACAGTTTGGTTAGCACGTTACACAGCTCTTTGCCTGTCCTCGTACTTCCAGAGAAGCCTCTAAAGCCAAGCGGCGTGATACACGGCATTTCACTTGTGGATTTGGGACAGGTGTTGCACGATGATTTACATCCCACACCGGTTACGTGGTGAGGTAACATACCCCTAAGGCCGTCGGTTAGGTATAAGTGCAGCGGCGAACTTATGGAACAATCGACTTTAGAAGTTGGTAGTTCGTCACCCTCTGGGCCGCACTGCCAGCCGGACGTTTGGACACCGTTTCCAAACTGGCATTCATTCCAGCCGAAATATGATTTACCGAGACTACACTGTCCATGAAGGAATGTAAGAACAGGACATAATTTACGTAGGATGTCAAGCAGCATGTCGAAGCACTCTGCTCCAGCCGACGGATAGTATAGATTAAGGGTGTTGTCACCATATTGACAGGCGTAGTACGTTGCAGCGTCGCCGGTGCCTAGCACGGTGACAAGCAGATCATACGCTGCAGTGTATATGGAGGGTAACGAAGATGAACATACGTGCGACAACTCATTTTGCAATGTTGTGTCTGTTTCATCCGCGTGTAATTTTCGCAAGTAGTCCCGCAACATTCTTTTTGCGGAATTATGCTGCAGGCCTTTCAGCCATACTAGCATCTGGAAAGCGTTGCAAGGATGTTTGGCATAAAGTGGAATTGTGTAGTGGCATACTTTATTATATTGAGTGAGGTGGCTAGTGAGACAGCGAAGTATGTCAAAGAGTTTAATATCGTCATACCTCGATATGCATACTTTAAGATGTTTGTTTTGGGCATCTTTGATTGTTTCATTAAGTATTCCAAGAACTTTGTTCCCATTCCATTCACTCTCATGATGTAATTCGCCGTCCTTGGATTGTTGATTTTTGGCGACACGGAATCCACACCGCTTCAGGAAACTGCCAAGTAGATTTTCATTATCGTTCACCTTTTCGCACAGTTTTTCAGCACTCCAGCCACCATTACACTTGTAATTCAACATGCCAAGATCGTTGTTAATTGTTGTCAATATTGAAAGGCAGACCCTTGCGCATTTTTCGCCATCCATGGATTTTTTGCTCCCCCAGTTGATGTTCACTGCTCCCGAATAGCTATTTCGGTAGGCCTTGTCAAGCTGGCCGACAAAAGCCTTCAATGCGTTTTTCGCGGTTTGCAAGCAAGGCATTGGGATCTCACCGAAATTTGAGGGATTCAAATCGACAAGTAATTTATCAAACTCGCTAAGTAAATTAGAGAATGTATTGTCGTAATTATGTTTCCTATTTGTATTGTCTATTAGATGTTTTAGTAATTTATCGAGACCGCCAAACGTATTCCTAACGGTATTGTAATACACGTTTTGCTCTCTTGTCTTCTCTGTGAGATCGAACAGTCTCATAATTTCCTTGGACACACGGAATATAACGTGGCTGAAATACGCTTCCACTTTATTTGCAAAATCTGAGAATCTTGTAGCATAATCCTTAACTTGAGCGGTGGATTGAGACGCGGCATTCTTAAGCTTAATCAGCAAATTATTGTTGTCATCACGCGTTTTACTAGGATACTCACCACCGTACATTGCTTTCATCATCCCCTTCAGCCCGCTGTTGGAATCGTTTTGGATGATCTTTGTGATCTCCTTGTTTTCCTTCTCCACCAGCGCCTTCAGCTTCCCGAGCGCGCGGGCCTTGGACTGGGCGAACTGAGAGAGGGCGGTGTTTTGGATGGCTTTGATTTTCTCTTCTACCTGTGTCTTAAGTTTGGAGGTGATGGAAGAGATGCACTGTTCGACGTGCTTTTTTATGGTAGCTGTATAGAATGTTTGAGCCTCTTGGGTAATATAATCTAAGTTGGCATTTTCGTTTCCGGTAAGGATGCCTTGAATTTCATCGGACATTTTCTTGAGACTCATGGTATCACGCCATTCCTTAACACTGAAAATGGCATTGTTTAGCAGATCCTCTATTTTGTCCAGAACGCCATTATCAGTATATCCTCTCTCCTTCTTCAGCATCCGCCTGAGCTCTCTAAGTTCCTCTTCAATTGCGGCAACACCTTTGGTGATTTGGGCGTGCTCGTTAAATTTAGGTAGCAGATCACCAATGTCACTTTTAATTTTACCAAGGCCATTTATGTAAGTGCCATCTGTATTTAACTGCCAATTTGTCTCCGTTGTCAGTCCCCTTTTCAAGGCTTCTAAACGTTGCAATACGCCATTGTCTACCTCAGTTGCGCCAGGTTCTTCATTTTTCAGGTATTTCTTTAGCTCTCTAATTTTCTGAGTTATCCTGCTTAGCGCTTCTGTGAGAGGTGTCTTTTTATTTTCAAAGTCAGTGAAATTTTCGACTTCACCAGTTGTCCTGAAAATGTTCTCTAGACCCTCATCCAGGAACTTGGGGAGAGCATCGGAAAGCTGTTGCTTTTTCTCTGAATAAGTCTTCAGACTTGGAGTTTCGTCAATTTTCACATGCGGAGTAACTAATCCTGGGAATTTTGACGGATCTGGTTTGTCCCACGGCAACTCCGCATCCACTTTGCTCCCAAGGTCATTGTTAAGGGCTTGGATGAGGGGATTATTGTCGTCGATTTTTGGAAATGTGTCGCCATTTTGTTTTTTGACGCTATGTTGGAGATAGAAAAGAACACTTTCTAACGAATCCAGCTCAGTCCCGCTGAGCTGTGTAACCCACGTCTTCAAAGGACCAGCAGTCAAACCACCATCGCCTTTCAGTGCCTCTTGACCACCGGTGAAACCTTCATTATAATTAAGTTTATTTTTTAAAGTCACCATCTTAGCAGCGTCAAAAACCTTAATAACCGTATTTGCAACATACTCCCTAATTCCCCTCTGGATAGCAAGATTCAAGGTCAACAACTTTTCTTTCAGTTCACTATCCAACTTATTAACTTTCTCCTGCGCATCACTCACCTTCGCCTGTATAGCCTGATGCGCCAACTCCAAAGCCTTCAAGAGGTTTGTCGCTTTGTTTTTTAACAATTCGGCATTTATAGTGATTTGAGTTTTACTTTTCGTATCATCTACCTGGTCCAAAACTAAGTTAGCCTTCGTCTCCGCTGCCAAACGTATCTCCGCTGCTTTAGTGATCCAACTTCCCATTGCCGGAACCTTATTGGTAAGCGTTCCATGCGCCTGTTGAATCTGCGCATTCGCTTGCGCGATTCCGTCAATGTTTTTCCCAAGCGTAGTTCCTGTATTGTCATTCTTTTTTTCATCAGGATTCAACCTATCATAAACGATTTTTGTCGTGGTTATTATGCCGCTTACTAACGATTTAGTCTTCTGAAACCACTTTTGCAAGTTATCTTGGACTTCATCCAATTTCCCTTCGACACTCCTTATGGGCCCTTGAATTTTTTTGAAAAATTCCAGCTGTAAATCACTTATACAATTGTTTTGCTGCTCGTTAGAAACTCTGTTTGTTTCGGTCTTAATAGCTGTTATCTCTTTGTCAACTTTATTACACACCAGACGAAGGCCCTCGTAATCTCCATCATTGGAGATAACGAAGGTTCTAACCGCATCTGCAACCAAATTAACATGGGGGCTTATTTTATTCCGAAGCTTTTCATCAAGGAATCTAAGATTTATCACTGATGTACCGGAGTGGTTAGTAAACTTTGCGACCTCCTTGACCCATTCGAACAGCCTACCTTTATTAGGAGAGAGCTTGTCAATAACGTTCTCATAATCAACATTTCCCAAACCTGTAATGGCATTAATAAGTTCCGGCAATGTAGTTTCAACGCTGCGTATATACTTGCTGACATTTTTGTTGGACAACGTGACACCTTCCAACCACCTCTCAATCCCCCTCTTCACACTGTCAATCACATCACGCAAACCTGTTTTGCCATTATTACGATGAGTTTCCAAATCACTTACAGCATTTTTTAACGTCTCTTTATAAGGCGAAAGGTTATTATTTTTATAAACTTCATTTAAAACACCATGAAGGAAAGACATCACCCCGTCGCAGAGCCTGTCAAGGTCCGAGTACACAATTCCCTTGCCATCGTAGCCTTTGGAAGTTTCTTGGTAACCAAGGAACTTCTCCAAGCCAGAGCACAGGTTATTTAGAAGGATTTTAGAAGGATTTTCGTCAACACGATTATTATGAATTTTATCAGCATATCCACAAAGCTCACTCAGTGTATCAAGAGAGTTCAAGGAAGCCTGATGAGACTGAAGAGATTTAGAAAGCTCCTTAATTTTAGAAGCATTTTGAGGAGGTTGATAGGCATCATTAATATTAAAAAGAAGGTGAAATGACACATTTTCAGGGCGATTTGGGGGAATTTGGGGAAGGGCGATTTTAGGTCAAGGAGGCAGCGAGGGGGTGAGGGAGGTGGGTGGACAGGGTGAGGGAGGTGAGGGGGCGAAAGAGGGAGGTGAAGGGGGAAGATGGGTTGAGGAGAGGGGATTTAGGAGGTGGAGGGAGAAGGCGGAAAAAGAGGATTTGCGTGAAGGACGCCGACGGAGGATGTGATGGAGGAGGGAGCGAAGCGACCAGTGAAGGAGGGGGTGGTTGAGTGAGTGATTAGGTGAGTTGGTGAGTGGGTGGTTGAGTGGGTGGGTGTGTGAGTGGTTGAGTGAGTGGGTGGTTGAGTGGTTGAGTGAGTGGTTGAGTGGTTGAGTGGGTGGTTGAGTGGGTGGGTGAGTGAGTGGTTGTGTGAGTGGGTGAGTGAGTGATTAGGTGGTGAGTGAGTGGGTGAGTGGTTGAGTGGGTGGGTGGTTGAGTGGGTGGGTGGTTGAGTGGGTGGGTGAGTGAGTGGGTGATTAGGTGGTGAGTGAGTGGGTGAGTGGTTGAGTAGGTGAGTGGTTGAGTGAGTGGTTGAGTGGGTGGGTGAGTGGGTGAGTGGTTGAGTGGTTGAGTGGTTGAGTGGGTGGTTGAGTGGGTGGGTGGGTGAGTGAGTGAGTGGTTGAGTGGGTGATACACAGATCACACGTGAAGGCACGATTATGGTGAGAAGTACTTGACGTTGGCGAGTGCCTTGACGCGTGCGGCGGCGAGGAGGGACTGGGCGGCGATGCGGTGGCTTGCGGGCGATCTCAGGTGTGAGCGTATCCTCAGGACGTCGAGGCGGACGACGGCGATGTGCAGCAGGTAGAGCAAGGAAAATATCCAAAGCCCTAGTAATGTCCATATGAAATTCTTTCTGACAGTGAACATGAATTCATCGATGGCACTCAAGAAATTCTTCAACGTCTGCGATTGCAATATTTTGTCTAGTGCTGTGCAGAAATCCTGACATTTAATTTGGCTTCTGCCGGCGGCATCGGCATATGCTAAGCCATATCTGTATAACACCGATGACACTCCTCGGCAGTGGACAATGGATGCGCACCCACATGGCTTTGTGCCATGCCTGTTAGTTACACAACCGGCACTGTTAAGGCATGGACCACACTGGTGATCGTAGCAGGAAATGTCGCAGAAAGAATTTTTCAGCTGATCGAGGAAGTTGTAAATATTTGAACAAGCGTAAAGCAGACACGACAGATAACTGCTGGCAAACTTAGGAGCAAACATGGAGTAGGCCGATGCGTTGAGCGGGCGCATGATGTAACCGCAGTCGGACTGACCGCAGCCAACAAGGTAGCCAATATCGCAACCACTATTAACGTCATGCAAAAAGTGCGATGGAGAGTCATACATTTTGCGACATGAATCGAGTAACGACACAGCATCACTAGAATCGCAGCCCACGGTAGACGTGATTTTGTCGGCGATTGCTTGTTGAATTACATTTAATGGTTTAACTCTGGATGACATCAAATTCCATGGTCTGACGACTTGGTAATAGAATGAGAATATATCAGGGAACGTCTTAGGTGCACGATTGAGAAGGCAAGCAAGTGGCGCATAGAGTCTTGTGAACACGCCATCAGCACCGCATAGTTTGCCAAGTAATGAACACAGGTCTCTCCCTGTATGCGTGCTATTCGAAAATGCTCTGAAGCCGAGGGGAGGGAGACACGGCATTCCAGGTGGGTTTTTAGAGCACGTGGAACACGATGATTTGCAACCAATAGAGGTTACATCATGAGGCAAGTGACCGTGTAAACTGTCGTTTAGGTAAGACATAAGTGGAGAGGTTGGTTGGCACGCAACTTTGTTGTTTGGTTGGCACCTAGCTTTGTCGGTAACATGCTCGTTGCACGAGAATTTGGTTGACCTGATATCCTTGCCGTAGTAGCAGTCACGCCATCCACCGTGCTTATCACGTAGACCACACTTAGTATGCAAGAATGTGAGCACCGGGAACATCCGTCGTAGGATATCAAGCAACATGTCGAGACACTCGGCGCCGGAACTGGGATATTTCAGGCTGAGGGAGTTGCTAGGGAACTCGCACGCATAAAACGTTTCAGCATCTCCGTGCCCGAGCACACCAGTCAGCAGTGCATAAGCGTTAGATGTAACATCTCTAAGTGCCTCGTGTATTTCATCATGTGTAAATGGTTTTGGATAGGCTGCGATGGCCTCCACAGTCTTAATTGAAGGATCTGTCTCACTTGGTACTTCAAACATCGTCTTAATCTGCTGCTTAAGCTTTTCGTAAACAGGATTATGCGGAAGGCCGGAGAGCCATAGGGACATGTCATAGATGCTACACGGTGACCTGGGTTTGTCAATGTAATTTAAGTGACAGACTCCGAAGTATTTATTGAGGTGATCAAATAGTTGTCGGACGACACCGTTTTCCTCTTCAATGGTGAGTGGAGGCTCATCCGACTGGATTTGGGAATCAGACATAACGGTGATGGGAGTTGTAATTTTACTATACAGCTTATGTCTTTCATTATTAAGATGTGCAAGAATATTACTACCATTGAAATCTTTTTTGTGATTTAACTCGCCATATGGGCTTTCGGCCGGGCGGCCAACATCATACCCGTTGTAAGCGAAGAATAATTTATGCAGACTGTGATTGGAGTTAGAAGAGTCATATATTTTGTAACTTTCCCAACCATTCTCAAGTCCTTCCTTCAGCGCAGTTAATTCATGATACACGACTGGCGTAAGGGTCAAGGCGATTTTAGCGTACTTTTCTTTCTCTGCCTGGCCGATTTTGTCCCACTCGATAGTCCTCTGCGAATACCGCGAGACGTACGCCCTGCCTAGTTCGCCGACTAGGGCAATTATTCCCTCCTTAAGTGACTGTAACATGGGAGTCGAAGATGCACCGAATTCAGATGGGTGAAGCTCGCCAAGTTGATTAGTAAGTGATTGTAAGTTATTGCTAAATTCGTGGCTGAAGTGCTGCGATGTTATGAGCTCTGCCAGCATTTTCTGCAATGCATCCTTCGATGCCTCAATTTTTCTAAAGTCTTTACTGAAGTCTATGTTCTTTTGGTAATCACGGAAGAAAAGCCTAAACGACATGTATAATTTTGAAGTCGCGTGGCTGAGCGGAGATTTCTCTTGCGAAGGTGTATTTTCAATGCCCTTAATACCTACGATTGATTTAGGGTTTGTAATAAAATGCTCTGCAAATTTGGACATGAAGGCCTTGTGGCCTAGTGTTAAGTCATGTAAAATATCTTTTGGCAAAGGTTTTAACTCCTCCTCCACCTTCTCCGCAAAAGATGTAAGCAAACGTTTTATGGAGTCAACGTACTGTTTCTGGAAGTGAATTGTCATAATATTATGCACCTTGTCGACTTCTTTGTTTACCTGTTGTATAAGCGTTTCGATGGTTGAACTGCGTAATCGCTCGGCGTGGTGTCCAAGGAATTTATTACACAAGCCAATTGGCCCGCTTTCCAGACTTTTTTGCAGCTTGCTGATATCGCTGTGAATTTTGTTAATGCTGCCTTGGGCGTCCGTCGACTGCGCAAAAAACTTGATCTTCAGCTCTTCCAATTTGCTTTTCGCGCATTCCGGGCCAAGTCCAGCGGCGTTTTGAATGGCATAGCACAGGTTGCTAAGGTGCTGGTTGACCAACCGTAACTGTTCCGCGACTTGGATATTGTGATCGTCGATGTTTGTCAGCGCGGTGGTAACGTCACTTCTAATGTCCTTGATCGTCTGTGGAAAAGTGCCTTGTGGATCGTCGGCATCGTTGATAGGTTGTTTGATGTACCTCTTATAACTGCTGAAGTGTATACTCTTGGATAAGTCAACTCTATCTGAACCCCTATCCGCCTGCTCCTGCGGCAACTGTTCATCGACTGCTTTCATAATGTAATCGGTGAGGGCATTAGACAGGTGCTGGTCATCCTTAATCAAATCCAGATGTCCTTTAATATGGCTATGAATTGCTTCCAGTAGCCATGCAAAATTATCCCGGAAATTAGGACTGTCTCTATTTCCAACGTTGAGCAATTTGTACAATGCACCGTCTTTGTCATTTAAAGCTTCCTTAAAAGCATCTACACCTTTCTTACCGTCACCGCTCCAACCATTTGCCTTCTCCACACCCTCCTTAAATGCTCTCCCCAACGCCTGAACATACTTCCCAATCCCAATCTGAATCTGCACTTTCACCTCATTCAAACTATCCTTAACTGCGTCGTTCAAAGTGTTCACAGCCTTAAGCGCCGCGGTAACCTTTTGTTCAACCTTCTCCTTCGCCGCACTGCCAGATGCATATAATAAGTCTGCCTGCATTTTCAGCTGATCCGCGGCCGCCACAAGTTGGGAAGGGAATTTGCTTGAATCGCCTGCATTTGCTTCCTTTATTATTTCTTCCACCCTGCTCAACGCCTTTTGAACCGCGGCATCTGCATCGCCAATCCACTTACCCAGTGCCACGACATGCTGTCGCAACTCCTTGCTAAGTTTCTGAAGAGCCTGCAAAATATCACTAACCAAAGATTTAAAATTCCTGACGAGCTGAGTCACTTCCGTGGTAATATGCGTATTAATATCTTCTCCACACTTTTTCATCACTTCAACAACTTTTTTCGTCCTCTCTGCCGTATCTTCTCTTTCCTGCCTACGCGCCTTCTCAAGGCGCTCGGCTTCGTACTGAACAGTACTACGAACATATTCAATTTTATCACGTAATTTATCATTTAAGTCATTAAGTGCTTTCTTAGTTTTTTCATCAGTCTTATGTGTGTCTAATGTGCTAGTAAAGTGCTCGGCGTATTGCCGACATTCCAAGGCCTTCTTGTCGACCAGCTCCTCGGCCAGTCCAATTTTCTTGGCGTCCGGTGTACCTGAAACAGAATGAGCGTCTAAAATTGTACTTACCGCTGTTTTGAGTGTAGTCATTTGCAGATTGAAATCTTGAATCTTGCTCTTGAGATGATTGTTCCCCTCCCTCACACCCTCATTATACTGCCTCACCCGCTCCACCACCTTGACAATCGCAGCATTAAAACCCTCTTTGCCGGAGTGTTTATGGGTGTTAAGAGCATTAATTGCCTCTCTAATCCTATCACTATGTAAGCCTAATTTAGGCTGAATGCTATGCAAAACACCATGAAGGAAAGACATCACCCCGTCGCAGAGCCTGTCAAGGTCGGAGTACACGATGCCGGAGCCCGAGTAGCCTTTGGAAGTTTCTTGGTAACCAAGGAACTTCTCCAAGCCAGAGCACAGGTTAGTAAGTAACTCATGTGGATTATTTTAGGCACACTTTTAGGGTGATTTGGGGGAATTTGGGGAAAGGTAAAATAAGGCCAAGGAGGCAGTGAGGGAGGTGGGTGGACAGGGTGAGGGGAGTGAGGGGGCGAAAGAGGGCGACGGAGGAGGAAGATGGGTTGAGGAAAGGCGATTTGGGGGTGGAGGGGGAAGGTGGAAAATGAGGATTTGGGTGAGGGACGCCGACGGAGGAGGTGATGGAGGAGGATGAAGGCAGGGAGCGAAGCGACCAGTGAAGGAGGGGGTGAGTGGTTGAGTGGTTGGGTGGGTGGGTGGTTGAGTGGTTGAGTGGTTGAGTGGGTGGTTGAGTGGGTGGGTGATTAGGTGAGTGATTAGGTGAGTGGGTGAGTGGGTGGTTGAGTGAGTGGTTGAGTGGTTGAGTGAGTGGGTGAGTGAGTGGTTGAGTGGGTGGTTGAGTATGTGAGTGAGTGGGTGAGTGAGTGAGTGAGTAGGTGGGTGAGTAGGTGGGTGAGTGGGTGGTTGAGTGAGTGGTTGAGTGGTTGAGTGGGTGAGTGGTTGAGTGGGTGATTAGGTGAGTGGTTGAGTGGGTGAGTGGGTGGGTGGGTGATTAGGTGAGTGTGTGGTTGAGTGAGTGGGTGGGTGAGTGAGTATGTGAGTGAGTGGGTGGTTGAGTGAGTGGGTGAGTAGGTGGGTGAGTGAGTGAGTGAGTGGGTGATTAGGTGAGTGTGTGGTTGAGTGAGTGGGTGGGTGAGTGAGTATGTGAGTGAGTGGGTGGTTGAGTGAGTGTGTGAGTGGGTGAGTGGGTGAGTGGGTGAATGGTTGAGTTAGTGGGTGGGTGAATGGTTGAGTTAGTGGGTGGGTGAGTGAGTGATACACAGATCACACGTGAAGGCACGATTACGGTGAGAAGTACTTGACGTTGGCGAGTGCCCTGACGCGTGCGGCGGCGAGGAGTGACTGTGCGGCGATGCGGTGGCTTGCGGGTGATCTCAGGTGGGAGCGTATCCGCAGGACGTCGAGGCGGACGACGGTGATGTGCAGCAGGTAGAGGAGCGACAGCGACCAGAGGGCTAACAATAAAGACATGAATGGGAATCTGATCTCCTTCATGAATTCATCTATAGTGCTGAAGAGTTTGACAAGAACAGACTTCTCATCTAGCACTTTCTTCAGCACGCTGCAAAAATCATTGCACGTCCTCCTCTGTTCCGTGTGCTCTGTACCACTCAGCGTCTTCCGATCCGATAACGTGAACCCATACCTGCACAAAACCGATGACGCATTCTTACACTGTATAATGGAACTGCAATCAGCTTCGTGATTTGCGATTGTCGATTTGTCATTAAAATTGCAGTTCACTGGGCATTTGGCGATACGGCATTTTGCTTTATCACCGCCACATGTTTTATTGCACTCCTCGTACAACTGGTGGAGTAAGCGGTAGAATGTTTCCGTGAGGTAAACAATCCATGATAAATATCTACCAGCATACTTCATTGAATATATGCCAGCGATATCATTGTTGAGGGAAAGCAAGTAGGGAGCGCATCTTCTATTTGAAGCTGCACTGCAAACCAGGCTAAAGAGATCACCGTTATCGTGGCTATTGGATCTGCTGGAGTGACCATTGACAAATACAGAATACACGTTCAAGTCGTCATATTCACGTTTGAAATTTGCTTCGTTGACGGCGTTCTCAAATGCCTCTTTCTTATGTCTCAAGCCTACTTCGTCACTTCTCCCTCTGCCTTTGCCATGCCACTCAGTTAAGAAATTGTAATAGAATGCCCACATGTCGTCAAGCGACTGCGGGGTGCGATGGAGGAGACACTGCAAATACCGACATAACTTGCTAAGCGGCATATCCGATCGGCTGCAGAAATCACGAAGCACATCGTAAATATGCTTTCCAGTTTTCCTGTGGGACGCGTTAACGGCGATTTCAGGGAAGCCCATAGGCGTCTTACATGGCGTGCCAGGCGACGTCCTAGGACAGGAGGAACACGAAATATTTGTCCCTCTAAATGACACACTATGCGGCAAGTAGCCTACAAGGCCGTCTTCTAAGAAGGATTGTAATGGTGATTTCACACCACAAGTAGGATGCTGGTCACAACGTTGGTCAGCCTTTTGGTCAGCCCGTTGCTTAGGTGTTTGGTTGGCACTTAGCTTGCACTCTTGGTTGCCACATTGGATAGAGTTGCACTGGAATGACGAGCCACCGATTTGGTTGCCGTACCAACAGTCTCTCCAACCGCCGAGCTCACTTTTGTAGTAGCATTGCTGATACAGGAATTGAAGCTGTTGGTGCAGCCGTTTGGCAATCTCATATAACAAACACAGCAACTGTACCATGGAATTAGGGTAGTACAATCTCAGTGAATTGTTGGAGAACTCAACGGCGTAGACACCGCCTGCGTGACCATTGCCCAGTATGGAAGTGAGGACGGGATACGCCTTCTCACACATGTCTGTCAAGGCTTTCACTGTGTCGGCATTAATGACATTTGACGGAGACGCTTCAATGGGCTGGATTGATTTCTTAGTTGTGTCGGTCTTATCTGCCACCGTGAATTCGGTGTCAATGTGCTGCTTGAATTTGTCGAATACGGGACTAAACGGGAAACCACAACACCATGAAAGCATTTCGTAGATGGAACATGGAACTCTGGGTGAGTCTAAATGAGTGTGGTGGCATACTTCGAAGTAATAATGCAGATATGAGTAAAGTGATTCCATTATACTCTCTCCTTCGACGACATCTATTTGTAGGTTATCGGCATCGTCAGGACGGACAGATGAAACGTCAAACGGCTTACTAGCAATAAACAAATTATGTGCTTTATTGACGAGATGAGTGTAAATATTACTACCAGTGAAACCTTTTTTGTGATTCAATTCACCGCTGTCGGCATTGTCGCTAAGAGTGACATCGTAACCGTTTTCACGGAAGAATTCTTTATGTAAGCTGCGAGCTTGTTTTGTGGAAGTGTACATTTTATACTTTCGCCATGCACTATCATCTTTTTCAAGATGCCCTGCAAGTTCACCTAACGTTTCCCGTATGATGGGAACTATGGTGAGACACGCCTTGGCGCAGCGCTCGCCGTCCGGCGTCAGCTTCTCTTTGGGAGGAGCGGCAGGCAGAGGTTCAGTCCACTTATCGATCCGCTCAGCGCCATCATAAACGTTTATGTAGCACTTGGACAACACATCGGTCAGCGCCGTCATTCCGTCCTTGAGGGACTGTAACAGGGCAGTGGACTCTTCGCCGAACTGTTTAGGTGTTAGGTCATTAAGCTTGGATTTTAGGTTGTGTAGGTTAGTGGTGAACGTGGGATCGAAGTGTTTAGAGTTACCGAGTTCCTCGAACATCTTGTGAACAAGCAAGTAGATTAATTTAACATGACTGCGAATTCCAGTCTTACGAACTAAAAGAGTTTTTACGTGGTCCGTGAGAACCGTTATAACTACGCTGGCGTTGGTAGATAATACGCTCACGTCGTCATGCTTGTGAAGCCTGCCGACAATGCTTTCCATCTTCTTCATGAACCCCTTGGCGCCTCTGTCCGCGTCCGCGGTGATTTTGGCCGGCAGTCCGTTGAGCTCCGTCTGGCATTTCTCGGCGAAGGCTTCCAGCTGGGCCTTCATGAACTTGACGTATTTCGCGCGGAGGTCCTGGGTGATGGCGGATTGCGCGATTTTTACTCGGTCGACGACGTATGCCCAAAGGCCGGAGATTGTTTTCTTGCCGGCTTCTCCGGCGTCCTCATTGAGGAATTTGAACATGTCTTGTATTGCGCTGTCCAGCGTTTTACTTTGCAGTTCGCTAAGTTTTACTCTAATTCCTTCCAGTTGTTTATTGATGTTATCTGCTCTAAACTGCTCCATGCTGTATTTCACGTGTTCACATCTGTTGGAGATCTCAACGCATAGAAGGCTGAGGCTGGCAGTTACCGCATCGTATTGTTTTTCGGCTTCATCCTGGATGTCGCCTATTTTGGACAGAGCCTCTTTCACCTTTGCTTCAATGTTCTTGATCGCCTTGGGGAGTTCGTTGCCATCGCCTGAAGTCTCTTTTAGTTCACCGTTCGAAAGGTCGGTCAGACTATCTTGGTCAACATGGCGTTGATAAGTCGCCAGAGTGGTAGGCTTACTTTGCAAGTTAACAACCATACCTTTATCCGGCAACAGCTTCTCTATTTCATTCGCTAAGTCAGTGGAAATGGCGCCGGGGAGATCGGGATTGGTTGATAATGACAATTCACCTAATTTTGTCTTCACCTCATTGAGGTCATGTAACGTCCATTCAATATACTTGCCAAGCTGCTTGTTACTCGACGTGGCCTCCTGAAGCACCTGTTGAAGCGTAGTTCTAAGTGTACCTAAAGTCTTCGTATTACTATCTAGATGCCTCTGCAAAGCTTGAACACCTGGACCTGACTCGCTTTGCCAGGCTTCATATTTCGCTACTGTCATACCCTCCTGCAACGCCTGTCCAAACGTCTGGAGGTATTCCCTAATGCCTCCTTTAATCCCATTTTTCACCTCTAACAAATCCATCATAAGCTGACTGTTCATTGTGTTTACAGCCTTCAACGCCTTCTTCAGTTCATCTTGAGCGTTCTTTTTAGCCTCCTCCCCTGCCTTGTGGAGCTCAACAGCCTGCTCCTTCAACAGGAGCGCCGCGGTTTCCAAATTGTACTTATTCATTGCTGTGCCCGTGTCGTTATTAATTTGGTTTTTAATCTCACGCATCTTCACTTCCACATCGCTTACAACTTCCGACGCCTTTTTCATCCACTGCTCCAGATCTTTGACATATTGCACTAGAGTATTGTTAATATCCACAAGCTTATCCTTAATTTTCCGAACGTCAGATTTTAATTTCTCAACAAGCTTCTCAACATCCTCCTTTATTCTTGTATTAATCGCTGCTCCAGCCGCTCTCAGCGCACTCTCAACAGACTTCTCCAACGCCTTCCTATCTTGTTCCTGCAACCTATGAATCCTGTCTAATTCACCACGCTGATACGCAATACTATCTTTAGCACTATTAACATTACGTTTCAAGTCATCTGACAAATCGCTAACGTGTGCGCTATTTTGTTCAATATTATCGATAAAGTCCTCTGCCTGCTTGAGACACTCCGTCACACTCTTGTCAATTGCACCTACAGAAGAATTATTTTCTTGAATTTTACTTACCTCTCCTTGAAGCTTAGTCATCTGTCCCTGCAACTTAATTATAATTTCACTCACCTTATTGTTCGACTCCCTCACACCCTCATTATACCTGTTCACCCCCTGGACCACTGCTTGAATCGCCTTATTAAAACCTTCTTTGCCGGAGTGTTTATTGGCTTCAAGAAGCCTTATAGCTTCACTAATTTCATTACTATGTAAGCCTAATTTAGGCTGAATGTTACTTAAAACACCATGAAGGAAAGACATCACCCCGTCGCAGAGCCTGTCAAGGTCGGAGTACACAATGCCAGTGCCGGTGTAATTACCATTACTGTAGCCGAGAAATTTTTCGAGGCCTGTGCAGAGGTTATTTAATAATGTTGTTGAAGGATTATTTTAGGCACATTTTCAGGGCGATTTGGGGGAATTTGGGGAAAGGCGATTTTAGGTGAAGGAGGCAGCGAGGCAGCGAGGGAGGTGGGTGGACAAGGTGAGGGAGGTGAAGGGGCGAGAGAGGGCGATGAAGGCGGAAGATGGGTTGAGGTAAGGCGGTTTTGGGAGGTGGAGGGGGAAGGTGGAAAATGAGGATTTGGGTGGAGGACGCCGACGGAGGAGGTGATGGAAGGGGGTGAAGGTAGGGAGCGAAGCTACCAGTGAAGGAGGGAGGTGGTTGAGTGGGTGGGTGATTAGGTGGTTGAGTGGGTGGGTGATTAGGTGAGTGAGTGAGTGAGTGATTAGGTGAGTGAGTGAGAGGGTGAGTGATTAGGTGGGTGGGTGAGTGGGTGATACACAGATCACACGTGAAGGCACGATTATGGTGAGAAGTACTTGACGTTGGCGAGTGCCCTGACGCGTGCGGCGGCGAGTAGCGACTGCGCGGCGATGCGGTGGCTTGCGGGTGAGCGCAGGTGGGAGCGTATCCGCAGGACGTCTATGCGGACGACGGTGATGTGCAGCAGGTACAGGAGCGACAGCGACCAGAGGGCTACGAGAGTCCATATGAATTTCTTTCTTACTGCTAAGAAGAAATCATCGATTGCGGTGAGGAAGTCTCCCAGTAATTTGGAATTTAATATATCATCAAGGGCTTTACAGAAATTGTTACACTTCTTCGTGCGCCTGTAGGCATCTTCACTATACGTGAACCCGTACTCATAAAGAAGAGGCAAAACGCCTCGACACTTTGTAATTGAGCCGCAACCACAGGGATTGCTGCCGTGCTTACCCACTCGGCAGTCATTACTGTTAAGGCATCCTCCGCAACCCGAGTCATAACATGATATGCCACAGAATGCTTTCTTAATTTGCTCGAGAAATGTCTGAATTTGTGGACAAACGTGGACCAACCATATAAGATATTTACCTGCGTGTTTTGGTGATAACGTGGTGTAAGCAGTAGAGTTGAGTGGTTGTATGAAACTGCCGCAATTTTGGTCATTACAACCAAGTAGGTATTTGAGATCACGCTCGTTGTCATCAGGATCATGTTGATCATGAGACGAGCGCTTATACAGATTGCAACACGGATCGAGAAGTGCCACGGCATCAGTATATTCACAGGACACAGTATTTTGTATTTCTTTACAAATGGCATTTTGCATAGGATCTGATGGTTGGCCAATCGACGACATTGTCTTCCACTTATTTGTAAGTTGATAATAAAACGAAAACACGTCAGCAAACGTTTTAGGCGTGCCACCAACAAGGCATGAAAGATATGAATAAAGTTCGCGGAAAATGCCATTTTTGCCTAGCATTTTGCTTAGCACGTTGCATAGCTCCTTGCCTGTGCGTTTGGTTCCTGAGAAAGCCCTGAAGCCGAGTGGCGTTAAACATGGCATCTTACTTGAACCGGTGGAGCACGACGTACATTTGGCTTTGCAGCCCACTGAACCCAGCTGATGAGGCAAGTGACCGGGAAGAGTGTCAGTGAAGTAGGACATTAATGGCGATGTAGGTTGGCACTCAGGTTCGGGCGTTATATGCTTTTCGCATTGCCAATTGGGTGACGGTACACCTTTGCCGTACTGGCATTGTTCCCAGCCATTGTACCTAGCGCCGATCGTGCATTGGGTATGTAAAAATTGTAGCACAGGGAACACTCTGCGGAGGATGTCGAGAAGCATGTCGAGACAATCGTCGCCATTCTCAGGATATTTCATTTGCAGAACGTTACTACAATAGTCACTGGCATACGTGGTTTGGGCATCACCATAACCAACAATGGTGTTGAGCAGGTCATGGGATATGTATGTGACATCTTTTAGAAGAGTAACTAAATTCATGTATGAAAAGGCAGATGGATACGCATCAATCGACAATTGGGTTACGGGGATTTTGTCATACGGTTCATCATTAAGCCCATTGGGCTTATCAAATTTCGTCTTAATAGCATCAAGCAGTCTGCCATATGCACGGTTAAATCTGACGCCACTAAGCCATATAAGCATATCAAAAATACTACACGGTGATTTAGGCGCAGGGTGAATAGTCAAGTGACATACTTTATTGTATTCTGTAAGGTGACGGTAAAGACACGTTAGGAGGTTCATGACGTTGAAGTTTTCGTTGGTTCTATTTGGCTTACAAGTTTGAAGGTGTTTATTCATGGCGGCGTCTGGGATTACTGCCTTAAGAAGCTCTCGGAGAATCTTCTCACCCGTCATGCTCGTCTTACATTGGGAGTCACCTTCCTTGGAGTCTTCTTTTTTGGCGACCAGAAATCCGCAACGCTGTAGGAATTGGCCGAGGGGATTTTCCTTGTCGCCATTTGTCTCACAGAGCGTTTTGTTCTTCCAAGAATATTTGGAAGGATCTTCGCAGTTTGTATAAATCTCATTCACATCGCGGCTTATAGTTCTCAAGGCTGTCAGTAAAACCTTAGCACACCTTGCTTCATCACCCTCACTGAGGCCACTCCACTTGAGTCCGCTGTACCTGTTCACGTACTGTTTGCCCAGTTCGTCCGCCAGTCGCTTCGCTCCAGCGGTGAGCGCGTCGAGCAGCTCAGGGTGCTGGTGGCCGTTGAACTGCTTGGGGGTTAGCAGTGAAAGCGCATCGTTAAGTGCGGCTAGGTCAGAAGTAAACGTGTGGTCGAAGTGATACAATTTATCTTTGTGAGAGTTTTTTAGGTTAGTGAGTAAAGTGTCCAGTTGCTGTTTGAGGCGGTCGACTTGGGGGGGAGTGGGACTGGGAGGAGGTGTAGAGAAGGATTTCATCGAGATACCATTGCAGAGTACCGGAAAAATCCGTGAATTTCTTGTGATATTGTGAACTTTCAGAAACCGTCCGATTAGCTGTTTCCTGCAAATCTTGTAGCTTGTTATTCGTAGTGAGAGTTCCAATCTTGGGAAACGCTCCGCCGTAAATTTTAGGCATAAGGCCTTTAAGGCCTGTTTTTTTGTCGGTTTCTATTATTTTTTCTATATAAGATTTTTGTTGCTCGACGAGAGTTTTGAGGGCATTTAGGTCTGCGATGCGTTCGGTTGTGAAGAGTTTTCTCACCTCGGAGGTGAGGGTTTTGAAAGCATCTTCGGTAATATGGGCGACATTATTTTTGAGATCTTCTATGGCTTCTTTCAGCTCTTTTCGGGTTTTATTGTATGCATCTACTAAGTCGCTGATGGACTTTGTCAATGCTCTCTTAGCGTCGTCCACTATATCGGTGATATTTTCCATTTGCTTGTAGAGTCGCTTTCTCAACTCCTCAATCAGACCATCCGCTTCCTTTCTCCTCTCATGAACCTTGCCTCCTTCTGAATCTTTTCTAACATCATCCAGTTTCTGAATAACGTTCTGAATATCATCCAAATTATAAACCATCGAGCCCTCAACGCTCTCATTTTTCAAAAGCCCACCAAGCTCATAAATTCTCCTCTTCGCTTCCGCCAATGCTGTCTCAATTTTCTCACCTGGACTCTTTTGGTTGTCTTCAAATTGCTCTTTTATGTTCTCCACCTTCTTTATAGCCGGCTCCAGGTAAAGGCCAATCATTGACGCTCTAGAGAACGATCCGAGAGTTTTCCATGTTTGCTTAGCGGCGAAGTGGAGAGCGGGGAGGGTGGCTCGAATCGCGAACTCGAGATAGTGTTTATGAGCCTTATCCTTGTCTAATCTGTCTATTCCATCTTCTTTCTCAATCGCCGTGGCTACCTTTTCAGCATCAATATGCTTTTTTTCTTTCATCTTCTCTCCAAGCTCCTTGGCAAATGATTCCAGACCGTTTCTTACAGCGTCGATATATCCTTGAACAGTGCCGTTTTTCTCGATATGTTTCGTGGCAGCTTCACAGCCTGGATTAATGATTTTGGCTGTTTCTAGTGCTCCAGTAATGCACTTCTTAATTGCATTACGCAATGACGGATCAATTTCAAAGTTGCCAGTCAGCTCAGTACTCTTACCCTTAATATACCTCTGAAGCCTACCATTAACAACAGTATTATCATTCAGGATATCGTCCAACCACACATACAAAACGTTTTCCTTAAACGTCTGCTCCTGTTTGAAAACATCCGCATACTCCTTCATTCCTGAAACAATCTTATTTACGCCGGAGCTAGTCCATATTGATCCTTCACCTTTAATGTCCTTAACAAGTCTCTTGACCCTCTTTTCAAGCTCCTTCCAATTTTTGTCTATGCTCTCACTGTTAGTGTCCTGAACACCTTGTTTCAAGTTCGCAAAGCTCTCCTGAGCCTTTGTAACTAAATCAGTAAGTGTCACTTTGGTAGTGTATAATTGTTCATAAATGGTAGTAATTTCCTGCTTAATGTCTTCGAACTTCCCTAAAATTACATTTCGGTAAGTCCCGTCACCATTCCCTAACCAACCCTCAAGAAGCTCTTTTGCATCCTTAATCGTTTCTTTAACCCTCTCCAGGTGACCATCTTTAGTTATACTCACGTTTCTAATACCCTTCCATATTTTCTCGAATTCTTCCGTCAACTGCTCCTCAACCCTTCTCGCTTCTTCAGCAATCTCCGATTGGATATACTCCTCTTGTTTTAATAATTCGTCATCAACAGCCTGCACCTGGGTCAGCAACTCAGGATTTCCCGCAGACCGAATCAGCACCTCAACCGACTTCTGTATCGGCTCTACTTTGTGCGCTATCTGTGTTCTAAGTGATGTGTCTAATTCACTAATATTATTAGTTTCAAGTTTGTGAAGGTCTCCTGTAATGTCTCCCAGCGTCTTGGTCCACTCGTACAGTTGGTCTTTAAGCGGCCGCTCTTGCTGACTTGCAATATGATGATAGTATTGTCCACCTGCATCAGATGATAATTTATCAATCAACTTACCTAATTCCGCAGTCACTCCTCTTGTCTTCTCCCCCACCTGCGCACCATGTCTGTTCAACCACTCACTTACCTTAGCCACGGCGGCCTGGAAGGCCTCACGGCCTTTGCCTACAGCAGTATGTAAAGTGGTAATAACACTATTAATATCATTATTGTCATTATATTTTGTAACGTTATCATCATCCTTCACCCCACCAAGAACTCCATGAAGGAAAGACATCACCCCGTCGCAGAGCCTGTCAAGGTCCGAGTACACAATTCCCTCTCCGGTGTAATTACCATTACTAAGGCCGAGAAATTTTTCGAGGCCTGTGCAGAGGTTATTTAATAATGTTGTTGAAGGATTATTTTAGGCACATTTTGAGGGCGATTTGAGGGATTTTGGGGAAAGGCGATTTTAGGTGAAGGAGGCAGTGAGGGAGGTGGGTGGACAGGGTGAGGGAGGTGACGGGGCGAAAGAGGGCGACGAGGGAGGAAGATGGGTTGAGGAGAGGGGATTTCGGAGGTCAAAGGAATTTTTTGGAAAATGAGTGTTTGGGTGAAGGACGCCGACGGAGGAGGTGATGGAGGAGAAGGTGAGGGAGGGAGCGAAGCGACAAGTGAAGGAGGAGGTGAGTGAGTGGGTGAGTGGGTGATTATGTGAGTGAGTGAGTATGTGGGTGAGTGGGTGGGTGAGTGAGTGGGTGGTTGGGTGGGTGAGTGGTTGAGTGAGTATGTGGGTGAGTGGGTGGGTGAGTGAGTGAGTGGGTGATTAGGTGAGTGAGTGGTTGAGTGGGTGGTTGAGTGAGTGGTTGAGTAGGTGGGTGAGTGAGTGGTTGAGTGGGTGGGTGGTTGAGTGGTGAGTGGGTGGTTGAGTGGGTGAGTGGGTGAGTGGGTGGTTGAGTGGTTGAGTGGGTGAGTGGTTGAGTGATTAGGTGAGTGAGTGAGTGGTTGAGTGAGTGAGTGAGTGAGTTGGTGGGTGAGTGGTTGAGTGAGTATGTGGGTGAGTGGGTGGGTGAGTGAGTGGGTGGTTGGGTGGGTGAGTGGTTGAGTGAGTATGTGGGTGAGTGGGTGGGTGAGTGAGTGAGTGGGTGATTAGGTGAGTGAGTGGTTGAGTGGGTGGTTGAGTGAGTGGTTGAGTAGGTGGGTGAGTGGGTGGGTGAGTGGTTGAGTGAGTATGTGGGTGAGTGGGTGGGTGAGTGAGTGAGTGGGTGATTAGGTGAGTGAGTGGTTGAGTGGGTGGTTGAGTGAGTGGTTGAGTAGGTGGGTGAGTGAGTGGTTGAGTGGGTGGGTGGTTGAGTGGTTGAGTGGGTGGTTGAGTGGGTGAGTGGTTGAGTGGGTGAGTGAGTGGTTTAGTGGGTGGTTGAGTGAGTGGTTGAGTAGGTGGGTGAGTGAGTGGTTGAGTGGGTGGGTGGTTGAGTGGTTGAGTGGGTGGTTGAGTGGGTGAGTGGTTGAGTGGGTGAGTGAGTGGTTTAGTGGGTGGTTGAGTGGGTGGTTGAGTGGGTGAGTGGGTGAGTGGGTGGTTGAGTAGGTGAGTGGGTGAGTGGGTGAGTGAGTGGTTGAGTGGGTGGGTGGTTGAGTGGGTGGGTGAGTGGGTGAGTGGGTGAGTGGGTGGTTGAGTAGGTGGTTGAGTAGGTGGGTGAGTGGTTGAGTGAGTGATTAGGTGAGTGAGTGAGTGGGTGAGTGGGTGAGTGGGTGGTTGAGTAGGTGGTTGAGTAGGTGGGTGAGTGGTTGAGTGAGTGATTAGGTGAGTGAGTGAGTGGGTGAGTGGGTGGGTGAGTGAGTGAGTGGGTGATTAGGTGAGTGGGTGGTTGAGTGGTTGAGTGGGTGAGTGGTTGAGTGATTAGGTGAGTGAGTGAGTGGTTGAGTGAGTGAGTGAGTGAGTTGGTGGGTGAGTGGTTGAGTGAGTATGTGGGTGAGTGGGTGGGTGAGTGAGTGGGTGGTTGGGTGGGTGAGTGAGTGAGTGGGTGATTAGGTGAGTGAGTGGTTGAGTGGGTGGTTGAGTGAGTGGTTGAGTAGGTGGGTGAGTGAGTGGTTGAGTGGGTGGGTGGTTGAGTGGTTGAGTGGGTGGTTGAGTGGGTGAGTGGTTGAGTGGGTGAGTGAGTGGTTTAGTGGGTGGTTGAGTGGGTGGTTGAGTGGTTGAGTGGGTGAGTGGGTGGGTGAGTGGTTGAGTGAGTATGTGGGTGAGTGGGTGGGTGAGTGAGTGAGTGGGTGATTAGGTGAGTGAGTGGTTGAGTGGGTGGTTGAGTGAGTGGTTGAGTAGGTGGGTGAGTGAGTGGTTGAGTGGGTGGGTGGTTGAGTGGTTGAGTGGGTGGTTGAGTGGGTGAGTGGTTGAGTGGGTGAGTGAGTGGTTTAGTGGGTGGTTGAGTGGGTGGTTGAGTGGGTGAGTGGGTGAGTGGGTGGTTGAGTAGGTGAGTGGGTGAGTGGGTGAGTGAGTGGTTGAGTGGGTGGGTGGTTGAGTGGGTGGGTGAGTGGGTGAGTGGGTGAGTGGGTGGTTGAGTAGGTGGTTGAGTAGGTGGGTGAGTGGTTGAGTGAGTGATTAGGTGAGTGAGTGAGTGGGTGAGTGGGTGAGTGGGTGGTTGAGTAGGTGGTTGAGTAGGTGGGTGAGTGGTTGAGTGAGTGATTAGGTGAGTGAGTGAGTGGGTGAGTGAGTGATACACAGATCACACGTGAAGGCACGATTATGGTGAGAAGTACTTGACGTTGGCAATTTTCCCAACCTTTGCAACGGCGAGGAGGGACTGTGCGGCGATGCGGTGGCTTGAGGGTGATCTCAGGTGCGAGCGTATCCTCAGGACGTCGAGGCGGACGACGGTGATGTGCAGCAGGTAGAGCAAAGAGAGGGACCAGAGGGCTAGCAGTGTCCATATGAAATTCTTCCTGACTGTGAACATGAATTCGTCGATGGCCTTTAAAAATCTTGACAATGCTCCGGATTTCAATATGTCTTCAAGTGCTTTGCAGAATTGAGAACATTGTTTCCTGCTGCTGTTTGAAGCATCCGGGAACGTTAATCCGAATCGATAGAATGTGGGAGACACTCCTTTGCAGTCGACCATTGATCGACAACCGCAGGGCTTATTACCATGCTTGCCCCCTCGGCAGGCAGCGCTGTTAAGACACGGCGAACACCCAGAGTCAACACATGAAATATTACAGAATGCCTGCTTCAACTCCTCGAAAAATCTAACGAGTTGGTTGGCACAGCCAAGTATCCACGACAAATATTTGTCGGCGTGTTTTGGCGCAAAGCAGTAATACGCAACAGAGTTTAATGGGCGCATGAAATAACCGCAATCTTGTTTACCACAACCAACAAAATAGCTGAGGTCACGGTCCACATTGGTCTCGTGCATAAAGTGCGATGAGGATTCATACATATATTTGCATGGATCAAGTAACGACACAGCATCACTATGATCGCAGCCCACGGTAGCCGTGATTTTGTCGGCAAGGGCCTGTTGGATGGAGTGTGATGATTTGTTATTTTAGGCATGTTATTCCATCTCCTTACCAGGCTGTAATAGAAAGCAAACACATCAGGTAACGTCATAGGTGCACGGTTGAGAAGGCAAGTGAGTGGCGCGTAGAGTTTTGTGAACACGCCATCAGCACCGACCAACTCGCCCAGCACTTCACACAGGTCTCTCCCTGTATGCGTACTGTTCGAGAACGCTCTGAAGCCGAGGGGAGGAAGGCACGGCATCCCAGGCGGAGATTTGGCGCAAGTGTTGCACGATGATTTGCAACCAACAGAGGTTACATCATGAGGCAAATGACCATGTAAGCTATCGTTTATGTAAGACATAAGTGGAGAGGTTGGTTGGCAATTTGGTTTGGTGCTTGCCTGGCAATTTGCTTGGCACGTTGGTTCATCAGTAACATGCTCGTTACACGACCATTTGGACGACCTGATATCCTTGCCGTAGTAGCAGTCGCGCCAGCCACCGTGCTTATCACGTAGGCTACACTGAGTATGCAAGAATGTAAGGACGGGGAACATTCTACGTAGGATATCAAGCAACATGTCAAGGCACTCGGCGCCGGAGGCAGGATATTTCAGGCTGAGGGAGTTGCTAGGGAACTCACACGCGTAAAACGTTTCATCATCACCATGCCCAACGACGCCAGTCAGCAGTGAGTACGCGTGCGATGTAACATGTTCAAGTGCAGAATGTATTTCACCATCTGTAAACTGTTGTGGATAGGCATTCATAGGCTTCACGATTTTCTGAGAAGGATCTGTCTCACTTGGCACTTCGAACATAGTCGTAATCTGCTGCTTAAGTTTTTCATAAATGGGGTTATGCGGAAGGCCGGACAGCCATAGGGACATTTCGAATACGCTACACGGTGACCTGGGTTTGTCAATGTGAGTAAGGTGGCAGATGTCGAAGTATTCATTAAGGTAATCACGAAGCCTATGGATGATTCCGGTTTCCTCGACAAAATCGACGGCTATATCTTCAGTACCGGAACGGAGAGCGGAAAGTGATTGATTACTGGTAACGAACAAATTATGTTTATTATTCATAAGATTTGTGAGAATGCGGCTACCTTTGTACTCTGGCTTATGGTTCAACTCGCCGTGCTCCGCACCAACAGGAAGAGCAGAGTCATAGCCGTTGTCACGGAAAAAAAGAGCGTGTAAACTGGATTTGGGAACCGAATTGTTATAAATGTTATTAAGTTTCCATCCAGTGCTTGTGTCATCCAGTTTCTCCTTGAGCTGCGTTAATGCTTCATATACGGTGGGCGTAAGGGTCAAGGAGATTTTTGCGTACTTTTCTTTTTCCTCCTGGCCGATGGTTTGCCAATTAATTTCACGCTCCGAATACGTCGATATGTAAGTGTTGCCAAGCTCTTCGATGAGGCCCGAGAAGCCTTTCTTTAAAGCGTCGACAATAAAAGGGTTCTCTGCTTCGCCAATTATTAAAGGGTTAAGCTTGCTAAGCTCATTTTCGAGCGACTCTGAATTTTCCATAAATGTCTGGTTGAAGTGCTGCGATGTTATGAGCTCTGCCAGCATTTTCTGCAATGCATCTTTCGATGCCTCAAATTTTCTGAAATCTTTACTGAAGTCTGTGTGCTTTTGGTAATCATGAAAGAACTTTTTAAAACTTCCATGTAATTTTACCACCGCCTGGCTGAGTGGAGATTTTTCTTGTGAAAACTTATTTTCAATGTCCTTAATACCTCTGATTGATTTAGGGTGTGTAATAAAATGTTCTTCAAATTTAGACATAAACCCCTTGAAGCCTAGCGTTAAGTCATCTGCAATCTCTTTTGGTAGAGGCTTTAATTCCTCCTCTACCTTATCGGAAAATGCCGTCAGCAGAGTCTGTATGGAGTTCACATACCGTTTCCGTGCGTGGGTGGTGAGTTTGGCTTCGGCGTCCGCGGCCTGCGCTTTAACGTGGTCCTCCAATGATTTTATTGTGGCTTTGCAGGTTGGTTCGGCGCCGGTTAGAAAGTATTCGGCCTCCTTTATGGCTCCGCCTAGATCAACGGTTTTCAGTTGCTCAAGGTCATACTTAATTCTCTTGATGTTATCCCTAACTAGTCTGGTAACTGTGAAATCATGGTCTTTAAAATACGTATTTTTCAAAAGTTGCAACTCGCTTTTGGATTGTTCGCCTTCGTGTTTGATAACTCTATAAAGCTCCGTGAGGTTGTCGGTGACTTTCTTAATATCTTCGTTTGCAAAGCCATGGAATTGGGCGATTGGTTTTAGAGCCTCCGTCACCTGCGTCCTGATTTCCTTGATCTTGTCTGGAAGGGCGCCTGCAAGGTTGTCGATGTCACCGGTCACGGTGGATTGGGTTACTTGCAGTTTGTATTTGGTGAAACTTGTAGTTCCTTGAAGCGTGACTTTTTTATTTTCTGGTTGTCCAGTCAGAGTGCCGTTCGCTGGATCATCTTTCAGCTGCTGCTCGAGCACGTCTTCGCCACCACCACTGCTGGTGGCGCTTGCTATCTGGCCGAGTTGGAGCTTCTGGTGGGTCTCGTGGAATTGGGACATGAGGCTGGGGCCAAGAGTATAATTGTTTTGACCGAGAGCTCCATTTGTAGGGAAGTTCTGCTTTAGCTCCACCTCCACAGCCTTGTCATGCCTGTAGGTGGCAAGTTGAATCTTCTGATTTGCGACGTACCCTTTAGACCTGCCGGAGGATTCTCTGGCTGCTTCTTCAAGCTCCCTATGCAGCGTCGTCGCTTTCGTGTAAGCCTCGTCCACCTTCTTGATTTTGTAGACACTGGAGCTGTCTTCGTAACCGGCAAGCAATTTGATTTGTTCGGCCAACTGCGTCGCTGTGGCGTGGACGGAATGTAGAATAATTTGGACGGCTTCTTTTAGATAACCTTTATTAGTAAATTCCATCCCGGTTTTTACCAAGACACCTTCAATCGCCCCAACTATACCATTAATAAACTCATCTCTCCCATAACGCACAGATGGATTGTTCTTAATCTTCTCACCAAGCTTCGTGTGAAAGTTATTGATGCAATCGTAAACAGCCTTAATATTTTCATTAACTTTGTCATTTTGGCCGCCATCGCCACGCGGTTCCGTAAATTTCATTTCGATGCCGTAATTACCATTCTTAATTTTATTCTTGATTGCTTCCGCGACATCATTAGTATGGCTATCCTTAATCCCACCTGTTCCACTGGCTAACTTATCCGTGTGAAACTCAAAAACACTTGTACCCAAACCGTTGGGCTGGGAGGCATACGAATCAATTGCACCTTTAAGAATGTCATTCGTTTTCAAAATATCATCAATCCATTTCTGTACTATGCCTTCAAATCCCTGGTCCTTGAACTTTTTAACATAATCCTTAGTCACGTGAGTCACAAATCCATCAAGACCTTCACCATTCTTAATTTTATCAACTTCCTTATTAATCGCTTTTAGAACACTCTTCACATGCTGCGTCAACGCATTCCTAATCCCACTTTCCAACACCCCCAAATCATCCTTCACATTCTTCTCCAACTTTGTTCCCAATGCTTTAATCGCCCGCTTGATATTCTCCTTGACATTATATAAATCCTCCTTTAATTTCCCATCCATCGTTTTCACGGCCTCGAGGGCTGATTTGACTTTCTCTCCAACAAATTTCTTTGCATCTTCGCCAGCTCCGTAAAGCATCGTTACTGCAGTCTTAATCTGCTCTAAAGCTTGCTTGATTTTATATGGCTGCGTAACTGAATCCTTTTCGTTAACCTCTTTCAATATTGATTCCACTCTTCCTAACGCACTGTTCACTGCTGCCTCCGCTTTGCTAATCCACTGTCCCAACTCCTTTATATATTTCTCCAGCTCCTGAGCAATCTTCTTCAGCTGGTCTAAGATTTTCTGCACTTTTTGCTTTAAGTCGCGGACCATTTTTGTCACAACCTCACTTATGTTCGTATTCACACAATCTTTTGCCGCGGCAAGGACGCTCTGAATCTTCTCCGTCGTCTCCTGCAACTCCGCAGCCTCCGCCTCACGCACCTTCTCAAGCCTCTTCGTCTCATGTGCCATCGTACTATGGACGTGCTTAATTGTAACGCGCAAACTACTATTAAGAGCTTTAATCGCATCTTTGTAGCTATTGTTAACGTCTAAGTCATTAGTGAAGTGCTCAGCTTTCTGCTTATATTCCGCCAGCGTCTTGTCCACCAACTCCTCCGCTTGGCAAATTTTCATGGCATCATCTGCGTCAGAATTTTTCCCTAATATTTCACTTACCGTTTTCTTGAGAATCTTCATGTCTTTTTCTAAGCCTTGAATTCTGCTCTTGATCTTCTCATTCGACGCCTTGACTTCCTTATTATACCTTTCCACGTGAACACTCACCTTAGGAAAGGCCGTGCAGAAACCATCGTGACCTGAATGCAAATTAGGCTGTAAAGTGTTCTTAACAAGTGAATCAATGAATCCCTTACCCGTTTCGTAAGGTTGTTTATCGTGGACATCTTTAAGCACGGAATGCCAAAACGCCATCACCCCGTCGCACAGCCTGTCGAGGTCCGAGTACACGATACCCTCGCCGGTGTAATTACCATTACTAAGGCCGAGAAATTTTTCGAGGCCTGTGCAGAGGTTATTTAATAATGTTGTTGAAGGATTATTTTAGGCACATTTTGAGGGCGATTTGGGGGAATTTGAGAAAAGGCGATTTTAGGTCAAGGAGGCAGTGAGGGAGAGGGAGGTGGGTGGACAGGGTGAGGGAAGTGAAGGGGCGAAAGAGGGCGATGACGGAGGAAGAGGGGTTGAGGTAAGGGGATTTTAGGGGTGGAGGGGGAAAGGTGGAAAAAGAGGATTTGGGTGAAGGACGCCGACGGAGGAGGTGAGGGAGGAGGGAGGCAGGGAGCGAAGCGACCAGTGAAAGAGGAAGGTGAGTGAGTGAGTGAGTGAGTGAGTATGTGAGTATGTGAGTGAGTTGGGTGAGTATGTGGGTGAGTGAGTTGGGTGGGTGAGTGAGTGGGTGGTTGAGTGGGTGAGTGAGTTGGGTGAAGGCACGATTATGGTGAGAAGTACTTGACGTTGGCAATTTTCCCAACCTTTGCAACGGCGAGGAGCGACTGCGCGGCGATGCGGTGGCTTGAGGGCGAGCGCAGGTGGGAGCGTATCCTCAGGACGTCGAGGCGGACGACGGCGATGTGCAGCAGGTACAGGAGCGACAGCGACCAGAGGGCTAACAAGAGGTATGAGAAGGGTGTACGAATTGCCCAGATGAAGTTGTCGATCACTCGGAATAAATTTGTAAAATGTGTGGATCTAACCACAGCGCTTAGTTGAGTGTGAAGGTCCGTGCACCACTTTCGGTATTTGCCATTCTTCAGAATTTGAGAATTGCCAAATGTTAGCCCGTAGGTGTGCAATGTGCTTAGTACACCATCACAACTTACTAATGATGTACATTGACAGTCGAATCCGACGCCGTGCTGACCCGGCTCACAAAGACATCTGGAACATCCAAAGGCTTCACAATTGATGTTTTCGAAGTCTTTTAGTAGTGCTTTCAATTGATCCCATAAATTCCATGTTAAATGTACTACCCATCTTAGGTACAAATTGACCTGCTTCTCAGGGAATGTATGATTGGAGTGCAGACCGAGGGGTTGCAGGTAACCTGCGCACTGCATATTTGCATTGTAGCATACGTCCCTTGTTTGAAGCATAAGGCTGGACATATCTGAGTGCGTGATTTCATTCGACCTAGTGGCAGAGTGGTCATGATGGGAATGATATAGATTTTTCAGCGCATCGCTAAGGTGGGAGATATTGAAATTGTCGTGAAAGCCGTTTGACAGTGGAAAAGCAAGATGTATGGCTTTTTCAAAGGACAGTTTGTATGATTTGTCATGAACATACTTAGCGTGCTTACCCGATTCCCACCTTTCGAAAAGGTGACAGAAAAACGACAGCATCTCGTCCAGACATCTGGGCGGATACGGCGTAATTGACGTAAGTAATCTTGCTAAAGTCGGCAAAAGTGAATCCGCATTTTTACACAAGCGCTCAAGTGTATAGCAAATATCCTTGCCTGTGCCTTGTATTGATGCGGTATGCGATAAATTCCCGAAGCCCATAGGCGTTATACACTGCTGACCTGGTGAGGTCCCAGGACAAGTGGAGCATTTAGATGAACAACCGACGGATGTCAATTTATGAGGCAAATGTCCAGGCAGAGCGTCCATGAAATGGGCCTGCAGCGGCGATTTTGGTTGGCACTTTGCTTTGGTGTTTGCCTGGTCAGTTGGTTTGTCATTTGGTTGAGTCTTTGGTTGTGTATTTGAGTGATCGTTACATGACCACTGATATCCCTGGATGCCCCTGCCGTACGAGCAGTCTCGCCACCCATTGCCTTGGGATGCAGTAAATTGACACTGGATGTATATGAAATTCAGCGACATATAAAGTCTCTGGATTATGTTTCGCATGATATCAAGCAGCTGATTGACGTCTGATGGATAGTGAAATTGGCCGCGGTTATTGGAGAAGTCTACAGAATATGGGTACCTTGCGCTCACCGCGCCGTGGCCATGACCCTGCACGGTGACTAAGAATCTATATGCATATGTACATAGTTGTGATATGGGTTTTAGCTGCAGCGTGAATTCTATACGTTTGATGTCGACGTGATCTTTGAACGAACTTTTAACAGAGTCACCGAAATGCTGTTCGAGCGTTTCAAAGTCTTTTGTGTACTGAAGCCCGCAGAACCACACGGCTATGTCACGAACAGTGCAAGGTGTGCTAGCGCCTTGGTATATAGTGAGCTGGGAAGCTTTGCAGTATAAGGCGAGTATGTTGCTGAGTTGGTTTAGGATACTATTTTTGTTTCCAGTGAGTAGAGGCGTAAGTTTCTTTACAATCTCCTCACCGGTTGTGTCATCTTTATTTTTCAACTCTCCGTTCTGGTTATCATATTGCGTGGCTACTCTGTAGTCACATTTCTGGAAGAATTCTCCCAAACTTTCTGCGTTTAGATTTATCTGATCCGTATCCCAACCATCACTATCAACCCCCTCGACCAACTCATGCAAACTATCTACAATAGTGCTGATTATGCTCATGAACACTCTCGCGCAGTTGTTATCGAAGCCTTTCTCGTCCATCCAGCGCTCATCGGAGTATCTACTAACATATGCATAATTTAATTGGGTGTCGAACTGATACATTGAATCTTTGACTATGTTAAGTAGCTTGGGATTGTTCCCCTGACCGAACTCAGTGGAGTTGAGTCCGTTAACAGAGTCTCTAAGTGATTGTAATTTCTCTCTAGAAGTGCGATCGAAGTTATATGTTTTAGGCTTATTGTGTAATAGGTGAATGAGTAATTTATCCAGTTTTTCCTGGATTTCGTGGACCTTATTGGATTGATCATTTGGCGTCGCCTCCCTACTCGGAGGTTTAGGCGGAGTCTTCACTTGGCCTTCAATATACGCCAAAATGATGTCGACATACGTTTTAAATGCCTCCGCCAAAGGTACGAATTTCTTGAGCTCTTGTGATTTTTCAGCTGGCGGAGATACAACAGTACTCAAGGCGTCAAGCTTATTTTGGCCAGGTGAAACATCACGACCATCTGAATCCAAATCGCCTTTAAGCCGCTTCAAGAATCCCTTCACCCCTGTTATTTTATCCTCCCTAATAATCTTTTCAATCTCCCTCAACTGCGCCGCGACGACGCCCTGCAGCTGCGTGAGCTCTGCCTGTTTCTGCTTCGCGAAGAGGGATTGGACTTGGTGGGTGAGGGTGGAGAAGGCGGAGGAGACTGTACGGGTTACTGTTGATTCAAGAGCTTTAACAGCTTGAGTAGCCTGCTGATGCGCGGTTGTTAAAGCGACACCGACGGAAGAAATGTATTCACTTAATTGCTGGTTGGCCGTAATTACTACCCGTTCAATATTTATAACATCGCTCTGCAGCGTTTGAAATTCTTGCTTCAATTTCTCCATCTTTCTCGCCGCTTCTCCTTTAGCATTATCTATTGCTGTTGGCAAATTCTCAAGATCGTTGATTGATTCCGACAGTTTCTGCATTGCCCGGTAGTAAGTGGTCTTTGTGCCGTCGCCGCTACCGGATCGTTGAGTATTGTAGCCGTCAAGAGTAGTAATATCGATTTCAGTATTCTCTCCACTACCTTTAAAACCGTTACCAAACTTCTCTTTAATATGCTTAATTTTTGTTCTAAGCAAGCCTTCGAGTTTTCCGTCTTTCGTAGTCTGGATGTAATAATTGTTCATGAAAGAACCGTTAAACTCCATTTTTTGCTGAGCATCTTTAATGACCTCCCTAAGCTTATTCTCTATGTCTGTTTTGAGGTTTTGAACAAGTTGGAGGGTGTCTGCTTTCGGAATAGTTGTGGGATATGGATGATGTTCATGAGCAAGATAATCGTAAACACCCTGCAGCGCCTTCATAACACTTTGAGATGTTTGAGGCTGCACTAAGCTGAACAAATCTTTTATCTTACTACCCTCTGCCAGATTATTTTGAAGGCCTGTGGCAGCAATATTCGTGCCCGAAACTGTGTATGACTTTTTGGCCGCTATAATGATAGCATCAACCTGTTTGTCGATGTAACCATCAATCTGCAGTTTTATATCGCCTCGCACTCGCTCCAAATCCGTGCGCAGGTAGTCATCCAATTTCGTAAGCTCCGCCAAAACACTCCCAGGAGATCCATCATTTTCACCGACTGCTGCTTCAACCGCTTTTTTCACCGTTACCAATTTATCTTGGTACAACTTCTCCAATTTCTCAACAGCTCTCTCAATGGCGTCAACCTCCCTCTCAAGTTGGCATTTACTGTTTTCATCTATGCCTGCACCGGGCTTGCTCGCTTTAAGAGCTGCAGCTTTTTGTTGCAGGCCGTCGAATTTTGAAGTAATAACATCTATATAATGTGCCTTAAAGTTCTGGCTGGAGTCACCAAGCAACTCAGCAACATCTTCTTTAGCGTCCTGTGCAGCCTGCTTGATGGCCTTTATGTGTTTTTGTTTTTCATTTATCAGGTTCTCAAGACTTTGTTCTATTGCTTTGCGCCCGTTTTCCAACCGTTCGTGCACCCTTCTAGATTCTGTCTCAACAGCTTTATTAATCTTCTCCTTCTGCTGCAACAATGCCTTGTCGACATTGTCAGCCCATTGCTTCACCTGCCTGTCGTCGCAGGATGATTGGAACGTTTCTACGGCCTGCGTCACCAACTCTACGGAAAGCGTTAATTTATTACTAAGAATGTCATCTAACTGTGAATTCGCAAGATCAACACCTAAGGCCGCATTACTGCACTCAGTCGCCTTTGGCACCAATACATTATTCAACTGATCACTAAGTGACATAGTATGCATATTATTAAATTCATTATTTAGTTCGCTAATTGTGGCTATGAGTGAAGTTAATTGTGTCTTGACGTCTTCCGTTTTTGTAGATAAAACACTCTCATACCCCTCCAGCCCCGCCTGCACAATCCCAATGGCCTGCGCAAATCCTGAAACACCACGGCCCGTACCTATTTTACCTTTAAAGTCACTAATTGTCCTTGTAATATCAGGAAAATAATGATGTAAAAGATCTCTACTGTTATTAAGACATTGGAGGAGAAAGGACATCACCCCGTCACACAGCCTGTCGAGGTCCGAGTACACGATGCCGGAGCCATCGTAGCCTTTGGAAGTTTCTTGGTAACCAAGAAAATTTTCTAAGCCAGAACACAGGTTATTTAATAATGTTGTTGAAGGAATATTTTAGGCACATTTCTAGGGCGATTTGGGGGAATTTGAAGAAAGGCGATTTTAGGTCAAGGAGGCAGCGAGTGAGGTGGGTGGACAAGGCGAGGGAGGTGAAGGGGCGAAAGAGGGCGATGAAAGAGGAAGATGGGTGGAGGTAAGGCGATTTTGGAGGTGGAGGGGGAAGGTGGAAAACGAGGATTTGGGCGAAGGACGCCGACGGAGGAGGTGATGGAGGCAGGGAGCGAAGCGACCAGTGAAAGAGGGAGGTGAGTGGTTAAGTGGTGAGTGGGTGAGTGGGTGGGTGAGTGAGTGGTTAGGTGAGTGGGTGAGTGGTTGAGTGGGTGTGTGAGTGGTTGAGTGAGTGGTTGAGTGGTTGAGTGGGTGGTTGAGTGGGTGAGTGAGTGGTTAGGTGAGTGGGTGAGTGAGTGGTTAGGTGAGTGGGTGGGTGGTTGAGTGGGTGGTTGAGTGGGTGAGTGGGTGATTAGGTGAGTGGTTGAGTGGTTGAGTAGGTGGTTGAGTGAGTATGTGGGTGAGTGAGTGGGTGGTTGAGTGAGTGGTTGAGTGGTTGAGTGGGTGGTTAGGTGAGTGAGTGGGTGGTTAGGTGAGTGGGTGGGTGGTTGAGTGGGTGAGTGGGTGATTAGGTGAGTGGTTGAGTGATACACAGATCACACGTGAAGGCACGATTATGGTGAGAAGTACTTGACGTTGGCGAGTGCCCTGACGCGTGCGGCGGCGAGTAGCGACTGCGCGGCGATGCGGTGGCTTGCGGGTGATCTCAGGTGTGAGCGTATCCTCAGGACGTCGAGGCGGACGACGGTGATGTGCAGCAGGTACAGGAGCGACAGCGACCAGAGGGCCACAAGAGTCCAGATGAATTTGGCTCTGATCTCGAAAAGGAATTGTGGGATAGTTTTGTAAGCTAATGTGAAAAGGACGTTCTTTTCATCTAGCAGATGTTTCAATGCGTTGCATAGGTCCTTACACGTACGCTTATTTTTAGCATCATTAGCACCGCTCAGGTTGTATGGGCTCTGTAGTGTGAAACCGTATTTGGCCAAGGTTGGGCGGCTATAGGGACAATTAGCTATTGATTTGCAGGCATTGGAATGAACAGACGAATGCGATGCTACACATGTTTTAACACAACTTTTGTCGTAGCATCTGGTGCCCGGCTTGTTGCACTTGATACAGCAGTCATCGTAGAGCTTCTTTAACAAATCATAGAATGTTTCAGTTAAGTACACTATCCAGGAAAGATATTTGTCGGCATTCTTGTCTGTGAATACAAGCCATGTGTTAAAGCCCATAGGCTGCAGATAACGACCGCAGGTGGCCTTTGACGGTGCCGCATTGTCGCAATTAACTAGACACAACAATGCGCCATTGGTATGTGTATTGCTAGACGGTGCGGTGTTTTGAAATATTGAAAAAACGTTTAATTGCGGATATGCCTCACCGAAGTACGCCTTGTTGACAGCCTTGTCAAATGCGTCTTTTCTGTGCGTACCACTGTTAGCCCACCCATTAAGGAAATTAAAGTAGAATGCAAACATGTCGCCCAGCGTCTGAGGATGCCGTTGCAACAGACATGTGAGGAAGGAGCACAGGATGCTAAGGGGACTACGTGCTTTGCCACACAGCTTCTCAAGAATCCCCTTGAGGTATTCGCCGTTTTTTGTATGTGAAGCTGCAACACTTATGTCACCAAAGCCCATAGGTGTTTTGCAAGGAAGACCTCTGTGTTTTCCAAGTGAACATTCCATTCCACAGCCTAATTTTGTGAGCTGATGTGGCAGGAAACCAGGAAGACCATCTTCGAGGAATGATTGTAATGGTGATTTAATGCCGCACTTAGGGTGTTGGTTACATATTTGGTCAGCCGTTTGGTTGGCATTTTGGGTAGCACTTTGCTTGGCATTTTGGTCACCACTTAGCTTACACTCTTGGTTGGGACACTGCTTCTCATTACAGTTCCACGCTGAGCCGCCGACGCCCCGGCCATACCAGCAGTCACGCCATGATATAGCGTCGTACCTACGCGTGCACTGAACATGTAGGAGAGATAATTGATTATACATTCTAAATAAGAGGTCTGTTAGTAAGCTAAAGCACTGTGCTGGACTACCTGGGTACGATAAATTATCTGTGTTTGTATTAAATTCGCAGGCGTAACGGCCATCAGGATGTCCGTGGCCCAAGATGCCGATTAATAGTTCTTCGGCATGGTCACATACCGATCTGACTAGTTCGACCACGTTGGTAGGTTGGATAGTTGCAGTGGCAACCAGCCTAAGTTTCATGGGATCAATTTTTGAATAATCATCATTTTTCTGGTCATCAGGCTTCTGGAACAATGTTTTAACGTATGCATCAACTTTACTAAACATGTGATTGTAACGGAAACCAGCACACCATGTAAGCATTTGATAGACATTAGAAGGATGCTTGGTTGCGGATAAAGTGGCATGGTGGGAAACTTGGTAATACGTTTTTAGGTGAGTGAAGAGTTCAGAGATTGTCTCAGTGAGCCTAAACTTATGAGTCAGGGACACAAATTCACCAGCAAGTTTTGAATCAATAAAGCCACAATGGCAATCAGTCTTATTCCGTAACTCACCGTCCTGTCTTTCGTCGGTAGTGGAAACAATAAAACCGCAATCCATAAGCAAACGACCGATTTCCGTGCGCTCATTTATTGTATCACTCTTTGATGTAACTTCGCACTTACGTTTGAGTTCAGATAAATCACTGTTTAGGATGGAGAAAACGGAGAGGCATATCTTGGAGACATTTCCACTCTCCTCCGTTGGATTATTCGAAAAATGTTCCTGCCATGTGATTTCCTCACCCCCCTCATACTTGTTCACGTACCCCTTCTCCAGCTGCTCGACGAACGGCACCAGGCTCTTGGGGAAAGCGTCGAGCACGGGGTACGCGGGGTTGGCGAATGCTGTGGAGTGGAGTGATAGGACGGACGTCTTGAGTGTTTGCAGCATTCTGGGGACCGCGTGGGTGAAGTGTTTTTGCTCGCGCAGGTGGGAGAGGAGGGTGGAGAGATGGGAGTGGATGGACTGGAGCTTTCCAGCATACTCTCCATTCACCTTAGGTGTGGATGCGAAGTTTTGCATCATATCTTTTGTAACGTAATCGTATATGTGTCCTGAATAGTTCTGAAACTTCTGTAACAAGGATGTTAATTTTTCGGAATGCGTAGAACCTTCGGGAAGTGAATGTACGGCGTTCATAAGTTCAGTCAGCTTATTACCCGGAACTGAGATAATTGACACATCGGCCTGCACGCCGCTCAGTATTTTGAGAAATCCTTTCAATCCGCTCTTCAAATCCTTGTCAATTATGCCTTTGACGGTCTTCAGCTGTCTTGAAACCAAAGTTCCCAAAGCTTTTAGGTCCGCAAGTTTCTGGTCCGCGAACAATTGTTTGACTTCGTACGTGACTCTGGCGAATGCAGCTTCGACGTCCGCCAGAAGTTGGGATTTGAGGTGTGAGACTGCTTGGTTAGTCTTTTCTGCGGCGTCAGATATTGCATGTTTGACGCCATCTATAGCGTGGCTTATTGTTTCATCAGCTTGAGACACTACATCAGCAAGTTCAATCAGCTTGTCTCGCACTTTATCTCTCAACTTGTCCATTTTCAAGTCAACCTCTTTTATATTCTTGTTTATAATACCATCGTGTTCCTTGTCTTCGCTTTCTTTTATGAGCTTATACAACTCCTCAATGACGCTCTGCAAGCCGTTAGTGTCACTGTCTATTTTCTCCTGAATTGAGCCTCCACGGTCCAGCGTTTTGCCTAAAAAGGTGCCAAGTGACTCGATTTTTGAAACGACACGATCCAACGCTGTTTGAATGTTGTGGCCGTAGTCGTGCGGTCGTACGTCTTCGTCTTTATTGTCGTTAAATTGCTTGTTAATCTCCGCAACCTTATCCATGGCCTCATTCACGTTGCCTATGTCTGTTCCAGAATTATCATCGCCGGTGCACGACCCAATTTGCCAACCTGCCTGCCTCGCAGCACCAACGAGTTCACATATTGTGTAGCGAACGGCGCGGAAGAGATCTGTATCAGTGTTGCCTGAGGAGGGGGCGCTCATAAGTAGACCATCGTTACCGCTCATGTGAAGCGTCTTGACTAACTCAGAGGCGAACTGATTGATTTGGATTTCAGTTTTAATCTTCTCACCAATCTTATTTGCAAATCCCTTGGAAACGAGGTGAACGGTTCTAACGTGGTCACTAATGTTGGTAGTGCTGGTGAGCAGAGATTGTGCTCCTTGAACGGCCTCATTAATTTGTTGACTAAGCTGCTTCGCAATCAAACCAGCAAGTTTCTTCGTTCTTGTTGAATTCTCTTCTCGCTTACTGTTCCACCCATTAAATGGTTCTTTAAAATTATTCCTTTTTTTAAAATACGCGTCAAGCCATGCATTCACTACTCCGTTCTCCCTCAAAATGTCATCAATCCACTCCTCAACTATGTCACTAAACGTATTTTCTCCGGGCCCCTCTTTTTTGAACTTTTCCGCATACGTCCCGAATTTCGAAACCATTTCACGAAGTATCCCAGCTTTCTGACCTCCAGGATCACTAGCGCTCGCACCATTAAGTTCCTTAACAAAATTCTGCATCTTGGTTTTAAGATTGTCCCAATCACTATATATACTATTCGGAGGTACTCCGCCTTGCTTCCCAACGTTTTGTTGAATCGCCACAAAGCTCTGCTGCGCACTGCTGACCAAGTCATCAAGCTCCTTTTTCTTGGCGCACAAAATCACGTAGCTTTCATCAACCTTCTGTTTTATAGCATCGATGTAAAAACGAATGTCACCTTTTCGTTCGCAATTCAGTTTCACTAATTCTTCCTTAGTATCTTCCAAATTCTTTTTGATGCCTCCGAAGTGTGCCGTATTGAATCCAGCAAGCTCTTTTAATTTTACGCCGATTCCGTTCAACGTTCCTGCTACCATACCTCGGTGCTCTTCGCATTTTAATTTCATTTGCCTCTTCAACTTCTTCTCTTCTTCATCCAACGTCCTGTCGACAGCCTTCACTTGCTCCACATATGCCTTCTCCTTGGCGGAGTCCTGCAACAGCCATACGGCTTCTGTAATATCATTAATCTCACTCATTATTTTCTGTTTTAAGCTGGAATCAAATTTACTTACGTAATCACCTTCAAGTTTCTTAACCTCAGTCTCAACCTCCTTGAGCACATTTGTCCAGTCACTCAGCTGTTCGTGAAGTGGCTTAGTGTCACTAATTGAAACGCGTTTTCTATATTCCTCATCAATTTTCTTGTCTTTCAACTCACCTAATTGCGTAATCACATCGCCCGTCTTCCTGCCGAGATGCATCTCATACCTATTAAGCCATGCACATACCTCCTTAAGTTGCCCAGCAAGCAGAGCAGCGCCTTTACCTACAGAATTTTGTAGATACTGGAGAATGCCATCTAATTCAGACGAAACGCTGTATTTTGTCACATTTTCATCACCCTTAACACTCTCAAGAACACCATGAAGGAAAGACATCACCCCGTCACACAGCCTGTCAAGGTCCGAGTACACAATCCCTTCTCCGGTGTAATTACCATTATCGTAGCCGAGAAATTTTTCGAGGCCTGTACAAAGGTTATTTAATAATGTTGTTGAAGGAATATTTTAGGCACATTTTTAGGGCGATTTGGGGGAGTTTAGGGAAAGGCGAATTTAGGTCAAGGAGGCAGCGAGGGGGTGAGGGAGGTGGGTGGACAGGGTGAGGGAGGTGAAGGGGCGAAAGAGGGCGATGAGGGAGGAAGAGGGGATGAGGTGAGGCGGTTTTGGGGGTGGAGGGAGAAGGTGGAAAAAGAGGATTTGAGTGAAGGACGCCGACGGAGGAGGTGATGGAGGGGGTGAAGGCAGGGAGCGAAGCGACCAGTGAGAGAGGGAGGTGAGTGAGTGGTTGAGTGAGTGGGTGAGTGAGTGGGTGGGTGAGTATGTGGTTGGGTGGTTGGGTGGGTGGTTGAGTGAGTGGGTGAGTGAGTGAGTGGGTGGTTGAGTGGTTGGGTGGTTGAGTGAGTGGGTGAGTATGCGAGTGAGTGGGTGGGTGATACACAGATCACACGTGAAGGCACGATTATGGTGAGAAGTACTTGACGTTGGCGAGTGCGCTGACGCGTGCGGCGGCGAGGAGCGACTGGGCGGCGATGCGGTGGCTTGAGGGTGACCTAAGGTGGGAGCGTATCCTCAGGACGTCGAGGCGGACGACGGCGATGTGCAGCAGGTACAGGAGCGAGAGCGACCAGAGGGCTAACAAAAGGAAAGTGAAGAAGTTGAGACATGTTGAAGGATTATTTTAGGCACATTTTTTGGGCGTTTTGGGGGAATTTGGGGAAAGGCGATTTTAGGTCAAGGAGGCAGCGAGTGAGCCAGGGAGGTGGGTGGACAGGGCGAGGGAAGTGAAGGGGCGAAGAGGGCGATAAAGGGGGAAGATGGGTTGCGGAGAGGCGGTATTGGAGGTGGAGGGGAAAGGCGGAAAATGAGAATTTCGGGTGAAGGACGCCGACGGAGGAGGTGAGGGAGGGGGTGAGGGAGGAGGGAGCGAAGCGACCAGTGAAGAGGGAGGTGAGTGAGTGGGTGGGTGGGTGAGTGAGAGAGTATGTGGGTGAGTGAGTGGTTGAGTGAGTGGGTGAGTGAGTGGTGAGTGGTTGAGTGGGTGGGTGAGTGAGTGGGTGGTTGAGTGAGTATGTGAGTGGTTGAGTGAGTGGGTGAGTGGGTGGGTGATTAGGTGGGTGAGTGAGAGAGTATGTGGGTGAGTGAGTGGTTGAGTGAGTGGGTGAGTGAGTGGTGAGTGGTTGAGTGGGTGGTTGAGTGAGTGGGTGTGTGAGTATGTGAGTGGGTGTGTGAGTGAGTGGGTGGTTGAGTGGTTGAGTGAGTGGGTGGTTGAGTGGGTGGTTGAGTGGTTGAGTGGGTGGGTGACTATGTGGGTGGGTGGTTGAGTGGTTGAGTGGGTGGTTGAGTGGTTGAGTGAGTGGGTGAGTGGGTGGGTGAGTGGGTGGTTGAGTGGTTGAGTGGGTGGGTGATACACAGATCACACGTGAAGGCACGATTATGGTGAGAAGTACTTGACGTTGGCGAGTGCCCTGACGCGTGCGGCGGCGAGGAGGGACTGCGCGGCGATGCGGTGGCTTGAGGGTGATCTCAGGTGGGAGCGTATCCTCAGGACGTCGAGGCGGACGACGGCGATGTGCAGCAGGTACAGGAGCGACAGCGACCAGAGGGATAATAAGAGGAAATAAAATGGTTCTCTGATTTTCCATAGGAAGTTGGGAATAGTTTCGTGTACCAACTTGGCAAGTGCATGTGCTTTTGCTTCTGTTTTGTCCAAGGCCCTTTCTAGTGTTTGGCAGAAATCTTTGCACGTACGTCTCATATTGACGTCGTCATTTCCACTTAGGTTGTGTGGACTCTGCAATACGAAACCGTATTTGCATAACGTTGGCCTAGTGAGTGGGCAATTTGCAATTGATTTGCAGTCTTTGGTGTGATGTTTACCTTCGAGCGTTTTTATGTCTGCTGTCGAATCGGTGTATTTCACTGGACACGTTTTGGGACAGATTTTATCATGACATCTTGTCCCTGGTTTATCGCAATTGTTGCAACATTCATCGTATAATTTCTTGAGTAGATCATAGAACGTTTCTGTCAAGTACACAATCCACGAAAGGTATTTGTCGGCATTTTTGTTCGAGAACGTATTCCATATATTCATGCCCATAGGCTGTAGGTATCTACCACAGGCAATTTCAGAGTTTCCGTCATAGTCACACCGGTGGACACTAAACAGGTCACCTTTGAGATGTGTGCTTTTCTGGCCGGCGGACTTTGGAGTATGACTACTAGTCTTGAACATCGGAGTAACGTCGAGATCATCATACTGCTTATTGAAATAAGCCCTTTTTACCGACTCGTCGAATGCATCTTTCTGATGCTTCTTACGCATCGTGTCCTTATCATTCCAACCGTACAAATAACAGAAATAAAACGCAAACAGATCATCTAATGTTTGTGGCGTGCGTTGCGATAGACATGTTAAGAGACTGCACAGTTTAGTCAGAGGACTCTCTGAATCACCACAGAATTCTCTCAGAACATCTCGGAGATGCGCACCTGTTTTTGTATGCGATGATGTTGCGCCGATGTCACCGAAACCCATCGGAGTTTTGCATGGAATTCCTCTGTGATTAGACACAGTACACGTAGACTTGCACCCTGGCTTGGTTAATGTGAGAGGCAAAAAGCCCTGCAGTCCGTCTTCAAGGAATGATTGCAGCGGCGATTTTATGCCGCATTTGTAGTGTTGGTCAGCGTTTTGATTGGCCTTTTGGTCACACGTTTGGTTGTGCTTCTGGTCACAGTCTTGCTTAGGACATTGCATTGTGTTGCAGCTCCACGCTGACCCGGCAATTCCCTTGCCGTACCAACAATCACGCCAGCCACTACTGCCCGGGCCATTTTGGCACTGCTTAAATAGGAAAAGGATTTGTTCATTCAGTCTAAGACATATTTCTACGAGCATATCTAAACATTGATCTGTATCACTTGGATAAAATAAATCATCTGGGTTTGTTAGGAAGTCACACGCATAGATGCCGTCGGCATGACCTTGACCAAGGATGGATGTAAGGACGGAATGTGACAGGGTACAAACATCTGTGAGTGCGTCGGTGATTATGCGGGCTGATACATTTTTGTTTGCTGGAAGCGTCAGTTCGGAACCATCTATTTTGGCATAGTCCTCATCTTTACGCTTCTCAGGTTTCGTGAACAATGTTTTCACGTGCTGTTTTACTTTGCCAAACATAGCATTATGCGGTAAACCGGCGCACCACTGCAACATTTCGTTGACGTTACAAGGGTATCTAACACGTGCTGGAATATTGAGGTGGCAAGTTGCGTAATAATTTCCCACGTAACGGTGCAGGTATACAATAGAACCTTTGTGAATTTCATTGTACACTTTGTCGCGTCCGGTAAGAAGATCGTAAATTTTATTGCCCTTTACATCGTTGTGGTTTCGTAAGTGGCCATTTTGGTTCTCTTTCCCGGAGACCGTGTAACCGCATTGCTGGAGGAAATGGCCCAATTCACTTTTCATGTGGACCTTTAAATTACTCCAATCCCTCTCGGTGTCACATTTCTGTCTCAACGTTTTTAAGCCATGGTACAGAATTGCAAAAGATGTCAAACAGACTTTTGCGCCATGTTCACCGTCAGTCGTTAACTTTGTTTTGGGGGCGGCAGGAGCTGATTGGCTTGGTTGGTCAGCAGGAAGAGTTTCAGTCCATTTTGTTATCGGCGCCGAACCCTCATAAACGTTGACGTACGCTTTTTTGAGTTGTTCAGCCAGGCGCAACATTCCCTCCTTAAGTGTGTCCAACAGTTCGGGATTGCGTTTGTTAGTGAACTGCTTAGGATGGAAATCGCTAAGCGTGTCAGTAAGGTTATCAAGTTTCTCTTGGAATTCATGGTTGAAGTGCGATGTTTGCTTGAGCAAATTAAGCAAGGCATCAACACGGTGTTGAAGCTTCTCAACTTTTCCGGACTCGACGGTCCCCCTCTTCTCAGAGGGTTTATTTGGAACCGGAGTTTTCAGCTGGTCTTGGATATACCACAACATCGCATCTAAATACCATTGGAGGGTGTCGGAGAAATCTGTGAAATTTTTGGAGTATTGTGAACTTCGGGTAACTGTCTTCTTTGCAATGTTTGCCATCTCATCAAGTCTATTCGGATGAGGGGTGACACTACTCGGTGGAATTGGAAGCGCCCCGCCGTAGATTTCCTTCATGAGACCCTTGATTCCCGCCGCTCTGTCTGTATTAATAATTTCGGTAATCGCAACATTTTGGTCGGTGACTAACTTGTGTAAAGCCGTTAAGTGCGCCTTGTGTTGCTCTGAAAACATTTTTTGAATCTCTTCAGTTACTTTTTTAAAGGCCTTTTTGACTTCATCCGTGAGTTCATTCCCAAGGTCAGACACTCCCTTCTCAATTTCCTTATACGCTGTAGCTAATGCATCGCTAACTGATCTAATGCATGTTTTCAATTCTTGGTCTGCGTTTCTGACGAGCTCATAAATGAAATTAAATTTGTTATCAAGGTCATTTAACAACTCCTTCATTTTATCATCCGTTTCCTTTTTATTAGTGTCAATACTTCCTGTGTTATTCTTTTTCATATCATTAATACTTGAAAGAACGGCATCCAACTCATTGACCTTCGATTTAAGAATACCCTCACCCTGCTTTAGTATTGGATCTAGCTCCTTAATTTTTTTCATCGTATCCTCCAATGTTTTTTGAATATGTCTACCGTAACCTTTTCCAGTAAGGTCGACCTTAAACTCTTCGCCGATCTTTTCAACATTCTTAATAGCCTCCGTCAGATTGGCGATATTGGAGGCTTTGGCGAATGCGTCGATTTCCTTACCTAGTTTACCAGTAGCTGTGGAAATGGTGTTTAGCACAGTTCTCACCGCAGAAGCGATATCGCTATTATTAGTAGGTTCGGTTTCTAGTATTGCACCGGATTTCAATTGTTTCTCAATGAGTGTGACTATTCCTTCAACTTCAGTCTTTAGAGCTCCTCCGTTAAAATTTTCAAGGAACGCGTTGAGTGATTTCAAATTTTCATCGACTGTGGAATCAGTTTTAATCTGCTCTTTGGCCTTCGTGGCAATATTATTCATTGCAACCGTAATCTGCTGCTTTACTTCTTCAGTCACTTTAGCGACGGTTTCTACGCTGCTCTTATGTTCATCCTTAAGCTTATCCTGGATTCCATTAACGTACCAAGTAACAAATTCAGTTGCTCCATCACTGTTGTTGGCAACAATGTCTTCCACCCAGTCCCTAATAGTCTTCTCAAATTCCTCAAACGTCTTAACATACTTAGTTACTCCACTCTTAATCTGCTTTAGGCCATTGTGTGAAGATCCTTCACCATTCGCCTGGGTAACAAGCTGTGTGATCTGCTCCACTAAACCATTCCAATACTTACCTAGGACGCCTTCTCCAGATTTGTCACCTAGGAGTGTTTTAATATACCAAAAATACAGTTCCGCACCACTGACCAACCTGTCAAGTGCCATCTTATTTGCTGTTAATGCAGTGTGAGAATTCTCAACAAGAAGTCTTATATTGTCAAAATGCTTCAGAATAGGCAACTTATAAGTGTTATCGAATGCAGTGAGCAACTCCTTCCCCTCCTTGAGGGACACATGAATACTCTGCAAATGTATTTGATGAGCATTCCTCAAAGCGCCCACACTATCTAAAACCTTCCGCCATTCCACATCTACAGTTTTTTGCAGTGTTACGGTTTTCTCTCCAATCTCTTTCTCAAGCTTCTGCCTCTGATTGATCAACGTCTCATCAACCATGTTAACTTGCTCCCCGAAGGTCGCATCATTGGCCGCCTCTAGCAGCACCTCCACCGATTTCTGAATCGGCTCTATTTTGTGCGCTATCTGTGATGCTAATGTGTCGTCTAATTCACTAATATTATTATGTGTTATGTTGTGAAGGTCTCCCGCAATGTAACCGAGCGTCGCTCTCCACCCGTCCATCTGATCTTGAAGCTTCAAGCCTTGTCGACCCTTGACCTCTTCATAATATTGTCCACCTGCACCAGATGATAATTTATTAATCAACTCACCTAATTCCGTAGTCACTCCAGAAGTTAATGTGTCCACCTGCTCACCATGTTTTTTCAACCACTCACTTACCTGAGCCACGGCCTCCTCGAAGGCCTCACGGCCTTTACCTACATTAGTGTTAAGAAAGGAAATAACTGAAGTAATTTTATCACCATCTTTATCATAAGTTGTAACGTTATCATCATCCTTCACACTCTCAAGAACACCATGAAGGAAAGACATCACCCCGTCGCAGAGCCTGTCAAGGTCGGAGTACACGATGCCGGAGCCGGTGTAATTACCATTACTGTGGCCGAGAAATTTTTCGAGGCCTGTGCAGAGGTTATTTAATAATGTTATCAAAGGATTATTTTAGGCACATTTTGAGGGCGATTTGGGGGAATTTGGGGAAAGGCGATTTTAGGTCAAGGAGGCAGTGAGGGGGTGAGGGAGGACAGGGTGAGGGAGGTGAAGGGGCGAAAGAGGGCGACGGAGGAGGAAGATGGGTTGAGGTAAGGCGATTTAGGGGAGGAAAAGAACATGATGTTTAAAGAAGGACGCCGACGGAGGAGGTGATGGAGGGGATGACGAAGCGACCAGTGAAAAGGGAAGAGTGAGTATGTGAGTGGGTGAGTATGTAGTTGATGAGTGATTAGGTGAGTGAGTGAGTATGATGGTGATAAGGTTGATGGTTGAGTAATGATGGGTGAGTGGTTGAGTGGCGAGTGAGTGGGTTAGTGGTTAATGGGTGACTAAGTGATTGAGTGAGTTAGTAAGAGTGGTATGGGGTGGTTGAGTGGGTGGTTGAGGGGTGATTAGGTGGCAGGTGGGTGAGGGTGAAAGAGTGGGCGGGTGATTAGGTGGGTGGGTGGTTGAGTGAGTGAGTGGGTGAGTGGGTGAGTGGTTGAGTGGTTGGGTGGTTGAGTAGGTGGGTGAGTGGGTGGGTGAGTAGGTGTTAGGTGAGTGGGTGAGTGGGTGATACACAGATCACACGTGAAGGCACGATTATGGTGAGAAGTACTTGACGTTGGCGAGTGCCTTGACGCGTGCGGCGGCGAGGAGGGACTGCGCGGCGATGCGGTGCGATGAGGGTGATCTCAGGTGGGAGCGTATCCTCAGGACGTCGAGGCGGACGACGGCGATGTGCAGCAGGTAGAGCAAAGAGAGGGACCAGAGGGCTAACAAGAGGTAGGAGAAGGGTGTACGAATGGCCCAGATGAAATTGTCGATAGCTTTCAACCATGCTTCCATATGCTTCGATTTTTTAACCTGCTCTAGATGTTCCACTAAATCGTTGCATGTTTTCATGATGGCCAGGTGCCTAACGTTGCCATATGTGAACCCATATTTATATAATACAGGTAGCACAGCTTGGCAATGAACGACAGATTCGCAGCCACATTCTTGCCTACCATGTTTATTAGGGATGCATTTGTCTTCATGATGGCATCCTTGACAGCCGTAATCATGGCATGATATGGATAGCAATTCTTCAACAAGCTTGGTCAATAGGGTAACGGTCTGTTCAGTTACGTGAACCAACCATGCAAGGTGTTTATCGGCGTGCTTTGGAGTCAAAGTGTAGTATGCCGAACGGTTGAGTGGTCGGAGATAGTTGCCGCAGTTGTTTTCACCGCAGCCCAGAAGGTATTTGAGATCGGGATGTTCATTGAAGTTGTGGGATTTATGCGATTTGGAATTATACAATTCCAAGCAAGGATTAAGAAGCTTCTTAGCATCGTCAATGTCGCACGCTACTGTTTGTGTAACTTTATCACAGATGGCTTGCTGGATGGGATCCAGTTTTGCGGATGCCTGATCCATTTTGTGCCAATACCGTGGAAGTCTACACTGGAACGAGAATACATCAGGTAGAGTTCTAGGAGGGAGAGAAACAATGCTTGACATATGGGAATAGACCTTGGTAAGGACACCACTGTTACTACAGATATCGTCAAGCAATGAACATAAGTCTCTACCTCTACGCGTACTACCGGAGAAACTTCTGAACCCGAGTGGCGTCAAACATGGCATGTTACCTGTGCTCTTACTACACGTGGAACATACAGGTTTGCCTTTAATGGATGTGACGGTGTGAGGCAACATGCCTCTCAGGGCGTCAGTCAGGTATGAGTGCAGTGGAGAACTTATGCAACAGTCGCCGTTAGAAGATGGCAACTCGCCACCGTGTGGGCCGCACTGCCAGTCGGACGTTTGGACACCGTTACCAAATTTGCAGTCGGCCCAACCAAAACACGACTTATCGAGACGGCATTGACTAAGCAAAAATGTAAGCACAGGACACAATCTACTAAGTATGTCGTGCAGCATGTCAAAGCAACCGTTGGTGTTAGATGGGTAATATAAACCAAGCGTATTGGATAAATAATCACAACCGTAGTACGTGGAAGCGTCGCCGTATCCGGCAATTGTAAGTAACAAATGATATGTTGGAGTGAACATTGCTGGTAAGTGAAATGATGCCAACGCAGATATTATCTTCTTATGTGCGCCATCTTTCTCATCTTTAATCAAAGCATTACACTGGTTTCGGAGCTTATCGTAATATGTGTTGTACTGAAGGCTGCAAAGCCACGACAACATGTCGAACACTGAACATGGATATCTAGGTGAATTCAGTATGGTGTAGTGGCACACCCTGTTGTAAGTTTCTAGGTGAGCAAAAATATCTGTGATGGTTTCAATTAGGGGACTGCTATTGGACCTGGATGCAATAGAAACCGTGAACTGCGAAAGTTTTGTAATAATATTTTCAGCCGTCATACTGACTCTACATTGCGATTCGCCTTCTTTCGAATTGTCATCTTTGGCAATGTCAAAACCACATTGCTGGAGGAACAAACCAAGAAAGTTCTTTCCGTTAGCATCTGATTTACAGAGCTTTTTGCCTTGCCAGTGACTTTCACACTCGTATTTCAAGTTGGTAACATATTCGTAAATAGTGTTAAAAATCGTGAGACAGACCTTGGCGCCACACTTTCCATCATCTGTCAACTTCTCTTTTTGGTTGTCCATTTGGTTACCATTTTGCCCAGCATTTTGCTCAGCGCTTTGAGTCACCCACTGATCGATCGGCTGACACCCCTCGTAGGCGTTAATGTACGCCTTGCCGACTTCGCCCGCAAATGCTTTCACACCATCTTTGAGCACGTCCAGCGGCTGACTGATCGGGCCCGAAAAGCGTTCAGGTACCAACGACTCTACGGCATCGTTAAGTGATTTTACGTTATTGCAAAATGTGTTATCGAAATATTGTGACGTTTCAAAGTCGTCGAGTAATTTCTCGAGCGGCCTATGCAGTTTGTCAAAATTCGACGCAACGGATTTCGTGTCCGGTTGCCCTTTAACGGCATCCATAAATTGTTTTAAGTAGTCCGAAACATGTGATGCCGCTACGTGCAGTTCCAGATCCGTGTCAAAATCTTCGAACTGTTCGATTCCATTCTTCATATTCCCCAACAGGCCCTTAATTCCGGACGCCTTGTCCTCGTCGATGATCTTGGTCATGGCAAGACGGCGGGCGTCGACGAAGTTATTCAATTCGGTAAGCTCGCCAGTTTTTGACAAGGCATAGCGTTTTAAGGCTAAATTCTTGATGTCCTTTATTGCGCTTTCCACTTGTTTGCCGAGATACTTGTTTGTCTCCTCGATGGTAGAAGCGGCCAGCTTGGGAAGGGTATCGGAGAGGAGAGTGTTGACGGCTTGATTCAGTTGAACGATGCTTTCGCTTTGCAGTTCGCTAAACTGTTTCCTGATCTTGTTGAGCGCAGTGGCAATTTTGGTAGTTTTGAAATCATTTAACAATTTTTTCAAAGTACCTTCGTTGTATGGCTTCCCAGCTACTTGCTCGACTGCTGTGCAGAGGGCGTTGAGGCGTTCCCCTACCTCTTGGTGTTTTTGTAAAGCGTTTTCTTTGAGTTTTTCAATTTTGCTCAATGCTTTTCTGACCTGTGAATCAACGTTTGAAATAGCGCTTCTAAGGCTTCTTTCAGCCAAATCATAACCATAATAGTTTATATCGCTTATAGTTATGACACCCTCATTGCTCTTATCAATACCCTTAAGTGGCTTATCCGTCACCTTCTGAAGAGCGTCATCAACAGCTTTGGCCTCTACCTTTCCAAGTTTAGCAACGAGAGTTGAAGGATTTGTGAGAGATTTCTTTATTTCGCTGATATTCTGTTCCGCTGTCAAGGTTTTGATGTCTTCAGAGGCAGCAGAGGCTTTGGAAGAAATAGATGCAAGGACTGCTTTGACTGCATTTTCGAGCTCAAGGGTGTAGGCGGAAGGAGATATGGAACTATCTTGATTCTGGTTTATTGCCGCTACTATTTCACTCGCCTTAGCTGGTTGAACCTCGCTCGGAACTTTATCAAAAAAAGCTTTGATATTATTCAGTGTGGTTTTGACGTCTCCCTCTGCGGCAATGGGCTTCTGTCCAGCTCCCTTTACCATTTGACTTATCTTCTGCATACCGTTTTTGGTAGCCGCTGATATTTTCTTCCAATCTGGGTTGACATTTGCGCCGGTAACATGGAGATATATGATACTGGGTAATCCTGAATTCTGAACTGCGTCCTGAACCCATCTATCTACAGACCTATCGAAGTTCTTAATGTAATCGTCGACATATTGATGATACTTATTTACAACATGATTTGAACCACCATGTAGAGCATTCTTACTCTCCTCAACAATTTGCTCTGTAATCTTTGACACAAAATCTTCTACCGTGTTACGCACAGCGCCTATGGGTTGGCAAATTGCCTTAATCTTATCTTCTACCCTACTCATAGTCGCTCTTACAGCATCTCTAACTGCTACTAATTTTTCCTTGTAAACCTTCTCCAAGCATGGTATCTGTTTTGTAGCGTCACTTACCCATTTAACGATCCCACCATGAACAGCCTTTCCAGCACCGTAAAGTTCTTCAGCATGCTGCTTCAACTGTTCCGCAGCATCGGTAACACCCCTATGCTGATCACTCTTGTCCATTGTGTCATGCTTAACCACATTTAAAATAGATTCCACCTTGGTCACCGCAGCATCCACAATCTCCTTGGCCGTGTCGATCCATTTTTGCAACTCCTTAACGTACCCCCCCAACTTACTGTAAACATCACTAACCTGTCTCTGCATTGCTCTAATGTTTTTAGCCAACTTATTTTTAAGTTCTCTCATATGATCGGTCACCCTTTTGTCAACATTCTCTCTCAGCCTATTAAGCTTCTTTGTCACATGATCCCCCAACCCCCTCATATGAAACTCATCCCGTTTGGCCGATTTTCTAATCGTCGAAACTTCTTGCTTAATCTTCTCAAAATCATTTTTTAGCAGCTTACGCAGCGGTTCATCAAGCTTTTTAATGGCCTTTTGAATCTCGGTAACATTCTCATCTAAGCCTTGAGTTACCGTTCCATGCCATGTCCTGACATACTCATCATACTGATCAACTTCAGTGAACTTACCAATGGCTTCAATATTGTCATCAATCTGGTGTTTAAGCTGCTCTATAGTGGATTCTGAATGACCTATAACTGCATCATTTAAGCTCTTCATTTCATCCTCATACCTCTCCAGCCCATCCCGCACTCTCCCAATGGCCTTAGCAAAACCTGAAACACCATGGCCCTTACCTATTTTACTTTTCAATTCCTCTATCTTACCATCTATCTGAGGATAATAATGACTTAAAAGCTTTTGACTGCCCTTAAGGCATTCAAGGAGAAAGGACATCACCCCGTCGCAGAGCCTGTCAAGGTCCGAGTACACAATTCCCTCTCCGGTGTAATTACCATTACTGTGGCCGAGAAATTTTTCGAGGCCTGTGCAGAGGTTATTTAATAATATTGTTGAAGGATTATTTTAGGCACATTTTCAGGGCGATTTGGGGGAATTTGAGAAAAGGCGATTTTAGGTCAAGGAGGCAGCGAGTGAGGTGGGTGGACAGGGTGAGGGAAGTGAAGGGGCGAAAGAGGGCGATGACGGAGGAAGAGGGGTTGAGGTAAAACGATTAGGAAACAGAGGAAAAGTGGAAAATAAGGAATTTAAACGAAAGAACCGAACAAAGAAAAGAAAGAAAGGAAAATGAAGGATAAAAAATGAAAGGTTAAATAAGTATTAAATGGTCAAGTGGTCAGTAAGTGGGAAATGAAAGTGGGTGGTTGAGTAAGTCATTAAGTAAATATGTTAAGTAAATGCGTGGTGAGTAAGTAAGTTAAGAAATATGTAAGTGAGAAATGCATTAAAATGCGTGAATTGAAGTAAAAATATAAGTGGTAAGTAGATTAAGTGGAGTAAGTAATTAAATTAAGTAAATGGAAATGCATTAGATAAAAGTAAGTAGGTCAGTAAAGTAGAGTGAAATGGAGTAAATAGAGTAAGTAAAGTAAGTAAATGAATTAAGTAAATAAATGAATTGATAAGTGATGTGCATGAAGTAAATGCATTAAGTAAATGCGTAAATGAAATGGGTGAAATGCAGTAGATTAGAAGTAAGTAAATGAATTTAGATGCAAGTGAAACAAGTAGATTTAAAATAAATGTGTTAAAGTAAATTATGTAAAATATATAAGAAGTAAATTGAAAGTGGGTAAAATGGGTGAAATGATTAATATATAGAAATATATAAGTAAATTACCGTGAAGTGAAATGATTGTTAAAGTAGTTAAGTAAGTAAATTAAGTAAATGGGTTAAATGAAATGGAGTAAGTGAAATGAAGTAGAAATATAGAAATGGGTAAATGAGTAGATTGAAATCATTAAAGTGGTTAAATGAATTGAAGTAGAGCGATGAAATAGAGTGATTGAAGTAGTTGAAGTAAAATGAATTTAAGTAAAATGATAGTTAAATGGTTAAAATAGTTAAATGAATTGCGTGAAGTAAAGTAAAATGGTTAGAGTAGATTCAAATAAAGTAAAACAAGTAAGTAATTAGGTAGTTGAAAAAGTAAATTAGTAAGTAATTAAATGCAGTGATAAATGCGTTGAGTAGTTGAGTAGTGGTTGAGTAAGGTAGGAGGTGAAGAGTAGTGAAGTGGGTAGAGTGGTTCAGTAATTGGAAGTAGGTGAGTATGTGAGTGGTTGAGTGGGTGAGTGGGTGGTTGAGTGGTTGAGTGAGTGAGTGGGTGAGTGATACACAGATCACACGTGAAGGCACGATTATGGTGAGAAGTACTTGACGTTGGCGAGTGCCTTGACGCGTGCGGCGGCGAGGAGCGACTGGGCGGCGATGCGGTGGCTTGAGGGCGATCTCAGGTGGGAGCGTATCCTCAGGACGTCGAGTCGGACGACGGTGATGTGCAGCAGGTAGAGCAAAGAGAGGGACCAGAGGGCTAACAAGAGGTAGGAGAAGGGTTGTCTGATTTTCCAGAGAAATTCAGGTATGGTTTTATGAATCAACTGTGAGAGGACAGATCCGTCTGAGCACACCTTGGTGAGTTGGTCAATGAAGTTCTGACATGTCCTTTTGGGAACGCATTTATTTTCAACATATCCATCTAGGTGTTTTCTGTTACCGAACGTCAGGCCGCATTCGTATAGTGATGTCAGAGATTTTGGACACCGAATGATTGAGTTGCACGTTGCGGAGTGGTCAAATGTATCAACGTAACCGGATTTGAGAAGATTGCAAACGCCGTAAGCGCAACCGGTGATGCGACATTTCTTATGCTTAGCGGCACATATAGCATCACATTTTTTGCATAGCTGCGATAGTAAATCATAAAAATACTCAGTCAGGAAGACAATCCACGACAGATACAATCCTTTGTGTTTGGATGAGAACGTGGAATACGTGTCATGGCACAGCGTTGACACGTAAGCACCGCACGTGATGCCGGGGGTGTAACATGTATTTGCCGGGTCATGTATACTATGTAGGTCGCCGCGGTTATGATATAGAGTTTTGCCTGTGTTTGTATCTCCGTAGACAAAGAGTGAGTGGTCCTTGGATTTGAAAATGAGCGACACGTCGTTGAGACTATAAGGAGATTTGAAATTGGCTTCGTTGACAGCATCGTCGAATGCCACTTTCCTATGCGTATCACTTTGCTTTTCCCACCCGTTGAACAAATTGAAATAGAACGACAACAAATCGGCGACTGTTTTGGGGGCACTTGGAAGAACACATCTCAGTTGGCTGAGTAGCATAGTCAAGGGGGATGATTTTTTGCCAATGAACCTGCCAAGTATATCGCTAATATGCTGACCTGTGTGACTATGCGATGCGGTGATGCCGATTTCAGCGAAGCCCATTGGCGTTTTACATGGCATACCAGATGACGTCTTAGTGCACGTGAGACATGAAATGCCTCTGCCAGATGTTAGAACGTGAGGCAGGAAGCCTACTAGGCTATCTTCTAAGAAAGACTGTAATGGTGATTTCACACCACAAGTAGGATGTTGGTCACACGTTAGGTAAGCCTTTTGCCTTGCCTTTTGGTTACCGCTTTGGTTGGCATTTTGGCCAGCCTTTTGAGGACAGTCTAGGTTGGCACATTGGTTTGTGTTGCACTGCCATGATGAGCCGGCCACGTTTCTGCCGTAGTGACAGTCACGCCAGCCGCTCATCGCGGTCGTGTGATTACACTGATCGTACAGGAAATATAACTGCTGGTGGATACGTTTCAGGAAATCAAAGAGCATACAGACTAATGCGTTAAAGTGAGCGGGATAGGAAAAGCCTTGTGGATTAGTGTTGAAATCACAAGCATAAACTCCACCCGAGTGGCCGTATCCAAGGATTGCGATGAGTACGGCATGTGATTTGTGGCACACGTCTGTCAGGGTGTCTGAGAGTCCCATCGCTGTGATAGCTTTTGGATAGGCCTCCAAAGTGTCGTCAGCCACAAGCTTAATAGATGCGCCGTCATTCTCATCGTCTGCCGACGCTTCTTTCTTGGGTTTCTCAAATAGCTGAGGGAAACCGTTGAGTGTTAATTCGTGGTGAACTGGATTATAAGTGAGACCGCTAAGCCATGTGAGCATATCATAAATAGATGACGGATGCTTAGGCTTAGGGTGTACTACGAAGTGGCAACACCTGTAATAGTCATGGACGTGGTTGAATATACATTTAGTAATATCTACAATATTGAACGAAAATTTCTTTCCGTTTGGCTTACAGTGCTTAAGATGTTCGTTATCATGGGAGTTTTGAATCTCCGCATTGAGTTTACCAAGAATATCGCTACCCGTCATTTTGAGAGAACGTTGCAATTCTCCGTCCTGTTTGTCCTTGCCACTTGGGACTTTGTAACCGCATGACACGAAGAAATCTGCCAACAGATTCTCGTCGCCTTTAGTGGATGCGTATATTTGTCTCCCCCACCACGAAGCTCTCTCCGTGCATTGCTTGTGCAACTCAGTGAGATCGTCGCAATAGAACATCAAGATTGTCAAAAATATTTTTGCGGCATTTGTTCCCTCTCCGGTTATTTTATCGTCTTTCACCAGCTCGTCGGCAAACGGTATACCAGAGTACCTGTTGACATACGCCTTGTCGAGCTCCTTGACCAGAGGCGTGAAACCATTCTTCAGAGTCTCTAACTGGAACGGACTTTTGCCGTCGTTATGATTCGAAGGCTTTATTCTTTCCAGCTTGTTGTTCAGTGCGACCAGATTTTTGCTGAACTCAGAATTGAAGTGCTGTGAAGCCACAAGGCCTTCCAGCAAGTTTGTCAGAGGGTTCTGCGACGGCTTTATTTTCTTTACGTCTGACTCTGAATCTGATTGGTTGATTAGCGCACCGTAGAACCATGCGAATGCTTCGTTAAATTTCTCCGCGGCCTGGCTCAGCGGGGATTTTTGTCCTTTAGAGACCGTTTGCGGGACTCCCTTTATAGGGTCCAGTTTGGGGATCAAATGTGCTCCGCACTTGTTCATGAACCCCTTATATCCCTCTTTCAGATCGTTTTCTATCTGCACAGCCAAACCCCTCAACTCGTTCTGGACTCTCGCGGCAAAATACTGAATCGCCGTTTTGATGGAGGAGACGTAATGCTTTTTGGCCTGGGTGGTGAGCTTACTGGTTGTGTCCCTGACTTTTTCTTCGACTTGTTCCCTGAGTTTCGCGATGGTTTCTCTGCCTGCTGTGTCTGCTTGACCGGTGCCTTCTTGGAGAAACTTTTCGACGTCGTTGATTGCCTTCTTCAGATTCTCTTTTCTGAGAGACACAAGATTCTGATGCACCCTGTGCAAACTCTTCTCTTCATCTTTTAGGGTGGTACCGATTTTCTTTCTCAGCTCAGTTATTTTCTTTTTAGCGCTGTCGTCGCCGGTTTCTGCAAAACTCGTGATAGCTTGGCATAAACTGTTGAGATGCTTATTAACGTGATCTAACTGTTCTTTTGCTTGAGTATCGAGATTATCGATATTTTTTAATGCATTCGTAACTTCCCTTGAAATCTCGCCGATCGCCTCCGGCAGCTGGCCTTCGCCTTTCTCGCCGGTTAGTTGACCTGTCGACACTTTGTCTTGTTTAATAGACCTATCGTAAACTTTAAACTCCGTATCCTTAACCCTCTGTATTTTATCACCATTACTTCCACCACCATTGTCCTCTTCCGTCCCGATCTCCTGCTCCAGTATGCCGAGGATCCTGGCGTCATATTCGTACTTACGCCGCCCATCCTCGTCGTCGCCGGGGGGTATGGGTTGGACGGTGGTACGGGAGTTATCTTCCGTCGCCGTGCCAAGATCCTTCTCAAGCAGCTGCGCTACTGTAAGCGCGGCATTCACACTGGTGATGTCGCTGCCGGATCCGTCGTCATCGCCGGTGAACGAACCCACTGCTGCACCAGCTTTTTTCGCCACACCAATGAGTTGGTGTAGTGTGACTTGGATGGCATGAGTCAGAAAAAATGCGTTACCGGTTTCTCTACGTGTTTCGGTAATACCCTCCTGATTACTTCCGCCTGTCTCAACCTCCTTAGCTATATTGTCTGCAAGCGTATGACCATACCTACCTTCATCCGCCTTAATCTTTTGCGCAATCTCTTTAGCAAATAAATTGCACCCAACCTGAACAGCTTGAACATACTCTTCGATTTCCGTGCCTCCATCAGAAACGTCAGCAAGTAAAACAGCTTGACTGATTTCTGCTTCAAGTTTTTCTGTAATTCCCGTTGCGATTCTTTCGTTAAGCGCCTTATAAATTCCATGCAGATCGTCCAGCATCTTGTATGGCGCACTCAACCTGCTTTCGTTAGTGGTAACATACTGCCCAATGTAGCCCCCAACAGTCTTATCTTCATTCAATATTTCCACAATCCACTGTTTGACTATACCGTCAAATCCATGTTCATGTCGCTTGCTGAACTTCAAAGCATGCTCCTTAAAAACTCTAACCATCTGACTCAGACCATTTTGTGAAGTGCCGTTAATAATCTCCCCGACTCTTTTCTGAATATCCCCCAGCAACTGCTCCTTAACATACCTCTGCATCGCTCCCTTAATATTGTCCTTAGTAGTCTTCAATCCCTTTCTCACCGCCCTGTCCAAGACTAGAACCTGCTTAAGCGCCGCTCCAACATCCCTCTGAACGATCTCCTTAGCCTGATCGCCAGCCTCCCAAAGCGAATAAGCGTGCTGCCTAATCATGTTCGCCGCTGCTTTAAGCGCTATCTTATGTTTACCATTCTTATCAACCTCTTCCAATATTTTATCCACCTTCTCTCCCACCTCCTTCACAATTTTCTCCGCGTCCCTCATTCGCGTTTCTAAGTCGTTGGCGTACGTCTCAACACAACGATCAATTGTACGAATTTGATCCAAAATCTTATTGACCAATTTCTTTATTTCCGCGACGAGTTTCTCAACATCTTTTTTAATTTGCAAATTAATATTCTCTCCATGCTCCCTAAGCACGCTTTCAATTTTCTTCGCCATCTCATTGAACTCATTTTTTTCATGACTACACGCCCTGTCAAAACGGCCTCTCTCAATGTCAATGCGTTCTCTCGCTTTATTCACCTTCTCTTCTGTTTGGTCATTCAAATCCTTAATTTTGTCTTTTGCTTTAAGAATTGCACTATTAAATGCCCTAGCATGATCCTTACACCGCTGCACCATGTTACTGATTTTACTCTCAAAGCCATTAATTTGATCTGCAGTGGGCTCCGGGGGGGCGGGGTCTTGAACATTTTTATCTGGTTTTGGCAATATTGCTTTTACGCCAGTTAAGATGTTTGTCATTTGAGAATCTAAATCTGTGATCTTGCTCTTGACATCCCTATTCGAACGCTCCACTTCCCTATTATACCCCCCGACACCCTGCGCCACCTTTTCAATGACTCTCTTAAAACCCTCATGACCTGAACACAAATTCTCAAAAAGATTCTCAACCACACCATTTAAAGTATTTTTACCAACATTGTAAGGCTGTTTTGCGTGGACATCTTTAAGCACCCCGTGCAAGAACGCCATCACCCCGTCGCACAGCCTGTCAAGGTCCGAGTACACGATGCCGGAGCCGGTGTAATTACCATTACTGTGGCCGAGAAATTTTTCGAGGCCTGTGCAGAGGTTATTTAATAATGTTGTTGAAGGATAATTTTAGGCACATTTTGAGGGCGATTTGGGGGAATTTGGAGAAAGGCAATTTTAGGTCAAGGAGGCAGCGAGGGAGTGAGGGAGGTGGGTGGACAGGGTGAGGGAGGTGAAGGGGCGAAAGAGGGCGACGGAGGAGGAAGATGGGTTGAGGTAAGGCGGTTTCGGAGGTGGAGGGGGAAGGTGGGAAATGAAATTTTGTGAAGGACGCCGACGGATGATAAGAAGAAGGAAAGAAGAAAGCAATAGTAAAATAAGTAAATGAAATGATTAAGTGAATGTGGATTGGTGTGAAATGGAATTGAAGTGTTAAGTGTTGAGTAAGTGGTAAGTAAGTGAATTAATTGGTCGTTAAATGATATATAAGTAAATTAGTAAGTAAATGATTAAATGTAGATTAAGTAAATGGGAGTAAGTAAATGCGAAGTAAATGAAGTAAATAAATAGATAAGTAAGTGATGAGTAAATAGGTAAATGGTTAAGTAAGTAAGTATAAGTAGTTAAATGGTGTTGATGGAGTAGAGTGGAAGAGAAGCAAGGAAAGTGAAAAGGAGGCAAGAAAGGCAATAAAGGAAAGAAATTAGAATAAAACAGTTTAAGAGGAGGAAAAAATAAAAAAGAGATTTAGAGTGAAGACAAAACAAGAGAAAGTAATGGAAAAATGGAAGAGAAGAAACAAAAGCAACAAGTAAAAGAAAGTAAGTGAAGTGAAGTGAGTTGAATGGTAAATGGTAGAGTGGTTGGGTGGTTGGGTGGGTGGATTAGTGAAATGGGTAGATGAGTAAGGTTGAGTGGGTGGTTGAGTGAGTGGTGAGTGAGTGGGTGGGTGGTTGAGTGGGTGAGTGGGTGGTTGAGTGAGTGGTTGAGTGAGTGAGTGGGTGAGTGGTTGAGTGTGTGGGTGATACACAGATCACACGTGAAGGCACGATTACGGTGAGAAGTACTTGACGTTGGCGAGTGCCCTGACGCGTGCGGCGGCGAGCAGCGACTGGGCGGCGATGCGGTGGCTTGAGGGTGATCTCAGGTGGGAGCGGATGCGGAGGACGTCGAGACGGACGACGAGGATGTGCAGCAGGTAGAGGAATGAAAATGCCCAAAGCCCTAGTAATGTCCAAATGAAATTTTTTCTGACGGTGAACATGAACTCATCGATGGCACTCAAGAAATTCTTTAGCGTTTGCGATTGCAATATTTTGTCCAATGCTGCGCAGAAATCCTGACATTTGATTTGGCTTCTGCCGGCGGCATCGGCATATGCTAAGCCATACCTGTAAAACACTGATGAGACTCCTCGGCACTGGACAATGGATGAGCATCCACATGGCTTTGTGCCGTGCTTGTCTTTTGCACAACCGGCACTGTTGAGGCATGGACCACACTGGTGATCGTAGCAGGAAATGTCGCAGAAAGAATTTTTCAGCTGATCGAGGAAGTTGTAAATATTTGAACAAGCGTAGAGCAACCATGACAGATAACTGCTGGCAAACTTAGGAGCAAACACATTGTAGGCCGAGGCGTTGAGCGGGCGCATGATGTAACCGCAGTCGGACTGACCGCAGCCAACGAGGTAACTGATATCCATACCAGTGTTTTTGTCGTGCATAAAGTGCGATGAGCATTCGTTGAAATTTAGGCAAGCGTCCATGAATCTGCCGGCATCTTCGTCCTTACAGGACACGGTCTGTACGATGACGTTGCGGATGTCATTTTGGATAGACTGCGATATCTTACGATATTCTGACGCTTGGGTCCACGTCCTTACTAGTCTGTAATAGAAAGCAAACAGATCAGGGAACGTCTTAGGTGCACGGTTGAGAAGGCAAGCCAGTGGCGCATAGAGTTTGGTTACTACTCCCCTCTTGCCGACCAATTCTGCCAGCAGTTCACACAGGTCTCTCCCTGTATGCGTGCTATTCGAGAACGCTCTGAAACCGAGGGGAGGTAGACACGGCATTCCTGGCGGAGAATTGGCGCAGGTGTTGCACGATGATTTGCAGCCAATAGAGGTTACATCATGAGGCAAGTGACCATGTAAGCTATCGTTTAAGTAAGACATAAGTGGAGACGTAGGTTGGCAATTTGCTTTGGTGCTTGCCTGGCAGTTTGGTTGGCACCTAGCTTTGTCGGTAACATGCTCGTTGCACGCTAATTTGGTTGACTTGATATCCTTGCCGTAGTAGCAGTCACGCCAACCACCGTGCTTATCACGCAGGCTACACTGGGTATGCAAGAATGTAAGGACGGGGAACATTCTACGTAGTATATCAAGCAACATGTCGAGACACTCCGCGCCGGAGGCAGGATAATACAAGCTAATAGAGTTAGTAGGGAAGTCACACGCGTAAAACGTTGCAGCATCACCATGCCCTACGACGCCAGTTAGAAGCATGTAAGCGTGGGATGTAACTTTATCAAGTGCATCATGGATGTGTTCGTTTGTAAACTGTTGCGGATAGGCTTTAACGGGCGCAACAATTTTCTGAGAAGGATCTGTCTCACTTGGCACTTCGAACATAGTCTTAATCTGCTGCTTAAGCTTTTCGTAAACAGGATTATGCGGAAGGCCGGAGAGCCATAGGGACATGTCATAGATGCTACACGGTGACCTGGGTTTGTCAATGTAATTTAAGTGACAGACTCCGAAGTATTTATTGAGGTGATCAAATAGTTGTCGGACGACACCGTTTTCCTCTTCAATGGTGAGTGGAGGCTCATCCGACTGGATTTGGGAATCAGACATAACGGTGATGGGAGTTGTAATTTTACTATACAGCTTATGTCTTTCATTATTAAGATGTGCAAGAATATTACTACCATTGAAATCTTTTTTGTGATTTAACTCGCCATATGGGCTTTCGGCCGGGCGGCCAACATCATACCCGTTGTAAGCGAAGAATAATTTATGCAGACTGTGATTGGAGTTAGAAGAGTCATATATTTTGTAACTTTCCCAACCATTCTCAAGTCCTTCCTTCAGCGCAGTTAATTCATGATACACGACTGGCGTAAGGGTCAAGGCGATTTTAGCGTACTTTTCTTTCTCTGCCTGGCCGATTTTGTCCCACTCGATAGTCCTCTGCGAATACCGCGAGACGTACGCCCTGCCTAGTTCGCCGACTAGGGCAATTATTCCCTCCTTAAGTGACTGTAACATGGGAGTCGAAGATGCACCGAATTCAGATGGGTGAAGCTCGCCAAGTTGATTAGTAAGTGATTGTAAGTTATTGCTAAATTCGTGGCTGAAGTGCTGCGATGTTATGAGCTCTGCCAGCATTTTCTGCAATGCATCCTTCGATGCCTCAATTTTTCTGAAGTCTGATACAAAATCTACGTGTTTGTGGTAATAGAGAAAAAAGCGCTTGACGGCGTGATTTAATTTTCCAGCGGCCTGGCTGAGTGGAGATTTATCTGCAGACGGCGCAGTCTTAATCTTCTTGATACCCTCAATTGCTTTTTCGTCCTTCAGAAACTTCTCTTCGAACTTATTCATAAAACCTTTAACGCCCCTATCGGAGTCCTTTGTGACCTCATTTGGAAGGCCATTTAGGTCACTCAGGCATTTCGCGGCGAACTCTGTGAGCAGAGTTTTCAGTGAGTTGACGTATTGCCTCCTCGCGTGAGTCGTGAGCTCATCGGTGGCCTGCTTGAGTTGTTTGTGGACGTGATCTGCGAGGTAACTGATGCAATCTCTTTCAAACTGTTGTGATTCCTGACTAAGTAACGTTTCCGCCTTCTTGATGGGACCCTCCAGCAGCGTTTTGTGGAGATTGTTAAGCTTATTTTTAATTTCGTTTAGTCCCATCTGGTCCTTGCGGTTAATTGTAATGTAATCAGTGAACATTAAACGCTTCAATTCTTCCAATCGCTCTTTGGTGTATCTGCCCTGGCTCTTTATGGTTTCGCACAGGTCATAAAGTTTGCCGACTACCATGCCGGCATTTTGCTCAACGGCGCCTCTCGCGGCTTGGGCTAGCGTTTCGAGTGACGTAATCACATTCTTAGTGATATCATCAAATTGTCCAACTAACCCATCCATTTCCAGCTGAAGCTCAGAGACACCTTGTTGAATTGCTTTTTGGAGGAGTTCGCCAAATTTGTCGTTTACGGCAATGGCCTTTTCACTGATCGCCTCTTTTAGGGCATCGATCAGAAGTCTGGTAGAGGAAGACCCCCAATCCTTCTTCGCTTCTTTAAGGCAATTTATAATGCTCTCTATATTATACCCAAGGCCACCTTGGACAATGTCTTCTTTCGCCGTCTCAAACAGTCCTCCCAGCTTTCCCAATTTCTTTTTTAATTCCTCATTTTTTGACAGAGCTTCCAGAGCAGGGGCGTTATTAGCAGTAACAGTACCGTGATTTTCCCTCTCTGCAATTCCCTGATCCAGTGCCTGCTTCAAAGATTGCAAGTAATTCTCAACGTTTTGTTGGATTTCCGTTTTGAATCGCCACATCTGAGTTGACAACTTCCATTTACCATGGTGGTGCGTAAGCGTTTTCACATCATTAGGCACTTTCTCCGTAATATTACTATGGAGATTTCTAAGCTTTCCCACGACGCCCCCTGTATTAACATTTTCACTACCATCACCGTGAATTATGTCGCAAGCGTTCACATACTTGTCCTTCATCTCGTTGAATTTCCCATGCAGCTCCTCGGCTTTACTCCCAATCGTTGTGGTAACCTGATCAATCTCATTCCATCTTTTCGGCTTTGTGCCATCTTCGTTCACCGTCACCTCACACGATATCTGCTTAAGATTCTGCTCAGCAAATTCAATGACTTTCTTCGCCTCCTCAATCCATGAGGCCAACTCCTTCACGTACTCTCCTAGTTTTAGATAAATCTCGTTGAGCTCGACCAAAAAATTTTGCACGCTTGCTTTCCACTTTTTAGTTACCTCCTTCACCTGCTCACTAATTTGCATATTAATCCGCCTGCCAAGCTCGTCCAGCGTTGCTTTGATTTTCTCTTTCGTCTCATTTAGCTGACTCTGTTCCTCCTTAGACAACTTATCAAGCCGCTCAGTTTCGTGCTTCACGCTACCTATTACGTGCTTAACTCTAAGTGATAGATTACTGCTAAGATCATTAACTCTGTTTTCTACGTCACGTTTGCTAATATCTAAATCGGAATTGAATTTGTTGGCGTTCGATTCGCATTGCTTAAGCAGCTCATTAATCGAACTCACGGCTGTTTCAGCCTCTTTGATCTTCTGGGCTTCTGCGGCCTCCCCCGCCTTCAGTTCCTCCAGTGTAAGACGCGTCATGGTACCTGAAGCAGAATGAAAATCAGTAATTTTACTTACCTGTATTTTAAGAGTCTCCATCTCCCTCTGAAGATTTTTCATTGGCTCACTCACCTTTTTGTTCGACGCCTTCACACCCTCATTATACTGCCTCACCCCCTGGACCACCTTGTCAATCGCAGCATTAAAACCCTCTTTGCCACGGTGTTTATGGGCGTTAAGAAGCCTTATAGCTTCATTAATGTGATGACTATGTAAGCCTAATTTAGGCTTAATGTTACTTAAAACACCATGAAGGAACGCCATCACCCCGTCGCAGAGCCTGTCAAGGTCGGAGTACACAATCCCTTTCCCGGTGTAATTACCATCATGGTAGCCGAGAAATTTTTCGAGGCCTGTGCAAAGGTTATTTAATAATGATGTTGTAGGATTATTTTAGGCACATTTTCAGGGCGATTTGGCGGAATTTGGAGAAAGGCAATTTTAGGCCAAGGAGGCAGCGAGGGGTGAGGGAGGTGGGTGGACAGGGTGAGGGAGGTGAAGGGGCGAAAGGGGGCGACGAAGGGGAAGATGGGTTGAGAGGAGGCGGTTTAAGGGGTAGAGGGGGAAAGTGGAAATTGAGGATTTGGGTGGAGGACGCCGACGGAGGAGGTGATGGAGGGGGGAAGGAGGAGGGAGCGAAGCGACCAGTGAAAGGGGAGGTGAGTGGGTGAGTGAGTGAGTGGGTGGTTGAGTGAGTGGGTGGTTGAGTGAGTGGTTGAGTTGGTGAGTGGTTGAGTTGGTGAGTGGTTGAGTGGGTGGTTGAGTGGGTGGTTGAGTGGGTGGTTGAGTGGTTGAGTGGGTGGTTGAGTGGGTGAGTGGTTGGTTGAGTGAGTGAGTTGGTGAGTGAGTGAGTGGTTGAGTGGGTGAGTTGGTGGTTGAGTAAGTGGGTGGGTGAGTGAGTGGGTGAGTGAGTGAGTGGGTGAGTTGGTGAGTGAGTGAGTGAGTGATACACAGATCACACGTGAAGGCACGATCACGGTGAGAAGTACTTGACGTTGGCGAGTGCCCTGACGCGTTCGGCGGCGAGGAGCGACTGCGCGGCGATGCGGTGGCTTGAGGGTGATCTCAGGTGGGAGCGTATCCTCAGGACGTCGAGGCGGACGACGGCGATGTGCAGCAGGTACAGGAGCGAGAGCGACCAGAGGGCTAATAAGAGGTAGGAGAAGAAGTTGAAAAATGTTGAAGGAATATTTTAGGCACATTTTTAGGGCGATTTGGAGGAATTTGGGGAAGGGCGATTTTAGGTCAAGGAGGCAGTGAGGGAGTGAGGGAGGTGGGTGGACAGGGTGAGGGAGGTGAAGGGGCGAAAGAGGGCGATGAGGGAAGAAGATGGGTTGAGGTAAGGCGATTTAGGAGGTGGAGGGAGAAAGTGGAAAATGAGGATTTGGGTGAAGGACGCCGACGGAGGAGGTGATGGAGGGGGGTGATGGAGGGAGCGAAGCGACCAGTGAAAGAGGAGGTGAGTGGGTGAGTGGGTGAGTGGGTGGTTGAGTGGTTGAGTGGGTGAGTGGTTGAGTGGTTGAGTGGGTGGGTGAGTGAGTGATTAGGTGGTTGAGTGGGTGGTTGAGTGGGTGGTTGAGTGGTTGGGTAGGTGAGTGAGTATGTGAGTGGGTGAGTGAGTGGTTGAGTGAGTGGGTGAGTGAGTATGTGAGTGGTTGAGTGGGTGAGTAGTTGAGTGAGTGGGTGGTTGAGTGGGTGAGTGTGTGGGTGAAGGCACGATTATGGTGAGAAGTACTTGACGTTGGCGAGTGCCCTGACGCGTGCGGCGGCGAGGAGGGACTGTGCGGCGATGCGGTGGCTTGAGGGTGATCTCAGGTGTGAGCGTATCCTGAGGACGTCGAGGCGGACGACGGCGATGTGCAGCAGGTACAGGAGCGACAGCGACCAGAGGGCTAGCAATGTGCACATAAATGGCCATCTGATTTCCTTTAGGAAATTGTCACACTCCTTGAATAGTTCTTTGAAATACTCTGAAGCAAGAACTTTCTTCAGCTGACTACAGAAATCCTTACACTTCTTCGCTGTGCTACCACTATTCAACGTCGACGCCTCGCCGAAGCTGAATCCATACTGGTAGAATGTGGATGATACTCCTTTACACTGGACTATGGAATCACACTGGCAAACGTCATCTTGTTTCTTCTCATCCTCAACGACGCCATGCTTGCCACTCCTGCACTTGTCCCCTCTGAGACATCCTCTGCATCCCCAATCTTGGCAGTTGATTTGGCAAAAGGTATTGTAGAGATTGTTGAGTAGATCCCAGAATGTCCATGGGAGGTAAATGGCCCATGAGAGGTATGTCCTCGAATTCTTAAATGGCAGACAGATGTAGTAGTCCCTATAGAGCGATGACAGATACGGAGCGCAGTGGTTTTCACCAGGACATGTAATAGTCATACATAGACTGGACACGTCGGCCTTTGAAGGTTCATCCTCTGCGCCTTTAACTGGTATTGTTTTGTGTTTACTTTTATCATGCCTACTCTGGCTGCTGCCATACGCTTCACTAAGAGCGATGGTCAGTTTGGATGGTTCGTTATATAGATGGATAGATACCTCCTTGGCGGAGTTTTCGATATTTGTTTGTATAACATCCTTAACATATTTTGAGTCATTATGCCATCCATTAACAAGCGCCAATGTGAACTGGAAGTGTTCAGGCAAGGAGGCTGGCGGCTTGGTGACAAGGCAGAGGAGAGATCTAAGATGAACATCATCAAGCAATTTGGCAAGGACGTCACATATGTCCCTACCTCTTCTCATGCTGCCAGAGAAAGTCTTAAATCCGAGAGGTGTTACACAAGGTGAACCACGTTGAGATGTGGGACACGTTTTGCATTCGGCTTTACAGCCGACTGACTCCAGTCGGTGAGGCAAATGGCCGGGTAGGCAATCGTTTAAGTAGCTTTGTAGAGGGGATTTTGGTTGGCACATTGGTTCACTATTTGGTTGGTCAGTTGCCTGGCCCTTTGGTTGGCCTCTTGGTTCGGGCTTAGGATGCTTGTCACACGGCCACTTGGCTGGCTTCACATCTTTGCCGTAACGGCACTGTGACCAACCGCCAATGCTAGCGGGATAGCTGCACATGTGTTCCAGATATCTCAGCGTTGGCAACAGTCTACGGAGAATTTCAAGGAACATCTGAAGGCAATCGGCGCCTCTATTAGGGTATTTCAACTTAAGTGAGTTGGTCCAGAAGTCAACACCGTAAATGGTCTCGGCGTCCCCGGTGCCGAGGATGCAAACGAGAAGATCGTACGCCTGTGAGCACATATGCGTCACTGCTGCTTGCGTATGATTATATGTTATGTCATGTGGGAGGGCCCTTATGGCCACGGTGCTCATGTCTGTTACTTCCATTTCAACACCGTCAATTACTTCTTTCGTCTTCTTCTTTGGGTCCTCGAATAAGTCTGTCACGGCCACGTCACGCATATCTGTAAATACGGGATGATGCGGGAGCCCTGACATCCAAACTAGAATTTCGAATATGCTACACGGTGATTTAGTCGCGGATAAAGTGGAGTAGTGGCAGACTTCATTGTACTCGTTGAAGTGGCTGAGCAGGCAATCGAGAAGGTCGAAGAGATCGTATAGTGTTTTTGCTTTCTGACCTTCATAGTGCTTTTCGTTTACGCACGTATTAAGATGCGCATTATTATACGTGTCCTGTAATGACTTGCGCAGATGCTCATATATTTTCCCACCACTCCACTCCTCCTTGCACTGCAGCTCGGCGTCCTGCTTGCCTTGGTCGTCAGTAGGGATCCTGTAGCCGCACCTCTCGAAGAAAGCGCCGAGTGAATTTCCTGTGCGATTCTGCGTCTTGCATATTTTCTTGTCCTTCCAGCCGTATTTCGTCGCGTCCTCGCACCTCTCCTTCAGCGTGGCCATGTCTTCGTAGAGGACGTTTAGGAGGGTGAAAAAGGCCTTAGCGGCGTTTCTACCTTCATCTGTTAACTCCGTTGTTTTTGCCTCAGACGTGATAATATCAATAAGCATATCGCCGCTGAATGATAGACCAGAGTATTTGTTAACGTAGCCGTACTCCAATTGGGTGTCAAAGGATGTCACTCCCTCCTTGACTATGTTAAGCAACTCGGGATGCTTACCATCGCCGAATTTATCCGCGTTTAAGGCGCCTACAGAGGCTTTCAGCGCATCTAAGTCTCTACTAAATTGGTCGTCGAAACGATATTTTTTAGTTGACTGTTCACTGCTAAGATTACTGAGCAAGGTATTAAGCTTGGTCTGAATGTCCGTCACCTTGGTGGCATGAGGATCTGCAGTTGGAGGTTGAGGCCGCACGTTAGGAGTAATTTGCGCAATGACGTATTGCAACAACGGATAGAGGAATAATCTGACATTGCTCGCCAATCCGTCTAATTTGGTGTTACTGTTAAGCGTTGTAATCTGTAATGTCTCATCAAATCCTCCATTTAATCGTGCTAAAAACCCTTTGACGCCATTTATGGAATCATCGTGAATTATTTTCTTAATCGCCTCCAACTGCGTCTCGACGACGCCCTGCAGCTGCGTGAGTTCGGCCTGCTTCTGGCGCGCGAAGAGGGATTGGACTTGGTGGGTGAGGGTGGAGAAGGCGGAAGAGACGGCGGCTAGGAGTTTAGTTTGGAGTGATGAGACGGCTTGTTGAGATTTTGTTTGCCGGCTAGTCAACGTTAATTGGATAGAGTCAATCGATTGATTCAGCGTTTCTTCGGCTTCGTCGATGACTGCTAGCACGCTTTCTGTTTTTTGCTTGACATTCACTATGTTTGATCTCAACTGAGCCATGAATGTTTCAGCTTCCTGCTGCGCTGTATCTAGAGCGTCCGGGAGATATTCCAAGGCGCCGATTTTCAGAAGTGCATTTTCTATGGCGGCGAGTGCTTGCTTTTTATTTGCATTAAAAACGCTAAAGTGCTCAGCGTGTTCGATGTCGAATTGATCATCGTCACCATTTATTGGACCTGTGAAAAACTTTAACAGGCCTGTTTTAATGTCGCCGATTTTGTATTTTAGAGATTCTCGCCCATTTTGTTTAGTATGCGCAGTATATTGCGGCATATGGGTCTCAAGTTGTTCTTTAATCTCATCGATCTTATTATTAATGTTTAATTTCATGTCTTCGATGAGGGCTTCGAAGAATGTGTGATCACCAATTTTAAGCTGATCATTATCGGCAAACTTAGATAGGAAGCCTCTGAGATGAGTAAAAGTCTTTGGGTCAGGCCCAGCAACGCCAAGCGCGTCATCAGATAGGCCATCGAGGGCAGCCGTAAGCTTACTACTTTGCGCATTATCAGCCCATTTATACAATGCTGGAGCAACCTTGAGCAGATTTTTTTTGAACTCGTTAACAATACTCTGGGCGCCATCTGTACCATCAATACTACTCGAAGCAACGGCACCAGCCTGCTGTATTCCCAACTTCAAAAAAGTGATCACCGTTGTGATTTGCCCTTCCATCTGAGTCTTCAACGTATTCAAATCATCTCTCACTTTCTCATCCAACTGGCCAAGCGCACTGTTCACGGCTATCACAGCATTATCAATTGCCTCTCCAATTTTGCCAGCACCCCGTTGAATCTCTTGCTCCATTTCATTAAGCATCCCTGTGATACCGTCAATCTTTGTGTAGAGCTCAGATGTATTCGGCACGCCTTTGTTTTTTGTGATTTCAGTCATGTGCTTTTTTAAGCCTTCAAATTCTTTGAGAATTTTGTCCGTATAATTTGTATCGAAATTGGTCACTTCCCAATCGAATAACAGCAGAGCATCATTGACGGCATCCCTAATAGACTGAATCTGTTGAGTTAATTTCATTGTTTTAAAACCATTCAACCCTTTCTGAATTTCACCAAATCCACTATCCAAAGTGTCTTGTACTATTCTCGATTGATCGACGATATCTTTTTTAATTGCATCTCGCTTCTCCCTCAGCGCCTTGTCCACTTCCTTCGCCTGAGTCACAACATTCGTATCTTCTGCGATGTCTTTAAACGTTTTCACCGCCTGAGACACCAATGACATATTACGCTTCAGCTTACCTTTTAAGCCGTCATCAAGATTTTCGTAGGCCTTTTTCGCCAGCTCGACACGCTTCTCATAGGTCTTCGATTTCTGTTGCACGGTAACTAATTGAGTGGAAAGTTTTTTGTTCTCTACGTTATTTAATGACTCTGTCACTTTGGGAATATCATCTTTAATGTATGTTATCGGACTCTTGAACTCTTCAATCCTCCCCTCCATCCCCCCCTCATACCCCCGCAGCCCCGCCTGCACAATCCCAATGGCCTCGCGAAATCCAACAACACCAGAGCCCTTACCTATCGCATTCTCTAAATCTCTTATAGTGTCATCAATCTTAGGAAAATAGTGCACTAAAAGAGTTTTACTGCCTTTAAGACATTGGAGGATAAAGGACATCACCCCGTCGCAGAGCCTATCAAGGTCCGAGTACACGATGCCAGTGCCGTCGTAGCCTTTAGTTTCCTCGGAGAACCCCAAGAATGTTTGGAGACCTGAACACATGTGATTTAATAATGTTGTTGCAGGATTATCAACTTGCTGAGCAATTTTTTCTTGTTTCCTCTGAAGGTCTTTTATTTTTTCATGTTCAGGACAGTGACAAGACTGTGGATCCTTAATACTTTCCGGACGATTTTTCGAAAGTTCTTGACACTCTTCACACTTTTTAATCTGTTCTGTAAGACTACTAATTGCACTTTTAATAGCCTCAGTAACAGCGTCACTTTTGCCAATAAAACCACCAAGTTGTCCAGCAAGCTGACCAAGAGAGATACGGCGGGCATCAATATCATCCAAGGCTTTTCCCCTGGCATCCTCAGTAAGGTAATGAACGCCATTATAATGGTCATTGTAGTTGGATTAAAGGTGCATTAAGGGAAGGTTAAAAGAAGTAAAGGGGGATGAAATGGCACATTTTCAGGGCGATTTGGGGGAATTTGGGGAAAGGCGATTATAGGCCAAGGAGGCAGCGAGGGAGCGAGGGAGGTGGGTGGACAGGGTGAGGGAAGTGAAGGGGCGAGAGAGGGCTATGAGGGAGGAAGATGGGTGGAGGGGGGCGGTTTCGGAGGTGGAGGGAGAAAGTGGAAAATGAGGATTTGGGTGAAGGACGCCGACGGAGGAGGTGATGGAGGAGGGAGGCAGGGAGCGAAGCGACCAGTGAAGGAGGGAGGTGAGAAGGTGAGTGGGTGAGTGAGTGGGTGATTAGGTGTGTGAGTGGTTGAGTGGGTGGGTGGTTGAGTGGTTGAGTGGGTGGGTGAGAGAGTATGTGAGTGGTTGAGTGGTTGAGTGGGTGGGTGAGTGAGTTGGTGGTTGAGTGGGTGATTGAGTGGGTGGGTGATTGAGTGGGTGGGTGATTGAGTGGGTGGGTGAGTGAGTGGTTGAGTGGGTGAGTGATACACAGATCACACGTGAAGGCACGATTATGGTGAGAAGTACTTGACGTTGGCGAGTGCCCTGACGCGTGCGGCGGCGAGGAGCGACTGTGCGGCGATGCGGTGGCTTGCGGGTGATCTCAGGTGTGAGCGTATCCTCAGGACGTCGAGGCGGACGACGGCGATGTGCAGCAGGTACAGGAGCGACAGCGACCAGAGGGTGAGGAAGGTATATGAGAAATTCTCTCTTATCTTCCAGATGAAATCATCGATTTGATTGATTAGTTGGATGAGGACGGATTCCTCCTTAAGGATTTTTTTCAATGCACTGCAGAAATCTTTGCATGAGCGTTTTTTTCCTATGAAACGCTCACCGTTCAGTTTCGATGGACTCTGAAATACGAAGCCGTATCTACATAATGTTGGACGAGATGAAGGGCAGTGAGCTATGGATTTGCAGTCGGAGTGATGTATTGCTTTTGCCAATGCTTTGGATTTTTCCTCAGCACTGGAGTTCTTTGATTCATAAGCAACTTTCACTGGGCACTTATCTATACATCTCCTGTTGTGGCATCTGGTACCAGGAGTGTCGCAGTTTTTGCAGCATTCATCGAGCAATCGCTGAAGCATATCGTAAAACGTTTCTGTGAGGTATACGATCCAAGATAAGTACAGCTTCTTGTGAGAAGATGAGAACACGTTATAGACATTGGATGAGAGCGATTCGACGTAGTAACCACATGTGCCCTTCGAATCCGAATTGCAATTCACTATACTAAACAGATCACCATTTTCGTGGCTTTTGGATCCGTGGTCACTGCTGCTGAACAAAGGACTTGGGTCAAGGGCTGTATATGGAGTTTCGAAGTATGCCTCCTTGACGGCATCATTGAAAGCATCTCTTTTATGCGTACCACTATTACTCCACCCGTTAAGGAAGTTATAGTAGAACGCAAACATGTCACCTAGAGTTTTCGGTGGAGCGGGCAGCAGACATTTGAACATAAAGCACAGCTGGCGGAGGGGACCGTCAGGCCTATCGCAGAAATGGAATAGTTCGACCCTGAGATACCTGCCGTTTTTAGTATGGGATGCAGCAGTGCCAATATCGGTAAAGCCCATGGGAGTGATGCATGGAATGCCATGGTGATTACCTAAACTACAGGTTAATTTACAACCAGGCGTTTTGAATGAATGTGGCAAAAAGCCTGGCAATCCGTCTTCAAGGAAGGATTGCAGCGGTGACTTAAGGCCACAGTCGTAATGTTGGTCAGCTGTTTGGCCACTCTTTTGGTCACCACTTTGGTTACATGCTAGGTTATGCTTTTGGTTACAGTCTTGTTTAGGACATTGGAAATCGTTGCACTTCCAGTTTGAACCGCCGACATTTTTGCCATAATGGCAGTCTGCCCAGCCACCAAACTTAGCTTGATGGGTACATTGCAGATACAGGAAGCGTAGTTGCTGGAACAATCGATTTACTAGGTCTACAAGCATGTCTAAGCACGCACTAGCACGATTAGGATAATCTAAATGGTCTGTATTTGTATTAAATTCGCAGGCGTAACGGCCGTCTGCTTGGCCGTGACCGAGAAATTGGGTAAGCATGTAATAAGAGTGGTAGCATATACGGTCAAGTACTTTGTTTACTTGACCAGCGTCGAGGGGTGATTGAATGCCTGTTTTCATATCATCTGGAACGGCGACTTCGAGTGCTGCGTCTTTTAACTTATGCTCTTCCTTTAGGCCCTCAAGTAGTTTATTAATCTGGCCATTAAGCTTCTCGAAAATCGGATTGTACTTGAGGCCGGCAAGCCATTGTAACATCTGGTTCACGCTGCTCGGCGCTCTGGGTTTCGGAGGGATGTAGTAGTGACACACACGATAATAATCGCGGAGGTGGTCTACAAGTTGCTTGAGTCGACCGGTATATTCTGTATTGTCAAGATTAACTAAGTAAACATATTTGCTTGCTATCGGGCCGCATAGGAGAGTGTGAATATTCCAGCCCGTTTTATTTTTGTCCAACTCCCCGTTTTGCTTCTTGTCATCTGAAGACACATCGTATCCATGTTTCTTGAGGAATCTTCCGAGGTCAGTTTGCAAATTAACCTTTTGATTTCTCCACTTCGTAGTATGCTTACCTTCTTCCCTCAAATTATACAAATAATAGGTTAGTATCTCAAGTACGGTCAAAAATACTTTCGACAAATTCGTACCATAAGAAGTCAAAACATATTTGTCAGGGGGAGATTGTGCTGGAGCTTTAATAAATTCTTTCCACTCTTCTGTATCAGGATGCCCCTCATACCTATTCACATACGCCTTCTCCAGCTGCTCGACGAACTTTACCAGGCTCTTGGGGAAAGCGTCTAGCACGGGATACGCGGGGTTGCCGAAGGCTGTGGAGCGTAGGGATTCGACGGACGTCTTGAGTGTTTGCAGCATTCCGGGGACCTGGTGGTCGAAGTGTTTCTTGTCGGACAGGTGAGAGAGGAGTTGGGAGAGAGCGGAGTGGATGGTTACGACGGCAGTAGCGTTGGGGTACACTAGACCTTTGAGGTAATTCAAAACTTCATCCAAATAGGATTTTATATTGGTCGACATTGTTGAAAAACATTTTAGAGCTTCTTTGCTTTTCAGATTACTGAATTTGTTATTGAGGTAATTATCGTTATGCTGATAATCCATCAATTTTCTTAGTAAACCTTTCACGCCTGTTTTTAAATTATTATCAATTGCAATATTTATGTCAGCGATTTCTGCGGTAATTTTTCTCTTCATTTTTGTGAACATGTCATTAATCTTCGCGTGGTATCCATTCTTCGCACGCTCCCTGATTTTTTTGAACTTCTCGTTGACTTGCGTGGTGAGGAAATTGTGGATGTCGGAGATGGCCTGGTTGGATTGCTCGTTGGTGAACTCGATCATCTGGTTTGCCTCTTCAATCAAATGCGACAGCTGATTATGTTGGATATTATGAAGCATATTTATAATATCTTTTAGTTCACCTTTAATCTTAATGTTTTTTACATTCAACAAAAGGTTCTTCACATCTTCGCCTTTCGCGGATAACACATTCATAAGTTTTTCGAGATTTTCTGTGATTTGCTCGAGAAACCCGCTGGATTGGTTTGTTTCCTTCTTGTCATTTAACAGCTTCTCAAAGGTATCGAGGCCGTGGTTGCCAATTTCGGCAATTGCGAATGGGAGCTTTCCTCCTAGAACTTGGGTGGACGATACAGGTAAGTCAATTAGCTCATGGCACTCCGGGAAATTTTTGGAATACATTATTACCTTACTTGCTGCACCTTCCGGCAGCCACTCCTCAAGTACGTCATTATTACCGTTCAAAAGCATGCCGCCTGTCAGATTCTTGTTCTCGGTGTTGAATTCGTTCATGAGATTTGGGCCAAGGTCATAATTGTTATCAACACCACGAGCACCATTTGCTTTTTTAAATATTTTATCTCTAAGATCCTTTTTTAGCGTATCGAGCTTCTGATTAATATCCGTTCCGAAATCTGTAACCAGTTTATCGAGGCCGGCGACTTTATCGGAGGTCCCGACTTTTCCATTAATTTCTTTATTATCAAGAAGCTCTGTACATTTTGTAACATCACCCTTAATAACCCTCGCCACATCTGCAATTTCCTTTTTCACTTGGCCTTCAATCGCGTTCATCACCTTTTCCACAACAGTCTTGGAGTGGTCGGACATGGCTTTGGGTATCTCGGCTAAGGCGTTCATTACGGACTGGATGTCGGTTGGTGTTGAAGTATGGGGAGGTGCCAAAATACTTGATATGGGCGATAAAATGCCAGAAAACTTAGACTTTAGATTCTCAATACTGTTTTGTTCGATACCCAGTTTCTTGAGAGTAACTGCAAGGTCCGGAAATTTAATTCCGTCATCATCTCCATTAATAATTTTCTGAACATTATGGAGAGAAGTTTTTGCATATTGAATATGTCCTTTAATATTATTGATTCCTACGGCCAAACCATTTTTTCCTAACCCCTCACTTATTACCTTCATCGCTTCCTTAATGGGCGTCATAATATGAGTGTCGAGATTCGAGAAGTATTCTGTAAGATCATCGAATGCCCTCTTAGTTGCGATAGCTTTAAGTAGTTTCGAGTCTTCTTTAATCTGATCAACTTGCCTTAGATGTATAAGATTCAAAATATCACTCTCCACTCTCGCTGTTGCCGCCTGAAGCGCTACTTTAGTGTCAAAAATTTTGCTATCAAAGCTCTTCGAACTCTCTGCAATAGGGTTCAAATTATCCCAAATTGCATCTCTCAATGCCCTTATGTCCTGTTTTACTTTTGTTTCCAACCTCTTACCCAATGCAATAACCGCTTCCTTGATTTGCGTCTTCACGCCATGGAGATCCCTTTTTAGTGCATGACTCAGTTGTCGAATTAACTGTAAAGCATCCTTGACCAAAGTCTTCACATGCTCATTTGCTTTTACAAATGCCGTATTAATTTCGTGCACAGCGTTGTCTATGCCATCCTTATTTACACATCCGACGCGCTTATTTATGATTGCTTCAACATGCTGCTGCTCAATGTTATCAATGCATACCCATGTCTCTCTCATCCATTTAATCTCCTTATCAATGTACTCCTTTAGTTTCTTAGAAATCATGTCTATATCATCCCGAATCTGAACGACTTTTGCATTTATCCTGCCTGCCACAAATTTAACACACCCTTCAACATGGTTCTTAACATCTCGCTCCAGCTCCCCTAGCTGCGTTTCCCCCTCCTTCAACAATGCGTGTAACTCATCATTCGTCGCAGCGGCAACAAACGCTTTCACGCTTGTTCTCACAGAAGCAACGCTAGGCGCTAATCTGTTCTTCAGCTGCGAATCGAGCAACTTATATGTATTTTCGGCGCCATCAAATGCCTTGTCAAGCCGACCAGCACTGCCTATACAGGCCTGCAGCTGGTTGTCTACCTGACTAAGGTTATGTGTATCTATGCTACCAAGTCCGCTAAGTGAACTCTCTACACTACTAATATTAATGGATTTAAGTGCTTCAAGCTTATCAGTGAAGTTATGTGTTCTAACGGTGAGACCTCTCTCCCAGATCGCCAGTCCATCTGCAACAGTATCAATTACACTAGTTAACGTACCTTTTTGATGCATAGATGTCTTGATTTTCTCGAGTATATTGTCCATTTCAGTAACAGGAAAATAAGTCTTCACACTTTCATCATCCCTCACACTCTCAAGAACTCCATGAAGGAAAGACATCACCCCGTCGCAGAGCCTGTCAAGGTCCGAGTACACGATTCCCTCTCCGGTGTAACTACCATCCTGGTAGCCGAGAAATTTTTCGAGGCCTGTGCAGAGGTTATTTAATAATGTTGTTGAAGGATAATTTTAGGCACATTTTGAGGGCGATTTGGGGGAATTTGGAGAAAGGCAATTTTAGGTCAAGGAGGCAGCGAGGGAGTGAGGGAGGTGGGTGGACAGGGTGAGGGAGGTGAAGGGGCGAAAGAGGGCGACGGAGGAGGAAGATGGGTTGAGGTAAGGCGGTTTCGGAGGTGGAGGGGGAAGGTGGGAAATGAGGTTTTGGGTGAAGGACGCCGACGGAGGAGGTGATGAAGGAGGAGGGAGGGAGCGAAGCGACCAGTGAAAGAGGGAGGTGGTTGGGTGGTTGAGTGAGTGAGTGGTTGAGTGGTTGGGTAGGTGGTTGAGTGGTTGAGTGGTTGAGTGGTTGAGTGGGTGAGTGGTTGAGTGAGTGGGTGGGTGAGTGATTATGTGAGTGGGTGGGTGAGTGATTATGTGAGTGGGTGGTTGAGTGAGTGGGTGGGTGAGTGGGTGAGTGGTTGAGTTGGTGGGTGAGTGATTAGGTGGGTGAGTGAGTGAGTGGTTGAGTGGGTGATTAGGTGGTTGAGTGGGTGATTAGGTGGTTGAGTGGGTGGTGAGTGTGTGAGTAGGTGGGTCATTAGGTGGTTGAGTAGGTGAGTGGATGAGTGAGTGGTTGAGTGGGTGGGTGAGTGAGTGGGTGAGTGGTTGAGTGATTAGGTGAGTGGGTGGTTGGGTGGATGGTTGAGTATGTGAGTGGGTGAGTGGTTGAGTGAGTGGGTGAGTGGGTGGTTGAGTGGGTGGTTGAGTGAGTGGTTGAGTGGTTGAGTGGTTGAGTGGTTGAGTGGGTGAGTGAGGTGAGTGGTTGAGTGAGTGGGTGGTTGAGTGGGTGGTTGAGTGGGTGAGTGGTTGAGTGGTTGAGTGGGTGGGTGGTTGAGTGGGTGGTTGAGTGGGTGGGTGGTTGAGTGGTTGAGTGGGTGATTAGGTGAGTGGGTGGTTGAGTGGGTGGGTGAGTATGTGAGTGGGTGGGTGAGTGATGCACAGATCACACGTGAAGGCACGATTATGGTGAGAAGTACTTGACGTTGGCAATTTTCCCAACCTTTGCAACGGCGAAGAGGGACTGCGCGGCGATGCGGTGCGATTGTGGTGATCTCAGGTGGGAGCGTATCCTCAGGACGTCGAGGCGGACGACGGTGATGTGCAGCAGGTACAGGAGCGAGAGCGACCAGAGGGTTAACAAGAGGTAGGAGAAGAAGTTGAGAAATGTTGAAGGATTATTTTAGGCACATTTTCAGGGCGATTTGGGGGAATTTCGAGAAAGGCGATTTTAGGTCAAGGAGGCAGCGAGGGGGCGAGAGAGGGCGATGAGGGAGGAAGATGGGTGGAGTTAAGGCGATTTTGGAGGTGGAGGGAGGAAGTGGAAAATGAGGATTGGGGTGAAGGACGCCGACGGAGGAGGTGATGGAGGGGGTGAAGGCAGGGATCGAAGCGACCAGTGAAGGAGGAGGTGAGTGGGTGGGTGAGTGAGTGGGTGAGTGAGTGAGTGGGTGAGTGGTTGAGTGGGTGGTTGAGTGGGTGGTTGAGTGGGTGGTTGAGTGGTTGAGTGGGTGGTTGAGTGGGTGGTTGAGTGGTTGAGTGGGTGGTTGAGTGGGTGAGTGGGTGAGTGGTTGAGTTGGTGGGTGAGTGGGTGAGTGAGTGGGTGAGTGAGTGGGTGGGTGGTTGAGTGGTTGAGTGGGTGATTAGGTGAGTGGGTGGTTGAGTGGGTGGGTGAGTATGTGAGTGGGTGGGTGTGTGATGCACAGATCACACGTGAAGGCACGATTATGGTGAGAAGTACTTGACGCTGGCGAGCGCCTTTACGCGTGCGGCGGCGAGGAGGGACTGCGCGGCGATGCGGTGGCTTGAGGGCGAGCGCAGGTGGGAGCGTATCCTCAGGACGTCGAGGCGGACGACGAGGATGTGCAGCAGGTACAGGAGCGAGAGGGACCAGAGGGCTAATAATGTGATGGAGAATGGTTCCCTGATTTTCCATAAGAAATTGTCGCACTCCTTGAACAGCTTATCAAAATATGTCGAGTGCAATACATTGCGCAGCTGGTCACAGAAATTGGAACATGTCTTAGACGCATTCTCCTTATTCAACGCTGCTGGCGCACCAAATGTGAAACCGTACTTATATAGCGTCGGCATCATGCCTCTGCATTGGACCATAGATTCACAGTGACAATTTGCTGATTTTGTTTTGTCGTTGGTGAGGCCATGCTCTCCACGTCTGCACGTTTCAGCACGTAGACATCCTCTGCATCCCCAGTCCTGGCAGAAGATGTCCTTGATAGCGTTGTACAGGCTTTCGAGGTAACTCCATAACGACCACGGCAAGTAAACTGCCCAGGAAAGGTACAGCTTGGAATGCGATTTGCCTAAGTAACTGTAGTAATCGGAGCACAAGGTGTATATGTAAGGGGCACACAGCGCATTGGAACATGCGGTGGCCATACAGAGACTTGACAAGCTGCCTTTTTTCGTTTCATCGGCTTGGATATTAACAATGCTAGTGTGATATTTTGTCGCATCGTGACTACTCTGACTGCTACCGTAGGCATCACGAAGTGCATCTGTGAGTTTGCCTGGCTCGTCGTACAGACTAATGGAACGGTCGTCGATAGCCTTTTTAAAGGCATTTTCTATGAGATGACTACCATACTCATTCCACTTATTAACAAGTGACAACGCAAAGCCAAAGTGTTCTGGCAATGTACTTGGTGCTTTGGTCGCGAGGCAGAATAGCGATGCAAGGTATGTGTCACCGAACAAGTTACGCAGCACGTTGCTTAGGTCTTCACCTTTGCGCGTGGTCCCAGAGAAACCTCTGAATCCGAGCGGAGTAAGGCAAGGCATTCCTGGTTTACCAGTGGGACACGTATTACATTTTGGTTTGCAACCAATTCCGCTAAGCTGGTGAGGAAGGCAACCGACGAGACTGTCAGTGAGGTAAGACATAAGTGGAGACGTTGGTTGGCAATTTGGTTGGCAATTTGGTTGGCACTTTGCCTGGCATTTTGGTTGACATTTTGGTTGGCACTTTGATTCAGACTTTGAGTGCTTGGTACACTGCCATTTTGCTTGGGTTATGTTCTTGCCGTAGTGGCAGTCCCCCCAGCCGTAGTCTGATTCACCGACTCTGCACTGGAAAAACAAAAATCTAAGTGGTGGGAACATGCGACGCAATATATCTAGTAACGTATCTAAGCACTCTGCTCCACTTTTAGGGTAATACAATTTCATGGAGTTATCATAGAAGTCACAGGCGTACATGGTGTGCTCGTCGCCGAAGCCGAGAACGGTCGTCAAGATGGAGGATGATATGGAAGCAATATTAGTAAGCACGTCTTGGAAATGCTTATACGTGACTTTGTTAGGATAAGAATCTATGTAAAAGCTTTCGAAGTCGAATGCCATAAGGCCATCGTCGTCGGCGCCAAGTGGATTAGATGGAGTTTCAAGCTTTTCGCTAATGCTGGATAGTAACGCAGAATAAACAGAGTTATAGGTGAGACCGGCACACCAGAGTAACATTTCATACACGGAACACGGCGGCTTGGTTGCGAACGAAGTGGCGTAGTGTCCGACAGCGTAGTAGTCTTGGAGGCAGTGGTACAGCTTTTGCAGTGGATATTCGGAATCTTCATGCTTGTGGTAAACATGCTTATAATCTGTTTCGGTGACGAGAAGATCATAAACCTTCTGACCTTTGCAATCATCTTTATTCCGCAAATGGCCATTTTGCTTGCCGGCAGCGTCGGACACCTCATAGCCGCACTTCTGGAAGAAGTGACCAAGGGGATTTTCGGTCTCCAATATTGTAACCTTTCTTTTGTCTTTAATGGTCGCGATGCCTAGATGAACCGGAAAATCTTTCCAATTATTCTTGCATCTTTTCCTCAGTCTGCCAAGATCATTGTTCAGCGTCTCCAGTAAAGACAAAAATGTCTTAGCGCAATTCTTTCCATCAGCCTCCCGCAAAAAGTCAACTAGAGACGGATGCCCTTCATACGTATTCACGTACGCCTTGCCAATCTCCCCGAGGAAATCCTGAAGGCCGGATTTTAGGACGTCCAGTAGGGGACTGTTGAGCTGTGCGAACTTTGTAGGACGCATGGAGTCGAGAAACTTCTCAAATTCTTCACGTTGTGATGCAAAGGTTTTACTAAAGAAACCACCTGAAAGGGCCAAAAATAATCTTCGAGCATACAGTTCAAGGTCCTCGAAGAACTTCTCAATGGGATCCTTGGTGGACGGGGAGGGGGATGGCTGGCTGGTGGGAGGGGATGGAGGCTGAGGCTGATGGTTTGTGGGCGGAGTTGTGCGTGGCATACCGACACGGTGCGCTGATCCCGGAACGTTTGGAGATTGACGATCAGCCTGCATGTTTGTTGCCGGCCGCGCTCTGTAGCCGCCGCCGGAGATTGGGGGTGGGACTGGACGGAGGGAGGGAGTTGGGGGCTTGGGCTTAGTGTCTGGAAGGAGTTGATATTTAATGTACTCCGTGACTGGATCTAGATACCATTGTAGTCTCTCCGTCAATTCTTTGAAGTCTTGATGAGTTCGCACAGCTTCTAGAATACCTTTTTGTTCATGCATCTTGCTCAGCAAACCTTTAACGCCATTTGCCATGTCGGCATTTATAATGTCGTAGACTTTTTTGTATTGGCGGTTAGCTAAGGCTTTTAACGCCGTCAAATCCGCCTGGCGTGCATTTGCAAATAGCATTCGCATTTCTGTAGTGACTTTATGAAAAGCGTCTTCGGCTTTTTCAAGGAGTGCAGTTTGGATTTTGTCTACGTTTATATTGAGTGTATTGTGGGCTGAGAAAACAGCGCTGTACACGGCCTTCATTGCGTTTGTCAATGCCTCGTCAGCATAGTCGATGTTCTTGTCTATGTTGTTAATATGGCTTTGAAGTAGCTCAATGTCTTGTCGCAGATTTTCCATCAACTTCCACACATTTATCTTTGCCTCATCCACTTTGCCGGGAAGACGTTCCAGTGTATTTACTGTCGCCATCACCTTATTGATGGCTTGTTTGATTCTACTGCCTTCATTGTCCAGTAAATGGGTGGTCTGCAGACTGCTGATGTCTGTCTTAACTTGTTGAAGACCTTTCGTTGCTGGAGTCAAAGGGGTATTCTTTAGCCCGTCTTCAAGTGTTTTTAACTTATCCAGGACACTGTTTCCAGTTGCTGATGCGCCGTCTGGGCTATCCTGCAAATCTCTTTGAAGCTTATCCAGTGCTTGAGTAATGTTTTGGACGGCATCCCCGATTTGTCTGGTATGTGTGGGTAGCTGGCCATTCAGATCATTGAGTGTACTTTGGATTTTGGCGAGGCCGCTCTTCGTGGAGAACCATGATTCATCTATGTCGTTACCAAGCCCCTTCTTAAGCTCTTCCAAAAGCGGTTTGATGCCTTTGAATTTTATTGCTTTACCTTCAATGGCACTTGTCCTATTGCCACTCACCAACCCGGTGAGTGCTGTGAGATGCGAATGAATTGCGGTTTCTAATGTAGTCACTTCTTGAATATCTGTATTCGTGTCGTTGACGGCTTTCGTGTTACCAGAGGTAAACTTGTTTAGCAGCTCTCTGCCGACAGTATTGAACTGATCATTAATCGCTGATTTGTTTGTTTCGTATCTAGAAAAATATTGCGAAGCTTTGTCAAGGACGACTTTGCTACCACTTTCTTCCTTAAAATGCTGCCTGAGCTTCTCCGTAAGTTTTGATTTAATTTGACCGATAGTTGTATCTACATCGATAGCATTCTTTTTTTGGTATTCCTGTATAGCTTTTAGAATAAGGTCTGCTCTAAGCGGAAATTGTGGTATATGTTTACCGGCGTCTTCAAGCAATTTGCCCAAGCCTTCATCTACTTTCAAATGTAACTTCATGGCAGTGAAACCAGGCGATGAATCATATGAATAACTACTACCTGTCGCAAGTGGCACCCCCTTCGTCACTGCTGCAACCACGGTGTCAACATACTGTGTGATGTTATTCTTAACGTCCTCTTTTGCGCGAAACAGTCCCGCTCTAAGATCACCATCTAATGTCGTTACCGTCTGTTGCGCGCTACTAACCAAGTCACTAAGGCTCGACTCTGCGGCCTGATATGCTTTCAACAGCTTTTCGGCTTTATCCTTTAACGCTTTAGCTTTTATGCCAATCTGAGTTTTAGGACCTTTCGGAGACTTACTATCTACAACTTTCTGCAATATAGTCTCACACTTCGTTTTTGCATCATCCACGACCTTCCCAGCCTCCTGATTCCACCTTTCCAAGTTTTTAATATCACCATCAATCATACTTTTAACGCTGTCAATTTCGTCTTTATCGCCGGTGATTGACCGCAGTTTCATGCGAATAGAATTCCCCGACACATTTTCTTTTTTCAAAGCATCGAACACAGTCCTAGCCTTAGTCTGCGCCGCACTCCGCACTCCCTCCGCACCCTCAATCCACTTATTTAACTCGTCAACTTGGGCGTTCAGTTCAGTGCCAACGGACGTAACTGCCGCCATTATTGCATCAACTTGATGCTCAAGTGGGCATTTTTCTGTGTCACGCTTGTTGATTTCTGTCATGTCATCTTTTAAACCAACAATAGCTTGAAGAATTTCATTCTTATAACCCTCGTCGAATTTCGCCAGCAATTTGCCAATTTCCCTTTTGGCATCCTTCACAGCATATCTAAGGTGCCCGAACTTCTCTTTCCTTTTATCATTCATATTTCTCATATCTGCTAATATCCTATCAAACTCATTTTTTAATTTCAATTTAAGTACCAATGATTCTTTTTCAATCTTCACCTTCATCTCACCTTCCTGTTCCTCTAACCTCTTATCTAACAACATTGTTCCATCTTTAAACAACGGATTCGCAGCAAGACTTTTCATGTGCTCAATCACACCTTTCACAGGCACGAATTCATGCATAATCTGATTGTTAAGCGATCTATCTAAAACATTAATATAATAGTTTTCAAGGCGATCAGTTTCTTGCTCCACCTTCTGCACCGTGGACTGCCAGGCATCCAATTGTAGCTGAAGCTTTAGTCCCGCTTTACGTGACACTTCCTTGTAGTAATCACCTACAGAACCATGAGACCCATCATGTAACTTACCTATAAGTGCAGATAATCCTTCAGTCACTGCTTTTGTCTTGTTGCCAACTTCTCCATTATATTTCCCCAACCACCCCTTCACCTTGGTGACAGACGCCGAAAGGCCATCACGCCCGGTGCCAATTAATGAACATAAATCACGAAGAACATTGTCAAGTCTACTACCTGAATCAAGCATATTATCATAAGTTGTAACGTTATCATCACTTTTAACACTCTCAAGAACACCATGAAGGAAGGACATCACCCCGTCGCACAGCCTGTCAAGGTCGGAGTACACAATTCCTTTCCCATCGTAGCCCTTGGAAGTTTCATGGTAACCAAGGAACATCTCCAAGCCAGTGCACAGGTTAGTAAGTAAATTATGGGAATTATTAGGCACATTATTAGGGCGATTTGGGGGAATTTGGGGAAAGGTCAAATTAGGCCAAGGAGGCAGCGAGGGAGGTGGGTGGACAGGGCGAGGGAAGTGAAGGGGCGAAAGAGGGCGATGAAAGAGGAGGATGGGCTGAGGTAAGGCGATTTTGGAGGTGGAGGGAGAGAACGGAAAATGCGGATTTCGGTGGAGGACGCCGACGGAGGAGGTGATGGAGGAGGTGAAGGCAGGGAGCGAAGCGACCAGTGGAAGGGGAGGTGAGTGGGTGATTAGGTGGGTGAGTGAGTGGTTGAGTGGTTGAGTGGGTGAGTGAGTATGTGAGTATGTGAGTGAGTGGGTGAGTGAGTGAGTGGGTGGGTGAGTGGTTGAGTGAGTGGGTGAGTTGGTGAGTATGTGGTTGAGTGGGTGGTTGAGTGGTTGAGTGGGTGAGTGGGTGAGTGCGTGGTTGAGTGAGTGGTTGAGTGGGTGATACACAGATCACACGTGAAGGCACGATTATGGTGAGAAGTACTTGACGTTGGCGAGTGCCCTGACGCGTGCGGCGGCGAGGAGCGACTGGGCGGCGATGCGGTGGCTTGAGGGCGAGCGCAGGTGGGTGCGTATCCTCAGGACGTCGAGGCGGACGACGGCGATGTGCAGCAAGTACAGGAGCGAGAGCGACCAGAGGGCTAATAAGAGGTATGAGAAGGGTGTGCGAATAATCCAAAGGAATTCGTCACATTCTTTGAATAGGTCCTCGAAGTATTTCGAATTAAGCACTCTACTTAGTTGCTTTTGGAAGCTATAACACGTCATTCGTGTGTGAGTTTTATTCAGTTTTTTAGCATCATTAAAACAGAATCCATATTGATAAAAGGTGGCAGCCACACCTCTACATTTTACGATGGACGTGCAATTGCAGGACGATATGGCCGTCCCATGTTTTCCCTTTGTACAAATATCGCCACGAAGACACCCACTGCACCCCCATTCCTGGCAAAATATATTGCAGAAAGCATTATAGAGATTGCCAAGGAAGGTAAAGAAATCCCAAGGCAAGTAAACAACCCAGGAAAGGTAGGCGCCGGTGTGTTTGTTGGCAAGGTAGTACGTGTAATCCTGGCACAGTGACTGAAGGTAGGGGGCAGAATAAATGTTGTTGCTACATGTTTGCGATTCGGTGAGATGCATAAGATGAGAGCCATCGCAACTGGAATGAGGGGCGGAGGGAGAGCCATAAGCAGCGGTGAGAGCATCTGTAAGGTCCCCGGGCCGCTCGTAAAGGGTAATAGAGAGCCGGGTGGCAGATTCTGCAAATGCATCTTGTAATGTCTTTATATCATCACTCTTCTTCAGTTGCGTAGCGTTAAGACCCATCGCAAGCGACAGTGCAAAACCGAAGTGCTCAGGCAGCGTTGATGGTGGCCTAGGGGCAAGGGCGAATAGTGCTGTAAGATTGCGGATATTGAAGAATATTTCAATCGAATCATACAGGTTCTCACCAGTTTTGGTTGAGCCGGAAAACCCCCTGAAGCCAAGCGGGGTAAGGCAGGGCATTCCCAGCCTGGAGGTAGTAGGGCAGGTGGTACATTTGGGCTTACACCCAACAGTGATTAATTGGTGAGGCAAGTGGCCTGGTAACGAGTCGGATAGGTAATTCATCAGTGGAGAAGTTGGTTGACAATTTGGTTTAGTGTTTGCGTGGCAGTTTGCTTGGCACCTAGGTTGGCAATTTGGTTGGTTAGTTGGTTGTTCGTTACAGTGCGCTTTGGTTGTAGGGATGTCCTTGCCGTACATACAATCACGCCAACCGCTGTGCTTAGCAGCGACGCCACACCTGTTATGCAAGAATTTTAAAACATAATGCAACCTGCGCAGAATGTCCAGCAGCATATCTAAACAATCTGCACCGGATGTGGGATAGTGTAGATTAAGTGAATTATTGGAGTAGTCACAGGCGTACCCGCACTCAGCATCACCGTGACCGGCGATAGTGGTGAGTAGAGTATGCGAGTTGTACGTAATATCACGAATGGCGATTATTATGCGTCTGTATGATACGTTATACGGGTACCCTTTTAATCCTAATATGTGTTCAGGTATTTCGGAGAAATCTTTCCTTTTGTATTTCTCTGGTTTATCTAATGTAGTCTTAATGTGTGACTTAAGTTGCTCATAGACGCGGTTGTTAGGTAAGCCGCCAAGCCAACCAAGCATTTCATACACATTGCAAGGATGTTTATTGGCGGTGAATGCAGCTATGTGACCGACTTGAGAAAACTCTGTAAGGTGAGTGGCAAAACATTGAACAATGTCCATGACGCATATGTGTTCTCTAGGATTTTTAGGCGACGAACATGTTGTGAGGTGCGTAATTGCTTTGGCGCCGTCAATTGATACGTTGAGTTTTTGAAGAATATGCCCACCAATCATTCCTCCAGAACACCTTAATTCGCCGTCTTGCCCTGAGCCATCACCCTTGGGAACGCTGTATCCGAAACGTGTTAAAAACGTACCGAGTGGATTCTCCTTCCCATCGTTCAGTTCACATATTCTACTGAATTTGCAAGCATCGGTTTCGCACATTTTATTCAAATGGGCTAGATCGGCGTTGACAATGGAGATAATGCTGAGACAGATTTTGGCGTATGCATTTTCGTCCTTGGAGTCATATGTGTTCCCGGAATACGCAGAAATGTAAACTTTGCTCAATTCTTTCTCCAACATGTCGACGCCGCTTACAATAACATCTAGAATGGGAGATGTCAACATCGCAAAGCTGTACGGCTTCAAGCTGACAATTGAATCACGTAGCTTTTCACATAGCCCGGGCACCTTGTAGTCGTAGCCATGATTGTGCTTAATGTTATCAACTAATTTGCTGAGTGCGTTGAATACAGCGTGGAGCTTATTAGTGTATAAAGTCTCTTTGGCTGAAGGTTTCTGGTTCTTTTTGTTTTCTTCTGCATTAACTCGCACGATTTCTCCTAGGAGATATTCTGTGATTGGCCTGAAGAATAACTGATAAGCGGAGCACATGCCTATGAACGCTGCTTTCTTATCGAAGGATGGCGAAGACATAAGAGATACGAGATCTGTAAGCCTATTAATGCTCTCACTATCCCTTTTGCTAGGTTCCTTACTTCCATCTTCTAACGTCTTCATGAAGCCCTTGTAACCTACGGTCAAGTCATGATTTATGTCTTGAGGCAAAGTCTTCAACTCCTTTTCCACCTTGTCCGCAAAAGCCATTAATATGTCTTGGATGGTGGCAACATACCGCTTTCGAGCTTGGGCTGTTAAAGCATCAATGGCTGTGTGGACCTGTGAGTCCACACTATTGTTTAGATTTTCAACTGTTGTGCCGCAAAATGTGTCAGCTTGGCCAGCAAATGCGTCGGCCATTCCGATGACCGCTGCCAAATCCTTTTCTTTGAGGTCATGGAGTTTATTACGGATCCCTTGAAGTTTTTTGTCATCTCGAGAGGTTCCGTCATCCTTCCCAATATCTGCTTTAAGCTTCTGCAATCTCTGTCGTATACCACCTTGTTCATGGTTCTTAACGTCGCTGGGCTTCTCGTCAGATGCATCATTGTCGACCAGCCAGGCGATGTTCTTCAGTTCGGTGGTGATTGTTTCGACGAAGCCGGAGAGTTCTTTTTTCTTCTCATTTACGTTGGCTGTGGTGCCTGAGGGCGTATCGACGCAATTAGTGTCGACGAAAGCCTTGAGCGCCTTGTTGACTTTCTTGACGGCTGCATCGTACTTAGGTTGTGCGCCTTGACCGGTCTCGCCAATAACCTTCTCGAACTTATAACCATCCATTTTCTGAGCGTCGAACTTTTCGAAGGCTTCATCTTCACTGAAACCGTCTTTTTTAAAGGGCGCTTTAATAGTCATAATTAGGCCTCTAAGCTGACCTACGTTTCTGCCATCTGGTGTAGGATCCTTTTTAGTCTTGGCATAATAATCTTTCATGAGTGTTTCCAGATTCATATTTTTCTGATTCCCCTCTATGACCTTCGTTATCTTCCCGTGAATGTCGGTACCGATGGCGCCAAAAAAGGACGTGGGTTTTAATTGTGTATCTACTAGAATTTTGATTTCCTTTTTTATGCCGTCTAGAACACCCATTAGATGCTTTAACTTATCTTCTCCATTGCGATAATGTACTGGGATGTGGATGACGCTCTGCTCTAGATCTTCTTTTACTTTGTCAATCCATGATTTCAACTTCGTATCCGGTAATTGACTGAAGCTACCTGTGGCTCCACCACCGCGTATGAATAGGCTAGCAGCACTCGATTCATAATTCGTCCTTTCCAACTGTTCTACAAACCCATCAATTGCCTGCTTAATAAGTCTATCCCTAAGGTTTATCAACCCACCTTTTACATGATCATCCAACTTCGTAAGGCCATGCTCACCATCTTCTAACGCTTTGTTCACACCTTCAATCACACCCTTCTTCAAAGATAACAATTTCTTCTCATACACTTGTTCAACATCCCTAACCGCTCCCTCAATTCCCCTCTTCAACCCATCCAGCCCATTAAACGACGTCTCATACGCACTCAACAGATTTTCTCCTTTAGTTTGCAAGTCCTTTGCAGCTTCGCCAATCGGAGTTTGTGCATACTCTTTCCCCTTACTAACCTTCGGCAATATATCCTCCGTTATCCTGTCTTCCGCCGCCTGTATCACCGCCAGTGCAGCGGTAATCCATTTGTCCAAAGCTGCAACGTACTTTTCAAGGTTTTCTTTAATACTGTCTAATTTTGTTTTAATTGCGTCAACCAATTTTTTCAAATCTGCGACAAGGCTTTTTATGTTGGATGAAATTTGCGATTTTAGATTATCCCCGGCAGCTTCCAACACCTCTCTGACTCTTTTGGTCGCCTCATCCAAGTCACTTTTCTCTTGCCTCGACACTTTAACAAGCCTGTCATATTGGTAATAAATAACATCGTATGCATTGTTTATTTTAACATTAAGTTCACGATTTAAGTCGTTTATTTCCTGTCTAGCCAATTGTGTTCCTGACACGTAGAGCCTGGCATTTTCTCGACACTCAGCCACTAACTTCACGGTCCTTTTGACATGCTCCTCAGTAACATTTGCATAAGGCAGATTTTTTACGCTATTATCAAACTCACTGCCTTCTTTTACAAAGCCTTGTAGCTTTTCAATAGGCCTTTTCACCCTCTCATTACTCCCCTCCACATCCCTATTATACCTCCCGACACCCTGCGCCACCTGGCCAATGACTCTCTTAAAACCCTCATGACCTGAACACAAATAAGGTTCAACAAGCTTAACAACGTTCTCATTTAAGTAATCTTTTCCTACTTTGTAAGGCTGTTTATCGTGGACATTTTTAATCACCCCGTGCAAGAACGCCATCACCCCGTCGCAGAGCCTGTCAAGGTCCGAGTACACGATGCCGGTGCCGGTGTAATTCCCGTTACTGAAGCCGAGAATATTTTCGAGGCCTGTGCAGAGGTTATTTAATAATGTTGTTGAAGGATTATTTTAGGCACATTTTCAGGGCGATTTGGGGGAATTTGGGGAAAGGCGATTTTAGGTCAAGGAGGCAGAGGGGGGTGAGGGAGGTGGGTGGACAGGGTGAGGGAGGTGAAGGGGCGAAAGAGGGCGACGAAGGAGAAGGATGGGTGGAGGTAAGGGGATTTTAGGGGTGGAGGGAAAAGTGGAAAATGAGGATTTGGGTGAAGGACGCCGACGGAGGAGGTGATGGAAGGGGTGAAGGCAGGGAGCGCAGCGACCAGTGAAGGAGGGAGGTGGGTGGGTGAGTGGGTGAGTGAGTGGGTGGTTAGGTGAGTGGGTGAGTGATTGGTGGTTGGGTGGTTGAGTGGTTGAGTGGTTGAGTGGGTGAGTTGGTGAGTGGTTGAGTGGGTGAGTTGGTGAGTGGTTGAGTGGTTGAGTGGTTGAGTGGTTGAGTGGGTGAGTGGGTGGGTGGTTGAGTGGGTGAGTGAGTGATTAGGTGAGTGGGTGGTTGAGTGGTTGAGTGGGTGAGTGGGTGAGTGAGTGGGTGGTTAGGTGAGTGGGTGAGTGGGTGAGTGAGTGGTTGAGTGGTTGAGTGGGTGAGTTGGTGAGTTGGTGAGTGGTTGAGTGGTTGAGTGGTTGAGTGGTTGAGTGGGTGAGTGAGTGGGTGGGTGGTTGAGTGGTTGAGTGTGTGGTTGAGTGGTTGAGTGGTTGAGTGGGTGGTTGAGTGAGTGAGTATGTGAGTGGTTGAGTGGGTGGTTGAGTGAGTGAGTATGTGAGTGGGTGATTAGGTGGGTGAGTGAGTGGGTGAGTGGGTGGGTGGGTGAGTAGTTGAGTGGGTGGTTGGGTGGTTGAGTGATTAGGTGGTTGAGTGGTTGAGTGAGTAGGTGGGTGGTTGTGTGGGTGAGTGGGTGGTTGAGTGGGTGGTTGAGTGGGTGAGTGGGTGGTTGGGTGGTTGGGTGGGTGAGTGGGTGAGTGAGTGAGTGGGTGATTAGGTGGGTGAGTGGGTGAGTATGTGAGTGAGTGAGTGATACACAGATCACACGTGAAGGCACGATTATGGTGAGAAGTACTTGACGTTGTTGAGTGCCTTGACGCGTGCGGCGGCGAGTAGCGACTGCGCGGCGATGCGGTGGCTTGCGGGTGATCTCAGGTGGGAGCGTATCCTGAGGACGTCGAGGCGGACGACGGCGATGTGCAGCAGGTACAGGAGCGACAGCGACCAGAGGGATAATAATAATGACATGAAAGGGAATCTAATTTCTTTCAAAAATTCATCGATAGCGTCGAATAGTTTGACAAGAACAGATTCCGCATCTAGTACTTTTTCCAGCACGTTGCAAAAATCATTGCACGTTCTCCTGTATCTAACTTCGTCTGTGCCATTCAGCTTCTTGCGGTCCAGCAACATGAATCCATATTTGCATAAAACCGATGATGTAGTGCTGCACTGTATAATGGATTTACACGAGGGATCGTGATTTGCGGTTGACGATTTGTCATTAAAATTGCAGTTTTGTGGACACTTTGCGATACGGCATCTTGCCTTATCACCTCCACATGTTTTGCTGCAGTCGTCATATAATTTCTTAAGCAGATCATAAAAGGTTTCCGTAATGTATACGATCCACGAAAGGTATCTGCCCGCATGTTTCTTAGAGAATGTGCCGCTGATATCATTGCTTATGGAGTTCAAATAGAGACCGCACGTGGCCGCCGTTTTAGAGCCGCAAACGAGACTGATGAGGTCACCGGTTGTATGCGTTTTCGATTTTACTGAGTGAGTACTGTGGAATATAGAGGAAACATTTAGGTGCTTATAAGGACGCTCGAAATTTGCTCTATTTACTGCGTCCTCAAAAGCATCTCTTCTGTGCGGACCACTGCTGGCCCACTCAGAGAGGAATTTCTGGTAAAATCCGAACATGTCGTCAAGCGTCTGAGGCGGCCTGCTCAAGACACATGTTAATTTGGAGCACAGTTTAGTGAGAGGCGAAGCCGAAGTGCCGCAGAAAATTTTAAGCGTACGGTAGAGTCGGGAACCCTTACTCATACGTGACGCTGTAACACTGATGTCTGCGAAGCCCATTGGCGTTTTGCACGGAACACCTCTGTGATTTGGAGCATCACAGGAAACCTTGCAATTTGACTTGCTATATGGGTGCGGTAGAAAGCCTGGTAACCCATCTTCAAGGAACGATTGTAAAGGCGACTTGACACCGCACTTAGGGTGTTGCTTACACTTTTGGGTAACCATTTGGTCACACATTTGGTCAGGACATTGATACTGGTTACACTTCCATGCTGACCCGCCAACACCCTGGCCGTAATGGCATTCGGCCCAGCCGCCATGACTTGTACCATTGCAACACTGCTCAAACAAGAAGCGTAATTGATGGAACAGTCTATTTAGTATTTCTGCGAGTAACTGAATGCAAGCGCCGGGGTTGGAGGGATAGGAAAATTTATCTGGGTTCGTATTAAAGTCGACGGCATATATTCCGTCTGCGTGCCCGTAGCCTAAGAAGGAAATCAGCACATCGTAGGAATAGTGACATACCTCCGCAAGGGAGTCGGATAGTTGCGAGGCTGTAACGTTCTCCGGATAGGCTTCCAGGGTGTCGGGGTCTTCGACATCAAAAGCGATATCGTCTCCCTCGCTGTCGCCGGGTTTCTTCTCCGGCTTCTCGAACAGGTCACTAAAACCGGTAAGTGATAATTGTGGATAGACGGGATTGTGAGTGAGGCCGGTCAGCCAACGAAGCATGTCGTACACGGAAGAGGGATGCCTGGAGGACGGAATGGATATGTGTGAAACAGTGAAGTATTTATGAAGGTAATCAAATAATTTGGCAACTGGGCCATCATGTTTTCTGAAATATTCAACGCAGTCATCGAGAGAATCAAAATCACTGGGGACTTTATTAAATTCACCATATGCATTGAAGCCGTCAAACAATTTTCCGGTGACACGTAATGCACTGTATTGCTTATTAAGATTATCAATTTTGTAACCTGCACTTTCCAAATATTTTCTCAAGTCATCTCCATTTTTGCCACCTTGTATACTACACTTTTGCCACTTCGTAGTGCACTCATTGAACAAGTGATACAATTCATTGAAAAGCGTCATCACGGAAGTAAGGAATACTTTGCCACAATTTTTGCCTTCCTGTGATATTTCATCGGCTTTTTTGCCTTTCCAAGTAACGGGCGCAGCTCCGTCGTACCTGGAGATGTACACGTCGCCAAGCACTTCGACCAACTGCCGACAGCCACCGGAGATGCCGCCCAGCATTACTGTGACCGGGTTGGGGAAGCCGTCTAGTTTCAGGTCGGAGAGTGTGGCAGTGAGTTCAGCGAGCTTAGTGGGCAATTCATTATCATATTTATTTTTTGTGTAAATATGTGTAATTAGCGTGCTAAGTGAGGAGTAAACTTTATTAAGTTGTTTGCTATATGGGTCTTGGGATTTCTGCAGTGAAGGATTTTTCTTGTGTTCCTCCTCTTTGAGACGATCTATTTCCCTGATGATATATGTGTTGAGGGGCCCGAGGAATTTCTCGAAGCTGTGGCAGACAGTCCGGAGATCGACGGGATTTTCAAGCTTGTTAATATTGTCGCCGGAGTTAGCGCCGTAGAAGGCCTCCATGAAGCCTTTCAGGCCGATGTGCTTGTCGTTCTCAATCAGCCCCGGCAACTCACTGAGCTCCCCCGTCACCTTTTCGGCGAACTGCTGGAGCGCGAACTTGAGGGCCTCGACGTACTGCCTGCGCGCGTGGGTGGTGAGTTTGGCTTGGGCGGAGTTGACTTCTTGTTTGACATGTCTTGTGAGTTGGTCGACGATGTCTTTGCTGTGATGATCGATGTATTTAATTAAATAATCTGCGTTTTTTATGGGACCCTGGTCCATCTCGTTTTGCAGTTTCGCCAGTTGGTCGTAAATTTTTTGGAGCGTTCCGTCGTTAACTGTGACGCCTTGTTCTTTCTTGCCGATCATTGTATGAAGCTGTTTTACTTTCTCGTTGAGAGACGTGCCGACCTTTTTGAACGCGTCAATCAGTTTACTGAGGTTGGACGTAATATCGGCGGACCATCTTTTGCGCTTCTCTTTTGTCGAATCCTTTTCTAGTACGTTTGCTTCACCTTTGATTGCATCGACGGCCGGCGCGAGCGTGCTGGTTTTGTGCGCTTTGTAAGATGTCAAGGTCCCTTCGACGTCGATTTCTTGACCAATATTCTCTTGCGTTTTCTTAAAAGTACTACCAACACTAGCCGCAAGACCATCAATCGCATTCTTAATGGTATTTTCGAAAGTGTTCACCAACATTTTGAGGCCCTTGGCGTTATTGTTTGGTTTCTTACCACCGTAATCAACGTCGAACTCCTTTACACTATCTACACAATCTTTTATCTTCTCTAATTTTTCTTTAATAGCCTCCGCCACACTCTTTACCTCCTCCTTTACTTTCTCCCTGATCTTTTGCATGACTGCCGTGACGACTTGCTCGGAGTGTTTGGTTACGTCCTGAGCAACGCTGCCCAGGTGGGTGAGAAGGGACCGGATGTCATCTTTGGTAATGACTTCTGTACTCCCATTTAATCTGGAGATCACAGTTTGAATGTGTTTTGTGTACCTTGCGAGATCAAGTTTAGTAACGTTTTTCATATCAACTCCGACAATCGCAATGCCCTGGATATCGGGCGATGGAACTGCCGCATTCAGAACCTTCTGGACCTCTTGGAGTTGCTTTCTAATATTTAATTTAAGACTCGCAAATGCTTTATCCAAATCTTTGGGCTGGACACTACCAATAAGTCTAATGCCCTTTCCAATTTCTGCCATAACTTCCTTCACGGGCGTCATAACTTTATCTTCCAGCTGCTTAAAATATTTAATGAGTGCGCCAAATGGTTCCCCATTAAGCGATTTCAGGAATTCCATTTTACCTGCCAGATCTTCGATATCATTTAGCTCCTTAAACTTCTCCATATCGCTAAATACCTTCCCAATCGCAGTGTCAAGCGCTCCTTTTGTCGCTCTAAACTTATTCAAAAACCCTTCCGAATTGCTTTTAATAGTACTGACGGGTTCATAAATCTTCCATTCCATCCTCCCCAAATCCGTTTTAAGCTGCACATCTATCTGCTGAACGGCCGTTTTAACTTGTTCCGCAGCCTTAGTAAGCTGCGGAATATAACCGTCAAGCCAAGTACTCCACGGTCCTATCTCTTCCGCAATTCTTTTAATCTCATCCTCCATCAGCCATCCAACATGATTTTTATCCGCAATTTTCGACGCCCCCTGTATGGCTTCGTCAACAATTCCGTCCGCCTTTCTAATCCATTCCTGCAACTCGTTAATGCGTTGTGACAAATCCTTACTAATTCTCTGAAGCTCCTTCAAAATCTCTTGGACCCTTCTCGTTAACTCATCCAGAAGCTTTTTCACATCTTCACTAATTTTATTATTTACACACGTCTGAAGAGCACTAAGAGCATCACTAATTTTACTTTTCGTTTTTTCGAATTCACTATTATGTTGGACACGCATGGTCTCTAGTCTACCACTCTCATACTGCACTGTCTTACGCACGCTCTCAAGCTTATCTTTCAATTTAGCATTTAGGTCGTTGATTGATTCCTTTATATTACTGTTTTCAGTGTCTAAGTTATTAGTGAATGTCTCAGCATTTTTCTTGCATTGTTGAAGTTTCTCATTAATTTGCCTTTCGGCCTCCGTGACGTCCTTTTCAGTAGGCTCTACCTTCTTACCTGAAACAACATTATCATTCAATATAAAACTCACCGCTTTTTTGAAGCTCTCGTCGACTTGTTTCTGCAATGTAGTAACAACACTTTTCACAGCATCATTTGATTTGCTAACATTCACATTATATGCACGTACACCACCGGCCACCGCGGCTATCGCCGCCTTGTATTTAGTAATACCATTAAGTTTTGTGCTTTTAAGTTCGCTAAGTGCGCTATTTAAAGAGTCTTTATGCTGGCCTAATTTAGGCTGAATGTTATGCAAAACACCATGAAGGAAAGACATCACCCCGTCGCAGAGCCTGTCAAGGTCGGAGTACACGATGCCGGAGCCGTCGTAGCCTTTGGAAGTTGAATTGAAACCAAGGAACTTCTCCAGGCCAGAGCACAGGTTAGTAAGTAAATTATGGGAATTATTAGGCACATTTTTAGGGCGATTTGGAGGAGTTTGGAGAAAGGCGATTTTAGGTCAAGGAGGCAGTGAGGGAGGTGGGTGGACAAGGCGAGGGAAGTGAAGGGGCGAAAGAGGGCGATGAGGGAGGAAGAAGGGTTGAGGTAAGGCGATTTAAGGGATGGAGGGAAGAAGTGGAAAATGAGGATTTGGGTGAGGGACGCCGACGGAGGAGGTGATGAGGGTGAGGCAGGGAGCGAAGCGACCAGTGGAAGAGGGAGGTGGTTGAGTGGGTGGTTGAGTGGGTGGGTGGTTGAGTGAGTGAGTGGGTGAGTGAGTGAGTGAGTGAGTGAGTGAGTTGGTGAGTGGGTGAGTGGGTGAGTGGTTGAGTGGGTGAGTGGGTGAGTGGTTGAGTGGTTGAGTGGGTGGTTGAGTGGGTGGTTGAGTGGGTGAGTGGGTGGGTGAGTGGGTGGGTGAGTGGTTGAGTGGGTGAGTGAGTGGGTGAGTGGTTGAGTGGGTGAGTGAGTGGTTGAGTGGGTGAGTGGTTGAGTGGGTGGTTGAGTGGGTGGTTGAGTGGGTGAGTGAGTGAGTGGGTGGGTGAGTGGTTAGGTGAGTGGGTGGGTGAGTGAGTGAGTATGTGAGTGAGTGGTTGAGTGAGTGGTTGAGTGAGTGGTTGAGTGGGTGGTTGAGTGGGTGGTTGAGTGAGTGATTATGTGAGTGGTTGAGTGGGTGGTTGAGTGGGTGAGTGGTTGAGTGAGTGGTTGGGTGTGTGAGTGGTTGAGTGAGTGAGTGGTTGAGTGAGTGGGTGGGTGAGTGAGATTCAGATCACACGTGAAGGCACGATTATGGTGAGAAGTACTTGACGTTGGCGAGTGCCTTGACGCGTGCGGCGGCGAGGAGGGACTGCGCGGCGATGCGGTGGCTTGAGGGCGATCTCAGGTGGGAGCGTATCCTCAGGACGTCGAGGCGGACGACGGCGATGTGCAGCAGGTACAGGAGCGACAGCGACCAGAGGGCTAACAAGAGGTATGTGAAGGGTGTACGAATGGCCCAAATGAAGTTATCAATTTCGTCAAATAATTCTTTGAAATATCCTCTGTGCAGCACTCTTGTCAACTGCTTTACGAAACTGTCACATGTCTTCTTGCTTCCGGATCCCATTAAATCTTTCGGTAATCCGAATGTGAAACCATATTGGTAGAATACGGACATAGGTCCTTTGCACTGAACTATTGAATGACAACTGCAGCTTTTTTTGGGAGGCGTCGGCACTTTTTTAGGTTGCGATGTATCTTCCTCAGTGACGCCGTGTTTACCAAAACCGCATTTGCATGTACACCCATATGATTGACAAGAGATGTCATTGAACGCCTTGAGCAACTGATCAAGCAAATCCCAGAATGTCCATGCCAACCGGCAAAGCCATGCCAGATACAAGTTTGCGTGTTTCGCAGGGTATGTGTGACAGGCGTCATGGCAGAGAGCCTTGAGGTAGGGAGCACAGGTAGTGTTATTAAGAGAGCATTCTCTTAAATCAGCAGTACTAGAAATTTGCGATATGCTCCAAAGGTCACAATGACTTTCATCTTGTAGTTGATTGTTGTGAGAGCTACTACAAGATAACTCGCTAAATTTATTGGTGAGATTGGAAGCACTGTATCTGTTGTGAAGCCATGTCTCGAACGGGAAGCTGCCGCGGATGGCATCATCAATTGCATTTTTATGTTCATTGTAAAAACCATACACTGAACCATACGATTTCTGGAAAATGTTACAGAAGTACGAGAGCATCTCTGCCAAGCCCTTCGGCGGAGAGGGCGATATGCATTGTAATGCGTGCACTAATTCACAGAGAACTGAGGCGCCGTTTTTACAAAGGTCAGCAAGCAGATCAACAAGATCCTCGCCACGGCCTGTAATAGAGCCCGCAGTTGCCAAATCTGCAAAGCCCATCGGGGTGATACACTGCCCAACCAGTGAGCCCTTAGGGCACGTTGAGCAAGTGGGCTGGCAACCGACAGCTGTGAACTTATGTGGCATGAAACCAGGAAGCCCGTCCATAAGATGGGCTTGAAGCGGGGACTTTGGTAAGCACTTTGGTTCACTATTTGGTTGGCTATTTGGTTGGCTATTTGGTTGGCTATTTGGTTGGCACTTAGCTTGACTCTTTGGTTTAGTGATTGAGTCATCGATTGACTTGTCGCAGTCCCAGTGGTAGGTGCCGACGCGGTAACCATATTGACACTCACGCCACCCGTTGCCTTCCAATGCTGTGTACTTACAACGTTGGTATAAGAATGACATTGCACGCAACAAACGAGTACACATATATTTCAACATGTCAAGCAACGACGACGGATCACCCGGGTAATAGAATTGTCCGTGGTTGTTCTCAAAGCAACAGGCATACGGATACGCAGCGTAGTCATAGCCACAGCCATTGCCCTGGATGGAGACTAGTAATCTATGTGCCAATTTACATAAAGTTTTAATGTTACCGTGAAGGTAATCCAAGGATCTCTTCATGACTTTATCATCCTGGTTGGGGAATGCACCGGTCGATTTGTCTTGCTCATTGAGCATCTTTGTGCAGTGCCCCTTAATTGTTTTATAAACTGCAGTGTGAGGAAGGCCGGAAAGCCATACACAGATATCACGCACGGAACACGGATGCTTTTTGGACTTCGGGAGTCCGAGGTGGCAAGATTGGTAGTATTCATTAATGTGAGATGTGAGACATTTAAGTAGGTCAAAGAGATCAAATAGTGATTTCGCCGTTTGGCCTTCGTGATGTTTTTCTTTTACGCACGCATTAAGGTGTGAATTATTATGGGTGTCGGTTATTGACGCAACAAGTTTCCCGAAAACGTCTCCCCCCCTCATCTCTTGATGACATCTCAGCTCTCCTTCATAGGGCTCTTCCAACTTGGACACCCTGTAGCCGCAGTCCCTGAAAAATGCGCCGAGGGGATTATAGACGCTTGGCTTGGATATGAGGGAAATTTTGTTTTCCCTGCAATCACCTTTCTTCTTGTCGCATCTCTTATAGAGCTCACGCAAATCGTGATCCAGAGTCTTGAGAATGGTGAGGAGGATGTGGGCGCATTTCATCGCCTTTTCCGACGGCTCTTTTTTCAGAGTTGGAGGATTATTCTGTTTCGTCCACTCAAAGCTCTCCGCAGCCCCCGAGTACCTGCTGACGTACTGCTTGCGTAGCTCCTCGTGGAGGTCCGAGACGCCGCGCCTTATGACGTTGAGATGCGTAGGATTTACGCCCTGGCCGAATTCAGTGGCGCTTAGGGCGGTGACGGCATCTTTGAGTGCGGCTAATTTTTTGTTGAACTCGTAGTCGAAATTGTATTTCTTACCGTCATGGGCTTTGAGGTGGTCGAGCAGGGAGTCTACATTTTGCTTGATGTTTCTTATTTGACCAGATTGTTTATTCCCTTGTTTATCAAGCGTCTGATCTCCTTTCGGAGTCATGACCTGATACTCAACGTATTCCAGTATTTGATCTAAGTACTTCTCGAACGTAGCGGATAAAGCTTTGAACTTTTTGGAATTCTCCTGCGGTTGTGCAGTGGACGTTTTGAAAATGTCTTGCATTTCACTAAGCTTCTTACCTTTGTTTTTATTCACCCACATTAGCAGGCCCTTAACACCGTTCATCTTATCATCCCTTATGATCTCGGTGATCAAAGACGTTTGTTTGGTGACTAGTTGCCTTAATGCTTCCAGGTCAGATTTGTGCTGTTCTGCAAAAAGGATTCGTATGTCTATGGTAATTGTTTTGAAGGCGGTTTCAACCTGCGAAAGAAGATGTTGATTTAGATCGGAGATGGCATTGTTGATATCCGAATTGGCAACGGATATTGCTTTCCTGACGGATTTTATGGCTGCATTTAATGCTGTATCGGCCGAGTTCACATTGGCTTCGATGTTATTAAAATGACATTGTATCTCCTCCTTTAACTTCACCAACATCTCTCCAGTTGTTTGTCCCTCATGCTGAATCTCCCCGGGCACCTCCTCAAGTTGCTCAATCTTACTAATAATGGATTGAATGACACGTTGGGCTTCCGATCTATTTTGGAAATACTTCTGAAACGGACCACTGTCGATAATATTGAATTGTGAATGTTCGTTAATATCCTTACCGTTGTTGAAGAATTTTGCAAGGCTTTCTTTAATCTGGTCAATTTTGGTCTTGAGGTTGTTTGGTTCTCCAGGGTTTGTAACCCACTTGTGGTAATTTTCCATTAGTCCATTCTGACCAAGATTTATAGCGGTTTGACTCTCTCCAATCTTAGTATTCAGCGCCTGATTAATTTGTCGCATGATACCATCACCGAGATTACTACCAGTGTCGCCTGGTTGCGGGGTAAGCGCGTCCTTAAGCTTCTCGCCAATCCCCTTAACAGCCTCCATAACCGCGTCTATCTTGCTAACATGGGAATCATCTTTGAATCTCTGTATTTCTTCTGGAAGTCTTTTGGCCAGCGCAGTTATAGCAGCAATGACAACCTCGAGAGCAGATTTAAGATAGTCGTTTTTGGTGGTAGGAGACCTGTTGCTTGCGACCGTATCCGCAATATCACCGGCAATATCATTGAGTTTATTATTTGTAGTAAGCGCTCTAATGATCTCTCTTTCAATGTCATTAGCAAACACTCCAAATTTTCCTGTCAATTGACTCAGGTGTGTTACAGATGTAAAGTTCACACCCTTCGCAACCTCATTAACGTAATGTTGCATGATCTGTTGCAAATAGCCCTTAATTGCAGTTTTGACTTCATTAATTTGCCCATCCGTACCACTTCCTCTCACCTTACTCTTGTTTTCTGTTTCCTCAACATACCAATAGATATATGTGCTTACAGCATCACTCTCCACCATCTTGTGAAGCATCCCATTAACCGCCTCCCTAAATTTTTGTTCAAACAAACGCGCATACTTGCCGGCTCCAGAAACAATTTTTTCTAAATGCCCTTCAGGTTTCGAAGCCTTGTGATCGTCCTGTCTCGCAATTTCATCAGTAAACTCTTCGAGCTTATCTTTTATAAGCGTAGGCATCTCATTCCTAACGTAGCTATTCAACTCACTCTTAATACGATTCTTTAGCCCTTCCAAATCCTCCTGCACTTTATGATCCAATTGATTAAGTGCACTGCTGACATCAGTTACAGCTGAACTAATTGCGCCGCCGATTGCGTTGGCGCCCTTTTGAAGCTTGGAGTCTAGTGCTTTAATGTGCTCCTGGACTTTACTGGCTAGCTTGTAAAGCATTGACATTTCTTCTAAGGCACCCGCCTTGCTATTCTTAGGGTCAATGTACCCCAATTTGGCTTTAATCTTTTTAAACCTATCAGAGATTGGAATATTATACGTCTTATCGAATTTCAGAACAAACTCACAAACAGCAGAATTGAGGTTCTCGACAACATTTTTAATATGCCCAAACTGCCCGGATCGTAAGCCTTGCAGTTCATTAATTTCCTGGCATATATTCGCGAATTTCTCGCAAATATTCTCCAGTTGAACTGTAGAGAATTCCTCAATCTGCATAAGCACATTTTCTTTGTGCTCGTCTAACTGCCGATCCACAGCCTGGCACGCCGCCATGACCTCATCGCTAGCTGAGTTCTGTAGGTGCTCGACAACCTTAGTTATCGGCTTCATCTCTGCGTCTATTTTACCTCTAAGTGCGCTATCTAACTCATTAACTTTTGTTTCTACATCTCTACTAAGTGCGCTAGAAATCTCATTAAGTGTCCCCGTCCACGCCGCCAGCTGGCTGGCAAGTGGCTGGCCGGCTTGCTCGTTGACTTGATTGTAGAAGTTTTCACCTGCAACAGAATTAGACCCATCATGTAACTTACCTATAAGTGTAGATAATCCATCGGTCACTGCTTTTGTCTTGTTGCCAACTTCCTCATTATATTTCCCCAACCACTCCTTCACCTTGGTGACAGACGCCGAAAGGCCATTACGCCCGGAGCCAATTGAAGATTGGAGATTTTGAAGGACATTATGTAAACCATCATTGTTGTTTAATTTAATGTAATTATCGTACATTTTAATAGCATCATCCTCCTTCACAGTCTGGAGAACTCCATGCAAAAACGCCATCACCCCGTCGCACAGCCTGTCAAGGTCCGAGTACACAATTCCTCCTCCGGTGTAATTACCATCCTGGTAGCCGAGAAATTTTTCGAGGCCTTCAGTAAGGTTATTTAATAATGTTTCACAATTATTATTATCATTATTCTGTTTCAATGTCTCAAGTTTCTTTTTAAGCTCCTCAAGCTTCTTATGCTGAGCACAGTCACAAGGGGGATTGCACTGCGGATGATTTTTGCAGGTTTCACAGTCTTTATGCTGCTTTGTAAGCCTCTCAATTTCTTTATCAATTAGTGTATTAACGCTATCTTCACCGCCACTAAACTGTGTAAGCTTCACAATAACATCAATGCCATCATGCACTTCCCCCTCAAGGGAGGACGCACGCTGGTCGTCCATGAAATGGGACTTAGTGCAGTCATCTTTGTTGGATTTATAGCGCTGTATTTCAGCTTCTAAAGAGGATATTAGAGATTTATCAGAGTCTTTATCAAGTGATTTAAGTTGTTCATTTTTGGACTTAATGTCCCTATCAAGCTGACTACAGTAGGAGTCAGCAGCGTAGGGATTTGGGGAGCAAGAGAGCTTGCCGGATTTGTGTTGAAGGGAAGTTGCAGCCTTAGATATGGCGTCATTAATCAACTTTTTCAAAGCTGCAGCCAACTTATCAAGACCCTGACCATTACCATTCCCATGCTTAACCTGTATTAGCCAGTCGATGGAGGCCGACGAAGGAGGCCGAGAAGGGAGGGCAAAAGAGGTGAGAGAAGAAAGTGGAAAAAAGGTTAAACAGGATATTAAAGGAGGTGAAATGGACACTTTTGGAGAATTTTAGAATTTTTTGAGAAAGGCGATTTTAGGTCACGGAGGCAGCGAGGGAGTGAGGGAGGTGGGTGGACGAGGCGAGGGAGGTGAAGAGGCAAAGAGGGCGATGAGGGAGGAAGATGGGTAGGGATGAGGCGATTTAGGAGGTGGAGAGGAAAGGTGGAAAAAGAGGTTATGGGTGAAGGACGCCGACGGAGGAGGTGATGGAGGGGGAGGGAGAAGGGAGCGAAGCGACCAGTGAAAGGGGAGGTGGGTGAGTGGTTGAGTGAGTGGTTGAGTGGGTGGGTGAGTTGGTGAGTGGTTGAGTGGGTGAGTGATTAGGTGAGTGGGTGAGTGATTAGGTGAGTGGGTGAGTGAGTGTGTGAGTGGTTGAGTGGTTGAGTGGTTGAGTGGGTGGGTGGTTGAGTGGGTGGGTGGGTGGTTGAGTGGTTGAGTGAGTAGGTGATACACAGATCACACGTGAAGGCACGATTATGGTGAGAAGTACTTGACGTTGGTTATTTTCCCAACCCTTGCAACGGCGAGGAGGGACTGCGCGGCGATGCGGTGGCTTGAGGGCGATCTCAGGTGCGAGCGTATCCTCAGCACGTCGAGGCGGACGACGGCGATGTGCCGCAGGTAGAGGAGCGACAGCGACCAGAGGGCTAACAATAATGTCATGAAGGGGAATCTGATCTCGTTCAAAAATTCATCGATAGCATCGAATAGTTTGACAAGAACAGAATTCTCTTCAAGCACCTTCTTCAGCACGTTGCAGAAATCATTGCACGTCCTCCTGTATTCCGTGTGCTCCGTACCACTCAGCACCTGTCGGTTGGTGAACATGAACCCATATCTGCAGAGAACCGATGACGTATTCTTGCACTTTATAATTGAACTGCAACCAGATTCGTGATTTGAGTTTGGTGATTTCTCGGTAGCAGTACATGATTGTGGGCATTTAGCAATACGGCATCTTGCCTTATCACCGCCACATGTTTTATTGCACTCCTCGTACAACTGATGGAGTAAGCTGTAGAACGTTTCACTTAAGTAGACAATCCATGATAAATATCTGCCAGCATACTTCTTTGAATATATGCGAGCGATATCATTGGTGAGGGATTGCAAATACGGACCGCATCTGCCGCGCAACTTAGAATCGCAAATAAGGCTGAAGAGATCACCATTGGGATGTCCCATGGATCTTGATGTGTGAGTGCTGTGAAATACGGAATTGACTTTCAAGCCGTCATAAGGACGTTTGAAATTCGCTGCGTTGACGGCATTCTCAAATGCCTGTTTTTTATGTCGCACACCAACATCGCTACCTCTGCCTTTGCCGTGCCACTCATTAAGGAAATTATAATAGAATGCCCACATGTCGTCGAGTGACTGCGGAGTGCGATGGAGGAGACACTGCAAGTAACTGCAAAGTTGACTCAGTGGCTTACTAGATCGGCTGCAGAAATCACGAAGCACATCGTAAATATGCTTTCCAGTTTTCCTGTGGGACGCGGTAACGGCGATTTCAGGGAAGCCCATAGGCGTCTTACATGGCGTGCTAGGTGACGACTTGGGACAGTTGGAACATGTAAAGCTTGTCCCTATAAATGATACCCTGTGTGGTAAGTAACCTACAAGGCCGTCCTCTAAAAAGGACTGTAACGGTGATTTCACGCCACAAGTAGGATGCTGATCACAGCGTTGGTCAGCTGTTTGGTTACCCTTTTGGGTAGCACCTTGCTTGGCACTTAGCTTGCACTCTTGGTTAGTGCATTGGATAGAGTTACACTGGAATGACGAACCACCGATTTGGTTGCCGTACCAACACTCTCTCCAACCGCTTTGGTCGGAGTCATATCTGCATTGTTGGTACAGGAACTGGAGCTGTTGGTGCAGCCGTTTGGCAATCTCATATAACAAACACAGCAACTGTACCATGGAACTAGGGTAGTACAGCTTCAGTGAATTGTTGGAGAACTCAACGGCGTAGACACCGCCTGCGTGACCATTGCCCAGTATGGAAGTGAGCACGGGATACGCCTTCTCACACATCTCTGTCAAGGCTTTTACCGTGCCGGTTGCAGTAACGTCTGCCGGATACGCTTCGATGGGCTTAATTGATTTGCCATCTGGGTGATCCTTATCGGCCACCGTGAATTCGGACTCAATGTGCTTCTTAAATTTGTCAAATACAGTATTAAACTGGAAACCGCAACACCACGCAAGCATTTCGTAAATGGAACATGGCAGTTTGGGTGAGTCTAAATGAGTGTGGTGGCAGACTTCGAAGTAATTCTTAAGCCAATCATATAGTTTTGGGATGACACCAGCTTCGGCCGATTCGACTTTAAGAACGTCATCACCAAGCTGCTCGGAATCGTCCGTAAGTGATTGTTTGTTACTCTCAAACAATTCACATGTATCACCATCAAGAAGTGCAAGAATACTGCTACCTTTAAAGGTATTTTTATGATTAAGTTCGCCGCTGTCGGCATTGTCGCTAAGAGTGATATCGTAACCATTTTCACGGAAGAACACGCTACTTAGGTCAGACTTGCGTTGCGCAGAGTTATACATTTTATACTTTGACCATGCACTTTTGTCATTCTCAAGCTTCTGCTTAAGCTCAGTCAACGTGTTGAATACAATGGGAACTATGGTGAGACACGCCTTGGCACAGCGCTCGCCGTCCGGCGTCAGCTTAGTTTTGGGGGCGCCAGTCGACTTGCTTGCCAGGTCAGCAGGCAGAGGTTCAGTCCACTTATCGATCGGCTCAGCGCCCTCGTAGGCGTTTATGTAGCACTTGGACAGCACGTCGGTCAGCGCCGTCATTCCGTCCTTGAGGGACTGTAACAGGGCAGTGGACTCTTCGCCGAACTGTTTAGGTGTTAGGTCATTAAGCTTGGATTTTAGGGTGTGTAGGTTATCGGTGTACGTGGGATCGAAGTGTTGTGAAGTGATAAGTTTAGTGAACAACGCTGTCAGAGCCTTCCGAGTGGACTCTATTTTTGAAGCGTCGGACGTAAAGTCCGACTGAGATTTTAGTTCTTGTAAAAAATAATTAAAGCTGTGATTGAACTTTGAAGAAAGTTCAAGGAATTTAACTTCCTTAATAGGCTTCTTGTTGTACTCGTTGAAATTGGGAATAAACCTCTCTTCCACCTTCTTCATGAACCCCTTGGCGCCTTTGTCCGCGTCCGCGGTGATTTTGTCCGGCAGCCCGTTGAGTTCATCCTGGCATTTTGCGGCGAAGGCTGTCAGTTGTGCTTTCATGAACGTGACGTATTTTGCTTTGAGGTCCTGGGTGATGGCGGATTCGGCAATTCCGACTTGCTTGATGACATGTTGCTTGAGGGCTTCAATAATTTTCTTGCCGGCTTTTTCGGCGTCCTCATTGAGGAATTTGTAGACGGCCTTAATGGCAGTGTCTAGTGTCTGACTCTGTAGAATGTGAAGATGATTTTTAATTTCGTTAAGACCCATCTGCTTCTGCGTCTTACCGGAAACACGAACTTCATCTGTGAACATAAGCTCCCTAAGCTCCTTCAAGCGGTCCTTTACGTATCCGCCGGTCTTTTTGATATCGTTGCATAGGTCACCAATTCTTATGCCGATCATACCAGCCGGGCCTTCGATTGCGGATCTCGCCGCTTGGGCGGCCGTTTCAAGGGAGGTAACGTCGTTGTCAACCTTATGAGCTATTCTGTCAACAACTAGTGCAATTTCACCCTGCACCGTCTCGATACCTTTATTTACTGCCTCTCTCAAGAGGTCTTTTAGTTTGTCTTTCACAGCGGAATTGGCCTGTTTTGCGATGGCCTCTCCAAGTGCTTCGACAATTTCCTGGTATATTTTAGAAGCAGGGGGATCTCCATGCCATGCAGTTTTAGCAGTTCTTAGATTCTGTAAAAATGATTCTAATTTCGCACCAAGACCACTTTGGTCTCCGATGGCATTTCCAATCCACTTGCCAACGTCCTTCAACTTTCCCAACTCTCCTATCTCCAAAGCTCGGAGACCAGGAATACCGCCGCCACCTACAGCTGCTGTCACACCATCACTCAACGCCCCTGCCAAAGTTCCAAAATATTTCTCAACGTCCAGTTTGATTTGATACATAAGCTTACTCATGTTACCATTCACACTCCATCTACCTTGCCTGAAACCTTCAAATGTATCCGGCACCTCCTTCATAACCTTGTCCTCCAGATCATTCAGTTGCTTAACCACGCATTCTTTTGTCTCACCACGTCCGTTCTCTCCCCTTATATATTCGAAAACACTATTATACTTCTTCTTCATTTCCTCAAATTGCTCATGAAGCTTGCCTGCTTGCGTATCAATAGTCCCGGCCGCATCCTTAATACACTTATAATTATTACTTCCGCCTCGTTCCGGATCCTTCACTTCCTTTTCAATTGCTTCGACGTGTCTCTCGGCGAATTCGATAACCTTCTTCGCCTCCTCAATCCACGACGCCAACTTCTCCACGTACCCTACCAGAGCAATATTTATATCTTCAAGCTGATCTTTAATCTTACGGATATCAGATTTCAAATCTGAAACAAGCTTCTCAACATCTCTCTTGATTCTTTCATTAATCGCTGCTCCAGCCGCCCTCAGCGCCTTGATGACACCCTGCTCCAACGCCTTCCTGTCCTGTTCCTGCAACTTATGAATCCTGTCTAATTCACCACGCTGATACGCAATACTATCTCTAGCACTATTAACATCACGTTCTAAGTCATCTGACAAATCGCTAACGTGTTCGTTATTATGTGCAATATTATCGATAAAGTCCTCTGCCTGCTTGAGACACTCTTCCACCTTATTGTCCATTGAACCTACAGAAGAATGAACATCATGAATTTTACTTATCTCTCCTTGAAGCCTTGTCATCTTCTGCATCAATGCTTCAACAGGTTTTTTAACAAGATTATTAGAGTTTACAACACCCTCATTATACTTCCTCACCCCCTCCACCACTCTGCCAATCGCAGCATTAAAACCTCCTTTACCAGAGTGTTTATTGCGCTCAAGAGACTCAATTGCCTTACTAATTTCATTCATATGCTGGCCTAATTTAGGCTGAATGTTACTTAAAACACCATGAAGGAACGCCATCACCCCGTCGCACAGCCTGTCAAGGTCAGAGTAGACGATGCCGGAGCCGGTGTAATTACCATTACTGAAGCCGAGAAATTTTTCGAGGCCTGTGCAGAGGTTATATAATAATGTTGTTGAAGGATTATTTTAGGCACATTTTCAGGGCGATTTGGGGGAATTTGGAGAAAGGCGATTTTGGGTCACGGAGGCACTGGGGCAGTGAGGGAGGTGGGTGGACAGGGTGAGGGAGGTGAAGGGGCGAGAGAGGGCGACGAAGAAGGAAGATGGGTTGAGGTAAGGCGATTTTGGGGGTGGAGGGAGAAAGCGGAAAATAAGGGATTTGGGTGAAGGACGCCGACGAAGGAGGTGAGGGAGGCGGTGAGGGAGGCAGGGAGCGAAGCGAGCAGTGAAGGAGGAGGTGAGTGGTTGAGTGTGTGAGTGAGTGGGTGAGTGGTTGAGTGGGTGAGTGGGTGAGTGAGTGGGTGAGTGGTTGAGTGGTTGAGTGGGTGGGTGGTTGAGTATGTGAGTGAGTGGTTGAGTGGTTGAGTATGTGAGTGAGTGGTTGAGTGGTTGAGTGGGTGAGTGGGTAGGTGAGTGGGTGAGTGGGTGAGTATGTGGTTGAGTGGGTGAGTGGGTGGGTGAGTGGGTGAGTATGTGGGTGAGTGGTTGAGTGGGTGAGTGGGTGAGTGGTTGAGTGGTTGAGTGGGTGAGTGGTTGAGTGGTTGAGTGGTTGAGTGGTTGAGTGGTTGAGTGGTTGAGTGAGTGGGTGGTTGAGTGAGTGGTTGAGTGGGTGAGTGAGTGGTTGAGTGGGTGAGTGGGTGAGTGGGTGGTTGAGTGGGTGGGTGGTTGAGTGGGTGAGTGGGTGAGTGAGTGGGTGGTTGAGTGAGTGGGTGAGTGGGTGGGTGAGTGAGTGGGTGAGTATGTGGGTGAGTGGTTGAGTGTGTGATACACAGATCACACGTGAAGGCACGATTATGGTGAGAAGTACTTGACGTTGGCGAGTGCCTTGACGCGTGCGGCGGCGAGGAGCGACTGCGCGGCGATGCGGTGGCTTGAGGGTGATCTCAGGTGTGAGCGTATCCTCAGGACGTCGAGGCGGACGACGGCGATGTGCAGCAGGTACAGGAGCGACAGCGACCAGAGGGCTAACAACGTTAACATAAAAGGCCATCTGATTTCTTTCAGGAAATCATCACACGCCTCGAACAGCTTCGTGAAATATTTCGATTCAACGATATTCTTTAATTCGTCGTAGAAATTGGAGCATGTTTTTCGTGTGCCCTCTTCATGTAACGTCCATGCATCAGGGATGATAAATCCATAATGGTAAAAAGTTGGCGTGACGCCTTTGCATTTCGCAATGGAAGTGCATTGGCAATGAGGCTTTGCATCTTCACCATCCTTCTTTTCGCTGAGTCCATGCTTGCCGCGCCTGCAATTGCTGCTCTGTAAGCATGAGCGGCATCCCCAGTCCTCGCAGAATATGGCAGTGAAGGCTTCGAGTAATTCACGCAAATAATTATGGAATGACCATGGCAGGTAAATGGCCCACGACAGATACAACTTGCCGTGTTTCTCCGCCATGTAGCGATATACAGCCGAAGAGAGTGACGATAGGTAAGGGGCGCAGGCAACGTCTTTCTCTCTAATACCACAGTAACCTGAGGATGTAAGATTAGTAACGTGAGCATGCTCGCATTTACTGCAATCAGCGCCGTATGCGTCAGTGAGCGCATCCGTAAGGTTGCTTGGGTCTTCACATAGTGCGATGGACATGTCGTTGATTGATGATTCAACTGACTGTTTGATCAGGCTTCTGGTTTGTGTTTTGGTTTTATGCCAACCTTTAACTAAGGACAGCGTGAAACTGAAGTGTTCAGGCAATGTGAACGGCGGCTTAGGAACGAGGCTAAATAGGGCTGGAATGTACTCGTTACCTAGGAATTCTCTAATGATGTCGCAAATGTCACGGCCTTTTTTGGTGGAACCTGAGAATGCTCTGAAGCCTAGCGGTGTCATACATGGTACACCAGGTCCGCTGTTGGGGCACGTCGAACATATAGATTTGCAGCCAACACTGCTGACCTGGTGCGGCAGGTGCCCGGGGAGAGAGTCACCAAGGAAAGACATCAGCGGTGAACTTGGTAAGCAAGTCGACTCATCTGTACTGTGCTCATCGCATTCTGTTTTGGCAGTTGGGACGCCTTTACCGTACAGGCAATCGCCCCAACCAAAGTCTGTTGCTGGCTGACTGCACTTGCTCTGTAGGAACTGGAGAGCTGGGAACAATCTACGAAGTATATCTAGTAACGTATGCAAACAGTCCTCACCTCTGGAGGGATACTTTAATTTAAGGAAGTTGGTAGAGAAGTCAGATGCATAGTTGCACTCTGCGTCGCCGGTGCCGAGTATGCCGGTTAGGAGTAAGTAAGCGTTCTCGGATACGTGCTCAATTGCGCTACATGCGTCCTCACGTGTGAAGTTATGTGGATATGCTACAATGGGCTGAAGTATTTTTTGAGGCGGCTGCGATTCATCATCCACCGGGAATAGGGTGCGAACGTGATCTAAAAGTGGATGATACACGGAATTGAACTGCAGACCGGAGCACCAAAGTAGCATCTCATAAATATTACACGGGGTTCTGGGTTTGTCAATGTGAATGGTGTGGCAAACATTAAAGTATAATTTAAGGTAGTTGTGAAGCTGAGACAACACGCCGTTCTCATCGGTGAATTCGAATGTTGGCTCACCTGAGATAGCGCCGGTAGCGGAGGATGAAGGAAGACTAAAAAGTTTATAGTTGGTGTTGACAAGATGCTCATATATCTGTTCACCCTTGAAGTCTGCCTTGTGATTTAACTCGCCGTGCTCCGCGCCGTCAGGGAGATCAGTATCGTACCCGTTGTCGGCAAAGAAAAGGTTACGCAAACTATGAGCAGAGCCTTTGAGGTCATATATCTTATATGTTTTCCGCTTACCATTCTTCTTCTCAAGCCCACTCTTGAGCTCAGTTAAAGCGGTAAATAATGTGGGCACAATGCTGAGACAGGCTTTGGCGCACCTTTTACCGTCCGGTGTCAGCTGGGATGTTTGAGACTCAGAGTCCTCAGTCACCCATTTCTCTATTGGCGTGGCTGCCTCGTATACGTTTAAATAGGCTTTATTTACCTCACCGGCAAAAGCGTAATATCCTTTTTTCAAAGTGTCCAACATGGGTTGGGACTCTTCCTTATACTGCTTAGGCAACAGCTCACTGAGGCCGTCACGCAATGCTTGGACCTTGGGCGGCACCAGGTGGCCGAAATGTTCGGAGTCGTGAAGTTGTTGAAGTAACTCGAGAAGAGCGTTGTGGGACGGCTTTACCGTCTCGAATGATTTTTTGAAATCCTCTTGATTCTGTAACTGCTCCATGAAACTAGTCATCTTGGACTTGACAGTTGAGGCTGCGGTCTTGAGCGGCGTATCCGGAGGTATCGTGAGCCCCGGGAGAAGATGCGTCTCCATCTTTTTAACAAAACCCTTGTACCCTGTCTTCAGGTCATCTTCTATTTGCTGAGGCAATTTGGACAACTCGGCTTCCACTTTCTTACAGAATTCTGTCAGTAATTCCCGGATCGAGGAAATGTACTGCTTTCTGGCTTGCATCTTGGCTTGCTTAGACACATTTTCTGTTTGTTCATTAACATAGTCCTGAAGCTTTTTAATATACTTATTACGTGATGGGTCGACGCCTTTTAAGAAATCGTCGGCCAACTTGAGCGGACCTTTTTCAAGTTGTTTTTGAAGGTCGCTGATTTGCTTCTGAATTTTTTGGAGGCCCTCCTTGCCTGGATTATCTTTTGAAATCGTATCTTTAAAAGTTTTTAATTGCTCCTTTAGGGCTTTGCCAGACGCTGACAACTCAGATCTTAGGGACTCGAGATTGGATGTGATATCTGTGGACCAATTAGCGAGAGCTTCTCTGGTCGGGTCTACGCTAAACCCGGATTCAGCATAGGTCTTAATCTCCTTGATCTTCTCTGGAAGGGCGCCTTCAAGCTGGTCGATGTTACTCTCTGCCTTGGTCAGGCTTTCTTGTTTGACGTGAGTTTTGTAATTTTGGAAAACATTTTCGCCAGTGTTTTGTATGTCAACTTTACTGGCAGTACCATTTTTCAACTGCGCGTCGAGCTCAGTGCCCACCGCCTTGATCGCGGTGTCGACGGCTTGGGCGGTGCCTGGTTGGCCGGAGCTGAGACCACCATTTCTACCAAGTGCATCGCCAAGCTTCTGCTCAAGCCCCTCAGCAGTGGTGGACGCAGCGTTCAAACACTTTCCGAAGTTGTAACCGTTATCACCGTGAGTGAATTTTGCCAGATCGTCCTTAACGCGCAGGGTTGTGCAGTGCACTGCGGTGAGAATAGTCTTGAGGGCGAACTTGAAATTAGTGTCTTCATCAAGACGGGGTAATAACTTCACCTTATCTTCAAGCTTGACCTTCTCGGCTATTGCGTTAACATTGCTCGAAGGATCAACCGCCGCGGCGTATCCCTCAAGATATCTCTCGACACTCTGCAGAATTATGTGCACGTTTTCGCCATTTGTGTTAGGCTTATTTTTAACGATGATGCTTTCAATGTGATTTCTAATGGCTGCCTTAACAGTGGCACCTTTCCCATTCTTCCCCGAAGGATCGCCTGCGTAGTCATTAATATATATATTCACTAACCCGTTCCCCGTCAATTTATCAACCATATTCCCAATAGCGCTCTGAAAATTCGTATAGAACTGCGAAGCATAATTAAATTTTACGTGACTTACAATACCCGTAACGCCTGTTTTTTTGTTTCGAGATACCTCACCCGCGACACCCTTAACGCTTTCTCTAATAAGATTAATAGCATCAAAGATTGTATCCTTGCTTGTCTCCTCTCCTCCATTAACAACTCCATATAGCTCCCCAATCCTCTCCGTAATAGCATCCACCTTACTTTTTATCGCCTCCCTCACCCCGTGCAAATCCTGCTTCAGCTGCGCGTCCATCTCTTTCACGGCCTCGAGGGCGGCGGTAACTTTTTGTTTTATTTCCTTTTTAACGTCATCTATATATCTGCAAAGCACACCGCTCCTGTCGTTCAACTGATTTGCGATATCTTTAATGACATCCCGATTTCTTCCTCCGGGCAGCGCAAACTCAATTTCCTCCGCCTTACTTTTTGCCTGAGTCACCGACTTGTCTGCCGTCTTTATCCACTGCTGCAGTTCATTCACATACTGATACAGGCTCCTGTTAATTTGGTCAAGTCTGCTCTGAATTTCCGAAACCTTATCCTTCAGCAGCTTCACGAACTCTGTGACATCTTTGCATATTCTATCATTCACACAGGTAGCGCACTTTGCAACCATTTCAGTGATTTCTTTCTCCATAACTTTTAAGTCGTAGTCCTCCTTTTGGGCCAACCTCTCAAGACGCTTAGTCTCATACGACACATTTTCCCCAGCGTATTTAATGTTCAGTTGTAGATCTTTGTTAAGATCCTTAATTTGTTTGCCGAGTCTTGCAATGTCATGCTCAAAACGTGCGCCGTAACCAGCATACCTGCTGGCCAGTGATACACTCTCTTTCACCTTTTCTCCAATTTCATGAGCGGTGATCTTCTCTATTTTTTCCGCGTCCGGAATTTTTCTAATGTCCTCTGAAGTACCTTCTTTAACATGCCTTAATAACACATTTATTGGTCCCGTTAACTTATTATTGTAATTCGTTAGAGTCATGCTATACGACGACAGCCTCCCGGTAACCATTTGTATAGCCTTCTTAAGTCCTTCTTGGCCCTTCCAAAATTCTTTCTTAATATCATCAGTAGCACTATTCAACGTTGTTTTACCAACATCATATGGCTGGTTTTTAAAAACATCTTTAAGCACCCCGTGCAAAAACGCCATCACCCCGTCGCAGAGCCTGTCAAGGTCCGAGTACACGATGCCGGAACCATCGTAGCCTTTGGAAGTTTCTTGGTATCCAAGGAACTTTTCTAAACCGTCAGTGAGATTTTTAAGAATTTCTGTTGCAGGATTAACCTTATCTTCCTTGCCAATAAATTTCTCAAGATCTTTTTTAAGCTTATCAAGAGTCTTCTGCCTCTCCTCAATGTCCCCTAAGGCTCCTTTTCTCGCATCCTCAGTAAGGTAATGAACGTCATTATAATGGTCATCATACTTGGATCTAGCCTTAGATATTTTATCTTCATCTTTATATTCCTTTTCTTTTTCAATTTCCCCTAGAAGCGTCTGACAATGCTTGTTGTGATGCTCATTGTCGTATTTATCAGCGCACAAAAGTTCCTTTCTCCTCTTTTCAAGACTACTAGTAGCACTACTAATAGCCCCTTCAATCAACTTTTTCAAAGCTTCAGCTAACTTATCAAGGCCACCGCCACCGTTCTTAACCTGGATCAACCAGTCGATGGAGGCCGACGAAGGAGGCCAAGAAAGGTGAGAGAAGAAAGTGGAAAAAAGGTTAAAGGATAATTAGAGGAGGTGAAATGGCACATTTTTAGGGCGATTTGGGGGAATTTGGGAAAAGGCGATTTTAGGTCAAGGAGGCAGCGAGGGAGGTGGGTGGACGAGGTGAGGGATGTCAAGGGGCGAAAGAGGGCGATGGAGGAGGAAGATGGGTTAAGAGAGGGGATTAAAGGGGTGGAGGGGGAAAGTGGAAAAAGAGGATTTGGGTGAAGGGCGCCGACGGAGGAGGTGATGGAAGGGGGTGGAGGCAGGGAGCGAAGCGACCAGTGAAGGAGGGAGGTGGGTGAGTGGGTGAGTGGGTGAGTGGTTGTGTAGGTGAGTGGTTGAGTGGGTGGTTGAGTGGTTGAGTATGTGAGTGGGTGATTAGGTGAGTGGGTGATGCACAGATCACACGTGAAGGCACGATTATGGTGAGAAGTACTTGACGTTGGCGAGTGCCTTGACGCGTGCGGCGGCGAGGAGGGACTGCGCGGCGATGCGGTGGCTTGAGGGCGATCTCAGGTGGGAGCGTATCCTCAGGACGTCGAGGCGGACGACGGCGATGTGCAGCAGGTAGAGGAGCGAGAGCGACCAGAGGGATAACAGTGTCAGCATAAATGGCCATCTAATTTCTTTTAGGAAATTGTCACATTCCTTGAACAGCTTCTGGAAATATTCTGACTGCAGCACATTCTTCAACTGACTACAGAAATCATTGCACTTCTTCGCCGTGTTACCACCATTCAACGTCGACGCCTCGCCGAAGCTGAATCCGTACTGGTAGAGCGTCGGTGCCACGCCTCTGCAGGCTACTATAGAAGGACACTGACAAGTAACATCTTTCTTCTCATCCTCCACGACGCCATGCTTGCCACTCCTGCACTTGTCTCCTCTGAGACATCCCCGGCAACCCCAATCTGCACAAGTGATTTGGCAAAATGCATTGTACAAATTGTTGAGTAAATCCCATAATGTCCATGGCAAGTAAATGGCCCATGACAGATAGAGATTGCAATGTTGATAGGCAAGATAATCATACGCAAATGAGCACAGTGAGGATATGTAAGGAGAGCACTGCTGACCAGGACATGCGATAGCCATTGAGATACTTGATAAGTCCGCGTATGTAGTTTTATCATCTTTACGTTGGTGTTTTTTATCATCATGATTGCTCTGACTGTTTCCATAGGCGTTGCTAAGTGCGCTAGTAAGATCATCCGTTGTGTTATACAGATCAATGGATATCTCTTTCATGGATTTCACCAACAATTCTTGGAGAGTCTTTCTACGAGCTTTCGTACCATGATCCCAACCGTTAACCAATGACAAGGCAAATGCGGTATGCTCGGGCAACGTGGATGGTGGTCTGGGTACGACGCAGCATAGAGCTGTAAGATTACGGATATTTAACAATTTGCTTAGTATACTACACAGCTCTTTGCCTGTCCTCGTGCTGCCGGAAAAACCTCTAAAACCAAGTGGCGTCAAGCAGGGCATTCCTGGTTTACCGCCAGGGCATGTTTTACATACCGATCGGCAACCAATATTGTTTAGTTGGTGAGGAAGATGTCCAGGTAAACAATCATTTAAGTAAGACATTAATGGAGATGTTGGTCGACAATTTGGTTTGGTGTTTGCCTGGCACGTTGGCTGGCATTTTGGTTGGCAATTTGCCTGGCAATTTTGTTGGCACTCAGGCTTTGTGCTCGGGTGGTTGTTACATTGTGAGTTAGCTGGTGGGACAATTTTGCCGAATTGGCAGTCGGACCAACCATTGTTTGTGGCCGGTTGCGTGCACTGCGTATGCAAGAATCTGAGTGGAGGCAACAGTCTACGCAGTATGTCCAGGAGCATGTCGACACACGCTGATGGAGTAGTTGGATAGTACAAATTAAGGGAGTTGTCACAATACTCGGAGCCGTAGTACGTTGCTGCTTCTCCCGTGCCGACGATGGTAGTCAGCAACCGATGTGAATATTTACATAAATTGGGTAGAACATGTTCAACGACGTTGGATAATTTGGATGCTAAAAACGCATCCTTCGCATCGTAGCTATTACAGTGTCGTGTTACATTATTGTAAGCCTCACTGTAGCGGAGGCCACTGAACCAACACAGCATATGAAACACGGAGCACGGATGTCTACTTGACGATGAATATGATGAATGACCAACTTTATAATACTCTTCTAGGTGTGAGCTAAGGCATTGAGTAAGAACAGGTAGATTAATGTTATCGATGTTATCTTTAGTTTCGATGCACGTTTGTAAATGTGCAACACGATCGGCGTTCTTAATTGTCTCACACATTTTCTCATAAATATCAGCGCCCTTGATTTTGTCGCAGTTACGTAATTCGCCGTTTTGTTGTCCGTCGGTTGTAGATACGTCGAACCCATTGCTGGCAAGGAAATTGCCAAGCGCATTATCTGAATGGATTTTGTTGTTCCACCAATTATTTTTACTATCTTCGAGTTCACTTCTCAGCTTGTCTATTGTGACGTTTAGTGTTGGGATAATGGTGAGTAAGACACTGGCACAATTTTGATCGAACGCGTCCCCCCTTTTCCACTGCTCCATCGAATACGCCGACACATACTGCTTATTGAGCTCATCGACAAGTCTCCTCACACCACTTTTCAATGCAACCAGCACGGGCCGTCCGGCGTCGGGCAGTTCCAGGGGCGTTACTCTGTCGACCTTGTCGGCTAGCTCGCAGACTCTAGTCGAAACCTCATGACTGAAGTGGGAGTATTCGATGAGTCCAGTGAAAAAATTCTTCAACACCCAAGACATCACTTTAACTTGACTGTGAATATCAGTATGCTGCGTTAGTCGATCGATAGTATAATGCAAGATTTTGTCGAAGAAGGGAGAAAGTTTTGTGGCCAAGACATTTACGGTTTTATAGCCGTCTGTTACTGTTCCATGCGGCATGATAATATCGCAAATCTTCTCATTCAATTGTTTTTTTAATTCCCTCAAGAAGTCCTTTACACCATTACTTCGGTCCTTTTTGATGATCTTCTCAATTGCTACTCGCTGCGATTCAACGAAGTCCTTCACTTTTGCAAGTTCATTGCTACGAGACGTAACGTAGCGGTCGAGTGCATCCTTTTTAACGTTCTTGATGCTCTGCTTTACAAAAGTGTTGACTTGTCTGCGGATCTCATTGATGCACTTGGTGACTTCCTGCGGGATTGTGGTTTTAAGGAACTTCGTTGCGTCTGCAGTCAATGTTTTGAAGGTATGCTTATTGTTGCCTGTAATAGCAGTACCAAGTGTCTTATCAATGTCAGTATTAATTTCCCCGAGACCCTTGGTAACGTCGGAATATAGTGTGACGTCCTCAGTAAGCATTCTTTTCAGTTTTACCAGGTAGGAATTGAGATGATCCTTGGTTGAGAAACTGTAATCGCCGTGGACCAACTTCTCTACCGCGGCGATATATTTATTGAACTGCTCGGTAAAAGTGCTGTGTGCCGTCGATATCCTGTCCTTAGTTATCGCTGTTTGGGCTTTTTCAGGATATTTAATATCATCCAGCTTAGCTTTTACATCCCTTTTGACGGACTTAATCGCCTCGTCAAGCACGTGTTTAGAGCCTGTGCCTCTGCTTATGTAACTCGTAAGGCTCTTTAAGTTAACTTTCTCAGATGAATCACCAGAGGTGGCATCCTTGGGTAACCACTCTTCAACCTTGCCGTGGAGGTCGTCGGTGAGGGCTTTGGTGAGTTTTGCCGACTCTGCTTTCCACTGACTCTGCGCACTATTAAGTGGGTACAAAATCCTTTCGATGCCACCACCAACATCAGGATTCGTATTTCCAATCCCCCTGAGCCATGTTCCCAAATGGGTATTCGGTTCCAACGTTCCAGCATTGAAAGAACTCATAAAAGCCGTGAAACCAGGTTTATCGGCGCCACTGTACCAATATTTATCAGCCTTCTCTATACCTGCTGCAAATGCAGCTGCCAGCTTCTCCACATAATTACTCAGCCCCTTATTAATAAGGCCTTTAACCTTAAACAAACCTTGCTTAAGCATTTTGTCCAACTCTTCAACAGCGTTCTCTGCGGAGCCAACCTTAGATGCCAATTCTGTTCCAGCCTTATCTATTGCTTTCATAAGTTTCTCGGCCTTATCCTTCAACATCTCGGCCGCCTTTTCCACGGCGGCTTTTTCCGTATTTTTACCATCTCCATTCTTACCATTGAGAATTTTCACAACATCTGTCACCTTCTGCATGGCATTTTGAACAACTTCCTTTGCTTTTAGAATCCACTGATCTAAAGCACTCTTCACCTGAGTCAAAGCCCTCTCAACTGCTGTAATCTGCTCCTGAATATTCTTAAATTCCTCCTCCAATTTCTTTTTATACTCATTCACGCGCTCTTCAACAGCCCCTTTCACACTACCCTCCAACTCCCTTAATTCATCTGCAACGTTCTCACTCAATTCCTTAAGTTCTTTCACGTCGTTAATGGCCGAAACGCTTAGGGACTCAATTCGCGTTTGAATTTTCTCAAAATCATTAATCACTTTATTTCTCAACGGTCCGTCAACCATTTTTATGGCTTCGCCAATATTTTTCACATTCTCATCTAGTCCTTCGGTCACCGACTTGTACCACTTACCAACGACATCGTCAAACTTATCAATATTCAACTCCCTGAGTGCCTTGATATTTCCTTCTATTTTAGTTTTTAAGGCTTTTATTGTTCCTTTATGTTCTTTTTCTTCACCTACAACAGCATTTGTCAAGTTCTCCATACTCCTCTCATACCCCTCCAGCCCCGCCTGCACTCTCCCAATGGCGTCGCAAAATCCTGAAACACCAGAGCCCTTACCTATTTTACCTTCTAACTCTCTTATAGTGTCAATAATCTGAGGATAATAATGATGTAAAAGTGTTTTAGCGCCCTCAAGACATTGGAGGATAAAGGACATCACCCCGTCGCAGAGCCTGTCAAGGTCCGAGTACACGATGCCGGTGCCATCGTAGCCTTTGGAAGTTTCTTGGTAACCAAGGAACTTCTCCAAGCCAGAGCACAAATTTGTTAAAAGGTTTTTACAATTATTATCATGATTATTATTAAGTGAACTCAAAGACTCATTAAGGCTCTTCAGCTTCTGAAGAGCATCCAACTTGGACTGATGAGACTCATGAGACTTATTAAGCTCATCGGGGACAGACATTTTTTGCTGTTTATGCTGTTCTATTTTAGGTTTAAGAAGCTCAATTTGTTGACTATATTGCTCAATTTTCTCATCAAGCTCAACAGACTTTATAAGCCCATCAGACACGGCAGCGGGAGGATGCACAGGCGAAGACGGAGAGTTTCTAAGGCTTTTGAAGTCATTGTCACTGTTAATAATGCTGTCAATACCATTATTAATTACTGTAGTAATGACGTCAGAATTGCCAATAAATTGGCCAAGCTTGACACTGAGCTCAGCGAGAGACACCATCCTGGAGTGGACGTCCTTCAACGCATTGTCCCTTTTGGACGTATTGTTGTGCACTTCACTTTTGTGGCTGCTTAAGTCAGATTGAAGTTTATTAAGCTTATTTTCATCAAAGTTATTTTGAGATTTAAGTTTATTAATTTTGTTAGTCATGTAGTCACAGTAGGAGACAAGGCTAGTGGAGGCCGACGAAGGAGGCCGAGGAGGGAGGTCAATTAAGGTGAGAGAAGAAAGTGGAAAAAAAGGTACGAGGGGAATTGGAGGAGGTGGAAAGGGACGCTTTTGGAGAATTTTAGAATTTTTTGAGAAAGGCGATTTTGGGTCACGGAGGCAGCGAGGGAGGTGAGAGGACAGGGTGAGGGAGGTGAAGGGGCGAAAGAGGGCGGTGAAGGGGGAAGATGGGTGGAGGAGAGGCGACTTAGGGGGTGGAGGGAGGAAGTGGAAAATGAGGATTTGGGTGAAGGACGCCGACGGAGGAGGTGATGGAGGGGTGATGGAGGGAGCGAAGCGACCAGTGAAAGAGGGAGGTGAGTGGTTGAGTGGTTGAGTGGGTGGGTGGTTGAGTGAGTAGTGAAGGCACGATTACGGTGAGAAGTACTTGACGTTGGCGAGTGCCTTGACGCGTGCGGCGGCGAGGAGGGACTGTGCGGCGATGCGGTGGCTTGCGGGTGATCTCAGGTGGGAGCGTATCCTCAGGACGTCGAGGCGGACGACGGCGATGTGCAGCAGGTACAGGAGCGACAGCGACCAGAGGGCTAACAGTGTGGTAATAAAAGGCCATCTGATTTGCTTCAAGAATTCATCTATGTTTTGGAGAACTTTAACAAACGCGCAGTCTGCTCCAACCACTCGCTTCAACACTTCGCACAAATCTCTGCACGTCCGTTTGCTGTCTCCGGCGCTTAGCTGCTTCCTGTCCAATAGAGTGAAACCGTATCTGCAGAGAATGGATGATGTGGATCGGCACTGCAGAATAGAGTTGCAGGACTCATCATGATTTGATGTCGCCGATTGATCACCAACATTACAATTTGACGGACACTTTGCGATACGGCATCTTGGCTTCTCACCGCCACATGTTTTACTGCAATCGTCATATAATTTTTTGAGTAAATCATAAAACGTTTCAGTCAAGTAAACAATCCACGACAGGTAACTTCCGGCATTCTTATTGGAGAATGCATCTGTTACCTCCTGGCAAAGTGGTCTCAGATATGGACCACAGGGAAGGGTCGTAGAGGACGATGGATTACTCTTACACTCCACCAGCGAGTAGAGATCTCCGGTGAGATGGGTATTATTTTGGCTCGAGTATTTTGGACTATGTTCACTGCTCTCGAACAGCGGACTAACGTCTAATGTTGTATCGGGATTTTTAAAGTTGGCACTCTGTACGGCACTTCCGAAAGCATCTTCCCTGTGCATCTCCCGTACACCATTACCATGAACATACCACTTACTAATGAAATTATAGTAAAAACTGAACAGGTCGTCTAGTGTTTTAGGAGCACCAGGAAGCAGGCAGTTTAATACAGCGCAGAGTTTGCTAAGAGGAGACAATTCGTCGCCACAAAAATCACCAATTACATCAAATATACGTTGGCCCTTACTTATGTGAGACGCGATGATGCCGATCTCAGTGAAGCCCATTGGCGTTTTACACGGCATTCCACGTAGCATAGAACACGAGGAACACGCCATATTTGTTCCTTTAACTGTTATGCTATGCGGCAAGAAACCTTGCAAACCATCTTCTAAGTACGACTGCAAAGGAGATTTGAGGCCGCACTTAGGGTGTTGGTTACATGTTTGGTTGGCCTTTTGGGTAGCCATTTGGTCAGCGTGTTGGTCAGTGCTTTGGTTGGCTGCTTGGTTAAATGTTTGGTCACAGGCTTGGTTGGCGCATCGCATTGTGTTGCATTGAGAATCGGATCCTCCGACGTCTCTGCCATAAAAGCAATCACGCCAGCCAGCACGATTAGCGTTATACGAACACTGATCACATAAGAAATAAAGTTGATGGTATAACCGGTTGAGAATTTCACGTAGCATGCATATTAAAGCTGTGTTACTAGTAGGATAATACAAATTAAATGAATTGTTCGAGAAGTCAACTGCGTATATGCCACCAGCGTGGCCATTGCCGAGGATGCACTTGAGGACAGAATTAGATTCGGAGCATACAGTTTTGATCATAGGCTCTAATTTCTCATATGTGATTGTCTTTGGATAAGCTTGCAGTTTTAGTTCCTTCGGGGGGATCTCCTTGTAATCTCTCATGTCTCCCTTCCCGTTAGGTTTAGGGAACAACTCCTTCATGTACTTGTAGAGTGGTTCACGAACAGGATTATGCCAGAGGCCGTTGAGCCAACAGAGCATTTGGAATATACTGCTAGGTGCCCGAGGTGAGTCATGAATTTGGTGGTGACAAACTTCATTATAGCGTTCTACGTGACTGTGAATACAGTTAAGGAAGTCAAAGAGATGAAAGATACCAGATGTTTTGTGTTTCTTATATTCACATATTTTAAGATGTGCAATTGCCTGCTCATCGTTAAGTGGCAATGTGAATCTTTTGTAAACGTATTCACCTTTCATTTTGTCCGTATTCTGCAGCTCGCCATTCTGCTTGCCAAGTTCGGACACTCTGAAGCCATTGCGTGCAAACAATTTGCCGAGGTCAGTAGAGTCATTGATTCTATATTCAATCAGACTCTTACATTCCATTCTCGACCTTGTCAGTGAACTCTGCAGAGTGCTGAGCAATGTGAGAAACACTTTTGCGCATTTCTGCTTCTCGGGATTTTCGTCGTCATCCCACTCTATTTCTTCGCCCGAATATCTCGAAACGTATGCCATGCCGAGCTGCTTGAGGAAATCCGTTAAGCCGCTCTTGACGCTTTGGAGAACTGGCATGGTAATGCCGGAGAAAGACGAAGGATGCAATTCTGCAAGATGTTTTTCAAGTTCGTCACGGAGTTCGGAGAATGTGTGATCAAAGGTGTATGTTTTGTCTTTTTCGATGTGGTCAAAAAGCTCTTTGAGCTTTTCAAGTATTGTGCCAAGCTTGGGGGAATAGATGTTTTTATTTGTGTCGTGACTGTTAAACAGCCTGTCAATTTCCTCCCTATTGTAGATCATATTTCCGCCCATATAGGCTCTGAATTTGGTGGATAAAGCTTTGAATTTTTTGCCGAGATCTATCTCCTGTGAATTTACCGCAACATTAAGTTGAGTAAGTAATGTGGATTTTTGAGATGAATCCCTTGGAGGATCAGAAGAAATCGGAAACTCACCGCCGTATATTTCTTTTAAAAGGCCCTTTACTCCTCTGATTTTATCATCATTTATTATGTTTTCGATGTTTGTTTTTTCTTGCTCAACTAAAGCCTTGAGCTTTATAAGCTCTTTCCTTTTCCGCGAGGTGTACAAATTATGGGCCTTTTGTTGGAGAGCTTTAAAAGCCTTTTCGATCCTCGAGTTGACAGCAACACGTACTTTTTCGAAGCGTTTCTTGGTTTCTTCAGATGCCTCGTTGACGAATTTGTTGGCATGAGCGATGCAATTTGTGAGCTCCGCTTGGACTTTCTCCACGTTTGCGATAACCTTTTGGACCTCCGTGCTAAGGAGTCCGACATTCGCGTGAAGTTTCTTTAAATCTGTGTAAACAGTGGCTGGATCAGTGCCCGTAGTGTCATCCGATTTCCCGATTTTTCCTTGTAAATTTATGATCTTCTGGTTAATCTGATTTTGAAATGTATTCACCAGATTCCCCAGGGTGGATAAATTTTTTTCTATATCTCCAATCTTAGTGAAACTAAAATCATTACTATTCGTAGCTACAAGAGTTCTACACTCCTCCACTTTTCCATTTATAGCCTTCGCAACTTCCCCAATTTCGGCTTGCACCTTCTCCTGAATCTCATCAATGGCTTTATCCACAACCTTCTGGGAGTGCTCGGCGACTGCCTTGCTGAAGGCCGATAATTTGGGGAGAACGGCCTTAAAGGCCGTCATAAGTCTCGATGCATCGATTTCCTGAGACAATTCTAACTTTTCTGCAGCTGACATGATGTCCTCAATTTCACTCTCCTTCTTTAAATTTTCTAGCGCAGTGAATGGTTCTTCGATATATTGGCCACCAAGCGTGAATGTTTTGAAAGATTCGGCATCAATTTGTAAAAGTGCATTAAGAGCTTCATTTGCCTGCTCTATCTCTTTTTTCTTGTCATCAAATCCGCTTTTACCAGGGTGGTCGTAGACAAACTTTTTAAATGCCCCAGCTATCCCCTCCATCGCTTTCTTGACGTTATCCATGACTAGAGAGTCCAGCAAAATGAAATATTCGCTTAGCTCGGAGAACGCAGTCTGCCCTGCCATGGCCTGTAGCAATTGCGTTTTCTCTTTCAGAGTAGCGTCAATGCTCTCAAGAGTAGTAAGAGTCTGGAGTTTGGCAATGTCCGTTGACACTCGCAGGATGGCCGACTGAAGAGCATTTTTAGTAAGCGGAAATTTTCTCTGAAACTCCTCCGATTGCTGTTTAACCTGCTCGAACTCTGTTACAACATCTCTTCCATACCTCTCCACGAGCGACTGAATCTCTCTCTCCACCGTCTGGAAAGCCTTATGAAGTTCCTCGTTGACAGACTTCTTCAGATCGAAGAATTGCTCATATTGTAACTTCATTATTTTCTCATGCAATTCACCAATTGCATCTTTCAAATATTCCTGAAGTTTGTTCCTTCCCCAATTCACTATTTCGTCAACCTCCTGAAGCAGCTCATTCCACTTGGCCCCTGCCAGCTGATGCATATCCTTGAGGTCCCTGTTTCTTGCCGCATCCCTGAACGTCTTCACCGCCTGCACAACCGATGAAACATGACATTTTAACTTACCTGAAAGCGCAGAATCGATGTCATTTAATGCTCTTTGGGCGTCCGTCGCCTTGGCAATATACCAGTCAGCTCGCTTTGTCCAATTCGTAATCTGCTGAGAAAGGTCTAAAACCTTTTCTTTTTGCAATTGTGTCCTATCATCTTCAATCAAAGCTGTGATACTGCTAACATTGTCCTTCACTTCTCCCGTTGCCTTGTCCACCTGCACCGCATGTTTTTTCAACCACTCACTTACCTGAGACACGGCGGCCTGGAAGGCCTGACGGCCTTGACCTACAGAAGTGTTAAGAAAGGTAATAACTGAAGTAATTTTATCACCATCTTTATCATACGTTGTAACGTTATCATCCTCCTTCACAGTCTGAAGAACACCATGAAGGAAAGACATCACCCCGTCGCACAGCCTGTCAAGGTCCGAGTACACGATGCCAGTGCCGTCGTAGCCTTTGGAAGTTTCTTGGTAACCAAGGAACTTCTCCAAGCCAGAGCACAGGTTAATAAGTGAATTATGGGAATTATTAAGGACATTTTTGGACAATTTTAGAATTTTTTGAGAAAGGCGATTTTAGGTCAAGGAGGCAGCGAGGGAGGTGGGTGGACAAGGCGGGGGAGGTGAAGGGCGAAAGAGGGGGATGAAGGGGGAAGATGGGTGAAGACAAGGCGGTTTCGGAGGTGGAGGGGAAATGTGGAAAATGAGGATTTGGGTGAAGGACGCCGACGGAGGAGGTGAGGGAGGGGTGATGGAGGGAGCGAAGCGACCAGTGAAGGAGGGAGGTGGGTGGTTGAGTGGGTGAGTGGGTGGGTAGGTGAGTGGGTGAGTGGTTGGGTGGTTGAGTGAGTGGTTGGGTGGTTGAGTGAGTGAGTGGTTGAGTGAGTGGGTGAGTGAGTGGTTGAGTGAGTGATTAGGTGAGTGGGTGAGTGAGTGGTTGAGTAGGTGGTTGAGTGGGTGGTTGGGTGGTTGAGTGGGTGGGTATGTGAGTGGTTGAGTGGTTGGGTGAGTGGGTGGGTGGTTGAGTGGGTGAGTGGGTGGTTGAGTGGGTGGTTGAGTATGTGAGTGAGTATGTGAGTGGGTGAGTGAGTAGGTGAGTGAGTGGTTGAGTGAGTGGGTGAGTGGGTGAGTGAGTGATTAGGTGGGTGAGTGAGTGGGTGAGTGAGTGAGTGGTTGAGTGGGTGGGTGAGTGATACACAGATCACACGTGAAGGCACGATTATGGTGAGAAGTACTTGACGTTGGCGAGTGCCCTGACGCGTGCGGCGGCGAGGAGGGACTGCGCGGCGATGCGGTGGCTTGAGGGTGATCTCAGGTGGGAGCGTATCCTTAGGACGTCGAGGCGGACGACGGCGATGTGCAGCAGGTACAGGAGCGACAGCGACCAGAGGGCTAGTAATAGGTAGGAGAAGGGTGTGCGAATTGCCCAGATGAAATCATCGATTACTCTGAACAATTTCCTGAAATGATCTGACTCTATTACCTTTTTCAACTGTGCGCAGAAATTGTTGCACGTTTTCCTGCTTGAACCATTCATCAATTTCTCTGGGTTGCCGAACGTGAAACCATATCTGAAGAGCGTTGGTTGGACACCACTGCATTGTACCATAGACTGGCAGTGACATCCGGGTTCTGGTTGGGCATTTGGTTGGACATTTGCTTGGCTCCTTTCTTGGGTGATTGGTTGTCCTTTTGGTTCTGACTTTGGTTCGCTCACTCCATGTTTCCCAGTTACACAGTTACATGATGAGCAACCTGACGATTTGCAATCGATGTTGCAGAATGCGTCGAATAGTGATTTGAGCAATTCATGGAAATCGAAGATCAGATAGATTATCCACGACAGGTACAGTGATGCGTGTTTCTTGGGGTATGTGTGATGGGCGCCATGCGATAAAGGATGAATAAAGGGAGCGCAGGAGCCATCAGCGACAGCGCACTTCATATCTAGATTCCTTAGGAAATTGTTGCAGAGGCTCCAGAGATCACTGATATTCTTGGTGTTACCGGACACATAGTGATAATCTGGCGAATAGTAAAGATCTGAGATCGCATCGGTCAACGTATTTGCATGATAATTATTATGCACAACATCGAGAGACGGCAGGGGGAAACAGGCTGGGATGGTCTTTTTGTTCAAGTGATTCCGAAACGCTGCATGGTCGGAATACGTCCCATTGTACTGCCGAAGTAGTGCACAGAATAACATGAACATGTCGGCCAATGCCCTGGGTGGATAAGGTGCAATGCATTCCAGCGAGTGCATGAGAGAACAAAGTGGTGAGCTAGCATCTCGGCATAGTTCAGCAAGAGCATCGCACATATTCTTACCGGTGCCCTCAATAGACGCCGCATCTCTCAAGTCCCAGAATCCCATCGGGGTAATGCACTGCTGTCCCGGTGAGCCCTTTGGACATGTTTGACATTTTGATGAACAACCGACAGATGTCAATTTGTGCGGTAAGTGGGCTGGTAAGCTATCTGTTAAGTAGGACATTAAAGGTGAAGTTGGCTGGCAGTTTGGTTTGCTGTTTGCCTGGCACGTAGGTTGGCACTTTGGTTGGCCTTTTAGTTTGGAAGTTGAATGATCTTTGCACGGCCAGTTGGCCGGCGAGATATCTTGGCCGTACTTACAATCGCGCCAGCCGTTGCCATCGACTGCTGTATATTGACACTGTCTATACATAAAAGAGAGAGAACACAACAAGCGTTTACAAAATTGACGAAGCATGTTAAATAATTCGGACGGCTCGGAGGGATAATAAAAACCTCTAGAATTGTTGACGAAGTAAGACGCATAGGGATAGTCGGCCTGGTCGAAGCCACGGCCGTTACCGGAGATGGTAACTAGAATGCTTCTGCATTCATGGGATACAACTGCGAGATCAATCGCAATACTCTGTATGCTGTCGTTCATAACAGGGTCGTCCCTATTGGGATGTTTACCAGTCGCTTTGTCTTCCTCGTCGAGCATGTTGGTGCAGTGCGTTTTAACGTTATTGTACACGCTGGTGTGCGGAAGCCCCGCAACCCATGACAATATGTCACGTACGGTGGAGGGGAATATGGGTGACGAAGGGAGTTTAAGGTGGCACGTTTTGTAATATTCATTGAGGTGTTCGTGAAGGCATGTACTGATGTCTACAACATTAAAGTTGTATCGTTTTGTATTTGGTTTACAATTCTTGAGATGCTCATTATACTGGGCTTGTTTGATGTTCTCATGGAGGTTAGTGCCAACATGCACACCCCTCATCTCTTGATGGCATCTCAATTCGCCGTCTTGCTCAAACTTCCCACTGGCAACCTTGTAACCACATTTCTTGAAATAATCGCCAAGAACATTTTCGTCGTCTTCAGCAGATGCATATATTCGGCGTCGTCTCCACGCAGCTTTGTTTTTGCACTGCTCATAAAGCTCATTCAAATCATCGCGTAAAATTTTCAATATTGTGACCAGGACGTTAGATAACTTTTGGCCGTCCGCTGTCAACCCAGATTTTTGATCGGCCTTTTGCACAGGGTTTTCAGTCTTCACCAACTGGACGCTTAAAGGCTGGCAGCAGTATGTACTGACGTACGCCTTTTCAAGCTGTTTGCCTAGACCGCTAAGCCCCTCCTTCAGTCCGTCCAGCAAGGTAGGATCATATGAATTCGCGAATTTCTCAGGCGACAAGGCAGCAAGTGATTTTGTTAATTCATTAAGGTTTGTAGCAAATTTAGGGTCAAAATGTTTCGAAGCAACAAGCCCAGTCACCAGCTCGTTAAGCCTATGATGAACTTCGGTAACTCGAGAGAGACATGTGTCTTGTGATGGTTGAGACTCCAATAGTCTTTTAATGTCTCCTTCAACGTACTCCATAAGCGGGCGTAAATACCATTCCAGGGCCTCTGATGCATCTCTTAATGAAGCCTTATGAGGGATGGTTTCCAACGTCTTTCTATGCTGATACATAGTGTTTAGAAGACCTTTCCATCCTGTCCGTATCTCCCCTTCGATGATCGCATTTATATCCTTGATACGAGCGGCGACTCTCGATTGCATGGCTAAGAATTTTTTATGTACTTTGGAATAGTACGCATTTTTAGCCTTATTTTGAATCTCCTTGGTTGCAATGTCGAACCTGCAGTCTACAAATTGTTGAAGCGCGTCAAGTATTGCAGTAGCTTCCTTCGCGATGATTGTCGAAGAGAATGCATTGGCTCTTTCAAACAAAGGCTCCAAGTGTTTTGTTTGTAAATCATGAAGGTCATTTTTGATTTTCGTAAGGCCGTTCTGCGTTTCGTTATCTAATTGTGCTTCACCACGACTATAAATCAATGCCAAAAGCATCTGCAACTTCGGTTTGAGACCTTTAGATTTGTTGACGTCTCCGTCGGCATGCTTTTTAATCTCTGTGACTAGGTTGGTAAGGCTGTTGGTGACCGTTTTGTACAACTCACCGAGGGATTGTAAGGAGATTTTTTCCTTGGGATTTTTAGAACTGTTAATCTCATTAATTCGCACCAGCCCATTAGCATTAGTTTGTATAAGCCCCAAAGGCTTAGTGACCTCATTTTTTTTGGCACCATACGTAGAATTAAAACCATTTCCTTCCGTTACACCTGCCAAACCGCTACCATGCTTTCCGTCAATATCCTTCTCAGCTAAAGTTTTTAGTTTCTCCTTAAATTCAATCACTAAATCAGGAGCGGCGCTTTTGGTAAGAGCCGTCTCGAGACTTTCACCGATACCCTGGACCCTCCCTATGGCTGTCCCCAACTGGTTAATACGGGACGTTGAAATAAATCTCTTGATTTCTTCGGGAAGGTTTTTTGCCAGCGCGGTTACGGAAGCAATGATAATCTCCATAGCTGATTTGAGATGATCGTTGCTTGTAGTCGGATCGCCGTTAGTTGTGACCAGTTTCGCAATTTCACTAACTGTATTTCCTACGTCGAGCGCACTGGCAATATCTTTCTCAAGATTCTTTTTGAATTTCGTCAGCTTTGCTACAATCTCACTCACGTCATTGATGCTTTCCAGTTCAGCCTTTCCAGCGCTATCATCAACCAGCTGTTGACTTGCACCTGGAAGGTGATGCAGAAGAGCTTCTTTGACATTCTTAATTCTCGCGTTTTTATCTCCACCATTCAGCAAACTGCCGTTTGCTCCATCCTCAACGTACTTATCAATTAACTTATGCACAGCTCCTTTCTCATCATTCACAATCTGCTTCACCATATTCCCAACAGCATCTTTAAATTTATTAGGCAACTCGGTAACGTACCCCTTTATTTTCTTCACAATATCATACAACGTACCAGTATCGCCTTGCTGACTGGCAATCTCATCAGTAAGCCTTTTAACTTCGCTACCAATAGATTCTCCCAAATGGCATATATATGTTCCCACGGTACCTTTAATCGCCTTTCTGAGACACTTCAAATCGTTCATAATAGCTTCTGTCAACGCACCGTCAAGTGCCCTAGTTGCTGCCTGAACCTGCTCCTGAATATACCTGTGCGCCTGACTCATAGCTCGGCGAAGCTTCACTGCGTCTCCGTGAAGCTTATCCGCGGCGTCCGTAATCTTCTTAGGATATTTATGCTCATCGTCTCTATTATCATCATCAACATCATCTTCTTCTTCATTATTCACCTCATCTAATATCTTCTGAACCAATACCAAGCAATTCCTCGCCAAAGGCTCTGCTTTTCCAATCCAATGTTCCAAGGTTGCTATATGTTTCTTAAGAACATTATTAATTTCATTGATTGGTGTTTGAATTTGCTCAATGAATGTCGTTCGCAAATGATCTCTATATGCCTCAATCTGCGCGATTATTTGGCCTTTGACTACCTTATGCAAATCACTTAGTTTATCTTCGGTAAGTTCTAGCAACGCCTTCAGTTCATCATTGCTGGCCGCTGCAACGAAGGCCCTAACCCGCACTTCAGCAGCGCTAAATGGCCCCTGCAACTTCTTACGAAGCTCGGGATCTAACGCACTATATGCTGTTTTTGCGGCATTGAGAGCATTCGAGATCGCGGTGGACTCAACAATGCAACTCATCAGCCTGTTAGACACAAGCCTAAGTTGGTCATCGTGTGCTAAGTCATGAAGTGAACTAAGTGCAGTAGACATATTAGTTAATTTGTCATCTCTAAGTGTGCTAAGTTGTGATTTAAAGTCTTCTGTCTTCCTCTCCAGCTCACCGCTCCACGCCCGCAGCGCCTCGGAGACTTGTGCGATGGCCTGCGAAAAATTATCAGAACCATTATGCATAAACTTACTGATTTTTGAAGGAAGTGATGAAATGTTATTTGAAGGATCTTTATCATAAGTCTTCACACTCTCATCATCCTTCACACTCTCAAGAACTCCACCCAAAAACGCCATCACCCCGTCGCAGAGCCTGTCAAGGTCCGAGTACACGATTCCCTCTCCGGTGTAATTACCATTTTCATGGCCGAGAAATTTTTCGAGGCCTCCACAAAGGCTTTCTAAAAGGTTTTTACAACTTTGTTCGTTAACATGATTTTTTTGAATTTTCCCAGCAAAATCACAAAGCTCTTTCAGTGTCTCAAGAGACCTCTTGGAAGCCTGATGAGACTGAAGATCCTTATTAAACTTGCCAATTTTAGAAGCATTTTGAAGAGACTGACCAGATTTTTTGGCATCTTTATCAAGCTTTTTAAGCTGCTGAATTTTGTTATTAAGCTCCTGAATTTTTTGAGTAATTGACACATTAAGCTGATTTAAGGGACCATCAGACGGATTTAAATTGCACTCAGAAAGGATGTCAACAAGATTTTCAGAGGCTTTTGGTTCCTCTTTAAGGTGTTTTTTAAGGCTTTCATTGACATCATTAAGCTTTTTAATTGCCTCATCATCATTATGACACTTCCTATCTCCGCAAGATGTTTTTAAAAGCCTTTCAAGCTCATTTACATTACTGTGCAAACCATTCAACAATGCATCTTTAACTTCATCTCCATCACCAATAAAACCCGAAAGCTGTCCAGCAAGCTTACCAAGAGAGATACGGCGCTCAAAAAGATCCTTTTCACCGCTCTTTCTTTTAGAGTCAGAGCCATGTACTTCGGAATAATGACCATTGTATTTGGATTGAAGGTGGATTAAGGGAGAGTTAAAAGGAGTAAAGGGTGATGAAATGGCACATTTTCAGGGCGATTTGGGGGAATTTGGGGTAGGGCGATTTTAGGTCAAGGAGGCAGCGAGGGAGGTGGGTGGACAGGGTGAGGGAAGTGAAGGGGCGAAAAAGGGCGATGAGGGAGGAAGATGGGTTGAGGTAAGGCAATTTCGGAGGTGGAGGGAGAAAGTGGAAAATGAGGATTTGGGCGAAGGACGCCGACGGAGGAGGTGATGGAGGGTGAGGGAGGGAGCGAAGCGACCAGTGAAGGAGGAGGTGAGTGATTAGGTGAGTAAGTGAGTGGTTGAGTGGGTGGGTGGGTGGTTGAGTGGTTGAGTGGGTGGGTGAGTGGTTGAGTGGTTGAGTGGTTGAGTGGTTGAGTGGTTGAGTGGTTGAGTGGGTGAGTGGGTGGTTGAGTGAGTGGGTGGTTGAGTGAGTGGGTGGTTGGGTGAGTGGGTGGTTGGGTGGTTGAGTGAGTGGGTGAGTGAGTGGTTGAGTGGTTGAGTGAGTGGTTGAGTGATTAGGTGAGTGGTTGAGTGGTTGAGTGAGTGGGTGAGTGAGTGAGTAGGTGTGGGAGTGAGTTGGTGAGTGGTTGAGTGGGTGAGTGGGTGGTTGAGTGGGTGAGTGGGTGGTTGAGTGAGTGGGTGGTTGAGTGAGTGGTTGAGTGGGTGAGTGAGTGGGTGGTTGAGTGAGTGGGTGGTTGAGTGAGTGGGTGGTTGAGTGAGTGGGTGGGTGAGTGAGTATGTGGGTGAGTGGGTGAGTGAGTGGGTGATTGGTTGAGTGAGTGGTTGAGTGGTTGAGTGAAGGCACGATTAAGGTGAGAAGTACTTGACGTTGGCGAGTGCCTTGACGCGTACGGCGGCGAGGAGGGACTGCGCGGCGATGCGGTGGCTTGAGGGTGATCTCAGGTGGGAGAGTATCCTGAGGACGTCGAGGCGGACGACGAGGATGTGCAGCAGGTAGAGCAAAGAGAGCGACCAGAGAGTTAACAATGTACACATAAAGGGATGTCTGATAGTGCAGACAAAGTCATCAATTTTGTGGATTAGCTCAACAAGGACACATCTTTGGCCAATTACTCTCTCTAATGCCATACAAAAATCTTTGCATGAGCGTTGCTTCTCAATGCCATTTTTGCCACTGAGGTCAAATGCGCTTTCAAATGTGAAGCCATACCTGTAAATCGTTGGATGCATATTCGTGCACTTTACAATGGAATTGCAGTCTGTAGTATGCTTATCATTATTTAATGTAGTGCTAGGATTTCCCTTTTCATCAGTGTATTTCACCGGACATTTCTCTGTACAACGTTTTTCGTAGCATCTGCTACCGGGAGTATCGCAGCTTTTACAACACTCTTCACGTAACTTTATTAATAGGTATAAGAACGTTTCTGTCGTATATACTACCCACGAGAGATAGTTCGAAGCGCGCGTTTCGGAGAATATGGTTACTGAATTTAATGTAATCGGCTGCAAGTATGATCCACATGGGAGTACTGGATTTTTGGAGACCTTGGAGGTGTTGCAGCTAATTACGCCAAATAGGTCACCTTGGGAATGTTTTTCGGAATGATTCTTGCTGTCTTGTATTGACACAACGTCCAACTTTGTTGACTCATCCCCAAAGTTGGCTTCTCTCACGGCTTTATCAAATGCGATTTGCTTATGCTTTTGTCTCGAATAATTTCCAAGGAATGTATGGTAGAAAGCTAACATGTCACCTAGTGATTTGGGCGGTGTTCGCAGTAGACAGTTTAGCATACCACACAGCTTAGTGAGAGGATACGTGGTGCCGCAAAAATAGTAAAGTGCGCCAAAAAGATGGGATCCTGTTTTGGTATGCGACGCCTCTACACCAATGTTATTGAAACCCATCGGAGTAAGACAGGGCTTACCAAAGTGGTTGGTCATTGTGCACGTCAACTTACAACCAACTGTTTTGAATGAATGCGGCAAGAAGCCTTGTAAACCGTCTTCCAAGTATGATTGGAGTGGCGATTTTACACCGCACTTAGGGTGTTGGTCACAGTTTTGGGTAGGTGTTTGGGTAGCAATTTGGTTACTGCTTTGGTTAGGTCTTAGGTTACACTCTTGGTTGGCACATTGCTTATCGTTACAATTCCACGAAGAGCCGCCGACGTGACGACCGTACCAACATTCTTCCCATCCGCTACTACGAGGGCCATTATGACACATCTTGTATATGAAATTAAGTTGATAAAGTACTCTATTCAATACATCTACAAGCATGTCAAGACATGAAGATGCGCTACTAGGATACAACAAATTTAGGGAGTTGTTGGAAAACTCAACGGCGTATACACCGTCGGCGTGGCCGTGGCCCATGATGGTAATAAGCATTTTCTCGGAGTGGAAACACAGAGTCTCAAGAGCGTCTGTAAGGTTCTTAGGTGTAAGTGTCGTGTTCTGATGAACTTCCAGTGTCAGTTTTTCGATGGGTATGTCAGTATAATTTCTATCATCTCCCTTTGGCTTAGGGAACAATTGCTTTAGGTACTTGCACAGTGGATCATATATATGATTATACTGTAACCCGCAGATCCACTGAAGCATCTGGTTGACGGTGGTCGGAGCCTTTGGCTTCGCAGAGATGTAGTGGTGAGAAACTTTGTAGTACCTCTCAAGGTGGCGGCGGAGTGTCCTTAGTGGGCCATCGTCTTTCGTCTTGTCATCATCCTTGTAGACATGATTGTCGCCAGAACCATTAACAAGGAGAGTATAAATATTCTCTCCTTTAAATGTCTCATTATACTTCAATTCACCGTTTTGTTTCTTTTCATCTTCTGGGACGGTGAAGCCACGCTTCTTCAACCAGTCACCAAGTAAATTCACAACATTCTTTTTGCTCGACATTTCAGTCAAGCATACTTTCTTTCCACGCCATCCACCACCAATTTTGCATTCTTTTCTCAACTTGCTTAAATCATAAGACACCCTCTCCAGTATGGTCAGGCAGACCTTGGCGCAGTTGCGGCCCTCGGTGGAGAGGACATCTTTATCTGTGTCAGTACCGTCAGCATTCTTCTCTTTTACCAGCAGCTTATCAAACGTTTTCCCACTGTATTTATTCACGTACGCGCGGGAGAGTTGCTCGGTGAATTTGTCCATCCCGGCCCTGAGGGCGTCGAGCAGCAGCGGGTTGTGGAAGCCGTGGAAGTGGGAGGGGGAGAGGGCGGAGATGGAGTCATTTAATTCGGTAAGGTGTCGAGTAGAATTATGGTCAAATATGTAATTTCTATTCTTGTCCACATTATTAATTTTTATTAGGTAACCAAGTAATTTGTCCAGTCTAGTCTTAATACTCGACACCAACTGGGACTCTTTGGTAGGGGATCTATGATCCCCTTCGAACTTAACTTGGAGCTGAATATAGTCTAACAATTTATCTAGGTACGGTTGTATTCTAGTGGACAAGTCTTTAAACTTTTGGGAATGCTCCGATGGCTGAAGCTGCGCAGGCACAATTTTACTAATTTCTTCTAACTTATAATCTGCATCACCTTTCATCCACTTTAAAAGACCCTTGATTCCTTTCCGTTTATCGTCATTTATTATCTGCTCAATGGCCGATTTTTGTTGCGTCACTAGTTCTGTCAACTCACCAAACTCCTTTGCCTTAGTCGATACGAGTTTCTGGAGTGCTTCCTTTTTAATTTGCGTCTTCGCCATTTTGGTTTGCTCGGAGACGATTAGTTTTATGTTGGATTGGCATCGTTGGACAATGTTTTCTAGTACAGGATTTTTTAAGTGATCGCATTGAAATTCAAGGGTGGATATTATGGAGGAGACGCAGGCATCGACAGTGTCTCTTACTGTTTCTTTGTGGAATGTGTAGGCGTCGTGGAGAATTTTTGTGAAGGTATTTTGTTGTTTAGTCTCATCACCAATGATGCCTTTAATTTCCTGTAGAATTCTCTGCAGGCCCACTGTATCGTTCCAAGTTTGGTCACCATCCGCAAGACCCTGTTTTTGCAAGGTCGCCAACTTGGTGGTGACATGGTCATTTAGCTGTGTTCTAAGTTCTTGAAGTTTAGACTTCATGGCGGCGACGGCTTCATGGATGGGTTGAGTTTGCTTGGGCAACTTGCCGTTTTCGGTGGAAAGTTCATGCTTAATTTTATTAATGCTCTCTTTGGCATTTGTTTTGTAATCATCAGACTTCTCGAAATATTCTCCTTGCACCTTATTTTTTAATCCACTACGAGCTTCTTTTCCATCTCTGTCAACAGCTGCGAGAAGGCTGTTGAAAGGAGAAGTTATGCCTTCTGCCAAGCTGTCGATAGATCTTTTAACATTAGAAAAATCACTACCAATGCTCGTAATAGTACCCATTAAACCGCCAAGTTCACGAGAAATATCAGAAATACCGACGATACTACTGCGACCAGATTGACCCTTCAGCGACTCAAGTTGTCCGGCCAACAGTGAAGCTGCCTGCATTGCGTTTGTAAATTGACTGGTGTGTGTATTGAAATCGGCATTGACATCAAGTTTGTCAGCTTGCTGGACACCTCTTTGGATTTCGTTCTTTAGGGCAGTCACTAAGTCACTCAAGGCTGCCTTAATGGCAGACACATAACTCCTGAGTGTTGATGGACGCTGGCCACGATTAGTCACACTAAGTTGGCGTTTAAATTGATGAGCTTGTGAATGCAACTGTTGTAACTGATTAATTGATCGACTAAGGGAACTGCTATGTGAAAGCGGATTAGCATGTAGCGTTACACCTGCTCTACCCATTTGAGCAGACATCTGTATTCCAGAAGTTTGAACAGTCTGCCCAACCTGTATCAACGGGTCGATAAAATGTGGGAGACTATGTATGTTTACCTGCATATTAACACCAGCTGGTTGACCATTAGTTGTTGACAAAAAATACTGCTCGACCACCTCATAATTCTCATCCAATAATTTGGATACCTCGGTTTCGAGAGTACCTAAGGCATGTTTAGCCTGGTGACCTATAGCTTCGAGCTGTTTTTGTTTGAATAGCGTACAACTCTGTTCAGTCCGTTCTTTTAAACGGCTAACTGCCTGATTGACTTGATTCTTGACCGAGCCATTTTCTGCAACTTCTTTTAGAATACTTTCCACTTTCAACAAAGCTTGAGTAACACTATTCTCAGCCACTGTGATCCATCCTCCCAGTTCTCCGTCAATTCTGCTTAGCGCCGTATTAACCCCCTCAATAGTGTCCTTGGCTCCGCAAATTGCAGAACATTTCTCACCGAGCGTCGTACCTTTACCATTGCATTCTAGGTTTTTATACACATCGTTGCCCTGCTCAATGGCCGTTTTAAGTACACCATCAACTTCCGAAATCCATATTACCAAGCTAGTATAAACCTGTGTCAAAGCATATGCAACCCTTTCGATAGGCCAGTAAATGTTCTTGTTGAATGATGCCCGTAACTCGCTAATACACTTCTCTCTGTGCTTATTAGCGACATCTCTAACCTGCTTTTTAAGATGGGCAATAGCTGCAATCATTTTTTGTTGAAGATCATTAAGCTGCACTGCAACTTCATGATTGATATCATTTTCCATAGTCTTAAGCTGACTCTCAACCTTAGCAGCCACCGCCACCAAGTCGCTGTGATCAAGCTGTGTATTGGATGCAAATGTACTAACACTACTAACAATTAAGTTGACGTGTTGCTCTAACTTGTTTCTAAGTTTGTCATCTACGTGGCTAAGTGCGCTAAAGGATGAGTTTGGCAGAGTCGGCAGCTGTTGGACTGAGTCAGTCCAGTCCGCCAACTTCTCTGATACTGCGTCGTACTCTTGATCTCTCCATGTTCCAATTGCACCTGAGAAAGATTGAATGTCGACAATAAACGTACCTAATGGTCTTGTAACATTCTTGATTTTTTGGTCCACCTGCACCGCATGTCTATTCAACCACTCACTTACCTCAGACACGGCGGCCTGGAAGGCCTTACGGCCTTTACCTACACTATCATTTAATTTCTCAAGAACTTTATTAAGCTTATTATCATCTCCAGAGATATAATTATTGTACGTTGTAACGCTCTCATCCTCCTTCACTTCATTTAAAACACCATGAAGGAAAGCCATCACCCCGTCGCAGAGCCTGTCAAGGTCCGAGTACACGATGCCATCGCCAGTGTAGCCTTTGGAAGTTTCTTGGTAACCAAGGAACTTCTCCAAGCCAGAGCACAGGTTATTTAACAATGTTTCACAAGGTTTATCTTGTGGACTTTTAAGAGATTCAAATGACTCATTAAGGCTCTTCAGCTTCTGAAGAGACGCCAACTTGGACTGATGAGACTCATGAGACTTATTAAGGTCATCGGGGACAGACATTTTTTTGTTTTTAAGTTCTTCTATTTTAGGTTTAAGAGACGCAATTTCTGCTTCATAATGCTTAATTTTCTGCTCAAGCTTCTCATCATCTATAAGCTCAGCAGACACGGAAGTGGCAGACTGCACAGGCGAAGACGGAGAGTTTCTAAGGCTTTTGAAGTCTTCATCACTGTCAATAATGCTGTCAATGCCATTTTTAATTGCTTTGGTAACAGCTTCACTTTGGCCAATAAATTGGCCAAGCTTCCCACTGAGCTCAGCAAGAGACACCATCCTGGAGTGGATGTCCTTCAACGCACCGTCCCTTTTGGACGGATTGCTGTGCACTTCACTTTGGTGGCTGCTTAAGTCAGATTGAAGTTTAATGAGCTTATTTTCATTAGGGTTGTTAGAATTTTTAAGGTTGTTAATTTGGCTAGTCAAGTGATCACAGTAGTTAAGAGGCTGACCAGAGGGGTCAGAAGGAGAATTATGGAGGGAGGTCAAAAGAGGTGAGAGAAGCAAAGTGGAAAAAAGGTTAGAGGGCAATTAGAGGAGGTGGAAAGGGACACTTTTGGAGAATTTTAGAATTTTTTGAGAAAGGCGATTTTAGGTGAAGGAGGCAGTGAGGGAGCGAGGGAGTGAGGGAGGTGGGTGGACAGGGTGAGGGAAGTGAAGGGGCGAAAGAGGGCGATGAGGGAGGAAGATGGGTTGAGGTAAGGGGATTTCGGAGGTGGAGGGGGAAGGTGGAAAAAGAGGATTCGGGTGAAGGACGCCGACGGAGGAGGTGATGGAGGGGTGATGGAGGAGGGAGCGAAGCGACCAGTGAAAGAGGGTGGTGAGTGGGTGAGTGAGAGAGTGAGTGGGTGAGTGGGTGAGTGGTTGAGTGAGTGAGTGTGTGGTTGAGTGGGTGGGTGATTAGGTGGGTGGGTGAGTGAGTGGGTGGTTACGTGAGTGAGTGAGTATGTGGGTGAGTGGTTGAGTGAGTGAGTGGGTGAGCAAGGAGCAGAGTGAAATGGAGTGCGATGGAGTGAACGATGGCCGATGGGTCGAGTGCCGAGGGCTGAGCTGGTGATGGGTCGAGTGGGTGGGCAGAAGCTTGAGTGGGCGGGTGGTGATGGAGCGAGTGGTTGGAAGTGGGCGGGTGGCTGGAGGAGTGAGGCTGAGCAGGCGGCTGAGTGGTTGAGTGGTTGAGTGGGTGATACACAGATCACACGTGAAGGCACGATTACGGTGAGAAGTACTTGACGTTGGCGAGTGCCTTGACGCGTGCGGCGGCGAGGAGGGACTGCGCGGCGATGCGGTGGCTTGCGGGCGAGCGCAGGTGGGAGCGTATCCTCAGGACGTCGAGGCGGACGACGGCGATGTGCAGCAGGTAGAGCAAGGAGAGGGACCAGAGGGCTAGCAATGTCCAGATGAAGGGTGCGCGGATCTTGAACATGTAACCAGGGATTATGACATATATATATTCCGCTATTATTGTTTTTCCACGACTCACGTTTTGCATTTGCGCGATGAAATCTCCACATGTTCGTTTCAAATGCTTTCCGAGTCGACCTCCGATTTTTGTACCATTGCCAAATACTATCCCTTCTGTGTAGAATCCCGGAAGGGTATGAGGGCATTGAATTATTGACTGACAAGACGATGAATGCGTCGACGATTTCGCAGCTTGACAGTCACTTGCGCAGCCTTTAGTGCGGCACTGCGATATATGCTTGCCGCAATTTCCTTCACATCTCAGCAATAGCCTACAAAGTGAATCGTAGAACGCCTCAGTGATATTCACGATCCACGACAGGTATTTGTCGGCGTGTTTTTTTGAAAACACACAGCGCGCATTGAGGCTGAGTGGATGTACGTATGAACCGCAGGGAGAGACTGGGGATGATTTCTCATTGCAACTAACGAGGCTGAAGAGGTCTCCTTTTTTATGATTTTCTCCGTGGGCAGTGCTATCTACTAATTTGGTGATATCAAGTGTAATGCCACGGTTAAATGACGCTTCGTTGACTGCTCTGTCAAATGCGCTACTCTTATGTTCGCTGTTTTTAAGGTCTCCCCAGCCGTAGATGAAATTATAGTAGAACGAGAACATCTCATCAAGTGTTTGGGGAGGTGTCTGTAGTACGCATATGAGATAACTACAGAATTTGGTGAGGGGCTTGTCCGATTTACCACAAAATCTTGCCAACACTTTCATAAGATGCTGGCCTCTCATTGTATGTGACGCCGTCACGCTGAGGTCACCAAAGCCCATCGGCGTTTTGCACGGAAGGCCTCTGTGATTCGGCAGTGAACAGGTCATTTTGCAATCTGACTTATTATATGGATGCGGCAAAAAGCCCTGGAGACCATCTTCTAAGAAAGACTGCAATGGCGATTTCGCACCGCACCGAGGGTGTTGGTCACAGCGTTGCTTAACAATTTGGTTGGTCTTTTGCTTGGCACTTTGGTTGGCTAGTTGGGGACACTCTAGGTTGACACATTGCTTCTCATTGCACTGCCAACTGGAGCCAGCGACGTACCTGCCATAATGGCAGTCCAACCAGCCACTGCTGCTTGCACCGTTACAGCACTGGTAGTATAAGAAGGACAGCTGGTGATTAATTCTGAGACATATTTCCACGAGCCAATCTAAGCATTTGCCAGCATCACTGGGATACGATAACCCATATGAATTAGTATTAAATTCACAGGCGTAAGTTCCACCTGCGTGGCCGTGGCCCATTATTGCGATGATCGTTTCTTCTGCGTAGTGGCAGACCTCTGTGAGAATGCCAGATAATTTTGCAGCTGTTATTGTATCTGGGTACGCCTCCAATGAGTCGGCATTTTCGTCTTCGAAAGGTATGCCGTCTACCACAGGGTTTTTGGAGTCTGCGTCCTCAGGCTTCTCGAAGAGGTCACTGAAGCCTTGATGTGAGAGTGCGTCATACACGGGATTATGTGGAAGGCCAATGAGCCATGTGAGCATATGGTGGACACTGCGGGGAGGCCTGGCATTGGGGATGTGACGAAGATGCGTCACACTGTAGGAAGTGCGGAGAAGCTCGTAGAAGAATTTAAGGAGGTCTACGACATTTACGTGAGTGTTATCATTGTCCTTAATTTTTATGTTGATCTTAGAAAGATCAAGTGACGTCTGTAATTTGGTGTAAATCGTTGAGCCCATCATGCTCGGTTTGTTAAGTAGCTCCGTATTACTGATGTCAGGACGCGACGCAACACGGAAACCACAACGCTTGAGAAAATGGCCAAGTGGGTTTATATCTGGTTTTGTAGGCCCTGATGCACTGAATTTTAACTCATTGGTTAGATCGATTTTCTTATTTGCACAATTCCCATTGGGCTTACAATTCTCACTCAACTGATGCAATTCTTCGTAGAGCGGGTGAATTATGGTACAAAAGACTTTGGCGCAATTCGTTGCGTCCTGGGTTAATTCGTCATCATCGGACGCCAGAAATTCAGGAAGCGTGGTCTTATGCTCCCATGTGATTGTCTCCTCCGAGTAAGCACTGATATACGTGTACTCCAACTGTTCGACAAAGCCGCCCACCCCGGTTCTAACCAGGTCAAGGAGACGATTATTGTTGCCGTCGAACTTATCAGGAATTAAATTACGATGTGACGTTTTAAGTGATTTTAGGTTATCAGTGGAAGTTTTGTTGAAGTGAGTAAGTCGTAGGAGCAAATTGGTGAGATCGTCACGTATTTTGGCAACATGACGGGATTGCTCATTTTCTATTTTCTGCGGTTGCTGATGTGCTGACTTCGGCGGCACCAAAGTCTTTACTTGATCCTCAACATAAATCAGAAGCACATCTTGAAGCAATTTAACCTTGGTGGCCAATTGTTCCAACGTGATGTTTTTGTCGAGCTTGGGGAAATCTGGTAGTGGATCTAGAAATTCTTCGTCGATTCTTTCTATTAAATTGCCAATAAATCCCTTCACCCCTGTTGCTTTATCCTCCCTGATAATTCTTTCAATCTCCCTCAACTGCGCGTCGACGACGGTCTGCAGCTGCGTGAGCTCGGCCTGCTTCTGACGAGCAAAGAGGGATTGGACGGAATTCTTGACGGTATCGAAAGAGGATTTAACGGCGGCGAGGAGTTGAGCTTGAAGATTCTTGCTTTCCTGAGTTATGTCCTGCTCAGTTTTTTTTACCGCGTTGCCAACTGAGTCAATGGCATTTTGTAAGCCTTTCTCCGCAGCATTTACAATTAAATCGACGTCGTCAATCATTCCTTGCAGTGTCGTAAATTTTGTTTTAATGTCTTTCATAATTTCATCGGCTGCCAGCTTACGCTGTTCAACGAATTCTGGAAGCCGTTCCATTTTGTCAACCATTTGTTTCACACTGGCGACCGCCTTGTTATACGCAGGCTTGGCGCCTTCACTGGAGCTGGATGTGCTTGGCGGAGTATTGTATCCTTCAAGTGTTTCCAAATGTATCTTTGTGTTTTCTCCGTCACCTTGGAAGCCGCCGCCAAACTTCCCTTTAATCTGCTTGATTTTTGTTCTAAGCGCACCTTCGATCCTTCCATCTTTCGTAGTCTGCGCATAATAATTGTTCATAAATGTCTCACTTATTATTATATTCTTAGTAGGCTCCTTTATAACCTTTTTAAGCGCATTCTCTATGTCAGTCTTAAGGTATTTAACAAGTTGGAGGGTGTCTGCTTGGGGGATGGGTATAACACTGTCCAACTTGAGTTCACTATTTAAAGATCTTAGTGCATCTACAATATTTCCAGCCGTTGATCCTTGCATAGAATTGAACAACTCTTTCAACTTACTACCCTCTGCCAGATTACTCAAAAGTCCAGTGCCGCCAACATTAGTACGAATTACAGTATTTGCCTTCTTCGCCGCTTTCAGAATAGCATCAACCTGTTTGTCGATGTAACCATCAATCTGCAGTTTTATATCCCCTCGCACTCGTTCCAAATCCGTGCGCAGGTGGTCATCCAATTTCGTAAGCTCCGCCAACACACTACCAGGCTCATTATCAGTTAGACCAACCGCCTTGTCAACTTTCTTTTTGACATCCACCAATTTTCCCTGATACAGCTTTTCCAACTCTAATACCGCCTTGTTAAGTTTCTCGACCTCTTCGAACAATTTTGATTCATATTTTACGCTTTTATTTGATTTAGTGATATCAGTCATTTGTTGATTGATACTGTTGAACTCATTCAGAATATTGTGTTCATATATTTTATCAAAATCCGTTATACAGTCTTGTACAAATACCTTCGCGTCCTCCACTGCACTCCTCACCTTTTGCATTTCAGTCTTTAAAGTATTTTCTTTCAGGTCATTCAAACTACTTCTTATCTTGTCAAATTCACCACCTACAGTGTTTTGAAACTTTTGGGACCCAGTATTTATAGCGTTGTTTAAGGCAGCTTGCTGGGTCTGAAGTGCCGTGTCCACAGCCCTTGCCTGATGGTTAAGCAGGCCATTTTCATTAATTTCCCTAAAATCGTGTGCAGCCTGTTTGATTAAACTTACAGGTTTATCAAGCATTTCACGCAATTTTTCATCGAGTTCACTTTTTGATTTTTCGCCGAATGTTGCCCTGTGAAGACACATCTTTGCCTTGGAGGACACAGCTTTCAACTGATCTTCAAGGTTCTTATCATGAAATGTTGACATTTCGCCTTTTAAATCCTTTATTTCAGTATTCATCATTGCGTCATACCAACTTTTAAAACGATTAATCCTCTCCTCCATGCCACTCTCATACCTCTCCAGCCCCGCCTGCACAATCCCAATGGCCTGCGCAAATTCTGGAACACCAAGGCCCTTACCTATTTTACCTTCTAACTCTCTTATAGTGTCAATAATCTGAGGATAATAATGATGTAAAAGTGTTTTAGCGCCCTCAAGACATTGGAGGATAAAGGACATCACCCCGTCGCAGAGCCTGTCAAGGTCCGAGTACACGATGCCATCACCGGTGTAATTCCCTTTCTTGTAGCCGAGAAATTTTTCGAGGCCTGTGCAGAGGTTATTTAATAATGTTGTTGAAGGATTATTTTAGGCACATTTTCAGGGCGATTTGGGGGAATTTGGAGAAAGGCGATTTTAGGTCAGGGAGGCAGTGAGGGAGGTGAGTGGACAAGTGATAAATGAATACTAAGGCGGCCGATGAGGGAGGAAGATGGGTTGAGGCAGCGATTTAGGAGGTGGAGGAAAGTGGAAAATGATGATTTAAAGAAGGATCGACGGATGATGCGATGGAGGGGGGATGACGCAGCCGACCATGCTTTTGTTGATGAGAGTGGGGCGGCTGATGGGCGGTCGATGGGGCGAGTTATGCGAGCGGGCGGCGTACTGGAGGGCGAGGCGAGCAGGCGATGAGCAAGAGCGATGGGCGTGCGGAGCGGTCGATGGCCGAGTGAGTGGGCGGTGAGATGGGCGTGAGTGGCCGAGGTTGATGAGCGTAGTTCGAGTGAGCGGCGATTGGTCGAGCCAAGTGGCGAGCGAGCGAGTGCGCGAGCGCAATGCCAACGATTATGGCGGAGTAGCTGACCTGATCGCCGGCGAGCGCCTTGACGCAGGGCGATGAGGACCCGCGCCGCATGACGCGGCGCGACGATGGGCGATCCCGCGCGAGCGCATCCCAGGACGTCGATGGAGCGATCTACGACGCGCGTTAAGGCAACAGGACGACTGGACAACACCAGATGCAAATAATGAAGATAGCAGGAGCAATAGCCGAGAAACGCCGAAATGACTACCTTTAGCTACCATCTCAGTACGATCTGGCTGAACCTGGAAAGGCAACGAAATACGATGCTGGCCGAGGCGGAGGAGGGGCGACGGCGGCGATGATGCGAAGGCCGCGCTGCATGACCAATGGAAGACGGGCCGATGATGAGCGCTGGCCTACGCAGAAAGTGAAAACTGATAGATCCGGGGTGATGACCCGACCTGATGATGCGACGGTGGATGTAAATGGGATGAGCCGAAATGACCAGCGAGCGATGAAAGCGCGGCCGATGAGTGATGAGCGGAGCGGGCGGTCGATGAGCGGTCGAGCTGGCGGATGGCCGAGCCGGGCGATGGCCTGGAGCGCGGCTGATGCGTCGGCCGAGGGTACCGAGGGCCGATCGATGGTCGGTTACCGCGGGTCGATGATGATGAGTATGTGGCCGAGAGTGGGCGGTTGAGTGAGTAAGTGATGAGCTGGTGAGTGGCTGAGGGTGAGTGGGGTGCGTGGGTGGTTGAGTGGGTGAGTGGGTGGGTGGTTGAGTATGTGAGTGGGTGGTGAGTGGGTGAGTGAGTGGGTGAGTGGGTGATTAGGTGAGTGATGCACAGATCACACGTGAAGGCACGATTATGGTGAGAAGTACTTGATGTTGGCGAGTGCCTTGAGGGCGGCGGCGAGGAGGACTGGGCGGCGATGCGGTGGCTTGAGGGTGATTTCAGGTGGGAGCGTATCCTCAGGACGTCGAGGCGGAGGACGGCGATGTGCAGCAGGTACAGGAGCGACAGCGACCAGAGGGTGAGTAACGTTAACATAAATGGTGATCTAATGCAGTAGAAAAACTTGTCAATTTCATCAAATAATGTGATGAAGTATTGTGAATTCAGCACTTTGGTCAGTTGATTGACAAAATCATCACATGTCTTCTTGGTTGGACTCTTCATCAGCTCCTTGGGTACGCGGTAGGTGAGTCCGTATTTGTAAAATGTATTCAGAGATCCCTGGCAGTCAACGATGGAATCACAGTGACAGCTTTCTTTCGATTTCTCCGTGTCATAAATACCATGCTTACCGGGTGCGCAGTTACATGAAGAACACCCGAGAGATTTACAAGAAATATTTTTGAATGAATTGAGTAACTCATTGAGTAGGATCCAGAAATTCCATGTTAAATATGCGATCCAAGAGAGATACATTCCGGCATGTTTAGGGGCGAATGTATGATATGAATGAAACGATAGAGGCTGGAGGTAAGGACCACACGTAGAACCTTTGACGGAGCACTGCATGGAATCCTTGGTATTAGGCATTGTTGACAAACTTTGGAGACCGCAGTGATTATTGTCATTTGGGTCGCCGTTGTGATCACCATTAGCGCAATGCAAGTTATACAGAGCATCGGTCAGACTTTCAGCACTGTAGTCGTTGTGCAGGGATGTCTCAAATGGGAACGAGTTTCCAATGGAACCGTTTATTTTACTCTTGTGTAGTGCTGAATGACCATATTCGGTACTGTGCCAGGCCTGCATAGCATTACAGTAGAGAGCAAACATATCGCCCAAACTGCTAGGAGGATATGGATTAAGGCATAGAAGACACCAAAGCAAGGCACAAAGCGGTGAGTTTGCATTGTGGCAGAACGTAGCAAGGACATTGTATAGGTCACTGCCCTTTCTGGTAACCGACCCCGCATTGCTCAAGTCCCAAAAACCCATTGGGGTAATACACTGTTGACCTGGCGATCCTTTTGGGCAGCTCAAACATTTAGATGAACAACCAACGGACGTTAATTTATGTGGTAGACAACCGGGTAGACTGTCTGTTAGGTGAGCTTGAAGCGGTGATTTCACACCGCACTTAGGGTGTTGCTCACATATTTGGTTAGTGCTTTGGTTGGCACGTTGGTTACCCTTTTGGTTAGGGCTTAGGGGACACGCTAGGTTTGCACATTGCCTGTCATTGCAGTCCCATGATGAACCACCAACATCACGGCCGTAGTGGCATTCACGCCACCCACGCATCTGTGAGTTCGCCCGGCACCGACCACGCAAAAATGTGAACTGCCTGAGAACACGTCTACATATGTCTTTTAATATATGTAATAGTTCGGGAACCTTTTGCGGATAGTAAAAGCCACGTGAGTTGTCCCGGAAGTTACACGCATATGGGTAGTCGGCCTGGTCAAAGCCGTGACCGTGGCCTTGTATCGCAACAAGTGATGTGTAAGCATATTTACAAGTTAAGGATAAACTGTCACGCAAATTAGAGTCGAGTATTCTATTGATTACTTCATCATCCCTATTAGGGAATCTGCCAGTTGCCTTGTCCTTCTCGTTGAGCGTGTCTGTGCAGTACTTTTCAATTTGAGTGTACACATTAGTATGAGGAAGTCCACAGAAATATGAAAGCATGTCCCGAATAGAACACGGATACTTAGGGGAGCCATTGTGCTTAAGATGACATACTTCGTAATATGTGTTAAGTTGATTAAAAAGTTTAACTAAAGGACCGTCCTGTTTTCTGAAATCCTCAACGCAATCGTCGAGAGATTCAGCCTTTTCTGGGTCTTTGTTAAACTCACCATATTTGTTGAAGCCGTCAAATAATTTTCCGGTGACACGTATTCCAGTGTCATCTTTATTGATAAGGTTCTCAATGAGGTAACCCGATTTTTCCATGAAATCCCTCAGAGCGTTGTTACCTTTCTCGGCTTGTATTTTATAAGTCTTCCAATCCTTACCGCCGTGGAAAAACACGTGGTACAATTTTTCGAAAAGCGTTGGCAGACAAGTCAAAAATATGTTGGCGCAGTTTTTGCCGTCAGATGATAATTCCTCTTTTGTATCACCCTGTTTGGCAGATGTCGAAGCTTTTATAGTTTTCACTAGATTTTCAAAATCAATTTTGTCCGTATGCCCTTCATAAGCATTTATGTAAGCCTTATCTAATTGTTCCGTAAACCTCTCTAATCCGTCCTTGAGACAATCTAAGGCCGGATAGGAGATTGCACCAAATTTCAGAGGTGACAGGCTTCTAAGTGAAGTTTTAAGTGCGGCAAGTGATTTAACAAATTCATTATCGAAACTGTATTTTCTATCGGTTTTACCTAGGTGAGTAAGCAAGTCGCGAAGCTTGTCGAAAATGTCTCTAAGTTTGTCATAATACGTTTCCACGCTTGGATCCTTGGACACCCTCTTCATGTCCTTTCCGGCATATTGCAAAATCTGAATCACGTATTCTCTGAAATTGTCAGCTAAGTTTGAGAATCTCTTTTCCTTCGCCGACTGATGCAGAGTACTAATCAGCGCACCAAGCTTAGTGGAAAATGTATCAAGTGTACCATCCGCCGCCACACCACTCACCGTCTTCAGCAATCCCTTGAGCCCCGTCTTTTTGTCGGTGTCGATGATGTCTGAGATCTTTGTATTGGTTTCCGTAATTAGTGTTTTTAAGGCCCTTAAATCGGCTCTGTGACCTTCGGCAAAAAGTCGTTGAATGTCGTCGGTGAGGATGCTGAAGGATGAATTGACTTGTGAGAGGAGGGAATTTCTGAGTTCGGCGACGGCCTTCGATGATGCTGTATACACCTTGTGAACCGAATTTATGGCGGCTTTTATGGCATTTATAAAATCAATCTCGGCTGCGGTGAGAGCTGACGAAATGGCATTGAGGTTTTTGTCAAGATTCGTTTTTAAATTGTCCATAAGATACGCTGCTGCCTCTTTCTTGGCATTAACCAGTTGTGGAAGCTTCTCCAGATCAGCGATTATGTTGCCGATTTCGATAGTGGCCTTGTCAACAGTGGATTTTAAGTTTTGAGATACTTTATTATCTGTTTCACCAAGTATTTTCTCCATGTCATCATTGATTTTCGCGAGTCCTTTCACGCTAGCAACGGAGGTGTGAGGTGAATACGTGGCAGCAGGTTGAACATCATCGCCACTCTGCGTAATCATACTACTTATATCCGACAGGTAATCGTTCACGCTGTTTTTGCTACTGGTAGGCTCTTCCTTAATCTTTTTGGATACTGCGGTAATTTGGCTCTGAATTCCTTGGACAGCTTGGGCGATATCCTCGGCTTTGGCGTCCAACGCTATCTTTTGACCGTGGAGGTCTGCTTTAATTTTGCCGAGGCCTTCCTGATTTCCACCAACAACTGGTATTTTGGTTTCCTCGCTTATCAAGGTCTCAAGTTTCTTCAGTTTCTTCTGCAAACCATCGTTGGGATCGCCATTTCCTGCAACATGAGTTATAATGGCTTTGCTGAGTTTGGAAAGGCTTTCGGTAACGGCATTGTAAAGGGCTTTCAGGGTGGTGTCCGTAATTTGTGGTTTTCTGTCACCACAGCTCATAACTTTCTTAAGCTTTTCCAGACCTTCTGGACCCTGCACGCTTCTCAAACGGTCGATGACCTGTGATTTATCTTTCTCATAATTTGACGTATGATTACCGTTTACTGGCTTACCACTCGTACCATACGTTTTATCAATCTTCATTTCTGCATCATCTTTCATGGCACCAAAACCTGTTGTGGAAGAGCCTTTTATGGCACCCTTCAGATTCTCCAGAGAATACAATGCGGCATTTAAAGCTGCTGTACCGCTGGATGCTGACAGATCTAAACCGGTAGCGTTTTTAATATTTGCCAAACCACTGTTACCGGCTCCCTCCAGCCACTGTTTCAATTTCTGACTTTTATTGTCGAGGCCACTAATCATATGAACATTTGCGCCACTCCATGCACCGCTAGTAGCACCCTTCTTGAAGTCCAATCCCGCCAATCCAGTAAAATACTCTCCAACGGTAACTTTAATTTTGTCTCTTAGTTGTTTTAAATCATTCTCTACGGCTTCTTTTAATGTACGTGTAACGGCCTGCTCAGCACTTACCACCTGCTCCTGTATATATTTTTGTGCCGCATCCATTGCCTTACGCAGTGCCTCCGCATCTACATGAAGCTTCTCGGCTGCTAGTTTAATAAGCAAAGGTTTGTTTTCCCCGGTGTCAAACTCTTTCAAAACTGCACTCACTAAACTCAAAGACGTCTCCACCAATGGCGTCGTCTTTTCGATCCAACTAAACAGTGAAGTGTCAATTCTGCCAAGCGCGCTATGAACACTTTCGACTGTTTGACGGACGATTTCAATGCTTGCGAATTGAGAATAAAGCGAATTTTCTGGTTTACTATGATCTAGTTGTCCAACAATCTCCGTACAACTCTGCCCCGCCGTGCTCACAACTTTAATTGCTTCAATCCTCCACTTCTCCAACCTCGCAACATCCGCCTGCAAACTCTTGCCAATCTCCCCAACCCTCGCCGTCAACTCACTGAATTTCTTTTTGAGCTCCGACCGATTTGGTCCAGGCTTATTCGGATTAATTTGGGTCATCTGACCATCGATAATTGTAAATTGCGTTTCAATCTCAGCCTTATAGGTTGTGTCGAAGTAGTCGAATAGAGCAACTCGAGTATCCTTAAATTGCTGACTAATGTTCTCAAAATGCTCTTTCCTTTTGTCACTCAGACGATGCGTTTCGTTCAAAATATCATTAAACCCATTATCTAGCATCTTTCCTAACCCATCACAACCATTGCTAATCCTACCCACAAGATGGCTACGCTGAACCTCCAGCTCGGTGTCAATTTTTTTGGCCTGCCCCTGGACAAACTCGTCCCTAGCCGCCCTAACCAACACCCCAACCGCCGCGCTAAGTGGTCTATATTCGTGCGCTATCTGTGCCTTAAGTGAGTCATCTAACAAATTAATTTTCTCAGTTTCTATAGTGCTCAACTGCCCTTCTAGGTCAGTCACTGTCTTCCGCCAGTCCATCAACTGGGTCTCCAGCTTCTTGTCCTTTTCGTCCTGCACATATCTATTAATTTTGTCATCACTTAACTCACCTATTAAGCCTGTTAGAGATGTCTTCACTTCTCCAGTCCTCTCCCCCACCTGCACCGCATGTCTGTTCAACCACCCACTTACCTCAGTCACGGCGACACCGAAGGCCTCACGGCCTTTACCTACATTATTATGTAAATTGTCAAGAACATTATTAAGTGTATTATTATCATAAGTTGTAACGTTATCATCATCTTTCACACTCTCAAGAACACCATGAAGAAACGCCATCACCCCGTCGCAGAGCCTGTCAAGGTCCGAGTACACGATGCCATCGCCAGTGTAGCCTTTGGAAGTTGAATTGAAACCAAGGAACTTTTCTAAACCATCAGTGAGATTTGTTAAAAGGCTTTTACATTCTTCCCCTGACTCAGTAAATATTTTAAGAGATGTTTTGAGACTTTCAAGGCACTTCTTACGCTCAGCAAGATCCTTCTCAGCACTCTTTCTTTTAGACTCAGACCCATGTACTTCGGAGTAATGGCCATTATACCTGGATTAAAGGTGGATTAGGGGAAGAGTTAAAAGAAGTAAAAGGAGGTGAAATGGCACATTTTCAGGGCGATTTGGGGGAATTTAGGGAAAGGCGATTTTAGGTCAAGGAGGCAGCGAGGGGGTGAGGGAGGCGGGTGGACAGGGTGAGGGAAGTGAAGGGGCGAAAGAGGGCGATGAGGGAGGAAGATGGGTTGAGGAAAGGCGATTTCGGAGGTGGATGGGGAAGGTGGAAAATGAGGTTATGGGTGAAGGACGCCGACGGAGGAGGTGATGGAAGGGGTGAAGGCAGGGAGCGAAGCGACCAGTGAGTGAGTATGTGAGTATGTGAGTATGTGAGTGAGTGAGTGGTTGAGTGGGTGGGTGTCTGAGTGGGTGAGTGGGTGAGTGGTTGAGTATGTGGTTGAGTGGGTGGTTGAGTATGTGGTTGAGTGGGTGGGTGGGTGGTTGAGTGAGTGGGTGAGTGAGTATGTGAGTGGGTGAGTGAGTGGGTGAGTGAGTGAGTGGGTGGTTGAGTGGGTGAGTATGTGAGTGGTTGAGTGAGTGGGTGATTAGGTGAGTGGTTGAGTGGGTGAGTGGGTGGTTGAGTCGTTGAGTGAGAGGGTGAGTGATTAGGTGATTAGGTGAGTGGGTGAGTAGGTGGTTGAGTGGTTGAGTGATTAGGTGAGTGGGTGAGTAGGTGGTTGAGTGGTTGAGTGATTAGGTGAGTGGGTGAGTGAGTGGTTGAGTGGGTGAGTGGGTGGGTGGGTGGTTGAGTGGGTGGTTGAGTGGGTGGGTGAGTGGGTGGGTGATACACAGATCACACGTGAAGGCACGATTACGGTGAGAAGTACTTGACGTTGGCGAGTGCCCTGACGCGTGCGGCGGCGAGCAGCGACTGCGCGGCGATGCGGTGGCTTGAGGGTGATCGCAGGTGGGAGCGTATCCTCAGGACGTCGAGGCGGACGACGGCGATGTGCAGCAGGTACAGGAGCGAGAGCGACCAGAGGGCTAACAATAAGGTCATGAATGGTGATCTAATGCAGTAGAAAAACTTGTCAATTTCATCAAACAATGTGATGAAGTATTGTGAATTCAGCACTTTGGTCATTTGATTTACAAAGTCATCACATGTCTTTTTAGTAGGATTTTGCATCAACTCCCCCGGTACGCGGAACGTGAATCCATACATGTAGAATGTTGAAATTGCACCTTGGCAATCGACAATGGAATTGCAATGGCAAGTCGGCTTACGCGGGTTTGCAGAGTTAGAGGACTTTTCTTCACAAACACCATGCTTTCCTGGGACGCAATTACATGATGAACATCCATGTGCTTTACAAGATATACTTTTGAACGCATTAAGCAAAGATTCGAGAAGATTCCAAAGCTCCCATGCCAAATATGTAAACCAAGATAAATACAAATTGGCGTGTTTAGGGGCGTAGCTGTGATGCGCATGGAGACCGAGAGGTTGGAGGTAAGGGGCACAATTGGGATTAATATCAGAGCAAGTCACTTGTGAATCATCAAATTTAGGTCTGCTAATGCTCCAAAGATCACAGTGCTCGTTATCAGTGTTTTTACCGGTGTGATCTTTATCAGAGCAATACAAATTCTGCATTGCATCAGTCAACTTGGTCGCTGGATAATCACCGTGAAAGGAAGCTGACAGTGGGAAACATGATTGAATGGCGGCGTTAATTTCCTTTTTGTATTCGGCGTCATGACCATAAGTGGGCGCATTCCATCTCTGCAGCATATTACAGTATAACGCAAAAATATCTGAAGTGCTTTTCGGAGGATGTGGTAAAAGACAGAGTAGACAGCGTAGTAGGGAACAAAGCGGTGATGCGCCATTCTTGCAAAACCTAGCAAGCACTCTGTATAGAACACTACCTTCTCTCGTTACGGATGCCGCTGTTGACAAGTCCCAGAAACCCATCGGAGTGATGCACTGCTGCCCTGGCGATCCTTTTGGACAACTCGAACATTTAGACGAGCAACCAAGTGATGACAATTTATGCGGCAACATGCCAGGCAGGCCGTCCATTAGGTGAGCCTGTAAAGGTGATTTTGGATAACAACTTGTTTGGTCATTTGGTTGGCCAGTTGCCTGGCCCTTTGGTTGGTCTTTTGGTTCGGTGTTTGCTTGGCCGGTTGGATGGTCGTTACATTGCCAGTTTGTCGATAAGACTGCCTGACCATATGAACATTCACGCCACCCATGTACTTGAGATGGTGTACGGCATCTGCTATAAGTGAAATACAGTGAACGTAGTAAACGCGTACATATGTCTTTTAGCATATCGAAGAGACCGGCTACGTCGGATGGGTAATGGAAACCGCGTGAGTTGTCTCGGAAATAGCAGGCATATGGGTAGTCGGATTGGTCAAAACCATGGCCGTGGCCTTGGATTGCAACGAGCAAATCATATGAATTTTGTATGGTGAAGGATAGGCTATTACGGAATGTATATTTAAGAATATACAAAAGTCTTTCATCGCCACTATTGGTTTTATCGTTCAACAAGGTATTACAGTAATCGTTGACATTTTTATATACCCTAGTATGCGGCAAACCAGTGAGCCATGAAAGCATATCTCTGACCGAGCAGGGGTATGCTTTCGATTTGGGCAATTCAAGGTGACGGACTTGGTAGTAATATTGGAAACAGTCGTAAAGCTCCTGGATTAGGCCATCCCTCTTGCCGAGGTGTGGACACAGTTCCTTGTTTTTATGTATAATGTTGCCTATAACTATCCCAGTGAGGTCGCGTCTCAATTCACCGTCTTGTATTTTAGAGGATGACGGAATGTCATAGCCATGGCTTTTCAGAGTTGTGGCGATGGGAATACTGTTGGCATCGAATACTTGCTTTCGACACCACTCGTTTTTCATGCAGGATTCGTTAAGTGTCATCAATTCCCCGAGTGTTGGAATGATTGTGACGAAGATGTTTGCGCACTTTACAGCATTATTAGATAAAGCTTTCTTGCCGTCTGTCGTCGCCTCCCACTTAATCTTTTCACCGGAGTACGTGCTGGTGTAAGCGTAGTCCAGCTCTTTTGTCAGGCCGTTGAAACCCTCCTTGAGAGCCTGTAATATCAATGTCGAAGGCTCACCAAATTTATGCGGTGTCATGGTGGCAAGTTGCGTTTTGAGTGAATCCAGATTGTTACTCAAATTATGGTCGACGTGTCCCGACTTAATGAGTCCCGTGAGGAGAACGTTAATCTCGGAACTCAGTGGGTGTACATTCTCAAAGTATAACTTGAAATCTGCTTGAAGATATAATGTTTTGAAAGACTCCACAAAGTTTTTCCTGACCTCTTCGGCAATCTCGTGCATTTGTTTGTGCTGGGATGGATCACCGGCGGCACCACGTGCCTGTGGACCTGCAGGAGTCAGATAAATATTGAGAGGAGTGACAAATTTCTCCTTCACTTTAGCAATGAAACCCTTTAACCCTATATGTTTGTTATTATGAATGATTCTTTGAACTTGTTCAGATTGCATTTTGACGCATTCCTTCAATGCTTCTAGATCAGCCTTCTTTTGGGCGGCGAACATGGAGCGAACGTCATTTTGAATACCAACAATCTGACGTTGGATTTCTTTTTTGAGGTCGACTTTTATTGTTTTAATCACTTCGATGGCATGCTCAAACGCTTCGTTCACATGGGTCTTGATCACTGCGAGTTGCTGCGTCAATTTCTGATATTCAGCTATGAGGCTACTGACTGCGGCGTTGATTTCCTTTCTGAAGCCCACAAGAGCTTTGTTTTGGTCGGCTATCACGGCATTCATGCCTTTTTCGGCACTGTCCACCCTTTCGTTCAGCCCTTTAAGTTTAACGATTTCTTCCTGGATTTTGGGGATATTCATTGTGAGCTTCTCGTTGGCTCCTTCAAAAGAGGACATGAGACCATTCTTCTCAAGCTTTATACTACCATGACTGTCTCCCTTGAATTTCCCAACGGCCGCCGTTATCGCAGCTGTTGCTGCGGATTTTATCTGTGAAATGGCAGCATTGTTAAAAGCGCTGACGGCGGTTTCTAGACCATTTTTAACGCTGTACTTAAAAGTGTCGTTAAGCTTCTTGACCTGATCACTTACTTCACTCAGCTTCCCATCCACATCAGCGTTCAACGCTCTGCCGATTTGACCAGCAAGACTTAGAGTCTTGCCTATGACGCCGTTAAGGAAGGTCATTTCAGGGGAATCAGTGAACCTGCCGATTTCAGCGGAGTCCTTTGTGGCCTTTGCGGAGATGGCTGCCAGTACAGTTGTAACAGCCACTTCGAGATCGGATTTGGTAGGAGGAAAAGAACCAGCGGAAGTCCGCAGTTCAGGGTCTATTGCCTGGGCTATACTACTAGCCTTAAGATTTGGGTTGATACTCTGCGGAATCTTCATAAGATATGTCTTAACACTACTCAACGTTGTCTGAACGTTGTTGGCGTCCAGTGCCGGCTTATCGCCACCGTATTGAGTAATTTCCTTGAAAACATGGCTCTTAATCTTCTCCTTTACTTCGGATATGGTTTTCCAATTAGCATCTTGGGTTTTGGCTGTGAGATACAAATAAAGACTCGCTTCTGTTTTTGCAGTATCCACAATTGTGCCTACCCATTGCTGCACCTTTTTATCAAATCCATCACCGGCCCATCCCACATAATCGGTGACTGCAGTAAATAAGTTATTAAGTTGGTCAGAATCCTGACCAATTTTCCCAATATCCTCGACTTGCTTACTGACATTCTCCAAAAACGCAGTAACCGTTTGCTTTTCACTTTCCCCAACGGCTTTGCAAAGCGCCCCAATCGCTGTGTCAACTGCTTTGACTTTACTGTTAAGCGGCTGATGGATGACACCATCAAACCTGAGTTCAAGATTACCGTCCTCCGGTAAAGCACTCGACTCCTTGGAAACAGTAATCTTATCAAGAGGCTGCTTGGCAGACTTAAGATCCTCCAGCGCCTTCTTAACAAGAACATTTCCAGTGGGTTCACTGTGCATACCAGTTGTAAGCTCCCAAATATGATTCCTCAACGTCTCCAAATCACTCTCCACCTTTACACACAAACCTCGAACTTCTGTACTAACAGTATCAAGCGGTTCATCGATCTTCATCTTCTTCTCCTCGATATCTTCATAAACATTTTTCATTAACGCCTTCAAAGCTTGAAACGCCTCAGTGACCTTATTTTCGTACTCATTGCCCATATTAAATTTCTTAATATATTCCTCCGCCGCTTGTAACACGTTTGTTACTTCTGTTTTTGCAGACTCGATGGATTTTAATTTACCTTGAACGTCTTCTGTGTTATTTTTATTACCGTCATCAAACTTCTTTTTAATTGTCTCAATGCGCCACTTAAGAATATTAATCTCGTTCATGACATTCTTATCAATCCAATAGCTGATATCTCCCGGCAACGCTGCAAACCGTTCATCCACATGCTGATACGCCTTCTCAAGCCAAGTGTTCACTGACGATCTCTCCAACACTTTTATCGCGCTTTCAAGTTTCCCCAGTGAAGCTTTCAATTGCTCCCGCAGGTCTTTATCAAGCTTGGCGTAGCCATCTGGATTTCCTTTAAGTGCTCTCATTTTCTGCTTAGCCTGCTGAACGCATTGTCTAAACTGATTTTGAATACCTTCAATATTTTTTCTTGTGCCATTAAAATCATCATCGACATTCTTTGACAATATAAATTGCAGAGTGACCAATTCATCAACTACTTTCCCTGTCCTCCTCCCCAACTCATCATCATACCCCTGCAGCCCCTGCTGCACTCTCCCAATGGCCTGCGCAAATCCTAAGACACCAGAGCCCTTACCTATTTTACCTTCTAACTCACTAATTGTCCTTGTAATATCAGGAAAATAATGATGTAAAAGATCTCTACTGCCCTTAAGACATTCAAGGAGAAAGGACATCACCCCGTCACACAGCCTGTCAAGGTCGGAGTACACGATGCCAGTGCCATCGTAGCCTTTGGAGTCAGGTTTAAAGCCTAGAAACTTTTCTAAACCTTCAGTGAGATTTGTTAAAAGATTTTTACATGTTTCAGCGTTATCTTTGTCTTCTCCAATAAAGCCTTCAAGTTTTTTTTGAAGCTCACCAAGATTCTTCTTAGCTCTATCCCTTTTAGAGTCAGAGCCATGTACTTCGGAATAATGACCATTGTATTTTGATTGAGCCTTTGAAATTTCTTTTTCATCTCCAGATTCATTGGCTTTAGCAATTTGCTCTTGAAGCGTATTACAATGGGAATTACCATCCCAAGAGTTTCCAGAGCAATTAAGTTCATCTTCTTTATTTTTAAGACTATCAGTTGCACTTTTAATAGCATCACCAATCAACTTTTTCAAAGCATCAGCCAAGTTCTTAAGACCCTCACCACCATTCCCATGCTTAACCTGGATCAACCAGTCGATGGAGGCCGACGAAGGAGGCCGAGGAGGGAGGTCAAAAGAGGTTAGAGGACAATTAGAGGAGGTGAAATGGACACTTTTGGAGAATTTTAGAATTTTTTGAGAAAGGCGATTTTGGGTGGAGGAGGCAGTGAGGGAGCGAGGGAGGTGGGTGGACAGGGTGAGGGAGGTGAAGGGGCGAGAGAGGGCGATGAAGGAGGAAGATGGGTTGAGGAGAGGGGATTTTGGAGGTGGAGGGGGAAGGTGGAAAATGAGGATTTGGGTGAAGGACGCCGACGGAGGAGGTGAGGGAAGGGGTGATGGAGGAGGGAGCGAAGCGACCAGTGAAAGAGGGAGGTGAGTGGTGAGTATGTGAGTGGGTGAGTGGGTGGGTGGTTGGTTGAGTGGGTGGTTGAGTGAGTGGGTGAGTATGTGAGTGAGTGGGTGAGTGGGTGAGTGGGTGGTTGAGTGGGTGAGTGAGTGAGTGGGTGAGTGGGTGGTTGAGTGGTTGAGTGGGTGGTTGAGTGGGTGGTTGAGTGGGTGGTTGAGTGGTTGAGTGGGTGGTTGAGTGGTTGAGTGAGTGGTTGAGTGGGTGAGTGAGTGATACACAGATCACACGTGAAGGCACGATTATGGTGAGAAGTACTTGACGTTGGCGAGTGCCTTGACGCGTGCGGCGGCGAGGAGGGACTGCGCGGCGATGCGGTGGCTTGAGGGTGACCTCAGGTGGGAGCGTATCCTGAGGACGTCGAGGCGGACGACGGTGATGTGCAGCAGGTACAGGAGCGAGAGCGACCAGAGGGTGAGTAATAAAGACATGAATGGGAATCTTATTTTTAGCAGGTATTCAGGAATTGTCCTGTATACGAAATGGGCAAGCACATGTTGTAATTTTTCTTCCTTGTTAATAACTTTTTTCAATGCGTTACAGAAATCTTTACATGTACGTTTCGTTTCGACACTTTTCGTGCCGCTTAGTTTATATATGCTCTGAAACACGAAGCCACATCTATACATGGTGGGACGCATAAGGTTGCAATGTACTATGGAATTACATGACCCATTGTGAGTAGAGGCTACAGACATCTTTGCGTCTTTAGCTTTGCAATCATCCTTACATTTACTAATTTTGCACTTAGACGTTGCGGAGTCGCAGTTTTTGCAACATTCCTCGTACAATTTTTCAAGCAACTCCAGGAATGACTCTGTCAAGTAAACAATCCATGAGACATATTTATCATTGTTCTTAGCAGCAAAAATGCCGCACCGATAGTAGCACAATGGCTGCACATATGGACCACATGGATAGGCTGGATGTGACTCTCCATTATACTTGCAGTCCACAAGGGAATGGAGATCACCTTTCAGATGTGGCATATTATCGCCGGAGCCATGATCGTTGCTCTTTAATATTGCACTAATGTCCAACCGTGCGTTGGTGCGGTTGAAATTAGCTTCGTTGATGGCGTTATCGAAGGCCTGCTTTGCCGTCTTATTCCACCCATTGACTAGATTAAAGTAGAAACCGAACATGTCATCTAACGTTTTGGGAGCACTAGGCAGCAGACAGTTCAGGAGGCTGCAGAGTCTACTGAAAGCAGACCATTCGCCACTGCAAACATCGAAAAGCGCTTCTCTTATATGCCTACCAGTTTGCCTATGCGATGCCATGTGACTAATATCTGAGAAACCCATCGGCGTTTTACATGGTAAGTTAAAGTGCGGTTTTACTGAACACTCAAGTTTGCCTCTCTCAGACTTGAGGCTGTGAGGTAGGAAGCCCTGAAGGCCATCCTCGAGGAACGATTGCAAAGGTGATTTCACACCGCAACTAACACTTTGGTTGCACTTTTGGTTACATGTTTGCTTATGTGTTTGGTTGGCAATTTGGTCACCTGATTGGTTGGGACATTGGAGGGTATTACACTTCCATGCTGTACCACCAATATCGTGACCATACCAACAGTCTGACCAACCACTAAGCTTACTGTCATGCATACATTGTCTATACAGGAAATAAAGTTGGTCGTGAAGGCGTTTTACGATCTCAAATAGCATACATATTAAGCTGTTCATGTCAGAAGGATACGAGAATTTATCTTCGTTAGTGTTGAAGTCGACGGCGTAGATGCCACCTGCGTGGCCGTGGCCAAGTATCGAAGTGAGTACTGAGTGGGCGTGTGAACATGCTTCTGCAAGTGCTTCATACAGTTTTGGAACTGTGATCTTCTCTTTGTACGCATCCAGCGATTCTTCATTTTCGTCTTTGAGAGTGATACGGCTTTCGTCAGTGTCGCCGTTGTCGACATCGACAGACAGACTCTCATCGCCAGTGTCCGTGTCCTGCTCCTCTGGCTTATCAAGCAGGCTGCCAAAACCGTTAAGTGACAAGTCGTCATATACGGGATTATATGGTAAGCCTGCCAACCACAGAAGCATTTGGTACACGGAGGATGGATATGTCTTGGACTGTAATGTGGAGTAGTGGCAAACACGGTAGTAGATGAGAAGATTGTCGCAGATATGTTTGAGAGTGCTAATGACGTTGTATTCGTCACGTTCGGTTATAGTTGGAATGGTAAGTTTTGCAAAAATTTCATTACCGTTCATATATTTAGAACATCTCAACTCGTCGTCCTGCACGTCTTCCCTGGATGGAACTCCGTAACCGAAACGCTTCAGACATAAACCGAGATCATTGATGCTTCCATTGCCATTCTTAAGGCATATCTTTCTATTCTTCCAATTCGTCTCACATTGATGCTTGAGCTCATTAAGATCATGACTAAATATCTCCAGTATGGTCAGGCAGACCTTGGCGCAGTTGCGGCCCTCGGTGGATAACTTGTCGGAGGATTTTACATCGTCCCAGTTCTTTACAGGCTTACACCCGGAGTATTTATTCACGTACGCGTGTCCGAGTTGCTCGGTGAATTTTTCCATGCCGGACCTGAGGGCGTCGAGGAGCAGCGGGTTGTGGAAGCCGGCAAACGTGGAGGGGGAGAGCTTAAGGAGAGACGCATTAAGAGCATCTAAATATGATGTAGAGACGTGGTCGAAATGACATATTTTGTCACTACTTTTAAGGTAGGCAAGCAAATTGTCCATTATGGACTTGATGTCCTTGACTCTCTCCGACTGGTCGGTCGGATTGCGTTCAAGGGTATCGGGAATTGGAGTCTTGACTTGATGTTCGATGTATTGGAGAATAACGGCGACATAATCTTTAAACTTTGTGGATAAGTCACAGAATTTTTCATGATATTCTTTGCCTTGCTGGGGTGTCTGATTTAGCTTAGTCGCAGCACTTATAAATTCTTCAAACTTACTACCCGGAGTAATTTGCTTACTTGCAGGATCTTGATGCATACCGCCGTTCATCCACTTCATCAACCCCTTCAGCCCGCTGTCTGAATCCTTTTGGATAATTTCTTCAATCTTCGTCTTTTGCTCGGTGACCAGCGCCTTCAGCTGCTCGAGCGCGCGGGCCTTGGACTGGGCGAACTGGGAGAGGGCTTGGCGTTTGATGGAGGTGGCGGCGGTGGTGGCGAGGGATTTGATGTCTGTTAAAATGCCTGTAATATGCTTGACCATGTTTTGTTTGCCTTCTTTAAATGAGGCCTTAAGGCATTTAATATGATAATTCAAGTTGGCATCTTTGACGGTGGTGACAAACTCCTGGAATCGTAATCTAAGTGTATTAATATGATGATATAGGTTTGGTACGTCATAAGGAATTCCGCAGTCAGGGTTAGCAATTGCGGCAGATTCTTTTAGGAGCGATGCCACTGTTTTCCTAATTTGTCCCACAGCGTCGTCGAGGCTATTTTTAATCTTATCATTGAATTCAGTGTCCAACTTGCTAACATTATCCGCAACGGCTTTTATCGCCGCGTCGACTTGGCCGGCAGGGCTTGTGTCTTCAACTCCTGCCTTGGGTGCCGGTGGAGTTTTAATAACGGGCGTTTTGGCAGGTGATGGTTCGATAGCCTTCTTCAACTTCTCAAATATGCTAGTACCTTTGGTATCTTGGCTAACTATATATTTGAAGTAGTTCAGACTGGGATACTTACCCACATCCGAATCACTAAACTCTCCATTTGCGGCCTCAATAGCATTCTTCATATTCTGAATATCTTCCCGATTAAACTTATGCAACATATCCTTCATAGATTTAAGGTTTATACCAACCAAGGCTTCAGAAAGTTTCTCAATTGCTGTATCCACTCCAGTGAGCAATCCCTGAATTTCTCCTTTTATACCGTTAACATCAACAGCCAATGAGTTTCGCCATACTTTTTCAGACTGGGTATGAAGGTCCTTTTTAATCTTTCCATTTAGTGCACCAACTTTATCACAATTCTGTTGGGCGGCAGCCAAAGCAGCCTCGGCTGACTTAGCTAACTCTGCCAACCGGGTATCAGATTCCCAACATGACTTGTATAGTTGTCGACTTTTCTCCTGAAGATGTTGGAGTTCAGTTTCCGTATTCTCGAAGAAGATGTCGAGATTATTTTCCACCTCATTCTGAACTCCATCAGCATAATTGGTAATATATTTCACATGCTCATCCACCCTCTCACATACCTCCTTAAGCCCCTCGTGATCCTTCTTTGTGGAGTCCACAAAAGTGTCCACTCTGTCTTTAATTAGGGAGACGTGGGGAGATAATTTGTTTTCAACGTTGTCATCAAGCTTATGGAGATTTATTGAAATTATGCCACAATACGTCGGGAGCTGTTCGACATGATGAAGCCAGTCAGACAACTGGCTAGCGTAATACGCATTGTAATCCATACCATTATATGTTTGAATTGTTGTATGTAGCTTCGTAATATTTTTAATTTTGTTACCGCTTAATAATGTTTCTAATGATTTCTTAACGCCATCATTTTTTGTCTTAACATCCCCCAACCACTGACCAATCCCCTCCTTGACAGTGTCAATCACAGTACGCAAACCTGTTTGGCCATTATAACGATGAGTTTCTAAAAGGCTTACAGCTTGAGTTAATTTCTCTGCATAAGGTGAAAGATTCTCATTTTTATAAACTTCATTTAAAACTCCATGAAGGAAAGACATCACCCCGTCGCAGAGCCTGTCAAGGTCCGAGTACACGATGCCAGTGCCGTCGTAGCCTTTGGAAGTTGAATTGAAACCAAGGAACTTTTCTAAACCGTCAGTGAGATTTGTTAGAAGGTTTTTACAGTTATCACTTTGTTGTTTATTAAGTGAACTCAAAGACTCATTAAGGCTCTTCAGCCTCTGAAGAGACTGCAACTTGGACTGATGAGAGGATAAAAGGCGAGAATCTTCAGAGGAGAGGGAAGGATTTTGGTCGCTTTTACGTTTTTCAAGTGACGCAATTTCTTTCTTAAAATGCTGAATTTTCTGTAGAAGCTCAGCAACATTTATAAGCTCAGCAGGCACGGAACCAGAAGACTGCGCAGGCGAAGACGGAGAGTTTCTAAGGCTTTTGAATTCATCATGACTGTTAATAATAGCTGTAATAGCATCATTAATTGCTTTGGTAACAGCGTCACTTTGGCCAATAAATTGGCCAAGCTTCCCACTAAGGTCAGCAAGAGACACCATCCTGGAGTGGATGTCCTTCAACGCATTGTCCCTTTTGGACGTATTGTTGTGCACTTCACTTTTGTGGCTGCTTAAGTCAGATTGAAGTTTATTAAGCTTATTTTCATCAAAGTTATTTTGAGATTTAAGGTTATTAATTTCGTTACTCAAGTGATCACAGTAGGAGACAAGGCTACTAGAGGAGTCAGAAGGAGGCCAAGAAGGGAGGTCAAATGAGGTGAGAGAAGAAAGTGGAAAAAAGTTAGAGGATAATTAAAGGAGGTGGAAAGGGACACTTTTGGAGAATTTTAGAATTTTTTGAGAAAGGCGATTTTAGGTCAAGGAGGCAGAGAGGGCGATGAGGGAGGTGGGTGAACAGGGCGAGGGAGGTGAAGGGGCGAAAGAGGGCGATGAAGGGGGGAGATGGGTTGAGGAGAGGCGATTTTGGGGGTGGAGGGGAGAGGCGGAAAATGAGGATTTGGGTGAAGGACGCCGACGGAGGAGGTGATGAAGGGGGTGATGGAGGAGGGAGCGAAGCGACCAGTGAAGAGGGAGGTGAGTGGGTGAGTGGTTGAGTGGTTGAGTGGTTGAGTGGTTGAGTGGTTGAGTGGGTGAGTGGGTGGTTGAGTGGTTGAGTGGGTGAGTGATTAGGTGAGTGGTTGAGTGGTTGAGTGGTTGAGTGGTTGAGTGATTAGGTGAGTGGTTGAGTGGGTGAGTGGTTGAGTGAGTGAGTGGGTGAGTGGGTGGTTGAGTGGGTGAGTGAGTGGGTGAGTGAGTGGTTGAGTGGGTGGGTGAGTGGTTGAGTGGTTGAGTGGTTGAGTGGGTGGTTGAGTGGTTGAGTGATTAGGTGGTTGAGTGGGTGGTTGAGTGGTTGAGTGATTAGGTGGTTGAGTGGGTGGGTGGGTGGTTGAGTGGTTGAGTGGTTGAGTGGTTGAGTGGGTGGGTGAGTGGTTGAGTGGGTGGTTGAGTGAGTGAGTGATTAGGTGAGTGAGTATGTGAGTGAGTGAGTGCATGAGTGGTTGAGTGATTAGGTGGTTGAGTGGGTGGGTGGGTGGTTGAGTGGTTGAGTGGTTGAGTGGGTGGGTGAGTGAGTTGGTGAGTGAGTGGTTAGGTGAGTGGGTGGGTGAGTGATACACAGATCACACGTGAAGGCACGATTACGGTGAGAAGTACTTGACGTTGGCGAGTGCCTTGACGCGTGCGGCGGCGAGGAGCGACTGCGCGGCGATGCGGTGGCTTGCGGGTGATCTCAGGTGGGAGCGGATCCTCAGGACGTCGAGGCGGACGACGGCGATGTGCAGCAGGTACAGGAGCGAGAGCGACCAGAGGGCTAATAACGTCTGGGAGAAGGGTTCTCTGATCTTCCAGAGGAACATGTCGCATTCGTCAAATAGATCTGTGAAATATTTAGATTTCAGTAAGTGAGACAGCTGTTGACAGAAATCGGAACACCTCTTCGACAAATGACCAGCATTCAATTTTGAGGCGTGCCCAAACATAAATCCATATTTATATAGTGTTGGTGATACACCCTTGCACCCTACGATTGACGGACACTGACAAATCGCATCTTGCTTTTCTTTATCAATGACGCCATGCTTTCCTTTCTTGCATTTATCGCCTCTCAAGCAACCACGACACCCCCAATCTGGACAATTTATGTTACAGAACTCATCGTAGAGATTGTTCAGTAGGTCCCAGAATGTCCATGGGAGATACAATGCCCAGGAGAGGTACAACTTGCAGTTCTTCTTCGCTAGGTAACGATACGAATGATGGCACAACGTGGAGAGGAAAGGGGCGCACTTGATGTCCGGGTTCTTTTTCTCTTTGCAGCTATCATACATTGTGAGATTCCTAAGATGAGAATGGTCACACTGACCGTGATTGGGAGACGTCGAACCGTATGCTTTAGTCAAAGCATTGGTAAACTCTTCTGTTTGAGAATACAAATTAATGGACACGTCGTTCATAGATGTGGAGAAGTCACCTACCAGTGTTTCACTGTGAATCTGATTTGGTATCGATGATACGTTTATACCCTTAACCAGTGACAATACAAACTGGAAGTGTTCCGGCAATGTGGATGGTGGTTTGGGCCCCAGCGTGAAGAGGCATGTAACATACTCATTACTTAGGAACTTGTCAAGCACAGTACACAGGTCTCTACCCTTCTTCCTACTTCCCGAGAAACCCCTAAATCCGAGAGGTGTCAAACAAGGCATTCCCCTCGAACCGGGTGAACACGTAATACATTTCGCCGTGCAACCAACCGATATCAGTTGGTGCGGTAGCTGCCCAGGTAGGCAATCGTTTAAGTAAGACATTAATGGAGACGTTGGTTGGCACGTAGGTTCGGTTGTTGACTGACCATTTGGTTTCATCGTTGACTGTCCGTTTGGTTTGGCGGTGGGATGAGCTTTGCACGGCCACTTGGCTAGCGCTATGTCCCTGCCGTATTCACAGTCGGACCAACCAGCGTGCTGAGCACTGAACTTACATTGCCTGAGCATGTACCTAAACACAGGGAATAATCTACGTAAAATGTCAAGAAGCGTGTCAAGACAGGCCGCTGGACTAGCGGGGTAATTGAATTCAAGAGAGTTATTGGCAAAGTCAGATGCGTACGTAGTGTGTTCATCACCGGTGCCAAGGATAGTAGTTAATAAATCATGTGAATATGTAGATAGGCTAGGTAACTGATATGTCACGGCAATTGACAATCTATACGACAGATAGGCGTCATCTTTGGTATCGTAGTCATTACAGTATGCTACTAACTTATCGTACACACTGTTGTACTGCAGGCCGGTACACCATGTAAGCATTTCGTAAATGCTGCAAGGGGTTCTAGGTGACGGGATGTGTTTAACGTGACCGACTTGGTTATATGATTTTATGTGATCGACGAGTTTTTGAAGAACGTCGGAGTCATTTTGGCTAGTTTTCTTGAACAATTTAGTATCTTTCGTCAGAAGGAATGCTACATTAGCGCCAAGCATATTATTGTTGTCATTTTTCAATTCACCGTCCTGTTTGTCTGCGTCTGTAGACACTGTGTAGTCACAACCTTTTAAGAATGCACCGAGAGATTCGGAATCGGAGTCATAGATTTTATTGAATTTCCAACTGTTTTTACACCCGTACTTCAGCTTCCACAGGTCACGGTTGATTGTTGGCAGACATGTTACAAAGGCGTTGGCACACTTATCTTTGTTTTTGTTGTTTATCTGCTCTCCCGAGTACGCACTCACGTACGCCCTGTCGAGTTGATCACGCAATTTCTGCAGCCCATCTCTAAGCGAGTCAAGGAGCAAAGCGTTCTCCGGGCCGGCGAATTGAGATGGCGTGAATCTGTCGAGTTCATTGGAAAACGATTGTAAGTGAGTTACGAAAACATTATCGAAGTGTTTTGATCTGCCAAGATTTTCAAGTAAAGTGACAAGTTTACTTTGCACTTCACCCAGCATTTTGGTTGGCTCTTTGGTTGTGGAGTTGGGTGGCGACGAACTTGGAGGCGTGACTTGCTTCGTGATATAGTCGACGATTAGTGATAAATATCCTTTAAATCTCTCTGAAAGCGTTTCGAACCTTTTATTCTCCTGAACACCATCAAGTTTTAATTCCAGTATTTTACTTCCACCCGTCTCGTACATTTTTGCCATTAACCCTTTCAGGCCGCTGATCTTCTCAGCTTCAATCAACTTCCTTATTTCTTCACTTTGCTCGCTGACCAATTTCTTGAGCTGCGCCAAGTCCTCCTTATGCCCTTGGTTAAACATCTCTTTCACCTTGTCATACACTTCTTTGAAGGCTGTGTTGACTTGTTGAGTGAGTTCACGCTGCAGGCCGTCGATGCCAGAGCCCAGTTGTTGGCGGGCGGTGGTAACGGCCTGATTGGCCTGCTTTATTGATTCTTCAAGAGATGAATTAAAGGCTTTAATTTCCAAATTAATTTGCTCGATGCTCCGCTTAAGCTTGCCAACTTGCTCTCTCATGGACGTCACCTGTGTCTTTATAGTACTCCGGGCCTTGTTGTTAACGCCGTTTAACAGTGTTTTGAGCTCCGTGATTTGTTTCTGAAGCTCGGATATTTGCGTTTGGATATTGTCTGGACCGGCACCGGTTTTAATCTGCAGCTTGTTAATTTGCGGTTCAATCGCCGGAGAAACACCATTAAGTTCTGTATGAATGTCCGTCACTTTTTGGTCCAACATTGTGATACCCTTTTTAACGGCCTTCTTCAAAAGTTCGTCGAGTTGCGGATCCGCCGCCTTTATTTTCTCGTCGACCCTGGCATGTAGGTTGTCTTCAACCTTAACGGTGTCCGTAAGTTGGGGGGCGTTACTGTCCTGTATGCCAAGCGCATTTACAAGATTCTTGGCAAGCGTATCAACGGTAGGGTACACCTTCTCAAGCTGTGTGATTTTTGAAACGACTCCGGTGATGCCATCGGCGGCTGTTTTCTTTTGATAATATGCATCAAATTTTTTACCCTGTGTGAGATTGAATTCTGAATTATCTTTTTTTACGCCACCGTTATTGAAAAAGTCTGTCAGGTTTTTTGTAATGGCATCGATTTTCGATTTTAGGGAGTCGGGAGCGGAACCCGTTCCATATATCTGCTCATTAACGTTTGGTAAATCTGTGTGGAAGCTGCTTTTAATTTTATCTATGGCGGATGAAACGGCTCCTAACGCGGATGATTTAGCGTGCTTTATACCTAGACTCATACCGTAGCTCATACCCTTTCCAAACTCAGCGGTGTTACCGTGACCGGTGACACCGTTACCAACGGTATAGCTGCTGCTTCCGTAATAACTGCTACCACTGCCACCACTCAAATTGTTTATTTCTTGAGTTATCTTCTCTTTAACAGCCTGACCTAGATCGCGTATTATAATGCTTTCCAACCCATTAAGTGCGCCGTTAACGTTCTCCACAGCCTGATGAATTGCGCTGCCCATAGCCGCGGCGCCCTTGTTAAGTCCGCTGTTCAGGCCGTCAATGCCATCCTTAACTGAGTTAGCTTCCTGTTTAAGCTGGGATCCATTTTTGCTGCCGCTTGAAACAGAACCATTCGATGGATCTACTATTGTCATTCCCTCCTTAATTAATCCAACTTTGTCCCTAACTTTAGTGATGTACTGCTTAAAATATTCCTCAAAATTACTCATAAGTTGCCCCGTAAGCTTATTTATATTATCTCGCAAATCAATCTTAATGTTTTCCAGACCGCCGTCCACGTCTCTGTGAACAGCGCCAGCAATAGTCCTCAGAGATTCTACTTGCCGACCCAGCTTCTCCAACTGGCTACTGATCGCGCTGTAAACGCTACTAAGATCATTAGCTATTTTTTCCGTTCCAAGCGCTTGAACCTTTGGATTAATCTCCTCTAGTTTTTTGACGATCTCATTTTCATGCTCTTCATCCAATTTTATTGCCGCTGTATTAGCCTCTGTAACAGCAGTTTCCAACTGCTGGACTGAATCCTTCAAGGCCTTCAACGTAGTGGTACGCTCTGTGCCGATGGCATCTATTCTACCATTTATGTCATCTAGGTTTTGTTTTAATGTGCCTCTAAGCGCCTCAGCTTTTACTCTGATTTCCTTAGTGACACTATCTTTCTTAGTGGTAATCTCACTGTCAACTTGGCGCACCTTTTCGGCAAATGCCTCATTCCCAGCCACCTTTTCCAGGTGCGCGATAACCTTCGTTATCGGATCTATTTTGTGCATTATTTGTGCGCTAAGTGCGCTATCTAACTTATTAATTTCTGTTTGTACCTCATTATCAAGTGCGCTAGAAATGCTACTAAGTGTCTTGGTCCACGCCGCCAGTTGCCTGGCAAGTGGGTTGCCGGCTTGCTTCTCCACTTCCTTGTAATACACATTTTCACCTGCATCAGATGAATTACCACCACTCAACTTACCTATAAGCGTAGATAATCCATCGGTCACTCCTCTTGTCTTGTTGCCAACTTCCTCATTATATTTCCCCAACCACTCCTTCACCTTGGCGACAGACGCCGAAAGGCCAACACGCCCGGAGCCAATTTTAGATTGTAAAGTGGAGAGAACATCATTTAACTTTTTAGTAGGTTCTTGAAGCATATTATCATATTTCTTCACGTTTTCATCATCCCTCACTCCACTAAGCACCCCGTGCAAAAACGCCATCACCCCGTCGCACAGCCTGTCAAGGTCCGAGTACACGATGCCGGAGCCGGTGTAATTACCATCCTTGTAGCCGAGAAATTTTTCGAGGCCTGTGCAGAGGTTATTTAATAATGTTGTTGAAGGATTATTTTAGGCACATTTTTAGGGCGATTTAAGGGAATTTGGGGAAAGGCGATTTTAGGTCAAGGAGGCAGCGAGGGAGGTGGGTGGACAGGGTGAGGGAGGTGAAGGGGCGAAAGAGGGCGACGAAGGAGGAAGATGGGTGGAGGTGAGGGGATTTTAGGGGTGGAGGGAGAAAGTGGAAAATGAGGATTTGGGTGAAAGACGCCGACGGAGGAGGTGAGTGAAGGGGTGGTTGAGTAGGTGAGTAGGTGGTTGGGTGAGTGGTTGAGTATGTGAGTATGTGAGTGGTTGAGTGGGTGGGTGAGTTGGTGGTTGAGTGGGTGGTTGAGTGGGTGGTTGAGTGAGTGAGTGATACACAGATCACACGTGAAGGCACGATTATGGTGAGAAGTACTTGACGTTGGCGAGTGCCTTGACGCGTGCGGCGGCGAGGAGCGACTGCGCGGCGATGCGGTGGCTTGCGGGTGATCTCAGGTGGGAGCGTATCCTCAGGACGTCGAGGCGGACGACGGCGATGTGCAGCAGGTACAGCAAAGAGAGGGACCAGAGGGTGAGTAATATTATCATGAAAGGCCATCTTATGGCGCAGATGAAATTATCTATTGCAGTGAATAGAGTTGTAAAATGCCCCGATGTTACAACTTTCTCTAGCTGAGTTCTGAAATCTGAACATGTTTTTTCCTTCTGATTTTCAATGAGTTTTTTTGTCTGAGCGAATGTGAATCCGTATCGGTACATTGTTGACAGGACGCTTCCACAATGAACAACGGACATACATTTACAGGCATCTTCGTCGCCATGTTTTCCAGCCCTACAGGCACAGTTGGCGCAGCCGTTATTTTTGCAGCTGATCTGCTGGAATGCGTCTAGCAATTCCTGAAGCAGTTTCCAAAATTTCCATGCCAAGTATGTGAACCAAGAGAGATATAGCTTGGCGTGTTTTTGAGGATAGGTATGATAGGCATTGAGGCAGACAGGCTGTAGATAGGGAGCGCAGGTGAGTGAATTAATGCACTTAGATCGTCCGGTCAGACTAGCTAAGTCCGAGTGGGTGATCGCGGTTGTGTCAGCGCCCTTTGCGGACGCACTCTTGTGATCATTGTCGGAGTGATACAATTGTATTAAGGCATTAGTAACATCGGCGTTAGTAAAGTCACCATGAAACCACTCCTTCAATGGGAAAGAATTTGTTATGGTCTTAGTGCTCAAAAGATTTGTGAAACTAGAGTCATCAAAGTACCCACTCGGCCGCCATGATCTAGATAGTTGACAGTATAACGCAAACATGTCAGCCAAAGTTGTAGGTGGCGACGGCTTCACGCATTGCAAGCAATGGAGCAGGGCGCACAGTGGTGAGTCGGCATCTTTGCAAAAATAGGCGAGCATGTCGGACAGCTCCTTGCCGCTTCTCATTTTAGAAGCAGAATTGGGCAAATCCCAGAATCCCATCGGGGTAATGCATTGTTGACCGCTGGACATTTTTGGACACGTCGAACATGTAGCTGAACAGCCAACAGATGCTAATTTATGAGGCAGGCAACCAGGTAACTGGTCCATTAGGTGAGATTGAAGTGGCGACTTAACACCGCACTTAGGGTGTTGGTTGCACTTTTGGTTAGGTGTTTGCTTAGCACTTTGGTTGTGCTTTTGGGGACACGTTTGGTTGGGACATTGGTTAGTGTTACAGTTCCACTGGTAACCGGAAACGTCACGGCCATATGAACATTCCGCCCACCCGTTACCCATTGATGCTGCATATAGGCACCGTGTACGTAAATGGTTTAGTGAACGTAACAAACGTCTGCATACGTCAGTGAGCATATCGAATAGGCCGGGAACATTTTCGGGATAGTGGAACCCTCGCGAATTGTCCATGAAATTACACGTGTAAGGATAATCGGCCTGCTCGAAACCACGCCCATTTCCACATATGGTTACTAGTACATCGAGAGATTTTCTACATGTATGAGATAGATTGTCCACTAGGCCGTATGCCAATGTTTTACTAAGCACGGCATCCTCCCTATTCGGGAATTTACCAGTTGACTTGTCTTCTTCATTAAGCTGTTTTTTGCAGTGGGCAGGAATTTGTGTATACACGGTTCTATACGGCAGGCCGGACATCCATGATAGCATGTCTCTAATTGTGCAAGGGTATTTAGGTGACTCATGTAGAGTTATGTGACACACTTGGTAATAAGTTGATATGTAATCATGTAATTGCACAATTATTCCGTGGCTCAAAGCATCCTCGTCTGAGGAAGGACGTCTGATAATATTCTGTTCCTCGATCAGGGTATGAATGTTCTGTCCAGTGAAATTGTCTTCATTTCTCAAGTGGCCCTCGTGTCCATTCTTCTCCTTACTTACCCCGTAACCACGACGCTGGAACCAGTGGCCAAGAAGGTTTTCGTCCCGCTTCACATTTTTGGGCGCTGACTCATAGAGGTAAATACGTTTTTTATTACACGGGCCTTTTATAGTACACCTATCTCGCAGCTCGTCGAAATCACGATATAAGATGCCTACAATCGTGAGACATACTCTTGCGCACTTCTTGCCATACGCGCTTAGTTCGTTTTTATCATCAGTTTGGTCGGCTTTTGGTGCAGCAGGTTTCGTGGCGCTGTCTTCTTTCTTATCAAACAACGGATCTGTGAACCGCTGACCATCATATGTGGAGACGTATGCTCTCTTCATCTCCGCCACAAATTTGCCTAGTCCGCCGAGTATACTATCGATAACGGGAGTTGAAATTTTGGAGAAACCTTCTGGCTTCATGTCGGAGACTGATTCAGTAACGTTGTCAAGCAGGCCAGGCAACGCACTATCATACTTATTCGCGTCCTTGATGTGAGTGAGCAACTCATTAACTCTGTCGTATATTACTAACATCTTGCGAGAATATGCTTGTACATGTGAGCCGACAGGTTTCTTATCATTGTCCCTGTTAACCCCGATGATGTCCTTGTTGACGTAGACTGCAACCGGCGCCCAGAATTGTTTGAAATTCATACACAATTCTGTAAAATGTGTTTTAACATACTCTGTTGGTTTTAATTTACCTGCAACATTCGTAAGCTTTTCGATGTTTTTACCCTTTCTGTCAGTATCATATTTTGCATCTCCATCCTCCAGTGTCTTAATGAAGCCCTTTACGCCGCTCTTCTTATCATCGTCGATTATCTTATTAATTTCTTTGTTCTGCTCGCCGACTAAATTCTTAAGTTCACCTAGTTCCGCCTTATTCTTCTTGGACCACATTGCCTGCACTCCGTTTTTCACAGCAGTGAAGGCGAGACTGACGACATGGCTGAGTTCACTTTGCGTCAGACTGATTTGATCTTTCATAGCGCTGTGCGCTGCTTCAACCGCGGATTTCGCAGTTTTAACGTCCTGCTCGAGAGCCAAATTGAAGGCTTTCACTTGCTCATTAATAGCAGAAATGCTCGACCTAAGTTCGGCAACTTGCTGTGTCACGGAGCTGACCCGATCTTTAACATATTTTCCTGCTCTTCCCTTTATAGCGGTGAGCAAATCTTTAACTTTATTTATATTTGCCTGAAGTGTATTTATATCTTTCTGAATCGCACCCGATGATTTGGGGTCGACATGTTTATAAAGCTTATCAAGTTGCCTTTCAATACTATTTCTGATTCCATTATTATCCGCACCATTAATTTTGAGGTCTAGCGAATCCCTGAATTTTTTGGTACCATGTTTGAACGCACCATGTGCAAATGTTTCAATTGCTAGGGCGGCTCCGTTATTTACCTTGTCTTCCAGTGCAGTTATAATCTTATTGCCGAGGTCACTTGGGGACCCGCCGTTAGCAACCGCATCCTTGATTTGTCGTCCAAGCTTGTTAACATCTCTAATAGCCTCGTCTACCTTCTCCCCGAGCTTGTAATTCGAGGCGCTCCCGTCTAGGCCAGCGAATGCCTTGAACTCATCGGCAATCTTTCTTACGATAAGAGAAAGCTGTATCAAAAGTATCTGTATGGCGGATGTGAGATAGCCTTTGGCATCCCTGCCTGGCATTGGGGGTAGAGTCAACTTAAGGCCAGTATCAACTCGCCCGGCAATGTCGTCCGCATTCCCTCCCTCAATTACCCCGGCTACACTATCAAAATAGGCTTGAATGTACTTTATATTTGCTTGCGCTTGCTGTTCGTGTCCAGTAGGTGGCAGAATACTTGGGGCTCTAAGCAGAGCTATTATCTCTGGCTTGATTGCTTGCATCACTTCATTGCGCTTTCGCTCTAACTCTTCCTCAGGCAGCTGCCCATTGCCTTTGGTATTCTGGATATACTGCTCAACAAAAATAACCATTGCGTCATTATCACCCAATAGCCTGTCAAGCCAACTATTTGCTGTATTACCAAAAGTCTGACCAACTTTAATGGCATAGGCGTTTAATCCCTCAACTATTCTGTTTAAGGGCCCATTTCCAGCTGGATTCTTATAAATCGCATCAGTCATCGGTGTGAGCGCATTTTTAATTTGCTCTCCTAATCCGTCCTTTATATAATCCACTAATTTCTCAATGACCTGCTCATTAAGCGTCCTAATCTTCTCGGCCAACTCACTATGAATTATTCTCCATTCCAGATTACCCTGCTGGTGAATGGTATCATGAATATTCATGAGTTCCTGCAATTTTTCATCGACATTAGCAAAAACGCTACTGAGCTGATCGGCAATATCGCTGGTATCAAGATTCTGAAACTCACCATAAATTACGCCCAACCCATTTACAATCTCACCGTGATACTCATTATTCAACTTCTCTGCTGCTGAGTTTGCTTCTGTAACATCTTTCTCCAACTCACTCACCAGTACTAACAACGGCGCCAACTTATCGGAACGCTTGTCTTCAATATCTCTCAGTTTGCCGTGTATTTCGCCGATCCTAGTGTCCAACTCCTTTTGGAGCTCTTCCGATTTTTCGGCAATTTTGTTTTCAATCTCTCTTTTTTTGGCCCCCAGCTCCCAGTCCACCTTCCTCACCTGCGCATCCAACTCTAAGTCGGTAGCCGACTCATACACCAATTTCACAACACTATGTATTTTGCCAATCGGCGTTTCTAATTTATTCTTAAGATTAGTATCTAAATTAGCTAGTGCGTTGTTTGCCTGCTCGGCATAGGTGAAGTATTGTGTGACATTACGCTGCCACTTATCGTGTTGCAGACTAATGCTATCATTTTTCGTACCATCTATGCTACTATTATACGTGTCAATTTCGCTATAAAGTGAGCTAAGTGGGCTTGTAACTTTCTTGATTTTTTCGTCCACCTGCTCACCATGTCTGTTCAACCACCCACTTACCTGAGTCACGGCGACACGGAAGGCCTCACGGCCTTTACCTACACTATCATTTAATTTCTTAATAACATTGTTAATATCATTAATATCACTATATTTTGTAACACTTTCATCATCCTTCACAGTCTCAAGAACACCATGAAGGAAAGACATCACCCCGTCACACAGCCTGTCGAGGTCGGAGTACACAATTCCTTCTCCGGTGTAATTACCATTACTGAAGCCGAGAAATTTTTCGAGGCCTGTGCAGAGGTTATTTAATAATGTTGTCGAAAGATTATTTTAGGCACATTTTAAGGGCGATTTGGGGGAATTTGGGGAAGGGCGATTTTAGGTCAAGGAGGCAGCGAGGGAGGTGGGTGGACAGGGTGAGGGAGGTGAAGGGGGGAGAGAGGGCGATGAGGGAGGAAGATGGGTTGAGGTAAGGCGATTTTGGAGGTGGAGGGAGAAAGTGGAAAATGAGGGTTTGGGTGAAGGACGCCGACGGAGGAGGTGATGGAGGGGGGGAAGGGCAGGGAGCGAAGCGACCAGTGAAGGAGGGGGGTGGTTGAGTGGGTGATTGGGTGAGTATGTGAGTGGTTGAGTGGGTGGTTGAGTGAGTGGGTGGGTGGGTGGTTGAGTGGTTGAGTGGTTGAGTGGGTGGTTGAGTGGTTGAGTGGGTGGTTGAGTAGGTGAGTGAGTGAGTGAGTGGGTGAGTGGGTGATTAGGTGAGTGATGCACAGATCACACGTGAAGGCACGATTATGGTGAGAAGTACTTGACGTTGGCGAGTGCCTTGACGCGTGCGGCGGCGAGGAGGGACTGTGCGGCGATGCGGTGGCTTGCGGGTGATTTTAGGTGGGAGCGTATCCTCAGGACGTCGAGGCGGACGACGGTGATGTGCAGCAGGTACAGGAGCGACAGCGACCAGAGGGCTAACAATGTCCAGATGAATGGTTTCCTAATTTCAAATAGGAAATTTGGGATGGTTATAAATACCAACGTGTGGAACGCTTTGCCTTCTTTTAGGACGTATTCCATTGCGTTGCAGAACTGTCTGCAATTCTTTTTCGTAACTGTTGAATCTGAGGCATTGGCTAGTATGCCAGAGTCGCCGAAATAAAATCCATATCTACATAACGTCGGAAGCGTCGATTGGCAGTGAACAATTGACTTGCAGTCTTTGTTATGGGCCGATGACGACGCATTTTGTCCTGCCGGGCAATCTTTAATACAACTGTTGCCATAGCATTTGGAGCCCTTGTTACCGCAGGCTTTATTGCACTCTTCATAGAGCGCTTTAAGTAGATTGTAGAATGTTTCTGTTATATACGTGACCCATGATAGATACTTATCGGCATTCTTGTTGGTGAACACGCTGCTTATATCATGATTAAGGGGATGCAAATACGGGCCACATACAATAGAATTTCTCGGGTTGCAAACGAGACTGTAGAGGTCAGCGTCGGCCTGCTTATGCGTATGCTTACTGTTACCGAAAATGGTACCAGGATCTATGTTATCATATGCGTTATTGAAATTGGCTTTCGCAACAGCTTTATTAAAAGCGTCCAATTTTTGCTCCCTACCGCTGTCTGCCCAGTTATAAATGAAATTATAGTAAAACGCGAACATGTCACCTAGTGTTTTGGGTGCGCTGGGCAGGAGGCTATTTAGTTGAGCGCACAGCCTGGTGAGTGGCTTACTGGAGTCACCGCATAGATCGCGAAGAACTCTCATAATGCGTTCACCTCTACTTGTATGGGATGCGACAGTGATAATATCGGCAAATCCCATGGGAGTTTTACAGGGGGTGCCTGGAGAGCCACGTGTACAAGTCGAACATGAAAAGCTGGAACCCTTCGATGTGACACTATGCGGCAGGAACCCAGGGAGTCCGTCCTCAAGGAACGACTGCAGCGGCGACTTGACACCGCAGTTGGTATGTTGGTCGGCGCTTTGGTTGTGCTTTTGGTCGCAGTCTTGCTTGGGGCATTGCTTCTCATTGCACTGCCACGATGACCCACTCACGTGCTGACCATAATGGCAGTCACGCCAGCCGCTGAGATCACTGTTATACGAACACTGTTTAAACATGAAATAAAGTTGGTGGTACATGCGTTTGAGGATATCTAACAGCAGGCATATTAATGATGTCATGTTACTTGGATACATCAATTTATCTGGGTTTGTGCTAAAGTCAACAGCGTATCGGCCACCTTCGTGGCCGTGGCCGAGGACTGCGATTAATGTTTTTTCGGCACGGAAACACACATCACGAAGTTCTATTTTCATTTCGCTGGCTTTGATATGCGATTGCGTTTTGCCCTTAATGTCGTTTGGCGCAGCAACAGGTAATTGATGCACCTTCAACTCAGATAACAATTTGTCAAAATACCCTCTAACACTTTCATACATCGGATTGTATCGCAACCCGGAACACCATTCCAACATATGGCATACGGTGGTGGGTATCTTAGGTGAGTCGATGTGTTGTAGGTGATGGACCTGGAGATAAGTGCCGAGATGTTTGTAGATATTAAAAAGTGCGCCGGCCGAATCGTTACCGGCATCGTAAATTGCACTGCCACTCGATGGCTTTTCACCGCCATTAACCAAGAGGCCGAGAATTTGTGAACCCGTGAATTTGTCATTATGCCGCAGCACGCCGTCTTGTTTCTCCTTGGAGACACGGTATCCGCAATTCTGGAAAAACTTGCCAAGCGGGTTGCTAGATCTTCCACCATTTACATCGTCACTCAAACGAATGCATTTTGCATTCCATTTTTCTCGACATTGTTCTCTCAACTCCTCAAAGTCCTCCCTGAGTATCGAGAGCATTGTCAGTAAGACTTTGGTGCCACGCTCGCCGTTCTCTGTCAATTTGGTTTTAGGTGACGCATTTTCAGCAGGCAATTTGGATTTTTCAGTGACCTCAGTCACCCACTCCTTGATCGGCGCAGCCCCCTCGTACACGTTCGTGTACTGCTTCCCGAGCTCGTCGACCAGTGGCGTGAAGCCTGATCGCAGTGCATTGAGGATGGGAGGGATATCTCCCTCGCCGTATGCTTTGGGATTAAATGCGCTAAGTGATTCGTTAAGTTTTTCTAGGTTTGTGAAAAAATTAGGATTAAAGTATTTTGACTCGTGGAGCTTCTCAAGCAGAGTGTGAAGCGCCTTGGTGGACGGCTCGATTTTCTGGAAGTCTTCGGTGAAGTCTTTTTGCTCCTTCAACTGCTCGACGAACGTTGTTGAAGCTTCATGGAATATTTTTGAAGCGTTGCTGAGTGGAGAACTGTCTGGAGTAAACTGCTTGGGATCGACGCCACTTATTTTCTGAGCCTCGGTAAGGAAACTGTCATGGAACGTCTTCATAAACTTTTTGTGGCCCTGCTCCAAGTCGGCATCGATCATCCCCCGCAACTCTCTGAGCTCCCCCGTCACCTTGGCGGCGAACTGCTGGAGCGCGAACTTGAGGGCCTCGACGTACTGCCTGCGCGCGTGGGTGGTGAGTTTGTCGGAGGCTTGTTTGACCTGAGTGTTGAGATGATCTTTAATTGCGCCGGCATAGTGTCGTTCGGCGTGGGTGATGAATTTCAAAAGTTCTTCGGTTGCTTTTAGAGGCTTACTTGCAAGTTCGTTTCGCAGATCAGTGAGCTTGCCGTGGATTTTCTGAAGACTGTCGGGAATCTTAAGTGGGTTTTTGCCAATGTACTCTTTAAGCTTTTCTAACCGCTCCTTTACACGTTCGCCTTTGTCACCGAACGCCTTCAACAACTCAGTGAGATTTTGATTGATTTGCGTGGACAGGTTGCTAAGGGCATCCTTGGCACCTTCGACGACTGCTACGGTGCCTGTGTCTTTCAGTTTATCGATTGCGTCGTCCAGGTTTTTGGCGTGGTTAACCGGCTCGGCGGATGAGACGGCGTTTTGCTTAGTCGCCGATTCAAGCTTACTGTTCAGGTCGTCAACGTTCTTCTTAACGGCGTCCAATTCTTTGTAGACACTGTCTCGGTCGGTGGATTTCGTGCCGACATTGTCGGTTAATCTGGAGAGCTCCGCTTTGACTTGTTGGTCGAATTTCGTGAACAGATCTTTGAGTGTAGGTGCGGGGTTGTTGGCGGTGAGTTGGTGTTGAAATTGGTGATATGTACCGCGGCCGCTGTAAGAATTATAACCGTATCCAGCACGCAAATGCTGTGATGGCCAAGCTGGGTATCCAAGTTGTTGGCCATAAAGTTGTTGGTTGAGCGATTGCTTTTGGATTTCAATTGCGCTTTGAAGATGACTAGATAGTAATGTAGCTTGTGAGACGGCACTGGGGAGAATGGTTTGGGCAGAACGATGTATGTTATCTGACAAACTAATGGAACCGTTTGATGCGCTAGCATTTTTTACAATGTCCTCTTCAACTTGCCTTTTGAGCTGATCAACTTGCTGCTTTGTAGGCTTAAAGGATTGCATCAGAGATTCATAGACACCAACGCTATCCGCAAGGTTTTCTAAGCTTCCATATTGTTCGGCAAGTTTTGTCACCCTCTCGTAAAGACTCTTGGATTCATTGGTGGTGGTGTGATGCATACCTGAGGAAAAATTTCGAAATTGGAGGGATTCACCGCTTAATCGCTGCACCTCACTGTGCAAATGTTTTTGCCATTCATCGTTTGCCCTATTTATGGTGGATAAAATATTTTCACGGTTGACATCGAGTTGACGTTGGTAATCGGCAACATTTTCCTGAGTCAGAGACTTTGGGTTCCCCTTTACGCCTAACTGGGATCTTAATAATTGAATCTGTTGCAAATTGTGCTCCAATCCCCCAACATGCGCACCCTTTATCTGCTCCGGCATGCTCTCCAGCTGCCTCTCGATCCTTTTCTCCAGCTCCGCCGCCTGCGCGTCGATGAACTGTTTGGTGAGCTTGGAGGCTTCAGAGTTGAGATCAGTAAGCTTGGAGACAATTTTGGTTTTATACGTACCGGACTCACCAACAATCAATTCCAGACCGTTTGGCATATTTTTTATCCCGTCAACCTTTGTATTAATATGGCCAAAAATTTGCTCAATATTTTGCGAGCTGTCAAACTTCTTCCCCAACTCCGTAATCTTCGCAGTGACATCCGCGGCCAAACTCTTAACATGGTTAATATAATCCTCAAGCGGCTGTACCCAACCATTCATGTTTTTAGCAATTTCTTCATATTTCATTTTATTATACGTCCCAGGCTTCTCTTCCACAATTTCCCTGGCCTCTCCTATGGTTTCTTCTACCAATATGCCGGACTTAACGATCCACTGTTCCAACTCGAAAATATAGCCTCCAAGACTCTTCTCGATTTTCTTCAGACTATCCAAGATAGGCTCCACTTGGTCCTTCAATTTTTTGATAAACTCCCCCACCTGCGCATCAATTTTCTTATCTACATTACATCTAAGCTCTTCCAACACCTTCTTAATCTCCGCTATCCATGCCTCCAACTCCCCCTCCTCCTGCACTTTCACCTCCCCCAACCGCGCACTCTCATACTCCACCGTCTTACGCACGCTCTCAAGCTTATCTTTTAATTTAGCATTTAGGTCAGTGATTGATTCTTTAAGGTTATTGTGGTCTCTATTAACATCTAAATTATCAGTGAATGTTTTAGCGTGCTTTTGACATTCTTCCACCTTGAGATCAATTTGGTCTTTGGCCTGTTCAACCTTCAAGGTACCAACTAGATGCTTGTCTCCAAATTGTGTCTCTAGAATATCTTCATTGTACAATTTGACGTGCTCCTGCAACAAATTAATTTGTTGACTTACCTTAGAATTTGAGGCGGCGACTTCATTATTGTACCTCTTGACCCATCCCTCCACCTCGGCTACCGCCGCCTTGTATTTAGTAAAACCATTATTATTTGTGCTTTTAAGTGAGTTAAGTGCATCATTTAAAGTGTCTTTATGCTGGCCTAATTTAGGCTTAATGTTATGTAAAACACCATAAAAGAACGCCATCACCCCGTCGCAGAGCCTGTCAAGGTCCGAGTACACGATGCTCTCTCCGGTGTAATTACCATTACTAAGGCCGAGAAATTTTTCGAGGCCTGTGCAGAGGTTATTTAATAAATCATGTGGACTATTATTTTTATTAGTGCTAATTTCACTAAGTTTCTTTTTAAGCTCCTCAAGCTTTTTATGCTGAGCACAGTCAGGAGACTGCGGAGACTTTTGACAGTCTTTATGCTGCTTTGTAAGCCTCTCAATTTCTTTCTCAATTAACTCTATAATGCTATCTTCACCGCCACTAAACTGTGTAAGCTTCACAATAACATCAATGCCATGATGCACTTCCCCCTCAAGGGAGGACATACGCTCGCCGTCCATGAAATGGGACTTAGTGCAGTCATCTTTGTTGGATTTATGGCGCTGTATTTGAGCTTCTAAAGAGGATATTAGTGATTTATTAGAGATGTTTTTAGCGTTTTTAAGTTGTTCATTTTTGGACTTCATAAGCCCATCAAGTGTACTACAGTAGGAGTGAGGATCATGTGGATTTGGAGAGCAAGAGAGCTTGTCGGATTTGTGTTGGAGGGAAGTTGTAGCATCTTTAATGGCGTTATTGATCAACTTTTGCAAAGCTTTGGCCAACTCATCGAGGCCATTGGTACCACCACCATTCCCATGCTTAACCTGGATCAACCAGTCGATGGAGGCCGACGAAGGAGGCCAAGGAGGGAGGGCAAAAGAGGTGAGAGAAGAAAGTGGAAAAAAAGTTAGATAAAAATTAAAGGAGGTGAAATGGAACATTTCTGGAGAATTTTAGAATTTTTTTAGAAAGGCGATTTTAGGTCAAGGAGGCAGTGGAGGAGGTGGGTGGACAGGGCGGGGGAAGTGAAGGGGGAAAGTGGGCGATGAGGGAGGAAGATGGGATGAGAAAGGGCGATTTTGAGGGTGGAGGAAGCAAGTGGAAAATGAGGAGTTGGGTGAATAACGCCGACGGAGGAGGTGATGGAGGGGGTGAAGGCAGGGAGCGGAGCGACCAGTGAAGGAGGGAGGTGGTTGAGTGGTTGAGTGAGTGAGTGGTTGAGTGAGTGGTTGAGTAGGCGAGTGGGTGGGTGAGTAGGTGTGTGAGTGGTTGAGTATGTGAGTGGTTGAGTGGGTGGTTGAGTGGGTGGGTGGTTGAGTGAGTGAGTGGTTGAGTGAGTGAGTATGTGAGTGGTTGAGTGGGTGGTTGAGTGGGTGGTTGAGTGAGTGGGTGGTTGAGTGGGTGGTTGAGTGAGTGGGTGGTTGAGTGAGTGGGTGGTTGAGTGAGTGGGTGGTTGAGTGGGTGGTTGAGTGAGTGGGTGGTTGAGTGGTTGAGTGAGAGTGGTTGAGTGAGTGGGTGGTTGAGTGGTTGAGTGAGAGTGGTTGAGTGAGTGGGTGTGTAGGTGAGTGAGTGGGTGATACACAGATCACACGTGAAGGCACGATTATGGTGAGAGGTACTTGACGTTGGCTATGTTCCCAACCTTTGCAACGGCAAGGAGGGACTGCGCGGCGATGCGGTGGCTTGCGGGTGATCTCAGGTGGGAGCGTATCCTGAGGACGTCGAGGCGGACGACGGCGATGTGCAGCAGGTACAGGAGCGACAGCGACCAGAGGGCTAGCAATGTGCACATAAATGGCCATCTGATTTCCTTTAGGAAATTGTCACACTCCTTGAATAGTTCTTTGAAATACTCTGAAGCAAGAACTTTCTTCAGCTGACTACAGAAATCCTTACACTTCTTCACTGTGCTACCATCATTCAGCGTCGACGCCTCGCCGAAGCTGAATCCATACTGGTAGAGCGTCGGTGCCACGCCTCTGCAGGATACTATGGATTCACACTGACAGACGTCATCTGGTTTCTTCTCATCCTCAACGACACCATGCTTGCCACTCTTGCACTTGTCTCCTCTGAGACATCCTCTGCATCCCCAATCTGCACAAGTGATTTGGCAAAAGGCATTATATAAATTGTTGAGTAAATCCCAGAACGTCCATGGGAGGTAGATGGCCCACGACAAATATGTGTTGCAATGCTTAAATGGCAGACAGATGTAGAAGTCTCCGCAGAGTGACGACAGATACGGAGCGCACTCCTGTCCATTTTTGTTACACGTGTTAAAAGCTGTAAGGTTCAACAGATGGGAATTGTCACATTTGGAATGACTAACAGATTCAGAACCGTAAGCATCACGAAGCGCATCTGTGAGTTCGGCAGGCTTATCATAGAGCTCAATGGACAGCTTGCTGGCCGATTTTTCAAAGGCTGCTTGGAGGCCAACCTTATGGTATGTTGCATTATTATGCCATCCCTTAATAAGAGCGGACGCAAATTCGAAGTGCTCCGGTAGTGTCCGTGGCGTTTTCGGTGCAAGGGCAAAAAGTGTAGAAAGCTGATCAATTTCTAACAGATCCCCGATGACAGACGACAAGTAACCCCCTGTTTTGGTGGAACCAGAGAAGCCTCTAAAACCTAATGGCGTTATACAAGGCATCCCCGGCTTACCGCCAGGGCAGGTGGTGCATTTCGCTTGGCAGCCGATAGAGGACACATTGTGTGGAAGATGGCCGATTAAACAGTCACTTAGATACGACTGAAGGGGCGATTTGGGGAGGCATTTGGTTGGCTCTTTGGTCCCCTGTTTGGTATGCTCGTTGCATTGCGATTTGGTTGACTTGACATCCCTGCCGTACTCGCACCGCAACCAACCATGTTCAGACGCCGGCGTACCGCATTGAGCGAACAGGAATTTAAGTGGCGGGAACAGGCGGCGAAGGATGTCAAGGAGCGTATCAAGGCACTGCGCTGGATTAGATGGATACTGTAGACCTAACGAATTGCTCGGGAACTCACAGGCGTACCCGCACTCAGCGTCGCCGGTGCCAACGACAGTGGTCAGCACGGCGTATGCTTTGCCGCATATTTCCTCAACAGCTTTATTTGTCAAGGCATCTGTAATTTTTGAAGGAGAGGCGTCAATGGGCATAACGTGCTTACTAGATGGATCATTCTTATCTGGCACTTCGAACAAAGAGGTGACGTGTTTAGGTAACTTTTTGTACACAGGATTGTGCGGGAGCCCGGTGAGCCACACTAACTGCTCGTACACGGAGCATGGTGCCCTCTTGGAGAAGGAAGTGGCTATGTGACCTACTTCAAAGTAACTCCTAAGCCAATCATCTAGTTTGGGGATTACACCGTTTTCCTCGACAAGGTCGACGGTCATCTCGACAGAATCGTCAGGTATTAAATCAGTGGATTTATGTGATTGTTTAGAAGTAACAAACAAATTATATGTGTCGCTATCAAGATGCTCAAGAATTTTCTCACCATTAATGCCATGTCTGTGATTTAGTTCGCCGTGCTTGGCGTCGTGGGCAAGACCGATATCGTAACCGTGGTCATTGAAAAAGCGTCTATGTAGGCTATGGTGAGATTCACTTGAATTATATATTTTGTAATTATTCCAGTTAGGTTTATTTTCAAGTTTTTCTTTAAGGTCACCTAATGCGTCGGACACGATGGGAGTGATGGTGAGCAACACCTTGGACAGCCTAGTGCCATCCGGTGTTAACTCTTTTTCGTTGGACTTTTGGCCGTCCTCCAACGTTTTATTAACTAACAGTTCGTCCCACTTTATCTTAGTAGGATGTCCCTCATACGCATTAACATACACTTTATCAAGCTGCGTGCAAAAGTCACTAAGCCCGCACTTGAGGGCGTCAAGTAGTTCGGGATGGTGCGGGTTGGTAAATTTGTGGGAGGTGAATGTTTGAAGTTGTGTTTTAAGTGCGTCTAAATTAGCGGTGAATATGTGGTCGAAAAGGTATTTTCTATCGGGCTTATTAGTCTGTGTTTTCCTAAAGTGGTCAAGCAGGGTGTTGAAATTAGAGTGTACATCTACGAGTTTAGTAAGGTTGTCGTCCGCCGTCTCAGGCAGAGACTTTTCTTTAAGTTGCTTTTTGATTTCGTCACTAATGTACTTGTGAATTGGAGTGAAGTAATCGTGAAAATTGTTTGCTAATTTGGTAAAAGTGTCCTTCATGGATGTGGTTGATGCAACTTGCTGACTTGGATCGTAGGTTTCGACGGCCTCTTGCATTTTCACCAGCAAGCTTGCTGGATTTGGTGCCGCAGCGTCTGGCCCGCTTGGAGTCTCCGGCTTATCTACGCCTCCCATGCGTAACATAAAGCCCTTGTGGCCTGTGCGCAGATCTGTGCTGATCTGCGTGCGAAGTCCCGTCAGTTCCTCCGTTACCTTCGCGGCGAAGTTGCTTAACAGGCCCTTGACGGAGAGAACGTACTGCTTCTTGGCGAGGGTGGTGAGAGTCTCGGTAGCATTTCTAACTTGACCGTTGACGTTCTCCTTGAGGGCGTTAATACAGATTGTTTCCATTGACCCGGCGTGCTTGTCAATGAATTGCGCGCAGTCCTTGATGGGACCGTCTTGGTGTTCGTTGCTAAGAGCGTTGAGATTATTACGAATTGCTTGGAGACTATGGGCAACCTGTTTACCCTTAGCTATTTTGGTATCTCTGAACTCTTTCAACTGCTTGTTCACTTCTTTGCCGGCGTTCTGGAACGCATTCAACAGATCCTTGAGATTTTGGTCGATCTGCTTAAAGACTGATTCGAAGGACTCAAATTGGCCAATAGCCTGGTCAGCAGCTTGGAAGTCCTGCTGAGCTTTGTCCCTAATCCCCTTGATCGCGGCTGGAAGGGCGCCTTCAAGGGCATTGGGGTCGGCTTCCGCCTTGGTCAGGCTTTCTTGTTTGACGTGCGAATCGTAACCGCTGAATTTTCCTGGGTGATCCTTGGGAAGTGTGACTTTAGTTGCTGGGCCACCACCTGTCCTGTCTTCCGGCAGCTGCGCGTCGAGCTCTGTGCCCACCTGCTGGATCGCTGCGTCGACGGCTTGGGCGTGGTTTTCCGTCTGGCCGCCGGTAGGTGGTCGGCCTAGCGCTGTTTTAAGCTTATTGAATAGATCGTCAGCTTTCTTGTTAACAGCATCTATTTTGGCTGCGATGCTGCCGGTGCCTGACGGCCTGACCGTGAGGGCGAATTGCTCAAGCGTTTTCGCCGCTTCCCTTGCGGTAGTGCTGAGCGCGACCAAAATTGCTTCGACGGCATCATTGAGATGATACCTATAGAAATTGGCGGGAGACTTGTTGAGTTTGTTCTGTTCCGTGAGAATGCGCTCAATCTCCTGGACAATATCTCCAACTTCGTTTGCACGAGCATTATCAAGCTCCTGTGCGAATTGTTTGCATACATTCTGGACCTTTTAATATTTTGGGTTATATCGCCGTCTTCGGTCTCAACTTTGGCAGTAGTAAACGCATCAACGGCCTTCTTAATAATTTGATTCGCGTCTGCTTTAAGCGTTGTCGCAAAGGCTGTTCTAATCGGCTCATACATCTCACTTGCTGCGTTGTACGCAGTTGGTTTCGCGGCACCCTTACCATCCACATAATTTTTAAGGCACTTCTCCACGAGCTTATGTTTGCCCAAAATATTATCTTCTAACCAGCCCTGCACTATTTTCGTAAATGTATCACCCTCTTTGAACTCCCAAGCGTAACCCCTCACTCCAGCTTCAACTTTTTCGAGACCTGGTTTGTGCGTTGTCCCTTAATTTCACCAAACGTATCTCTAAATTTCTCGAAAACAATTTGTACGATTTCTTTACCACGGTTTCCCGACGCCGAGGTGGCAATATCACTACCAAAATTCTCCCCAAGCTTCTTAATCTTCTCCTTAATCTCCTCCACCTTATTACTTATCTCACTCCTCACCCCGTGCAAATCCTTCTTCAGCTCGTCGTCCATCGCTTTCACGGCCTCGAGGGCTTCAGTAACTTTCTCTTTAACCTCAGTTGTTGCATACTTGAATTTACAATATATCTCTTCACCCTTCTTTTTCAACTTTTTTGCTTCATCTTCAACATTCATTTGGTTGAGAATGCCGGGAGCTTTATTCTCAATCTTTTCACCTCCTTCATTACCTTTTCCACATCAATGTCCGCCTCCCTAATCCATTTCTGCAGCTGCATAACATACTCCCGGAGTTTTTTGCTAATCTCTTTAAGCTCCTCCAGTATCTTCTGGACCTTATCTCTCAAATCAGCGAGAAGTTTTTTAATGTCTTTCTCTATTCTATCATTCACGCAATTTTGAAGAGCACTAAGAGCTTCAGTAATTTTATCGGTCGTTGCTTTCAACACCTTCTCCTCTTGCTCCTTCACCCTCCCCAACCTACCACTCTCATACGCCACCGTCCTACGCACGCTCTCAAGCTTATCTTTTAATTTAGCATTTAGGTCGTTGATTCTGTCTTTATGTGGGCTACGTGAAGTGTTACTAATGTCTAAATTAGTGACAAATGTTGCAGCATTATTTTGGCATTGCTGAAGTTTGTCATTAATTTGGTCGACGGCCCGGCTGACATCCCTGTCACTGTAATTTGTCGGCGCACCTGAAACACCATTTTCTGGTAAAATATGACTTACCGTATTTTTAAAATTCTCGCCGACTTGTCCCTGCAAAGTATTAACAACACTTTTCACACTCTCATTCGACTTTACAACACTCTCATTATATGCACGTACACCATCGGCCACCGCGGCTATCGCCGTCCTGTATTTAGCAATACCATTATTATTTGTGTCTTTAAGTGAAGTAAGTGCGCTATCTAAAGAGCCTTTATGCTGGCCTAAATGGCCTTTAATGTTATCTAAAACACCATGAAGGAAAGACATCACCCCGTCGCAGAGCCTGTCGAGGTCCGAGTACACAATCCTTCTCCGGTGTAATTACCATTATCGTAGCCGAGAAATTTTTCGAGGCCTGTACAAAGGTTATTTAATAATGTTGTTGAAGGAATATTTTAGGCACATTTTCAGGGCGATTTGGGGGAATTTGGGGAAAGGCGATTTTAGGTCAAGGAGGCAGCGAGGGAGTGAGGGAGGTGGGTGGACAGGGTGAGGGAGGTGAAGGGGCGAAAGAGGGCGATGAAGGGGGAAGATGGGTTGAGGTAAGGCGGTTTTAGGGGTGGAGGGGAAAGGTGGAAAATGAGGATTTGGGCGAGGGACGCCGACGGAGGAGGTGAGAGAAGGGGTGAGGGAGAGGGAGCGAAGCAATGGAAAGGAAAGTAAATAAGTGAAATGGTAAATTGCGAGATAGTTAAGTGGTTAAGTGATTAGATGGTAAATGAATGGCCGATGGTTAATTAAATTAGAGTGAGTAAGTGAATGGTTAAGTGAAATGATTAAATTAGTTAGTTGAATGAGTGGTAATTAGTGATGGAAGTGAAGTAATTGGGTAGAATGAAATGGTGATTAGATGAGAACGGTGGTTGAGTGAGTGGTGAGTGAGGTGGTGAAGTTGAGTGGTGGTGGTTGAGTAGGTGGTGATGAGTTTGGTTGAGTGGGTGGGTGAGTGAGAGATTAGGTGGGTGGAAGTGATGATCACAGATCAAAACGGAAGATTATGGTGAGAAGTACTTGACGTTGGCGAGTGCCTTGACGCGTGCGGCGGCGAGGAGGGACTGTGCGGCGATGCGGTGGCTTGCGGGTGATCTCAGGTGGGAGCGTATCCTCAGGGCGTCGAGGCGGACGACGGTGATGTGCAGCAGGTACAGGAGCGAGAGCGACCAGAGGGCTAACAATAATGACATGAATGGGAATCTGATTTTGCATAGGTAGTCAGGAATTGTCCTGTATATAATCTCCGCAAGCGCAGCTTTTACATTTTCTTTTTCGTTAATGACATTATTTAATGCCGTACAAAGATCCTTGCACGTCCGCTTACTTGAGTTGTCAGAAAGCATCTCAATGTTCTCATGTACAAACCCAAACTTGAACAGGGTCGGAAGCGTATATTGACACTTCACAATGGAACCACATGACTCATTGTGCTTGGAGTCTGCACCGGCGGGAAGTTTGTTCGCTGTGCACTCTTTACTGCATTTGTTGACACGGCACTTCGGTTGCTCAGCGCCGCAATTACCATTGCACTCTTCGTACAATTTCTTAAGTAATGAGTGAAACGTTTCGGTAGTGTACACAACCCATGAAAGGTATTTAGCTGCGTGTTTCACTGAGAAGGTTACAGACACGTCTCGGCACAGCGGCCGCAAGTACGGACCGCAAGGATGTCCAACGGTGGACTTCGATTTATTCGTGCACTCCACCAGAGAATAGAGATCACCAGTGAGATGTTTCACGTTTGCTCCGGCACCATGTTCGCTGCTCTTGAATAGCGGAGTGATGTCCAGAGTTGTCGGCTCCTCGAAGTTGGCACTTGTGACTGCCTTGTTGAAAGCATCTATCCTATGTTCTTTGTTCTTACTCAGGTCATTAAGCAAATTATAATAGAACCCAAACATGTCACCAAGCGTTGTCGGCGCACTGGGTAATAGGCATACTAGGTAGTTACACATTTGGCTGAGCGGCATATACGCTTTGCCACAAAATTCGTGGAGCACATTTTTGATGTGCTCGCCGGTTCTACTGCGTGACGCCACGGTGCCGATATTGTTAAAACCCATAGGCGTTTTACACGGTAAACCCCTGTGCTTACCAAGTGAGCATTCTATTCCACAACCAAGCTTGGTAAGGGTATGAGGAAGGAAGCCCTGCAGTCCGTCCTCAAGGAATGACTGTAGCGGCGACTTGATGCCGCAACTGGGATGTTCGTCACACTTTTGGCTACACGTTTGGTCACCCGCTTGGCCAGGACACTGCATGGTGTTGCAGTTCCACGCTGACCCACCGACTCCCTGTCCATACCAGCAATCTGACCAACCGCCGCTCTTAGCGCTGTTGTTACACTGCTTATATACGAAACGGATTTGGTGACAGACTCTAGTCAATATATCCACTAACATATACAAGCATGAAGATGCGTTACTAGGGTAATGTAAATTATTTTCGTTTGTGTAGAAGTCACAGGCGTAGGTACCGTCAGCGTGACCGTAGCCGACAATTGCGATCAGAGCTTTTTGGGAGTAGTAGCAAACTTCGCGTATTTCGGCCTGTACGTATGCTGCAGTAATGATAGAAGCAGATGTTTCCAATTTGTACGCGGAGAGATCTCCATCATTCTCAGGTTTAGGAAACAATTGCTTACAGTACTCACTAATTTTGGCATACATCGGATCCCACCGAAGGCCGGAGGTCCATTGGAGCATTTGGTTGATGTTACATGGCGCTTTTGCGCCAGGGATATACTTATGGTGGGTGACTTCGTAATATGTTCTGAGGTAGCCGACTAGCTTCTTAATGACACCATGTTTCTCCTTGTTCGCCTTCTCATCGTCGTCGCTAACAAGTTGATACGTTTCACGATTATGAGAATTACTATGTTTGTAGACAAGGAGATCATTGTAAATTTTCGGACCTGTGAAATCATCTGTATTGCGCAATTCACCGTCCTGCTTGTCCGCGTCGCTCGCCACATTATACCCGCGGTCGGCGAAGGCTTTTCCGAGGGGATTTTTAATTTGCTTCTTAGGCTTTTTCGTCGACGTGCCCGCTGGATCATCAATATTACCGGAATGAATTTTTGTACTTTTAAATTTAGGATTCTTACATCCTATCCTCAATCCATCGAGCTCATAACGCAGCCCCTCCAGTATGGTCAGGCAGACCTTGGCGCAGTTGCGGCCCTCGGTGGAAAGGACGGTAACAGTTTTCTTTTCTCCAGGTTTTTCTAGATTGTCAATCTCTTTAGGTTTTCCCCATTTTTCCACAGGCTTACACCCGGAGTAGTTATTCACATACGCGTGTCCGAGTTGCTCGGTGAATTTGGACATGCCGGACTTGAGGGCGTCGAGGAGCAGCGGGTTGTGGAAGCCGTGGAAGTGGGAGGGGGAGAGGGCGGAGATGGAAGAGGAAAGGGAGGAGAGTAATTTGTCAGAATGGTGGTCAAAAATGTATGTACGTTTACTTTTAGTGTCAGTTGGATTAGGCTTCGCATTGTCGTCAAGAAGGTAGTGAAGCAGAGCGTCCAGGTCAATATGTATATTGTGGATTTTCTTAGACTGTTCATTATTCGGAGTTTTTACTTGATCTTGGATATAATTCATAACGGGATCAATATAAGATTTTATTTTTTCAGACAATGTTGTGAATGTTGTACGATATGTTTCACCTGTGAGTGGTGACTGAGATTTCGAAGCTAATGAAGTTACAACTTTGTGAATATCGTTAAGCAAATTATTATTTTGATCATAGTTTTTAAAAGCTGGAAGGCCGTTTCTATCTATATGGAACTTCATACCACTCACCGCCTTCAGCATCCCCTTCACGCCCGTGACTGCGTCCCGCGCGATTATGTTTTGCACTTCCCGCAGTTGCGTTTCGACGAGCGCGCGCAGGGCCTGGAGGTCGGCGGTGTGGGAGGCGGAGAAGAGGGAGCGGATGGCGGAGGTGAGGGTGGAGAAGGCTTTTCTGGCGGAAATTAGTATCTTGCTCTTAAGGGTTTTAATGGCATTTTGTGCTTCTATATAGGCTTCAGATAATGCGTCAGCTACAGACTGGATGACCCTTTCTAATGCGGAGTCGGCTTCTCGAACTAAATATTCAATGTGCTTGAAATGACCATTAAGTGTGTCTATGGTATCTTTTAGCGCTTTAACTTTTGCATCCGTCTCCTGCCTCTTCGTTTCAATAACTTCTGGAAGGGATTCCAGCGAGGTGACGATTGGATCTATGGCTTCGGCAGCATTGGAGATCTCTTCATAATTTTTGGCTTGCAGGGTGTCAAGATTTGGTTTTATTCGCTTTAAAAGACGATTTTCTACACTATCATCATTCAATAACTGCAACGCCTTCTTGATGCCTTTACCGGCGTTAGCAAATGCCACGGTGAGCTCAGCAAGTTTAGATTTGATACGACCGGATTTCTCCTTTATCGCGCCATGAGCCCCTTTAGCATCCCTGTCAAGATCAGTAACTGTGTTGTTTACATCATTAAGTTTGCTAATGACGGGACCTTGCAGTGCATCCTGTAGCTTCTTGATTGCCGCATCCGCCGCCTTTTTGATGAGTGGGAGGAGTTGGCTGTTGACTTTGTCGCCGGTAGTAGCACTTCGCAGCAGCCTACTTGTTAGACCATCATCGCTCCTCGAAACATCTAATTCCAGATATTTGTCCATCGCAGTCGCAGTCTCCGGCACTGCAAGTTGATTTTTAAAAGTTGTGGCGAGAGCTTTAAGCTGTGACAACGGACCATTTTTTGCACCTCCTCCCGTCACTTTCTCTACCTCAACATTCAACTTGTCTTTTAGATTATTAAATTGCCCATTCAGCAAGTCGGCCTCCACATCAATCTGCTGGAGTGCTGCGTCCACCTCTTCCCGACTTTCCTTTCCAACTATCGCATCTACGATTTCATCAACATGTTGCTTTGATATGCCATCGATGAAGCTTTTTGTGTTGTCTATCCAATCCTCCAACTCAAGCACATAGCTTTGTAACTTCATAGTTGAGGCTCCCATAGAGTTTTTGAAATTTTCAAATTCATATCTAAGTTTTGATTTGTTTGTGTCACCGGTGGGATTCTGAGCTTTGTCAACTTCCGCCAATGCACCTCCCATATCGTTAAAATGCCGAAGAATTTGAGTCCAATATTCATTGTTAAAATTATCCAAAAAGTGTTGTGCTTCCCCCATGGCTTTGTTGAGAGCATATTTCATGTGCCCGAAACTCTCTTTCCTTTTCTTTTTTAGACTCACAATTTTATCCGATATTTTCTTGTAACCTTCATTCAACATTGCCTGCACAATATGGGTCTGCAAATCAATCGCACTAATTACGTCATTCTTCTGCTGCAGCAACTCATTGTCCACCTTCCTTGCCTTCTCCATCAGGCCGCCATTCCCAGCCACCCCCCCCAAGTGCTCCACCACCTTTTGCACGGGCTCAATTTGACGCATTATCTTATCGCTAAGTGCGGGGTCTAAGTTATTAACATTAGTGATTATGTTGTCGTTAATGTGAGTTTCCATGGCGGTGACCATTCCTGTCCATGTCTTCAGCTGTTCTTGCAGACTCTCACCTGCATCAATTTTCTCAGGGTATTTCTCAGAAACATTATGATTCAACTCACCTAATGCAGATATGACATTGATTGCAGATGTGTCCACCTGAAAGAAATATTTCTTAAGCCACTCACTTACCTCTTTAACCTGCTCACCAAAGACACTGCGTCCCTGGCCAATGGAAGATTGGAGAGAGTCAAGTAATTTTTGAAGTCTATGATCTTCATTAGAGATGTAATCATCATATTTCTTAACGTTATCATCATCTTTCACACTTTGAAGAACACCATGAAGGAAAGACATCACCCCGTCGCACAGCCTGTCGAGGTCCGAGTACACAATTCCCTCTCCGGTGTAATTACCATCCTGGTAGCCGAGAAAATTTTCGAGGCCTTCAGTAAGACTCTCTAAAAGCTTTTTAGGATTTTCATTATTTTTGTCAATTTTACTAACTTCATCACAATATTGACAAAGGCTTTGTAGACTCTTGAGAGACTTCATAGACGTCTGATGAGATTCAAGAGATTTAGACTCTTTTTCAGGGAATTCTTTTTTAGCATTTTTAAGCCTTTCTTCAGCATCTTTAAGTTGATTTTCATCATATTTTTGCGGTTTTACAAGAGCTTTATTCCCCTCCTCAATTTTCTTTTTAAGCTCATTCACTTGAGACTGAAGGTCATCAACTTCATTTTTCTTAGAGTCAAGGTCATCAATTTTACTTTGAACGGCGGGAATTACAATGTTAATTTGCGTTGTAAGCGTGGAACTTTGTGAGAAAATTTCTTTTTGAAGCTCTTCAACTTGCTGTTTAAGGCTGTCAACATCACCAGAAACACTGACTTGAGAATTCTTATTTTCAGCAAGTTTCTGCGCAATTTGTGTTTGAAGAGCATCATATTTTTTACAATTTTCTTGAACACTTTTAAGAAGTTTCTGAAGGTTATTATAATGCTTATGACAATCACACCCCTCACCTCCGCAAGATGTTTTTAAAAGCTTTTCAAGCTGATTCACATTACTGTGCAAACCCTTTATAATAGCATTTTTAACTTCTTTCCCACCGCCGACAAAACCCGAAAGCTGTCCAGCAAGCGTACCAAGAGAGATACGGCGGGCATCAATATCATCCAAGGCTTTCCCCCTGGCGTCCTCAGTAAGGTAATGAACTTCATTGTAATGGTCATTGTGGTTGGATTGAAGGTGGATTAGGAGAGGGTTAAAAGAAGTAAAAGGAGGTGGAATGGGACACTTTTGAAATTAATTCGAAAAAATTTAACAAGTAAAGAGTGAGGAGTCGACGTGAAGGCAAATGGAGGTGAAAGACAGGAAAGAAAAGGAAGAACGAAGGAAGAAGGCGGATCAAGAAAGATTCGAGATGGAACAAAGTCGGCTAGAGATTGTCGCCAGAAAAATTAGACTCGCACAATAAATGAAAATAAATGAATTAAAGGAAATGTCAATGATAAGATTAAATGCTAATTAAAATGTAAATAATTCAAAGTGGGTGGCTATTAAGTAAAATAATTAAAAAGTAAAGTAAATAGAGTAAGAAATGCGTAAGTAATGGTCGTGAAGTAAAGTAAAATGTAAAGATTGAAATGTAAATGGGTAAATAAAGTAAGTAGATTAGTAAAAAATGAATTAAGAAATGGAAGTAGATTGAAGTAAATTAGAATTAAGTAAAATTAAAATTAGAGTAGAAGAATTAAATTGAAAATTAGTAAGAAATAGAGTAGATTAATAGAAGTAAGTAGAAATGCATTAGGTAAAGAAGTAGAAATGAAATGCATTAAGTAAAAAGTGTTAATGGTCATTAAATGTAAGTAAAGTAAATGCATTGAAGTCGTGAAATGCGATGTAAGTTAAGTAAAATGCGATGAAGTAGGTAAGTAGAGTAAAATTATGAATTGAAGTAAGTGAAATAAAATTAGGTAAAGTAAATATATGAAGTAAAATATGTAAAAGTAAATGGTGAAGTAGTGAAGTAAATGATTGATGGAAAGTTAAAATGATGAGAAATTAGAGTAAGTGAGTAAGTATATGAAGTAAGTAAGTGGTGATTGGAGTAAGAGTAAGTGAGTAGTAGGTAGGTGAGTGGTTGAGTAAGTGGTTGAGTGGTTGAGTGAGTGGGTGATACACAGATCACACGTGAAGGCACGATTATGGTGAGAAGTACTTGACGTTGGCGAGTGCCTTGACGCGTGCGGCGGCGAGCAGCGACTGTGCGGCGATGCGGTGCGATGCTGGTGATCTCAGGTGGGAGCGTATCCTCAGGACGTCGAGGCGGACGACGGCGATGTGCAGCAGGTACAGGAGCGACAGCGACCAGAGGGCTAACAACGTATTCATGAACGGTGATCTTATGTAGTAGAGGATGTCATCGCATTTCCCCAATAGTGTTTTGAAATGGTTTGACTCGATGACCTTTTTAAGTTGATAATAGAAATTATGGCAGAACCTTCTGTCTGGATTCGCCATAAGAGTTTTGGAATTTCCAAATGTGAATCCATAGTTGTTTAGTATCATGCTTACGCCATGGCACTGCACATAACTCTTGCAGGTACACTGAAATTGGAGTCCATGTTTTCCTACTGCGCAATTACATGCCGAGCACCCACCGGATTTGCAATCGATATTGCAGAAGGCCTCAAACAGTGATTTTAGAAGATTGTAGAAATCGAAGGGCAAATATGTAAGCCATGACAGATAAAGGTTTGCGTGCTTTGTAGCATATGTGTGATAGGCATCAGCACAGAGAGGTTTGAGATAGGGAGCGCACTGGGAATTGACTTCATTACACTTTATCTGTGAAGCGACTTCGGTGTGCGTGCAGAGGCTATACAAGTCACAGTGAGTGGACTTGTCAGTTTTCGTTACAGGGTGATCAGACGTTGGACCAGATAATGATTTTAATTGGTTAGTGAAATTTGTGGCTTCATCGGCATACAGCTTCATGGACATTGCAGGAATTATTTTCGTATTCATATGGTTCACCAATCTGTCGCTGGTAGAAAACCTGCCAGATGACCACTGTCTGAAGAAGCTTGTGAAGAATGAGAATTGATCTGCCAGAGATTTAGGCGGCGTCGGTGATACTTGCATCAAAGAGTTTAGCAGCGTGGGCAACGGCGAGTCTGCATTACCGCAAAATTCGGAAAGCACGTTGCATATATCTTTGCCCGTGCCCTTTTTGGATCCGGCGTGAGCCAGATCCCAGAAGCCCATAGGCGTCAAACATATCATGCCAGGTGACTGCTTAGGGCATGTCGAACACTTGGATGTGCAGCCAACAGAGGATAGTTTGTGCGGCAAGTGGCCAGGCAAACTGTCAGTTAGGTGAGCTTGCAGCGGTGATTTTGGTTGGCAATTTGGTTTGGTGTTTGGTTGGCACGTTGGCTGACCATTTGCCTGGCACTTTGGTTGACCATTTGCCTGGCACATAGGTTTGTCGACTGACTTCTTGCAGTCCCACTGGTAACCGGAAACTTTGCCGCCGTATTGGCAGTCACGCCAACCGTTGCCATCGGCTACGGTGTATTTACAACGTGAACTCAAAAAACAAAGTGAAGACAAAACACGCGTACATATATCTTTTAACATATCAAAGAGTTCGGATACATTCTGAGGATAGTAAAAATTACGCGAGTTGTCGCAGAAGTTGCAAGCGTATGGATAGTCAGCCTCTTCGAAGCCACGGCCGTTACCGGAGATGGCGGTGAGAATTTGATATCCAAATTGGCAGGTAGGAGCTAGGCTGTTACGTATGTTGGATCTAAGAATTGGAAGTAGAACTGTATCAGACTGGTATGTGGCATCGTTCGTTAACAATGTATCACAGTGCGTCTGAATGTTCTTATATACAGCTGTGTAAGGGAGGCCACATAGCCAGCCGAGCATGTCTCTAATAGTGCAGGGGTATATTGTTTTGGCGGGAATTCTAATGTGACATGTCTTAAAGTATGTGGCTAAGTTCCAGTAGAGCAAAGAGACGGGGCCCTTACTCTGTCTTATCCAATATAGGTACCTGGCTAGAGTGTTATGACCGGTGTCATTGGTTTCGGGATTCGTCTGGAAATCAACTTGATGGTTGAACGCTGATTTCAATTTCTCGGCAACTTGCTCACCGCTGTTGTATTTATTGATAAGGTTGTCGGTCCTGAAGCCTTGATCCTCTATATATTCTCTGAGAGCGTTACTTTTCTCAGGGCCGTCAATCTTAAGTTGACGCCAATTTTTAGATGAGTTGTAGAACAAGTGATAAAGTTCCTCATAAAGCGTCGACGTTGAGGTAAGCATTATTTTAGCGTACTTGTCTGCGTGATTCTTCTTCCAGTCTTCGCCGGAATACTTGTTGACGTACGCATGGCCAAGCTGCGCGCAGAACTCTGTCAGCCCGGCTCTCAAGGCGTCAATCAACGGGGCATTGAAAATACCAGAGAGCTTGGCAGGGGTGAAAATCTTAAGTGCGTTGGTGAGTGAATCATTTAATCCAAGAAATTCATGGTCGAAATTGTATTTACGGTTTTCGTTATTGTTAAGGTGAGTGAGTAATTTCGTGAGATGGTCGTGGATTTTGTTGACTGCATAGGACATGTCGTTGTCTTCCCTAATAAAAGGCTGCGCTGCGGTTTTCACCTGCTCACCAATATATTCAAGCATCGGTTATAAATAGTTCTTTAATCTCTCACACAATGTTGTAACCTGTTTTTTAGGTTCCTTGACATCTTCGAGTTTTAATTCCTTGAGCTTGTTAGGTGCCGAATTTGGAGAACCCGATGCCTCTAAACCGCCTCTCATGCGCCTTAAGAGGCCTTTGGGGCCGGCATTGAGGTCTTCCTTTATGGCGATGTTTATGTTACCAATTTCAATTTCAACATTGTGATGCACCTCCTTGAACATTCGGCTGATCTTCTGGTAATAATCATGTTGCGTTTTTTTCTGAATTTCCTCCGTTGTCTCCTTAACTTCTTGGATTACGTAGGCTTCGATGTCGGCGGTAGTTTTAGTGGCTTCAGCTTGGATGACGTCGGTGTAAAAGTTTTTAGCTGCTTGAAGAAGCGTCGTCAATGTAGTATTTTGAAGATGCGCAAGGCGGCCTTTGATTTCGGTGAGGCCATTTTTTGCGGTACGCCAGGTGCCTTCACCATTACCAAGTCCCTTTCGCAGCTCTATCAGAAGCGTCTTCACGCCTTTGTTGTCAGATTCACGGAATCCTCCCGTATTATTCGCATTAAACATGCTAGTGATTTCTGCTAGCTCTTTCGATATTGTGTCGAATCGTTGTTGAACATTACTTATTGTTTTACTGACGACGCCGTTGCCTTCACTGTCGACATTGTCTTTGAAAGCATTTAGCACCTCGGGGATATGCTTTTTTAGCAGAGTTCTGTATTGACTGTCTGCGTTTTCAGCAGTCTTTCTTTTATAATTCTGCATCTGTGTATCAAGGAGTATTTTGTCGGGAATAGTTCTTTTTACTTCCGTCGCAACCCCATCAACTAGTGCGCTAAACTTACCACTGGAATCTCCATCTCTAGGAGCGGCATCTCCGAGATTTTTGTGCAGCTTCCTGGTTTTCTCAGCGACTTTATCCAATTCTTTCGCGATTGTGAAATCTCCGGCGTTGCCTACTAGTTGGGGGTTAAGGAGCAGGGACTGGAGTTGCCTGGCAGCCTCCTTGCCAGTAATAACAAGTTTTTCGAGGATCCGTTCAACGGCCCAAGTGAGATGATCTGGATCAGGCCTTTTAATCTTGTTATTGAACAAATCCCTTTTAATGTCACTTGCAATCTGTCGAACGTTTCCAGGAAAATTCTCTGCAACCTTCTCAGAAAACTTCTGGCAAATGGTTTTCACACTGTCGACATATCCTTTAATCTTCTCATTGGAATCATCCTTTGCTAATTGGTCAATTTTCTGCTGAGCTTCCTGAAATTCGCCACCTTTAAGCTGTACTATAATTTTATCCTTAATAACACGTGCAACCATCGCGATTCCTTCTTCCTCAATTTGAAACTTGCCTGTATCTCTATTGTGCTTAATAAACTTAACACCCTGCTTCACTGGGTTATCCTGAACATACGTATTAAGCCTGCCACTCAGCTCATTCTCTTTCAATATCTCTCCAACCCATCGCTGCATGGTACCATCAAATTGCTCACTGCCAAACTTCTCCGCGTACGCCTTCACCGCACTTTCAATCCCCTTCAAACCTTTACCTTGGTTTGGCGGATCACCATTAAGAATATTCTCCACGTCATACTTAACAGTACCAAGAATACTCTTAGCATGTGCCTTTAATTCGCTTGCTATGCTTTGTTGTAAACTCAACAGATCTCTTGTCATCTCACCTTCCAACTCTTGCAGCGCGGCTGGAACCGTAATATTGACCAACTCCCTGACCCTCTGATGCGCCGTGCTGTAAGCCGCCAAGAGGGCCCTAGCCTTCTCTTTTAACTTATTCGCCGAATTTGTAATGGAGCGATGGTCCTTTTTATCAACCCTCTTAAGTATCTCCTCACACTTCTCAATACCCTTCTGAACAACATCAGCTGCCTTCTGAATCCAATCATTTAACAGCTCCATGTGGGCCTTTAGGTCGGTATTAATCTCATTAATCGGCTTGCGAATTTGTTCTTGAAATTCATAACTTATTCTGCCACCCATATGATCAACACGCTTCTTAATTTCTATATTCACATCTAGTTTCAGTTTGTTCAACCTTGTTGCTGCCGTCTCGACGACGGCCCTCAACTCACTATTACTAGCACCCGCCACAAATGCACGTACACTCACTTTTATGGAATTCATGCTACTATTCAACTTATTATGTAAGTTTATGTCTAGTTTAGTGTGAGCTTTTTCGGCCTCATCGAACGCCTTAGACAGTTCCCCGGCCTGCTTGAAGCAGTCACCAAGCCTAGCGGGAACCTTGTCTAGTTGTTCCGGCTTAAGCTTATTAAGTGAAAAAAGTGCGCTATTAAAATCATTAAATCTATCGGTGAGTAACGTATTAAGTGCTTTATTAAGTCCCCCGGTTCGCCCTTCGAGCTCACCGCTCCACGCCTGCAGCGCCGCGGAGACTTGTGTGATGGCTGTCTGAAAATCATTAGAACCTTTATGCATCAACTTGCTGATTGAAGAAGGAAGATCATTAAAAAGCTTTTTAGTATCATAAGTTGTAACGTTATCATCATCCTTCACTCCACTGAGAACTCCATGAAGGAAAGACATCACCCCGTCGCAGAGCCTGTCAAGGTCGGAGTACACAATTCCTTTCCCGGTGTAATTACCATTACTGAAGCCGAGAAATTTTTCGAGGCCTGTGCAGAGGTTATTTAATAATGTTGATGAAGGATTATTTTAGGCACATTTTTAGGGCGATTTGGGGGAATTTGGGGAAAGGCGATTTTAGGTCAAGGGGCAGCGAGGGAGCGAGGAAGTGGAGACAAACGAAAGGAGAGGAAAAGAGCGAAAGAGGGCAATGAAGAAAGAGATAAAGGTGAAACAATTCAAAGGTGGAAGTGAAGATGGAACACTGAGGATTTGGAAGAGTGACGCAGGAAGAGGAGGTGAGGAGGAGGTGAAGGCAGGGAAGCATCGTTAAGTGAAAGTAAGTAAGTAAGTAGAGTCGTGATTAAATCAGTAAATTAAATTAAATGCATTAAGTAAGTAAATTAGTAGAAATGCTTAAAATGCGTGAATTAAGAAGTGGTTAAAGTAATTAAGTAAGTATTCATTAAGTAATCATTAAGTAAATTGAATTAAATCATTAAGATTAAATGGCGATGCGTGGTGAAGTGATGCATTAAAGTGGAAGTGAATTAAGTAGAGTAGTTAAGTGAGTAGTTAAGTAAATGCATTAGTTAAGTAGTTGAGAAATAGTGGGTAAATGGATTAGAGTAAATGCATTAAGTAGTAAAATTAGGTAAGGTAGAGTGAAGAGTAGTTAGTCGATGAAGTAAGATTGGGAAGTAGGTAAAATTAAGTGTGAGTAGTTGAAGTAAAATTAAAAGTGGTTAGTGAAGTTAGGTGAAATTAATTAGGTAAGGTAGGTAGTGAAGTGGTTGAAGAGTAGGTAAGTTAGTAGAGTAGGTGGTTGAGTGGGATGAGAGTGAAGTGATGAAGTAAATTAGGTAGAGTGAAGTAGAAGTGATACAGATCTATGAAACTGATTATAGTGAAATGCTGACGTTGGCGAGTGCCCTGACGCGTGCGGCGGCGAGGAGCGACTGCGCGGCGATCCTGTGGCTTGCGGGTGATCTCAGGTGGGAGCGGATCCTCAGGACGTCGAGGCGGACGACGGCGATGTGCAGCAGGTACAGGAGCGAGAGCGACCAGAGGGTGAGCAGCGTGTAGAAGAATTTGTATCTTATCTTCCATAAGAATGCAGGAATTTTGTTAATTACCATATCTGCAAGCACGGATTTGCCGTGACATATTCTCTCTAATGTTCTGCAAAAATCTGCGCACGTTCTTTTGGTGCCTATAGTGTTCAGCGCTGCTGCATCTCCAAATACAAACCCATTGCTGTATAATGTCGGCAGCGTCGTCTTGCAGCTCACAATTGAACTACACGCGGCATCGTGAATTGTATCGTTTGGTTTAACATTTGGTTGCGCCTTTGCGCAGCCATTTGCACAGCTCTTTACATAGCATCTTGTCTGCGTCGTACCACAGTTGCTGTTGCATGTTTCATACAACTGCTTAAGCAAATCGTAGAATGATTCCGTGAGATACACAACTGTCGTAAGATACTTATCAGCGTGCTTCTTGGTAAACATGGTACATGTGTCAGAGCATAGCGGTTTCATGTACGGACCGCAGGTGTTGGCTGCATTGGACATCTGATTACAACCAACTATAGAGTGGAGGACACCGTCTGCGTGCTTGCCAGAGCTGTGCTTCTCCGATCCAAGCATGGGGATGATGTCCAATTCTGTAGTGCGATCTTTAAAGTTGGCCTTGATGACGGCCTGATTGAACCCATCTTTCCAAAGAGCGCTGCTGCTCTTGCAGCCCTTGATCAAATTGAAGTAGAAAGCAAACATGTCACCTAATGTTTTGGGAGCACTAGGGAGGAGGCATGAAAGTTGAGCACACAGCTTGGTTAGAGGTGATTCCACTTTGCCGCAGAACTCAGCAAGTACATCTCTTATATGACGGCCTGTTTTTCTATGCGATGCTACAGTGGTGATATCGGCGAAGCCCATCGGCGTTTTACACGGCACGTTGGTATGGCCTTTGACTGCGCAGTTGAGTTTGCCGTTGCTAGATGATAGGGTATGTGGCAGGAAGCCCACCAGGCCGTCCTCGAGGAACGACTGGAGCGGCGACTTGACGCCGCACTTGGGGTGTTGGTCACACTTTCGGTTACATATTTGGTCATGTCTTTGGTTGCACTGTTGGTCACATATTTGGTTGGCACACTGCATGGTGTTGCACCTCCACGCTGAGCCTCCGACTCCCCGGCCGTACCAGCAGTCGAGCCATCCGCCGTGCCGGGCGTTGTAGAGGCACCGGCGGTAGAGGAAATGGAGCTGGTGGTGGAGGCGTTTGATGATGTCGAAGAGCAGGCAGAGCAGCGCTTCCACGTCGCCGGGGTAGAGCAGGCCTTGCGGGTTGGTGTTGAAGTCTACGGCGTAGATGCCTCCGGCATGGCCGAAGCCGAGTAACATGGTGAGCACTGAATGCGACCGGTGGCACACCTCCGTGAGTGCGTCGGATAGGGACGCCGGTGTTATCTTCTGCGGGTGGGCCTTCAGCGCCAGGCTGCTGAGGTTCATCAAGGGCACGTCGGAGTCGCCGGCACCCGGCTCATCCGGCGCCTCGAACAGCGACGGCAGCGCTTCGGAGTTGAGGCCCAGGTACACGGGATTGTACGTAAGCCCGCAGCACCATTGAAGCATCTCGTAGATGGAACACGGCGGCCGGGGTGAGGGATGCACCTTGAGGTGGCACGTCCTGTAGTACTGCTGGAGGTGGTTGCAGAGGCATTTGAGGAGCTGTAAGAGATTACAGGCGTGTTGGAGGGAGAGGCATTTTTGGAGGTGTGCGTTGTCATGGGTCTCCTTAATGTTCTGGCTGACCAGGACATACACGTCGCGGCCGTTGCACTCGTCGCGCAGCTCGCCGTCCTGCTGAGTGGGAGAGGTGGAGACCTTGTAGCCGCAGCGGTGGAGGAAAGTGCCGAGTTTACTGCTTGCATTAATGTTCAGATCCCTCCACTTGCCGCCTTTGCCGCACTGCTCCGCCAGCCTGGTGAAGGCGTCGCACAGTGTGGGCAGCGTGGTGAGAAAGACCTTGGCGCACATGGCGCCGTATGGCGTCAGGCTGCTGACGTTTCTGACGGTGACGGACTTTGTGCCTTGGGATCTTACGGTCTCGCTGAGGATCTCATGTTTGAGCAAGTCAGCGGTGAACTGTGCGCCCGAGTAGGCGGAGACGTACGCACACGTGAACTCGTCGGCGAAGCTTGTGAGCCCCTCCACCAGGCCGTCCAGCACGGGACTCGAGGGCTTGGCGAAGCTCTCCGGCTTTAGGTGACTCAGCGCGTCGGTGAGGCTGCGGAGCAGCGCTTGGAGTCTGTGGTCGAAGGTCTGTGTCTCGCAGAGGTAATTGAGCAGGGCGTTGACATCGCTGTGCACGGCGTCCCACTCGGCGGCGTAGGGCTCTTCCGACTTCGGCAGTGAGGGATTCTTCTCGTCGTCACCATGCTTTTTCACTCTCTCAATCTCCTCACGGAGATGCTCGTTGACTGACCCGAAAAAGTACGCGAACGCGGAGGACAATGCTTGAAGCCCTCCGCTTTTCACGTCTTTGAGCCTATTAATGTTCACGCTTTTTTCGCCTTCAACCTGTTTCATGAACCCTTTATACCCTATCTGCAGATCCTCGTCTATCAACGGAAGCAAGGGACTTAACTCCTCTTCCACCTTCTGGGCGAACGCTTTCAAAAGCTCCTTGATGTTGGAGACATATTGCCGGCGTGCCTCCCTGATCAATGTCTCTTCGGCTGCCTTGATCTCCTTGTCGACGAATGCGTGGAGTTCTGCGATAATTCTTTTAGAGGCCTCGTCGGCGTATTTATCAAACTGCTTGAGTGATCGAATGACATTGTTCAGCGGGCCGAATAGCAGATTGTAGAGATCACTGTAAAATTTCCTCAGCTCTTTGTCAAGCATTATTTCCTTGACTTCTTTTAAAATGTCTTTGAGATCTCTTGCGTTATGCCTGACAGCACTGCACAGGGCGACGAGATGATGTCTGACGTCTTTTAAATTCTCTTCTTTTATATGCTCAATATCATTTTTTATTTGAGTGAGACCACTGACATCTCCACCATCCCACCGACCATCGGCAAGCCCCTTGTCCTTTAAATCTTTCAACTGTCTTGTAACGTTATGTTCCAACTGATCTCTAAGAGCGTTAAGCTCCCAGGTAATATCTTGAACGCCTGTCTGAATTTCAGTGGGCTGGTTGTTTAGCGTTTGTTGTTGATGTTGAAGTGCATCTTGGATGCTTTTAAGGCTTTGCTCATTTGGGCCTTGAATCCAATTTTTGCCGGTGAAACCAAACTCCTTCAAATCTTCCAGTGACTTTATGACATCACTGCCTGGACTACCTTGCAACACACCTCGGAGGGCAGTGAGTTCGTTTACAAGTTCTTGCTTGGCTTGTTCGATGGCTTGTGGTTTCTGAGTAAATTGCTCCTTTTGCAAGTCACTTATAGTTTTTTGAATTTGTTGGAGACTTCCATCTTTCGCAGAGTTTTGGCCAATATTATTTTTTAATTTCCCCAAGAAGTCCAGTATGTCATAGTCATCGTGAAATTCATCATTCAGCCTTATTCCAAGATATTTAAGTTCCAACTTGATTGCTTTTATGGCTTTTTCAATGGCTTGGGTTGCTGGTTTCAACCGCTCATTTTCTGCATTAAGCTCCTCCTGGATTTTCCCAAGGCCACTGAGAGTTTCGCCGTTTACTTACCAAGTAGCTTGTTCGAGACCCTTGGTTTGCAAATCTGTCAATACGTCAATAACACCGTTCTCATTGCCGTTCTCTTTCTTCAACTTTTTCCTAAGCACTTCAAGCTGCGTCCTAATTGCTTTGACGGCTTTGTCAATTTCTTTGGGTTGACTTTGAAACGTCCCTGTTTGCAGTTTTTCAATCGCCGTTTTGATATTCTCAAGGCTATTACGCCCATCAACAAAGAATCCATTATTAAGCATAATCCTCAAATTCGCCAAGTGATTTTGAATACCATCTTCACTGCCTGCCGGCTTGCCGTTCTCATCAACCAATTTCTTGATCTCTCCAAGCTCTTTCCGAATCGTGTCGAACGGACCGGTGAAGGTTGCTTCTTTAATTGGACCACTGACACCGTCACCAATAGTCTTATTAAGCGCATCCAGACCCTTCTCTTTGATGTTCCCAATCGCCAGTGGAAGGAGGCCTTCATCTAGCTTGCCCTCTAGAGTTTTACCGGGCTTCAGGCCATCTGAAGTTTGCACAACGTGCGTTATGTATTTTGTAAAGAATTGTGAAAGCGTGACTTTCTCAGCTGCTACACCACCTTGCTGACCTGGCGGATCATCCTCCCCAATGCTCTCATTCACTTTCTTCTTAAGGTTGTCTTCGAGTTGCTTTTTGATCTTCTCATGAGCTTGGTAGAAACCATTCATGTTGGTCTGGACGTCACTAAGCTCAATTGTACTACCGTTACTAATCTGCCCTGCCGCCTGTGTAATCGCCGTTTTGGCCGCAGCCCTGATCTGTTGTTCGGCGGTATCGTTGAAATTGGTAACTGCTTGGGGAAGCTTGTCGACTGCTTCTTGAAGTTGCTTTTTGACTTGAGTGAATTTGGTATGAAGCTCCTGAACCTCTGTCTTCACTCCGCCGATCGCAGTGTCCACGGCTTGGGCGGGGCTTCCGGGTTGGCCAGGAGGGATGCCGGGTCTGGTACTCGCATCGTCAAGCTGACTGTGAAGGTCCCGAGCAATCTTTAGAGCATTATCTATTTCCTCTGCAATGCTTTTTTTGTTGTTGGAGCCGTTGGTGCCCACCCTGGGGCCGAGAAGTAGAGATTCGATCTCCCCGGCGGCCCGCCTGGCTTTGGCTGCAATGGTGACAAGGATCGCTTCGACGGCGAATGTGAGAAAATTGTTGTCGGCATTTTGGCCGGGTGGATCCCCAACCTGCCCTACTATTCCAGAGACAAAGTTATTTGCATCACCACCAGGCTTAAGTTGCTCATCAAGCTTATCGGCGTATGCTATAAGAAATTTCTTGAGTTGTCTCAAATCCTCTGCAACTTGGCCGTTGGCTTTGACAGAATTCGGTCCACTTACCGTGTTATAAACGCCTTCCTTAAGCTTCCTCTTAGTCTGCTCCTTAATGATCAGACGCATTGTCTCTGCAGTGTTAGACGAACTGATTAAATGCTCCGTGTTATCCTCAATATACTTCTCAAACCACCTCTTAATTGGTTGCTTAACCGATTCCTTCACCTTATCAGTCTTCCCCAAAATCTTCTCAAGCCAGTCATCGATTGTCTTACTGTTCCCCATATTTGCGAAAACGTCCGTGACGTACTCCCTCACCGCACAAGCAACGCCCTTTATAGCTGAGCCCGTGTCTGTCCATTTACCATTTCCGTCGTTACTTCCCGCCTTCCCCTTAATCTCCCCAACCTTTCTTTGAATATACCCGAAAATGCCTTTAATGGATGTCTTCTCGTCTGCATCAGCAAACTTCCCGCCAAGCGCCCCAATCGCCGTGCCAACTGCACTGACCGCACTGTTAAGCGGAGTTTGGATCTGCTCCTCAAACTTGGCGTCAAGACCCTTCGTCAGAGTTTTAATTGTACCATTATCACCAGCAATCTTATCCAACTCATTTTGCCTTTTCTGTTTGAGCGCCTCCAACTGTCCACTAACAAGAGCACTTACTTTGTAATCACCATTTGTAAGATCACTAATCCTATCCCTCAACGTCACCAAATCACTCTTCACTTTATCACCCAAATCATTAACTCCCAATCTCTCAATCACCTCTTTAATCCCTTTCTTAATCTCCTCTCTCACTGTCATCAAATCCATCTTGAGATCTCCGTCCATGGCCACAACAGCCTTCAACGCCGATTTGACATTCTGCTCAACAGCCTCCTTGGCCTGCTTGGCAGCATTAAAAAGCTTATTACCCTTGTCTTGTAACTCTTGGGCATTCACATAAATATCACCGGATTTATTAACTTTCTTAAGTATCTCCTCACACTTCTGCTCCGCCTTGGTAATAACTTCCTTGGCGGCCTCACCCCACTTACCTAGAGCCGTGACTTCAGTGCCAAGTTCCTTATTTGCCTCTTTAATTGCCTTATCATTGCTCTCAATATCACTAATTCCCTGAATCATAGACTGACCATCTCCCAACCTATCATACAAATTGCGCCTTCCCAATCGCACGGCCAAGGACATCCTTGGCCTCAGCGTTCCAAGCATATAAATTGCTGTTAACATGACTACAATGCTAGATGGGAGGGGCGAATAAAGTGCTTTGAGAAAAGCGAAGAGGGGCTACTGAGCTGTGAAGTGGCGGCGAGGCGAGTCACTGGAGGACAGAGGTGGAGCAGGTGGAGGAGTCGGGGAGACGCCGATCAACAACCAAAGCAGCTAACGGCTGAGGTCACAAGCAAGGGGCGAGTTAACGAGGCAAGTAGATGACGAGTTAGGTGGTGGGCTAGGCAGTGAGTTAGGTGCTAGGCAAGGCAAGAGATACAGTCACCATGAGAGACGTGACATGGCAACACAAAGAGAGGGATGTAAGTGTAATATAGCTACGATAATTACTGTCACGAGTGAAAGTCGTCGTCGAAGTAGTCTACGTCCTTGTAGAGTGAGAGCATCCTGCGGCTTCCTGCGAGTAAAGCCTTGACGTCGATGAGATGGGAGGCCCTGGTGGTGAGGAGGTGCGAGCGTATGCGAAGCACGTCCATGCGGTAGAGGAGTGAGTGGAGAATGTAGACCGTGGCGGTGAGCCAGAGTGTGAATAGAGTGTAGATGAAAGGCTCCCGGATGCCGTAGAGGAATGTGTCCATGGCGGTCATGAGGCTTGCGATAGCCTCTCCGGCGACCACTTCCCTCAGCTTGGCGATGACCTTGGAACACGTGAGTGAGGACTGCAGTGTCCCGTCCGGTGGTGTGAACCCGTGAGTGTAGAGGAGGGGCATGGCATTGTCACACTGATGGAGTGATAAACACTTGGTACCATAATGCTTCTTCATGTCTATACTCAGCTTTTCCAGTGACTCCCACAGTCTGTCTGCCAGGTACACCGCCCAGCTGAGGTAGTGGTGGACGAAGGCCTTGGAGTACAGGGCGTAGGCCCGGTAGGTGATGGGCATCATATGTGGATGGCAAGGAGCATGATTTGTGCCGCAGCCAAGTAGTGTGGACAGGGTGTTGGGATGGTCCTTGTCGTGGATGGAGTTGGCGATGGGAGGGGCAGAGCCTCGGATGCCCTGGACGGCTCGGAGGTCGTCGGCAGCAAGAGAGTCCCAGTCAGGGCAGTGGTCATGCTGACTGGAGAGGGCGGAGCCCAGCTTAAACAACTGTGAAGGTGCATTGTGCAGTGAATTCCCGAAATTGTGGAAGAAAGACACAAGCTCCCCGGTTGTGCGCGGCGTCCGCCTGGTGAGGCAGTTGAGGTAAGAGGTCAATGTCAGCAGGGGATCCTCGCCGCCGCAGGTGGGAGAGAGGATGGTGTGAAGATGCTTGCCATATTTGGAGTCCTTAGAAAAATCCTCCTTTGTGAATCCCATGTTGACGCGGCTCTTGCGGCAGATGTTGCACGGGTCGAAGGGGTGAGTCTTGAAATTGGACTCCGGGGCGTCGGTCAGGAAGGCCTGGAGGGGGGACTTGGGAGATGATACATCACTGCCGTAATGACAATCCTGCCAACCGCCGTCCCTGGTGTTCCGAGAACACTGCGACTTTAGGAACGCCAACTGGTGGCAGCAGGCGTACACGTAGTCCCGCAGCTGGCAGAGGAGGCAGGCGGGGTCGGGGGAATAATGAAGCTTACGATATACTGAGTCGAACTTAAAATCTTTGAAAGCAATCTTGGAATCCTTATACTTCATCTTGAATAAAACGTTCGCCGCGTAGTGACACGCCTCGGTCAGGGTGTTGGAGACATGGGAAGCGTCCAGGTTGTAAGGTTCCCGGGTTACATAGATGGCATCTGGAGATTGTGAAACATCATTCTTGTACTCCCTCAAAAGGTCTGCAACATGCTTCTTAATAATCTCAACATACCCATATTGAGTCATCCCCACCAGCCAGCAGAGCATTTCCCTGACGGTCTTGGGAGGGGGCAGATTGTCGGAGTCTGGGGGCGGGGAGGGGGTTGGAGTTATCGTAGTGGAGGAGGAATCGGGGACGTACCAGGGGTTGCTGCAGAAGTTACTATTGAGATCATCCGGAGATTGGCCAGGGAATACGGCAAGGGGAATATTAATTTCTGCGCGACCGGATGATTTGTCAGAAAAAGCGTCTATAACCTTTAGCTTGGGGTCTCTGGGTTTCGGAATTTTGGGGACATGCTCATGATCATAGTCATTCAGAGAGTCTTGATGCAGAGGTTTACGGACTTCTATGTCGAATGTGCTGGAGACCTCCGTACCATCATTGTATTTGACAGTTGGGTCAGCGTTTTGGTATACTTTCTGGATGATGATCTCATGTTTATCATCAAGCGGGGGGACAGGAACCAATGCACTGTGGTGCACTGTAGCAATACGTGATGATTGAGGGCTGTGTGAAGCCGGAATTATGGTGAAGCCCGTCATCTGTGTATATGACGGCACTGTTTTCTTTTTAGGCTGTATTATCGAGGGATTAAATGATGCAACATCTATGAGAGGGGGGAGTATGGGAGGTGTCATGTCCACAGGCTTTTTTGTGGAATATCTTTGAACAACGGGAAGTGGTTTGTGTACTATTGGGACCACGTTCTCTACCACAGCATCACGTAGACTCTTATTCCTATGTTCCTCAAACCTCTGAATGTCCTTTTTGTAACGCTCCGCTGCTTCTTTTTGAAGTTTATGCTTTTCTTCGATGTCTTGTTGCGCTATCAAATTAAGCAAACCTTCATAGACTTCATTATCCGCCATGATACGATCCTTCCGTTTCTTCAACCTAGTGTCAGAATCGTCATCCACCGCTGCCCCATCCATATCAACTCTGAGATTGATCAAACCATCATCGGGAACAACTCCACCCCCCTGACCGGCATCCCTGCCCCGTGGATCAATTGGCAAACGCCCTTGACCATGTCTGTCATTTGGAGAAGGGGAAGGAACGGGTGCACTACGGCTGCGCTGACTTGAGTGGGGGGAAGGAATTTGGGATTGGAGAGTTTTAGAAGGTTTTGGTTTATAATCTGGCAATGCTTTCTTTTGGGATTCCCATATCTCTTCAGCAGCGTCTCGGGTTTTAGTAAACTTAAAGGGAGACGGCTTACGGATTGTACGTTTGGGGTCGCAGTACTCCTTGGGGTTGGTCCATAGCGTACTAAAGTTACTATCTTTACACTTTTTAGCCGGCGGAGGCCCCTTCCCACCAGTCCCTCCACTCCCACCGACACCTCCACCAGACGCCGGGGCAACCGGCGTGGTACCGCCGCTGCTTGAACCGTGACCGGAGCCTTGACTAACATCTTGACTACTTGGATGACCAGCCCCCTGTACACCAGTTGGCCCAGGGCCTGGACCTGTAACACCTGTATGCTGAGTAAGCACAGGGACTGGAGGTCCAACAGGCTGTTGACCAGAAACATCACCGCCCGGTGAACCCGGACCCTGGTCACCTGGCTTACCAGGGGAACCAGGGTCTGCAGGAAGAGTGGGAGGAGGCGGTGGAGGGGGAGGCTGTCGAGGGTCTTGAGTAGCAACTTGTTGAGTCTGAACAACATTTTGAACTGGTGAATCTGGAGTCAACGAAGACGCCGGAGTCACTGTAACAGTAGGCCCTTGCGGGTGTTGAACTCCGGTAGGCCCTGCCAGGCTTGTAACACCTTGATCAACGGCAGGCGGAGATGGAGCAAGATCCTTTACAACTGCCGAACCTGAAGGCTGATTTTCACTTCGACCATTATTATGATTTGGAGAACTCTCCACTTTCTTGCCCTGGTTCTGTGCTCCCTCAGATTTCTTGCCCTGGTTCTGCGCTCCATCGGATTTCTTGCCGTGATCTTCATCATCTTCTTTCTTCTCTGTTGGACACGCTTCACCTTCCAAAATTTGTTTAAGCCTTTCCAATCCTTCACGGTCTCTCCTAAGCGCTTCGATTACAGTGCGCCAATTATCATTCAGAATTGTACGCGGATTCATCCCGCTACCGAAATTATTTTTGTCAAATGTAAAGCCATATGGGAAGAGATTTATGGTGAAATAGCCTGTAAGATTATTCATTGTAATATCTGTTTCAATCTTATCCAAATTAGTCTTCACTTTAGCCAGATTCCCTCTCAACCATTTTGCAGTTTCTTTAGCGAACTCTTTTTCGCTAAGCCTATCACGGTTCCTTTTAAAGCCTGTAAAAGAGAAGACATTCGTCTTATAAATTGTGCCAATTTGTGATTGAAGCGTTTGACAATGATCTTTTAAGTCACTCCAACAAATACATTTTTTAACATCATCACCATTTAAACTCTCATCCAATTTCTGTTTTAGCTCACCGCCGGTCTCTGTGTCTCCTTCCGCAGCCACCATCTCACACAGGGAACTCACCAACGCCAGGGCGTTGGCTGTATTTGAGTCCTGGGTGCCGGAATTTCGGGGCAACACTGAAGTGGAGAAAACGTCGAGGAAATAATTTTGTATGTGTGGCACATGGGAATATTTTTCACAAATTTGTTCAAGGTCACCGGTCATTTGAGAACCCCGCCGACCACGTTTCAACTCGTTGTAACTGAATCCTCCGGGAATTACGCCATAATCTTTAGAACCTGATGAAGCAGTGAGATATTTCTGTATCTCAGTGGCCGCATATTGGCTATAAACAACCATCTGGTCCTTCCACTTCCCTCCGCCCAGCTTTCCGAACTTATGGTCCACCTGGTACCGCAGAAAGTACATCACGGCTAAGAACTTGGGAATGCATTCTAAAAGAGCATTTAGTGCGTCATTAGGGTTATTGCCGATCTTTTTCTTATCAGTCCTGCTGCACAATCTACTATGGAAATTGAACACGCTGCTAAGGAAAGTGGAGAGTGCTTTCTCAATTTCACGTTGATTAACAGTCTTGTATTTGCCTTTAAGGCGGTTAGACAGTTGAGTGGCCACATCAGTTTTCATACTACTCTGCTTATTATGATTCAACCACATCAAGAACTGGAGACACTGCTTGAGGGTGTTGAGCTGAATGCCATGCCCCGTCATCTTGCTTACAAAGACACTAAGCACAATGACACTAATAAATGGGCGCTAGGCTTATTGTACCAAAGTATATGTAAAAGCTTTTAGATGAGTTGACTAGGAGACACTAAAGCGATTAAACCTCTGAGGTGACGACACTGCTTCCAGATAACCAAGACACTCCCAAGTTGCTTGCAGAGGTATAATTGCTCTATTAATAGGCGACTCAGTGAAGGTGTTAGTGGCGGTTGGTGAGCCATTTTAGAGTCGCAAGAGGGGCGTGGTAGGAGGCCTCCGCCGCCTTAGTCCAGTGACAAGGTGGGATGTGGGCATCTGTTTTGGAAGTGACCGCAAGGCAACAAAGGGAGAAGGGACAAGGTAATGATGCGAGTAGGTTACATCATAGGTTGCGCTTAGGTGGGATAGGTAAGTTAGGCCAAGAGGCTTGTTGGCAAGAAAATTGGCGAGGCCTTGAGGGCTGTTGTGCAAATGGACACATCTCTTAAGACGGATTTGATGACAGTAAGAGATAATATTAAGAGAGACATTTGGAATAAGATTGTAGAGTTCAAAGTTGATAAATTGGATGATTTGGTGAAAAGGGATTTGGGGACGTTGAAGAAGAAGATCAGTGATCTTGCCAACGATGGTGGTGCGAAACTTGCTGAGAGTCATTTAAAATTGCTGCATGAGGCAAAGGAGAAGACAAGTAATTTGGATCCTGTTGTGGAGAAAATTCAGGACGAGACGAATGTTAATCTCGAAAAGAACTTTACTTCGCATATCCAAAATCCGCTTAGCACTAAAGTCCAAGCAGTTAACGAGGCGATTGGGACGCTTGGCGGGAATTTTAAGAATGGCGATATGAAGACATTTGCAGAGATTTTCGGGCATATTAAAAACAAGGTTGCGGCAATTAGGGGGACACCTAAGAAGGGTAGGCATAATGGCTCAGGCCTGGAGGGTATTGTCAGTGGACTGCAGAATTATGCTAGGGTTATTGGCCAGAATGTGGAGACAAGTACGGTGAGCGGCTGGGTGAGAGATATTGTAAATGGAAATGTGTTGGTTGGTGGATGGATTGAAGAGTATGTCACGGAAAACGGGAATAATTTTAAAGATAGGACATTGAGTAAGGATAATGAAAAGGCTGCAAAAGTGAAAACCGTCATACAGAATAAGATTCAAGAACTTGTTAAAGGCGTTAACCCGAAACCAACGGGCAAAAGTGGTATCGGTGAAACTTTGAAGGAGATTCATACGTTTCACGAAGCCGTCTCCAAAATGATTAAGACAGATCTTGATCCGAAAACTAAGGCCGACGAGATTGCAGGGAAGGTTAAGAGTGATGTGTATTATGCGGGGGAAAACACCAATGGGGAATTACTCCAAAGCGCAATCCGTCACACTCTCGCACAGCTTCCTGTGCTGGTAAAAAATTTCGACAATGAACTCAAGACATTCGCCGCTGAAGGAAACGCCGGATTTTCCAAGTTGGATGATGCGCTTAAAGTAACCAAGGATCTTGACAGTCAGCTTGGCGATGCGACTAACCCCAGCCAGCCCGATCCTTCTGGCCCTAATATTAGCCCCGCCCAAGTCGTGGACAAGAGGTTGGGGGAGGTGAGGAATGAGGTGGGGAGGTCTGAAAACAATTTTAGGGAAATTTTCATTAACTAACTCACCCAACGTATCACTCATCGTATTGCAATGTACTAGGAATGATTCACATACGGTATGATCTTAGATGGCTCCATTAGGTAATGCATACTATACGGGTAGATAGTATACGTCACGGATTTTTATAACACCAATGAAGCAATTTCAATGACCCAAATACCCTAAGCAAGAGACAAACAGCAGTTAAAGCGCTGTTCATTTGGCCTGGTTCAGGGTGGCATTTCGCTAGATACAGTTGGACTGATTGGCACATCACCGGTACGCATTTTGGAGCTATTGATGTAGGCTATACGACATAGAAACGCTTTTCTACTAGAGTCATTGATATATCAGGGTGACATTTAATAATGTTGTGATTCAGTGTTGGGTGCTGCATTGACTAGCTGACATATCATCTGTAGGTCCATGAGGGTGTTTTGAACCTCCAAGATTTATGAATAATGGCTGTAGGCAGATGAATTGGTGGCTCTATAAATATATGCGCGATGGCGAGGAAATAGCTTTTGCAGGTGGATCGCCACCGTGTATACCGCCATCATGTACAGATGTGTGGTATCCCGCAGTGGCTTCTTTGAGGGGTTTACAGGTGGATGCTTATTAACCATGACAACGTTAACAATGCTTTTGTATGGGACATTAATCGCTTAAACCCTCGAATTCCTGGAAGGATTAGCGGCTCATATCCCAACTGATACACGATTCTGGGTTAGTTGTTCATTGCTTTTGAAGTGTTGATTGTTAAGTGAGCTGAGGGAAGATGAGTGGCCCTGTAATATAGTGGGGTGTACTCGCCCTTATACTCTTCGCGTTGTCACTCGGCCTTACTGTTTAGCTCTATAAGACGAAGTCATCCGCTTACACCATAGGCCAATTGTTCTCCGAGTGGACAGGGTACTCTTCCACGTACTCCAGCCTTGGAAGCAAAAGTCTCTCTTAGCTAAGCCATTCTTGGAGGAACATTGACAATGACACATCGTAATGAACATGTAGTATCACACAACTTTAATGATTGACTTGCTTTATCTTTACGGTGTGGAAGAAGTAACGGTCTCTAATTAGTGTCTAACAGACGTAAATGATCATAAATGCATATTAATTAACAATAGACATTGGAGTATACCCGAAAATGAGCTTCAGAAAAACTAATGTTTATTGTTGCAATGATAACGACGATTTGCCTTGTGCGTCAAAGCCACATGAAACCTGCTTCACAAAAAATGCTGATTATGAAAAATGACGTGTTATACAATAAAGCTCCATAATTAAAAACTCAAGTTGTCTTACGATGTGTTTGTGCAGTGTCACACCACTGCCGTCCACCTGCAAGCGGGAGCAATGCAGAGACTTTAATCCCTATCCCTCCAGAACAAAGTAACAAACTAACGGAGTGCGGCGCTTGCCTGGTAAACACGAAAACTGGCCCTAGGCCACACGTAGCCACATAGCACACTAAACAAAGTCAAAACAAGGATAAACCAATGGAAGTTTTGAATTATGTTTTAAGGTAGCAGCATAGCCATGGCTTTCAGTTGTCAAGGCCTTAACGTTGGTGCCAATGCAACAACATGTTTTTGTGTTACGGTTGCTGCATCTAACTTGTGCGAATGGCCACAAACCCATATAATAGGGTGGATTATAATACAGTCGCATCACACCCTTGTGGTCCACGTTGTGCTGTCGGAATGAGGAATGTGTGCTATGACAATTTGGTGACTCGCTCACATCTCAAAATATCGGCAATGAGCTTTACATGATACAATGAACACTACGTAAAATATAGCACCTTAGTTTAGCAGCTGCATTAATGTCGATAACTAACCACTCTGTCAGTGGATGACTTTTAGGCCACCGTTGGGGAGCAAACAAGGATGACCTCAGCGGCTCCGTATCTGTTTGCAGATCACCAGATCTGTTGCTCCTTGAGCTAGATTGAGACGTTTAGTAATTGTGAAGTGCGGGCTCTGACGTATCACCGCGCTCAGGCAGACAGCTTACTGCTTGGTGGGAGGAGTGAGGGAAAATGCTTCACAGTAGGATGCTGAAAATCGTAAAGGCAATGGCGTTGGAAACTATCTTAATTGCAGAATTTGGTGGATAGCACTCGGCCACCATAATTTCAATAAGCGGTTCGGCATCAGTGTGGCTGGGATGTGAGACGTAATGCCAGGATGCGTAGTTACGTCTTAACAGCATGAATACACGGGAGATATATGTGTGCACGGGATTGTTTCCATTGTTTGACCAAATTCGGCAGTTAATTGAATTGATGGGTGCTTTGGAGCCATTGTCACAATGCCCCTACCAGGTGAGAGTTGAGTTGCAGAGTATGCTAGCCAGCGTTTTAAAAAGATTCTGCTTGGTACGTGATGTAGCGTTAAGGAGTGAAAGCATCGCTCATCATTTAATCATTAGGTTGAGAATACGTGAGATATTTACCTAGAAGTGCCCGGTATACAAGGGTGCGGTTACCAACGTTGACGTGACTTGGTAGTACCTTTGAATAGATGCTTCAACGACTTCCTAATACATGTTTTGCATCATGGGTTTGTGCTAAATGTCGGTTATTACATGACAAAATGTTTCCGCATGCTTGTAACCAATGCTACGGGTGGCCTCCAACGCATCACAGTAACCACATTACAACCGCTTCACACCGACACTCAGGGCAACGGAAAAGAACGCGATGCAGATTTTGCCTCTGCAACATGTAGCATTTAAACGTAGGAGAACAAAGCGTTACACGTATTACGAAGCCTTGCGGCTATTAAGGTTGCAACGCCGGCCATGGATTTGTGGCACCAAAAGGACGGTCAAAAATGGCCACACGAAGCAAGTTAGACAAGCAAGAAGTCTACGAAGGGGGATGGAAGGTCATCAGGTGAATGGCGAAACGTGAAGATGAAGCTCAATGATCTGTTTAACTGCTCAAAAAGGACACTCCCCTATCCGTTTGCTCGATCAAATCACTAGTATCGCGGCCAAGAGTGACGAGATAAATCGGAATACTCGAGCATTATGTTAGGATATAACCAGATGTATCTTCAGGCACCAGCTTCTAGCACAGCTAGGAGGCGAACTGAGGACAACCTTGTCCATACCATCACGGAGCATAACACTGTTAAGTTATAACTAGCACATACGCTATGCCCGTGAATTCGCCTACTTTCTCCATAGCCAAATGCGGAACCACCGATTTGTACCTGTTTGAGTGCAAATGATGCTACTAATATAGTCTGGCTATGGACTACGCGTTACACATTCACGTAGACACCGGTTGTTCGTTTCCTCGCATTGCCAACGTTTTGGCGGAAGCAATATATACGATCATATTGATAAGATCAAATTAAACTGTTACTATGGCTTATAACACAAAAATTTTGCATTATATATTTCCACTGGAGTCACTTCGCATCCGCCGTTTGGGCCACACACATTCCGTCCAGCTGTGGCTTCTGCTTCTCCTTACAGCCATTATGCAATGCAGCTGCGGTATTTTAGTATTGTAAATGACAGTAGCTGGCGTCTGTTACTGAAGGTGAGCGGGATATGCTTTTCGCCTAGACTACTTCCAGGGCCTACCTTTCGACGCGACTACTGAAGAAGTTCGCGCACTATTCGCCAACAACGGAAGCGTGAAATCCGTAACGCTTGTAAGAAGTCGGTTAAACCGTCATATGTATATTAACCACCCGCAGAGGGCGCAGAACCGACGGGTAGTGCAATCGTACGCTTCGCGTCCGAAGTTGAGGCTGTTCGAGCTCTTAAGGATTTCCGAGACGTTTATGTACGCAAGAGGTTGGTTATTGAGCCATACGGCAGTGCTACATTGTATGTAATGTGTTAGTTTAGGCGTCATTTGCTACCGTTGTGCTACGTGATGCGCTTCAATCGTCGTATTTCCGTCAATATAGGACTCCGTTATCAGCCGTATGATGCGTTCGAATATAAAATGTTACAACAAGTTTTGCATTTACATATGCAACTTTCGACGAATATCCTCACGACTGTGCAGGAAAATCGAGGCAATCCTAGACTTCACGGAATTTACTCAGCGCATCCAGCGTGTCCACAAGCCTATTGCCGTTGATCGTTTCCGCTTGCCTTTGCGTTTCTTTTGAGGATATATCGCATTGACATCCCAACTATCGCAGAGCGCTTTGGTTAACGCGCTGCACATTCGTTGTATTTTGTTACATACAAGGTCTAATCGTATTTAAGAATGCGCTTCCCAGTTGGTGGCCTGAGTAGGCCCATTTTCACCAGTTCACCTTTGGGACGACCAAATATCGCCTCTGTTCCAGCGTATCCGGATAGGCTATTTCTGAGGACCTCATGCACACATTCTCACCAATGCGTTGTGGGCAATCACATTCAAGCCAATCGTTCTTTGGATCGCTGTTTCTCTTCCGCCGGCGTCTATTTTCACGTGCGTTCGGCATACAGCGGGTTCTACGCGACGTCGACGTATCTGCCTGCTGAGAGTATTCGCCGCGGCACTGGGCGTCACTTCTCGTCGTTTTCTGGGAGCTCTCTGAAGGCTGGCATGATTTTCCTACACGGAGGTATTGCATTTCCCCGTCGCATTTAATATGAAATAGACAAATATTGTGAAGTTATCTCGAACCGTCAAGTTAAGCAAGGCCGCGGTTCTGCCTCCATACAGGTTGAGTATGTTGAGCTGAGCAGCAAGAAACAGATGACGCTAAATTTGCCCATCGGCGCCAAGGTAGACAAGATAGATGTCGATCGTCAGAGCGCCCTGGTGCAATACTTGGACGAGGACACCCGTGAGATTGTGGTTTCTGACCAGAACTACGAGGACACCCGTATCCCCGCCGGCCTGGTGGGCGACGGCGCCAAGTTGTTGGAGCCCGGGGACGAGCTGCAGGTGTTTTACCACGACCGAACAATCGTGAAGGTGGGACTTCCTAACAACGTGCAATCTAAGCTGAAGTGAGTTTTCAGTTGCGATTTATGTGCTCATGACTGTTTCAGGAAGAAGTAATACGATGGATACCGTTTGCGGCTTTCGGCAAATTTCACCACGACGGGCTCACTGACCATCCCATGCATTCTGTAAAAGAGTATTTGGCGTCTGAAGTGCCGGCAATAGTAGCCAACATACTGCGCGGGCCAACATCGCACAATTCGTTCGCCGGTATGTAACAGCAAACTCTCTTTATTTAATGATAACATATATCAACGGCAATACACCTATGTGATCAGAAGCTATCTGCACATCCACTTGCCCCGCCTACGCAAAAGCTGTGTCCCTTGTTAGACAATGGCTGGTGGCTGGATGTGTATCCGACGGAATTGACGCCAGCCATACTATTTTTTCTTCTACACCTGCTCATAGAAAGGCACAGAATTCCATAATTGAGCGTTCTATTTAGAATCGCCTGCCTTGAGGGCATTTGAGTCTATTGTCGAGTTCCGCACAAATGTGTAAATGGTGCGAGGTCGCATAATCGAAAGCCCACGGATGCCCAGAATCATAATTTAAAATTGTATATCGCATAACACATTCAATAGTACTGCTGTGGCGCCATTAGAACCGGCGTTCTGCTCCGCACAGTGCTGGTGACGCCGTCGTACTCGGCCATGAGGAACTTCCTGGGTAGCTTGCTACCAGGTAGTGGCAACGCTGCCCCTAAGAGTGACCCGGCGAAGGTCGATGGTGGTCATCACCCGGTGTATCAGTTCAAGCTGGTGGTTTTGGGCGACACGTCGGTCGGTAAGAGCTGTCTAGTTGGCCGCTTCGTGAAGAACACGTTTTTGGAGTTCCAGGAATCTACAATCGGCGCCGCTTTCATGACGCAGAGCGTGAAGTTTGATGACTACACTGTGAAATTCGAGATTTGGGATACTGCCGGGTGCGTGTTTTTTCGCAAAGTGTTGACATTTGTTGCAGGCAGGAGCGCTACCGTACCCTGGCCCCGATGTACTACCGTGGCTCAGCTGCCGCCATAATAGTGTACGACATTACGCTAAAGGAGTCGTTCCATCAGGCCAAAGGGTGGATCCAGGAGCTGCAGTCGTACGTTGACCCTAACATCGTGTTGGCACTTGCTGGCAACAAGCTCGATCTGGAGGCGTCCCGTGAGGTGCCCCGCGAAGTTGCGGAAGAGTTTGCCAACGCTAACAACTGCCTGTTTATGGAAACGTCGGCCAAGAGCGGCCACCTGGTGCAGGAGCTGTTTACCGAGATAGCGAAAATAATTCCCAAGGGCAAGCGCATCCACGACTTCCACGAGGGCTTCAAGATCGACACCGGCTCGTCGCTGCCGAAGATAAACTGCTGCGGGAAGTGATTACTGCCGAGCGTTCTATCGCACTATTTTTTGATGCACATTTGCGAGCTATTTATGAGCGGTCTGGGAAACGCAGTTTGGTGGAGAATCGCATTTGCAACAGCAGCCCCAAGCCAAGCTTCGCGATTGTGCACACATATACTGGGAGGCCAATGTGCGGCACTTTGAAAAATTGCCGATTTGGCTGCCGCTATTTGTTATGCTGCTGATTAGATGGACAACGCCTTGGACTTACGCTGCATGAAAACCCAAGAAAAGGGACGATTAATTTGACATACGCTGTTCAATCTATAATCTATACGTATTGATTCATACACAGTGCCCCATTTGCGATTGTGCACGCCCAGTCTGGCAGTGGTAGTGCCGGTAGTACTGCTCCTCGATGTCGTGCAGCTCCGGGGCGCATATTACCAAGGAGTGCAGCGGTGCTCCGAAAAAAACTCCTTTAAGCTGTGCCAACGTTCCTACGAGGCTTGAGTAGAATCGGTAAAATTCGTACCTGCTACGATTTGCGCCGTTTTTGACCCAAGCCTTGCCACCCCAAACGCAAGTGTCGTAGCGCCGATCTCGCGCCTGATCTCGTCCACGAGCAGTATTTGCTCTATCGCCATATTCACAGTCATGTATCTGCGGCATGTATCCAGTAGACAATGTGACTCACCGAGGCGGCTCAAAAATCATACGATTGGCCATGAGGTTCTCCACCGATCGCTCTTTGACCTTGATATCTGCGACTCTTAAGGGCAGTAATGGCCATACTTACCAAGAAGGCAGAGCGTGTGCAGATTGGCACGCCTGTTATGGGCTATTTTGTCGTAGAAGCTGTCAGGCGTCCAGTTCTTCTCGAACATCGGTATGGAGACGATTTCACCAAAGCGGTAGAGCTGCAACCCAGTCCTGCCAACCGCGTTGATGATACTCGCGTTATGTATGACTTCTACTTGCACGCCTGCATTTTCCGCTCTTATGCAGAGGTCAGAGTGCGTCGTGGCGCTACGGCAGTGTTACAGCGGTTCACCAGATACGTGGGTAAGAACATACGCAGATCGCTTACACGCATAAAAGATTCACTTACAGCACTTTCGAAACAACTTGTACAAGGTACCACCCGAGCTAGCGCTGTTGCACATGGGCATTATAAGCATGCAAGAGCCGACAACTGTAAAACGACATCGCTACCACTGGGGGCAACCCCAAATCAGCCATTAAGGTAGCGACACAGAATTCAACGTTGCAGTAACTCACCTAAGAGGGTCTCCTGCAACCAATAGTACCACATGCCTGTCTTGTGCATGCTGTATGATCTTTTCCGCCTGGTCTTCTACGCTGATCCTGTCTGCCTCGATCACCGGTTTGCCGAAGAAGGACTCCTAATATCAGATGTTGAATCAATAAAATCCGCCTACCAATTGCTCCTTCGTGCTATCGATGAGCGCAGAGGTGTATATTTCCAGGTATACCAGGTCCGCAGCCTTGACGGCCTCGAGCCCCCTGAGTGTGATGTCCTTTATGGCTCCCAACCCGAGTCCGACGAGTGTGAGCGTCATTTCGCGTTATCTGTGTCGTTAATTATCACCGTTTCGGCGCTCATGTGATGTGTATGTCGGCCGCATGGTGTGCGGCTGACGGGCCCACGTGGCTCCGTGGATTCTGTATTGCTTTCTGCTTCGTCATGCTAGCAACAGCATGAGTAGTTGCAAGTTCAATTTTCGTCATCTCTTTTTATCCGTCGTGTCCGTTTGTCTTGCCACGATGAGCGGCCTCGGCGCTTACGATACGGAGACTCTGCTCCAGGAGGTCAGGCGCCGCTACAACTGCCTGAGCAAGCCGGAAGGTAACTTCATCTTCATGGGAGCTCCAGGCTCTGGCAAGGTTCGTGATTCTTTCGGTTTTATTGCGTGTTCGGGCCACTTCGGGGCGTGCGTCGCCCCGGCGTCCGTTAATGCGCTGCGCATTTGAATTGTCAGCTTCTGTGTGAACGCTCAAAATTTGCAGGGCACTCAATCTTTGGCTCTCCGTGACTCCCACTGCTACTGCCACCTGTCGACCGGCGACATCTTGCGTGCCGCTGTCAGCAGCGGCGACCCCGTGGGTCTCCAGGCCAAGGAATTCATGAATAAGGGCATGCTGGTTCCCGACGAGATCGTGATAAAGCTGATTGAAGGCAAGATAAATTCGTTTGAGTGCCGTCGCGGTTTTATTTTGGACGGATTCCCGCGCACTGAGGGTCAGGCCGAAGGTCTGAGGTCGATGTTGTCGACGATCGGCAAGAAGCTGAACTCTGTGCTGCTGTTGGAATGCCCTGACGACGAGATCGAGAGGCGCATTAGCGGCCGTCTCGTTCATCTGCCGTCTGGCCGCGTGTACCACAAGACGAACAAGCCCCCGAAGGTGCCCATGCTCGACGACATCACCAACGAACCGCTGACCCAGCGCAAGGACGACACCCCCGAAATCATTCGCACCCGACTGGAAGCCTACTACAAGCAGACTTCGCCTCTGATCAGCTACTACGACAAGCTGGGTCTGCTGCGTCGCGTCAACGCCAACCGTCGCGAGGAGGATGTCAAAGCGGTGAGTGGCCTGTCTGTGCCCTTTGTTCGTACGGAAAGTGTTATGTGCTCACTATAAGTGACATTACGTGTGCATTTCACAACTTGATGACATTTTACACCATGCGCAGGACATCGACGCAATCGTCGAGCAGACTGGCACCAGACCCCAGTAGGTCTAGCGCCGCGCCCTTCTCCTTCCTGGCACATTGCACCCCTCCATAGTTGCAATCATACATAGCCTAACCAACATTTACTAACGTCTTTTGCGCGTTGTAACAGTTGTTTTAAGCGCGTAGCGCGATGGGCGGTCGGTCATGAGACCTCTTGCCAGCCGTGGAGACGGGCTGCCCGCATCTCCTCGATTGACTCCATGTCAGCTTCGTGCAGGAGCTTCGTGTTGAGTAGAGTGGGTGGCGGTATGAACAAAGGCGCGACCCCGGAAGCTCTGTATATTTGCGTATCCACGGCCTTGGGCGTGTCGCCTGGTGTCGTCACGCCCGTCCTTCCGCTTTCGACAGGCAAGTATGGACTCTGGTACGCTCCCTGTGGTGATCTGGGTGATAGCTCAGACAGTATCGGTGAGCTGCCAGCCCCCGACACCGTGCTAGTATCGGTCTGAGGCGCATCGGCGAACCCAGGCTTCGGCGTATGGAGATCTTGCCGTGGCCCGCTAAACCCTTTCGCATCGCTGAAGCCACCTGACATCGAAAACCCGCTTGGTGCATCGCTGAATCCTCCCACCCTGCGGAACCCGTGGGGATCGGCGGGGTCGCTACGCGCGGCAGTATTGACCGCCGCCGGAATTGGCCCGTCACTGAATCCCTTAGGCGCAGATGTGAATCCCAGAGAGCCTGTGCCAATAGATAAGGATCGCACCACCATCGGCCGCGAGGTGCCTCTGGCGTCGGAGAACCCGCCGGCACTTGGGGCTTCTATCGGTACACCGGTGGGCCCGAGGATAAGCGGCCCCGTACCCGAGGGTGCGAAGCCCTTCTGCCGCGCCATTTCGTCGTGAGGTTGATATGCGCCAGTTCCTAAACCACCGGAAAACCTCCGAGGGCGCCTCTCCTCTTGGCCGCCGGCGTGATATGGTCCAGCTGACCCTCCCTGCCTGCGAGGTTGTCCATCTTGCCCGTATGTCGGCACCTGAGTGGCGGCGCTAGCATAAAGATTTTGCCCAATGGGGTACTGCTTGGGTGTCACGTAAGTTTCGTGCGGTGCAGTAAATCCCGGGAAGTATACGTTGCCCGCCGAGAGCTGCGCGAGGAACTGCTCGGGCGTCGGCGCCGTCATCACCACCGCCCAGCTGATCCTCTGCTGTTTGCAAGTGTCTATGTCTCCCATTTTCTTCTGATGCTTCAGCTGGTGTTCCTCTATGGCCTCATAGGGCACTCCTTGCATTCCTTGAACAATAGAGCTGATGTTGTCTCTGCCCTCGAGGGCGAACGGCACCTTGCGTTGTACGACCTTGTGCACCTACGTGTCGCATTAGCTAGCGCATAAACATTAATCTGCGACTGCACTACGGCTGGGTATTAGCTAAAAGTCATAAACCCAAGTCGGCGACCGGGGCTCTGCTGTTGCCGGTCGTACAACGCTATCCGCTGTCATAGCTCCGAGCTATACCACGAGCACAACATACAGCTAAGACGGGTCGGATATCCCGCAAATGGAATCCGGAGTGCAATTATAAACATTAACGTGCCAGGCGGCCAAGACATACTAGACCGCGGCTGTTAAACATACCTGCTGCATATGCACGGCGAGACCGTTCGCTGTTTCTAGCTTGCGATTACATTCTCCACATTTAAAATGCTTGGCCTTTTGGTGCATAATAAGGACCTTTTCATCGTCGAACTCGCGGTTGCAGAAGTAGCAGAACGGCTTCAGCATCCGTCGCTTCCTGCTTTTCCTTCCCATTGTTCCACGCGCATCACCCTTTATTTATTGTTGCGATCGGAAACCGGAAGGTACTGATTCTGAGCGTTCTTGGCGCGTTGCGTCCGCGCCCCAATACGTAGTGTCTTGATGCGTGATTCCACGGCTATTCTTGCACTTGCTCAACACACGACAAGCCGTAAGTCATCATCGGTCATGTGTTAGCGGTGCTTAATTACTTGGAAGCGGAAGCTGACGTCTTAGCTCCTCTTCCTCCGGGTGCCGGGCGGCATTCTGCCTTCTTCCATGTGTGCAGCTCTGCCGACAGTATCGCACCGATACGGTAACCAGACGCATCTACAAGGTGTCAGGGATGTGTAATAGACATGTCTATGCGGATTTGGATGATTTTAGGGTGCATGTTCCGGTCGTGACATAAGGTCCCTGCACCTACAATGTTTGCTATTATGCATCGCCATTTGGCTGCTACCGAAATTCGGTATTTCAGGGCTCTAAAGTGGAGCTACATATCGCATCTAGCATCGTATCACGTTCCTATATTGCGGCGAGGGTCAAGTTCATTTCCTGTGGTCGCAGGTTTTTCCTCGGTCCGCAGTCGCAAGCAACAATCCGCGGCCTCGGATTCTGCGCCAACGACGGATGCTACTCATATTTCACAACACAATGTGACGGCTAATGTGTCTGTTAAATCAGATTCCTCTGTGCCTGTTTGGTGAGTCTCATCCAGTTGTCTATAATGCTGTTTGCAGCGACCTGCAATCGTCACTGGAGTCTATGATCTGCGATGTCCGCCAGCGTCGTAAAATACGCGACCGACCCGTGTTTTTGACCGTGCTATCGCAACCGTCCACAGCGTTGGTGGACCTGCTGTTCGCTATCTTCAAGCATGGTGGCGCCGCGGTCTCGGTGCTTCCCGTCTGCTTCTCGCTATTGCGCAGCCGGCTTGCTACCAGTGAGCCTACGTGTTTCGAGAAGCATATAGTGGACAACTGGAGGTCTATGATAGTCGAATCTCGCAGCGATATCGTGTTGACCACGCGGGACTACTATTCGCTGCTGTCGCCGATATGCCGAGAGCTGACCGTGCCCCTGCACGTCCTGGTTCGGGCTCCAGCCATAATATCGGCAGCTGAATTCGATTCAGCTATGCGCGCCGGCCACGGCTACATCGATCTTCTGGATACCCCTAAGGCCGGTTCCAAGATTACTCCAGACGTGTCGCAGTTGTTCGGCAACGGTGACCGTGAATGGTCCTTGCTGCACGTGTTCTCGGAAGTCGGCTCGTGCAACGGAAAGGTCGTAGCTCACACGAAGGCAACTTTGGATGCAGAGCGGGAACGTGTCAGGAACGTGATTTCTATCGCTCCGAACGACCAGGTGCTGAACTGCCTCTTTCCGCACGAATACGGTTTCACGATGTACGGAGTGTTGCAACCCTTATACGCCGGAGCCAGGGCACACTACCCTCTAATAGTGCCATCTGCAACTCGCTACACGTCCTTGAAGCCGCAATTCCCACTCACGCTTCGCCGTGACCTTCGTGAGACGGTGACCCTCTCTCTGGCGCAGTCGGTCTTCGAGTATGTTCGCTCCAATGGCTGCAAACCGACCGTCCTTCTCTGCGGCTCAGAAATGTTGAGGTATGCCTTTACAACCTTAAAGCGGTCTCATCGGTCATCAGGTACCTCCTGGAGTTCATAACTTGCGGGGAGCTTTCGGCGCCGGAGCGCCGTTCGTACCTCGGACACTGGGTCAATGTGGACCGTATTTACGTATTCGAGGACGCGTCGCAGTTGCGTTCCGGATCACTGCATGAGACTGTTGCTGCATTTTTAAAGGCGACCTCACTGTCAGCATCCGTGACCCAGCTGTACACGCTACCCGAGGTTGGCTTAGTGGCACATATGAACCTGCGTGACCCCGAGGCTACCCCCGTTGCCCTGCCAGGTTAGTAACCCGCCTTGATAATTGCAACGCGACAGTTCATGCCAGCATTCATATGCACACAGATTGCAATATCATTAACGAAGGTTCTCAATTCATAATAGCCGCTAGAACCGGCTCTCTATTCCAGGTGTGTTTTAAGCATAAGTGTATTTACGTTTACATAGACATATTTGGGCCGTCCGTATGCGACAAAGTCCGCATTAGTGAATGGCGAATTGCGCCTAAAGTTCCAGACGCCCGTTGAATCCACTCCTCTGCTGCCTCGTCACTTGGAGTACGTGACGTACTTCAAACGTCGACGGGAGCGCATGTCGCGCTATCCGCAGGGATACATAAAGCAGGTGCCCGTGCGCACTCAGTTTTGGGGCAACTACACTGGTCGTAAGCGGCACCCCTCGGTACTATAGGACGGTGCATAGCTGCTCCAAGGCCCTCGTGATGAGCCTGCGTTTTTCTTGCGACGCGGTGTGGATGCTGGTCTCATATGGCGATTCCAGAATAATCAAACATTCCTCATCTACTATAATTTCCATGGGGTATCCATTTGTCGGGTTGCGTAGTTCACAATGACCTAGTCCCAACATCCTCAGCCTCTCGATCAGTTGCATTGGAGTGAATGTGCCGAAGGTGAACCTGGGTTCGTCGTCAGGCACGTTGATCGGCGTAGCCTGCTGCAACTCTCCATCCGCAACCGTGATGTGAACGGGCACAGCTCCCGACCCTCTTACCATAGGCCTCATTCTGGCCAGAGCTCGACTGATATGTTCCGCCCTAGTATCGGTGCTCAGCAGCCCGGACGGCCCAGCGATTGGCATTCTAACATTGTCCCCAGGTATCAACTTGAGAGAATGTGGCATCCGCCCCTTCATATTTTTGGATACTATTATCTGGCACTTGGTGCCCAGCATCAGCGCCAGGTGCTCCGGCAGCACTCTGAAGTCGAGTGTGACGTTCATTATCCGAGCTTGTATCCCCATTTCAGTCGCCAGGTGAAGCAATTCGTCACTATAATGTACAGTGGTGGCTATCATCGTGGCGCCCGCGTGCATCCTTCCTGCGAGGTAGGGTATGGTCGCCTGGTCGTACGTGGCCACGACGATTGAGGGGTACCTGTATACGTCCCTAATATCATCCGTGGTGTTCCCAATGAACAACCTATTTCCTTCCCTCATTTCTGCGAGGACTGTAAATGGCGAAGTTGGATTCTCATGATGCATAGTTCTGTCCGCCCTGCGCGGCTCGACCCACTCGGCGCACTTGTCAGCGTAGTTGAGAATGTTCACCATACCCTCTCCCAGTGCATAAATCAGCACCCGTTCGTGATGCTTTAGGTATTTTTGCATGTATAACTCCAGATGTTCCAGCAGATCCAATATTGTCTCCCCATAGGGGTCGGCCACAATGACCACTCCTTCTGCATTCTGCAACCCCTCCAATGCCTGTTTGCATAGGTTATCCAGTTGTGCATTCTGCAGGTCATCCCTTTGCCTTTTAATATCTCTCCTGAGGTGCGGATCCATTTTGAAATGCTGCAGCAAATTGCGCGCCGCCACGGCGTTATCCAGCAGCACCAGCATATCGGCCTTGTAGACGAAAGACAAATCCGGGGGTTTGCAATACCTATTGTACTCAATTTCTCCAGTCTCTCCGATAAGCCCGACGCGAGTGAATGTTTCTGCGTGGGTAATCGTCCAGTTGCTGGACCCGAGTGAGAATCCGCTGCTGAAGGCGCACAGCTCGATGGTGGCCTTAAAAATGAGCCGACTCCTGTCAAAGAAAGCTTCCATGCTGCGGCTTCTGTCGCCTCTCCTGTTTCTCTTATAAACCGAGGCGCCATCGATTACAATAGTGACTATCTCATTGTAGGAGACCGCGTGTAACAACTGTGTGTTTGGCAGATTAGGGTCCTTCAGCATGGGTTGTTCCACAACGTCATTGTACCTGCCACCTCTACCGTTGAAACGCTCTTCTTGCGTATTTTGTTCACCGAATGGCATATGTCCGCTGTGGCTGCTGGGTGTGTTGAACCATGCCTCCAGTGGCGTCGGCCTGTCCATCCCCTTGGTGCTGGCCGACGCCAACACCTGTATCTTTTCCCTTATGAGCGCCTTCCTCACTGAATAAGCCAAAGCATCCTTTGCCTCTTGCGAATTAAGGCGTGACGTTTGAGTTTCCGGCACCCCGTGCCGCATAATCTGATCCACCCTTCGCGTGTTGTCGTCGCCCCTCCCGCCATTGATCGGCAGCATATGTCCAACCGATTCCAGTGTGAGCCACGTGCGATTTTCTCCCTCAACACCATTATATCCTTCGTATGGTTGCACGTATTCCTCATAATCATCCTCGTCGTCATCATAGTACATTTCTCGTAGTGCGGACCTCGGTGTCTCCTGGTAGTCGAGCCCTCCGTTCCTCCCCTGGACGGACGCCCTAGTGTTGCGATAGTTTTGTTGGACATTCTTAACATCCGTGGCTATGGCTGCTATAGGACTGTCGTCGACGGTTCTGGGCGCTGCGAGGCTGGCTATGGTGTATACCGGCCTGGTGCATACGATATGGGTCGAGCTGAGGTCGTAGAACTTGCGCAGCGTGTCCAGCCCATCCAGACCACGCGGCGTTGTTACGACGATGATGTGGATGTTCAAACAAAGCAGCTTTGCGTAAAGTTCTTGGTTGTGGTAGCCCTTGCTGTGGCAGAAGTATGATTGCTTGAGTTCCCTCTTGCACTGCTTTAGCAGGCGTGTGGGCAGGTTACAGAGTACATTGACGCCTCCTATCTCCACCAGCCTGCTGCTGCAGTCCGTACAGTCGCAGATAACGCGGACTTCCATGTTGCGCACGCGGTTATGTGTTCACGTGTGGAAACGAGGCCGCCGGCGATGTCGCTGCCGACCCAGTTATCATGGTGCTCGAACCTGGTTCGACTGCATTTTGTAATGTTGCTAAATGATCCTGAGGCGTTTTTGTGGGCGGTGACAGCTCTTCCCGTATGCGTGGGCGTCTGTTGTGGTTGCGTGGTTGGGGGAGCCCCTGCACACTTCAACAGGCAATTCACGCATGGGTCATGAGGCCGGACGCGGAAGATTGGGCTTGGTGACAGCTATCGTCAAAATTGATAATTTTTTGTTGCGTTTTCGCGCAGATATTGATCGTGGACGAAATTAGACAAGTTGCCTGGAACCCCGCTGTTTGGCTAGGAAGGAATATGGTGTGGTTATTTTGCGTTTGTGTGATGTCTGGCACACTTTACCCACGTTAGATTGCATCGTCTATCGGCTAGCGCAGCCTTCTTATCCTCAGTGTAGCCCCGCCGTTACGATGTGTTTGTGTCTTGGCAGCGGCGTGGGGGAGCGTCATCGTCCTTTCGCCTCTATAATTTCCCGTGCGTATAAAATTAGCGGCACCGCAACCTTCACATTATATCACACGTCGGTGTGGGCCTATTAGTTTCCGGTGTAACACACGCCCGCTCCGCCAGCGCCGCCTCGGTTTGCTTAGCCATCGGCTGGCGGCCGCTGCCGATCTAAAACCGCCATCTCTCGGCACCTATCGCATATTAAACCGTCGCCAAGATGTATGGTGACGGGAGTGACTATTCGAACCTCGACTTCCTCAACTTCATCCCCCAGGCCGACTCCGATGATGACGAGCCGGCCGCTCTGCTCCCCTCGCAGGCGTCCACTGCGCTCTACCCACCAATCGGCGTTGATATTGCCGCTACGCAGACCATATGTACCTTAGATGACAACGCGCTGGCGCTGCTTGACGCCTCTGCGTGCGTGAAGAGCGGTGACGTGTTAGACAAGGTGACGCAGTATTCCTACTACCTCCGATCAAGCTTTGACCGTGAGTTTTGACCGTAACGCCGTGTGTGTAATGTTACTCAGCTGCGTGTAGCGATGCGCCGGTTATCCAGAACATCGTGGCGTCAGCTCATGTGGGATGCGAGGTCGATTTGCGCGAGATCGCAATTTCGACCCGCAACGCGGAGTACAACCCCCGGAAGTTCAACGCGTTGATAACGCGTATGCGCAACCCGCGTTGCACCGGCCTGGTATTCCGCACCGGTCGTGTGATGGTAACTGGTATGTTGAACTAGATGTGATTCTATGGCACTTCGCAGGCTGCAAGACGGTGGAATCATCCCTTTTGGGGGCCAAGCGCATGGCCAAGATGATCCGCCGCGAATTGGGCGGCGAACTGCACTTCAAAGACTTCAAGATCGAGAACATCGTGGCCTCGTTCAGCTGCAACGTGCCCATCCGGCTGGAGCGTTTGTACGAGGAGCACAAGCTGTTCTGCAACTACGAGCCGGAGCTCTTCGCCGGTAAGTGATTCCACCATAAGTGCCACGTCATTTCCGGAGTGTACAACACTCACGGTACTTGAAAGTGTGACTTCTATTCTAAAAGTGTTTGTCTACGTAATAATTGACGTGCAGGCCTGGTGTACAGGTTCGCACTGCCGGACGGCAACGAAGCTGTGTTATTGGTGTTTGTGTCAGGCAACGTCATCATCACCGGCTGCCGGTCTCCGATGGAGATAGAGATGATCCACACGCACATGTCACCTCTGTTGCGCGAGTTCAAGCAATGACGCCGCCGTGCGCTTCGACGGCGGCTCAGCACCGGCTACTGTATCATACAGGCCTGTGTACAGCCGCGCGCAGCGCGCACACCGTCGTATGAAATGCGCAGACAGCGCGGAAGGATACAGAAGTGCACTACGCGGCGTACAAGGCTGATGACACGCGCTGGCATCAGCCTTCGCTCCGCGGGCAGCGCCCGTGGTCACAAAAATTCAAGCGGCTTCCGCAGCACATTCTAATTATCGGATATATGCTTCGCCAGATATAGTACTGAAATACTAATTGTATCGCTAGAATATCGCAGATACCCGCATCCACCCAGGGGCGCCCAGCAGGTGTGCCGCCTCCTTCGCGCCTTTTGGCGTTCCAAAAGCACCTAATGCGATTGCGCTAATGGTGACACGTTTATTCTTCATATCGGTTATGAACTGGCCGCGGTGCTGACACCGTGATTGCCGTGGCCCCGTAATCTGTGGGTATGCAGGTGCGGGGTCAGACAGCCGCGCACCACGTTGTTTTGTCATTAGACAAGAATTAAAAAGTTGCCGGTATTTCTTGGAGTCCTCGGCTGCTTTTGCGTGTGGCTGATCGAGTGATGTTGTGGCGTGGCCTGTGGCGGGCGTGACTGGTGCTCCTCGTTGTCGGCTGGTTGGCGGATAGTCCTCCGTTGTAGGGCGTTGACTTATTTTTTGTATACCTTTCTGCGTGGTCAATCGCTGCGTGTTTTTCTTGAAAGGTCGAGCGTCGGTCGTTTTTCGTCCGGCCGCCCGTTGTTGGAGTTTTGCGCACACGGCGTGTTTTGCCGTTCTGACGGTTCTGCTGGCCGAATTGGTGCTGTGCAGTAAATTAGGTTGCTACTTTGTGTTTTGTGGAGGCTTTTGTCTGTGCGGTTTTCTGTGTCGTTCGTCCACGCGACACTGGGAGATTGCAGGCAGGGTTTGCTTTTTGTAGCCGTGTTGTCGTATTTCGTGAAGCTGAGGATATTTAGTATCTGGGCCCAGATGTCTGGATAGGTGGGTTGGGTGAGTTTTTGGCTTCGTGTTGTGGTGAAGCGTTTTGTGGCTTCGCTGTCCGGAGTCGTCTGACTATGCTTTCGGCCGAGGGTCACCATGGACCGGTACCAGAAACGATCACAGAAAAAGTCCTCCGGTGTCGCTTCGGCGGTGCAGGGGCAAGGTACCCCTGTTGAGGGTTCTGCTGAATTGGTTGCCTTCTCTGGCTCCTCCGCGCCCGGTTCCGGCGACGTCGCTGAAACAAAGCGCAATCCTCGCAATCGTGGGTACGGTAAGTCAAGCTTCGCTGAAGGGCGTGACCGTCCTTTTTATCGAGGCTCTAGAATAGGTAAGTCTGTTTCCGAGGAGTATCACGGTCCTCGGTCTCGCGATTTCGAGCACCGCGGCAGGTACGGCGACAACACCTCTCGCTCTGGGGAGATGGTGGAGGGTAACGTTCTCACCGAGCGCGAGAACGTGCAACCTGGCGTCAATCCCGACGCTGAAGTGGTGGTCTCCGGCGAACCCGTCGTGAGATCCGCTCGTGATTCACATCCACATGTGCATCGGGAGCGCCATAATAGGTCACATAATCGCTCTGGCGGCCACCAACACAGACGTTCGAATGTTGAGGGCAACGATGGTTCCTTCGGGAGCGGTCGAAGACCGGCAGACCGGGTGGTCGCCCCCAGCGAGTTAGACACCAACATGAAAGTGCCGTCGCCCTTAAGTGCTGCCGTCACTCAAGTTTTGTCTAGTGAAGTGTTGGAGGAGGTTATTCGCAGGGAGGTTTCACAGGAGTTTCTGAACGACGGTGAGGGTAGTGGCCGCATGATCGTGAACGAGCCTCGTGCGCCACGCTCCGGCGCCTTCAATCGCAGCATGAAGCACTCGAAGAACAACAACCAGCAGCAACAGCAGCGCGGTTACAAGGTGCCCAACTACGCCTTGGACCGCTCTCCTACGCGCATAAAGGTCCCTATTGCCTTCCATAACAGGCGTTCGGCTCGTTATGATGGATTGTCTCCTGAGATGCGTACGAACAGATCTCCGCGGTCGCCGCGTTACGCTATGATGCATCGGGTGGATTCTACGATGAGGAACGATTCACGTTATGGCACTCCTACCAACGTGGTCATGGAGCGTCATCCTGGTCACCCGAGGATGCCTCATGGATCTAGGTTTTCTCCGAATCGCCACGGACCCCCAATGCCCTACGCCATGCCAGTCAACGGTGACGTGCGTCGCGGCGGCCCTGGTGTGCCATTTGGTGTATCGATTGAAGACAATCTTGGGCGCGTTCCGCCGCCGGGTCCTATGTCAATGAACGGAGGTATGGCGAGACAAGTGTATCGCGGCGGCGTTCCCGTGGCCGGGATGCCCGGGCTATCTATCAATAGCATGGGTCCAGGGATGTCATCTATACCGGTAAACGAATGTGTAGCTCCACGTTGGGTAAGCACGCCTGCTCCGCAGGTACCATCTTTCGCCCCCCCAATGACCCCAAGCGTGGAGCCTCCACCTCCGAATCCAATGTACGCACCGCCACCGGTAGCGCCTCCGCGGGCAATGCCGGTAAACATGCGCAAGAGTTCGGCATTCCAGATTCGCAACCCCGCCACTGGCGAGGTTGTGAACTCCGAGTCGAAGATGCCTACGGTTGTGAAGCCGAAGCTGGAGCTAGTTACTCCTTCGCCGGAAAGTGTGATGGTACATCCCGCTGGGGACTCAGTTGCCCCGATGCACCCTATTAACAATCCGGCGCTTCCTCCTGCAGAGTTGGCTCAGGCTCCGCCCACGGGCGTTCCAATGTTGATGCCTCAGATGAGCATTCCGCAGCCGGTGCCGCCGCCTATGCCGATGGGCCAGGCTGGGCCGCCGTGCCCGAATCTCTACCCCGTCATGTACCCGCCGAACTCCACCCCGGGTTACATGCCAATCACGCCAATGATGCACACGCCCAGTGCTTACACTCCGATGACCTCTGGCCGTGTAGAAGAGGACGAACTTGGTTTGGATGATAACCACGACCCGCGTCAATTCCCGATTGCCGCGACTCCGTCTCAGGTGGTGAACTATGCGAAATTTGTTCCGACGCCTCGCACGATCTCTCAAGGTTCGATCAGTGGTGCGGTCACCGTTTCTATAAACGCGGCCACTCCGACCATCGATGGTGAGTTGCGCACGACAAGGAATCGCGTATCTAACAAGCCTGTTGAGCGCGATGACATGCTGTGTGGCCTTTCTGATCGTCACCCGCTATGCGACAACACAATTCGGGTGGCGGTTCGTGATCGCATCACTAGTCGCAGGGTGGGCAACTTAACTTACGCGGAGCCTGAGAGGGACTTCGCCGTAGAATCTGGCTACCTGTCGGACGACGAGTCGATAAATTCTCATCTGGAACATGGCGGCCTTAACGTCGATTCGTCGAGGCGTGTTCTGCGCAACGATGCCCACGTCTGCCGTTCGAGTGCTCTGCCTGGTTCATCAAGCTCATCAGAGGTGTCAGGTCCTTCGCCGACTGCTGTGGGCTTCGATATGTTAACGTTAGAATCCGTAATGAGGGATGAGTTTACACATTTCACACGTGTTTCCGGCCGTTCGATTGCGGTCGACGCCTCTGCGTCTACTGATTGCAAGAGCTACGCGTCTTTGCATTCCAGGATAGGCGACAGCATGGGTGATTCTCGCAGCAAGACTTATTCCTGCAGAGCGTCCCGGGGCTCCGACAGTCCCATGGACATTGAAATAGATATCACAATGGCCGAAGCTTACGCCACACAACAACCAGAGGACTCTACTGATGGTTCACCTGGGCCTTTTGCAGACCCTTTGCCTGTAGGGGCGCACCGCGATTTTGTACCCTTCGACTCTCACGTCCGTCGTATTTATCACGACGCCGCTAAGCTTCATGACATGGGTTTCATGGATTCCGTTCCGGATGGCTTCTACGTCGGCGCCGGTTTGGTGAAGCGTGAGGACGGCGAGGTTCCCAGGGGTTTCCCATCTATCGATTCGGGCGTGAACAATGTGAAATTTGACGGCACGCGTGGCGTTTCTGGCCGCAAACTAGCCAGGGCTGCCGTTGCGAATGTGGAGAATATACCCGATACGCCTCGTGATGTTGCTGAGGCTGCGAAGTCGGGTAGTGCTGCTGGAATCGTGGGCCCCAGCAATGTGCCAGTTTCACAAAAGAAATCATTCGTCGACGAGGGTTTCAGAGCTCCTTTTGGCAAAGGTTTCCAGGATATGACCTTCCCGAGCTTTCCCGAGCCATCGTCAGGCGAACACATGATAACTGAGAAGGATCTGTTTAAGGGTGTTCTCGGCCTTGGCGATTCTGATGGCGCGATTCTGCGTCCCGGCCCCCTCCTGCTGCCGCAGCGTCAGAAGTCGAACATTATGTACACGGCAGAGGATATGTTGGCTTATGCCTTTGCATCCGGGGCTGCCTTCAACAGCCTTTCGTTGGGTTTCAGGGTTGTCAACGTTGGTCACGGTTCTGATGGAGGGCGTGATCATCGCGATTCGCGCAGCCGTGCATCTGGCCACTTTGCGCATGGCGCCGCGAATGGATCGCAGGGTTACGGCGTGAATGCCGGCGCCCAGCGCCCGAGGCTATTCGAACGAGCGAAGGCTGAGAACAAATGGCGCCGCGATGTGAGACCCGATGTTCTCCGCGTATCTCCCTTCAAGAAGCCTGATATCACTCGTGAGGAACAGTTTAAACGTACCGTTCGCAGCTTGCTGAACAAGCTGACTGTGGAGAAGTTCCTCACGGTTGCCGAGAAGCTGGCTGTGATTTACGAGAACCTAACTATTGAGGATGACGTGGTCGCTATGGTGAATCTTGTTTTGGACAAATCTGTGTCCGAGTTGGATTACAGCGACATGTACGCCGACTTGGCGTATCTGCTTAAATACCGTTTCAACTCAGCCTTTGACGTGGGTTCGAAGAGCACATTGTTCTTCCGCGTTTTGATGAACAAATGTCAGGATTCGTTTGAGACTCTGAGTAGCGTCGCGTTGGCTACTAGTTTGGATCCGTCTGCCGACAATTCCGGCGGCGACGTTTTGGGAGACTCCGATAAGGAGGATAACGACCTGGACAAGGCTGAAAACGAGAGTGAGGTGTTGGGCGACGTGAAGATTCCTCGCGGTCGCACCAAGAAATGGATTTTGGGCAACATTCGCTTCATGGGCGAATTGTTTTTGCGTCGTATATTATCTGTTGCAATTCTGAAGCGTATTGCTCGTACGCTTCTCCAGATGGACTCCGATGGTTCTAAGGTGCCTTGCGAGTACCTGGTGGAGAGCTTCCTCGAGCTGATAACGACCATCGGTTACACGCTGGAGCAGAACGTGAACGGGCCTGAGATGTTGAACGAGTACATGGAGCACCTTGTGCTTTTGAAGAAGCATGGTAACTACAACCTGCGTATAGTGTACAAGATCCAGGACCTCATCGATTTGCGTTCTAAGAAATGGGTGAAGAAGGTGTTCAAGGAGCGCGCAACTTCCGTCGCGAGTATCCATTACGAAGCTAAGCAGGAGGAATTGAAGGGTGGTGCGATCCACCTGAACCAGGAAGGTAAGTTCACGACGGCCGGCCGCCAGGCCCAAAGGCACTACACCGATTACTTGGTGGCCCAACGCAAGTTGGCCATGGAAAGAACCGTAAATGGCTTGTTCGTCGGTGCCCCAGAGTCTGCAGCAGCCCCTGTAGACCCATCTGCTGGTACCGGCGCTGCCGCGGCGTCATCGCCCCTTGAGCCAGAATCAACTGGCAATGCCGCTGACGAGGGCGAGATGGAATTGTTGGCCACTCCAGAAAATGACGGTGATTCTAAATCGTCAACAGGGGAGGATAGCGCTCGTCGTACCCGCCGCAAAGCCGCCGAAGTGCATTTTGCGATGGACCAGCCACCGATCTCCGTAGTGACCGAAATCATGGAGGTGTTCGTGCAGAACCCTCGACCCGAACGTTTCATGGTGGAATGGGATCAATTCGCCCCCTCCAGCGAGGACAGTCTGGAGGCGGTGCGCCTCATGCTTAATAAGTGCGTGAACGCGAAGAGCATTGCTCTGTCTGAGAGCCAGGCCGACTTGGCGGCCTACACCATCGGCAACCTGATGAACGACGCCGATACTATGATCAAAGCATTGAACATCTTTGAGACGACCTGCTTGGTCCGCATCAAGGACGAGATGCTGGATAACCCCTTGGCAGTGTCTCTGTTCGCTCGTATTTTAGTCCAAGTTTTGGAGTGTTTCGCTAGCATTCCGGAAATTACGTTGGTGAAGATATTGCTTCCTCCGGAGTTTGATTGCGCCACGGATCTGGCAGTGCAGGTGTTGACTGGCACTAAGGCCAGGGGCGGCGACGTAAGTTACGTCCGCGAACTACTCCGCCGCAGCTTTGGGCACTTCAGCGACAAGTCCCTGCAGTTCTTGGACGAGATATAACTGACATCTTATTAATGATTACTAACATCGAGTTTGTATTAATAATTTTTACTTGCTCCTGTAAACAGCTTCACTTCCAATTGACTAGTTACTGTAGCCTTTTCGCTGTCGACATACTATTCCGCTTTTTGCACCTGCTTTTCTTCTGTCGTATCTGGCTGTGCCCCTACGTACCAAATTTCGCCATGCAATATAAGATAACCCATGGCTGGGGCACGCGACACGTGCGTGCTGCCCGTTATCGGTGCTTCCATAAGTCTAAAGTGCTTATAAATCCGCCCATCAGTTTACGCTGCTACAATTTACCAATGTTTATGGATTCGTCTATCGACGAGCCGTGCTTATCGATATACGGACCTAGCTCCACAGTTATTAACCTTATTGTAATGAACGGAATAGATAATGTTTCCATTATAATTATTATGTGTAGTGCTAGGTTTTCGGCGATTCTAGACCGGAAACGTCTGTGCGATTGTCATTTGAACTGTTAAGTTCACGTTGCCGTGCCTCTTCAACTGCCATGTCCGACTCCAAGTAGCGCTGCTCTCTTTCTTCTATCTCCGTCTCCATACGCAGTATGGACTCCTGTGTTGGGTATCTTCTGGTGATGAATACGGCCGTGAGCCACGACGCACGTGCCATCTGCACGATGTTCGCTGGCAATGGCCTGGCGCCCAGCCCATCCATTTCGGCGTGCGCGGCCACTATTCGCTGCGCTTCGTTACCGCTTTAGTGTCACCACAACGAACCGCATTGAACCTGATGAGGCTCGGATGGATGCCTCGCTCCCTCATCTCCTTTATGAGCGCCATGGCCTCGTCACCTGGCCCGTGGAAGAGTAGTGTGGCATGCACGAGCAGCGTGTAGGACACTCCATCAAGTTCGACACCGGTGGCCCTAATCTGCTTCTCCAACTGCATAAACTGCGGCTTGTCCCGCCGCTTCATTGCGAGCCATATACTGCGATGTATTTTGTTTTTGAGGTTGAGTTTTGCGGCATCAAGCTTGTTGCCGACATGGGTGCTGTCGCCATCTTCGTCGCCGGGTTTGGGCAGCTTGGGTTTCACCTCGCGCATTTGGGTGACCCCCAGCTCCTTGCGTATCGACTTGAGCGCTTTGTTAATATTGCGCGTGTCGTCTGCGATGCCGGTCCTGGGCAGCCTCACGGCCAGCCCCGAGGGCCGTATGGCCGCAAGGAGGCAGCGTGCCCAGTGCATTACGCGCTGAGGATACCTAAAGCGTTATATACTAACGCAAGTAGATACTACATACCCTCTTTGTTCTGCCTTTGCTTCCGCTTCAGGTGTTCAAATTGCGTGTCCAGCCACTCTCGGCGTCGGCTCTGCGCAAGGTTAGCTGTCAAATGTTATCAACATACGAATTGAGTTTCCAGCCTAGTGCGCCTGCTATTCTGCACATGCTTGTATACACACCTTTGGCGTACTAACCGCTGCTTCTCGTTGTATCTCTGCATCGGTATAACATGTTCGCAACTGGAATCCTACCTCCAACCTGGTCCACGCGCGGGTCTTCCTCGAGTGCGAAGTTGATGAGTGTGTATGGCGGCTCATTGGATTCGAGCAGCGGCTGGATGTATATGACGCGGTACACGGTAGACACCCACCTCCAGGGATTCCGCCGGTTGCCACTTGAACGCGGCGGTGAATACGAGCGCAGCCATAAACAGCTGCATCCTCTACATTAGAGCGAAAAAGTGCCACAAGCAACTATCATTTGTGTGTATATATTACCGGTGTTTTCCCCAGCGGTGTCGTCGGGTGTGTGTCTGTTGAGTGTCGTTGCATCTACGATAGGTTAGAATTTATACTTGACATTTGTGCTACGTTTATTGGTATACACATCCACATGTAGAATATAGGTCGCATTGTTGGCGGTGTGACGCCACCGCCGATTACCTCCTCGATGAGCGTGGAGAGTGTGACGACCTTGACCTCCTGCTGCGATGTGGCGAACGTCTGCTTCTTGACTCATCTCTGCTCCGTTTTCCCGGGCTGCGTCCACGAGAGTCATCTCGGCGTGACTTCTCCTCTTTCCTGGAATGACCGCGGCGATCGTCCTTCTTGGACTCATACTTGTCGCTCCTCTTGGTGTCACTTTTATCGCTCTTCCTAGAGCTTTCATGGCGGTCAGACTTCCTATCCGAATCGTACTTATCGTCCTTCCGTGACGAGCTATGCTTGCTTTCTCTTTTGTCGGATTCGTGGCGATCACTTCTGCGTGACCTTTCATCACGGCTTTCCCTATCTTCCTTGCTCGACTTTTCATCTTTCCTTTCCTTTTCATGGCGCCCATCCCTGTCGGATTTGTGCGACCTTTCGTCCCTAGACTTCCTACGCGGCGACTGGCTGGAACGTTTATGCGCCGGTGACGATTCGGCAGCTGCTTGCGGCGAGCGCAGCTTCGCGACCATCGCGTCGTATTCCTTCTGCAGCGCCTCTATCTGCCGCGAGTGTTCCGATAATTGGTTGTTCAAGAGTTCAACTTCCGCCTCGAGTTCCGCGTTGTACTGGTGTACCGCCCTAATTTGGTGTTTGAGCACCCTGGTGGTCTCCCTCTCTTTGTTCAGGTCCAGCGTGAGCGGCTGTATCTGCCCCTCCAGCAATATCCGACCCAATTCCTCGTTTTCTGCGGCGAACATGCGGCATTTCTTGAGCAACGCCTGTCCAACAGTGCTTTGCGGGTTGAATGTTCGCGCATCAATGGCATCGTTTGTGGCTCTAAGCTCCTCATCCTTGTTCCGCAGCATGCGCCTGAGATGTAATATCTCGGAGTTCACAACCGGGTCGATGAGTGCGGTGAATGAGCCCGCTTTGTCGTATAGGTTTTCGAAGTTGTGTATGGCTCTGAAGTCGTCCACCTGCGCCTTCGTCTCATGGATTTCCTTCTGCTGCGCCGCCACCACCGCCATAAAGTAAGACTTCACCGCGGCTACATCTTGAAGCTTTGCGACTCCGCTTAGGATGCCCTCGAGGCTCATTCCCTGGGCCATTTTGGCTTCGGGGCGTCGACCTGGATATCTCGCTCGAGTCACCCGAGATTCCCGGTCACAGCGTCCAGTGCAAATTCAGTTCTATACGCTCGATTATGGCGGCCGTCAATCGCGCTGTCTATGTGCACGGTCGATGAGTCATGGGGAGTCGCGTCGTTGTCGCGCCGCATACCGGTAACGGCAGGCCGATGGTGCGCTAGTTTTGCGTAAAAAAGACAACACTAACTTTCCAAAATGGAGTCCAACAACCCCGCCAGCGCTAATGCGTCGGCGTCACCAGGCTCGTACGTCGCCAACGTGATGTCAGACATCGAGAACCTGAACCGTTTCGCCGGGGCATCTCTGGTTAACGACCGCAAAACAATGATCGAGTGTTTCAACGGTTTTTCGTGGCGTGATGCGCGTGTGATGTCGCACATGGAACGTTACTGTGCCGCTGACCATGCCGAGAGGCAGCTGATCGATGACGTCTACCGCGTGCTGTGCCCGTCGTTTGACCGCGTACAGGGCCCGTCGTTCGCTGCTATGAGTTTGTGGCTGAAGGCGCGTCTGCATTTGCAACATCAGACGACCCCGTTCAGTCCGGTGCGGCATTAGGTTAGGTGTCGTCTTTGCCACGGCGTACCTGTGACCCCCTACGCGGCTTAGGATGCTATTCAGAGGTGTGTATGTGGAATGTGTGACGGCTAATCGGACGTACTTCCACATGTTATCAGTACTCGGTTTCGTTCGCTAACGTGCGGCTGCACCGGGTGTCCGCTGACGCGATTACATCTGCCAACAGCGCCTCCATTTTATATCGCAGAGGGTCCATACCGCAGTTTATACACGAGATCTACTGTCTTCCAGGAAGTAACGGGTGCCATGTAGGCGGACGAATTTTTTTTTAATGGCTGATACCCCTTAGAGGCCAGCTTGGCAAAAATGTTTTTTTAGCAACCTCAGCAAATCTCGTCTGCCTTAAGATGGCATGATGCGAACGTCAATTGACAGTGCGCCGTGTCTCCTGAGGTATTTTCATGCCACGGTCCCTTTTTGTGGCGCGATAGGTGCGTTCGGCGGTGATTCCATGGGCGACAGGGAGTGATTTGTGCGTGTTGCCGCTCGTTTGCATCAGGATGTTGGAAGATTCCAATCCCGGCGAAGCCGGGTTATCGATGACTGAGTTCAGCGATGCGCGTTTCAACCAGGATAGCTCATGTTTGGTCATCAGCTGCCCCGCGGGGTTCCGCATCTACAACTGCAACCCGTTTTCGTTAGCTTGCGAGCGCGACTTGTCTGCCCATGCGCACGGGAGTGTGAGGACGGTTGAGATGATGTATCGGTGCAACATTCTGGCGGTGGTCGGCGACGATAATGTATCGTGGAACGCCGAGCAGACGGACCGCGGGTCGGTGCAGTGGACTCGCAACGTGCTGCTGCTGTGGGACGACAAGGACTGCTGTGAGATAGCTAGGTTGGTGTTCAACAGTAGCATTACGAACGTGAAGTTGTCGCGCCATCTGCTGTTAGTGGCTGTTGTGGATGAGTTGCATGTGTATCATCTGCACGACATGAAGCTGCTGGATACGTTCAGCACGTTTTACAACCCTCAGGGTTTGTGCTCGTTGGCCGCCAACGACGACATGAACATTATCGCTTTCCCCAGCCCTACGCGTGGCATCATTGGCCTGGCGTACTACCACTTGGACTGTACCAACGGCGCGTTGTTGAGCCGCGAGGGCACGACGATCCTCGCGCACAATTCCGACATTTGCAGCCTGTGTTTGAGCGTCGACGGGCTGTTGGTGGTGTCTGCATCACGGCGTGGGCGATTCATTCGCATTTGGAACGCGTTTTCGGGCGAGTTGCTCCAGGTGCTCCGCAAGGTCCTCGTCGTGGGCATGATCCGCCTCTGCGTGTTGAGTCCGGACGCAACGATTTTGTGCACAGTGAGCAAACTCAACGTGGTGTTGGTGTACCGTGTGGACCCGCAATCGCCTAGGATAAGGAGGACCGTCAGGGATGAGCCGCCCAGTGCTGCTGACCGGGCCTCCTTTGTGCCCATCAATGGAATGGATCACATGAGGTTCTGCCTACATTTCCGGCTGCTGCAGAGACACCGTTTGTACAAAATGTTTACATTTGCGTTCTCGCGCTATTATCCGGACGCGCTGGTGGTGGCGTGCACGTTCCTGCCCACGACCAACAACTTGCTGCTGGTGCTATCAAACGGCCACGTCCAACGTCTGGGCGTCACAGGCCGCTTACGCCTACTTGCAGACCACTCGCTGTAATGATTGCTAATGTTTAAACGGTATTGATATGTTTATTGGTGGGGAGTGCGCCGTGGCCACCCCCGCATCAGCCGTAAGTGTTCGGCCACTCGACAGTGTACGTGCAACGCACATTGCAGCTTGCATAATGGTGTGCGATGGTTTCGCAATGTGCGAGATGGCGCCATTCATTGCTGAACCTGTTCTGATCCGCCAGGCTGGGCTTTTGAGGCTGGTTTTCGGTGTCGAGTTTTCCTTTTCATGTTACGTGTGGTTGTTGCCGCAGCTCCTGCATCCTCGTTCTTTGTAGCAACCTTTTCTCCGCCTCCATTTTTAGTGTGTGATTCCTCCGTTGCGCGGTTGTTGCGTTCTTTCACACCTTGTTCGGATGGTGCTTTGGTCCTACTCACAGTCACTGCCTCACTCGGGGCAGGCGCCGGTGGTACCGTGTTCCGAACATTCTTTTTGCTGTCTTGCAATTCCACGTTTGCCGGCGCTGTGTTATCCAACGGTGCTTCAGCCACAGCGGCTTTTGGCTTACGCTTTGATGACGCTGCTTTTGCCTTCGTTTTCTCTGGTGTGCTTTGCCCTGCTTTCTGCGCAGTTTTCTCGGCTGATTTGCCTTTCACATCTGGCTGTGATTTCTCGGATGGTCCGGCTTTAACTGGCCGCGTGTCATCCTGGAGTGGCGCCGAATTGACCACGGATGGTGATCTGCCTCCTGCCTTGGGCTTGGCCTTCCGTGATGCTCTTTTTGGTGCATCGTCTTTGACAACGGGCTGTTCAGCTTCCTGTTGTTTGGGCTGTGCCGCAGGTAGTGCCTTCTCAGCCGACTTCGATTTCGCTCCTTGCGTCGCCCTCTTTGGTGTGCCGCTTTTCACCATGAGCTGCTGATCTTCCAATGACCCCGATTGTGCCACCGAGGGCGATCTTTCCGCCGACTTTTGTTTCACCTTCTTTGATGCTTTCTCGGTCGATTTGGGCCTTGCACCTGGCTGCGATTCCTTCAAGGATACGGCGCTTGCAACTGGTGCTGCATCTACGGACTGTTCGCTAGGCACACCTGGCGTCGCTTTTCCATGGGGTTTAGCTCCTTCCTTTGATGGTGCCCCCTTTTGTGGTTTAGCTTTCGGAACCGCTGGCTTCCTCTCGGGTGCCTTGGTTTTAAACACACACGACTCATTGTTAGGTGATTCGGACATAACCCTTCTCGTTTTCTCCGACAACTTGCGTTTTACAACTGCTGGTTGTTTCTCGGAAGATTTGGAGTTTACTGTTGTTGGAGCGGGCATGGATGATTGAGTTTTAAGTGCGAACTGCCCAGCCTCGGAAGCTTTTGATTTTACACTCAGCGATCTCTCGCGTGACATCTGTTTTGCAATCGGCAGGAAGCCTTGATCTCGCTTGGATTTTGATTGCGGCGATGCATCCTCGTGTGCTCCTGCAGCCGGCCGGCCCTTTGTGCGTGAGGGCGTACCTCCAATACATCGGGGGTTTTCACTCGATGGAGCCTTTTCCGGCGTGCTTCGCCCCGCCTTTTGAGACGCCTTTTCAGCTGATTTCCCTTTCACACCTGACTGCGACTTCCCGGATGGTTCAGCTTTCACTGGCCGCAGCCCCTCGAAAGGTTTCGATCGTCCCCCCTGCGGTGATCTATCGGCTGACCTGGATTTGCCTCCCTGCGACGCTCCCTTGGGTGTAGTGCTTCTAACCATCAGCTGTTCATGGTCAAAAGACCTCGAATTTAGGCTAAGTGGAGTTCTGTTTGCCGACCTGGCCTTACCCCTCTGCCGCCCTCGTTTGGACGTATCACTTTTAACCACGGGCTGCTCAACCTCGGACGGCTTGGATTTGACTGCGGATGGCGACCTATCCACGGCCTTCGATTTCGCCTTCCGTTGCGCTCGTTCCAAAGATTTGGATTTGGCGTTTGCCCGTGATTCCCCAGGTGTTTTGGCGTTTACATGTCGCATTGCATCTACTGACGGGTCGTTCAGTGTACCTGGAGGCACATCAATCGATGGTTCATGCAGCATCCCTGGCGGTGCATGGAGAGATTGCTCCTGGGCCCCGTTGGCCGGAGTGTTGGCGCCATATGGCCCAGATGATGTAGACGCCTGCCTCGACCTAATCTCGCGTTCCTGGCGATTTGCGGCTCCGCGTGCTTTAGGAGTTCCAGCTTGCACCCTCGTTTCCGTCACTGCGAAGCCCTCCGCGAAATTTTGTTGCAAAGAGGCTACAGCGTGACTAGCCAGCATCATATCCGCCTGCTCCGCGGCAATGTGCCTATTGAACGATTCGTCAAGTTGGCTTAAACTTTGGTCCATTTGGTCTCCCATGTCATCTTGCCGCTTCTGGATCCCAATATGCGCCGCTATGAGTCCCGCAGACTTTGCTACATCATTCGTAAACGATTCCATGTGTAGCTGCATGTGTGAGTAGTCAGCGAGAACCCTGTCGAGGGCAGTGTCGTAGCCGGATTCAGCTTCTTCCGGATCATCTGTAAGATTATCCAGTAGCAGATTCCTTGCAACCGTTTCCTCCCATGCAGAACTTTGCCTCGACAGGTTTTCTTCCTGCTTCTGCGTATCTTCCGGCACCGACCATGCCATTGCATATTGCTCGACAATTGCCTTCGGCGGCGGAGTTTCTGGTGGTGGCGGTGGCGTTTTGAGAGTGCCCTTGCCGATGAAATTCCGGTATCCCAGCGGGTACGTGCCCTGCATCCCTGGCATGAGGAACTTCTCACCCAAAATGTCGTCGACTAGCGCGTTCTTCCCCAAGCTCCATACTCCACTCGATTGCTTGGTGCGTTCCTCTGTCGCCTCCTTAAATGGATCCTTGAGGTGTTTAGTGTCAGGGCGGTTTTGTTGCTCTTGGCGGCTTGCAATGTCGTCGATTTGACTGCAGAAACATGAGCGACGTCCGTGTTGAGGCATCGAGATTCCTTTAGGCATGGAATCTGGGACCCACCTGCCGATGTCCTTTGCAACATTGATCCTGGGGTCGGATTTCCAGGCGCTTCCGGTCGTCCTGGTGTGGTTGGTGATACTCACTGCGACACCGTGCACGCTGACTGAGATACCTGCGGCGCGTTTAGGATTTTAGGCGGTCCACCTACCACCTTTCTTGGTGGCTCTGCCCAGCAGCTTTTCTCCCAGCGACAGCGGAGCCGTGGTGGTCACGGGCCGCGGACAGTCGTTGTTTGTCGTCGTGGCTTCCTCCATGGCGACTCGCGCATACCGGTACTAGCGCCGACGGCAAGAGGCGATTGATCCCAACCGCAATTCCCGCTCCGAGTGGGTACTACAATATATTTAATCGTGCTGCGTTCAGCCACTGGCTCTGTTGCTAGTTCGTTAGCCCGCAGCCATCGAAGCGCGAGCCCGACAACAGGGGGTGTCGCGTCGCCAGCACGGCTCTACGCAGACCTCTTTCCCGGGCTATTGTAAGTTAATCCATATTTAAAATGTGTTGTTGGCACGTCACCCGTACATGCACACAGCGCGGTTACGGGGCGGCAGCGGCCAGGTCACCGTACAGGCGCTGTAGTCGTGCGTTCAATTCCCGCTCCCGCTTCAACTGTGTGAGCTGGAATGCCATTCTAGCCTCTGCCCAGGCAGTTTCGCGACTTTTCATGGCCTGGAAAGCTTCCAGGTCGTTTGTGAGTTCTATGATGTGATGGTGTAGTTCTCCTACTAAGTTGCTAAAGATGAACCGCGCTAACTCACCGATATTCTTGAGCAGCAGCGCCTGTCTGTGCACATAACCACCGGTTGCGATGGCACACCTGTTCTCCATCGCCTTGTTCCGCTTGCCTAGCGCGTCAAGCTGACGCTCCGTCTGCGTGCATTGCTGTTCGCGTGCCTTCACGCGCTGAGGGAGCTGTAACCTCTCCTCGGGCACATAACGCTTCTGTAGCGTGCTGTATCCAAACGTTCCGATGAGCTTCCTGCGCAATGCTGATTACATCTGCCGTTGTGCAATTTACCTCTCCGCTGCTGGGTTGAGCGGTTCCTCAGGGGCTCTTAGCATGCTCCTTAACCGCGCTGCCTCAACGCTGAGTTCGTGTTCTGCCGCCTACACATGTATTTATAACGCAAAGCCAAACCGAAAACTCACCTCCATGTACTTCGAAGGTATAATTTCCAGCTCCGGCACCGGGTCGAGGCATGGCCTGCCACCGGGTTGCGGGTGCTGGATGCTGTCCCATTGCACAAGATGCACAAACTCGTTGTGTATCATGTCGGACGTCATCTTGTACTCATGGTCCTCCTTACGCGAATGCATATCGTTTACGAAGGCTATACTACTGTACACCAGTGGGCGTTCCACTGCGCGCTTTATGACGCTGCTGAGGTTACGTTCTCGTTCCTCGTCGTCTATTTTGGCAGTTATCACTTCCCGTTCGCCCTCATCCGGTATGTGCTCTTCATTCTGCGGGACATACGCCTGCGAGGGCCCCGTGAGTGTAATTTCCACCTGCGACTCCGGCTCTGGGAGGTTGGATATGCTGGCCTTCACCTGCAGCTTTGCCATGTCCATTCGCGCCCTGCATCTTGCTAAATGCACAGTTATCATACCCACCTTGCTCCTATGGGATCGTCATCTTCATCATCAACGCCTCCGCTGTAGACACTCAAGGGCGTTTCGCTGTACTTCGAGTTGGCAGCGCTGCCGAACTTTCCGGAAAAGATGCTCATCGGTGTCTTTGCCTGAGAATCGTGAAAGTGACGCGCACAACACATACGATTAGCCTTTTGAGCGGATTGGGTGTTGAGGGCACCGGAAATTCGTCCTTCGACAGGCTGTCCGACGTGGCGGCGACATTGGTCTCGCCCTGCACGATTCGTGATACACGCATTTGTATAAGCCTACCAGCAAAGGCGTCTGTAGCCGACTTGCTGCCGCTGCGATGCGCGCCTCCTCCATGATGGATGAGGTCATCGGCGTCCGAGCCACAGTCGACGCGGCCACATTCTCCTCGAACATTTGTACGTCTGCGCCCATCTTCACAATCTGCACGATCTCGTCATCCGTCATCGTCGGAACAGGCATAACTAGCGGCGCCCTCGTGGCGGTAGTTTTCTCGTACTTTTCGAAAACCGCGAGCGCCTGGTCGACGTTTTCCTGCTGTAACCTCTTGAGCTTCCGTGTATCGTCGTTGCGCATGCGTCTCTGTTCCTCATCGCGCCTCTTCCCCTCCAGTTGCTGTATACTGCGTAGCGATTGGTCGATCTCATGCCCAGTTTCGGGTTCGTAGAATCCCTTGGGCGGCTGAGTTTCAAAGGGCACATCCTTGACATAGTCCATGATGGTCCTGTGGAGCCTGAGTGCTCCCACGTTTACTCCCGCATTCTTCAGCTCCCTTCGCTTCTGCAATGACGCCAGCCTGCGTGTCTGTTCAATTTGCTTTTCCCTGGCCTTCCTCTTGGCCTTCTTTCCACGTGTGTTCGCCAGCCGTGCGCGTGCCTCTGCCAACATTTCCTTCTCGTCGTCATCCATATCAACGGCATCCGCTCGAGAGGGTTTGGTTTCGGGCGCAGGATCGATTTCCCCGGGCATGAGCCGCCTCGGGTCGAGTTCGTCGTCCTGAGGGCATATTAGTGGTTTGATCGTTTAGGTCCTACCATGTCCCTGCCCTGCGCCTGGTCGAGAAGCCTCTCGTAATGCTCCAGACACTGGTGCGCCGTGCGCCCAATCATCGGCCCTATTGTCCGCCATTGCGTCGGGAACAGTTTGGCCAGATGCAGCAGCTTCTCCTCCTCGTCGCGTGACCACTCCGTCTTCTTGACAAAGGGATTGAGCCACTCGTACCTACGGGCGTTGTGATTGCCGCGTGCTCTGTACCCACCATCTGGCCTTGCATTGCTTCGCGGACTTCCTGACAAGCAGCGAGGATACACGTGACCAGTTGTTGAGGCCATATTTCATGACAGCGGCCTTGAGGACCTCATCCTCGCTGTTTTTCCAGACGCCTCCTTTGAGTTGAATCCTCATTTTGTTAAGCTAATTTAATCTACAAACGGGATCTGAAGTGTCCCCCGGAGCGGTGCTATACAGTTCGTCTTCCCCATCCCCGGGGTGTCTGCGCGTCGGCGTCCTTCCAACCCTTTATGGACCATATACCATACACAATGCAATTATATGGGCGATTTAGTTCATTGAAATTAGCGTGCCGTACGCTAATTTCGCGTCCGGCTCGGCGTGTGTGTTGCGCTGGACAGCGGTGTTTTTCCGGCGACACTGCCGCCGCGCAGGATTCCACCGACACATATCGCATGTCTCGTGCCCGTTTCACACTTCTAGGTGCCTCTGCGACGTTAGCAACAGCTGCTTCGGGCTATTTGTTGTACGAGAGTCTCTACGTTCCCAGTAGCGTCCGCGCTGCCGTTGCCGAGATAAGGTAATTCTAACCTTCATTGCCACCACCGCACAGTTCTCAGGCACAATAAGGCAGTTGTCGAGTTGATTGGCGACAACATAAAGTACCGCAGCGATTGGAGCGTTGAGGAGAGCGGCAACGACGCAGTCGTTCGTGTGAACGCCTCCGGCAGCAAGGCCGGCGGCATGTTCACTTGCAATCTGTCGCGCATCGAAGGATCGTGGAAGGTGGTGACTCTCGACGTGATTTACCACGAACGTAAGCTTTCAGTATCCGATAATGATTGCCTTCAGCGAGGAAGGAACCCAAGTTGGAGAGCGCCGCCGTGTACGATGAGCTCGAGAAGGCGCTCGCCAAGTAGACTAGACTACTCACTCTGCAGTTTCTGCAGCTGTTCGGCCAGATATTCCAGCTTCCTCTGCGCCGTTTGTGGAGCAGTTGTGTGCACTCACCTGTCTGGAACGGTTCTTCCAGTCGAAGTAGTTGACGCTGAGCACCTTCCAGCCTAGTGACCTGACAATCTGGTACTTCAGCCTTGTGACCGAGTGGAAATCCTTCGTCTGGTGGTAGAAATGCGAATACCCGTTGACCTCTATCGCAACCTGTATAATGTAGTCCATTATCAATGTGAAGATACCTTTAGCTGCGGTAGTATGTAGTCCATAACGTAGGGCCCGATCCTCTGCTCAGACTTGTGCTTGACCTTCAGGTCATCAAGCAGCCTAGCTATTTTGTATTGCATTTTTGAGGTGCTCGGCGGGAAGTTCATGTTGAGCGTGACGATATTGTCCAGCAGCGCCTGATACTTGTCATCGAAGGGCCTGAGCTTGTGCTTGAGGTTGAACAGGCTAATGCACAGCTGGTTGACCTCAATGTCCACAAGCTCATGCAGGTGTGTGGCAACTCGGTCGAGCAGCACTTTCACTATATTCGTGACTTCAGGTCCATCTGTAGATAATGAGTGTTAAGCCAATGCAACCCACATTCCTCGTCCTGAAGCGCCACCACTAGGGAGAAAATGACGTTGCACATCTCCTGAGGTCCCAAGACATATACATAACCCGGAAGACGCGTGTACACGAGCTTTTGGAAGAGTTCGTTCCGGTGCTGCAGGAAGGCCAGGGACCGTATCAGCATCGCCACGAGCGCCTTATCCTGTAGCAGGATTTGATCGTCCTGATTCCACCTTACCTTGCAGACGATATCATATTTGTCGTCGTTGGTCAATATTTCCTGCGATACTTTATCGATTATAGCGCTGTCCGCGAGCCTCAGCTTAGCCGCAACGTGCAGCAGGAAGCAAAGGTCGAAGGCGGAGAACTCATCGAGGTCGTCAATCCTCGAGTGCACAACCGCCTGAAACGTATTCGGCTCTATGTACTGCAGCCGCGTCGCGTCGATGAAGTATTGCGTAATGGCTCTGGAACCAACAGCATGATGTCGCTGTAGCACTATCTTCTCAACTACGTTCATCAACGATATCTGCAAAGGAGTCACAGAGTAATGCGCACAACGCACCTTTTTGTACGGCACTTTGGCCAGTGCATGTACCACGCGCAATGCGTCCCCTAGGTGGACGCTTTTGAGCTCCGGTTTGAGCCGGTCGCAAAGCCTGCTCCATAAGTTGCCGTCTGTGACCTTTGTCTACCACTTGAATGAACAACTTCCGTAACTATTACCACCTACCTTGGCCAAAGTCTCCGCGGCAGCGGCCAGTTCGCGGAAGGTGAGTTCCTTGAGTCCCGCAGTCAGAGGGTCGAGCTGCCTTCCGCGTCTGGCGGCTGCTGCGGCGGCCGTGCCGACGACGGCAGTGGTCACATTTGTGGTCATACACCTCGTTGTTTATGTCAGTTTGCAGTTGAATGACATGACGTAGAATCGCATTTCCGCCGGTGATTCCTGCGTTACAATTTCCGGTTATGACGAGCTCTTGCACATCGGCGTGGCTCTAGGACTCCCACCGGCTTTAACGTCACCGGAAGGATGTTTAGACTCCTCAATCGGCGTTTCTCTTCCGCCGGACTAGATGTGTTCATCAGCGGAGTCAGTCGCTATCGCCTGCTGAGCGCGTCCGACAAGCGTAAGCTGCTGGAAGCACACCGGCAGAAGGTCAGTTTGGCGCTCTGTTGCCACTTATGCGTGCAGTCACTGCCAGAAGCAGCTCTGAAGGATGCGGAGAAGGCGTTAGACTTGCGAAGCGAGCATGCCGGCTCCCCTAGCCCCGGCTCTGCGACGTCGGCTCCGTCCGAACAGCCTACTCCAATCACAGCTTCACATCGCATCGCTGCCGAACTTAAGCGTCTGAAAGGGCGTCTACAGGGTTCAGGCCGCTTCCATGAGCGCCATCAGCCAATCGGCGTTGGAGTCAGCAAGTTTTTTATGGGCGTCGACCCCAACACCCCGCTGGAGCCGTACGACATTACGTATGTTGGATGTGCGATACCATCATTTCCGTGTACAGAACGCCGTTATTCGACGCCGATCGTGAAACTGAAACGCTGGTTTCCGACGTGAAGAAAGCAGCAGCGTATGACGACGTGCAGAGCATGCTGTCCGCTCTGCGCCCCGTCCGCCAGGTAGTGGTTGCTAAAAGAATCATCCATGCCTTGTGCAGGACGCGTTAACAGACAGGCTTGAGGACGTGATGTCAAGGGCTATCGAGCGCAACGTTGCACGCCTCGAGTAAGTTAATCTTGCACTCCAGTAATACGACACAGGCGCCCCGTTTTGTTCAACGAGCTGTCGGACTTCGAGTCGAGTTACGCCATGAACCGGGCTGCTATGCGGAACCTTTTGGCGAACCGCTGCACGCGAAACGCGTTCGAAGAGACCCGTATCGAGCGTTTCCTGGACCGTCTGAAAATTTCCGAGCAGCGACTGGACGCCCCTCTGCCTCCGGAGGCCGTGGAGCCTCTTATGGCTTTTCAGGGCTATAGCAGCTATTCGTTTGACCCCTGCGTCCGTTTGGAGCAGAAACTGGACAATTTGCAACAATTCGTGCGCGCTATTGTCGAAGGCAAGTGCCGCTATTGATCCTTCACACTCTGCAGGCGACGAGTCATTCCTCAAGCGTCTCGGCACCCCCGAGGAGTACCCGGTGGGCCCTGATTCGAAGTACCCCTTCAGGAACTATTTCGCCTTCGACAGCTGCATACCTAATGACGTAACTGGGTCGATCCGCATGGGTAAACGCCGTCCGTCGCCGTCGATTCGCTACCCCAACCTCCAGAGCGTGGCGCACTCGTTGCCCGCCGATCGCAAGTACCGCGCCGTTGTCAGCAACGCCATCCGCACGCTGGAGCGCAGCAAGGGCTGGGACCATGCGAGCAAGGTGAAGGCCATTAACCGCCTGGTGCAGGTGTACAACAATCTGGCGCCGTCACGGTACTACTCCCGCGTGCTCGACAAGGCCGTCCCCTCGGTGCGTGCCAAGGGAAGCGTCGTGCGCACGCGTTCGCGGCAAGAAACCTTCAACAAAGGGCTGCACTACATCCAATCGCTCACGCGAAACCACTGGATGAAACGCAAGTGAAGTCACCAGCATAATGGCACTGCGTAGTGACGTGGTGCCCTCAACAGGACTTTAATCGCATGAGCAATACATAGCGGTCCATAGCGTGTTATTGCCTTGAACGGCCATATTTATTAGTAATTCCACGGTACAGAGTAGACAATAATGGTGACAGAAGTGGGGTTCGAACCCACGCCCTTTCGGACTGCGACCTGAACACAGCGCCTTGGACCACTCGGCCATTCTGTCTATAAGGGGACGCCGATTTTACGGTTAACAACCGGCTTAACTCACACATCGTTAAACGTTGTACACATCACCTTTACTGACAAAAGCTTTATTTGTAATAATGTAACAACCATGGGTTTGTTCAACAAGCTACGTCAACGATTCTCATCAAAAAAGCGACAGGATGTGCGGGAGGAAAGTGCTTCTTCCTTGCTATCCCGTACGTCTACAATTCAGAGCCGAACGCAGGATCTGGTCTGCCAGCGGACGTTGTCGCCATTCATAGGCTCAGGCGAGATCGGCGCCTCACCAGCACGGCCGTCAGCCGTTGCTGCTAACTGGGGATGCGTCGAGTACGAGAACGGCTCGGAATACCTCGGTTGGACGCTAGAGGGCAGACGTGACGGCCCGGGGAAGATCCATAATGGCGATTTGGTGTACGATGGCCAGTGGCAGTGCGACCTGCCTCACGGCAGCGGCCTTTTTGCCAACGGCGACGAAACCATCTACGAGGGTAACTGGGAGCACGGGCTGCCTCACGGCCACGGCGTGGCGCTGTTTCCCGACGGTTTCACCTACGTGGGAGAGTGGCGTGACGGCGTGCCTTGCGGCGAGGGAAAGCTGGTTGCGGATGAAGGGCGTGTCTACTCCGGCACCTTTTCCAACGGTCTTCCGAACGGTGACGGTGTTTTGGTGACCTACAACGGCGTGCGCATTATGTGCCACTTCGTCGACGGCGTACCGTTCGGAGTGGGAGAGATAGAATGGCCTAACGGTATGCGTTACGTGGGTACCATAATTGAGGGTCTCCCGCACGGCCTGGGTCGTCTGACAGACGAGACTTCGGTGATGCTGGGTCTGTGGAAGTGTGGCGTGCTCGAAACGCGCCTGAAGGCGCACGAAGCGCTCCCTGACGCTCTGAGAGACGATCCTGCTGTGAGTTACTTGGCTGCGCACTAGTTGATGCCGGCATGATCGCGTGACTGACTGGGCGGCATATTATTCGCCATCGTATACATGCAACGTGAATCAAGCCGACAAGGCACTTGATATTACCGTCATATTGGTTGCAATAGTTGCAACACGGCCGCTCAATGCCACTTGTATAGGCGTGTCTCGGAAGAACAATCTTCCAATTCGTTACGCCGTACCAATCAGGCTGCGCAACACTCGCCGCATCGAAACGGTGGTCAAAACATCGCAAACAGATATTATAATATAACATAATCATTTCATATATCAGATCCCTTGCCCGCCAGCAGCGCCATGAACTGCACGATGCAGGCCTCGATGTGCCATATGTGTCGTGACCCCTGCTGCATGGTGTGGGAGAAATGCGCGGCAATGTGGATAAGCTTTGGGACGAGTTCCGGCTTGACTCGCTTCGACATCATGCTAACTAACTTCTCGAGCACCAGTTCGCCGGGTATGCAGCATACCAGGAGCTCGTATACCTGCGGCCTGAGGGCGCTGATAGTGGACGGCGACTGGTTTTCTATCACATTGTTGACTATCTTCGCCACCTGGAGCTCCCACGGCATCAGGAACTCTCCCGGTGCCGCGGGGAATCCGCCCAACGCCATCGTTTCAAGCGTGAGTATGGCCCGTCTCAGGTTACGTCCGCTGGAGTTGGCAATGCTTTGGAGGACCTCGTCCGAAGACTGCTTGGGCGGGAGCCCCTCTGCTTTGGCGATATCACGAAGCACATCGACGATCTGCACTAATTGAGCATCACGCGGCGATTTTCCTACCTCTGCGATAGTGTGGCTGCCGACCCGGATGCACAGGCACCGGCTGCGCAGCGGCAGTATGATCCGTGAGAGCTGCTTCACGTGCAGGAACATACGCGCATTCCTGATGTATGTTTCCATAGTTCTCCTTAACGCGGCCTGAGCTGGCAGCGACAGCGCGTCGGCATCTTCGAATAGGAATACTGCTCGGTATATTTCGGCCAAGTGCTGTTACCCACCTCTGTACGCAGGCCCCTTGAGGAAGTAGTTGGATGCGGAAGGCGATGCCGACAGGTTTTTGATAACGTCCTGAACGATAACTCTGTCCTTGGTACCTAGCTCCGTGCACGGTACTGGTCGACGATTAGATTGTTCAACGACTAACTCACTATGTATATGGTGGTCACTTTGGCACACGACTACGTTGTTTGCGGTGTCTACGTTGGAAACGACCTCCGTCTTCACCTGCGAGAGTGTGATGACCTTTACGCTGGGCACCAACCTTGTCTATGCTCGCTCCGAACACGGCGCGCAAGGTCGCCATTATGCGTGTCTTCTTGCCAGCCCCGGAAGGCCCGTAGAAGAGGAGGTGCGGCAGCTCGCCATGTGACTTTTCGACGAGTTTCTTGAGCAGTTCGTTGACATCGCGGTGTGAGTTCAGCTCGTGGAGCTGCTTCGGGCAGTGCTTGTCGATCCAGAGCATCGTGTCCACTTGTGCGATTATGTCATAGTTGGTCGGGGACTGCGGGGCGCTTTTCAGTCAAGTAAATCCGCCCTTGATTTGCGATGTATCTCGTCCAGTTCCCTGTGATGGTGTGACATCTATGCGGCCGGCTCGTCCTACCTGATGCGCTTGAGCACCAGCTTGTCGCGTTCGTCGGGTATACAGTCCAGTCTCTGGTACCTACGCAGAATATCAATGCCAATATTTCCACAAACCTCGGGTCAGCCTGTAGCTGTAGCTTCGCTAACCTCAATTTAGTGTCCGTCGTCCCCTCGGCGTAGCACAACGTCTGCCGAAGCAGGACCTCGAAAGCGTCCAATAGCTCAGCCTTCTGCGGCCTATGAGGTTTTCACACTGTTATAACGTACCGCTTCACGACGCCAGCGCCTCAGGCTGGCCTCTAACCTCTCTCGCGGCAGGTGCCCAAACAGGCGTTCGCCCAGTGTGTGTACGACCTGTAACGACCTTTATAGGCGACAACAAACTCCACTCACATCATCTAGGGGCGTTTCGATGTGTTCGTTGCCCAATGCTTGCAACTTCTGTTCGAAGAGCGCTATCCTTGCCTCGAGGAAGTCGTCGACGAACTGCCGGTATATCCTGTCACGGTCCTTGAGATGGCGGCTTTCTCCACGCGGGTCGCCTTCAATAAGCGATTCGTCCAGAGGCTCAGGCTTGCCATTATAGAACGGCATCTTGATCTTTTCGTGCAACATGCTGATAAAGGCGGTACGCGCCATGTCAGTAGCTAGTTGCTCTCGAGACTGTGCATGCTCCGTATGCCTACGTTTGTTAGATTCTCGTTCCTTCTGGTATGTAATCGAACCAGAGCGCTTCTTATCGCTCTGGTTTGAGGTATTGAACTCGTCAATACCCGGTTTCTTTTCCTGCTGGACTTCTTTCGATCCTTGCTCGCTCCCAGCCGCCGATGCTGGCGTGGTAGAGCGTTCTTTCGCAATATACTCCTTGGAGAGCTCCTTGAGGCTGCGACTAGATTCCTTAACCAGCTCCAACCTCAGCTGCATGAATAGGGACCTCCTCTGGTGGTTCGGTATGGCTGTGAACCGTGTATCGTATAGCATCTTCGGCAATGCCTGTACGAGGATGATCCCGCTGGACCTTATTGCGCCTTACCGAATCAAACGTGGCGGATGAGGGCAGTTTTAGCTCCCTTATGAGCGCCTTGAAGCCTGCTATATCTTGTTCCGAGCTCGACTTTGGAGCCGGCTCCTCAGGCTCCGGGGCGGGCGCCGTTGCGTCCTTCGGCGACTCGGGCACGTCCACGTCTGGCCGTTGCCATCGAGACTGCGAGTAATATTTACACCCACTTCGCTCTTACCTCCTTGGAAGCTCTGTTGTAGTAATACACCTTTTTCGTGGAGGTCTCAACGCGGTACCTGAACAGTTCAGCCAAAATGCCGCCAGACCTACCACTTGGTCTCGCCTAGGCGGTCCCACTTGACTGGAACGCCAATATCGTCCATCCTTCCGGCGCAGAAGTGTGTAGTGTGTCCGACATCCAACCGGGCACTGGTGCCGTGCCTTCCACTCGGCACCGGCGGCAAGCTTCCTGTGTTCCATCGTGAAACGGCCGACGACCGTCAGTCGCATACCGATCATAAGCTGCACAATGCGCGACTATATAACCACTAGCTATGGCACAACGTCAACACAAAGGACACTAAGTTAAGGCAATTCCAACTATGAAGCACAGTATTACATTTCAGCGCATGTTTTTAGGTACCGGATGTGCGTTTAATCCGCTGAACAAACGCGTGCGACAGAGTCGAGAATCGACTGCAATGGGTCAGGCAGCGACTGGAACGTGGTTCCGGAAAGCTGGAACCTGGGGTTGCTGAATAGCTCGACCACCGTCAACTTTACTCCCCACGTGCACAGGGTTGGCGCGAGCACGTGCTCCAGGAGCACCCTGAGCATGACATCGCGCGCTTCTGCGTCTTCCGGCTCTCGCAGCTCGTCGTACATCCAGAGCACCAAGCAGCTGAAGAAGTGGGTATGGGCGTTCGGGAACCGCAGGTGCCGGCATATCGCATTGATGAACAGGTACTTGCCCTGCATTGAGAAGCTGCGTATGAGGTCCAGGAACAGATAGAGCCGTGTGTCGTCTATCGTTATTTGACCCGACATGACATGGGGGAACTCAATCCCGACGTAGTACGTGAGGGCCATCAGGAGTGTGGGCGCCTGACCGGCGTCGCTCACAACCACGTCCTCTAGCACCTCCAACAGTTGATCGAAGTCCGCCCCGTAGATGTTGACGGGGGGAGTCGACGGCAGGCGATTCTTGTGCGCCATGACACGTAGTAGTATGTCGACTTGCTGCTTGATCTCGTGCCGATAGAGTATTGTAACAATCAACGACTCCACCCTCGGCGTATACGTCATGCCCGGGATATGGTCTACGGGCGCTTTCATAGTGCCGAAACCCGCAGATTCGGGATCCATGCTACAACAGCCAACCAGCCGTTCGATCCTGGGAGAGCCTCCTAAGCAGAAGTAGTACTCTACAACAAACTGCGGGTAGTCCCTACACATCCGATAAATCAGTTCAAAATACACCTGCTCCAGATGAGGCATGTGTTCCATCACGTTGATGCTCTGCATGAAACACGTCGCGTGCAGGAACAACTGGGCTACGTGTTCCCAACACCTTGGCACTGCCATGGATCCTGGCAGCAGGCTCCTGTGCCCGAGCAACCTGATCCAGAAGTATGCAAACTCCGGTGCTCGTAGCGGCGAGATCATTTTTAGGGAGTAAAGGAAAGCGATCCTGCAGACGATTTGCCCGGTGACTGACTCGATCCTGTCGAAGTAGTTCATCATGACCACCCAAAGTTTGTAGTAGCCCATATATTGGTCGCCGTAGATAATCAGGCTCGCCGTTGAAGTGAGCAGCTTCTGCAGCGCACTTGAGGGTGGCACGTCGCTGCCTCCCACAAGTTTCTGCATGACGTCGGCCATTTTGGCAAGTGCGACCAGGCTGTCCGCTTTCTCGTGCGGGAAGTCGTCGTCTGCAAGTTGCGGACTCGTGTACGTAGCTGTGTTGGAGGGGATGTGCCCCACGGCACTGCCGACACAGATGGCGAAGAAGTTGTCCGTTCCCCCGTCCATCTTAAACAGGCTCTGCAGGTTGAACCTCTGGAAGAACTGTCGCCAGGCCACCAGCAGATTATCGCCCTCATAGGGCATGCAGCACTCGATCCACTTGGCGAATATGATGCTAACGATGGCGCGGTGGGAGTCAGACACGATCGGCGGCGGTGATACACGTCTCACACCTCCGAATCCGAGATTAATTATCCTTGTCTCGCGAAGTAATACTTCCGGAACGGGTTCAATGTCGTTGTCCGGGCATACAATGTTGTACGTGGCGGCTGGTACGCACGCACACAGATTACGCTTGATGATTGGTGTCAGCGACGATACTACAGTTTTGTTCTGTTGATGCAGTTCCATATAATCCTTCAACAGTTTGGCGCGAGCGTCCTTCAGCAATATCCCGTTATAGTTTTCACACATTTCCTGGCCACATTTGATGTTAACAATTTCCCGTATGATCCCTGTGGCACGCTCCGGCGTAATGCTCCGCTGGTCGACGACCGCTATCGCGGTTATCACTATAGCCATCTCGAACGCGTAAACGTTCTTGCCCTTGTCCATCGCCAGAATGAGGTAGTGTGTCAGGTGCATCCAGTCGAGGAGGTCGTATCGCAGCAACCCCGTAACCGTGACGACGTTGAAAACCGTGTTCCCACGTTCAAGTGGTTGGGCGTATATAATTGACGATATGGCCTGCTTGACTGAGACATTGAGCCTGGCGAGCCCGTCCAAGACGCAGAGCAAAACCTCCACGTTGAGCCCTGCTTGCGAACCAATTCCCTCGCAGAGGAACACTATGAGCCTGTGGGATATGGCCAGCGACGCCATCTCCATGTCCTTAGAATTCTGCATCACGTTGAGGCACTGGGAAATGCATGTAAAAATTTCGTGATCCACGGGGAGGCTGTAGAGCACCAGCAGCGCATGGGTGCTGAAGATAATGGGTTCATATCCAGGTTCGAAGGGAGTCTGCGTGTACAGAATCGGCGGGAACAAGGCAATATCCCGTAGTGGCCCCCTGACATCACCGAACGCCTCTTCGAATCTGGCCAATATCCCGTTTGACGGCATCGCAGGTATGGTTATAGGAGTGGCAGGTGGAGGCCTGGCCGACGGAGGCAGCGATGCTGGCGCTGCAGCTGGCGGCGGGTTCTGCGGTGTCTGTTGCTTCGTTTGTCTTTGGGGGGGCTGCGACGGAGGTTGCGGCTGCTGCTGTTGCTGCATTTGCTGTCGTTGGTGATGGTTCGAAGGGGGCATATTTTGTTGCGGCGTCGTCTGCTGACTTGGTTGTTGATGCTGCTGCTGATTCTGTTGTTGTCGCGGTTGTTGTTGCTGATTCTGCTGTTGCTGGTTATGTTGTTGCTGTTGACCACGATGAGTCTGTTGTTGGCCTTGTCCCAATTGTTGCTGTTGACCTCGATGGGTCTGCTGGCCTTGTACCGACTGTTGCTGATTTTGTTGTTGTTGCTGCTGGCCGCGATGAGACTGTTGTTGATTTTGTTTTTGCTGCGGTCCTGATTGACCGTGTGCCTGCTGTTGGCCTTGCTGACCCGACTGTTGATGTTTTTGCTGTTGTCCCGATTGACCGTGAGCCTGTTGCTGCTTGTGCTGATTTTTTTGTTGCGGTGCCGATTGCGATTGATTATGCTGCTGAGATGCCACCTGGCGGTTTGGACGCTGGAATAAACTCCTGTAAAGCGTGAGGTTCCTCTTATCCACAAACACGTTTAGCTTGTTCCACTGCTGCAGCAGTGGCGGCAACGTAATCGCGATTTTGGGCAGCGATTTACACAATTTCGCAATTTCCGGAACCAGGAGATCAGCTTCGCGTAGCGCAAGTTCTCCAACAATCTTTTCCGCAATACCCACCGCTGGCAGCAGGTTATCCTGACTTATGATCTGCACCAGCTGTTCCACGAGCACCTGGTCATTGCAATCCTGGGTGCGGTAGGTCTGCAAAGCCGCCCTCAAGCTTTCATGGAAGGCTATCCTCAGCGGCTCCTTGCAGGTGGCTCTCACCAACGAGGTTGCAAAACATTCCATCATGGTGTGGATGGCGCCCCTCAGAGCAGTCTCGTCGTCCTCTCCGGCGTAATCATTCGCGACAAGAACCCGCGTGGTAGACCTCGCAATCGAGATCGAGTGTTCCGACACGATGGGCAACACCCTGCGTATGGCCCGTTCTATTGCCACCGGCACGCACGCACGTAATTGCGGCTGAATTTCGAATATTGCGATCGAAGGCGATATAATCACTGCACCGTGCAACTTCTGTAGCAGGCGCTCAGCGTAGTTGCTCAGTTGCATTGTGACATTGTTCTCGTTGTTTGCCTGATTGTTCGTCGGGGTCGCCTGCGCCTGTTGCATGTGCATATTGGCGGGCACGGACGTGCCGGGCCGTACGCCAGCGTTGGAATTATCCGGGGGAGGATTAGCGTAGGAGGGAGGCACATCACTACGTCTTGGGTCAAGCTGCGGCATCAACGCCCTCATTGAGGCAGGCCCCTCGCGCATAACCTTCGAGAGCAGCATGCTGAGCTTGTCCCTGACGCTATCCTTGTGTGTGACACCGCCGTGCTGCGGTAACGGTGTGGAGCGCAACAGGTGTAAATCTGCTGAGGGTGCGGGACCGGTTCTTGGGACGATCGATGGTGCACTGGCGTGGGCTCCGCCCGACCTCGGTGGCTGCTGGCGGGGCGGCATGCTCGACAACAGAGCATGCTGCATAGCCTGTTGCGCGGTCTTGGTAAACGCCGCTGTGTGCGTCCCACTCGACAATGGCGGGCATTTTGGCTTACGTGAAGACGTTTCTGATGTCTGTAAGGGCGGTTCCACCTTTTCCACTTTGTCGATGATGGAGGTGTCGAAGTCGGGTGAGTTCTCGGGCCTAACCTTGGATTCAAGCAGCCGCGTTTTGTTCGCAAAGGCGGACATCCCGAGATCGAGGTGCTTGAAAAGCACCTCCACCTCGAATACTAATGAGGTTTTTAGCGCCTTAAGCCTGTGTATCTCTACAAGGAAGTTGAGTATGGCAGTCGTCCAGGGGTTCGGCGGCTTGAAGATCTTTGAATGTTTGATGTGTTCCATAATCTTGCAAACGAACGGCAATGCGGCTATCATGGCCCCATTTTCGTATGCGTGATAGACGATCTGTTTGATGTCCAGGTGGCGGCTCATGATCGGCATGTTTCGACCCACGGTAATCCTACCGATCCAGCTGCCCAGGTTCCTCAGGAGAGTGCGGTACGACGGTATCTCCTTAAACTCCACGATGTTCTTCAGGCAAGCTGAGATGCACGCGTACGTGATCTGTATGGCCATGTCGAATATCTTGGGTATCTTGACGTTTTCGATGAAAATAACAAAGACTTCGTGTAAATTTTGTTCCTTCGAGGCTCTCGTTTTGATGATGTATATTAATAGCCACGACAAATTTTCGGGCGATATGACTTCGTTGACTTCCCGTGCCTTTTGCGCCGCGCTGTCGGCTGCCATGTTGTTGAAGGCGGCATATATGAGGCTGACCACCGGCCCCGGCGGCGCCGTGACAGTGAACTCCTCCGTAACTCCGTTCATGAGTGTCTCCATCTCTCCTACATCCAGCCTATCCTTATCCGCCATGGAGGGCAGTAACCCGAGCTTCGGCAGCTCGGTGTCAGGCGCATCCAAAATCGGGGGCCCCAAGCAGTCCTCGGGGCGGAGGATGATTCCCCGGGCCTGGTCGACGTACGTCGTCGTGAGCATGGAGTCTGACATTATGGTTTGAAGCTTTTCGCAGGTCTTGTAAAGCTGCGGGAAGGTCTCGCGCACGTCCGGGATGTCCAGCAGCTGCCTGGCGAACCAGGGGTAGTTAGCGATTGCGGTTTCGAACTGCGAGAGCGCGATGCTGCCAAACTGGAACATTTTGGAGGACTTGCCGCGCCTCAGCGCCTCGAGGATACAGCGAAGGGCGAGCATGAGCAGGTTGCCGTTCGAGGTGAGCAGCCCCTCCTTGATCATCTTGCCGAAGAGCTCAGCGGTGATGGCGAGCTCCTGTACGGGGTACTTGGGGAAGAATCTGCACTCGTTGAAGAGTATGGCGAGCATGGTGCGATAAGTTTCCTTGTTCCGGGAGGTGGAGGGGCAGGCGTCGAAGCGCTGCATCACTTCTATCATCTCGTCGGTGCTGACGTTGGCGACATAGAGGTTGTAGAAGTACTTGTTGACCCTCTCTTCCTCCGTCATGTTTTCGGCCTCTTCCAGGTACTGCAGGACACTGGTCCGCGAGGCCGGTGTGTGGGCCGCGGCCACCATGGTGTCTTCGTGTCGTGACTCCGCGCTCGTCGTTTGCTATCGCTCAGGCGGTCGCCACGCCAGTGTAGGCGCCGGTGAGTCGCGTCGCATGGACTCCGGCGGCGACGTGGCGTGCTGGCGCTCGTCCGTTAGTGTACAAACGATGGATCACTGTATAACGGTGAAGACACGCGGCTGCGATAAATGTTTGCGTTTTAAGTGTGCTTTCAGTGAGAGGTTCGTAGCCCGCCAAGTCTCCGGACGCTCCCTGCGAGAGCACAACAGGGGGGGTTCCCAGCGTCGGGGCTGCAACCCGCGCTCACCGCGCGGATTCCACTGCGTCACTGTCAGCATATGATTATAGCGTTATTGTGGTTAGGCTGTGTCTACGGCTAACTTCCGCCGCGCTAGTTTTTCCGATCGCCGGCGTCGCGCGCCGTGGCGTTCGCCTGTCGGCGCATCAGCCCGTATTTCTTGGAATCCTTGCGGCTTAGCTTGACTGCGTCCCTGCAGCCTTTTCCGCCCTGCGGCGTGTTCGGAATCTAGTGATTTTGCCTACCTCCCAGTACGCCGAGCTCGAGGCGGTGAACCCGCGGTCGCAGCCGCGACACTTGCTATTGGACACCGGCTGCTGCGTCGAGCAGCGCCCGCATACGATCATGTGTGCGGGCTCGTAGGGGTGGTCGGAGACCTCGTCGTGGCATGCGTCACACGGGAACAGCTGCGTGCGTGTTAACATACGTATGACTGCGCTTCCCGCTTCCGTACCTTTCCGCAACACGGGAACCTGAACCACCGAAACGACTTCCTGTAGTGTTTGCACGCCCCGTTGTCCGGCAATGGCGTTCCAACCTTCAGGCCGCGCGCCTGCGGCGCCTTTGGCCGAGGCGTCTTTGGTGGCACGAACTTCGGCTTTACGGCAATCGCCCTTTGCAGCATGATGACATTCAGAGTCCAAACTCACTGTGGCGACGGAGCCTCGTGTCCGAACTCCACGGTGTTGAACTGTAGCGTTAGGTTGGCGAAGCAGCCGCGGCAGCTCGACCTTTTGCGCAAACCTGACTCTCATGAATACATCAAGGTTGGAAGACCACTTTAACATCTGGTACCACACATCTCACAACTGACCACTAGCATGTATACCCACCATTTTGCACGTCTCTAACTTTGCACTGCGTGTCGCAAGCCTCGCATGTGAGGTAAAATTCTCCGTTTATGAGATCCTGGGGACATTGGCCAAGGACGTATGGACAACCTACTCTGAAAACGCAGTTCTCCAGGCTCATTCTGCCGATGACTGGTTGTGTGTTAAAGGCTATCTGCGGTTGGAATTCCCCGCGTTGGGCCATGCTGCAGTTACTGCAGCTGCGCTGCACTACAGCGGTCTTCTTGTCACCCATGGTGAATGTGGCGTCGAATAGCGCTTCACATCGGCTACAAGCCAATTGGGCACTGGAAACCGTGACTTATGGCACTATTGACTTACACGAAGCTCACTACATTGATTACGCTGACTTTTTCCAGCTCAAGCTCTAGCAGGCGCAGCTCATCGCTTTTGGCGAGCACCGTCTCGAAGTCCTTTGGCATCGTTACCAGCGATTTATGTTCCTGCAACAAACTGTAAACGCGCGATTCCGATCATAGAGACCCCTTACCTCGGTGGCCTTGTTGAGCAGCAGCTCTCTACAGCGCTGGAACCTGCGCCGACACTCCTCCGCCGTCTTAGTTTTGACTACGCTTGCGACAGCCGCCCAGCGCTTCACCGGATCCGCTAAAGATTTTGTCTTCGCCAATGCAAACTCCAGGCTGTAGGAATAATGTGTTATCTGGGATGACACCACCCACCTCTTTTGCTCTTGCAGCGACCACGTGTCGGGGTCAGAGCTGGGCGCTGTAGAGGCGGCAGCTGTTGGCTCTTTAACCTCCTTTTTGTTTTGTTGCGATCCATACAGCGCGAATATTCGCACAAGTTCTCGGTCCAGGAATTTCAGGCACTCGTAGATCACGTAGCGCTGTGATGAACGGTACTTGGACACGAAGGTGAGCATAACCTTTTTTATGACCAGCTTGAGCTCGTGGCTAATGCTCGCATTGTCTATGACTATATCGGCCGCGCCACTCATGCTGTAGCAGCTGATGGGAGCGGAGGCTGCCTCTCCAGTATCAGCGGAAGGCGCACTGTCGCCGGGATCGGATGGGCATGCCGGCTTCTCCTCCCCCTGTTCTTGAGCTGAACTGTCTGACGGCCATTCTCGGTGGAGCGTGAGCGTCATGGGGATAGCCCTGTCTTCACCTAGACTAGCGAGCGGGAATGCGGGGTCGGTGGGTCGTAGCAACAGCGCGACCTTGACTGCGCCGCGACACCAAGCCTGCTCGATAGCCAGAGGCTGCACCACAGCCTCTCCGGCCTCAGCACCTTCATGGCAATCTGAGAAGGTCGCGCCGAATAGCCGCTGCAACTTGAAGAGCTCCACGTAGCCGTCATCGCGCAGCGGCAGGAGGTCAGACATGACTGCCGAGGCAAGGCGACGGGATCATCGCAGACATACATGTGTTGATATTCTAGCAGTGCTTAATGGCGTGTGTGTCCATTATGTGAGTGACGAAGCCGGCGACGAATGTGCGCGACTACGGGCATCTTCACTAGGTGATGCGCGGCGTCTCCGTCATTGTCTAGCGCTTGTGAACAGGAAAAGCTGGCCGTAGTGCCCCAAAATGGCATGAATAATACAATGGTGCCGTATGTGTCGGCAGAATTCTAAGATTAACGCTTTGCGATGTTAGTCTTACGTGCACTGCTCTGCATACACATCCGCTCAGACAGCCGACGCCGAGCGACTAGACACGTTCATAGACAGCATTGAGCCATGAAGACAGTCACGCTCAGCGTCACCGCAGCCTTTGCGCTGTGCTGCTTCGGCGTGTTCGAAGCCGGCTGCGCCGAGGAGAGCTACACATACCCGGACGATTACGCAGGGCGGTCGTCTGGCTCCGGCAGCATCGAAACCATCCACTTCGCGTCCTACACCCCGTCGCAAGACCAAATCGAATTCGCGAAGAGGAGCATCGCAGACGATGAGAGCCGTGAGACCATGAAGAAGCTGGTGGAGATCCTCCGTCAGTCCACCGCCGGTCAGAGTCAGCCAGATACCATTGAAGACTACTCGAACGAGTTCGAGAACGAGCCCGTAGCGGATGCGGCTTACGAGACGTCGGAAAACGGCAGTGCCTATTCGACGGAACCCAACACTAATGGTATCGCTGGGCGATACCATGCTGCTCAGTCCCCGGCCCAGCCTGCACACGTCAATGAACGTCCATACGCCGCCTTCAACCAGATAGCTTCAGGAGTACAAGTCGTCGCCAACAACAGCCTCATCAACTCCCATCTGCATGAGATCCCCGAGCCTCACTACGAGCAAATTCATGCGCATGGCTTCCACGGCAATCACACCCAGGAAGAGCCTTCAGCCCACAGGCAGCCAACCGCTGGTCACAGCCACAACTTCGGCCATGTTGCTACGCACGAGACTCCATTACAGGCACACCCATCGTTCGTATCTTACACTCCACATGACCATCACGACACGACCACTGCCCATGGCAATCCTCACCACCAGAACGGATCACCCCAGGAAGCCCATCACTATCCGCACCACCAGTCAAGCCATGTTGGAGAGGCAAAAGCTATTCATTCCCTTCACAGCCACGCAGAAGCCGCTCTGCATCACGCAGATCAGGCGGCGGTGCAGCTGGTTAATCGCATGTGTCAAGCACTTGTACGCAACCCCGAGTACATCGCGTTCTGCAGGAACCCCGTAGTTCAGGAAATCATCCGGGACAACCCGCAGATCTTGGAGGAGCAGTACAGCATCGACATTTTGGGGCAGCACCTGCAGCCGACGAACGGCGACATGGTCACCGACTTCAGGGACGGTCATTCAGTGTCTCAGAGCATGCGATATTTCATCTCGAAAATCTGTGTTGGTCCCCTGCCGGCGGCCTGCAACAACGTGGCGCTCCACGCGTGATCAGAATCGCCGTGAGGAGACCCAGTCGAAGATGAAAGCGTACGACTCGAGCAGGAGTGCAACCTGCAGCATGCGATGGCGGTCCCCGAAGTGCGCGATAATTTTTGTGTTACAGCTGCTCATAGCCTGAAACTCAGTGTTTAATATATAAGCTTTCGCCTACTTCATTGATCTTGTCTTCCTTCACATCGGTGAAACTGTCCCTCACGATGTCCACCATAGGGGGCGTGCCTTCTATGTACAGCGGTTCGTCGTGTTCGAATTCGCTGAAGGTGCACCTCGGTTCGAGTTCCTCGGTGAATTCCAGTCGCATTCTTATGCTGGCGCACTTGTTCCCTAGTACCCACCCGCTGCTCCTGCACGTGTACTGTGAGGAGTGGTGCTTCCTGAGTTCTTGTGGCAGCAGGTTGATGGGCGTGGACCTGCCGCGCCGGTAGACATCGGCCAGGTAGCAGTTCCAGACGTGCTGGCGCGCAATCTCGTACCACCACTCCATCCGTTCGATGAAGTGTTGCGGCAGCTCCTTATCCATGGCCGTGAAGGTGTCCAGCACCATGCCCTCCCCGATGATCGTCTCCTTTGGGCTGTCGCTTCCGGTAGACATGCTGGACTCGCTGTGTATGGACACGCACTCCATGCGCCTCGGCGTGCAGTCTGCGCGGGGCGTGGTGTCGCACACTGCAGACCCTGGAAACGGGAAGCGAGGCTCCCGTATACGAACCAGCCCCCTTTCGTCCAGAGTGGCGAGGAACAACAGAGGGAACACGATAGACGCGGCATCCGCGCTCGGCATCAACACGTCACGTGGCGCGGCAAATGTCATGTGCAACCCGTAGTCCCTGTCCCCTTCCTTGAAGACTTTGAAGACCACGTCGCGGTTAGGCGTCCCTATCGCTCGCAGCTGCATTCGCGAGAGGAAGTTATGCAGCAGGGTGGGAAGCTTCTTGGAGTCGGTCAGCTTCAGCGACTCGACGTAAGCTTCCGCACGATACGATGTCGTCAAATCACGCAGCTGCCGCATCGCCTGCTCCATGCGTGTTAGGAGGGACTGGCGTTTCGAGTTTATGGAAGCAAGTTCCTGCGAAAGCATGTCGCAGGTCTTTGAGAGTGAGTCGCAGATTCCTTTCTTCTTCATGCGCAAGCGCATTTCGTTGCGCACCAGGTTGATGTTGCGCCTGTATTCGTCACTCATATCATCCATCGGGATCTCGTTTTCGTCAGTCGTGTACTTCGACAGCTTATTCGAGAGGCGCTCCCATGAGGAGTTGGAGGAAGCCCGGTGCACCCGGCCTACGTTGAACCTGACGTGGTGCACCTTGCAGAGAGTGTCCTTTATGATTTGGTCGTACTTCGAGCCCCTTTCGCGGAGCGCAGCAGTGATCTTGGTGCACATGCTGGAATAGAACGCCACGTTGCGATTGGCCTGCTTGATACCCAGCGCGACTTCGATGACCTGCGGGGCCATACTGCGCTGCAGTGTCGATTGTGCGATAGATAGCGCACTCTTTGTGTGCGCGTTCATTTGGAATACCCAGTTGCACCACAAAACCAGGCAGCGCAGCAGCTCGCGAATCGCCTGTCGGTCGTAGTTGGCATCGACGTTCACCGGATGTCGATGGTCGGACACGTTACAATCCGTTTCGCCCTCGAGCCGCACCTCCGGTATCTCTTCCGCGTCCGTGCAGGCAAGGAAGGAGTCAACCAGCTGCATGAAATACGCATCAGGGTCTCCAGGTTCCGAACCCTTGGCCTCGGGCCCCTTAATTAATTTGAATCCGGGCAGGTCGTCTAAACAGCTGCGAAGCATCTCAAGCGACTCGTCTATAAACAACAGGTCACCGCCACTTGACGGAAATGGAAACTCTGCATTAGGACAGATGCGGCTGATAGCTGCTTTGTCGAACTTGATTCTGCCTTTCACCGGAGTGGATTCCTCGCGGGGCCGCTTCTTTCGCTCGGGGTCCGCGACTTCCTCGCAGTCTTTCAGCGGTGGGTTAAATAGCCTTTTGAGGAACTCCTCTAGCGGCGCTCTGGAGAATATCTTCCCGTAGCTGACGTCCGTCGCGGCAGTCTCATTGCTCGGGCAGTCGATCGAATGCGATTCGATTTTTTCTAGGACCTTTACCGGCTCCATTTGCGATATTATATGTTGTTATAATATATATTTATGAATTATTGCTCTATTAGCAATAATCTGTGCCTGCGACTGCCATGCTGGCACAATGGCCGCGGGGCTTGAAACCGAACGGGATTCCTCGGTCCGCGCCGTCCACAAACCACTTTGCAGCGACGGGTGTGTAACAGTCGGTTAAGACACCGTCGCACATCCCATTGTTAGGGTTCGGGCGGTGGCGGGCCTCCGGTGGGACCCAACGACACCTCAGTGAATGCGAAATCGCGAGCATTGACTGTGTCAATTTCCATTTCTGCAGTTTTCCACTAGTCGTACTACTTAGGATACTTGGCTGCAATGAGTCTCAACACGCTTGTCGGCCACCACCTGCTGGGCGCCGCGGTGACTCACACACTGCTGCCCGAGACTGGTTACGCCGCCACCCGTATGGGCCGGAAAATCCGTACGTGGCTGCTTCACGCTGTCGTATACATGCAGGTTTCTCCATCGTGATAGTCATCATCTCGGCACTTCTGTGGCATGAGCTGCCGGACAACAGCCAGAGCCTGTACGGCCTGGTGGGCCTTCCTACGACGGCAACGCAGTACAATATCGTCACCCAACACTCGAAAATGAAGGCTGAGCTGCAGGTGTGTTGCCACCCGGGGCAAAATCGCATGATTCGCAGAAAAATGCATCTATGGAGAATGCTGACGAGATCAAGCAGGCGTTCCAGATTCTGATGAGCGAGGAGAAACGTGGTGTGTACGACCGTTACGGAGATATACAATCAGGTATGTGCTATCAAAGCGTTCTCCACTGGTTGCAGCACTCTTTGGCGATGCTGACCTGCCCGTGGTGGCCACCTCCTTGTCGCTGGCCTACCATGCGCTCTCCTGCATCCTATGCATTGCATTCTTCAGCTCAAACCAATTCGCGCTATCCCGCTACGTAAGTCTGAAATGAATTCTTGTATATTCGTCATGTGGTGCACAATTTTCTGCGTTGAACGAGGGAACGTGTTGTAACCATTGTATGCACCTTGGTATTCTCCAGTTTCTTTTCAACCTAACACTGCAACTCTCTGGTGTATTTGTATGGATGTACCGTGTTTGTTGCACAAAATAAGCGTCATCCGTATATCTTGCGCTGCACTTTGTTGCTGACTAGTAATGGTGTCATGGACTGTCGGATGCACTGTATTGCGACAGCTCCTGTTCGTGTAACGAACGTCTTTTTGCCTATTGTTACTATGGGTGTTTTAATGTGCGTTTGCTTGTTTGTTGGTGGTTTTTACGTATGGTTAAACGTAAATCCGCGTACCAGTCATTCATCATACGTTGACCGTTTGCATCACGCATTCACCCTTCTTTGTACTAATGGCGTCTCAGTTTATGTTCTTGTATAGTGCGATCTCGTTCGCACTCGAGATGGAGTGCCGTTTCGTGAAGACGAGCAGTTTCTTCAAAAACATCTACTACGTCAATGAGCTGCTGCCGTTCCAGCAGGTGGCACTGATGCGCCGTATTGCACCGGCTGTTGCGTTGCTGCTCAACCTTATCTGTGCCTACTTCTTCGTGGACATGGACAAATTCCACCTGTTCCTGTGGCACTCTGCGGTATCCACCAACCGTGCTATCATTGAGAAGATGACCGACGTGGTGGACGCAACAAGTAGGTTCACAGATGGCCGTCGATCAATGTTTGGTGCAGACTATGTGAGGACTCTTCCAACGCATTCGTCTGCTGGAATAAGGGCGTCAACGTCTTCCGAGCAAACGGTAATGTGTCACTGAATCTCCATGTGGTGTGTGCATTGTCAGTGTTGTTTATGGACAAAGAATTTTGCAACTTAATTCGTCCATTGTGTACTATGCGCAATAACAAAGTACATGCTGCATGCTGGGCATAACGTTTTTCGTGTCTGTAGTATGGTAGCTAGTGCCACATGATGCAATGATTGACACTCCGCAGGCCGCAGCCAGCGACGATGACGTCAAGAGTGACGGCGGGAAATCTTCCGGCAGCTCTTCAAAGAGCGCAAATGCGGTCAAGGAGATTCTGGATTCAATGAACGAGACTGAGCGTCAAAAAGTTGCCGAACTTCTGAAAATAACGGTAAAGCTTGAGTGATGTAATTACTCAACTGCTTTCAGGGTTCCAACCGTCGCCCTGCCAACAACTGGCTCTCGGTGTTGCAATCTTCAGCCGTGTACTTGGCCATATTTTTGGTTGTGAAGTACTGCCTCGGTTGATGTGTGAGCGGGAGGCGCACAGACACACCAGCCGACGTGCCGGTTGAGCCATGGATGCGCAATCGCTGGATTTAATAAATATATAGCGACGGAAGGTACCGATATGGCAACCGATTCAGAGAGCGGCACCTTTTTAGGGCGTGGCAACCTGAAGAACCAGCGTGGAGACACGGTCAGTGCGCAGGAGCTCTATGGCAAGTCCGTCGGTCTGTTGTTCTGCGACGGCAGCAGCCCGCGCTGCTGCTCCATCATCCCCTTTCTCATCCAGGTACTTAGGTGGCAGCGTGACCGACCGACTGATTGCGTTTGCAGTTTTACAACAGCGTGAATGGACAGGGTACAATGCCGAAGATAGAAATCGTCTACGTGAGCTGCGACGCTACACGGGAAACCTTCGACAACAACGTGCGGCGCATGCCGTGGCTGCACCTGGATTTCAACGACCCCCTGCTGCCGGTGCTCCGTCACAGGTACAACGTCATCGAATGCGATGCTGACTACGGTAGGTTGCATTATTACCCCGTGTGACATTGCTCACACCTATACAGGCAGCTTCAACTCTGTGGAGATACCATCTATTATTGTGGTTAACAGCCACGGTAGCGAGATCCAGCGATTCGCTCTTTACCACGGCCGTGAGCAGAGTGCGCAGGCTCTGAGGCGCTGGGACTGGCGCAACTGCCTTTTCGCATGAGCACGCTGCGAGCTAGGCGCCACATCCCCGGCTGGATAGAAGTGACGCCGTTTGACATAAGTTAATGTACTTTAACAATATTTGTTGGCGTGGACCGGGCGCATATCAATGTGCGACTACTAGGCGCAGCGCGGTGTGGATGGTTTCATAGAAATATGAACGCAATCGAGTGGTACTAACAGCCGGCATGGCAATTGCATACTGCACAGCGCCGCTGTATCTGCATTGATGACGACGGCGTGGAGAATCACGGGTACGTCAGGCACTTCGTGACACGCGCATCCGCCCGTAGACTCGATGCCTTTACACAGCCGTGTTCAATAGCCATTTACATTTGCTTTTGAACACTAACGCTATGTTTCGATGTGTTATGTACTCGACTTAGGATGCCTTATGTTGATGTGTCGATCTGTTGTTGATGTTTTCTACCGCATATTGCTACACATTGACACTTCAAATGTCTCGTTGTTCTCATATTGGCAGTTGCTGTACATCACGTTGCTTCTAGCGGCGTGTGCCCTCTGTGCAGGCAACGGTCGCCAGGAGCGCCCGGGGTGCGTCGACCTCGCGAGCGTCCCTGGCGACGGAACCGACGCTCTCGGTAGAGTCGTTCGCACGGCTGCTGAGCTGTATTGTAACTCTGTCAATCATGGACAACCCAAAGATGGTTCGGTGGCAATCCCGGAGCCATAACGGTACTCCGCGGGGTGCACATGGCAAGGGTAGGCGTTGGTCTATAACGCGTACACATCTCTTGCAGACCACACCACCGTCATCACGGACCCCGAAACCTTCGACAATGAGGGCATTAACGACGATGTGGTCAGCAGCGCGAAGCGGCCCCTTCTGGAGCAGTTTCCGCTCGACCCTCAGCCGAATCCGTGGCTCCCGCGGATTATCATCGGCCTGTGGCTTGTTATGACACCGCTGGCAATATACTATCGCAAGGAAATAACAGACTTTGTTCGCGCTGTCGCCGTGAAGGTTAGTTGATTAGTGTGTACTGACGCATCATATTTCAGGGCGCTGAGCAAGGTTCCTTGCTGTACGTCTACTTCGTACTGTTGTTCATCCTCGCGGTCATGTGCTGTGTCTCGCTGGAGATTATGGTATGTTTACTCATCGAGCCTTGCATGCTGATCAGATTATTTCCGGCGGTTTCATCTTCACCCACTTGCACGGCCATATGGGTAAGTCATTGGGATGTGGCATTCATGGTGCTCAGCGGGTGTGGCTATCGGCACTGGTTTAAGCTTCGTCGCGTATTTCATCACCATGCTGATCTGTTTCCTGATCAGCAGGTACGTGCTCAAGGGCATCATCAACCGTTACTTGCGCCACTACAAGTACTACGGTGCGCTAATTCGTGCTACCGAGCTTGAGGGATTGTCACTGGTGGCGATGGTCAGGCTTTCTCCGTTCTTCCCTCCGACGCTCGTGAGCTACATTTTCGGCAGCACGAACGTTTCCGCTCGCCACTATTGCCTCGCCAGCTTCGCCGCGATCCCGTCCATTACTTTCTTCACGTACATCGGATCGCTGATCGAGAACATCTCCGACGAAACAAGTGGGTGGTCGACTTTTTGTGTCGTTCAACAGCGTTCAGATCCTCCGAAATCGAGTACCGAAATCGCGATGTTCCTGACAGCATCGATCCTGATAACTGTCGCTGGCGTGTACTATACATACATGGTGACGAAGCGTCACCTGGAGCCCAACCGCTCCCCACGGCCGGCGGCGGACGCGGAGAGCGCAGCGGCCTAGATGCGCTGCAGCCACCCTCTGCGGCGTATTACAGCCGCATTAACGTAGTTTTGTTGACTAGGTGATGCCACTTAGTAATATTTAAATATATTGTCGATTTATTGTGCAGTAAATAAATGGCCGATGTTTTATCGGAGTGCGTGCGGTATTACGCGAACGCTTGTCCCAGGGGCTTGCCCTTTGTCTCCTTGAGGAAGAAGTATACGAAAATGAGACCTAATATGCCGCATGCTGTGTACAAACTGTAGGCGAAATTGTCGCTCCAGTCTAGCAGCGGGTCAGAGGTGATGACGACGATGGCAGCGAAGGACCAATTCAGTGCTGTAGCAAGGCCGAAAGCCGCGTCCTTGTACTCAGTGCCGAGCGCCTCCGCGAAGTAGAGCCACATGATACCACCGAAACCAATGGCGAACCCAACCATGAAACCGATGCAACCAGCAACCATGACATACTTGGCCCATTCGGCCTTGACGGTCATCTTGACGATGACAGCGGGTACCATGAAAGCGGCCGAGAGTCCGATACCGAACATGAGTAGCGTCTTGCGTCCGAATTTTTCAACGACGAAGGCTAGGAAGAAGGTGCTGAGGAAGAGGGCTGCAACACCTGCCAATGCCATGGCGCTGGCCGTGAAGGTGCGTCCCATGATATTGACGAAGAGCTTCGAAGCATTGGCGACGAAGACGTTAATACCAGAAAGTTGTTGCATGATGGAGAGACCGCAGATAATGAGAATGGCCTTCCTGTAAGCTGGCACCTTTAATGCGGCCACGACACCCATCGAAGCCGAGGAGCTTTGGAGCGCTTCGACGTCACCGCGAACATCGTTGAAAACGCTTTCCACATTCTCAGCGCCGTGGAGCATCTCGATGACCTTCTTAGCCTCTTCCTCCTTGCCTTCCTGCAGGATCATGTGCGGTGTGTCGTACTTGACCACAAGGAAAATAATCGCTAGCGCAATCACACTGAACAGTGCAGGCCAGAACTGCGCCATCCTCCAGATGAACTGGTCCTTTATCGTGATGTTGTCGGCTCCTAGAGGCGCGTTTTCTGCGCCAAGCACGCGCATGTGCAGAAGCTGCCATGCGTTCATGAGCAGCTGACCAGTGGTAATGAACATGGGGTACGCCGTTCCGTAAGTTCCACGCTTCTCGACGGTACAGATCTCAGTCAGGTACATGGCAACCAGACCCGACATACCAACGGAGATACCGGCAATGATGCGTCCCAGCAAAAGCATAGAGAAGCACTGTGCAGCCGTGCCGATGAGCGAGCCAATAATGTTGATCGCGTGAATGATAATCATAGCGCGCCTTCGTCCGTACTTGGAGAGGGTACCGATAAGCAACGATCCCACAATTCCACCCACGAAGGAGCCTCCACCAATGAGCGACCCGTAGAGAGTGGCCTTCGGGCATTCATACGGCTTCTCCGCATCCTTACACCATTCGAAGTCAACGATAGCAAATTCTTTGGAGGCGCTGAAGCTCACGGTGTTGAGACCGAAGTTGAAGGCCACGATGGCGGCCAGGGTCATCGAAAACGCAAAGTACGGCTTCATCGTCGGTGTTTAATAGACACAGTGTGTAACTTTGGCGTGTTGATAAAAAGATACAAACCGGACGATTTGTGTACTTGTGTGTAATAATGTGGCCAGAATCAATTTGTGGTCCTAGTCTAGTGCAATGCGTGCTAGGGTTTCCGTCTCTGTGCAGTGCAGCAGTGTACGCCACGGACCCCACTGCTATGTGCCACTGCGTGTATAATTTCGTGTGATTGTGCCTTATTTACCCTCTGAATGCGGGGTACCCGCATTCCGCGCACACATAGCCGGGTTTAACGCTGTGGCGTCACGTCGTACCGCCGACGGTGTGGAAGGACGCCCAGTAGATTCCACGATATCAATGGCGCGCGCGATGTGTGCATATGCCCTCTTTGAGGAACTCGACGGAGCCCATCTGTTTTCATTCATATTGCCCCGCATTACGTGAAGACCAAGGAGTACTCGGTTTTGTGTCGCGACCCGTTGAGACGCTCAACGCGTAAAATGTGATTCCACCACTCCAACATTTCAATGCCATGTACACACCACAACACCGGTGTGTATATAAGCAGATTTGCTCTAAACATGAACCTTCCAGCGTCAAATTTTGGCGCGAGCACAATAGATGTTCACCAGCGATATTATGAGTTTACGTGAGAAGTCTGGAATTGTGTACTGGGTAGCCTAATATAACGCTGTAATCACGCGGTACGTACGGATGTATATTCACGGGCAGCGCTAGAGAAGGGCGGAGCGACGACACCGTCAGCCACGGTTCATCGTCGTCCCCAGCCACCAGAGCCTTCTCGGCAGCGCGAAAGGCCCATGAGGAGGAGACACAGTACACGACGGTAGTATCGAAGTATAAGTGCAGGTGTAGGCAACCAATGCCAACCCGTGAACACACAACAGAGGCTACGAAATTTGCACCAAACTGTTTGACGGATACATCATAATTAGTGACGTTACACTTGCCCATCAGGCATCCCAGAGCACTTTTTAGGCGAAAGCTTGAACCCAATGACAAATTAATGCACAAAGGTTTGCGTAGTTGTCCGCGCCATACGCGGGTGGCATTTTAAATATAATTCCATCATCCCACGCAATACTTTTGTGCGAGCGCAATGAAGCTTACTGACGACTGCACGCAGTAGTCTCGGCAAATTTCTCCGATGACTCAACTGCGCAATGGGTCCAATAGACCCCGGTACTATGATGCTAAAATCAACAGCCGCAGTATTCGCAGCGATGAAGTTGCATACTATACCAAGGAGGCCGGGAGCGATATTCTCTACCGACCTGATGCAGCAACATCCGTGAATTGATACTGCTTCAAAACTGTATTCGCGATGTGAAGTCGAGACGCACTGTGCGTTTGGCGATATCCCACATTAATATCCCAAACATCAACGCGTGACAGATTCTACCTTTAACGCGTTACAAAAACACATTCCATTATTATCCGAAGGGGTCTCACGTGAATTGCAAACTACGTTGAAAGAACGAACCTTGGATTTCGAGCGACGGTGCTTTAAAACATTACCAAACACACATCTCCCTACTACTGAGCAGCAGTGCTCACGAGTCAATAACATGCGGCCAATCGTACGGATCGGGTGCCGGTGCGCCACGCATCGACCATGGCGAACCTCCACCTATGTATGCCGTTCCCAACGGAACGCCTTTTGTTTCCCGCACAAAAAATACCGCGAAAAGGAATGAAAGGAAGGAAAAAAATACATAAACCCAGTATACTTTGTCTGACAATTTGTTTCTCAGAGTGTCTGCCGTCATCACGATCAAGGCAGCTGCAAGCCAGTTGAGGGCACTTGCCACTGCAAAACCAGCATCCCTGTATTCCGCACCTAATGCCTCCGAGAAATATAACCATGCCACACCTCCGTACCCCGTAGCAAAAGCTGCAACGAACACCATACATCCAAAAATCATCACGTATTGAGTCCAATGTGTTTTATTGCCGCCCCCGCCGTTGCTTACGCCACTGGTTCCTTGGTCTCCGCATTTGTGGTTTTTTCCTTTACTATTTTCGTCTTTGCAGACTTCCTTCAGCAGCAAACATACGGCGAGTACACTTGTACCTATACCGCTGCCATATATGAGCAAATTGCGCCGTCCAAATTTGTCGATATACAGGGGCAAGAGGCAACACACGATAAAATTTGTTAGTGGACACAAGTTTCCCAGCGCAGTGGCTCTGAATCCCGGACCTACTATCATTCCAAACATTTCCGACGCGCTGAGGGTGAAAACATAAATACCGCACAGTTGACGTAATATTGCGATGGCGAAAACCACCAACAAGGCTCGTCGTGAGTCCGGGTATGACAACGCCTCCCAAAGACCCATCTTCTGTGCACCCGATTCCTCAGAGGCTACATCTTCCATAATTTCTTGAAATGATGATTCCACCTTGTCGGGACCCTGAAGCAACTCCAATACATCCTTAGCCTTTTCGTACAGGCCCTGTTTTACAAGCATAAAGGGGGTGTCGTCGACCACCACCATGTATAGGAGACACAACGCGACGAGACTCGCGAGTGCTCCATACAGCTGACCCATACGCCAAATTGCCTTGTCTGTACTCTGTGGTTCAAATTTCTTGTTGCACTTATGTTCCGTATTCGATTCAGCTGCGCAACAGCACTCGCAGGAGCAGGAGCCCGATTCCCCCGAACAGCTACAATTTTTTTTGCCATCCCCACTACTACAGCAATTACTCATTTTGCAATTCTTCTTACAACAACACATGTCGCAGGTACAAAACTTGTCCAAACTATCATGGTGGGTTAGCTGCCATAAGCTGATCAGCAATTCACCTAATGTAACAAAAACGCTGTACAATGCTCCATAGAGCCCGCGTTGACCACTGGTACATATTTCACCAAGGAATAAAGACGCGATACCAGACATCCCAACCGATACACCTGCCGCCAAGCGAGCTATTGCGAACAGAGACCAGTGACTCCCAATTGCAGCAACGCCACATCCAGCAATACTCAAGAGGTGGATTAAAATCATACACTTACGCCTTCCCCAGTGAGAAAGAAGGCCGATACAAATGGATCCTATGGCACATCCCAAAAACACGGAACCGCTAATAAGTATTCTCCTGAGTTCTTTCTCATCATTCTTACAATCCTTATCGTTGCAATGTTTTTTCTCTTGAATATCCATTTCTTGGAATGCGAATTGTTTCGACGGGCCCAGGCTAACGCAAATGACGCCAAAGTTGAAGGCCACAATGCCCGCGGCGATGAGCGCCGCCCAGAAGTACCACGCCATCGTGCAAGGACGGAGAAGCAACGGGAAGAGGATGCGATATACTTCACTGATATATGATGAATCTTCAAATTTTTTTATGGAGGAAATATCGCCACGTGGGCTCCCATCCAAAACTTCCTGCCGGAGAAATAAACAACAAAGATCAATCTGGGGTCGCTTGTGCAGTTAGTGGAATAGGCAAATGGGTGTAGAGCTATCGACCCCAACTATTTTTTGATTAAAATAAACACATTAAAACCGGCCTTTTGCAGCCATAGTGATTGTGTATGAAGGCAACCCGCTGGTTATTTGAAACAGCATTTCTTATCATTGAAACATGTAAGTGTGCATCATTGTGGGTGGGATATAAACAGTTTGTATTGTTAACTTATATTATTTTGAGAGCAATAGATTTAGCTATCATTAAAAACATCGTGGTGCCTCTTGCAATTTATGTAAAACGGTTTGCGACACGCTTTTCGCCGCAGCGTGGTTGATATCTCTGTTGAAATGGTTCCGGGTCGTATATAAAATTGCAATGCGCGTCATTGGATGAGGTATTTAGATGTGGATATTTTATATTAGCATGATGTGTGTGCACGTTGCGCAACTGGCGTTATGGAACGCCCACATCACACAAAATTTACCCTCTAATCTCGCGTTTTCTGCTTGTAACAGTAGTATATTGCAGTATGTGTGCTTATTAGGGAGCGTTTGATTCGCCGGAATTTATCACCTTCCTTTGAGTATCTACGTCGATGTTGTTGCATGATGTCAGAGTGACCACTATATAACAGCGTCAGATGCCACACTCACATATTACGACTCTTTTTCGCCGCTTTATAGTCGCATCGCAAACTTACTGTTTACATCTGTCGACACACTTCTCGTGTGTATCGTTTAGTTTAGCCATGAAATTATGTCATCATCTCACGTGGAATACTTAAACATCGACTTTAGCTTTATAGCTATGAGCTGCATGGTGTATATGGGTGCGTTATTAGTCGCTGTCATTTTTCGTTTCACCTCGTAATCTGTGGGCCACCTTGTGGTCGCTGCCCATACGGATTATATCATTTCCGGGAGTATGGATGTAATGTGTTTAGTATATGTCGCCAGCGATGTCGGGGATCCGTATGCGACTTTCACGATAGATGTGACATTCACGCCACGATTAAATCGTACTTCTGGCTACCACGAGGTAACCGCGGATTGCGGTGATCTGTCAATACAGCCACCGTTGTACGTCGCACCAATACCCGCACCATCAAAAATAAGTTATAACTCCTCTATGGCACCTGTGACCCAGACTGCTTCCCTGGTACCACGTTACTTCCAGATGCCGGGGTCGATGTGTTAGCGACAACCGCAACACTCACATATGTACTCAAATCATTGCCAACGCAGATACAATTACGTGTTCTAAGTCCTGCCGGTTGCGCCGCGCGTACGCCAGCGTATGGAGATAACACGCTCAGTTACCACCCTTAATCTTCTTCTTGGGGCGCAGCTGGCTGCAGCGGCCGCAGCGCTTCTTGCGGCAGTTGGTGGCGCGGGGAGGCAGGCGCGCGTAGCAGCGACGGCACACCATCTTGTCACAGTTGTACTTCTGCGCCAGGATGACCAGCGAGGGCTCGATGATGCCACCACGCAGGCGGAGCACCAGGTGGAGGGTGCTCTCCTTCTGGATGTTGTAGTCGGAGAGCGTGCGGCCGTCCTCCAGCTGCTTGCCGGCAAAGATCAGACGCTGCTGGTCCGGAGGAATGCCCTCCTTGTCCTGGATCTTGGCCTTAACATTTTCGATAGTGTCACTGGGCTCGACCTCGAGCGTGATGGTCTTGCCTGCGCAAAAATGACTTCCCTTACAACTTTACACAAACATACCAGTTAGAGTCTTCACGAAGATTTGCATTTTGCCTGCGGTGCGGTGAGAAACGGTTAACACAGTGTGGCCACGACAGCAGGCAGGGCGTCGGAGCGGCAGAACTCGCGGCGCCAGACACTCACGAAACTCACCTCGTTAGCGATAGCCTCTACTCTAAAATATATAAAATTTCGGCCGTCGCTCCTGAGAGAAGGCCTACGATGGAAAGTGATAACCGCTGGGGACGGCTCACCCGTAGGCCTAGTCGGGCTCCGCCGCGTCCAGACGGGGACAGCGCCCATTCGCGGGCAGGGAATCCAGACATCGCCAACGCCTCTAGCGGCGTCAAATCCCGTCCTTTCTGCTGGCTAGGTGGGATTCTCGAAAATTGTCGGACGCGACACACTCCCGTCCCATAGTACCGCGGTCAATGGAGAAGCGGGATGAAATCACCGAGCGTGGCACTGTAGAAATCACTCAGACAGTCACGACGTCGCTCATCAAGTCCGAGGCGAGGATTCGTCTGGTTGCTCGCGACTCCGGCTCCCCCGTCAACGTCGAGCCTGCCGTCGTGGTCATCGACGTCGCGTCGGACAGCCCCTCAGAGCACCTGAAGGCTGTGCAACATGAGGTGAACGCCTGGATATCGACATTCGTCGGGGAGAGCTAAAATGGCGACCGATCCGCCCGTTAAGGGTGGCGTAGGTTCCATCGTGTCCAACACCACGCGCAAGGCCTACGACAAGGAAACCTTCGCGGCGCTGGTGGAGTGCTGCACCAGGCTGTTCTGCTGCGACGAGGAGATCGTTATTGCAGATTTGCTGCTGGCGGTGGAGCGTGCGATCACGGAGCGTGACATAGAGGCGGAGTTGGGACTGCCAGAGCGTAAGGTGCACGAGTTTCTAGTGAGGCTGGAGCGTCACGGCCTGGTGAGCAAGGTCACCACTGGGCAGACGTCAGACATCCTCGCTAAGCCGGTGCGTCAACCAAAGAGGTAGGTATCGGCTGTGGGTTGTTGGCGTAGCAGCTTGTTAATACATGTATCCTCCCTGGGTGGTGCTGATTATGGTGGCGTAGGTGAACCGTTCTCGACGGACGCTGCATATTGGATGTCACCGCTTATAGGTGATAACGGCGGCAACTATATGTAGCCGCCGTTTTATGGTGATGTATACGTGTGTTAAGATGAGTGTTTATGTCGGTGCTCATGTTTGTGCTCCTTGCCTGTTTGGCCATTGCACTTCGCGGACGGTTGCCGTGAATCAGCCGCTGCACCCATCAGTGTTTGCCAGAGCTCATGCCATGCAGCTCTCGCGACATCCTGCCTCCGCCACCCCCGAGCAGCGCGCAGACCTTTTGGAGGTTGAGCAGCTACTTCATTTTGGCAGTGCACTACAAGCTGAGTAAAATGGAGGAAACGCTGCTGCAGCGCCGTCGAGTTCTGCACGAGTGTGACCGCTTTGTGTGTCCATCCTGCAACACCGTATACGACAGCCTGGAGGTGCAGAAACTCGAGATGGACGGGTTCGACGCGCACTTCATATGCTACTGCGGCTCGAAGGTCGAACTTGATGTGGGTGGTACTTAACAGCGTTGATAATCTGCTTCAGGACAAAGACACCAAAGATTCCATCTATTCATCGCAACAGAAACGCTGTGAGGAGCAGGTCAGGAACCTGAAGAAGTGCCTGGCTGCCGCCTGGGGCATGGAGATCCCGCAGTACACCGTGTTCATCAGGGGGAAAGAAAAGACACTTAAAAAGGAGGAAGAAGCACCGGCTCAGGACAGCACCGCCATGAGCGCGGTGGGCGGAGCGTCTAGCGTGGCGAGTGGCACTAGTGACACCAGCGAAAGCGTAAACGCCGTCCAGGCCAAGCCCATTGTCCAGTCGCTGCTTGCTGATGTTAAGAGGCACACCGTTACCAGCCTCTCCAACAGTGGCAAAACCAGCAAAATCAAGTTCCGCATGAACAACATGGTCAAGCAAGGGACTGAAACAACCGGACAGGCCACGCTGGCTACTAAGCCGCTAAGTGAAGCGTCGTCCGACGCCCAAGCCGAGACGAAGCCGCAGGATTCCGCACCTGCCGAGCAGCCAGATGTGGTGGATGCGAACGAACAGATGGAGAAGGCCGAGGACATAATGTTCTATATTACCAAGTTGGGACGATCCTTCCCGCTGACGGAGGCGCAAGATAACCAGCAGCACATGAACAACGAGGAGTTTGAGAACTTCCTGGAGCTCCAGGATAGGTATCTCAACTTCCTCTAAATCGGCATTGTTCAATGTGTAATTGTTAACCGGCTCCCGGACAACGCGCATAAGGGCGCGTCGTGCCTCTTGTCTGGGACGGATACGGACGGTTCCCACGTTTGTCGAGGGTGTAAGATCGTCCACACTTTGTCTTATGTGTGTAAAAAGCTAAGTTCGGCTCCGGAGGTCTCCTTTTCTCACACATCCGCGTCCTGCATCCCACTATTGCGCCGGGCATGCCACTACACTGGATGTGATGTCGCTTGAGAGGAGCGCCGTTGAGCCTGTGTCACTGCAAATCATTCGTTAAAAATTACTGCAGTACTCTGAACCGTCGAATTAATAACGGAAGCTCGCTTTCGCACCGCTCTCTGACTCCGGTTATGAGCAGCGCCTAGGGTCACCCGGCGCACCGCCTAAATGTGTTTTTGCATACCTTTTTCCCGGCGGAACGACACTATGGCTGAAAAATTCGCCAGACTGCGCGGTAATACCGAGACTCCTGCCGCGAAGGCTGGCGACGGTGTCGGTTCCGCGAAGATACGTGCCAGCTCTCTGAAGGCCACCCCTGGCATGTTCGTCACCTGTGCCAATGGATCGTTTCGTGACAACTACAAGGCCGTCAAACTTCTCGGAAAGGGGTCGTTCGGCGAGGTACTGCTGTGCCTCAACCGCGAGACCGGACAGCAGTACGCCGTGAAGGTGATTCTGAAGAGCTCGGTGAAGCGCAAGGGCGACCACGAGTCGCTTTTGCGCGAGGTGAACGTGCTCAAGGCGCTGGACCACCCGAACATCATGAAGATCTTCGAGTTCTACGAGGACGAGAAGTACTACTACTTCGTCACGGAGCTGTACACCGGCGGCGAACTGTTCGACGAAATTGTCAACCGAAAGTGCTTCTCCGAGCAGGACGCCGCGAAGATTATCAAGCAGGTGCTCAGCGGTATCAACTACATGCACAAGCAAAACATCGTGCACCGCGACCTCAAGCCCGAGAACTTGCTGCTTGAGTCCAAGGACCCCAATGCCAACATCAGGATCATCGACTTCGGTCTCTCCACGTACTGCGACCTGAACTCGAAGATGAAGGACAAGATCGGCACCGCGTACTACATCGCGCCAGACGTGCTCAAGGGCGTGTACGACAGCAAGTGCGACATATGGTCGATTGGTGTGATCCTGTACATTTTGCTGTGCGGTTTCCCGCCCTTCAACGGCGCGAATGAGTCCGAGATCATCAAGAAGGTGCAGACCGGCAAGTACACCTTCGACCTGCCGCAGTGGCGCAAGGTGTCGGAGAGTGCGAAGGACCTCATCTCGCGCATGATTACGTACAACCCCGCCAAGCGCATCAGCGCGAACGAGGCGCTCGAGCACCACTGGCTCACCTACATGACCAGGGATTACGGCGTGGACCTCCCCAGCCTGGAGCTCTCCATCAACAACATGAAGAGCTTCTACTATACGCAGAAGCTGTCGCAGGCCGCGCTGCTCTACATAGGCTCCAAGCTCATTACGAAGGAGGAGAGCAACCACCTGACCACCATTTTCAGCAGGATGGACACGAACGGCGACGGGCAGCTCGACCGCAACGAGCTCATCCGGGGCTTCTCGGAGTACCTGCACCTCAAGGGCTCTCCTCTGGACGACGTCGAGGTACTGAAGGTGGAAGAACAGGTCGACCAGATTTTGCAGGACATCGATTTCGACAAAAACGGCTTCATCGACTACAGCGAGTTCCTCACCGTGGCCATGGACCGCCGCAACTTCATGCAAAAGGAGCGGTTGGAGAAGGCCTTCAAGCTGTTCGATGCGGACAATTCCGGTAGTATTTCTTCTGCCGAACTAGGTAAACTCTTCGGCGTGACGGACGTGAGTGAGGAGGACTGGCAGCGCGTGCTCCATGAGGTAGACACCAACAACGACGGAGTGATCGACTTCGAAGAATTCCAGGCCATGCTCTCCAAATTGGTATAAATGAAGTAAAAATCAAAACTCTATTAATGTATAATACTGACAAGCGCGTGTATCAGGGTGGCGATGGGTTTCCTCCCGCGTTTCGAGCGGAGCGTCCCGTACGTGGCGTTCGACGTGGACGCCACGTTTGGCGGGCCGTTCCGCTCCGTGTGCAGCCGTAATGCAGAGACCTTCATGGACGCCTGCGGATCGGGCCAAGTCGCATTTTTCTGCACAGGTACGTGTAGCGTGTGTCCGAGTTATATGTCTAATTTTGGGCCACCGACACCCTAAACTTGCATGGGATAAATGTGCATATGGTTGGTGGTATATTTCAGCCGCATTCTACGGCTATTAAGCGCTATATTTGAGTTGCGCGATCGATGGCAGTAATTTTCCACGGCTGCATCCTTTGCTGATCATCGGTGAAACAATGTTACAAATCCCTTGGCAACAGACAATGGTTTTCTCTCAACCAGCTGTAATATGTGGAACATCAGTGCATTTGTTTTCGTTTTGTATCCGTTAAAGTTGTTGAGATGCGGTAAAATATGAAATATTACAGTTGAATGCATACTGCCGCGATGCGCAGGGGCCGTACCGGCGCTATCATTTTTATTATACCATATCGCACAGGTAGGGGAAGGGAAGATTCCGTAAGAATGCTATATGATGTTTATGAGGGGCTTCCTATCTATCACGGGTTCCCTGGGGTCTACCACAGCGGCGCCGTTGTTCTCGACAAGCAGGGGAGATTGATACACGGGACGTACTTTAGCAGGAGTGCGCTGCTGCGAATCATCGAGGCCATAGTTTATACAAGTCACGAGGCATATACTGTATTCTGCTCATTCGACAATTGGCTCATTCTGGGCGCAGAGACCTCGTTACTCGGTGCTGCCATGGCTGAGAACGGCGTGCAGGCAGAGCTTCGTATCTGCACGAGGGAGCAAATAGTGGACAGTGAGATCTCGCAGGTACTTGTTTACCATTATGGAGAGGTTGTGCGTGTGCTGGGAGCTTTAGACAACGTCCTGTACAATCTTCGTAGGGATCCGAGAGGAGGCATGCAGCTGACTCCCATGGGAGTAAGCCCCGCAATGGGTATATGGAGACTTCTCAGATATTATAACGTTTCCCACGACATATGTGCCTATGTTGGCCACTCCTGCGATATTGCGGATATGCCATCGCTAAACCGCGGACGTGATGCCATTCATGGAAGCCAGAATGAACTTGAAAACATAGAAAGGGCGCAAATAGTATCCATGCGTTCTCCAGGTCCCGGCAGCACTGACTTGAGCGTAGGTTCGAGCGCCTAGTGGAGCCTCCATTGCCAGTCATACTATTTCTAGACTGAAGGGCGTGAAAAACGTTAATAAACTGAGCCTTTCATACTTGAATTGAAGTATATTGATTCGATTGTTTATTGTACATGTACGTAGCATGAAATGCCCTGCAGCTTTGGTCAATTTTTATCATGGGCGAACTTCAGCAGCAACGCATTCTGTACGGTAACGCTGAGGGGCAGGGTAATGGTGCCACTGTGATTCGTTAAAACGAGCCCGCCCCCGTTCCAAGCATTCAAGCACACATGCACGGCTGTTGGCGTATGTATCCGTCGTCACGTTGCTTTCCTGGGCCGACGGAAGTTTGGATTACAACTTCCGATTATCTAAAACCACACCCTGCAATGTGAGGATGATACTTGGATGGAGTGGTATACTGGTTGCCGCTATGATGCCTCTTACACCATGATCTAGCCTGTTTATTGTTTCGTAAGTGTATCAGGCCTTTGACACTAAGGCATTGTAGTTGGATCTGACGGTAGCAGTACCCCACCTGGACTAGGTGGAGCTAATAAGTTACGGTTGAAACTTGTATATACCGGGAAGATGTTGTACAACATTATTATGCAGTGTTACGAGGCTCCCGATGTCGTAATATGAAATGATGGGGGCATTACTACATCGAGAATATATACTTTATGCGATACCAAAATTCCACATGGAATGCGTGAGGCTGCAGCATATACATTTACGGGAAGGCGGAATATCGATCAATGTTCATGCCTTAGGGATTTCTGTCACCGACAATATTATTCGTGGATACTCTGGCACGACTGGGCGGCCTAGAAAATGTATCACGTATTGACAGCGTTACCCTGTGGAATTTCTCAGGACACAATCCTGGCAAGGAAGACGCCTAGTAGAGGTAAAGCGATGTAATGATCACATTTGCCCGTGTCTATCACTGGTGGCGGCGCATTAGATGGAATGCAAGTTTAGGATAGTCACTACGATAACAGATTGCGGTAACTGGTATTACGTATGGGGAGTTCGTATGCCGTGCACTTAACAGGCGCTCTGCATTTCGGTCACGGGCATGATGCCAAGCTACGCCAACCTCCGTGCTGAATACGATTAAAGAGACGCCAAGAACTATGTTCGGGTAATATGACGGTACCAGTGCAGTGTATGGAAATTGTATCCACAACGTTTGCTATAATTGGATTTATACAGTCGTTTATGTTTCATGAGAATTCGTTGACAGCAATCCACTGTGCAGCCGCGAAGAGAATCTTTTTGTTCTTAGCTCTTCTTACAGCTAACCAGTGATTCTCACTCAATAGAAAGCCCAGAAACCAGCGAGGTCGTAGATTGTGGATAATACTGTCGAATTCACGCCTTTCAACGCCTTTAATACATAAGGACCACTAATTTTAGCGCAGCATTCCGGCCCCTCGTAACCCACAGCTCTCAATATCTCTTCCAAACTACTCCTAATTGGATAAGACCGCACGTATTTCAAGGCTTCATCATTGCACGCAAACAGCAAAGAATGTAGACCTGCGTACAGCATCGGCGCGATCCCCACCAGGACCACTGCGCAGGCTTCCGGGTCCTTTGCGCATGATGCCTCCCACGAAGCTTCTGAACTGTAAGAAGACTTGTACTCATCAGGGTTCTTTACGTTTTCTAAAAACTTCTCACAACCATCCACGACTTTACCTAGTTTCTTTGCGATAGTTTCAGCAGTTAGATTCTTGGTCTGCACGACATTCGCATAGTCGCTTTCGATTGTACCTCCAAAGCAGCTAGCGAAAAAGCCAGGATGCTCCTTACTCAGAGGCCCCTTGAATCTCCTCAGCAGCTCGTTGGCGGGCCATATATAATTAAGTGCCGGTTTTTCCAGGAACTCCTTAGTAATAAGTTTTACCTTCTCTAGAGCTGGCACATTCATCTTGCCGACAGGCTTATCCGCAAGGAACTTGTGAATGGCGTCACCCATAGCCGCCAAGCTCTTTTCAGCATCTTTTCCCTTCAGGGCGACCAACCAGTCAATACCCTCCTTGAGGTTGTGAGGAGCCTCAGTCAGCGAATTGTACGCCATTGTGTGGAGATGAGTTATGTTATATAGATGGTTTAAAGGTATGGACTTCGCGTTTTTACAAGTGGATGTGCAAAAAGGCGCGCTGTAATCTAGTGTATAAGAAACACAGGTGCTGTTTTCTGCTAGTACGCACGCACCTTTTAAAAGTATACAAGCCTGTAAAAACGCGTAACAGGTAAAACGTGAAGGCGCAATGACGATCTGCGTGCCAGATCCATGCCACTGACGTTGCATGCAGTATCCACAACGCATGTCATTATCTTATTCAACTTTCGGACAATGCACATGAACTTTGACGCGTTAGTATATTTGCAATATGGGTCAAACATTGAAATTTCACGATGGGCTACAGGTAGCAAATTAGAGAGCCTACGCCATACCGTGGTTGTCACGTAGGGAAGTGTCCTGATTACACGCAGCATCACGCCGCAGTCATTGCCTTAGATACTCACCAAAGCACTAAGACCATATAGAGTTACCAAACATATATTATAATCACCTCAACTGGGACGGCACTTCTGATACGCTGATGTGAATGACTTCCCATTCGGCTTCGTAGTCCACTCGCACCATGGGGTGACGCCGACTACTTGCTCAACAACTATGATGGCAAACAACTGGTTAAAACATCGAAGTACATTGTCAACTATGTTGCTAGTTTGCTGTACAAGCTCATGGATTACGGTTGTAGGTGCGCAAGCGCGGCGATCCTGCAAAACACCACAGTATTATATGTACCACCTCACAGAACCCATTAATTCACTGCTCCACCTCAAACTATTACAACGTAACGATGGACAACGTGAATGCGATAATTATTACGTGATGTCGAGTTGACCAACAGGGTCATCGTCGAAGTAATCCATGTCGTCGTAAAGTGACAGCAGCTTCCTCCCGTGAGTGAGTAAGGACTTGACGTCGATGAGATGGGATGCCGTGGTGGTGAGTAGGTGCGAGCGGATGTGCAGCATGTCCAGGCGGTAGAACATCGTGTGGGCGAAGAAAATCATTGCGATAGACCACAGTGTGACCTGAGTGTAGATGAAGGGCTTCCGGATGCCGTAGAAGAAATTGTCCATGCAGGTCACAAGCTCTGTGATAAGCTCTCCGGATAGCACCACTTGCAGCTTAGAGATGACATCCGAACACTTGAGCGACGACTGCCCTATACCCTCCGGTGGCGTGAATCCGCGATAGTAGAGGAGGGGCATGGCGTCGGCGCAGTGATCGAGAGATTCGCACTTGGTAACGTGATTCTCGAAATCCATGTAGAGTCTCTCGAGTGAATCATGTAATTTGTCTGCGAGATACACCGTCCAGATAAGGTAGGTGTAGGCGAAACTCGGGGAGTAGAGGCCGTAGGCCTGGTGGGTGATGGGCGACAAGTGTTGTGGGCAGTTGACACTATTGATGGCGCAAGGAATCAGTGCTGATAGGGTCTTGGCATGGTTTTGGTCGTGGATGGAGTTGGAGTTGTGAGGTGCGGGGCCCCGGGCGGCCTTGATGACATGGAGGTCGGCGGCCTTAAGGCGGTCCCACTTCGGGCAGTCGTCATGTCGACTGGAAAGGGCGGAGCCCAGTGGGGACATAACCTTGGTATCACCTTTGTGCAGTGCATTTCCGAAATGGTGGAAGAAAGACACAAGCTCCCCTGTGGTGCGTGGCGTCCGCCTGGTGAGGCAGTTGAGATAAGAGGACAATCTCAGCAACGGGTCATCGCCGCCGCAGCTGGGAGAGAGGATGGTGTGAAGATGTTTTCCATCTTTGGAGTCCTTAGAAAAATCCCCCTTTGTGAATCCCATCCTGATTCGGCTCTTGAGGCAGATGTTGCACGGGTCGAAGGGATGCGTCTCGAACTTGGAGTCCGAGGCGTCAGTCAGAAAGGCCTGTAGGGGGGACGGCATCTTGATGTCACTGCCGTAATGGCAATCCTGCCAGCCACCATATGACTGCTCCCGATAACACTGCGACTTAAGGAACATCAACTGGTGGTGACAGATGTAGACGTAATCCCGTAGCTGGCAGAAGAGACAGGCGGGGTCGGGGGAGTAATGAAGCTTGGAATATTCTAAGCTGAAGTTTAGAGTTGTTGGAGTATCCTTGGAGTCCGTATACCTAATCTTGTGGAGAACGCTGGCCGCGTAGAGGCATGCCTCGGTCAGAGTGTTGGCGACACGGGTAGCGGTCAGCTGAGTGGGATGCCCAGTGACCTCGAGGGCATCTGGAGGCTGTGAGGCATCCTTGTTATATTCCCTCAATATGCTCTTAAGATGCTCCTCGATGAATGGAATGTACCCGTTTTGGTTCAGGCCGACCATCCAGTAGAGCATTTCCCTGACGGTCTTGGGAGGGGCAGGGGGTCCGAGTCTGGGGGAGGGGAGGGGGTTGGTTGGTCGGTGGCATCTGAGGAAACGGGGACGTACCAGGGGTTGCGGCACATGTCGGAGTCGGGCGATGTGTTGAGATCAATGTGGGTAAGAAAATCCGCAGCGCTCATTGTTTTTACATTGTCAAGTGGACCGACGCTGGCACCGAATGCATCCTGGGGTATCTCAGGTAAAGCCTCTATGGGAGCGGCAGGCTCAAGCCACTCCACAGGTGGTGCGGTAGTCCGAGACGGTTGTTGCATGAAGCCTTGTGTTGCTATGGGCGGCGTCTGTAATTTTGCGTTGGGTGCCGTTTCAGTTTCACGCCGCCTTTGAATCTCAAACTCAAAGGAAGGAGGCTCAACACTTTCGGATAGAATATCCGCAACAGGCTGGCCGGTGATTTCCGGTGTGACATACATACCCAAATTAGGGTGGCCAGGAAGCTGAACTATGGGCGTTTTGATTATTTCGCTAGTGATATGTGTTAAGTCTGCCATGTTACGGTCGTCAAATTCCAGGGTATCAATCGAATTGTTCGGAGCACTGTCATTTTGACCAGGCCGCTTCAAGGTTGAGAGCTGTGGCAAAGGAGATCCGCGGTTGAGTCCGGGGATTTTGTCACCAGTGGCGACTGACACTAATGGATTCATGCTACCGAGGACCGACGGCACGGCCAAGTCATCGATCTGTGGAATGACGGGTGTCAGAGTGGCGTGGTCAACTGATGTATGCTTATGTTGGACTGCAATGCCCGTCGGACGCATAGTAGTAGACGGTGGAGGCAAAGGAAATTGCGGAGATTTATTGGGGATTTTTAATGCTGCGCCAGTAACAACTCCATTGAAGGGAACTTGTGAAAACGGCTCCGGAGCACTTTTAAGCTCCGTAGTGGTGATGTTTGCTAGGCTCATCATGTCATGGTAGTCAAGTATCATTGTGGACGGCGGCTTGGCCAGGGTATGAGAAAGCTGCGCCGCTTTTGAATTTGGAAGCGGTGTCAAGGGAGGAACACTGTTGAGTCCGGGAATTATCTCACCCTTTACGTCGAAAATTTTGTGATGCGCCGGATCGATCTGAGGTGGCAGAGGGACGTCCTGCGTTGACCTTGAGGGGCCGCTTGGGTCGACGACGGAGATGTCCGTGAATTGTAACCTGGCCATGTCATCCACGGGCGCTGTTATGAGTGAGGGGGCTGGGGCGGAAAAAGGAGCCTTTTTTTCAGGGCGTTTGATTCTAGGCGCTGATCGGGCTGCAGGCTTGGGAACCAATAATTGTCCAAGAGGTTTATGCTCTGGTGGAGGATGTTGCACGGGATTCTTCATTTTTTTTGAATCCAACGGGTGGCCAGTAAAAGTGAAAGCTGGTGGAGGCATGGAGTCCGGGACTCCTCTACCGCCTGTTATGCCGTTGCCGTCGGGAACGCTAGGGGTGAAACCGGGCTCTTTTAGATCTACAGGCGTGTATCCTGATCGAAGCATTGTTTTCGCCTTCACTTTGTCAGCGTCGGCATACGTTGGAATGCCGGGATGCTCATTGAGAATTTTGGTTTCCATTTGCATTCCCTGCAATAATTTGCGTTTATATTCCTCCACTTCCTCCTGAAGCTGACGCTCTTCTGCCTCTTTCTGCTGCTTTTCCTTTTCATCTTGCCGTTTGCGTTCCTCGGCAGCTTCTAGACCATGTTTTACCTTATCGTACCACTTCTTATTAATTTCGTCCTGCCTATCATAATCAGCCGTTCTGACACAGTAAGTACTGCTATTGGGCCATAGTTTGATTTTCGTAAACCCCTTGGCACTAGGACAGGGATCTTCTTTAACGGTATCCTGTGGAGACCCTTCACTCCCACCGCTACCTGGATCAGACGCCGGGACAACCGAAGTAGTAGCGACGCCGCTTGAATTGAGATCGGAGGGTTGAGTTGTTGGTTGACCAACACCTTGACCACTATCTTGCCTAGTCCCCTTACCACCAGTTATCCCAGCGTCTGACCCTGGAACACCTGTAGGCTGAGCAAGCACAGTGTCTTTAGGGGAAACAGGCTGTGGAGTTGGAGCATCACCGCCCGGTGAACCCTGACCTACACCCGGCTGACCAGCGGGGGCAGGGGCTGCAAGAAGAGGGGGAGGAACTGGCGATACTGTATCAGGTTTTTGAACTTGTACAATTTGGTTACCTGACGAACCTGGAGCCGAAGAAGACCCCGGAGGTTCTGGACCAGCAGGCCCTGACGGGCCTGGGGCTCCTTTCACATCGGAAGACTGAGCTGGAGCAGGAGGCTTTCCAACTGGTAGAGCTGGAGACTTTTCTTCACTTTGACCATTATTTTGATTTGGATCTACACCTGTTTTCTTGCCTTGGTTCTGCGCTCCCTCACTTTTCTTGCCTTGGTTCTGTGCTCCCTCCGCCTTCTTCCCCTGGTTCTGTGCTCCCTCAGCACCAGTGGCAGTCGGCTTCGCCGCCTCGGCCTTGGTGATCACAGGTTTTGCAGCTCCTGGTTTGGGAAGTGTAACAATCTTTCCATCCTTTAACTCTTCATCCTCAGGCTCCTCCAGAAGCTCTTCATCTATTTCTTCAGGCTGATCATCATCATTTTGCCTTTGTTTTCTTTGTTCCTCTTCTGCTTTACACTGCTCACCATTCAGAATGTCAACAAGCCTCTGCAAACCGCCGTCACTGCTTTGAAGCTCACTGATTGCAGTGTCCCACTGCCCCTTCAAAAGATCATACGGAGCATTCTTGTTGTACTGGTGACCATAAAACGTGAATCCGTAGGGAATAAATTGCTTGGTGAAATAATTTTGAAGGGCTGTGGAATGTTGGTTAGTCAAGGGCTTACCGCTCTTAAGCTTTTTAGAATCTTTTACGCTACTAAAAGCCTTAATTTGGGCCAACTTCTCTTTCACCGTCTCCAAATGTTTTTTAAACCAACTGGCCATTTTTTTAGCAACATCTTGTTTATTAAGCTTCTCATATTCTCTCCCGTAGCCTGTGAAAGAAAACCGTCCACCGGTGAAAATTTGTTCAAGAGGGCTTATAAGTTTCTTGCAATGTGCTTGCAATTTATCCCACTCGATGCATTTGTCTTTCGAGTATAAATGCATTTTAAAATCTATTTCATTCGTTACTTCCCCAAATATCCTACAGAAATCTTGCACCAACCGAAGAGCGTTGGCGACGTTCGGAGTCCCGGCGCCGGAGTCTGGAATTACTGTTGTGGAATAGACGTCGCGAAAGAGATTATGCGCATTAGTCTCCTTCTCTAAAATATTTTGAAGGTCACCGGCCATTTGAGAAGCCGGGGAGTAACCACCCTGAAGATAACCTGGCTTCAGGTCCCCTGGAGCGAAGCCTCCGGGGATAATTCCGCCGTACGTTGTATCACCGGATGAAGCAATGAGATATTTGTCTACTGGTCCGGCCATGGATGCAGCGCCTTGACGCATACGGGCGTACATTTCAACCCATCCAACTTGTCCGTCATCCTTCCACCCCCCTCCCCCCAGCGCCGCAAAGTTCGCATCCACCTGGTACCGCAGAAAGTACACGGCGGCAAGCAGTTTGGGGATGCAGTCAAGCAGAGCGTTGAGGGCATTTTTAGCGGTTTGGGGGCCAGTATATTTAGGCTGTGGAGATTTGCATAATTTAGTGTGAAATGTATGTACACTGCTAAGAAAAGTGGAGAGTGCTTTCTCAATTTGTGACGGATCAACAGTGTTATACCTCTTGTCCAGGAGCCTTTTCAAACGACTAGATATCAAGCCTTTCATCTGCTGTCCCAGCTTGTCACCATGCAACCACTCCAGAAACTGGAGACAGTCCTTAAGAGTGTTGAGTGCAGTTGCATTTTTCGCCATCGTGTCCATAAATAATCACGTACCAATCCACTCTTACAGAACACCACGGTTAGTTCCCAGGATTATGTGGTCTAGGAAACACCATTGTGAGCTCACGTGCAAGGCGATGCCACTGAAACGACAGCGTTGCCAATACGCTAGGTGCGCTACGTGAACAGGCTACAATGTGAAACGCTGAGCGACAACTAAGTGCTGCATTAAACCAAAATTAGAAGACCGGAATCACAGATAATTGCGTGCCTGCTCTGCCCCGTAAACTACATCGAAAAAACGTGGATCGTAAATAGTGCACTCACCTGAGGGGAGGACGGCGAGCCCAGGAACCCAACAAACCCGGAGCCCGACTGGCGTGAATAGCTGGCGCACCACGGTAGGGCGGCATACTCCACGAGTGTTCCGGGTGGAAGGTATGGCAGCTCTCGTGACCGTGCATAGTGACGCCGCCGAGCCGTCTCCCCCTCAGCGTTCTGCGACCAACCAGGCAACCAACACGTCACCTCCAGGGATACTACAGCCGCGCGTCTGGCACCACGTAGATACCACGCCCACATACATGCATGTAAACAACATGGAAAATGTATCATGCTTGCAACATTGGTGTAAGAGTCCCGGAGGTGGAGCTGAAAGAAGCCTATAGGAGGCCATTTTGGTAATGCTTCTACTATGAACGCATGAGCTGCGCTAATGAGTGGGAAGCTGAGATGCGGTGGAGGATTGCGGCGTTAGTGGTTTCCACGATGTCGTAAATGTCACCTAACCAGGCCATGCACTGGTAGTTACGTCGCTGAGTTCCGGCGATTTTCATTGCCTAGGATCGCACACGATAACTGACATGTCAACCAATCACCTAAAAGACGACCAAGTAACTCGCCTGGCACAGCAGCCACCAGCTGCATACGTTGATGGCCAACCAGCCAGCTTCACAATACAGTGACAAGATGGTATGTGGTAGGCGCAAACCACGAGTAACGCGCAAAGTAACATGAGAAACAACAAGCAACTTAACACATCAACTACATTAGGTAGCAGATTAGGTGGTGGGCTATTTTGGTAATGCGAAATGCTGCTGGGCAAAATGTTGCCCTAACGCTTAAGGCTGTTGTGGCAATGGACGGAGATCTCAAGAGGGATTTGAAGACAGTGAGAGATAAGATCAGGAAAGGGATTAAAGATGTGATTGATACGTTGCAGGTTACTAAGTTGGATGGTTTGGTGAAGAATGATTTGGGGGATTTGAGGCAGAGCATTATGGATCTTCAAAAAAAAGTGAAGGATAAGGGTGACGAAAATGACAATATAGTTGCACAGCAATTTAAGGATCTTCAGTCTGCAAAAACGCAACTTGAAGTAGTTACTGGTAAGGATAAGGGTTCAATTCATCAGGCGGTGGAAGATCTTGACAATAAGTTTAGCAGTGAGATCCATAGTCCGCTAAGCAATGCGGTCGGTGAAGTTGACATGGCGATTGGGAAGCTTGGCGAGAAGTTTCAGTTGACGGACGGTAAAAAAGAGAAACTTGGAGAGATTTTCGGGCATATTAAAGAAAAGGTTGGGGAGATTAAGGGGCAGGAAGGTAGAGGTTGGAAAAATACAGGCGCATCAGGGCTGGAGGGAATTGTCACCGGGCTGGTCAACAGCTATGCCAATGGGTTTACCGGATGGGAGTTTAACAAAAGAGTGACAGGATGGTTGGAAAAAACAATCTTGCCGCATAACGGCTTGCTGAAGGATAAGTTTGCGGTGCCTTTAAATGGGAAACTAGAAACCACTAACCAGAGCATCGCCGAGAAGATTAGGGATAAGCTTCAGGATGATGTTGGCGTCAAAATGGAAGGTGCGGATTTTCCCTCTGATGCAAAGGTTCAGAAAACTGCCACCGCTGTCAAACAGGCCTGCGAGAACTTTGCCAAGGAAATTGATGCTAAACTCGAGGAGGGAGGAAATGGAAGCGTAATAGTCGGGAAGGTGAAGGGTGAGTTGAAGAATTACAGTTACGTCAAAAACTCAAAATGCATCTGCGACTGCAGCAGCTGCAACAGCAACGATGAATGTAAGAAAACGGTTATTGTCGCCGCCATCCTGTGTGCCCTCTCCTCTACAGTGAGACAAGTGGGCAACGAAATTGACTCTATCCTCCTCAGCACCTACAGGGTGGACGGCAAATCAATGGCACAGGAATTAGACAAAGTGGTTGAGGAGACTAGAAAACTTGATGAGCAGCTTACCCAGGCAACTAAACCCGGCAAGTCACCTCCCAGCCAAGACACTGAAATCCCCGCCCAAGCCGTGGACAGTACGTTCGGCAAGGTGAAGAAATTTGTGAGTGAAACAAACAATGGTGATAATATTACCGAAAAGTTCAAAAGTAAAGTAATAGATGAACTTCAAAAGAAAGTTCAAGAACTTCCTGAAGCCGTTAACCAGTTCGACAGTGAAGCTCAGAAACAGATCAGGGCTGCGGCCACGACGGCGATTACAAAGGCGGCTGGGCAAATCAAGATGGACAAGAGTGGTCACATAGAATTCAGTGGCGATTTTATGAAGCAATTTAATGACACCTACACTCAAATGAAAACAAAGCTCCCAAAGGACCTTCAATCTCTGGTTGATACGCACATTGGGCAGGATGACACGGCAGGTGGTAAAATTAATATTAAAGATACATTTCACAGTTACAATTCTCACGTTAAACAAGATTCAGATGGCCTTAAGATCGGAACCCTAAAAGGCCAGTCATCCGAAGGCCAACTTCCAGAGGCGATCGGGAACATCAAGACTCGGGGTCTGGCGGAACTTGAAAAAACTATTGGTAGCAATGACAGTGGTCCTATAAATACAAAAACCTTCGATGAGCCGTTCGACAAAATTCAGACAGAGCTTGACGAGATCAAGAAATTGGTTAATCACAATGGTGGAGCAAGTTTCCTAACAAAGGCAACAGAGGAAAAAGGCATTAAAAATCTGATGTATGATCTCATTCAGTTGCTAAACAAAGGATCCTGGGATTATGGCGTATATAGCCTTGAGACAATCAAGTCAGCGATTAACGATCTGCAACAGAATCAGTTCACTACTCAACCCGAAGCAATTGACAAAGCCGTCACCGCAATTAAGGCAGAGCTTGGAGAGCTTAGAGGGAAGTTGAAGAATGGTAATAAAGGCGACGACGTCATTGAAAGGTTGAATGATTTGAAAAACAAAGATCTTGTGAATGAACCAAGTTGGAAGACAATCACTGGTGGTCAAAATCTCAGTGGTCTTGGGAAAATCGAAGACCGCAAAATTAAGAATGAGATTGTCACAACAAGGGAACGTTCCCGCAGCCGTAAAAGCAATTAGGTCGGAGATGACAACACTTCAAAACGAGTTATATGGTAAAAAGGAAAATGACACCATCGGTGACTTTAACGATTTGAAGAAGACGGAGCTTGGTGATAAGGATTGGAAAAAAAAGATAAAAATACAAAAGGGTATGAAAAAAATGAATTAGGAATTTCAGCATCAACAATTATATTTTCTACACACCCCGTGCAAGAACGCCATCACCCCGTCGCAGAGCCTGTCAAGGTCGGAGTACACGATGCCATCACCGGTGTAATTACCATTGCTGAAGCCGAGAAATTTTTCGAGGCCTGTGCAGAGGTTATTTAATAATGTTTCACAATTACTATTATTCTGACTTAATGTCTCACGTTTCTCTTTAAGCTCCTCAAGCAGTTTATGCTGAGGACAGTCAGAAGAGGCATGAGGCTGCGGAGACTTTTCACAGTCATTATGCTGCTTTTCAAGCCTCTCAATCTCTTTCTCAATTAGTGTTACAATGCTATCTTCACCGCCACTAAACTGTGTAAGCTTCACAATAACATCAATGCCATCATGCACTTCCGCCTCAAGGGAGGACATACGCTCGCCGTCCATGAAATGGGACTTAGTGCAGTCATCTTTGTTGGACTTTAAGTCATTAATTTGTGATTCTAAAGAGGATATTTCACTAGTGTTATTAGAGTTTTTAGCGTTTTTAAGCTCTTCATTTTTGGACTTAATGTCCTTATCAAGTGTACTACAGTAGGAGAGAGGATCATGTGGATTTGGGGAGCAAGAGAGCTTGTGGGATTTGTGTTGGAGGGAAGTTGTGGCCTTCGTAATTGCTTCATTAATCAACTTTTTCAAAGCGTCAGCCAAGTTCTTAAGACCTTCACCACCATTCCCATGCTTAACCTGGATCAACCAGTCGATGGACTCCCGGAGATTTTCCGGACAGTCCGTAAGCTTCTTTGGTTGACGCACCATTTTGAAGGCTAACTTACCGGACAATTGTCGATGCTAATTTACAACACCACCTAACACCACAAGATCACAACTACACTACAGGATACACATAGACACAGAAACGAGACACGTATGCCAATTTTAAGCACCGCCGCTAATATCACACATTTTAACACAAACGCAAAACTCACTGCGCACTACAGGCTTCCTCGCTCACCAATACAAGGAATATCTATGCATCGAACCCATGAAACACCTACTATCGGTGCAATACGGCTTTCAGCCGCCTTTGTAATCGCCGTCGTGGCCGCAGCCCTGATCTGTTTCTGAGCTTCACTGTCGAACTGGTTAACGGCTTCAGGAAGTTCTTGAACTTTCTTTTGAAGTTCATCTATTACTTTACTTTTGAACTTTTCGGTAATATTATCACCATTGTTTGTTTCACTCACAAATTTCTTCACCTTGCCGAACGTACTGTCCACGGCTTGGGCGGGGATTTCAGTGTCTTGGCTGGGAGGTGACTTGCCGGGTTTAGTTGCCTGGGTAAGCTGCTCATCAAGTTTTCTAGTCTCCTCAACCACTTTGTCTAATTCCTGTGCCATTGATTTGCCGTCCACCCTGTAGGTGCTGAGGAGGATAGAGTCAATTTCGTTGCCCACTTGTCTCACTGTAGAGGAGAGGGCACACAGGATGGCGGCGACAATAACCGTTTTCTTACATTCATCGTTGCTGTTGCAGCTGCTGCAGTCGCAGATGCATTTTGAGTTTTGACGTAACTGTAATTCTTCAACTCACCTTCACCTTCCGACTATTACGCTTCCATTTCCTCCCTCCTCGAGTTTAGCATCAATTTCCTTGGCAAAGTTCTCGCAGGCCTGTTTGACAGCGGTGGCAGTTTTCTGAACCTTTGCATCAGAGGGAAAATCCGCACCTTCCATTTTGACGCCAACATCATCCTGAAGCTTATCTTCTCGGCGATGCTCTGGTTAGTGGTTTCTAGTTTCCCATTTAAAGGCACCGCAAACTTATCCTTCAGCAAGCCGTTATGCGGCAAGATTGTTTTCCAACCATCCTGTCACTTTTGTTAAACTCCCATCCGGTAAACCCATTGGCATAGCTGTTGACCAGCCCGGTGACAATTCCCTCCAGCCCTGATGCGCCTGTATTTTTCCAACCTCTACCTTCCTGCCTTAATCTCCCCAACCTTTTCTTTAATATGCCGAAAATCTCTCCAAGTTTCTCTTTTTTACCGTCCGTCAACTGAAACTTCTCGCCAAGCTTCCCAATCGCCATGTCAACTTCACCGACCGCATTGCTTAGCGGACTATGGATCTCACTGCTAAACTTATTGTCAAGATCTTCCACCGCCTGATGAATTGAACCCTTATCCTTACCAGTAACTACTTCAAGTTGCGTTTTTGCAGACTGAAGATCCTTAAATTGCTGTGCAACTATATTGTCATTTTCGTCACCCTTATCCTTCACTTTTTTTTGAAGATCCATAATGCTCTGCCTCAAATCCCCCAAATCATTCTTCACCAAACCATCCAACTTAGTAACCTGCAACGTATCAATCACATCTTTAATCCCTTTCCTGATCTTATCTCTCACTGTCTTCAAATCCCTCTTGAGATCTCCGTCCATTGCCACAACAGCCTGCAAGGCCTCACCGACTTTGGACTCAACAAGCCTCTTAGCCTCAGTCGCAGCATCCAAAAGTGTTTTACCCTTCTCCTGTAACAATTCAGCTTCCTTAAAAATCACGCCATCGGGATCTTTTTGACTTACTTGCTTAAGTATCTCATCACACTTCCCCTCCGCCTTGGAAATAACATGCCCGGACTCAGATCTCAACCCCTATCACGTCTGACGCATTATTGAGTCGGGGGCGATAAAACGTGTTTGACGCGCATCTAGTATTAATCCCGCTTCCCACATCTATATCACCACCCCGGCACTCACCGCCCTGCTGTTAGGCATTCTCTCCCCCTCACCGACCATCAATCTGTAAGTTGTGACTGAGTCAGGTGAGACCCCTAAAATCGCACTTCGGAAGTGTCAACATGGCTCAATGCAGCCTTGTACATAATCTCATTACGTGATCTGTGATTATATAATGAGCAGATGGAGCCACCCTTGCTTCCATTTCAACGGGTGGGTTAACGTGGTCAGGCACTGACACTGTAGTTGGATATAAAAATGAGTGGAGTTGCTGATGTGTAGTGTTATGTGTCATATGTTACCAATCATTGAGGGTTAAGGTCATTGGCAATCTTTTAAATCGTGAGTCTAAAAGAAAACGCTCATATTACATCTTCCTCATCACGGCAGTGCTCTAGGCGAAACAAAGGTGTGGTGAGCCGTGATTTAAGTTAACCCTAATAAGCGGAATTACCACCTCTTAAACAAGTTAGAAACAGCTAAGAAGACGCAATAATATGTTATTGAGCTGGTAGCAACAAGAAGCGTCTGACAGCCTAGGGCACACTGCCACTGAAACACACAAATCACCATAGACACCAACATCTTATCACATCTTAGTAACTCATTACTTGGCGTAATAGTTCTCAATCTGGATGGTGGAGAGAACGATACCCTTGATGGTGACGCAGCGGCACTCCAATGGCGGCCCCTGGCGAATCGTCTCACCGTGCCCTACGAGTGAACTGTCGAAGCTCAGGATGACAAAGTGGTTAGAACATGAGGCCACTAACGATTCACTAAGGTCGCTTAGGTTCCTTACTTCACCGTCCATGTGAACTTGGCTGAAGCAGTTGGGTGGGTCCAGGAGGTACGGTGCGGGGCAGTAGAATGCAGCCTCACGTGCAGTCTGCAGGTATGCCCAAAGACGGATAAGTCATCAAAGATGTGGGTACACTGCTATTAGATGCTATAACTACAATGCCAGCCGTGGATGATGCCACAAAATGGTCCCTCGATATCGCTGTGCGCCACGAGACTGTTGTGGCCATCAAGCGGCTGCTGTGTTAGCGTGTCTTCGCCAACGCCATTGTGCATGCGGAGATTCTAAACTTCGTAGGCTTTCCGGAAAGCCCATCTCAATAACGCTCAGAGCAAGGGCTCGACCTCACAACTGCTGAGTGCAGAGTCAACGAAGCGCGAGTCCGTCGCCTTCATCAAGTCCGTCCTGGACCGCCCGTCGCTTCATGCCCACCTGTCGCACGCGCTCATCGAGGTGCTGAAGCAGCGCTTCTATCGGCACTAGTTGGTTTTCATGAGTGGTGAATTTAAGAGTGTCACAAGTTTGTGGATCAGGGCAATTTCCAGTTAAAACGCTTTGACAGTGGCGTTGAAAATGACAGACTTTCGTCAACCGAGGAATCGCTACCTCGCTTTATATAAAGGTTCGTGGTTAAGTAGACAGAAGAAATCAGTTGGATTTTAGACAGGAAGATGGGTGTAAATGTTGTCTTGAAGTTTCATACACGCTTAATATAAGTGTGGCTTATCTATAAAAGGGAGTGCATTTCGTTGAGCTCAGAACGTATATCCTGTTAGTTATGTCATCTTGCGTGTGACGGTTGTCATGACTATAATACCCTAACCCTCACATTATACGGGCGCAGGAAGGTCATGTAGGCTACATAAGGCTACGAGAGATTTTCGGATTTACGGTCTACGGATGTTCATGACGACCCTGTTTACATGGGAAGTAATTTGCCGGCGCGTTAAGAGGGTGACTTTAAACTATAGAGGTGACAGGTAACGCCGAATGAGAACGGGAACAGCATAAATCGGAAGACGCGCCACCACCATCGTGGAAATAGGAATAACTAATCAATATAACCTGGTGGAGTAGGCGACAATCACGACTCTCTAAACGACCCTCGCGTCCAAACCGGATGGACGCCGTCGTGGATGACAGCGGTAACGTTTGGTAATCAAAATACGTGTAATCAGCAGGCTACATCAACAGCTTGAGGAGCTGGCCCGGTAAGAGCGAAAAGCAGCACAAACGAGGCGCAGCCAGCTGCAGCGCGTCATAATACCCGAAATACAGACAAACGCGAGCACGCGAGGCAGGAGACTCAGAAACCCACACTTAAGAGTTATTTTTCACCGCCAGAAAAGTGAAGCGGAATCTGTACCTGTAATACGACAACGCTAGAGGTATCGTTCGCCCATGCCACATAAATTCTGGGCTGCAAGCCCAGATGTAAAATGGTGTACAAGGAGGCGGCATAGGGCTCGACAGCAACGGTCGCGGCCGACCTACGAAGAACACATTTTGCAACAACCAAACTCATATAACGGTTTGCTGTCTTGTGCAGACGAGCCACAAACCACTATATACGTACGAACGCCTGTCGGAGCGACTGTGGAAGCACATCCTCCCACAAACGAGGTGGCATTGACCATCTGGGTAGGCAAACCGGTCGCAAAATCTATTGTAAATGTGCACTAATTGCATCAACGACGACTACCACTACAGCGCAGAGAGGACAGCTCGCTTTTCACAGCGTGCGCGAGAGTCAGACAACTGACTATAGATTTCGGCCAAATAAACAGCACTGCCTTAAGGCTTCCAACAAAAATTACACGTTTCAAATTGTTATAAAATGACACACGTATGATTTCACACGAATTGACTGCGGTAATGTGCGACATGTAATGGTCAGCCTTAGCGCGGGTAAGGCCGCCGTGTGGTACGTTTCCCACACGGCATGACGCAGCTAACAAATACATTAACTCATTTTATCAGACCGTATTGCCAGTATTAGCGGTGGTTGGGAATTTAGGCAGCGCGGTGTCAGGGCCCCGTGTGCGTCGCCGCCTCCGCGTCTGACAGATTCCAGGATCACCCCATCATGCATGTATAACAGCTCCCACGCCCCCACGACCCACGCAACCCGCGTTTGGGCCGCTCCACGTTTACCGGTAATTTATTTGCCTGTGGCGTTCACTTCACCTCGTCGTGAAATCTGCATTTAATTGCGCTACACTCGTCTTGTAAGACACGAAACTGTGATTCTTCACGGTTTTATCAAAGGTACTGCATCATCCGAGTACAGTCATCAAGATGAACGGTGTCGTTGCTGTTTTCACCGCCCTCTTCGGTGCCGCCGCTTTCTGCGGTGTCAGCGCTAAGGAGGCCACTTCCCTCAGGAGGCACCCTGCCCTTACCAGGCAGCCCAACTTCTTCGCTGTCGACGTCGACGGTACCTTCGCCACCCCTCAGAAGGATGCCATGAAGAAGAACATTGCTGCTTTCCGCATGGCTTTGAACGCCGGCCACACCCTCTTCTTCTCCACTGGCCGCAGTCCCGGCTCTGCCCGCAACTTGTTCGGTGCCGATGCCTACCGCGCCATGGGCTACAACGGTAACCCCGGTGTCTACATGGACGGTGCCCTCGTCTACGACGACCAGGGCCGCATCATCGATGAGCGCCCATTGACCCCCGAGTTCCTTGAGCAGGTCGCCATGGCCACCAAGGACGAGTGCAACAAGTTCATGCCCGTCTTCTGCACTGCCGAAGAGGTCTTGACTGTCTGCAAGTTCAGCGAGAAGGCCCAGGCTGTCTTCAAGGCCTACCTGTCCACTGACCGCATCCCCATCGTCAGCGTTGAGGAGCTCAAGAAGCGCCGTGTCTACAACGTCATTGTCAACAACGTCAACGAGGTCTTCAACTCCATCTTCAGCCAGAACGCTGAGACCGGTGAGGACGGCTCTGACGTTAGCAGCGTTTGCGACACCTACGACCCCAGCAGCAACTACAGCCTGCTTCCCCTCCCCCACGGATTCACTCAGGTTTCTGACATCAACGCCTCCAAGGCTGACGCCATCAGGGCCCTGTTGGCTTACTACGGTGCTGAGCCCAGCGACTGTGGTTCCATTGGTGACGGTTTGAACGACATTGACATGTTGGAGGTCACCACCCCCTCCATTGCTGTCGGTAACGCTGTTCCCGCTGCCATTGCTGCTGCCCAGATCACCCTTGAGGAAACCTGCGACGAGGCCGCCTTTGCCAAGGCCATGGAGAAGGTTTACGGTATCAAGATCTAAGCAGATTTCGGTATAGCGTTTTCTAGGTAATTTCCTGGATCGCGCAGCCGAGCTTTTATGGTAACTTAGGCCTTAGGCTCTGGTGTGTCAGGAGTCACGTTCTGCAACCTCATGAGATGTAAACAAGTATCCGGTTGATGTCTCCTGCTGACATCTCGTTCCTCTACTGTGTAGTGTAGTCTCCCTTGCATTTAGACACGTTGGCTTCCGGCATACTCGGATCTGAAATGGACCCTCCAGTAATATATGTTTGAATGCATGAAATCGTATGTTCTTTATAGCTTTGTTTTGTACTACTAGGCTGTACGGCCTTCACCGTTCTCGCCGCGCCTTTCCATCTAGCGGCCAGCTGGTTTCCGACGGTAGGGCTTTTGGCGTGTTTTATCGTTATAGTTAGATGCTGGAGTGCCTTCGCCCCAAAATCCTATTCAGGTATTCGTTCCCGCGTTCTATTCGGGATAACCCTTTTAGCCCCTTTTGGAAGCGCACGGTGCGAACTACCAAGTCGAAGGGATCCCACCGGCGAGCTCGTTTCGCGGCCTTTTTGTACATCCACGTCTGCGACATTCACTCTGACATAGACAACTATCTGATGTTATTGGGACGTGTTGAGGTCACATGGGTCGGAGAGAACTGAGCGGTGTACTCCAGGGGTGACGGAGAGAACAACGGACCGATGAAACTTTTGGAGCACTAGGTCGCTTCAGACACACCGACAACGATGAATACGCCTCCTTCGCAACGACTTTTCGCGAACACATGGATACATTAGGCACCGGAGAGAAGGCCTCGGCAGACCTAGCAAAGGATGCCGTGAGTGTCTGCCTTAAACGCGCCTCTTGGTGTAAGCAATGTGTAGCTACGGTGTTATAACCGATTGAACGGCGACGTCAGCGTATCCAATAATGTGTGTAAGAGGTATGTTTATCAATGTGGTATAATAAGTTGTTTCGCCTCCCAGGCTCAGCGCTAACTGAACATATAGCCGCCGCGACATCGCCTTCCGTAAAACATAGAAGCGCCCACAACCAAATACAACTGATCAGGCTGTGTACCGCAGAGGTGGTTGTTAACCCGTGTAGAAGGCGGTGCGATGTAACGAGTGTGTGAATCTGAAAAGCGACATCATCATACGAGGCCACAGACGGTTAATACAGACCAACACCTAGTCTATAGATCGTAACATAACCCAAATGTAGACTCATCGCTGTACACACTGGACTCAAATACGCGCGGCAAATGAAATTGCGCTGAATTGAGTCGCCAAAGCGGTACGAAGCAAATCGCTCTGGGCGCACATGTAGACCGTGAAAAGATCCGCCACAGCTCTAACAAATCTATCTAGCATCCCAGGATACAGTGAACATTGACAAGTACGCCTAAAGCTGCATACGAAGTTTTTTGTTGAAGCGTACTTCTGGTGTGGCGCCGATCTTGTGTGTGCCTGGTCACCTTGAAGCTGCTCAGTACACCACCCGAGCCATACCTAACACTACGTATTAAAACCTGCTTACTAAAAACAATGTCGTCGACATCTACATTCGTTCCTCCCAGCGACCCTCCGAAATACATCGGCATCGATGTGGACAACACGTTCCACACTCACGACGTCGCACATTTCGCTAAAAACAAAAAAGCATTCCGCAAACTTCTGGAGTCCGGCTATCGCCCGCTATTCGCTACAGGTACCGGTTAATGAAAAGTCGTCCAATGTTACGTAGGCCGCCCGCTCGCAGTAGCCCAGTACGTCCTAGACGAACTCTCCACCGACGGGGTATACAACGGTTACCCAGGTGTTTACCAAAATGGAGCTACTGTGTACAATGAACGCGGTGAGCTTGTGAGGAAAGTCAAGTTTAGCGAATCGTTTTTGCGCGATTTCTGCGCCATGGTCAAAGCCAGATCTTTGGAGCAGATTGTGGTCTTCCTAACGGCCTCGGAGATGTACGGGCTCGTAGAGGACTCGGCATGCTGGAAGAAGATGTGCGAAGTCTGGGATCTGACTGCGAAGTTGCACGTGGTCTCCGTTGAGGAGATCGTAAAGGCCGACATCGTGCAGATTATGGTTTCCAAGTACAAGGACCTCAGAGACCACATCCCTGGCGAGGCAGACGTTGACTTCACTGGCAAGGTCGGAACATGCGGACTCACTGACGTGAACCCGCCGCGCGTGAACAAGTTAGAGGGGATGCGTGCACTGCTGACCCATGAGAAGGCCAACACTGCTGACTTCGCCTTCATCGGCGACGGATCCAACGACGTGGAAGCCCTGCAGGCCTCAAAGTGGTCATTCGCCGTGGGGAACGCCTCCGACAGCGTGAAGGCTACCGCCAAGAACGTGCTCGAGGAAACCTGCGACCAAGCCGCCTTCGCAAAAATGGCCGAGCTCCTCTACGGAATCAACGTAGAGTAGCTGGTGCAAGTAAGCGGCATCGCAAAAACTGAAACGTGTTACAATATCTCATGATTATAATTCACGGTGCTAGAGGTGGCGCCTGTCTGACGGCAGTCTATCACATGCGCCATCCCCTGCGGACAGCTCCTGCCGCCTAAAAACTGTAAAAGCCGCAAAGGTAGCGTAACAGGTGCAAATTGTGACCGAGATATATTGCAGTTGCATGACTAAGGAGTTTGCCTTACTTCAACCTGGCAGGCATCGGCCGAGGCGTGGCGGCGCCTGTGGCTAACGCGAGGAATCCTCGCGGTAAACCCGAAAAATCGAATGCGTTTTAAATGTGTAGCAGACTTTTCTAGTTATTATAAAAATTTTGCTAAATTCGAAGCGAACTTGAGCAGCATCTGATATCATTCACAGTTGGATCTCTCGAAAACGGCGCAACTCACATACATCAAAACACACGTATTAAATACTACTGTTGATCTTCGTATTCGGTAAAAATTTAGACGCAGTATACTGCGCATCTGCTAAGGCAACGGAGCGGCGATAGATTCACCGCGGTACCTCTGCGCGAGGTGACCAGCATTGATACCTGACTCTATAAATACACATTGGACAATCAACGGAATAAATGCGATTAGAAAGGTCTAGATTTGCATGGATATGGCGGGGTGGCCGACTAGGTCGGGGTGTGGCAGCCTGACGTGCTCCATTGTGAGGCGTCGGATTCCTGCACCGACACCAGGTAATATTTCATAGACAGTCAACTAAACGTATATCGTGGAGCCTTGCAGGGCTCCCCCTGCATATTTTGGAGAGTATCTGAATGTAGTGTTGTCGGCCGTGGACTACCGCTGCCTGTTGTTGAAATGGACACCGCTGTGCAACGTTTCGTGGCTCCACAGCTGCAAAACATTGCAAGTAACGATTTGTGCCGCAATGTCGGCGATGTCTCACCGTATGGTCGCCGCCTTCCGCAGCCCGCGCTGTTTGCGGTCGACATTGACGGCACCTTTTTGTCCGCGGAGCCCGAGGTACGTAGGAAGAACAGGGCCGCATTCGCTAACGCCCTCAAGGCTGGGTACAACGTCTTTTTTTGTACAGGTGTGTGCATACGTGTTATCCCTCAGCTGCTTCAGGCCGCCCTCACGTGAGCTCGATGGCTGTCCTGGATGAGCAGTTTGTGCGCTCCACCGGCTATCGGGGCTACCCCGGTGTCTACCACAATGGTGCTGTGGTATACGACGGGTCCGGTACGGTGCTCCGGATGACCGTTTTCGGAACCTCGTTCCTTACGGCGTTCTGCGAGTTCCTCGTGTCGCAGCAGCTCGACAAATACGCGGCCTTCTGCGACATGAACGGCGCCTACATGATCTGCCACGACAACAGCTGCATGAAAGAGATACTGGAGGACGTGGACATTCGCGATCCGCCCACCGTGGTCACACCGGCCGACCTTCTACTGAAGCAGATATCACTCATCATCATCCACCACAAGGAGATCCTCACCCAGCAGACGCACCTGAAGTGCGATGTGGACTATGTCCTCAAGGAGGGATCTTTTGGCGCCTGGGACGTCACTCCGTGCACCTCTACTAAGGCCGAGGGCCTCAAGGTGCTGCTGGACAGCTACGGAGTCTCCAACGCGGACTGTGGTTTCATTGGTAACGGCACCAACGACGTAGAGGCGATGACCCTCTGCGACCTGTCGTTCGCTGTTCAAAATTCCGAGGCGAATGTCAAGGAGTACGCCAAATACACACTCGCCGAGACTAACGACGAAGGCGCATTCCACACTGTAATGAAACTAGTGTACGGCGTGCCGTGCGATTGAATATCCGGACTCGCTGCTTGAACAGCACCCAGCATTAAGTTTTCGGTGTTGTCTTAAAGGGTTTTTGACACCGCCTCCTTCACTGGGGGCAGTGCCAACCTACCCAGGGCCCCAGTTTGGCGCACGATACAGTTTGAGTTTTTCTCGAGGCACGGCCCGAGGCACTGCGTACATGTGAGATTTGACAGACGCTGACTCACGGATAGGTCCGAGATGCTCATCGCCTCCAGCCACCGCTGGGCGCACTCCCGCATAATGCAGTAGAAGGTATCACAGGCACACAGTTCCCAGTCCACAACCTCCATGACCCCGCGGGAGCACGAGCTGAACGATAGAATGCAGGACACAAAGTCCTGGCTCGAACTCGACGCATCCGCGCCGAGGCAGTAGCGCACTGCCAACAAGAACGGGTTATTTTTAAAGGCCTTGACTTCTTCCAAGAAGTCGGGGTTGCCGGATTGCGATAGCTTATCTATAGCGCGCTCAGCGCTTTCGGCAAAACACTGCTCGTCCGAAATGATTTCGCCGCTGGCGCCCAGGACGGCTGCGGAGAGCAGCGCGAGCAGGGTCGACAGGCGGCGCATTTTTGCCGACGATTTTACGCCCCTGCTACCCTGTCTCTAGGTCTGACTAACGCTTTCCGCCGGGGCGGACAGGGGATGCGCCAACGCGTGTCTAGTAGCACCCTGAGAAGGAATCTAGTCCACACATGTAGACGTTACCTGCCGACGAGATATCCGCTTGCACAGAGGTAGTACGGCCTAAACACACCGTAGTGTGTAACAACCTTTTTCCTGTGCAGTTATGAGAAAGCTTGTATCGTGGCCACGGACGACGCACATGAAGGCAGCCAACCGCGTACCGGTCAACGCACCGTTTTTACGCACGAAAGAGATGTATAAACCCCGCAAAACCCACCTATTAGTTCGAACTGCATTCGACTGCTCTGCTGAGCACGCCGGGCATTGCGGGTAGAAGTATTGTCTGGGCCGCACCAACGATAGCGGCACTATGTGGTGATCCACTAGGAACTTCACCAACGGTCGCCGAAGTCGGCGTTTTACAACCCCCGATGGCGGCTGGTGGTCGGCGATGTATTGGCCAGAAGCCGAGGACCGGCCGCAGGTATGGCAGCCGTAGGCGCGACCGAGTTCCTGTATGACGCGCTTCTGTCTTCTGTTCGCGTATGTATACCCTTCCGCCAGTAGCGACGTGCTAGGTACGGCGAAAGCACCGGGATGTGTAACATCGCTCGGGGTGAATGAGTGCAGGCTGCGACCGGATATCAATGCACATCCAGCTCTGACTCACCTGCCTCCCAGCAGGAAGAACGTCGATATGCAGTAAGCCGCGATCACCGCAGCCTCCTTGACACTCGTGTCTGAACACGAAAGCCACGACGGAACGGTGGCACCGGTGTATTTAATACCACTTATGTCACGCATGACTGTAGCCAGAGGCGAGACGCGTGGCATTAGCGGCGCCAGCCCCTTAGCGGCGTGCCGAATCACCGTGCAAGTCCTAGCAGCATTGCCTACCGCGGTGATTGCGCCCAGCGGTGCCGTGATTGACCGGTTGGCACGCTCCCGCAAATGCGTGAGGATCTCTTTACACCTGCGTGATGCGGAACCTGAGGACAATGCCGACAGTGCGGTCTCCAGCAACTGCTCAGAGAGCTTGTACGCCGCGTAGCCGCCGATAGTCACTGTAAGCAACCCCGTTAACCGGCCTAGAAACAGGGCAGCGGTATCGATGTCAAGTAGCTCCTGCAGCCGCTGTGACAGCAGCGCCAATGCTATGAAAACCGCATTTAGCGCTATAGCCTGACACCCATAGGCAGCTGTATGCGTATATATAACGTTGGTAGGACACCTACCTATCAGCGACGACAACGTAGGCAGGTCGGTTCGGCGGAAGGCCGCAGGATCCTTCGTGATTCCGTAGTCTTCCAACGATGCTTGCGCCGCAACAGACCCAGGACCACACCCTGCGCTCGTAGGTTCCTCAGTGCAGCCGATCGCATCCTCTGTCACGACGGAATGGCTGCCTCCGACGTCGGATGTGCGTGCGGAGGCGGCAGACAGCTGCGTCAATAACGCGAGCACGGCCGCCGCAACGCAGCAGGGGCCCATAACATACATCTATTTACGTGTTCTCATTCTGAAACAACTGCATTATTTTGATGTGTGGACATTCTGGTCGTGACTGCCGTGTGTGGACCAGTCCTTACGATACCAAGCCTGGAAGTTTATTCTCGGCACACGTCCACACAATGCGTTAACTGGATCGCATATATGATACTAGGCAGTCGATCGGCTGCAGGAATCCGCGCTGTCAGAGCCTTCTCCAGCGTAGCAGCCGCGGAACCCTCGACACAGGCCAGGGGTCACGTGTCCGTTTTGCACGCCCTGGCTGAGGCAAACTCACGAGCAGATCTGTATAGAGCTGCAAGGAGGTCGCAGGATGTTCTTAGAAGAGGGTGTTATGATGCTTTGGAGCCCGGTAGCTCACCTGAGCAAGCCTCCGGGGCCGGTCATCGACCCGGCACGGAAGGATCCAACGTTCCCGACTTAGGTGGTTTTCATCCACATAGAGATAACCCTACCTATCGCAATATAAGCTGTACGCTACATGACTATGGAGTTTTCAAAGCAGCTGTTCGTAACGTTATTCGCCAGGGATGCAGTGACGTCACGGTGTGGTCAACGTTGGACAAGCACATGAACCAGCTTACGAAGTCATCTTCGGAACTATACTTAAATACTGCGCATCAAATCCTGTATAGCTTGTCCCAATTCAAGTGTCATGATCACATTTTGAAGTCAAAGGTGGAAAGCATTGCAGCTGGTATCTTTGATAAAGTCGCGGCCGCGGCTAGGCGGGAACTTCGCCGAGGAGTTATAGACCTGAAGTTAGAGCCTCAACGGAACATCGGGAGTTTAGATAACGTAGTCGTTAATGGTGATGGTGACGAAAGAAGCAACGCCATCGACGATGCGCATCGCCCTTCATCGTCCGGATTAGACCTTGAGTACGTGTGGAAGCTGTGGCACCTGCTTAACACAAGCTCCACAATACGTAACAGTGAAGTTGCGCAACTTCTACTGGAGGTGATGGAATCGCGCAAGCAGGAGCTATGTTCTTTCGACTTCCTCAGGACGCTGTGCACCATGAGAGTGATGCTGCAGCACGGGGGTCGGATTGCTAAAGTAGAGGAGAGATTACTCCTAAAACTTTTCAAAAGGCTATTGATGCTGCTAAATCACAGTCCAGATGTGGAATCAATGGTAATAACATCATCGGAGCTTAGGGATGATGCCCCTTATGCGGCCGGTTGCAGCCCAGACAATACCGAAGGGCCCTTAGCTAACGACCATCTCAAACAACGGGATTCGATCGAGCACCAACAACTGACGCCGCCTGGCATTCTGTCTAAGGAAGGAAACCTATACTTGACTATCGGCCATATTCGTAGTATCTTTGAGATGCTCTCTTGCATGTGCGACAAGATGTCAGCTTCGTCATTTGCAAGCATGATGGCGTCTAGTGGTTGCGTGCCGGGTATTACTCGGATGTTAGATGCAGCAACTGTCGTTGTGGGACGATCAGTAGCCCTGAGAAAACGTCTGCGTAGCGCAATAGTGGCTTCTGGCCCGGCTGAAGCCTCCACCATCGATGTCCCAGTTGACGATTGTCATCATAACCTTAACGCTATGGAATTGTCCCACACAAAGACATTGAACTCGGCTGTCGCATTTGTGAAACATTTAGATCGCATCAGCGATATGGATGGACAGCACTCAAAGCTCCTGTTTCCTATTCGTGGACATATGTTAAAATTCGTCTGCGTATTCTTTCGTGACGTATCATGCGGTAAAATCGAGGATAACATTTCACAGCTTAGGGCTGGTCATTACATACTTCTTTCCGCCGCTGCCAATGGCCAGTGCAGCGATGATCATATGATGGCATTAAGTAAGTGGGCCATTACAATGATCCGGGGAATTTCCGAATCGACATGGCCATCGACTCATTTAACGCACCTTATCCGCCTAATGATGCAGATGGACAAGTTTGTTGCGCTACTCAAGGATCTTGGTGTAGCGGCCATGTTAATGCCCGAACACTTGACGGTCACGAGTGATGTGCTGTGCCGTTTTGTGAATTCTGACGACATAATTTTAGGGGGTGGCGCAGTGGACATTGGTGGTCGAATAAGGGCGCTTATTCTGCTGCAGAAGTATGGAATGCTGTCGACAAGCCAGTTATCTGCATTTCTTGAGACTCTGCGCGGCAACACCAACATCCTAGAATGGCAGCCCCAAGATATCGCAATGCTGTGCGACGTGGTGAAGCGGCAGTTTAATGAAGGAATGCCTCATCTCCCAGTGTTGGACTCCGGTGTGGCCGTGATCAGCAAGCGATGCGATGATGATGCGGCGTCACCAACCACGGAGACGATCAGTGGCGATAAGGCCGAAGTGGCGGTGGAACTTGCTCGTGTGCTGGTGTCGTCCGTGGCTGCATGTGTGGGAGGTGTGTCAGGATTCGGTTGGACATTGAACCACGACCAGCTGCTATCAGTGCTGGGCAGCCACGTGGCATTATGTGGCGTTCCGGATTGTGCGATGATCGCCCATGCCTGCAGACGGTGCGCCACCATGAACATTCAGCAGTGCGTGAGCTGCCTGACGCTAGCCTCTGAAGCTGTGGAGGAGATGGCCGTGCAGCGCATCTCCCATCTGCTTGGTAGTCGGCATACCGTGTTGGACATCACACCAGTGCTGTCCATGCTGTGCGACGTGGCAGTGTCCATCGCCTCCGATAGTGGCGCTGCGCATGTGCCGTTGTTGATCAACCCCCGTCGAGAAGACGCCACGTCAACTGTAACAGAGCCACCTGTGTTGAACTGCAACGGGGCAGCGAGTAAATTGCGCCACGCCACCGCCCATAAACTGCACCGCGCACTATCATTGGCGGACCGTCACTTGGTAGTACTGGACGACGCGTCTGTGCTGAAACGCCGCATGCAGAAGCAGATCCAGCGTATGGTGCGGTGTAGCCGTCGTACTACGAGTGGCCAGCGTGTCGACCCGACTCTAGAGGCACCGGTCATCGCTGCTCAGAGTGCCGTTCTGCGTTACGTCGCCCGCTTCGGAGAGCGACATCCACAGAAAGGGAAGACTACACTCAGCTCTATTAAATGTTGGTCATGGCTGACGCGCATCGGTGTTAATTGCATGCTCCAGTCAGTCAGTAATCTTCTTTGATTTCGAGCAGCTCCTTCTGCACTGCGCAATTTGAGTCCTAGGCACGTGGCGCGATGTTACCTTCGTCGAACTCATGGATGTAAGGCAGCACGGCTTGCGTCTCGGGCTTTTCGGGTTGGCTGCGTAGTGATGAGTGCGACCTGTGCCAACCTACGGCATCTGGCTCATCTCGGTGCCAGAGTTGCCTTCCTCTAAACCGCGCTTCATACTCGCCAAGGCTATGCTACAGTGCGTATGTGTAAACCGTGATGATGAACTCACGGAGTGTGGAGGACTTGTATGACGAGCAAGAGAGGGGCGAGGCCGAGCCAGGCAGCTGGGGGTTATTTGGACTAGACAAACTAAAAACGCTTCAACTCAACGTGGTGTTACGTGTTATGTACTATCCGGGAAGATGGCGTTGGAAGGTCAGAATACCCGCAGCCGTGCGAAGTTCGCCGCAGCTACTGCGAGAATCCCGTACAGCCACCCACTTTGGTGGACGCGCAAACGTGCATACGAGGAGTTGTTTCAGTCGTGATCGCTTACATGTGCGCAATAGGTTACTGCGGTGACAATGCGCCCAGGTGTTGTTGCCACGCTCGGCCTAAAGACGTGGCTCCGCCGAAACTACGCCACAAAGTTATAACGCGTCACAAATATAAGAAAGGATCCGCGCGTACTTTTGCATTCCGAATAGCCGCATACAGCTGACCGACACCGTGCCTCCTGCGATGACGCTACAACATCGACCCCGAATCGAACACCCAAAACACGCCTTCGCAAAAACTATAGGTACCGCTGACACTGGATTATAGTTGCAAACAATTCATGCAACGTTGCAAATGCAGACACGGTAGAATTGGATGATATTTGGTGCTACAGTGGACACGCGCCCTGCCGGCGACACTTAATAATCCACGACTTACGAGAATGTCGTCGATCGCCCGCAGATCGTTTGCTCTTGTTTTACTGGCCGCCTACATAGGCGCGCTTTCGGTCTTCGGAGATGCTAAGCCGTCAAGTGCTCCGGAGCCAAATATGAAGATACCGTCACATTGCCCTAGGGGCGCCAAATGTGCTCTAATCAAGTTAGTCCGCGTCAACTGCATAGACATGGTTTTTCAGCGATGTCGATAAGCACCATATCCATCTCGGGACCTATAACAACGAGGGAGAAAATGAACCGTTGGTTATCAAAGTGCACAAGAGTCAACTCAAAGAACCGCAGTATTACGCCGTCACCGCAGATAGCCGTAAAGCTACTGGTAACGAGTGGATGAGCGTTGGAGTTTTTAACGCCAGAGAACACAAGAAAGTTAAAGGACGGCATCAAAAGTACTTCAACAGTATCTTGACTAAAAAATTCATGAGGCAAATAGTGATGACAGGACAGCAGGCGCATGGAATCAGAGCGGCTGCCTTTGTAACCCGCAACTTCAAAAAGTCGGTTCGTGACATCAAATTCCGAGGAGGCCATCACGTCGAAGCCCGGCCCGAGAGCACACCTGAAGCCGTTCACGTTCAAGACGGAGATGAGGTAGATGCCCAGCCCGAGACCACCACAGACTCTGTTTCCGTTGCGGAGGGCGATGAAGCTGAAGCTCAGCCCGAGACTTCACCAGATGCTGATGCCGCCGCAGAGGGCGATGCAGCTGAAGCTCAGCCCGAGACTTCACCCGATGCTATTGCTGCCGCTCCCGCAGAGAGGGATGAGAATCACCAGTTCGTGTTCCTAGAAGTCGATGGACCAGAATATGCGAAGGGAACCATCATTGTCTATCCAGGTGTCAAGGAAGGTAAATACTACGTGGTGTTCGCTTATGGAAATCCTTTGGGGGGCCCTGAGATGGAGTGCTTCAAGGAGGTGATCGTGAAGGTGCTGCCATAGACTGCGTGTCTCTAAGGGCGTTGACCCTGAAAACGTCGACCGCGCAACTTGATTTTAATAGGTGTGTTCGGAAGGCTGGTTGTCGGCACGTTCGCTGCCTTTGTAGCGCTCGAACAGCCACCTAACGCTCGCACTGCGCCGCGTCTGGCAACTTGTACATTAATCCACCTAAACGATGCACATCGATGAGGTCACGTAGCAAAATGTCAGAACGCGCTGATATGCCCCCGTTTAGCCGCTACCTCAGTACTGTCTACTTCCTCGGTCTTATACTCCCCGATGGCGTGGCCAAGGCGTCTGACGGCTACCACGCATAATAAAGCTCGTGTACTGCCTGTGTAGTCGTGTCGACTCCTCCGCCGAAGTGCCCACCTCAATGCTGTGCGACGTGGTGAAGCGGCAGTTTAATGAAGGAATGCATCATCTCCCAGTGTTGGACTCCGGTGTGGCCGTGATCAGCAAGCGATGCGATGATGATGCGGCGTCACCAACCACGGAGACGATCAGTGGCGATAAGGCCGAAGTGGCGGTGGAACTTGCTCGTGTGCTGGTGTCGTCCGTGGCTGCATGTGTGGGAGGTGTGTCAGGATTCGGTTGGACATTGAACCACGACCAGCTGCTATCAGTGCTGGGCAGCCACGTGGCATTATGTGGCGTTCCGGATTGTGCGATGATCGCCCATGCCTGCAGACGGTGCGCCACCATGAACATTCAGCAGTGCGTGAGCTGCCTGACGCTAGCCTCTGAAGCTGTGGAGGAGATGGCCGTGCAGCGCATCTCCCATCTGCTTGGTAGTCGGCATACCGTGTTGGACATCACACCAGTGCTGTCCATGCTGTGCGACGTGGCAGTGTCCATCGCCTCCGATAGTGGCGCTGCGCATGTGCCGTTGTTGATCAACCCCCGTCGAGAAGACGCCACGTCAACTGTAACAGAGCCACCTGTGTTGAACTGCAACGGGGCAGCGAGTAAATTGCGCCACGCCACCGCCCATAAACTGCACCGCGCACTATCATTGGCGGACCGTCACTTGGTAGTACTGGACGACGCGTCTGTGCTGAAACGCCGCATGCAGAAGCAGATCCAGCGTATGGTGCGGTGTAGCCGTCGTACTACGAGTGGCCAGCGTGTCGACCCGACTCTAGAGGCACCGGTCATCGCTGCTCAGAGTGCCGTTCTGCGTTACGTCGCCCGCTTCGGAGAGAGCGACATCCACAGAAAGGGAAGACTACACTCAGCTCTATTAAATGTTGGTCATGGCTGACGCGCATCGGTGTTAATTGCATGCTCCAGTCAGTCAGTAATCTTCTTTGATTTCGAGCAGCTCCTTCTGCACTGCGCAATTTGAGTCCTAGGCACGTGGCGCGATGTTACCTTCGTCGAACTCATGGATGTAAGGCAGCACGGCTTGCGTCTCGGGCTTTTCGGGTTGGCTGCGTAGTGATGAGTGCGACCTGTGCCAACCTACGGCATCTGGCTCATCTCGGTGCCAGAGTTGCCTTCCTCTAAACCGCGCTTCATACTCGCCAAGGCTATGCTACAGTGCGTATGTGTAAACCGTGATGATGAACTCACGGAGTGTGGAGGACTTGTATGACGAGCAAGAGAGGGCGAGGCCGAGCCAGGCAGCTGGGGGTTATTTGGACTAGACAAACTAAAAACGCTTCAACTCAACGTGGTGTTACGTGTTATGTACTATCCGGGAAGATGGCGTTGGAAGGTCAGAATACCCGCAGCCGTGCGAAGTTCGCCGCAGCTACTGCGAGAATCCCGTACAGCCACCCACTTTGGTGGACGCGCAAACGTGCATACGAGGAGTTGTTTCAGTCGTGATCGCTTACATGTGCGCAATAGGTTACTGCGGTGACAATGCGCCCAGGTGTTGTTGCCACGCTCGGCCTAAAGACGTGGCTCCGCCGAAACTACGCCACAAAGTTATAACGCGTCACAATTATAAGAAAGGATCCGCGCGTACTTTTGCATTCCGAATAGCCGCATACAGCTGACCGACACCGTGCCTCCTGCGATGACGCTACAACATCGACCCCGAATCGAACACCCAAAACACGCCTTCGCAAAAACTATAGGTACCGCTGACACTGGATTATAGTTGCAAACAATTCATGCAACGTTGCAGGAATCTCAGCCGCCGTGTAAGGTGCTTATTTGTGTTAAAGTCCACACACTCCCGGTGTACAATGGCTTGGAAAAATTGAAAATACGAAAATGTTGTATTTCGGTTTTAGATCTATCATTTTTGTTTTATTGGCCGCCTACATAGGCGCGCTTTCGGTCTTCGGAGATGCTAAGTCATTGAGCGCTTCGCAGCCGAACATAAAGACGCAATCACATTGTCCTAAGGATGCGGAATGTGCTTATACCGGGTAAGTCAGCTTCGAACTTATTTGAATAGTTATTTAGAGGACGTGTTGGGAACCATATCCACCTTGGAACTTTTAACAACAAGAGAGATAATGAGCCTTTAGTGATCAAAGTGCGCAGGAGTAAACTCTACGAACCTATGGTATATGCTGTTACCGCATTGAGCAAGATATCGACTGGTAACCAGTGGATGTGCGTGGGAATTTTGAACTCGAAGGAGCTCCGGCGGGTGAAGCAAGGGTATCCAGAATACTATAACAAAATCTTAACTGAAGAGTATATGGAAAAAGTAACGATGTTAGGGCAGCATGCGCATGAAATCCACGTAAATCCGTTTATGGTGCTAAATGCCATAGATACAGAGGATGAGCTTCCCGTTAGAGACGCCTTTGCACCCCTCGATATCGGTAGCATTGAGGCTCCAAGTCGCAATAGCGTTGAGCTTCCCGACCACGATGGTATTGAGCTTCCCGACCGTGATACTGTTGAGTTTTTCGACAGCGATGATACAGATGCCCAGTCCGATACTACATTGAGTGGAGATTTCAGTGTAGGGGACGAAGAGTTGGATGGCCTGTCCGATACCACTCCGGGCGACGCTGACGAGTCCGAGATCACTCCGTACAACGTTGATGTGCTAGAGAACGATGAGGTCAATGCTCAGTCTAAGACCACTCCGGATGACGCTGACGTTCCAGAGAACAATGAAGTCGTTATCCCATCTAAGACAACTCCGGTTGACGCTGTGATTCCAGAGGGCGATAAGGCCGTTACCCCGTCCAAGACCCCGTCTGTGGGAGAGCCAGAAATTTCCAAGGCAACCTTGTCCATAACACCAACCGTAAGGGAGGGCAAATACTACGTGGTGTTCGCTTACGGATCGCCATTTAGGGGCCCTAAGATGGTGTGCTTCAAGGAGGTGATCGTGAAGGTGCTGCCATAGACTGCGTGTCTCTAAGGGCGTTGACCCTGAAAACGTCGACCGCGCAACTTGATTTTAATAGGTGTGTTCGGAAGGCTGGTTGTCGGCACGTTCGCTGCCTTTGTAGCGCTCGAACAGCCACCTAACGCTCGCACTGCGCCGCGTCTGGCAACTTGTACATTAATCCACCTAAACGATGCACATCGATGAGGTCACGTAGCAAAATGTCAGAACGCGCTGATATGCCCCCGTTTAGCCGCTACCTCAGTACTGTCTACTTCCTCGGTCTTATACTCCCCGATGGCGTGGCCAAGGCGTCTGACGGCTACCACGCATAATAAAGCTCGTGTACTGCCTGTGTAGTCGTGTCGACTCCTCCGCCGAAGTGCCCACCTCAATGCTGTGCGACGTGGTGAAGCGGCAGTTTAATGAAGGAATGCCTCATCTCCCAGTGTTGGACTCCGGTGTGGCCGTGATCAGCAAGCGATGCGATGATGATGCGGCGTCACCAACCACGGAGACGATCAGTGGCGATAAGGCCGAAGTGGCGGTGGAACTTGCTCGTGTGCTGGTGTCGTCCGTGGCTGCATGTGTGGGAGGTGTGTCAGGATTCGGTTGGACATTGAACCACGACCAGCTGCTATCAGTGCTGGGCAGCCACGTGGCATTATGTGGCGTTCCGGATTGTGCGATGATCGCCCATGCCTGCAGACGGTGCGCCACCATGAACATTCAGCAGTGCGTGAGCTGCCTGACGCTAGCCTCTGAAGCTGTGGAGGAGATGGCCGTGCAGCGCATCTCCCATCTGCTTGGTAGTCGGCATACCGTGTTGGACATCACACCAGTGCTGTCCATGCTGTGCGACGTGGCAGTGTCCATCGCCTCCGATAGTGGCGCTGCGCATGTGCCGTTGTTGATCAACCCCCGTCGAGAAGACGCCACGTCAACTGTAACAGAGCCACCTGTGTTGAACTGCAACGGGGCAGCGAGTAAATTGCGCCACGCCACCGCCCATAAACTGCACCGCGCACTATCATTGGCGGACCGTCACTTGGTAGTACTGGACGACGCGTCTGTGCTGAAACGCCGCATGCAGAAGCAGATCCAGCGTATGGTGCGGTGTAGCCGTCGTACTACGAGTGGCCAGCGTGTCGACCCGACTCTAGAGGCACCGGTCATCGCTGCTCAGAGTGCCGTTCTGCGTTACGTCGCCCGCTTCGGAGAGAGCGACATCCACAGAAAGGGAAGACTACACTCAGCTCTATTAAATGTTGGTCATGGCTGATGCGCATCGGTGTTAATTGCATGCTCCAGTCAATCGTCATCTTCGTCGAGCATGTCGTACTCGTCGTCGACAAAGTCCACCGATACTGTGTCCAAGTAGTATGCGAGCGGAGCGTGCCATAGCTCACGGCGCAGTATCTCACCGAAATCAGGTCTATTTACCCACTCGTCCTTGGTAAACCTGAATTGATTTCATGAACGTTCACTTGCCACCCACCATTCGAACAGCGACCAGTCGATGCACCGTTCGTCAGATCGTGCTTTCACTGCGACATCGATAGGGCTCTGCATAAAATTGCTGGCGTTTGACGCGCTTCCTACCATGCCTGGTCTCCAATGAATCTCCGTGCACTCCACAACGTCTTCCTTGTTATTCGAAAACCTAATGTGCTTGGTGAGCACTAGCGGTTCCATGTACTCGCGTGCGTCCTCGCCGAACGTCAGCGTGACTTTGTAGGAGCCATTGTTGTCGATATTGTCTTCCAAGTCCACCTTCTCCAGCAGCTCGAGTAAGGGCGTGTCGGCCGTAGTGAGGTAGCTGAGCGCAGGGTGGTGTAGGATGGCCCTTGCCCAGAATCCAGGAATCTTATTGATGATCCCCTACACGTCATAGAAAACTCAGAACGGTACACATGCCTGGCGCCTCCGGAAGTGCGGTTGCTTCTTCCGATCGTACTCGCGCTGAATTTCGATCTGACGATTCGCACACTCCTCGTCGATGTCGAGCAGCTCCTTCTGCACTGCGCAATTTGAGTCCTAGGCACGTGGCGCGATGTTACCTTCGTCGAACTCATGGATGTAAGGCAGCACGGCTTGCGTCTCGGGCTTTTCGGGTTGGCTGCGTAGTGATGAGTGCGACCTGTGCCAACCTACGGCATCTGGCTCATCTCGGTGCCAGAGTTGCCTTCCTCTAAACCGCGCTTCATACTCGCCAAGGCTATGCTACAGTGCGTATGTGTAAACCGTGATGATGAACTCACGGAGTGTGGAGGACTTGTATGACGAGCAAGAGAGGGGCGAGGCCGAGCCAGGCAGCTGGGGGGTTATTTGGACTAGACAAACTAAAAACGCTTCAACTCAACGTGGTGTTACGTGTTATGTACTATCCGGGAAGATGGCGTTGGAAGGTCAGAATACCCGCAGCCGTGCGAAGTTCGCCGCAGCTACTGCGAGAATCCCGTACAGCCACCCACTTTGGTGGACGCGCAAACGTGCATACGAGGAGTTGTTTCAGTCGTGATCGCTTACATGTGCGCAATAGGTTACTGCGGTGACAATGCGCCCAGGTGTTGTTGCCACGCTCGGCCTAAAGACGTGGCTCCGCCGAAACTACGCCACAAAGTTATAACGCGTCACAATTATAAGAAAGGATCCGCGCGTACTTTTGCATTCCGAATAGCCGCATACAGCTGACCGATACCGTGCCTCCTGCGGTGACGCTACAAGGTGGACTTCGAATCTAATGCACTAGACAACGCTTGAAATAACTATATGTTTTGCTGACGATATTTATTAATAAATAGTAATTAGTGTGACGTTGAATAGGCGAGCGCAGGAGCAGGTGTCATTTTATGGTACTATAGCGGACACGCGCCGCGTGGACAACACTTCATAATCTACGACCTACGTGAATGTCGCCGTCTGTTTTTAGATCGTTGGTTCTAGTTTTGTTGGTTGCCACAGTAGGCGTGCTCTCGGTCTTCGGAGTTGTTCAAGTGCAGACCGCTCGGGGGCCTAATATGAAGACACCATCACATTGCCCGAAGGGAGCAGAATGCGCTTTTATAAAGTTAGTCCGCGTCAACTGCATAGACATGGGTTTTCAGCGAACTTGATAAGTACCACATCCATCTCGGCACCTATAACAAGAAAGGTGATGAGCCCTTGGTGATAACAGTGCATAAGAGCACGCTCGACGAAACAAGGGCATACGCCATCACCGCATTGAGCCAGATATCTACTGGTTACCAGTGGATATGTGTGGGAATTTTGAACGCCGAAACACACTGCCAGTTGAAGGAAGGCTATCAAGAATTCGACAAAATCTTAACTGAAGAATTTATGAAACACTCCATGAAGCACGGACAATGTGGTCATGGAATTATCACAGATCCGTTCGTAGCACAAAATGCCAAAACAATTGCGAACGACATTGACGCTGTGATTCCAGAGGGCGATAAGGCCGTTACCCCGTCCAAGACCCCGTCTGTGGGAGAGCCGGAAATTTCCAAGGCAACCTTGTCCATAACACCAACCGTAAGGGAGGGCAAATACTACGTGGTGTTCGCTTACGGATCGCCATTTAGGGGCCCTAAGATGGTGTGCTTCAAGGAGGTGATCGTGAAGGTGCTGCCATAGACTGCGTGTCTCTAAGGGCGTTGACCCTGAAAACGTCGACCGCGCAACTTGATTTTAATAGGTGTGTTCGGAAGGCTGGTTGTCGGCACGTTCGCTGCCTTTGTAGCGCTCGAACAGCCACCTAACGCTCGCACTGCGCCGCGTCTGGCAACTTGTACATTAATCCACCTAAACGATGCACATCGATGAGGTCACGTAGCAAAATGTCAGAACGCGCTGATATGCCCCCGTTTAGCCGCTACCTCAGTACTGTCTACTTCCTCGGTCTTATACTCCCCGATGGCGTGGCCAAGGCGTCTGACGGCTACCACGCATAATAAAGCTCGTGTACTGCCTGTGTAGTCGTGTCGACTCCTCCGCCGAAGTGCCTACCTCAATGCTGTGCGACGTGGTGAAGCGGCAGTTTAATGAAGGAATGCATCATCTCCCAGTGTTGGACTCCGGTGTGGCCGTGATCAGCAAGCGATGCGATGATGATGCGGCGTCACCAACCACGGAGACGATCAGTGGCGATAAGGCCGAAGTGGCGGTGGAACTTGCTCGTGTGCTGGTGTCGTCCGTGGCTGCATGTGTGGGAGGTGTGTCAGGATTCGGTTGGACATTGAACCACGACCAGCTGCTATCAGTGCTGGGCAGCCACGTGGCATTATGTGGCGTTCCGGATTGTGCGATGATCGCCCATGCCTGCAGACGGTGCGCCACCATGAACATTCAGCAGTGCGTGAGCTGCCTGACGCTAGCCTCTGAAGCTGTGGAGGAGATGGCCGTGCAGCGCATCTCCCATCTGCTTGGTAGTCGGCATACCGTGTTGGACATCACACCAGTGCTGTCCATGCTGTGCGACGTGGCAGTGTCCATCGCCTCCGATAGTGGCGCTGCGCATGTGCCGTTGTTGATCAACCCCCGTCGAGAAGACGCCACGTCAACTGTAACAGAGCCACCTGTGTTGAACTGCAACGGGGCAGCGAGTAAATTGCGCCACGCCACCGCCCATAAACTGCACCGCGCACTATCATTGGCGGACCGTCACTTGGTAGTACTGGACGACGCGTCTGTGCTGAAACGCCGCATGCAGAAGCAGATCCAGCGTATGGTGCGGTGTAGCCGTCGTACTACGAGTGGCCAGCGTGTCGACCCGACTCTAGAGGCACCGGTCATCGCTGCTCAGAGTGCCGTTCTGCGTTACGTCGCCCGCTTCGGAGAGAGCGACATCCACAGAAAGGGAAGACTACACTCAGCTCTATTAAATGTTGGTCATGGCTGACGCGCATCGGTGTTAATTGCATGCTCCAGTCAGTCAGTAATCTTCTTTGATTTCGAGCAGCTCCTTCTGCACTGCGCAATTTGAGTCCTAGGCACGTGGCGCGATGTTACCTTCGTCGAACTCATGGATGTAAGGCAGCACGGCTTGCGTCTCGGGCTTTTCGGGTTGGCTGCGTAGTGATGAGTGCGACCTGTGCCAACCTACGGCATCTGGCTCATCTCGGTGCCAGAGTTGCCTTCCTCTAAACCGCGCTTCATACTCGCCAAGGCTATGCTACAGTGCGTATGTGTAAACCGTGATGATGAACTCACGGAGTGTGGAGGACTTGTATGACGAGCAAGAGAGGGGCGAGGCCGAGCCAGGCAGCTGGGGGGTTATTTGGACTAGACAAACTAAAAACGCTTCAACTCAACGTGGTGTTACGTGTTATGTACTATCCGGGAAGATGGCGTTGGAAGGTCAGAATACCCGCAGCCGTGCGAAGTTCGCCGCAGCTACTGCGAGAATCCCGTACAGCCACCCACTTTGGTGGACGCGCAAACGTGCATACGAGGAGTTGTTTCAGTCGTGATCGCTTACATGTGCGCAATAGGTTACTGCGGTGACAATGCGCCCAGGTGTTGTTGCCACGCTCGGCCTAAAGACGTGGCTCCGCCGAAACTACGCCACAAAGTTATAACGCGTCACAAATATAAGAAAGGATCCGCGCGTACTTTTGCATTCCGAATAGCCGCATACAGCTGACCGACACCGTGCCTCCTGCGATGACGCTACAACATCGACCCCGAATCGAACACCCAAAACACGCCTTCGCAAAACTATAGGTACCGCTGACACTGGATTATAGTTGCAAACAATTCATGCAACGTTGCAAATGCAGACACGGTAGAATTGTGTGGTATCTGGTGCTATAGTGGACACGCGCCCTGCGGACGACACTTAATAATCCACGACTTACGAGAATGTCGTCGATCGCCCGCAGATCGTTTGCTCTTGTTTTACTGGCCGCCTACATAGGCGCGTTTTCGGTCTTCGGAGATGCTAAGCCGTCGAGCGCTACGGAGCCGAACATAAAGACGCAATCACATTGTCCTAGGGGTGCAAAATGTGCTCTAATCAAGTAAGTCTGTGGCGAGTGCATTTATATTACCATGCAGTAAAGATGAAAAGCACCATATCCATCTCGGCACCTATAACAACGAGGGAGAAAATGAACCGTTGGTTATCAAAGTGCACAAGAGTCAACTCAAAGAACCACGGTATTACGCCGTCACCGCAGATAGCCGTAAAGCTACTGGTAACGAGTGGATGAGCGTTGGAGTTTTTAACACCGGAGAACACAAGAAAGTTAAAGGACGGCATCAAAAGTACTTCAACAGAATCTTGACTAAGAAATTCATGAGGAGAATAGTGATGACAGGACAGCAGGCGCATGGAATCAGAGCGATTGCCTTTGTAACTCGCAACGTCAAAAAGACGGTTTATGACATCAAATTCCGAGGAGGCCATCACGTCGAAGCCCGGCCCGAGAGTACAACAGAAGCCGTTCACGTTCAAGACGGAGATGAGGTAGATGCCCAGCCCAAGACCACCACAGACTCTGTTTCCGTTGCGGAGGGCGATGAAGCTGAAGCTCAGACCGAGGCTTCACCAGATGCTGATGCCGCCGCAGAGGGTGATGAAGCTGAAGCTCAGACCGAGGCTTCACCAGATGCTGATGCCTCCGCAGAGGGCGATGAAGGTGATGCTCAGTCCAAGACATCACCAGATGCTGATGCCATTGCAGAGGGCAATGTCCCGTGCGAAATCACATCTGTCAAAGGGCCAGAAGTATCGAAGGGAAGTATCATTATAAACCCAGATGTCAAGGAAGGTAAATACTACGTGGTGTTCGCTTATGGAAACCCATTCGGTGGCCCTAAGATGGTGTGCTTCAAGGAGGTGGTCGTGAAGGTGCTGCCATAGACTGCGTGTCTCTAAGGGCGTTGACCCTGAAAACGTCGACCGCGCAACTTGATTTTAATAGGTGTGTTCGGAAGGCTGGTTGTCGGCACGTTCGCTGCCTTTGTAGCGCTCGAACAGCCACCTAACGCTCGCACTGCGCCGCGTCTGGCAACTTGTACATTAATCCACCTAAACGATGCACATCGATGAGGTCACGTAGCAAAATGTCAGAACGCGCTGATATGCCCCCGTTTAGCCGCTACCTCAGTACTGTCTACTTCCTCGGTCTTATACTCCCCGATGGCGTGGCCAAGGCGTCTGACGGCTACCACGCATAATAAAGCTCGTGTACTGCCTGTGTAGTCGTGTCGACTCCTCCGCCGAAGTGCCTACCTCAATGCTGTGCGACGTGGTGAAGCGGCAGTTTAATGAAGGAATGCATCATCTCCCAGTGTTGGACTCCGGTGTGGCCGTGATCAGCAAGCGATGCGATGATGATGCGGCGTCACCAACCACGGAGACGATCAGTGGCGATAAGGCCGAAGTGGCGGTGGAACTTGCTCGTGTGCTGGTGTCGTCCGTGGCTGCATGTGTGGGAGGTGTGTCAGGATTCGGTTGGACATTGAACCACGACCAGCTGCTATCAGTGCTGGGCAGCCACGTGGCATTATGTGGCGTTCCGGATTGTGCGATGATCGCCCATGCCTGCAGACGGTGCGCCACCATGAACATTCAGCAGTGCGTGAGCTGCCTGACGCTAGCCTCTGAAGCTGTGGAGGAGATGGCCGTGCAGCGCATCTCCCATCTGCTTGGTAGTCGGCATACCGTGTTGGACATCACACCAGTGCTGTCCATGCTGTGCGACGTGGCAGTGTCCATCGCCTCCGATAGTGGCGCTGCGCATGTGCCGTTGTTGATCAACCCCCGTCGAGAAGACGCCACGTCAACTGTAACAGAGCCACCTGTGTTGAACTGCAACGGGGCAGCGAGTAAATTGCGCCACGCCACCGCCCATAAACTGCACCGCGCACTATCATTGGCGGACCGTCACTTGGTAGTACTGGACGACGCGTCTGTGCTGAAACGCCGCATGCAGAAGCAGATCCAGCGTATGGTGCGGTGTAGCCGTCGTACTACGAGTGGCCAGCGTGTCGACCCGACTCTAGAGGCACCGGTCATCGCTGCTCAGAGTGCCGTTCTGCGTTACGTCGCCCGCTTCGGAGAGAGCGACATCCACAGAAAGGGAAGACTACACTCAGCTCTATTAAATGTTGGTCATGGCTGACGCGCATCGGTGTTAATTGCATGCTCCAGTCAGTCAGTAATCTTCTTTGATTTCGAGCAGCTCCTTCTGCACTGCGCAATTTGAGTCCTAGGCACGTGGCGCGATGTTACCTTCGTCGAACTCATGGATGTAAGGCAGCACGGCTTGCGTCTCGGGCTTTTCGGGTTGGCTGCGTAGTGATGAGTGCGACCTGTGCCAACCTACGGCATCTGGCTCATCTCGGTGCCAGAGTTGCCTTCCTCTAAACCGCGCTTCATACTCGCCAAGGCTATGCTACAGTGCGTATGTGTAAACCGTGATGATGAACTCACGGAGTGTGGAGGACTTGTATGACGAGCAAGAGAGGGCGAGGCCGAGCCAGGCAGCTGGGGGGTTATTTGGACTAGACAAACTAAAAACGCTTCAACTCAACGTGGTGTTACGTGTTATGTACTATCCGGGAAGATGGCGTTGGAAGGTCAGAATACCCGCAGCCGTGCGAAGTTCGCCGCAGCTACTGCGAGAATCCCGTACAGCCACCCACTTTGGTGGACGCGCAAACGTGCATACGAGGAGTTGTTTCAGTCGTGATCGCTTACATGTGCGCAATAGGTTACTGCGGTGACAATGCGCCCAGGTGTTGTTGCCACGCTCGGCCTAAAGACGTGGCTCCGCCGAAACTACGCCACAAAGTTATAACGCGTCACAAATATAAGAAAGGATCCGCGCGTACTTTTGCATTCCGAATAGCCGCATACAGCTGACCGACACCGTGCCTCCTGCGATGACGCTACAACATCGACCCCGAATCGAACACCCAAAACACGCCTTCGCAAAAACTATAGGTACCGCTGACACTGGATTATAGTTGCAAACAATTCATGCAACGTTGCAAATGCAGACACGGTAGAATTGTGTGGTATCTGGTGCTATAGTGGACACGCGCCCTGCGGACGACACTTAATAATCCACGACTTACGAGAATGTCGTCGATCGCCCGCAGATCGTTTGCTCTTGTTTTACTGGCCGCCTACATAGGCGCGTTTTCGGTCTTCGGAGATGCTAAGCCGTCGAGCGCTACGGAGCCGAACATAAAGACGCAATCACATTGTCCTAGGGGTGCAAAATGTGCTCTAATCAAGTAAGTCTGTGGCGAGTGCATTTATATTACCATGCAGTAAAGATGAAAAGCACCATATCCATCTCGGCACCTATAACAACGAGGGAGAAAATGAACCGTTGGTTATCAAAGTGCACAAGAGTCAACTCAAAGAACCACGGTATTACGCCGTCACCGCAGATAGCCGTAAAGCTACTGGTAACGAGTGGATGAGCGTTGGAGTTTTTAACACCGGAGAACACAAGAAAGTTAAAGGACGGCATCAAAAGTACTTCAACAGAATCTTGACTAAGAAATTCATGAGGAGAATAGTGATGACAGGACAGCAGGCGCATGGAATCAGAGCGATTGCCTTTGTAACTCGCAACGTCAAAAAGACGGTTTATGACATCAAATTCCGAGGAGGCCATCACGTCGAAGCCCGGCCCGAGAGTACAACAGAAGCCGTTCACGTTCAAGACGGAGATGAGGTAGATGCCCAGCCCAAGACCACCACAGACTCTGTTTCCGTTGCGGAGGGCGATGAAGCTGAAGCTCAGACCGAGGCTTCACCAGATGCTGATGCCGCCGCAGAGGGTGATGAAGCTGAAGCTCAGACCGAGGCTTCACCAGATACTGATGCCGCCGCAGAGGGTGATGAAGCTGAAGCTCAGACCGAGACTTCACCCGATGCTATTGCTGCCGCTCCCGCAGAGAGGGATGAGAATCACCTGTTCATGTTCCCAGAAGTAGATGGACCAGAATATGCGAAGGGAACCATCATTGTCTATCCAGGTGTCAAGGAAGGTAAATACTACGTGGTGTTCGCTTATGGAAATCCTTTGGGGGGCCCTGAGATGGAGTGCTTCAAGGAGGTGATCGTGAAGGTGCTGCCATAGACTGCGTGTCTCTAAGGGCGTTGACCCTGAAAACGTCGACCGCGCAACTTGATTTTAATAGGTGTGTTCGGAAGGCTGGTTGTCGGCACGTTCGCTGCCTTTGTAGCGCTCGAACAGCCACCTAACGCTCGCACTGCGCCGCGTCTGGCAACTTGCACATTAATCCACCTAAACGATGCACATCGATGAGGTCACGTAGCAAAATGTCAGAACGTGCTGATATGCTAAGTTTCACCGAGCACATCAGGAATGTGTGCTTTCTCGCTCACGTTGATCATGGCAAGACTACGCTCTCCGACAGCCTCATCTCCAGCGTTGGCATCATCAGCGAGAGGCTTTCGGGGAAGCTGCGGTATCTAGACAACCGTGATGACGAGCAGAGGCGCATGATTACGATCAAATCGTCCAGCATCTCGCTCATTTACTCCCCGAACAACCCGACTGTGCGGACAAGCAGCGCCAAGGCGCTCAACGACTCGCCATGCATCATAAACCTCGTGGACTGCCCGGGACATGTCGACTTCTCCGTTGAAGTGTCCACCGCCGCGAGGCTGTGCGATGGAGCGCTGCTCATCGTCGACGCCGTCGAAGGCATATGCCCGCAGACCAAAGCCGTCCTGCGGCAGGCGTGGAGGGAGAGCGTACGCACGGCGCTGGTGCTGAACAAGATCGACAAGCTGATACTCGATCTGAATATGACTCCGGCGGAGGCGTACCAACGGTTGCGCGACTTGGTCGACCAGGTAAATGCACTAATGTTCCAGATGTACAACGAGTACCTCAACGTTGATGCTGATGAGGAGGGAATTAAGGTGGACGTCAGTGCGAAGAAGTGGTTCTTCTGTCCCTCTGAGGGGAACGTGGTGTTCTGCAGTGCCTTACACCGGTGGTGCATAAACCTGCCAGAGTTCGCGGAGCATATCGTACAAAAACTCAATGTGCCGCCTGCGAAAAGCGGCGGGATTCTGAAGGCGCTCTGGAGCGATCTCTACTACTGTCCGCGCACCAAAACGCTGAAGCCAGGCCACGGTCGTGAGAAACCCTTTTTCGTGCAGTTTGTGCTGGAGCAAGTGTGGAAGGTCTACGACTCCATCATGACGAATTGGTCTCCGGAGGATATCGAAAAGTGCGTCAGGTACTCAGGAGCCACGCTGAGCGCCCGCCAGTTGCGGCTTCTCGAGAGCTCGGCTACACCTGCCGCTGAGGAGCGCGAGGAGCTGCTGACCACCGTAATGGGATCGTGGATTTCCATTCCAAGCGGCATAGTACGGATGATTGTGGACTGTCTGCATAACCCCGTTCAGGCTGCAAAAAAGCGGCTGAAACGCATCTGTCCGGCTGTGCTGGAATACCCAGCTTACGAGGAGGTCATATCCTGCAAACCGACGGCACCGACAGTGGTGCACGTTGCCAAATTCTTGGGATGCGACTTGAACATCATGAGACTCACTGGAGATGTGCTGCATGGAGACGAGCTTGCTGAAGAATTTGTAGCCTTCGCGCGTATATTCAGCGGCTGCCTCAAGGTCGGCAGCCAACTCTACATCTGCGCCGCCCGGAGACCCGGTGCGGGTTGTGGGTTCACGGACGATATCCACAACGACGTACAGCAGAGAAAGGTGTGTGTCAAAAGGATCATGATATGCATGGGAGCCGATCTACTAGACGTGGACACCGGCTGGCCGGGGAACATCGTTGCACTGCACCTCTCACAGCCCGGCTCCTCGCCGGGAGATGGTGCGTCGCCTCGCGCGGCCGACGCAGGACGCAGGGACAACATGGACCATGTAAGCGTTGTGGTCTGGTGTACGTCTAATGGTTGCAGGTCAAGGAGGTTATGGCGTGGATCCTGTCTCTAGGGGACCCTCACCGACAGAAGGTGAAGAACATGGGTGACGAATTCGACAATCGCAGCCGATTCACGCGTCAGGGCAATCTCTGCAGCGTCGATAGGCACCTCACTTTAAGCAGTGACCCGTCCTTCCCCGGGTTCCCGCCGCTGAATTTAGAGGTATGGTACGCATGCCCCTTTTTTTCATCTCACGCAGTTCAACAACCCCATCATCCGAGTCTCGGTCGAACCCCAAAATGTCAAACACACTCAAGAGTTCCTCATGGGTCTGGCGTATTTGTACATTTCAGACCCGGCAATTGAGCTAGATGTGCTCAAGACTGGCGAATATGTCCTGGCCTGCTGCGGCGAAATTCACCTCGAGCGGTGCGTCAACGACCTCGCCAACCTGTATGCAAAGGTGCCGATAACGGTGTCGAAGCCACGGGTGTCAGTAAGGGAGGGCGTCGTCGACCTGTCGCCAACGGACACCAGCGCGGTGGCGTATTCGAGGGCGCTGAGCAAAACAGTCAACTTCCCGCCGTGGCAGAACAATGCGAATACCGCCGATGAGCAACCTGCGGAGTCGGACCCCACGGTGGATCACAAGATGGTAGCACCGATCAAGGGCATGCCGGGGGCCTACATTACAACAGCTGCACTCAAACTCGGCACCGAGTACGCCGTCACCCCTTCAGGCGACACCGTGCTACTAATTCGCACCGTGCAGATGCCGCAGCAAGTGCTGGACTACGTGGAGAACAACAACAACGACATAAAACGCGCAATCTACGGAGGGGAACCGCCGCCGCAGTTCTCAACGGGCACGGCAGAGCAGCGCATGAACAGCTACTTGGAGAAGCTGGAAAACGACATTATCGCCACGTGGAGGTCGTGTACCCAACAGCGGGGATCAACTCTGGATGTCGGCCACCTCTGGGCAATCAGCACCAATAGAGGCAGTCGGACCATGCTCTTCTATAACGACAATAACGGGCTGAAGGTGGTGCCAACGAATACGGCGGCCGGCGAGGAGACTTCTGGCTCAAGCTCGATCGATCGGCAAAAGCTGGTGCGCCCACCTCCGCTGGGGTGGGGATTTAAGGACACCTACCAGCCCGAGAAGCTCAGCACACTCGAATGGTCCAAGGCCGTATCAGCGGTGATGTCAGGCTTCGAAGTCGCATCGCAGTTCGGCCCGTGTACTGAGGAACCGTTGCGCGGCGTCGTGTTCGTTATTGAGGGGATGTACACTATAAGCACCCCGTGCCCAGACGCCAGTCCGGAACGCAGTTTGTACAAGTCCCGGAAAACAAACAGCCTACTACAATGCGCAGACGAGCCAGGAGAAGGGACGCAAGACGATACACTCTCCGATATGTTGCACAAGGAGGCATTCCAATGCGACTCCAAAGCCGCGCCGTCGGACTCTGCATTCGACGGCGAGGAAGAAGGGGAGGGTTATATGCGTATCGGCAGCCACGTCAAGCTAGTGACGAACGAGCATACAACCTTCGAATCAAGTGCCGATGACCTCCAGGACACATTATCGCAATTCAGCGACGTACTCACCTTCCAGTCGTCGCGTAGATCCGGTTCCGGGGTGTCGACCGCTGGCAACGTAAGCGACCGTAGTTATTCTACTCAATGAGCGCAGATCATATCAACCATGCGCAACATATGCCGCAAGGCTATCATGCAGCGCGGCAGGCCGAGGATATACGAGGTGATGCTGCGGCTGGAGCTGCAGTGCGACCAGGGGGTGCTGGGCAAAATGTACAGCGTGCTGCAGAAGCGGCGTACCCAGATAGTCGCCGAAAACGTGCGAAACGGCACCAATACGTTCGTTATAGAGGGCCTCATACCCGCATCGGAGTCATTCGGGCTAGCCCAGGACCTGAGGTCGAAGGCCTCTGGCGGCGTCGTATTCCACCTGCAGTTCAGCCACTGGGAGATGAACCCCGACGACCCATTCCCCGAGGTGTCGATGACCGACGAGGTGGGTGTAAGGCTATTCGTGTCAATGTGTTTTCAGGAATTCGAGGACGCAGGGTTCAACATGGCCCGCATGCTGCAGTCCAATGTGCCACGCAAAATCATCAACTACATTAGGAAGATGAAGGTTGGTTGGCATAACGCCACTCAGCTCTAATATACACTCAGGGGCTCATCACCGAGGAGAAGGTGGTGGCGTCTGCGGAGAAGCAGCGCACGCTCTCCACGAAGAAATGAGCGTTGTGGACTAAAACTTGTGAAAATGCAGTTAGTCCAGTGCATCCATCTTTTTTAGCTGGTCCAAAGCCTCAGCGAGGCTCAGCTCGCCTCGGCGCTTGTGCTTGGCAGCTTTGGCGTGACAACGCTCGGCTGGGGAACCGTTATCGTCCTCCAGCTCACGTTTCCCTGAATGCGATTTGCGATATTCTTCTGCGGCGCCTTCATGGCTGCCATCTTTGTTGATCTCGTCCGTAGCGGACGTGTGCCCATGTGCAGCGTCTTTTGGGTCGCTCGGTGCGCCCTTACGCGAGCCGGGGCGGCGCTTCAAGGGGCATGCCTCCCCGCGCTTGAGCGACCCGCAGCAGCGGTAACCCCATTGACCAGTTTCACGGTCGTACAGGCTGCCGTAGACGCTCGAATGGCCGCACTCGTGCACGTCCTCACGGTAGCTTGACCGGATCACCAGCTTGTGGTTGGCGGCGTCGCGGTTCCTCGGCTGGACCTCAGTTACGGGCTTGGTGATGATCAGCCCGGCTTCGCTGCCATCTAGCTTCGACCCGGACGCGGGCACCTGGTACTTGCTGGGCGGCCTCTGCTCCAGCAGGTACTCCTTGTAGCGCTGTTCCTCCTGTTCCCGCAGCTGGCGCTTCATCTGCGTCATGCGGATCTCCTCCGCCAGCTTCTCCCGCATCTCCTGCTGGCGCTTCAGCTCCGCCTTGTGCTTCTCCTCCGCGAGCCATACCTTCTCCAAGTTGGCCCGGTTCGACGGGTGGAAGTGCTTGTGGTTGATGAAGGAGGCGGACTTGTTTCCTATCTTGCCCATCCACATCTTGACTGCGATATGTGTATAACCTGTGTATATTAATTCCAAATAATATCCCGGGAAATTCCGGGCGTCATAATATCCGGTGCCGCAGATCCGAACGCCGGTACCCGCACAGAGCGGCGCGCGTCAGTCGGCATCACTGTGCCACGGAAGTCGCCTTCGCCGGCAAGTAAGGCCGTATTTCATTCATTTATATTGCCAAGCGGGCGTGCGACGCGTGTCTATCGGTGCAGATGAGCGAAGGTGAACACGAGAGCACGGAGCTCTTTGCGAAGGTCGAGCAGGGAAAGCCGTGGGAGTGCCAGCGCCAGTACTTCCCCAGCAAGCTCGGAGGGCGTCCAGCGTGGCTGGAACCTGAGAATCTCCCTAAAGAGGAAGCCTTCGCCTGCCCAAAATGCGCCGGCGTCATGACCTTCGTTTTGCAGTTGTACGCACCTGACGACGACGAGCCTTCTGGAGACGCTTTCCACAGGACGATCTACTTGTTTGCGTGCCAGCCGTGCGGCACGCATTGGCGCGCATTTCGCTCGCAGCTTCCCAGGAAAAACGCGCATTACGCATTCCACCCGGAGCCGTACGGCACCCTCTTCCCGCAGCCAGACACAGTCGTCGCCAAGCGCTGCTGCCCGGCATGCGGGGTGCCTAGCGACGGGGAACTTGGACCAGACGAGCAGATCGCATTTAAATTCAAGGTTCAGGATGTCACTGCAGTTGCCAGTAAGTGGGAATCGCTAGAAATGTCATGCTGCCGCAGGTTGGCGGGCCTTGCACCCGAGGTGCAAAATCGCAATTATACAACAGACGCTGGAGGCCACACTGCCGGAGTCGCTGCTGCGTATATGCGAAGGTGAAATAAAGGAGTCGGAAAACTACCTCGCGCACGAGAAGGAGCTGTATCGCAAATACCAGGAAATGAAGGCTCAACGTGCAGGTGGGTCGTGACCGTAAATCGGGTGATGTCGTTTAGATGGGGAAGAGGAGGAACTGGACGAGTCCGAGGAAAAGGCCATAGAGGCAATACAGAAGGAACGAATCGTTGAGGACCGCAACTTCGAGCGCTTCTGCAAGCGAACCACACCGGACGACGTGGTATTCTACTGCCGCGACGGAAAGCCGATGTGGACCAGCGACCGTACTCCTAAACTACGGTGCGCCGCAACTAAAGATGTGGCTGCAAGCGACGAAGTAGTGCCTGTATGTGGCAGATGCGGAGGGCCACGGTCGTTCGAGTTCCAGGTGCTGCCACAGATGCTGGTACACCTCGGTGCAGTACGCCTGGACTTCGCGAGCGTGGCGGTCTACACGTGCGCGGCGTCGTGCCAGCTACGCGGTAAGTACCAGGAGGAGTTCGTGTACGTTGAACCGGACCTTTCGCTGGGTCCGAAGTGAAAGGGCTGTTAGACACGTCACTGGCGCAGCGTCGTGTCTGGAAGTCTGCATTTTGAGAGCAGCTTTGACCACAACGTGGCACAAAATATCTACACAGCAGTGATAATGTGCACTTGCATTGCGAAAGGTGTACATATGCCGCATCCTGCAACGCCGGTGACCTCGGAACGTCCAGGATAGACGAGTATTACGGCAGCCGCGCGAGCTGTATCGAAGCTGCGTCCGCTGCCAAACCGCGAGCTTTAATGTTTTCCATTATACGTCCACAATAGACATCTGAGGCAGCATTACGCTGCTGTGTGTGCTGGCGTCCAGAGACGCAATGTGTAGCGGCAGGTGTACGTGACTTGGTGACCATTAGCAAACGGCGGCAAAGCTGGTGTGCGCCTCAACTAATCACCTAGGCCTTAACACCGAAGGCCGATGATAAATGGCGTAGCCGCAACCCGCGACGGAATTTAGATTAACGGCAATGTGCTCCCCTATCACGCCAGCTTCCGGCGGTTGCCGGACGCTGTGCATCGCAAGCGACCCTCCGAAATACATCGGCATCGATGTGGACAACACGTTCCACACTCACGACGCCGCGGCCATGGCTAAGAACAGGCGGGCATTCCGCAAACTTGTTGAGTCCGGTTACCGGCCGGTCTTTGTAACAGGTACTGATCAATGCCCATCCGTTCACCGTTGCTTAGGCCGCACACTCAAGGCTTCCCAAGATGTCCTAGAAGACCTGTACGCCGACGGCGTCTACAGAGGCTACCCAGGAGTCTATCAAAACGGCGCCACCGTGTACAACGAACGAGGCGAACTCATTTTCACGGTCGCCTTCAGCAAAGGCTTCATCCGAGATGTCTGCGACATACTTGAAGAACACAGGCTCGGAGCACATGTGTTATTCGAAGCGCCAAACGAGTACTACGCCCTGCCGCATGACAAGAACTTGACAGAGTTGGTGGCCAGGAATCTGGGCCTTCCAAGCCCCGTCATAGAATCCACGGTCGCGGAGATATGCGCAGCAGACATCACGCACATGCTGTGTTACCAATTCGCCAAGGTCGAGTTGCACATGAAAGCAGAGCCCGAGCGAGATTACGTTGCCAGGGAAGGTCCGATGGAAATCACCGGTATAAATCCGCCGTGTGTGAACAAGCTAGAGGGGCTACGGGCACTGCTAGCCTATGAGAAGGCAGACGCGAATGGCTTCGCCTTCATCGGCGACGGATCTAACGACATAGAGGCCTTGCGGGCCTCACAGTGGTCGTTCGCCGTGGGGAACGCGTCTGGCAGCGTTAAGGCTACCGCCAAGAACGTGCTCGAGGAGACCAACGACGAGGCCGCCTTCGCAAAAATGGCTGAGCTCCTATACGGAATCAACGTAGACTGAAATTCGAATTCCAGGGCGTGGCAGATAAACGGCAGATGGCGGTGTTCAGTACTCCCCGGTGGGTCGCACATCACTATGCGAGTGTGTGTAATGTCAGTGTGTGGGGTGTAAAGGCGGAGAAACTCTCCATTTTTTGCGGCTGTTGGAAGGAAAATATTGCGGTAAGGAGATGGGTATCTGTCAATCTCCTTCCAAGTACGCCATCGCGGCTCGCGAGGCGTCCCGTTTTACATCCGCGCAGCATGTGCAGATGAATGATGACGCTGCCTCCAACAGCACCCCCCCGGTTATGATAACGAATTTTGTTAGACCAGAAATCGCGCCCAAATGTTTCGGAACGGACATAGATGGAACCTTCCTTGCGGATGACCCCGAGATGTACCAGCGCAACCTCGACGCATTCGCCTGGGCTATTAAAAATGGCATAGACATCTTCTTCTGCACTGGTAGGTGAAGTGGCCGTAATGCGTTCTCATTGGCAATGCAGGGCGCGGGTATGATGATGCTATGCGCGTGTTGCCGCCTGGTCTGGCGGAAAAACTGGGGTTTACCGGATATCCAGGGGTATACTACAACGGTGCAGCCGTGTACGGCCGGAATGGAGAGGTGCTCACGGAGGCTCTGTTCCGCAAGGACGTGCTCAAACACATAATGGATCGCATTCTCGAGGCGAAACACGAGAGGTACACAATGTTCCTTACACTGAACCAGTGGCACGTTGTGACTGACGACATGTCCTTCTTCGACGAGTTGGCCGCCAACATCGGGCTCAACATCCCTTTCACACGCCGCAGCGTGGAAGAGGTGTTGGCCGATAACATCATGAAAGTCATCGTGGTGCATTATGATAATGTGGCACACAGGTTCCAGGACATGGAGGGCGTTGAGTTCATCGCGAAGCGTGCACTAAACGACCTCACGGACCTCACGCCTATGGGAATCACTAAGGGAAGTGGCATCGCATCTGTTCTGGAACACTTGGGCCGGACGCCCGATCAATGTGCATATATGGGCGACGCCGCGAACGACATCGAGGCCATGCATCTGGTGCGGCACTCGTTCGCAGTTGCTAACGCAACACAGGCGGTGAAGGACGCCGCCAAATACACGGTTCATCAAACTAACGAGAATGCAGCTTTCAGAACTGTCATGGAAGCTCTGTATGATGTAAATCAGAATTAGGTCCATGATGACTCATCGTGACTGCTGCATCGTTGGATGCGTGTACCAATATAGCTCAGACGGCGATCTATACAAACTCCTTTCTATTTACCCTTGTAATTGTAATCAACTATGTACACAATTTGCATGCTGAAATACTTGAGAGATGGTGTTTCCCTGTCCACTGATCGCCGTTTCTGGGTGCCGTCGGTTCCAGACACTGTAAACATGGAATTCAATGTAGTAATTGATCACTAAACTGCTTAGTTGATAAGGTATTCGGTGAATGCAGGTACATTGTGTTGCTGGGGACACATTTATGTTGCCAGTTCCAACGGTCGCTCTCGCTGGCAGAGGTACGGATGTAACAATATGGTGACTGCAGCACACAGCAGATAATACAGGAGGCAGCCAGATTAGCCATTACATAAAACTATGTGGACCCTGTAACCCACAGGTAGTGTGGAATTTTATTTAGTACCGCCATCAGTATACCCGGCACCGACGGAGACCCTCATACAGGCCATTTAATTGACTGATTTGCGTCATACCTCAATTGGCCTAAACTAATGTTTACGATTCGTGTGTAGCAGCTCACACAACGCACAATCTCTTCGTAAACTTGTGGAAGACACATTAATTGCGGCACATGTTACAACATCGGAGCTGTCTTCGGATTTGCCATCATAACCCATTTCAGTAAGATATATTTATGTTCTTCTACATCTAAATACGAAATGGGATTCGGATATAGTTGGAAGTCGGCGTAAATATGAGGCGCGATGCGAGATTCCACTTTCATCACAAAGAACGGTGTGAAAACGTGCGTGCCCAGCGATTCATCCGTTGTTCGATTAACGGCACGTACATATAGGTCGCAGAACGAATATGCTGGACCACTTAACGACAAAGAGAAAAGGAAGGCTTCAGAATCTCAGCGGACTGAATTGCACGTATGTGTGCTGCTCACACCGCTGTCGACATTTTAGACATCTCGCAGTAATTTACCGTGTCTTCCATCAACATACATTATTATATCTATTTTTAGTTAAAATTGTACCCATGGATCTCCGCACAACCGTTTGGACACTGTGGAAAATAGAAGGACATACATGTCTAAACAGCCGTGTCGATGGCTGAGAAGCACAGCTTCAGAGCCACGTCCCGGAAACACAGCGCGGCGACTCATCGCACCTTTAAAAACATATCATTTTAATACAAACTGGCCTACGAGATCCCGGAATTTATGCTTGAACCCCCACAAGCAGGATTCCACACCTCGGGTAGAATGGCGTCGTATCCGCCGGATTGCTGGACGCTAGGAAGCATAGCAACTACCTTAGCAACCGTGATATTGCCATTTTTGTTAGTGTCAAACAAGATTCTATCACTTTATTGTCGTGTGTGCAGTGGAATCATCGCTCGCTACGCACGCGCACGTAAATATAGACAGAATTAGGCTTAACAGCCGCGCGTCTTTGGAAGACGCATAGCAAACCCTGAGAACAAGATGATGCTGAAGCTGTTCTGCGCCGCGAACCTGCTGCTGCTGTGTCTCGCGCCCAGCTTCGCTAGGTCGGAAGTCGGACGCGAGAACCCGGGGGCGGTCATCGATGAATTCGAGGCCGTTGTCACCCTCACCGAGGACGACACCTCGAAGGCTGACGAAGTTAACAATGAAGCTCTTACCTTTGATGCTGGCGAGTACATGAGCGACCTCCGCAACGCCGCTGCCGGCAAGATCGCAATGGACCCTGAGAAGGTGTACACCGCACAGGCTATGCTTCCGCTCGGCGAGGTGCTGGTTCTGGCCACCGCAAGCGGCTGCTCTATTCTCGGCGACCCCGAGGGGGAGTTTACCGGAAGGGAGGAACCGCTCGAGTTCTCCTTCCGTGTGGCGGACCTCGAGGACTGCGGGAAGGTCACTGAGAGCATTGTCAGCAGCCTCCAGGCTGAAGTCGCTGCAGAATGGTCGAGTCTTACAGGCAACTCCGCTGATGCAGGCGTCGTTTCTACCACTTCAATGCAAGATATAGGTATGAGGAAGGGCAACAAGAGCTCCGAGAACCGCGGCAACTTCGGCATTGGGGTACAGGACCTCGCCAACGCATACCTCGCGGCCAACCTCGAGATCAAGCTCATTCCGACCACCTCTGAAGGCATCGTTGTGATGCACTTTGACATCACCAACACCACCACCGCGCAGGAGATCACCGAGATGATGTCCAGCGTGGACCCCGAGAAGCTCAGACAGCTGGAGGCCGCACTCGAGAAGGCGAAGGACACCTTCAACAACGCTTCCACCGAGGATTTGAACAGAATGGAAGAGGAGCTCAAAACGCTTATTGCAAAGGAGAACGAGAAGCTCCAAAAGGACCTGGAGGACGGAAAGGAGATGCTCGAGCAACTCAGCAGCGACAGCGTCGCTGAGATAGAGTGCTCCGCATTGGCTCTGGACGACTGTAACGCAGTCTCTAAGTGTGGTGTAGTGAAGCTAAATGGCAAGGAGTCGTGCGCCGTCGCCCCTAAGACCGTATACCTGCTCATGGAGACCGGCTGCAGCCTGCAGTCCAAGGCCGGACTCATGTCCATCGCCCGCGACCTAGTCAGGTGAGTTAGACAGTTTAGTCGTCACATTCTTGTGCAGCTCTGGCATTATGTCCGAGGCCAACCACCAAACGCTCAGGCAGAGCTTCGACCTGGCGCGCATCTGCAACGCCATAGTCCACACATACATGTCGGCCGATATCGTTGAAACGGAGTCACACGAGACCAGAGAAGCCTTTGATCTCTAATTTCACCCCTAATCGTACTAATAGTTTATATAGATTGCCTAGAGCGTGCCTTTGCGACGACGCGCTGGGATTCCATCGCGTGCCCTATAATGTTGCCGGGGCGGCGTGGCTCTCCTGAACGTCGCCATTTCTCTTAAATCGTCCATCACAATGCGACCTCTAGTCCTCAGAGGCCATCGCAGGCCCTTGACGTGTGTCAAGACCAACAGAGAGGGAGACCTTTTGTTCACCTGTGGGAAGGTACGTGAATGTGTCGGCTAAAGGCGCCGAGTCCGCCCCGGATTATCGTTCCGCTACAATTATCTTACCGACGAGATTTTATAAATGCGCAGGACGCAAGTCTGCTTCTCTGGAGGACCGACAATGGGCAGCAGATCGGTGGGTCGCACGCACACGGTAGACAGCAACATCACGTTACGCAGGGCAATACAACACTGGACGTGGTGCCATATGGGCGTGCGACGTCACGGTCGACTCCAAAATGGTCATCGCCGCGACCGGTGACGCCAGGATCCTGATCCTCGACACCTTCACGGGGGAGATGATCGCTGACATAAAGGACGAGGGTGCCTGCAAGTGAGTACAGAAACACGCAAATACGTAAAACTGCGCTTAGGTACGTCGAGTGGAACCGCAACCCGCAGAAGCAGGACAAGTTTGTCATGATTCACGACGACTTCGGAGAGTCAGTGTTCATGGCACTCAAGGTCTACAAGGTAACAACCCAGCGCGAAAACTCGTCATTCGCGTGCAGTTAAACTTCGAGAGAACGGAGGAAGGCGGTCTGGCCGTTGAACATCGCATCCTGTGGACACAGAGGGGCTACAGATCCAGAGCCATCCAGTGCCACTGGGGGCCCTTGGACAGAGACGTCATCACCTGCCACGAGAACGGCACGATACAGGTAAAGCGCGCATGCCACGTTGACATGGACACTCAGGTCTGGGATGCCGAGGATGGCACCAATCTCCACGTCATCGAGGCCCACAAGCAGACTGTTACGTGCATCTCGTTCGACCTCTACGGGCTCTTCATGCTGTCGGTAGGTACACCCCGCTCTCGAGTGCAATTTTCTGCAGTGCTCCTCGGATGGTACCGCGAAGCTCTGGGAAACCCTGAACTGGACCACCGTAAAGGTACGGCTTCCACCAACGGACCACATGTCGCGCAGAACTACAAGACTGACCGCCCGCTGAATGCGTGCGTCATCTCGCCGTGTTTCAAGCCCGATAGCGTCGAAAAGGCCCACATATTGCTGGGAGGAGGACAGTCTGCTGACGAAGTCACAACCACCGGTATGTTATGCTCATCGCCCGTTTAAACGCGTCGCAGCCGCCTCCGAGGGTAAATTCCAGGCGCTGCTGCACCACCTGATACACGAGGGTGAGATCGGGAGCATCAAGGGGCACTTCGGTCCCATCAACACCCTGACGTTCCTGGCGGAGGGTAACGGGTACGTCAGCGGAGGAGAGGACGGTAACGTCAGGATATACCACTTCGACAAGGACTATATTCTGGACAAGTACGACTGAACAGATGATCCTAACATTAGCACAATAGCTGCATTCTATTTTTTATGTTGAGTGTGACGCCAATCACTTGGTGGCGTAACTATGACCGGCGAGGTACACTGAGGTTACACGTCATGTTGGTATTGCAGCCGGAGGTCCCGCTCAGATGTGACTTGGTGCCTCCGGCTCGATCATACGCGAAATTAACACTGCATCGGAGCTGTTTAGCTGCAATCGGCGCCGGCGCGCGGCGGCAAGAGCCATGACAGCCAGCTGCTTGGAATTGTACCGCACGTGACGTGGATTCGAGTCCGGAGTTGCGGCATGCTCCAACGACGCCTCCGATGGCAGCGATTGCTGGATTCCGGCTTTCGCAAAGGTGGCAAGCGCTGCGCAAGGTTCCACATAGGAACCAGTCGCACGGACCAGCAGTCGTCGAATAGAATTCTGCAACGACGCTGGCGGAGTGATTGGCAACAGTTGCATTGCGCTGGTGATTACCAGGAGGTCCACCTTGCTCACATTGCTGGAACTAGTGTATCAAAATGACTTAAAACCTACTTCAACCCTGTGGTACACCGATTGAACGTCAGGTACAGGGCCCTGCGGTGGCGATGCGATAGGGCAGGGTCCTGGGTGATCGCGGCATATGTGCCTGGCTGCGAGTACGCCTGTAAGAAGGTTCTCAACAACTTCACCGAATCGCTGGCATCCAGGAACGGAATCACGCGCTCCGCCCCAAGAATAAGCGCCTCCGCTAGCCTTTTGTGGTAAAATCCGAGTCTCGAATAAACATCCGCAACACGGGCGACTTCAGAGGGGCGTAGCGAGTCCAGCGCATATGCCAGTGCGTCTCCAGCTTGGTTTAGCAGCGATGGCTGCTTGATGCGGCGGTCGCAAAAGGACTCCAGTGCCTTCAGCAATACCCTCGGGTTGCTGTGCAAACCCTCCGCAGCTGTATAACGGCTGAACAACCGCCACAGGGACACGCTGCCTATGCCCATTCGACCCAAGTAACCAAGGACAGACGTAATGAAAACCATGTCGTCGCTGGACTTGGAATGAACTAGCTCATCTTCAATCACGCTGCAGGTGTGGTGTGGAAGGGGGCTCAAGAAACGTACGAGGCAAGGAATTCGCCCAAATCCTCACAGTATAGGTCCAGAACACGCAAAGACTCGCATAGGCGCCCCAAGTCGCGCAATAGCAGCGAGTGGCCTTCCAGAGGGACACGCTGCGAGACGTGTACGACGAACACCCGAGCGCTAGGCGAGTCACGACTGCCTGGCACCATGCCGATCAGATGACAACAAGCTGCATTGATAGTGAGAACACTGTCAAGTACGATCCTACCTATGGCACGCTCCAGATCGGAGATGCGGTAGCAGTACGGCACTAGGCTCTCCAGGCACTGCGGATTAGATATCTGCAGTCTCACCATCAAGGACAGACACGTGGTCAAGTTGACGTCGTCCAACGCTTGTCCCATCTGGGTCGCGCAAGTGAGCAGTATGCGTTCCAACTTGGCGCGATCCATGCCCAGCGTGCCAATGCGCAGCAAGGTCTTTCCCAGCTGCTTGCTCGGAACCAGGCGCGGGTTAACCCGCAGGATAGAGTCGCCGCCAGTTCCTGAAATTTATCATACGGAATAACAATGCGCCTACTTCTATAGAAAGGGGTGTTGCGGAAGAACCCTAGGTAAGGATTCTTGCCCTTCAGCCGTGCGAATGATCGGGAGAGGGTCATTGTGCAGGTGCTGCGCGCAAACAATCGACGGCTTCAGCAAGGCGACGGACGAACTCGTCAATCTCCGCACGGCTGTTGTAAAGAGCCAATGATGCCCGCAGGCTGTGTTCAACCTTGAGGTAATCACGGTGCAGGATGTGAGCGCAATGCTGCCCTGAAATACGCATGAACGTCGTAACACTAAGGCACCCACCAGCCCTTACAGCGATATTGTGTGTTGCCAGCAATGCAGCTACGTCGAAAGCGCTCACTCCTTCTACGTTGAATGATACGATCGGGCAGTGTTCATCCGAATTTGGATCCAGAGGCGGGCTGTAGACAGTAGCGACTTTGCATAGCTGGTCACGCAGGTAGCTCAGCAGTTCGCGTTCGTGTTCGGCAATCTGCAATATGTCGGAATCTACGCTTTTGTGAATACCTTTGACAACCCAATGCCGCGCACGAAGTCTATTGCGGCGGAGAAACCAATCACCTGCGCCAGCTGGGGTGTCCCCGACTCGAACCGGTGCGGTATGTCCTCGAGTTCAAACCAAGTAGTAGTTACGTTCTGCAAAAGTTGGCAGCATCAAACCAGCAAATTACCTTCACCATGCCACCGCCGCCCTTAAAAGGCCGCATGGAATCTAGGATCGAACGTTTGGCATAAAGGAATCCCACTCCGGTGGGCCCGTACATCTTGTGGGCAGAACCCACTAAGAAGTCGCATCCTATCGATGATACGTCTATCTGAAGCGCTTATGACTACGTAATAACCGTAGGATGTACCGGAATGTGGCCGAGTGTCTGGCAGGCGTCAACCAGCACCTTCGCCCCGTGTGCATGGGCCAACTTGACGATTGTGGAGAGGTCTTGCACACGACCGATCACGTTTGACGCATGGGCCAATGACACTAGCTTTACGTTGCCTTGATCTAGCAAGCGAGTGTAGTCGTCCAAGTCGACTGAACCGTCTTCCGTAAGCTGCACGGTAACTACAGAACAAACGGGCGCCACATACCTTGACAAAATTGACGCGGCAACCGCTATCCTCAGCATGTAACTGCCATGGAATGATGTTGCTGTTGTGCTCGGACAATGGCAACAGTATCACGTCGCCGGGTCCTACGTTATCGCGACTGCAACGAAATGTGGCACATGCAGCGTCTCCACCAACCACCAGCTGCCTGCGACTAGGTTTATAGATTCCGTGGCTCCGCTTGTAAACACGATTTCGGATGGACTTGATGCGTTGATGAACCGGGACACGTTGCCTCGGGCGCTCTCGTAACGCTGCAACGGGCATTGGCGACGGAATCCCAGATACTCACGGTAGACGCAGATGTTGCCAGATCGTGCTGAGACCTGTGAACGTTCGCGCACGGAGTGCTATAGTACTCTAGAATGGCCTGAAGTGTGCGTGGAATCTTCTGGGTAATGCACCTACCTCAATAACTGCACGTGGCTTCTGTGTCGTAGCAGCGTTGTCGAAGTAAATGAGGTCGCTTGATTCCTGGCGATTCAACGCTGGAAATTCGTACACATACGGCGAATTACGTTCGTAACCGTCGCCTTTAAGCCGCCAGAGGCTGCTTCGAAGCGTATTGTAGCGACTCGGTGGGTGCAGGAAAGACGTGCGCAGGCGGCCGGGAGATAGACAGATCCCCTCAAAAAAAATATGAAAAGCCACCAAGCATATTATATAGCCACATGAGGCCATAGTGCAGGCCGCATTGTGCCGTTACGACTCCAAAGGAGCCGCTTTTATCCGCTAAAACGCGGAATGTACAATTCTTTCAACGCGGCGCGAAGATTCTGCCAGCTCGTCTGTGATCACGAGCCAACTCTCTAAACATGGCTAAGGGCAGAAATGTTGCCAATGCTCGCCAGGCATCACATGTGCTGAAGCTGTGCCGACTGACGTAGAACCTGCCTCAGCTGCCGGCCGTCTAACTCGCTGACACCACCTTCGCTTCCCGGATTCGCTCCAACTGGAAGTGTAACCATGACGTGGCGGTGTGTAAGGGCGAGTATGGGCGCTGTGAAGTTCGGAAAAGACTCGGCGGCTTGCAGGTGGCAGCGGTGCGACTCACTGCATGGGACCCATCCTATGCCCGTCTCCTTAACAGAGACTTCACGTGGATTCGCTACCGATCGACATACGCTACCGCCTGCCAGTAGTGAGCTTCAGGAGAAGTTCAAGCAACTGAAAATACACCAAGTGCTCGTGCTGGAGAAAATTACCAAGTACGACCTGGAGCGCAAAAATGGACTTACCGACTCGGAGATTCGCGAACGATTTCCACGTGAGTGTAGCATTTCAGCGTTTATAGAGTCTCAGTGGCATACAGGACCCACCAAACCCACCTAGGCATCATGGACGCGCTCATGCGCCACCTGAAGGAGCGCTACAACCTGCGTACCATCGTCGTCAAGGCGCAATCGCACAACCTTGTGCTGAGCGATTTGGAAAGGTCCGGGTTTTCGCTAGACCTCATTATTAGTGCCGGTATGGAATTGTGTGGCGTATAAATCAATGAGTGTAGGCGGGGACGGTACATTCCTCGAGGCCGCGGCGCTGTTGCCGCCGTCGCAGACATCCATCCAGCGACCCTGGATTGTTGGACTCAATACCGACCCTGAGAGATCGGTTGGAGCCATGTGCATGTCCTACTTCAAGCGAGGGGGCATGGTATTTCGACGATATTCCGGTGAACAGCGCACGGAGCCGGACGACACGCCCAAGCAGAACATGATCCGGTTCACCGAGTCGGATGCGCTCGTCAGGAAGGAGTGCGCATCTGACACCACCGGAGAAAAGGAGTGGAATAACCTCACACAAGCGTCGTTCTGCGAAGCACAGAACGACGGCAGCGAAACGCAAGACCACTGCACCGTTATATCCAAGCATGTTGCCAACATCTACAACATCACGTACGACGATTATGTAGGGAGCCTGCTCGAACGGCTTATAGTGAAGCGCGATTATGTGCCTGTTGCGCGTCAAAAAATACGAATCAAAATGTTCAAGAGGCAGAGTTCCGCGGAACAGGAGACCGCGACGAACACAGGCGACTCCACCACCATAGAGGACAACCTCTTCTGCGGAACGGAGTCAAACTTCACTGAGGACGACCTCGATGCCGAAGCCTGCGCAAGTGGCGACGGAGTTATCCCCTACGGCGCTGTGAACGACATCATCATAGCAGACAAAAATTTCGGGAAGACCTTCTACGGACTGGTGCAAGTGGACGCCCTGCCGATCATACGGGTCAAAAGCAGTGGCGTTCTTGTGTCAACTGGTATGCGAAATGCGCGAAGAGCGTTCATTACTTGCAGGCACGGGATCTACGGCGTGGGCCTACAACATGTGCAAAATGAGCATGGGCAACGGGTTCAGGATGCTGAACCACCTCATCAACCACAAGTCCTTCCCCAAGGAGGCTGCGAAGATCATTGATGCCAAAATGATGCGCGAGGCGATTGAGGAGCACAATGCAAGCCTCGTGTTCGATGCGTCGCAAAACACTCTGAAGTGCATCATACGAGAGTCTATCAGCGAAACGTAAGTCACAAGTGGTTCGCCGCAATGGAATCACAGGTCCACCGTCGACGCGACGTCGTTCATGGGACGCCAGGTCAAGCTCCTGTCGCTGTCCAAAAACGCCAGGCTTGTCATCGACGGCTCCAGGATCGTGAAGGTCGACTACGGCGACGTTGTGGTGCTCAAGACTTTCGAGTCGGACACCATATGGAGCTGCGTCTGACCTGTCGGTAAAGGGTTGCCGTAAATGGCAAACTGCTGATGGCATGACAACTAACCCATTTTGGTTTTATTCAGACATGGCTACTAATGTAGGCACCAGCAATAAACTTAAGGTATCAATAGCTGTGCGTGTCATGGCTGTCCCGCGTATAACCATGGCAACGGCGCTTCGGCGTCGCAGCCTATACGCACCAATGACCGTCAGGGCATACGCGTTACCCCTGAATTCAACGTCCGTGAACGCAGCACACAATACACAGCGTGATAAAACGTCGCACTACACTGCAGGAAACGAACGTTAAGAAATTAGCGGAGTAAGTTGCCGCAGTGGTGACGATATAGACTGACAAGAGTGCCTTGGTATCAGGCTGTGCCATGATAGCACGACCAAAAGGAATCCATTCAAAAATGTCGCCAACTCAAAGCTTGTTGAAGGAGACGATGTTGGCGGTCTGGACCAAACCGACGACCTCATCGTCGCTGTCATCATCGGAACCGTAGTCGGAGTCGTCGTCGTCATCGGCACCCTCCTGCTTGAGGCGGCGCTCCTCCTTCTGAGCCTCAGTGAGGCCGAGCTCCTCAATCATGTCGGTGATCTCGTTGGTGTTGACAATGTCGTCCAAGATGGTGCACGACACCTGCAACTTCTGGATACCGTAGGCAAGCGGGATCTTGGCAGAGGCCTCACCCCATGTCACACCCTCAATCCTAATGTTCTTGACCAAGCGCAACACCTCGTCGAGGTCGGTATCGACGCTGGCGGGCTCGATGTGGATGACGAGCGACGACTTGGCGGCCTCACGCTTCTTACCCTTGCTTGCCTTCATAGCCTCCATCTTCTTCTTCATGGCGTCATCCTCCTCCTCGTCATCGTCGCCGAACAAGTCGATGTCGTCAGACTTCTTCTCTGCTTCCACAGGGAGGGAGCCCTTGGCGAGGTCAGCGGGGGGACTCTGGGCCCAGGTGCTGACGTGACGGTACCACCTGTCAACGTGTGCGAACTCCTCGGCGCCCGGGGACTTGCCGAGTTTGCGGAATACGGCAAGATCGTCGGTGGAGGGAGCCTTCGCACCGCCCACGAAGCTGTGGTCGGCAAGGTATTCGTTCAGCTCGACGAGGCCCTCGCGGGTCGCGACCTTGCTGAGTTCAATCTTGAAACCCGACATTTTTTTGTAGAAGTATGAGAATGAATGTTGCAAGAGGTTCCACCGAAAGCAAGACAGCACCAAGAAGTAAACCCCGCCAACCCGCCTGAGACCTTACGGAACAAGATGGGGGCACGCCAAAAATTAAGGCGACTTCGCGCAATCAGGGCGGTGGCAGCGCCGTAAAATAACATATATATTCATTTTGCAGTAGTTGGTCGCGTGTTTAGTAGGTGCGTTTCTGCCTAGAGAAGTTAGACACGTGCTCGTAACACACAATAGTGTGTAAGGCCAACATATGAAAAACGGTGACGAACGCGCTTGTAACATAGCGTGGCACTGTTGTGTGATTTGTAAGAATTGAGTTGTACCTGTAAATGGCGATGCATGGTAGCTTCGCCTGTTCCAGCGATGCCGCGAGAGACTTTGCGCAGATTGGTCAACAATTCCGCGTGTCCGTGCCATTAATGGCGTTTTGATCCATATTTAACTGATTTGTAAGTTCATAATCAAACGCTAGTTCGCTATGATGAGGGCTAGAACCCCGTGATGGGCTGGGATTTAGGCGTCTGTGACTTATGTCCGTAATTAACACCTACAACTGCGGAATGGCACCCTGTAGTTGCGTCAAGTGGAATCGTATTTTTCAGAAATCGTATGTGCAAGGTGAGCCAATACCGGCGTTGTAGCTAGCTACGCCACCTCTGGCGCAACGACGCCCCGCAAATCTTCTACTATACAACGGCACATTTAGCTGCGTCAACACACATAGCAGATAAACACATCGGCTCGTTGTAAAGGGTGTGTCAAATGGCCGTTGTAATCCTCCGGCTGTAGTCGACCTGGCCCGGCGCAGCGTCGGTTCAGCACGCTGCATCTGATTAGACACGGCTACACAGCGTTACAAACAATGGACCTTAGCACTCTACGAGAATCCGGGAGGAAGGAAACAGTGGAGGCATCATGCACATCTACATCGCCCAGAAGGGTGTCGCCAAGTGGGAGGATAGCATTGCGACTTATTTCGCCACAGGGTCGCTTGAGCACCGATGGAGATAGCAGCAAACTTTTGAAGCCCGTTCAAGATTCCAACTCACCCCAAAGGTTCAGACGGAGTATGGATGAGAAATCGACACCGAAAAAGGTGGCACGGAACCGGGGGTACCGGCAGTTGGTGCACTCCACATGGCATGGGGCATTCGATGGAACGTCACTACTCAGTGACCTCGCTGTGAACTTGAAAAGTATCGATAATCTAGATACGGCGATTGTACACAGCAGCAATAGTGACAATGCGGAGGTGGTGACGGCATGCTCCACCATGAGCACGCCAACGAAATGCGTGGAATACAGTCAGTTCTCACCGCCAATGGTCACACCTGCTAGATCATGTCCCCTGGAAACTCGCTTCAAACGCCAATACAACATGCAATCGAAGTTGCCAAGTCCCGCCCACAGCATCGCAAGGGAGGAGGCACCCTTCCTCGATTGCGAATCGCATAAGGAGGTGGAAGAGTTCGTATCCCCAATTTCGGTGGATATTGGTGAATCTAATGGTGTGCATGAACCTATTGAAATACGTCACATTCTGGAGCGATACTACTCCAACCAACCCCGTATAGGGATAGACGAGGATGGCACATCACAGGACGACTTATCGTCGGGTGACCGAGAGCAATCGAATAAGCCAGCTGACTCTGCGGAGAATATCAAGGTTGTGGTTCGCGTTCGACCAATTAATGATAATGGCATCCCGGCCATTCGGCTAGTGAATAATGTTGTAGAGGTGCACAAACCAGGCAACGTCAATAGCGTCCTGGAATCACAGAAGCCGAAGGTTCGCCGTTACGGTTTTGACAACGCGTTCGATGGGAACGCTTCGCAACAGGATATTTACGAGGCGACAGCAAAAGACCTGGTGCCTAGAGTATTCGAGGGCATTAACGGGACCGTCTTCGCCTACGGATGTACCAGTGCAGGAAAGACGTACACTATGATAGGAGATGACAAAGAGGAAGGTATTGTGCAGTTGTCGCTGAAGAGCCTGTTCCAACTCAAGCAAGAACTGTACCCCGATGCGCTCGTGCATTTCTCGTTCATGCAAGTGTACAACGAGTGTGTATTCGACCTGCTGACGACGAGCAATAGGCCATTGGATGTCCAAGAGGATAACGGTGATGTTCGCGTCCCGCTGCTCACCGTGACCAGAGTGGATGACTGCGACAGCGTCCTCGTGCTTTTGGCTAAGGGCATAAAAGCAAGGAAAATGGCGATGACGGACGCGAACCGCCAATCGAGCAGGTCCCACGCGATCATGCAGATCACCGTGAGCACACAGCACACCACGGCAAGGCTCTCATTCGTCGACTTGGCAGGATCCGAGCGTGCTGGGGAAGGCGAGGCACGCGCTGAACGACTTAAGGAAAGCTCTTACATCAACCAGTCGCTGCTGGCTCTGGCAAACTGCATCAGCAGCCTCGCGGATACAACGTCGAGAAAGGCGAGGATAAAGTACCGCGATAGCAAACTCACGTTACTGCTGAAGAATGCGCTCTTTAACAACGCCGCAGTTGTCATGATCACTGCCATACACCCCGGCTTGCAGTTCATGTGCGAAAGCTCAAACAGCCTCAAGTATGCCCAGCGCGCGAAGGAGGTGAAGGTGGCGCTTGAAGCGCCAAGCGCCGAGGCTGAAGAGACCGATTATGCCGCGGCGCTCAAAGAGGCATACGCTGCAATTGCGCATATTGGACAAATATTGCCGGAATCGGTGCACAACGCCGTGGTAAAGTCACTGCGGGCGTCCCCTCTGTCTGGCAAACACGCCTTCGTGAGCCTGCTAAAAACCCTGCGCAAGCACTCCCATGACGCACATTCGTAATGAATAAATAGCACAATGGCTCCTCCTCAGCCTCCTGCAATCGGAGTCTCACTAGACAAGCTAAACGAACAGATCATCGACGGTTGGCGTGATGTGTTGAGATTAATAAACCGCAGCGACCATTCAGAAATGCTCCGTGTTCACAAACGCTCGTATACTCGGTGCTATTAAAGAGGTTAGGTTGCGCACTACGAATGGCGTCCAAAGCTGAGCAGAAATGGACGGAAGTCTTACGACAGCGCATCGACGCGGTGAACCGGGGCGAACACGTTACACACATCGACTCTTATAGCGCTGCGGTATGTTAGCAATTGTTGGATATTGGCATATGAACGGTGCAGGCGTACAGCTTCGCAGAGGACCTGCCGAAGGAACCGTTAGTTTCACCGATGAGTCGTTGTCATCAGCGCTTAGGGAGCCGCAGCCGCCGGCACCAGAGGATTCCGATAACGACTTCGATGACGCCGAAGTAGAAAGCGCCCAGGTGCTAGAAATTCCTAAAAAGGACGCGGCCGTGAAAGCGGAGTCTGTCGAGGCGCCGCGCGCCGAGCCCGTGCAGGCTGAGAAACCTACTGTGGACAAGTCAGACGGCGATCTCAGCCTCTCAGACGTTAGTGACTTGGATGACCAGGAGCCGGAGACGAAGGACCTGGTCATCGGGGTTTTAGACAAGGTATGTCAGCTACAAGAGCGCGTCACAAATTGCAGATAACAAGGCCCAATCGCAAGAAAACCGGGGGACACATTTGGAAGCTGAAGCTAGGGTATGGTGTATTGCAGGTAATTTTCAGAAATGTGTACATCCCATCTCGCGAAGGTCAACGGTGTCGAGGTGCCGTTCGAAAAACTGGACGGCGAGTTCGAGTTCTGAGCACCACCCACGCCATTGAGGGTTTAATTACATGCCAAATAGACCATAATAATAACTATAATATCGCCACATTACCGCGGTATAGAACGTTTTCGGGTCACGCCAGCGGCCGCGCTTACTCCCCGGCCGAGTATGCCGAATTGCGCAGCCGCAGCGTCACAAACAACAGCAGTATAAGATGCCGCTGGTGCCCATACCGAATCCGCGCGTGTTCTTCGACATATCTATCGGCGGCAGAAATGCCGGACGCATGATTTTCGAGGTACGTAAATGACGCTAAGGACTGGACCCCTTAAATGGCTCTAATCAGCAGTGTTGTCGGAGATATCGCTGTCATAATGTGTCGTCGCAATGTCGTTTTGGCGCTCAGCTCATTAGCCTGCAGCTGTTTATGGACAAGTTGCCGTACACATGCGAGAACTTCCGAGCGCTCTGTACGGGTAACAAAGACATCGAAAGTTCAACATCATGCATACAGGGGAGACTGGTCTGGGGTACTACCTGCGGCCTAGGTGGTACAAGGATACGCCAATACATCGGATAACGACGGGATTCGTACGTGATACACGCCATCATTGCATGACCCACGCAGATGTGCCAGGGAGGCAACTTCAACACCGGAAATTCATACGGTGGCGAATCTATATACGGCCAGTATATGAGAGATGAGTCGTACGCTTACCAGCACTCCAAGCGTGGTGGGTTGAGGAGCTCGTGATATGACACGCAACAGGTGTGCTGGGAATGGCAAAGACAAGGCACAAACATTCCAATGGATCGCAATTCTATATCACATTCAGGCCCTGCTCGCATCTCGACAACAAAATGGTGAGTCTATTGAAGTGGTAATACTGCAGTGGTACAACGCTTTGGTGAATTGTGGTTGACAGCGGCATGGAAATGCCCAATTGCTGGTGCCAATAAGACACTCGTTTTGTTGGGTACTATGGTTTGGCCAACCGATTTGTTAGGGGGAATATGAGGTGCTGTGTGTTACTGTCCATTGGCTACAGCATTTTACACCAACACGATACTTCCTTGATTTATGTTATACATCTCCGCTTTCGGCATCCACGTGAAACATGCATGCGTAGGTGGTGTTTGGACATCTAGAATACGGCGAAGATGTCCTGGACGCAATCGAAGGGCAGGGTTCCATGTTGGGGCGCCCAAAGAGGCCAGTGAGCATTTTCAACTGGTAAGTTAAACGGCAACATACTGCATTTATTCACAGCGGCGAAATCCCTCTCGACTGTGTTTATGATGCAGACATGAACAACCCAGTGAGAAGGGACGGTTCGCTCTACATAGTCAAAACGGTGCGTTGGCGAAAAAATCACCTATGACTTGACCAGGACAGGGAAAAACCTATCTTCTGCCAACAGCAGTGGGACCTCGAACAGTCGTCTAAACGCGTCATGCCTGACGAAGCGTATAAGCGCGCTCATTACAACTTCTAGTGAGAACAGCCGCGTCAACTAGGAAACCATGCGAAAAACCGTGTTAAAGTACAGACGTGTCGGCATACCACAGAACGCCTATGTGACGTATCTATCTTATATCAACATCGAAGCCTTACGCGGCAGTAAGCCTGTTGCCCCGGTCAACTATCTTCCACTCATACATTCGTGTTCGAAACAATGTGAACCGAACCTTCGGCCGTTAAAAGCCAGATGTTGATGTAAAATTGTGTTTTGTCAGTTAAATAACAATACTATTCAAATTTCTTGCGTGTCTACGTTGTGTTTGACCGGTGTTAGCGGTGCCGAACGCGCCCGGACAGACACTTGGGCCTACACGCAACGGGTACGGCGCTTGCGCTGCCACAACTAAAGTCCTTCCAATCGCTAGGTTTCAAAATGAGTGGCAAACAATCTGCAACCGCCAACAACGGGCATGACGCGGCATACTACGGAAAATGTATGCTCGGCGGAACGCTCTCCTGTGGGCTTACGCACACCCTGGTCACACCGCTGGATGTGACCAAATGCCGAATGCAGACTAACCCGAAGCAGTACACCGGACTCATATCGGGCGCCAAACTCATTAAAAGCCAGGAAGGCTTAGGTGGACTCATCAGAGGATGGCAGCCTACGCTGGTGGGATATTCGCTGCAGGGGCTTGGGAAATTCGGCCTCTACGAGATATTCAAAGACTTATATGGGGGAATGATTGGAGAGACTGCGGCCAAAAAGTACAAGGGTGCCATGTGGCTGGCAGCAAGTGCCTCTGCTGAAGTTTTCGCCGACATTTTGCTCTGCCCCTGGGAGATGATGAAGGTGAAGATCCAGACTGCCCCGCGTGCCGACAAATGGTCAGACAACATCTTCTCTTCCACAAGGCGCATGTGGGTCTACAAGCATGAGACTAACTTCCCGGTGAGTATTTATACATATTTACGGTGAACGAGGTTGCTGGGTAACCGTGGACTGGGTGCATATTTACTAGACCGGTGGGCCAATGCCCCTCAAAAGGCACATATAAAGTTTATGGTTTGCTCTGTAGTTGCTGTAAACCATAACTACGCTCTATAATCTGTGTGACGTCGCACATTACTGCGCAGTTCGGAAGCCTGAAGGCGCTCTGGAGCCGACAAGTGCCGTACACCATGGCCAAATTTTACTTCTTCGAGAAGGTCGTGGGCGTATTCTACGACAAGGTCCTGACCAAAGAAAAGAGCAGCTATTCGAAGGCAACCCAACTCGGCGTCACATTCGCCTCAGGTATGTCGTACACCGTGATTCGGCTACAGACTGCGTAGGTTACATTGCTGGAATCATATGCGCCGTCGTTTCCCACCCGGCCGACAACCTGATATCCCAGCTTGGGAAGCAGGAAAACAAGGGGAAGGGAGTGGCTAAAATTGCCAAAGAGATTGGTGGCGTCAACCTGTTCACGCGCGGACTCGGCACCAGGGTACTCATGATAGGAACTTTAACCGGAATGCAGTGGTGGATATACGACACATTTAAGGTACGGGCATATAACTGGCGAAATCACAATGTTTAGGCGTACGTAGGGCTACAGACCAGTGGTGGCAAGTGAGAGTTATCTTGAGTCGGCGGAAGAAGGCCGGGCGCGGCTCTTTTCAATTGACATCACTTAGATAATTTTTTAATAGACACTATGACCGATAACGACCCTGGCGATAATGTGCTGCAGAAGCCAGTCGCGGCAAAGGGACGCAACACCCTTGCAATCGTCGTGATAGGGTAAAATACCTTCATAAGCGCAACCTTCCATCAACTTTGCAGCATGGCTGGCAGCGGAAAGACGTCTTACGTACGGGCGCTCATTGATAACCTGAAGGTGCACGGTAAAAAGGTGTATTCCATCAACCTCGACCCTGCGGTATGTCAGAGCAACGAACGAACGAACAACGAATGCAGGTCACCAAGATACCGTACACGCCAAACATCGGTAATGTGCTATGTGGCACATAGGGGCTAAGCCTAAGGCAGACATCCGCGAGTCCATCAAGTACCGCAATGTAATGAAGAAATACCGACTGGGACCAAATGGTGCTATTATGACATGTCTCAACCTATTCGTCACAAGGTAAACCTTCTGGGGGCATGTGATAACGTAGCGTTAGGTTTGACAAGGTCTTGGAGCTGCTAGATCGTCGATGCTCAAAACTTGACTATATAGTCATCGACACGCCAGGACAAATAGAAGTGTTCAACTGGTCTGCAAGCGGTACGGTGATATTAGGTGCGGTCGCTCATGAAATAGTGCGTGTCTCACATTTGCGGGCAGAATCTCTGGCATCTTCCTTCCCCACCATGGTCAACTACGTGATCGACACGTGTAGGTCACAGTTGCCTGTGACCTTCATGGCAAATATGGTATACGCGTGCAGGTAGAGTCGTCGAACATTATTTACACCAATGATCAGCGTTATGTACAAGTCGCGCCTACCCTTTATCGCATGTTTTAACAAAATAGGTATGCCTTTGTCAGTCATGAGCCACCCGTCCCAGATGTCGACCGCCACGAAAAGTGCTTAGAGTGGATGGACGATTACAACGCATTTTATGAAGCGGTGATGCAAGATGATTCATATATGGCGAGGTATGATCCGTCGTGGAATGCGCTTATTTGTCCACAGCTTCAGTCGCTCATGCGCACTAATGCTAAACGAATTCTACTCAGATATCAAGGTTTGGTGATTGTATCTGTCTAAAACGGTGCAGAGTGATGGTGTATCTTCGATGACCGGGGAAGGATTCGACGAACATATGAAAAACCTGGAAAAATGCAAAGAGGAGTACACGACGTCCTACCTGCCGTGGCTCGAGGAACGTCGGATGCGGAACTTTTCCGAGCATCTTAGTCGGCTTAATTTAAGCGCCAAATAAGGCGAATATGTAGGCCGTCAATCGCATTCACAAACCATGCCTATAATTACATCGTGCTGTAGCTCAGCTCACTTGAAAAATAGGGTAACGTTGCTAAATTTTATGATGTGCAAACGGATTTATTCTGCTGCATTCTCATCTTTAGGCTATGTGGCAGATTGTTGTATACAGCCTGGTAGCTTTTACGCTTTCTTATGGCTCAGTATGGTTGAATACTGCTCTTTTGGAACGGCCTGTCTTCGGACTATGTGAATGACCTCAGAAAAGAGTTTTTCCTTATGGAGTCATCGCTGATAGAGTCATGATCATGTCAGTATATACCATGCGGCGTTGGTCGTCGATATGAATACTCAGAGTTTTGAGATGTTTTCGCCGATTTTCACCGGTCAGTGATGGTCCGTGGCTTAGTACTATGATCCCACCATGAACCGCATGTAGACTACCACACTAATGTGTTATTTATGAGCTTTAAATTTTGATGTCTGTTATATCATTTGGATGCTTCGTTTGTTGACCACTGGCTGTTAAAGTATAATGGAAATTTCTTCTGTGAGCATCCAGACAGCTGCTGTCGTGCTTGCAGATTTATTGCCATATACAATCAATCTTCGATCGCCTTCTCAATGCTTGTAAATATTTGTTTCGTTGTTTGACCTGTTTTAAATAGGTGGTTAGTTGAAAGCAATTTCGTCTACAGTGCCGCGGAATACCGTTAATCACTATGAGCATGGCTCACAACATTAAGGCGCTCTTGGCACTCTGCGCCTTATATATGCCTTGCATTACATGTCATAGCGCGTTTAATTGTGACTTCGGATACCCACATGAGTTACTTAGAAGGAATGCTCTTGCTAGCTGCCACATGGACATCGATAATATCGGATCCGCTACCGTGATGTGTCCAAACCGAGTCAACGACACCGACTACGTATGGCATCCAGAACCCACATCGCTTGAAATGACTTATCTCAAGACATACGTGAATGAAAATGGGAAAGTTCGTTCAGTTGCTCTTTCTGATGTGGTGCGCTCCGAATCCGGGCATACACTCTTCTGGACTGAATCCAATCAACGAGAAACTGAATTGCATTTAGACTTGTCAGGTCATAAATTGTTCGCAATTACTGAACGCCGATTTATATTTATCTGCGGTCCACAAAATTTGGTGTTGAGTGATGCGTTGCAACGTCACCTTGACCGCCTCTATGAGCTTGATCAAATGCAATCTCTACCTTGGACTGCAGGCACCCCGGTGACTCAGGAGATAGCTAAGATAGGAAAGGGTTTGGGTCTATTTTTGGTTAACAGAGGACGTATACACTTGCCGCTTCAAGGTTGCGGAAGCCGGGCTTCACCACTTTTTGCTCCGGACAATGAGGTGACTGTTGATCCCATCACTGGTATCCGCTCATGTGTGGTGAATCCCATGTCAGAAAGGCGCATTGGTTTTGTTTGCGAAGGCAGGATAGAACCTGACCATTGCATGGAATTGCTCTTGGACAAGAATGGCAGAGTTGTGAAGCCTCCTGTACCACATGGTTATTGGAAATTTCATAAGCATAGGCCTTGGGTGGTAGCGAAATACTTCTACAAATTCGCATTGCCGCCGTTCAATGGCGAATGTTGGTGCATAGATTCCGAAACAAGCCAAGTGAATGCCCGTATAGAGATTCGTTCGAAAACTGACTACGTTTGTGATATTACAAGTAACATCTTCCGCAACAAAGTTCGTCCCATCCGTGGCCCGTGGTGTTCGGTTGTACTTCATCCAGGCAGCACCTTGACCATAAAGTTCCCAATACAGGCCACCAACCCGGCTTCTATAGGCCAACCTTCCGACGATATAGACAGAGGCTCTTCGCCTGCTCGCTTGTCGCAACTAGCGTCTATATATGAGTACGAAACTGACTTTTCGCCGAAGGACTTGACTGTGCTGCGGCAAATTATGGCACATTATGATGTTGATATTTACGACGACATATTGTACCGCCATGCAATCGCTGGCGACGCCCTAGAGTTGGATGCTTCTAAAATATCACGTGGGGAGGTGAAACTCAAGTACCACGAAAGCAAGCCTCTTGCATTAAAAATAGGGCAAAATTCGTTCTTGTATCATTGGACATTGATATCGAGGAACGAGTATGTTCCGGATAAGATACGCGCCATCGTGCAAGTATCATTTGCATTTACTCATAACTACCGGACAATCGGTTGCGACCAAGGAATGCCAATTGTGTTTGATCCGGAGATGACCAAGGATTCTTGTTCAACCAAATGGATGGGCAATGGAATAGGGGGGATATTCCAATGCGTATATGATATGATGCGGGACGTTAGGCAGGTCGGTATTCGCTGCAGGCCCAATGAGGAACTATTGCCAGATAACTGTGGATCTACAGGATACGATCTATCAAGTAATGAGATTATGCCACTTCCTATATCTTTTCGAAATGTGACACCGTATCGCATTCCCGGCTTTCGTGTATTCCGCATGGGCCTCCATAATAGACCTCTCAGTTTTGCTTGCATATGTGTTGACGAGCACGGATACGAAACGTCTAGGCTCATTTTAGAATACAACCATCCGGAATATCATTCCTACACAGTACGTCGTAAAAGAGTGTCTCACACGTCATTTCCTTCCATATTGCTGCCTGGACGCGATATCGGATTAGCAATTAATGGACTGACATCACAAACAACGTTTATGCTAAACGGCATATCTCAACAGTCCGCAATACTACACGTGGGCACAAAGTTGCTCCTGTATTGTGGAATTGGTTCCGCTGCGTATGTGCAACATCAACTTAGAATCCATGGTCCACAGAGCTACATGCTAGCAACTACTTGGCTGCCAAAGCAACCTGGAGAATTTTTTTATTCGGTAAACGCGACTCCTGACGGGCTTAAACTTGTAAAGGCGGCATACGATGATTTAATTGCTACAACTCCGGGTGGAATAAGAGTCTCATACCAAGAGTTTGAAGGGACACCGGGCTATCAAGCTCTGATGATAAAATCCAATCACGGCGCCATATTGATATCTAAGGATTCCGTTCACAGGCAACAGGTGCCCATGACGTTTGTATGCGGCAAAGAAATAGAACCGTCGGACTTATCCATCATATCCGGTGATGCATCGACAACAGAAGCATCTGCACTGCCCAATTTTCAGACTATAAGATCTTCGACTCAATATACGTGGCATGTCGTGGAAGTTAACGTCGAGACCACGGATCCGTACATGCAAGGCTGCGGCGTTACCTACTCGTCGGATGAGTTGTTCAAACCGGAGACGCCCCCACTCTACGATGCCAACGGACAGCCCCAGTTTGGTTGCAAGATCGATATTCAAGATGCCAAGGAAGCAGCGTTCTATTGCCCAGCACCGTATCTCCTGGACCCACCCAACTGCTTCAGCCAGGTCTCCGTGGACGGTGAAGTAAGGAACCTAAGCGACCTCAGCAAGTCATTGGTATCCTCACATTCCAACCACTTTGTCATCCTAAGCTTCGACGGTTCACTCGTCGGAGTAGGAGAAACGTTGCGCCAAACGCCGCCACTGGAGTGTCGTTGCGTCACCGTCAAGGGTATCGTTCTCTCCAGTATACAAATAGAGAATTACTACGCCAAGTAATGAGTGACGCAGATGTGATAATATGTTGATTAATTGTACTAATTAGTTTGCTTTAATTGTTTATGGTGGTCCCATGTTGATTTAGGTATTTCTGTGGCAGGCTACACTCAGCTATAAATTATTAATTTTGATGGTACAACATACCGTCATGTTCTAGTGTTACGCTAGCTATTTATGACTTGTGTGGATGGCCTTAAACTTGAGTAAAGGATGTGGAATGTAATCGCATCTGCCCACGCCTTTATTTTGCCTTTGGCACCGCCGTGATGAGGAAGGTGAAATACGATCATTGGCATTTTACGTCCCATGTTAAAAGACGATAAACACCTTTAATACGCAAGAATCTACAACATTTAGTGCCGCTTACCGTAATTAACTTAATCTACTAACATTGTTAAGGCCATACAGTGTGAGGCCAGGCACCGTCAGTCCACCGGTAACAGCGACAACAGATGTGATTTCGTGTGACAATTGTATCTTCACGGCGCAGTACACATGATGCTACAGTGGGTTACACTGGAGGTTTCCAACTATGGGTTTCGAGGTTTCACCAGACGTATCCGCATTGCCCACAGTATGATGGGCTGGGTAAATGGGAACGGGTACAATTCGTGATTATAGGTTTTTGATTGTCAAGAATGAGACTATGATCTGCAGGATTTAGCCAATGCCACAAACGATTAAACGAGTTCGGTGAGAGTTATAAATGAGAATGACTTCATTAGGGTTTGGGGTGTGAGGCGTCATGTCAGATTGAGTGGTTCTATGTTAAGTTTACTAATATATAAGAAATACGACCAGTATCAAGGGACATGTGTAATGTAAGAATTTGGTGGCTAACAGAAATGAGACGTGTTGCTGGGTGGACGGCACAAGGGTCTTACAAGGTGGGATGCGAGTGATAGGAATGGGCCATATAGCATTGCAAAACATGCTATTCTATAAAGATGCGTCCTTAATAATATATAACATCACTTAATGAGTACGCTTACAACTTCCAAGACATCTGCTCAGCGAATTTCGCGGCAAGGTTGGCAATATATTGTCCCGCTAGGCGTGGTATCTCTGTGGTGCCTAGCGCGCGGCTGTCATATTCCTGGCGGTTGTCTGGGCCTAACCGGATACATAATATTTGACGGCTTATCGGTCTTAGTATTCGGGGCTAGAGGTACGTGTTTCATGCTGTACAGGTTAGTGAGAAGGGAGACAGGGAGATATGGGTGGTGAATGTACTTGTGGTAATGGATGCACAGCATTTAAATGTAAGTGCTGTCCTTGTTGTCCTAAATGTAAAGGTTACGCTTGCGCACAATGTCTATTTGGAAAAGAAGAACGCATAGAGAGTTATGAATGTGCTCCTGAGAAATGTGAGGCCGAATGTATAAAGTGGCCGGAATGTAAATGTACATGTTGTCAAAGTAAACGTCCATACCCAGCCAGCGGTGCGATTGCTTCCACCAGCGACGACAGTTCCACCACTGGTGTCGCCGCTCCCGTCGTCGGCATTTTAATCGCAATCCTCCTCGTCGTCGTATGCGTTATGAGCTTCTTTCGTGTTAGGCCGTTCCACAAGGTCCGCGATTGTTTCGCCCGCAAGTGAACGTCTTGTATCGCATTCTATAATACCTTTCAACATTTTTATAATCGCACTTATCGCACAGTTCTGGATATCAACGACACAATGCTTGTCTAATCATGTCTAAAGTAATGCTTCATACGATTGCATCGGCAGGTATCCGGTGAACGCGTTCATGAATTACATGGTGGCAGCGCATCAGGTGCGCGTTAGTTAAAAGAGCAGCATTAACACGGCTCGATGTAGTATGCGTATCCGCTCCCACCTTTACCAGGCGGCTTGGCAACCGACTCGGTAGGACCGCTGCTTGGAGTGTGATCGGAGCCTTGACTTGTTGGTGACCCAGTCCCCTGGACACCAGTTGGCCCAGTGCCTGGACCTGGAACACTCGTAGACTGAGCAAGCACGGTGTTTCGAGGGGAACCAGGCTGTATAGTTGGAGCATCAGCGGACGATGAACCCGGATCCTGGACACCTGGCTGGCCAGGGATGGCAGCGCCTCCACTTCCACCGCCTGCTCCCCCTCTTCCTGGAGGCGCTGACTGGACTTGAGTCGTAACTTGCTGAGTCTGAACACTTTGCTTACCTGATGTATCCTGAGTCGAAGAATACACCGTGGACCCTGCATCAGGAGACCCTTGCTGTCCTTTAGACCCTTTCGGACCTGTGACTCCGTGATCACCGGGAGACGGAGTTGTAGCAGTAGGCTTTAGAATAGGTGGAGTTCCCTCACTTTTCTTACCCTGGTTCTGTGCTCCCTCAGATTTCTTGCCTTGATCTTGATTCCCTTCAGGAACCTTGACAGGCGGGGCCTCAGGCATTTTAGGTGGAGTAACAGGAACTTTCTTCTCCGGCACAACTTCCTTGGGGGCTTCAGGAACCTTGGCAGGCGGGACCTCAGGCTTTTTAGGTGGGAGAATGGGACACGAATCTCTAAACCTTCCATCCAAAATTCTTACCAGTTTATCCAAATCACCGCTGGTATTCTTAAACTCATTAATTACATCACACCAATCTTTTTTCAATGTCTGCAGATCACTTTCCCTCATGTCAAAGCGAGTCTTATTAAAAATCGTAAAACCGTACGGGAAAAGATTTTTCGTGAAGTACTCTCCAAGATGCTGACCGGTCTTGTATTCCTCAATTTTCACGAAATGTCCCCGCACTGTGGTTATATTCGTTCTTAACCAGTCCGCTGTTTTCTGCGCAAGCGCTGTCTTATTAAGGTTTCCTGTGTCCGTCGACAGTCCGGTGAAGTCGAAGTGTTTATTGCCGAACAACATGTCAAATTTTTTTCGAAGCTTAGCGCAATGTTGTAGTAAGTCTTGCCAGCATATGGATCTCTCTTTTGATATAACTTGTCTGTGTAAACCTTCATTTAATGCTGTTATCAAGCTTCCACCCTTCTCTTTTTCTGTCTCCCCAAGAACAATATCGCAGAAGGTTCTCGCCAACACAAGAGAATTCGCGGCGTTCTCTTGACGCTTGGCCGATTCTCCAATAACGGAGCTCACAAAGACGCTGCGGAAATAATTATATTTTCCTTTGTCCACAATCTTTTTAAGGTCCTCAGTCATATAAGAGCCCTGGTAGTAACCCTGCCAAAACGTATTATATATCACCTGATCGTCAGACGTGAACCCACCTGGGATGACGCCGTGCTTTGAGTCGCCGGATTTCGCGAAGAGATATTGGTCGAGATCACCGCCGCTATTCATGTGCCAGTAACTCCCCGTTAATGCCCCAGTCCAGTTCTGTTTCCAACCACCTCCATCAAGTTTTGAGAAACCCGGATCCACATTGTACCACAAAAAGTACATAACGGCGAGGAACTTGGGTGTACACTCTAGGAGGGCATCGACGATTTGCTCCGTCCTTTCCCTTTTATGTGTCCAAGGCTGTGTATATTTGCATAGCCTCGTGTAGAAATGTGACGCGTGGTGGAGGAATTGAGACAGTGCGGATTGAATCGTGTTTTTTTCAAGAAATGAGGGAGTGTAATACTTACTAATACGTTTTTCCAGCTCTGCGGCCACCTGGGTCTGCACATCATTCTGATTTTGATGCAACCCTAGCAAAAACTGGAGACACTCCTTGAGGGTGTTGAGCTGAATTTTATCCGCCGCCATCTTGCTTACGAAAGCACTAAGCACAGAAACAATAATAAATGGGTGCTAGGCTAATGTCACAAAAGTACAAGTGAAAGCGTTTTACTGGTGAACCAGGAGACACTAAAGCGATAAAAGTTGCAAGGTGACGTCACTGCTGCCAGGTTACCAAGACACTCCCAAGTTGCTTGCAGCGGTAGCAAGTGCGATGTCAAGTTTATGCTTACATTTCCTGTTTTATAAGGTTCTGCGGAGATTTGCTTAACCATGTTCATGGGTATTTCGATAATGTCATCATCCTCACCGATCCACTTATCCAACTCCTCAAGGTAGTTGGCCGCCGACATCAGGCGGTAGTTTAGACGTTAGATGGGCTAAGTGATGTAACCAAAACAGGCTTTTGTGGCCATGGACAGAGATCTCAAGAAGGATTTGAGGACTGTAAGAGAGGAGATTAAGAAAGGGATTAAAGATGTGATTGAGACGTTGGGGGTTTTAACGTTGAATGAAGATGTGAAAAATGATTTGAATATGTTGAGGTAGAAGATTAGTGAGCTTACAAGCCAGGTTACTAGTAGCACCTCGGGTAATAGCCAAATTGTTAGCAAGTATTTGCATGATCTTGATGAGGCGAAAAGTACGTTCAATCAGAAGATTCAGCCAATTCAACAGGAGGCAGAGAGTGGGCTTCAAAATAAGTTTAATCAGTATATCCAAAGTCCGCTTAGCAAGGCGATCGCTGCAGTTGGCTCGGCGATTGGGGAGCTTGGCGGGAAGTTTGGTTTAAGTGGTGAGCAACAAAAGAAATTTGTAGATATTTTCGGGTATATTAAAGAAAAGGTTGGGGAGATTAAGGGGCAGAAGGGGACTAAAAAAAGTAGTTGGGAAATTGAAAACGCCACAGGTCTGACGGGGATCGCACAGGGAGTGCAGCATTATTTCAATTTTTTCCAAGGTCAATTCGGCAAAGCAGTCCAGGGCTGGCTGGACGGAATTTGGGGGAAGGAGGAGGAGAACGGCAAGAAGACGTTGGACTGGCTTCAGGCGTGGATTACTACAAAAGGCGGACAGTTGCAGAACAGCCGACGTATTCTCGGTGGTGAGTCTGAAATGAACATATTCCGCGAAGACGTTATCAAGCAGATTAGGGAGCAGTTTAGTAGCGACGAAGAAGCAGCCGGTAGAGAGGTTAAAAACGGAATTCAAAATAGCGTCACCGCAAAAGATTACAGCCGTCATGGATGGGTGCAAGCATTTTGTAAACGCCCTTGATAGCAAATTTAATCAGGGACTTGATGGCCTTGCTCAGCAGATAGCCGCGAAAGTTAATCAAATTAATTTGAGAAATGGCGACAGAAACAATTTCAAACAGCAACTTGTGACTGCCGTCCTCATTGCCCTCCGCGCAACCGTCAACCAAGTAGCCGAGGAGCTTAATTCCGTCCTACTCGGCGAGGGGACCGGAAAGATCAACATCGCACAGCTATTGATGCCAAAAAAGTAACTACGGAGCTTCACGATCAGCTTGAAGGAGCGACTACCTCCAAACAAGGCCCCGACCCACGTATCAGCCCCGCCCAAGCCGTGGACAGTAAGTTGCAGGCAGTGAGGGAATTCGTGAATGGGAAGAATGACGATGATAATAATATTACCAAAATGTTTGAGAATAATGTCATACGTGAGCTTAAAGACGCAGTCTCCCTACTTCCTGACGCCGTTAACAAGTTCGACACTGCAGCCCAAGCACAGATCAAGGATGCGGCCGAGACGGCGATCACAAAGGCGGCTGAGCAGATTAGTGAGGATAATTTTAACATAACGCTTGGTGATGATCTTATGAAAGAGTTTGAAGAAGCTCACGAGAAAATCAGGGATACCAATGATGGCCTCCAACCGAAACTTCAAGCTCTGGTTGATACGCACATCGGGAAGCGTGAGGCGGCAGGGGCTCTACCATTTCGTATAGTAGAGGAAGTCAAACTTGCTAAAGACCATTTTACGCTTTACAGAGCGCATGTTAAACAGCCCGTGAGCTCAATTCTAACAGGTAAATCAGAAGCAAATGAAGGCCTTCTTCCAGCGGCGATCGGGAAAATCAAGACTCAGGTGGACACCGCACTGAAATTAATCGATACAAATGGCGGCCACAAAGCAGAAATAGATAAAGATACCTTCACCGGTCCGTTTGAAAAAATTAAGACAGAGCTTGAAGGGATCAAGAAATTGGTTACGAAGGAGGGTGATCCCAAGGGCCCGGAAGACGGTGCGAAGGATCTGTTGGAGAAGCTAAAAAATGCACTGAATACAGGAACGTTGGAGGGAGCTGTAAAAGGCCTTGACGCAATCAAAACGGCGATTGACGGTCTGAAAAAAGGGAATTTACATGCCGGGCCAGAAGCAATTGAGAAAGCCATCGGCCTTATTAAGACGCAGCTTAAGACCCTCAGAGGTCTTTTGAAAGCCGCATCAGGCTACGACGTGATTGAAACGTCGACGGATTTGAGAGACAAGGGGCTTGCGAATGAGGCAGGTTGGAGGATATTTAGTGCTAGAAATACTCTCGCTGGCCTTGGAAGACTGCACGAGCGTCTTGGATATCAGAATGGTATTCTGGCCAAGCAACCTGCCATGATTGATGCGGCCATAAGAGGAACACGAGATGGCCTTGCAGTCATCGGATATAAGTTGGATCACAAAGATCTCACAGACGACGTACTTGACCCTTTACGGTGGTTAAAAAACAAGACCGGCAAGGATCAGGACATACGCGGCAGCTTGAAAGACATTTATTATACACTTTATTGGCTGCAAAGGGAGCAATTTACTAATTGTCCCCAAATCATCCATGAAGCCAACGAAGCAATTAAAGATTAACTTAAAGCGCAGATGAGCACGCTGGAGAGTGATGTCATTGCAACGCTGAACGATTTGAAGGAAACTTGACTTGGCGGCGGTGACTGGAAAAAAGATGATAATGAAAAAGGCCTCGCAAAAGTTACTGGTGAACTTCAGCATCAACAAAGTGATTTGACTGACCAACCCACTGCAATAGACGGTGGTGTCCAAAACATCACCAATGAGCTTAACAGCCTTAGAGGGACGTTGAAGAAAGAAATAGGATATGTTATGTAGAAACTGCAGAATTTGAATTAGAAGGGTTTTTGTGATAAGGATTGGAAAAGGATAAAAATACAAAAGGGGTGGGGAAAACCAATAACATTTTCCTAACCCTTCACTCCACTGAGCACCCCGTGCAAAAACGCCATCACCCCGTCGCAGAGCCTGTCAAGGTCCGAGTACACGATGCCGGAGCCATCGTAGCCTTTGGACTCAGAGTTGAAACCTAAAAACTTTTCTAAGCCTTCACTGAGATTTGTTAAAAGATTTTGACATGTTTCAGCGTTATCTTTATCTTTGCCAATAAAAGCTTCAAGTTTATCTTTAAGCTCACTAAGCTTAGTCTGCCGCTCCTTAATATCCTTCAAAGCCTTATCCCTGGCATCCTGAGTAAGGTAATGAACTTCATTATAATGTTTGTCTTTCTCCGATTTAAGCTTAGATAATTCAGACTCGTTTTTAGGATTTTGAGCTTTCTTAATTTTCTCTTGAAGCTCATCACAATAGGACTCCTCAGAAGATTTACTAGGGCATTCAAGTTGTTTTTGCCTTTCAGTTAGACTCTTTTCAGCCTTTTTAATAGCATCATTAATAAACTTTTTCAAAGCCTCAGCCAAAGGCCCAAGGCCATCACCATTCCCATTCCCATGCTTAACCTGGATCAACCAGTCGATGGACTCCCGGAGATTTTCCGGACAGTCCGTCAGCTTCTTAGGTTGACGTACCATCTTGAAAGCTAACTTACCGGACAATTGTCGACGTGTAATCTACAACACCGCCTAACACCACAAGACGACAGCTACGTTACTACAATACAGGACAGAGACACAAACAAGACACATGCCAATTTTAAGCACCGCCGCTATTTGTACACAATCTAACACAAATGCAAAACTCACCGCGCAATATAGGCTTCCCCGCTCACCAATACAAGGAAGGCATATGAAGCAATGCCACGAACAACCCACATCAGAAATATAAAGGCCTTCCAGCCGCAGCCTTGATCTGCTCTTGAGCTTCAGTGTCGAAACGCTCAACGGCGCCGGGAAGTTCTTTAACTGCCTTAGTAAGGTCTTCTGTGACTTTAGTAAACTTGCTCTCAAGTCCACTAACCTCATCCCTCACTTCCTGCAACCTCTTGTCCACGGCTTGGGCGGGGCTGTCTTGGTCGGAGGAGCCGCGGGTGCTAGGTGGGTTGGTCGCATCGGTAAGTGCTTTGTTGAGCCCATCTACAATAGGCGTGATAGTGTCCAAGATTTTTGCGATGCTTCCGTCGCTGGGTTCCGCGTTTGGGGGCTTATCGGCTATGTTGAGAAACACTGAATTCAGCTCGTTGCCCACCTGTCTGGCCACGGCGGTGAGTGCGCAGAGGATCAATTCGGAGGCGGCTTTCTTGGCACACTCCTCCTTGTTGCAGTAGTACGAACCGCATTTGTAGCAATCGCAGATGCATTTTGGGTCCCTTACGCCGCTGGTCTTCAATAACCCTGACACACCCTTAACATCGTTGACTATTTCATTTCCCGGCTCCTTCAGCTTCCCATCCAGCGCACCGGAAAACGCCTCGCAGGCTTTTTTGACAGCCGTGATACGTTTCGTGAAATTGCCGCCGTTGCCACCAACGCTACTTAACGATGCGCCGTCACTCGGAATCTCTTTCTTAAGATTCTGCGTCTCCCTAATATTCCACGAGAGACGATTCTGCACATTCTGCGCTCCCTCCGTAAAATCGCCTCTCTTCTCATTCCACCCAAGCGCCATGAGTATCCGCTGCACCACGCCGTTATGCTCTACCATATTATCCAACCATCCGGCGACTATACCTTCAAATTTCCCCCTGCCGAACGCATTGAAATAATCTTCCACCTTGGAGGTAATCCCATCCAGGCCTGAGCCACCTGTATTTTGCCAATCTCCATTTCCCTTATTCCCCTTAATTGCCGCAACCTGCGTTTTAATATGCACGAAAATACCTGTAATACTTTTGCCGTCTTGGATTTTATCAAACGTCCTGCCAAGCGTCCCAATCGCCTGGTCAACATTATCTACCTTCTCGCTAAGCGGCTTTTGGATATTGTGCTCAAACTTAGTTTCAAGTAGTCCAGTCTCGGTAATAATTTTGCCTTTCTCACCAGCAAAATCATCTAGAGTTCTCTTCTGCTCTGCAAGCTTTTCTAAGGCCTCTTTGACAAGCGGATGATTTTTGCCACCATTTTTCTCCATGTCATTCTTCAACCCACTAATCTTCCCCTTCAAACTCTTCAAATCAGTCTTCACATTCTCACCCAAATCGTTAACTTTCAAATCCTCAATCACCTGCGAAATCCCTTTCTTTATATCCTCTTTAACACCCTTCAAATCCCTCTTGAGATCTGCGTCCATGGCCACAACTGCCTGCAGGACCGATTTGACATTATCAAAAACCTCAACCCACCACCCAGCCAAATGTCTGACCTAACACGTAATGTGGTTTAGCCGTTAACATATTAGTTGTTTCTCATGTTACTTTGTGCGTTGCTCGTGGGATGTGTCCGCGTCATCCCTCAATGTCGGTGCAATGTGACGCTGATTGGCTGTCCAACGTATGCAGCTGGTGGCTGCTGTGCCAGGTGAGTTACTTGGTCGTCTGTTAGGTGATTGGTTGACACGTCAGTTATCGTGTGCGATTCTAGGCAATGAATTTCGCTGGAACTCGCCGACGTGATGGCCACAGAGCGGACTGGTTAAGTGGCATTTACGACATCATCGTGGAGACCACTAACATCGCAATCCTCAACCGTATCTAAACTTGTCACTCATTAGCGCCGCTAATGCGTTGTTAGTAAAAGCAGTACAAAAATGGTCCCTATAGGCTTCTTTCAGCTCCGTCTCCGGGACTCTTACACCAATGTTGCTAGCATGATACATTTTCCATGTTGTTTACATGCATGTATGTGGGCGTGGTATCTACGTGGTGCCAGACGCGCGGCTGTAGTATCCCTGGAGGTGACGTGTTGGTTGCCTGGTTGGTCGCAGAACGCTGAGGGGAGACGGCTTGGCGGCGTCACGATGCACGGTCACGAGAGCTGCCATACCTTACACCCGGAACACTCGTGGAGTATGCCGCCCTACCGTGGTGCGCCAGCCATTCACGCCAGTCGGGCTCCGGGTTTGTTGGGTTCCTGGCCTCGCCGTCCTCCCCTCAGGTGAGTGCACTATTTACGATCCACGTTTTTTCGATGTAGTTTACGGGGCAGAGCGGGCACGCAATTATCTGTGATTCCGGTCTTTTAATTTTGGTTTAATGTAGCACTTAGTTGTCGCTCAGCGTCTCACATTGTAGCCTGTTCACGTAGCGCACCTAGCGTATTGGCAACGCTGTCGTTTCAGTGGCATCGCCTTGCACGTGAGCTCACAATGGTGTTTCCTAGACCACATAATCCTGGGAACTAACCGTGGTGTTCTGTAAGAGTGGATTGGTACGTGATTATTTCTGGACACGATGGCGAAAAATGCAACTGCGCTCAACACTCTAAAGGACTGTCTCCGGTTCCTGGAGTGGTTGCATAATAACAGCCAAGGAAGAATTATGAAAAGCCTGGTGAATCATCGGCTTGAAAAATTTCTTAAAGGCAAATACGAAGACGTTAATCCGTCAAAAATTGAAAACGCACTCACCACTTTCCTTAGCAGTGTACATAAATTTCACGCTAGGTTATGCACAAAACCACAGCAGAGCACAAATAATCCAAACACCGCTAAAAAGGCCCTCAACGCTCTGCTTGAATGCATCCCCAAACTGCTATCTGCCCTGTACTTTCTGCGCTACCAGGTGGATGACGGTTTCAAAGCGCTGGGAGGGGGGAGATGGAAGGGTGACCGGCCTGGGGAAGGTCCGCGGGATGGTGGCGGTCAGCTTACTACTTACCTTCTTGAAAAATCTGGCTCTACGAAGTACGGTGGCGTAATCCCTGGAGGATTCGGTAGAGGCGAGTTTAAAAATCGTTATCAGGGTGGCTACCCTCAGGGTTCTTTTATGGCCACTGACCTTCAAAATATCATGGAAAAGTATGCCCATAGGGATGATATACAAAACTATTTCCTCGACGTGTATTCCACAACGGCCATTCCGCCAACATCTGGCGCCGACACTCCGAACGTCGCTAACGCTCTGCGCTTGGTGGAGGATTTCTGCAGGATATTTGGAAACGTAAAGAATGAGGAGGACTTTAAGAGTCATTTGTATAGGAAGAATAGATGCATCCAGTGGGAAGACTTAAAAGCACATTGCAATAAACTGAAGGATTCACTTGGCAACATCTTCAGTCATAATGCGTTTTCCTTCACAGGCTATGCAAGAGAGTATGGTAAGCTTAATAAACAAGATATCGCCAAGAAGATGGCCAGTTGGCTGAAGAAGAATTTGGGGAAGGTGAAGCAGAAAATGAAGAAAATTGATGCTTTTAGTGGCGTAAGTAATCTTAGGCAACTTAGGAAGGGCATTAAGTCCCCGTCTTCGTCTCAGTCCACAGCCCTTCAAAATTATTTCACCAAGCAATTTATCCCCTACGGATTCACGTTTTATGCCAACAAATATGACACGAGGAGTGCTCCGTATGATCTTTTGCAAAGGCAGTGGGACACTGCAATCCGTGAGCTTAAGAAACCCGAAGGAGGATTAGCCAAGCTTGTTGACATTCTGAATGGTGAGCAGTGTAGAGCAGAAGAGCAAAAAAGGAAAGAAAATCAACAAAGGCAAGATAAAAATCAAGAAAATGTAGATGACCAAGATGAAGAGGAAGATGAGGAGCCGGAGGATGAAGAGTTGCTGGACAGTGGAGAGACTGTTAAACTTCACAAACCAGGAGCCGCAAAACCTGTGGCCACTAAGGCCGAGGCGACAAATCCTACTGCCACTAAGGATACTGAAGGAGCACAGAACCAGGGGAAGAAGAGTGAGGGAGCACAGAACCAGGGGAAGAAGAGTGAGGGAGCACAGAACCAGGGGGAGAAATCTGAGGGAGCGCAGAACCAAGGCAAGAAAGTGGAGGGAGCACAGAACCAGGGTAAAGATCAAGGTGGAGGAACTCTTCAAGTATCACCAGTTACAGGCTCTGCTCCAGATCCGCCTTCCGTTGATCAAGGTGTTACAGGTCCGGCAGGGCCTACCGGAGTTCAACACCCGCAAGGGCCTTCTGGTACAGTGGATCTGGGGTATTCTTCGACCCCGGCTTCACAACCTCAAAATATTGCAGTGTCTCAACAGACTTCACCTCAAGATCCGCCGGAGCCTCCACCGCCAGTGCCCCCTCCACCGGCTGCTCCCCCCAGTGCTCCAGCAGGCCCTGACATCCCTGCTAAGCCAGGTCCTCCGGGTCAGGGTTCATCGGCAGATAGCCCATCAGGTCAAAAGTTTGGTTCCTCTGAAGCCCCTGTGCCTTCTCGGCCTCCAGGTTTTTCAGGTTCAAGATCTGGGCCACAAGGTGGTCAACAAGTTATTAAAGACGCTGCTCTACAAACAAGTCAAAACGCCGTTCACGATTCAAGCAGCGCAGCTACTACTTCTGTTACCACGGCGTCTGGAGGAGGGCCTCCACAGTATACGGTACAAAAGGTTGCTCGACCAGATCCCTGTCCTGGTGGCAAGATGATGAGTCTTGGCATACCTGACGGCAAATTCTGTGTTAGAGAAACAAAGCCGAGGTTTCTGGTCGGTAACCAGAAGAGTCCTGCAGATCTGTGGAAGATAGCGCAAGAGAAGCAGAAGCAGCGACAGGAACAGCGAGAGAGGGAAGCAGAGGAACTTAAGCAGAAGGAAGCGCTGCGGGAGAAACACCGCCAGCAGGAGCAGCTGCAGAATTTAATATTATCGGTTGAGGGATCCAATGTTGGCCCTCCGTTGGAGGGCAAGGCGTTGCCGGATGTCTCCGCCCTTGTAGCGCAGAAACGTAAGGAGGCGGAGGAGAGGTGGAAGAAAATGCATCGTAAGGCACTACTACAGGATGTGCAATGTAATGCGTTGATTGGCAATGAAATCCACGAAAAGAACCTGACGCATCATTCGAATATTAAGGCGTTCGTTACCGGCAGTGAAATGCCAGATCCTTTTTTAGATGCGCAACGGCAGAAGCAAATCGATGAAGTATTCGAAGAAAATCAAAATCTTGTGACTTCTAAATTGCGTGACCAGTATAATCAAGGATTGCGTGACGCCCAAGACCGATTTCATGAGTCCATTGATGAAGCGAAAAAGGCGGAAGAGGCGGAACGCCAGAAGCAATTGGAAGCCAGAAGACAAAATATCATCGAACGTCTAAAAGAGCAAAATGGAGAGAGAATAAAAGCGGCCCAGGCAATGCAGGATAAAATAAAAAAACTTGCGGAACAAAAGGAGAAAGATGCCGAGTTACGTAAACAAGAGGAAGAAAAACGTATGGCGCAATTGAAAGAAGCGGAAGAGCGTAAGAAGCAAGAGGAAGAAAATGAGCGCAAAAAACAAAAGGCTGTTGCAGCCAAGCATCCGCTCATGCCTGCGCCTAATTACTATCGCAACCAGCGGCCGCACTACTATGATACTCCGGAATACACATCGTCAGTTATGGCCTCGTTCGCCGACCAGGGTGGGCCGATGCTTGTAGGTTATGACATCCCCCAAGCTCCGTTGGACGGCGGAGCGTTACCGGATGAATCTAGGATTAGGAGCTGGCAAGAGGATCGATCGAAGCTTAAAGAAGGCTACCGAAAAATCTTAGAGAGCCAACAGCGAGCAGATGATGATATGAAGATGAGAATAGTACAATCGGAGCGAAAACAGAAAGCTGATGCCGAGAAGTGGAAACAAGACCAAGCCAATGTAAGCAGCTTGTTCACTGTCGTAGACGTGCCGGACGCCAAAGGCGTACGAAAAGTTTCTGTGCCCGAAGTGTTGACATCTATTGGTGTTCCCTTGGGCCACCCTATTAAGCCGCCCAAGGCTCCGAGTGCATATATGGGAATTCGTATACCTCCGGCAGAGAAAGCGCCGCCAAAGCGTATTACCAAACGTCCTACAGCCATTGGCGTAGCCATGAACAAACATTCACCCATTTCCCAGGCTACGTTGACATCCGTCACTCCACAGATCGCTGACTCAACAATACCGGCGGATCTTCGCATCTCGAGTGCGTTCAGGTCGCAGGCCGAAGGCAACACTATTTTTGCGCCCAATCTGAATTCTTCACCCATTCCGATCGAATACGTGGAGCCTCCACCGCAGATACGTTTAGATGTCGCTCCCGCAGGCCGTCCTTCACCCAGAACCTCCGATCCTTTCACCGACCAGTTAGATCTCCACATCGACGTCGCCAAGCCCATTCTTCAAGACCCTGCCCACGACTTTGACTTCGATGATGACTCGACGTATATACAGGATGATACACTGTCCGACGCTGTCGCTCCATACAAACCTGCCATCTCATTAAATGTTCTACCTCCAGAGGCCGAGGAGTTACCGCCGCCACCTACAGACTTCGATCCGGATTTAATCAAGCCTAGAACCGTAGGAATGTGCCCTGTTCCTTGGCTCACCCAGAAACCTACGCACGACGCTTCCGCCGGTATCCCCGAGACGGAGCTGTTCCCCTCCGAGGCGCCGCGCACGGTCAGGGATATGCTTGTTTGGATGGCAGGACTGCAGAACCCAAAGCACCAAGAGACTTTGGAAAAGTGCATTCATAACGCTTTCAAGCGCGACGATGATGTCTCTGCCATCCTCCAACTCCCAGTCAACGGTGCTCATATCCGTCCTAAACACGTCATCGACACCATCCACCTTGCCGCCGTGTTCGCAGCCTCGGTGCTCACCTCCATTGAACCCAACTGGAGAGTGGCAGTGTCGTCTGTAACTTCAACACCTAAGGAGTCGGACCAATCCAAGGACCCTGATTGCTGCGCCCTCCTCTGCCATCTGCGCGATTACGCCTACGCTTCTCACCACCAGTTGGCATTCTTAAAGTCGCAGTGTTCTCGGGAGCAGTCACAGGGTGGTTGGCAGGATTGTCAGTATGGTCATGCTGTGTCTCTCAACTCCCCCCTCCAGGCCTTCCTGACCGACGCATCCGACTTCGAGACTCACTTCTTCGACCCCTGCAACTTGTGGCTTAAGAGTCGTGTTAGGATGGGATTCGGGGAGAATGATTTGCCTAGATCTCACGAAACTGGAAAGTGCATTTCCACCATCTTCACTTCGTCCTGCGGCGGTAATGATCCCTTGCCGACGCTGTGCTCTTACCTCAACTGCCTCACCCGGCGGACGCCGCGCACCACCGGTGAGCTTGTCTCCTTCTTCCACAATTTCGGGAATTCGCTGCACAAGCATCCATCAGAGTTGTCTCGACTGGGCTCCGCCCTCTCCAATAGACATGACGACTGCCCGAAGTGGGACCGTCTTGAGACCAACGACCTACAAACCATTAGGAAGTTCAGGGGTTTCGACGCTTCGAAACACGACAATGAACATCCCAGCACTCTATCAACATTGCTCGGCTGTGGCAAAAAGCGCGATTATTGTGTCGGACATTTCACGCCCATCACCTACCAGGCCTACGGCCTCTACTCCCCGAGTTTCGCCTACACCTACCTTATCTGGACGGTGTATCTCGCAGACGAATTACATGATTCACTCGAGACGCTCTACATGGATTTCGAGAACCGCGTTACCAAGTGCGAATCTCTCAATCACTGTGACAAGGCACTGCCCCTCCTCTACTATCGCGGATTCACGCCGCCGGAGGGTATAGGGCAGTCGTCGCTCAAGTGTTCGGATATCATCTCCAAGCTGCAAGTAGTGCTATCTGGCAAGCTTATCGCAGATCTTGTGACCTGCATGGACAATTTTTTCTACGGTATCCGGAAGCCTTTCATCTACACTCAGGTCACACTGTGGTCTGCCGCGTTCCTCCTCCTCGCTCACACCATGCTCTACCGCCTGGACGTGCTGCACATCCGCTCGCACCTACTCACCACCACGGCCTCCCACCTCATCGATGTCAAGGCGCTCCTCACTCACGGGAGGAAGCTGCTGTCACTTTACGACGACGTGGATTACTTCGACGATGACCCTGGTCAACTCGACATCACGTAATAATTATCGCATTCACGTTGCCAATCGTTACATTGAAATAGTTTGTGGTGGAGCAGTGAATTAATGGGTTCTTTGAGGTGGTGCATATAAAACTGTGCTGTTTTGTAGGATCGCCGCGCTTACGCACCTTCAACCACATTCCATGAGCCTGCACAGCGAACGAGCAACACATCCGACAATATACTTCGATGTTTTAACTGGTTGCTTGCCACCGAAGTTGTTGAGCAAGTAGTCGGCGTCACCCCATGGTGTGAGTGGAGTATGTGGAATGGGTAGTCCTTCACGTCAACGTATCAGAAGTGCCATCGTTGGTGAGCGTCTGCCATACAAGGTATCGTGTCGGTGACTGAGGGATGTGATCTGGCGTGATTTTTGGTGAAGCCAGAACATTGAACGCGATGACCACAGGAATGAGTGGTAAATGGTATAACAGAGGCCACAGTGTGCTAGGTACTAACACCGTACGTCTGCGCTTGCTACTGCGCCTTAAGCGTGGCAGATAGGTCTTACAGAGAAGGTGGCATGAAATGGGCCGAGTGAAGTTTAGTGTTATCACATCGTGAGTAGTCATGTGACACGTCATCGTCATACTTGGGGAACGTATCTTGTAAATATGTTGGTACGTTCAATGTCCAAGGGATCAATTCTTGTTTGCAAAATGTGTTTCGGCAATATGAACGTTGCGTTACGTATCAGGCAGCAGTAGTTGCGTAATATGATTCTCGCGGCAATAAAATACAATTCACTCAACGGAGAGCCCATCTTCCGGGCACTTGGTTATTGATGTACAGGTTTGCTTAACTTAATACGCCCACTCATAGCCGCATCTAATTCACATATAGCCGCTTTAGTCATGGCGCACTGCACTGGAAATGCACTGCGAACCCGAATATCGAAAAGATCGCGTGGAGCCGTAAGTGGCCTTCTTTGCTAGTCCAATATCGTGCGGGCGAGCAATACCAGTTTTATATGATGTCGATAACCATATTGACAATCTATGATTAGCTTAGCATTGTCGAATATCAAGTGCAGAAGGAGCACTTATCTGGCGGCGGCCAAAGTTCGGCGACCACTGTTTACTTAGACAGTGAACCAGTGTCGACGTGCATACAATGCTTGAAACCGCTTCTACAACGAACTATGTGTGATATTACACGTATACAAAAGAGACAATTAATTGCCGTGCTTATAACGTAGCCAGGCAACTCATGCTGCAGGCGGTTCACACACTAAGCCACCCGGCGTATAACGATGACCGAGGGCAGCGTCTAGGTTAATAACACACATTCTTCGGTTAAATTATTCAGGGATACGGCTACCTTGAGGGCGCACATATGTCACGTCCTCAATATGCGGGAAAATGTCGAACGAACAATGTAATGCCCTGGCGGGGTTCCCTTCTGTTGAAAGGCAAGCCAACCTATGCTGATAGAAGTAATTTCTGCGAGACAATAAGGTAGCTTGCAGTATAGAATCCCGATATTAATGCAGATGGCAATTTTCAGGATTCGCTCCGGCTGTCTGATACCCGATTTAAGAGCCGCAAAGTTTCATGTGACTCATCTGCAGCTTAAAGCTAGACACGTATTGCACGAACTGGAACATTAATCACAAACCTACGTATTCTAAGGACATACATAGACACAACACCGTCCGCATACAGACAGTAGCACCGAGGATGATCGCGCGCTGGATTCCGCGGCAATCGACGATCACCGCTGGGAACATTAGTGTTCTGCGAGAAAGGTAATTTATGCGCTGTAGTGTGCAGTTGTTAATTTCAAGGAACCACGCGAAAAGCGCAGCCTTCAATAGATTACCATTGCACAAAAGTTAACAACGGCAACCGAACAAATGTGCCGAGCGAAAAAATGATGGTATCCACTTGCAGAGAAATCAATTATTCTAATCGTGGAAGACGGTAGAAGGGGAGCTTGGATTCCTCACTCTGTCACTACCGTGTTGACAACTAGTGGGTCACGAGGGACGCCGTTGGCTTTGTAAGACATTTCTAGTAACCTATCGCAACATTTCACACTTATACGAGCCGCATAAAAATTTACAAACACCGCTGGCTTCATTATGCGCTGCTTTCGCCTGAAAATCGTCTACGCCAATGACTCGCGTGCTGCGTACTGCATGTCACGTTTATTGTGTGGAATTGGCTGCGCTACGGGACCCTGGTAGTCATCGCACTTCCTAAGTTCGCCTGTTTGGTGTGTATACGGGTTTGCGTATTGCGATAGGGCTCAAGTGCATTAGAAGGCAGGAACACTGCTATGCTGATCCGCCTTTAACGCACAGCTGGAGTTCGCGCGGTTGTTTGCAAACAGGCCTGTAAATGTACCGCAATTGCACCAGTTTATTGGAATAAGCGATTTTAACGAACCTTCACAAAATGGTGTACACTTCGTTGACTGAGGTTCCTCGCAACCTCAAGGAGGCCATCGACTGGTTGATTGCCCTGAAGGGGACTGATGCGGACAACAACATAAATGCTATGGGAGCTGCACTCTACGATTTCCTCGCCGAACAGCCTGTTGGCTTGAGGCGGTTGCCGGAGCTCGAGAAAATAAAACCTATCACTAGGGCGTTCCTGATGAACGAGGAGCTGAGGGTTGAACCATTTGTAAAAGACTTGCTGGGGAGATTCCGTAGGCCTATGAACAAGAACTACCACATACTCCGTCACCGTCTGCTTATTGTCAACGACAGCGATTATAAGAACGTCATAGAGACCGAGCGCCTCAAACCTCGGGACATGGCAAATGGCCTGGGTGAAGTCGTCTTTGGTTGTGAGCGATTATTGCATAATATAGCAAACTCTAGGAAGTATGTGTCTTCTTACAGTTCAGAGGCGACGTGGGCAAATTCATGTTCGGCAAATGAGTACGCTTGCGCAGCGGTCTTGGTAGGGATTGCACCAATGTTATACGCAGGCCTACGTGCTTTGCGCGCTGCAGGCAGTGCTGCAACCCGGGACTCGTCGTGTGATGAGGACAACCGTGTGGGAACTGTATTGGAAGCCCTCGGCTACCCATATCCCGAGTCCCGCGCTAGCTTGGACATGAGTGGTGCGGAAGTTCGTACGGCGATGAAGGCTGTGAAGTTACATGTATTGGAATTCATTTACGACATCGCTGGATTCTGGGCTTTCTATTGAGTAGGGATAACAGGCGAAATCTACAGGCAGCTGGGCAAACAGCGATCTTGCGTCCGGTTTCCCAGTGAGCCGGCATCAGGAATCCTCATGAGGTATTTGTAATTTTAAAAATGCGGTGATAGCCGGGTTTGTATACATTCCCAATCTAGCGTATCACGCAGCCAACGCCAGTAGCGTGTGAGGCATACGTCTCCGGTGAAGGCGGCAAATAGGCCCACGCCATATGTAGCCACATATACCACACTAAACAAATTGGGACAGATTAATAAAACACTTTCAGATCAGTAAATAGGCCGTGAACTATAATATATTAATGACAGTTAAAAGTGCTGCGGGGTATGCGCGGCTGACATTTGATGACCGGCTGCGGCTCCATGCTGCATAAGATGGAGAGTAACTGTCCCACGGTCGGCCGCTTCATTGGATTTACATTGAGCATTGCAACCAGCATATTACGCATTATAAGCGAATAGCTCCCCGGTACACTTGCCATAAGCTTTTCGATGTGAACTTGGAAGTTTCTAAATGTCTCCTTCATCGATTGGACGGTGCACGGGCTGGCGAATGGGTGGGACAGTGTCAGCAATTCGTAGAACAAGCACCCAAGTGCCCACACATCGCTTTCGAAGCTCGTTGCGGCACGAGGATTTGCAATTAATTCCGGTGCCGTGTACATGAAAGTCCCAGGGTAGGGCATATGCACCCCGTCAACGTGGCACGTGTCGTAATCCCCTACCTTGACGAAAGGTCTGCCACCGTCTTTAAAAAAGATGTTAGAAGCCTTGATATCCCCATGCACGATGTTTCTGGCGTGGAAATACTCCACTCCCATACATATTTGAGTGAAAACATCCGTGATGAATTGTTCATCGAAATGCACGGGTCCGTTGCTGCGAGCCCTGGCAATAAGGGTATGCAGGTCGCCACCGTCACAATTTTCATATACTGTAATCAACTTTTGGTCACCAGTTAAAAACCAATCATATTGACACACTATATGCGCCTTTCCCAAGGTACGGTCAGAAAATGTTCCCAATTGTGTCTTTTGTCCGTTGACGGTTTGAGCACTGTCCAGGTTTGACATAAGTGACGTTGCGCATCCAGCCCTGTTATGTGTTTATGATATGTCACCACGTAGAGCTAAACTTACATTACTTCTGGAGGAGAATCGCTTTCAGCGCCATCGTTCGATAACGGCCTCAGCGTGTTGCATGAAGCACGTGGCCCTGTACCAAACGACTCCTTATAGGCCTCGGCAGATTGTTCATTATGGACGCTATAATACGACAGATACTGGGCAATTTCTGCACGTTCAATTGCGTGAGAGTTGCTCTGCCATTCCCTACAAGTGCGTAGGTCTACAACCTTGGCGAAGCACAAGTGCCCCATGGCGGACCTGACGTGGTGGAACGTGCAGTGTGTCGGATTAGAGAATTTTGGCATCGCCTCTCCGCAGTAGCCGTAATCCCTCCGACCAAATTCAGCCACCAGTTGAGTGATGCCGTGATTTTCGATGCAATCAAAGGGAAGTAATATCGCGCCTTCGTCATCGCGCAATGCGCTGCCGTCGCGGCAGGCGCCACCCATATCATCGATCGACCCTATCGTTGATCTGGTGGTCATATGTTCCAATGCTGTGTCCACATCCTTCCCTGCCCGCCTCACGACGGCATTCCCGTCGCAAACATCCATGGCTCCTTGGGTGTGAACCAGCGCAGCAGCAGTTAACGGCATATCGCCTATATTATAGAGTATACTCCTGCAAGTTTACTAAGGCACGTACAACATGCTGTAAGCCGCATTAATGGCGTTGTACATGGAAAGGGAGCAACTTCTTCATTCATGAGCGCATCCTCGCCGTGCATGAGGATTCCAGGGCTTTCCAAATACTGATTGCCGATTTAGCATGCCATTACATGTCATCGATAGCGCTTCAATAACGCTTCATTGATCCAAATCATATGTGTGTGTAAATGCCACCCACGACTGGCAGTTGCACCGATGTCTACTCGGATATTGACGAGAGCCGTATCTAGACCTCGCACATCACAGACACACTGCCGTCAATGAATACCGTTTCATGTGCAGGTGTGCACTGCATCGGATGTGTGATGTTTTTAGGGTTCCCCCTCTTTGATTTCAGCCGCCGCACAGGTACGCTACACATCGGATCCACGTGGCCGGACAAGAAGGCTCCGAATCTTCAACGAGCTACCACCTGGATATAAAAGGACCACATTTGGCTGATGTGTATAATTTCTGCGCAGTGGAATCGCATAGTCACGCAGTAACACGATAACAAATGTCGCGTGATAAGCGCATTCTCGACGGCGCGCCGGACGACGGTGCCAGCGACCCGTCGCCCAAAAGGGCGCGCGAAGGTACGGAATCACCACGTGAGACCGATCAACCATCGGTCCCTAGCAGCGTTGATGAGGTTAACGTCCCCCGTGTCCACGTTCCCAAGACAAAGTACGCAATAGCCTTCGGGTAAGTACGAATTGCAGCTAGTGAATCACATACGGCTTCAGGTATCTTGGTACTGCATACCACGGCTTTCAGATACAATCTGGTCCGGGTACGGACCACGTCGACACGGTGGAAGGTTGCATGCTGGATGCGCTATTCGCAGCTGGCGCCATACATGAGTCGCACCGCAACCTGATGGGAAAGCTTCAGCTGTCTAAGGCATCAAGAACCGACAAGGGCGTACATGCTGCGTGCACATATATAGGTGGTCGGTTCGAGTTATCCCACCTTTCAGCTGGCGAACCTGATGTTTCAAGGGAGGATGCACTGGTGTCCAAACTGAACGAGTTACTTCCAGGCGACATTAAGTGCTTCCAAGTGTTGAGGGTGACGCGTGGATTTTGCGCACGGTAAGCATCAAGAGCTTCTCTCTCACAATCCGGCAGGTCGATGTGTTCAAGGCGCAGGTACGAGTACGTCTTGCCCGAGTGGTTGTTACGCAAGCGATATGTACTTGACAATGAGTCTAAACGTGACCGGTTTTCGAAACTGTCTGAACAAATGGGCGCGCATTTGCAATCCCACGATCGCATAAGCTGCATCCGCGTAGGACACGGTCCGAGCAATGGGTACGAGGGCACGACGGAGGAACGTGAACTTGATGTGGTAGGTTACCTTACAAGCAGCGATGTGCAACGTGGCTCATATTTGCACAGGAGGTGCTGGAGTCGATTTTGCGCGCCTACTGCGGTTCTCACGACTTCAGGAACTTCACGCCGAAGCAGAAGGGCTTGGAAAACACCACCCAACGCTTCATTCACGACGTTAAGGTATGCCGTACAAACGTCACGTTTATATTACCCCGTAGGTGGAGCGTCGCACCGTTTCCGGTAGCGACGTCGTGAGCGTGACAGTGACGGGGCAGTCCTTTTTGTACAACCAGATTCGCAAGATGATGGCCCTGGCGTGCGAGGTGTACCTCGGTACTGCACCTGAGTGTGCAATTCCGTTCACGCTCTCCAAGCGCCACGTAGTGCAGACGGCGATCGCACCTGCGGAAGGGTTATTCCTCCACCATGTTGGTTTCCGCGATTCACCATGCCATCATTGCCTCAGCCATACTTCGATGCGTATAACAAGCGGTGCGCGCCTCCTCAAACGCCGTTTATCGAATTCGAAGACGTAGAGTCCCAAGTGGAAGAGTTCAAGCAATCTCGGTTGTATCCCGAGATCGTGTCTAGTTTCGAGGGCGATGTGTAAGTCGAGTGATTCTTTTTTGCAAACTATTCAGGTGGACTACGTGGCTGTCTAGACTAGTACGTAATCCTTTTTTCCTGGAGAATAGTGAATTCCGTGTGTCTGGGGAGCAGCCCACAGGCGCGAAGGGTACCGTCTCTCCCGTCGACGCCGCAGCGCCCGACCCAGAGTCAGGCGAAGCAGCCTAAAAATCACAACGCATATGACGACTACAGCGGCTGCAGAGGAGCCTGCGAAGGAGGAGAAGCCGCTTGGCGGCCTCCTTACCTCAAAGACTTTATGACAAACCCGGATAATCCTGTTGTTTTTTTGGATATCCAGGTCGGATCGCACCCATTAGGTGAGATTCTATCGCTGTGTAAACTATAACGCGTCAGGTCGGCTAAAGATCGAACTGTTCGCCGACAAGGTCCCGCGCACTGCGGAAAACTTCCGCCAGTTCTGCACAGGGGAATTCAAGCAAAACGCCTGCTCGGTGGGCTACAAGGGAGCGCTGTTTCACAAGGTGGTCGCCGACTGCATGGTTCAGGCATGTTTTCATACAAGTTTCATTGACTGTCTACAGGGAGGTGACTTCGTGAAGGGCGACGGGACTGGCTCCCTCAGCATCTACGGCCACAGTTTCGCCGACGAGAACTTCATTTTGAAGCACACCCGTTGCGGCATGTTGAGCATGGCGAACATGCCAATTTAACATAGTGAGCAAGGCATGCGACTGGATGGACGGTAAAAATGTTGTATTCGGTTGTCTGATTGACGATGATTCCACCCTCGTCTTACGCAAGATGGAGAGTGTGACTGTTGGGGACAATTTTCGTCCCAAGCTGCCGGTGACTATAGCGCAGTGCGGCCAGCTGTGATCGCCTTGAGCTGTTGCCTTATTTTAAAGTTGGTGGTTACTGAACCACTGCTTGGCCATTCCCACTAATCTGTTACCCTCCTTTAATGCCGTGGCAATGCCTTCCTTGATGTTTTGTACAGCGCGCTCCTCGAAGCTCTCGGAGTTGCTCCGGGACCTGGGCGGCCTGCCGAAGTACTCGTCCGACGACAAGCTCGTCTTGTGCGGGTTGAGGGAAACGTTCACGGACGGCTGCTGGGCGTATGCACCGCGCCCGAACACCTGGTCCGACGAGATGCCAGTCTTGCCGGCGAACCTGCTCATGTCAGGCGGCGGTGTGTACTGAGACGGGGTGCTCGCGGGTGCTGCAAAAGTCATTGCAGGCGTCTGCTCCCGCGCCTCCAACGCCGGTTCCGTGGCGCGTGCTGCGATTAAGTTTTTCTTCTGTGACGCCTCGCTGATGATAGATTTTTCAAAGGCATCGAAGTCCACCTCGACCCTGCCACCGAATCCCGCGCCGTGACCACCGTAGGAGCCTGTGCGTGCTCCCCAGCTGCGAGGAGCGTCATGCGTGCCTCTTCCGAGTGTCATTGAGCTTACCCCGGTAGGGGTCCTGGGTGCCGGCGTTGCATTGCTGGAGAAGCTGTTGGTCGCAACGGGACTTTGGTGGCCGGATTTAGACGACATGTCGTCACTTCCCAAATCTAGAAGGTCACATGATGGCTGCTTCTGCGAAAAGGCACGTTCGGGCGCCTGGGTTTGCACGGTGCCGAGTTCGGCATCCAACATGGCAGGGTACCTTTGCGCCATCGGCGACGAGTAGTCGTACGGCTGCCTCGTCAGCCCGATCTGCCTGAAGAACGTCTTCGCGCGCGCGTTTCCGCCATGGGCCATGCGTATGAGCTGCTCCCGAGTGAACTTGTCCATGTCAGAGGACCTGACGAAGGAGATGTGAGATCCGAACTGCCTGTGCCTGCCCGAGCAGTTCAGGCACAGATGCACGGCGTAGGTCAGCGATATCCATGTTGGATTTCTGGCGTTGCAGTCTATGCACACGGCGTTCTCCGCCTGGGCCAGCAGCTGCCTGAACACCTTGTCGCGCGCCTCGTCAGTGACGTATCCGCGGGCGTCCACCTGGAGATTGGCAATCGAGTCCATGATTTAAAAGCACCGTTGTTTACATGTGTCGCTCCGGCGGCGATTCGGAGCGTGGCGGGCATGCCCGACGGCCACCCCCGCGCTGCGCTCTACGGTGTGTTAGAATATTGTCAACATTAAAGGCAGGTTACTCCCTTATCCAGGGATGTATGAACGCTTCCATGGCGGAAGCAACACGTTGCCTGTGGTCTGGTTGCAGGCACCTGAGGCAGAAGTCCTTCATTCTGGGCGCGTCGATCCAGGCCTCCGCCGCGAAGGTGAGCCTCGCTCCCCTTACGGCAGCGGCCCGCTTGGCGTAGGACTTGGATGTAAACTGTTTGTACGGCGGTCTCCCCTCGGCGAGCGTGTAGAGCAAGACTCCTAGGCTCCACATGTCGCTTGAACAAGTGAGTAAGCCGTCGCCAACTTCCGGTGCCTCTAAGGCGTTTTCCTGCGTGTTGTAAACATGCCTGCACGTGGTGGTGCAGACGTCGTCTAGGTTTGATATCTTGGCTACGACTTCCCCGTTCGTCGTCTTGTGTATTATGACCGAATCCATACTCAGCCCCGCCACTACCATGCCCCTCCTGTGAATGTAGGCCAGGGCATTCAGGAGATGCTTTACGATGCTCCTGATGAGTGACTCTGTGAAGGTCCTCGGGTGGCTGTCATGGTAGAACTCCCTGAGGTACACAGTGTTGTTGAAATCCATTAGGATGTAGAACAATTTTTTGTCCTCTAGAACTTGAACGATCTTTACGAAATTGGCGTGACCGTTCTCGCAAAGATGCTCATACAATTCCGCGGCGGCGTGGTCCCTCGGGATCAGCTTGACGCTAAGCATCCTGCCGGTCTCCTTCTCCACGCAATCATAAACCTGAACAGAGCCACCAGCTTCCCTGATGCGTACCAGACCGTAGTTGACCGCATCCAGACCGTCTCGGTGCCCTGCCCTGACAATCGCCGGCGGCGTGCTCTCTTCGTAGATGCGCCTGGCAGAGGAGCGCAACCTGCGCTTGGCATCTTTTCCTATAGACCTGGGCCTGAACCGCGCATACTGCGTCGTGGCGGTTATCGGCCTTAGGTTCCGGTTGACCTGGGGTCCAAAGCGCTTGTCGAGTCCCTTGGCGGATGCCGGGTCGTTGACGCCATCCACGATGGCGCACGTGCGCTTGCCCAACTTGTCACCTGCCTCATCTTCAGCCGTATCCGATACACTTTCAGGCGACTCCTGCCTCGATGCGCTGGCCAGCACTTGCGACCACCGCTTGACGCGGAGGGCCCTGATGAGGTGCTCCCATTGCGATCCCTTTTTATCCTTGGGCGGCTGCAATCCCATCAAAGCCGCGACAGCGCTCTTTGGCGACGCACGCTCACTCCTTTTGCTGAACGTGCGCGACACAGCCTCGACGAACCGACTTGAACGTTGGTCACTGTACGGCCGATGGTCTTTGGGCTCAAGCGTCCTTCTGATGTTTGTTAGGTTCAACGTGCAGTCGAACATGTGTTCTAGGTCGTCTGGAATAACTCCAGGCCAGGAGCCGGACCTCGAGAACTCCCCGGTTCCGCTGTGGTCACTGTGGCGTGGCGCGCAATCTTCGCTAACGCCCAGGTCCGCCGCCACCATGGACCTTTCGAAGGAGCTGCTTCCCCGCATACTGGCGCTCGAGAGACGGTTGAAGCCGATAGACGGCGCCCGTTGTGGCACCAAAGGCTCAAGAGGATTACATCTGACTGCACACGTGGATGCGTCCCTTTCCGTCATACTCCCATCCACGCCATTTTCACCGATCGCCGCAGCGTGCTCCCTCGACCTCCCCTTCCTTGTCCTGATACCCTGCATGGAGACAGAGGTTGTGGTCGACCTTCTCACGTTTTACAGGGCTTCGAGGCGCAATCAAAGACGGCCTCAACGAGTGGTTCGTTGGCTCGATTCGACAATCAGTTTTTCGAGGCCGACTTTGCTACCAGCGCCATTCGCGTGCGCTCCGTGTTTCCAGAGCGCGTTATTTGGGCCCGTAAATCCGTCAGCAGTTGCGTGTACAGGCGAAGTGCCCAGCAGCAGTGTTGAAGGATGTCGTAGGCACCTACGACCACGGTAATCACACCGATGGCCAATGTGTTGCATTAACAGGATCCTGTGGCGCACACAGAGCAATTTCCACCTGGTTAGCCGTGTAATCGCGCGAGACGTTTTGGGAGACGTGAATCTCGATTCGCCGACCGCGTCGTCGTGGAGAGGCGGGAGTGTTTGCGGTCCCGCGCCCTTGGACGGCGCTAAAAGCCCTAATCGAGGGTCTATCCAAATCTTTTCGCTGCGAAAACAGCTAAGCCGAACGCCCTGAGACCGTCGGCGGCAACGGAATCTGGTTGATGTCGGGTAGAAGGTCCTGAGATTCTACATGTATGACGTCGCGTACCCTGCCGATCGGCGGTGCATGAAGTCACATTACCCGGCTTCAATTGTCCGCGTATTTTTTCTTTGCAATTAGCGTCGATTCCGTCACGCGTGACCGTCTTTGGCCCTGTACGGGTTTCTGATGTCGGCGCTCGGGCGAGCCGCGTGCTGTCGTTTTGTCGGGTCGCTGCCACGTGTGAGCGCGCCTTTTTTTCGTTTCTTACGTGTGCTCGCGGTATAATATTTATCGATGTTTGTTGCCGACACGTGTGTGGCTTTTGCTGCGTACGGTCGTTTGTGGTCCGCCGCGTACCGTTCTTCTTCAAAGCGCGACGTTGTGTCAGCCTTCTATACCTTCTGCCGTACAACATTTTTGCGCTTCGCTAAATTGCCACGCTGCGTCGAATGCGTTGCTGCATTCGGCTAACATTGCTGGAACCGAAATCGCCGATGCGCCTGGTTCGCTGCTTGCGGCATGTGCTGTTTTTGCCGTGTGCCGCTGTCCCTCGTCTCTCAGGCATTGCCCGCCTTCTGCAACCGCTGTGCGAATTTATCAATTGGTATGTGCTCCTGTTTCTTTTTATTGTTGGTGCCTTTCACGTAGAGTCCGCCGTTGAGCTTGACGAGTGTGACTTCCTGGTCGTCCGCGGTGTACACACCGCGTTTGATCCGCGTCCATTTTATGGTTGACATGTGTGAATTGTGCCACCTTCCTAGCTCTTTCTCCACGGGATCGTTGAATTGCACGGCGTACGGGTGTCGCGGCTTTCCCATGATGAGCTTGACTTCCGTCTGCGGCTCCTTTTGCTGAGCTGCAGGTCGTCGCTCCACAGGTTTAGGTTTAGGCTGTTGCTCCTTTTTCTGGTTTGTCTGCGTGAGCATACTAAGGTCCAGCGCCAGGTGAGGGTAATCCGGCTCTTCGTCGACCACTTCCACCTCCACTGGTTTAGCTTCCACATAGTCCTCTATTGGCTGCTTAGCTGCTGTTAGTTGCCTCAATGGCGCTTGCATGTGGTTCTCCGTGGGTATACAGTTGTCGAAGGTGCTGTTCCGCCGCTCCCTCTGCAGTGAGATTTTGATCTCGCGACATACTTCCGTCACGATGCTCGGTCGCCTTGCTAACGCAGCTGACGAATTGGTAATGGGTACCAGGGCGGTTCCCGAAATAGACGCCTTTTCGTACGTCCGTCGGCTGAGCGCATGCCCTGGCGATGCAGGGGCGCTACTCGTCGCTGTGATTTCCGTGTGCTGCCTGCTATTCTGCAGGTTACCGTATGTAAAACGTGGATCATCGTGATGGGATGGTGTGCGGTACTCCATTGGGGTATAGACACCCCCTTGCGGCTTTCCAGGGTAGTGCGACGGCGTGGTTGGCATTGCAGGATCTCTTGCTCCAAAGCACTCAATATGCGGAAATGACAGTTCAAACCCCGGCTCAGGCGCGTTCATAAACTGATGAGTCGCCGTGTGTGCATCCATGTATTTTTTGGAGTACGAGCTTACTGCGTTGTTGATTGCTTGCTGGTAGATGACCCGGGTGTTGGCCACCATTTTGCAGCCTTCGTAAGTCGGATCGCATACATGCATCCGTAACAACCGATCGCCCTGTTTGGAGACATAAGACGACTCTGTCTCTCCTTCCAATTTATAGGCGCGTTTATTCGTCGAGTAGACGTGTTTGCTGGACCTCTCCATTTCGCTATTTGTGTTTCTGCGTTGGCTGCTTCGCCGTATTTCTGTCTTACGTTGGCACACGTGCTGTTTAGCATCTACGTGCATTTTTGGCACCGTGTCAGTGATACAGTGAACTTAGCACGTGCACATCGGTTTCACTGGCATGGCTATAACAGGGTACCTACGCCTAATGGGCGGCCATAGCCCCGATTCGCACTTGCTAGTGACGCACAAACGTGTTCAGGTGGATGTATAGAGGTTAAGCAGTCTTACATGGCGGTGAATGGCCACCAAGGCCTATGCCATTTGTCATTCGGAACGCTAAGGAACGGATGCATACTATTTAGTTTCACGAGACACATAAGGCCTTAGTAGACACGCATGGGAAAAGCAGACTGAATACGTGTATGTTTCCTCTGCTCCGTGCTCCCGTCACCGACCCTCTCGCTGTCGGTGTAGGTTGCGCGCCGCTCCCATGCTACGGAAAGGCACGTACACATTCACCATGTCTGAACAATTGCGCAATTGTATTGAGCAAAAACACAGTTAACATGTTCCATATGACCATGCAGCAGAGCTCTGGCTGATGTGTAGACTGCCATGAGCTGTCTAACACGTCGTGATGTGTGCCTATTCCAGAGTGTAATTCCGATCGCATCTCTCGTGTGAGAGTCTCTGAAGTAGCAATGGCTGGCCCGGTGGCGGTTTCGGCCGCCGGCAAGGCGAAGCCTGGCGGCAAGGGAGGAGGAGACCACTTCCTGCGCATGGAGTCGCGGGTCGATAATATGGACTACTTGATAGGTCAGCACGTGTGGATCAAGGTGGACAGTGACGAGCTGTTCGCGCTGGTGACGGTGAAATCGTTCTCCGCCGACAAGGTGTCTGTGTCTTACAACGGGGAGCAGCTGACGGTACCCTTCGAGCACTGCCTGAACGTGGATGTGATGAACGCGCCGCTGGAGACTCATGACCTCGTGAAGCTCCCTCATGCAAACAGCGCTGTCGTCTTGGACATTTTGCGCACCCGGTTCATGTCTAACTTGATCTATACTTACGCTGGTAAGTTATTGATTGTGCTGAACCCGTTTCGGCTGATCCCCGACCTGTATGGCCCGCATGTCATCGAGCGGTACCGGCAGTCGGACACCTCCATCGGCTTCCCTTCCGACGTGCCCCCTCACACGTACGCGGTTGCGCAGTGCGCAATCAGCGGGTTGCTGCGCAACGACCAGTGCCAGTCGTGCATCGTGAGTGGCGAGTCCGGTGCCGGGAAAACCGAGACTGCGAAGCAGCTGATGAGCTTCTTCGCGTACGGGCCGAGCAAGAATTCTGACAACGTGCAACAAGTCGTGATGGGCTCCAACGTGATCCTGGAGGCGTTTGGCAATGCTAAGACGCTGCGCAACAACAACAGTTCCCGGTTCGGCAAGTTCATCAAGATTCTGGTGGCGCCCGAGGGCGGGCTTAAGGGCGGTATAATTTGCAGCTACATGCTGGAGCTGTCCCGCATCGAGTTCCAGGCCGACGACGAGCGCAACTACCACATCTTCTACCAGTGCCTGAAGGGCCTCACCGCAGCCGAGAAGCAGTCGTACGGCTTCCGCCCGATGGAGTCGTACCGCTTCCTGAACGGCGGCAAGTGCTGCGACGCTCCCGGCATCGACGACGTGAAGGAGTTTGCTGCTGTGCGTCGTGAACTGCAGACACTGTGCCCCGACTCCGGGTTCGATGACTTCATGCGGTGCATCTCGGGCATCCTGCTCTGTGGCAACATCGAGTTCACCGAGGTGGCGGCGATGGGCGTTGAGAACGCCGCGTCTGTCTCCAACCGCGACGATTTCGAGCAGCTGTGCTCGCTATTGGGCTTCAATAGCGAGAAGGCTGAGCGCGCCCTGACCACGAAGGTCGTCAAGATCCAGGGCAGCGACATCGCCTCTGCGATAACCGTGGCAGCTGCGGAGGTGAACGTCCGTGCGCTTGCGAAGGACCTGTACGGCGCGTTGTTCGAGTTCTGCATTGACAAGATCAACAGCATCATCCAGTTTGACGACAGCGCGCACCGCTGGATAGGCATCCTGGACATCTACGGGTTCGAGTACTTCCAGCGCAACACGTACGAGCAGCTGCTGATCAACTACGCCAACGAGCGGCTGCAGCAGTACTTCATCAACCGCGTGTTCGCGTCGGAGATTGCTGAGTACGATGCCGAGGGTATCAATCACTCGTCGATTTCGTACACTGACAACTCCGAGGTCCTGCTGGTGTTCGACAAGCCCAATTGCTCGATCTTCTCGTTCTTGGAGGAGCAGTGTCTCATCCAGACGGGGTCCGCCGAGAGGTTCACCGCAAGCTGCAAGTCCAAAATCAAGAGCGACCTCTTTGTACCCGCGCAGGGTGCGGTCTGCCGCTTCACGGTCATCCATACCGCCACCGGCGTGACCTACGACACTGACGAGTTCGTCGCAAAGAACAAGCACAAGCTTAGCCCGGCACTTCTGGAGTTGCTGCACAGCTCCACCAACACCATCGTGCGCGAGAGTTCAGCGCGCATACCTGCAGAGACCGGGAACATGAAGGGCAAGTTCCTGGGCTCAAAATTCCAGAGCTCCATCGGCGCGCTGATGCGCACGCTGAACGAGACCGAATCGCACTTCATCCGCTGCATCAAGACGAACCAGCAGAAGCAACCCCTGCTGTTCGAAACCCGCAACGTGTACGGGCAGCTGATCTCCCTGTCCATTGTAGAGGCCATCCAGACCATCCACCGCGGGTTCGCCTACCGCGCCACGTTTGAGAAGTTCATCCAAGACAACGAGTTCCTGAACTCTTTCTTGAACTTCCAGTCGGCCGAGAGCACCGACATGAAAACCGCGATAGTCACGATCATGCGCAACTTGGGCATCGACGAGAACGAGTACCAGGTGGGTCACACCAAGGTCTTCCTCAAGAAGAACGGCTGGATGATGCTCGAGAAGGTGTTCCTCCAGTATAGCCACGCGTCCAAGCCCCTCACGGCTGCTTTGTACAGCATCATGAGGGTGTGGCGCAACCGCCGCCACCTGGAGCGGAGCCGCTCCACCATCATCCGCATCCAGTCGAACATGCGCCGCTACGTCATCCAGGCCTCGAGCATCGCCATGCGCGAGCGCGCCAACGAGTTCGTTGGCCTGGTGTTAGCGTTCGACTTCATTATGAACGAGGACCCGCGGGTTGGCGCCGTCACCACAATCCAGGCGTGGTGCCGCATGTTCATCTGCCGCCGCCGTTACCGCCGAGAGATAGAGTCTAAACGCGCCGAGCAGCGCCGAGTGCGAGCAGCCGCCAATCTGCGCTGCGTCAAAACAGTGGCCCGTGCGGTTGGCATCTGCAGGTTTCTCTCGCGTGGGTGTGAGGAACGCAGGCGTGTCCGCGCTGCAACCACGATTGCATCCAGTTGGCGCATGCACGTCGCCATCCGACACCTGAACAACCTGCGGCTGCGCCGCATCACCGAGTTTGCCGCCACTCTAATCCAGAAGCACGTCCGCGGGTACTTGTGCAGGAAGGGCTATCGCCACATGCTAGGCCTGCGTCTACCCGCCACTCGCATCCAGGCCCTCTTCCGCATGTGCCTGGCCATAAATCACCTGGACCCCGATGTGGGCCAGAAGGCCCGGCAGATACGTGAGCGGCTGCGGGCAATAAAGCGTCTGGCCGTGGTGCAGACCCTGGCGAAGTCGGTGGTCTGCCACCGACAGTTGCTGGCAGCGCACAACGCAGTGCTCTCCCTGCAGAAGTTCTGCTGGCCGCGAGCTTGCCATAAGGATATAATTCGCGTTCAGCACGCCAGCGCGACTATCAAGGACCACTGGAGGCGCTACAACCAGTCCTCCGTGGTACGTGTGGAGCGCAATCGCCTACTTGACGGGGCTAATCGGCAGTTGCTTGAGCGCCTAACAACGGAGGAAACGGAATGCGCGCACCGTGTGCTGCAGAAGAGCGCAACATCGAGGAGCCGCCGCCTGGTGCCAGTGCATGTGAACGTGTACTCGGACCATCGTCCCGCGTATCCCAGCGGCTGGTCGCCATCTTTGGAGCAGCTACTCTGCAAAGGCGGCTCAAAACCGCCAGGGCTAACATCGGTGGGTATGTGCCTACGCCACAGTGTGGCGGTGCTAGATGACAAGGAAGTGTACGGATTCGGCGGTGGGTACCGTGCGCCCCGCCTTTTGGCCACGGTGCCGCCCCCGTTGCAGGTAACATCAGTGCATTGTGGCGCGGAACACGCGGTGTTGCTGCTGAGCGACGGCACGCTTTACGGCTGGGGCGGTAATGCCAACGGCCAGTGCGGCGTGTCCCCGTCTACTGCGGAGATACAATCGCCAACTCTCATACGCATGCCGTTCAGGAAGGGACAACCGATACACGTCCGCTCCGTCGGTGTTGGGGGCTACCACAACTGCGCAGTGGGAGCAAATGGAGAAGTGGTGGTTTGGGGCAGCCATCTCGACCTGAACTTGCCGTCGTTCAAGGAGGATGTTCGCACGCCGGCAGAGATTCCTGCCGGCGATTGGTTGCGGGGAGAGCGTGTGGAAGAGGCTCACTGCGGCCGCCGCGTGAGCTACCTGCTGACCGCGGATGGGAAGGTCCTGTCCTTCGGCCGCAGTGCCAACGGCCAGCTGGGACACGAGTTCCCCGAGCGCTGTTTGCCGAGGCCAGTCGACATACCCGGACGTGTGATATCGCTGTCTTGCGGGGGGAACTTCACGCTGGCTGTCACCAGCAAGTTTGAGGTATTCATCTTTGGGACTGCGCTGTGTTTGCGGGGCGACAGGGAACTACGGCACACCTTCGCCATGCCGTCGCCCCTGCTGGTTGACCGCGCTGTGCTGAAGTCACCAGTTGTGCGCTGTAGCGCGGGGCTCTGGGAATCCAACGTGCTGACGGAGGCCGGGCGGCTGTGCGCCTGGAGCTACATACGTCTAGACGACGGCCGCGCGCGTCCTATCATGTACGTTTACTCTTGCGCATCGGATGCCGTGCTGCGGGACGTGCAAAGTGTGTACTGCGGGAGCCTCTCCGCAACGCTTGCCATCATGCAGCGCCCGGAGCTGTGAGGGTCCGGCGACATATGGACGAATCGGCCTATTCTGGCGCAATCGCCAGCATATCGGAACTATATATCGTATAAAATACCCATAGTAAACTCTGTAGTCTACGCAGTGCTATTCCTATTAACGTTAGCGGTGTTCTCGGGGCGTTGGCTGACAGCGCCATGTGTAGCGGAACGAGGCACTTTCGCCGGATGTGTCCGTACCAGTTGCCACTTATATCACTGCGTCATCGAAACAGGTGAAACGGCCTCTCGATGACGCTTTGATGCAGAGAAACGTTAACACTGTGTGTTAGCGCGCATCCCACATTTGGTCTTACGGCTTGTTTCCACGCACCTGGCGTCGGCAACCTCGCCGCCACCGCAACCACAGTAGTTATTCAGTTTATGAGGGATAATTTTCAATCCCTTGCCCGATGATGTGTGTCCATACGTGTTAGGTTTGGGATCCGTGATTCCGCCTCTACTCGTGGACATCAGTCACCTTCGGGTGCTCTTCTTTCCGACATACCTTTAATCACCGAGTTTTCAGGCCTCTTCTGGACGCCAAAATGGCAGGGGAGGAGTCTGAGACATCTTTGAACAGGATGCCTCGCGTGAACAGCCTGATCCATCACTTCCAGCGGCAACGGGGAAGCGGCGAGGACAAGGGCATGGTGAGCCGTGACAGTGTTACTAGGGTCGAGATTCAGGCCCAGGCAAGTACGGATTCGCTGAGCGAGTCGGGCAGCCGTCGTTTCGGCATCGACAACCGTATCTTGTACCATAACATCTCCCCCTCCAATCGGCTGTGGCTACGCATCTACAAGTACATCCTGAATCTGGGTGTGCTGTTTCTGATCGTGGCGTATACTTTTTACATCGTAGGCTTGTTCGAGCCAATTCTGTACCTGGACGCCGGTGAATTCACGGATCCCGACGTGTTCCAGCCCTTCAACGAAACCCTGCTGCATTCGTTGAAGACCTTATATAAGCAGAAGGCATACTTCACCGTGATCATCGCCGGTATGTTTTCCATAACGCTGCCGTTCGTGAAGATGATCGTCACCACCCTGGCGTACGTTATCGCCGTTGCCCACCGTCGTTCGCAGCTGCTGCTGTTTTTCGGCGAGAAGCCCATCGACAAATCTGGGATTCGCACCGAGGACGAGGGCAACATCAAGTACGCGCGTGAGATGCTCATGATCCTGAAGCTGATCTCAAAGTTTCAGATGGTGGATGTGGTTGTGCTGCTCCTAAACGCGGTCTTCTTGCGTTGCGCTTTCGTCTGGGCTCGCCCAGCTAAAGGGCTGCTGTATCTGGTGATATACTGCCTGTTCTCTATCGCTGGTGCGCAACTGGTCAACTTCGCCGTCGAGGGCGAGAAAGACATCTTCGACTCGTGGTGGGCCATCAAGTACGCCATCGTGCCCCGGTACCTATCCATCCGATCCTCCACAAGCTTTCACGCTGCGGAATCCGTGGGGGATAAGGCAGGCATTCAGCCGTTGGAGAAAAAGCGCTGGTTTGTGTCTGAGGATTTCATTTGTGTGATGGCTGGTGTCAACATCCTGTCGTGCATTTCCCTCATGACCAACGAGAAGCTGCTCACGGTCGGCTTCACCATAGAGAAGAGTAAGACTCTTGTTGTGGACTCCTCTACTCTGTCGTACACCGACATGCTGATGAACCTGCTTGGCATGGATTACGGCGCAATATCCATGGTGGTGTTGTTTTTCCTATGCATTGTCTTCCCGATGCTGTTCTCCATCTTCTTCTTGGCTAGCGTTTTCGGTTACAACTGGTGCATGAGAAATCGCAGCGTCAACGGCCGGCCAGTTGAGATTACGGATACCGACGACACGGAGACGCGCCTGGACTACGAGTGGGACATTCGTTTAACCAGGTTTATTTTTAAGTTCTGCAACATGTTGTCGGAGTGGTCGTGTGGCGAGGTCGTGGCCCTGGCTACGATGGCCGCAATCACCAGCATGAACACTGCCGACCGTGTGACGGTGACCATTCCACCCAAGAAGACGTGCTCTGCGCTTTTCATGATGGGCGCGTACGGTGTGTCGTCCTTCCTGCTTACGGCTGCATTTTACATTTGGAATCAAAATGTGAAGCTGGAGTTTAGCCACATCCGTATCTACGTGAAGTACCTGGAGAGCCCAAACCGTGGACACATGGCCCGCCTGATGTCCGACAACCAGTTCACCGACGACAGCATTTACAACGGCTCCATGGGACGACCTGTGGTTCGTACGACTAGCCCGAGGCAACAGTCGCCCGTTCGCCGCCACTTCCCCGTGCCATGCTTGGAGTCCATGCGGCGCGTGCTATATTCGAAGTGGCTGTCAGGTACGTTCTTCGGTTTGCTGACGGGTGTTGCAATTCTGCTCACCATGTCAGCGTACACGTTGACGTACCCCTCTCCGCACGTGAACATGCAGGCGGTGTCCGGGTTCCTCACTAACGACATTAAGGAGATCTACGGTTTGGTGAGGAAGCAGGTGCCGCAGAGCATTGGCCAATGTGGTTTCGACGACTTCCCGCCCGACCCGCCGTGTATAGGTGCGGAGCCTCTTATGGTCACCCAGAATCGTCTCCACATGAGTGTGGTCTGGTTTAGCGGCATGAAGACCATCGACATCACTTCCGCGGAATACTTCCTCAGCGCCGAGCGCCGTATGACGTTCAAGTTTATTTTTAATATCGAGAAGCTGAAGACGTACGTGCGGCTCGCCGCTGTCGAGCAGGAGAGGCTGAAGAACATGATCGCCGGTGTAATTGAGACCGGGATTCCGTTCGATGTGGAGGCTCAGATTTCTATGAAGTGCGTGAATCGCAGTCCCCAGATGCGGGACTTGCGCGTGGATCACATTGTTCTGAGGGACTTCGTCGTGAAAGGCAAGTGGTATCAGGGGGTTAGTGCTTTGATAGACATCCCTGCTGCCATTGGAACTTGGTGTACTCGCGAGGCCAACCGCCTTCTGCATGACCCCAAGCAGGTTATCATGTGGCGAGGAATATCGTTTGATGTGGCCGAGTTCCTCAACCTGGTAGTGTCGCAGAACTGGCCGACCAACTTCATCTGCCCTACCAACGACGGCTAAATCGCTGGAGTGTGTGTCTAGCCGGCATAGGCGGGGCACCCTGCCCTGTGCAACATCGTGGCAATGCCACGTTGAAGCGGCTGTTTTCCCGAATGTAGCGCGAAACGGCGCGGCCGTCGAGCTGAGCTTCGGCTGTCTTTCGGTCGCGTCGGCATCGCAAAGCGGCGCCTCTGTGCAGACAGTGCACCCGTCCATGGGAGCGCTTCTGCGCTTAGGCACCTATAACCGATTGTCAATCGTATTTTACTCACCAACTACCGCATTCCCTTGCTAGATTTGCCCGGGCATTGTAGGTGTGTAGCCGTTTTGAGGCGATGGTCTGCCATCGCGCGTTCGCGGCTGTCTTATTCGCGGCCTGCGCAGCCGCATTCGCCTCGTGCGAGCAGCCTACCACCTCTTTGGAGGTGTATACGTCGTTTGAGGTGTGTACATGATGTGTTAGCCCGTGTCTATTATGTGCAGCCCATCTTCCTGGAGCTGCGCGATGGGAGCTCTCAAGAGCGCCGTAAGTCGAAGCGCCGCAAGAGTAAGTTTCATTTTCGTAATCACGGCGTTGATGTGTAAGCGGTGTCTAATGGTTACGCAGGGTCGCGTCGTAAGCATTGCTCCAACTGCCGCCTGAAGAGCGAACGTCACTTGGAAGAGGTTAAACCTCATGCACATGACGCGCACGAGCACAGCAACGATGCTAAAACTTCGGAAAGTGACCACGAAAAGCACTCGTCATCGTCGTCTACTTCTGGGGAACATGCGTCCCACGAGGCTTCCGAGCATGCCTCGACCCATAGCGAGACTAAGGACCATGACGAGCACAAGAAAGAGGAAACATCTTCGGATCATGCTTCCACTGCGGAGCACAAGGACGAGCATTCAACGCCTGTGAATGATGAGCACGACCACAACAAGGATACATCTAATGACTCCCACCCCAAGGACACCACATCCGAGCATTCCTCCACCACCACGGAATCTGACCATTCGAACTCTGAGAACAAGCATTCGGAAACTTCAGGATCCGAAAATGAGTCATCACATGATTCTGGACACTCATCGGAATCTGCCACTCATGGTTCTGACTCCAATCATGACTCTGCGAACACCAGCCATGAGTCTTCAGACTCTAACCACGAATCTTCGCAGTCCAGCCACGACTCATCAGACTCCAAACACGGTTCTTCCGACTCATCCAACACTTCAAGTGAATCATCTGAGTCCAAACATGAGTCGTCAGACTCCTCCCATGAGTCATCTGACTCTAACCATGGGTCATTAGAATCCAGCGGTAGTTCATCGGATTCCAACCACGGCTCGTCAGAAAACTCTCATGATTCATCGGAATCCAATCATGGATCTTCGGAAGCTAACAGCCATTCATCCGATTCTTCCAGTGATTCGTCAAGCGTGAATTCAAGCAGTTCGGATTCTCACACGGAAACCCACACTGAGTCCCATTCATCTGATGAGCACAACAGCTCCAAATCTTCGGAAGACAACAGCGCTTCTAACGAGAATGAGACGTCGAAATCATCAGAGAACAACGAGTCATCTACATCTAGCGAGTCGAAGGAATCATCGGACAACGACTCAGCCAAGTCGTCTAACGACCATGACTCCAACGAGAAGTCAGAAGACAAGTCATCTGACGACTCTAATAAATCTGAGCACACGTCATCGAATGAAGAGCACAAGGAGTCGGGGGACTCGCACCATGAAAACAACGAGCACAAGGACTCATCATCGGAATCTAACGACACCGACAAGCACGCCGATGACAAGGCTGCTGACAAACACGAGTCTACGGATGCACATGGAGGTGAGGGGAATGGAAACGAATCACATGAGGTGAAGGAGCCAGTGGCAGTGTCACTGCTTGATGAACATGCCTATGACCAAGAAGCAGAATCAGACCCTTCGGAGTCGGACTCCAAGGACAGCTCCGATTCTAGTGAAGGTGAGACGTGTAGTGTGAAGAATGGCTGTAAAAAGGGTGGTAAATCATCGACACAAGATTCCTCTGACTCCACTAACGAGCAAGAGTCGCCCGCTGAAAACGTAGCAGAGGGTGACAGTAACCGTGAAAAGAAGGGTGACGATGACAGCGACAAAAAGGATGATGACAGCAATGAACAGAAAGGTGATAATGACAGTGACCGGAAGGACGATGACCAGAAGGATGGAGACAACAACAAGCAGGAAAGCATCAGTGACAACAAAAATGACGGTTCCGAGGGTGATAAATCGCATGAGGATACGTCGAGTTCGTCAGATGAAGTAAAAAAGAATTCCCACGTTACGGAATCTACGGACGCCAATGTTGAGGAGCATGCCTCCGACAGCAAGGCTGATGCAGAGCATACGTCCGAAGAACCTGCAAAAGGCCATGCAGATGAACATGACGTTTCAGCTGTATCCAGTGAGGATCATCCGATAGCGCTTCATGCCGACCACAGGGCCGCCACCGCTCAGAAGGATGGTGAGGACAAGGTGGATAATGACAAAGCCTCTCATGGGGAGGAGAAACAGTCCCCAAAGGGCGAAGCCGAACATGAATCTAAGCATCACGAGGTGGAGAATGTCCATGCTTCGTCTGAAGCGAAAGGAGATGCTGCCACCCACGGCACCAACCACCTCTTCGAGCTGCGCAAACCTAACATGTCTTGCAGCATAGACTGCGCCGATGACTGCCAAACTGTGTTGGGCGGTAAGACGCAATGCCTATCGAACGAGGACGGCGCGCCCAGGTGCATTCCATTCGACAATGCCAAGACCCTTCAGTGCGAGGGTGCCCACAGGCCCTGCGTGATGCCGCAGGTGGAGCCTGATCAGGCTTTCGAGTTGCGTGCCAGCACTGAATCGGCTCCCCATGCGGGTGAATTTGCTATTAAAGGCAAGGGCTTCAACGACTGCATCTCCATGCTGTTGATCAGTATGGACGAGACATGCAGCAAGGCCAACATCCATCAGAACATCGAGGCCACCCGTGCAGTATTGGACCCCGTATACGACGTTGTTCGCGGCGATGATTCGTTGAAGTTCTCCGGCGTGAAGGTCCGCTCTCCAGGCAAGTACCGCATCTGTCTGTACCAGCAGTACGAGCCTGCTTCGATCAAGTATTCCTTCGCCGGTTTATTCTTGGGCCTCCTGGAGCTCGTCCACCTCAGGCATCATACCGATACCGTGCGTACTGTGTACAGCATGGACGCCGGCAGCCTAGTCGTGCACTAAATTGTGTACAAGTAGAAGACTTGTAGTTTTCTAATGTTACTCGTAGTTAAACATCAACGTGGCGATATCTCAGCAGCTTTGCGGGCGAATAAATAGATTTCTGCGGCATTCAAAGTAGCTGAAATGATCTAACGGGATCTGTGTAGAACACATGCTCTAATAATCGGCTGCTTTCGTGTGTACTAGACATGTCGTGCCATGCGTTACAGTACACCGTCTCACTCCTAGTACATCTTTCTGATGGAGACTCTACGAGTATTATTATTGGCTGTTGTCTTTTGCCATTGATTTAGTGCGCATTTATGTGCATTTTGCGCGCTGGCAACAACTGCTGTTGCAGTGTGTAGCCCGGGAGCCGTTGCCTCTAACGCCAAAATTTTGAAGCAGTTTCGGCCGAGATGGGTAACATCACGACCCGCGTGAGAGGCTCACGCATGTTTAACCCGGAGCCAGGAGAGGATAGTAGCGACGTTGCGCCTCCCCAACAGATCATCCTGGAGCCTCAGATTAGCAACCTGACGGTTCGTTTCCTTGCTCTTCGCAATGTCACGGTGCACAGCAATTCGTCGTAGATCCAAGTGCGATCCCCGAAACGTTCGCAGGAAAGGAACAGTTACCCATCACTCGGTCTTCAGTAGACGGCGTCCGGAGCATGGGCGCAGCTGTGGCCGTGCCCAAGACAGGTATAACCATACATCCAGTGAGTTGGGAGTACGAAAGATCATCACTTTGCGTTAGAATGGCGACTCAGAATTTCTTCTGTCGTTCGAGTACAGCTCCCTCGTTCCGGCCACCGTCAGTTTCCTGTTCCAGCAGAAGCACCAAGGTCTTAAAAACGGAATTCCATCGTAGGTTCGATCGGCATGGCATTGACAATGATCAGGTTCTCAACTCCCGAATTAAAGCTGGGGCCGTACAACATGCCGGTGGGCGATAAGCTGCAGTACCATCTGCGCCAAGAGGGGATACCCGCCGATAAGAAGTTGACGTACGAGTTCTGCTCATTTAAGAATGAGCACGCTTACGTGCCAATCCTTTTGCACTTTGAGGCGCCTTCCAAAGACTACGAGTTGTTCATAATGGCGGGCTTGGCGTTCACCGAAGCCAGCGACCGTTGGGACTTCGTGGTCACAAAGCAGCGAGTGCGCCAGGGCAAGGTGGGATACGAGCTGCAGGAGGTATACGGGCTGAACGCGTCCGCCGTCAGCAAGTCTTTCAACAAAGATGCAGCTGCAGATGATGGCAGAGAAGGCTTATGCGTGGTATGCCTGACCGGGACGACGGACACCTTTCTGATGCCGTGTCGTCACATGTGCCTGTGTGGCGCGTGCGCTGCTCAAATGGCGAGCATGCACCAAGGCTGCCCAATGTGCCGCAAGGCCATATCGCATATTGTACACATGTCGCAGATGGGAGCCAAATGAGGTGCGCCATGCTGCTTGAGACTCCGGTTGCGGCACTGCCCCCGCTTTAACTCGTTACCCCAACACACCTGCATTCACAGCCTCTGACTCAAACTTTAATAAATCTACACATTTGCGATGGGTGGCACGTCACGGTGCCTCCGGTATTGAACCTTGTTCCAACGTTCAGCAAGTTGGGTAGCAGGCCTTAGGGCTTGCCACTAGCGACGATGGGTTGTTACCGTACACGATATCCCCGATCACCTCCCCCGGAGCCGCTTCAGGACGTTCCATGCCGCTACCATTGCCCCGCAGGCGTTTCCCACGATAACGGCGTTGTGGGAGAGGAGCGGGTATATGCAGGTTATCGGAGCGCCCCTGAAGTCAATGGACTCGAGCTCGTTGGCGCCCTGCTGCTTGTCGCTGGGCGATGCGCTAAACTTGATGTCATACAGCAGGTTGAGCAGCAGCGACCACGACACCCCGTTGCTCGGGTGGCGCTCGACCTTGCGCATGATGAGCGATCCTTCCATGGAGCCTATGAACAAGATGCACATCTTCTCGTAACCTTCGTATAGCCTCATGGAAGATATGAGACTGGAATCGCACGTGAGGATTGACGCCGGCAGCGACTTCAGCAATGTGAAATTGCGGGTGTCCCAAACATCCACACGTATGTTGCCGTATACCACAAGCGCCAGGTCCAGCATGGCTGAGAAATGGATGCTCATGACCCTTTGCCACCTGACATCGATCTCCACGTTGCTGTTAGTTTCCTTCTCCATTGAGTCCGCTGGCACGTGCCTCTTGCACACGCCCGCCGGTATTGTGAACACCGCAAAGGTGCCGTCACCGTATCCCACCCAGACGTCATTCACGTTCGGCTGTACCTTGAGGCACGATATGTAGGGGCTGGGCTCTCCCATTTCCACTACGTTCTGGATTCGCTGCTGCCTAGGCGTTTCGTCATACTCGTTGTCAGCTTGTTCATCAGCCGTGGAGTTCGGCGTCTCGGGAGCCGGCGCCGCTCCATGTTTGGGATAATATATGATGTTGAGCAGCCTCATGGAAGGCAGCTCAATGACAAGCAGGTGACCGAGCTGGTTTCCCACGACCAGCATGGTCGAGTAGTTCTCGAACGTCTTGACCAGCCTGAGGGCATTGATCTCGAATGCGTTCGGCGCAAGCACAGTCTCCTCGTCTTCCGCAAGTGCCTCCACCTGCTCCTGCGTCTGCTCTGCCTTGCCGTAGTAGAGCAGTGTGTCGAAAACGAAGATGCGCTCAAACGTCTCCAGTTTGTAAACGACAACCTTTCCGCACTGCGTTCCACATAATCCACACCTTCCGATACCGACCACGTGCCCATAAGTGACCGTTGTAATGGCGTACGGGGCGCAGCTGGTGTGTTGCATGAGCTTCCCGTAGAAGGAGTAGCGCTCCATCGAGTCCGGCGTCTGCATGATGAGCGAGCAGTTCTCAGGCCGCTTCGCCGGTCCGAAGAAAAGTCCCATAGTGGGTCCCTTTCTGGTCGGCTTGGACGCTATTTCGTAGGCTGGTCCCCATCCTGCGTCCCCGAAGGACTCCGATAGCGTGTTTAGCTTCTTCATGAGCGATTTGATGGCGCTCCACTGCTTGCGGTCGTCCACGTGCTTTGAGCGATGGTGCGCAATGTGCTCGCCACTGGTGCGCCTGGCGCTCGCAAACGACACCTGAGTGGTATTGAGTTCCTCTGACATGCTCCCTGAGGTGCTTTTCATGTCGCGGGTGTCCTCAACGTCTCCGGTGCTGCCACCAGAATCCTGGCGCGCCGGGCCAGATTTAGCCATGGCGATATGAAAAACGCGCACGCAACGCTGAAGTGTAACCCGGAGACACCGTCCGCCCTCAGCCGAGTCCTATTCCGTGTTGGCTTGCGTCGCGGTGCGAGGGACGCCGTCGCGTCAGGCCTGCGATTACTCCCCGGACCGCCTACGGGCACACACCCAGCGCTAACTGCATCTGCCGTTTACGTGGCGCCAGTCTAGCGGATTTTGCGTAGCATTCCGCGGCATCCAGGGGCATCGGCCCTACACCCTTGCTCCGGAGGCTGCGGCCTCGCATCTACCGCGGTGGGAGCTCACTTACGTGCATTCACAATTGTTTGGCCGTTTTGGCACGGTATTTTTAAATACTCGATTTGACGTCATATGTTTAAGGCTGCTTCTCGCAACATCCGATTTTAAGAGCCTCGACGCCGGTCGGCCATCTGGAGCCGTTTCCGCCCGGACAGCGTGTTGGTTATTTTCGGTGCCGTTAGGAGGTGACATTCCTATTAGGTTTGAAGTCTTTTTTGCGAGTATTATCCCGTGTTGCGCGACGTATGGCCAAGCAAAGCTTTCACTGCTGAAGTTGCTGGATGGCGGCTGACTATTACCGTGCCAGCCACTCCACGTCCTCAGGCGAAGCCGCGATGCCTCCTAAGCGCAAGTCAGCTCTCTAGCACGCCGTTCAATTTTACGTTGCTTTGCAGGAGCCGTTTTGACAACCCGTCGACGTCCAGCAGTGCCGCTCCGGTGCCACCTGCTCCGAAGGTGTCAAACTTTTCTGAGCATCGACCGCAAGCTTTGAGATACCAAGGGGCTCCTGCTACCGCCAGTTCGTCATTGCCATCGGTTCGCTTCTGCCCAGTGTTTTATGTGCTTAGCCATTGGCATGCCCGTCGACATTTCGTATTCAGAGATCTGGATTTTCCGAGCAAAGAACATTTCACGAGTATCGAAGGTCTGATGATCACGTGCCGCCGCCGCCTCCCTGGCCTAGTTCTGACAACGTAGTCGCAGCTTCGGGGGCCCGAGAGCGGGGTGGTCGAGCGTCTGAAGATTCTGCTCCGACAGCACCGCCCAGCGCGTTAGAGACGTGTAACGTAGGTGTCCTCGCGTTTTTCTGGTCGAAGATGCAACGGGATAACGGCGCGGCTGAGTTCGGGCCGTACGTGCCGTTGCCGGTGGACACGGTTGTTCCCGAGTACACCCCTCCTGAGTCTATATCTGACATCGCGAGCACGCGCGTGTCAGACTTCTACGATGAGCTGGAGGAGCTTTTCGAGTGCTTCGGTGGCCGAGTGTTGCCGGATGACCCCAGCTACGACTACTCTAGGAGGAAGCTGCTGAATGTCAACAAGTATCGGGCCATACCTATGACGTTGGTTTCAGACCAGGAAGCTTTGCGGCAATGGGCGGGGTTGGTGGACATTTCGCCGTCATTGGTTAACGATTATTGCAGCGCTTCCAGCGATAGTGCCGCTGGGTTTTCTAACAGAAGCGGGGGATTCTCCAATTTCACGCCGGCTCCGCCTCGTACGTTTCAACCCGTCCCCGACTCCAGCGTGGCCACAGGTGCCGCGGGTGCAGGGCCCTCAGGGCTGCTGAGCGCCGAGATGTCCGCGGACTCCAATGCGTTCGAGTCGTTCCGCAGGAAGCGGGCCAACGAGTACCACGAGCACTTGTCGATAAAGTACGCTCGCCTTAAGGTAGATCACAGCCGTCTATAGGGGCTTGGCCCGCCGCGACCCATCCGTGATGGTCGTTTCATCGCAGGGCATTTGCTACAGGTGCGGACGACGGGGCCACATCGCCCGTGATTGCAGCCGCGTTGCGACCTGACTTCTCAGTTACGCGTCGCTGCAATTGCCCGCAAGATGACATGTTCGTTAAACGCAGTTATATTAGTTGTATCAAATTACATGGTTTTCGGGGTCACTAAATTGTGACTAGTATGTCAACAGTATATGCACTGTTCCCTACGGGGTTTTCATAGATGCACCGCATGTGTCTGCCATCCATGGCGTCTGCGACAGCAAGCCCCACCTTCGTGTGGGTGTCGCTAGACTTGTGGCTGCGGCGGGCACGGCCTTGCAACCTCCACGCAAGCGTCAACATCTTGCTTAACCTGTCTATCGAGGAGGGCCCTAGGGCATGGAGCACGTTCGACGCGCCGGAGTATGTTTCGCAATGCCGCATGATCAGGGCTGCCTGGTTGACGTTGGAGAGCGTCTGGTTCAGCCGTTTTAAAGCCCTTTCATCAGGAAGGGTGAGTGGCCCACTATCTTGCTGCAGGCGCGACATCTCCAAGGGGTCTTCCCCGAAATTCAGATAAACCTCATCTTTCAGTTTTTCGTGGCAGTGGTAAATCAACGTGCTGATCTGCCTGAGACAGTTTTCGGTTGGGGCGTCTTTCATGTAGCGCGTGGCGACACGCCTCCACAGCAGCAGGGAGCACTCCCTGCAGGTGAGCTTGCTTATCACTTGCGAATTGTCGATGACGTGCTTGAACCAGCGTTCTGCTGCTTCTGCAATTCCTTCTTTCTTAAAGAGTTCTCCCTTATGGACTGCGCCAATGACTGCAACAACGCTGCTGCCTCTACAAAGGGCTGGTTCCAGTCTTTGGAGTATTCCTCCCATGCACTCTCGTCCGTTTTGGAGGGTAGTCTGAGCACACAGCGCGAGGGTGACTCCAATCGACGCTTCATTTTGGAGCTTACGAATCCGCTGCCTGATTGAAGCTACAGAATTCTGTTCGATTTGGTTCTCCGGGACGTTACTACCCGATGGAAGCGATGTTTTAGTATCCGTACAAAGCCTGTAAGTTTCACACAGGATCCGCTTGGCGTGTACGGTGAACGTGTCGATCAGCGTGTGCGTGACGGCTCCGGAGTCAAGCGGATCGATCTTGGTAAGGGTGTTCGCCGAATTAACGACTATATTTAGTTGCTTCTGCGCAAATAGAAACGGATTAGCTCTAGCCTCGTTGCTGGAAAAGCTGTCTTCGATACCTCTCAAGCACCTGACTAGTGTAGCCTTGTTCATTCAGTGTTTGTGTCTGCAGAATTTGCACCTCTGAGACCTTTGTAGACACTAAAAAGCGGCGAATACAATATTACCACAGCACAACTTAGCTAGAATTAAAGTGAGCTCGCCTACCACGTGTGGCCACCGCCGTTCCCTCTTGGGCAAGGTCACACACATGCGGTGGGACGGTGACGGACCCCGAGACACCCAGCTGAGCGTTTTAATTCCCTTGCAAATGATTTCTGTCTTTTCACAGTAGTAGTTCACGTTGAGTAATGCCGCGGCTGACGACGGTGTTTACACACCCGGCGTCCGGGTTTCGTAGCGGCCTTCTTCTAGCGGGTGACGCGGCTTTTCTGCCGCGGATTCCTAGGAGCAACGATTCGCTTGTATACACACAACCACATATAATGTTACCGTGTTTCCCAGGCACCGTATACGGCCGATTTCGCGGCTTTGAGAGCAACGCGCGTGATTCTTGCGTTGCACAACAAATGTCGGCCATGTGACGGCCCGTCTCCGCGCTTTATTGATCCACTCCTTTCTTTTAATTAACCGGCCGCATATCGGCAAATTATTTAGTCGTTGAGAGGAGGGAAGATGTTCGCTCAACGTTTCGGTCCGCAGGCGCTGTTGCGCAGCGGCGGCCGTATGTTCGGCCCTAGCGACAACGCCATTCTGCGCAACATTGAGGCCTGTACTGCGATCGCAGACATGCTCAAGACCTCCCTGGGTCCCAATGGCATGAAGAAGCTCATCGTGAACCACATCAACAAGCGCTTCGTGACGTCGGATTGCGAGACCATCTTGGCAGGCGTCGAAGTGGAGCACCCAGCGGCGAAGGTGCTGGCGATGGCCGTCCAGACCATGCAGAACGAGTTTGGAGACGGAACTAACTCGCTTATCGCGCTCGCCGGCGAGATGTTGGGAAATGTAAGTTTGTCTACCTTCTTATCCTCGAGTTGCCGTCTCGTTTGTATTGCTTGATCCTATCGTTGTTGTGAAATACTTGGTAACTACCACCTTCGTCATGATTAATGTGGCTTCTATAACTACAATGTTCGTGGTAGTCAGTTGTCTACCCTGTGTCTTCTTCTGTCTGACCACGGTGCCGTTGCAATGTTAATTGTGGATGATGCAAAGGACAGCATTTATGGGCATGTTTTGAGCTTCGTAGCGGCTTCAATTGAATATTTCGTGCTATATTTGACGTTTATCGCGTGTCTATTTGCAGTGACTCTTTTTTGTCGTGACCTCCGCTGACACGTTTCAGGCGGCGCTCCTTCTGGGTGACGGCCTCCACATCTCCGACATTCGTCTGGGATACGAGGTTGCGTACAACCGCCTGCTTGAGCTTGTCGAGAACGAAGTCATTTGGAAGGCCTCCAACATTCGCGACGAGGCGGAGCTGGCGCTGGTGGTCGGCACCAGCATTGCTGGCAAGCACATACCGCGTCCCGAGTTTATAACGTCCCTGGTTGCCAAGGCCTGCGCGTCAATTATCCCGCCGGACCCGAAGCATTTCGACGTTGACAACGTCCGCGTGGTCAAGATCTGCGGTGGCAGCCTGGACCAGTCCACCGTGATAAACGGCATGGCCGTGGTACGTGACGTCAGCGGCTCCGTAAAGAAGGTGGGACGCACCAAGGTGCTCGTGGTAGCCGGCGGTTTGGAGTTCGCCGGCACCGAGGCGAAGAGCACCGTGATGTTGCACACCGCCGAGGAGCTGCTGAACTTCAGCAAGGGCGAGGAAAATGAGATGGAGCAAGTGATTCGTTCTATAAAGGACAAGGGTGTTAGCTGCGTGATTGCGAATGGCGCGGTATCTGACCTTGCAATCCACTACTGCAACGCTATGGGTATCATGGTGGTCAAGATAACCTCGAAGTTCGAGCTGCGCCGGCTATGTCGTTCCCTGGGCGCGACTGCCGTCGTGAAGCTGGAGGAGCCGAGCGAAGACGACCTCGGAGTTGTGGAATCGGCTGAAGTGATCGAGATTTCGTCGCAGAAGACGTTGGTATTCAAGGCGGCCGAGCACCGCCTGTCCACCATCATCCTAAAGGGCGCCACGCAAGGGATGTTGGACGAGATCGAGCGCGCTGTTGACGATGCGTTATGCTGCATTAGCGCTGCCATTCGCGATCCCCGCTTCCTTCCCGGTGGCGGCGCTTTCGAAATTGAGATGGCGCGCCAGCTTGCCAAGTTTGCGCATACGCTATCAGGTCTGGAACAGCACGCCGCGTTGAAATTCGCCGAGTCCTTCGAGGTAATCCCCAAGGTTCTCGCGACGAACTCGGGCCACGATGCAACCGTGGTCATCACCGAGCTGTACGCCGCCCACGACGCGGGGGACCGCTTCGCGTGTGTCAGCTCCGACATCGAGCACCGTCTGGCCAGCGCCGAGACAGGCCGTGTGTACGACCACTACGTGGTGAAGCTTTTCTACATCAAGCTGGCGTACGAGGCAGTCTCGACGATCCTGTCGGTCGACCAGCTGATCATGGCGAAGCCTGCGGGCGGCCCCAAGCCCCGCCAGCCCGGTCCACCCGACCTCTAGGGAGGCTCACCTGTCACTCTTAATTTAGTTAGTATTACCCTATACGTGCTCATGACCGGAGAAGGCGGCAGTCGGCCAACCGAGAAACAGCTCGGCGGACCGACTCGCCAACTCTCACCGGACCTGGTGGCGGACCAGTTGGACAACGTATCGCTGCAGCGCGGCCCGGAGCGCGTCTCCAACTCGAGCCTTTTCCAGCGGTTCCTGGAGCAGCTCAGCTCGCAGTGCAGCAGCGGATCGAGATTCAACTGCGAGGCCTCGGGGGAATGTTGCTCGCCCTGCAGCGTCGTGCGGCGGCATATCGCCACGTACGTGGACGTCGCCATGCTGGACGAGATTCGGATGTCTCGCAAGCAGGCCGACCTGTGCGGGTACCTCTACTGCAACAAGAGCATCGCCAACCGCGGCCGCCGGTCGCGTAACGGGTCGACGTACAAAATCGACCTGGCGGCCCGGCAGGTCTACCCGCGCAAGGTTTACGAGTCCTTCTGCAGTGCTGCGTGCATAGAGAAGAATGCCAAGGTGGAAGCGGCGGCGGCCAAGTCGCCCATGGAGACGGGCGTCATCACCCCGCGAGCCGTGCGCAACTCCAATCCCAGGTCGTTGCATGCGCTGCTCAGCGGCCTACGCCGCCTGCAGCCCTGCGTTATCTCCGCCACGCTGAACACGCAGTCCCACACGCCCTGGATCCCGTTACTGTATCGCACCCGGGAGCCGGAGCGGGTCAGGGACAAGTACGTCATGTTCAACTACAAGCCCTTGGCCGACGTGCGGCGCGTGCGCTTCGACCTCCCCGACTCATCTGGAGAATCCGGTGCAGCTTCGCACCGTGCTAGTGTGAGTAGCAAGCCCTTCGAAAATGAGAAGCCGCGGAACGGCAGCGGTGCGACGGTCACTCGGCCCCGAGCGTCGGAAGCCGACGCTTCCCGTGCGGGAGTGACCTCGCCGGCGGAGGAGTCGGCGTTTGACTACAGCGGGCTCTACGACCCATCTGAGGCCGTGAGTCCACGAGCGCCGCTCCTGAAATGCCTCAACCTTTTTTCGATTCTGTGGTATACGCTGAGCACATGCCTGACGTACAAGACCCGCGAATATCTGCGTTCAGGTGCTCTCGACGGTTGCAACCTTGACGTGAGTTTGAGTCCTGAGTCCCCTCAATCTTTCACAGGACAAAACTCGACTCTGGTATGCGACCCTTCTGCGCCACCTGCCCGAGGGGCTGGTACCAACGGTCTCGAAAGAGTTTGAATCACTGCTATCGACCTTCCGCATCGGCAACAACACACCCGCTCTGAGCGAAGAGTTGTACCGTGTGCTGGCCTACGTGCTGCTCTACTCCTTGTTGCGGAACCGCGAACCGGCGCTCTCCGCAGGCTCAAGCGGCACCTCGCTTGACAGTCACCTCCGAGACGTGGAGAAATACCTCGTTGAGAACTGCAATTTGGACGTGGACTCCATCCACGTTCTCAACGAACTGCTCACAGAATGCGAGTGACCGCAAATATTTAAATTTAGGAATGACATACGCTTTGCTTGCGTCGTTTACGTTTGTCGTTCGGATGCCTACATGTCAGGCGCCGCCACGGTCGTGTTTGCGGCTTAGGTGTTACATACACAGTCTGCACTTTGACGGTTGGTTATGCTTTTGCCTTAATTTGTCGACGCGTTTTTTGCAGATGTCGTGACAGGCTCATGTTGGACCTGTGATTATGCACGTTGCTGGTGAAAAGGCAGTTGCGCAGCCGGATAACATGGTTCATACGATCCTGCATTGGTTACGGTCTGCTGAGAGCGCTTTCGCCCGCGTGATACTCGTGTGTCACCCTTACGAACCATGCCCGCGTCCCGTTGGTGCCGTACAAGCGCAGCGTTCTGTCGATCGTGACCTCGTCCTTCAGAACCTTGACAAGTGTCGCTTTTAGGGCGTCTACAGTGGCGGTAGTGCTTCTTGACTGCGTGACCACGGGTGCGCGCCCCGTCATTTCGGCGTATTTGCTGAAGGCATCGCTCAGGGCCTTGTAGTGTTCGGGGCTCATGATGACAGAAAGCCTGGTTTTAGTGTCGTTGAGGAACCTCACCAACACAGTGCGAGACCTTGAATACTTGCTCCATATATTGTTCGGATCTGCCTTTTTGATGAACTCCAAGTTGGCTGCGGGCTGTTGTGAGGCAACTGTTTCGCCTACCGTCGAGGATCGTGAGCGTGAGTCTCGCCAGATGGTAGTATCCGTTCATGATTTTAACGGTCATATCCCGGATTCTGTGCAATGTGTTGGAAAAGAACGCTTTTGGTGCTTACAGTTGGTACACCTCGCCGCTGTACTCGGTCAAGTCGTGTGCTATGGTGTTTATTTCGTTCATGAGCAGGCATTCCCTCCTCCATATGGCTTCTTCTACCATCTTGCTAGCGTCGTGCGTGTACTTCGTGATCTGCAGAGACGTCAGTTTGCGGACACTTGGGGTGCTAGTGTACGTAGGTGGAGGATCGTTGCTGACCAACTTGCTCGTTGCCTACCTGCGACACGAGGAACTTTTGGGCATATTGGATCAGGATGTCCTTGTGTGCGGTACCAAAGGAATCCAGTTTTGCGTCACCCCTGGGTGGGGAGACCGTCCCCTGAGGAATACTCGGTTTCACCGTGGCCTTGCGGGTTGCCTGCCCAAAATTGGGGAAAAGAATGCCCATGTACTCTGCATGGTTCGTGTGCCCTCTGCACAGCTCCTTTGTCATGATTAGGCATTCCTTCAACAGCCTTTCCATGCCATCCCCCTTATTTCCTTCAGCGCTAGCCGTCAGCAATAGGGACAAGCGCCTTGCAGGGTCAGTCACCGGCGTGGTAGCCTTCGTTGCGGTGTCTGTATCAATTTCCTCACCCTCTGAAACGTCGGACTTGTCTTCATCGTCCCTCTGCTTTGTAGGCAGCGACTTGGCCTCCTCTAAGATCAAGCGAGCGACCTGCAGCGTCAGCTCACGGTACATTGCCAAATCCGACGGCTCCACCCCTTTCGTGTTACGAACCTTTTCATCCATGATCTGCAGCTGATCGATGTTCCGTTTCTTCGTCACTATGATCCCCGTGACACGTTTGGGGGCGCAATCCCAAAGGTTACGAGGCGTTTCCCTGATGCGAAAGCATGCGATTCGGAACGCTGGCCTCAGTACCTTCTCATGGGGGTCACACAGTGTCTTGTAGAACTCGGGATTGCAATTGTTGAGCACGAAATGACCGTAATCGGCCTTCTCAGTATCCGGTGCACCGTGGGAGCTGGGGCCGGCCGCCGACAGCGTTATCATGGCCGGGTGCATGAGAAGCACCATGGCGAGCTGCGCTGCCACACCACCTACAATTGCGCTTCCCCAAACCATCATTGCTATCTTATTGTAGTTCGGTGAAGATTATTCGGCGATGGGTATTTGTTGTGACCCGATCCGTTATCCTTTGCAGGTGGCCGGTGTAATACACTATGTTTTTCTATGTATCGACTTTTCAGGCTCTTTACGTCAAACTAAAGCTCTGATGCAAGTTACACGAGCACTAACGAGCCCATGTCTGCAATCACTCTGCGTTATCTATACTATGCTCATATAAGCATACAGGACGTTGCCAAGGCAACCGTAATGTGACCGTATGTGTAACTGCCGACAATGACATTAGCAGCGTCTTCTTCTATGCTGGTAAAGGGCAGTTGCCGCTTCTGTGTGCGGTTAAGTGGCGCTGCGAGCCTGTTTCCTCGTAATATGCCGTGGTACCCAGGCCAGCACAGGGCCTTAACACGGAGCGCTGGAAGAAATTACAGCTAACAGTACATAACAAAAGAACGTTTTACACATTCTTTAACGCTATGCATTGGCAGAAGCCTCAATGGCTGCATCGTATGGAAGCTGCTCTGCGAACCGACGCCTGGCCATGATTCATCAAGGACTTATAGCAACCGATATTTAGCTACCTCAGCTTACACAATTGCCGCTTTTAAAATGAAGTTGGCATAGGAAGATTCGGACGGTAAATGTGCGGGCATGCCATCGCATTACCCGTATGTTGTGCGCGGTGCGTCCCTGCAGGATTCTGCTGTGCGTCCGAACGATAGAGTCCACCGTTGGGCATGCAGGTGCTCAATATTCGTGCTTTTATGAAGGTGTAACTTTTCTTATACTGTCTATGGCGGCCACGCCGGAATCTGACGGCCCCGGTGAGGGCGCGAGCTCAACTGTGTTGTTGAAGCGGCCGCTGTTCGTTTTGAACAAGGCACAGCACGAGATATACCTCACCGGCCGTCAGCCGACCTGCGTGTACTACGAACGGGCGTTGTACCTGCTGCGATGGAGGCTATCCCGGCTCCCTGAGCTGTGCTCTCGGCAGTTCTTGCAAGACAACTTCCTCAACAGGAACACAGGGACGATGGGAAACCGTGCCAAGTTGCCCGAGCAACACGGAAGGTCTGTAGGCGACGCGCAGCAGGTGTCGTCGGCCTTTTCCAAGCGTAACGAGATGCCGCCCCGGGGCATTGGGGACTGCGTAGTCCTTTATGGAACAGGACGTTGCGTGACGCGAGCGTTATTCGTGCTGCACGATCTATACGAGCACGTAAAAGATCTATACGTGGAGGCGCAATCGAGGTTTCGGCGGCGCCCAGTGCGCGTGTTATGCGCCGAATGCTCCGCTACTCCGCTGGATGCCCCCGACGCCCGTGTGAAGCACGGTCTCGATGACGGCTGCGCTGGCTGCGAAGAGGCCACTAACAAGGCTCTAGAGGTGATTGTGAAGCGCATTCTACAGGTTGAGATTTCTACGGGATCTGTTGCCTGCTGCGATGATGTGTATTCATACGCTTCGCGGGAATCGAGTTCGTCATCAGGAGAAAATTTCTATCCTATGAGATCGACAGACGCCGTCGTGACTGTGTCACAACGCGAACGCATGATCTCCTCCATAAAGATCTGCATCCGCGTAGCGTCCAAGTGACGCTGTAATGCTAGAGCGCGTCAGTTCCCGCCGTGGTATCCACGGTTACTGCTGCCCGCCTACGCTGCTTTACGGACTTATGCCTAATTACTAGCGTATTCGTTGGTTTTATTTCCGTTACAACCACGGGAAGGGGTATATGCACATGACTCGGGCACGCATCCGCTGGCCGACATACAAGGGGCTGAATTATGAGATAGGGCTCATTATTTTCACCCACTGAGATTTATTCTGGCGGAAATCGCTATATTTCAGTTCGGATCGCTTCGTTTGTAACTTGCATCCATGGAGGAAATTTCGCCATCGGCCGCGGCCCAGGTTCCACCTTTCGAAGCTGCTGCGCGCACTAGTGAGGCCGTTACAAGTGACGAATCAGAAGGAACTTCGTCTTCATACGATTCGGACCAATTTCTTTCGGATAACGAAATGCGAGATCACAAAGACCCCGAGCGGAAACGCGAACCAGAACCGGAACGGGAGCCGGAGCAGCCTTCGGTGGATGACGGTGTCACGGAGGAAACCGAGAGCCAGCCTCGAGTTCATCGTATCATGCCGCGACACGTTCCCGAACCTGAGCCTGAACCCGAACCCACCCCTGTGGAGGAGCCCGAGGAGGAGGAACCTGAGGAGAGGAGGTACGACAGCGACTCTGACCGGGATGTGCGATCGTCGGATAGCGATTACGACTATCACTACGGCCGTAGGCCGTACTCGAGTAGCAGGCATGGAATTTCAAGCAGCGATTACGAGGAATTCGACATCAGTTCCGCGCCTAGGGGAAGGAACAGGGGCCTGTCGGCACGCTGCCACTACTACAACGAGCCCGAGGAGCCAAAGGTGGCGGAGTCCGCCGGCGGTGCCCCCGGGTCGTATGACGTAGCCGTCAGGCGAAAGCCCTTGATCATCAGGGCGAAGAACTGCGTTCAAAACATGGCTCGAAAGCCGTACGACGCGGTGGCCAAGCTGACGCGCTACTGCAAGAAGCAATTCAGCTAGGCGCAGTTGCCAAACTATTTGGCGTCGCCATACGCCCACATGGAGTTCACATGTTACGTAATCATAAGATAATCGCACCTCAACTTAGTAGTTTCAGTTTTTTGTGGTCATGACCGTGATTCCCAACGGCAGGTGACATGCCAAGCGGCGTGTTGTCGCCGACATCGGCGGCGCCGATTCAACATGCAAACATGCCATTATGTGCCACAGCTTATTACACTGTTTTGACCTTGTCTAGGGCTTGAAGATGTCAGACAGTGCCTTGAGTATCTGCTGGAAGGTCTCCGGCCGGTCGTCCTGCATTCATGTTGCATGGCAGTGGGTGCAGATATACTTACGTGAACGTCGATTGCCAGGATCAGCATGACCTCCTCTGCACGGGGTATGTATAGCTAAAGCGCAAACTCACTATCGAGCTCTAAAGAGCTCCTGGTACGGAGCGAGTCGCAGAGTGTCTTGACCAGGCTGCGGGCGTAGACTGCAAGGTGCTCCTGTAGCCTGCGAACAATGTCCGTTGCCGCAGCCGCAGTTACCTGTCACCAATAAGAGTCCTCACGGAATACACATCGGTATGCGGAGCGTCGGCCGAGGCGCATAGCTGCAGGTGATGTCGTTCGCATTGCTCCGCTTACCCAGGTGCCGACCCTGCCGCTGTAGGTCAGAAACAGCTGCCAGGCGTTTGCAAACTGGACAGCAACAGCTTCGTACTCAATCTCTGCACGCGGATTTGCGGTCTATGTCGGTGCAGCCTACTGGAATCACCGGCGCCGTCGACGGTGAATCGCAGCTTGCGGACGGCCGGGAATGACGCTTCATCGGCCGTCGCCGTCAGTTCAGGGCGACTGTTTTCGCTATCTGGAACCATGGGTTTGTGGCTATAGGAATTTATTAAACATGTGTGTGCGGTTGCCCGTGTGCAGCAGACGCCGCGAAAAAAGTTCCGGCTCGAGGAGCGTCTTCTCGGGAATCCAGCCGGTGCGTCCCACGGCGTCAGGAGTCTCCGATTTCGCGATTCTGACGTAGAGCCAGTGGTTGTGGCGCGCTAAGAGGTCAACCTTGTCCGACGGTTGCACTGCGATGGCGTTGTCCTCCAGACGCGATGGGGTATACGCGGAAAATATCGTCAGCGGCATGGTGCTCGTATCGCTTCTGACAACTTCTTCCGATTCCGTGTCCCTGAAGACGGTGGGAAACCCGAGGGGTCCTAGCTCGTAGGCATACTTGTTGTTCGTATATGACGTCGCCTCGTGAGGATACTTCGCGTTGGCGTTTCGCTTCCTGCGCAGGTCGGCCGCGTACCTGGCGAGCTGCTCAGCGGCTTCCGCCAGCGCGGGGTCGTGTGAAGAGGCGATACCGTGTGCTTTATACGGGCCGGCGTCGGAATACGCATCCGCGCCGCCACCGTACGATGCCGATCCTGAAAACGAGTTCGCACGTTGAGCCTTAGAAAACATCATATTCGGCCCCTCACTCGACACTGCCGATTGCCGGTTTCGGTACAGGCCTCCGGTGTCGCTTTTGAAGCGCATGCCGTCAGGCACTTGCTTGGAAAAGGTGACGGCAGTATCGTCCGATCCATTGTTGGTGCCGCTGTTGGTGGTCATGTCCGACTGGGCGGTCGCCCAAGCGGGAGCCTCCCACGATGAGCGCTTGCCGCCCTTCGATCCGATGGAGCCCTTCACATCCTTGAGGTCCGTCACGTGGGCGGAGTTGTTCCAGGCGTACGCAGCCCCGTAGTCGGGGTTGACAGAGTTAGACTCGGGGGACGTGGAGGCAGTGTCAATGTCCTTCCTACGCTGTCCAGTTCCGATTATGGCGTGCTGCCCCGATTTGTCCATGGAGTCCAATGTCTTGCAGACATGTGCGCTATCGCGCTTCCCTCTCGCCATTAATGATAGCGGGATAATGAGCTTCTGCAGAGGTGCGTAAAGCTCGAAGTGATTCTGATTGCCGCCTCGGCATACGTCGAGCATCTTCGCCTTGAGGTGGAGCTCTGGCCGGTAGTCGATCCCGATGATCGCCGCCCTATGACAGTCGCATTGCGCGAGTCCTGTGTATGCCGGTGTGCGGCTGAGTACCTGTCCAAGCTCACTCGGGCTCTGCCCAGCGCGTCCACTGCCTGCAGCGAGCAGCCTAACGACACCCTTTAGCGCGTTCACTCCCGTATTTCACCCACCGATTAGCCACTGGAGGCCCAGAGATGTCCCGATGACTCCCGGTCAACGGCTGCCGCGTGCGCGCACGAGATCGCTTAGGCGGACGCGGCAGCGCTCTCAGATCAGACGCACTTAGTAGGTGAAATGCAGCTCACAAAAGCTGCAGCGGGTCTTGTACGGATTTGCCCTCCGATATGGTATCGCTGTGGCAGTTCCAGGGCCCTTCGCTCCGGGTGCCGCCGCCCGCGCTCCGCCCCCATGCCGATGCGCATTCACGGGAAGATGCAGCGCAATTTCGCGCAATATGCACGGCTCAACCGGTGAGACTATCTTTTCACGGCATATAGCGTGCACAGCTAATTCAACGGGGCACGTGCGCCGGCGGCAGCCGCCTGCATTGGCCTCCGGTTGCTGGCACTCTACACATTGGCAATTTTCGCAGAGTACATACATTTGTAGCTCATTAACTGGTAGCGCACCAAAGGTTCAGTGTTTGCCGACCGGTCGGCCGTACTTGGCCCAGTCGGAGTCGATGAGCGTCTTGTTTTGCTTCGCCTTCTCGTATTCGTAGAACGGGTCCATCACACCGTGGCGCTCCCGTTCTTCGAGGTCCAGTCGGTACGTCGCGAGCTGGTCCATCTGCTTCTTCAGCGCTGCGTCGGTTGTGTGCTCCACGTGCCGTGCGTTGGGGATGAAGGAGGCATACTTCGCGCCGTTGGCCCTCTTGCGCCACGCCTTCTCGGCCAGCGGGTTCCTGAACCACGGCTTGACGCTCGTCCTGAGGCTTGCCTGGTGTCCGAAGCCAGATGTGTTGCCCATTTCCACGGAGGCGTCGAGTTCTCGCTGGCGCAGCAGGGCGTACTTCGAGTTCACCTTGGACAGCTGGTTGAGGTACTCAAGCGAGTATCCGGCGATCCCTTTGACATGGTTGCCGCTGATAGTCGGCAGGTGCGTCAGCGAAGCCGCGTCGACGTTGCGCTCAACCATGTTTTCGTTTATGATGAACGGTCGCTGCTGCTCCGGCTGTTCGTACTGCCCAGAGACCTCCTCCAGGTCGGAACCGCTGACCGACACAACTTGGTATGACGTATTGTCGTCATCCTCCGATGACTCGCTGGCAGGTTCCGCCGCCGCTCTCAGCTTGTCTCTTATCTGTTCAGCATCCACTGTGTATGTGTCTCTCCTCCGGAGCGTCACCGTGGTTTGGCGGCGCATTGGAGCTTCATTCCCAGTTTCAGTTTCCACTTCGACTCTCGTTTCGGATGCCACAGGACGCGGCATGGCCCTCTCTATGTTCTCCAGGTACCGTATGGACCTCGCGTTTCTGTCGCGTTGATTGGGGGCCGGTTCGCCTCCTGCCACCTGTCGCGAAGGGGGCCGTGCCACTGGCTGCGCTTTCTCTTCAGCCGCCTCGTTTCCGCTTGTACCGTGGATCACACGGTCAACGTACGAATAGGCGCGCGCAAGCGGGCTTCCAGGCCAACCCTCGTCCGTGACGGTCTTCGATGACAAATCCTGTTCCGATAGCGTCGGCGATTGAAAGGGTTTAAACGTGACCATGCTTGGTTTTACATCATCCTTATTTTCCTCAGCGCTACGCGACAACAGAGCCGACGTTTGTGACCGTCGGAATCCATTGATAACGGACTCCTTGACCCCTTCGAACTTACCCATGGCGGCAGTGGTCGCCCGTTCCAGCATATTAGGACCAACCGGCTTTGTCGTAGCACGTCTGCAGACGTTATTTACGAGGTTTACATCATATGTGTTCTCGTTTTTGCGATGTAAGGAGCTCAAGCGCAGCGACGTTGGTGGCGGCTTCCGGGCCTCCCTCATTTCCGGGGGCCGCATCAGTGCTTCTGCCGGCAGAATGTTGTCTGGCTGTGCTGGTGGCGCAGAAGGTGTGGCATGTGCAGCAGTTTTGTTATCCTGTTTCGACGGCCCGTCCTTTTCGTCTGGTGTTTCCTTATTCACCAATGCATTCCAGTCTGGAGGCACGAATCGGCTTGGCGCACGAGATCCACGCTTCGCCGTCGCAAAAGTAGCATACCTAGTCATAGGCGCGCCAACTTTACCGTGATCCGGGCTGGGAACTTTCCCCGATGGCCTGCGAGGCGGAGGTCCTGCGGCCATCCTAGGGGGTGAAGCGTTCCTTTGCCTCCCCCTGGCATTCACTGCAGTGGCAGCGTTGTACGCTCCGGAGTGTCCTCGCAACTCCGGACGACGTACCATATCCTGACGCTTTGAGGATTCACTGTGTAATGAGATGCTCTCGTCCGTTCGCATGCTCAACATGCGTGCCGAGCGTCTCTTGGCGAAGCCCACAAGGGCCGACTCGCTGAGCTTCTTCTGGTATTCTAAGCGCACAGTGCTGAGCCTCCTTTCAAGTTGCGATTGTATTTCATTGAGGTGTCCCACTATGTCATCTTTTTTCTGCCATTGTGGCTTAATCTGCGGTGGCGGCGCCTGATCACTCTCTCCGAGGCTCGAAAGCGGCACGCTTGTTCGGGTATGGAGCAGCGCGAGATTGAGCGTTGGCACCCGCGGTATCCCGTCAGAGGAGGTACTTTGCCCCACGTGGCGCACTAGGGGGTTGTGGAGTGGGCGGGCAGCTGACGAACCTTCTGCTGAGCATGCTTGGTCAACTGCTTTTTCAGGCAAAGAATACGCCGATGGCGGCGCATCGGCACGCCTAACACCTGGACTCCGAACGACGCTGGCCACGGTTATGCTGATCTCTGAGGCCGTATCCCAGCGGTCAGGCCTTGCGGCACGGTTGTCAGAGTGGCGCATTTCCGTGCCGGCGCGCCGGAGAACTTCCAGCGAAGGAGGCCCATTAGCCGCACGTACACGGTCAGATCCCCGCATTGTATATTACAATATGTTCGTCCTCAAGCTGAGCTTGCTACATCCATTCTCATGGCGCCATCATCCCTTGATTCTGTCGAATGTGTAGGCCAACTGATCCCCAAACGTTACACAGCTCGCATCAACGTATTACAAGCAGTAAAAGCTTCGCTATTATCGTGCGAATCACATATATTTTACACCGAGCTGACGAACGCAACCTGGAGGAGCGACGCAGCTACCGATGTATTTTAGGTCGTTAATATCGCCGTAAAATGTAGCTAAAGTTGCTGAGATGAGAAGATATCGTACATGTGCGCCGGTGGAGTTAAGTACAGCGCAATGTGCAGCTGTTTGCGCGGTACACATTGCACGATGGTGTGGCAGCATCTCCTGCTAGTCTCGCCAGTGACGCAGTCGGAAGCTCCAAACTCGGGGCTTCCGACTGCCGACATCCGGCCGTGAACACTGTTGTGTCGGCAAGAATGTGTGTGTTGTCGTTTTTCTCCCTGCACTCCTTCCAGTTGCCAGGAAAATGCGTCGTTTCTACCCATTTTCTCGACTCCCCGCCTATTCCCGCAGCTTATAGCTAGCAGTCGCTACAGTTTCGTCCAACCGGTGTACCGGAGTTCCGTATTGCAAGAGATGAAGACAGCGATGATTCCTACACGAAGTACGTTCTAATGGCGATGCGCCGTTTGTCGCTTCGTGTATTCTCACAGGCAGCGACATCCCTGGCTGCTGACAACGCCTTCTTTACAGGCCTAGCGTACATGCTGTACTAATTAGTGCTAAGTATTCACAGCTCGCGCGAAACGCGCTTATCCCGTTATAACCACACCGGTCGTTGCCGCCAAGCCGGCCCTGTCGGAGACCACCGTGCTGCTCTCCTACCTTCGCGACATGATGCGGCCGTGTGGGCTGTTGGAGATTCACGAGAAGATGGGCCTGCAAATGGACAAGCAGCATTTGGTGCAGCTGCTGGACGGGCTCGTAGCCCAAGGACACCTTCGGTGCAAGAAGTGCCCCTCCATCCAAATCTATGTCTACAACTTCTCCAACCAGCAGAAACCGTCTGCGGTTCCCACTACCAAGGTGAGGAAACCGAACAAGGCCGCGCTCGAGAAGGAGGCGGCGCAACTGCGGGCGGCCACAGAGGAAATCACGACAAAGATTCAGGAGACGCAACAGCGGTGCAAAGAATTGGCGGCTTTGCAAGAACGGCAAAAGGCAGGTATGTATTGCGGTGTTCGGACATATGAGCACCGTTAGCATCTCCAAACTTTAATGTCTCCGCAGCACTGGACGACTGGCACGTGCTACTCAAGGCCGACGGAGACCCCAGGGCGATGGCGCGTGCGTGCGGCGGCGAAGTAGAGCATCTTATGGACGCGCAGACGAAGCAGCGGGCCGAGTTGGGGCGTCTGCAGCGGCTCTACACCCACATGGTCACAGCAGTGTCTGATATTGAGGGCGTACACCCACGTCAACTGTGCGAACGCCTGGGTATCGAGATTACGAGGGTCCAGCTTAAAAACAAGTAACGCATGTGTCATGCGTATTGCCGATTGGAGCGACTTCCACAGAAACATCAAGCCCGTAGCAAAATTTTTGTGACTTTTTACACGACCGAGGCGGTGCCGAGAGTATTCGCATATAAACTCACTATATGGCCATAACATCAGCCTAATAATGTCTATTGCACATAAGTCTGACCGAAGTGTTCTTTACTTTCTGTGGAAGGCTGCAGTGTCATACCCCCTGTGGTTACACATCCGCCCCCGAAGGTGATGTTGTGAAGCCGCCACGCGCTCACAACACATCCACAAAGACAGCTTACTGGATACAGGCGTCGTGGGCAATTGGTACGGCGGCTTTCTGGTCCAGTTGCTGCATCTGTTCCGCCAAGATGGCTCAACGATGGGCCGCGGCGTCACGTGGGCCTATCTCTACTTCATATTGCTCGTAAAGAGCTTGCTTGTTCGTACATATACCCGAATTCCTGGCAAGCATACTCTGAGTGAGTCGTTCATCCACTGCTTCGGGTCTTGTGGCGGCGAACTTCGGCAGCGCGACGTTGAGCCCGGCTTCCGCACAGCGTCCGGGTATCGCTACAGATCGTTCCGTTCGAACGCGAGCAACAAGGGAGGTGCTAAGGGATCGAAGAAGACTGTAATAAGCGGTACTGCAGCCGAAAGACAGGCGCTTATAGACAGGTCGCTCGAGCTTGGGATATCGCAGGACGACATCGACGACTACCTCAAGCAATACAAAGTTGTAAAGAACCGACGTCCGACCGCTGCGAGCAAACAGGAATCTACTCCGGTATCACCAGCTACCGCTGATAAGGAGGCTTCGAAAACAGCTGGGTCGCCGGTTGAACAACCCAAGAAACGGAAGTTGCCCAAGCGACTGCTTGAAAAAAGCGAATACCTGCCCGAACGCGGTGTTGAGTACCCGCTCTACGAGGCTATAGACCGCATCAAGTTGATAAGCGGTGTGCGCTTCGTGGAAGGGATAGACGTGGCGCTGCACGTCCCGCTGAGCCGCAAGAAGGTACGTGCCACCGCGGCGCAGTACGCCCGGCTCATCACGATACCGCACCAGTCGCTGAAGTCCAGGCGGTGCCGCATTGGCGTATTCGCGAAGCCGGCAATCTGTGAGCAGGTGCGCGCTCTGAATGCGACCAAGGTTCTGTTTGTTGGTGGTGCGGAGCTTATCGAGCAATTCAAAGCTGAGGACTCGTACCCTGATGTGGATTTCGTGCTATCGGACCTCGACACTTTTCACAAGCTTTCTGCTATAGGTAGGGCACTAGGTCGCCGGGGGTTGATGCCTTCCTTGACTGTCGGCACTTGCATACAACACACTGCCGACCTGTTGGATACGGTGGATAAGGTGGAAAATCGCAACACATTCATCCTTCGCTCTGACCGTGTCGGCGACATAAAGTGCAATTTCGCCGACGTTACTATGCCCCGCGAGGAAATCCGGGAGAACCTTCTGGAGATCGTAAAGTACCTGCGTCAAAACAAGCCCGACTTCGCCGGTGCGCAGATCCTTTCCGCAGCGTACGTTTCCTCTAGCATGGGACCGTCGTTCCGTATATTCTTGAAGGATCTAGGTTTCCGTGGTCGTGTTAAGCGTGGGCGCTAGGTTCATTGACACCGTGGTGACGCAACGATCGCATTACAAGCGTCTGTTTAATAGATCGCCTGCTTCATTACAGTTGGCCTCATATTGGATACTGTTATATTCGTGGCCTTAAGTGGATCGACAGGCTCTTCCAAAATAGGAAAGGGTGCTTTCTCTACGTACCGAGCATAGGGTGTATATTAACGTCAGCAAGCCATGGGTGACGACTCGGCTGACTCGATTCCGCTGACCCAGCGCATGGGCATCGATCGCATTTCCATCGACTACGCGGGAACACTGGTGCCGTGGATGACGCACGGGCGGTACGAGAAGCGTATCCGCGTGCCGCGTCACCGTGACACCCCGCTTGACTTCAACTCCGTGCGCCCCGCGTTCTGCTATTCGAGCTTCTCGAACCACTACAACGGAGTATGTAGCAACCTCGCGCACGCCTCCTTCAACCGCAACAAGTTCCCCATCGTAAGCTTGAAGTGGTTCCCCAATGGCAAGACGCTGCTGGCCGGCAGCCAGGGCGGCAAGCTGATCATGTGGAACGGTCTGACGTTCCAGTTTGACGACATCAAGCGCTATCCAGTGAGTGGAGGAAGCGTGACTGCGATCGAATGGTCGCCCGACGGCGACTTTCTGATTTCTGGGGATGAGTTCGGCAAGCTGGCGCTGCTCTCCCCTGCCCTGAGTCTGCTCGACAACACGCTTTTCGAGGGTCTGGGAAAGCCCGTGCTGGACGTGTCCATGTCCCAGAACGGTTCCAAGGTGTGCGCGTGCGCGGACACTTACTCCCCGCACATATGGGACGTCCAGCGCCGCCACCTGGAAGGGGTGCTCAGCGGCGAACATGTGGACTCCACCAGCGTGTCGTGCATGCAGTGGCATCCCACAAAATCTCTTATCGCAACAGGCAGCAAGATCAATGTGGTCTCGCTCTGGGATCCCGCAACCAGGGAGCATATTTCGACCATCCACGCCCACAAGGCGCCCATCTGCAAGATATCGTGGAACCCGGATGGGTACGCATTCTTGACTGCTGCGGTAGACGGGCTGGTAAAGCTTTGGGACCTGCGGATGATGAAGCAGCTACTGGTCTACAAGATTGCCTCACCGCCGGCTCCTGCGGCCAACGTCAATGCCGCTGGGCAGCCGATGCCACCGCCCGTGAAGATGCTCACGATCCCCACGACGATCGGCTGGAACCCTGTGCAGCGCAACGTCTTCTCCGTGTGTGACAACAAGTCGCGCCTGTTCTTCTTTTCCAGCGACTTCGCCGAGCCTCTAGCTGAGATAAACGTGAATGTGACGGACGACCGCGACACGGCCACGCTGGCCATGGACTGGCATCCCATGGGTCACCTGCTAGCCACGTGCTCCGACGACCGCGTGGTCAGGTTCTGGAGCCGCAGCAACCCGGGTGGACTGAACAAGCAGAAGGAGAATGTGAAGGCATTCGGTGATTCGGAGTTCGTGCGGTCGTTCCCCCTTTCGCGGTACAAATTTGAACGCAAGTTGGACATATCGACACTGCCCTGCGTGACCCGCGACCACCGCTGATCGGAGACAGTTGCAGAAGGTGATGGGTCACCCGTAGGGTACTAATGCTCTCTAGTGGCGTGTGGATGTACGGTGACTGCTCAGTGATGCTAAATGTTGGCGTAGTGCATTCGTTTAGCGTTTTGTGGCATGTCATGTTGCGTGACCAGTAACTAAGAGGTTGCTTTTGATGCTCTAATGAACTCATCTCTGCCACCTGATACAACTGCGATATGTTAATACAGACACTGATATACGCCAATGATGTTACACCAGTGATATTCATGGTTGTCAGCTGGTCATTCTGGATACCACGCCGATGACCAGGGGCGGGCACTGACGCCGTCACCAACGTGACGCTCCCATCACCCAATTTTATCGTACACATCAGCGGCATTTCACCATATACATTGCTGGCTATGCTTTAATGTAACGAATCCGCCTATATTTGTGCTCATCTCCGAGATCACTTAAGATTTCGACGACAGCAAGTTAGGTCCTACCGGACCTTCCACATGTCGAAGGTAACAACGGCCGAACAACCGATGTGCGTTCACACCTGTTACTGAAGACTGCGTACAATGATGTAGAGGCGTTTTACGGATTGTCTACGTCACATCTCGGGCGATCAGAGGAGGCCACGGTACTCGAAGGACGACAGCAACGGCGTTATCCGGAAAGAAACCCTAAACGATGGTGGCGCGGTCACCCCCTACCAACTGGCATGAGCTGGGGGTGCGCAAACTGCGGCGAGAGTCGTGGAAGCTCACCGGCGAGCAATGGCGCTGCTGTCTGGGTGATGCCTGGGCAGTGGCACCGCTAGGGTGCGTCGTTGCCGTGGTGACAAGCCGCATGGAGTCCTCATCAGCGCTTCCGGAGAACGTGAAGTGCCAGATGCGTATATTCAGAGGAGGTACAGGATCATTGGTGACATGCGTCCCATGGCTGGTGAGGCTGGATACACTGCTGGCGCTGCAGTGGACTGATTCCATGCTGCTGGCGGCGATCTTCCGCAACTCGTGCGTACGCGTGTTGTCGGCGAATGGCGACTTCATGCACTACTTCCACCTGTTCTTTACGGAGGAGGCGGCGCAGAGCTACCCGATCGACTCGTCGCTGGTGACGCTGTGCACCTGGGGAGGAGGCGCAGTCTACGTGAGCAAGGAGAAGGCGTGCCTCTACGTCCAGCGCGGATTTGAGGGCCGGAACTGCGTCCACTTCCCGTTAGGTGATTACTCGCTGCGCATCTCGGCTCTGGGAGTCCTGCCGCATGAGGATTGGATGGAGTCGGTAGTTATCGTGGCACGGGTGGACGGCGCGTGCCACGTCGTCATGCGAGAGCTGCTCAAGTGCCGTGACTACGAAGACTTTCAGCGGTGCGCCACGGAGATATCGCATTTAGAGGGTATTGGATTTGACGAGGTTGTGTTCTGCAGTCACGTGGCACCGGGGTGCGAGGAGACGTATTTTGCACTCCGTGATAGCTCCACTAACACGGTGGCTTCAATGTGCTATCGCAACGGCCGTGTTTACCAGCTGTGGCGGACTGTGCTGGGGACGTCGGGGGACCTGTATGTGGTAGGATCGGGCGTGGTGGCAGTTGTCAGCGGTGACCGCATAACCTTCATCCATGGTGGTGACGACGGAGCTCAAGATGCAACTAGCGCAATTGTAAAGACACATTTCTCAGCAAAACCTGTCTGCGTGAGCTCGGATGTTGGCGGCGGTTTGCGGGTGTTTACCGCCTCCAACGGTGAGTTCTTCAAGCTTGTGTCTCCGGCGGCCGAAAGCGTACTCGCCTCATGCGCATCAGGCCCGGCATCAGTGTTACTGCGCGCTTACGAGACGTTCCAAAGCGGTGATGTGAAGGCCTGTGAGGCATTGAGGTTGATCCGCGACGACGTGGTCGACGCCACCGCCACATGCGTCGCTGCGTCTCTGGATTGCTGGGATTTCGATACTGCATCCACCCTTCTAGACGCGGCGCTATTTGGACGTTCGATGAACTCGGTGCAGGTGGAAGGTGAGCATGATGCTGTTTCGTCGGCCTCCACATCGGAGAATGTCTCGACAACGGGATCAGTCGATGGATCAGTGGACTCTGCAAAAAGCAAACTGCCGAGCAGGCATACAGCCCGTAGTAGTCCCAGAGGCGTTCCTGGGGCAATTGGCACCGGTGTTGTCCCGTCTGCTGAAGATGCTGCAACGGCTGCGGATGCAACTGATTCCACTTCAATCGCAACAACCCGTCAAGACCAAGTCGGTACTGCGGGAGAACAGCATATCCGGGGGCATGCTACGGCGCTCGCTATGATTCGTGTGGCGAAGGCATTGCAAGCGGTGCCCAGCGAAATATGCACCAATCCATCGCAGCTGCTGGCGTTCGGCTCACGAGCGCTTGTTAGCATGCTGGCGTCGTTGCGATTCCACCTGCTAGCGCTCAAGGTGGCCGACTTCCTGGGAGCTGACAAGAAGGAGGTGCTGCTGCATTGGGTGCATACCCGCGTGAAGTTGGGTAACCACATGACCGATGAGGAGCTAGTGGAGGTCATAACGAAGCTCTTGGACGGCTATGCGGGGGTGGTGTTGCCATACGCCGACATCGCTGAGGCGGCTGCGAAGGAGAAGCGTGAGACCCTGGCGCTCGCACTCTTAGACCGAGAACGCAGCACGCTGCGGAAGTTTAACTCGCTCTGTTCCTGGGGTGAGCTCAGCAAAGCCGCCATTGTTGCAGCGGAGGCGTGTGATACTTTGTACGCCGCACAGCTAATACAGGAGGCGCAGTCTGGATCTAAGCTCGAACGCGTCGTGGAGATATCAAACAGCAACTCGTTCGTGCGTGATGTATTCATCAAGCAGTGCAACCTGGAGGGGGACTCGGACGTGTTGCAGGTCTTCTTAGAGCGTACTGACGATATTGTGGGTGCCGGAATGAACGCCGTGCGTCGAGCCATGGAAATCCTGCAGCCTTCGGCTGCTGAGACACCGGAACCTCGACCCAGATCTGCCATGCATCAGCTTGTAACTCACACTGCGGCGCAGGCGAACACGCAGTCGGAAGATTGTGTTACATGGTTAAAGTACTCTTCCGATTTCTTCAGAGCCGTCATTGCGTCCAAGAGCAACCGCAACGCCGGAGTTGTGGAAACGGCTGGGCTCTGGAAAGACTGCATATCGCAGCAGCGCGAACTGCTCACGGCGCAGGCGGCGCTGGAACGATCGTCTCCGGAACTTGCCAAAGCGGGGTTGGTAGGCAGGAGCCTGGTCCACACCGTGTTCATGCTGTACCGCCTGGACATGGGCAAGAAGGCAGAGAAGTTGGCCTCCAAGTTCCGGATGCCGTTCAACCAGCTGTGGCGCTGCCAACTTGCAGCGGCGCACGAGGTGCAGAACATCAACGAGCTTTTGCGCATGGCGACGGACAAAAGTGCGCACGCGCAGTACGTCATGCTCAAGAACGGCAAGGAGCCAGTCGACCTGGTGCTGGAAGCGCTGCTGTCGTTGGGAGCCACCAACGCCGTCGAGAGTGTCGTGGCAACGCTGCGATCGCCGCATCAGCAGCGGTGGCGAAACCGCTTAAACGCGCGATTGGGTGGCACCGGATCGCCAGAATCGGATAATCAGGCACAATCCCTGTTTGCCAGCCTCTCCAAACGCATTTGGAATTGACATGTGCACAACCGCAGCGATTACTTGCAGCGCCAATCAGACAATTACAGTATTTTAACAGTATTAAAATAAGTTTTATGGCAAGTTTTGCGATATGAGGGGGTGAATGGCTCAAGCGTATCACCTCTTGTGAAAGCGGTGCAGAGAATCAAGCGGCACTGGCAGTTTTAGTGCCACGTATAAGTTCGTCGATCTGAGCCCCGGTCAACGTCTCCTCCTCCAGCAGACGTTCAGCTATGCGCTCCAGCTGATCCCGGTGCCGCCTAATGATCGACGACGCTACGTGATGGGCTTCATCCACCAGTCGTTCCACTTCCTTCTCCACAATTTGAGCCGTGTCGTGCGAGAGCTTGCGGGTTCCGTGGGGGGTCTGAATGCCTCCGATGCGCCTGAGGTTGACAGGGCCGAGGCGAGGGCTCATACCCCACTCGGTGACCATGCGGTAAGCCAGTTCAGACGCCGCGGTGATATCGCTCGACGCCCCGGACGTCACATTCTGGCGGCCGAACACGAGCTCCTCAGCGATACGTCCCCCCATGCACACTGCTAACCTGGCCTTCATCTGCGCAAGCTTGTAACTGTGGCGCTCGCCTTCCGGCAGCTGCTCCACGAAACCCAGCGCGGACCCCCGATGGATGATGGTGGCCTTGTGTATCGGGTCGGTATGGGGATACAGGTGGTAGGCGACGAGTGCGTGACCTGCCTCGTGGTAAGCGGTCATGCGTCGCTGCAGTTCCGGCTGGGTAGTCTTGCGCTTAGATCCCATGCCAACCTTGTCGCGAGCTTCTTGGAGGTCCTCAGTGGCCACGAGTGTGCGCCCGTTTCTGACGCAGATCAGGGCAGCCTCGTTGACGAGGTTCTTTAGGTCAGCACCGGAGTAACCCGGGGTGAGCTTCGCCAGCGCGCGGATGTCCACCCCCTCCTTGTCGTACTTTACATCCGATAGGTAGCGGCGGAGGATGGCTTCGCGCCCATCTAGCGACGGCAACGGGATGTGAACTACACGATCGAATCTGCCAGGGCGCAGAAGCGCGCGGTCGAGGGCTTCCATGCGATTGGTGGCGGCGAGGACCGTGATGCCAGTGGAGATGTTGAACCCGTCCATCTCTACGAGCAGCTGGTTCAGCGTCTGGTCGTGTTCACGGTTCTGGCCGCTCATCGACCCGGACGTGCGCTTCGCACCAATGGCGTCGATTTCGTCCACGAAAACTATACAGGGAGCCTGTTTGCGTGCCTTTGCGAACAGGTTGCGGACACGTTGGGCACCCTGGCCGACAAATATTTCCACGAATTCCGGTCCGCTGGTGTAGATGAACGGTATGTTGGCCTCGGTCGCGACGGCCTTGGCCAGCATGGTCTTACCGGTGCCAGGCGGTCCGACTAGCAGCACTCCTTTAGGTATCTTGGCTCCGATATCCTGGTACAACTTCGGGTGTTTGATGAACTTGACAACTTCAGTGAGCTCTTCCTTAGCCTCATCGATGCCCAGGATGTCCTTGAAATAGACGCGCTCCAGCATCACTGGCGGCCTTGATGGAGGCGGCGGGGGTGGCGGGGCCTTCGTGTTCTTCGGTTCCTGCCTCTCCTTAGGGGTCACATGTCCGAAATCATGATCACCGCCCATTAGGAGCCCGGTGATGGCGGAGATTATCAAGCCTGTGAGAATCACACCCACTGCAATACCGAGCACCTGCAACAGCAGCCATTGGCCGACAGAGAGCACCATCATAGACGACCTCCACAACCATGACAACGTGCTGCCGAACAGCGATGAGGGTGATCTGAAACTTACGAAGCCGCCTGCTTGCCCAAATAGACTGGAAGACGATTGATCGGACACGTAGTGAGCCGCCAGGTCGCTCTTTGGCGTGTCTGACGGGATGGTGCCAGAGATCGTGCTCCGGAACAGATGCCACTTGCTCGCTATGGTGTTGCCAATGTTCTCCGCGAAGCTTGCGGGGCTGCTGCCGTCGTCCGCCAGCGAAGGCGCATCTCTGCCATTTGCGCTGATCAGCGTGGCAAGTCCGTAGGGAGCCGAGCCTCGGTTAGCAGATGCCGTTGGTCCGAAGAACGGGCGTGACATCGACATCTTGTCGTCATCATCGTCCGTTACAGCGTCCTGCTCGTCGAAGGCGCGCTCATTGTAGAGCTGCCCGGGGAGCGCGCCCCGGCGCAATCCCGATCCGTCCATATTGTCTGTATCACTGAGCGTGAATCATATCAGGGCATTCCTAAATGTTGTCCTTCCCCATAGAAGGATTTTATACGAAGCAAATTAATGCCCTAAGGCGATATGCGCGACTTCGACACCACACTGCGCAATGTTAGCCCGCACAGTATGTAGCCGCTGCAGATACACAAGGATTCTTTTAATACACTGAGTCTTCTTCGCGTATATAATACCGTGGAAGCTCGGGTGACCGACAACGTTACGCTCTGGAATCCGTGTTGGTTGCATGATACAAGACAGCGTGGCAACACCGTGCTGTTCTCGCGCCAATGAAGCTTATTTTACCGACTTCTGCTCATTTAATGTGTAAGAATAGATGTATGAGTTGGTTAAAAGCGTTGCAATCGGGGCATATGGACGCAGTCCTTTTGTCGCGTCTCCGCACACACCGTTACTTGCAGCTGCGTGCCTTAACGTCATTCAGCACCAGAATATTATGCTCACGTCGAACGGTCACACCACTCACAATATAATTCATCACTGCTGATAGCACGGCAGTTCTTATATAAGGAAGAATCGACGAGTTACCCAGTGCCACCGTCTATGCGACCTCCATTTCCTATTCCAGGCAGCCAGTAAGCAGGGTGTAGGACACAAGAATTGACATAGTCGACGTCGCAATCGCAGTGTGTGGTAACGATGGCACTGTTGTGGATGGGCAGCAGATTTTGCCCTGCCAAGGCGTTGCGGTGTGTCCGAGCAATCTGCTCCGCAAATGCTACTGCCTCGGTTACGCAACGCGCTCCGAGCGGTCATGTTGTGCCTTCTACACATCTAAATGCTGCTGTATGGACAAGAAGACGCTGGTCAAGCGGTAGCGAAGCCTCGTCGACTGCCGATTCCTGTGCCGAGGTGGGCACAGCGAGGGACCAGGTCGTAAGTATTGGACACAGGTTTGTGGAGGACTCCACGCCGGAGAAGCTGCTGGAGCTCACTTCCACCTACTGGAGGAAGTTACGCTATTTCAAGCCGCTGCTGCTCACCTGCAGCGTAGACAAGGCGGTAGAATGCCGCGTTGCTGATGCCGTTCTAGCGTCGGGAGCTGTCTTTCAGTCTGCCTCCGATATACCACAGCTATCAGAGATTATGTCACAGAGAAAGGATTCTCAAGGTACGCTTTAACCGCCGCTAAGATTGTATCAGTTGATGCAGGCTTCGTTGGGTGTTATATAAACGTCAACTGCGCAGACCCATTCCTGGAATCGCGCAAGGTAAGCGTTGACGGAAAACGTCAACAATACTAATACAGGAAATATACGAAACACTGGATAGTGGATGCAACGCCATCATGGTGGACATCAACCTTCCCAATGCCCTTCCGGCCCAGGACCTTGTGCGTATCGACGAAATGGTAATTAAATACAACAAATCACATCATGCCGCAGCTCTTTGCTATCAAGCCGCATATCATACGCTTTGTTGGCAACACTGGATATTTCGCTGCCGCAGTGGCATCAGACAACGAGGCAGCCTACGCAGCGGGCGGCGGTAATGATGGCCTGCCTGACTCCGATATCGCACGACTAAATCGCTGTAAGGTTATCTCGGAGCGGTACAATGCAGTTGTTATTGACAACGGTGAGTAGTGACGTAGCAGAAGTTTATATACCTCCTGCAGACTTGCATACCGTAGTGATGAACGCCTCCGACCACGAGGGGGCTGTGTTCTCGAGGTCACCCAATATACTCAAAAAAGTACATGGTGAGTGTGAAACTTTGAAGCCATTTGACGTTGTGAAAGGTTTTGAGGTCAGCGCTGGAGGGATTATCGCAACCATGATTGCGGTGTCGTCGAGTAAGCCAATGCTCGCCGCTATTGCCGCCATCGTTGGCATCCATTATAGCGCCCTCAAGTGTGTGGACATGTGCGATGGACCTGGGTCTCTGGTATGTTGGTTGTGATTTAATTCAGCATCTGTAGGGCGTCACATTCGTTGACATGATGCACCGCATATCGACCTCACCCGATACCCTCCTGCTACACGACGCTCCCATAAAATTCTTCAAACAGATCGATTCGGCGTCGCAGGATGGTCAAAACCTAACTGAAATGTAGATGGGTGGTTAAATGGGATAAAACAGTAAACGAAGCGAACCCATAACCACAAACAAACCCATTCGGGACAACGGTCCAATGTACAAACACTAAATCCACAATGCACTGTATCGTGACTAGTGAGATGTGTGCTTTGTATAATCGTTTCTCACATTCTAAGACGCAACAGCGCCACCGGTGTCAAACCTCCATTCATCGATTGCTTAACTAAAGCCAAGGTAATCTTTGGGCTATTTGTTGGCAATAATACAATTGCTGGAATAAATTTATAATGTGTTGTGTGCATAATGTCTACTGCAGGTTGAGTGGCTAAGGTTGGCATTTGCCGCCTTTCGCAGCACTTCATAGCCTGTGCCTCGCACTGTATAGGTGTTGGTAGCGGATGTTAGTGTAACTAGCGGACACACTATATGGTATCCGTCTTGTCTGTACCAAGGTTAGTTGACTCAATCGTAGTCGCCAATGGATTTCATGCCCCTAATTGCATACGGCATTACGTTGAAGTTTGTGTGTTGATTAACTGCTCTCCCTCTGAGGTCGTTCATTGGGACATCACACTGCCGCTTCTTGAATGTCTCCGTCGAAAGCAAGTTGACTTGATTCATTGTTGCGATCCCCGCAATATTGAACCTGTGCTTCCGCCGGAGCGCTGGGATTATTTCCGGTCCTTTGCTATCCGAAGTTCCCTGAGATGAACCCTCTCGTCCAAATTTTTTGTTATAGTGCACGTCAAATTTCGTACCATCATTGAAAAAATTAAGGTCCTTATCGAATGTTTTCAGACTATTTTTTGATTATGATAGTGGGAGCCGTGAGGGAAAATTCCTCGGCATGCTGCTGTCTAACTCTGGCCATGGAATCTACAGTGCCCTTGCTTGTCACAATTAGTAGATGTAGGAATTTTATGACTCCACATATCCGTAAACTCTACATTTGTTAAAAGTAAAATTCTAATCCGGTAGAGTCTTCACCTACCGCACGACGCAAAAACATCAATCATCATGACGTCCTTTAGAATGATGAGATATCTTTGGGTAATTTGCGCCACATTGTTGCCTCCCATCATATGCCGTGAATTTTGGTGCGATTTCGGAGATCCAGAAGACTTGCTTATCAGCAATGCTGCGGTTATCTGCCATATGGATCTTGACTATTACAAGAGCGCAATTGTCACGTGTCCACACCGAGTGGAAAACACAGATTATGTATGGCATCCGCAACCAAGTTTAGATGATCAGGCTCATCTCAACACTTACGTGAGCGAAAATGGCAGACTCCGTTCTATTGCTGTTTCGGATGTAATGAGATCGGAAAACACGAGATCTCTCATACATACGGCATCTACGCCGGATCTAACGGAGCTGCAGTCATTCTTATCATACGATAAATTATTTGGCATTACTGATTATCGTTTGATATTCATATGTGCGCCTCGAGATTTCGTTATGAGTGATGCGTTGCAGAGTATCGTTGACCGCCTGAAGTATACCAAAAACACTCAAAATTTCTCTTGGGATGCAATTACGCCATTAACCGAGGAGGTAAAAAAGATAGGGAATGGTTTAGGTATATATTTCTTCTACAGAGGTCGTGGGCATCTACCTCTTCAAGGTTGCGGCAGTCGCCCATCGCCACTCTTCGCTACGGATGAGGTGACCGTGGACCCCATCACAGGCACACGGTCATGTGTGGTAGATCCTATGTCGAAATCACCCATAGGGTTTCTTTGCGAAGGCAGGATTGAACCTGAGGATTGCATGAGGTCCCTCATTGACGAGAATGGAGAGGTTGTGGCTGCCCCCGAATCGCACCCGTACTGGAGTTTCGATACTCATAAGCCTTGGGTGATAGCGACATACTTTCATAAATTCGCATTGCCGCCGTTCAGTGGCGAATGCTGGTGCATAGATTCCGAGACAAGCCAAGTGAAGGCCCGTATAGAGATTCGTTCGAAAACTGACTACGTTTGTGATATTACAAGTAACATCTTCCGCAACAAAGTTCGCCCCATCCGTGGCCCGTGGTGTTCGGTTGTACTTCATCCAGGCAGCACATTGACGATCATATTCCCAACAAAGGCTGTTGACTTGGCTCCCATAGACAAACATTCGGACGAGGATTTGGAGGAACGTTTGTCGACTGTCCCATTTTCTCAACTGCCATCAATTTATGAATACGAAACTGAATTCCTGCCGAAGGACTTGACTACGCTGAGACAACTGAAAAACGCCTGTGACGATATATATAACGAAATCTCATACGTCAATGCCCTTGTTGGTGATGCTCTCGAATTGGATATTTCCCAAATGTCGTTGGGACAGGTGAAGCTGAAGTACAACGCGGCAAACCCACTTACATCACTAGGAGGGCACAACTCGTTCTTTTATCATTGGACTTTGATATCCAGGAACGAGAATGTTCCAGATAAGATACGCGCCACTGTCAACGTGTCTTTTGCGTTAACGCATTACTACCGCATCCTCGGCTGCGACCAAGGGACGCCAAGTCTCTTCCATCCTGCGATTAGGGAGAAGTACTGTTCAACCAAACGTATGGGCAATGGAATAGGGTATATTTATGAATGCATATACCGCCACGTGTGGGATAGTTGGCAGGCTGGCATACACTGCAGGCCAGATGAGGAGTTGTTGCCAAACAACTGCGACAACACAGGATATGATCTGCACTCTAATCGGATCATGCCTTTCCCAGGATCTATTCGAAATGCAACGCTTCATCCCATTCGAGGATTTCAAGTGTTAAACGCTGATTTCCGCACAACGACCTCTGTCAGTTATGCCTGCATATGTGTGGACAAACGTGGATACGAGATATCTAGGCTTATTTTAGAGTCCAATCGAGAAGTAAATTATACCGGCATAGTGCGCCGCGGAAGTGAATCACATACGTTGCTTCCTTACATAACGTTGCCTTGGGCTGAAGTAGAATTGTCAAGTGAAGGACTCATACCACCAAGCTCTCTTATCCTATATAACGTATCACGAGAGTCCATTGCGCTGGACATCGGTACAACGTTATTCATGCCGTGTGATCTTGATCAGCAGGAAGTTGCAAATAATGGACGGATAGCAACTACATGGCTTCCTAAGCAACACGAGGAATTCCATTACACAGTCAACGACACTCCACATGGGCCTGAGCTGATACGTAAGTCTCACAACGAGTCATTTGCTACCACTCCAGGTGGTCTGGAAGTCAAATACCAAGAGCACGACAGGAGGCCTGGATATAAACATTTGATGGTTAAATCGAATAACGGTGCAATCTTAATATCTAAGGATATAACAAACACGAAATACGTGCCCATAACGTTTCTGTGCGGTAAGACACCAGAGCAATCGGATTTTACTCTCACCACTGGTGACGGATCTGCGTCGGAAACATCTGCACCATTCATTCCCAATTCCATAGCATCATCTACCCGATACATCTGGGATGTCGTTGATGTCAACGTCGAGACCACGGACCCGTATATGCAGGGCTGCGGCGTCACATACGCATCCGATGAGTTGTTCAAGCTGGAGACGCCCCAACTCTACGACTCTGACGGGCAACCTCAGTTCGGGTGCAAGATAAATCTTCAAGCTGCCAAGGAAACGGCGTTCTACTGCCCAGCACCGTACGTCCTGGACCCACCCAACTGCTTCAGCCAAGTTTTCGTCGACGGCTCGGTCAAGAACATAAGCGACCTCAGCAAGTCGCTGGTGTCGTCGCGATCTAATCACTTCGTCATCCTAGAGTTCGACAGTTCACGCGTCGGTCAGGGTGAGACGTTGCGCCAGGGGCCTCCGTTGGAGTGCCGCTGCGTCACCGTCAAGGGCGCCGTACTCTCAACCATCCAGATCGAGAACTACTACTCAAAGTACTGAGTAGCTCACATGTGGTAACTTGTCGTTTAACTGCGTAAACTAATTTGCTTTCATTGCTCGCGTTCTCGACAACATGTTTATGAGGGTATTTCAGTGACAGCACGGTTTGGGTTGTCTAAAGCTGATTGTGGTTGTCAACTCGATACCTTATTCTGTTGTCATAATTGCTGTTTTTGGATATATAAGAAGTAAGACGTGTAACGATGGGAGTGAAATGTTGTTATGTCTTGCCGCATCTTTCTTCCGCTTTTTGCAGTGTTGGAATAAGGGAGTTGTAGTAGGAGCATTTTTATCTATACTCATACGTTCGAACATTGGCAATGCCTCTAACACGCAACAATCGACAAAATATAGTGCCTCTTACCGTAGTTCAAGTATTCCGCTGATGTTGAGCTGCCATCTTTTCACTGCCCAGCCGCCTTAGCCACCGGTAGGGAGGCATGCAAGGATGGCTTCATCTGCTCCTTATATGTTTACAGAACACTGTATCGGATGCTTTTATAAGTCGCAATGAAACATATTGACATTTTCAGAGCTGATTTTTAGGTGTCAGATGACTCAGTCACATGGCTTACAGCTTGATGGGATGGGTGAGGGAAAGGATAGAATACCTCATAGTAGGATGTGAGACGTCATGCCAACATTCGGAGTTACGTGTTAATAGCATGAAGATGCGGGAAGTAATTTTTGCATGGGATTGTATCTAGTGATTTACAGGCTTAGGTGGAATACTGACGCTGCAACTGTTTTTTGGGTGAATAGGACAATGCGCAAACCAGATGGGATGCGAGTAACAATAATGACAGACACCACTTTCAAACCTGTGCGGATCCAGTACAGGCGTAACGATGACAATCGATCTATCACATCAGTTAATGCGTAATTTTAAAACCGGCCATACGTTTGCGCAGCGTTATGTGAAGTAGAGTTGGCAATATATAAATGGCCCTGCTGGGCGTTGTATCTCTGTGGTGCGAGGCGCGCAGCTGTGGTATCCCTAGCGGTGGGTTGGGTGGAAGCTCCCACGCTGCTACCCGAAAGCTGACGGGAAGTGGCGTAGCAGCGTCACAATGAGGGGTGAGGATAGGCATCCTGTATACCACCCGGAAACCTAATGGGATATGCCGGGCACTTATCGTGTGGCAAACCTACACGCCGGTTTGGGTCCGGGATTGCTGATCCCTGAGCTTGTTACCTTCCCTCCACCTTAGGTAGGTGGGATGGTTTTATGATTTTCGTGTTGCTTCACGTGTTTTAAGGGTGGAGCGGGCGTGTTGCATCTTGCTACCATGACGCACTTTGTTGTCACTCAGTCTCAGCTTGTAGCCTTTTTAGCTAGCGCGCTTGGCGGTTTGTCATGCTGTGATGTGGGCGGCGGTGCCTTATATACGCAATCATTCTAAGATGTTCCTGGCTCACACTTTTGGGCGCTTTTTCACGCTGTATTCAGGGCTGTTCCGGCAATTTGCCACTCACAAGTTTTGATCGCTATCGCATCTAATGCTCACGGCTTTGACCGCTGTTGGCACGTTCGCTTGCAGTCGGAGGCTTAGTGCGTGATTGGCCGTGGACATGTCGGGCCCTAAAATACCGCTCAATACCCTAAAAGGGTGCCTACAGTTCTTGGAGTGGTTGAATCATCATAGAAATATGCAAAGCCAGGTAGCCAAAGAGCTGAATGGGCGTATTAAAAGCTTCTATCGTAATGCTAATCAGATAAAAATCACATCAGCGTTGTCCCGATTCCTCGGTCGCGTTTCAGTTTTTTATAAGAAATTATGTAAATCCGCAGGTGGCGTCTACCAAGGCAATACCAGCGCTAAACATTTGACCGAAGCCCTCCTCGAATGCGTTCCGAAGTTCCTCGCCGCTTTGTATTTCTTGCTCTACAAGGTGGATTATAGATTCGATGCAGTGGGGGGAGGGAAGTGGAAGTATAATATCCCCGGAGTGGATGGATGGAGGTGGTGGGGGCTTAACTACGGTGAGTGGGGAGGTGGGCTGCAGAAATATCTCACGGCGAAGCCAGGCGACAAGCTGCACGGTGATGCCATCGGTGTTGTGCCGGGAGGCTTCGATGCAACCGATTTGAAAGAGGGGTGGTACTACTATTATCACGGGGGTTATTACTATGCGGAAAATATGGTAGAGGACATCAAGGCCGTTGTGGAGAAAAAAAGCATGCACAATTTTTTCCGCGACATCTTCGTCACTTCCGTTATTGCCTCTACCGGCTTGGAGCATGTAAACACAGCGAACGCCATCGGCTTGGTGGGCGTGTTTTGCGAGATTGTAAATGCGGAAGCAAACAAAAATAGTAGCGGCGGACAGTTAATACAAGCATTGAATGACGATTTGAAAAAGCAACGAGAATTTCAAGGCAGATCCATAGATTGGGATGAATTGAAAAAACATTGTTTTAAAATTAAGAATTCCTTAATAGATAATCTTTTTGCCCGCAAAGGTTTTAATCACACTGGTCAATCTCCGGATATTAACAACCTCAATCAGATGGAATTCGCAAAAAAGACGGCGCAGTGGTTCAGGAGTAATTTGTTGAAAGTGCGGCAGGACTTGAGGCAAAGTCAGCGTCTAAACTACGCTTCCAGTGAGGTTCCGCTTAACTTTTTCGCCACCACATTTCTTTTTCCTCACGGATTCATATTTGGTAAAGGACGATATGGGACGCTGGGCAAGGATCGAGATACTTTGAAAAAAGAGTGGCCAAGTGTCGTTAAAGAACTTGAGCAAGACGGTCGCGGTCTGAAAAGGCTTGTAAGGATTCTGAAAGGCGAGACGTCTGAAGAGCAAGGCGCCGGAGGGTCTCCTGGTGCAGATGAAGATTCAGAAGACAGCGATTCAGATGACGATACAGCTGAGCCCTCAGGTGCGCCCCCTGGTCCAGGGCCTGAGCCAGCACCTGTGCCTCCACACGTGCCTTCATCATCAGGAACATCCGGTGCTGGTAGCGGTATAGGGCGTGGCCGTGGCCGTGGGGGTCGGGGTAGGGGTCGTGGGGGTCATCGGGGTGGTGGTAGAGGAAATCGAGGAGGTAGAGGTGGAGGAGGGGTAACATATATAGTGCAGAAACGTATAAAAACATTCCGTAAAGGTGGTGGAGGTGGAAAAGGTCCGGACCGTTCTTCCGAACCCCAGCCATCTCCTGGCGCAGTTCCCACTCAGACTTCAGCTTCACCAGGTGAGTCAGTGGTTAACACTGGACAAGATATCGCTGGCCATGAAGATGGAGATCCCGAACTAGATGAAGATCTGCCGGCGCATGATGGTTCGGGTATGGAGAATCCCCGCAATTATAATCAGCCACAAGATCTGCTTGATAGGGCAAAAGCCAGGGAGAAAAGATTACAAGATGCAAAGGAGCTTAAAGAGAAGGAAGAAGAAGTGGAGCGTGCCTATGAAGATGAAATGCAACGACTTGAAGACGAGCGACGTGAAAGGCAGGAGGCTATTGACGAGTATTACAATCAGTTGCAACATTACCAGGATGCATTGACCGCTCTAGACGGAAACAGTGCCATACCTCCAGATCCAATTGATGTTTGGCTGAACGGCAACGTTTTGCAAGATTATTCTGACCTTTTAAGGCAACAAGCGGATGTGGAGAAATATCACTACGCTGACCAAAAGCTACATGACAGGTACGACAAGATGCAGCGTAATGCTTATTTAACGGGAAACACTGGACCAAACTCCAAAGGTCTGTTGGGTCGCATGGTTCCACAAGCTCTCGCCTACAATGACCCCTTCACGGGTCACATGGTAAAGGCGCCAGAACCTGTAATCAGATATCCGCAAGCTCCAACTATGCCGGATTTTACAGGGCAGCATATTCCCAACGTTAATTTAAAATATCCCTGGCCACCACCTCCCCCGATCCAAAAAACGACTTCCCACCCGCCTCAGCCTACGGAACGCTTTCCAACTTACCTCCCTAAACATGATCATGCGCCACAGTTACCAGACTCATCGATCAGCGGAAGTAAAATAACCCCTGATACAATTCCAAATGCCAGCATCCCAGTGGATCCTCGCGTTTCGGTGGCATTTATGCCACAATTCACAGGTCAAGCTATTTTGGATCTTGAAGGAACACGTCGCTTCTCAAATGTTGCTCCCACTTTCAATAATACTGGAAAACGTGCTCCTACTCCGAATAAATTGCCAGTCACTGTACAACTTGAAGACCAATCTATTGGGGAAAGCTTAAAATTCTACGGCAGCACCCTGACAAGTTCCTCCAAAGAAGAGATGACGCTTTGCCATGTTGAAAAGATAGATCCTCCAGTTCCAGCAGTTCTGTTCAGTGGATCGCCCACACCCGATCCCAACTTGAATTCTTCACATAATCCTACGGCTATCTTGCCACCGCCTCCAGGTCTCGGGGGTGGCGATATAATGAACAGTGATACTGTTGGTGCGCAGCGTATTGTCTCTTCGACCTCCACGCCTGCTCAGGATAAAAGCGTTAAGGCTCCACACCCTCCGTCCCCTGGTGTCTCTGTTTCTACTGGTGGTCAGTTCCCGGCTGAGTCGGCATCTCCATCTTTTGACCATAATAGTAAAGGCGATGAAGGCTCCCAGGTTGGTAATGACGCAGATTCTCCCGCTGTGTCAGCTTCCCAGTCACTTGGTTCAGGTGGTAGTCGGGGTCGGGATGGACACGTGCCTCCATCGGCCCACGACCTACGCGGTCCTCCGATCATCCTTACCGCTTCAGATCCCGACATAAGCATCACCACTAGCAAGTCCACCACACAAGATGCTCTGCCAAATGGCATTGGACGCGATGGAGGAGACGGGACGACGGAAAGGGAGCCAGGTGGTAATTCAAAGGGCCGGCCTTATACAGATAAAGAACATGACATGTCTGCGAACATTTTAGCCGCCAAGGGTCTCACTCTTTCACCTTCAGACCCTTACTCAATTGGCCTCTCTCGTCAGCCAGGTCGCCCGGGTACAACTTCACCTGGCAAGCCTGGTGCCCCGCCAGGTGATGCACATCCTCAGGCTTCAGGTGTTCCAAGCGCTGGAAATGGTGACGATTTGCGTGATCCTAAAAGCCAGCCTGGAAAAGATCCTGCAAAAGGAGATGCTACATCTCCCGCTGACAAGCCCTCTGGTACTGATAATGCTGGTTCTGATTCTCCAACTCGAGAAGACCAGCATGGCCGAGTGACTCCTGGTGACACTATATGGCAACGTGGTCAACCGTTAACTCGTGGTAAAGGGGACGAGCCAGTGTGGGATATCCTGGATTTGGGCCAAGATTGGGATGCAGCGAATGGATCGGATGAGGGGAAGGATCCAGTGAGTGCTGGAGGGCGCCCACCCGCTGCCGCCACATCACCTACCCTAACCCAGCAGCCTGATGTTGCTGCTAATGTTAGGAATTCTAATTCTCAAAATGTACAGATGCAAGAACCTGTGGAATTAAAGTCTTATAAAGGCCCCAAGGGGACTCTTAGTCCAACTCATTCCCCCAGTTCTCTTAGACCCCCTGGTAAACCGAATAACCAGGATGCGGATACACACGGCAGCAGTAAAAATGCACTGCAACCAGGTGGCCCCCGGAGTGTTGCACGTAGTCGGTCTACGAGTGTTGGAAGTCGAGGTTCTCGGTCATCTGGCGGCCATCCTTCCAGTGATAAGGGTGTAGGGGACCATACGTCATCTTCCACCGCTAAACCAAACACACGCGTCTTACAATATGGTAGAAGCTCACTTCCGCCTGCCGACCTCGCTTCCCTATCTAGTGAGGAAGAGGACGATGAAGCCGATGGGCAAGATGACGATTTGTCAGTGCTGTCCCCCCCAAGATTTCCCTCCAGATCTCCTGTAGGTCCTGCCATTCCTCCTAAGCCAGGTGCCGAAGGTCCCGGGTCAGAGGGCGGCGTTAATTCTGATCCACAGCCTGTCAGTCATTCAGACCCGACGCATCTTCCTGGAAGCAACATTTCAATTCCAGGCGTTTCGCCGTCTAGTGTGCATAATTACGGTGGTGGTCCAGGCCTGGTTGGCCATCCGGTAGCGGATCACATGAATGAGAAAGGAGGCAAATCTCGGATATTGCAACATGAAGATGACGAGTTGAAGTTATGGCAAAAAGTGCAGAATAACTTTAATACCTCATCAACCGGAGTGTCTGCGGCTGACGCCAGAGGCCTACCGCAATCCACGTTTCCCCCAGTTGTCGCACCTTATGGTATTGCAACAGGTTACCGCATCAAGCTGCAAAGGAGTTCGCTGGGGCCACCGAAATTTACAATGAAGACAATGTCATTGCCACAGATTCCGGACCTCACAGGTGGACACATCACGGATCATAATCTAAATTCTCTTATACCTCGGCCTCCAGTAGACATCCAAGTTAGGAATATCAATCCCAGGGATAACATATTGAGTCCTGATATTACTCAGCTCCCCCCGCTGCCTGAAGTAGGAAATATACCAGCTCTCTTACCGGATATTAATCACTCAGGCCCACCTCCATATCCTTCCATGGGTCGTGACGGAAATGACGATGAACCCTCCACCTGGGGGAATGTTAAGGATTACGGTCATACTATTGACGTAAATTCGGGTATGTGCATTGATCCTCGGTACTACGATGACGACCCTGATACCCTGTCTGCCCTGCCCTCGCCCCCAAACACCGACCATCTTCCCCCGCCCACCACCGTCCGGGGAATGTTGTACTGGCTGCTTGGCCTTGCCGAATTAGGGTATATTCCGAGAATCAAGGAGCACGTTCAGGGTATTTTGAAGGGATTTAGTAAGGATGTCTCCCAGCCTTATAGTGCCCTCGAGGTCACCGGGCTGCACCCCCAACTGACCGCTTCCCTTGTCGCCGTGACCCTGAGCGAGGCGTGCCTATACGCGGCCAGCGTCGTCTACGAAATCAAATATTACCATGATTTCGAAGGTGTTACAAATTTGATGTTCGACTCAGAGTATGGTCAGCTTTATTATTCTCTCGACTCCGCTTGCCTCCTCTGCCAGCTGCTGGACTACGTCTACGCCTGCCACCACCAGTTGACGTTCCTAAAGTCGCAGTGTTCTAGGCATCAGTCACAGGGTGGTTGGCAAGAGTGTGAGTACGGCCACAAGGTCCACGATTCTCCTCTCCAAGCCTTCCTGACTGACAGACAGGACTGCGCCTTCGAGACTTACCCCTTCGACCCGTACAACCTGTGCCTCAAGAGCCATGTCAAGATGGGATTCACAAAGGAGGATTTGCCTAAGAATCGGCAAATTGGCCGTATCCTTTACTATATTCTCTCTCCCCAATGCGGCCCCGAAGATCCCTTGCTGAGATTGTCGTCTTATCTCAACTGCATTACAAGGCGAACTCCGCGCACAACCGGGGAGCTCGTCTCCTTCTTCCACAATGCTGGAAATGTGCTGCATGATGCGGCTTCAGAATTGTCCAAGCTGGGCTCCGCCCTCTCCAAGTCATATGACAACTGCCCCGACTGGGACTATCTTCGTGGCGCCGACCTCCGAGCTATCAGGGACGCTCGGGGCTCCGCCCCTCCCACCGCCACCGCCAACCACGACAAAAACCATCCCAAGACCCTGTCCACACTACTTGGCTGCGACACCGATAATGCCAAGTGCGCACAACACATCACGCCCATCACCTACCGGGCCCATTCCCTCTACTCGCCGAGCATCGCCGACACCTATCTCAGCTGGACGGTCTACCTACCCGACAGACTGTGGGAATCACTGCTCAGGCTTCATCATTATCTCAAGAAGCATACGTGTTCCAAGTCCAAGCCCCTACACCAGTGTGACAAGGCCCTGCCTCTCCTCTACTGTCACGGGATCATGCCACCGGAGGGCATAGGACACCCGTCACTCACGTGTACACAGGTCATGAGCAAGCTGGAGGAAGTTGTATCCGGTCATCCTATCGCTGACCTTATGACCTGCATGGACAATTTCCTCATCGGCATCCGTGGTCCCTTCCTCTTTGCCATCACAACGCTCTGGATCATCGCCACGCTCTACATCTTCGGCGTACTCCTCTACCGTATGGACGTGCTGCGCATCCGCTCGCACCTCCTGCGCTCCAAGGCGTCTCATCTCATCGACGTCAAGGCCTTACTCTCAAAAGGCCGGAAGCTGCTGTCACTATACCGCGACGTCGACTACTTCGACGACGAACCTATGGGCCAACTTGGCGCCTCGCAATAATTATCGCAATCACATAATTGCACAGTTCTACATAATAGATTGTGGTGCAGTAGTGGTTCGTTATGGTAGCTGTAAGCGTTGGTATTGTGGTCTTCCGCAACTCATAACGCTGACAGAACTCCCTCGAAACGTCACAGATTGTCTAAGATGCTATAAGCGGCTACTTGTATATCTACCTGTAATCGTTCTTGGAAAGCGCTATTACATTGATATTGCATGTCAAAAGGCTGCAGGAAGGCTACGTGGAGTAGGTGACACTACGACAGGTTATTGGGGGCGATATTGAAGTCTGAGATGGTAGGCATTGAACGACCTATTTTGTCGAAGATTGTCTCAATGTCATTCATTTTAAGTATGTGGCAGACTAAAATTGTCAGTGCAACAATGATAAGGAAACCTGCGAAGCCACAAAGGCCGCCTACCAATTTCGCTGTCATCTTCCCCTGTGCCTCTCTTAATATGGAACACTGCATAGATTTGGACAACGCACCTCACTCTTCGAACACTCTTGGACCACTGACGATATACGATGCCTGCACCAACACCACTGGCGTGCCATCCTCATTGTGCGGGGGCAACCGTGAATCCAGATCTCGCAACGTTGATATACCACGAACATCTATGGCCAGCATACGTTGGAGCCGAACGTTGCCAACACGATAACGACAACATAACAATCAACTATTTGTTATCCGACGGTATGGTTCCAACTACCATCACATAGGTCATGCCGGCCTCCTACTGCCTCTGCGTGCCACTATATTCGTGTGCTAATGACTGTCTAGCTGAGCTGAGGTGCGTGCTTACTATATTGATGACCGCCACAATGTGGTACACAAATGCCATTTAATTAGGTTGTACACTGGCCATCACGTCGAAAAGTCCCGTAATCACAAGTTTCTTATAAGCGCACATGAAAACTAGCGTGCCAACCACTCATAACAGACTACCCAGTGCCTAACCTAGCACAGTAATGGTCAACTGCCGACATTGATGGCCGAACATCCGGCTTCACATTCCACCGACAGTCGGTAATGATGTGGACACCTCTCGCGAATAACACAGACCTCAGAGTACCAAGGAACAAACATCTTAACACATCGACTAAATTGGGTGGTAGGTTGCGGTGTGATGGACCAGGGGAGTGAATCTAAGGATCAAGTTGATCAGAAAGTCACTGCGGCGTTTAAGGCTGTTGTGGCAATAGACGAGAGTCTTAAGAAGGATTTGAGGACAGTTAAAGAGGAGATTAAGAAAGGGATTACAGAAGTGATTGAGAGGTTGGAAGTTAATCAATTGGGTGATAAGGTGAAAGGGGATTTGGAGAGTTTGAAGGGGAAGATTGAGGGACTTAAAACAGAGGTTGATCAACCAAATGGAGAGAGCCTCGTTAAAAATGAGTTGGATACACTAAGACAGAAAAAGGGTGACTTGGATAATAACACTATTAACAAAATTACGGCGGCTGAAAAGGATCTTGGAAATAAGTTTGCTCAGTTTATCCAAAATCCGCTTAACGGTAAAGTCACTGCAGTTGACACGGCGATTGGGACGCTTGGCGAGCAGTTTCAACTGCAGGGTAAAAAGAACATTGAAGAGGTTTTTAATAAGATTAAAGGGGAAGTCGAGAAGATTAAGGGGAAGCCTGGGACAAGTTGGACTAATGAAGGCGGCTCAGGCCTGGATGGCATTCAGTCCAAGGTGCAGAGTTACTTTAGCGACTTCAGCGGGGAGTCGACGTTCAAGAAGATAGTGAAGGGCTGGCTGGACGACACTGTTTTACAATTCAATGGCTCCCTGAGGCGTACGCTAAACTGGGGGGAGTTGACCGGTGATCAAAGCTACCACAGCCATCTGGCCACTGCCATCAGTAGCAGGCTCAACGTCCAGTATCTTGATGAAGACAATGGTGACCGAAGCTTCAGAGAAGCTGTGAGTAAATTAATGCTCGACGCCAGCAGCATGACGAGCAAAATTAAATACGTCCACGACGTTTGCCAGGAGTTTGCCAAGGTTATGGACAAGGAACTGAAGAAAAAGGGTAATGGCGGTAGCGTCCCTGACATAGTCAACAAGGTTAAAGAGGCGCTGAAAAGTGATAGCAGCAGATACGGCGGCGGCAGAACAGAGGCTGCTAGAAAGGCCATAGAAGAGGCCGCCAAAAATTGCATCTGTAGTTGTGTTCCGCACTGCAGTATAAAAAATCCTGAAGGCTGTGCGAAATGCCAAAACCCAAAATGCATAATCTCGCAAGTCGTCGACTCCACCCTGTCGGGGCTTTCAACCGCCGCCAGGCAGGTGAGTAAGGAGCTGAATTCAGTGTTTCTCAACATACCCGATGACATCAGCAACGGAGATCCCAGTAAAGGAAGCATCGCAGCCATCTTGGACACTATCACTCCAATTGCTACTGACCTTGACAAGGCGCTGAAAGGAGCAACTGAGCCACAACCTCCCGGAACCTCCGGCAAAGATGAAAGCCCCGCCAAAGCCGTGGACAGTAGGTTGGAGGAAGTGAGGAATGAGGTTGAGCAGGAGATTACAAAGAAATTTACTAACGAAGTAACAAAAGATCTTAAAGCTGTGGTCAAACAACTTCCCGGAGCCGTTAAAGAGTTCGACAGTAAAGCTCAAGACCAGATCAAGGCCGCGGCCAAGACGGCAATTAAGGAGGCGGCTGGGAAAATAAGTGATCCCAGTGGCAAAATAAATCTTGGTGCTGACCTCATGAACGAATTTAGCACTCAGTTCTCTCAGATCACTAATGACAAAACCGGCCTCCAACCAACACTTCAAGGTCTGGTTGATACACATATTGGAAGGGATAAGATTGGCGTTACACCATTTGTTATGGTAGATACATTCATAATTACTGCACAAAATTTTGAACAATATTATAAGCATGTGGATCAAAATCAACTCAGACATAGGAACCGTAAGCTAAAAGGTGAGAAAGACGAAGGCTCTCTTCCAGGGGCGATCGGGAAGATCAAGACTCTAGGTCTGAAAGAGCTTAACATCATCGATCCAAAAGGAAGTATCCCACCAGATCAGAAGATTACCGAAGCAACCTTCACCGGCCCGTTCGACACAATTAAATCAGAGCTTGAAGGGATCAGGAAATTGGTTGGTGAGGACTCAAATTTTATGGATGAAGGTAGTAGAGTCAAACAGTTTTTGATTGTGAATATTATGCGCAACAATACTAAACCATATGTTCTCCACAAATAAAAGTTTCGTCGAAATCAAAACGGCGATTAGACAGCTGCAAAACGGGGAGTTAGCTATTCAACCCAATGAAATTGACAAAGTCATAAACTTAATTAAGGTAACGCGTGGAAGACTGCAAGGTGTTTTGCAGCAACATGTTACCGATGTGTTGCGAAATTCGAAAACTGTTGGTCTGAGCAGTGAAAAGTGGAAGCATGATGATAAAAATATCAATGGTATCAACAAGATTAAAAATGAACTCGAACAACTGAAGGAAGGCAGTGTTAGAGAGCTTACTAGCAAACTAAATTATCTGCGTGATGCTATTAGTAACGTCGCCGTAGAAATCGGTGGGAATTTGCATGTTCTAATGAATGACAAAATCGACGACAGCGCCGTGAAAAAACGCACTGACAGCGTATATATTAAGATTGAAAGCACGTGGAAAGTGGCACAAAAATTACTCACCGCGATACAGGGCCACGGCTTCCCTTCGGCCTATGACACGCTATGTGGAAGATAGAAGTTAGAGAGGAAATATTTGCAGATTAAAGCTAGATCCGTACTTCACTAACTTGAACATCAGCCCCAAACTCACGTACCTTAAGGACAAATATAGACACGACATGGCCCGCGGACACATTAATAACAAAGACGGTCGCGCCCCGGATTCCGCATAAAGTGTCGATCGCAGCTGAGAGAACGATTTTGCGGCGAAATTGAATTAACGCATCATAAAACGCAGTTCATATGCCCTAAGGGCTGCTAGAAACATCGCAACATCTGACAGATAACTGCAGCACAAAAGTCAGCGACGGCAACCCACACATAGACCCCAAGCAAAAATTCTGACATCCATTTAGCGCTAAAAACAATTATTCTGATAACGGAAGACGGTAAAAGGGATGCCCGCATTCCTTATTATGTGGATACCGTGTCGACAACTATTACGTCACGCGGAACACAGCACGCTTAGTCAGACGCGGCCAGCAACCCATCGTAGCATTCTGAATATTTACCCATCGCCTATAATTGTGTTAACATCTCCAGTCTCAATAGGCCATATTGCTGTCTGCAATGTATGTAGACAACGGCTCGCGTTCTGCGCACTGCATGTCACGTTAATTGTGTGGAGTCGGTTGCGATTGGCCGCCTAGGTTGTCATCGCGCCTTCCAAGTCTACCCGTTTGCTGTGTAGACGGTTTTTTATATTTCGAGAAGGTGCGTGCACAGTAGAAGGCAACGGCATCTGTGTTGCGCTTAACCGCCGTCCAGACACCGCATTTTAAATGCACGTGCTGTTTGCAAATCGGTCTGCAAGTAGACAAAAATTCACATGTTTATAGGAAAAAAAGGAATTTAACAATTTTTTACAAAATGGTGTACAATTCGTTGACTGAGGCTCCTCACAACCTCAAGGAAGGCATTGACTGGTTGATGGCCCTGAGGGGCACTGATGCTGCCAAAAACCTGTCGGCTATAGGTGAAGCAATTCACAAATTCCTCGCAGACAAGCCTGTTGGCTTCACTGAGGTACCAGCTCTCGAGAAGGTAAAGAGTATTTCTAAGGAGTTCCTGGTACAAAAGGGGCTTAAGGACCAGAAAATCGTTAAAAGAGTGCTGGATATGATAAATGGGTCTGTGGATGAAAACCCCGGCGTGATCGCTAAGGCCTTTAGCCTTGTACCTAAAAGCGATTATCAGAACGTCGTACAGACCAGAGGTGTGAAGCCAGAAGCTATCGCAAAGAACTTAGGTAAAGTTGTGGGTGGTTGTGAGAAGTTCTTGGATCGTATCAAAACCCCTGACCAGTACAAGTCGGCTTACAGTTCAGGAGCGACGTGGGACGCGTCATGCGCGAAGGACCCGGAAGCTTGCGCAGTGGTCCTTGTGGGAATTGCGCCTATGTTGTACACCGGTTTAAGTTCCTTAAGGGTTGCGTGCAATGAAGAAGCCTTGGCATATGCGCAGTTTGGTAATAAGAGGAGTAGTTTGGGAGAGATATTGGAAGCCGTTGGTTACAAGGAGCCGGAATGCCGTGCTGGCACGAGTACGTCGGCCGTCTCCTGGGCGTTGATAGGCGTGAATAAAGAAATATTGACCATACTCTACGACCTCGCTGGATTCTGGGCTTTCTATGGAATGAATAAATCGGGAGCCGTAAGCGCTGTGGAACCTGTAGAACCTACTCAAGAGGAACAATTCGTGAAACCTGTAGAACCAGTGGAGCACCCCGCAGAATCTGCAGGAGCGGAACAGCCTGCAGAAGCTATAGAACCCGTGGAACCTGTACAAGAGGGACAATCTACAGGAGTTGAAGAACATGTAAAGGCGGCAAAAGCTGTAAAGGCTGCTAAAAAGGCTGCGAAAAAGGTTGCAAAAAAAGCCCGACAAAAGAAGAATAGGACCCAGGGTTTCCAGTGATTGGACATAGAAATACTCATGAGGCGTTTCTAATTTATGAACTGCAGTGAGAGCCAATTTCGTGGGCATATTATCCATCTGCTACAAGGATACTGTCAGATGGGACGCAACATAGTTCTCAACACCTCTTGAATTGTATTCAGGACGCCGGTTGGCGGGTTCCATTTTAGAGCCACCACTTCATCTTCGCCTACCATACGGACGTGTTGTAAAATCCCTCAATTTATAAACAACTGTGCACATACCTGGGAGTATTGCCGGTTAACTGAAAGACACTCGTCATCTTCGCGAGTTCAGGTGTTATACGTTACTGAAATGCAGACCATCTGCTGAGTTCAAGGCGTATTGACGCCTACACCTCCTATAACTTTACATCTCAATCGTTTAATGTAGTTATTATTCGGGGCGTACGTGCTGTTATATCGCCTAAAACATGCAGTGTTGATGGTTCTCTCTATTGGAGTGAGTTGTGCATATACGAATGTTGTAAGTCGCCTGTTTACTGCGCCCCGCAGAGAGGAAGTAGACGGCAGTACACTGACCGGTCGGAGTGGGGCCCAAAACTGTAGGAAACCAATGCCAGTGTCGTGCAAGGTGTGATCTTTTGGCATGAGCAAACGTCGGCACAAGCCGAAGGTAGCCACATCGAGCTATACAATTAGAAGAAAGATCAATGTAGATGGAACGATAACCATGGACGAGCTAGAATACGGAATAAAAAACTTAACAAGACATGTCACTAACGGTCGAGGTCATGCAGCTGGAACGTGTCAGAGTTTGCGAATATGAACTCTTTACGCTGCTGGACGTCGCTACCCATGAGCAGCTCCAACATCTGTGAGGCGCGCAGGCCGTCCTGCACGGAGATCCGTCTCAGAATGCGCTTATCAGGATCCATAGTCGTATCCCAGAGTTGTTGTGCCATCATTTCTCCGAGACCCTTGAAACGCTGTACAGAGAGGCCACGAGCATCGCTCAACTTGTGAGTTGGCCTATCTCCCACCCTGTCATCAGTGGGTTCGTCTGATCTTTCGCCGGGAAAATCAAGCATTTTGCCACTTTGGTCACCCATCTTGCCCGCTTGGCGCGAACACATTTCACGTTGCAGTGCGTCGGGTAGCTCAGCCTCGCTCCACGCGTACGTGTAGGCCGAACGGCTCTGCCCGTCACCCTTGTTGCCACTGCTGCGTCGCATGTTAGTAATGCGGTATAGTGGAGGGCATGCTACGTATACACGACCGTGCTCGTAGAGCTGGGGACATATGCGGAACAATAACCCTAGCAAAAGAATTCGCAGGTGAGCGCCGTCCACATCGGCGTCGGTCAGCAGTATGATTTTGCCGTACCGCAGCGGAAGGGGGGGCAGCGGCGATAGAATCTTGTCACCGTCCTCAGTTTCTCCGAGGACAATCTCCTGCGTCCCAGTAGGCACCATCGTTTCCACATGGCTCAAGGTATCCTGACGCCATGTACGTGGGTTGACGGCAATGCCCAACGAAGAGATCAGTAGCTTGATCTCCTCGTTTTCCATCACCTTAAGGTCGCTGTTGATCTTCTCTATGTTTAGAATTTTGCCTTTCAACGGCAGCACTGCCTGAAAGCGCCGATTTCTTGCCTGCTTCGCGTTACCTGCAGCGCTCTCACCCTCGACGATGAATATCTCGGTAGCGTCCATATCGTTGGAGGTACAATCGGATAGCTTTGTTGGAAGTCCGGTTGTGAGGAAGTTCGCGTTTTTCTGCTGAACAAGTTCCTTAGCATGCTTGGCTGCTTCGAAGGCCTTTTTAGACGCCAGGGACTTGTTGTAAATGGCGAGCAGCAGCTGAGGGTGCTTCTCCAAAATCTCGATCATCTGGTATGATACGATCCTCTCAACCGCCGTGCGAGCCACCTGGTTGCCGAGCTTTGACTTGGTCTGGCCGTCAAATTCTGCTGCCTTCAACTTCACCGATACTATGGCAGTCATCCCTTCACGAATAAATTCGCCGCTGAGGGGTGGTGCTTTAGCCTTGAAATATCCGGAGCGACGACAGCAATGGTTCACGGCTTTAGTTATTGCAGCCTTGAATCCATCGATATGCGTACCGGCGATTGTGCTCACATTATTGGCAAATCCCCGCAACTGAGCTGCGCTTGGATCTGCGGACCAGCTCAGCGAGGTCTCCACCTCGACCCCGTTTGACTTCCCGCGAATGTTGATGATGTTAGCGGCCTTGTACAATGGCGTACGGTCCTTGATAATATCCTGCAGAAACTCGCGTGTACCGCCCTTGTGCATGAACGTTTCTTCCCAGAAAGTGCCATCCTCGTTTAGTTTGCGTTCGTCCACAAGCCGCAGTGTCAACATCGGATTAACGTACGACAGTTCTTCCACTCGTGTACGAATGGTGTCGAATTGAAAGGCCTCCACACAGCCCTTACAATCACCATCGGAAGTGTGCTCGTGGTGAATCCGGAACACGTCTTCGTAGTCCGGTAGGAATGCAATTCTAGTACCAGCGCGCTTTGGGCCCCGGGACATCGACAGTGGACTAACCACTTGCCCCCTCGAAAGTTCCATGGAGTAAACACGTGTACCCTTGTAAACCTCCGCGTGCAGCCATTTGCTCAGGGCGTTCACTACGGACAACCCAACTCCGTGCAGTCCCGATGAGTATTCGTAAGGTGCATTACTCGCATCCTTCAGCTTTTTGCGTAACCCGCGAACGTGTTGCGATCGGAACTTTCGTGAGACTGAGGTGTCGTAGAATTCGTCCTGTTGATCCTGTGCTTGCACCTCCGCATCATTAAACTTGCCACCGGAATGCAGCACTGTTAACACCGTCTCCAGACCTGAACGACCGGTAGTCTCCGATATCTCGCACGGAATGCCTCTTCCATTGTCCATCACTTCTGCCGACCCGTCTGCACGCAGGGTCACTGTGATTCGGTTACAGGCCCCCGCCAGGTACTCGTCGACGGAGTTGTCTAGGATCTCGAACAGCAGCTGATGCACCCCGCTCTCCCCTGTATTACCTATGTACATACCAGGGCGCTTTCTCACTGCATCTAGTCCTTGAAGCACCACTATATCACTGGTGCTGTATTGGACATCCCGCGCTGCAGGCACATCGGGGCTGCTTGCGTTCTGGTCATCACTGCCGTCACCGTCGGCAACTGTCGCCAGGCTATCGTTAATCTCGTCGTCGACACCAACATTACATTCATCAGCAACAGGGTCACAATCCTTGTCAAAAGTGAGATCAATTTTTTCATCTTCATCCGCGATATCGTCATCGTTTTCGGCGCACAATTCCACCTTGCGATATACGGTCTGTTTGAAATCGTTGCTTGCAATGCGATTAGTAACTTTAGAAATAGGTTTCGCAGATGATACTATGGGCACGTCATTTGAAATTGCCCAAACGAATGCCGCTGACGGTGTGGTCCTCTGTCCAACAAGAGGCCTTCGAGAGTTTATATGCGATAATCTTCTTTCTGCATTTGAAATTGATCCGCTCAATGCCGAGTGAAATCTGAAAGTATGTGGTACCATACAAGGTTCGCTGTCGCTACGTCGTGCCTTATATCGCCAGGAAGCGTATCTGGTAGACCTTTCCACAATGGCCGATATCGACCCGGCCGTCAGGAGAACAGCATAGGCCCAAATGGCATAAGCTGCTCTCCACCAGGCACCGCATGTCGTATGATTCCATACTCGGAATCTCATCACTGCCGCAAATACCTCATCATTCAGATCAGCACAGGTTGCGCGTAAAGTATGTAGACTGCATCTCATACAATAGTCAATGCTTCAGAACCTGCAACCTCATCCGAATTGTATACTGCTGCACCATTTTAGGAGCCACAAATGGTACAGGACAACCGCATCAACGAACGTGATCAAACAGAAGGTCGCACATCCGATGTACCGATATAGCGACAAGCCCGTCCTTTAGAAGCCTTAACAGCTTAATAATATAATACACATTCAGTTGTGACGCCAATATGCCGCCAAATTTCAATGACGTCGGAGTATGGTAAAAATCCCGGTGTCTACTCCGTGATTATTGACGAAGATTCCAAGGACTGAGAGAACCGCTCTGCCGCCTTCTCAAAATTGATGCGTCAGACTACGCCATAATAACACTTCTAATGCATATGCAATCTCTATAACACGCCTTCTATGTCAAATTTACATGACGCGCAGCACTTACCACGACGGGGCCTACACACCACAGCACAGCGCGATGTCGTTCCTAGCAACCTACACACGGGAGACAGAAGAATTGGAGTGAAGTTGGCGGACCATTTCCTAATCGAATTTTGCAAGGTGTCGACTGAGGTGCCCTTAATCATGCAAGAATGCTGCTAGACGTTAGCCTCTAATAACTCAGATCCAGCAGGCTGATGTGGTCGCCGGTAATAGCGGTGTTGCTGCTATGCAGCAACTGGATGCCATCAGCGCACGCTATTGCTTCTCATAAAGAGCAAGAACGAGGCGACGACAACCATCCCGATGTGTAAGCTTATGACACAGCTAACAATGTTAATGAAAATATGCAGACACGGCAGCAGCAGCACGGAAGATCTGTACGTTGTTGATAGCACCTAAGCAGATGAAATATGCAGGACCTATCCTTACTTCAATGTGCACTACCACTTCAACAAGCACGACTGGAACAGGGTACTCGACGATCAGCAAAGTAGGTCTGCTGTTCCCTTCTCCCAATTTTCCCAGAACTAATCGCATTGCGCCGCCGAATTGCGGGCATCAGGCGCCATATAAATGACGACAAGGTATGAGGAAACCATGTCTAATGCAACATCGAGCAGACCCGCACCAGCGACTTCATGCGGCGTCAGGACGGGATGCTTATAGACGCCAGGGCCAGCTTGTTCCAGAGAGCGCTCTACAATACAACTCACACTCGCAGTTAGTCTGACATTGGATACATTAATCCTTTTTATAGATATTAAGGGTTTCACGAAGCAGCCCCCCGACCTTCACGACAAACTGCATTCGATCCACGACGGGTACTACAGTCCTATTCCGGCGGCGGATTTCGTCAACATCAATGAGCCTTACTACTATCAGCTACTTGCTGAGCAAATTATGTAGTGGCATCGCTCAGTGCTGTTGCATACGTTGTTGTCGGCGTCGATTTATTTATCGCACAAACCTATCGCAGGGGCGGCGGTGGCGACCACACAGGCACCCTTGATGTCAATGATGTTTAGACAATTACTTATTGAATTAGAACGTATATCTAGCAAATGAAAGCGCCAAAACAGGCTACGTACAGGTTAACGTTTTACGACCTGGCGTCCACCAAGACACGTAACAGGTGCCATCGCACTGCTTCCAACCATATGAAAAAACTCGCAACATTTAAGCATAGTTCGTTGCGATTGTGTCTAAGTAGGGGTAAAGTAAATTCAGACCACGATCAGGTCCGATATGTTGGTCTCAGCCGTCTCGGTGACGAAAGGCGCCGAGGTGTTGGAGTTGAACGATCCTCCGAGTGGCCGGCAAAATGACAAAGCTTGCAGCATGGTGTAAAGCTCCCCGAAAGGAATGTCAACTGGGGTAATACCCCGGCAAATGTAGTTGCCGAAAATGGCGACGTACGGCAACATATCTGTTGCGCTCTGGCACGCTTCAAGCGCATCGATGTGGTACTGGAGGCCACGGCAGCAGGCCTCGCGGCCCAATCGCGGGATGGGCACGTCGAGTTCAACAAGCGCAGCGAGCTCGTAGAGCATCAGCCTCAAAGCGCCCTTGCAAAGGTGGTCGCGGTGCTCACGCTGCTCTTCAGTCAGGCTCGACTTGTATTGCTCAAGCATGCCCTCGCTAAAACCGGAAGCTTTCAGCCCGTCGTTCATCGCCTCTTCTTGTTCCTCGTCAGTGTGGCTATCGTCGCATTCCAAATCCTCGCGGCGAAGCGGTTTCCCAGGGCGATCAAATTCCTGCTGAGCAAGCGCATCGGCGTACTCCGTCGGCTGCTCGGCGAACTCCTCAGTTTGTTGGGTTGCCCCTTCGTAGCTCTCATACATCTCTACCGCATCTTCCGTCTTGATTGGACCCACAGTTTCGGTGACAGCGAAATCGTCATTCGTTGTCGCGGAGTAGGTCGTGTCAAGAGGGAGCATCACATCCTCCGTGACTGCCGAAGCCCCAGCAGTGGGCTTCTGCGAGTTTCGGAAGGCTATAGCGAGTTCGCGGGCGCCGTCGAAGCCGTGCTTGCTGATCGAGAAGATCTTTTCGATGCGCTTGCACTTCTTGTATGCCTGGCCCACCCATCCCATTCGGCGCACCGTGGAATTGAACCACACTCCACGGACCTTAGGGTACAGCTTGCTGCGGCGGATGTATTCCTGACGCAGTTCGTTAGACAAAACACCGTGCTTCGTGAAGTTTATGTAATCCTGCTTCAGGCTGCCGGAGAGGGTCTGCGAGAAGCTCAGCTTGTCTTCCTCCTGGCTGCCTTCACTAGGCTTGAAACGTTTCCAATCGAAGTCGTTGTCAGCAGCGGTACCGGTTAGCGTCGAGTCACAACGCGTTAGCGAATAAGGAGCCCTGTGCACAGTCTTCTTGCGCGGATGAGCCGCCGGTGCTTCATTGAACTCGAACTCGGATTCCACATCACTGGGGATAGTCGATTGCTGGCTGCCTTCGTCAGTCGATATGATCCGGGTATCCATGCGGCACATGGGGACCTGAGGGGGCACTACGATCGTCTCATTGAGTGCAACAGATCCTTGTGAGGCCTTGATGTTGTGTTCAACATCCTCTCCGAAGCAGTGCGAGGTCATATTAGGGCGGTGTCCTGACCCAGAGACAGTTTGCCCACGGAACGTTGCCACTTGGCGAGTATCATACGGCATATACGTGTTAAAATGCTTCTGTCGTTGTTGCATGTGCATTTCTGCCATTGCACGTCGCTTCTGAGCATCCATCCTATCCTGTACGTGCGGCATGGGCGCCATGCGTCCTCCGGCCGTACCGTATCCCTCCCTCATGTTCACATCGTTAAAGGTACGTTTCGTGGGCATGGGCATCCAGGGCCGTGCGTGCGGCATTGACGCAGCTTCCTGTTGCTTCATAATCATCAAGTGCTCCCCGATCTGCTCCCGTGACCAGGCGGCATTGATCGGCAACGAATCGTAACCGAGTGTGGTACCGAGATTGTACCTCTGAGCAGCAGCCGACGCAGCCATTGCCATACAGTAGTGCTTGTACGCCTGCTGCATGTCATGATCGTACGGCATATGCGAGGCACCCTTAACGTCTTCCGACATCATGGCAAAGGGTGGCAACAACATGGTGCCTGGTTGCTCCTCGGAGGAACGGGTCACCATCATAGGATCCGAAGCGTAGTGATCTCGCCCGTAATTAGCCGCGTGGATCTCTCCACCGTGTGGCGTAGCGTTGTCCCTCATTGTGCACAGTACGTTGTTTACCTTGGCGTGGAAGGTTTTAGAAGACATGCAGGAATACAACGTAAACCCAGTGAATGTAATAACTGAGCTCAAAAATCCTATTAAATATGCTCCTAGCAGAAGATTTCGACACCGCACCTTCTTCCGGATGAACGCGGTAAAAACAACAGCGACAGCGAACCGAAGGACACGATGCAAAAATCCAGATTCCACCGCGGTTTTGCCACCGACCACAATCCAACGAAATCCGACCGAAAAACACAACACCGATATGGCAGATGGCCTCCAGAAAACGATGTGGACGCCGAAATAAGGAATCAAAGCACCTCACCTCAGCAAGGGGGCCTAAGCAACAACAGCGGAGATATCCCAAAATGAGCTCAACCGATGTCGTAGCGAAACAAGGTCGAAAATTGACCACTGGAGGTGTGTAAAATACCCTCAGAAAGTAATGCTGAGAAATTGCTGCCGTCAACTAGGCACAGTAGAAAAGACACACCAATACCCTCAAGGCAAACCCCGTTCAAACCAAAGCGATAGACGACTGCCAGTCGCTATAACAAGATATTTAAAACCACACAGGGGTCAGAAAGACACGGAGGCCTATTAGACCACGATGTGTAGGTATTGATAACAATCACACACTTCGAAGGATGCCTCCCGACCAGGAGAGACGCTTCTTCCAAAAAAGAACCGAAGAGCGACGCAACACGAAAGTGTGTGTACTTTAGATATATGTGAACCCAACGACGCCGCAGAGCCGGAGGTCCGGTCCCGTGATAGACAAATGTGGCGACAAGTGCACCGATGCGCATAGACGACGTTGCTCCAAAACCGTCCGTGCCGCCGCGCCGAAAGCCCACACGTGTGCCGTTGCAGCAGCAAGAAACGTTATCGGCGTGGCAGATACATAACACCGATGATTCCGCGATGTGTGCGCGCAAATTCTCGCCAGCTGCGGAGAGACGACACACGCAGGCCGCGGGGCCTCGTGGCCCGAGGCGGGCAAAAAAATGGCCCACCCTAGCAGTGTGTGCAGCAATGAACGGTAATTTACTATAATGTAATGAAGTGACGGTTCTTCCCTCCCTAAAGACAGGCATTCCCCGCAGACGAACATGCACTACGGCGGCGTGTCTAGAATTCCTAATAGCCGTGTCTCGGGGACATGGACGTACACACATACGAAATTACAGCAGTACGCTAGTGTTCCTTCGGAAACCGCCACGGCGTCGGTGTCGCCGGACCGATGGCGTCTTTGTCAGCCGCGTCCTGGCGCTGAAGCTTCCGCCGCCAGGGTGTGAGGTTTACCTGAGAGTAGGTGTGCGAGGCCCCGACACGAATTCTTACCATAGTATAGGTCTGTTCTGGCACAATTTCCGGTTTTTTTGTCCCGGTGTAGGCTCCGCCGTGTACATGTGGCTCGGTCGGATCAGGACTCATGCGTAGGTGGTCGGACTCGCCACGAAGCTCCGGGTGCATCTCCCAGTCGTCGTCTGCGGCGGATTGAGCTGTGTCATCCCATTGCTTTCACATACCTGCTAGAAGGTTGGCGATCGGCAGGCGCCAGCCGTACGGGATCTCGCCCGTCAGCGGATCCTGACTGCGATCCGGGAGGTAACTGTAGTCCTTCTTTTTGCCGTAATGCACGTTCTTCTTTGTTATTGCGGGGTTGACACCCAACTCAAAATCACGGCCCAGCATCTTGACTTCGTCAGGCACAGAGTGCTCCAGTGTTACGATTGCCTTCTTGTACATAGGCCCATTGCGATAGTATTTCGGCTTCCTACTAGTCAGGTCACGCTTTATCCGCGGCACCTTAATTAGCGTGTTCACCTTGATCACCTGCGCTCCGTAGAGCTTGCGCAGGTACTCCCGGATCTCGAACTTGGTCAGGTTGATAGGCACCCGCAGCGCCAGGCGGTTCCGCTCCAGGAATGCGCCGGATCTGTGCACGCACATAGTCTGCCATGGGAAGTAGATGTTCCTGAGTACACATAAGACACGTTGCAGAAGGTGCTGATGGCACCACGGAGATAGACAGCTCTCTGAACGGTTCAGATGGCATGACTACACCGCAGCAGTGTCTAGGAAGCTTACCTTGGCGACTTCGGCGGTGACCACAGAATCCGGCTCAGAAAGGACATCCCGACGCAATCACGCTGCAGATGGCAGCGTTGACGTCGCTTTTGCACCAGCTAACGCCCCAAAGCGAAACGGAAGGAGTGCTGCGTCCTACAGCCTCCGAGGATGCAGTACACACATTACCATTGTTTGTCACCAGTATATCATTTACACTATCATTTTATACAATAAATTGATATATGTCTGCTATAGGTTACACATGTGGCTACGTTTCCCTCACGTTGCGATACGCTTCACAGCCTCACCTCCACGACCTTCCAGCCTTTGAGCTGCGCAATGGCACTCCGCCATTTGAGCCATTCGCGCTTGTTTGTTCGTGTATCAGCGTCGAAGTAGCACTCGGGAACGTCGGCTTCGTAGAGCGCCTGGTCAATCATGTTACGTTGCGCAATTGTACGTACCTTTTCGGAGAAGCCTATCAGTGGGTACACAAACGGCTCCAGGGTGAGGTAGTCCAAATCAACCTCGCGCTTGTCCTTCTTCAGCTGGGCATACATGGCCGTATCTGCTTCACTGATGCTTCCGGTGGCCTCTACGATGTGGTCGATCATGGCCACATTGTCCACGAAGCTGCGGCCCATATGGTCGAGTTCGCCAGTGAAGTCACGTTTGTGACCCATGACACACGTAACCCACAGCTTGCAGTAGAATAAATCGCGGAGCGTCATGCTCATCTCCTTGTTTGATAGCGCTGTGAGGGCCTGGCACAGCCACGGCAACTGGTCCATTAGAGCCGGGTTGTCGCTGGCCGGTTGGCCAGCTGACCCTAGCGCCTGCATGGCACGTAAGAATGTCACCGCGTTTATACAGCACCCAGTTGCCTTTGCCATGAACCCTGCATAAGCGCTCTCTGATGCGAATTCATCGCAAAGCGGTAACACGTCAGCGCCAAGTCCGGACTCGGCGGCACCTAGCAGTATGAGCCCTAGCGCGTCTGATATCCCATCCAGCAAAACGTTTCGCTCTTCTCCGCTGTATGATAAAGGAATTGAAGCGAGCTGCAACGAGGCTGGGGCATTCGACGTGTATTCGGCACTGTTCGCCACCAGCTGCAAAAGCGCACGTTTCAAAGCGGCAGCATAACCCAGCAGCAGTTCACTCGGCACCTTGATCCCAGCGGAAGCCGACACGTAGCACACCTGTGATAACTTGAACAAACCGTCCACAACGCTGTCAACCGTCAGCTTCGGCGCATCGCGTTTTTTAGAGTCCAGGATGTTCAGGTAGTCCAGCTCTCGTAACACATCGGCAAGCGTTTTAGATCCCAAAGACGCTACCTGGCTCCTTATGCACACCGAATGCTTGTTTCTGTCGAATACTATCGACTCCGCAAGCTCGACACATGTATCCACGAAATCCGCGGTGGACACGGTCCCCCTGTTGGCCTTGGCCGTGCTGTGACCCTCGGCGGTTGCAGACGCAAATGTGCCATTTCCCGGTTCTATATCCGCTTCATCGTTGGCATCAGAGTCAGCTTGAACCGTAGAGAATCGTCTGAAACAATTGAAATGCGATTTCCGGATGCCGCAAATCTCCTGGGAGCGGCTGCCTTGAGGCAGGCTTCTCAGAGTGGACAGAGCAGCAAATCGTCCGGTTATAACGGCTTCTGAGTTACAGAAACGCCTAAACACGTGTACTAAGGCACCATGAGGTGCCTTGCAAGCAACTTTCATTCTTACATTAAGGCGATTTATTCTGACGGCATCGGCACACCCAGCTTCCGCCTGCTCGCACGGCAGTCCGCCGGTAAACCAAGGTTGGCATAATTATACTCAAAAGGCTCACTAAGATCGTGTAAACAGTGTACTATGCTCACAAATATCAGGTATAGGCTGTAATATAGGCAAACAGGTCATCTGATTAATTCACATAGATGGCGTAACACGCCAACCAGTCACCACGTTAAACATGAATGTTAATGGAGTTTTTCAAAAATTTAGATCCATGTTTAGCATCTAGGCGCCTTTGTTCTGCGATATTGTCGAACTGAAGTGTGAAATTTCAGGCGCATCAGACATGTTGTACAAACGTGTTTGCCGGTATAAGCGTAAAATTGTTGACGAAGTTGTACCGGTTTGTAAAATATCCGGGCTGGTACATGCCTAGACGAGAGCTCGCAATGAGGTGCACTTCCACGTGCTCGTTGAAGGTAACTGACTTGCACTTGCAGATGCGTACCGAGCGAGAGGAGTCCTGGCGTTCACCGCCCTTAGCTGGATCAACTGAATCCAGAGTGGGAAGCGTGAGTAGGCGGCCGAAGCGCAGATCACCCGAGCGTGCAGTCCAGGCGCCCATGCGCATCGTTGAGGTGCTCTTCCGGTTTCCGTAGAACCACTTTATGGCATATGAGAAATAGGGGTCGAGCTCGGTACGCGCGTTGGCATGCTGCGCCGCGAGACTCGCTAGGAGACTCCCACGTCGGTAACTGACGATCGTACGGGTCCCATCCCAGCTGACGACCCCAAACCAGTTGCTCCTCAGCCTGAAAAAACTTACCACGAAGAGACTGATGATAGTATTCAGCAATAGCGCTACAGAGCATGCTATACGCGCTCCGCGCCACAGCATTGAATCCGCCACCGCCTGGCACTGGCCAGGAGCGCGCTTTTTTACGGCGGGACGCATGTTCGATGCGGCGAAGCGCTTCGTGCGACGCACGCCGGTGGGAGTCCAAGCGGGGATTCAGACATCCACGCCTTTGGGACGACGGCCGAGGCAAATGCAGGCCGTTAAAGAACAGTTGATCAATATGGAGTCATTTATTTCGACTTAGTAAATAATGGTGACGCAGTGTGCGCGCGGCACCGTCGGCACTCGAGGAAACGGCGCACCCGCCACGTGTCTAGTCTACTTCACACTTTGGCGCGTCAAAATGTTGGTGCGATTTGTTGCATTTCCTGGATGCAACCAGTGCCTGGTTTTAACAATAAGCAACCATCCGATCCTGCCGATACCAGTTGGCGCATCATGCTAGACAGACGGCATTCGCGGAAGCCTCCACATCTATTCCTCATAGATGAGATTGCAAAATTGTGCTGGAGCCCTGCAACCATATTTTGCGTTAGGGAATCGCGCAATCAGCCGAGGCATCGGCTGGCCCCGCAACAGTCCTTGCAGTCGGCTTCTGGAGTCATACCGCAGCGGCAATCACATGCCAATAGACAGCATGTGTGTTGGCACTGCAACGCAGAGGCTTGTAGCCGTTCATCTATTGGCAACTCATGTGTTCTGGTTACATTAGAAGATATGGGCTATGGAGGACACATCGCCCATACGGCTGCTGCAGCTCACATAAGCGGCATGTGTAAATGTTTTACAGTCTCAAACTACTATACATGGTTCGGAAACTACATTTAGTGGCGCTACGTTATCTGGTGATAGCGGAATCAGTGTGCGTTGGGATCGGTCGCGGGTATCCGACAACCCACTTCCACGCTGGGGACAGCGGTTATCACGCCGATCCATATGCTTCATAACCCAGTCATACACTGACACATGTAGAGTACGCCCCGCTATGGCAGATAGCCGCCTGTGGTGAGCAGTACGCAGAAGGCGCATGGAGCGCTCGACACATAACACATTAGATCGCACGCGGTAGAAGTAGACACGCAAAACATGGCAGACGACACGTTTTTGGTCTGTTCCGTGCCGCCGGAGAACGTCAGATTCCTCGCCAGCCCGGATGAGTTCTACCAAACGCTCTGCAAGAGCTACGAGTCGGCGCAGAAACGGGTCGTCCTCGCCTGTTTGTACGTCGGCTGCGGTGAGTTGGAGGAGCGGCTCATTCGCTCCATAGTTACGGCGAAGCAGCGCAATGACGACCTAACGGTGGATGTTCTGGTAGATAAGGCTCGCACATCTCGTGTTGGAAGCTCGGGGAAGATCGTCAGCCCCTTGACCCAGCTGCAGCCCTTTCTGGCTCCGGGCCACAAAACTAAGGTCGCTCTTCTCCACAACCCGTTGTTAGGTCGGCTCGCCAGCAAGGTCGTCAAGTCTCCGTTTTGCGAGGCGTTCGGGACCATGCACATAAAGGTTTTCATTTCAGATGACCAGTGCATCATCACGGGCGCGAATGCGGGCCGCGAATATTTCTGTGACCGGTACGACCGCTACATGGTCGTTCGCGACCCGTTGTTCGCCGACCTCATGCATACCATCGTAAGGACCTTCCAGACGGCGAGCTTCGAACTCACCGAGAACCTCACCGTCGAGTGGCACTCGGACATTGTCAACCCTATCCAGGACAACATGCTGTACAGGAAGCAGCTGTACATCCGCACGGCCCACATGGTGAGCAGGTGCCGAGAGATATTGGAGAAGAATCGGTTCCACGGGCACATGGATGTAAACGTTGACGGGCAACAACACCCAGCGGGTTGCGATGCATCGGGTAATGAGTATAGTGACTGTACTGCACTTTCTGCAAAGAATGCCAACCCAGAAGGGCGCTTCGACAGCACCGAGGTGGACTTGGGGCTGTCGGAACAGGAATCGCAGGATGATTCTTCTTCGCCAAGCGCAACTTGGCGGAAGCGCCCAAGCAGCGATAGCGGCTCTCAGGAGGGGATAACAGATTTAACGGGTCAACAAAAACGCGTTACTGGTCGTCTGGGAGGAGAGGACCGTGCAACAACATCGCAAAACATGGATTTAGGCCCTGACGAGGCTGTCAGGACGAAAATCCCGAGGAAAGGACGCTCAATAGACGGTAAAATGGGTTCAAGTTCGGACACAGTTTCTGACGGTAGACCTGAGCTGGGGTCATCGCATTCACACAGTGAATCTGATCATTGCGGTCTATCGTACAGTGTGCCGGACGAGGCCACAGATCGCAGCATCGGGCAGGATGCAACAGGAAAAAATGGGACCAAAGAAGACGAATACTACTGCCACATCAGAATTTGCGTGCAACTTCCGTTCACGGACCCCCCCTTCATGCAGGGGGCGACCATGCTGGAGAACTGGCTCCTTCAGTACGCGAGAGCAGGCTACTCGGCGCTTATCGCCACGGCCTACATGAACTTCACTGACCGCTACATGGAGATGTTCAAAGAGATTTTGGACATCGGCAAGGCCAGCGGAAAAGGGCACCCGTTACAGGTGGTGACTTCCAGTCCCTACGCCAACTCGTTCTACCGCGACGGGTCGCTCAAGAGAAACATAGCCCTGTTCTACAGCACGGCCGCAACGTGGCTTTTCAAAGCTCTCAAGGGCGAAGAAGGCTACCCCGAGGATATATACTTGGAGTACAACAGGCCCAAACACACCTTCCACGCCAAGGGGATATGGGTGCTCAAGGACCGCATTCCAGTGGACATAGCCCACCGCTCCGAAGAGGAGTTTAACGCCGCCGTAGAGCCACCGTGCGCGACGGTGATCGGCAGCTCCAACTACGGCAGGCGGTCGTACGGCAAGGATCTGGAAATCACCTTCCTCGTCGAGACCAACTCACCCCAAATCAGGCGGTTCATGAGACGTGAGCTCTATCAGATGATAAAGTACTCCGAGTACGTCAACATGGCCGGAGTTGCCTCACGCATTGGGCCTCACCAGCACGTGATTGCCCACGTTCTGAAGTCTTTCCTCTAATTTCACAACAAAGTCTGATCGCCCTTAGTGGTCTGCTACAATGGAATGTGGCTGTCTGAGCACATTGCGGGGATATGACCCTGACGATGGTTGGCACGACACTTATTGGCTCCATTTGTCTCATTCGCCAAGAAGGCTCTTAGAGGTGGTATGGACACACATAGCCACGGTTAACCAAACTGCCCGCACTTTATCGGCAGCATTGCCAACGGTGCAACTAAAAGCGACGATAAGTGTGAAATACACACAGATAGCGCATGGAAAGGGCGCTGACTGCGCCCTGCAGAGCGATGACCCACGTTAGAGCGCGACCGGCGTCCAACACACCAGCTTCCGTTATTTTGTTCACACTTGCCAATCGCGAGGCAAGCATGCAGATTACATTTAAAAGACAAATATAGCGGTGCGGAGCGTCCTGGGAGTGACTGGACGTAACCGCAGCTGCGATTGGCGACGCCTGGAGCAGCCAGAAAGAGCGACCTCCATGCGTGCTCATGTTTGCACAGGTTACGTTGCACTAGTTATAGCATACCAGTTCGTGCTGGTTGCGGCGTTTTTGCTGCGTGCGCCTGTCCGGATCGCTGAACGCCGGTCCTGTCTACCGCGCCTGCTCCAGGGTTGCGGCGGCGGAAGCCACACCTCTCTGTCATCCTCGCCCATCCGCTACAGGATTGCGCACATTGGTGCTGCAGAGGCTGTAGAACGCATATTCTCCGCGGATCCTGAGGCAAGCCCGAGAAGTAAAGCGCTGCCTCTGAATGTCGTTGAGGAGTTCTTCGCCATCAAGCGCGAGAATAAAGGACCTCAACTCAAGCAATCGCTTTCCCGGGCACAAGTGGAGTGGGCAGAGTGGGAGATTCGCAGGTTCGGGTACAAATTGGGCACGGCGAATCGGCAGCTGCGTCAGCTCGCTGAGAAGCACAAGGCCCTGCGAAACAGTTTTACGAGCTCCAAGGAAGAATTGGACAAGGTCAGGCAAGCGAAACACGAAGTTTCTGTGAAGTTAAGGATCGCTTCGCGGCTGCGCAGGTTATTTATCACATACAAAAACGGCCTGCTCGCTAACGTGCAGCCTAGGGTGCCCTACGTGCCGCTCAAGTATCGCAGCGAAAATGTTCCAGCCGACTTCTATTCACTCGGCACAAGGAAGCATAACAATGTGAAGAAGTTCGCAAAATTGAAGCAGCACAAAGAAGTAGAGGGAAAGGATCAAATACGGCCGGCAAGCCAATCAACCGAACTCACCGACCGCCAAGGGGCAGAGCTATCCCCTTCGGTTGGAGGTCGCAAGGGTATAAATAACGTGCGATCGTATTTACATAGGAAACTTGTAGCGGACGACGCTGATCAACGGTCGACAGAATCGGTGAGCCCACATTGGGAAGCAGACGACGCTGTGCCGTCTTTGCATAACCCTGGAGACGAGTCACCGGATAGGGTTGGAGATACTGAGGATTTCACATCACATCCAAATTTCGATTTACTGACACAGAAGTCAGGAGAGCGGCCAGCGCTAGGAGATTCTCGGCAGCAAAAGGTTAGGTCTAGCGGCGGAGTCAGCAAGGATAAAGCACAAGTGGAACGCGAAATTCTTGGCCTTATAGCCGAGGCGAAAAATCAGGCAGTGGGTAAAAGGGGGCTTGTGAGCAATCCTACTCTAGCCAAAATACAGGCTAGATACAGGAAAAATACCAGATCGTACAGACGGCTGCCCAAGGGATTGTAAGATGTACCCGGGGTACAACGTTAAGAATACGGGGAGGTCCTCCCCCGGCAGTGATGGCGTTAGCGCCAGCAGCGGAAGCAGTTCTGAAAGATTGCCGAGCGTCTATGGCGTTAACTACGGAGTGCAGCAGCGGCCCTTTGCGGCATCGCCATACGGCGGGTGGCAAGCGCAAATGCAGACTATGGGTGCGCAAGTGGTTAACTATAACACGCCTGCGGATATCAATGCTGCTCATATGGGTGACCAATCGGCAGCCTCAATGTCCCAGAGGCAGTCGCAGCTTTCGCAGATGGGGGTGCCGGGTATGCACGGTTCCCAGCTCGTTACCCCCTACGCTGTCTCCAACGTCGTGCACCTGCCGGCGTCAGCTGTTGCGGCTGGCCATGTGGTGCTCATGGGATATGGCGGACACCCTATGCAGACCTACCCAGTGGGAGTGGGTGACGCATATTCCCAGCTCACGCAATTTGATCCGCAGAATGCTGCAATGAGGTTCGGCGATACTTCTATGGAAGGCGACGCTGCATACTCCAATATGCCGTTGGGGACGCAGTACCCTCAAGATGAAGCGTCACTTGGCCTGGAGCAAATGTTGCCGAATGCTTCAATGGAATCGATGTCTCAGCCAGAATCGCCGTCGGCCGCGGCATCCACGTCGCCGCCCAATGCAGCGTCACAACCGATACAACTTCAAGAAGATATGAACCCATTACCATGTCACCAAGGAGATGTGCCTCAGGAGTCGATATTTGAGTACCCATCGCCCGAGCTTGATCCTGCAAAGCATTTGCGGAAGATCCGAGTGAAAAGGCACGTATCATCCGAAGGAAATGACAGTTCAATGTCTGTGCCATTTCCAAACGTCAAGGCCGAAGGTGGGAAATTCTGGGAAGTCAGGGTCAATATCGAGGAGGAGTTCCGGCGACTGCTGCCGCAGATGCCCCAAAATTCGGACGAGCTTATCGCTATGGCCAGGCCGCATATAGAAATCGAGGTGAGCTTCTTCAGCGAGCTGGGGGGTATATACCAGGAGTATGAGGATGAGACTGCGATCATCAACGAAAACCTAGACACGCTACGAAAGCAGCTCAACGAATTGCATCTGCTCATGGGACGCACTGTACCGAGCAAGTTGACAGAACCGATCAAAATACACGACTTGTCGATTTGGGAACCCGTGCTGAAGGAAATGAACGACTTCCAGGATCTGGTCGATTACGAACATCGAGAAAAGCGACGAAAGTTCAAGGCACTTTCAGCTGCAGCGCAGAAACAGGCCTCCAGGTTTGAGAACCGAAAACTGGCGTTGGAGCAAGAGGAAATAAAACAACGGAAACAACACTGCAAAAATGTGGCCAACGCCATGGCGATCTACTGGAAGAAAATTGAGCGCTTCGCCTGGGAACGTATGAAACGGGATCTACAGGCCACACTCATCGAGAAGAAACGCATGAGGCTCGACAAGTTTGTGGAAGATGCCATTAAGCTCTCGATTACGAAAAACGACAAGGTCAAAGGTGACGGTAAGACGAAAAGGGAGTCCCAAGAAAGCAAGAGGCATCATACAGAGGATGAGGTCAAAGATGAACCTTATTTAAGCGCAGAAATGGAAGCACATAGTCAACCGGAGACTATCGATGTAAAGAAGGAATCTGTGAAAAAGGAACGACACGGCTCAGGCTCTGCCGCCACAGGTGATGATAGTACCCGTGACGATGAGGCGGCGAAAGGCGTTGCTGATGACGAATTTGTCATATCCGAAGAGATGAAACGGATGGAACGCGACGACGCGCTGCTCGACATGGCCATGGAGAAGGAGGAACAACTCGACCAGGAAGCTGGTAACCAAAAGAAGGAACTCAATGCCCTTGAGGACGACCTGAATGTGCCAATTGAAGAGATTCTGCGCCGTTACAAGGAGGAAGAGGAGAAGTTCAAAGAGGAACACAACGTCTCATCGCACTCCGACGCAGACGATGAAACGGAGGTGACTTCTGAACACAGCGACACTGAACGACACTCTGCGGACGGAAATGATGCAGGAGACGAAATGGACGTTGACGATGAAGATGGTACAGAAGACGAAACGGAGGCTGAGGATGAAGGTGACACTGAAGTGGTTCCGCCCCCATCGTTAGCTGCAACTAGAAGCAAAAGGAGACGTCCAGAAGCTACCTTGGCATCATCCGATGCAGTAAAAGACGAAGCAACCGATGATAATAAGGCAGGAACGCAAGAGGGCGGCAAAGATGACATGGAGGCTGAATTCACACTGGGTGATGATAAGTTCAAGGAGCAAGAAGACGAGGATGTGCACCTTGACGAGGCAATCAGTGATGAGCATTCCGACAACGAAGCTGGCAAGCAAGAACGCGTTAAGGAGATATCTGCCTTGGAGGAGGATGCAAACCTGCCCATAGAGGAACTTATCGCTCGGTATAGGGCCGCCGGTGGATATGGCGAAAGTGATGATATGTCCATGGACGACTCCGCGTCACAGGCAGCGTCGGATACCGACAGCGACGATACCAAGATGCATGATGCATCGAAAGGGGATGAGTTAACTGATGAGCCTGAATGTGACGATTCCACCGCGGAATCATCGACAGACGAGGATGCAGTCCAGGTGCCGTCCCTTATCAGAGCCACGTTGCGACCCTACCAGATTGACGGGTTACGGTGGCTTGCCTCTTTATATCGCAAGGGTTCAAACGGCATATTGGCAGACGAAATGGGACTCGGTAAAACGCTGCAAACAATCGCCTTATTGGCGCATTTGGCTTGTGATCACGGTAACTGGGGCCCTCACCTCATTGTCGTGCCCACGTCTGTGCTGCTGAATTGGGAGATGGAGTTCAAAAAGTTCTGCCCGGGGTTCATGATATTGTCATATTACGGTTCACCTGCTGAGAGGGCGAAGAAACGTATCGGATGGAACAAGGAGCATGCATTCAACGTGTGCATCGCATCGTACGCCACTGTAGTGCAGGATTCGTACATTTTGAAGCGTAAGAGCTGGGTATACATGGTTCTGGATGAGGCCCAGAACATCAAAAACTTCCACTCCAAAAGGTGGCAGACGTTGCTTACCTTCAACACCCAGGGGCGTATTCTGCTTACGGGAACGCCGTTACAAAACTCGCTGCAAGAGCTGTGGTCACTTATGCATTTCATCCTCCCCGATGTTTTTACGTCGCACTCAGAGTTCAAGGAGTGGTTCAGCGACCCCCTCACCGAGTCGATTGAGCGTGAACAGATGAATGGTGAGGGGAACAAGCAGGATCTCCAGACGTCCCACCTCGTCAAAAAGCTGCACACGGTGCTGAGGCCGTACCTGTTGAGGCGTCTTAAGAAGGATGTGGAGAAACAAATGCCGTCGAAGTACGAACACGTAATCAAGTGCTACCTGTCCCGCAGGCAAAGGGTGCTCTACGACGAGTTCATATCGAGCCGCAGCGCCGTGGAAGCCCTGAAGAACCCCAACTACAGATCTATGTTGTTCGTCCTAATGCAGTTGAGGAAGATTTGCAATCATCCTGACCAATTGCAGTCAAGGCCTGTTGAGACGCCGTATTATGATCCTATCATGATGGAAAACGTGATGTTCCCAAGCATGTTCTTGTTGCCGGAATCAAGACCTGGGGCTAGATTATACCGCCATGAGGTTATCAATATGCGGCCGTACCCGTCTGAGACGCTACCCATAATGGTCGGCTCCAGGGACCACCAAGATCGTGTTGTCTTACCACTTTCGTTTGTCAAATCCTTCCGAGGCAGCAAGGTACCGTTTCAACGTGTTTTCAGGCAGAACAAGAACGTCTACGACAAAGATGTGGCCCAGCTGCCCGTGGTGTCCCGCTTCCCAATTTCCAAATGCCTGCTTAGTCGGAAATCCGGTGGAAGGCGTAAACTTACGCTTTCTGGATTCCTCATCGAAAGCATGCTTTCGGCTAACCCATTCGACGATGTCAGCCGTCGCAATAGAGGTTATTTGCTGACTGGACACGCACCAGCAGAGCGTGCACAGGGTCTGGGTCCAACAGTTTCAATCGCAGCTTCCTCTGTTTGTTCGGAATACGACGCTGCGGCGGGAAATTTCGGATATAGTGGTAGATTCCGCCATGCAGTTAACAAGACCGTATCCATGGGATTAGAAAGCGGACGGTCTGTCAGTACGAGCAGCCCCGCCAACGCAGTGAAGCAAGACTTTGATCCATTTGTCAACACCCGCGCAGCTCCCTATCATGCAGGGCCAGTGGTGCGCAACGTGAATTTTTATCCGCAGATGAGCGAGATATCCGATGTTTCGGATTCCGCTACGGATTCCAACATTGTAGTTTGCACTACCGATGATGCAGTCAATGACGCGGATCCCACGGGAAAGGGCGAATCCAACGATTTCGCCGATCAAACAGATGAAGCCAACGTAGTAGTGAATCGCCGGGAGCTGCTGGAGGTGAACGACAATTTCCTGCTGCAAAAGTTTACCATCGATCGACGCCCGAAGCCCAAGGCTGAATGCTTCCAGAAAATCGTGGCACCCACCGTGGACGACGTGGTGGAACGTAACTGGTGGATGCTGTCACGATTTGTGTGCACTACTGGCAAGGTCGTGGAGTGCAACCCCAGGCGGGTCGTCGTGTTTGGCCCGGGAGGTGTGACTTGGAACAGTCGGCAAGAGGCCACGGCGGATAGGATCCACAGCAAATTGCAGCGTCCTTCATCGTTCGCATACTTCAAGGAAACGAAATGCAGCATTGAGCATGCTCGAGGGCTGCAGAAGGTGCTCTTCCCGCCTAGAAGCCTGCTGCATGACGATTGCGGCAAGTTCCTGGTGCTTGGGCGTTTGCTGAAAAAGTTGAAGAGTGAGGGGCACAGGTGCCTGTTGTACACCCAGTTTTCCAAAATGCTGGATATCCTAGAGAACTGGATCAACTTCATGGGGTTCACGTACGTCAGACTCGACGGGTCCACCAAGGTGGACATGAGGCAGCGTATCGTCACCAGATTCAACGAGAACGAGAAGATATTCCTGTTCATCTCCTCCACCCGCGCTGGTGGTGTGGGTCTTACGCTGACGGGTGCCGACACGGTCATCTTCTACGACACCGACTGGAACCCGGCGATGGATAGGCAAGCTATGGACAGGTGCCACCGTATCGGCCAGACGAGGGAAGTCAACGTCTACCGTTTGATCAGCGAGCACACTGTCGAGGAGAACATCTGGCGTAAGCAGCTGCAGAAGCGGCGTCTGGACGACATCGTGGTGGACAAGGGCAACTTCGACAGCGAACACCACAACTGGTTCTCGAACGTCGACACGCTCATGACCATTCTGAAGCAGCAGACAGCAGAGGGCCGCGAAAACGCCGCGGAAGATGACGACATCTACGGCAAGAAGGTGTTACACGAATCTCAAGCTCCAGAGTTGGACGACGCTGTCGGCGGTGATGGCCCGCCCCCAAGAGTCGTGAACATGCTGGCGGAAGCGGAGGACGAAGACGATGTCAACGCGCTTAAGAACCGCAGCAAGGAGGCGAGGACTGCCAACAAGGATTTCCAGGACTTCAGTGGCGACATGATCTCCACAATGCCGGCCCTTGTCGCCTATTCCATCCAGCTCTTGCTGACCTACCTCACCCCAACTCTAGTCGCCCAACGCGATGAGATGAAGGTCAAGATCAAGGTGGAGTCCATGGACTCGGCTGTCGAGGAGGACTCCGAATCGTCAGCATCCGAGGTTGGGTATGGCTCCGACCCTGAGTCGAGCGAGTAGCAGTCACCAACCCCAGCACGGTACACGATCCTTTGGCATGTGTTCCCCCATAAGTACCGAAGTCAGCTCTATTCAAGCAAGCTTTGGACTTATGCAGGGAACACCAACCGCGTCAACGCGCTTACACTCCTGGTAATGTTAACGCCACTCCGGTGGAGCAGGCCGCAACGCATAAAGACTCAATCTATATTAACTACATGTTGAAAACTACATATGGGCTGGCTTATCCTTATGGACCCACATGGCAGGAGGATAACCTGGCCCGCCTGAAACATGACTTAGTGTGGCACGTCGCCCCCCTCGCTAGGCACTCGACGCCTTCGGGAGATGAGAGCGAATCTGCTCCTTCCAGTAAGCGGCAGCCTGGCCGGGGTTTTGCATGTCTATTATCGCCCTCGAAATGGGCACAATGATGCCCTCACCCTTATCGTTCAGCGCTGCGAGGAATTACAAGACATAATTCTAGCACTCACCAAATTTCATGGCAGTTCCGAGGTCGCCGCCCTGCACGCCGACACCGGGCATGAGTATCGTGCACTTGGGATAGGCAGTGCGCACCTCAGCGAGGGCGTCGACGCAGGTGGCCCCGACGACGTAGCCGAGATGCGCAGTGTTTGCACCGTTAGACTTGTAGAACGTCTCGCAGCTCTTGATGATTCCCATGTATACCGGAGATAGGTCGCTCATAAGCCCGCCCTGGATCTGCTCTGCCGAGGGGTTGGAACACCTGGCCAACACAAATAGGTCGTTAACATATTGCCCATTTCGGTCAGTACCCATCACGGACAACACATCGGTGCCCAGAAGGGTGTTGACAGTGCAGCCATCGGCCTTCAAGATGTCGAAAATGAACCTCTTGTAGTACTCCATCGTGGAACCTATGTCTCCCAGCTTGGCGTCCATGAGCAGCGGCAGCTGCATGCCGCGGATCACTTCGCAGACGTCCATTAGAGCCTGAAATTCCATTAACACGCATACACAACGGCAAATAACACTCTGTAAACACCATGCCAATATCTAGTTGCGCGCTCTATGGCGCCACAGTCAGTCGCACATACTCAGCAGAGGCGACGGCAGGTATGGTCATCAATCACACCGTAGAACCATGATGTGTAGGTGCAGACATTTCAGACACTATTTGTGCATGGATTGAAACAAGGATACACGTATATAGATGGCGGGAACGCGTACACACCGGTAGAATGTGATGTCGCAACGGCACACATTAATGGACAACATCACCGGATGCATTCATATTGCCTTCCCGGCTTTAATCGACATACCTGAATGCCTTCAGCGCCATGTGCAATGAAAAACGCCATATTCGGCTTTACACCGCAAATGTGCTCCGCCGTAGACTCGAGGATGAAGCAACAGTACAGCTTCAGCTTCACGTACACCGATGATATGTCGCGACTGCGAAACCCCTCCATAGGACAGCCATTTACGTAGCGGTCGTACAGCACGGTGTAGAGTCCGGTGCGAGAAAACCTTTCGACGCTTTCATCGCGCGGATCCAGTCCAAGACACAACGGCGCGCCCACCTCCCGGGCCCGGGAGAGCGCCTTCTCTATGAATGACATTCTTACAGTTCAACAATACAACGAAGCAGATAGGTGTGTAAGTCTATGCGCGGGCGATGCCGGCAGGAATCCCCACCACTCACGCTACACATCACGACTCCACGGTGCTGGTTGCGACGTTGTCTATCGCGGACAGGTCTACACACAGCCACCGTGTTTGCTGCGAAGGGTTGAACTTTTGCTTCATTGCTTCCGGCGTCCGCGTGGTGATCCCGTATCCTCGAGGATGCCGGAGGCGTATGTTGCGCTCCGGCATCCTGGGCCCCAGACGCTGTAGCAATTCCGTGTAACCGTGCTTATCCAGCCATGCCTGCACTTGAACCAGCTCAGGATCCATGTTTTGTTCGCCTTTTTTCGGCGACGGACCAAGTGTGTCGAGGAACAGGCCCGCAGCTGGGGGGTCGATTCGCGGCTTCTCGTTGCGGGTCACCCACACTGTGTGTCGAGCTCTGTAGTCGATCACCTTGCGTTCATATCCGAGGGGGATGTGGTATCTTCCGTTACCCGATGAGGACATCTCTAGCGAATACTTAAGCCTTTGACCGACCACGGCGTTCCCGCCATAGCCACCAGCTGAGCTACCTGTATGTGCATTGCCACGCCAGGCTTCGTCGCCGATGAAGAAATACGGGCTCAGCGGTATGTCGCGCAATGCGCGCATCAAACGCTCTTCTACACCGGGTATTTCCAGGTTTGCAAGGCTGTCGTTCGTCACCGTGATCATCATTGGGCGGTGCAGTGCGGGGTCAACTGCATTTACGTAGTCCTCCACTTTAGGGTCAGGCAAATCAGCTGCCGAAACCGATGTGTCGGTTTCATCCTTTTGTGCTAACGAAAGGCTCAAACTTGATTTGAGGAAACCGCCCAGCACGGCAAGCTCCTCCGCACACCCCGTCATGACGTTCGCCAGGAGGAAATAGTTGTCATCGTAGCTTCCAACCTTGCAGAAATATACCTGTTTCGCATCTGTCCAACGGTTTATCATGTCGATCTCGGCAGCGCTGTAGCGCTTCGGCCGAGATGGAGATGCACTCGAGAGGGTTATGGGCTTGCGGGGCAACTTGTGGCCTGGGAACAGCAAGTCGATAGTCTCCGGCTCGAGAACGTCACATGCAGCGGGAGAATTTGCGCGCGCATAGTGAGGAAGGACAACCAGCGGGCGCTCTCCGCGGCGTACCATCTCACGCAGCACGGTGTCAATCTTGTAGAAGTCGAGCGGACTCAGGTCCTGGCGCCTGTGGTAACCAATGTTTTGCCCATCCAGGATACAAGTGTAGCTCATTCCTTCGCGCATTGGAGCGTGTAACCATGCATAAAAGTTGGCCAAGCGGGTAATTTCGGGGAAGTTGTAGTCGTAGATGTTCTGCAGCCAACTGCGGAACACAGTGAGGCGGTCTTCCACGGAGAGCTGAACAAGTGGCACATGGTGTTTGCATTTAGCACAAACGCCATGTGATTCACCTTCATCAGGATCGTGGCTGTGCGAAGTCGTATGAACAGCTCCTCTATCATCACGGAGGCTGTTGATCGACACTTTGGTCGTGGAAGGAGTAAAGGGACCGCCGGGTGACACGTGTGTATAGTGCACTAGGCCAGGAACGACATCCGATAGCACTGTCGATACCACATAACCCAGTCGTGACGACAACGACACCCGGTTGCAGGAGTGCTTGTGGAATATTTCCAACGCTTCTGTCAATTGGCGGCGTAGTGTACCATACACTTCCGATAATGCCGCTCGTTTTCCATTTCGGGGCGATGCGTTTGTCGCGTGGGCTCCTTCGTTTGAAACTTTACGCGTTACATCATCTGCTGGCAGCTCGGCCATCGACAGCCTATGGGAAGAAGCGCTATCCTCAACGGGGGTGCTTTTGCCTAAATCCAAAAGACCGCGTTTGGCTGACAGACCTATGGTAACCAACACACGCGTAAATACTAAACCGCTCATGGGCATTCCTCCCACTTCCACCATGTGGCGCAAGACGCTAAGCATGCCGTCTCCATCCAAGTGTTCCTCGAAGTACTCAAACAACGGCTCGTAACTTCGGTGGCGCCGACGATCGCCCAGGGCCCACATGCGCTCGAGATATTTGAAAGCTTTTTCTGCGCGACCTAGCTTCGCGTGTATAACACACATCGCGGCGTACATGCCCTTCAGTACCACCATGCCCAAACGGGCCGCGTCACGGGAGACGCTGGTTATTGCCCTCAAATCATCCAAAGTGGATATCTTGTGCATAGCGCGTCCAATGATTCCAGCGCATAGTTTGCGATGCTGCATTATCAACCTCCGCACTGTGCGTGAAACATTGGGTTTTATGGACACTCGCCACCGACGCTGCGCACCGTCAACGTCTATGCCTACCTCCTCTGACGTGTAGTGGTAGCTAAGCGATTTATCAGAGATGGATGCAGCTTTTTTGTGCTCAACGGCTTCACCTTCTGCATCAGTGTTGGCGTCGTCCAACGAACTTGCCGGGTCTTCATGCGACTTATCCGATGGTAGCACTGGTGTTGTCACCTCTACCGGTTCCTGGAAAAAGGGCGAACAGTACTTATCGTAACCCTTTACATAATCCACAATAGTTTCAACGGCAAATTCGAAGTCATCAGAGTCGCACGCCTTAACACAACGAGTGAACAAATTGAACAGGTTCGAAGATGCTACGACGTGCTCCTCCTCGGTCATGTCCAACACAGGCAGCGCCGGAGATGTCGCCGGCTGGCTCTTCGACGCGCACAGCACGAATTTCCCGCCATGATAAGCGTCCGAATGTGGAATCCTATCACGCGCTCGAACGTATCCGGTGCTGAGGCCTCCATCATATGTTGAGCCGTGCATGCAACCGTATGAAGGAGTGAAAATGGCCGGCGCAGAGCAGTACTTGCCTCCTACGAATGCGTGTGTGTCACCAAAACGGTTAAATGGATGTTGAGTTGTGACTGAGTTGAGAAGATACGCTGGATGCTGAAATGTGGCACCAGCACCTCGACGATATGAGGGCATCACAGCAAGGGTGGATTGCTCCAGCAGCGCACAGAGCCAAATCCATGTTACCAGACGACGTATTACCGCTGCAGCTGGTTGACACGTCATGTGGCAGTTTAACATTCGGCCGCTTAAGGTCGACTCGGAGGGCATCTTATGGTACCCCTAAATTTACCATGTTGATAACGGTGAACCCAATTTTAATTATTAAGACATCCTTGCATTGCTCCTGGTTTCCGTGAGGATTATGCCTTGAACAGGATACCTGACAACCGGAGACAAGCAGCGGAACAGCTTGTCTATATCCTTAGCATCATTGCCTAATAAGTACTTCCAACGCGATCCACAAAATGCGATACTTAGGAACAGAAGACAAACTAAATGGCCGATAGTGGCATCCATGAGCACCCACATGGGTTAAAGGAGGCTCTTCACTCGCCCTTGTCCCATACCCTAAACATCAGCCATGCCTTCACGCGCATACGGAACGCCAAAGCCAAAAACTCCAACCTTCTATACACATCAACTTATTTTTACTATTATTTGGCAGTAGATGTCGTACAATCCCCAAATTCAGAGTAATTTAGCTATAAAGAATGTCGACTGCTCTCAGGATTCCACAGCAATCAGCGACCCACCTGAGAATCCCGCACACCCCTACATGTCACCTATTTGGTGACGCCAAGATATTAAAAACTGATGCTGCTGCAATGTGACGCGGTTATATCACCGGTCACTGCAGCGGCTGTTTGCGTGGCGCCGCGTACACATCAACGCACCGCGGTGTTGATCGAAATGACGCCACCGCTACCGGCATTCTGATTCCGGTACGGACATGATTATGAGTAACTATCGTCTGTTATTGACGGTGTAAAGGCGCTTTGTGCGTCTGGTAAATGCTTCGCAACAGCCATGACTTGGGATGGCAGATCATAGTCGATGGTCCAAAAGTCGACACAATGTCATTTGAATGTCTAAAGGACCCACCATGGAGTATGTAGGGCCTTTAGTGCGGTATGACAGCATAACTGACGTGGATCCGTTCACTTCGGCGGTGGCTGCTCACGGCGATGTTATTGTCACAGGCACGCAGTATGGAGATCTCATTCTGATATACGGCAACCGTCGCGAACTCATATGCTCCTATCATGGTGCCATAGTTGATGTTCAGCTGCGATGGTGCTCTTCGGAGCTTCTGAGGGACTTCGTTTATGTTGTATGCGCCACTTCGTTGGGGTACATCTACGTGCACCTGGTATGCGTCACCAACATCGCAGCCTCGAGGGTTATATACAAGATCAGAACGGGGCAAGAGGTGACGGCTTTGGCGCTGCATCCGAGCTTTCTGCTGCGCCACAGGGTGCCACGCGGGCATGCAGATGACCATCCAACGCTGCACATGGCAAGGCCAAGGCGGGATTCATATGGAATCCATACCCCTCAAAGACTGCGTAGAGAAACTACGCAATCCTTACAGGATGAGTCGCATGTCGGGCGCAATTATTCGTTACCCAGCGATGCCGGCCGTGTCGACGTTGCAGAGGCTCTCACCACCACCGCCAACAAACGAAGGGACACGTACGACTTGAGGCATCTGCTGATGCGTCGGCAGGAGAAACGTCACAACCATATGGGCAAGTTGGAGTACACTGAGTCTGCGATTATGTTTTCGCTTCGAAGCGGAGGGACATACCTTTTGAGGCTGGACGAATTAGGCAGTGAAGGCCCCGAACGAGCATGCACACTCATACACAGATCAAGGCGAACGCGACGTGGGATTCCTATGGCTTGGCATCGAGATATGCTGGCGTTAGCGGATGAGGACGGGGCGCACGTGATACTGCTCTCCGAGTGTGCCTCTGTGGCCTTTCTACCTCACTCGCCTCGCCTGGAGATCGCAGCTGATAGACCCATCACAGACGAAACACGCGGAGAACTGGAGGAAATCGAAGAAGTGGATGATCATTATGTCACATCGGACGAGTCAGATGTGGATGGCCATGAAGTTGAGCCTGTTGACAATGCAGAGCAGTCGGAAATATCGCAAACGGAGACAGACGATGCTGGATCTAAGCGTTTGGTTAGGCGCGAAGGATGGAACCGAGTCAGACATAGCAGTCACGTTTCGCGTAGCGTTGAAAAGGACGTTGGCAAAAGTGATAAGACGCATTCCAGCGGTACCCAAAGTTTGCCGTGCGCTAAAAGTGAACCAATGAGCCATACGACGCCTGAGCAGCCCTATGAACTCCCATCGGCGCATATCGACGAGGAAAATGGTATTCAAACTCCACGTGCTCGTAATGACGCGGCTGGTATTATCAAGTCTATGCGGAGACGCGAATACTGGGCAACTCAGTCGGAATTAAACGTGTGCAGCGGTGATGACAGCGATTCGTACCCCGGTATTTCCCATAAAGGTATTCTGTCAGACAGTTCTAGACGCTATTCCTACAATGCAGAATGCAATGTTGGTTATACTGTGCACAGCAGGCGTGCCATTAGGAGCCGCCGAAGTTCGCCTTCGCATGATACTTCGGAAACTGATACGCCGCATATAGTCGCACAATCTTCAGATGATACCACAGTGGGAATTGACGACGCCAGGTCAACTGGAAGAACGAACTCCAAGTTAGGCACTGCAATAAAGACGCATCATATCAACATAAGAAACACGGCACTCAACGTCAAAGGCAGAGAACCACTTGGTGTCGTGATGTGTTGGTTATCGCCAAGGGTGCTGCTGGTAGGCTCAAAAAACACGATGCAAGTCGTAGACATCATTCCTTCGCTCATGGGTAAAGGCGGGTTCGGGCACAAAAGCGTTACCACAAAGCGCATCGATTTTCTGGATGTGAGCAACTCAGCCATAAGAATAGACGGCTACGGCGTGGCGCAATACGTTTCTGTAAAGGAGAAACGCATGCAGCGAAACGTTCCCTTAAGAGGTACTGTTTCATACACCCTCAAGGCACCGGACACATGCCGCATTGCTGCCATTATGCGGCACAGCGGTAAAGGCTCATTCTCCGTCATATATGAATTAGACGAACGTTCTATAGCAACAGGTGTGTCTAAGATAAAACAGGGGCAAGATAGTTTTACCTTTAGAATTGTACGTGCGCAAGATGGTAGCCGCCGCAACGCCCCAAAAGAATTACACGGTATTGGAAGCGAGAACAAGGCGATCTTCGCATTCAACGCGTTTGATCCGTGCTACAACGATGTGTATGTGAACGAATCATACATGCAGTGCCTACGGGTCGGTGACGGCAGACGAGGGCTTAACCAACGGACGTTCCTACAACTGACGTGCAGGATCACAGAACAAAGACTGGAAATATGTCGAGCCCAACAATTTGTCATGAACAACTTTTGCTGCTATGACACGGATAATGTTGAACATTGTCTGCATCTGGTAGATCATCCAAATCGTAAATACGCCGATACATCGATCAGAGCCTTGGTATGCGGCGGCAGCTGTCCAGCGGACAATGCCGCCATAAATTCGCTCAATATAAACAGTGAAATGCTTCACTGTTTCAGTGACCCAGAGAAGTTTGAAACTCTTTGTATTGTCGTGAGGGGGCTGTTGGTGACCATAAAGGGAGCGACACTAATGCAGCATATTGGCCAATTATGTCGGCATCGAGCTCATGAAGAGGCACTCTCAGAAATTATGCAGATGTCGAGTGTAAGCACATTGGGTGCTGAGTGTGACGTTTATGTGCATGATGTTGCCAGAAAGGGGTTCGAATGTTTCCTGTCTGCCAAAAGCGTCGATGTACAAAAAATCGTAAACCTAACATTGCCATACATTCGGTACTGCGCTCAGATGTCAGACGACCCCAAAAGAGCACAACACATCCGAGAGTTAGTAGCACAATTCGGAAATCACAAAAGAATGAACATCCTTCTCGGACACATCTTGCCACCTGCTATGTCAAGTGCCAAGCGTGAATGCCAAGACGTGTGCAATCTTATTCGACGTGAAGTATTCAGCGTTGTGACCGCGGATATGCCTTTTGTGTTGCTTAGGTTGGCGTTGACGGTAAACTTAACCATCGAGCATCTAAGGGAAATGGTCAAACTGCTGAAACAGTGCATTACTACGTTGGCTTCTGAACCTCCGTCAATAATAGCGGATACACCCTATGATCGTGCTAAAGAGGAGTGCCACCCTTCCCATGTAATACGAGAGTGTAAAGCAACTGGCAACAGGGGGGTGACGTGGAGTGTTGGTAAATGGAGACGCAGCAACGCAAAGTGCAATGCTGACCCGAATGTTACGAATTCAAAAATGGATCTTTTTGTATGTGATGCATCACTTTTTCTGGGTGACGGAGAGAAACGGATGATGGCAAATACACATCCAAAAGATGAGAATGACGTATTTCATACTGTGGCTCTTAACGGCTCGAATTATGTGGATTGTACGAATAATCTATCATTGGCGTATGCCTTGTTAGATCACGACTGCACAGAAAAGAGGGAACCACACCACAGTAGGGTCCATTGGGAAGGGATACTTAAAGAAACGAACAGAATAGATGTCGAACTCCTAAAACTAAGAGGTGGCAATGTTCCCCTTGTAAACGAACATTCCACCGATTTTGAGTTACTGTCTCTTGCATCTTTTGGGTCAAACTACAGTCTTGAGCATTTTATGTTGATGGATTATGGACCCCTAGGACGTGCGGCTATCATAGCCTTGGGAGTGTTGCTCGCGAGAACCGGCCAACTCAGGCAGGCGTTCAAATTTCTTGTGTACGCGCAGTGTACAAGTTCGATAAACCTTGCCAATGTCATATGTGATTTATACCCCGATGCAGGGGAATATGTCATGAATGCGGCACTGCAGCTCTGCCGTATAGATCCCCAGTCTGCAATCCAACTGCTAGTCGAGAACTCGAAGACGCCGGAGTATATCACCAATGTGGTACGAACGCTGTCATTAGAGCCAAAGTTTCTGTTTGGTTACCTGAGTGGTTTATCTGCTAATGGTGGACTTCCCAGCCAATATATCCAACTCTTCTTCAGATTAAGTTGCGTATTCGAACCATCGGGGATCGTCACACTCGTTAAAAGTATCGTGCCGCTGTTAAAGAGAAATGAGATTGGTATCGGAGCCTTGCTTAGAATTTTATTAGAGGTGCGAATTGCAAGGGCAGTAACACCGGTAAGTGATGCTGGGAGCAGTCACGAGCCTATGATGCAAAAGGAACTCTATTTCGCGGAAGCATATCTGAGGTATATTGCAGGTGAGCCCTGGAACACAGTATACGACTGCGTCATGATGGCATTGCGTTTCGACATGATGGGCATGAGAGATAGGGATCCCAAAGAGCCATCAGTAGGAGCCATCTACAGAAGACTTCTGGCATTGGTTCAACCGCTGTGGGACGGAGGTACATCGTGGGTTGTGATGCAACGGATGATGAGAGAAGTGTGTGAGCGTACTGCCGGCAGAAGCGTGGCTTCGGATCTGGCAGCGGAAATGTACTTGCAGTTCGTGAAATACAAATCGTACCTGCTATGCGTACTGGAAGGTTCACAGAACATCAGCATGGCGCAATATTCCACTCAGCTTCTTGATGTAGCGAAAAGAGGGATGGTATTCAACCCCGACAACGAGTTCGTGGCCTATGCGGCGGTGCGTGAAGACCATGGCACAACACATAAGACCACCAAGGATGCAATTCTCAAGACTAAGTTTGTTGGCGCGAAGAAATCAGAATCCCACAACGTTTTGAATGGCGTTAACGTCGGATATGCAGGTGAAACTCGTCGGCGTTGCCGGCTCGAGGGCGTGCCGGCACGGGAATCAATGGGTTCGTATAACGGCAAAAACCTATCATGTGGTTTTGGTTCATACAACCAGCTTATAGGTCGTGAAAAGGTGATCGGCTGCAGGCATTTATGTACAATATGTAATTCATTATACATCGCAACGCACTGTGACCTGTTTATAACACCGCAAATGTTGGCAGCTATTCGGGACACTATTTCGGGAACGAAAAATTTTATCCAGTATCCCAATAAACCCAAGACCCTATACTTCTTCTGTGGTCACGTGACCCACGAGTTCTGCCAAGTCATGCTCATAAACAGGGCGATCGAGCTTGGGTCGCACCGGCAGGGTACGAATCCTTCACACAGCACCCGGCCCGCAAGTGGCAACAGTGGCACTATGGCAACGTGTAGAGATAGCGAAGGCATGACGAAACGTAAATTGCTACGAATGGAACGCTTAAGAGCCTCCTGCCTCGTCTGTTTGTGTAATATGGTCGGCGTCTGCGAAACCAGCCGACAAGAGGACCTCGTTCTCACTAATGTATAAATTTTACAAACTACATGAACGTGAGGTGTGATTTACTTTGCATTTGGGTGAGACGTTTTGGCATTCGATGTTACAACGAGCTGCTTGTTCCATCCGGTGGCTGCAGGCAATCCGAGGGAGCACATCCCGTTCACGGTAACCGAACCAGGTCGGTGGATACATCTGTGTCCTGTATGGAGGCGCATTCCGCGTCCTTGCTTTCCTCGGTCTCGATACGCAGTACCCTCAGATGGTAGGTGACTCCACCATGCGTGATAGGGATGGTGGACCCCCGCGTTAGAGTCGAATAGTGCTTCAGATGCTCCTCCAACACCGACTTTGGTGAAGCCAGTTCAAAGAACGACGCCTCTAGCGGTGCTAGTCTCACAAAAGTCGCGTCGGGAAGTTTATGTTGCGATAAGTGCACCACGTCATACGGCCTGCACAACGCTTCTACGTAAAGACTGCCAAACTCACTGTAGCTGTAAGCTCTCCATCATCCAACGCGGCATGAAAATGAAGTTATCCTGCGGTCTAAACTCGAGCGATGAGCAGGCGAGGCGTTCCTTGGGGCCGTCCTCTGCGTTTGAATTATAACCAGGCGTAAGAATACGAACCTTTAGAAAAGAAGTCGTTGTTCGTGCTAGGAAGTTTGGCGCTTCGTTCATCAGTTTTAGATGACAGTTTGCACCGGTGCACCTTCTGTATCAAAAACTGCCATGGCACTGGTGCGTTACCATCAGTCAGCTGCGTTAAAATGCTCTCTGGCAACGACACCTTGTCGCTATTAGTCAGAAGCAGGCGATCGCCATCCGCAGATCGGCAATGACGCGAAAACGGTTCGCCCAGCTCTAGCACAATCAGCAGACGCTCGATGCCAGGGCGCTGCTGCAGCTGGAGGTTCACATCCCGTACGTAGCTCTCCACCTACACCGAGTCAGCCTAAATCACTGTCAAACTCACCCTTGCCCGGTCAAAAGAGCGCCAAAGCCGATCAAACGATAGGAATCCATGTAGTTGTGGCGCGATTGGCCTCGAAGGATAGGATTTACGAAGCGCGTAGCACGGTGGAAGGCTACGCAAGAGGAATACGACGACGCAAATCCATAGCTGCGGTATGACGCGCCAATACGGGGAGGTGCTAACCATGGCCCATTTCAAAGTGTCTAATACGTTGCAATGTCTGCGTCTGCTGTGGAAAACAGTGTGCAAGGGTAAACACGCCTACGTGCCCGCTACACTGTAAAGAGTCTCTAAAAGCAGGGTCTACGGTAAAGCCAGTGATGCATTTAAGCACAATTCAGGTCCGTCTCTAATCGGAGCAGAGGTCGAGTGAACCAACACACCGAAAATGGATGCATCTAGCCGGCGTTGTCTAAACACCGACGCCGCAACCTTCAGGACGGTTCTACGATAAATACCGTACACATTACAAAAATTGTGATCAAATACGACGCGCAATCAAAGTGTGTACCACGGCTCGCAATGACGCTTTTTTTCGTCGCGACTTTTTAGCGTCACCTCACACCGCACGCACCGCCTTAAAACGCAACATGGCGATCAAAACACACATTCGTATTATCGGTGCAAAATCTGTTAAAGGTGCCATGGAGGGCGGGCAAGCTGATCGGCGTTCGGGACGGTCGTTGGCAGCGGAGAAATTAGCTGCCACGATGGTTTCCCGGGGGAGCGCTAGCCACGAGGAGGATGACAGCCACCACGGTACCGCCAACGGCCGTTTAGAATCAAACGGCGGCCGCTACCGAGGGTCGGAAAAGCAAGGGAAAATGAAGATTGTCATCGAGGATGGCGCCACCAACGCCGATATGCGCCGTAAAATGTTCAAGGACGCCGGGATGGCAATAATGCTTTTCGGCTTAGTGTGCACGTGTTACATCATCTACTCGTATCTGCAGGAGCTCATGATGCGCATCCCGATTATGGGCGACAAAAAATTCGACTACCCGGTCTTCCTCGCCTTCAGCTGCTTCGCAACTAACCTCGTCACGACGTCGGTGCTCATGGGAGCCATGCAGCTGAGGCTTAACTGGCGTCACAGGAAGCTGGATGACTCGGCGGAGCAACCCAAAAGCGTCTTCGAGGATTTGGACAGGAAAGTAGCATTCCTGGGAGTGCTCGCAGCCACGTCGAACGTGTTTTCCATGCTCTCAGCTCTCGCCTCAATCAAATATGTTGGGATTCCCACCCAAATCGTCATTAAGAGTGCAAAAATGATACCCGTTCTTATTGGAGGGTTTGTCATTTTTGGTAGGAGGTATCCTGTGTACGACTACGTTGCCGTCTTTGTGATCACGCTTTGTGTCTTCGGCTTCAACTACTTCAAGCCAAAGGGCAGGATGGATGGAGAAAACTCTCTTCTCGGCATGCTCATGTGCTTCTTCTCGCTGTTCTGTGACGGTGTCACGGGGCCACTCGAGGACAAGATGCTTGCCACCAAGGACCTCCACCCCTTCATGCTGCTTTTCTCCCTCAACTTCTTCGGGTTTCCGCTGGCCACCGCTGCGGTGTTCGTATTCGAGGGCACGGCTCCGTTCAGGATACTGCTGCAGAACCCGCAGATATGGATGTACCTGGCGCTTCTCTCCCTCACCGCCAGCATTGGGCAGGTCTTCATCGTGGTTTGCCTTAAGTTGTATGGCAGCCTCTACACCACCCTCATCACGACGATCAGGAAGATTGCAAGCTCCTTGATATCTATCTTCATGTTCAATCATGATATGTCGGTAATGCAGTGGGTTTCGATGTCAGGGACATTCGCTACCCTGTTCGTCAGGCAGTTCTTTAAGTACAAAATGAACACTAAGAACAAAGGCGCGAACGGACACGGGCACTGATGGGTGCTTGTTTGTATGTGGGAGTATAATTTCTGAGCCAGGGTGAAACTGGTGGATACGAGACAGTCAGGGTGTTGCAAGTGCCTAGATGCGCGGACGCCCAGAAACGGTGGGCGACGAACCGAACATCCGGGATGTGAATCAAGGAATCGATACACGCACTAGATGCTATTCAGCACGCTAACTAAGAAGCATAAATTATACGCATCGCATTCCATTGAATGAAACTGAACCGTGCCTGCTACTGGGGTTCGTCCCCCTTCTCGCTGGCATAAGTGTACATCTCTGAATGCATACAAAATCCGCGTTAGACGCGGCACCGCTTAAAATCGGATCGTTACCAATCCGAAACAGATGAACCGATACCCATTTACAAATTGTCCGTGAAATTTTCAGCTGGACGCGGGATTTCCCCTGGCCTCCAGCAGCCGTGTAATGGCGGCCGAAATGTCGCCTCCCGTCGAGTTCAGCACACTAAGGTTTTCTTCGCGGTTGGTGAAACCCATCTCCTGCAGCGTCTGCAGCTGGAAAGCGTAACGCTCCTCCGGGGGGCGGGTGTCGGTCGGCATGGCTGCCGCCGGGAAGTTGAAACCAGGGAAACCGCCAGCCATCAGAGGGTTGAACAAGTTCTCAGTGCCTACAGAGTATTATAAAAATTGTGCCACTCAAAACAATCACAAACAAACTGTGTTACAACAGAAACCGATGCAGGGGAAATAACTCACCGGGAGCCGCGGCAGGGGCAGCGGGATTAGCCCCTGCCTGCTGCTGTTGCTGCTGCATCGACTGGCGGAGCTGAAGACCGGCCTGAAGCATACCCGGGCGCATCATGCTGCGCAGGAACTCAGGGTTGTTCATCATCTGGTTGAACATAGGGTTTTGCTGCTGTTAAATAAGCGGTCACAACGAAGGCAGAAAACCAACCATCATGGGCTGCAACAGCGGGTTATTCCCCAACAAATCCTTAAGAAGCTGTGGGTTGTTGCTAATCTGTTGCATTATCTCCTGCACCATGGGGTTGTTCAGAAGGGCAGCGGCGGCCTGCGGGTTGAGGTCGTCCATACCGCCCATACCACCCATGCCGCCCATTCCACCCATGCCACCGAAACCACCCATACCCATTCCTGAGGAATGTTTGAAGACTAAAAATGGTGTTTAGTTACCCTGCATCATCTGCTGCATAGCTTCCGGCGAAAAGGCGTTGGCCTGGCCGAAGGGAAAAGCATCTGCGGTGGGAGCTGCATTGGCGTTCCCTCCAGCGGTAGGGGTTGATTTGGGCGCTTCCGCTTCTAAGAGATGTGGTGAGACAATAAAAACAACTAACGAGTACCCGAAGATGTGCCAGATGAAGTTGCTGGTTTCACACCGCTCCGGACTAGGTGGATGGTGTTGCCATCCTCAACCTTGAGAGATTCCAAAGTCTCACCGTCCTTCACTATGCGGCCTAACAGGTGATTGTGTTCCCGTACATACGCTCTTACCCTTGAAGATAAGTCGCTGCTTATCGGCGGTGGCACCCGCGCGCTCGGCACACTTCTCCTTCAGTTCCAGTACGGTTGTGGATTGTTCCGCCTCGACTTCGAAAGTCTCGCCGCCACTTATCTTTATCGTCACTTTAATGGCCATTTTTAGGGCGCAAAACAACTATATTCGGGGCGACACACAGCGCAAAACGCCACGCCTTATTAGCGCAAAATCGACGCACAATAACGTCACTTACACACCTCAATGAATCAAGGCTACAATTATGCCAAAAGCAAAATGGCAGTCGCCGTTTGAAGGGACCGTATCGCGGAGGCAACCATAGCGATGGGGGACGCAAGCACAATATCACCGGCTCCGTTAATGCCGCTGGAACAATTGTATACGGTACTAAGCACTAATTATACGAATCCACGTTATCTCTTCGGTTGAACCTCTGCTGGATCATACGGCCATACCTTGCCATTAGGGTTGCGGCACAGCCTAACTACGTTTGTTAAGAACCTTCCCCGGCACTGCCACGGGAAGTTGAGGTTTTGTTTGCGGAAAACATGGCAGAGCAGATGAGACGCTCGTTTTGCTGCCCTTCGGCTTGCTGATAACTATGCTAAAACGAACAAAGCACTCACCAGCTTGCCTATTAACGCCAGCTGCGCTTGAGCAGTTGCGCAACCAGTGTCTATTTCAAGCGCTTTCAGGAAGTCCTGCGTCGATATGAGTTAGGCGCTCGTACACACACCTTTTTAGCTTCGTCGTAGGAACAAAGCGACATGTAGCAGAGTCCGCGGCGCACGAGCGCCTTAACGTTCGTTGCGTCCAACGATAGAGCCTATGAGCATTATATGTCCATAAGTAATACTGGTACACACCCTGTTGCAATGGAATATCGATTGCCGGAACTCCTGGAGGCGGAACTTGGTCAGCGCGAGATTGATGTGTGTAGACAGCTCCATCTCCCGAAATTTGGCCTTCCAATCCGCGTCATCAGCGAATGTGTAGTCTAGCTGGATCAGAATCTGGGAAATAAAGTGAAATACACGTCGGAAGGTCGAACCTTCTCGTAGAACTTAGCGGCGAGCTTGTATTGCTGCGACGTGAATGCAACCTTCGCCTCCTCGCGGAACCTAAAATTGTTGCCGGTGACACATTTGCAACCTACATCGTACAGGCGCGGTACTTGTCCGGAAGACTGCGCTCGAAAAGCTCGCGTTCCTGCGAAGGTCAGTGCGACGCCAACCGACGCCTACCTTGGACAGGTCGTGTCCACAAGGGTGATTAACTGACCCAGCGCATTCTGCATCGTGCTCGTGGGCACCCTTTGATAAATAAAACCTTAAATGTGTACGAAACTACCTTATTGGTGCAAGACGCGCTGCAGCTGTCACGATATGGGACCTCCCGCATCAAACGCTCGGCGAACTTCCGAGCGGCGGGAGATGTGGTCAACGTTAAAGTCATTGCTTATTTAAAACCTCATTACATCGCTAGTGATATAGCCATCTGTGCCAGTTTTCGGCAAGAAATGACACATCAAAATGCAAGATGACACCTGCCTTCCTTACACCTCACTTCTGCAGGTCTCGCGGAATGGGAGCCGACAACGCATCGGCATTGTAAGCGGGCGCATCACTAGCAGGAGGACAGATGGCTCCCTGTCCACCCGATGATGAAGAACTGTTGCTGGATGTCATATCCTGGGACGAGGTAGCAGGAGCCGCAGCGTCGTCAGCGCTACTGGGGTTGTTGTCGAAGTGAGAAAAAAGGTCCACGGTACAATTTCGTGGCAGACGCTTGCGCTTGAGGGACATCTCTATGTCACGTTTGAGTAAAATGCGCCTCGACTCCGGGATGCCGCTAGCCTCGCATATCTGGTCAACTGCCTCCTTGTATTTGACGGCAGCGTCGTAAGCCTCCTTCACACCGCCGAAAACAGACGGAGTGAACGTCTTCGTGTGGCGGGTGCCGGTTTCGTCGGTGAATGACGTGCGCCAACGAGAGATGCTCGGTACCCAAAACACCTCTACAGCAATGTCAATATAGGCAATTTTCAAACAACCAACCTCTATGCCAGGGTCTCAGAGCCTCAGCCATGTCAGATATATTGCTGGGGACGTTTGAGCGTGGCCTTCCGCGGCGACGGGATTTGCGGGTGCTGTCGCCGAGCGAATCGTCGGTCATGGAGGAGTTGTCATCGAACTCGGCCGAGGAACTCGGATCCCCAACAGCATTGTCGGAAAAGTGGTCCGCTGTTTCCTGTGACTTAGACTCGGTTGACCGCCGCGTTGAGACTGCAGAGGAATAGCCAGACGGACTCTCCGCATGGCTGCTTCCTGCATTATCTTCCTGATGGGAGGAGTTGCCTACGCCACGATCGATTCCTCCTGCACGGTAAATGTCTGATCGGGAGGGAATGGCTTGCGAGTCAAGCTGGATGATGTAGTCCTGAGTGAGACCGGCTGTCTGCCGGCGATGTGCTGATTCATCTCCCACCCGATCTTGCCTGTTTTTGCGTCTTGCGTGGCGCTGATGAAGACGCAGCAAACCCATCCCTTCGGCCTTGAACTGTGGCGCTTTACGCGAGCTTCCGTGCCTTGTGTGGCCTGCCAGCAGAGAAAGGAAGCGTAGGTTATCGTAGTCACGCCCAGCGGTCAGATGTGCACTGCATGCGCCGGTGCAATATTGCGTCTGCAGCTCATGATAGCGATTGACAAAATGTGAAGCTGCGAGCGCATCGGCGCATGTAGCATGAAGTAGGGGTGCTGAGTGGTAGGTGTCACCTCTCGGCAAGCAAGACGATTCGACATGCGTGGTAGTAAGTGCTAACCTCTCCTTGGCGGAGGCCAGGATAGCTTCGCCGGCGGTCGAAACATCGGGGACTGGGGAAATGCCGCTGCTAGAAGACCTATTCGGGGAACGTGTCGATGGAGGGAGGCCATGACCGTGGGCAAGTTGACGTCGCGACAAATAATCCACCGGTTCGCTGGCACATAAGTCTGTAGGGCAACCCTTTAATCGACCAGCACTGATGCTTGCCAACGCGTCGAAACCTCCGCAAAAGTTACTGCCAGAGAATCCGACGCCACGTGGTGTGTCGCGGTGGGCATTAGACAACGACCCACTCAAACTGTCGTCGAAGAAAATAGAACCGAGCGGCAGAGTGTCCTCATACCTTCTGGTGTTCTCAACATTTAACAAGTTATCTGGAGGAATCAATGCCTCATTACGGTTCCAACATCCGCAGATTTCAGACGAGGCATTTCCGCAATTATCAGTTAAGGCTGCCGAACCAACGGTCAAGCGGGCAGAAGGCACCGCCGATGTGGCTTCTACACCGTCCGCGAAGAATTCGGTAAAGTCGAGTACCGAAAGCTTCTCCGATCCGCCCGGCTTTTCGAATGCGCTCCTACACACTCCGCACGGACAGTCCGTATCCTTGCTACGCAGGTGGCACACAATCAAACGACCCCAATGATACAATGCCGATAGCCATACGTTGGCGACGTCGTTGCTCGACGTGCTGAAATAGAAGGTTCCTCCAGAAGAACAAATCTCTGGTGGAACCTTGACACACCAGCGACGCAGCACGCTGTCATAAGACAAACCTTCCAGAACTGGTAGGCCTCGGGCACATCTTTCATCACCGCGCGCATTTTTGCCTGCGCGTAGGTTAGCCATTGCATCGTCGACGTTGTGCGCATCGCGAAGGAATAGCCTAGGAACAGAAGATACGGACTCGTAATCCGGCTTACATACTGCTCGACATAAAATAATGTGCGATCACATATATAGGTCAGCAGTGTTGCAACATCGCAACGTTTTGCTCGACCAAGCTTACATCCGGGTGTAAAATTGTTGTCCCAAAATGCAAAGTATATGTAGCAAATGGTCAAACAAACTTAAATATCCTCAACCTGAATTCAATCCCGTAGTACATGTGTCTGTAATACTCAATTAAAACAGAAACCTTATCATTGGTGTATGAATTATTAAAAATAAATTAATGACTAGCGCTATCCCATTTATGGTGGCCAAACGAGTTTAACATGCCCATGGGGCCACAGATCCGGTACCACCATGAGTCAAACCATTCAAACAGCAGCAGTTGCAATTTATTTTTGCCCTTTGCGAGGAATCAGCAGCAGGTTGTGTGGCAATTCAGGTTCACCGTTGAGTCTGGCAAATTTGAAAAAGAATATATTTTATAACAATCGACATTTTAACTAGCTAGTGACAATCGAAGGATTTTGTCTGCAAATCTTTTGTATTACAGCGTATGAGGTATTCTAAGATCCATTATCACCTATCATGTCAAACCAATAAAAATAGGGGGCGATTTTATCACAATCATTACCTATTAGCACTTACGGCACTGTTGTCGTTAGTGCTTAATAAGAGCTCATTTCACCAACGCAATACCTGCATACTGCACGAGCCAGCTTCTGACTCTCTGATGTTGGGAATGACCGTACCATAACCGTTCATCTGTTCTTTTGCAGTGCTAGTTGTTCGGTTGTAACCTTATTATCTCAACCAAGTTGGCGTGTTTGGTAATCTTAATCTCCATAATTGTGATCGTTTTTCACCAACTATGTCGGCAAGTTCGTGTTCAATGGGCATAGGTGGATATTCCTCGCTAGGTTAAACGACTATGCCTTAATATAAAATTTTTTGTTGTCCAAGCAATATATACACGTTAATCGTTATTAAAATATATATTATGTTATGTGATAGGCTATTCTACGTGCCAAAATTCCCCTTTAAACTTTTTTTGACGAAATTTCCTCTACATCATGCTGTCTAGAAGCGGTCATGCGGCTTCCCTCGGCACCCATTTTCCAACGAATCATAAATCACCGATTAGAAATTGACTCTTAATCCCACACATTCATAAAGTCTATGTTGGTTAAAAGCAAATGTTTTATTCAGTAGAGTTCTTAGTCAATCGTAAGACGCAATATCGATAACCATTACCTAATTTGGAATCATGAAATCTCTTTGGGTAATTTACACAATAGTGGTGCCGTTAATCATGTGTCATGACGCACATGTTTGTGATTTCAGCCGTCCACAGGGGACGCTTAGCGCCAATGCATTCACGTGGTGCACCATGGAAATCGAAGACAACTTCGCATCTATAACATGCCCAAACCGAGTTAACGATACGGATTATCGCTGGCATCCTCAGCCAAGTGTTGGCGATCTCGCCCATCTCAACACATACGTTAGTAGGAGTGGCAAGCTTACTTCTGTTGCGCTTTCCGATGTAATAGTGACAGAAGCACGTGCCTTGTTTTCCGTGGAATCGAAAGAGTCAAGCACGAGCTTGCATATCGATCTTAGCTATGACGATATATATGCCATTACGGAACACCGTTTTATATTCATTTGTGGACCGCAGGACCTTATTTTGAGTGATTCGCTGCAACAGAGCATCGACCGCTTCGATGGATTTAGTCGCATAAAAGAGCTTCCTTGGATCTCAGAAACTCCATTGGCTCGGGAAATTACGAACATTGGCAAAGGATTGGGGGCGGTGTTCCTGTACAGAGGGCACCTAACTTTACTACTGCAGGGTTGTGGTAGCCGCCCGTCACCACTGTTTGCTGCGACTAATGAGGTGACTGTGGATCCCGTAACTGGCATACGTTCATGCTTTGCGGACCCTATGTCGGAATCACGCATCGGATTTCTTTGCGAAGGTCGGATTGAACCTGAGGATTGCATGAGGTCCCTCATTGACGAGAATGGAGAGGTTGTGGCTGCCCCCGAATCGCACCCGTACTGGAGTTTCGATACTCATAAGCCTTGGGTGATAGCGACATACTTTCATAAATTCGCATTGCCGCCGTTCAGTGGCGAATGCAGATGCATAGATTCTAAAACAGGACAGGATAAAGCTAGGATAGAGATTCGTTCGAAAACTAACTACGTTTGTGATATTACAAGTAACATCTTCCGCAACAAAGTTCGCCCCATCCGTGGTCCTTGGTGTTCGGTGGTACTCCATCCAGGCAGCACATTGACGATAAGGTTCCCAACAAAGGCTGTTGACTTGACTCCCATAGACAAACATTCGGACAAGGATTTGGGCGAACGTTTGTCGACTGTCCCATTTTCTCAACTGCCGTCAATTTATGAATACGAAACTGAATTTCTGCCCAAGGACTTGACTACGCTGAGACAACTGAAAAACGCCTGTGACGATATATATAACGAAATCTCATATGTCAATGCCCTTGTTGGTGATGCTCTTGAATTGGATGTTTCACAGATGTCCCGGGGAGAGGTAAAACTAAAATACCACTTAGGCAAGCCCCTCTCGTTACGAGATGGAGAGAATTCGTTCATTTATCATTGGACTTTGGTATCTAGGAACGACAATGTTCCAGATAAGATACGCGCAATAGTCAATGTCTCTTTCGCGTTTACCCATCACTACCGTATCGTCAATTGCGAGCGAGGGACTCCAAGTCTCTTCCATCCTACGATTAGGGAGAAGTACTGTTCAACCAAACGTATGGGCAATGGAATAGGGTATGTTTATGAATGCAGGTACCACCACATGTGGGATAGTTGGCAGGCTGGCATCCACTGCAAGTCCGATGAGGAGCTGTTGCCAAACAACTGTGAGTCTACAGGGTACGACCTTTCATCCAATCAGATTATATCGTTCCCTGCGTCCGTCCGTAAGGTGACGCATCACCCTATTCGGGGGTTCCAGGTGCTAGAGATGAATCATCGCGAAAGCGCTATCAGTTATACTTGCGTCTGTGTTGGCCAAAATGGATACGAAAAGTCCAAGCTTATTGTAGATCACTTCGAAAGCGAGACGCATATATATACAGTGCGTCAGGAATACGCATCTATACCGTTGCAACCTTACACGTTGCTTCCTTGGACTGAGGCAGGGTTACCAAGTGAAGAACTCGCATCGCCAAAATCTCTTATCCTATACAACATATCTCCAAAGACAGTCATACTACGTGTGGGCAGAGCTCTGTTCATGGTTTGTGAGCACGGGCAGTCGACGTTTGCAAACAACGGAGAGATCACAACAACATGGCTGCCAAAGCAACCCAGTGAATTCCATTATATCCTCAATCATACGCCTGAAGGGCCTGAGCTAACACGTAAGATATACAAAGATGCCATAGCCACAACGGCTGGCGGGTTTGACGTCAGATACCAAGAGATCGACAGGAGACCCGGGTATCAAATTCTGGTTATACAATTGAATAGGGGTGCAATAGTAATATCCAAAGACCGATTTCACAAGACATACGTGCCAATGACATTTGTCTGCGGTAAGACACCCGAACCATCGGATTTGTCCATTATCACTGATGATGCAACTACACCACACTCTTCCGCACAGTTCATACCTCATACCACAAGATTCTCAGAAAATTACACGTGGCACATCGTTGATGTTGCTGTCGAGACAACGGACCCGTACATGCAGGGCTGCGGCGTCACATACTCGTCGGATAAGTTGTTCAAGCCTGAGACGCCACAACTTTACAACGGTGATGGGCAGTCGCAGTTCGGTTGCAAGATCGATCTCCAAGCTGCCAAGGAAGCTGCGTTCTACTGCCCGGCGCCGTATGTCCTGGACCCACCCAACTGCTTCAGCCAAGTATTAGTGGACGGTAGCGTGAAGAACACTCGTGACATCAGCGAATCGTTGGTAGCGTCGCGATCTAACCACTTTGTCATCCTTAGATTCGATCGTTTCCGAGTAAGGCACGGTGAGACGTTGCGCCAGACGCCTCCGTTGGAGTGCCGCTGCGTCACCACAAAGGATGTCATCCTCTCAACCATGCAGATCGAGAACTATTACTCAAAGTGATAAGTAACTGCTAAGCGATAATATGTTGATAAATTGTACTAATTAGTTTGCTTTAGTTGTTTATGGTGGTCCCATGTTGTTTTAGGTATTTCTGTGGCAGGGTACACTCAGCTATAAAATATTAATTTTGATGGTACAACATACTGTCGTGTTCTAGTGTTACGCTAGCTGTTTATTACTTGTGTGGATGGCCTTAAACTTGAGTAAAGGATGTGGAATGTAATCGCATCTGCCTACACCTTCATTTAGCCTAGAGTTGTGCCGTTATGAGGAAGATGTACTATGAGCACCTTCATTGATCCTCATACGTTAGAGCATTGGCAATGCCTTTAACGCGCAAGAATCGACAAACTATAGTACCGCTTAACGTAGTGCAGTTACCTCACTAATGTTGGTGATGGATTGCCGTGTCAGTGCTTGGCCACTTTAGTCCACCGGTAACAGCGAAAGCATACGTAGTTCCGTCTGACAATTGTATCTTCACGCCGCGGTAGCCACTATGTCATGTAATGCCACAGTGGGTTGTACTGGAGGTTTCCAACTGCGCGTTTCGAGGTTTCACCGGGCTCAACCATACTGCTTACAGCTTGGTGGGATGGGTGAGGGGAAAGGATAGAATACCTCATAGTAGGATATGAGACGTCATTCCAGCATGCTTCGTTACGTGTTAATAGCATGAAGACGCGGGAAGTAATTTTTGCATGGGATTGTATCTAGTGATTTACAGACTTAGGTGGAACACTGATGCTGCAACTGTCTTTGGGTGAATAGTACAATGCGCAAACCAGATGGGATGCGAGTAACAATAATGACAGACACCACTTTCAAACCTGTCCGGAACCAGTACAGGCGTAACGATGACAATCGATCTATCACATCAATTAATGCGTAATTTTATAACCGGGCATACGTTTGCCCAGCGTTATGTGGATTAGAGTTGGCAATATATAAATGGCCCTGCTGGGCGTTGTATCTCTGTGGTGCGAGGCGCGCAGCTGTGGTATCCCTGGCGGTGGGTTGGGTGGAAGCTCCCACGCTGCTACACGAAAGCTGACGGGAAGTGGCGTAGCGGCGTCACAATGAAGGGTGAGGATAGACATCCTGTATTCCACCCGGAAACCTAATGGGATATGCCGAGCACTTACCGTGTGGCAAACCTACACGCCGGTTTGGGTGCGGGATTGCTGAATCCCTGAGCTTGTTGCCTTTCCTCCACCTTAGGTAGGTGGGATGGTTTTATGATTTTCGTGTTGCTTCACGTGTTTTAAGGGTGGAGCGGGCGTGTTGCATCTTACTACTATGACGCACTTTGTTGTCACTCAGTCTCAGCTTGTAGCCTGTTCAGATAGCGCGCTTGGCGGTTTGTCATGCTGTGTTGTAGGCAGTATCGCCTTATGTACGTAATCATTCTAAGATGTTCCTGGTTCACAGCTTTGGGCGCTTTTTCATGCTGTGTTCAGGGCTGTTCCGGCAAATTGCCACTCACAAGTTTTGATCACTATCGCATTTTAAGATCACGGCTTCATACGCTCTTCACACATTCACTCTTACTTGGCAACATATTGCCTTATTGGCAGTTGACATGATGGCCGCTAAGAGCGTTTCTTTCAAAACTCTTAAAGAGTGCCTTGAGTTCCTGGAGTGGTTGAATAATTCAAACCAGGATCGTCTGAGAGGTCTGGTGGCCAAAGAACTGGCTGCGCTTCTTAAAAGCTTCTATCATAATGCTGATCAAAAACAAATCATACCAGCATTGTCCCGATTCCTTGGTCACGTTTCTACGTTTTATAAGAAATTATGTAAATCCGCGGGTGGCGTCTACCATGGTAGCAAAGGCCCTAAAGATTTAACCGAAGCGCTCCTCGACTGCGTTCCCAAGTTCCTGACCGCTATGTACTTTTTGTGGTATAACGTGGATAGATGGTTCGATGCACTGGGGGGAGGGAAGTGGAAGTATAATGTCCCCGGAATGGAAGGGTGGAGTTGGTGGGCGCTTCGCTACGGTGATTGGGGGGGTGGGCTGCAGAAATATCTCACATCGTCCGACTCCACGAAATACGGTGTGATGCCCGGCGGCTTCGATGCAAAAGATTTGAAAGAGGGGTGGTACTACTATTCTTACGGGGGTTATTACTATGCGGAAGACATGGCGGCAGACATTAAAAGGATTTTGAAGAAAGATCGTAATATGCACAATTTTTACCGCGACGTATTTGTGACTACGATTATTGCATCCACTGGCTTGGAGCATGTAAACACTGCAAACGCTGTTGGTTTGGTGGGCGTGTTCTGCGAGATTGTAAATGCGGAGGCAAACAAAAATAGTAGCGGCGGACAGTTAATAAAGCAACTGGATGAAGACTTGAGAAAGCAACAAGAATTTCGAGACAGACAAATAAATTGGGATGAATTGAAAAAACATTGCGCCAAACTTAAAAAATCCCTAATAGACAAATTGTTCGTCGCATCATACTTCAACCACACTGGCCAATCTCCGGATATTAAAAACCTCAATCAGACGGAATTCGCAAAAAAGACGGCGCAGTGGTTCAGGAGTGATTTGTTGAAAGTGCGTCAGAACCTGAGGAAAAGTTACCGTATTGATTACACTTCCAGTGCAGTTCCGCTTAACTTTTTCGCCACCACATTTCTTTTCCCCCACGGATTCATATTTGGCAAAGGACAATATGGAACGCTGGGAGACGATCGTGATGTTTTGAAGAAGGATTGGCCTATTGTCATAAAAGAACTTGAGCAAGACGGTCGCGGCCTGAAAAGGCTTGTAAGAATTCTGAAAGGCGAGACGTCTCAAACGCACGGCCCCGGAGGGTCTTCTGATGCAGATGAAGATTCAGAAGACAGCGATTCAGAAGACGACGATGCAGACGAATCCGGTGTTGCAACTCCTGCTCCAGGGCCTCGGCCTTCATCATCAGGCACATCCGGTGCTGGCAGCGGTGCAGGGCGTGGCCGTGGCCGTGGGGGTCGGGGCCGGTGGTCTCGTGGGCGGCAGCCTGGTGTTAGAGGTCCGAGAGGGGGAGGAGGGGGAAGAGGACAGGCCAAAATGGTAAAAATTGTAAAGACATTCCGTAAAGGTGGTAGAGCTGGAAAAGGTCCGGACCGTTCTTCCGAACCCCAGCCATCTCCTGGCGCAGTGCCCACTCAGACTTCAGCTTCACCAGGTGAGTCAGTGGTTAACACTGGACAAGATGTCGCTGGTCATGAAGATGGAGATCCCGAAGAAGATGAAGGTTTACCAGTGCGCGATGATTCAGATGTCGAGACGTCTTCTGGTCCAGGTGTCGGTGAAACTGGAGGGCGGGGGGCGACGGATCAGCCGGAGGCACAAAAAAAGAAAACACTTAAAGAACGAGAAGATGAAGTCAATCGTATACATCAGGAAGAGCAGCGTAGGCTTCAAGACGAGCAACGCAAAATGCAGGATATTTATGAAGAACGTCAACGTCAATGGCAGGAGTATCAGGACTCCTTGACCGCTCTGGAAGGGTATAGTGTTGATGCATTGGATGGAGAAGTGAAGCCGGACAATGAGTATATGTATCGCCAACAACAGGAAGAGCGCAACAGTATTCTTATGAGCAGTTTGGACGTTTCGGGTGATATACTACCCGCTCCTATTCCAACACCCCTTCCACAATTTCCCCCCTTCCATGCAGGACCCACGGGCAAGGCAATAAAGGCGCCAGAGTCTCAAATAAAATACCCGTCTCAGAATATAATGATGGATTTAGAAGGACGCCGTCTTCCCTATTTAAAATTAAAGGATCCGTGGTCACCACCTCCCCCAATCCAAAAAACGACTTCCCACCCGCCTCAGCCCACGGAACGCTTTCCAACTTACCTCCCTAAACATAATCATGCGCCACAGTTGCAAGACTCATTGATCAGCGGAAGTAAAATAACCCCTGATACAATTCCAAATGCCAGTATCCCAGTGGATCCTCGCGTTTCGGTGGCGTTTATGCCACAATCCACAGGTCAAGCTATTTTGGACCTTAAAGGAACACGTCGCTTCTCAAATGTTGCCCCCACTTTCAATACTGCTGGAAAACGTGCTCCTACTCTGAATAAATTGCCAGTCACTGTACAACTTGATGACGAATCTATTAGGGAAAGTTTGAAATTCTGCGGAAGCACCCTGACAGGTTCCTCCGAAGAAGAAATGACGCTTTGCCAGGTTGAAAAGATGGATCCCCCAGTTCCATCAGTTTTGTTCAGTGGATCGCCCGTACCCGAGCCCAACTTGAATTCTTCACATAATCCTACAGCTATCTTGCCACCTCCGCCAGGTCCCAGGGGTGCCGATATAAAGAACAGTGATACTGTTGGTCTTCAGCGTATTGTCTCTTCGATCTCCACGCCTGCTCAGGATAAAAGCATTAAGGCTCCACACCCTCCGTCCCCTGGTGTCTCTCTTTCTACTGGTGGTCAGTTCCCGGCTGAGTCGGCATCTCCATCTTTTGACCATAATAGTAAAGGCGATGAAGGCTCCCAGGTTGGTAATGACGCAGATTCTCCCGCTGTGTCAGCTTCCCAGTCACTTGGTTCAGGTGTTAGTCGGGGTCGGGACGGACACGTGCCTTCATTGGCACATGACATAAGACAGCCTCCGATAATCCTTACCGCTTCAGGTCCCAACGAAAGCTTTACTTCTAGGAGGCCTACTACGCAAGATGCTCCACCGGATGGCAGCATTGCTGATGGAGGGGACGGGGCGACGGAAGGGGAGCCTGATAGTAATTTACAGGACAGTTATTCTACAGGCGAAAAGCGTGATGTCGCTTCGAACATCTTAGCGGCCAAGGGTATAATTGTTTCAGGTTCAGACCCTAACTTAATTCTGCTCCCTGGTAAACCACGTATCCCAGGTGCAACTTCACCTGGAAAGAGTGGTCCGCCTCCGGACGCTGAACATACTCAGTCTTCAGTTGTTCCAAGTTCGGACGCGGCATTAACAATTTCAGGCGATCCTGGCGGTGGAAATGATCATGGTGACGCTTTGCAGAATCCTAAAAGCCAGGCTGAAAAGACTACTTCGTCTACTTCACATGCTACATCTCCCGCTGACAAGCCCTTTGGTGCAGATGATGCCGGTTCCGATTCTCCGACTCGAAAAGACCAGCCTGGCCGAGTGACTCCTGGTGACACTATATGGCTACCTGGTCAAGCAATACATCGCGGTAAGGGGGGCAAACCAGTATGGGATGTCCTCAATATGGAGCAAGATTGGGATCAATCCGGTGGATCGGATGAGAAGGGGCTTAAAGATTCTCTACTACCCACTCCGGCTGCCACATCTCCTACCCTAGTCCAACAGCCTGATGGAGCAGCCAATGCTAACCGTTCTAACTCTCAAATTGTACAGATGCAAGAACCTATGGAACTGAACTCTCACCGACGCCCGCATGATCCTTCTTCCACAGCTCTTTCCCCCAGTTCTCTTGGACCCACCGGCCCCTCTGGTAAACCGAGTAACCAAGGTGCGGATATACACGGCAGCGGTGAAAATACACTGCAACCAGGTGACTCCTCAAGTGTTTCGCGTAGTAGGTCTACGAGTGTTGGAAGTCGAGGATCTCAGTCATCTGGTGATCAGGGGCTGAGGAACCATACGTCATCCTCCACTACTAGACAAAGTACAAACGCCCTACAGTTCGGTAGAACACTAGGTAGGCCTGTGGATCTCTCTGTCCTGTCCAATGAGGAAGAGGACGATGAAGCCAGTGGACGAGATGACGATTCGTCAGTGCTGTCCCCTCCAAAATCTCCCTCCAGATCTCCTGGAAGTTCTGTTATTTCTAGTAAACCAGATGGCCAAAGTCCGGGTTCGCGTGGGAGTGACTCTACAGGTTTACAGCCTATCAGTCCTCCTAAAGTTCTGCAAACTCACTCCTCGGATGATTCAAGCACAGGCCATCTGTCATCTGGCAGCAAAGGTCCCGTAAGTGGTGTGAAACCGGCGGCACACAGGCCTTCCAACACTGCTCATCAAATTGACCGAGACAACCATACCGGTCAAGGACTCGATAAATCGGTGTGGGATATATTGGCCCCTACCCATGATTACGATATAGTCAGTGGAGGGGATGGGGTGGCAGCGAGGGGGAAGGGGGCTGGTGGGAATTCACACGTAAGTCAACAACAACCCCCTACTGCAGATCTGGTAAGCCAGAGCGTCAACGGCGATCAAGGACCGATGCACCCCAGTCGTCCACCCTTTGGTTCCGGCGGTGTGCCAAGTGGCAAGGTTCAACCTCCAACACCTGTCGACCATGCAGACCCTACGCATCTTTCAGGAGACGATATTTCAATTCCAGGTGTTTCGCCATCTAGTGTGCATAATTCCGGTGGTGATCCAGGGCTGATTGGACAGCCGATTGCTGACCAAATGAGTGAGAAAGGAGGCAAATCTCGGATATTAAACAAGGGTGACGTGGTGAAGCAATGGCAAAACGCGCAGAATTACGTTAATACCTCATCAACCGGAACATCTGCGGCTGGCGGTGGAGACCTTGTCCATTATATTCCCTCAAATATCTTCGAATCTAATGGTATCCCAACGGTTCACCCTCTGATGCGTCACAGAACTATGGTGGAAAGTACGCCTTTGACAGAATTTTCCAATTTCATACGTGAAAACAATCACGATCCCAAGATAAAGCAATCACAAAAACCCATTACGCCTGCAGAAGTAGACACCCATTCAGAGGTCGTTATTGATGAACTAATTTGCCCATTATATCCTCCAGTATTAGTCACCAAGAAGGTGCCTTACACCGATGCATCCACACCAACGCCACGAACGGTGCGTGAGATGTTGTGTTGGGTGAGCGATTTGCCGTATGCGCCAGGCTACGACGATTTGAAAGATTACATCGAGAGTTTGTTTGCGAAGTCGAAATCAATCGAAAGCTTGCCCGACCCTATATCTGCCATAGACATTATCGCCTCTTTGTTCCAAACTTGTTGGAATACCAGCTCTGTTCTAGCAGGCATCGGGGGATATGAGTCTATTGGCCTTTCCAAATTGCACTACGAACGCTACGGAATTTCTCTGATGTACTACGCCACAGAACCGTGTACGCTGTTGTGCCAGTTACTCACCTATGTCTACGCTTCGTATCATCAGTTATCGTTTCTTCGTACCCAATGCGGAAGGGACTCGAAACAGGGTGGATGGCGTGACTGTCAGTACGGTGAAGATGTGGAGGGTTCCGAAGCTTACCAATGCACAGAGCCGCCTACGAATATTGTAAAATCGTATCATCATGGCTGCAATCCTTCCCCGCTGCAAGGATTTCTCACCGGCCGATCAGATCTGCCAACTTACTGGTATGAGAGAGATGACATATGCCGACAAAGCCAAATAAAAATGGGCTTCCTCGCGAAGGACTTTCCTAACCTGTCTACACATGGATTATATATCTCAATGTTGATAAATGCGCCATGTCAGGCTACAGGCACAGTGGAGAAGCTTTGCACATACCTCACCTGCATCACCAGGCGGACGCCGCGCACCACCGGGGAGCTTGTCTCGTTCTTCCACCATTTTGGGGATTTGCTGCACAAGGATGTTCCAGGAGGATTATCAGACATGGGCTCCGCTCTTTCCACTCCACACGACAACTGCCCCAAGTGGGATAAGCTTAGTCACCCCGACCTCCAAGCCATCAGAACCCTCCGAGGTTCTGACACTTACGCCTCCGACCATGCCGAGACGCTTTCTGCATTGATTTGCTGCGGCATCGATAACTCCAACTGCCGTCAACATCTGCTGCCCATCACCTACCGGGCCTACGCCCTGTACTCATCCAGCTTCGTCCACGACTACCTCAGCTGGGTGGTATACCTACCCGACAGACTGTGGGAGTCACTTGGCCGACTGCAGAAGGAGATGAAGAAGCATGATAACGTAAAGTGTGCATCCCTGTATAACTGTCCCAAGGCCATGCCCCTCCTCTACTCTCACGGGTTCACGCCACCAGGCAGGACACTGCAGTCGCGACTCACGTGCTCACAGGTGATCAACAAGCTGGGAGATGTGGTCGCCGGAGAGCCTATCGCAAACCTCATGACCGCCATGGACAATTTCCTCTACGGCATCCGGGAGCCCTTCTTCTACACCCTAGTCACGCTGTGGTCTGTCGCAATGGCCTTCCTCTCCCACACTGTGCTCTACCGCATGGACGTGCTGCGCATCCGCTCGCACCTCCTCACCACCAGGGCCTCACACCTCATCGACGTCAAGGCCTTACTCTCAAAAGGCCGGAGGATGCTGTCACTGTACCGCGACGTCGACTACTTCGACGACGATCTACTCACGAATTGAACACAATTTATTAATAATTGTTCTATGTGAATAACATTAACATTCTCATTTGTTACATTGTGAAAGGTTTTAGTGCAGTAGTGATTACTTCTGTTAGGGGAGCCGTCGAGTGGTGTAGTGCTGCTTTGGCTGGCGAAGTCCGCGCGCTCCCAGGCGTAACCGCAATCACCTATCCCACCAAATAGACAATGCGACTTGGCTTCTTATGTCACTATTGTAGTGAGCTCCATCTTCATTAAATGGTTCCACATCGGGATCGTAGACATACCGTACAGATTTATCTCGAATATATTTCGAACATATCCACCCCCCTCTCGAAAATCTCGAATGGTCTCATTTCGTTCACATAGCGTTCGTGTAACCACATCACATCTGATATCAAGGTGCTAGCGTTCATGTTCGATTACCCATTACGCCATATGCCGCCTGTGTGCACGTCACCGCCAACCACCTTCGAACCGTTAGTTGTGCCTTACTCTGCACCAAATAACTACGTGATGTGGTTTGAAGAGACCTGAAATCACACCACCGCAATCATAACCAGTGCGGTCAGTGTTTGAACAACCCCAATTCCCAGTGTCAGAAACCTTGAGGAGAGGTCTACCTTTCTGATGCGCATATGGCTGGCAATTCCATATTTAGATACTGTTTTGTATGATCCACCTGTGACTTTCTCCTCATCTGTAATCTGATGGTTGGTTTCCTCTGCTGATAGTGTGGTCCCATGCCTCTTAGGTTTGGGGTATTTGTTAATTGCATACAGCTCCAAACCATGAAGAATATGCGACAGTTCCCTCCAAAGGTCCTCTAGAGTGCTGGATCGTAAGAGAAATGCATACTCTTCGAACGCCACCTCGAGTCTCTTCTGCTCTCTGATCAATTCAACTGCTTGAGGTGTTTTTGGATATACCTTTCCCATTTTATCACTGATGTCATTGTAACGTTTGTAAACATTCCATGCATTTATTACGTCTTTAATGTCGTCATAAGACTTATCGTATCTAGATGGAATATATTTGAGAATATGCTTATTTGAATCGGGAGGACTATTTTCTGCATCCCCTTCTGCATCATTCATCAAAGACTCATGTACCATATCCAATATTTTTTTTGCGTCTGCCTGAACCTTATAAAAAGATCTTAATTCAGAGCGATCGTTTAGTATTTTCCGCATCATTTCGTTGCCTCCCTCGGATTCTGTGTTACTATCCGCTTCGGCAGGTTGTTCTATATCGCCCACCAAATCTGCCTCGGATGCCGGCGGATTTGCCTCCGTCTCCCTCCATAACTCTTGAACACGAAAGTGAGGAGACCTCGACTTGTTAATCTGATGTTGTCGAATAAATGTTAGTGCTCGTTTGGCAATTTCTCTGTAATGATGCGCAGTATCGGAACGTAAAACATCGGATGCGAAGACCTTTTTCTTTTCGAATACTTGTTCCAGATGCATCAGTTCCGTATTGAGCTCAGCTGGCGTTTCGGGTTTTACCTGTTCCCGTTTGAGGCGTCGCGTTATGCCACGGTAGTCATTAAGCATCTCTCTGAGTTCGTCGTAATCTCTACTTGCACTACTTACAAGTTCAAGATCATCGATGAGTTTACCGCACTCTTTTATGTTTGCTTTTATGATTTCCGATGAGTCATTAGATTGACGTAAATCCGGTCGTAATAGTATCAGATCATCACGAAGTCGCATAACAGACCAAGAAAGTGATTCCAGCACTCTGACTTTACGATTGAATTGTTCATTACAGGCATAGAACGCAATGCCTATATCCGGCGGCACATCACTATACGAAGCATCCAATCCACCGGGAACAGCCGAAAGCACGCATTTGATGGAGATCGCAGAAAGGAAGATAAGTGATGTGACTCCTCGCCGCTTATGTTGACGGATAAACATTTTTACTGGAGGCAATGAAAACGTATCGTAGAATAACAGCGGAAAGTTTTAGCCTCAATATTCTGCTATGTTATATCCACTTACATTTTAGAGAAGGCCGGTATATTATATTGATCACCAACGACGCAGTTGAGGTGGAATTGCTGGGACCTAGGATCGGATTCGCATATTAAAAAATACCCGCATAGCTAAAAAATTTTGCGACATAAAAATATGCTTCAAAACTCCATCTAAAATGCGATATTTGAAGATTTATGTGCTGCTAGATCACCTGTAAAATTCCTTGCAACCTAGCCATCTTCTTCGCCACCTTATTTTTGTGCTGCTATTCACACATTATGTAACTGCCCATATGGCATTATTACCTGATAGAAGGTTTATATCGATTTTGATGTATAATTGTATATGTGCAGATTACGAATGATGGTCTTAGAGTCTTGTCGAAAATTTGCCGTACGTAAAATGACCTTTGGTGTTACCAAACGCACGTTCTCTTAAGGGACTAAAATACAGTAACTTTTGATTCTATACAATGCAGCCACGCACGGGTAACCACATTCCATATTTAAATATGGCCATGTTTGTTCGTCAGTATCGCTGCTGGCCATACATCGCAGCACAGTTTTACATATTGTGCCGATGTTTCTAGTTGGTTATAAGTGAATGGATACAGGATGGTATGAATTGCCGCCCATTCGGGGGGTTTATAGGCTGCATTTATCGGTATGGATTGAGCGATATGCACTGTGCTGTTGCCGACCGTATTTGGCCCCACTCCCATGCGCCTGTGCACTGCCGTCTACTTCTTCTCTGCGGGGCGCAGTAAACAGGCGACCTACAACATTCATATATACACAACCCACTCCAATAGAGACAACCATCAACACTGCATGTTTTAGGCGATATAACAGCACGTACGCTCAGAATAATAACTACGTTAAACGATTGAGATGTAAAGTTATAGGAAGTATAGAAGTCAATAACCCTTGCGATCAAAGGTACACTGCATTCCAGTAACGTATAACACCTGAACTCGCGAAGATGACGAGTGTCTTTCAGCTAACCGGCAATACTCCCAGGTATGTGCACAGTTGTTTATAAATCGTTGGCGCCCACACAATTTCCGTCGTGTATACTGACATTGAAGCGTGACCCGTTGGAGCAATAGGCCGCCAACATGCGCGCTGAATACAATTCAAAAGGCGCCAAGAGCTATGTTCCGCCTCATCTGGCCATACCAGTGTAGTGGAGGGTTCATGTGTCCACAAAGCTGGCTGTACACACATTTCATAGATTGGAATTTCCTCGTGAGATTTTGTATAATTCCATCACTGTGGACCTGGAAGCAGAATCACTTTATGTCAAGCTCCTTTTACAGCTCACGTGGAGTTCCCACTCAATAGAAGGCCCAAAATCCGGCGAGGTCGTATAGTGTGACCAACATTTTAGAACTCACACTTTGCAACGCCTCTCGGACATCTGAAACCTTCATTCCAGCACGGCAATGTGGCCGTTTGTAACCCGCAGCCGTCAATAGCACTCCCAAACGATTCCTCGAATTAGGCAATCTCCTTCCCAATAATGCAGGACTGTTCGCATCCGACAACGAATGGAGGCCTACGTATAACATTGGCGCAATGCCGACGAGGATAACTGCGCAAGTTTCCGGGTTTTTCGCGCATGATGCATCCCACGTCGCTTCTGGAGAGTAAGAAGACTTATAGAGGTAAGGGTTTTTGATATCATCCAAGAACTTCTCACAAGCATCCACAACCGTGCCTACATTCTTTGCGATCTCCTCAGGTTTGATGCCCTTGGCCTGTACGATGTTCTCATAATCGCTTTTGGGCGCAAGGCCGGAGGGCGTAGCGGCTCCGCTGGACTTTATATGCATAGACTTCTGGAATTTACTCAACAGGTCTTCTACGTACGGCAGGTCCTTAAGTTCATTTTGCTCCAGGAACTCTTTGGAAAGACGTTTAACATTCTCGAGCGATGGTATTAGCAACGTCCCAACAGGCTTGTCTACGAGAAAATTGTAAATGGCGTGACCTAAAACCTGCATGTTAAATTTAGAAGTTCCCTTCAGGGCTATCAACCAGTCAATGCCCTCTTTCAGGTTGCGGGGAGCCTCAGTTAACGAGGTGTATACCATTGTTGCAGAGCTTCGCTAGACTAGATGATTCATATACACGTGTGAGTTCTTCGTCCGTTTGCAGGCCGAACCTTCAAATAGATGCGTATTTAACCAGCAGTACGAAGGCCAGATGTGTCCTAATCGCGGAGAAGCGGAAGACAAGTGGTGTTACGCTCTAATAAATACGCGTTTTATTTATATCTACGAAGCCGCAAATGCCCCAAATATGCATAGGACAAATATAGGATTGTGGCCAAACTGCCGTATTGCAGCCAATTCCACACAAGCAACGTGACATGCAGTAAGCATAAGGCGAGTCGTTGGTGTAGACAAGTTCCACCCCAAAATGGCACACAGTCGGCCTAGACATCTTAGTAAAAATTATGGCGACGCATCAGCGTTTGATATCTTACGATGGGCTGCGAGTAGTATACTACAGTGTACGCACTCCCGGCATCACCCAGCATATCGGCCATATGTGGGCTACAACATTTGCACTTGCCACTAAACTAATCACTGAAATCACATTTAATTGGATGGAAGATGGCTGTGCGCCTCAACCAGATGGCACTTCTGGAAAGGTGACGTAAATGACTACCATTTGGCATTGTAGTCCACTCTGCGGGATAACGTCGGTAGCTCACTCACGACTCCACCACGATAACACTGACAGAACATGTATACTTACAACATCTACTGGGTTCATATATAAGTTGAGCCATCCTAGACTCATAAGCGGAGTCTTCGGATTCGCCTCGGCATAATGTGGGAAACTCGTGAATATAAAAGTTGCCCGCTTTGTTTCTTATGTGCACCAAATGGCATTATAATAGCGGTAACTGCGATATTATTTACGAGGGATGTTAGAGGGAGGGTGCTGCAACATCATCGTGGAAATAGGAATCACCAACCAGGACAACCTAGTGGAGACGGAGATATTCAAGAAACGGAAGTACGAAGCTTTGATAGAGGACCTGAAGGCGCGGCAATTCAACCAGCACACAACGTTCAGGGCAATCCCCTACGTTATGACGTGGGAGGGGATAGTGACAAATAAACACACCAAGTACAGGCGGGACCTGGGCATATCGGATCGCCTAGAAGCCCATATACAACGGGTAGTGATCCAAGAAACACAAAAGCTAGTGTTGAGGGACATGAAACCCAGAGAAGATTATGACTCTGTGAATGACCCTCTCGCCCAAACAGGATGGATGCCACAATGGATGGTACCTGTAGCGTTCGGCAACACGATGTGGACCCCGCAACAGATACCAGCAGAGTGAGGCGATAGCCTCATAAACACGAAAATCGGCCCTAAGCCACGTAGCGATATAGCATACTAAACAAAGCCAAAACAAACGTAAGATATGAGCTAAAATCTGAGCAGCTGAACCACAAGCTAAGAGGTGAAAAAGCATACGTGGCACAGGCTGCCAAACATCCATACATTGTGGGATTATATTGGCGTAGCAAGACTATTACTGACGTTTTATGCAGATATGCAGTGGTGTGTTCAGGTGATAGCGTTATCCACCGTATAAGCAATCTGTTTGCTCTGAGCAACCATCAACATTTATATTGGATGTGGCAGAATTAAAAGAGGTTATCTGGACTGGGTGAGGCTAGGAGATATTAGTGGAGTGAAGGCTTGGAATCGCTGAAGCCATCACGAATCTGGGCGAAGGTTGTGCCAAGACTTTGGTTATGCATTTTGCCGCAGATATAAAGGACCAAGACAGCGAGGGCGAGGAACACAATAATACCTACGGCAACGGTAATGCCTATGCACCCAGCGCAACCAGGGCACTGCTGACTACTACCCTTACTACAAATTCCACCCATCTTTTCCACAGCTCACTTGACAATTACCCTGCACAGCGATGAACAGCGTACCTTAATCTTAGGACACCCTTAGCCCAGTAACAATATATAGTACCCTTACTCACGGGTCCAGCCTGCCACCATTATAGTGCTGGGGCAACCGTTATTCCGGATCTCTCAACTCAGACATACCATTAACGCTGCTGCTGGCATGCGTTGATTAGGCAAGTTGGCCAATGTACTGATACCACGCCGTGTCCCACCTATAAGCAGGTTTCCGCTCTTCTAGTCTTGAAGATAGCACGCCATCCATTCACCTAGCAGATAACTTATTACTTCACCTAGCGTGGCACACAATACCCACTGGCATGGGTGACCACCCACCTAGCTGCACCTTGCGGTGCCACAACCGGGAGCATTGCTTACTACGCAGCATATGCAGTGCTAACAAAAAAGATGTCTGCTAGATTAAATAAAATTGCATATTAGGTGGGTTATGAGAAGACACTGGAGAGAGGAGCTACGTATGAAGCGGGAGTCTTGGAATCCGTCATAAACGCATTCGTTACTCCAAGTGCCAATGTCTGCCACTTCCAGGACATATGTAGTAGATGAGTAAGCAGACGAGAATGGCGGCAAGGATGACGATGCTGGCAAGTCCAACGTCGATGAGACGACTTTTGTAACAGTCACTACCACCAGTGTTACAAAGGCTGACAAATTAACACCATCATATTTCTCCGCTCCCTAGACAGTTTAAAGCAATGGGCAATTTACACTGAAGGTGGTGTAGTTGAGAGTTGCGAGACGTTAATTACGCGTCAGGTATATGTATCAGCGTATTCTTCGCGTTACTAAGTATGTCAGCTGCGGTGTATGTTTTAAGTGTCCTGTGACGTTGAATATGCGCGGCAGTGGGTAGGCATGGTATCGCGTGGCATTGTACTGAACGACATAAATAACAGCGATTAATTGCAGAATGGATGCACTATTATAATAGGTTCTATCATGATCTAAAACACCAAGCCTCCATTGCGCCACGTGCTGTGTATCACGCGCGGTCTGTAGGCAACCATTTGCGCGCTTCAGTTAGCCAGCGGTATTATCGTGTTAATTGTGGCAATTACAAGAGCTTCAATGTGAGGGGTAATTGACGGGTACTGTTATCAATACGTTGGGGTACGCTCTGATGCTCATCCCCGCAGCCGCGGATAAAATGCACCGCTGGACCTTGGCACTCAGAGAGAGTTGCGAAGCTTTATTGTCAAACAATGACGTCGTAATAAGCAAGTACTTAATGTTTCATCATCATTTGAACATGTGCTCCAGAGGGATATCGATTGAAGCCTTTGGAGTTTTTAATAGAAATGATTTCACACGCATTTTCCAAGAGGCTCCGTCCACTGTAATCACCACAAACCAGGAGGGCAACTATACTGAAACGTCTTATAAAGAATTGATCGATAACGCATTGTTAGAGTTAGAAGATGTTCTCAAAAAATTGGCCTTCACGGCCCCGCAATCAACTTCCCTAATCCGGACGCGGTAGTTCTAATTGGAATGTTGTTAGTACGCCTATACGAAAGCGTCGTCATCTGGCATTTTAGAGCTAGACAAAATATGATATTTTATCATCCATGTAAGGCGTTAAACCCTCATTATCACCTGTCAATATGGGATTTTCCACATCGATGGTGGCAGCGAGGCTTGAAGTGATTTTCAGTCAATCATATCACATAAACTTTTTAAAAATGTCTTTTCCACCATATCATAACTACTATACTAGGTGCTATCCACTGATGAAATACGCTTCATAGTGTTTACTTGCGCATCGCTTAGGCGGCGCCTCAGTAAATGTTAGCCCAGTGCCGCTGCTGCGAAGCATTAATACCTGCATAATATTAATTTGCATACCTCTCGTAGACATACAATACGCTTTGTGGTATTGATAAAAACTTCACCGTTATCCGCGAGATAATTGGGATACGCTAGAGGTTAACGCCCAGGCAGCCAGTGGTTACCATAGATGCGGCGGTAAAAATGGATACAGGTTTTGGCAAATAATCAGCACCACTGTATAACTATCATAAGTGGCACTCGTGAAGTTATAAGAGGACGTTCGCATTGCGGCACTAAATCATAACGTGAGGCCTCGCCTCTGGTTACGTGCCGCACCAGTGACATGACTAGTGTGGCAAATGTACTTGGTTAACTTTTGATGCGCTGTGCAGCGCTATGATATAAAGTATTATGCAAACTAGTATATAGGGCACCACGCTTTGTGAATAACTCTGCAGATAAGCCCCAATCTGATATACCTTCATCGACTGTATATCAGGCCGGACACAGTCAGGGAAGGATATGGAGACTGATGACGTCCACGGCACAGGTCAGGAGCGCCGCATAATTTTGCTATACGATACCAAAGGGTCTGAGTGCTGTCGCTGTATTTACTGGTGAATGATGAAAGGGAGGTAACGTAATTTGAATTAGGGAACTACAACGCGTCGACATACAAGCTATGTGGGGAGTGTTCCACATTAGACGGCTAAGTCGTCAATTTGTACGTTGGATATGAATAGGGGGGCAATAATCAAGGTATTTTATAGTTCCTATTGATTTGAGGCGTTGCGTTTACGGCGACGAGAACCCGCATCAATAAATCAACAAAAGCTAACGTACAACGTTTATATGTTTGCTGTACAATTGCCGTGGTATATTTGTAAGGTCCTTTGAATGTTGGTGACATGATAAGGCAGTGAAGTGGATGTTTAACTTTGTTACGAATATGACGCTACTTGCATGTGGGTGTGTGGTATCCTTATGGTGCAAAAATTTAGGCAGAGTGATAAATGAGTCGCGTAATAAGTCCACAACATCTACAACTTCAGTTCTTCTCATATAGCATACTTGGTTGAGGCTACAGCGCTCAACTCCAACCACCGTTTAGGTACGTTGTCCATCGTTGAACAAGCATGAGTGGCAATCCTAAAGAGTTCAAGACGGAATATTGGGCAGTTGCCGCGCCTTTAATCCTTCTAGCCCTTGTTCTCTTCTTTTGCGTGTTAAGATATGCCATGATGAGTGAGAAGATATGGCCTTTCTACAACTCCACGGGTTTCTTCGATGGGCCTCCAGATATTTACGACCCTTACAAACCTTACTCGCCTAAGGACCAGTATTAGTTTCGCCTGTTCCACTCGCTATCACGGTATCGCAGTAACTGTCATTTTAATGTAGTAGAGTACGTTATTTCACTCCGGATACTTCGGCATTCTATAAATGCCAGTGTAATGTTATCGTAGCATCTTTGTTCTGTCATCGTGATGTGCTCAGATTGCCTCACCTATATGAGTTATAGTCACTACATGCATGCTGCTTAGAACGGCTTGGTTAAACCCGGCCACCGAACATCGCCCTACCGCAAACGATACACAATGCAAACTAAGATAAGTGAGAGATCATGCCGCAACTTCACAAGTCATTCTAAAGACAACAGGAACACGCACGTGAACAATATATGTGGTTTTGCAAACATTAAGTTAAGTTTGTTTCCTCTAGGCAGAAGTTGTTCAGTTTGAAAAAAAGAATCTGCCATAAGGATTGAACAGTGCACAAAGAACGACGCACTTTCCCCCACTCTGGCTGTAACGTGTCTCGTAGAAGTTATGTTAAAACATCGGGCAGAGTCTCAAACACAAAGGCGTGTTTTTGCGTGTTTTGTAAGACTTCAGGTATTCCAGTTGCTTGCGGTTGATTGCCCCCTTTCTCCGCTCTCTAACAAAACAAATGGCGTCCAAAGGATGCATTCCGTACTCCACTAGCGCGATGCAGGCCAGTACGGGCGCTCGGCCGAGGCCGGCGACGCAATGAACCGCTACCGAACCGTTGTTTGCCACAACATCTTTAAGGATTTGCAACCACTCGGCGACGATGTCATCCGAAGGCGCCTCTCCATCGTTGAATATAAGTTCCCTAATAGCGATATTCGCAGCAGTGATTGGCGTACAGTCATAGTTAGTTTCGCAGGTGCGTACAAGGCATGTGACTCCGAACGCCAACATCTCATGCAAATACAGCTCGACGTTCGAATTATTGGGTGCATCGAGAATCAGAATCCGAACCTTGTGGAACTCTATTTTCGTGGGCTTGTTAAGCACATAGCTGTGCGACGAGTGTGAATCCTTCATATTGCTAATTAGGGGTGTCAAATTGTGCCCAGCAAAAGAATAATGGCTCAAGCCAGTTTAAAAATCTTCCAGATACGACCCTCGCAAGTATGAAAAATAACGCGAATGGTTGAATCTTACAATCCCGATTAAGGACTAGCGCACAGCAGAAGATCCGCTCACTGCATACCCAACGTTGTAGAATCGCAAAGATTGGGCAATCAACGATAACGTAAGTTAGAAGGAGCTGACAAATCGCTTGACACTAAAATCATTCAAATCCCGTTGCATAGACAATCGTAAAAATGAAAAGGCAAGTCTTGAAAGATTTTTCTGTCGCCGATGTATGTCAAGATACCCGAATAGTTGCGCACCAAACGCAGCTTGAAACACGGCACAACCTACTCAAAAACCTCTTCGAGCACTGGTAACTTTTACCCTGACCACGTTAGCCCTGGGCTACCAAACACATCGTTCTTTGCGGCCCCGGACGATTTTCCAAGGGCTAAGGCAGAATTGCCGACATGTCCACTCTACGGCTTAGCCGTTGATATACAGATTCCAATATATATACCGAGACAACTCAGATTGAGCGGCCGCGGGAGTCTCCGATAGGATCTCACATCTCTAGAATGGTCCTTGCGGAAGTCCGTATTTTGAGATAAAGCAGCTACAGATATCGGCTTTGCAGTGCAACCTTAGGCTTGTTGTAGTTCCAGACAGCGATGCTCTACTGTTCAGTAATGCATCATAAGCCTTCCTTTCGAGGATGGTTTAACTAGCAGATATCAGAGTCTGAGAATTTGTGAATTACTGAAGAAATGTGAAACAATACGACGAGCTGATGGAACATTTCCAACCATTTAACAGCATACACACGGAAAAATACGGTGCAAATGACCCTGGCGCTCTCAGGGTAGTGCCGTGCTAGAGGTCGCTACCCTATGGCCTCCTTCGACACACCTCCACCGGCAGGCAACAGTTCTGGATTCGTGCAACATACAGTTAATAATCGCACATATACTATTGCAACACACAGATCCAACATTCATGTGTTTTTTGCGGCACATACCTGAGATGGTCGATAAGCGTTCGGTAAGGGTTCCAGAGGGGACCTTGGGCCAACGCAGAAAGTATTTTCGCCGTGTTATGAGAAGGTGTAGCTGCGATTTGTTAGATCTAAAAAACGGGATGTCAGACGGGTAATCCGTTCGTGTGCTAGCTCCAGGTAATCCGTATTGTGGTGCCCTTGGTGCCTCCGCGATTCGGCGTCATATCAGTGGTCGTTTGTGTACTCCTTTTCGGGCACCATGGTTGCCTATACTAAGGGCGATTTGGATGCAGAGTTTGCGTTATCTATGCTAGCAGAGCGGTGCCGATCCATGGGTACACATTATTTAGTGTCACGGCTATGTGCAGTGCCATAGGTCCATATTTGGCTTTGCCATAATGCAGATTCATCTGCACATAGGACGTAATCGTTATATGCAAATCTGTTGTAGGCTTTCGTTTCATTTTGGGTAACTACGTATGTTATGAACGACGTTCTGCACCTCTGTGTTTATTCAGTAAGGGATTGGCCGCTCTTAGACTGTTCACGGCTATGTTCGCCGTTCATAAGATGCCGCCGGATACTCATCAATTGAGTTCGTGTATCTAGGTTCCTGTTCTACGAAGAACTTTATACACATTTTGCGGCGTGACCGGCGCGTTAGGTCGCATTCCCTACCCTGGCAAGGGCAGACCATGGGTCTTGCCGATCAGCAACTACCAACAACTTTAATGGAACATCCAACGCTTACCAGTATTGATCATAAAAACGTTGATATACTGTTGTTCTAGGAGGCATCTCGACAACCCTCTTGATCACAGGCTCGTCGTTATGTCTATACGACCCTACTTTTGCAAATTGTTTGGTTACACGGCAAATTCGAATATAACAGCTGAGCATTTGTGATATCAAGGGACACTGCCAGCCTAAGGAGCTACGCTAATCTGTGACACACTCATACTGATAGTCTGAGAGGGTAGACGCATAACTAGTAGTTACGGCAAAATTAGCCAAATTCACATAAATAAAACATTCACAGCTCGTGTGAAACATGTCGTCCGTGTTTTGTGCCAAGTTCCGGGTCTCAGGACGTGTTCAGGGCGTCTTCTTCCGTAAGTTCACGAAAGAGGCAGCCGACCGGCTAGGGATCAAGGGCTTTGTGAGAAACGAGTCTGATGGCACCGTCACCGGCGAGGGACAGTCACACAGTTTGTCCTCTATGAATGATTTCCGTCATTTTCTCGAGAAGGTTGGATCGCCGAAGTCCGAGATTCTTTCGTGCGACTTCACGATGACGGAGAAGAGTGGAGACTTAGATTACAGTTCCTTTGATATAATCAGGTGATGTTGTGTACACTAAGCCGCCGCTACAGCGTCTACCAACCGGTTGTAAGACCCTTCGGAGTCGAGGTCGAGTTGGTTGTCCAGCATGAATCGTCTCACGATCTTCCTGAGCGAGTCCGCCATGCCCGTATGGTATGCGTTGAACTTGTCGAATCGGCACGCATTTGTCGGCAGCTTAAATTCTTTTACCGTCATTGTCGATATGTCTACGCTTTTGATGAGGACCCTGCGATGTGGTGACGCTGGGGAAAAGTGTTTCTTACGTTGTAATTTTGTCGCGTTCCGAATCGTACTTTTTGGGCAGTTGACCGACAACTACGCCATCGAGCGTCTTGAGCACCTTCTCGTTGTGGTCACATATTACCCGTGCCGGTGCCAGGCCGTTTTTACTGATTCTGATATACTTGGTCGTGTTTTCGTCCCTCCAGCAGAGCCAGTGTGGGTTGTATCCACCGACGTAACTCGCTGATCGGTCGACAAACACTATCGAGTCCCTTTCGTAAGCGATGTTGTCAATGCTGCGCGTTCATGCGGTTTTCCCCCAACACACTTACCGGTAATAAGCGTCCCTCATCGTCATTGGATTGCACTCTTGGTATTCCACCATGACGAAGCGGGGCCTGCTCTCCATCGCCCCCGATTCCTCGAGCCTGCAACGTTTGAGGGAATGGTCATCAATGCACAACACTACAGATGTTCCGGCTTATGCACGCTTAAACCGAACGGCGTAACTCACCTGCTTTTGAGGAAGAACGTGCGACACTCAGTGTCTGCAGTCGCCATCAAGCAGCCGTTGTACATCAGGACATCAATGACGAAGTATGTGAGCTCCTCATTTGGGATTTTATTTTGCTCATCGTAGTCCTTGACGATGCAGTCGAGCACGGTCGGTCCCTTGGTGAATGGAGCACTAAATTTGTGCCTTACCCGACCCTCCCTAGTATATTCCGTCGCCCAGAAGTTGTTAACCTTGACGAGCACCCTGTGACCCTCTGGGCGCACAAACAATAGGCTCTTCTTCAGTGCTAGCGCCTCCTCCCTGATTTCACCATCAGTAGCCACCAGGAATTCGTGTGTTGTGAAGACACTAGCAATATCTATGGGGAGAAGGTTGTGTCGCTTTGGTCCCCCACGGCCCATGATCGCGTATATTCTGTCTGTTGAATCTGGCACGGTGCCTGTGCGCTCTTCGTCTTTATCAACGCCTTCCCCATGCAGTTCTTTTGCCTCCAAATCACCTGAAACTTCCTGTTTTACCATCTCCTGGTGGATTTCTGGCTCCAGTTTATCTTCATCGATCTGAATATCAGTGATTTCTCCCTCGGCACCCTCCTGTACCGGGAACAGTTGCTGCAATTTTTTAAAAAAGTACGATCTTTTCGATTCCACTACATTCATCCGGAGTTCCCGGAGCGACAACATGCGACGGCTACGTGCCGTTTCGCCTAGGTCTATTTTTCGGGTGCCCTGCACGCGCTCCTGCAGCCGTGCAACCGAGTAGGATTGATTCGCCTCTTCCACCATTTTTGCGGAGTGATGAATTCGGTAGTAGGGGCACTAATCGTTCATGTCCAAGCACTTTTGGACCGCGCCAATCCGGCTGCGCGTTCGCGAAGCTCTGCTCGGCGCTGGGCTGTCTCTTATATCGTGGCTAAGCTCTGTTATGTCGATGTTTTTATATAGAAGCGCGCCAGCACGATCCGGGCGTGCCGTAAGGCCCCATAGGGCAGCTTCCTTGTCGATAGTCAGCAGCAGTTTTTTCCCCGCCCCCAGTTATTTGCCTTTCCTGATTCGCCGTGTATCACCTTCTCCGTGCCGGCATCTGGGATCCTCAGCCAGCGCCGCAGCACACATGCTGCTTGTCAATTCTTATTTGCTTCACAACTCACCACGGCACTTCCACTGTGGGCGTCCTCAGAGCCGCGTCGTCGCGCTGATGTCGCGTCGTTGCCCGCTAAATATCCCAAGGTAGACAAACCGCCAGGAATCCTCGACGTATTGTATCAATTTTAGCGGTATAAGAGCGTTTTAGGTTAAGGTGTAACGTGTTTGTGTTTTAATATCGCCAGACTTAGCTTTATAGGACGTCACACCGATGTGGCGGCGGGACGCGGTTGGCATCGTTGTTTGTCGCAGGCTCCGTGCTCAACGTATTCATTAATATGTATCACTCACACACTGCTACCTTCTACCTATAATTGTCTGACGACGGAGTTGCCACTGAAGGATCGGCGCCTCGCCAGGAGTACCATGGCAGCACTGGCCCCGTTTGATTCTTCAAATGCCACGTACACAGACGGTAGGTTGCATTTGCCGGTTTGAGCATCTGATGCTTGGTTGTTGGTTGCGCACACAATGGTGAGCGGGGCGGGAAACAACGACGGCGACAAGTCTGATTCGCCTACCGACGCGTACACACCGGTGTCGGTTAAGGATCGCGTAGCGGCGTATAGCAGACGTCGCAATGGCGACGCACAGCTAAGCGCTTCTGGTCGCCGTTTGCCTCATTTTCCTCCGACATCAGCCAGTGGAATCCAGCCCCCGAAGGTCGACGGGAAGGAGACGCCGTTGGGACCCCCGCCCGCAACGCCTAACAAATCGCACAACCGTGCGCGCTTTATGCCCCGTAAGCTGCAGTCACCGGAGAAGGACGACTATCGTGACCTATCTGCGCGCCCGGTGCGCATTTTTGTGGGCACGTGGAATTGTGTCTACCAGGAACCGGAAGAGTCTGTGATCCTTAAGCCCCAACATAAAGAGTCAAACTGGACGGATCGACTGCTTCACACCGCAGAATCGGTATCGCATTGGATCGGTAACGTTTTCACCCGTACCGGTCGCGACCACGGCGACGGCGCTACCGATGCCGACGGAAGTGAAGCACACGTCATCCGAAAGGAGTCATCTAGAGACACGTCAGATGGCCAGAACACAATCGCAGATGACGCTAACAGCCGCGGCACATCTCCAGACAGGGTCACATCGCGGTGGCTGAAGGGAGGCGCAAAGCCCGGTGCGCCGGGGGCTTCCAACACCACCAGTGCCGAAGCTACGCCGGAAGCATGTAGCACCAATTATTCATTAGCGGGAAGCGTAGAACAAAGCGTGCCTAGCCCGAATCGATCCAGTGCTGATTCGGCCAGCTTGCCTTCTGGATGCGCGGCTCCGTCGTCGGGCGGTCCGCACATGCTTTCCAAGACACCCACTGTATCGTTCGGCAAGCATCACGAGGCATCAACGTCTGACTGTTCAACGACTCCTTCACCATGTTCACGTACTTCCGGGAGCTCGTTCACAGTCGAAAATGTGTCGCCGAGGCCCGCACTGGCGCGTTTAACAAGGAAGGCCAAGCTTGGCAAAACACCAACCGACTGCCCGGCGATACCGGGAATCTTGCGCCAGTCGACATTCCAGCTGAAGCCTCTCACGCCAGATGACGAGGAGCCTCTGCGGGACTGGATCCCCGCCGGCTACGACGTGTACATCATATCACTGCAGGAGACGCTTTCGTGCAGCATGTTTGTGTCCATCACCAAGTACCTGCAACGCCAGTCCAAGGAAGAATTGGTGCGCGTGCCCCTTGAGGAGTACAAGTTGTCGGGTTACGGAGATGGCGCGTTCCTCCACACGAAGAGCACCAGCATTGCCGTGTGGGTGCGCAAGTCGTTGCTAGATTCAGGCGTGGCAAGCGTGGACGTATCTAAGGCCATTCCTCTAAGCCGTATCAACCGCAGCAAGGGCGTTGTGAGCTTCCGGATGTCTCTGTGTGGCCAGGTGATCTGCGTAGTTGGCTGCCACCTCCCGACGCGCTACAGCGCTCGTGAGAAAGCAGCGACATACATCGTTCGGAAGCTTTGCGATCTGTACGGAGGCCAGGGATCGACTATCGATGAGGTTTTCCACCACGTGCTTTGGACGGGCGACTTCAACTTCCGCGTGACAAACGTGTCTGCAAACGAGGCACTCGTATTTCTGAACGAGAAGCGCCTGCAGGAGCTCTTTTCTCACGACGAGCTCTACAAAGGCTCGGCGTCAATGTTCGCGGCGATGAAATTTGAGGAGGGCGTGGTCCGTTTTTACCCTACGTATAAGAAGCGCGACGACCGCGACGTTGCGGACTACGCGAAGGAGGATTGGGCGGATGCGGAATACCACACTCGCTTCGAAACGCAGTGGTATAAGGGCGGAAACGTGAAGGAGAGGGTTCCCTCGTGGACGGATCGCGTGCTCAAGTGGTCGCTGCCCCCGCTGCGAACCTGCCTGCAGATCGACGAAGCCACGTACTCCGCTGCGCAGCCCAAGGTGAAGAATCTGCTGATGACAAGTGACCACTCCCCTGTGGGCTGCGGTTTAGTGCTGTGGCCTCTGCGCAGCTCGGCGAACTTGCTTCCGAGGAAAAATCTCGGTTCAACGTATTAGATCTGTTTTTGATTCATATGTGTATTTCCCTCCTAAAACCGAAAGATCGCGTTGATGCTATATCGGCACAACATATTGACCTCTAAATTTACGATGTATATCGCTCTTGCATTATTTCCGCTCTGCGTGCAGATCGCCTCCGGCAGCATACTGCTGTTTGGTCCGGTGCGCCCGAACACGCTGGCGTGCACCAGCAACCACTACTCGACTGGAGGACCAGAACCCAAGGTACCTGAAAAGCAGCTTGAGCAGGTGAAAGATTTTTCCCAAGTGACCATCGCTCCAGTCATCGAGACCTCTTTTTATACAGGGTACACGAACCAGCTTTCGGAATGCGTGATGCGCCTGCGCCAGGAATACCGCAGGCTGAACGAGGACCTAGTCTACCCCAGCGTGTTATACTATCTGAGTCTCTATGTCTCTAAGGACTACGTGCGTGCGCACACGGCCATGGTCGACCTCCAGATGCTGAAGATGCTCCACTTCTCTCAGCGCATGCTGTTGGGTTACGCCAACAGCAACTTTACCGAGAAAGCGCACGGCAACGTGGAGATTCGCGCCGAAAAGTACTGCAACGGGTGTGTCTACATTGACATTTCCGAGAAGTTGGGCCGCTACCGCAAAAAGCGCGCCTTGTTGCTGGAGAAGGAGGTGAAGCGCCTGATGGCCAACATCAACAATATCCCGTCCGTGAAGGCCACTGGAAAGCTGAGCCTGTGGGTTGATGCCTTCTGCGCACCTTCGCTCGCGCTAATAGTAGGAGGACCAGTCGTTTTGTTTGGGTTCCACTTATTGCTTTAATAGGTGGTACCGTTGAGTCGCATAAACGTTGCGGTGCGACCACAATGTAGCATAAGTACGCGAACAACAGATATACCATAAAGTTAATAAAACCATTTAGAATGTTGTTGTATTACTGTCTACTTGAGACTTCATGTGAGTAAAGTGCGGTGCATGAAGCGTCGTTATCGTAAGTAGATCGTATAGTCTTTGTGACATATTTTGTAGGTTTATGCATGTATAACGACTTAATAGCGCATTCTGTACTATATTCAAGGCACCCAGGTTGTTGTGAAGTACGTACATGGCATGGATCCAGTAATGGAAAAAGCCGTGCCAGATCTTTTCTCCCAGCGCAAAAATTTGCGGCCTTCGAAAAACGCTAATTCTTCGGATAGCCGTATCAATTATACAGATGAGTTTAAAGTTTACCTTCGGTTTGATATTTTTGCGATTAAAAAATTTATTGGACGCTACATCGGTCAGCAAAATATTTGCAGTGTTTCGTTTAGCCTATCGGCTCCTGAATCTGCATAGAGTTACTTCAACTCATTGACCAATGAGAGTCTCCAGTTCAATATGTCTGGTTGTTTGCAGCCTGCTGGCCGCTGCGCGGATGGTCTCTGGCGGACAGTACTCCTTTAACCTCCCGATGTACGTGAAGGGCTTTTGGGGTTATAACAAGTACACTGGCGCCAGCTCCAACCACGAATTCCTGGCTTACTTCGATGTGGATGTAACTAATATGATGGCGAACACCAAGAAGGTCGTCGATGACAACTTTGCGGAGGTAATGAACGCAAGCTCGTTCAAGCAGGTGTCACCCGATAGTACCACTAACTCCGACGGCTGCCAGATGATAAACAAGATGTGGGCTCGCGACCTCATTAACGAGCTCCACTCCTACAAGATGTATTATATCCACCAGCGCTACCGGAGCGCATCGCAACAGCTGCTCAAGGTCCCCGTGGGCAACCCGGTGTACCAGGACATCGGGTTTGACGAGCCACTCGACAAGATGGTGGTCTACCACTGGGCGTACCAGCTGAAGCAGGCCTACGACGACCTCATGCTAAACTCCAGCAAGATGCATACGAAATGGGACGAGCTAAAGAACCGCATCAACACCAGCATTCCGGCATCGGACTAGACAAAAAATATAGCTTATAAATGTTTGACCAAATGACCGCCTTCACCCTTTCGGTGGGAAGGTCTCTATGATCGACGATACGAGGTAGCACGCTTCGTAGAATGCGTTGACCTTGACCCTGAGTATCCTCGAATTAATCGCTTGTATGGCCCTGCGCATATTGTTCGGCGTATTGGGGACACCTACACGCTGAGTGTGTTGCCCTGGCCCGTGTAGACTACAGTAGCCTTATCCTCTTCCGTGCCTGACTCCGTTTGCAGCACCTTGAGCGCCAGTTCGCAGAACCGCTCAGAGGGAAAAGTGACCCGAGTGGAGCTGCAAGCAAGTTAGTGCGGCATTAAGCTCGTGTATACACACATAACGGCACACTAGCACCGTGTCTAGGCTCCAATGAACGACACCGCAGCCGACGCTGCGATAACGCGACTGGCCATGGAGAGGCATACTTACTATGCGCACGGTAGAGCTGATTCCTTGGAAGTCATGGTCTAGAATGACTGGTCTTTACGCGCGCCCTGTGCACTGGCATTTCCTACTTTTGGGCACCTGGTCTGGATTCCATCGCCCGGATACGTTGCTGCGCGTCATGAGTGGGTGTGTGTCGGTCGTTACCGTTTGTACTTTTGCGCATATATGTATCCGAGAGGAACTACAACGTTCACCAAGATAATTCTGATTGCCTCTGAAGCTCCAAAACAGCTAGCCTACCCGAAAATATAGACTGGTACCAGCGCTGGGTGGCAGGCGTATAGACAGCTACAGGTCACCAACACGACCGCCGTGGTAGACCCGTATATCACCGGTGCGCTCTTGCGCTCCTAACACATATGTGCTCCGTTATGCGTTTCATACCATCAGGAACCGCTGCAGAAGCGGCAGAACGGAGAAGGTTCTGCGGCGTGTCACATCGTAATTGAACATGACCTACACCACGTATAGTTGCATGTATGCGATCGCCTGCGTCCCGTTGTTCATTGTTTCAGCGGCACCAACCTTCTGCGGACACCCAAATCGTGACGATACAAGGATTGCCACCAGAATTAGGCAGTTCATGGGCAACGCATCTACGTCTCTGACGTAGTGCTCCTCGTGCCCACTGCTAATTTGTGATATGGTCGTTGCTTTAACTTACACCAAATCGTAGTCCCTCGTTATTATGTTTATAATGGAGATCACTGCATTTTTTTTGGAATGGCGTGTTTTCGCAACCCACTGATTGCTAGAACGTATACCGTATCGTAGCTGAACGACGAGGTCAGCGTCTGGAAAACTGGTTGCAAAAGCTGTACACATTTTATTCTACGCCTTGTTCACATACCTGCAGCGCCACATGCACTACAAAGGCGAATAGCACGTGCCGGCATCGGTCTGTTCTCAATATGTTGGGGGATGCGTATCACTCACCTATCTTCGACCTGTTTGCGGTGTACATGAGCACGCAGAACAGCACGTTTGCGAGCATCGCCGCAATCTCCACGTATCTGGGAACCGTGTATGCGTATAAAGCTCCACTCACTGTAACGGAATGGCGTCGCCCTTGACCAGCATGAACATGCGTCCCATGATCAGCATGGTGCTGCAGTGCTGCGTCAGCATCATGGTCTTCGGGCACACATCCTTGAGCGTGTACGTGTTGCACACGTTTTCGCTGAGCCCCCGCAGAAAGTCATCGCTGACGTAGTTGGCTGGGTACGGCTGCCGTTTATACGTGATACGCTGCCAGCGTGGCCTCGGCTCCATCCTAGCGGTACCTCAGGCTGATCCTCTCACCCATACGCTTCCTCCTCTTCTTGATTGCCAGCTTAGTTCTCTTGTTCCTGCAGCTGTAAGCAATCTGCTCCACGTCAGCGTAGCATGCCGGCGATAGGCTGGGCAGCTGGTATGTCGTCTCAGTATCAGCTGCACCGACTATAGAGATGCGGTCCAACAGGCTGTTGCGCCAGACACGGCTCCAGATGTGGCTACCGCTCCAAGATTCTGCGCTGTTTCTCCAAGAGCCTGTGACCAAGACGAGATTCGGTCTTTCTGCAGCCTTCACTGCGCCGGTGACGGCCGCTCTCCGACCAACCGAATATGCCGCCAGGAGTACACACCTCTGCGCCGATGGAGCGTAGAAAAGGGGAAGCATAGTTCACACCGTCGGTGTGTGATCTCCAGCGAGTGTTAGGCGTCTCACTCGGGCTCCCCGCGACGTGACGCGGTTGCGATGTGCACAAGTGTTATAGCGATATTAGAATTTGAGGTTACGGTGGTGTTTACGAGGCTTTTGGCTTGTCTCTTGCTCGTAAGAAGGTGCGCCTTCTATCGGCACGGCATCTTCGTCATAAGCGCCTTCCTGCGGCCATAATGAAGCTGATGATTCGCACATTTCGCATACCTGTGAAGGACGTGGCACCCTCGAACGTCGTTTCGGTATGACTTGTAAGAATCCGTCCGCGGAACGCTGCATTCTCACGAACTCCTGGCTGTCGCTGGCCTCCACTGCGCGGTCCGGCCACCTGTGTCAGCAATGTGTCACCTTCAAAGCCTCCTCACCTGGGCAGCCCGTAGCCCTTGCGGAGCATCCCGCGCTTCTGCAAGAACTGCACTTTCTTCACTGCCTTCTCCCTGCACGAGGTTAAGGCTTGACATGCTCGTGCTCACCTCAAGTAGAAACGTTTCATGGCTTTCTTGTTAACCGGGGAGAGTATATTACGCCTCGGCGGAAGGTTGAGCGCCTTTCTGCCACCCTTCTTCAGTTTCCGGTTCCTGCATGTCCGTTTAAATGGTTAAGCTTCATAGTCCCACCTTAGCGCAAGCTTGGCATCCCACTCAAGCTGCAGCTGTAGCACCCTGGCAACCCTAGCACTCACGTTGCGGTACTCTATGCGATGTTCCGGGGTGTTGAGTCGCTGTATGTTCTTGAGTACCGGCAGATGCTTCTTCGCGAAAAAGGTGTTCACGGAACCTGCAGCCGAGTGGAAGCATTGCTAGCAGAATCATACCGTTATGCGCCACTCCAGCCGTTCGATGAAGGTAGTCGGTGACGTTCCTAGGGAAGTCGAATGATATCACGTGGTCGACGTGGCAGCTGAGGGCACCCCTGCTGGCTACGTTTGTGGCAACGAGGATGTTGCTTTGCGTCCCAAAGTCTTTGACACTCTTGCTGCGCTGTTCGTAACCCATCTCCCCGTGCAGTGACGCGGCATTATATCCCCGTTCTCTGAGCGCGTGCTCGAGAAACTTGCAGCACTTGACGGTGTTGCAGTAGACAACGGTCTGGCGACCGTCGCCCCTAGATCTGATGTCGAGCTCCTCCAGAGTTTCGATAAGCCGGTCCAGGGGGTCGCTCTGAGCTATAGCCGTGAACACCTGCTGCACGTTCTTCGCCACCGTATGGCTCCCTGGATGCGCTATTGTGACCCGCGCCAACCCATCCGCATCTCCATCCAGATGCGCCTGCAATATGTGGTTCATTAGCGCATCCGTCTTGGTCGCCGTAACGCACAGAGTGCGGAGTTCGGTGGAATGTATCATGTTGAGCACCTCGTTGAGCTGTTCCAGGTAGAACCCCTCGCAGAGTATGTCCGCCTCCTCCATCACTAGAAAGCGCAAGAACCTTATGTCGATCCGTGCATCTTCGAACACGCCGTGTATGACTCGTAGCAACATTTCCGGCGTCGATACTATAAGGTCCACATTGTCACTTTTTTTCTTGCGACCCGATGTTGCGTGCCCTCCCGTGAAGGACGACTGTTTTTTGTACCCCAATCCTCCTGCAAAGAGCCTTGCTCTCAGATTCATTTGACAGCACGTATCAAATATCTTCAAACCTATCTCCCTGCTTGGCACTAGCACTACCGCCAGCGGCACCATCAAGGAGTTCCAGTCGAACTTGGGTAGTCCATGTATCTTCGGCATGTCTGGCTTAGAGGGCAGCCTATACGGTTTTAACGACCTATTAAGTATAGTCTTGTTGCGATATTCATCCCTCTGCGGTGCTGTTTCATCCGAGCCGCAGCGCTCGACGTTGACCAGATCGCCCAGTGCCAGGAGGTAGGTAGAGGTCTTGCCCGTTTTCGTGCCTCCCACCGCCAGCGCAACGTTGCCATATGCGCTTCCCAACACGTCACCGTGAACCCGCATATTGCTTGAATACTGTTTGACGGATCCGTCGGAGCACTTGACCGACCCTTGGATCCACATGATTACCCGTTTTTGGAACTCGTCCAGCTCGGTCATCTTGAGTTTGCGCTGCAGGTGCCTCGTCTCTTCCGAACGGAAAATACGCGCCGATTCTCCGGTGTTGTGAGCTGCCGCGTGATCCGATTTTGCTTGGGACGTGTACCCACGTCGGCATACAGCCATACCACGCATACCATGTTTCAACGACCGCCTTGCATCCATCACAGCACCGCAGCATGGGATAACCGAGTGAATTGGCCGACATGGTGCGCTTTCAAGCGATGTTGTGCCGCTGTGTCCTATATTTGTCTGCAATCTTGGACGTATAGTCGAACACCGCCATGCATCTTCACTGTGGACCGTTGATCGCCGCAGTGGTCCATTTTCAATACTGCATGCCGCCAGCTGGTTGACGCCTTGCAATACCTTAATACAGCCATGACGCCCTGCATACCGTTTGATAAGACCTAACACGCAAGAGAAGGCGCTCGCAACCTCCAGACGAGCCATGGCAGCTCAACAGACCAGCGACAAAGTCGCAAACCGGTCTAACCAACACTAGAGCTTCCTCGTCTCTAGCACATACGGCTTTATGCGATTTTGTTACACAATTCCAGCGATAGCGTGACGACGTCCGGCCAGGGCGCCAAGCGTCACATTCAACGCATTACCCGGCGCCGTAGACATGCCTAAGTGGCGTGATATATGCGGCATTGTGCCGCTACAGGTGCTACGTATAAAGCTGCGTTTATTCATCTGTCTAGTTCCCGCCTATCAGTTGGCCGGAAGGCCGTCGATGGGAACCGGCGTTGACGCCACCGGGCAGGGAGGCGATAATGTGTGCCTCACGCCGTACTAATAGAATTTGGAGCATCTGCTGGTCCTTTTAATGTCTCTGTTAGGCATTCGGTTGCGCGTCTGCACGAAAGGGTGTACAGCGCTAGGGTCCCTTGAGTCGCCGAAGTACGGGTGAAAGGCGCTACAGCTCTTTCATGCAGAATTATAATGGTAAGTGATGTTTTGGTTTAATTTTATCTGGGCGGAACAAAATATGCCAGTCCAGCGGCGGTGTAGCGCGCTCTGCGTGTGGTGATGTGTTAATGTGTTGACTGCCGTTCCGTCGCAGTAGCAGTTCCGACTCACCGATCGCATACGCGATGTGAGTTTGGGCGCCATTTTGAGAGGTTAGAATTCGCCGGAGGCGGCACTGATTGCCCTTCCATGTGAATTCTTCCCGTGAAACGCATGGATGGTACGGTGTTCGTTGTGTAAAAGCCCGTGAATTTGAGACAACGGCCTTCTACACCCTGGTCTTATATGAGCGGTTTGATTGCAGCGCTTCTGCTGCATCTGTTTGTAGCGATGGCGTTGCCTGCTCCTGCGCGCTACGGTTACGTAGTAAGGGAGTACCCTGGATGGTACCAGGTCTCCTTCAAGGGCGACGATGGCTGCCGGTACGCGCATGCGCCGGAGTCAACGTCGCTGTGGATAGAGCGCCCGAACGGCGCTGTAACAGAGTCGGCGGATACACTGACATCCGAGTTTCCGATATCGGAGTGTGACGCCGACGCCATTTTGGGTATCATAAACATCAACGGCTCGTTGTATCTCAACACCGTGTTGCGCTCGGAACCGGTTGCCAATGTGTCGTTTGACCAGGCGACGGCGGTCGACTGCCGCACGTCGCCGATCTTCAGCGTCAAGATGGTCCACATGTTCCCCCTCGACGTACCCCGTGGCGATGGCGGCATGCCAACCGGTCGTTACGACGACGCGGTGCTGCTGGGTGACGACACCGTGGATTGGCAGAAGGCGCAATTTGATGGTTCGACTGGCACCAGCCCGGTATCGCGCGATCCGGGGTGTGTTGCGTACCCCGCCATCGACCTTAACGCCGGGATCATCGGCGACATCAATCGGCTGCTGACCACCGGACACTACTATTCGCGTGCTGCAGATCTGACTCATTCGCTGCAGCGTCAATGGGAGAGAGACATGCTCCCACTGCGCCCCAGGAGGTTCGCCACGGAGTTTTCCGGGAGACTCGCTTCTTCGCCTAATGGCTTGTATGACGGTTTCCCCGATGCGGACGAGCAATCGAAGACCCTTTACGAGTTGGCCGACCCGATGTTCAACTGGACCCAGGGCATGGCTCACAACATCCCCCCTCACTGGCTCACGGTGCTCATGCAGGGCTACGTGGGATACAGCCAACAGAGCTGGCACGGCAGGCGCGTGGAAGTGATGGTTATCGGTCGCCGCAGCGTCCACCGTTCGGGCACGCGCCTGAACGCTCGCGGCATTGACAGCGAGGGCCATGTCGGCAACTTCGTGGAGAGCGAGACTAGGCTGCGGGTCGACGGCAGCCCGTGGAAGAGTTTCGTGCAATGCCGCGGCTCAGTGCCCGTGTTCTGGGGCCAGCGCAACATATTTGCACCGGCCTACTTCACGCGCCCTATCAACGAGAGCGAGCAGGCATTCTTGCTTCACCACAAGGACCTTAGGGACCTATACGGGGACAATGTGTACATCTGGCTGCTGTCGCTGCTAGATGTCAAGGCCAGCGAGATTTTCTTGGTGCAGGCCCTGGACCACCTGATGCAGACCTTCAGCAACATGCCCATCCAGCTCATCAAGTACAACTACAACGAGAAGGTGAAGAAGAGCTCAGTGGTGCCCGAGCTGCTGGCGTTTGTCAACACGAAGCTGTTGGGCACGCTGCGAAGCATGGGCTACTTCGACGGCTCAATAATGTCTGTGAAGGACGACGTGGCCGTCAGCAAGGGTGTTGTCGAGCACACGCAGCGTGGCGTGTTCCGCGTCAACTGCCTGGACTGCCTCGACCGCACCAACGCCATGCAGTTGATGGTGGCGTGGGTGTGGCTGGCCGACATGCTCGACCCGCACGGCCTGACGAACATGTACGAATACACTGAGGACGGCGAGAACGACTTCAGCGGTTCGCTGCGTCATTTCCGCGACATGTGGTGCTCCCACGGTGATGCCATCAGTCTGATCCACGCGGGCACGGAGTCCATTTACTCCCAGCATATCCGCGAGGGCCGTCATTCGTATGGAGCTTTGTTCCACTACACCAAGACGATGGTGACCCGTGCCTGCAGCATCGTCTTCTCCGACGAGGCGCGCCAGGCATGCCTGAACCTCGTCCTGAACAACGCGTCCCCGTCGAAAGATTCACCGAGAGCCGTGGATACCGAGATAACAGTTCCCGAACTGCCCTCTCCGGAGCCAGTCACCCACGGCGACCTGGTGATCTGGTGCGGCACCTGGAACATGAACGGAGCGACGCTGTCGAACAATGACAACATCCACGATTGGATGGCATCTGGCGCCGAAAAGGGCGCCGAAGTATTCGTATTTTTCGTCCAGGAGTTTGTGGAGCTCTCGGTGCTGAACGTGTTGAGCGGCCGCACCGAGGAGAACAAGGAGATGCTGTTCAACGGCAAGATCCTGCGCGCCCTGGGCGAGTTGTACCAGGGCCGCGGCGTCAGCTTCGTCCACCTCAAATCGTGCTCCATGGTGGGTCTATACATGACCGTCTTCGTGAGCACCCGCCTGGTCCCATCGGTGAAGAACATCGAGACCACCGCGGTGAAGACTGGGTTCAGCGGCAGTGTAGGAAACAAGGGTGCCGTTGGAATGCGGTTTTCCATCGGCGGCCAGCAGATAACGTTGGTGGACGTCCACATAAACTCCGGCAAGCTCCCCACCCGCGTGCGCATCCAGGAGCTTGACGGCGTCATGCGCAACGTGTTCCACGAGCACGCACCCCGGGTGCTGTTCGACGCCGACCTGTTCATTTTCGCCGGCGACTTCAATTTCCAGGTCGTGGTGGACGACGGCTACACGACGGCGGACATTTTCAGGCACATATATGGCGGCGGTCTGGACTACCTACTGCGCTACGACGAGTTCTTGTCCGACCTGAAGAACCAGCTGCCCTTCGTCAGCCGTCTCCAGGAGGCGCCCATAAACTTCGACCCCACCTACAAGTTCAAGAAGGGCACCGACTTCTACGACGCGAAGCGAACTCCCGCGTGGTGCGATCGCATTTTGTACGGCGGCGCGGGCCTGCCGACACCGGACCAGCGGGTGCACTGCCTGTCGTACCGCCGCCACAACCTGATGATCTCCAGCGACCACAAGGCGGTCTCCGCCCTGTTCGTGCTGGAGGCGCAGAAGGCCCCGAGCCGCGAGGAGGACATGTCACTGATCGAGCTGTGAGCGCCAAAAAGGCGTCACCCTCCGACCATCACCCCGTTGTGCCTGGCAAAAAGGCCTGGCACGCTAATTTTTCACGCACTGCCACGTAAGAGCAGTTGCATAAACTACTGACATTAAAATTTGTTCGTGAATAATGCCAATTCGCTTCCATTAGCTAATGCATCACTATTGGCTCTCGGTAATGGCGTCATAAGGTCGCTTCAGTGGTAGTGGTCGAACACGGTTTTGTTTGAAAATAGCGCCTGCGCATTATACACCGCTGGTTGGGTTTGACCTACGTTGACGACTTCCTTGAGGTGCCATATGTCCACGGTGCTGCACACCTCCCTGATCGAGTGCATGGCGAGCTGCGGAATCCCCACGTCGACCACGGGCACGCAGAGCCTGCTGGAGAGGAACGGACCCACCGTCGATCCACACGGGCTGTCGTTCTGCACCCTGAAATCCTGCACTGGCACGCCGCACGAGCGCGCAGTCTCTATGACGACGGCCGATGCCCTGAGTTCCGTGGCGTAGCGGCCGTTGACGTTGCGCTTCATGACCAGTCCCTCGTGGAAGTGAGGCTGATGCGTGTCCGAGTGCCTCTCAGGGTAGTTGGGGTGAATGGCGTGCGACATGTCCACGTTGAGGATGAGTGCGCGGCCCTTGGTATTGGCGAACGATGACCCCAGCGCAGCGTACATCTTGTCTATCCATTGGATAGTGATCTGCGAGTCGGCGCCCGACGACATATGCGAGCCCATCTCCTCGTAGTTGTAGAGCATGAGGCAGGTGATGAACTCCGACTCCTCGGCTTCTGCACCCATGTGACGCGGCATCGCGTGCTCCAAGCACCCACCTTTTCCGTTGATGAAGTCGATAAACCCTCCCATGGCGCCGAAGCACGACGCCAAGTTGTCCAAACGAGCGCATGAGAGGAACTCCTCGTAGAGTCCGGAGAGCACAGACTTCGCGTTCTCCATGAGGCACAAGTCCATGTCGACAATGTCCTCTTCCTTGACACCAATCTCCCTGCGGGAAGCGATGAGCCAAATCTGCGTTAAAACTCACTTCGCTACGTACGCCAAGATCGGCTTTGAACTCTCGGAATTGAGCTTGTGCACCGCCTCGGTAGACACGATGCCCCTGAGGTGCTTCTCCTGAGCGCCATTGGTCATGATGGGAACGGCAACATACCCTGTTGAGCTTAAGGACCTCACGTTCCGCAGAATGCTGGAGGTGCACCGACAGGTTCGGTACGACGATGATGGGCTTAGCGATACGGACAAGCCTTTCTTCGAGCAGGCCTGCGGAAGGTATAGGTGCGCCTACGGCAGCGACCACTAACCATCCTTGCGCACAATCACTCGTCCTGCAATTCCAAGATCGCGATCCAGCCACGTATGCCACAGGCCAGAGGTGTAGGTGAGCGAGACAGCCTGATTCTGTTCAGAGGAAGGAGAGTCAAGCTCACCTGGTTGAACGCATGCGCCACACTCTCACACTTGTACTCCAACTTGAGAGCAGGCGAATCGGTGTGACCGGCCGTGAGGAGCAATCCTCCCTTATCGGCGTTGAACTTCTTGCCTGCGAAAGTTGACCGTTATCCGCGAGGCGACATACCGACGTGGAACGCCATCATCGTGGCGTTGGCGTCTGCCACGTAGTACGTGGTCCCTTTTTCCAGAACCCATGGCGCGCTATTTACACATTAATATATCCCATGCTTGGGAACTCACAACGGGTCGAGTCGCTGGGCGGAGGGGTGGTTGTCTTTTAAATACTTCTCCAGCTCGAGCACCGAATGTGCGGGAGAACCGGTGTTGTCGAGGTACGGCATGAAGCCGCGTACGAACCGCTGCGCAGCGCTAAGCGTGGTTGCCTTGAGAGCCATTTTGATGGTAGTTATGTATTGTGTAGGTGGTGGTGGCTGGCACAGGGTAGCCCCGCGCCTGCGCGTCATTGACGCAGCACACCACTAGCATCACTTTCTTCCACATTTTTTCTGTCTCCTTAGTCTAGAATACACCCGTTGCCGTCATTATTCCGACAATGGCGGCTGCTCCTGTTGAAGAGCAGGCCCGCGCCAGCCCTCAGCGAAGTAGGTCTCCTTCGCTCGGCGCTTGACACCTTCGCAGACTGGCTCTTACAGGCGCTTATCCAAGTGGTAGTAATCCACACCTTGATGTCCATCTTTGGCGTCAAGCAGCGCAACACGCTCGACCCTGTCACTGGGAAGCCTGCGCCGGCGTTGAAGAATTACCTCGCCACCAACGACCTTTACGTCGGTTTTATTTACACGCGAAATAACGGTTTCGCAGGATGTGTTCGTATACGTGAGCGAAGAACCGTACCTAGGGTTGGATTCCTTGGAGAACAACGCCAAGCTTGTCTTTTCCGCTGAAAACCGCGCATACACGCACAAATTCAATCGCGCCTTCGAGATAGAAGAAGTCAGCGTGGAGGCGCCTTCCACTTTCTTCCACAGCGATGAGAGTGTGTTACACGCCATCGTCTTTTTGGTCCCGCACAAGTCGTACGCAACACGCGGCTCGGCGCTCCACCTTTCCACCTTCAAAGAGGGCTTCGATGGGCATGTGATCGTAAGATCGCTCCCACTCACCACTGTGCGCCCTGTGAAGCGCAGCAAGGAGGTGAGCCTCGTCGGCTCCGACGCCGAATCGGCGGCTGAGGAGGAAGAGGAGCTGTGCAAGCACTGGATTCCTCGCCTCGACGTGAACCTGGTGTACGAGAAGGCGCCTTACGTAAGCCGTCCCGGTGACATTTACTTCCAGAATTACGAAATGCACCCTGCGGAGGGAGTGTACGACCCTCTGCTGTACCTATCGCAGTTTTGGGTGTTGGAGGAGCACTACCAGTGCGTCCGTCCCGAGATGGCCGACAAGCCCCTGGAGTTGAAGGTCCACTTCTCCACATGCAGCTCCACTTACTTCCTCATGACGACGCAGTTCAAGGCCAACGTTGAGACCGGCGGAATCCTGGGCAACCAGTCCGCGAAGGAGTTCGAGATGTTCAAGCGCACGCTGATGACGACCAACATCTACATGTTGATCTTCTCCGGCGCGTTCATTTTGCTGCACAGCGTCTTCTCGTTCTTCGCTTTGAAGAACGACATCCAGTTCTGGCACAAGAACGACTCCATGGAGGGCCTCTCGGCGCTCTCGGTGGTGATCAGCTTCGTCTGCGACGTTATCGTTGCGCTGTACGTGTTCGACAGCGAGAACGTGTCGTGGCTGATATTGTTCGAGATGGGTATCGGCGTGGCTGCTTCTGCCTGGAAGGTGTCCAAGGCGATTAAGATCAAGATGAAGCGCCAGTTCCCCTTCGTCGAGCTCGGCAATGCAAACGTTAGTGTCGATGTGTATTTTGTAAATGGTGTGCAGAACTACGTCGAGTCCAACACCAAGAAGTACGACGAGCAGGCCATCAAGTACATGAGCATGGTGATGCTTCCGTGCGTGGTGGCGTACGCGATCTACTCGTTGTTCTACGAAAAGTACAAGTCGTGGTACTCTTACTTCATTTCGGTTGCTGCGGGTTCCGTCTACACCTTCGGTTTCATCATGATGACTCCTCAAATTTACATCAACTACAAGCTGAAGTCGGTGGACCACCTCCCGTGGCGCGCTCTGATCTACAAATCGCTGAACACTTTCGTGGATGACGTGGCGTCGTTCTTGATCGAGATGCCGTGGATGCACCGGCTGTCGTGCTTCCGTGACGACATCATCTTCTTCTGCTACCTGTACCAGCGCTGGGCCTATCGCGTGGACCCCAATCGCCCGAGCGCCTGGAACCACCCCCAGCAGGAGACTCAGGCAGTGACTGAGGGCCAAGCTGCTGAGACTAGCATTGAGAACGAGCCAGCTACCACTGCTGAGGATGAAACCGCACCCACGAGGCGCCGTTGAGCTCCCATGTGAGATGGCCTCAGTTGCGCCATTTTCACCTGGGTTATGGGAAATCGCCATCACAATGCTGGGACCCTAGCATTCTTTGTATACACCAATTTGCGTGCTAAAAGGAGATTAGTGATTGTTTGCAGCAGACGATATGCGCACGCAGTACTCTGGCGCTTTAGACACGTGACTGCCAGATAATGATTTTTATCCTGTCATCTCGTCAGCAGGTATGCTCTTGTAGTACTCCCTGTTTATAGTTGCGCCCTCTGAGAGCACTGAGGTGTCGCCCAGCATCCAGAAGCGTAGCAGCTCCTCCTTGCACGGGTACACCGAGTTGCCCATGTCGTTCGCGGGCTTGTATGTGTCGTCCGGAGGCGCGTACGTGAACTCTGGCCCCATGTTGAGCGTGCAGCAGCCACCCATGAAGGTCGAAACACCTGGGTGGTACTCCACGCAATATAGCGTAGTGACGACGGTTTTCCGCCAAACCCCGTTGACGGAGAACCTAAGCTCAGCTCCGACGTTCGGCACCATCGCTGCCCTCATGGTCTCGATATTGGTGACGTCGCAGAGCAGCGCCTTTCGGACGAAGGGCCACAACGCCGCGATACCCCTAGGGTCAGGTAGCGATGCCGTCGGCGGGTTGAGCTTGATGGCGCATCCCACGATATCTCCGACGTTGAGGTCGACCCCCTGGTCGTCTGGGTCGCTGACGTCCTGCCCATCATGGATGATCTGGCCTCCATTCTGCAAACAGTTTGCCATTATGTTTCCCTTCACCCACCTGACTGATAGCACAGCCGAAAGCGTTTACGCCCATGGGACTGTCGAACCTGGAGAGGCGTGTGCCAAAACCGATACGCACACACGGCTTCAGTGCGTCCTTCAGCTGGGGAGTGCACTCGAGCAGGCCCCCTACGGTGCCGACTGAGTCCCACCCGCGCAGCCTGAACTCGTTCCACTCGGCGTTTGGTTCCTCGATTTTGCACTCGAAGTACCAATTTCCCGTCGTGGCACAGCCCCTGCTGAGCGCTGTGCACCACATGGTGGATCCCGTGTATGTCAACCTGTCCTCCGACAGGCGAGCGGGCGCCTCGTTCTCACAGTATCTACGGCATGTGAAATGCAGTGGCACAGCTCCTACCTGATGTCGAACGAATTGTACTCCAGGTCAGGCATCCATATGATTTTTAGCCGTTTTGCCTCGCTGGCGAGGTCTATGAGTTTGCGTGTCTTTTCCATCGCGCCAGGGTCGACGGTCTTCGTCCTCTTTCGGTGAAGTTGCAGACTGATGGCACTGCAGCGGCTATTCCAAATAAGACACTAAATGTTAAAACGCAGAATCGAGTATCGCTTGATTCGAATAATCTTCTTACTGCTTTACTCGGCATAGAAATGTGGCAGTCCTCGTAGAACGCCACGACAATAACAGCAACAAAGGTGGAGCTTCGAGGTAGACAGGCACCTTCCTATCCCACATTCAAAGCTTTATCACCAATATAAGGCCCAGAATATATCTTCTAGGCGGACAAAAGTCGACAGTAACGCGCTTCTACAGGAGAATCTTGATTCCCTAGTCCGTCGCAGAAACTCGTGATGCACCTTTCGGCGATTCCACAGGCGACATTTATCCACGAATCAGAATCAGTGGTACTCCTTGTGCATCGAGGGGTTGAGGCACGAGTCTCGGAGCCTATTGAAAACCGATGTGTCCTCTCGTACCTATCTCGTCGCACATTTAGCGGATGGCGATCATCCACGGAATATAGAGCACCTTTTCCGGAGATTTTGAATCTGATTTCGGATATAAACGTCCGGTTTTGCCGCGGCGTGCCGAGTGGTGTCGACCATGCTCGCAGCATCGTGCCGGTGTGTCGAGTTTTTCGCTGTTAATGGGGGCGTCTGATGTCGCCGTTTCCGGCATGTCTGCGCCCGCAAAGCGTGATTTAGTATCGCTCTGTATCGAGGTGTGAGGGGAGCTCATCTCCGCCTAGTTGGTATAGGTGTCCTGCACAGGCCGTCGTAGCGACACATAACCGAGGCTCTCCGCTCCGACACACACGTTCAAGTTTGCGCACGGTGTTCTCCTCGACGTATTCTCCTGTCCGTGTGCAGGTTTGCGCCAACCCTGCATCTCTGCCAAGGGCTCGGAGCCGCCTCTGTTTTCTCTGGATTCTGATACTGCTGAGTCTTCGATTAACGTTTGAACTTGAGACCGCGCTCGGGATTCCGGGTTTGGAGGTTCGCGGCTGGTGTTAGGGCCAGCTGCAGTGCGCGCAGGCGCCTATATCGTTTATTACCGTTTTGATGTGATTCTGCCGCGTTGCCATGTACGCAAACCGCGACGAGGGGCAGAAATGCATCGCCATCGCAAAGAACGCCCTTGCCAAGGGCGATGTGGAGAAGGTACGTGGTTTCACATCATTGTTGACCCTTTTGCAGGCCGTGAAGTTCCTGCTGAAGGCGGAGTCTATGTTCCCGACCGATGAGGCGAAGTCCCTGCTTGCAGCATGCCGCGCCCAGGCAGCGAGTTCCGGTGCCGCCGACTCCTCTCATTCGTCTAGCGCCTCTAACAGGAATGCGCGTAGTGGCAGGGCTGCGGGCGGCGCCTCCGATGACCGCGTTGCCGCTGATGGTGCGCGATCAACTGCGAAGACGGCCGCTTTGAATCGCGAATGCACGCAGATCCTAAACAGCAAGAGCTACTACGACGTGCTGGGAGTGCCGCATAATGCCAGCATGGATGACATAAAGCGCGCTTACAAAAAGCTGGCTCTCAAGTTTCATCCTGACAAAAACCCTGCCAAGCGTGCCGGGGAGGCCTTCAATAAGATTTCCGACGCATTCCAGTGCTTGAGCGACCCCGATCGGCGCAACTACTATGACCGAGTGGGTAGCGAACCTGGAGCCGCACAGGAGAAGGTGTATCGCCCTCGTCCCCAGGACGTGTTCATGACTCCGGATGTGCTCTTCGAGGCGCTGTTCGGGATGAACCCGAACCACCGCGCTCACTACCATCGCAACGCCTACGAACAACATTACGCTCATCATGCATCCAGAAGCTCCTCCCACCACTCGGGCTATCACTCAACGTCGCGGCCATCGGCTTCTGCGTCGTCCTCGTCCCACGCTGGCGGTCAAGCGCAAGGGTGCGTTTACTAACCATTGTCATAAACGATTTGCAGCGCTACAGCTACGCAGGGCAGGGTTCCCTTTTCTATGTGGTTCCCGTTTATTGGACTGCTCCTATTCGCATTCTTGGGCCTGCTCCTCGGCGGCGACGCCCCGCAGTACCAGTTCTCGCCTAACACGCGCTACAACCGCATGCTGTCCACCCAGCTGAACGGCGTGGTCTACTACGTTGACCCGCGAGCCTTCGAGCGCCGGTACCCGCCCAACTCGGTTGACCGCGTGCGCCTGGAGTACGAGGTCGACTACCACTACTTCGACAACAAGTGCACTAAGGAGAAGAAGGAGAACGAGCGCAAGGCCTACGAGTACATATCGCGCCTCCAGTCCCCTCCGAAGGACCTGTACGACACGCCCGCCAGCTGCAAGACGCTGAAGTCGCTGCATGAAACATATTCGGATTACTTGCGCAAGCGTACAGCGCCCCGTTAGTGGGCGTTAGCGTTCCCCACCCGGCAACTTCAGACAGCTATTGCCGCGGTTGATGTGTCAATAACTGCAATTTAAATTTACGCGTGTCCACATTGCCTGGGTACTTCGGCACGTTGAATATCATCGTGAGTGTTGAGCCGCGTGGGAAACACAGTTTATGGCGATAATTGCAAACTGGATGTTACGCACGTTGCTCCCCTTCTCCGTCGTGTGAGTGATTGAGCTTCGCTGTCTCGTTGTAGGCCAGCGCACTGCTGTTGAGTCCGGCGGCGGCGAGGCGTGCGTCGGAGTACGTCACGCTGGTGCGCTTGCATCTTGGCGCGGCGGCCTTGCAGGGCGAAGCCTTGCTGCGGCTGAACTGATCTTGCAGGCTCTTGAGCTCTATCTGCATGAGTTGCAGCCGGACTTGACTCTCGCTGCGGTGCGTGGGGGAGACTGTCATCTGAGACCTACTGGATGCACTTGATCATTGCCATGTAGAATTCGCGCGCAAATCCCTCGATAACCATGGTCTTTGCGGATGACGATGAGACGCTGCCGTCGTCGTTCCTCGGCTGGTAGAGCACGCGGCATTTGTTCCCAACCCAGAATCCGTCTATAAGCTCCCACATGCTGCGTGACGGTTTACACTAACCATAGCTCGTTAGGCGTACCTGATGATGACACGTTTCCACTTCAGTTCCGCGTTGTGCGCGTGCAGCACAAGGAAGTTGTTGGGGTCGGTGCCGTCGCATACGAAGTACCACGTTCCGGAGAATAGATGCGGGTCCCACAGGTTCCTCCTCACCCCTAGGCAGCCTGGTTGCGATTTACAGTTGCGTCTTACGCTACCTCGACTTACCCTGTTTACCCGTGCGCCATGCTTCCCTGTAAGTCATTTTGATATCGGCGATATTGGGGAGGGATTCTCCGCGCAGCTGCAGCCCTCTCCTCCTAATTTCCTCTTCGCACTTTGCCTGCCATTTCGCATCGAACTTGCCAGTCGACCTGAAACTCTATGGGCGTCTTTACTGTGTTCTTACCCGTCGCATTGGGCTTCCCCTTCGGCGCTGTTATGTGTCACGGCAGCGCCACTAGCATCGCCAGCATCAGTAGCTTTGCCACCCATTTTGCTGATATACGTACCGAGCAGTCACCGCCAGGTATCGTAGATAGTCCGGTTGATGCCACTGGATGCGTTGGCGATGCTAAACGACCTTTAGTCGCGCCGCTCGGGAACTGGCTGTCGATATGCCAGTATATACAAATCAGCGGCCACTGACGGCGATTGTGTAGAGTGTGTATTATATAAATGTGCGATGCGGAGGCATCTTTAGCGCCGGCAGCCGCTTTCTGCTTCACAGTTCGGTCGAGGGGCTTTGATGCAACGGCTTCGTTGGGTCGTTGCTGCGCCCTTTCGCATGCTTCTTCACTTCTGTAGCAACTACGTAGGCTGTGTAAGTGGCTCCATTGTGTTCCATGACTCGCTGAGCCTTTTCAGGTAGTCCTGTTTGGCCTTTTCGGTCTTAAGGGCGTTCCACTCGTGATAGGGGATGACGCATACCTTAAAGTCCTGTTTGGTGTTTTTTGACGTCGTTTGCAGCAACATACCTTCATGGACAAGGTGTTGATCTCGACTTGGGCGAAGACAGTCTGCTGGTTAGACATGGCGTAGTAGCTGAATGGCCCTGCAAACGTTGTATCGACGTGACCCTTATTCTCACCTGCGCACTTTATTACCACGCCGAGTTCCTTTATGTAAAGATCGGCGTGTATGTAGTCGAACCACACGTTCCTGGTATGGTTCACGTTCTGTGCCGCCAGCATCCTTGAGACTTCCATGCACCACCTAGACAAACGCCTCCGCACCTACGCGGTGTGTCACGTTGCCACCGTTATACCTCACTAACATTTCGCAACTTGTACTGCTCCACCTTTGCAATTAAACTCTTAACGTCGCTGCAACACGCCTCGAGCAGGGCTGACGAACTGTTACGTTTTACCCGGGTTGCACTCACCCGGCTGTTTGGTCTTCAGGTGATCCACGACGTACTTCAGTTTTATGGCCTTGTAGTTCTTCAACACATCTTTGTGAGTGCACAGGAGCTTCAAACTCTTCTCCACCGTCTGCGCGTTGATGTTTACAGGGCCTTGTCATGAATGGCTCTTACCTGATGTAGTGGCATGTCCAGCATGCACACCGCCGTGTAGAGGTATAACACCAGCGATTGCGCATCGACAGTCTCCGGGTTCTAAAAAAGAATTGTAGACCTCTGAATCGCATTCCGAACCTACCTCTTCCAGCATCGACTGGTATTTGAGTATCGATGCCTCGTATAGGTTTTTCGCTGAGAAGTCGAGCTTGGCGAAGGAGTGTAACGTCAGCGTCAGAAGTTCCTGCGTCAACTCGTTTCTCTCCACAGCGGGTCTGAGTTTGTCTTTGAGCAACCTAAGCAGCATGGGGTGCCGTATGTCGAGTTTGGCCAAGGCCGCCAGAATCAGTGAGGCCTGCAGAGGGGTCATCTGATGGTGTCTTAGTGACACTGCCTTAAACAGCATATTCCAAAACCTGTAACGAAATATCACAATTGAATGATTAATTTATATGCTTATGGTGCGAAGTTGCATAATTACCAAACCCATGCCTACAACAATGCCGCTTGTCCCACTTACCTCTGATGATACACCTGGAAGAAGGAAAGTGCATTAGCCGTAAGGGCAATATCCTGCATATTGGCGGTATCCATTTTGAGACATATCTGCGGGATATTTCGCGCAGCTGCGCAGTGTAGCGGTCGGTACCTCGTTGGTGGCCAAGTCGATGATGTCATAGTTGGATAACTCGAGGCGCTTCATGGAATTCAGAATAAGCGCCGCTCCTGCAACGTTGTATCAACAAACTGCTGATTTCAGGACTTACCACTACATGAAAGTCCTGAAATGTGGCGAACGATCAACGGATTGAGGATCTTCAGCAGTTGCTGATCTCGGTACCTGGGCATGTATGTAATCGTTTACCTCCATGCTTACCTCACTTTAGCGAACGAATACATAACCAGGCATATGTCTGCAGGCTGCATGGTGCCTGCTACAACTGAGAGGCGATGTACGTATCGTTTCCACAGGGCGTCGTTGAACACCCGCCCAGTAGCCGATCTGTATATGCTCTTAACAAGGCCCTTGATGCCCTCATATTCGCCAGGATCAACAGATGGCGGATCACTTGTAACCTCTTTCTTCGATTCATCTATCACTTGCAGTGTATGTAGCGTTCCGGGTGGCAATTCATCCACCTTCGTAAGTGCTGAAGCCTCCATGCCGATTGTGGCTGGCGGTCGGTAGAGCCTTTCAATCGACCGTACCATTTTCATGACCCGCTTACTCAGCCTTGGTGGCCGTTTCTGCGATTCCGCCTTCTGTTCGGGCTGTGGTGGCTGCTCATCCTTGTTAGACGACGTTGGAGCAGCAGTTTCACCAAGCGACCAGGGCCAGCTTATGGGCTCCTCCCTCTGGCAGCTGCGGCCCATGGGCGCACCCAATCCCGTTCCTGCATTTACACATTGCGATATAGTGCCGTCATCCGCAGCGACTGCGCGCTGCTTGCCAGCCAGCGTGGCGTTTCGACGCCCGGCTGGATTCAGGCATACCAAACTGGAATCCACGGCATATGGCCAGGAATGCTCACACCTCAGCACTAAAAGCCGCCTAGAGGCTACTGTGATCATAGTATACAATATTTATGATTACAGTCCTTTTTTAAAAAAATGGAAACGACGCGCCTTATTGAATGGCGGTGGTGAACGTGTATCAGTGATGTCGCCGCGTCAGAACATGGTTTACAAAAATATTGACCATCGACCTTAAAAAATAACGGAGTGCTCAGATTCAGGACCACTTGAAGGGAGCCTCGAGGTTTTTGTTGGCAAAGTCCCAGTTGACCAGATTCCACCAGCCTGCGACGAATGTGACGCAGAGCTTCCACACCTACTGTTGATGTAGCTCGCCCTGTCGTTTTTGTAGTCAATGTAGTAGGCATGCTCCCACACATCGCAACACAGCAGCGGGCGTCCGAGCTTCTCCTTGAGCGGGGAGCCGGCGTCATGGGTCTGCACGATGTCGGTGCTGCCGTCCTCCTTGAGCACGAGCCATCCCCAACCGGAACCGAAGTGGCCGGCAAGGAGGTTGGAGAAGTCCTGTTTGAAGGCGGAGAAGGAGCCGAACTTCTCCTCAATCTTCTTGCGGATGGGTCCGGTGGGCTCGCCGCCGCAGTTCGGCCCCATGGAGTTCCAGTAGAACGTGTGGTTCCATATTTGTGCGGCGTTGTTGAATATCGCACCTGTCTGTCCAACGACGAGTTCTGCGGTTTCATGACCCCCTCTGTTTCGCGAGTGTGAAACCCACCTTCAAGGGAGAGGGATTCCAGCGGGGTTCCCTTGACGAGTCCTAAGCACTGATTACTATCCCGCATATAACACTTTACCGTTGAGCTTGGCGACGTAGCCCGCGTGGTGCTTTCCGTAGTGGAAGCTAAGCGTCTCCTCGCTGATGTGAGGAAGCAGGTCCTTCAGACCGTAGGGCAGTGCAGGGAGTTTGAAAGCCATTGTTGCTGCAGCTACATTAGTGCATTTCAAAAAATATATCGTCGCTGCGGGGAGCCGCAGACGGTGCCGTCCGATATAATGGCACCGCGACGCGGTGATACAGGCAACGTATATTAGCCATTCACTTACATGATGTTGTAGCAATTAAAATGTTCGTAGCGCGCTTGTTAAAAGATATAGCAGATTTGGCGTGATTACGTTGATGCGAGGTGCACTGAAGGCGAAAAAATCTGCATCCTTATGGGGACGTCGTCGCAAACTTGCTAGCGTCGCGCCGATGCGGGGCTTCCGCCGGCTCATTTCTAATTTGGATGGCATAATCATACAAGCGCATTTATGTCGGGTCGGGATTCGTCGAAACTCTCGGGGAATCCCGACGGCAAGGGTGAGTTTTATCCAGAAGGACGCTCGCTGGGATGGGCGGTGTGTAAGGCGTCGTATTTCGCCAAAAGTCGCCTCAAACCTCGGTTTCTTATAATAATTCGCGTCTACATCACTGCACATGGTCTTATAAATGTTCAGGGAGCGTTGTGGCGGAGCAGGAGCTCCAGTACGAGCGTTTGCGTGAGAAGCTGCACCTCAGCAACCATGACAACGCTTCTGATGTTGATTTCATCATCTTCATGCTGCACGGGATCGGGTCGAACTCGAACGTGTTAAGCGCCGACTATCGCATGATCAAGTACTCACTGAGCAGTATCAAGCGCCACTGGTTTTACCAGGACAAGCTGCGGACGCATGTGCACCTGTTGGACTGGAAGAGGCACATCAGCGATGCGCAGAGCATGTAAGCGCCGTTTAGCGGAATCGCGTACAGCTTTTAGGTTGTTTGACCACACGTATATCACAACGGCGAAGGAAACGCGTAGAGTGATCACGAGCCACATTATGGACATCGGCTTCTACCTTAACCCTCGTTACTGCGACTTCTTGTTGGAGAACATCGTAGCCGATCTGGACGGTGAGATTTCACGTTTGCGCCACCATCCGTCCGGAAAATTCCGCAACTCGAAGATTGCCATAGTGGGATACTCGTTGGGGTCGTTGATTCTGCACGAGATCCTATGTGGCAACCCCGGCCGTGCGTCGAACCTCAGGCCGGAGGACCGCCCAAAGCTCAAGAACAAAGTAGACTACATGTTCTGCGTCGGGAGTCCGCTTTCGTGCTTCATGATCTTCCAGTCGCCGCAGTACATGGCCACTGGGATGTGCATGCCCGAGGGCGTCGAGTCCTACAACATCTTCCACCCTTACGACCCGGTGGCATACCGGTGGGAGCGGCTGATATACCGCGACTTAAAGGAAGTCCCGGAGCCCGAGATTTTGCCTTACTGGCAGAACAACGGCTTCAAGAATTGGTACGGATGGGAGCGCAGCGTGCAGCAGGCCAAGACGATGATAGTGGACAACATCAGTGATGTGGCGTCCACCATCGGCCGCAGCATATTCGGCTGGTGGGGCAGCAGCAAGAGCAACAGTGTGTTGGTCAACAATGTGGCCACTCCCGACAAAAGTGAGTTTAGGGTTAGCTTTTCTATGCACGTCGGTCCAGGGTCTGCGGCTCTATCCAGCTTCAAACTGAAACTGAAGGAGAGGATGGTTCCGGAAAACGCCGATTTGGCCACTGGAATGATCAATCCGACTAGCCCTCCCCTATCCGCGACTCCAGAGACACGTGCCGAGGAGCGCACTGAGAATACGTCTGACCAGGACCAGTGGTCTGATGACGCCGAGGGTGGCGATGCCGTTAACGGTTTATTCGATGAGGAACGACTGGCTGCGCAGTCTGCTCGAGCTCTACACGACATGAACAAGCAGTCCGGAGGGCACCTTCCCCGTCGCTACGATTTTCAGCTGCAGGAGGACATCACCGAGCACTTGCTGAGCCCACTGGGCATCATCCAGTCCCACACGAACTATTGGTCTTCTAAGGACCTGATGTTTTTCATCCTGAAGAAGCTGAAAAAACGTCACGCTCGCGTATCCATAACCACGTATTTCAAGTCGATACGCTTGCGGGCCAAGTGGCTGGCTGACTGCGCTGCGAACGACGAGTTGAAGGCCAAGTTCCTGGCGCTATCAGAAGAGGCAAGTGCTCGCGCAGACCGAGTTGCGGCTGAGGTTGGTGGTTGCAAGCGATACGCGCACTCTAACTTAATCGCAGGACAACAAGGCTCGGCTCGAAGCCACTGCCACGTTCAGTTCGACTTGGTCGAACTTCATGAAGTGGTCCGAGGATTACTGCGAAGACACAGAACACATTTGTAGTGACCCCATCGACTGAAAATAGGTTGTTGTTTGCTGGCACCGGCAGGTGGCTATTCAGTGGCGTCGAAAAGATCGCCTCCTACTGGGCTGCCCATGCCGCTGGTCACTTATAGTGGCTTCGGTGCCATGTAACCGTATATGTTGGCTAAAAGCGACTACACAAGCTTAAATTGCAAAGAAGACAAGTACGGGTTGTCGATGTAAAATTTTAGTGCGCTGTGTATCTCCCCTACGGGCTGCTGGCGTTGTGGGAGATTTCACTTCACACTATCGCACAATTTTAATATAAATGTCAGCAAATATAATGCTTAACCGACTGCGGTCGCTGGCTGCAGCGCAGCAGCTGCGATGGCCGCCGATATCCTGCTCCGACCACGACGTGACCTTCGCGCGCTCAGGTAACGGTGACTTTGCCTTCCGTTCACGGCAGTGCAGACGACACAAACACGCACGTCACGGTGGACTTTGAGAAGCTCCTTAGCCAGCTCCAGGGCACATTCCCTGATTATCGAAGACAGAAGCTGGGAGTTCTGCGAAAGGCGTTTATATCAATCCTCACTGAGACATTTGGACCGTAAGTATACGCTTTAAGAGTTGCTTACGAGTGCAGTGACTATGTAAATGGAAGGAAGGATGACGTGGAGATGGAGGACTGGTCCCAACCGGCTCGGCGGAATGCTCGCCGTAAAACAGCCGACCTACCAGATTCCGAGCTGCGTAGTCTGAATACAACAATGGCGGATTCCTATCGTCAACCGACCTCCGGTGACCGTAATGGCACGGATGGTGTTACTAAGCGTGCGAAGAAGTCGAAGAAGATCGATGCGGATGAGGAGGGTTTGGAGTCACGCATGCTGTTCATACCGGAAAGGAACCTCACGGCCCGTTTGGATCACGTGGGAGGAATCGAATCGATTCGTGCAGATATAAACGATCTGGTGGTGCGACCGCTCAAGTTTCCTCACGTTTACCGTTTCTTGGGAGTTCAGCCTACCAAGGGCATCCTGTTGCACGGACCACCTGGATCTGGCAAGTCCAAGCTTGCCGAAGCTATCGCAGGTAGGAAATGCTCCGTTCTGCATGCTGCGTGTAATTCGTATGTTTATTATGGATGTCCATCATTTCATCGTTTTATTGTATTATGATTTTCACGTTTCCACTGTATTATGTCATGGTCCATTACTGTCCTGTATTTTGTTAGTTGAATGAAGATTGTTTTTGTGTTGCATTTTTGACTTTCCACTTGTTCATATTCCCATAATTTCTGGCCGTGTTAACAACATTTCTTGATATATAACCCTTTGTAGGAGAGGCTGGCTGTGCGTTCTTCCGAGTTGCCGCCACGGAGCTGGTGACTGGCATGTCCGGGGAGTCGGAGAGTCGGTTGCGCGACTTGTTTGAGCAGGCTAAACGTGCCGCCCCGAGTATCATCTTCATAGACGAAATCGACGCCGTGACACCGAAACGAGAGAACAGTTCGCGAGAGTTGGAGAAACGCATCGTAGCCCAGCTGGGCATATGCATGGACTCTCTGGCCGACCACTTCGTCATCGGTGGGTCTAGATTGTCGCATTATCATAACGTTGGGCAGTTATTGGTGCCACTAACCGCCAGGAGTGTCTCGATCCTATGATTCGACGTAACGGTCGATTTGATCGTGAGATTAGCATGGGTATCCCGGATACCGATGCACGCTTCAGCATTTTGCGAGTACGTGCCACATTAACACGTACACAATGTAGCAGGCGGTTTCTATGGGGATGCGTCTGGGTGACGATGTCGACTTCGATGAGATAGCGGCAATGACTCCAGGCTTCGTTGGAGCCGATCTCCAGGCTGTAACGCGTGAAGCTGCAGCATGTGCAATCACGCGTATATTCGCGGAGAGAGGACAAATAGTAGGCGAGGTCGACCAAGCACGTGATATTTTGTTAGATTGATCCGGATTCGGCCGAAATGGAATCCGCTTTCGTTACGCAGCAGGACTTCAGGGCGGCAGTTGGCCGCGTCCAGCCCAGCGCACAACGTGAAGGTTTCGCCACAATCCCCGACGTGACATGGGACAATGTGGGCGCGTTGTCGCATCTGCGGAAGGAGATGGAGGACCACATTGTGTTTCCCATTACCTTCAAAAACCTCTATCGCACTTTTGGGGTGGCAGTGCCCGCCGGAATTTTGCTATACGGGCCGCCAGGTTGTGGAAAGACGCTGCTGGCGAAGGCAGTGGCCAACGGCAGCAAGGCTAATTTCATATCAGTGAAAGGTACGGGGTGTGACTGCCATAACCTGCTGACAAATTTCAGGTCCCGAACTTTTGAACAAATACGTGGGCGAGAGCGAACGTGCTGTACGCCTTATATTTCAGCGCGCCGCTGTGAGCGCACCGTGTGTTGTATTCTTCGACGAGGTGGACTCGCTGTGTCCAGTGCGCAACAGCGAGTCCAACCAGACCACTGAGCGCGTGGTCAATCAGCTGTTGACGGAGATGGACGGCATCCAGAATCGGCGTGAGGTATACGTATTGGCCGCGACAAACAGACCGGACATCATCGACCCAGCGATGCTGCGACCTGGTCGTCTGGAGCGCCAGATGTATGTGCCCTTGCCTGATGCACCCGGGCGTGTGGACATTCTGCAGAAGCTCACGGCGGGAATTCCCGTTTCTGCGGATGTGGACTTTCAAGCTCTATCATTGCAAACTAACGGGTACGTGTCACATCTTAAAAACGTTCTCACCCAGTCTCAGGTACAGTGGCGCTGACCTGGCGTGTTTGGTGCGCGAAGCCGGTATAGCGGCAGTCGAGAAGTATCGGGCAGAGTTCATGAATGCGAGCGCTGGAGGAGTGTCCATGCGCTCAGTTGCAGCGCCAAGCGGTGCCTGCGTCACCGCGCACGACTTTGCCGTGGCGCTGTCCAAGGTGACACCCTCAGTGACTCAGCAGCAGATCGACTTCTATGAGCGCTTCCGCCACAGGCAATTCGCCGGTCAGACATTAAATTAAGTTTTCACGCTTAGTTTGCTAAGTTTGTCTCGTAGAAGAGCGACGCGTTCGCCTTCAGTCAGTGATCGCCATTCGGCCACACGGATGATGGTTCCACGCCAGCCGGCGGCCTCGAGGCACCTCATCTTGAGTTCGGTGGCCGTGTTGTACACGACTTTCCCAGCGGTTTTGGCACCGGTTGGTAGCAACCGGGCCTCCTTCTCGTTACACAATTCGCAGTATAGGCGACGCTTGCGGTCAATGCAGTTTACCTGGAACGTGCCCTGGACCATCATCGGCACGGGGCGGTAGCCGATTTGCCTCAGCGCCCTGTAAAGCTCGTCGCTGGTAGCCGGCTGCGGATCCTCAAACTTGAAACACGCAACGGCTTTCATGAATGCGCGTGATCTGTCGTTAAGGCCCTCGTAGACGGTTCGGTCGATGACACGCAGCCGCGCCTCACATACTTTGAGCCCGCGACAGAAGGCAAGTTTGCCGGCATCTAACAGCCTGCCTAGGGCTGCAACAACTGCCTGGTATCGTTCTTCGAGCTTGGGATATCTGGGTTCAGGGTTGTTCGCAGGGTCGAGTGACCCCGGTGCCCGCAGAACCTTGTTTGTACATTTCGCATAGAGCAGTTGGGCTGCCCTCGGATCGATGGTATTGTAATCGTGAGTGCCAAAATGTTCTGTTTTCAGCTGCCATACCCGGCACGTGGCGGCGAAATATCCAACGCAGAACTCCATGACATTTTCGAGCAGCGCATTGACTACGGCGGTGTCCAAGCGCGTACCGCTGATGAGGGCCACATTAAGCAGATGCACATTCCCCTTTGCTCGTCGGTATCGCAGATTCAGCTGTTTCACAACGTCGTCTTCCGCGTCCTTACTTTCATTCTCGATCAGCGTAGAAATCAGGTTGTTCAACCCGGCCGAAATGGGTGTGGACTCGTGGCCGAGGACGCTCACTGCCTTCATCACCGTCATGATTTGCCTTCCGGTAGCCGTCCTGCCCTCTTTCCCGAAACCTTCACAAACTAGTGATGCGCATTTACGCAGTAGTGCTCCAAACCTTTCCTTTTCGCAGAAGCGGTACACCCACGCCAGGTCTCTGCATATCTCAACCAACTGTAACGGCTTCCACCGGTACACGTTGGCGTTCACAACGCTTATGAGGTCATCTACCACGGTTTGAGGTGGTTTGCGCAGTTCATACGCTCGTATACTTGTCAAGAGCAGTGCCACAGTGTTCTCATCCTTACTGAGTTCGTTTATGCGTTCCGCTCCCACGAGGCCAGTTAAATCAGAATCCTTAACGTGCGTGTCGTCCACATTGGACCTATCCCGACTTGATTGCAGTTCCTGTAAAATCACCTTAATGAGGCCGATATGCAGTTCGGGACATTTGCATGTCCTGCTAATGTCGACAAGGCAGACTAAGAGCGCCCTCGAAGAATGCTGGTCACACTTATGGACGGATACCGCTAACTCCCTGCCAGCCAACTTTAATCGCTTCTTCAATTCGGATGCAGGTTTATCATGCCCGATTTTATCAGGTGCCTCTGTAAGGCTATTACCACGGGAGAGCCCATTTCCCAAAGTCACGTCCCGGTATGCCCTGAAAGCATCCGACCATGCTTTTACGTTAGGCAGCCTGGTGGAGGCGAGTTGGCTGTCGACCAAGCTGGCACTAGTCGAGCACAACCATGATCTACGAAGACTCGGTGCTAAATCTGGGAATGCACGTCCGAATTGTAAGTCGCATATTTTTCGTGAAGAACGCAGCACCGTGGAGTGTCCATAAACGTAATTTCTGAAGCTGTTGCCACCTGTATTCTTGATCATTAGCCGATGTGGGCATCGTGACAAGTGGCGCATGAGCATTGTGAACGATTACCGGACCACCGCAGGACAGATTGACGTCCGTTCCGCGTATACCACTCAATTTGCCGTCTTGGTGTAAGACTTCTAACATCAGTGTGCCGCTTTAGCAGGCTTCGGTGGCTGATACAAATGAAAAACGAACGCGTTTGGCACCTACCGGTCCGTTGATTTTGAGCATCACCGACTTGATCATGGGCCGCACGCCGAGATCGTATGCGATGTAGTTGACTCCGATGAACAGGGTTCCGAACATGGCTCTCCTCACCATAGGGAGGATGCAGGTACCCACTCCATACGGCATTCTTCCGTGTTGGTAGGCGCGGTCCTAAGGTTGGTAAAGGTAACCTTCCAGCGCCAGCCGGTAGGTCAAGCTAGTATGTTGGTCAATCAGTGGCGTGAATACACGCGATTGACCTCCAGATTGCCCGTTACGTCACCGTGATGCCGCTTTGGGTGTGTTGACCGGCACGTTGGCGGCTCGGTTGCTCAAGGTATCGGACAAATTGGCAATTTCGACCCGTAGAAGTTTCCGTAAATGTCAACAAAGAATACTTGTAACCGTTGGGAAAGCTTGGGGCATCTCACCGGCATAAGCACAACACACCCCTGCGGTTCGGTCGTGGCTCCGAGTACCCGTCACTACACTGAGTTTACGATGGCATCGCAGCACCAATATACATATAAAGACAATTTTATCAACTTTCGTGATAAATAGCTACATTTATGCTTCAGTGTTTGCTGAGTTTAGCACCGTCTCACGGTACGGACGTAGGCCGTTGCTTCGGCTGTCCATCCATCGCCGCCGCAGAGCTGTTGTTTACGAATTGCTCCACTGCTTGGTGCTCTTGGTAGTATGCATGGGCGGTTTGGGGCGGTACTTGTTTTATACCATGCGCTTTTGAAGCCGGAACCGTCTGATCTTGTACCGTCTCCACGGCAGCTTATTCATGTGCCCCTTTGCCTTCGTGGAGCCGCTTCCAGTTTCCAGCAGCATCTTTGGCATTCGTGTTGACACTTCGAAACATACTTCGGGCTCGTTAGCCGCTGCTGCGAGCAGGGCGGTCACGTGCTCGGCAGCCACATCTATGACGTATCCACTTTCGGTTTTCGCATACTTCCCTAGGAGCGTTGCAGGGTTAGCGTCAGGGAGCAGTCGCTGCACCATCTTTACCAAATCGCTCCCGGACATGCTGCAGTCTGACCCGCCGTCAAATACGGTGACAGCAACATAACCGCGCCTTCCGGTCAACAGTGAACAGTCACGCGGCAAGTCGTTGTTACCAGTGCTACCATCATCCTGTCTACCGATGTCACTACCTAGCAGAAGTGAAAGTGTTTTACTGAAAATGGCATCCTTGCCGTGTTTTTCGAGCAAGTCCTCGGCTTTGTTCCTGAATGGCGCCAGAAAGCTGGGGTTCAGCTCCACAAGCTGGTTGGCAAATTTTTGCAGCCATGCTGCATTGAACTTGAGCATGTAGTCGCGCGATGGCGGTATGTGTATCGATACCCGTTTTCCCAGAGTTTTGAGGACGTTACTGAAGGCCGAGTACTGCTCCCTGCTGTAAAGCGTGACGCACAGTGAGTTTGAGTTCTTGCCAGCGATAGCGGCTCTGCCTCTGTAAACATCAGCCGTCTGTGGAGGTTGATAATTGAACACGTATCGTACGTCGTCGAAGTTGCAACCCGCAACGGATGCGTCTGTCGCGATGAGGATGGGGCGGCTGCCGTTCCTGAAGCTGTTGAGGTTGTAAGCCCGTTCTTGGACCGTGAGATCACTTCCTAGCCTTGAAGCGAGATCCCTGAAGCATTCGAGTGCGCAGAGATGACGCTGTTGTGACCGGTTGGCAACGAATATGATACACTGGTGCGAGGCTTTTGGCCTTTTTAGCATAGGAGGTAGCATACTCTGAAGGGGAAAGGTCGGCAAATTGAGGTAGTGGTACACCAGACACTTCAGTGCATATATACGTTCCCACTTGCTCTTCCCTCCGGCAACCTTGCATATGGAGTGCTCTATTGGGAGGTTGGTGCCACCGGGAAGCTCTCCTTCCGCAGCCGCCACTATTTCGGGCGTGGCATCCAAATCGACTTCTAGTCGGACTGCATCAGTCCTGCCATCCCCAACTAGCTTCTGTCTGGTACCTGAATCACAGTGATTTGTGCATGACGTTGTGACTAACCATTCTTGAAGTCGTACAGCCAGAAGCCGCTGAGGTGTTCAGTTGCGAAATTGCAAAACGACTCACCCAGCGAGTCAACTATACATACAATATGCACATCGTCAGCTGTTGCTCTAGTTGCCACTGAAACGTCATTTTGGGCGGTATTTGATTTATGCTGCCGCTTGCCACGTTTACCACTGGCATTCGAGGCTTGCACATTGCCCGAATTTGCAGCATCGACCGCGGCTGCTGCTGCAGCCGATAACTTGGCACTCTTGATGCGTCTGTAGACGTCCGATACGATGTGGCCGTGCGCAAAGTATCTCGACAAATCATCAAAAATGACACATGCAACACCAGCAAGCTGTGCCGTCGGTAACCCTGCCGACTTGGTTGTCAGCAGGGTTCGGAGCCTGTTTACCGATACTACAAGCACTTTGGAATTGTTATTCAATCCGTATGTTTCGTTGGCATGAGGCGGCTTATGCGAAGCCCTGCCGGATTTGCCGCCGGAAATGGTGTCACATATGGTTTGTTCGGTATGTTTCCCTCGACCAAAGGCGGCTGCACCTGCGGCTGCCTTTGAACCTCTGGAATGTGCTTTATCAATACCTGCATCTTCTACGTCATCGAGTATCACGCACTCCAGATTTGGGTTCATTGCGATTATCATCGCGCCCAGGCTAAGGCTAGTCTTCTCATCCCTAGCCACCACCAAAGTTGACCCTTGGCTTGTAACCACATTGTCGCCTTTTGACACCCCCTTGAAACCGTATACATGGAGCAGTGGTAATATATACCCGATGGATTTACCGGAATCTGGGTCGTTGTGGAATACAAACTTGGAAGCTACAGTCTTTCCTGTTCCGGCTTCCATTGATCCCAGTGCATCTATTATGTTCCTGGCCATAATGTACTGGAACGATTTGAAAGCTTCCAGTCCAAATAGCTTCAGGTGCTTGACGAGTTGTGGGTCGAATTGGAGATGTGAGAAATCCACCCATTCCCTCATGCCGAATCCGCCGCCAGGGGCGGTTCCACCGGTTTGGAACCACCTCCTGCCCTCTAAAGCCCATTTTTGTGTTTGAATGCGATCTTTATCATGACTTGCGGCGATTGATGGATTTGTAATGCGATAAGTAGGTGTAACACAGGCTGCCGGAGCAACGTTGCTGTTAACGCAGGTCGACAGAACGTGGCAACCCGTACGGTACCCCGTTATAGGACCACAGGTCACACGTAACGGTACCATGAATAACTGTCACTGTGCTACGATCTATTCCACCACCAAAAGTCATCGCGAGGAGATATTGCGATAATACCGGTTAGGAACCGGAATGCGAGCCATGAGTAATATCCAAACACTCCTGGGCATCACACATTGTTATTTAGTGACGTGTTACGTATATTGCATGAGTGTTGGAGTCGCAGCAGATTATATCTAGTGGACCTCCGAAGGCCATGGCAGATATTGGAAGGCAACGACCTCAGGAGCCGCGCTCCTGCTCGAATATACTACTCGACTACCATCATTCGTCAATTGTAGAGCGGTTGGTGCTCAGGATCGTTGCATTTTCAAAATGCGTTAGGTCACACTCTTACAGAGTCGCGCGGTGGATGCATGTCTGGTAAGACAAATAACCGGGCACAAATTATTTGAATAATACACCTATGTACTTTATTGTACCAAGTGTAGTTTTATGCTGTGTATTGTGAACATATAAAACCTAGAATACAGTCGTACGTCAAATTAGACATACGCAGCACGTTGCATAGTTGCTGCCCTTGTGAGTGAATAGGCGGTATGTAGCACATATGACGTCATATAAAGCCATAGTTAAAGTCCAATTATGTTGGAGGTACCAATTTCGCAATGTAAATCTCAGCCATTTTTACCAACTCCCATTGTCTACTGCACTGGTGTGCATCGAATACTGTACCAGGCTGCTAGACATCGCGCTTTAGCCGCGTAGCATACCCCAAATAGCTCTTCAGAGCTGTATATAACAAGAAATTCATACACATCGCTCTATATCGGCTGCAAAGTCTTTGTATCCGTGTCTACCTCGCCCCGGTGTCCTACCGTTTTATTGCGGTAGGAATCATTAAGGGCGCCTCTGGCACGCGCGCTGAACTGTGTTCAGCATTGCCTCAGACAAGTCGAGACAAGCTGGTTTGTAACTGGCTCAATGTGTATTCTCGGAAGCTCGTAGCCTACCGAGAAACGTTTAACTGAACCCAGCGACTTTGCTCATGTTAGCTTACACATTCATGAGGTTGGTGCTCCGGGCTATCTAACTCAATGATGTGCAGGTGTTGAAGTGAAGATGGAGCTGTATTTGGTGTTGGTATCCATCATTTCGCTATGGAGCGTGCAAGCTGCTCCAGTGCTTCACAACCCATTTGAAGTGGACGCTCCTCTACCATTGATAAACTTGCTCCAGATCGGCGGTATCGGAAGCGATGCTATCAGTGACGTGTCGCCGTCTTCAACTGAAAATGCAGGATCTGGCTTATTGGCAGGTGAGGGGACTTCTGATGTACAACACGGCGCCCCTGCTGATGCGCATGCATCACCAGACACGCCAACTGGTACCCAGGGCGTTCCAGCGGTATCTGCAGAGGTTACGCAGTCAGGAGAACATATGAACACCGCTGGATTGGCGACAAATGCGCAGTATGGCAATGTTACGGATAATGCAGGTTTCCCAGTTGCGGGTGAAACCGCTGCTCCAGGTTTGCAAAATGGCAATGCAGTGGGTCAAGATACATCACAACAACCTACAATGGATGCAACTGGCGCTGGGCAGACCAGTTCTATGCCCTCCGTGCCTACGACTGACAATATGTTCTCATCATCTAACCCGGTGTCACCTCAGGGTTCGGACACTATTACCAGCGGAGCACCGTCGGAGCACGTTGCACCTGAGGGAAGCGCTGTGAACACTGCATACAATGCTGAGAGTGCTCCATCTGCGACCACGGAAGTGTCTGCTGGCGATTTCCCCAGTATCGATTCTTCTGCGCATGGCGCCGCTCCGTCGGAGTCATCGGCAACCTCCCCCGCTCATTCACCTGCTGAAAACGCTAACGGTGATGTTGCAGCAGGCAAAAACTCTGTTGAAGAAATGATTGTGCCATCTACGGCTCCTCTTACGTACGGCGCACCAGGTTCAACCGAGGGTGCTGATGGCACTGCTGCGGCCACCACGGACTCATCAACAGGTCTGGCAACCGATTCAACCAGCCAAACTGAGGCATCTCCTGCGTCTGACACTCCCGCGTCAGACAACGCACAGCCTGCGGAGGCAAATGCAGAAGCATCTCAAGCTGGTGATGCTGGGAGTATCGAGCCAGGATCCACAGAATCAGCTGCGACTGGTGAATCTACCGATGAACCCGCCACTTTGTCGACTGAAGCACCGCCATCCACACTCATTGGCGAAGAAGCGCCTACGGAACAGGCCCCTGAAATCCCCTCCGACTCGTACAACAAGGAAGACATGGAGAAGAACAGCGATGCTACGAAAATCGATCTTGGAGATGTGATTGAAGGAGGTAATCAGGGGTTGTCCAAAATTACGGACGGGGTCGACCAGGAGTGGCTGAACAAGGAATCTACTGCCGAATCGATCCAGCAGAAGCTCCCCGAAGGTACCGGTTACACGTACAATAAGAGTGCTCGTATGTTGACTCCGGTTGTGCAGCAGCCAAAGAGGATGGGTGGAGTGTTGCAGACTCTTATCGACAAGGAGGCCGAGATCCGCCGCCGCACGGAGCAGGCAGTTCACATCGAACACGATCTGCGTCTGCGCGTTACTCGTGAAACCGCTGAAGTCGTTGCGCTTTTGACGAATGAGGACCTCTTTGAGCTTAAGAGGAGCCACCCGCTGGTGTTCACGAGGATCGTCGAGCCACTCAAGGTGTCAGTTGCTATGGGGCAGCTGAACAAAAGCGCTAACACTATTGTGAGCACTTACGATCGCAACTGGTACGTTCGTGCCACGCCTAAGGAGAAGGCGGATCTGCTGGCTAACATTCGGAGGGATACCGGCCGTGCAAACCTGTTTGCTTCAAAGGTGAAGAAGCCTAAGACGATGACCCCGGAGAAAGCATCGGTGTACCAACGTCTCGACGAGTTCTTCAACGATTACCAGTGTCAGAAGGTTATCCGAGGCAATCAGGTGGCAAAGCAGATGCTGCGCATGTTTTCCGAGAGCAGTGGTTTGTACGTGGCTCCCTTCTACACCGATGTTGTCCCGACGTTGGGTAGCCTATGGATGATTGCGAGGTTTGAGAAGTTCTACAGCCAGAGTGAAATGTTGAGGGCCGAGGTCCTGTCCAAGTCGCTCCCGCAAATGGTCGGTCGGTTCATGGTGATGGTGGAAAACGGCACTCTGTTGCCGACCTCCACTGAGCTTCAAGCGAACCTGTACTCGCTGGCCACTATGCTCAGCAAGATCATGGACGGTGTGGCCGGAGCTAGCAAATTCATGGGAAAGCGCAAGTTCTACGGGTTCATGGGCATGTGCGATGCTGGCTGTGCTCGCGGCATTGAGACCGACGCTCCCGATGGCGATGCCACCAAGAAGTTTGTTCTGAACAAGCAGCGCGAGATTTTGCGTTGGGTATCATTCTACCTGCGTGACGACCTGTTGCGCATCGATACCACTGTGCAGAAGACCATGCTGGAGCTTATGTTCCGCACGACAAACTCCGAGGAGTTCGTCCTGTCGCCGAAGAACGTAAAACTGCACCTGAAGTCAGAGATTGTGAAGAGCAACGCCCCGTCTATGTTGGAGCTGCCTCGTAGACACGCTAAGCAAACCAAACAACCGAAGCCGCAAAAACCGGAAAAGAAGGTAGACGACAAGGAACGCAAGGTGCTCATGGGGCGCTTCATGAGCGGTTACCGTCTGCCCGGTCGTCGGGTAAACAACAATGTCGACTTCCGTGACATTGCGCCCTACAACGCCTTTAAGACGCCTGCCAAGTTGGTCGCCTCCCTGGACAACGGTCTTCTGGCGATGTTGGAGGTCATCTCTGACGTGGTGAACCTGACCACCGCCGGCGACTCGAGCAACTTGTACTTCCAGGCATTCAACACGTGGGTGCAGCTGCAATCGTTCCATGCCGCAATCCACGCATTCGAGCCCAGCACTTCTCGTCGCAAGACGACTTCGAAGACGCTTGGCGCTGTGTTCCGTTTCCTGAACATGAGCGCTAGTGCCCACATCGAGTCGATGCCCAGGCAGTTCCTGCCCTTCGCGTCTTTGATTCTGCAGCTATCGTTTTACTTCCAGAACTCCGTTGATGGGTATGAGCGCGGAAAGCTGAAGGGTATCAAGAATTTCTTCAAGGGTTTGTTGAAATTCGGTCTCCGCAGTCGCATGGGTCCCAGCAACTTCGACGAGCTGCAAAGCTACTTCGAAACGCAGGTCGTGTATAACAAGGCGCGTTACAACATCGGTCGTGCCGTTGTGGCCAAGTTGACGAGCGACTTCAAGATGATGTTCCTGGGCAAGCCCGCCATCCCGACACCCATCATCCAGCTTATCACGGTCTACGTCGGTTTGTGGACCCGTGGCAGCGCGGCTTCCTTGGACTTCGCCGATCCCAGCATAGACCCCGTGCGCAAGGCGTTCTTCCTCGGCTATTTGTCGAACAAATCGGATCTGTCGACTCTTGCAACGGAGATAATCGTGCAGCACTGCGCATCAAAGGCGCCCGTGTTGCACTTGGGCTGTTTGAAGGCAAACGATAAGGGGAGGAGCTCGTGCAAGCAGTTTTCCGTCCGCACTAACAAGCGCGATGTGTTGAAACTGATGCAGACCCTCGACGCGACATTCGAGGACCCTCTGGATATAGTGCGTGTGGCTTCGGACACAGCTCGTCGTTGCAGTGCTATGCCTGCGCGTACAGGAATAAGATCGAGTGATAAGAATCCGCGTGACCGTGATGTGACCATGCTGTTTTCCGAACTCGCCATGAGGTACCACTGCTACAAGGCGCAGGTGACGGCTGCCGGCCAGCTTGTGAAGATCTTGTCCAATCTGAAGGATCAGTCGGCGGTACAATCTACTATCGAGAACTTCTTCTCCACCATGCGTACTATAACCATCAAGCAGTCCACGCTGAAAGAGAACGGCCCTACACTGGTCTGCCCGTTCATGGACGACGCTCCCGATGACCTGCGTAACCGTCACCGCAGCCGTATCGTGGCGTACGTCATGGACCGCGTGAGCTCTCGCCGCGGTGCATTGGGTATCTTGAAGAAACTGGGCAGCATCTTTGGCGGCGGCTCATCGGGGGCGATTAAGGGATCTGTGTCCAGCCGTGGCCCGCTTGACAAGATCGCAGGTTGTATTTTTGTTGGGACACGTTCTTACGACGGTATTCTCTTCCACGGCGGATTTGCGCCACCGGAGAAAATCCCTATTCCAGAGAGCGTCGCTGTGCGTCCTGGTGAGGGTCGTGTAGTGTATGATGGAGGTAACTTCGTATCGGAGATTGAGGCTTTGGCGCCATCCACCGGGGTGAAGGCGGTAACCCTGGAGCAGCAGAACGGTCAGACACGCCGCAAGTATGTCATGGAATCGGGCGACAAGTTCGGCGAAATCTCATTTGCCACGAAATTCAAAGACTTCGTGGTACGGGCGCACGTGCTGACCACGGCGGCTGCATTGCGTGGCATGGGCTACGATATCGGCAGGTTCATATGGTGCGGTTACGAGCACGGTTGGGTCGCTGACTTCGCATTACAAAACGTTATTGGAAACAGCGACATACCGGTGTTCAACGGCAATTATTGGGTGCTGAGCAAGCAGATGGTTGTGTCCGATGTGGTCGGGCAGAAGGTGCCGATAAAGAACGGCGAACAGATCAAGGACACCAGCGTCCAGAATGTCAATGTTGAAGTCAAGTCTGGTGACGGCAACAGCATCGCAAGATACCCAAGCAACCAGGGTTCCCCGTCGTCGTTCATTACGAGCGGTGACGAGACCACGTTCACCTTCGACACCGGGTACGGTAATGTATCTCCGGCTGCCGTGCGCGACCTCGTCCGCAACGCAGAGTTCGACAGCGCCACCAACACCCTCGTCATCAATTTGGACGCCCCTGGCGCTGTTCTACAGGGATCACCTATCAGCAGCACAGGATAGTTTCGCAATCGCACCTGGTAACCATAATTGTTACTAGTTTAAAACTAATATTAATCCTTCATAAGTCACTGTATGCGTAAAAGGTGGGATAAATGGCACAGCCATTATCCCGACTTATGGAGTTCCTAGTAGCACTTCATGAGCGAATATTGCGATCTATGCGTTATGTCGCATTCTTACGTTCGGAGGGTTCGTCACAGAACGGCACACTCAGTGTATGTTTGGCAGGCTTGGGTAAGTACGCCACGCCGGAGTGGAAGCGTCACAATCGATCAGTTGGCGATGACCACTGGCGACATCTTCGGTCTGCGCCCTTAATGTAGTCCGTAACTCTTCCCCCTGCATGAATGGGTAAGAGGAGTTTAGCTTGGTGATCTCGACGGTGGCGAGCCCGGTGTAGTAGACGGTGCCCAAGCCCAGCTTGTGGCCGCGTTTCCCCGACGCCGAGATGGCCTTCAGATACCCGTCAAACTACTTCTGGGGTTTTCTTCCCGACAATGATCTACTTTACATCATTTTAATATCACGTAGCAAATGATTCTGCTAATTTTCCACCTCATTTTGCCAAGGGATTAGTATAGCGTATCCTTTGCATTCGCAGAACCATAAATACCCTCCATTGCAGGCCGTTAACAATGCTACGTCGACAAAGGCTCAGTTCTCGAAGATCTTCATCAATATGCTAAACATCAACCAAACACGAAGTGAAAATAGCAGTGATCATGATATCCCCCAAAATAGCTAAACAGTGTATTAATGGTCTAAAATGCTCAATGGGGAGGTAGCTTCAATGTTTAATAACGTCATCTTTCCATTATACCGACGCATTGCTATGGTTTTTCCGCTTTCTTTTTGTTTTGTTTTTCTGCATTTAGCTTCTCAATTTTATCCATATCTTCGCGATACGTAAAAAACAAGGCAGCATAACACACAAGATTGAGTGTTGTGCCTGCCAAAATAATGTACATCATAGATTTCCTAAGAGCTTCGGCATTTTTTTCTTTAACTTCCGCAGCCATAGTTTCAAACGACTCCCTAGAGGGGACATAGCCAAACACTTTCTCGGTCAAATATGCAGAAATCTGGAAGAAAATCACACTGCTTGCAATGCCAGATATACATCGAATTATGGCAGATGCGGTTGCCTGATGGTCCCGTTCTATCGCATTTTTCATAACAGGTCTATCTACACCACCAAGGGTAACTAATGTTGACCCAAGAATAGCCAACTCTACATAATGGTACCAAAGCAAACGACCATTTGGTGCTGGGCCCAAAAAGAACAATAGACATACAACATATCGTATGATCATCACAATGGCTCCGGAAGTAGGTTCAGCATAACCTTTCCACAAACTTGCAAGTTTGTCTATAATCTTTCCCCCCGCTCCACTCCCCGCCGCGCCGCCAATCAACGTTATCCCAATTGCCACACCCGCCATTGTATCAGACACTCCTAAATATTGCAGATAGATGGTCATATAATTAAACGCACACATTGGAGCTTCTGCGATGAATATGGTAAATATAGAAATCCACGCGGTTCGACTCGTGAAAACCTCTGTAAAGGCCGTCGCTATAAGATCCGTCAAGGTGTTTTTGGAATCGGCCGAGTTGGCGTCACCATCTTGTTGCACTTGACTTACAGCACCTGGCGTTTTATCACCTTCCTTGTGTGGTGTACTTTTCATTCCAAATACAATGCCAATACCAAACAATATCCAGACGTAACCCAAGACAACATAGGACGTACGCCAGCCATAATATCCCAACAATACCTTGCGTGCAATAATCGTAGTTATGACCGCGCATAGCAATCGTCCAATGCAATTTAGAGCCTGAAGGGTCGTGAACACACCGCTCACCTTTGACGATACATGGGAATCCGACACAATCTTCTGTTGCGCGGGGTAGACGGAGGCGAATCCAAAGCCGTGTAAGAAACGCAAGAAAAGAATCTGAGGACGCATTAACAGCAAAAGTTTATACCTACTGATCGGTACTGCGACGCGGAACTTAGAACAATCGAGGCCATGCCCATCACCAACAGACCGGCCCCAAGCACGTAATTAGATTCATGCTTATCTGCCAGCAATCCCCAAATCAAACAGCAACCCATGCGCGACATGGTAGACACGGTCGCCAACGTAGACAACTGAGACTGAGAAAAACCCAAAGTTAACTCGAAAGCTCTCATACACATAGACAACACCTGTTGGTCGTAACCTTCGATGAAAGATACAAGGTTGTACAGTGCTTGTCCCAAAGTATCATAATCGGATTTCACAGTTTCATTTTCCGTTGAGGCTGTATCTGCAGCTCCTGCGCTCCCGTGTGACATTTTGCTGTACTACGGATGTTGTGTTCTTCCAAAAATGACTATTCAATCAAACGTCACAGATATCACATAACATATGGATCAGAAAACGAACGTCGCGATTATGTATCATACACGACTCAACACATGATGGCATTCACTGCGATAATATAGAATTTAATATGAATACTGTACCACATTAACAGTGTGGCACAATCGTTATAAACGATGAAAACGTTATATACACATTAGATTTTACCCCAGTGTAATACATGTGATCATTTACCGAAAAGTGACAGAGATACAGCAACAAAGATTCCCCTCGTGAATGAGTAAATTGAAAACAACTGTATTTATATAAATCACACGTGGATGCAGTAATATGAGCCACTCCATTAGACGCTACCTGACTACCGTCATCGGCCATCAAAAACGTTTCCACATATATATACCTCACGCAGCCCACAAACCTGTGACACTATTAAATTCCCCAGTAACGAAAACCAACCAGCGCGGGTAGAAGTTCTGCTTCAGCACCTCGATGAGCGCGTGCGACAGGTGGGCATGGAGCGACGGGCGGTCCAGGACGGACTTGATGAACGCGACCGACTCGCGCTTCGTAGACTCCGCGCTCAGGAACTGCGAAGTCACGCCCTTGCACTGAACAGTAATGATATGGGTGTCCAGGGTAACCTACGAAGTTGAGCGCCTCTGCATGCACATTGGCGTTGGCGAAGACACGCTCGCACAGCAGACGCTCTACGGCCTCCGCAGTGTCATCGCGTGCTGCGACATCGACGAACCATTTAGCAGCACCGTCCACGGCTGTCTTTTTGTTGATGGCGTCCAGCAGCAGCTGACCCACATCTTCAATGACCTCGTCGTCCTTGTACAGGCCTTCCGCGATCTGGCGGCTGAAGGCATACGCTGGACATAGTTTGCGCCGGCGTAGGTACTCAATCGCGGTTTCTGGAGCATACAAGCCTCCATATGGCGGAATACCCTTCGCATGAATTATTTGCTTTGCGTACGATACGGTACTGGGCACGCATAACTTTGTCTTGCTGTAGGTTGCATCGTTCCTGTTACCAGCAACTTTTTAGCGCCGGAATTACGCCAGCTGCAAATACGGCCAATAATGTACCATAATTCATTTATATAAGATGTTGACGACATTTAGGCGCCTGGAACCTAATGGTTGCTGACCACCGACAGCTGAACATCGTTGGCCCCGGGCAGCAGCGACACGCGGCCCTTTATGAACAGCGGGATATCGCTTGTAGGGTAAAATGGCTCCTCCTGAGGAGGTTGTCCCATCACCTTTTGTGAGCAGAGACCTCGGAGGTGCTCTGGCAAACGCAGCATCTCACGTGCCTCACGCAGATCGTGGTCCAGCATGTCCAACACGCCGTGCTGCTCCTCAATCAACTTCTCCAACGACCTACATGCCAACAGCAACTTAATCAACTCACTCTGATCTCCAGTGGAAATGTGGCGAAAGTGCTGGGATAATTCCGACATGCTCGCAAACGGTTTGCGACGAGGCTTGAGGAAACCGTCAACAAAATTCCACCGATCGGGAGTCGTTGTTGAGCACCGTTGCTGTGTCTTGTCCTTAGACTGATGGAGACTTTGCACCATCCGGTAACTTAATGGGCGTGACGCCTCTTTCCCCCAGTCCTGACCGGACTCGTAGTGGGTATTGTAGTTGCCATAGAGGCTGCTTCCATCCGCGGCATTTCTTCGCGGGGTTTGTACCGATTCTTCTGGCATATTGGCGGAAGCCAATGCACGTATTTCGTTGATGCGACGCTCTATGTCCAGCCATGGTGTTGAACCAACGGTGCGTGGGCTATCTACCTTGATGGAGGGGACATGCTTGGCACCATTTTCTACATCCTTAGAAATATGCCTTTCCTTATCCCCAGACGACATAGGCGGCTGATTCGTGCCGCTTACATTGTCTGACTTGGACTCCGGTGTCGCAGATGCAACCTTTGTCGTTCCGGTGGGATGGCTTGCAACCACAGAGTTCGCAGACGGTTTAACGGGTACTTCATTGGATCCATCGAGTTGCGCCATGTCAATAGACGGAACCAACGCAGAACTTAGCATTGATTTGAACGATTGCGGATCTGGGGCCTGCTGCGCAGATGATCCCATTTTACGCAGCTGTGCCGTGTGATCCTTTACTACATTCGGTTGACGATCTCCATTCATACTAGCATCAGATGTTCGCCTTGATAGAGGAGTTGAAGGCTTCGCAGTTGCTGCCTCCATTACACTCGATTTTACAGTGGCCTTTTTCGGCAAAACCAATGGAGCCTTTTTGGGTGGCGTTGGGGCCTTGAGTTGTGCATACGGAGCATTCATGGCTTCCATGGTCGCCTTTTTTGGCGCAAACAACACCTTGGGTGTGGTGGTTGGAGTTGGTACCTTAGACGTCGGCGGCATCCCGGTCTTGGGGGCCATGAGCGGCCGCTTTGGAGGTAACGCGGGCGCCGGACCTACCATGTTGCTGACACCTAATATGACTACATTTAAAAGATTGTACTGCTATCTACAGTGTTTAAGCTATGTTATGAACTGCATTGTGTAAGAAATGAAATTGAGCGGCGCCGTGACTCCTGTCGTGCCGATGTCCTCCGCACCAATGTGCGTCAGCAGCAGCGGAACAATTGAAACACGTTTCTACCGTAAGCACCGTTTTTATATCTCCCTACAGGATTTTATGTGTGTTTGTATTACACATCATCGGATGTGTGATCGGCCAGGCTAATGTGTAGCACAGCCTTTGTGCGACAGTCCCGCAACTACCGTAGTCACCTAAAACCGACGCATGACGCCGTACGTTGTTTCTGGTTCGGCACACATCTCTCATACAATATAAGGTGTAGTATATGGACCTGCTATATGTGATAAGTCTTCAATGACCCGTCGGTTGTACCTGTAGTCCCGGCGACCCTAGGTTGTAGCAGGCCACCTCGTGGTATCACTCAATTACCCATGTAGCTCATCGTATTTGCCGTCAGCGCTTTATGCGTATTCTCAATGATGTATCTAACTTGATTGACCGTGGTGAGGCTACGGTGACTTCCAAGGGCAGTCGCTCCATCTTGGCGGCACTGTCATTTCGTCGTTATGTGGGCCGCCATCCGGGGAGGACAGAGGTCACTTCGCTACACCAGGCAGACTAGAACCCGCACCGCGTACAGCATCGACGACCTTTATAACCAAGCAAAAGACACCATCGCATTCACCGAGCATGAACGAATCCTCTTAAACAACGCATTGTTGCAGCTTTCACACCGTCAAGAATGGAGCCGTAATCTGTACGCTAAAGGAATCCCCCCATTCTTAATAAGCAGCACTGAGTTTAGAGACAAGTTTATTAGGCACGTCGACAATGACCAGGACGCGAAGCAGGCCGTCCGGTCATGCATAATATCGGCTGTGACAAGCCTACATCTTCCTACAGATGGCACAAAGCCGAAAGCAGACAGTATAACGCCGGTGTGTGAAGCCATAATATCGCATCTTACCCAGTATGTGCGGCGAGAAATGCCGCAAACGATGCTGGTATTCCACGGCGCCAAGCATCTGGCGGACCTTACAAACCCGCTTCAGGAATTTCCGCCTCGTCCGTTCAGGCGCCGTGTGATTGCGCATCTTGGACCTCCTAACAGCGGCAAGACGCATGAAGCGCACAGGAGCCTTTGTGTGGCCGAGTCCGGGGCCTATTGTTCGCCCCTGCGGCTGTTGGCATGGGAGATGCACCAGCGGCTGTCTGACGCAGGTTTGCAGTGCTCCCTTCTAACAGGCCAGGAGAATGTTTCGAGCGAGGGAGACACACATTTGGCGTGCACGGTTGAAATGACGCCACTTCACCGGGATTACGGCTGCGCCGTCATCGACGAGATGCAAATGGTCGGCGACGCCAACAGGGGATTTGCGTGGACACGAGCCTTCCTTGGCCTGCGTTCACCTGAGATCCATATATGTGGCAGCATTTCCTGCTACATATTGGCCAAGAGCCTCTGTGATATTGCTGGAGATTCGGTAGGTTTTATTTGCAAGGCGTCACTGTCTACAGCTCGAAGTCACGGAGCATGCGAGGCTAGGCGAAATATCGGTTCTAGATGAACATGTATCACTTGATGATTTACAACCAGGCGACTGTGTCGTCTGCTTTTCAAGAAGCACTGCCCTGCGGCTGGTCGAGAACATCGAACGCAGCTGCTTCAAGAACGATGGGAGAAATCCACTGTCAACAGCAATAGTGTACGGTTCGTTGCCTCCGGAGACTCGTACGCGGCAGATTGACGGCTTTAATTCGAGGAGAAAGCAAATTCTGGTCGCATCTGACGTTATCGGGATGGGTGTGAACGTGCGCATAAAACGCGTTATATTCCATACACTTAAAAAGTTCGATGGAGTTAAACAGCGGCTACTTACTGCAGTGGAGATCCAACAAATCGCCGGACGTGCTGGAAGATATGGGCTGGAATGCGGGAACGGTTACGTCGGGTGCATGAGGTCCGAAGACATAGGGTACGTCAAACGGATGATGGATAAGAAGCAGGAGCAGCTAGAGCGTGCTGTTGTGGCACCATCGCCGGCCACGATAGCTGCTTTTGCAGACGCCGTACGATCGGCTACAGATCCACCGGCTACGCTGGCTGAAGCAATACAGATGTACCGCTTAATTGCGCAGGCAGGCGGTGCATTCGAGCTCTGCGATGTACATGCACTCATAAAGGTAGCCAATGCCCTGGATAAGATAGAGTTGCCTACCCAAACGTTGGTGGAGTATCTCTTTGTTCCGCTGGGCTCCCAACCGGCGCTGCAGCTGGTGCTGCGCTCATTTGCACTGAGTCACGCCGTTCTCAACAGTGTAAAAATCCGGAATGTACTACACAAGGAGGCTCTGGATTGTCTGAAAAGCCACGGCGGTATGGTAGAGGGCGAAAGCGATGCCGATGGCCGGCAGTACAACCGTCATGATGTGATGCGGCGGCTAGAAATGCTATACCAAGTACGTTTTGCACTTATTAGTCGCTCATACAGTCTATAACAGATCCTGGATGCTTACGCGTGGTTATGGCATAAGTTCCCCGATGTTTATGTTGACTACCACGCCGTCGTTGCCGCCAAGAGCAACATCTCCACGGCGCTGCAAGAGCGTCTGGAGCATCTGTCTGACGATACCTCCATTTATGAAGAGCGCGAAGAGGATGAGTATGGAATAGAGGCTGACTTTGTGAGGAAACTGCTCATATAATGACACACGGTCGCACTCCTGCTAATGCAGTATTGAGACTGTTTTTATTTGCGCTTTTACGAATAAACTGCGCGCTTATTATGCCCACTTTTGTGCATTATGGCTGCTGCGGCATTCATATTGCGATGTTCCGCAGCTAATGGAACGTTACGAGCGCTGCATGAGCTAGGCAGTGGTATCATCAAGGTTGTGACCATAAGCATGGCTGAGTACCACCAAAGTAGCGATTAATATCAGGGCTGCAGGTACGCAAACTTGGAGAGGCGGACAAGGAGGACGTACGGCAGTTAGAGCTGTGTTAATCCTGTTCGTTTTACCAATGCTCAGGCGGTGCGCTGCTACGATGTAATTCATGAACGCGTTGCTGGGCAACTGCCGATGCAATTTTCGAGACATTAAACAAGACGTTATTAGATTGGCGTTGTGCCATTACTGTCTGAACCTGTGCTATTATAATAAATGCCAGGTACGATTAAAGAATGCGATAAAAAAGTTCACTTGCCGAATAAAGAATCGCGGACCTTGTGGAACGGCGGAACGCGTTTTATGATCATGACGCATACGACGATGAGGATGATGACGATTATTATAACGATGACGGGGGTGGTGACACCGGTGGTGGAATTGTTGTCACTGGGGGAAGAGGCGACAAGGGGGGAAGGAAGGGCACCGGTGACAGGGGGTGAGCGTTTACAACATTCAGACACAGTTATCCTTATTTTTACATTTGCTCTGACAAAGGCCAGGTATACAATCCAGGCTGTGTAACGTGTTTTTCGTTCTACATGCTCCGCAAGTTTTATTCCTGAATCCTTCACAACAACCAGGACAGCACTGGCAACCACCGAATTCACATTCCGAACCACAATCACACGGTCTCGTGTCTGTTCCCATATTCCCCTCTTTCACATGTTATTAATCTGCACAAGCATGAAACAGGTGCCTTAACTAATAACACCCACCGCCCACTTACAACAAACCTGCACAGGCACGAAGCACATACCCATGAGGTTGTGCCAGTTGGGGAATAAGATGCTTCAGTTACTGCGTCGGCGATATATGGCGGTGTGTTTCTTGTGCTTGTGTAGACTCGTGCAGCATCTAAACTGCGTTTCATAACCATGTGTTAATGTGTGGCACACTTGGCAAGTATGGACCGACAACATACCGTTCTGCCTCCAATGCACCTGCGTTATTTATTTCAGACAATTGTTACCGTCATTGTGGTTTCATGATTATCCGAAATCGTAGCTTTCGTTACGCGGCTTCCTATTCTGGACGCGGGGTGTTGAAGATACCATCTGCATGACTGAAATACCAACGGAGTCGCTTCACCGAATCATTTAATTTTAGCAACACATGTTTGCGAATTAATCACACTTATCTGCTGTTGCTGCGTTGGGCAATGTGCGATCGCCTTCCTAGGAAACACAATAAATGTTTTCACCGGCGCACTCTACGTTCAGCAGCCGTTGCGAAGCTTCATTCTCCAACCAATACGCCTACATTATCAATTGCATCACGTGCGACGAGTGGTCGGTCTTATTGCTTCTGACGTCTATTTTCAATCTTTGATCTACAAACAATGATTATACCTCACGTCACTAATTGCTTCTCTGTGTTGCAAACACCACAAACCCGATTAGCAATGGGATGTTCAGATATTAGGAATTGTTTACTAAGAATCTATTTTTAGGGGGTTTAAATATGGCATGAGCATTACTCTGCGGAGCCGTATAATCGATTTCACTAATGAGGTGCTGCAGTCGATGCTGGGCCATTATTACCGCTCCCATACAAATCGAATATCATAGTTCATTCGAGAGTATCGAAATCCAGCTATCTTGTATTGTTTTGTATCGTTCAACTGGTCACTACCACATCTCATTGCGTATCAGCACAAGGTAGAGGTGGCAAAGCTTGAGGTATTCTTCAGTCAAACATTCCGCATTTACAATTCACACCGTCTACAGTATCACCATAATAAACACTATCCGACTCCCTCTCCACAGCTAATCTGTGCCGGATTTTATTCAAGAACCCATTTCTGAGCGAGCACTGTTGCCTAGGTTCGCTCAGTTGCATTGTTTCGACGGCTTCCTATCGATACAGCCTTATTGTTGGAAATACCACTATTTAAAATATATATCCCTGATAGTTGCAGCGACAGAACCATCAACTATTAAATGATGCAGATTCACCAGGGGTTGATGCCCATGATGATATCCATCACCATCGATGGGATATTAGGAATGGTAGCCGATTTGGCAAATAAGCTATACAACTACAACATTAATTTATTCCATATAGATACTGCGGTCATCAATAAAGCGCAAATGTGGGATGTGTTTTAATAGTGTGGGTGTAGCCTTTTGGATTAGTGATACACTGTACAGTTGAACAGTGGAATGTACCCAACTCAACATTAGGCGCGGTGCGGAAATTCACGTTGTGAAACGATCGTTCGAAGGGTATAGCGACGCAATTATATGTTGCGAAGAACGTTGCGCAGAAACTTCGTTTTGGTCTGGATTAGTCAGCTGCTACTTGTCATGACATCTCCAGCAGGTGTAAGGTGATAATATTTTAACCATATACGGCAAAAGATGAGGATCGCGTGATATGATAGATCATAATTGTGTTGTAACGTTATAATTGAAGACCTGACGCAAATTGCGGCTGATGTTATAAAATTCATGTTAGTGGAGGTGGTGGTACCTGCAAAAACATTATATGCGCGTTTTCGACGTTTATTAGAGATCACATTTGCGTAAATTTTGAATATTGCACGCAGGTATGATGAAGGGTTTGGACATGGCCAAGTTCTAAGATAGACAATGCCCAACACCACGCATTAATGCCATTGCTTGTAACATGCATTACTTCTGCAAATACACTGGCGGTTGATTAAACTTCTTGTCAGACCCATAAAGGTAGATGATGCGGTATACACGTGGTATCGTGCCTTGGTAATGAGTCTGTCATCAGCTGCATGCAACCACTTAGTATCTGCCGAAGGTAGATAGAGCGGTGATACATGTTCGTCAAGTACACCAAATATCTTTAATTCCGCCTTATTATATTTACATAAATCGTTACACTGTTCAACATAGGACAAGTAGTTGAAGGTGTATCGCTCCACGGCACTCGCATACAGATACGGTGTTCGTTGTTGCGCAAGGATGACCAAAAACGGTGGCAAGAGCGAGAAAAATTACTCGGTGCATGGCGCAATTTTCGGCACTATACTTGCTGTCATACTCCTTGGTATTGTAATATGGGCCATGATTGACGCTAGGAAATGGCCATTCGAAGGCATACACGACTGGGTCTATAACGACAGAGACATTTACGACCCCTACGAGAGATATCCGTCACAGGACCAGTATTAGCTTCACCTATCCCACGTGTTTTCATGTCGCAACAGTGGTCATTTAAATGTAGCACAAACAATCATCTCAGGCATCTGTGTCGCCATCCTTGAGACGCAGCATGATGACGCTCTCCGATGTTTTCCAAACTATCATCCCACTAACCGCTGGGTAATTTGGTATGGACCTTGCAGATAAAGTGGTTCTGCGTGTTATATACTCTATTTATTTTGTTGTGGGAGTCAGCATCTTCATCCTGTGGTGACAGCGGGTTGTGCATTCGAATGGCTTGAATGCCCATCGATGTCACCGTCATAGGACTTCCATGTCACGTGAGGTGGCAGTTACACGTGCTCGGTGACTGTTTGGCACGATGGGGGTAGGTGTGTGGTGATGAGTAGAATCGTGCTTATGGCTGCTATGTTGAGTGACGCTGTGACATCTTCCAAGGTGATGACCACGGGAAGGCGCATCTCCTGGGGATTTACAGGTACCACTGTAGTAATCGCTTTCGTCATCCACAACAGTATCGCATTCATGCACTAAGTATCGCACTCTAAGCGCAGCACAAAAATATAAGTTAGGTTGAGACGCTATTTGGAACTTATATAGCTGAGTCTCTTGTAATCCTCATAACGAGGTAAGGCATCCTGTTAATGTACGCTGGCAGTGGGGTAATGGCATAGCAACGCTATAAAATTGCAGTTCATATCTGTATGCGCAGCTTGGCGGATACCACTGTGCATGTGTCTAAATAAATTCTCTATAACAAAACCTTTTCAGACATGGCATGGAGTTAACTTATACTGTCCATTGCTATGCATGGTTGTTCAATTCATGTATAGGAGAGCAGATACGTGTCAATGTTGCCACAACCGATAATGTGGTGGTGGAAGTAGTGAGCGCTGTCCCTGGTGTCGTTCTACACGTAAAAATGTTACATAGCGCCCAAAAGGTCAACAATGTAAAGTGCGAGAACCATATTGCATCTATCACGAATGTCCGGAGTGCCAATCAGGTTTGTAAAAGTGTGGTGGTGAATGTTGTGTAAAGCACTGGATGTTGTTAAAATACAGGGTTCTCGCCTTCATAATCTGTGTGTTACTATTGGCTCCGCTGCTCATCTCTATAAGTTAAACTCAACCTCACCACATCAGCCAATTGTCCTGCAAGGGTGTAGCCTCTTCGGCACCCGCCGACCATACAACGAAAAAGCGCTCATAGCGCCAATTATTGTGCGATACGAGTCCGCCAATCAGTTCGAAAATTGCAAAGTACATTTTTTTATTCACTGTTGGAGTTTACTTCGTGTTGTCGTCGTTCTATTCAGCACTGGCGCAAGACATTAAATAGGCACCTTGGCCGTATGACATATTCGTTAGATCGACGGAGAAATGCAGGCAGTTGTAGCTTGCATTCTCTTGTCTCTGGTGTGTTATCTGCAATAGCCCACGTTCTGATAGAATATGGAAACAATCTTGGAGCCTTCTACAGGCGTCCTCTGGATGTAGCCATTGATGACAACGTTAACTGCCGCTATCGTTGACGCCTCTTTATACATCAATCTAACCACTGTTCTACAGCGAACCGATCGCCTGTTATGGCGAGGTTAGGACAGCTTTCCGGATCCCAGGCACCCATGCGCGATGTAGTTCGGTGAGGCTTCTGCGTTTCAGCGTTGAGAGAAGCATGGCTATACAGCATATGCTAAATTTTCCTGTGTTACTATGCGTGCGTAACGTTTTGTCTGGGTGTCCATGCTATGACAACAAACTCGGTGCCCGGAAGCTCACTGGCAGATCCGGCTGCCACACTGCTGCGTTATGGATTGCTGACCCATAACTACTTAATACCCTAATATATCAGTTACGTGTAATCTTCTTCATATGGCAATGATGATTATTGACTATCGGTGCTGATGTGTAGGACCCCCAACTTCGTGTCTACTACTTTCGACTGCTGGGAGTGGCACCCGCGCAGATACACACCCACCAACATTCATACACATTGGCGTCAAAATCTCCTTCTGTATTCGCATGGTTCCTAATTGGGGGCCTTTTTGTTATTTTAATGCGATTTGGATGCCATAACGTGCCTATTGGTTCCGGCAACTTTGTGATTGGTGCGACACACTGCCCTTCCTTATTTGCGGGTTTGGTTTCCGTTGCAGAGAAACATGTGGTTGTTTTGTGGTCGCATCATTGTATATACATTGTATGATGTGTAAATTACATTTTGAAGGCCACCTGTGTAACATCTGGTCTGGTAATTCAACATGATTTGCGTATCTGGATTTTACGCGTTGCTCGTACACTGAATATGACTACCATTATGACAAATTGATTAATAGGACACGTTGGCGAGGATAACAAGGGTGGTTGCATGACAATGTCTGAAGGACAAGCTACAGATTCTGTCGAAGATGCAAAATCTGCAGATCCTACAGTACCGAAACATACTGTAAACTATGGCGCCTTTGGTGAAATTTTGTACCATCTAGTGTCTTTCACGGAGGGCTACGAGCAACAGGTGTTGTACATGTGTGTTAGGACTTTCGAGTCAAGTTTGGGGTTTTCTAAGACGCAATTGTCAATGTTGGTAACCGTGTCTATCATGTCGCGCATGTTTTGCTCATTAATCTGGGGTTTGCTGGCAGACGCGTTTGAGTCCAATCTTGTGATGGCTGCCGGGTTGTTATTCATGGGTATTGCGTCAATACTTCTAAGTTCCACGTCGCACTACCACGCGGTAGGTTGCAAGTGTTGCATTGCTGATGTGCGTTCAGATTTTATTTTTGCGTTTTTTACACGGCGCCGCGTTTGGCTGTATCTACCCAGTTCAACAAAAAATTGTTGCGGAATCAGAAGAAGAGGAGGATAACAGCGGTGTATTCACCCGCCTTCATGCTTTGAATTGCATTGGGCGTATGTTATGCGCCGTCATAACTACAGAGGCTGCTCAAAATGTTTTGCTGGGATATGTTGGCTGGCGTGTCTCATACATTGTGTTGGGCTACGTATGGATTTCAGTTGGTATCGCAATTATATTTGGAATGAAAAGTGAGGAGTATCTTAGCTCTCCTTATCAATCCGTACAGAATTTCAAAGACCGATTAAGCGGAGCGGTTGGAGCGGTTTTTACGAGTGGAACTGCATTTTTGTCTATATTTACCATGTTGGTTGCGGAGGCTCCGATGTGCACACTTCCTCACATGATCACATACCTGGAATACTTGGGAGTCTCTGACCTCAAGGCGGGGATTGCTATTGCAGTCACCACGATTGGCGGAGCAGCAGGAAGTGCAGCTGGGGGAATAGTTATAGAGAAAATTGCAAAGTTGGTTTCAGATCATGGCGAACTTATTGCGGGAATCGTCGTGATGGTGGTCCGACTAGTCGTCTGTTTGCTGTTCTTTATGTCTCCGGCGCCATCTGGGCGTCTCCTTTGGTATCATTATGTTGAGTTTGCAATTGTTGGGGCAACCTTAGTTACTGTCGGCGGTGTAGATAGACCTATTATGAAGAAAGCAATCGAGGACCAGTACCAGGCTAGTGCGTCCGCCCTAATCCAATGCATATCCGGCATTTCAATTAGCGTAAGTTTCGTCGAGATTTTCGGATATTTGTCTGAAAAAGTGCATGGCTACGTCCCCTCAAAAGAGTCACTTGAAAGCATGGATGACAGCGTCAAAGACGGTAATACTGAAGCCCTGAGGAAAACGACGATGTACATTATTGTGATAGGCACACTGTTAAACATTGCTTGCTACATTGCGTTGATTTTTATATATCCAAAGGAAAGGCCGTCAATTGTTAAAAAAAATGAAGAATGGCGAGAAGCTAGGGCAGAAAAGCTGAAGGAAATAAGAGAAAGGGCAAGGGAGAAGGAAACTGCAGTGGACGTGGTAGTTGTAATGCCACCTGAATCACCGAAATACCCAATGGAAGAGCCAGTGGAAGTGGTACCGGAGGAAGAGGAACATGAATTGCCAGTTGAAGAGGAAGTGCCAGTGCTTGAAGCGTCGGCAGGGGAAGCGGGCTCGCCACGACGTGTGGACGTAAATGAACGTGTGTCCACAGTAACAAGGAGCGATAAGGAGGGAGGTTTCATGTCGGAGAGAGAGGAGGAGGCAAGGAGTGAGAGGTTGAGACAGCTAGAGGAGGAGCGGACTTCGAAAATGCGTGGTAAACATAGTTAGTACCTGAGGGATCTTTGGCTATGATTGAGGATACAACACCATTCGTATGCTAACATTGTTCAGCGATAATAAGCACACAGTTGATAATGCGGTTATTGATTTTCGTATCGCCAAGCGTACGTGGATTTTTCGAATGGTGGTGTAAAACGTCTATGGCAGGAAAGCTGCAGCCAACGGAACCATAATGGAATACACAAGGAATGTGTTTATAATTAAATAGATGACAAGCAGTCGCTATTTTAACCACTTGACAAAATGAAGTTGAAGATCAGCAGAAAGCTTTGCTGAGTGCCAATAAAAAAATGTAAAGTAGATCATTGGCTCGACATAAACTCCGACAGCTGCCATCCATACGTGTACAGCCATCGAGCGTGTCTTCGCCAACGCCAATGTGCATGCAGAGGCGCTTAACTTCGTAGGTTACCCTGGACACCCATATCATTACTGTTCAGTGCAAGGGCGTGACATCGCAGTTCCTGAGCGCGGAGTCTACGAAGCGCGAGTCGGTCGCGTTCATCAAGTCCGTGCTGGACCACCCATCGCTTCATGCCCACCTGTCGCACGCGCTCATCGAGGTGCTGAAGCAGAGCTTCTACCCGCGCATATTACACAACATAAACTACAGATATAGCTATGTCAATTATCATTGCGGTGCTCGACGTGTGTATCTAATGTTACGGAAGCAGTGTTGAGGGTGTACAGTGTCTTGTTGAGCGTGGCTCAGGCGGTGTCACGTAAGTGGAGCAGAGCTTCACATGGATAGAATATCATTTTGAGCATCGATTCAAATGACTTGTTATTGCATTATGGTATTACATGGTGTGTGAATGAAATGCGGCAAAAATGTTTGTATCCTAATTCATGTCTGCAACACACTATGTAAGACACCTGGTTAACAACAAATTTTTTTCTGTGCACGTGTTTTATGAACGTCAAGTATGATTTTCCTTTAGATAATTCATACTAATCATTCAGCGCCACGACCAACACAATGGTTTGTTGTGCGTCGCACTGGTCGCGGCGACATTGCACACTGGTGCTGTCTACACATTAATGCGGTTAACGGTCAGTATAATACCAGCGATATAAATTCGCTACTAATTTTTAAGTTTTTGTATAATTAAATACAATGGCTCCGGAAATAAGTTCCCAGACCAAACTCGTCTCCTACGGAGTAGTAGGCAAGATTCTATACCATGTCTTGTCTTTCTTGGACGGATATGACCTACAGATGCTGTCAGTATGTATGCGAGTATTCGAGATTACGCTGGGCCTGTCTCCGTCCTCTTTATCCATAATGGCTACGGTGGAGACGGTCGCATTGGTGGCCTGCTGCCCTATTTGGGGGTATCTGGTGGACGCATACCGGTGTGGATACGTCCTTGGCGCGGCTATGGCGATGTCAGGGATCTCTACGATCCTGCTGGGTTGTGTCTCCAACTTCGGTGTGGTGGGTTTCGCGTTCTGTGTTGTTAATGTGCACTCAGATCCTGGCATTGCGTGTGATTCATGGCTGCGCCTTAGGATGCACCCCTCCGACAACCCAGAAGCTCATCACGCTTTCCACTGATGAGAAGAGCCATGCCGCTGCCTTTGGCATGCTGCACTGTGTGGCATGTCTGGGCCGCCTCGTCTCCGCAGTGCTCGTTACATACGTTTCTGGGCTCCAGATAGCGGGCTACCCCGGCTGGCGCGCGTGCTATCTGGCGTTGGGCGCTGTGTGGTTAGCGATGTCAGGAATAACTGTGTTTTTCCTGAAGCCTGTGAACGGTGAAGACATCCCAGTTTCGATGGAGGAACGAGGTTCCATCATGGATACATTGCGTGCCATCTTTAAGACAGCTACGTGCAAGTTGCTGCTGTTCGTCGTCTTCATATCGGATGCGCCATTCTGCGCCTTCGCATACATCATCCTGTTCCTGCAGTACTCAGGCGTCTCGGACATGAAATCGGGTATCACGTGCGGGCTCACGCTGGTCGGTGGCTGTCTTGGAGGAGGCCTCGGCGGATTCATTGTTGATTGGTGCCACAAGAAAAGTGCCGACTACGGCAGGCTCCATGCAGCCAATGTGATTATGCTCATTCGCCTTGCTGCATCCGTCGCATTGTTCATGGGGCCGGCGCCTGATGGTGATGTCTCGTGGTACCACGTGATTGAGCTCATGATACTGGGTGCGAGCCTAATGACCGTGAGTAGCATTGATCGGCCTATATTGGCGTCGGTGGTGCCCAAGAAGTACCAGGCCTCTGCAGCTGGATTGATCCGTTGCATAGCCGGTGTTCTAAGTACCATTTGCTTCCTTCCACTCTGTGGTTTCTTGGCGGAGAAGGCCTTTGGCTACGAGCCGTCAAGCGCGCCGATATCATCCATGCTCAGGTCGACGAGGGTCAACAATGGAGAGGCATTGCGCAAGTCCATTATGTACCTTCTACTTATCGGCACCGCAATAAACGCCATGTGCTACGCCGCCTTCTTTTTCACCTACCCACAAGACAGCAAGGCAAACGAGACGGAAGAGGAATCGCTGGTTTCGGATGCATGCGATGTGGCTTGAAGCTGTGTTCTCTAAAGAGATCTTGTTACAAGTTTAAAAGGCACTTTCCGAAGGCAGTCGCTACAGCTGGTGTGTTATGCAATTGCTTTACCCCAACGGTTTATGGAATAAAGTATGTCAGTGCGTAAATTCATGAGAGCTCTGATGCATAATTGGGCATACATTTCAGCTGCCCTTGTGCAGTGTATGTTCCCAAATTTTTAGCCATGTAGGCTTACCATTTAATCACATTGACCATTAATTTTATGGTTTAATTCTAACGCATTCTGACGAATTTTTATCTAGACTATGGTTTTTCGAGATAATGCTCATAGCCTTCTGTTGCTTCCATGTTGAGCTGCGTCTACTTATGAAGCGCGTTGGATGCCATTCATTTAAGCACAATCTTGTATGGGTAAGAGCGACGACATTGTATTGTAGCGCGATTGAAGCAAAACGCATGTGAATCCTGAAATGTAGCTATTTTATGTCGTTTCTCATGTCGAAGGCTAATTGTAGTCCACGTCCGACAATGATAGAAACATATGCTGACTTTAGGGTTGATTATCCATTAAAGTCGATATGTTGCTCAGGAAGTCCACTGCTGCGTACGAGAATCGCCGGCCATGTTCCACACTGTGTTGCTGCAATACGACGCGTAATCTTACCCCAAATGTAGAGAAGGTGCGAGCATGGGGAGATCCACATATCACAAGATTTTAAACGCCTATGAGGTTTACACAGAACAAACTAAACGCAATTTCGGCGGAGACGACCCAACATTCGAATCGAATTCAACCGCAATCGCAGATGTGATGCGCCGTACGACGGCAGCGCCAAGTCAAGCACCTATCACCGATTCACTAGATGCGATTTCTGTGTTCCAGCAAGCGTACTCAAAAATGCTTACAGGCCTTGAAGGTTTACATTCGGGGCGCATAATACAGGAGACATCGCTGTATGTCAGCAGGCGCGACCGTATTTTCAACATTATCGTCACTTGATCATGTTTGGCCGTCCTGACAACGATTATCTCACTAGTCTCCCTAGTGTCTATCCAGCTAAACGAAAGAACCAAGCGCTTCTCTTCAACTGGAAATTGACACGGCCGATGCGTGCAACACTATCAGCAGATATTTCAGTGTAATGATATAACAATATCGATATTTGATTGTGATTTTGTCTATTGTCCAACACAATTGGTGCAAGAGACATTAACAGAACTCAGTTAACAATTAGCCAGCTACAAAAACCTAAACAACGACATGTCAATTTAATAATACGCCGGATGCGGCAACTCGAATGTCTCATATGGAGGGGTCGAGTGCCAGGTATTCAGCTGCAATATTGCATACAGCGTAAATATCAGGAGCGGTTCAACAACATTCCACAACTCTCAGATCAATTAGTGCTATCTTGCTAGGCATAACATCTGAGGTGTAACTTAAGAATGTGTGTCTCTGCACTAACGTTATAATGACACTGGAAACGCGAAGGATAGATGTAAATTGATCTGTGATATAGAATACATGCGCACTCAACTGAATGCAAACGGAGTTGAGTGTATGCTGCAAAGCACATAGCGCGTTGGACGCAAGTGAAGTTTAACCCATCCAACGATATAGGAGGGCCATGATCACGATTTCTGTCATCGACGATAACTAACACGGTGCAGTACCCCGAGGTTACGATTATAATGCTCGAAACATTTCGCCAGCGATATGTGGGGTAGGTTTGGCAACATACAGATGAACCCGTAGGGCGTAGTATCTATGTGGTGCTAAACGCGCGGCTCTAGTGTCCCTGGCGATGCTGTGGGCGGTGGTTGTTTGGTTGCTCGCGGAACGCTGGGGGAAGACGGCTCGGATGCTTAACAGTGAGGGTTAAGGAAAGCCGCCGTACCTTCCATCCAGAATGTCCGGGAGGTATGCCGTCTTCCCACAGCGCGCCAGCGTTTCATGCCAACCTGGCCCCCGAGTTGCTATATTCATGGGTTTGTTGCCTTGTCCCCTCTCATGTGAGTAGAATGTTTGTATGATTTTCGCGCCCTTATGATTTTGCAGGGCGGCACGGGGTTTTGGTTTGTTAGTACGATAACGCACTTCGTTATCACTCGGCACTTCACTTGGTAGTATGTTTACCTAGCGCAATTAGCGGATTGGCTTCGATGCCCACTGGGCGACGCCCAAGTATATTGCCACTTTGAAGCTTTTATCACTTTGCTCTTCTCCAGTTCACAGGTTTGGATCCTCTTGACACGTTGAGTTACAATAGTAGGCCTAGACCCTGATTCCAAGCGAACGGGATGGCGAAGCACCAAATTTCGCTGAACACTCTTAAGGAGTGTTTGCAGTTTTTGACGGGGTTTTATGAGCGGAAGGGAAAGCTCAAGTTAGACGGAGTACTAGGTGAACTGGAGAGGCATATTCAAAACAAATACAGTCATTTTGAAAAAGCAAAATTTAAAAGACAATTCGCGGAGTGGGTTCAATTTGTGGGTAATTTTAATAGGAAATTGATAACTACCAGGGCCCTTTTTGCACGCTCAATTGATATATCTAGGTATACAGAGAAGCAACTCTTCAATGCGCTTCTCGAGTGCATTCCCAAGTTCCTCGCCGCGATGTACCATTTATGGTACCGCGTGGATAAATGGTTCGATGCAGTGGGCGGGGGGATTGGAGGGATAATTGGCCTGGGTGGGATGGGTACAGTTACAGCTGGAGGTATGCTAGGGGTGACTTTTGGGGAGGTGAGCTTCAGCGTTATCTCACATCGTCGGACTCTACGAAATATGATATCATACCCGGCGGTTTCAAAGAAGGTGAAATAAGAAACGGATATTACGATGATTCTGGTTACTACCAGGCCAGTTCCATGGTAGGCGACATTAAAAGAATCATAAACAAGTATTCTAAAAATCATAATTTTTTCCGCGACGTGTTCGTCACTTCCGCTATTGCCTCTACCGGCTTGGAGCATGTAAACACGGCGAACGCTGTTGGTTTGGTGGGCGTGTTTTGCGAGATTGTGAATGAGGAGGCAAAGAAAGATAAAGAAGGCGGAGAGTTAATTAAGCAACTGAATGACGACTTGAACAAACAAGAAGAATTTCAAGGGAGATCCATAAATTGGGGTGAATTGAAAAAGCATTGCGCCAGACTTAAAAATTCCCTAATAGACAAATTGTTCAACGATCGATACTTTAACCACACTGGCCAATCTCCGGGCATGCAAATGCTCAGCGCCGAAGCATTTGCAAGACACACGGCGCAGTGGTTCAGGAATAACTTGTTGACAGTGCGGCAGAACTTGAGGAAAAGTTACCGTTTTGATTACACTTCCAGAGCGGTCTCACTGAATTATCTTGCCACAAAATTTATCTTCCCCCACGGGTTCATATTTGGTAAACCAAAATATGGAACGCTGGGGGACGATCGGCATACTTTGAAGAAGGATTGGCCTAAATTCATTGAAGAGCTTAAGAAAGACGGCACCGGCCTAAAAAAGCTTACAAGAATTCTGAAAGGTGAGACGTCTCAAACGCAAGGCCCCGGAGGGTCTTTTGTCGCAGATGACGATAAATCAGAAGACGACGATTCAGAAGAGGCAACAAAGCCTGTTATCACAAAAGCCGAGGCGAAGAAGCCTGTGGCTGCAAGGCCAGAGTCTCCAAAGACAACTGTACTTATCTCAACACCTCCGATCACTGTGCCAAAAACAGTTGAAGTTCCGCCTGCCAAGGTCCCCGAAGCCCCCAAGGAAGTTGTGCCGGAGAAGAAAGTTCCGGTCACACCACCTAAAAAGCCTGAGGCCCCGCCTGCGAAAGTTCCTGAAGTACCTAAGAAGCCTGTGCCCGAAAAAAAGCCTCCGGTCATACCTACAAAAACTGACAGCGCAAGGCCAGTTGCCACTAAAACAGAGGCCACTAAACCTGTGGCCACTAAAGTCGAAGCAACCAAAACTGAGGCCGCAAAACCTGTGGTCACCAAGGCCGAGGCGGCGAAGCCGACTGCCAGTAAACCTGAGGGTGCACAGAACCAAGGCAAGAAAGCGGAGGGAACTCCAAATCAGAATAACGGTCAAAGTGAAGAAGAGTCTCCACCTTCATCTCCGACTCCCGGTGATACTGGTCCACCAGGGCCTGCTGGGCAAGCACCTACGGTGTCTTCTTCGGCTCCAAGTTCACCAGTTAGAAATGCTGATCAGCCACAACCTCCAGCTCCACTCCCACCGCCACCAGTTCCTCCCCCTCCAACTGCTCCACCTCCCCGTCCAAGCTCTCCCCCCAGTACTGCTGCAACCCCTGGCTCCCCGGGTCAGGATTCAGCGGCCGATGATGCTCTAGGTTCAAAGCCTACTCCCCCTCAAGTCACTGTGCTTAATCAGCCTCCGAGTGCTTCAGGTTCAAGCTCTGGGTATAGTGGTGGATCTGGCGATTGTAACGGCTTGCCTAAGGATACGATCCAGGATGGACACACTACTGCCACCTCGCATGTGACATCTCTGGGCGCCACGCCCTCCGGTGGTAGGGACCCTGGCTCTGTTTCTCAAGCTCCGACAGGCCAGAGGACACAAGATGTTCCACATGCCGTTCAAACCTCGCATACCGATCATGGAGCCATTCAAGTTGGAGGCGCTAGTCAGAACTCTCCTTCCCTGGTTTCTATTCCAGTTCCAGGTGGAGGTATAGGAGATGGTGATGTGGGTGATGGTAACGTTACGGGCAGTGATATTCAGGATAGGTCCGCCGCCAAACAAAATGTTCGTCCATGCGATATTCATTTCTTGATGCACAATCACCATCATGGCAAGGAGGTAACCTGTAATGAAACATATAAAACGTCTACTTGGAAGCTGAGTAGCCAAAAGACTCTCCAGACGCTTTGGGATGAAAATGCGGAAAAAGGGAGCGAAAAACGTAAAATATTGCACCACCCTTATTTGTCCATACATTCAAATTCGAGTCTAACTAGTAACCCAGGGCGATATGTTCCCCCTACCAATACCATTCTTGATCGGTTTGAGTCTTTCCTACGTAGGGGCGTTGGTGTTATTAGTGGCAAGCAAACTTACCTTCCACCTCCAAGAATACCGTTTTACCCAGCTTATAGACACCGCTTCCCTCTAATTGGCTATGAGGGGCCTGATATATTGAACCAAGAAAACCCGGACGACGAATGGAGGAAAAAACAAATTCGGCTTCAGCTAAAAGAATTTCGAGATAAGAATGATGAAATACTGAATCGTCTCGAAATGAAAGTCATTAAACCTCCTCCCATCACGCTGCCGGACGCCGGTGTTGTGGTAGGTCACCCGCTGAATCAGCCAAAAACCACGAAGCACACCACGCCTTTGCCACCTCTACAACAACTTGTTAGTAAGTTTCTACCAGAATATAGTCCCTATTCTATTCTGGTTTCCCGTGAAGACATCTACCCGTCCGACCCGCCTATAAATCTTAAAATAGAAAAGCCAAACGCCCCGGAAGGACAACACACGACGGAAGTGTCAAATTCTGAATCGATTCACGGCGCTCTGATGGAACCTGGACGTCCGATTAAGGCGTTTCTCGGTAAGTCACCGAATTCGTATGAAGAAGCTGCGGGGATACAAAAGTTCGATGAACGGGGTTATGAGGATTATGCGACTTACTACAGCCTTAATGTCATGCCAAACATTCACGTCTGTCGTGACCCCTGGCACGTTGATCTATCCTCCCCTGATCCTACCTCTCCATCACCCTCCCCTGCCCCAGACTCGAGCAATTTGCCTCCTCCCACTACCGTCCGCGGGATACTCTTCTGGCTTGTCGGCCTCCTCGAATATGGATATGTCAAGCGTATTGAGAAGCATGTTGAAGGTATATTTGAATATATTGATAAAGATGCTGGCTTTCCGTACAAGCCTCATGATGTCACCGTGCCACGTGCACCCATGGCCTCTTCCCTTGTCGCTCAGACCCTGAACGAAGCTTGTCACTATGCAGCCAGTGTTCTTTACAAAATAAAGAATAAAGACATTTCGGAGGCTATTAAAGATTTTGATTTCAAATCGGAATATCGGAAGTTGTATTACTCTTCCGATCCCGATTGTCTCCTCTGCCAGCTGCGAGATTATGTGTACGCTGCCCATCACCAAGTGGCGTTCCTCCGTTGGCAGTGTTCTCGGGACCAATCACATGGTGGTTGGAAGGATTGTAATTACGGCCTTTATGTGAATGTTTCCGACTCCCCCCTCCAGGCTTTTCTTACTGACAGGTGGGACTGCGGCTTCGACACTTCTTTCTTCGACCCGTGCAACATCTGCCTCCAAAGTCGTGTCAGGATGGGATTCAGAGACGATCATTTTTATAAAGAAAAGCAACAAGGCAGTGTCCTTTACTACATCCTCTCTCCCCTGTGTGACCCCGACGACCCTTTGTTGACATTGTCATCCTACCTTTTCTGCCTCACCAGAAGAACGCCGCGCACCACCGGGGAGCTCGTTTCTTTCTTCCACAATTTTGGCAACGCACTTCACGACTATGATTCTGAGCTATTGTCCGACCTGGGATACTCCTTCATTGAGCATCCTGTAGACTATTTCTTTTGGGCTCATATCAAGGAATCCGACCTTGACGCCGTACGGGAGCTCCGGGGTTGTAACCGTACTGTCGAGTGCCATGACCATTACATGACACTGTCTACTCTAATTGGCTGTAACCTTTATCCGGTTCCCTGCCCGCAACATCTCTTGCCCATCACCTACCAGGCATACGCCCTGTATTCACCGAGCTTTGCACAGACCTACCTCAGCTGGACGGTATACTTACCTGACAGACTACACGAATCACTGAAGAGGCTGAGTATAAATCTCAAGATGCATGATCTTACCAAATGCAAATCACTGTACAAGTGTCCAAAGGCCATGTGCATTCTCTACTTTCACGGCTTTGCGGCACCGGATGATCCATTAACGTCCCAAGTCGCCTGTTCGGATGTCATCGCCAAGTTGGATGCTGTGATAGAAGGCACGCCTATAACTACGGTTTTGACTCGTGTGGACGATTTCCTCTACAGAGTCCGGAAGCCTTTCATCACTCTTGTGTTTACATTGTGGTCCCTCGCAATCACGTTGCTCGCCAACACAGTGCTCTACCGCATGGACGTCCTCCACATCCGCTCCCACCTCCTCACCACCAGGGCCTCACACCTCATCGACGTCAAGGCTTTGCTCTCCACCAGCAGGAGAATGCTCTCACTCTACAAGGACGTCGACTACTTCGACGATGACTTTGGCACGTGACAGTAATTATCTCAGCTACATTACATTTACATTCACATTCGTCGTGTTGTGTTGCCGTGTCATGTCACGTCTCTCATGGTGACTGCATCTCGTGCCTTGCATAGCACCTAACTCACTACTCAACCGAAAGGCTTACCTAACGGCTGACCTAGCACATGACCAAATGGCTCACCTAGCACTTAACCAAACGTCTGACCAAACGTCTTACCCAGCACATAACCAAACTGCTTACCTAGTACACAACCAAGTGACTTACCAAACACCTAACCTAAGATGTAATCTACAATCTACTCAATCTTCTGAGTCACCCCTTGCTTGCCGTCTTGGTCATCCACCTCGGCAGCTGACTGCCGTCGTCCTACTCTGGCGGTGGGACATGATGAACATAAGGTGGCGGTGGTTGGCAATAATATTAATCAAATAATCTCATACAATAACTTAATTAATATTGAAGTGGACCACCTTAAAACTGACGTTGACAATTTAGGCAAGTGGAAGACTGCGGCCGGGAGTGTCATTGACAAGGCTAACGGGAAGTGTGAGGAGATACTTAAGAAAGTTAAGACAGATGGTAAAGCTGAGATTCATAAGAATGCCAAATTGTTACGAGATAAGGGAAAAGAGCTTTTGGACGCCGCGAGTAAGGCCAAGGAGGCTGTTGAGGCTCAGGTAAAATCAGCGTTGAAGGCTGTTGTGGAGATGGACAAATCTCTTAAGATGGATTTGAAGAGTGTGAAAGAGGCGATTAAGATAGGGATTCAAGAGGTGATTGAGAAGCTGCAAGTTAAGGAGTTGGATCAGAAAGTGAAAGAGGATTTGGGGACGTTGAAGAAGAATATTTTGGGGCTTGGCAATGGTCTGGAGCGCAACGACAAAAACCAACAGCTTGTTAAAGAAGCGTTGTCAGCGCTTGGGACGGCGAAGAGTGATTTGGATCAGAAGACTATTAACCCAATCAAGAATGAGGTGGAGAGTGAGCTTGACCAGAAGTTTCAGACGCATATCCAACATCCGCTTAGCACTAAAGTCAATGCAGTTGACACGGCGATTGAGACGCTTGGCGGGCATTTTAAGAATGGCACTACACCGAAAACTATTGAAAAGATTTTCGAACATATTAAAGGAAAGGTTGGGGAGATTAAGGGTGACGGAAGACAGAAAAAGGGCCTCGATGGGATTGTGGCGAAAGTGAAGGACCTTGCTAACGCGTTTGTTCAGAAGGGTAACAATAATGGCTTTAAGGCTAGAGTAGGTGGATGGTTGGAAGGTGTAATAGGGAATGGGAGGGATAAGCCCGGGTTGAAATCCGTGACATCGTGGCTTGACGCGTATAATGGCAAGCATAAGGATAAAAATGATCTTAAAACGCAAGTTAAGAACAAGATTTGGGATGCGCTTGGAGACCAAATTGGTGCCGCTGAGAAGCAGATGGATAATGTAAAAACTAGCATTGAAAGAAACAACATCACAAAAAATGTTGAGGCTGTCAAGGGGGTTTGCGATGAATTTGTAACGGGACTTGATAAGGAACTGACGAATGGCAAAATTGATCAGTTTGCCCAGCAGATAGCCGGGAAGATAGAGAGTCCGCAGGGGTTGGGGGTGTCTACTATGTCTTCCAACAACTCTAATTCTGAACTCAACCGCGCCGTCCGTGCCACCCTCCTTGCGCTGTGCGGGGGTGTCAAGCACACTGCCGATGAACTCGATTATTTAGGGGTCAAGACCTTTGGCACAATATTGGGCGAAGTACACAAAACAACTACGGAGCTTCACGGTCAGCTTGACCAGGCGACTAACAATGTCGGCCAACCCGCAAACAAAAGCCCCGCCAAAGCCGTGGACAGTAAGTTGGGTGAAGTGAGTCAAGAGGTTACCCAACTTAACGGCAAATTTCAGACAGTCACAAGTGATCTTAAAGCTGCAGTCGGCGGTCTTGAAAACGCCGTTAACCTGTTCAACGGTGCCGCCGAAACTCAGATCAAGGCTGCGGCCAGCACGGCGATTAAGCAGGCGGCTGAGCAGATTAGCGGGGATGGTGTTCCAATTGAGCTTAAAGAAGGTGGCCTAATGTCCAATTTCGAAACAGCCCACAAGCATGTCCGAGATGAGCTCCAGGGCAAACTTGATGACGAAGTTAAGAAGCACATTGGTCAGGATGATACGGCGGTTAGTCAAGGTGGTCAACAAACTAAATTCATACTTGCTAAAGATTATTTTACAAGTTATGATAGTCACGTTGTTCAAGATCAGATTAAAGCCCTTAAGGCTGGCGATACTCTACAGGGCATTAAAGACGAAGGCTCCCTTCCACTGGCGATCGGGAACATCAAGGCTCAGGTGGACAGTGCTTTGCCAATGATCGAGCCAAATCACAGTGGCAATGACAAGATTGAAACAACAACCTTCACCGTTCCGTTCAACAAAATTAAGACACAGTTTGAAGACATCGGGAAATTTGTTGATGATGCCGACGGGGAAGTTGTTAGGTAGTGAGCTAGGCGAGTGTGGCTGAGGTGGTGTGTCAAGGTTGCAGGTAGAACAGCTTGCTAAGCTTGCCGACCGGAGCCGCTGCCAGAAGAGATTGCGAAGCTATCTTGTACAACTCCGACAGCCTGAGGGCGAGCGGATGCGGACGCTACATTGAGCTGTGTTAATACCGTTCCTCTAACTAATCTGCGCCTGATTCGCTGCTACGATGTAACTCATGAATGTGTCACCGGCTACCTGGTGTTGCACGCTTTTGTAAATTTAAATAAGACGTCATTACATTAACGTGCCGGTAATGTCTAGAACGGTGCGATCGCTGTGATTATAATAAATGCCGAAAGTTATTAAAGAATGCGATACAGGTGTTCACTTGCGGATGAAACAATCGCGGACCTTGTGGAACGGCCATACACGTTTCATGATCATGACAGATATTACGATGAGGGTGATGAGAATGACGATGGCAGGCATGACCATGCTTATACATTTATTTCTACAACAAGGACAACCACAGGTCCACATACTTTTATACACACATATTGGACAATTATAAGTATCGCATGTCTCAAATCGTGTTTTGTAATGTTCGCATCTATTGCACGCTTTGCTGGGACTACACCACTGACAACACCATGGACAGCACCTACAAGAACCCTCAGTACATGTCGAATTGCCCTTTCCAACACAATTACACTTGTCGCTTCCCATCTTCCCTGGTCTCCCTTGTCATCACCCTGCACTGCAATGAAGCTCGTACCTCGAGCACCGAGCGGTAGAACCACCAATTCGTCCCAGATGGCCTACCATCAACCGCCAGGGATACCACGATGCACATGCAGTGCACTACGCACGCTCTTCAGTGCGAATCAAACACAGATTAGGTATTGATCATCTCACACTTATGGCTGCGCTATTGTGTGCCTCGGTGGGCTACGTTGATCTTTCACTTTATTAATGATCGCCACAATGTGGTCCCTAAATGCCACCTAATCAGGCCGTGCATTGGCCATCATTCCGGAGAGTTCCTGCGGAATTTATTGCCTAGCAACGCACATGATAGCTAGCATGTCCACCACTCACCTAGAAAACGACCAAGTAGCTCACCTGGCACAGCAGCCGTCATGTGCCAACTTGTGCGCCCCATACAGGGTTAAAACCCGTATAATACCAGACTCTTCATTTATTGTTCGGAGTAATCCGCCATGGTGCGTATCTCGCGTTATCGTTTCGCTCAATAATAACACTCCTACTCACGTTTATTGTTACCCCTCACAACCCTTAAGATGCTATCAGGTTCCAGTCGCTAAACACGCTATGCAATCATCAACACAGCGATTGTGATGAGTGGCCGTAGTCTGCCTTAACCGCAGCTTTTGGTGTGGCTGGATTAAGCGCAGATGAAATCAATAGTTTTCTGTCACAAAAGGGCAGATATAGTTCGAAAGTCGGTGGTTCTAACAATCAGGTTATTGTAATGGCGAGCCGTAGAAGCAGCGCAACTGAGCAAACCTAGACAGTGGCGCCTGCCTCAGCAATGGGCAATTTGAAGACACGTTATATTCGTTGACATCTATAACTATACGTCATAACAGTAATAGTGTTGCCACCGATGCTTATAAACAGTCCGCGTTAAACGCCGGAGTGAATAGCAGTTCAACAATAGCCGCTGCCATCAATGTGGGAAACCAAGACTTGAAAGGGCTGATGACAGTGTAAACGGTTAAAGGACGTTTATCTTATGATATTTTGGAAGTTCCAGGATGTTAAACCGTGAGGAGTTGCTAACCGCGTTGAAACCATGTTCCACCGCATACCGATTAAGGAAATTTATCGCAGGGATGCGAAGACTGACGCCAAACAGAGCTTTGAAGCATAACAATGCGTGATCTGTCAACGCTTTCTAAGACTTGTTAACATAATTCCCCACTTGGCCTGTGGTGATTGCAACGGCCGAAGCCTCTTGGAAAATGCGAGGAGTATTTATTTGTACGAGTAATACTCCAAAGGTTTCAATCGATATCCATGTAGCTAACATGTCCAACTAATGATGAAGCATTAAATATTTGCTTACGAAGATGTCTTTGTAGGACAATAAAGCATCGCAACTCTCTCTGACTGCCAACGTCAAGCGGTGCATTTTATCCGCGGCCGCGGGGATGAGCGTCAGAGCGTAGCCCAACGTATTGATAACAGTACCCGTCAATTACTCCGCACATTGATGCTATTGTCATTGCCATGATTGATACGGTCGTGCCGTTGCTAACTTCAATCACTCCAGCGGTTGCCTACAGACCGCGCGTGATACACAGCACGTGGCACAATGGAGGCTAATTTTTTTCGATCATGATAGAACCTATTATAACATTGCATTCACTCTGCAATTAGTCGCTGTTATTTATTTCGTTCAGTACAATGCCACGCGATACCATGCCTACCCACTGCCGCGCATATTCAACGTCACAGCACAGTTAAAACTTACGTCGCCGCTGACGTATACTTCGTAAAAGCGAAAAGTGTGCTGACACATATTCCTGTCGCCTAATTAACGTCTCGCAACTGTCAACTACACCACCTTCAGAGTAGATTGCCCGTTGCTTTACACTGTCTAGGGAACGAAGAAATACGATGGTGTTAAATTGTCAGTCTTTGTAAAACTGGTGGTAGCAACCACAAGTGCAAAAGTCGTTGCATAGGCGTTGGATTTGCCGTCATCGTCATCCTGGCCGTAATTCTCGTCTGCGTGCCCACCTACTGCATATGTCCTGGCAGTGGCAGAAATTGGCACTTGGAGTAACGAATGCGTTTATGACGCATTCCAAGCCTCCCGCTTCATACGTAGCTCCTCTCTCCAGTGTCGTCTCATAACCCACCTAATCAGCAATTTAATTTAATGTAGCAAACTGTTTTGTTAGCGCCGTAGATGCTGCACCGTAAGCAATGGCACCCGGTTGTGGCACTGCGACGTGCAGCTAGGCGGGTGGTCGTCCATGCTAGTGGGTGCTGTGTGCCATGCTAGGTGAGACAGTGAGTCATCTGTTAAGTGAGTGGATGACATGATATCTTCAAGATTGGAAATGTGGCAGTCGGCTCACAGGGGAGATACTGAGTGTCATCGGGACATTGGTCAACTTGCGTAATCAACGCATGCCGGAAGCGGGGTTAATGGTATGTCTGCGTTGCGAGATCTGGAATAACGGTTGCCCCAGAACGACGTGGATGGAGGGCTAGGTGTGTTGGTATGGACATTGTACATAATCAGTTGGCCAAGAGTGATCGTATCTTGAGGTAAGTCTTCAATTGCTGTGTAGGTTGTTTGTTAATTGATCTGCGAGGGAAGATGGGAAACACATGTGGATGTCTTGAACAGGCGAGAAGTGATTTGGAGAGTAGAGGTTCGGTGGGCGCTGGTTTGCCGGTCAAGGTCAAGTGCCAGATGAAATGCGGACTGTCGACATTACTTGGCGTCTTAATCGGCGTTGTTTGTATGTTCTTCATAATCGCCATATGTTGGACCACCGGATTTTTGGCATTGGAGACAAATGTGTTTTCCAATATATTCCAAAAGTCGTCCAAGCCTTCCATACACTAACCTATAATAGCATTACCCAGCCCACATAGCATTATTTCATGGAACCGTGTAATGTCAATATTATAGGTTTATCTTAGCAAACAGATTTGTGCACATCGTGGATACAGTCGCCCATAGGAGTAACACAGCTTATCTATATTAGACATCAGTAATAGACGTGCTGTGCCAACGTAGCCCCATAATGCACGGGTGTTGGGTGCCCTGTTCCAAAGACGTTTTCGCATCTTAGCTTGAAACTCTGTTGCTCTGACCTAAACTGATTTACTTTAACGATACTATATGACAACATTGGTGAGAGGGTATAAGCAGATAAAGCTGTAGCAGGAGGCAAAAATGTTGTGTCTCCACGCAGCCCCTCAAACAGGTGGCGCCCCACGTCAACGAACTACCTCTAACCTAATATGCAGATATATGCAGTGTAGCTTCTAACGTTAACACCATTTTCCGGTTCTATTGAGCACATGCATCCGCAATCATGATGAGCACGATCTTACTGTAAAGCGGAGGTCAGATTGGGGCCCTTTCTAATCTCCGTTTAATTAGTTGTTTTGGTTTTATTTAGTGCGCTATGTGACTACGTGGCTTAGGGCCGATTTTCGTGTTTACCAGGCAAGCGCCTTAGGCTGCTGGTGTCGGTTGCGGGATCCATGTCGAATTATCGTACACTACAGGTACCATCCATTGTGGCATCCATCCTGTTTGGGCGAGAGGGTCATTCACAGAGCCATAATCTTCTCTGGGTTTCATGCCCCTCAACACTAGCTTTTGTGTTTCTTGGATCACTACCCGTTGTATATGGGCTTCTAGGCGATCCGATATGCCCAGGTCCCGCCTATACTTGGTGTGTTCTTTTGTCACTATCCCCTCCCACGTCATAACGTAGGGGATTGCCCTGAACGTTGTGTGCTGGTTGAATTGCCGCGCCTTCAGGTTCTCTATCAAAGCTTCGTACTTCAGTTTCTTGAATCTCTCCGTCTCCACTAGGTTGTCCTGGTTGGTGATTCCTATTTCCACGATGGTGATGGTGTGTTGTCACCTTTACACTTTTCGCACTCCTTTTTGGTGTCACCTTTCATCTATGGAAGTTAGAGTCACCTGCCGCAATTGGCCAATCTTTCCCCATGTCTACAGGGCCGTTAACTGCAGCCGCCGACCTGTAAACCGGAAACCTTTCGGCCTTATGTGCTCTGCATGACCTTCTTATACTCATTTAATGTGAGTGATAGGTTATTATAGCCACAACAACAGTTAAATGCACGATTACACAACTACAAAAAGAATATACGTTGTGAGCTCATTTACACGCACACACTTTTATAGATAAGCCACGCATATATGAAACCGCCGACGGGCCCACACAAGCTGTAGTCTAATATTAATCTCAAGTTCAAATGACCTCACTTGTGTCTCACCACACGAGGACCTATATAAAGCGAGGCATCGATTCCTTAGGTGACGAGACTCCGTCACCTTCGACGCCACTGTCAAAGCGTTTTAACTGGAAATTCCCCTGCCCCACAAACCTGTGACACTATTAAATTCCCCACCTACAAAAACCGACCAGCGCGGGTAGAAGCTCTGCTTCAGCACCTCGATGAGCGCGTGCGACAGGTGGGCATGAAGCGATGGGCGGTCCAGCACGGACTTGATGAACGCGACCGACTCGCGCTTCGTAGACTCCGCGCTCAGGAACTGCGATGTCACGCCCTTGCACTGAACAGTAATGATATGGGTGTCCAGGGTAACCTACGAAGTTGAGCGCCTCTGCATGCACATTGGCGTTGGCGAAGACACGCTCGCACAGCAGACGCTCGACGGCCTCCGCAGTGTCATCGCGTGCTGCGATATCGACGAACCATTTCGCGGCGCCGTCCACGGCCGTCTTTGTGTTGATGGCGTCCAGTAACAGCTGACCCACGTCTTCAATTACCTCATTGTCCTTGCACAGGCCTCCCGCGATCTGGCGGCTGAAGGCGTACGCTGTTTCTGCAACGTCATCCTCTTGCAACACACGGATCACAGCGTCCCGCAGAACTTCACCAGAGCTCAACAACAGCTGCTCCACTTTACGCTTCACCAGCTCCTCCGTCTCGGCGCTGTTCAGGAAGTCTTCCGCCAACCGCCGCAGGAAGGCTATGGACTGATCGTGGAACGCCTTGTTGTGCAGCAGAACACCAGCTGCGTTTCCGGTAGCGTCCAGAAGTGACGACCGGACGCTCTCCACGTAAACCACCGTCGCCACGCCAGCGCTTATCAGCAATAGCACCAGTGCCACCGGAGTCCAACGCGAACCGCCACCAGGAATGTGAGTTGGAGTTAGTTTGTGGCGGCGTACGTACTCGATTGCGGCTTCCGATGCGCACCGTGCAATACGTTCCTCGTAGGCAGACCACTTTCCATCAACTCTATCGTCCGTTGGAGAGCTGGAATCCTGCGTCACTGGCGATCGTTGACTCTGTGTAGACAGATTCCTCACGGCTGGCTGGCGGTATCCGTGTAAAGATGTCCGTCGTTGAGCACATAACGAGACATTGCGATATTCACCCAATAGATGGGAGCCAAGGCAGCACGGCACCTCATGCTTTATATTAACGCCAGACGGTTCATATCTAGATAACGGAAAACGCCACCAGCAGCGCCGAATGTGTAAATGGCATGACATCCTACCGCGAATGTGATATTGGCGCTGAATCGCGGCCGTATTCATTACGTAGACAGCGCCATCAATCAAACTTAAATACACATAGTGCACATACTATGACACGACATGGGCAAACAGATTTAATTGGTTGAATAGGTATGGTCTGTTTAAACAACCATGGAATCTTGGTGCCACCAGTCCCGTTGCACGCTGGCGATTATACGGCGAGAGTATCTAACATACCTGCTGCGTCACAAATTCACGGAATACATTTTTGTAATATAAAGTAGAATAGTGTTATTATAGATAGGCGGACTTAGCCCGGCTTTTCTGCCTTGGCCACCACCTCGCGGTAAGGGTGTGAATCGTAAATCTCGATACGTAAAAGCCTTTCGAGGACGGAATGCCTATCGTATGAGTCATTGGCTTTGCGTAATATACGCTATTAGCTACGCAGCATTCTGTCTTGCTGTACAAGCTTGCGTGGTCGGCTGTACTGGGAAATGTTTCATTCCCAAACCGTTCCACCAACGAATACAGCCAATCACGCAGCGCAAATCATTGACTTTGTGATGATAAAGGCATCTAGGCTAGTGCCACCTAATGGCTGCTGACCACCGACGGCTGGACGTCGTTAGCGCCGGGCAGACGATAACCCGCGCCACGTGCAACAACAGTGACCTTTAAAACAAAGCCCCAAACACCGTCGCGTTCACTGAGCATCCAGAGCACGATACCCAGGCTGTAATACGGTAGACAACCGGCGCATCATATTACATGCTGTGATACGTTATGTCCAACGTAACGGTAGCACGGAATCAGCTCATACACTCTGCTGCTTAACCCAAACCCATCACAACATCGCCGGTAATTTTGCAGACTATATTAGTAATGCGCCCATACGTACTACTACAATATAAAAAGTTTAAGACGGGGGCAATGCCCCGTCGTCCTCTGGCAGCGGAGGCGCTGGCTCATCTGGAGCTGCCGCAAGGGGTTCTTGTGGCAACTCGGACTCCGGCGGCATCGTAGATGGAGGTGGCATAGGTTCGGAAGCTTCTGCTGGCACAACTGCCGGCTGCTCCGCTACTGGTACCTGGGCAGCTCCAGTAGCGTATTGAGAATAGTCGTATGCGGCTGGCTGCGCGACACCAGCCTCGCCTTGTGCTCCCTGCTGGTAATACTGCGGGTAGTACTGTGACGAGTAGTAGTACTGCTGCGGCTGGTACATCTGCTGCTGATACTGTTGGTAGTGCTGGTACTGCTGCTGGTAGAAGGCCATCTGGTACTGCTGCAGCTGTTCGGCGCTCTGAGCGTCCTGCTCTCCAGGCGCCGCTGCCGCCGCTCCGGCACCAGTCAGTTCAGTCATCATGCGGTTATACTCCTGTAAAATCGTTATACAGCAACAGCGAATGGTAAACAAACCTGGTCAAGCTTGACCGCCTCCTGGGTGGCAGCAGTGGTGCCAGTGCTGCCCGCCAACTTGCAGTCGGAAGTAAGATGGCCCATGAAACCACAAATGGCGCAGCGCACATCCGCATGCTTAACGGTGTGTAAATTGGGGGCATCGGGGCACTCGTACGCGCGGTGACCCACACCTCCGCAAACGCTGCAACGGCTCGCGTCGGAAATGCCCAGAGCGACACCGTTCACCAGCGCCAACTGCTCCAAGCCGCGGCGCTTGAACTCCTCGTGTTTGGGGTGGAAGGGGTCGAGCAGCGGCCCAATCAGCGCAACCGCCTTCTCCACGCACTCCTCCTTATCCGCCGAAATGTGCACATGCATAGGCATGGCAGCGTCCTCATCGGTCTGGTGGTCGCGCTGCTTACCCTCCTTTATAGTCCCACGGCCACGCAGCGATATCTGGGCGCCACTCTCTGCCTCCAGGCGCTTGTGGTTGCAGCCACGGGGGCCGATGACGAGTCCCATGAAGTTGTACTCAGGGTACTTGTCGAGGGGAATGATGATCTTACGCACCTTTTTAAGTGGTTTGTAGTCGGCGGATGCAACAAATCCGGGCAGGTGCTTCAGCAGGTACTCCACCAGGCGGTTGTACTCCTCGTTCATGGCGTTCTTGGCCCTGACCTCACGGGTGTTCACACGACTACCGTTGCGGTCGTAGACCGGCGGCGGTGACGGCGGCCTGATGTCCGCATCACCAAACTCCAGCTCACCGGAAGCGATCTTCTTCACCAAGTCGTCGTGGCGCTGCTCGCGAAGGAACTGGTCCATCTGCGACGGGGTCATCCCCGGCGGAAGGTCAACGAAGGGTGGCGGCAGGAACGGTTTGTCGTCCTCGGGGCCCCAGAGGCTCTGCGATTCGTCATCTTCTGAGACATTTGCCGCCTTGTTCGACAGCATCTTCAGCTCGTGGAGGAACGAGTTCGTCGTGTTGTGGATGATCATGTTCTTCCCATCGTCAATCTTACCCCAACGGGTCATACGCCTCCGGGGCGCCTTCTCCGTGTCCGGCGGGAAGGGCACCTCCTCGTCAATACTCGTCGCGGTAGACATCGTGCCGAGCAATAGAATCCGTGATAATCCGTCACGACCGGTGCTACCTTATCCGCAGTGGTCGACGAGCGTTACCGATTGGTAAATCCAATGGTAGATGCCCGGATAATTAAGTGGCTGATATTTGCCACTTTATTCCGTAACGGTGATTTGCCGCCAATCACCGTCTGCGGATCTGGTAAAGGGCGTCGCGCTATGTGGCTCCGCACTACGCGGTTATGCCGTGGAATGTTATATCTGTACGCAAACGTGCAAAATCGACACAAACACGCAAAATAAGTAATATCGTCGGTTTTAACAGCTCTGCCGTTACACACTGCTGCAATCCGGCGTCACTCTGCTCGCTGAATGCAGGGTTGGCTGATAATGACGTACAGCGATTACTCCGACCACTCTGCCAACCGTAAATACCCGATATCATGCTAGCTATGCCTACTGGGGCCACTGTTGGCCGGTAGTGTGCGAAATTTGACCCCGCAAAGAGTTCCGTGCTCTATGTGGGACACGGAGGTGTCCTTCTGCGCTATTGCACATCCCATGCGACACTGCGTACACACTGAGACTGGATTCCTCTGCCGATTGGTACATGTCTGTCTCAAAACGCCTGGTCTTGCTACGATAACGGGAAGGCAATTCCGGCGTCACCGTGTGCGGCTAGTGGACGCATCGCCACCGGGCCCGAAACTGGCGGCGCTTCACTCCAAAAATTCTAGAAGCAACCTAAAACGCATAGTTACTTATTAAGCGCACAGAAACTCGCAGGGAGCGGCCGTCGCCGACCGCAAACGCGTGCCATACCTTCAGACATGAAGTTCACGCAATAGGCTTGTATCTACCGGTTTCCGAAGGCAGCAACGGTTACACCGCATTTTACTGCCGAGTTACGTGCACGAGGATACAAAATCGGACTCGAGGCGTGGATCCAGCGCGCTGCCGCTGCTGGACGCACAGCAGCGACCAGGCGAGCGGCAGAGCGCAAACGCGGCGAAAGCAGGACAAAAGGTTCACATCAAAGGGATCACAGGACTGTAGCGGATTCGGATCAACGATGCGTCAGGGCTCCGGACGCTATAAGTCCCAGCCCACAACACCTCGGACAGCATGAGTTCTTATCGATACCGAGACAAAAACAGCACTGCGCGATCACGACACGGAAGTGGCCGCGCGCGAAACCACAGCCGGCGCAGCGCGACGAGCTCTGGATCCCGCTCGCGCGCGGCGGAGCACGAACAGCATAGAGCCGAGGCTACCGATGCTGCGAGGCAGGAGCCGAACACAGCGCCTCTCAAGACGTATTCTGGATCCATAAGGCGATTTTTCATCTTAATAGCGATAGCGCTGTTGGCTGGTTCATCGCGAAACGCCTGGAGGAGATCGGGAGAGAGTCAACTTGCCAGGGGACTGGCTTTGGCGGCAGCGGCACGGGCGGAAACTCAGCCCAGCACCACTGCCGTATACTCGCATCTGGACGAGTCGGTGATTTCCGAATATTTCAAGGCTGGCACGTCACGCCGGCCGGATTTTGTAGTGATGCCTAGCATGAGTCTAGTCAGGAGGGGGCGCCGGTCGTTGACGCAACTCACGGGAGCGGAGGCCGATGGGGAAGTCTCGCTCATCGTCCTCGACACGGAAGGGCTCGCCTACTGCACGAATTTGTCACGCAATCTCATGTGGGTCACGCGGCTCACGGACAACCTGCTAAATGTGAAAAAGCCTTATGTCGAAACGCCGAACAATGTATGCGCACTCAACAACGCCCCCACCAGGGGCATGGGTTGGGACCGCGAAAACTACGAAGAACACACCACAGCCGACACTCAGAATGGACAAGCGTTCCAAACATGCGGCCGTAATGCCGCCTCGAAGGGCAAATGTTCACGGCATCTCGTGCCGAGCTACGACGGATACGTTTACTGCATATACGAGACGGGGCACAGTCAGCTGCTGCATATTCATGTCAGGGACATCGTCAACTTCACACCCTTCAGGACGCCGCTGCTGGATGGCGTCTACCTGGAGGGTTCTAGGAATTCTTCCGTGATGGCTCTGGATTTCCACAGCGGAAGCTACATCGCGAGGAATGTACATGACGGCAACTACAAAACGCAGCCCCATACGTCCCCGGACCACCCGGAACGGGAAACGCCGAGGCAACTTCATATCGGTTACACCGACTGGACCGTGCGCGCATTTGACGAGAAGTCGCACGTCGAGCTGTGGAGTTTTAATTGGCGCGAAATAGGCGCAGTAAACAGCGAGAACGTGGGACCGGTGGTCGTCGAGCGCGTGCGCGAAATCATCAAGGTGCAAGGACAGAAGCTGGCCATCGAATACGAGGATGAGGAGGGCCCATTCACCGAGGAGATGAACTTCCCGTTCCCAATCGCAGCGGTCTTCGCAGTGCTCTGGAACGTCAACGAGGATATCATGACGCTGCAGATTGTGGAGCGGATCTCAATTCCGCCGCCGGCAGCTTTCCTCCAGAATGCGCTCGACAAGGCTTATGGGTCTATCCAACTATCCAGTTCCAGCTACTTCGGGCGCAATCTGGTGTCAGTGAAGGGCGGTGTGATAAACGTGCAAAATATGTGGGATTCCGAGGTTGAGGGTGAAGCCACGAACGACGGTGGGAGGCTAATCACAATCAAGGTGGTCGATAAGAACCACTACTACACTCTCGACACCGGACTGCAACCACTCACTTTCACGCAACAGAACCATACCAAGTGGCAGATCGTCAAGTGGTGGTGCGTGCTCACATGCTGGATCCTGACATTCGCGTTGGCGCCGCTGATGACCGCGCTGCGGATGCTCAAGGAATGCATCGAACGGAAAGCTTACCACCGCAGGTGGTGGGCTAAAATGCCGTTCTCGAGGTTCATCTTAGGCCAAGTATCGTTAATGATCGATGATTTCGAACGAGGCATATTCGAGTCGACGGAGCGGCTGATTTACAACGTCGACCGCATATCACCGCTGCACTCCGTGGAAAACGTTTGCCAGACGTTCACGGTGCCGCTGAAGCTCATAAACAACACGGATGAAATGCTGGAGGCGCAAAAGCAGAGTAACAGATCGCAGGCGGGAAGCGCAACTACGCAAAGTGCGCGCAGCGAGGAGAGCGACGGACACGAGCTACCACGGGTCGAACTGGCCGTCGAGACGACCGAGATTAACTACTCCGACGATGAAATAACTAGAGAAGATGAACTGAGGGCGATATCAGTTGTGCCCGCCGCCACTGCACTGGCCAACTTCCTCGAGAACGGCCGGTTCCTTAGGACATTTGATTGCATCAAGCTCCTGGGGAAGGGCGGATTCGGCTCGGTATACCGGGCTCAGCACAAGCTGGAACCCGGCCACCCGACGTACGCCATCAAACTAGTGCTGCTGAAATTAAAGGCATCTGAGGGCCTCACTTCCAGGCGCTACTTTAGGGAGATCGTCGCCAACAGGGAGATATCAAGCAAGTACGTCGTGCGTTACTTCACGTGGTGGTGCGAAGAACCGCACTTTCTGCCCCTCACGCAACTGACGCCAGAAATACAGAGCGCGGCGGCCACCAACGTCAAGCACCTCGTTGGCTCCAACTCCCTAAACACGCAACGCGCGAAGGCGCTCAACGGGTTCATGCAGCACTACCAGGAAATGCTGCGAGGGATTTTAGAGAAGAAAAGCGACGATGACTACCCGAGTTTTAGCAACGTGGCGTTCAACAACTCCCTAATTGACCAAAACGGGAGGGGTAGGCGGAGGGTGCACCTGTCGGCCATAGGTGAACAAACGGAAGGATCGCAGATACCAACCGACGAGGACGACAGCATGCTGAACGGGGTGTGCGCATTCCAGTTCGAAGACGACAACCGCCCCGACGATGGCAGGTACCCCAACGTGCAGCAGTCAGAGTCCAGCCAAGGCATCATTTTCGAGTACAGCGGCACGTCGAAGCCGCCCATCGGGGGATACGAGGGTGAGAGCCCGCGAGAGAACAGCGACAAAGGCGAATTGGGGAACCCGGAGAACGGTCACCAGTCACGCGAGAAGGACACGGAAAAGCAGTACCCCGTAGTGCTGCTCATCCTCATGGAACTGTGCAAGGGGTTCACCCTCAGGGAGTGGCTCAACAGGTTAGTCAAATACATACGTAGGCACGGATAAACACGCGTATGCAGGCCCGGAAGAAGCGACAAGCCAATGCAGTACACCGTAGCGCCAAATGGGGTGCCGGTCGAATTCGACCTTTTCAGGCAGCTCATCAAGGGGTTGCGTGACATCCACGCGAACAACTTCATCCACCGAGACCTCAAGCCCGAGAACGTTTTCGTCGACCCGAACACGTACGCGCTGAAAATAGGCGATTTCGGACTCGTGGGCTTCATCTCGCAGAGCACCCGCGAGACCAGGGAGACACCACCGCCGGAGGTCACGGCACAGCAAGACTCCTCTGACGTAAGTAACAGCGTGACTTTAGCTAATCCATTGTTTCAGCTGACGCAGTCCTCACTGCCTGGGCAACTCATCGGCACGCCGGGGTACGCCGCTCCCGAGGGCGGATTCAACTGCTCGGAGAAGGCTGACATCTTCTCCGCCGCACTGATCCTGCTGGAGCTGCTGTCGCCAAGGTTCCACACCGTGATGGAGCGGTTCACTGTGCTCGAGAACTTCAGGAACACGGGCAAGGTCCCGGAGTTCATCGAGAAGGAGCTGTCGCCGTGGCATCAGCTGCTCACCCAGATGGCCGACCGGGTGCCTCAGCGCAGACCCTCCGCAGTGGAGGTGCAGAAGAAGCTCAAGGGACTAATAGCAATGTGGTGCAACGAACCCGCAGATTAATTTACTGTGTAAATATTGGCCGCACTAGGCTGCCACGTTTATGACGACTTGACCCGGCGGGCCGAGGCCGGAACGGTCAGCAAGGGAATTCCGAGGTACTCCGTGATCTCGCAGCTCGTCTTCACGAACACGTATATCAGATACAGGGTGCCGTAGATGGCCGCACCCAGCAGCATCCGGTGGAACGCCGCGGGCTCCAGGACGAGTCCGTATTTCCGGAGCAGCCCGACGCCGAAGTACTGCACAAGCAGCAGGTACTGGGGCAGCAGTCCCCAGTGTACCAGGCGCATCGATGACTTGGTGAGGAGGCGGATGATGTTGTTCACGCAGACGATGGAGGCAAACATGGAGGCGAATATGCAGCCAACGTTGCGTGACTCGGCGGGCAGCGTGTACACGAGGTAGTACGCCGAAACTGAGTGCACGAATGACGATAACATGAAGGCCAGGTATTGCAGCTTGTAGCTCGTGCGGTAGGTGAGTCCGATGATGCCGTATGAAGCCTCGAAGTACGCCACGGCCAGAATCACGTAGAGCATGGCGTTGTGGAGCTCATGCACGGTAGGGAAGTAAGCTCCTAGGAATGCGAAGACCGGGTGGCCTCCGAACAGAGTCGCCACCTTCGTGGCGAAATGGGGGCGGGCGTAGTGGTTTATCGCCTGGAGCCCGATCACCAAGAAGTTGGCCTCCGTGACGCCCAGTATGCCGTTGGTGTAGTCGAAAGTCTCGAACTCGCTCTCGCGCCACACCGTGCACAACACATGGATCGGTGCTATCGACAGCAGAAGGAAGATCGTGAACGTGTACCCGCCCGGGTACAGCGTGCAGCAGATGTACGGGTAGAACACCGTCACGACGGCGTCAATACCGTGGTCCAGCAGTTGTCCCAAAGGCGAGCTCATGCCCAACTTTCTCGCCTGTTTCCCGTCTATTCCGTCGAAGGTCTGCCGAAACAACTGAAACTCCCGAAAACTGACATACCAAGTACAGCAGCGTCATCACCGACGCCAACGTCGGCATAAACGTGGGAGTGGTGTTGCTGTCAAGCCGGCGCATGTACATGAAGATGCAGAAGTTCGTTACGAACATGCAAAGTCCTCCCATCAAGGTCACCACGTTTGGAGATACGAACTGAGCGAATGTTAAACAACAGAAGCAACCGCCTACCCTGGGCAGCATTTTAGCAATAGGAGTCCACCAGAATCGGTTCATCATCTCGTCCATGGGGGTCGTGAGCCCAGCTTGGAACTTGTATTTCATCAAGTTCGGCAGCTTGGCCCTCGGAATGATACGGGTTAAGCGCTCCATCCTGTTCACGCAGCGCAAAAGGAACTGTCAGTAAAAATTCGCAATGACTGCGGACGGAGGAGGTCACTTATCGAGGACAGATGTCAGTTAAAAGGACAGAAGCAGCGGAAGTACGCGCCAAGCCATTCCAGCACCGACTCAGCAATAGACACTGGACGATGGGCGCCAGACGCACACCCGAACACACACTATGCCTATTCTGCGCAAAAAACCTGCCGAAGACCCGGCGCGTAGCTCAGCTTATTTAAATGCCACAAAGGCGGCGTGACGCGCAGCCCCATGAGCATATCGAGGCGCGAGACATTTTCCGGCTCGAACTCAAGCGCAACAGGCCGTGCCCACAGCATCTACGAGGCACGTTGTGTGTATCGCAAATATTTCCGTATGCCTGCGGAGGCGTGTCCGCCGGCGAAGGAAGCGCACACGATGGGAAGGAAGGACGCCAGGACCAACTCGACGGAGCTTGCGTCGATTCCAACCTCGAACAAGCTCGTCATAAATGTGAGTGTTTAATATTTGTCTTCCATAATCGGTTCATCGGGGTCCCATATCTGTAGGCGATTGTGTGCAGCACGGTGTCTAACGCTGCGGGCCCACTCGCCCGCAAAGCTTTCTGCGCGTACCGCGGACGCCGTGATTGCGTGCATGCGTTCTAATTTGCGGGATGCGTGCCTGTGAGCGCTATATCGGTGCATGGTTACGCAACGGAGCCCGTATTTGGCGGCTGTGGCATCGTGCCGGCGAGCATTGCCACGCGTGGCGATCGCTCCTTCCATGGCCGAAATGCGCTTGTGATACAGTGGTTTGTGGTATGGTGTGATATGGAACAGCCGCAAAAACTTCCGTACATGCTTTTCATCGACATACGGAGAGTATGCATGCAGCCGCTGGGCCGACATCGCCGTGTTTGTTGTGTGTCCTGAGCACTTATCTGGTGATGATTGTGTTCATTTGCAGCATCTATGAGGCTTATATAAATACTTTTGCAGGCACCTGGCACCGACACATCGCAAACGGGCGATAAGCCATCTACCAATGTATGGAGACTCTGCCCATTCAGGAACCCGGCGAGGTCCGACGGGCTGGTCCTCAAGCACTGGAGACAAGTCGCCAGGACCCGGGATCAACCTAAGGTTGCGCCTAATGCGCCGCTGGAACTTCACGAGAAATACGCCGAAACGCTCGACTCGGACGTCACGTCCACCCTGCCGAAACTGGACGAGGAAAACAACCCTATAGACTCTTATCCGTTCGCCAAGGTAGCTCCGGCAATAAAAATTTATCGCTACTCCGATGAGTTCTACCGGTATCAGATCGGCGACCTCGACCCGTCGTGGACCAAGGAGGAAACCGACCTCCTCTTTGATCTTTGCGAGATGTTCGAGCTCAGATTCGTCGCAATACACGATCGGTTTAAGTGGAGGAAGGATGTCACGCTTGAGAAACTCAAGCACCGTTACTACACGGTCACCAAGCGGATCATCGAGTACTCCTTTGAGGAAAAAATCAAGACCGAGATGGCGAAGCATAACAACCCGTCTCACCCGGTAATTGCGGCGCTCAGGGACGAGTCCGCCAGGCATCCGCTGGTCAAGTTCACGTACAACATGGAACATGACCGGGATCGCAGGGAGATGCTGGAAAGGAGCTACAGGGTCACTGAGGAACAGAGACAAGCTGAGAATCAGCTTCTGGACGACATAAAGCAGGCAGAGTCGCTGTTCAAAAGGGAAGAGCGCAAGAAAGTGGAGTTCAAGAAGCTGAAGAAGAAATTCAGTGTCAGCGACGACGCCATCACACTGCCGAACATGGAAAAACTGCACTCCAAAGACGTGTGGCTCGCAAGCGATATGGTCACGCAGTACAAGGCGCAACTCAACCCGAAGCACAACGACGCAGTGGACGAAATGTTGGCGGCGTTGAATATACCGGCACCAGTGGTCTCGTCGCGAGCGTCCAACGAACTGTACTGCGTGGTCCGTGGAGACGCGGCTATCATGATAAACCTGGTGAACAAGGTAGACAGCCTGAGGAAGGAACTTGAGCACTGGAAAGCCATCGCGGGGCCCCTGCCGGAGCAGACGGCTACGCCCACAGCCAGGGAACAAAGGACAGGTGGTCTCCCAGGGCCCCTAGATATCGCAACCGCGTTCCAAACCCCGCGCAACATGGAACCTGCCAAACCTTTCCCCAAACCGAAATACGCTACCCCGCAAAATCTTGGGACGCACCAGATGAGCCAGTCGGACGATGCCGCCTCGTTGATGAGCGAAAGTTCAAAGCTTTGCGAACCATCGCAGCTGGAGCAGGAGCACCAAAACCAAAACGCCTTGTACCAACAGCAGTTGGCAAGACAACGGATGATCATGGCACAGCAACAACAAATGCAACAGCAGATGCAGCAGCAAATGCACCAACAGATGCAACAGCAAGCTCAGCAGGCCCAAGCGCAGCAGTTACAGGCTCAACAGTTGCAAGCTCAGCAGCTACAAGCCCAACAGCAGCAAGCTCAGCAACAACAGTTGCAGGCGCAGCAGCAGGCACAGATGCAACAGGCTCAGCAACAGCAGATGCAAGCCCAACAGCAACAGACCCAGCAGCAGCAACAACAACCTCAGCAGCCAGCACAAGGTCAACCGATACAGACTTCGCCACGACAAGAAGCGCAGCAGCCAGTACAAGGGCAACCTCCACAGACGTCACCACGGCAACAGGCACAACAGCTGCAATCGCAGCAACAACAGGCTCAAGCTCAACAGCAATTGCAAGCCCAGCAACAACAGGCCCAGGCTCAACAACAACAAATGCAGGCGCAGCAGCAGCAGGCCCAAATGCAACAAGCACAACAGCAAGGCCAGCAGGGCCCTCAGCCCGGGTCGGCGCCGCAGGCACAAGGTCAACAACAGCAACCGCATCAGCAGCAGTCAAGATCACAGATGCCGCAAATGTACAATATGAAGGTAGGAGCGCCTGGTGCATCTAGTCCACACTCCTTCCAGCAGCAAGGACACTACCAGCAGATGATGCCGCACCAGCCACCCGCCCACATGAACCAGCCGCAGCACATGGGACAACATTCGCCCATGGCGAAGCAGCAGAGCGTGCACCAGATGCAGCAGCAAGGGATGCCTCCACCACACGCCATGATGGCTCAGCACCGAGCAATGCAGCAGCGCATGATGCCGTACCCGCAGTACCCCCAGCAGCAGTTCCAGCAGGGCTACCCGCAACAATTCACGCCTATTCCAATGCGGATGAACCCTCAGGGAATGTACTACCCCAACCAGATGTACCCGCAGGGCGGTCCTCCGCATTACGGACACATGATGCAGCACCCGATGGCGCATATGCAAGGGCAAATGCAGGGCCAGATGCAAAATCAAGCACAAGGTCAGATGCAGAACCAAATGCCGCAGGTGGTTGGCCAGATGCAGGGATCGATGGGAGGTCACATGCCAGGTCAGATGCAAAGTCCAATGCACGGGGCCGTCAACGCTCATATGCCTGGACAGATGCAGCAGGTTATGGGTCAGATGCAAGGGTCTATGGGAGGTCATATGCCCGGCCAAATGCAAAGCCCGATGCAGGGCGCCATGAGCGGCCACATGCCTGGGCAGATGCAGAACCAGATGCAACAGGTGGTTGGACAATCGCAGCAGATGCCACCGCAGTGAGGACTACATTGACGGCAGTTGGGAGCGCTCTTCGCTTGGTTACATGTTGAAGCGGCGGCTGGCCTGGCCAATGTGCGGGCCGTAGCTGTAACGCCGCGACAAGTCACACACCAACACCTTAATATAGTCAAACGCCAAATTATGGGCAAAAAATCGGGAAAACACAAAGCGAACACCGGTAACGACTTGCAACTGCCTCGACCGGCGGACCAGGTCCGATTCCTCTACCAGCCGGCGCTGCCGGGCGGCGACGAGGCGAGCACGCTGAACAAGCTTGCCGAACGGGCGGGGGAGAGCACAGCGAGCTGGAAGGCCAAAATCGAAAGCCGGGTGCTGCAGCTGAACGCTGCTGTCCACGAAGAGGCGACCGCTCTCGTCGGCCGCCAGCCCGAGCCGTACACCGTTAGACACAGCTTCACGAAGTTCAGCGGAATCAGCAATCGCGCTGCCAAACGTGCCGGGTTGCTGGCCGTGGGACCGGAGGTAGACTTCGAACACGCCCAGGTGCTGCGGACGCTGTGGCAGGAATATATCGCAGACGTGCTAGGCAAACACAACGCACCGGTGCACGTCGCACGCAACCTCGCACTGTGTGATCTACATGGCGCATATGTAGAGGTTGTTGGAAGCGCTTGCGCCGCCTACGTAGGCATCGCAGGGATCATAGTCCGCGAAACCCACCACGTAAGCCCCCAGTTAATGTATGCTATGTTGAACAGGCCTTCTACATCGTCAAGAGCGATTCGAAGGTGGCATTAGTGCTCAAGGAGGGGACGATATTCGCCCTGGAGTGGGACCGTTGGAAGTTCCACATACACGGGGCGCATTTCGCGGCCACGCCGGCGCAGCGCAGCAAGCGCAAACTCAAGGCGAAAAGTAAACTGTAAGGTTATGAGGAGTTCAGGTGCATCTCATCGTGCACCTGGTATGCGTCCAGGTCTATCGCCATGCAGTGGTGGATGGCGTAAGACAGCCGCTGGAGCATGATCTCTTTGCTCGAGTACTTCGGCACGAGCAGTCGGAAGCTGCATGTCGCCGCTGTGGGCAACCGGTTGTCGCAGTTGTCAACATCGTCCTGCGTAAATATGTATCGCACAGTTTTACTACGTACCTTTAATTGCTCGTACTCCACGTAGAGGCTCCACTCGGACTGCGCCGGGGGCAGGCGCGACCGGCCGCTGACGAAGCGGAGGAACAGCTGCATTTTGGCGTTGTCGAAGTTCGCCAGCACGTCGAACAGGTCCCGCTTCAGCTGTGGTGAGGAGGATACTGTGTGGGCGCGCAGTACCTCCAGGTCGATGCGGGGGTCGCCGCAAACCATGAACTCCAGCAGCTTGTGGTCAAGCAGCATGCGGAAACGGCCGATTGGCAGCACCGCGTTGAATCCGCGCGCTAGCCACGTGCACGAAACGTCGCACTGGGTCAAACGGAAGTGGGTGGCCAGGCGGACGAAGAGGTCCACGTTCTCCGCGGTCACGCTGATGTTCGAACCGTCCTGCAGCAGCTCGGTAACACGCCCATCGTTCGACTCCAAGCTGAACGTCAAGTCGTTCATCAGCGTGCTGGAGCCGCCTCCACGGCGTAGTCTGTAAAGAAGGTCACTTGACAGCTTGTCGCATTCTGCCAGGTCCTTTAGGCTGAGGTTTGCCGCCAGCAGCTTCTTCCATATCATAGGGTTGAGGGCGACATTCAGCGGGTTCATCATGCACGCGCACATCGCGAACAGACGGCCCAGCGACTCGTACATCGCCAGCTCCATAGGCAGGCCCTGCACGCAGTGCTCGTCGTAACACTCGCTGCCTCCGCACTGGCAGTTTTCGCGGAACGACAGCTCATCCGCAGGTTCGTCAACCACTGAAATGGGGTTGGCAACGCTGCAGCATCCCGTGGTACAGCTGATGCCGAGGTCGCCGCAATGAACGGATACCTTGAAAGGCTCCGGGGACTCGCTCTTCAGCAGACGCAGCATAGGGTGGATGGGGGAGTTGAACTTCAGCATCACCGTATCCTGGAACAATCCGTGCGAGTGGATCGTGTTCGGGCAGCGCACGCAGCCGAAATGACCCTTTTTGCTCAAACGTGATTCCAAGGTCAGCGGCGACATGACCTCGTTCGATATGGAGCTCAGCAGCTCCTGGAAAGGACCACCAAAATCGGTAGCGCCTTCGCCTCGGAACACAACCATGAACGGACGCTGGTTGTTGCGGGCGCGCAAGATGTTCGGGTTGCAGTTTAGAATCTGCGAGCAGCTTTGGAACCACAAGGTGTGCTTCAAGGACGACGCTGTCGCAGCTATGCCGCGATCGACGCGAATCGAGAAGTACGGGCGCTCGCGGTTCAGGCTCTGCAGAGACAGGAAGATCTTGCTGTACATGTCGTTGATCACGGACCGACGGATCAGACGACGGTTGCCCAGGTACGTGCTCCAATGCACGGGGATATCGGGAGGACCCAAGCTGACCCCAAACTCATCACGTGCAACGGGTTGTCGCCCTTTCACGTTTACGTTCTTCTTCATGACCAGCGTGCTCGAATGCCAGCATGGTGGCGCGCTCACAAACGAGTCGTAAGTAGGCAACAGCTGGTGCTCCAGCGGAAGGTACTCCACCTGAGGCTGGTTCAGAACAGTGCCGACTATCGGTGCCAGCAGCTTGAAGGTCTCATTGACATGATCCAGAAGCAACATCCGGTCGCTCACCAGCATGTAACAGCAAGCGGCTATCACGCAATCCCCCACTTCAAAGCCACGACGTGTTCCAAACTCCGCTCGACGACCTGCCATGGACTCATGGTGCATGGTAGAGTAGCTGATGATGCGCATACCGTTATCGTTCGGTGCGTTACGCACGTCGCCAATTTGCAATTTGTCGACAACGGCGCGCAATGTGGAGGTCGTGTCTGAACCCGCGTTGGAGTTAAGGATGTAGTCCCGCAGAACACTGTCATCCAGCACTTTAGCCAGATGCTGCAGAAGCATGAATATGTCGACCTCGTCCAAGTGCTCGCGAGATAGGCGGTTCCGTACAATATCCTTCAACTTCATTAGGCACTCCAGCAGATGGTCCACTGTTGTGTAGATACCGTTCCAGAGGGGCGAGTCGAGCGGCGGCAGACGGCTTTGCAACTCTAGACGCGATTGGCACTGCATCACCATCGCAGTGATCATCTGCTTGGTAGCGGGAGCACTGTTTAGCAGGTCGGCCACGCAGTGGAGAGCAAAATCGATATCCGTGGTCACATCCCGATTCAGGCTTGATCGTAGGCGGTCAAATGCATACGAATGACATCGTATGCTTACGTCTATGCGCTCGCGGCAGTAACTAGGAAGCTCCAGACCGCTGAAGTCCAAGGTGGTGGGTCGGCGGCTCCGGAATGTATCCAGGTAACGCGACAAACGATCCAAACACGAGGCTGCCATGTAGTCTTGCGAGTACAATGAGTAGTCGCAATGGAACACATTGCAGCCTTGGAAAACACCGCGGTATATCTGGAGAGTCGTCAGAGGCGATATGTCCGCACGGGGGAAGAGGCGCAGCTCGCTCACGCACCGCTCGAAGTTCAGCAGGCTCAGCACCACTGCACTGTCACTCAGCAAGCCACATACCTGGTTGCAGTAGTCGGTTGCTAGACGCACGAAGGCGCACAGGACGCGGCTTTTCGACCAATTGTTGTACGACTTCAAATCATGCACGAAGCCGCGCAAGACGGTAGAGATGTCGTTAGCCAAACTGTTGCCATGATTTAAATGTACCACGGACTTCAGGTGAAGTGGTTCTGACGCGTCCGGATCGTTAAGGTTCGTTGTAAGCAGCAGCAGAGCCTTACGCATCTTCTCCAGGATCGATTCCAGGTGGTCCATGTTGGGACCCCGGGATATCGCCACTCGCTCGCCGAAATCGTAGGACTTGTCAACGTCAGCAGCATGATCGACCATAAAGTTGCTCCCGTCGATTGTAACCGCACTCAATTCCACATCGCCGACGTCAAACAACTCGCCGTTGCCAACACCGCAGACGAACTCGCTGCCTCCCAGCAGACCGGGCCATGCACGATGTGACTTGCAGTAATTGGGACCGAAGAACCTCCTCAAGTTGTAGCGTTCGATCAAGTATTTGCCGATATCCTGTCGATCACTGTGCCTTGATGGGAACAGGTCGAGGATGCCGCAGCCCGCATTATTGCGAACCTGGACATCCGCTCCGAAGGTCACCAGCATATCCACAGTCTCGAGGATGCTACTGCACCGTCTACCCAAAGGCGCGGAGTCCATATCGACGAGCGCATGTATCAACGCAGTATTGCCGAAGCGATCGCGGCCGTTGACCTCGGCCCCCAGTATGCTCAGTAGATACGGAATCACCGCCGTACAACCGTTCTTCGCAGCAGCCATGAGAGGGCTTTCGTACGACGGGCCGCTCCGGCAGTCAAAGTTGGCATCGCGGATCACCGAAATGCACCGAAGGATGTCCAGCCGGTTCAAGAGACAACATAAGTATACTGCATTGTACTGGTCGTACGGTTTACGGTGTGATTCTGGGGATTGCGTCTCGGACAGACATGTCTCCAACAGCGAAACTCGGAAGTTCTTCGCAACAGTTTCACCAGTTACGAAGTAAACAAGGCCACGAACCGTTGAAATGTCATCAGAAATGATCGCATTGAACAGACTGTTCTGCAGCACCGACAAACTAGACTCTCCCAAGTTGCTCCCCGATGCGGCTGGCTCTTTTATCGTATGCGGGGACAAATATGGCTCGTAGAACTTGCGGAAGTCAAGTACCATGGCGACTTTGTCGTTGACGATGAAGTGCAGAATGCACTCATCCGGAGAGAACCGTAATCCCACCACATCGTCTTTCGCAAAGCCACTGCCAGATACCGAAACCCGGGATGTACGGATAGAATCCGACCTGAAAAGTGGCGGATCCACAGGGCACTGAACAATTCCATTGGCAAACCACAGGAAACGCAAGCCGAACCACTCAAGACCGACGAAAAAATCAGGTCGCCCCGAAAGCACCTTAACCGATACGTCGAAAGGGAGAGCCATGTGAGAGCACATGGCCCCCAGGTCGGTCACTCCGGGAACGTCTACAATACTTGTGTCACTACGTGTATTCAAATGAATAGCATTTTCGCAGTCGCTTTGGGGTGTCACGTTGCTCAGCGATATCCCAGACCTAAAAGGCACGTTCAGCCGCATATATCCCGGAAACGAGGTAAGAGAGGGCTTTAATTGCGAGGCGACATAATAGCACAGCGAACCAACAGGCAGGGATGCCGTATTGCGCACCACTATGACGTCCTCATGATAAGACGGGTCCGCAGGATGCGACACTGCGATGTAAGGCTTCAAAAGCTCCACCGAACTCGGCAGCTTCAAGCAAACGGTAGTGCGGCCGTAGTGCCAAATGATTTCGTCGCTTACCACAACTTGCGATATCTCCAGCCCACCGACCACTTCGAGGTACAAAAAGCCATCCTCGAAGTGGACCTTGCTCGAGGGCGAGGTCACTTCACGAATCCCCCTCGCCGCAAAACCGATACGGAACACCGCCTCCTTGCACCGTTCGCTCACGCCACGATAGACTATCACCGCAGGGATACAGCATCTCTGGCGCAGGAGGTCGAACGGTAGCGGGTCACCGCAGTCCACGTACAACGGCTGGCCGCTATGCACACGCATGCAAATGTCGGGGTACAGCACGGTCTCCGAAATTATACGGGTGCAATCACGGTCGACGCACAGAACCACTCGGCAAATGCGCTTCAGCCGAAGGGTCAGCGATAGACTCTTGGACCTGCGTGTGGTGATGAACGTCCTGGTCATCTTGGTCGATCCCCCCGATAACCGATAATGAGGGGGAATGCACGCCTGCAGAACCAAATCCTGCGGAATGCCCAGAATAGACCGCATGAACTTTTCAGAATATATTGTGGAGCTTTTGCCGATCATCATGTAGTGCGCAATGCTCAAAATATCATCGGGCTCAAAGACGGGGTCGCATCCCTTCTCCAGCAACATGGCCAACGTAGAGGCAAACAGGTGCACCAGAACGGCACTTGCAAGCTTGGCGGCATGGTCCTGCCGCTTCATCTCGATGTTGGTAAAAGTATCCAGATCCAGGATGTTGTAAAAGTTGCACAATCCCGTCACGCGGTGAAGAGCGCTCGTACCGCAGTACTGTGTCACCATGAATATATGGCTGAGCTGGGCCGGAGTTGCTGTGGGAATCATCCAAGCCGATAATCGCGAAGCTACCACCGCAAGCTTGCATGGTAAGGCGGAACAGTTCACCAACAGCGTGTGGATCACTGACCATACGTAGTTGGTCAAGAAGCGCTTGCGAATCAAGCCGCTGCACAGGGGATGACGCAAGAATCCATCCAAAATCCAGTGGACGACGTGAGCCAAACCGTGGTTAGCACGATGGTCGTGAATTAACATCGCTATGCAGTACATAAGCTCGGTGAACAACACGTTCAGCATCTCGTTCAGCCTGTCGGGATTCTCCTCCATGTAGAACAAGCGCTGCCAACCGTACAGAGGGTCGACGCTGAAAGAGTACTGGTCCATGCAAGACACGCTCACTGAACCCGCCATGTAGCCCCAACTCCAGTAGTCAACGCTGCTGAAGTCGTAACTTCTGACGAAGTGCTTGATGGTAGCACGGAAGACCTGAAGACCCTTGTCCTGTTCAAACTCCACTAAACGGCATACGAAATACTCCGGACACAGCGATACCAACACACCGGCGAGGTCGAAAACGTTGTGTTCTAGGATATTGGGGCGCAGCGTGCGGCGCAAGGTGTGCCGACTGGCGGAGGGCACACGGGCGCTGCAGTGGTAGCTGTAGTCACACGTCGAAAACATCTTTGTGTTGGGAGCTAGGTCTGGGACCTTGTGGCCATCTAGCACCCGCACGGTCTGTTCGGCAAGGCGCTGTGAATGCACTGCGTCGTACACCAGGTTCCAGAACTGATCCGGTGCAATGTATTCAAAGGGATCTCGAGGTGTCAAGGAAATCTCGCTCGAATTAACCGAATCATCCCCGAATTCTTCCTCACGGCCTGATGAACCAGCTGAACTATCGTCATCTATGTCACACGTTTCAATGCCCAAGAGAGACAGCAGGCTTAGCACCCGGTCCTTACCGATCTTTGACTCAGACGTGTCCGGAATACCCAGAAACGCCATAATGAAGCACACCAACTGGTCGATGCACGCCGTTTCGGATTCCATGTTATCACCACATTCGTACTTGATACCCTTCTCGCACAAGACACGGGCCAGCAACACACAGCACAGCAGGCATGCGGCGCCAAAAGCCAACAGCAGTGACTGGGTTGGGAACATGGTTTTAGATTCCGAAAACGGCACGAAACGCAAACACGAATCCGTGTTGCGAACGTGCATAACAGCAGAGGCGATGCATGGTACCGATAGAATTTCCGCGAGCGATGCCAGCAGCTTACGGCAGCTGTCGCTGCTCAACTTGGAGCAGCATGATCGCAAAGTAGAAGACGAACCCAGCAACCAAGGGAGGCTGAAGTCGGAAACCTTCTCGCACTTCGAATCACGAGTGAAAACCTTTTTCTTCCACGCGCCAGAATCGACGTCGCAGCCCAATACACATAACCAACTGTAGCATTCACGCAACGAAGCCCTCTCAAAGTCACCCAAATCCCGCGATGCTTGGAGTTTACAACACAATGTCTCGAAAGACATGCACAGTTGCCCAACTACCTCTTCCTTCACCCCGCTGAGGAGCGGGATGTTGGTTGTTAGGATCGCCTGATACAACTGAACGGACTCCGAGAACATTATTGCCGATTTCGCGGATGTCATAGCGCCGCGATGGCTCACTATATCCTCCCAAATTTCGTCCTTGCACAGGCGCAAAGCATCCTCGGGCACCGGTACAATCTCTACTTCGTCGGGGGCCCTTAAGTCATAGTTGGTGTCCCAGTCGGTATGCGTGAATTTCTCTAGCGAGGGGAAGTGCTCCACGGATATGTCATCGTAATCGCGCTGATCGTCAGAGCTGACGCTAAATGCATCCTCAGACGTGACACCACGATCGCTGCTTTCTATGCGTTCAACACGGTCCCCCCGGCCAACCACATTACGTCCAGAACCACGAGGAAGAGCGGTAACGGTGGAAGGCAGCCGCACAGGTAGCCGACGGCCGCTGCCTCCGGGAGGCGTTGGCATCTCACCGTTTTCACCACCACCATAAACTGGGAACTCGACGGGCTGGTCAGATGCCGTGTCACTGCGGAATGTGCTCAAAGTCTCTCTGCTCACCAAACGTCCGCTTTCGGCGGCTGAGTTCTCGTTCAAACCGTTGTACACAATGGTCTGCGGATCCTGGAATATGAACACCAAACTCATACGACGCATCGGCTCGTTTTGAGTCGCAGGGTCGTAAACAACCTCCAACACTGAACCTATACTGTTTCCGGCGATCAACAGTTCCGTACGAAGGCACACTTGGCCATCCTCCTGTCTCTCAACGTTGAATGATGCGGACAACACGTCGCCAACCCTATAGTTGATGGTTGCCGCAAATACATCATGCACAAAGGGGGGACAGAGGGAGGTCATGAAGCCGACGACATCGTTGCGGTCGAAGAGGTCAATGACCGAGCCGAACACGCAATCTGCGGGTGCAACCGTGATGCCGAAACGACCAGGCGATAAAATGAAAAAGTTCACACTGCCCTGCATGGAGGTGGTAGAACCCATGTTTATGGGAATGCGGAACAACACTATCCCTCCCATGTTCTGTGCCCGAGTTATGTGCAGAGTGTGGCCGCTGATATCCGCCTCAAAATCTGCAGATGCGCGATGGGTCACGAAGTTCTCCGAGTGGGGAAGGGTAGAAAACGGATCACTGCTAGAATCGCTCACCACGCGTATGCCACGCCGGTAGCCCTGTGTGACCAAGACGCTCTGGAACAACTCGGAAGTCGATGAATAGAGGCACTCCTGCGGAGCACGTTGTAGCGGGGGCAGCCAGCGGTAAAGAAACATCCCGTGCAAAGTAGGCGACACCAGATTTGCGAAAGCCGCATCAGCGGTGCTTATGATGTAATCTGAGTCACACAAGTGTTCTTGCCCCAGTTTTCGGGTGCAAGATACAAACAACTCGCAAAAGGCAGGTCCCAAATTAGGGGAAGACAGGAGCACGTCTATTTCTTCATCGCCCAAAGTGAAGGTCGTCAGCAGACAATTCAGCAAGTAGTTCACCATACGATAGTGAGATGTCGAGTCGATTTCCTTTGTCAAGATGGTCAGGATTGACACCCAAAATGTCTCGATCTCGGCACGGCAGACCAGGTTGGTGGTGCACTTGTTACATGCGCTCGATATCATGCCCTCAACGGATATTGAAGCGGATTCGCCGTCAATGTTGCTCGGAATATAACGGAACGACACGTGGTCGTTGCGTTCCTTCGACTTCAGAGTGCAGGCACACTGTGCGTTGAACAGAACCAGCATGGCAGCCACTTCACGCAAGGAGCGCAGCAACAGGCGGCACAGACAATACGATATTTCCACATTACTGACATCCGTATTATAGCCATGGGGGTTTGACGCAAATGCCATCCAGATCAAAACACGTAGCAGGTAGTGTAAATGAACTCGCATTGGGTGTACGTTGTTGGTGTGCTCACCGCCATTCAACTGAGACCAGACTCCACCACCACTCTCCACCTCCAGCTTACCTCCTAGATGCTGAAGCACACTCAGGTCTACGTCACGTAGCGCTGCATTCTCATGCTTCAAAGTGACATTGATATATATCGGGATAGTGATGTCGCAAACATCCACGTCGGAAGTCACGTTGCTCACGTGCTTGTCGATGAATGAGACATCCACAATGTCACTGTCCATGCGTGGGTACATATGCCACATGATCAACTCAGCCGGATCGGTAGCTTCAGGAGTTTCGGTAACCTCGCGAGAGGTTAAGTCGCGGATTATGGCGTTCAACGGTTCCAAATCATTCTCCACCGTGCAAGGGTCCAACGACGGCAGGGACCAGAGTAACCGCAGACTCAGTTCAGTCTTTTCTATTGGGGGCTGTACGTCGGAGGCTGTCTTCACCCAGACATACAGCAAACCTTTGCTTACCTTGATAAAATCACGCCTTGAATACTTGGACGACCAGAGCGTTTGGAACACAGCGTTGACGCTGACGTGGCACATGCGCAGCATTTTGTAAGAGACGAACAACACGACAATCGAACGCACAGTTGTACTGGGATAGGATTCCAGATCGGCTGCGCCCTTGGGGCCGAGGCGTAAGGGCTGTAGGATAGAAAGCATTTGCTGGAAAATGGGAGTTGCGTAGCGGGGGTTGCTGAGCGGATCCGATCCCAGAGAAAACAAGAGGGAAAAGAAGGGCAACGAAATGCGCACCCAACAGGGGAGGTGCTCACTTGACCGACTTGCGAAGTTCAAGTTGCAGACTCCAGACGACAGGTACCACGAGCATAATTTCTCCAAAACCGATGATTGCGCCCGATCCAATATTGTGTCAAACGAGCTGCGTAGCCCTGATGAGTCGCCTTCCGTAGGAGCCATGCTGTCGCTCGCTGAGCGGATGACCATGCAGCGGGTGGTTTTAACTATACAGTACCACAGTAGCTTCAATACTGCATGCATGCCGTCTGAACAAACCAGAACCTTGTCATCAGACGGCGAAGAGGTCATGTGAACCAGTAGCGGTCGTATATAGGAAGACGTCTCAGGATCCTTCTCAGCGTCATTACTATCGCGCAGACGTGTGTCAACAACGAGGCTGATCAGGGCGTTGATACAACGCCACATCGAGTAGCGGCATAGAATGGACAAGCGCTCAGCCTGGAGGTCGCTCTGGCAAACAGTAGCAGATGGTCCGTACAGCAGGAAGCCAATCACATCAGCCATATGAGGACGGATGTCAACGCGTAACACCTCCGGATCGTTGCTCACCGCAGGATGGCTGCAATGAGCCGCACCGACGCTGTAACTCCGATTAGCCGACGATGGTCGGTTGACATTGCGCCGCATCAAAAATATGTCGGAGAACCCGCGCTCAAAAGTCCGGGCATCGCGTTTCGATGAACGCAATAGATGTGGAATTGAGGAACAGCGCTTCACGCCATCTGCCAGAGCGGGCGCATCGTCATCGTCAAATGTAATACCCGACGACGTCCGTTCTGGACGTTGCAATGGTTCGTTCTTGACGTAATACAAGCCGCCACGAGTGTTCTCCACTATCCACAAGCAGCGCTTGCGGATGTCATCCAAGTACCCCTCACGAATCTGCTGGAGACGGTCCAAATCCGACATGGTGGCGAATAACGTCTGCACGTTTTGCAGCTGACGCAGAACCTGGAGCACTGCTTGAGATGCCGACCTAGTGCAGAATTCAACTGTGTTGTTCTCGCCACCCAAAAGGTGAATGAAAACAGCCACAAAGCTCAATTGGCAAGTGCCTAGGGTTGGGTGTAAGCTGCGGTAATAGGGGCGCAGACGATCGATGCAGGCAGCATCACCACGCAATATCCCAAGTGCCCATCTTGTGCCATCACATACAGGCGGACGCCCAATGTTAAAGTCCTCCGTGAAGCTTGCATGGCTCGACCGGTAATGGAAGTCTTGCAACAGCATTGTTAAACGCCTCAGCCCGTTGTAAAAGTCGGATCGATCGAACTCCAGCCAAGCGCCATATAGGACCCACTGAGGCAAGCCCACGCCACGCTGATCCTCAATACCCTTGATGCGCGACATCTCATTGTACAGCGAGCCCAAGTCTGCTACGGACAGCAGGTGCTCCTTGCTGTAGCGCTTGCAGTGATTGTACATGTACGTGATGACCTTGCCGAGCAGGTACACCAACGAGTGGAACTGGAGCACCACGTAGTTCATGAACAGGCTGAATTCCTCGAAAAAGGTGGAGTACCGCTTGATGCACCTCTTTATCAATATCAGCACCTGAAAAATGGAGGGTAGCAAATTGGAGCACGCGACGAATGTCCGATGAACCACAGAAGCGTTTCCATCAACCACTGTCATGTACTCAAACAGCTCCACCATGTACGATAGCGCGTCAACAGTGGAGAGGGTGTTGATGAAATTGTGGGCACTAGAACCGAACTCGCTGAGCAGATCCGAGGATACCTCCACCAAATTTTCCGAGAGCAAGCCGTATGCGAACTCGCTGTAGCGCAGCAGACGAAGCACAATGTACTCCAACACAGACACATCATCCTTGTTAAACAGGCGGAAGTATGTGTTTGCGTTATCCACTTTCAGCAATCCATCGAGGCGGCCGTACAGAATGTCGCCACGCCAGTCGCAGAAGCGTTCAAAGGTCTTCCGGTAATCCATGTCCACTGTGCTGCAGAACCTATCAACGGGATCCAATCCGGCTTCTTTGTACGATACAGATGTGTTCAAACAGAGAAACAAGATACCGTGCTTCAACAGAAGGCGACAAAGAAGCATGCATGGCCGAGGGCACGAATAAAGAGCGGCATTGCCAGTGAGCGGTTGGTAATTGGGGGCACGCGTCTTATCGTCGTCAGGCTCACAGTAGCGACGTATGCAGCCGTAGCAACACGTAAAAAACGGGCTTGCGACGGAATCGCCGTATTTAACAGGTTCGCATGTACAGTACGCCGCGCCAACAGGGTCTACGCTAATACGGCTCTCCTGGAGATGGCTTTTTCCAGATTCCAAAAACTTCAAGATGGTGTTCCACCAGTGGTTGTCTACGTCTCCCACGAACTTGGCGCCTTCGCGGAGAAAGCCTGGCATGTTCTGCGAGAGGGCACGCTTGGTGAATATCGCAATGCAGTCGCCCGAACTCAGAAACTTCAACGCGTCGATACCAACACTTGCATCGGCATCTGCATGGGCAGGTACCGGTTCCACCGATACCGTATGCACCAAGATATCAACCAACAGCTCCAAACGCAACGTCAAAAATATCTGTGAAAAAATGTCAGGACTCGCGGAGATAAAAGAAATAGCCGTCACGTTAATCGCACTCGCCAGGCTATCCAGGTCGAATTGCAGGTGGTAACGATCGGTGTCGTTGCAGCCAGATATGATTGAACGAAAACGGACGCAAGCGATGAAGCAGGAAGCCACGAGCTCCAGCAAGTCCGACGGTAGCTTGACGGAACCGGTTGGTATCGAAAGCGATAACCGCAGCACAGACAGGCACGACAAGATGGTTTCAGAAATCAGCCGCCATAGGGTTAACGCGTTGACAGACTCCGATGAAGTGAAGTATGTGCAAATGCTGGATATGCACTCCAGGTTGCAAAACAAAATTTCGAACCAGAGCCGGAGGTAACGCACAAATTGGGGGCTCCAAGTAAATCCAGACGACGAATGACCTCTAAAGCTGTGAAATATCCGAGACAACATGTTGTGGAGATTCGACGTCACCTTCGCCATAAAGAAGTGCCGCTCATACAACGAATTCAGCAAGCTGGCTCCACCGGATGAAGCTAACGGGAAGCCGCAGCATCCCACCAGCTGCCGCCGCATCATCTCGCTGCGTAAACCGGGGGTCAGCGACCATGGTTGCTCCAGGTGAACGCAACTCGGGTCGACGGCAATTGAGATGTCGATGTCCCCGCTTGTCGATAAGTTCAGCTGCCATGCTTCACACAAATCCAGCATGTAGAACCTGGTGCCATTCAGATACACAAGTAGACTGCCATTTGAGAACAAAAACTCGATCGAGTAACTTTTCAGCGAATGAAGGTCAAGCAAGGCGAAGCCGCTGTCGAAGACCATCATATGGTGCCCATCAGAAACGAAGGTCACGCTGCTGTCAGGAAGCGGGTCCTTCTGCGAATGCTTTATGGTGATGCGGAAGACGCTTGACGTCGATGCCGGCTTGTGAATCGATGACGAATCAGAGACCTCGTCGATACTGACGTCCACACGCATGACGTAACAACCCAGCTTCGTAATCGATGTCGAAAACATGCGATTGCATGAATCCTCGCTGTCTCCGACACTGGTGTTCATCAACAAAGGATGGTGCAGTGACAGGTACTCCAGGTCGATTAGTGACTCGAATGATGCCGACAAACGAGGCAGCCACACGGCAGAATTGTCAGCCCTGGGTGTGGTTGGGTCGCCACAGGGATGTGGTAACGTAGGAATCACCACTGTTTTCAGGTAATTCAAGCAGCATTCCAGTGTCTGGCAGGGATTCGGGTGGCGAACGGACAAGCAGAACATCACGTCGATGCACAAATCGAAGACGCTTGAGAAACCGCTGGAAGAAGCAAACTGCAAAATGCCACACAAATGCTGGTACACGGTATCGTAACTCGACGATTCAGAAGTGCCAATCTCTGTGAAAGGCTCGCTTGCGATCAGTATCCTTATCCATTTGCTGTAGTCACAGGGACAACGCAGCACGTCATCTCGTAAATCCTTCAAATGGGACAAAAACTGGCCACAGATGTAATCGTTGCTCCGCTCTTCCAATTGCCACAACCGGGTGTTGACGAATACCGATTGGCTGGAAATCTTCGCTTTCAACATCACAATCATCCTCTCGAAGCTCACGGGTAGACGCACCGACGGCTGAGGGTCTCCAGACGGAGCAGCGCTAGGGCCCGCCAATCGCGTATCTACATTGTGCAGTTGAGACAGCTTGGATCGGCATTCCGCACGATAGCCCCGGATGTTTTCGCATACAGTGCCGATGGACGGGGTTTCCTTGCACAGACGCAAAAGACCCTCAGCGTCGATGCGCAAAGGGAATGCGTCGCCATCCTTCAGCAAAATATCGCTTTCGCTGCCTTCGCAGTGCAGGAAACAGTCGTAAAAACGCTTGTCGAAGCGGCTTGCCAGGGACTTGAAATTGTACGAATTCCGACGCGCAACCCTGTTAAACGCCTCATCCAATGCGCCTTTCTCCCAGTCGAAGTGCGAAGACTCACAACGGACGCTGTCGTCTACATTGGCTGTGCGCACGTCAGAAGATGCCGTGCAGTCGGCGTCAGAGGGCGCCGATGCATGAGTAGACAAACTCTGCTGGGTCCCAACTTCGCCGGGCGGGTGTGGCCTACAGAGGTCATCTAGGCTTGAAGCAAACCCTGTACAGAGACCTTCCAGGTCTGCCAGGGCAGCTCCGCCGCGATCCAGAGCTTCCAGCAAAATTGAGTGCGATTTGCATATCAGCGGCTGCACACCCTGAAGCAAGCAGAACTCGTCCGTTTCGTCCAAACTGCCATTTAGACGGCATCTTCCTATGAAGGTGTACCTGCTGTATATGAGACTTTTAAACGAGACCACGTCTGCAGAGGTACTTTGCCCAGGAGACCTCGCAGAAGCTTCCGCCTCGGACTGCGTCATCGTTTAGGCGTAGACGCACTAAACGGGCGATAGACGAGCTGTTGACACGTCTAATACGGGCATAATGCCGATAATGTGTAGAGTAGGTAGACCATATCCAACATCGTGGCCGACCAAGTGAAGCCACTATGTCAGACTGGTAACTGTAGACAATCCGTCATATAATCAAAAATCCGGCGGATTAAAAGCCTCCGGTTGCCTACGCAGAGAAAAGGCACCACAGAAGGCTGGTGGCTGGACTCGGAAGCTGCGAACAGATCCGCGCGCAGCAGCCACATAAGTACAATAAAAATCAATGTAATATTCTTTGTTAGATAAATTTTAACATATTTCACGTTACTATTGGAGTATGAGTGCGACCGGCTATAAATGTGATGGCTTTTAGGCGCCAAATCTCATGCTGAACGAAACAGGAAGTCACATGGCACATAAATTCCGTATCTGACCCGCAACGGCAAAATACAGCGCCTTAAATATGAAACACCGCTACGTAAATCATCAAAGGCTCTATGTGTTGATAAAATTGATAGGTGTGTTAAAAAATGCTTGAAATATAAACACTTGCATCACCCGGCGTGAACCACGGCGATAATATTAAAGTCCCGTGCTCTGTGTAATCCACTGACATTGTATTTAGCGATAATGGTATACCCCGTGAAGATGTCTCAGGATGCAGCCTCCTATGACAAAGTCTTGCGATATGTGTTTGTCTTCACAAGCTCGAAGCCGAACTTCTCGTATACGTGGATGGCAATAGGATTGCTGCAAATCATGTCTATCCGATTACAGCCCATAATGGAGCTACAGAAATCAATTGCTATAGCAACCATCTTTTGGCAAACGCCCTTGTTGCGATATTTTGGGTCGATGATAATGCGCTCGAAACGAGAGTCGAATAAACGACCCAGATGTGGCATCATATACACCTCGATGTACCCTACGATGTGCAATGTGGCAGATCTACGATTAGTCTCTGGGGAGGAGACTTCACTGTCACTATAACCGTTACTGTCACTAACACCTTCACCAACAACTTCACCACCGCCGTTACCAACACCATCGCCATCCGCATCGCCGTCACCAACATCGTTACCATCGCCGTTGCCATCACCGTTGCCAATAGCGTCACCATCAACTTCACCGTTGCAACTTGGATTGGCTGCGGTGTCACTGCCGCATTCACGGTCTGAAGAATCGTCAATCAGACAGACCAGGAAAGGGTAGTAGGACGGAAGCCGCAGCATAGCGTCTACATATTTCCGGCAATGCAGAATAGGGGAGTTGGAAAGGGTCTCGACGAGAGGACGCACCTCCAGATACTCCTCATAGGACTCCAGCGGCTTGAAAATAAACCGCAAATCGCCCACCTCAAATTCCTCAGAAAAACTTAGCTTGTTCTCAAACAGGTCCCGAATATCCACAGAAGGATCCATCTTCCATACGACTACAAATCAAACAATGATCGGCAGGGCGATGGTGTACAGAGGAGATGACGCCACTTCCGTACGTCGTACTCCCCGATGTGTATCGCCAACTAGTACAAAGCATGCTCAAGTGAATATGAACAAGCCATCTGGGGAATGAAGCACGATTTATTAGCTGCGAAAAACAAAATTCACCGACCATAATCGCCACACATTACTCACGCCTTACTTAGACAGGTACGAGACCGTGGAAATATACTGCACATTAAACACCTAGAGAGAAGATATAATTTCACAATCTGTTGTAATGTTTAGAGCATATATTTGCCATATTATAGCAACAATTCTATAGAGCCGTGTTGAGAGAGCTCCGCTGCTAATAACCGTCTAAATAATAATCTGTGATTAGATGACATACGTAACTTGCAATTGTACCATAATGTGTACGAGAATAGCCTTATGTTACAGTATTTAGCTTAACAGAAGCATAGCTTTACGACTGAATTCCTCCTCGAGGACATTGTGGAGGCACGGACGATGCAGTCGTAATTAAATGGTGTTTGTGCACATCGCCTGTTCGATTGGAGGGACGGAAGGAGTTGCTGGACATGCAGCGCCGAAGAGGCGCCGACCTCAGGGAGATGGTTAAAACGGCGGCCTTCATCGCGGCAGTTCTGTTAGCATGCGGCGCCAAAGCTATAGACACCCCTTGTGATGGAAGCCACAAATGCAAAAATGGCGCAACATGTATCAAAGTGGAGCAAGGCCATACTGAACAAAATGTCTGTATCTGCAAACCGCAATACACCGGATGGGACTGCTCCGTCGAAATTGACTACTGCAAAACGCACTGCAGGTCGTACAGAAAGAGCGTAAACTGCCAACAGGCACTTTGCAACCAAGGTATGTGTAATGCTTTTCACATATGTGTACTTCTCACGCCTTGCGAGTAGCATGCATATCTATTTATTATCCGAATAGCACCGAATCACATTGAGCAGGCAACTGCATAAGTCGAACGGAGTACCCCTTTTATTCGTGCGATTGCGGGGCATTCTACACTGGCGCTAACTGCGAAGTGGAATACAACCCATGCAGCCAGCCTTCCACCAACCCGTGCGACCACGGGGTCTGCACTTTCGTCAGGGGGACCAACCAAGTGATGTGTCAGTGCAGCCCAGGATGGGCTCCCAACCCAAACCAACAAGTAATGAAGCTGAGCTGGAACGGTGCGGATATTTTTGTTGCGCCACCGTGCAGTGGTAAGACACGTCAGGATAGTCCACGCATGCTGTGCAGAGCCAATAAGACGTGGGATTGCGGGGGCCGCACCGACTCTGACACCCAGTAAGCATGTTCTACGTGCAAAGGCATTAACATTCAGAGGCAAAGGCGATGTGGCATTTTGTATTCCTGCTTTCCCTTGGATTGCTGCTGTGGAGACTGGTGTCAGGCGTTTACGTTTCAATCGCATCCAGGACGGCAAACAGCACGCAATAGTCGTCTATTCTGGAGTGTAGTAGCCTCCGGTTTTTTCCAAATAGCACGAACATACTGCAGTGAATCGTTATCCGCAGAACCAGGTTTCCTGCCAATATGCCGACGAACCCTGATCAGCTTATAACACACGGTGGTGCTGGTGGCAATGGGCACGGCTCTTCACTTTTCTCGATCTCCGGTTCCAGCGTGATGTTTGTCTCTTCGGTGGCTGCAGTGGGAGTGTCGAAAACATCTTTTAACATCATTTCGTATAATACCTTCCGATGTTTGTAATGAGGAACATAACTTATTTTGCCTTCTTCTTCCGAGCGTTCAAAGAGCTTATTGAGAGTAATAAAGCCATCTGCAACCCGAATCTTTATGTGAATTACCACAAAGAATTTGTTCTCCTTGATATTTTTGTACGTTTCCACATGTGTCACCAAAGCGTTCTCCGGAGATATGTAGATAGGTATGTCGCTCTTAATGTCCTTCACATAGGCTACCACGCCCCGAACATACGAGTAGAGTACCAATTGGTAACGGGAGTACAGCCAATCCCCTTTGGGCACATTATGGACAGCCAAAAGACTTTTGGACACATTTAGCGCCAAGCCCACGTCGATCGTAACAACCATCAGGGGTAACATGCCGGTGCTTCCGGACGGATTCGATAACTTCCAGTAGTGCTCTGGAGGTGAAGTCAAATCAACAGGCCTAATTTCGCCTTTCTTCGGGTCCACAAAATAATTGAAAGTCTTGTTTTTGGTGGATGTTGTTAGCATGTAAGAACCATTCTCTCTATTCCAGGTCATACGCTCGGTCTGGAAAACCACAAGTGATGTAGGAAATTCATTCGCATCCATTGGTGAATCTGAATTAACGATGGTCAACATGACATAAGGGTTCTTGTTGTGTAAGACTCTGTTATACCCTGCTATGCATAAATGACTAATCTCATAATCTGTAGTAGGCGGGTAAGTTAGCTCTGTTTTCCGAATATAAGGGTGCAATAATGCGCCAGCGCCCAAGTCAAGTTTGAGAAACACAGGGCCGTCCACATGTGCTTTCCATTTAAGTGTGCTAGCGATTCTAACCCTTGTAGGATGCACTTCATAGATCGTGGTGAGAAAACGGATTCTCTCCATGTCATCCGTAGCGACCGAAACCACCTCGAGAAACGTAGTAAAACGATGGCGATACTCCTCTACATATATTTTGTATGGTCTGTAATGTCCTCTAATGGGAACACGAAGAGCGCCATAGTAAAAATGGTTTTCCGAATATACCCTAGGAGCAAACATTCTATATAAACCGCCATTGCTGAAAGTTCCTTTATGCACTTCTACATCCGGAGGTAACGGATCACTAAGCAGGTTCAGGGGCCGTCCAAATGATTGGCCCGAAAACAAGGCAAAACAAAACCACAAAATTTTTACAATTAAACCCATGTTGTTGTGTATTATGAATCAATTGGTCATATAAATTGCTAATCACCAAGCAACAATAACTTCAGCAGCACCCAAAAAAATATATTCTCTTTCGGAGATTGGAACAAGATATCCAGAAAGACAAAACAGTTGCAAGCTCTGGGATTCGCCACACTGTGGATCTAATCTGTATCAGAACTTAACACTAACCCTGGATATGAGATACGCACGACATATCTGCCAAGGCGAAAACGCTGCAGCTGGCCCGTGGGGGTAGCAGGGATTTTCCTCGGTGTCATAAAGAGCTCGTTATTGGGTGCCTGACAAGGTATGTGCACAAAAAGCGACAAACAATGTAATAATGACGCCCAGAGATTCTGTCACATGGATAAACACCTCGATCGATCGCACATTTTTGTAGTCCTGGAATATCTGAAAGGGAGGAGGGCGCATATTGCTCTCTCAGCTCAAACTGCTAACCGCTGGCTAGCTAAGAGGGTAAGAAAATTCAATACATGCCAACAATAACAAAAATTGCACCGAAAATTCAACGGATAAAATGGGCATGTTGAAATATTTTCATAAAAAAATATTTTGGAGTAAATAATTAGGCGATAAATGTCCTGCAATCCGTATATTGGAGCTTTAATTTATGAGAAGTGGGCCGTGTAAATGTGGTTCAATTTTCCATACAGCATTGCGATACTTCGAGACCTTCTCGACACCCAAACGCAGAAATGTGAACGCTTCAATTGATGTCTACGTTTAAACAGCCTCTAGTTTCACTGGTAGACCTCCACCTTCATGTTCGACAAAATGGTGTCGCTCTGCGGCATGTCAGCGAACACGGTTTGCAATGAGCTTGTAACTGCTTTTTCCATGGACTTGCGCCCGCATACGAAAATGCTGCACTGCCGACCACCTTCGCAACACATCGACTTTATGATATCCTGCGCCTTCAATATTTTATCCTGCGAAAGTATAACGAAAAGGCCTCAACAACGAACCTGTACGTAACAACGGTCAGACTCGTCACCAAAACGAGAATAGCACGGGATATACACAAAGCGGCCTCCGAGCCGTTCCACGTAATCATCTAATACTGAGCGATAGAGAAGCGTGGAAGGTGTCTGAATCCCGAATAACAGCAGAATGTTCCCAAACTCCTTATCCCCCTCAGTATAAGCCTTCAGCAGCGATTTCAGGAAACCCATGCAAGGCACAATACCGGTGCCAGTAGCGATGAACATCAGGTTGTTCTTACCCTGCAAGTCTTCGGGGCTCAATACGAACTTGCCGAAAGGGCCTGTGATGCGGACCGGAGTGCCAGGTTTAGCATTGGATAAAAATTGCGAACATATACATATGTTGCGAAAAAGGGATTCACTACCCGGAGGAATCACAGGAGCCCGTATACCCAGCGAAAAACATGACTTAGGATCTACGCCATCCTCTTCAAGCACTGGGGCGAGCGAATAAGAACGAGGGGGGTGCGGTCGATTAGTGCGCTCGGATATGCCTAAGGATGGAATATTGACGTCTGACTTGAGAATTTACCAGGAGGCAATACACCACAATACTGCCCAGGCTCGAAGTTGTACAAGCCGTTGTGTTCAATTACGATGTGGTGGAAACTGCGGTCCGTTTCATTACCACCGAGATAGCGCACGGAGCTAATTCTGCATTCGAGAGGAGATTTCACGGTATACCTACAAAAAACATTATGCCGTTTACCAAAGAGTCATGCATCAACTCACAAAATGCATGTATAGAGGACCGAAATCACGTATCGAGAAACTCGGCAATTTATAATTAAATTTGTATAACATGCTCAGTGTGATCACAGGGGCCTGACAATGGCGTTCAGGAACGTTGCACAATAAACAGGATACTCAAACATACCGTAGAGGCCCGGCATTACCCAAATGAAACTGACGGGACAAGGACGTTGCTCCATTGTTAAGTTTGATGTAGCATTGTGACGGTACAACAAACCTATGATTATTTATAAAAACAAAGGAATAACCAACGCTCCCAGAATCAGGCAGGACCAGAAGAATGGTGAAAACATCACCACGCATGTTACTTCAGCAGCTATTAACAGTTGACATTGGATTTAAGATCGCCTGGTGGTAGCAATTACGCAACGGTATGGACGTTGCGCAACTCCCGTCAAATCTTGGCGGGAATAGTAAGACTTGACGAACACATCAGGCGCAGATGTGCTACACAAGCCGATCACTGCCGACCGAAGGATGGACCGTGGAACGGCATCCACGGTAAAGAATCACGGCGAGAGGTGGCAAGAGAATCCGGGCTGACACGCACCACAACGCGCAGCCGTACATTCACTCACTAAAATGTGAAATTTATATAACAACATATGCACGTAGCATATGGTATTGTTCGCTCATCGCACGGAAACCAACGACTCTAAACAATGTGCGCGACACCGCGGTCGAACTGACTCGCCGCCGAAAACGTTGGCAGCGCTATAGACAAACACAAGATGAGGTAAAATGGAACAACAGGCGCAAAATGAATATGTGACGCTCGCAGACGGGAGGCGAGTAGCCGTTCCCCTGCAGGATTCACAGCAGAACCTGGACGAAAATGACGAGGTGCGAATCGAACGCCTACATAACGTCTGGGGAAGCAGTTCAGGAGCACGTAAGTGAAATTCAGACGAAGACGCAAATGTATCAACAGGCAGTGATTTTCTGGGTAAATACTGTAAGCTCCGCCACAATGAGAACGAGCGGCTTCAAAAACAAGAAGAGCAATGGGAGCAACAAACGCAAAATAATGTCTTCCAAGCAATAAGGCTGACGAGGATGCAAAAGGAATCTGCCAAAACGGCCAAGAGGCGGGAAAAGCGGAACAAAAAGAAGGTTAACAAACTGATGCACACGGATCAACAAACAAAGAAGCAACACGCCGGAGTGCAACCTCAGCCTGGGCAGAAGCAGGCCAGTGCAGGCGCGGATAATGCCAGCGGCAATGTAGAATATCAAAGCCGGAGTGGCTTACACGGGGGCATAGGCCCGGTGGGAGCAACGACACACACACATGAAGGCAAGACACCTGAGGACGTCAAACGCATAGTCATAGAAGAAGACACACTCGCTTAAACACTGTATTTAATCAATAAAAACGATTATTGTTGACGCTAACACACGCGCGATTACGCCCTTTCGCATGTTGAAATGGAAGCGCCACACGAGGCAGCCGAAGATTCCTCAACTGTGTACGGCATTATGGTGACGCTAGCCGAGCCCCGCAAAATGCATGAGCTCCATGACGCAAGAAATCGGTTGTTTTGGTGGCAGGTGGGGAGCCCCATGCCTGCATTAATCATACATCCGATGGAGGGGGCCGCGACACGTGGTGTCACACACCAAACACTACACTTTCAATCAACCCTATCACTCTCGCAACTCATCTTATGATTAACCGTTTTCTATCCACAATGGCACCAGCGGTCAGGAGGAACAAGATCAGCCTTATCGGCTCGGGCAACATCGGAGGTGTGATGGCCTACCTCGCCCAGATTCACGAGCTCGGAGACGTTGTGCTTTTCGACATTGCGCCAAGTAAGTTTTCGGTGTTTTTATATGTGGAAGGCCGATAGCTCGTCTGTCGTGTCGATTGTCTAATGACAGCTCCGATCACGTTGTGGCACCTCTAATGCTTTTGCAGCTCTTGGTGCCGCCAAGGCCCTTGACATCATGCATGCCAACGCCGTCTACGACACCTCCCAGAGGGTCATTGGCACCACCAAGTACGAAGACATTGCCGACAGTGACGTGTGCATCATTACCGCCGGTTTGGCCAGGTTGCCGAACAAGAAGGACGATGAGTGGAGCCGTGACGACCTCGTTGGCCCGAACAGCAAGATCATGACCACCATCGGTGAGAACATCAAGAAGTACGCCCCCAACGCTTTCGTCATTTGCATCACCAACCCGCTCGACGTCATGGTCAAGATGCTCCTCAAGTCCACTGGATTCCCCAAGAACAAGGTTGTCGGTATGGGAGGACTCTTGGACTCGTCCCGTATGCGCCACTACATTGCCGACAAGTTGAACGTCCACCCCAGATACGTCCACGGCTGGTGCATTGGTGGCCACGGTGACTCCATGATCCCGTTGGTCAACCACGTCAAGGTCAACGGCCTGCCGATCCAGCACTTCATTGAGACTGGAGAGATCACCCAGGCCGACCTCGATGCCATTGAGAAGCGCACCATCGGCTCTGGTATGGAACTCGTTCAGTTGTACGGAACCGGATCCGCTTACTTCGCGCCAGCCACCGCCGCCATCGAGATGGCTGCTGCTTACCTCCAGGACAAAAAGTCCATCATTGTCTGCTCATGCTACCTGGAGGGTGAGTACGGCCACAGCGACGTCTACCTGGGCACGCCTGCGGTTCTTGGTGCCAACGGTGTCGAGAAGATCATCACCCTCAAGCTGTCCCCCGAGGAGCAGGCCAAGATTGACGCGTCGGTCAAGGACATCAGGAGGCTGGAGGCTCTCAGCGCCTAGATCGGAACCCACGACGAACTGTAAAACGACAAAATTGTCAACGAAAGGAAGGAAGCGTTTTAAGTATATGGACACGAAGCAGTATGACTTGTACTGCTCCGGCACGTTTCCCTGGACCCACTCATCCCGTGAAAGAGAACCAAATGAAATGCATATATGTGTACGTCTATGCAGATTTGAAACATCGATAGACCATGTCAACAGGACCCCGACTTCCTGTCTGGCTAATGCGGCGCCACGGCGGTGTTGGGTCTTCCGACGCTGTCTAGGGCGCTGCGTAGGCAACACTGAGCAATGAATGACTTAGAAACTTCGTGATTGCAACGCAAATCATCTGCATGAGTGGCACATTTTCCTTGACCTAGCGGTTGAGGGGACCCTCCCTGTGCGGCCGCTCTGGCGTTAACAATGAGTAGTAGATTTGCCTTCTCATATTAAATTAGGCACTACAGATAATCTCCCGTGTGTAGCAAACAACGGAAGCCGCGCCGAAACTCGATAAATATGCGAGCGCTGTTCGACGCCATCAACCAAAAGAAGAAGCAGGTAGACGGTAGGTTGTACGAAATATTAGTACACACACCAGCAGCTCTCAAAAAAGAAAACCAGCCGTGGATACGGAAGGCTGACGAAATCATATCGGAGAAGAAGAGAGCGGAGGAAGACATACACCAAGGGCTACAGCGTAAAAAAGGACGCGTAGAGAAACAGATAGAGGTGTGTTTGTAGCACGAATAAACTATAGGATGCAGCAACTTAGCGCCATCTACTCTGATAGTGGTAATAAGGGGACGAAGAACAACGGCCAAGATGCAGTGGAAGAGGCAAAAGGTTGTGACATTAAAAGCAACATACACTTCCCGCAGAGGTCCCGGATGCCGAAATAATCAAGCATCTGAGGAGTCATATGCAGCCGGCGGTGCTTTTTGGGGAGACTAAAGAGCAGAGGTAAGACAGTTGGTGACCTGCGCAAAACTTCTAAGGTTCAAACGGCTGTACGAAGTGCAACTGAAGAACAACATCACCAAACACAACCAAAATGTGTTCGTAGAGACCATAATTGGGCGGTATGTAGTGTTTTAGTCACGTAAATAAGCGTATCAGGAAACAGCGCACAGCGTCGAGCGTAGACACGCATGGTGAGTGATCCGCAAGCGATGAACAAATAGAGCCGCAGACGATGACACGATATTTGAGGAATGTGACGCCATACCAGAAGGCACTAAGCATCGCAGGTAAGCCCTTGGAAGCCGATTACATAAGCAGCAGGATCGGAGGGTGGATTGCAAAAATGTTAAAGCAATGGCAACAGGAGGTCGTTGCACAGCGAGAAGAGCACCTACAGCAGGGGAATATCGCAGAAGCGAAGCGTCGGGATGCTATGCTAGCGCAAACGAAAAAGGACCTGCAGCCGCTGGTGCGACTACTCAAGACCCAGACACTTGAGGAAGACACACTCAACAAAATACACAAAGTGGTTGAGTGCTGTGAAAAGGGTGAGTATAAGGAGGCGCATGATGCGTATATGATCCTGGCCATCGGGAACGCCGCGTGGCCCATGGGAGTCACTATGGTGGGAATCCATGAACGCGCTGGGCGCTCAAAAATTTGTACCTCGGAGGTAGCCCATATACTGAACGACGAGACCACCCGAAAGTACATTCAAATGATCAAGCGGCTGCTCTCGTTCGATCAGAAGACAGCGCCAGTGGACCCATCCAAACTGGTGCAGATATCTACATCGCATATATAGTGCCCATTGGCACAAAAAAATTGATGGCAATGAATCTCACTTTAAGTCATGTATATCAGATGTGTTCTAAGCTTCGCAAAAGCTCCCAATGTAGCACAATGAAGAACATGTTGCAGTAACAAGGTATCAAGCAAAGGAACCGAGCTAAGCGTTTGATACTAGACTCCTTCTAAATATGCGTCACAAACAACAATTTGGACGAGCGTTGTGGAAGATAATAATCAACACTCAACTCCAAGGAATGAAGCCAGCATATGTCTATTACTAGCGCGGAAGGTCAGCAGAACCCATCGGTACGATCTAAACACACAATTGGACACATCCCAATAAAAACTATTCTATTTGTGCAAATATAATGTTACAACACGTCGGTGTGTCCAGTGGCCAGCTAAAGTAAGATATATCCACTGCGTCGAGGAGAGCCTACCCTATCGGGTGTCAGTCGGAATTATGCATCTCTCATAGCCGTCACAGACCTATCATATGTCGCGCTGCAAATGTCGTATTATTGCAGATTCTATTACGGTTGAGAAGGAACGCTGCGCACTCATAACACCCGTAGCCGCTGCCCGGTACACATTTCGGGCGCTTTGACGATAAAGCTATCGCAAAAACGTTAGTATGGAATAGTGAAGGCAACCTGTTGAAATGGCTCGCGTAAAGCAAGAAAACAGTGCCTCCAGCGGCCAGCATGAGGAGCTCTCTGCCAAGGATAAAGCTGCCTTCAAAAACATGATGGTAGGTTTAAACGTATCTGCGAATCATATAGACAAACGTAGGAACTGTACAACCAGAAGTTATATAAGAAGGGGCTGAAAATCGCAGAAGAACTTGTCAACAAGTATCCCAAACACGGAGAGGCGATATCCTTCAAGGCCTTGTTCATGACGCAAACGGATCCTTCGAAGTACGACGAGATTCTAGCAATTGCCAGGGAGGCTATCAGGAACGACCTCAACAGTAGCCACTGCTGGTACATCCTGGGCAGGGTATACAAGATGAAGAAGCAGTACAAAGACACGCTGAAGTGCTTCTCAATGGCCAGCAAAATCGACCCTCATAACGAACGGTTGTTAAGGGACCTGTGCGCCCTCGCCATAGAAATAAATGATTACGAGGCGTTCAGAAAATTTGCAGGCAGCGCGCTGCAATTGCGACTCAAGCACTACAAGGAGTGGATGACATTCGCCTTCGCACAGCACATTTGTGGAAATGTAGAAGGGGCCTTAAAAATCCTTACTGAGGCGGATAGAGTATTCAGTGGGTGTTATGATGCGGCGCCATTTGAACTGAGTTCCGCAATACTCTACTGGGCCATGCTGTTGGAGGAGAGCGGCAAGTACGACGAGTGCATCAAACTTCTCACGGACAAGGAATCTTTAGTGCTGGATAAAATCTCAAGGTTGGAGTATATCGCTAGAGCAGCTCTGCTTGGAGGGCTATGGGACACGGCGCACACCTCGTACAAGCAGATGGTGCAGCTGAACCCGGATAACGCCAGATACACGCTCCTCTTCATCATCACACACAGGGCTGTCAGAGAGGCGGGGATTTTTCAGATGCCCCTCCCACGCCCCAAGTCGAATGTTTTGGATATGTTCAAACCAGGGCAGAATGAGTCAAAGGGCGATGCGGTTGACAAGTGTAATGAGGCGTTCGTAGACAAGGTGCAGAAAGGGACGGTGCCCCCCATCTTGCTTAGCGAGGAAATCATGGACATTGATGGGGAGTATTCCACCAGCAATTGGTGCGGGGAAAACACGATTAACAAAACTTTTGACCAATGGGTTAACGCAATGAGGCAACAGGCTGAGAGCAGCACTAACCCCACCAATGATGAACAGTTGTTTCTCGGGTGCTACAGTTATGTAGATTACACCGTAAATGTGGCCAAAGCTTTGGACATGAAGTCTCTGCGCAGACCAATAGACGTTTCTATAGACGAAGCTGAGACTGTACTGGAGGAATACCTGAAAGAATATCCTATCGCAAGGTGTTGCATATACAGCACGCGCCCCAAGATGAACAGATGGTCGAGATACCCACTATTCATCTACACCAGGGCTATCACCCAGCGTGAGAGCCAGGTCCTTCTAGATGCTTTAAATGAAGTAAAAACCAACAACTACCTGACCAAGGCGCTGACGGCATCATTCATCACCCACGACCACATACGACAGTTCCACGGTGTGGTGAAGCCACTTGTTGAGGCAGGGTGTTTAAGCATATTCAAGTTCTTTGTTCATGGATGCACGTTTGAGATGGCTTACCGCCTGTTGGTACTATTTGAGAAGTACCGTCGAAATCTCGACGACGGGCTCATGCTGATGAATGGGATTGACGAAGCGCAGGGAGAGGCGAAAGGCGCAGTAACCAACAACGCGCAACACAGCGTGGCTTCGCAAAACTACCTGGTGGCCGTGCAGTTGGTGGCCGCGAGGATATACGATTATGTGGGCTTCTATGATGAGGCGTTGAAACTCTTGGAACAAACGTTGTGTGCAACTCCTACGGCAATTGACGTACACCTGGTCATGGGCAAAGTGTACCGCCACATGGGGGCGTTGGAATTGAGCAAGAAGGCTTTTTGTATGGCGTCGGACGTGGACAGAAGCGATCGTCAAACGAGCTCAAAGGCCGCGAAGGCGATGCTTCGGACGCACGACTTTGTAGCCAGCCGTGCAAAATGGAGAAATTTCTTAGTAGAGGACCTGACGAAAGAAGAAAGGAATGCCCAAGCAAAGACCGCAAAATACATACCTCCGGAAGTCAAACACATGAAATATGAGCTAATGACCGCGGACTACTACAGGTTGCTCTATCTTCAGGATACCGCCAATGGCACGACGAATGAAAAAAGTAATAGCAGCTCAGAGGAGTTGTTAAAGAATGCGCATGACATATACGCCATGGTGCTGGAAAAACAACACGACACATACCTGCACCAGTTGGACTTTCATAGCTTCTGTCTGAACAGGCTGCAGTATCAGACCTACTACTCCTTTCATAAAATCAGGGTGGCATATGCGACTCTTGTGTACTTTATCAGGGCCGCTGAGGGGATTTTGTGGACCACTGCTGAGATTAAAAGGAATGGGTTTCAGCACCAGACAGAGTGCAACAGGGAATTACAGCAAGTCACAGAGGATAACAACGTTAACTATTGTCTCGACTTGATAAAAACTGTGTCGGCTCAAAGGGTGTACAACAGCGGGCTTTATGCGGCTATACAAAGATTCGCATCTATTGTAGGGATGCCAAAGCAGCATGACATCCAGATGGCTAAGAGGGCATTCCGTGCCTGCCACAGAAATCCCTATCACCACCACATATATCTTGCTGTGTTCCAGCTGATTGTTAAATCGCAATATAAGGATGCTGCTGAGGCTTTATCGCAAATGCTACCTGTGGGTGGCAACTTTACCTTTGATGATCGTCAGAAGGCGTTCAAGGGTCCTGACGAATGCGTCCTCTCGGGTACAGAAGCAGCATCAATCTACCTTGAGGACATAATCACTCATTTGCAGAAAATTGGCGTATTTGATTACAGGCATTGTGAGGCAATCTTGCGTTGTGTCAATGAATGCCCTGACACGATGCACCGGATAATTCCACGGATAGATTCCTCATACCTGAATTCGATATGCACTTTTGCTGGGCTCGACTCACACTACCGTGAGGTCAAGAAGCTCAGTGTAGAATCCCGGGGATGCGTACATGAAAAGGCGTTGCAAGATCTGGTACTCTGTGTGGAGCGCACTGTATGTGACAAGTACCCCTTCTCAGATCTAAGCACCTCTTTAAACACAGTTAATGTCTGATTTCATGAGGGTTAAAATATTATATATGTATTGTACACCAACAGTGGCACACTTTATATGCATAGCACTCGTGCCGATGATAACTATTACACTCTCTAAATCATTGTAATTGTAGGCATTATGCCAATTAGAATGTGTTGCAGTTATATATTAGCGTGATCTTGAGAGAATATAACATCTTGTGGCTCATTATACGTGCTAACTCCGCCTCATACAGCCACGCTGATCGCGACCTTAGTGACACTACGATAATGGGATCTACACGCATGAATACTACCTGCTTTTTATCTGATCAAGTGTTTAATATAGTAAATGGTTTATGGTAGACAAGTGGCAATGTTTCTAAGCCACTGTCGAAAAAGGCGGTGTAAATATTGACGGCTCAAGATTAAAATATATTTCAATGTTACACAGGGCCATAGGGATGGAGTCAGCATTTATAGCAAAATTCCCAAACATACGATTTTTTTTAATTTACCAGGGTTCTTTAAGTGTAAACCTTTGTAGCACTCGTGTATGGATTCAGAAACTGGTCACGGGGCAGTTTATACGTATGCGCAACAGACCAAATGCGTATTAGGCGGGCTCAATCTAACCTCCGCTATATATTATAATCGTGTTCATAGCAATTGCGGATGAGCGTGCTCAATAGAACCGGCGGAGCGGTTTCATAGTTGGCATGTGTTCCATGTATGTGGGAATATTAGATTGTGGATGGTTCGTTGACATTGTGCGCCACCTTTTGGAAACGGTGAGTGGAGAAGCTACATTTTTGCCTCGTGCTACTACACCTTGTGCTCTAGTTTCACAGACATCATCGTTATATAGTAGTACTATAAGACACAAGTTGGTGTTTAAACTACTAAGGAGCATCATAAGAGATTAAAAGCGTTTTTGGCACAGGCCACCCAACATCCATACTCTGTGGGGTAACATTGGAGTAGTAATACTATTACTGATGTCTAATATAGATAAGCTGTGTTACTCCTATGGGCGACTGTATCCACAGTATGCTCAACCGGTTTGCTAAGATAAACCTATAATATTGACATTACACGGTTCCATGAAATAATGATATGGGGGCTAGGTGATGCTATCATAGGTTAGTGTATGGAAGGCTTGGGGGTCTTTTGGAATAGGTTGGAGAACATGTTTGTTTCCACTGCCACAAGCCCGAAGTTGAAACATATGGCGAAGATTAAGAACATGCAAACCACGCCGATGAGAACGCCGATGAGGACGGCGGGGGGGAATAAGGAAGTGGCGCAATTAGTGCAAAGCTGTATTTTACCACTAGTACCAGAGTTCGTAGAACGACAATTTTGGCACAGATGAAACTCCGTCGACTGACCTTGACCCATTTTGACCAAACCTGCACTTCAATGAAAAACGTACCTCAAGACACTAGCACTATTGGTGAACTGATGATAAGCAATGGCAATACCAGCACATCTAGCCCGCCATCTTCATAGTGCTGGGGCAACCGTTATTCCGGATCTCTCAACGCAGACATACCATTAACTCCGCTACCGGCATGCGTTGATTACGCAAGTTGACCAATGTCCCGATGACACTCAGTATCTCCCCTGTGAGCCGACTGCCACATTTCCAATTTTGAAGATATCATGTCATCCACTCACTTAACAGATGACTCACTGTCTCACCTAGCATGGCACACAGCACCCAGGTGCACGTCGCAGTGCCACAACCGGGGCCCATTGCTTACGACGCAGCATATACAGTACTAACAAAAAAGACATCGGTTACACTAAATAAAATTGCTGATTAGGCGGGTTATGAGAGGACACTGGAGGGAGGAGCTAAGTATCAAGCGGGAGGTTCGGAATCCGTCATAAACGCGTTCGTTATTTCAAGTGTCAAATTTACGGCAGTGCCAGGATTTATGTAGGCGAGGAGGGCGCAGACGAGAATTACGGCGAGGATGACGATGATGGCAAATCCAACGCCTATGCGACGATTTTTGCAACCGTCGCTACCACTTTTGCAAAGGCTGAATTTAACACCATATTTCTCCGCTCTCTAAACGGTGTAAAGCAATGGGCAATCTACCCTGAAGGCGGTACAGTTTAGAGACGCGACACGTTAATTACGCGACAGGTATATGTGTCAGCGTCTTATCCGCGCTACGAGCTATATGTCAGCAGCGGTGCAAGTTTTAAGTGTACTGAGACGTGGACTATTCGCAGCAGTGCGTAGGCATGGTATCGCGTCGCATTGTACTGAACCAAATAAATAACAGCGACCAATTGCGGAGTGAATGCATTGTTATAATAGGTTCTATCATGATCGAAAAAATTTGGCCTCCATTGCGCCACGCGCTGTGTATCACGCGCGGTCTGTAGGCAACCGCTGGCGTGATTGAAGTTACCAACGGCATCATTGTGTCAATCAGGGCAGTTACAAGAGCATCAATTAGTGGAGTAATTACAGCGGCCTGTAATTGATACATTGAACTGTGATTTGACGCTCATCCCCGCGGCCTCGGATAAAATGCATCGCTGGACGTTGGCATTCAGAAACGGTTGCGAAGCTTTATTGTCCTACAAAGACGCCGTAATAAGCAAATACTTAAAATGGCATCATTATTCGCAGAAGTTCTCTACAGTATATCGATTGAAACCTTTGGAGGTTTTTAATAGAAATGATTTCACACGCATTTTCACAGCGGCTTCGGCCACCTGTAATCACCACAGGCCAGGAGGGTAATTGTACTGAAAAGTCTTAGAAAGCGTTGACAGAACACGCATTGTTATGCTCCAGAGATTTGTTTAGCGTCAGTCTTCGCATCCCCGCAATAAATCTGCCTAATCGGGGTAGGATTTTCGTGGCCGGTAGATGTTTGCCACTTCTTTGGAGAACATCTCCATTTACCATTCTTGTCGCCACATGGTATCCAGGACTTCTCCGTATTCAACCGTTTACTCTGTCATCGTTGCTTTGCAATTTGAGTTTCCCGAATAGGTAGCATCATCAGTGCTTGGAGCCATGGTCTCTCAAGCATCTCACCAACAAATCACACCTCAGTTGATACATCAATATGTCCATCCAATTCCGTCGTCACTTCTAAACTATGCGTGGTGTTGTTGAATTGCCCATCGCTGAGTGGGCACTGTTACCGAGAGTTGCTCTACCCAGTTGGTATCCGACATGAGTTAGAAACAACTGATTTTTCCGAAATGTTCGTAAACCCACTATAATTGATTTGATTATGATAGAGACTCAGCCTATACTGTAAACTAATCAAGCTGCGCGAAAAGCTGAGGTCTAGGCAGACTACTACCACGCACCACAATCGCTGTGTTGATCACGTATCATGGTCTGGAACTGTGAAAGCTGGCATTAGGTTAAGGGTTGTGAATGGCAGCCATAAATGTGGGAACGGGAGTTAATATTGGCGCACGGAACAATAATGCGATATACGCACTATGGCTGAATGCTACGAACAATAAATAAGTGTTTTATTATACCGGTTTTAACATTGCATGAGCACAAGTTGGAAGTCGACGATTGGAATACTAGGTGATCTACCTGGTCGTCTGCTAATTGAGTGGTTGATGTGGAGGTCATTTGGTGGGTAGATTGGCAGTGAGTGATGCCGGAACTCTCCGACGTGATGGCCAGTGTACGGCATGGAAACGTGGCATCTACGGACAACATTGCGGCGATCAGTAATATAGGAAACGCAAACCGTAGCTCAGATAGGCATCATTAGCTCTGCCATAAAGTAGCAAGTATGCAACACATGTTGTGCCAGTAACTGGAAGTGAGTAGCGTGTGTTGTGACTGCATGTACACTGTGGTATCCCTGGCGATGGATTCGATGGCCCTTGTCTGAGACAGCTTTGCGGTTGGGCTATTCGGGGCTCGAGGTGCGTGTTTCACGCTTGCGTACGTTGATGACTAGTGAGCTAGGGAAAGATGGCGCTGCAGCAAGTGTGTCCATGTGGAGGGAAAGAGAGACCAGACAACGGGGATTTCTGTGGCGTCGGGTGTGAATGTGTCGGTTGGTTGAAGTGTGGATGTAACTGTTGCCGGCGTCTCCGAGGAGCCTTTTATGCTAGCATCGTCATTCTCATCATCCTCGTTGTCGTATGCGTCATGATCGTGAAACGCATCCGGCCGTTCCACAAGGTCCGCGGTTGTTTCGTCCGCAAGTGACCATTTGCATCGCATTCTTTAATCACCTCCGGCATTTATATAATCGCAGCTATCGCATTGTTCTAGACAGTAATGGCACAACGCCAATCTAATAATATCTACTTTAATGTTTCAAAATCGCACATCGGCAGTTGGCCGGTTAACGCATTCGTGGATTACATCGCCGCAGCAGATTAGGTGCGCATTCGCTAAAAGAACGGTATTAACACAGCTGAATGTAGTATCCACATCCTCTCAGACCTGAGGCCGCCGGCATCCTCACCACCTTGTCACCCAGGCACCTATCTCACTAATCTTCTCACTCCCTGCCTAATCGCCTCCTCCCACCACCCTCCCTTCATCCCTTATCCATCGCCATGACAGCCTATCCAATGTGCTTCTCAAGCAGCGCTTGAATTTGTGGTTCGAGGCCATCATCAGTATGCATGATCTTAGAGAACAGAGTATCAAATTGTGGCATCGTCTTCAAGTTAACTTGTTGATTACTCTTGTCCATCTCAATTTTCTCAGCCGCCTCCTTAATCGCCCTCTTGGCAGCTTCCCTGATCTGGTCCTCGGCGCTTTTGTTGAAAGTGTCAACGGCGAAGGGAAGGTTCTTGACCTGTTCTGCAAGTTCATGTTTGACGGTCTTAAAATTTTCGGTAAGCTCACTTTCTTTAACAAAATCCCTCACTTCCCCCAACTTACTGTCCACGGCTTTGGCGGGGCTAACATTTGGATCGTGAGGGTAGGGGGTAGTCGCCTTGTTAAGCTGATCGTCGAGCTTTTTAGTCGCATCTAAAGCTTCATCTAACGCTGTTGCGATGCTTCTTTTGCCCTTGTCCATCCTGTAGTCGCTGAGGAGAATGGAGTCAATTTCGCTGGCCACCTGGTGGACGGTTGTGCGGAGGGCTATCATGGTGGCTTCTATAAGCGGTGTTATATGCTCCTGCTTTATACTGCCATACGTAAATTTACCTGTAACGTCACTCTCAACGGCTTTTGCAATCTGCTCGGCAATCTGCTTACCAGTCTTAAATCTGTCATCCAGCTGGCTGACAAAATACTTGCATCCCTCCTTTACGGCCTCGACGTCCTTTTGGATGCTGTTCCCATTTCTGTGTTGCGTAACTTTTTCACCCGCTGCTTTTCCGGCGTCGTTTTCAAATTGCCCCTTGATCTGATGGATAATTGGACCACGCACCGTGTCAATTTGTTCATTGCCCAGAACCCTCAATTGCAAACTCGACAAATGCACACCCTTCTGCCCAATCCACGCCTTAAGCCAATCTTGCAGCTTATGATTATTCTTCCCATCAGTATCATTCCCCCAGATGGCATCCAGCCAGCCCTGCACTCTTTTGTTGAATTCATCTTCCCCGCTGAACGCATCCGCATAGTTCTTTATCGCGCCCGCAATGCCAAGGAGACCACTGCCGCCGTGGGTATTTGCCTTCGCCTTCCCCTTAATCTCCCCAACCTGCTTTTTAATATGCTCGAAAATCTTATCAAAAGTCTTCAGATCACCAGTATCTTTAAACGTCCCGCCAAGCGTCTCAATCGCCTTGTCAACTTCACCGACCGCCTGGGTAAGCGGAGTCTTGATATGCTCATTAAACTTCTCTTCAAGCCCATTCACCGCCGTCTGAATTGAACCATTTGGATTACCAGTAACTTTGTCAAGCTCTATCTTTGCCGTTCCAAGCTTATCCAATTCACCTTTAACAAGGCTGTTACTATTATCTTCCACTTTACTTTTGAGCCCCTCAATCCTCTGCTTCAACGTCCCCAAATCCTTTATCACTTTCTGATCCAAACTATCAACTCCCAAATCCGTAATCACATCCTTAATCCCTTCTTTAATCTGCTTTTTGACACTCTTCAAATCCTTCTTGAGATCTGTGTCCATTTTCACAACAGCCTTTAGAGCCTCAGTGACCTTCAATTCAACAGCCTCTTTGGCCGACTTCGCAGCCTTCAAAAGATCTTTTCCCTTATCTTGTAAAGTTTTAGCTTCCTTAAAAATCGGACCTGGAGAACCTTTATCTGTCTGAACTTTCTTAAGTATCTCATCACACTTCCCCTCCGCCTTGGAAATAACATCGCTGGCGGCAGACTTCCAGTTACCTAAATGCTGAACTACAGTTTTAAGTAAGTCATTATTGCTATTAATGTGTTGATAATTTGTGCTAATTTTAGAAATATTCGTGTCAATTGGATCCGATATTAGAGTTCCACCGCCAGACCTGGGATGACGACAGTAAGCTGCTGAGGTGGACAGCCAAGGTGACGAGCAAGGGATGACTCAGGGCATCGAGTAGATAATAGGTTATGTGCTAGGTAAGACGTTTGGTTACATGTTTGGCTAGGTGCTAGGTGAGCCTCTTGGTAAGGCAGTTAGTTAGGTGCTAGGCAAGGCGCGAGATACAGTCACCATGAAAGACATGACATAACATGGCAACACAACACAAAGAGAGGAATGTAAATGTAATGTAGCTATCATAATTACTGTCATGAGTGAAAGTCGTCGTCGAAGTAGTCGACGTCCATGTAGAGTGAGAGCATTCTCCTGCTGCCGGCGAGCAGCGCCTTGACGTCGATGAGGTGGGAGGCCCTGGTGGTGAGGAGGTGCGAGCGGATGCGCAGGACGTCCATGCGGTAGAGCAGTGAGTGGAGGATGTAGAGCGTGGCGATGAGCCAAAGTGCTGCGATGGTGAAGATGAAAGGCTCCCGGATGCCGTAGAGGAATGTGTCCATGGCGGTCATGAGGCTTGCGATAGGCTTTCCGTTGACCACTTCCTTCAGCTTGGCGATGACATCGTAACACGTGAGTGACGGCTGCGTTGTGCCCTCCGGTGGCGTGAGCCCGTGAGAGTAGAGGAGGGGCAGGGCCTTGTCACACTGGTGGAGAGCCTTGGCCTTGGAGTCTTGACATTGAAGCTTCTCGAGATCATCTCGCAGCTTGAGCATTGACTCCCAGAGTCTGTCTGGCAGGTACACCGCCCAGCTGAGGTAGTGGTGGGCGAAGCTTAGTGAGTACAGGGCGTAGGCCCGGTAGGTGATGGGCGTGAAGTGTTGTGGGCACTTGGCGTTAGTGATGTCGCAGCCAAGCAGCGTGGACAGAGTCTTGAGATGGTCCTTGTCGTGGTCGTGGATGGAATTGGGAGGGGCGGGGCCTCGTAGGTCCCTGATGGCTTGGAGGTTGGCGTCACGAAGGCAGTCCCAGTCGGGGCAGTGGCGATGAGCAGTGGAGAGGGCGGAGCTCAGCTTGGACATGTCTGAAGGTGCATTGTGCAGCACATGCCCGAAATTGTGGAAGAACGAGACAAGCTCCCCGGTGGTGCGCGGCGTCCGCCTGGTGAGGCAGTTGAGGTAAGAGGACAGCGTCAGCAAAGGGTCATCTCCGCCGCAGGTGGGGGAGAGGACAGTATAAATATGCTGGCCTTCTAGATTATCTTCAGGCAAATCCTCCTTTGTGAATCCCATGTTGATGCGGCTCTTGCGGCAGATGTCACATGGGTCGAAGGGATGAGTCTCGAACTTGGAGTCGGGGCCGTCAGTCAGGAAGGCCTGGAGGGGGGAGTCGGAAACATTCACATAAAGGCCGTAATTACAATCCTTCCAACCACCATGTGATTGGTCCCGAGAACACTGAGACCTTAGGAACTCCAACTGGTGGTAGCACGCGTAGGTGTAGTCCCGCAGCTGGCAGAGGAGGCAGGCGGGATCGTCGGAGTAATGAAGCTTGGAATATTCTGAACTGAAATCGGGAATTGAAGTAGCTTGCGAAATATCTTTGTGCTTGATCCTGTGGAGAACGTTGGCAGCGTAGTGGCATGCCTCGGTCAGTTTGGCGGTGACATGGGCAGCGGTCAGCTGAGAGGGGCGCCCGGTGACCTCGAGGGCATCTGAGAGCTGGGAGAAATCGTTGTTGATGTCTTCCAAAATGTCCTTAATACGCTCCTTAATCTTCCCAACATACCCATATTGAGTCATCCCTACCAGCCAGCAGAGCATTTCCCTGACGGTCTTGGGAGGGGGCAAAAGGTCCGAGGCTGGGGGAGGGGAGGGAGTTGGGGTGACGGTAGTGGAGGAGGCAGGAGCAACGTACCAGGGATTAGCACACTGATCTGGAGTGGCGAATGCGGGAATGTTCTGGTCATATGGCTTCCTTGGATCATCACGCGGGATCCCGGAATCTGTATACCCTTGAACTCCAGGGCGGCTCGGAGCAAAGTCCAAATCGAAATTGGTATTTGGCAGGCCCGAAAAGCCTTTGTCGGCATCGTACTGCTGTGCTGAATATTCTAATTCCTTCTGAAGAATATCCTCCGTGTTGGCGTAGGGGTCATAGTTCAAGTCGTGCACAGGGTCTTGAACAATGGGCTTGCGGACATCAATGTGGAGGTCGACATAATCTTGTTTGGTGTCGGATTGGCGATAAATTTTTTCGAATACCAGTCCATCGTCTTTCACGTCAGAATACGGGTCGATGCCTATAAGTGCGCTCTCCACTGCGTCTGGATGCGGTTGAATATCATGGATATCCCAGTCGTTTAGGTCACCAGTTGTCGGTAGCACCGGGTCATCTGTCTCAGGAGGCGGAGAATCGATGACTGATCCTGAGCGGCGCACAGCTATGGGAATTAACTGGTCGAAATACTGTGGATCGGGAGGTGGCGTTATGATGGACGTATAGGGTACGACATCACCAAGGTCATCGTCCTGTAATTCTCGAGCAATCCAGCTGTCATTCTGCTGCTGCAACACAATTCGCTTAGCTTCTTCAAGATTTCTCTCGAATTTCTCTTGCTCCCTTTGCTCAGTCTCCTTTCGGAATTGTTCCGCCAATTTCCCTTTATCCCAATGCTGAAGATACCACTCCTGCGCGGGGTCACTCGAAGATTCATTTGACATGTCCATGCCATCAAGCGCCATGGGAGCGTAGTGCATGGCAGAATGCGGAGCCCTGGTAAAATCTTTCGGATCATAATACTGCTGCGCTCTCCATCTTTGACGTTTTCGTTGCGCAGCCAATTTTTTCTGGCGCTGTTCTCTTCTTTGTTTGACGTTATTGGTCATTCTATCTAATGTTTTAACAAACATATCGGCGTCTCTGATCCTCTGATCATACTGCTGCTGGAGCCTTTTTTTCGCAACTTCCACATCAAAGGGAAGCTTAATCCCTCCACTCCCACCTACACCTCCACCAGGCACCGAGCCAGCCGACGTAGTACCGACGCTGCTTGTAGCTTGCCCAGTGCCTTGACTTGTTGGTTGAATACCATTTTGAGTAACTTGTTGACTAACATCTCGACCACCTTGTTGCCCAGTCCCCTGGCCACCAGCTGCCCCAGAGCCTGAACCTGAAGCACCCGGAGGCCGAGGAGACACAGTTGGTGGATGGAGACCAGGCTGTTGACCAGAAACATCACCGCCCTTGGAACCTGCACCTCCGACATCTGGGTGACCAGGGATCCCACGGGGTCCAGGAAGAGGGGGAGGAGCAGGCGGCGAAGGGGGAGGGAAATGCGCTGGCGAGCCTGGTTTTCCATCAGGCTGAGTCTGAACACCTTGGTTACCTGATGTATCTCGAGCCGGAGAAGATGTCGAAGACCCTGCACCAGGAGGCCATTTCAGGCCTGTATCACCTTTACCACCACTAGGCCCTGCCGGGCCTGGATCTCCTTGATCACCGGAAGATGTAGTTGAAGCAGTAGAGGTTACAACCGGTGAAGTTGGAGAATGTCCTTGATTTTGACCATTATTCCGATTTGATGACATCGGAGGCTTTGCGGACACAGGTTTTGCAGCCTCTGTTTTGGTAGCCACAGGTTTTGCAGCCTCTGTTTTAGTGGCAACCGGCCTTGCGCTGTCAGTTGGAGTGAAAGGCTTCGCCGGCCTTAGAGGTGGAGGTGCAGGTCTCGGAGGCCTGGGCGCAGGCGGCTGCCTGGGTCGTAGTTTTGGAGGCGTAACTGGACACTTTTCCCCTCCCAGAATTTCTTTGAGCGTTTTCAGGCCGCCGCTATGTTCATTGCCAAGCGTTTCCAAAACACCGAACAGGCTTGTCAATCCCACTGTCCACTTGTTCTTTTGGCCCTTGTTCAATACGATACCGTAGGAATATATGGTCTCGGGCGAAAAGTCATTAGGATCGCTTTCTAAATCGGCAACGCTCTCCTTAATCTCTCCCAACGCCCCTGTAATCTGCTCCCAATGCTTTTCAAACCACTTCTCGAATGCCTCGGCAAACGCTTCGGGCTTAAGGGCAGTAGCGGTAAACGCCCTCCCACTAGTGGTGAAGGGTTTATAACTGAACTCATCATCACCGCCAAACAACTTATTAAGTGATACTTTAAGTGTTTTGCAATGTGCTACCAATTTTTCCCATTTGAAACACATGCCTCTACTTCTAAGCTCCGCTTCCAATTTTATTTTCAGACCACTGTCATCCTTTTGGTGTTCCTCTACATATCCGCAAAAAGCCCAGAGCAATAGCAAAACATTCCCAGCGTCCAGTTTATGCCAATCATCCTTAACTAAATTGTTGAAAAGAACGCTAGTGAAAACGTCTGGAGTTAGCGTATATCTTGTGAGCGCAAGGTCTAGATTCCGTGCAAGTGTTTTTCCTTGCACGTCGTTCAACTCACCGGTTTCAAATCCCCCGTCTATAATACCTGTGATGTCAGCTGTAGCAGTGAAAAATGTTTGAAGCCCATTACCCAGTAACCCACCAGATTGCTTCATGAATAATTCAGCCCAACGTCCACCGCCCACACCGCCGTAATTAGTGTCGACGTGAAACAGCAATAGGGAAAACGCAGCGTGAACCTTGGGGAGGCACTCGGAAAAGGCTTTTACAACGTCATCAGGATTTTTGTTTTTATAATCGCTCAATGTTGCGGATGTGCTTATTTGCCCATAAAGCTCCGACACATGGCGGAGGAAACCATCTAAGGAACCTGGCAATAGTACCTCAAACCCAGGGTTATTATAATATGTATCAATACGTTTGAACAGCTCACTTGCCACCTGATCTTGCACGTTATTTTGATTCTTATGCAGCCAGCCAAGGAACATGAGACAGTCCTTGAGTGTGTTGAGCGGAATACCGTGAGCCACCATCTTAGTTACAAAGGCACTCAGCACTAAGACACTAATAAATAGGCACTAGGATACTAGTACAAGAATACATGTGAAAGCATTTAAATGGTTAACTAGGAGACACTAAGGCGATAAAACCTCCAAGGTGACGCCGCTTACATAGGCAGCGTAGCCAAACCGCTAAGTGGGCTGAGTGAACAGGCTACAAAGTGAAACGCTGAGTGGCAAAGAAGTGCCTCGTGACGCTAAGAAACAACTATCCTACGCCTCACCGCAAAATGCATGAAATGACACAGGAGCCATACAAGCATCCCGCCTACCTGAGGGGGAATGAGGGCATTAAGTCCAGCCATCCATATAGATCAGGGGCCTACTAACGTAAATTCCTGGCGCGCGGTGGGAAGGCGGCATACCCCACGGGGATGCCGGGTGGAATGCATGGCAGCTCACCTTACCCCGCATTGTGAAGCCACCAAGCCGCATCCCCTCAGCGCTACCGTACCACCCGAAAAGTTGCCATCCATCCAACCCATCGCCATGGATACTACATCCGCGCGCCTTGCACCACAGAGATACCATGTCCATCGGATCCATCCATATGTTGCGAACTTTGCCCCACATTTCGCTGAGCAAACGTCGTTAGCGTTGTAAAATTAACCATTGAGTAATGCAAACTGTTTTATTGTCAACACAAAGATGCGGCATGATCAGCATGCTCGTGCATTGCTTTCTGCCGTATTCTTGTCACTAATCCTCCATATGGTAGTATAATCGGGGCATGTTTTCCGTGACACCTCTAACTTCAGTTAACTACCCCACTCCCTCCATTGACACATGCAATAACTAGTACTATTGTTTGTTAGCTTTGTCTACTGTGCTATAAGTGCATACGTTAGGCTAGCGCCGCTTTCCTCATTTCTTCGTTGCTCATTAACCACATGCTGTTGGTTCAAGCTGCCGGTTACACGCCGGCCCTTTGCCGAACGTTGCTGGTGTCATCCATGATGGCATCCGTCTTGTCTGGGCATGAGGTTAGTTCGCAGAGTCATAAGGATCTCCGCGTTTCATATCACACATCTCACTAGGCATCAACTTGAACTTTGTCCACTAGCTGAACGCTCTCCCTTTGAGCCCCTCTACCAAGTCTTCGTAGTTCCATCTATCCTATGTCTTAACCTGATGTCTTTCTTGGTAACCCCGATCTCCACGGCAGTGATCCTGTTATGCTGCCCAACACCTAGGATTATGATCTGGTCTATTATTTAGGATCCAATGACTCCGCATTGGCGAGTGTCTAATGTAACAACTTTTGTGACTCACATAAGGCGTTGCGTGACCGTTATTTGGTAATACGCCAAACTAAGCAACTGAGCATATCAACAACCAAATAGAGATCGTTTAAAGCTACATAATCTAATGGCAGAATAACAATCCATGTAGAATATAATCTTGCCGTCTACACCGTTAATGATCACATCGTGTTAACAGGTTTAAAGAGTCTCTGGTTAGGTAATTTTGAAATGTACTTGTCGTATACGTGCACGTATAGCGGTTGTGCGATTGTGTTCACTTCACAATTAATAATAGTTTTTATATGATCTCGGACGTGGTAATCTAAGAGGGGGCTATCGAATATATCGTCTAAACCATGGGACCCATTTTCACCTCCCAGGATGGCTACGGGTACGCTTAGCCCTTCGTTTTTGACAAATAGTTGCGATATCTATAATCCATTTGAAATCACAGACCTTCAATTACCTGTGGGCTGCTGAACCTTTTTTGTATTTCGTTCATACTTTCTATATCTCTCGTGATAAGTAAAACACATCCTCCTTTCGCAATAGCACTTGCAACTGATGCAAGTGTTCGATAGTGAAGCATTTCCTTCACACTATAGCAGTATTAAGGATTACATTGGCGAACTAACTTTTTACGCCTAACCGACACGATCACGGTTTTAAAACATGGCTCAGTCAAAATCTCATGAATGCTGAAAATGTTTCCGGTTACCAGCCTGAAGTTGGGAAACTCGACGAAGGCTTCAGGTGATAGGTCCATGCTTCTGAAAGCTGTTTGATGGGTTCACGTAGGGGGTGCAGCGTATATTGCATGGATGAAAACAATGCTTCGTTGATATACAGTGGAAAATATTGCATTTGCTATGTCTTTTAGTGCCGTTTTTAAAAGTTTGTCATATATTAGTGTGTATTCCATGATTTCAAAAATGCAAACTGGATGTGGGCTCACCTGCCGACATTGTACAATGTGTTGAATGCGATATCGTAATGATTGCAGAAAGCCGTATGGCAGACGTCCAGATGCTTTCGAACAAGTTTCCCTAGAGGCAAAGCGTATGATACGTCGTATCCCATATGGAGAATATTCGTTCCTGCTCCTAGGCTGTCCAGGTTGCTTGGTGTACGAAACACGTCAGGGTTCCGCAACCCATTTTGAGCTGTTTCGCGTTTTTCGAAGAACCAATGTGACATAGGCACGGAGAAGGTCCCCTCTTGACGCTTCGAAGTTCTACGTGTTTGTATGTTGTTAACATACGAACCCACCTTAGTGGAGTGAAAAGTATACCTGGTGGATTAGCATAGTAGAATCCTGTACCTGTACCTTTCTGAAAATACCATTCACGCAAGCATTTATTGAAAAACTTCTGGTAAAGGGAGTAACGAGCACAAGCTGACTGCATTTGGTGTGATATTCCATTCAAGCCGTGGCAATATCGGCGTCACTAAGTTATCCTACATCTGTAAAAAGTCTCAACTGTATAATAAGCAATATCACTGATTTGAATAAAAAAACGAGCGATTACAACGCGGCGACAATGTGTACGATGGTGTTCGGTGTGTAGAACCTCCTCCTTCAGTGATCCTATGATTATTATTTTTGCAGAAGCAAGGCATATTGAATATGGATTTGATGTAAATGTTGTGAATAATAAAACTCCTGGAATGTGTGGTTGTTTGGGGGATTCGTCTTTGAATGGTTACGAGCACAGCGAATGGTGCCTTCTGGCTTAAAACGATCATATAAAAATAGTTACGCAATAAATTGACCTATTTATGTGAACGGATGAAGTTTGTAAACGGGATTCTACGGATTCCATTAAACGGAAAATGTAATGTTAAACCGTTTGTATTAAAAACGGTACTGATTATCGTCCGGCCGTTGACGGACATCTTCCAAGGGCGTCAACATTCCTGAGACTCGAGTTATGCATAGATTACGAAGGGTGTCTTCAACAGCAGTCAACTACGCGTTGACTCCTCGTTCGTCGTATGTTTTGTAGATTCATCTGCAATGGTGTACTCCTACAACGAATGCAAACAGGAATGAAAGTGTTTCTATAGATTACACTGCTCACATTAAAAATCATGTTATATGTACTGCTTAGTTGAGCTTCGTCAGGTGTACTGGCGTTATGTCACTGGGTCTGGCGGCAGCCTCTCCCCAGATGTAGGCATCTGTTCTGAGCTGCTGTTCCGGTTCGATTGTGTCATGCGATACGTCGTCATATTCGTATTTGCTCATAAGCCTGTCGTAATCTTCGTGCTGACGACCTTTCTTGGTACTCCAAAGCCTGTAGTAAATCCAGTAGACGGCGAAGCAGAGCAACAACAGCGCCGTAGTAATCACGGCAGCCTTCTTCACGTTGTGCGAGCACATGAACTGGTAAAGCCTGCTGAGGTAACCAGATTTCTCGTCAGAGCAGTAGTAGTACGTGCCACAGCTTTCCGAATACTTCGAGTGGACGTATTTCGTGCACTTCAGCGTCTTCATGCTGAGAGCGGTTGTGATGCCGGAGCTGTCACCATTGTCCTTAACACCCCTCTTGCGCGGCTCGACATAACCGAGAGTGTCTATGTGGCATGGGAAGTTGATGGCATCCGACTCCAACGGAGATCCAAGGGCGGTCATAGCCAGACTTCCGGCGTTGATGATGAGGCATGTTGGCGTTTCGTTAAGAATACGGCACACACCAGATTCGGATTCGTAATTCGCCCAGTTCATTCCGACACCCTTGGAAAGTGTGGCAGATGCGGCAGATTTCGCCATAGGGGCAAACAACGAAAAGGCGATTTGCTTGAGCTGAAGGTTCTTGAGACCACTGTACAGCTCACTGATTTCGTTGTACCTCTCCGAATCAAGGTCGATATCGATATCAGCAGCTGAGTTTTCGAATAGGATGGCGGCACATTCCTCAGCACTGTTAACATATTCCTCAAAGGCAGATTCGATCGCCACGCAGGCACCTGCCACCCACGTACCGAAGATGGCGTCCTTAATGGGTTTCATGGGGCAATTCACATCCCACTTCGGGTCAATGCGCGCCGATCCGTAGTATAGGTGAGCATCAGTGTCGCTTTTGTAAGGTTTCATACAGAGCAACGAGCTAGGTCCCTCCTTCGTTGATCCATCCTCGTCACAGTACCTGCCTCCCTGGTTGTACTGCATTGGCGAGTACAGGATGTAGCACATCTCCTCCTTTCCATCGTAGACGAACGGGTACCTGTACTTGGTTCTCTGGTCGGAACCGGGCACTACATTGCTGGCGTACTCGGCACAATTTGAAACGGCATTGCCCTTGTAACCCCACTTGCGGAGGTCAGCAGCTGATACCGGTGACAAGTTGCCATGTATGTTACCGGCGCTTGTAAGAGCACCTGCCAATGCACCCGTGTGCTTGATCACGGTCTCCGGGAAAGCCAAACCCCTGTATCGAGGGTTGTCAGCTGAAATGGGTTCGAGGAAGTCGGCACCGCTTGCAAGGCTGATGACCTTACCCATAACCGGGCATTTTCCTGTAGGCATACGATAATATTTGCTACCGACAGCCTCGTATCCCCCGATATCTACAAAAATACCAGATCCGTGGCAGCGAGCGATATCATACTTGATCATGTACCTTGTCCACGGCGTTTGAGGGATAAGTTTTTGGCCGGGAGTTCTGCCTCCCGTGCGCTCGGTAGTCTCGCTGGTGCCAGCTTGTGACGCACTCGAGTTTGCCTGTTGACTGCGCGACGTTCTAGACGATCTCCTGGTACCGCGCGTGGACGTGGGCTCCGAATGGAAGGACACAAAGGCGCAGCCTGCAGGTGAAATCTCCGTGGAGAGCCATAGCGAAATAATAACTGGCGTGACCAGTAGTGTAAATTTATTCAATATGCACTGCATTTTACCATCCGATAACTACATTATAAAAGAGATTTCATGCTAATGGAATTTATGACATCATACGTAACGACGGACGTGACGGTCATAAAAAACACGATTTTCTATACACATTCTATTTTATCTACATATATTCGGATATTTTAGTGTACTTTACTTGCGTAATCGACACTTTTTATCCTTACACATAAGCTGGTACGCATCAGCCGTCGCACTGGGCGACAACCGCTATCACAAACAGTGCACTTTCCGCGCCGTTCGCCCAGCGAATTACAATTAAGTCGCGTAAATGCGCTTAGTTTCCGTAATCTCGTCACATTGGCGACGACATCAGAGAGCACCTAGCTCCGGATTCCACAGGTGCATACATGTCGCCGGCGGTGTGCAGATGAGTGCTAAGAGAAAAAACAGCTTGTACAACGGGGTAATGCGCTTTGCGCTGATGGGCCATTTATATTTGGTGTCTGCTTTGCAGTGTGTAATTGCGGAAAGCCGGTAGAAGCTCACAGCAGGTTTACACATCGCTGCGGATCTCCCGGCTTTGTTAGCAGTAGAAGTAACGAAAACGCGCAGCATATGGCGGCAATAAGGCCGAGCAAGCTTTGTACTGGCACAAGTTTGCCGTAAGGCCAGCCGGAGGCCACTATTGACAAGGTCTTCCATCCACCAAAACTTCCAGCATCGTATGTGATGTTCACCGATACATATAGCGGGAATGTGATGGGTCCCTGCAGTACTCCATACAACTTCTTGAACGATTTGAAAGGCGTTGGCGTCATCCACTGTATTATGTGGCCATTTTCTATGCCTTTCCCTGCCGTAGATGTCATGAGGGTGTGAATGGCGCTAAGATTTTGCGCCGACCTCCTGGTGACATACGAGTTGTCCACTCTATCGTTTGCCTCCGAATTTTCTTCCGGTGTAACGGCTATTGCATCGCCTGGTAACCAGTAGTATGTATGTTTACTGCAGTAAAATAAAAGGTGGTCGATATGGTTCCGACGGGGTATAGATAGATTGGCATCACGGCAATTGCACATAGACTACATTTAATGCACATTGAAAAATTGCAAGGAACAAAAGTCGTAAAAATGAAATCGTGGGTCATCACCATATCGCGTACTATGCTCTATGCAAGTAGTGGAGTACGAACTATACGGACTTGAAAATCGCTTTGGATACCAAACAGCGATCTATCGCACAGCACGGACAATAATCGACGCAATAACTTACAATGTCTGGTTGACGACTTTAGCCTCCGGGTTCTGCATATGGGCATATTCCTGGCAATATGACAGGGTTTCAAACGAATCGTCAAGGCGCAAATAGATGGTAGAGTCCTTGGGATTCTCAGTCGAGAACTTGAAATTGTCACTGTATAGGTGCCACATGTGTGGTCCGCAGGGGTATATTATTTTTTCCTTGCCTGAACAACAATACACAATTCGCAAATCCAATGATCTCACCTCCTATTGATACCATGTGATACGGATAGCAAGGATGCACATCTTTCTTAGTGGACTCCTTCCCTTCCAACTGCTTCTTTGAGTGCAGCTTGAAAGCGGCAGCGCCGTGAAATGGATAATTGTATATAGAGTAATAGACATAAATCTTATTCGCCTTTTGGAATCTCTTTATGTCGCCCGAGCAATTTTGCGTCGTTATTGTGTGCACCCATTTATCGTCGCCCCTCTGGAGCCTGTCAGGAACATCGACAGTGCACTCTGCGTATGCCTTTCGTCTTACCTGAAGCAGTGCAAACAATCCACCATTTATAAGACCCAGAATCAGCATTATAATACCTAGCCTCCGAGAATTAAACATCGCTTTTTGCGATCGGTCACGCCGGAAGCTTGACAGTCCCTCTTCCTGCTCGCCCGTGTTGCGGCGGCGGAAGAGGATTTCACGTACAGTCTCCTCTGCATCGAAAGAATGGCTAGCAGAGTAATCCTGAGAGCTAAAGGCCGACTCACCTACGCGAACGCTGTTAGCTGAGTTGCTTAGCCGCGTACTTATTCTACTCCGGGAAGCGGACCTCGCTTCCCTCTCTTCTCCCGCAACCATCGCTTGGCTGCCGTCGCATGATATGATGCACCGTCATACAACGGAGTAGACGCTCGCGATGCCAATGCAGTAATAGTCCGTGGGTGCTTTAACCCAGCAGGGCGTGGTAGACAGCAGGGTCGACCATACAGGTAGTCCTTGTGTAGGAGAGTTCACGCGCCAATAAGCTCGCAGGCGGAGCGAAACTCAATACACCTTAGGATTTCTACGGGTACAACCCATAAAGCGTCGTATAAAATGCACACATGGACTGCGCGTGTGCATGGTTAGGACAATACTCAAGGAACAGCTCCTAGACACCAGTGCCAAATGTGTGTAAAATAGCAACGTCGGTGCGACGCTGGACTTGTCTCATATGTGTGTTCCGTCACAGTTATACGGAAAACCGAGCTCCAAAGCCTCACGACAACGCCGGTGTGTACGCGCCGTAGGCAACTCGCGATGCGGCATTTGGGGCATCCGTATGCAAGCATACCGGCATTGCGTGTGTGTTAAAAATCCTAATATAACTGTATGTGAGAACACCGGCGAGGCGGATTTTTTTGGCTCTGCAGTATTCTGTCTACGGGTTGTTGTCTGGTATTGGCCCGCTCGTAGGATATTCCAATAGTTAGCTCATTTGCTATCTCCTCCCTTTTGGCGAAATGTATGCATGAGTCCCATAACTGTTCCCTCCTGCTTTCGTGTTGTTGTGAACGCAATTCCATGTGACGGCGTGAGAACCCGTTGATCTGAAGTCGAGCGCTAGATTCCACCACCTCACGGATAGGATTGACATGTCACAGCGCGCCTGAAGTTGCGCTTGGCACTTGTCTGGGATTCAGGGTGGTTTTTGTCCTGCGTCGTCAAGTGTAAGGAATCGTTACTTCCGACCATCTAATTTTTGTTGCGTTATACGCCAATTCAAGTTTATGAAGCGCCATGTGGCGCCATTTGAGTTTGACAGGGAAGACATGAGCGGACTGTGAACCGCAGCCGATGGTTGAAAATGCCGACTCAGCCCTCGCCCTCCGATAATTTCAAGGCCTTCGCGGACCACCAGAAAAAGCTTCTGTTCGATGAAACCGAAGAATTTTTCAAAAGGCACAATCTGCGTCTGAAGAAGTACCTTCTGCCAGTGCCGCTGCCTGCGTGGGCCTCGTCGCTTGACGAGGTGCTTGACACGGGTGTCGAGCACGAACCCTACTCAACCATCTACCGTCATCAGCATTTTTTGAAGACGCGAATTCTGAGGAACTGGTCCTACATAGGTTCGTGATACTTCTGTATAGTGCTAAGAAACTATAGAAACTTTGTGGAACGTCTCGGATAACCCACGTAACAAGAACATTCCTTTTGACCTCCGGCCCCTCACAAAGGAGATCATCAAGCAGCTGGACACCACAAACGCCGACCTCACTGACCCTGAGTTCTCGGGGCTATTGGTCACTCTGAACACGGAAAGCTTCTTTGAGGGGCCTAAAAACTCCGATGGAACGCCGGGTGTGCAGGAACGCAACTCGGCTGCCCAAGGCGAGGGATCCCAGAGCGGAAGCGCCGATGCTGCGGCAAACACTACAGCGCCGGTGGAAGCACAGGGTACTGCGGAATCTGCTGGTGCCGGCAATTCTGCTAGTAACCCGCTATCCAAGAGCAAAATCATCGCAGGGGCTATTGTCGAGTGCCTAATGACGAATGAAAGGTGCATACGGTGCATCTGGCTACACCCCCATCTGTCAAAGCACAGTTCTAGAATATTGCTTCAGGCTTTCCTCCCGCGGTTAATGCTGGAAATGTTCAACGTCCCGTCGGTTATGACGGAGAACGGCCCGTCTGCATACCACAAGTTCGCTTATGCGATGCACAACGACTTGGACATGTTTCCGCGGCAGTGCTGGTTGCTGCTGGCGAGCATAAAGAAGATGTCGCTACCACGTCACTACGAGCCTTCCACGTTCGAGGAACACCCCGTAGACTTGGAGTACGGCGAGTGCCACATGGACGAGGCAGGCCACCTGCTGCTTCCCGAGTTTTCGGGCATCGTTGATGACGGCGTGCTTGCGTCAGTTGGATCGGAGTGCTCTGTTCGCAGCGTTTCTTGCAACTGCTACAACGAGAAAATGAAGAAGACTGTTGATGCTCAGGCGTGGTTGGACCGCTTGGTGGGATGCACGGAGAGTTACATGTGCCTCATGCTACCCAAACGTTCTGAACGTGAGGCACTGGGGCTCCATCCCCGCGATGGCTGGCGTGACTTGGTTACTGAAGGGCTGGACCGGCCACTGCTAGAGGAGGTGAGTGTGCTTGCATGCCTTGTGACGTATTCAACATTGGGGATGACTGCGACTTGATTCGAACGGTTGATAGCGATATAGCGGAAGTTTCCGACGCCTTTGTCAGCCCCTGACGATTATGGCGACCGTGCAGCCTCTATTCGCATGCCAATATCTACTTTGTGTCAGCCTTCTAAGCTCGGCGTTGCATGGCGTAGTATTTGACTACTTTGTGTGAGCCCTAGTGTTAGTTAATGCATAATTTTGCAAAGTGTAATGCACATCCGCTTTCGTTCGGGTGTTTGTCACTGTGTTCACTCCCAATAATGCGTGTCAAAAGTACGTCGCCTAGCGTGTATATTGTTTGGTAGCATGCGCGTTGTCTACCCCTATAATGCTGTTGCAGCTCCTGGAACTTCTCCCAGTCGATTCCCGCGACCGTTTCTCACACCTTTACGACCCGTCCGTCGCGACGGTGAGTGTGCGTTGCAACGCGAACCTCAACAGCGACTTCGAAGAGTGGTGCAAACTGCGACGGGAGGACCTAATTGATGTCACCAGCGACACTGAGGCCTACATGAACGTAGATGCTGGCGAAGAGGAATACAACATGGCCTCTACCAGCAAGCGCGCGCGGTCCCGTATATGAAGGTTACCCGGCGCTGGCAAAATGCCCGAAAGTGATGAAAAACACATCTTAAGCAAATCGCTTTTAAGTTTTATCACCTCCAGATCTTGTGTCCAGTTGAGTCGGTGGAGCCATACCACCCTGTCTGGTTGGTGATGTGTGGCCGGCCGTTGCTCACCGTGGGCACCGACCTTCCACACGGTTTTTCCAATGCCGCTTTGCACCATCGATGAGTTCGAAAAGGAGGTGCTAGATATCGGGGCTAACGCCTCGGATGCGTACGAAGAGTCCGACGCGCCCTTCGCAGCCGACGCAGATGACGACGAAGACCTGGGTGTATTCGTCTTCTACCAGGGCGACGTGGACGGCGTCTGTGCGCTGTTCATACTCGAGGTAGGTGTATACATTCCCTTTGAAACAGCCTTCAGCATCACAAGCGGCTTAGCCATGGGCTGAAGTTGACCAGCTACCCAGTGCAGGGAGAAGCGGACATATACAGCTACATAAAAAAGAACCTCAGCATCAGTACAACGTATCCAGACGTACAGGTGAGTATTAGCACGATGTTTGACGCTTTGGACCCCGCAACGCTTTGTTCTTGCATGCCACAATTAGGATGAACATCAGTTCATGACGCTTACATAGTTGCAAAGGATCCATTATAGGTACCGTAACATCTGTACCGTCCTTTTTATGGACATACCGCGTATACAACTGTGTCTGATCTCTTGTGCTGTGTGTGACTGCATGTCCTATCATCTGTTCCCCACAGATCAGCTGTCAAGTGTGTAGCAATGAGATTTTATGTGTATCTTGCGTTTCATTTACACATATGTGTCACTTTGTCGTGATTACGACTGTACTAAGTTTCATAGTTGGCAATATGCCTTCATGGCATTACATAAAACAGCAGCCGTTCACCTTTTGCATAATTTTTTAATAGACTCGTTTTGCATGTTATTTGTTATTCGTATCAGCATACCGACCTAATGCTTCTCAGCATGAGGCTTACTTGAGGGTTGTACTGCTAGGGGTCCACGGCTGGGACCCGGAGGTCCTCTACGCCATCAAGGTTCACTTCTCCCAGAAACTTCCAGAGTCTCGAAGATCGGAACTCAAGATATGCATCGTACCGTCTTCGAGACCGCTCACGTTTTTTAACGTCTCATTCGTAGGTTTAGCGGTAGCCGCGGCTTAATATTTGCAGGACGCCGACTGGTATTTTTTCGTCGAGAATGAGCAGGAAGTGGCACTGGAGCAATCCATCGTAAGTGATGTGCCGTTTGAATTATTCATATTTTTGTAGCAAGAGCGAGAGCTAGTGGGTGGTATATACACGTCGACCTCGGTAGCCTCCCTTATCGCATCTATCACCAAGACGACTCATGAGTCCAGCAGAGCGGCAATCATGTACGCATCGGCGGTGGCCACCATCGGCCGCGTGGAGCATTCCGGTGCTCTGGACACATCCGTAAACACGCAAATCACCAGGATGTTCCAAGAGATTTCGATGTTGGATGGTGGCCCGTATGTGCAGTACGACTCAGAACGCACCCCTTTTCCTCTCATATCATTCACGTAAGTGTCATGAAACGTGTAAAGTGTGGCCCACATATGTCACAAATTCGGTTACTTATGGCAGTGAGTTGGAGTTAGTACTCTACTTTCGGCATGCTGCGTTTCATGCTGTATGGTTCACAAATGCCATGTTTTACACTTTTGCGTATATTTAAGTTGAACTGCGCATTCTGGCAATGGATTGCAAGTGTCTGCTGTTACGTATAAAATTTTTGTAGGTCGTTGGAGGAAGCGCTCAAAATAAGTCCATACATGTTCATGTACGACCCGCAGCGCAAGAGGGATACCTTGGCTGAATTTCGGATACACTGCGACCTCATGACGGATGAATTCACGTCCGAGTTTTGCAACCTCGATCCGAAACGACAGTCGCAGGTGCTCCGACAACTAAACGGGCGGATTAAGCGGGTGGATATGACGCAGCTCATGTGGCTGAGGCGCAGCAGCTCAATGCCCTGTGTCGACATGGTATACATTTTAATCGCAATTCTCGTTGGCTGGATGAACAAGGACAACGAGTCTACCGTGGGGACCGCACCCGTCATAGCGTCCGACTTCATGTACAATACACTCACCGACCGCATGTCGCAGGAGTCCTTTTACGACAAGGTCATCATGACCCAGCTGAAGCAGAAAACGTATCAGCTGGTGGTGGATACCTACGACAGCATCTCGTCGTCCAAAATCAAGTCGCGCCTATTCGGCACGCACAAGGTGCTCTTCGCCACGCTCTTCCCGAAGCACCCCGTGGAGCACATTGACGAGCTGCGTTTCTTGGGATTCATGATATCCAGCTTGCACTCACGCGGAAACTCGGACGAGGGATTCTGCCGCGTGCTGGTATTCGTCCGAAACCCAGATGCGGATGGTATACTGGCCTATGGTTATAGCCCCGACGTCAGCGGCAACTTCCCCGACTTATGGGCGCTAGTGTTCAGCTCCGTTGCGCACGATGACACATCATTTGTGTTCGACGTGTTCCGGCCGACGTGTCTGGACATACGGACGGACGACGTGGAGGCGGCCAAGAACCGGATAGTGGACCGTATGCGCATCGCGCTGGAGGCAAAACAAGTGTCGTACTTTGCCAACAACGATGTGCACAGTGATGAGGAAGCGTCTTTTGAGGGCAGCGACGAGGAAACCGAAGAAAGTCAGTGAGCGCTAGGTCGGAAGTGGTTGTGCGCTATCTGCTCATGTAGTGCAGATAGCGAATACACGGCGCTGATCACGACCGACCAGAGCGCAAAACAACGTGAACGTAGCTGGAATAACGCATGGCAGACCGCTGGACACACAAAGCTGCCAAATGAAGCAGAATGCAATCATACAGCGGTTGGGCAACAAACTGCTTTACTTTAATGTTTAGTTGTCGCCTCACCACCACGGTGAGGCACATGCTCAAAATACTCATCACATCGGGTGCCAATGTGTTGATGACCTTGGAAGTGTCCCCAACGTAAGGAGACAGCGATCACTGCTCCCTGAGACGTTTCTTCAGCCGGATGTTTTCTTCCTGCAGCTCCGCGTACTTCCTTTTCAGATTCTTGATGCATTCCTTGAGATCCGCCACCTCTCGCTGTGCTGCGGTGTCAGCCGACGCCTCGGTACCGTCGCCCCTCATCTTCGCCACATCCGGATTGGTCGGCGAGTCCTCTTGAGCGCTCGAGACGCAGTGTGGCTTCTCCGGTCGGTGCGCCTTCTTGTTCGATCCTGCATCCTGTCCCATTTGCATCAGCAATTTGCGATTGTAGTAGTCATTTTTCTTGTAGTTGCACGTGCAAAGGAAGCAGAGCCTCAGGTCGTTCACGCGCTGCCGCGCAGACTCGCCGCGGTCGAACGCCGCGTTGTTGTTGCATGACTCGCATTTAAAAGGCTCGCCGTACTTTTGCAGTAGCTCGTGGCAACGGTCGCATTCAGACGTGGAGCGCCAGGCGGACCATTGGTTGCAAAGCCTACACAGCTTGGGATCGCAGTTGTGCGTGGCCCAGTTTGAGGCGCAAGACAGGCAAAGCTCCCGCTTGTAAATCTTGGACGCCTTAGCGCAGAACTTGTGGTTCACGTAAGATATCTTGCAGTGACAACATGTCAGCGATTTCAGGCTCTTGGCGCAGTCGAGGCACACCTGTATGTTGCTGGTCTTCCATCGGTGGCGCTCGCACTCCATACACAAGCCCCGGCTCTCGAGCTTCGATATCTTGTCCCATACCGATCTGGATTTGGGCTCAAGCTCCTCGGGTGGTCTGGAATAGCCTTTGACAATTTTCACGCCGTTGCGAAGCTCCTCACGCGTGGCCATCGTCCGCAAGCGATGAAATACCCGACCATTTGGGTTCTCCTACAACTTTGGTGGCGAAACTGTGCAACTGTCGCAAATTGGCGACGGCTATAAACCCCTTGCGACGGTTCACGCTCTGATGGCCAGACGAAAAGTCGCTCCCGCCTAAGCTGGTCGATAGGGGGCCCCTCAACAAGTGATAACGCGCCACTAAGCCGAATATTGGGACGCGCAACCGCTTTGATAAGTAGCGTTCAATACCTGTACTTGGTCGAGTAATCCTTAGGGGAGATCACCAGCCCCCTCCCTGCGCGTGTGTAAGGTACATCCGAAGGATAGATCAACGTTCACGCCAATGATGTAACCCATAAACGACACCTAGTTATGCGCATTCGTTCGGATTCTCCGGGCACGACACATTTTTAATACACACAGTAGCGCTGGTGGCTTATCCAGGTCCGGAGGAACGGTTGCCGCTGTGTTGACAGTGGCACGTGCCACAGGTCACTGGAATCCGCGCCATTATCACTCCACAAGAGAATATGAACGGCAGCTTACCTTTGCGAGCTCCGCGATATATGGTTTCGATTATGTCTATCAGCTCTTGTTTGTTGTTCATGGGCCAGTTGATCTTGTTGTTGTTGCCAGTGCCGAGGTCGATCATCATGTGCTTGTTTCTGCGCTACGTGTTCAGCACAGCGAAGCCGCCTACCGGTAGAAGAACATGACTGATACGGGATCATAGAGCTCGTACATGCCGTTAAAATCCGGTACCTCGGTGATGTCAACCTGCGCACGTATTAGGGAAATGCGGTAACAACCCATCGCTGTTTACAGTATGCATGTTGTCCGTGATACGGTGCTGTGATCAAGCACGTTGCGTATACGTACCAGGTATATGGCGCAGAAATTCTTCACGTCATCTGCCACCTTGTAAAGCAACTCGTCCATTTTAATACACGCGTAGTTGTAGTCGTGACCAAATCTGATGCACTAGAAACTGTAACCTATCCACACTGCACATACCACCAATCGTTCCTCCTCGGTCAAGATAGCTTGGTCCTGAATGTGCTTAATGCCTAGAACCGTAACCTACCACCGCCCATCCGGACCTGAGATGCTGCAACATGTAAGACATCTTTGCCCGCAGTCAGAACTTTAGAATCTTGATAGTTAAAGTGGATTCTTCGATTCGGCTGGCTGTTGTATTGACCTCTGCCGGTTGACACCGCAAGTCGTCCGACTAACATGTACAGCTTCAATGCGATATGCCAGGCAGTAATTGTGCCATAGGAAGCTCTATGGATTCAACTCGTGCCCGTTAAAACGAGGAATCCGGTTGGAAACAGACTCATACGCCCGCCTTCTGATCACGCGCAAGAAGGATGTGTGACCTGGATCGCGTCGGTTCCTTGGGCATTCAAACGGCACCCGTCCACGATTTTGGATCTTCATTTAAGGGTAAAATGTGTTTTTCCTAGACAAAAACTGTCTAGGTATATCTAAGCTCAATAAAGTGCGTCCTGCCCATCAACTACCCCTTAACGAACGGATTTGTGGAGAAGGCTATACTTTGTTACGCGTTCTGCCTCTCCAATGCGGCACGAAATTTGCAATATATCGGTGGAATCTTGCTTTTGATATTGCGAAAGGCGCGCATGAGTCAAAAGCTCTGCGATGTAGAATTGAGCAGTCTCCTTAATTGCAAATGCCATTAATTGTTAAAGTGTCGTTGTGTATCATCTCGGATGCAAACTTGCTACTGCTCGTTTCGGCCGTTTTATGTTGAATCGCAGGGCGATCACTGGGTACGTCGCCTTATCATCGCATGGAGGAATCAGGAATGCTGCAAGCTCTGCACCTTGCTTGGGTTCTTCACGTCATATAGCTTGAAATAGGCATGACAAGTGCGTCGGCATTCTGTGTATGTCGCTGTTAGGTTCAAGGTTCTACGTAAAAATACACTTCCGAAAATGAGCGGCGGTGCTGGACGAGACAAGACGGAGGAACCCGTTGGGGCACCTGGCACGTCACCGGTGCCTCCTGACGGGAAACATGTCTCAGCTCCTACTTCGGATGAAACCACGGATAACAATGGACTACGTGAAGATGAGCTAGAGGTGCTGCGGCAAGCCGAAATCGCCTTTGAGGCGACCAAAGGCAGAAATATAGACATGCGCCATGACAAGGACTACATGGAGCGCATGCGCATTGAAGCTCGCCGTCATTACCTGGTTAACCGTGAACTGGATCGTCTTGAGCTCGCAGAACGGGCTTTGGGCGAGAAGGAAGTTCTTTACAAGGGCGTTAAAGATGACTCGGCTAAAAAATCGCTTGAGTTCGAGAAAAGCACCGTCGAGTTTGCTAAAACTACAATCGCATCCCGTGCTGCCGATATCAGTGGTTATGTCATGCCCGACTCGTACGATGAGGACACGAGCCAGCGTCTCGAGGTGCTGAAACGAAAGCAAACATACAAGCAGACGGATACTGTAGTTGACGATGGTCAGAGTTGGGAAACACAACAGATGAAGTTGGGTGGACTTGCAAGGGGTTCGGGTGGTCGTGGCCATCCAAGCGCGGTTGTGCCGGGAACGGCACAAATGCAGCCACCAACGGGAATACCAGGCTTAATAGGACTCGACGGCACGATCGATTTCGTCGCCAGTGATTTCCAGTCCGGCGAGCTGCCCACGGAATTTGACACAAAAGCTGTCGGTGTGAATGCGGTGGCTGCGGTGTTCGAGGGCGCGCAAGAATCCAGCGAAGAGGAATACCCCTCCGACTCTGATGGGGAGGATTCAGATTCCACCGCGTCTACAAAGAAACGCAAAACTTTTGCGGATCGCGTCTTGGCGAAACAGCGCCGCAAGCAACGTCAGGAGCACCGTAAGCTCATGGAAGAGCGATGCCGCTTGCCGATTTACAGTTACCGGCACGAGCTGCTGTCAGCCATACGTAACCACCCCATACTTGTAGTCATTGGAGATACCGGTAGCGGTAAGACCACGCAGATTCCACAGTACCTATACGAGGTTGGATATGGAAAGGCTGGTAAGATCGGTTGTACGCAGCCCAGACGTGTCGCCGCCATGGCCGTCGCCTCGAGGGTTTCGCAGGAGGTGGGATGCAAGCTTGGCCAGGAAGTCGGGTACACTATTCGGTTCGAGGACTGCACAAGCAGCAACACAGTTCTGAAGTACATGACCGATGGTATGCTCCTGCGTGAAATGATGACTGAACCGGACCTTGCCAGCTACTCCGTGATTATGATTGACGAGGCGCACGAACGCACAGTGCACACGGACGTCATATTCGGTTTGGTCAAGGACCTGTGCCGATACAGAAAGGATTTCAGGCTGATCGTAGCATCGGCTACTCTGGAAGCAGAGAAGTTTGCGCTTTACTTCGACCACGCACCTATCTTCCGGATCCCGGGGCGGCGTTACCCTGTACAGATATACTACACCAAGGCGCCTGAAGCTAACTTCCTGGACGCTTCTGTAATCACTGTCCTGCAGATTCACGTGACCCAGCCACTAGGTGATATCCTGGTGTTCCTGCCGGGGCAGCAGGAGATCGAGGAGGTCCAAGAGGAGCTACAAAATCGGCTCCGTAACAGGGGAAAGGAGATGCGAGAGCTTATCGTTTTGCCTATCTACGCCACGCTTCCAAGCGATATGCAGGCTAAGATATTCGAGCCAACACCGCCGAACGCAAGGAAGGCCATTCTTGCCACCAACATCGCAGAGACCTCAATCACATTAAACGAGATCGTGTACGTCATCGACTGTGGCTTCTGCAAATTGAACAGCTTCAGCCCTAAAACCGGCATGGAGTCGCTAGTGACTGTACCGTGTTCCAAAGCGTCAGCGAACCAGCGCAGCGGCCGCGCTGGTCGTGTGCGTCCAGGTCACTGCTTCAGGTTGTACACCAAGTTTTCTTATGAAAAGGAGATGGATAATGTCAACGACCCAGAGATCCAGAGAACCAACCTCGCACATGTGGTGCTGAGCCTTAAGGCCCTCGGTATCGATGATTTGATAAACTTCGACTTCATGGATCCGCCCGCCCCCGAAACGCTTATTAAGGCGTTAGAGCTTATTTATGCGCTCGGCGCGTTGAACGATAAGGGGGAGCTTACTCGCATGGGCAGACGCATGGCCGAACTGCCTATGGACCCTACCTATAGCAAGATGCTACTATCGGCGGAAAAATACAAGTGTACACATGAGCTTATCACCATCTGCGCAATGCTGGGCGTGGGCAACAATATATTTTACCGCCCCAAGGACAAACAAATGCATGCGGACAACGCGCGGAAAAACTTTTTCAGGACTGGAGGCGACCACCTCGTCCTCTTGAACGTCTACAACCAGTGGGAGGAGGCTGAGTTCAGCGTAGCCTGGTGTTACGAGAATTACGTGCAACACAAGTCTCTCAGGCGTGCCCGCGACATTCGTGAGCAGCTGGTGGAGCTAATGAAGCGCGTGGAGGTTGAGATCATATCTAACGTCACCGATACAGATGCGATTCTCATGTCGGTGACGTCAGGCCTTTTCACGCAAGCCGCTGTGAGGGGCGGGCCAAAAGGAAGCGGAGCTTATCGCACATTGAAACATCCGCAGAACGTAGACATTCACCCACAATCTGCGTTGTTTGACCAAGAGCCCAAGTGTGTCGTCTACACTGACCTCGTGATGACCACTAGGCAATATATGCGTCAGGTGTCACAGATACGTCCGGAGTGGCTCACGCAGCTCGCTCCGCATTACTACACGAACGATAACCCCGCACTTCAAGGCTCCAAAAAGATGCCCAAGCGCAAAGAATAAGTCCACCTGACCCAGGTGCATAATGTTGTCATATATCACGTGTAGAAGGGTGCATGATACATGTTACCCTCATCATAGATTAAATGTATGAGGGGCATACGAAAACTAGCCAAAGTGTGGTGTGAAACGTTGTGGCGATGAGTCACCTGTGAGCCAGATAGAATGTCAGAACATTTCATTGTGTCCTGCGGCCATATAGTGTTAACCCAGTATGTTCAGCGCACCAACACAATTCTAATCCACACCTTCACGCTCATAATACATGACAAATAAACCGAATTACGAGTTTAGGCGAGGCATACGCAACGGACAATGTAGGAATGGGCTGGGATCATTGAGATGTAGTGGTGTGGGCGTCTACGATACAATGCGAATTAATCCCCCACTTCGTAACCAATAAAACACCAAGCATTGACCACATGAAATATATTCACGTTACATTGTTGCTTCCATATCGAATTCTACGCTGATTACGTGAAGCTACATAAGGCCCTTAAACGGGAAGGCGGAGTATCTATTAGTGTCCATCTCCTCGGTAATCCTTCCACCGACAAGATTATTTGTGGATGCGCCGGAACTTTTTGTCCAGTTAACAAATGCAGCGCGTAGTTCATAGTACACCTTTCGGAATTTTTCATAAAACACAGGCCTCATATGAGGTTGACTGGTAGAACTGCAACGATGCCCCCACCATTTTAGTTTGCGCCTACCACTGGTGGCGGCAGGGTATACACTCATTCTACCCTTGCGAGTACCATCAAGATCTTCTCCGCTGGCCATAGCAAGTAAACGACCCAAAACCTCCGTATATAAACAAACCGCTCCAACGAGCAACACCACGTTCGCCTTGAGGGAAGAATAATAGCATGTACGCTTAAAAGCGTGACTGCAAAAAAATGATGGTGTTCTCAAGTGACACCATCTAAAGGGGTTAACACGCGCTGCACCTTTGCAACGGGTATGGCGCCGAACATCACCAAGGCGCCACCGATATATCATAAAAACGAGACGTCGTAAAGGGGTCCACAGTGTGATTTGTAAACCGCGGGTCTTCACACAATGTATTTCGGGTACACATACATTGAAGCGTGTTACGCCGAAAAGCAACCCGCCAGCTGACGTCCTGAATACAATTCAACAGACGCCAAGAACTCTCATTTTGACGCTGTATGTGTACTAGATGACTATCGTATTAACGAAGCTGTTTATCACAACATTTCACAATTGGAAGCGTTTCGTGAAAATTCGTGACACCCAGTAACTGGGAAAGCCGTGCGCAATATCGCAGTCAAGCTGTTCGTACAGCTCCCGCAATCCCTACTCAATAGAAGGCCCAGAAGCCAGCGAGGTCATAGAGTGTGTCCAATACCTGTTTATTAACGCCGCTCAACCCAGTGCGTATATCGGAACTACCCATCTTGGGGCGCCTTAGCTGCTCATTGTAACCCAGGGCTTCCAGTACACTTCCCAAACTATTCTCACCCATAGAACGCTTGTCTTCCAGAATTGCATCTACACATGTATCCCGCAAAAAGCGTAGGCCTGCGTACAACATTGGCGCTATTCCCACTAGGACCACCGCACAGGCTTCTGGGTCCTCTGCGCATGATTTAGCCCACGTCGCTCCTGAACTGTAAACAGACTCGTAGTGGTCAGGATTTTTTATATCATCCAACAATTTCTCGGCGGCATGCACAACTTCACCTAAATTGGTTGCGATAGTTTCAGGCTTGACATCCCTGGTCTGGACGACATTCTCATATTCGCTTTCTTCGATATCATACACGAAGCTGAGGTATTTGTAGTATTCTTTATGAATGGGTCCATTGAACTTCCCCAGTAGGTCCTTTACGAAAGGAGGGTCCTTGACCATCTGTCGCCTTAGGAATCCCTTGGAAATTAGTTTAACTTTCTCTAGAGCTGGCAACTCTGTAAATCCAACCGGCTTGTCTGCGAGGAATTTGTGAACTGCGGTGCCCATAGCCGCCAAGTTCCTTTCACCATCCTTTCCCTTCAGGGCGACCAACCAGTCAATAGCCTCCTTCAGGTTGCGGGGAATGGCAGTCAACGAAGTGTATACCATTTTGTAAGGGTTTATTAAAATGGACAGTTGCTGTAAACGTATGTATTTCTAGCCTATTTCCAGGCAGGTTTTGCAAACAGCAACGTGAACGCCAGCTGTCTCAATCCCAGAAGAGCATAAGCGTTATTCAGCCCTAACAGAGAGGTGCCTTATCGCAATTCGCAAACCCGTTTACACACCAAACAGGCAGAATTGGAGGCGCAATGAGAACTAGAGTGTCGTGTTGCAGCCAGTTCCACACATGTAACGTGACATGCACTACGCACAACGCGAGTTATTGTCTACGTATGTTCCAGACAAGGAACGCAGATACGGAACCTAGAGTGGTTAGTATAATTTTAGGGGCACCCGAACGTTTTAAATGTCACAATGGGTTGCAATCAGTACGTTAGAGAGTCTATGGCGTATCGCGGCACCTGTTTGTTTTGAACACGGCGGCTACATAATAAGGAATGCGACCGCTGATTGTACCTCTTCTGCGATTAGCATAATTGTTTTTGCTCTAAATCGATGCTGCAATTTTCGCTTGGCGCCTCTGTGTGGACTGCCATTGGTGGCTTTAGCGCCGTGGTAATCTGCTGGGGATAGCGCTGTTTGGTCGAATTAAAAACTACACGCTATGTTATATAAGGTCACGTTCCTCGTAAAACACACATGGTATCAGCTGCAATCGTCTGTTGAAGTGGAATCCAGCGCACGACTGCGTTTGGAACTGCTGTGTGTATGCGGACGATGTTGTGTCTACGTATCCCCTTAGGGTGCGTGAGTTGAGAACAAATGTTGCAGTTCTTGAGGTAAAGGAATAGATTCAATTTGCATATGCTTTGTCCCAAACTTGTTAGCTCCCAGGCAGCCTGATCGAAGCGTTAGGCATTGCAACAGTTGGTGACTAATGGCTTCGATGCCACTGCATACGTACTTTTAATGTGAATTTATAGACCATCAGTGCGTCTTTTCGTGACGTTATCTTCCATCCTCTCAACCTCCGGCATTTGCAAATTCTTACCAATGTCTACGTCGGCGCTCCTGATGGCACTGCCCTGATAATTGAGTTTGCTGTTACACTGTCTGGTCTTACAGCTGCCGGAGATAATTCTCTATATTGTCGATGCGCTTTTTACCGTTCCAAATTGTTATACCCCTTTCGAGACCATTATCTCTCAAATCTTGCAAAGCGTTTATAACGTCATCTCTATTGCCATATTTGCCTTGCAACTTCCCTCTAAGCAGTTCAAGCTCCGCCTTAATAAGGGTGACGGCTGTGCCAATTTCTTTGGGTCCGCTGGTAAACGGATTTGATTGCAGATCGTTAATCACCGATTGGATTTGTTCTAGACCCTTAGTAAAGCCATTCCAAAGGGCGTTACCATTTTTATTACTAAGCGCATTTTTTAGTTCAGCCAACCATTGCTTGATGCCATTTTGCTTATCACCGACGTGGTAGGTTGGCGGCGTGCCCTTTGTATTATCAACCAACCCGGCGATCGCTTCAACCTGATTCTTAATTTGGCCGAACGGAACGGTGAATGTTTTGTCATCTATCTTATTTTTGTCCAGGGTGCTGTCACCTAATGTATTTTCAAGCTCTGCCAGACCCACTGTTTTTATGTTGTGTATCGCTTTATCAAGATGTCCGTAAGGAAATTTCGTCAACGGTCCAATCCCTATGTGCTCTGTATAATTCTTAAACGTACCAGCAAGTGTGACTTTAGTTGGTTGCCTTTTGGGACTACCTGGTGCAGTGCTGTTCGGATCATCCCTCCCAATGTGCTTCTCAAGCAGATCTTGAAGGTCTTTGGGGAGCTTATCTTTGATCTCATCGTGAGATTTTTTGAATTCATTCATGAGTTCATCACCAAGCTCAATTGGACCACTCGGTTTATCACTAATCTGCCCAGCCGCCTTCCCGATCGCCGTCTTGGCCGCAGCCTTGATCTGCTGTTCGGCGGACTTGTTGAAAGCGTTAACGGCGGCGGGAAGTTTTTCGACCTCAGTCTTAAGTGGCTTTTTGACATGGTTATTAAAATCATTTACAAGGTCGTTATTTACCTTCTGCCTCACCGCCTTCAACTTACTGTCCACGGCTTCGGCGGGGCTTTCTTGGTTGGAGGGGCCTTGTTTGGGGTCAGTAGCCGCGGTAAGCTGGCTGTGAAGATCGTTCGTTGTCTCGTACACCGCGTCCAGGATGCCCGCGATGCTGTTTTCTGTTTTGCCGGCAAGCAGCACCGACTCCAGTTCGTTGCCCACCTGGCGGGACACGGAGGAGACTGTGCAGAGTACGGTGGCGATGAAAGCCTTTTCCTTGCAGTCCTGCTTATGGACACTCCCTTGGCCGTTACAGTTTGTGCAGCCTACGCTCTCGCAGATGCATTTTGTGGCGTTGAAATTGTTATTCTGCATCTTCTGCTTGACCTCGGAGTATATTCCACCGAACTCATTACTGTTCAGCTTCTTGTCAAGCGCTTCGGCGAACGCATCACAGCCTTGTTTCACAGCGTTGACGTATCCATGAATCTTTTGGGTGCCGCCGCCCGCTCCTTTGTTTCCGTTTACAACCTTTTCACCGGCTTCAGTTGATTCGCTCTTTAGCTGTTCCTTAAAAGCATCTGCGACGTTGGTGAATACATCTTTCTCACTCTCATCATACGCAAATTTCTTATCAAGCATCTTCCTCACCGCGCCGTTATGCTTCAAAATGGTCTCTTCAATCCAGCCCTTAACTATAATATTAAACTTTCCCCCGTCATCCCCGCTGAACGCATTGGCGTAACTCTGCACCTTGCTCTGAATCCCGTCCAGACCTTGACCACCATTATTCTCCCAACTACCTTTTTGTCCCGGCTTCCCCTTAATTTTACCAACTTCCCCTTTAACATGCCCGAAAATCTTTTCAAGCATCTTATCACCGTTTAGACTAAACTTCCCGCCTAGCGTCCCAATCGCCGTTTCAACTTCTTTGACTTTTGTGTCAAGCGGATTTTGGATCGCAGTCTTAAAATTGTTGTCAAGCTTATCCATCTCCCTCTTAATTGAGCCGGTGTCCTTATGGGTAACTTTTTCAAGAGTTTGCTTCTCTTCTGCAAGGTTTTCCAACGCCTGTTTAACAAGCTCATTAGGTTTGGAATCATCGTCCATATTATTTTTAAGCCCCTCAATCTTCTGCCTCAACGTCCCCAAATCATCTTTCACTTTCGCATCCAATTCCTTAACTCCCAGACTCGTAATCACCTGATTTATCCCACTTTTAATCTTCTCTTTCACCTCCTTCAAATCCCTCTTGAGATCTCCGTCCATCTTCACAACAGCCTCCAACGCATCGGTGACCAAATTCCCAACTTCCTCCTTGGCCGCAGTCGCAGCCTTTAATAGTCTGTTACCATCCTTTTGTAACTTTTCAGCTTGCATATAAATCGGACCTTTTTGACCACTTTTATCTGTTTTAACTTTCCCCAATATTAAATCACACTTCTTTTCCGCATTTGTAATAACTTCCCTGGCGGTCTTATTCCACTTACCTAAATTGGCAACATCAGTTTTAAGTAAGTCATTCGCTCTTTTAATATGTTGGTTGCTTGTGCTAATTTTATGAATATTAGTGTGAATTGGATCCGACATTAGAGGTCCACCGCCAGACCAGGGATGACGGCAGTCGGCTGCTGAGGTGGATGACCAAGGTGGCAAGCAAGGAGCATCTCAGAAAATAGAGTACAGTGTAGGTTAGGTGGTAGGTTACATGTTAGGTAAGCAGTTAGGTTAGGTGCTTGGTTAGACATTTGGTTAGGTGATAGGTAAGCCGTTTGGTTAAGTAGCGAGTTAGGTGCTATGCAAGGCGGTACATACAGTCACCGTTAAAGACATAACATGACAACACAGGGAATGTGAATGTGAATGTAGCTACGACAATTAATATCATGAGATAAAGTCATCGTCGAAGTAGTCGACGTCCTTGTAGAGTGAGAGCATCCTGCGGCTGCCGGCGAGCAGCGCCTTGACGTCGATGAGGTGGGAGGCCCTGGTAGTCAGGAGGTGCGAGCGGATGCGCAGCACGTCCATGCGGTAGAGGAGTGAGTGGAGGATGTAGAGCGTGGCGATGAGCCAGAGTGCTATGAGGGTGAAGAGGAAGGGCATCCGGATGTGCCAGATGAGCTGGTCGTTCTGGTGGAACAACTCCCTGAAGTGGTTGGAATGCAGTATCTTGGTGAGTTGGCCGTTGAGGTCACTGCACCGTATCTTCTGGCTGCCGGCGACCAGGACGTGGGCGTTGCGATATGCGAATCCGTAGCGGTAGAGTGTTGGGAGGGGTCCGCCGCATTCTACGAGTGACGGGCAGTGGCAGGCGTCCTTGTGGCCGTGGTTGCCGGGAGGACAGAGGCACGTGGCGCAGCCGTGGGCCGTGCAGTCGATGTTGTTAAAAGCATCACGCAGTTGTTGCAGCAAATCCCAGAACTGCCATGCCAGGTGTACTACCCACGTGAGGCAGATTTGGGCGTGTTTCTGCGGGAAGGTGTGGTTGGCGTGCAGCGACAGCGGCTGGAGGAAGGGGGCGCAGATGTATTGTTGTTGACAAGGCGGCTCGGCGGAGAGACTTGAGAGCGCATCGTGCCCTGAGTTCTCATGCTCATGGCTGGCGAGTGCCTGGAGGGCGTCGGTGAGATTGGCATTACGGTAACTGCCGTGGAGCTGAGTCCACAGAGGGAACAGCTTGTCGATGGCCTCGTCGCTCAGGTGCGTTACGTAACTCTCATGGTGAGAGTACGCCCGCCGGGATGATTCGTGATCCCACATTCTGAGCAGTTGAGTGAAGAGCGAGAACACGTCGCCGAGTGACTGCGGTGCGGTGGGGCACAGCAACTGCAGCGTTCGGCAGAGTTGGAAGAGGCACGCGTCGGCGTCACTGCAGAGACGGCCGAGTGACTTGGCAAGATCCTTGCCGGTGCGTCTCATGGAGGCTGCCAGGCCAAGGTCCCAGAAGCCTAGCGGGGTGAGGCACTGCTGGCCCGGCAGGTTGGAAGGGCAGTTGGCACATTCAATGGCACTGTCAACTACACTGAGCTTATGCGGCAGGAGGTTGGGACAGCTGTCGGTGAGGAAGGACTGCAGCGGCGATGTGGGCGGGCAGTTGTGACTTGCGTCGGTGGCCTGGTTGTCGTAGGTGTTACACTGCCAGTGGGAGTACGGCACCCGCCGGCCGTAGTGGCATTCCCGCCAGCCCTTGGTTTCGGCGGTGGCACGGCAGCACTGGGAGTAGAGGAAATAGAGCACTGAGCACAGACGGCATACTATCTGCCTCAGCATATCAAGCAGATCGGCGGGGTCAGCCGGGTAGTACAGCTGTGCGCGGTTGTTGGCGAAGTCGACGGAGTAGGGATAGGCGGCCAGGTTGAAGCCGCGGCCATGGCCTTGGATGGTTACGAGCAGTGACGTGGAGTGCGCACACGATGATGCTATAGTGTACGGCAGACTAGTAATGCACTGTGCCATGACTGTGTCGTCCCTGTTGGGGGTATCGTTATCGTCGCACTTGCGGTCGAGCAACGCTCTGCAGTGGTCAGGCAGTTTGTCCGCCACCGGAGTGTACTGCAGGCCGGACAGCCACGACAGCATGTCCCTGACTGTGCAGGGGTATCTGGGCGTCGAAGGGATATTCAAGTGGCACGCCTGGAGGTAGCGACACGCCATGTTATGGAAAAGCGCAACTAAGTCAACGACACTAATTTCGTTCTCTGCCGACTTGCCATCGATCAATATTTTGACACTCACGTCGGCAACTGGGGATGCAAATAGCTCATGAACTGCGCCGCCCGAAAATTGATTCTGTAACTCCCCCTCCTGGAGTCCGTCGGTCGTTGACACCTTGTAGCCGCATCTGGTAAGGTAGTTGCCCAGGCCGTTGTCCCTTCCGTCGCCGGTCAGCTTGCATATTTTGTTGCTTCGCCAGTTGCTGCCGCATTTCTCTGCCAAGTTGTGGAACGCATTGTGCGTCATCGGGATCATGCTGAGAAACGCCTTGGCGTACTTGTCGGCGTCCGCCTCCCGGCACTCGGCGCCCGAGTACGCGGAAACGTAGCAGTGCTTGAACTCGGCATAGAAAGCGCGGAGGCCTTCCACCACTCCATCTAGCACGCGAGTTGAGGGCTTGGCGAAGCTCTCAGGTCTAAGGTCATTGAGGGCGTTGGTCAGCGCGGCGAGCAGATCGGAGAGTCTGTGGTCATAGCCTTTTTTGTCGTTGAGGTAAGTGAGTAAGTTGGTGAGTGCGTCACGTATCATGAAAAGCTTGTAGGAATATGTCTGTTCATCCGTGCCCGGCGGATTCCTTTCCGCACTATTTTGCTTATGCGCCCTTATAATCTCTTCGTTGACATAGCCACTCAACGGTCCGAAGAATTTCACGAAGGCCGATGATACTGCTGAGACATCTTTTCGATCCTTGACGTTTACAAGTTTATTGATATTTTCTCCTTTCGCGGTGCTTATATCATCAGTTGTCCCATCTGCCATATTTTTCATAAACCCCTTGAAGCCTTTACGCAGGTCATCGTCGATCTCGCCTGGCAGTCCCTCTAGCTCCGTCTCCACCTTGGCGGCGAAGACTTGAAGCATCTCCCTGACGGTGGACACGTACTGCCGGCGGGCCTCGGCGAGCAATTTGTTTTCCTCTGCCTCCAGTTCCTGCTCGACGTACTTTGTGAGCTCGTCGATGCATCGCTGCTTGAACACGTCGGCGTCTCTCTCAATGAACTCCTTGCAGTCCTTTATGGCGCCTTTCACCAGCGTGATGTGCAGGTGCTGGAGATCATCTCTAATTTTGACAAGCCTGTCACCGATCATATTGTCTTTCATTAGCTTCAAGTTGTCTTTCAGATCTTTCGCCGCGTTCTTAATGACACCGCGCAAGATGCTGAGTTTATCTCTTACATCTCCGACATCCGTAGATTTTATGTCGCTGATCCCATTTGTGATTTTAGTAAGGCCATTGATTTTTTGGCTGCCAAGGTTCCACTCACCGTCCGCTAGGCCTTTGCTTTGCAAGTCCCGCAGCCTGGCGGTAACTTCACGCTCCAACTTGTTTCTTTGTTCGTCGAGTTCATTTTTAATTTCGCCAATGTGTTGAGTGATTACGCTAGTTTTCCCCAAATCGCCTTGTTGCAGACCGTGGATATCATTCGTAATGTCCTCAAAAGCCCTAACATTCGTATTATTATCAGTCCAGTTCACACCATTAGTCAGACCATAATTCTTCAACGTAGTCAGTTTAATGGTAACATTGTCATGCAGCTCATTCTGAAGCCTCATAAGTTCGCTTTTAATTGCCTCATTAGCTCTGTGAATTTCGATGGGTTTTGTAATAAGCGGCCAATTTTGTTGCCAATGAATTTCATCATAAATTCTTTGGAGATTAACGCTGTACTTGTCCTTACTTTTACCCATCATTTTTGCCAACTCTTTCAACAGGTCTATGACGTCTTCAGGGTTTCCACGATGGTCCAACTTGAATCCGATTTTCATAAGCTCGCCTTTTATTTCGTATATGGCATCGGCGATGTTTTGCGTTTGGGTTGGCAATATTGCATTTTGTGATTTAATCTCACTTTTAATGTTTTCGAATCCCCTTGCTTTGGGACCGTCATTTTCCCAGTTTCCACCACCATGCATAAGCCCCTTCTCTTTCAGGTCCGCCAACCTTCTGGTAACGTGATTCCGTAAATCACTCTGGAGTTGTGAAAGTTCCCGGGTAATAACGTCGACTGCACCGCCAATTATGCCGGGGTGCCTAGTGAACTCATTGATTTTCAGATTTTTAATGTCCTTATGAATTTTCATCAGTGCTTCGACTTGTTGACCGCCAACTGGCTGCCATTTTTCCTTGGTGTTGAGACCCTCTTTTTGCAAATTGTTCAACGCATTGACAATGGCAGTTTTGTTATGGATGTCCTGTTCATTCCTCAACTCCTTCCTAAGCTCTTTAAGAGTCGACTTAATAAGGCGGACGGCTTCTTCGATGCCAGTGGTTTTGCTGAATTCATCTTTTTGCAGATTTCCAATAACCTCCCTGATTTTATCGAGGCATTTGTTAGAGTTATCCAAAGCTTTATCTTTAAGCCCCTCTTCAAGCTTTTTCAACAAATTTTGGATACCTTCTTGGCCATCCGGCAAAAGCTTCAGAGACGGCGGCTTTTGCTTGTCACTACTAACAAACCACGCGATTTCTTTGAGTTCTTCTTCCACCGTGGAGAGATGCTTCGAGACTGCTTCTTTTGCTTTTATTACTTGGCCTGTTTTAAGTTGTTCTTTCCCTTCTTCAACGGTGAAAGCATTCATGTCCTCGAAAGGCTTCATCGCCTGGGGGATGTCTTTAAGCAACTGCTTATATTGGCTGTCTTTTTTGTGTACATCCTTTCCATCTCGCTTCTCTTTATAATTCTCCATGATCTTTTCAAAGTCCTGAGGAATATTATTTTTGATCTTCATCCCCTCTTTAACCTTCTCCTCAATCCCCTGAACGCTCTTCAGAATTTCATTGTCCTGGCTGGAAGATGCGGCGGGGGGTGTTTTGTTCTTTTTATTTGCTTCTTTTCCAGCCTCGTCGAGATTATTGTGAAGCTTATCAGTTGCCGCCTTCGCAGCGTCCAGGAACGTTGCGATGTTTCCGTCTTCGGGGCTGAGAAACAGTGAATCAAGTTCCTCGCGGACCTGCTGGGCCACGGATGACAGGGCGCAGAGTGTAAATTCCACGATCTGACTAACTATGCACTCGGGTTTCTGGCATCTTGCGCACTCTTCTGGTGTTTTCTTATCGCAGTTCTCTCCGCACTCACATTTGCAATTATTGGCGGCCTTTTCTATGGCCTTTCTTGCATCCTCTGTTCTGCCGCCGCCGCCTCCATAACTCTTAAACGCCCCCTTAACCTTAGAGACTATGCCAGATATAGCACTGTTCGTGCCCTTCAGCTTGTCATCCATCACCTTGGCAAACGCCTCGCAAACGTCGTGGACGTATTGGATTTTGTCTTTCATGCTGTTCTTAGACTTGCCTTTTAATTTATTCATGGCTGTTATGAAGCTTTGGTCATTACCGGTATCTTCTGCATCATAAAGATAGTTAACGTTTAGCCTGCCACTGATGGCAAGCGCGAGATTGGCATGGTCATTGTTTGCATCATCCCACCCGAGCTTAGTTGTCAGCAGGCCGTTGTGTAGCAAAATACTGTCATCCAGCCAGCCTTTCACTATATAAGATTGAAACGCTCTCCCTTTGAACGCTTTGAAATATTTCTCCACTTTTGTGTTAATGCCTTCAAGGCCGGAGCCCTGTACTGTCCATGTACCATCGCCATTGAGGCTCCCCGCCTGCCCCTTAATCTTCTTCACATCCCCCTGAATCTGCAAAAGCATCCCACCAACATGTTCTTTCATATTCTTCACAATCTCTCTCTGCAGCCTCTCCAAATCCTCTTTCATGCCGGTTTCCAAATCCTTGATAGCGTTAGGAACTGCCGACTCCAATGCCTTAACATTCTTATGCGCCGTGCTGTAAGCGTCCAAAAGGTTCTCAGCTTTTTTCTGTAAGGCTTGGGTGTTTATACCAATTTGCGTACCCTCAGTTTTGCCATCTTTAATAACTCTCTCCAAAATTTTTTCACACTTCACTTTTCCAGCTGCGACAATTTTGTCAGCCGCAGTATGCCAGTTATTCAAGTGCCCAACTTCCTCACCAAGACTCTGATTCGCATTTTCAATCGCCTTTTTTGCGGTCTCAATGTTCTCAATATTTTTTCCAAGCGATTTATCTTCTTTTTTTGTTTCATCCAACGCTTTCCACACATTCTCCGCCTTCCTTACCGCACTTATAATAACACTCTCCGCCTCCACCTTCCAGTCACTCAAACTCTCAAGATGACCGTGAAGCTTATTTTTAGCATCTTCAAGTCCTTGTCTTGCTGTCTTAATATTATTAATTTTCTGACCAATTTTATGCTTATCGTCATGTTGATTAGGATCCAACTTATTCTTCACATCCACCGCCTTATGAACCGCTGTGCTAAGCACTCTCTCCGCCGCTTCCTTCCACTGTCCCAAATCGATGTCAGCATCGTTCAGCCTTTTATTAACTTCAACAATATTCTTATTCGCCGCTTCAATAATTTTAATATTTTTAGTGAGCTCCGTTTCTTCCCTTTTACCAGTCTTTGACTCCTTATACTTTTTCAAGAAGTCATAGGCCCCTTCAGCCATTTTCTGTGCCTTGTCATGAATGTTCGCCGCTTTATTAATCCAATTTCCCAGACTCTCTACCTCCCTTCCGAGAGTATTATTTGCATCTGAAATTTCCTTGTTACATTCTCCAATTGCCTTAATATTTTTACCAACAACACCGTCTTGCTTAGTATAATCCAAGCTGCCACGCACTTGATTAGTGTTTAAAATCACACCTTCAAGCAAAGTGTCCGCCGCACCTTTCCAGTCACCTAACTCAGTGATATGGTTGCCAAGTTTTGTATTAGCACCGATAATATCATTGTTCGCGTTAGTTATGTTCGTTATGCTCTTACCAATTGTAGCTGTTTTATTTTCATGAACCAAATCAATATAAATCTTATCCGCATTAACACCTGCAAGCGCAAGAATATTCTCCGCCGTGCTTTTCCAAATATTCAAGTCCTTGACTCTTTCCTCCAGCTTCTCCTCAACTTTTTCAATAGCCTTGTCAAGTTTATCCTTGCTTTTTTTTGGATCATCAAGTTCATCATAAATGTTCTGCACCAATCTCAATGCTGCATCTATAATTCCGTTAGCCTCCGTCATCCACTTGCCCAGGTCAAAGGTGCATTTTCCCAACAGCACACTTATTCTGTTAAGCTTAACTAAGATGTTCCCAACCAATCCCTTTAGCCTTTCCGCAAGTTCAGTAACTTCCTTCCGAATCCTTGAGTTGATATTAACTTTGAGTTTCCTGAAGGCCTGCTTGATCAACTTGACCATAGCCTTATAGTTGTCAAGTTGCTTACTGGTCCACTTCTTCAGCATCGCAGTCTCACGGCCGACGCTGTTACGGGCATTATGAATTTTGTCACGCAACGATCCATTCAAATCATCAAACGCATCTTTCATGTAATGCTTATGTGTTTTAGAAGTGAAGGCTTTACCGAAGTCCTTACCCTTTCCAATGCATTCCTTCGCCAATTCCTCGGCTGCCTTAACGTCAGGGTCTGAAGGATTAGTTTCATTTAGGTCACGTATATTAGGAGGCAACTCACCACCTTCACTTTTGACGTATGCGATAATGTCACTGATCGGCCTCTTGACTCTGTCATTGGAGTCCTTAACCTTTCTGTTATATTCCCCGAGGCCACTGGCCACCTTGGGGATGACAGACTTGAAGCCATGATGGCCAGCCCATCTCGCTTTTTCGAGGTCGCTAACCAGGCCACTCAACAATGCTCCACCAACAACATACGGCTGATTATCACGGACATCACTGAACACTCTATGCAAGAAGGACACAACTGCATCGCACAAACGGGAGGCGGAGCCATACACAATCCCGGAACCGTTGTAGGTTCCAGGAGGCTGATAGCCTAAAAAGCTCTCAACGGCGGAACAGATATTATGTAAAATGTTTTGATTATTATTCGAAGAGTCTTTCGGAAAAGAGCTCCGAAACGTTTGAAGCTTGGAGATAACATCTCTGGCGGACGGCTCATCTGATTCGGGGACAGACGGCAGAGCTTTTTCACCGTCCTGAACAACATTGTCGAACAACTTACTCAGAGCTTCGGACAGCCTTGGGATCCCGCCACCCTGCTTCACCTGGATGAGCCAGTCGATTGCCTCTCGAAGGTTCTCGGGGCAATCCGTCAAAGCTTTCGGTGCCATGCCATCGAGATTCGAACAGTGTCATCGCTAAGCAACAATGCAACATGCCGGAGCTACACAAGGCAACATGTCCACACGGCTGAGTAAACTGAGTGCATAGGCTGTTAGGTGAAATTATGAGCGAAGAAAATGCATCATCATATTTATGAGCCACAAGCCCACAGATACCCGTAAAATACATGGAAATATTTTTAAAGTCAAACGAAGCATTCCACTCACCCAAGCGGGGATGATGGCAACAATCCTAGGAATCCGGCGATCCAGGGTCCAAGCTGACGTGTAAAACTAGAGCAAGGTGGGAAGGCGGTAAACTTCATCAAGATCTCGAGTGAAACAAAGCTTGTTTGCCCCTACCCTGCATCACTACCCCGCCAAGCGGCCTCCCCTCAGCGCTCCGTGACCATCCAGGCCATCGCCACCTTCCCATTACCATGGATACCACTGCCGCGCGCCTTGCACCACAAACATAACACGCCAACAACCCATGTAAACAGGAAAGTCGGCGCACCATGTATTATCAAATAGTATCAAAGTTACCCTGCCCCAATTCCACCCACCTTAAACCACGTTAACGTGCTACCTGTAACAATGTATCAAGATGAAGGTGCGCTACCAACTGCCTAACTGAGATCCACAACAGAATTAAGCCATTTGTCACTTCCACAAGGTTGCCTGTCAATGCCACTCAACTAGGCCGTACGCTGCCCATTGTGTCAGATAATGTCACAGCGTCACTCATAGAAGACTTCTATGTCCGTTCACCTGGCCACCTTAATGTTATCAACTCATTTAACATATGGCTTACCATGTCGCCTAGCACGAAACCCCTCAGCTGCTGAGATGAATTATCAGCCAATCAACTTCGTATTCCAGTGTAGGTGCTGTATGACGCGGTGCTAATCACAAATTGGCTACTACACTGACATGATGGGTATCCTACATTATCTGTTCGGTTGCTAGTTTGGTGGGCTGGGTGATCTAGGAAGTGGCATCATCAAGGCGGTGAGCGCCGTGGTTATAGTGATGACAACAATCACGGTGAGAAGTACTTGATGTTGGCGAGTGCTTTGACGCGTGCGGCGATCCTGTGGCTTGAAGGTGATCTCAGGTGGGAGCGTATCCTCAGGACGTCGAGGCGGACGACGGTGATGTGCAGCAGGTACAGCAAGGAGAGGGACCAGAGGGCTAATAAGAGGAAAGTGAAGAAGTTGAGAAATGTTGAAGGATTATTTTAGGCACAATTTTAGGGTGATTTGGGGGAGTTTGGAAAAAGGCGATTTTAGGTGGAGGGAGGCAGCGAGTGGGTGAGGGAGGTGGGTGGACAGGGTGAGGGAGGTGTCTGGGTGACAAGGTGGTGAGGATGTCGGAGGCCTCAGGTCTGAGCGGATGTGAATACTACACTGAGCCGTGTTAATACTGCTCTTTTAGCGAATGCGCACCTAATCTGCTGCGGCGATGTAATTCATGAACTCGTTGCCGGGCTCCTGCCGACGCACTATTATGATACATTAAATAACACAATACTAGATTGGCGTCATGCCGTTACTGTCTAAAGCTGTGCGATAAATGCGATTATAAAAATGTTGAAAGGTATTATAGAATGCGATACAAGACGTTCACCTGCGGACCAAAAAATCGCGGACCTTGTGGAACGGCCGAATGCGTTTGATGATCATAACGCATACTACGACGAGGATGATTGCGATGATGGGAACTATGACAATGCATATGAATTTGTTTCTACAACATGTACAATCACATGTGAACAAATTCGTGTCTACGCATTTAGAACAATCAGAATGACCGTGTGGCTCGGAACGTTTCTTTTCGCAAGCTATGCACTGTCCCCTATTCTTACATCCCGGACAACACCAGTTACAGCACTGGCAACTCTGTCTACATGGCATATTACAAAAACACCCTTGTGCTGCCATCTTCCCCTAGATCATTCGTCATCAACCTGTACAGCATGAAACACGTACCTCTAGCCCCGAATACTAAGACCGATAAGCCGTCAAATATTATGTATCCGGTTAGGCCCAGACAACCGCCAGGAATATGACAGCCGCGCGCTAGGCACCACAGAGATACCACGCCTAGCGGGACAATATATTGCCAACCTTGCCGCGAAATTCGCTGAGCAGATGTCTTGGAAGTTGTAAGCGTACTCATTAAGTGATGTTATATATTATTAAGGACGCATCTTTATAGAATAGCATGTTTTGCAATGCTATAGGGCCCATTCCTATCACTCGCATCCCACCTTGTAAGACCCTTGTGCCGTCCACCCAGCAACACGTCTCATTTTTGTTAGCCACCAAATTCTTACATTACACATGTCCCTTGATACTGGTCGTATTTATTATATATTAGTAAACTTAACATAGAACCACGCAATTTTACAGGATGCCTCACACCATAAACCCTAATGAGGTCGTCCTCATTTATAACTCTCACCGAACTCGTTTACTCGTTTGTGGCATTGACTAAATCACGCTTATGTTCATTTCTTTCGTTATATTCAACACCTCATTAAGAGATATTTGCTTCCCTTACCCATCCCATCAATCTGTAAGCCATGTGGCTGAGCCCGGTGAAACCTCGAAACCCATAGTTAGAAACCTCCAGTACAACCCACTGTGGCATTACATTACATGGTAGGTACTGTGCCGTGAAGATACAATTGTTACACCAAACCATGTCTGTTGTCGCAGTTACAGGTGGACTGACGTTGCCTGGCCTCACGCCCTAAAACCTTAACAATGTTACTTGATGAAATTAATTACGGTAAGAGGTACTAAATGTTGTCGATTATTGTGTCTTAAAGTCATTGCCTCTCTTTTAACATGGGACTTGGAATGCCAATGATCGTATTTCACCTTTTTCATCACGGCGGTGCCAAAGGCGAAGTAAAGGCATGGGCAGATGCGATTACATTTCACATCCTTTACTCAAGTTTAAGGCCATCCACACAAGTCATAAATCGCTAGCGTAATACTAGAACATGACGGTATGTTGTACCATCAAAATTAATATTTTATGGCTGAGTGTAGCCTGCCACAGAAATACCTAAATCAACATGGGACCACCATAAACAATTAAAGCAAACTAATTAGTACAATTCATCAACAAATTATCGCTTCGCAGTTACTCATCACTTGGCGTAGTAATTCTCAATCTGTACCGTTGAGAGAACGACGCCCTTTACGGTGACGCAGCGGCATTCCAATGGCGGAGTCTGGCGCATCGTCTCACCGGGTCCTATGAGCGAACTGTATAAACGCAGGATGACGAAGTGGTTGGAATGTGAGGATACCAATGATTTGCTTAGGTCACCTGTGTTCGTGACAACACCGCCCACAGATACCTGGCTGAAGCAGTTGGGTGGATCCAGGACGTATGGCGCAGGGCAGTAGAACGCCGCCTCGCCCGCAGCCTGTATGTCGATCTTGCAACCAAACTTGAGTTGTCCGTGGGCGTTGTAGAGTTTGGGTGTCTCAGGTTTGAATAATTCAACGGATGACTGGGTAACGCCGCAGCCTTGCATGTAGGGGTCCGTTGTCTCGACGTTAACCTTAACGACATTCCACGTGTATCGTGCCAAGGATCCGATAGTCGGTAGATTGGGGAAAGCAGACATCTTACCAGTGATGACGGAGAGGTCCGATGCGTCGGGCGTCTTACCGCAGACGTACCTAATGGGCACGTATTTCTTGTGTAGCGGATCTTTAGATATAAGAATGGCGCCTCTATGCGATGTGATCGCCAATTCTTTACATCGTCGTCTCTTGTCATACTCGCTATATCTAACTTCCAGGCCTCCCGGCGTAGTAACAAGTGAATCTGTGTACGCCGCTTTTACAAGCGCAGGCCCACCTGGAGTTTGGTTCACTGTATAATAGAAGTATTCAGAATTCTCTGGCAGCCATGTAATGTCTATCGCCCCATTATTCTCGACGTTTTGCACCTCTGTATCAATAGCGCAACTCATGACCAACGTCGTCCCCGCTTTTAGCATAATGTGCTTTTTCGATGCGTGCGGTGCCGTAATCAATGTTGTTAATGTCGGTAATTCATTTGATAATCCGAACTCACTCACTGGGGGCAACAAGTGAGGCGCAACCATGTGATACGCTTCTTCGAGACGCACTAGGTACGTTTCGGTCTCGTGACGATTGGTTTCAAAAACAAGCCTGGATTTTTCATACCCACCTTGATCGACACACACGCAAGCGTAGCTGACAGGGCAATTGTTGAGGAAGTAAAAATCTAAAACCTGAAATCCTCGAATGTTGTTGCGCGTTGCAGTTCGAACAGTTCTAGGAGGTGGTATTATACGATTGGAGTAGAGATCATATCCCACGGAGTCACAGTTGTTTGGCAATAGCTCCTCACCGGGACTGCAGTGGATGCCAGCCTTCATATGTCCCCTCATAATATGTATTGTGCATTCGTATGTAGGTCCAATACCATTTTCCATTTGTTTGACTGAACAATACCTTTTACTCATCCCCGGATCAAACACGCCCTGCGGCCCTCGGTCGCAACCAACCATAAGGTAGCTATGAGTAAACGCAAGGGATACATTCACAATGGCGCGAACCTTATCTAGAACATTCTCGTTCCTAGATATCAATGTCCAATGATACAAAAACGAGCTGTCCCCTCCTATTGAAGCGAGGAGCTTGTTCGGATGGTACTTCAGTTTTATCTCTCCACGGGACATTTGGGAAACATCCAGCTCGAGGGCATCGCCAGCAAGGGCTTTGTTGTATAGGATTTCTTCGTAAAGATCAACGTCATATGTTGTTTTAAGCTGTCTCAGTGAAGTTAGGTCCTTCGGTAGGAATTCAGTTTCGTATTCATAAATGGATGGCAGTTGCGAAAATGGGAGAACCAAAAGGTCATCTTCGAAATCGTAGTTATAATCTCCGGTGATAGAACACGAATCGACACTCGCTATTGGCAACCGTATGGTCAATGCACTACCTGGGTGTAACATCACAGAACACCAAGGACCATGGATGGGGCGGAAACGGTTAAGGAATATCATGCTGGCGATATCACAGATGTATTCGTTTTTTGAACGGATCTCAATTCTGGCCTTCACCCGCCCAGTTTCGGGATCGACGCACCTGCATTCGCCATGAAAAGGCGATAATGCTAATTTGTTAAAATATTGTACTACAGCCAAAGGTTTGTTGTTTTCAAAAGCCCAATAAAAGTGTGGTTGGGGAGCCTTCACAACTTCGCCATTTTTGTCCAAGAGTGATTTCATGCAATCCTCAGGTTCAATCCTGCCCTCGCAAAGGAACCCTATGGGTGATAACGACACCGGATCCGCCACGCATGAACGCGTGCCCATCGCTCGATCTACGACTACCTTATTATCCGGAGAGAATATTGGAGAATGGCGGCTGCCACAGCCTTGAAGAGGTAGCCGGGTTCGATCTCGGTAAACGTTAAATATGCCCAATCCTGTTCCTACCTTCTTTATTTCTTGGGTCAACTGAGAAGCTGGATACCATGGGAATGCTTGCATTTCGGCTAATCCATTGAGGCGGTCGAGGTGGCGTTGCAATGCATCACTCGGTACCAAGTTTCGTGGACCACAAATGAATATCAAGCGGGGTTCGGTTATGGCATATATCTCTGCCATCTGGAAATCCAACTTTAGTTTCGTTTGCGATACGTCGGATTCTACCGAAATGTATGCAACTGGCGATTCGGTAACTATTACGTCCGAAAGCGCAACAGGATGGAAAGTACCTTCATTGCTCACGTATGCATTGATGTTTGAATTCTCGCCGGGCGTTGGTTGAGGATGCCATACATATTCGGTGTTGTTTACTCGGCGAGGGCACACCACACTTGCATCCTCAGTGTCATCGATATCCATGCGGCAGAAAACGAGAGCATTGCTGCTCAGTAGATCGTGTGGATCTCCGAAGTCACAATTCAAAGGCTCACGACTTAGAATGCAATGTATCCATAGTGCGCAATATGGCCACAGATATATAATTCTAAATTTCATCATTTTCACCTATTTAGCGTCATACGATCAATAAAGACGAACATAAGTACAAAGAGGTAAGAACAAAAATATACATTTTACAGATGTATGAAAATTGAGTGTGCTATATAATGATAGGATTTATTGTAAAAATGGAGACCACCGAAAACCCCATGGTTGCAAATAGACAGCAGCATCGAGGAATTTTCCTTCACGGCTACAACAGGAATGGTCGCTAAATAGAGCGGATGTGTTCGCTAACGACTCGATATTTATCCCGATGTGGGCGAAGAACTAATGAGTAGAATTACACAAAATTTTGGAGATCAATGAATCGCCACTGTGCCTAAGGGGGTGTTTCCTGTCAGCTAGCCACCGTGTACAGCCGACAAGACATAATCGTCAAGGATCGGCGGAAGAATACAACCAAAATGGCTTGTATCGGAATTAATAATAATGCTAACATCGTTGTGGTAAGACGATTACGGCCCTGCCAACAGTTGTCATGCCCAGATGGAATGGATGACACCGTATACGATCAGCAGTAAGATAAAGTATAATAGGTCACCGACACCAATAGCGTGCGAGGTGTAGGCCTCTAAAAGGTGCGCAAATTGTTCCACGCCAAGCGTAGCCAATTGACACTTTAAACTTGTAACATAACGATGCAGGGTGGACACGTAATTAGTGCTGTATGCTTAATGCTTTATACGGCACCTCACATTAAAACCTGTAAGCAAAACAACGGTTGGAATCAGACCAAAACCTTATTAATGAACGATTTGTTGATGTTTTATGTTACTTAGCTGTTCCAATAGTCTATCTCCTGAAACATGGTGGAGTTGTTTTTTTGCAACGATCATACCTGCCATTTGCAAGAAGACATCGTCTTTACATTTGTCAATTTTCCGAATTTTACTTTTCGAAGCCCCAGATAAGCAGCTGTGATTTCTCACGTTGGCTGTGCCTAGTTTTTCTGATAATATAGCCTATTTCATTTTTTTGAGCGATAATGTTATCTAACCAGAACAGCACGATCCACCGCTGTAAGAGACATGAATATAGGCGCACTTTCGAATTCCTGAAGATGTTATACACTTCTGGTGCCACACGCAACACTTACGCTTATTACTCGCGAGCACCTGAAATCCAGCTTGACAAAGCACTGCAGTAGTTGCATCATATCCTCCATTCTGCATAAGCAGTTAGTTTTGTAGAACATCAACGAATGTTTGCGGATTGACAAAGCATGGCTGAACCATTTGCATCAATGTATGTACGCGCATGATCATAATTGCTCCAACTGTCGTTTGGAGTCGTGAATGGAATATACCCCTCAGTTAATTGTCCAACCGTGTCATGTGAAGCTCCTATTATTAAACCTACCGGATTTTGGAGATGCGTGGTATGATATTGTCCCCAACTACTTGATCCAGCAGTCGCTGGCGATAACGCATATTTGCCAAGCACTGTACAAATAACAAGGAATCCTTGAGATCAAGAGATCGGTACTGATAGGTGCATAAAACCGAGCAGATAAACTTACAGTATCTTGGAATGTCATCAATAGTCGGTCAATTACATTTGGCCACGACACTGCTCCCCAGGCGTCAACGTGTGAAGCCATACCAAATAACAACATCAATTTCCCTATATACAGTTAAGCTCATTCAACACCGTATTACCCTTATTAGATATGGGCAGACGCTTTCCTCTTATCACATTTTCGATAACAGGCATTAGACCGGGATCCTCAAGGCCTAGACTGGAGGTCAGTGCAAAAAGTTCTGGTAATATTTACACGCTGCAAAAAGGAATCCAACCTATGAGATTGTCGATATTCTCTTCTCCCGTATGTTCAATTGACCACTGTTTCGCTGCCTGTGCGATAGCGTTTTTTATTTCAGTCTTTATTTCATCGGTCAAGGCACTCTTTCCCAGTAGCTCGACTAGAGTTTTAACGTACAACTTGCTCACTCTCACATATTCATCTACGATTATTAGTGCCTATAGACGCGATAACAAACCGTGTCGTCGTGCCTCGTTTAAGAAGGCCCCTATATGGTCATTCGAAAAGGCTCTTAGGTGTGCCGCTGCGGCAGAGAATGTGTTTTGAGACAGCAGCTTCCCAGCATCGAAAAGGAGTTGGTCACCCAAACCTGCGTTAGTATCAGGTTTGCCTGCTGCGAATGTGCGATAGTTTTCGCTAAAGTGGCGGTGGAGGTAGGGGAATCCTATGTATACGTTTCGCGTGGCTTTGTGGCTGAAGAACCCGTAGTGAGCTGCCTGCACCAAATTGTAGAAGATTTTGATTCGCTCCTTTCTATTATTTTGAAGTTGATCCTTCAGGGCAAGTATTTGGAATGCCAAATCGCGATTTTCATCAGTGTCCTCTGTAGCCACAAGGGACGGTTGGAATCTCTTTCTCACGTAATGCGATAGCTGCACAACGTCCATAGAAAGTATGTTTGCGGTGGCTCTAGTGGACATTGCGCCGTCGCATCTTTTTCAGAGTGGTTCAGCAACAACGACGGTAACGCTATAGCAATGTTGATGGGGACCGTCGTTGCTCAATGGAGACAAAAACCGTCCACATTACTCACTAATACCTGTTAAAATGTGATGTGTAACGGTTATGCTATTGTGGACACAGTGCCACCATGGATGTCGAAGGCCTAGGTAGGTTTGAATTTATTCTCCTCAAGGTCTCAATGTTGCGCAGATTCCACGGCCCTGAAGGCCATGTTGATGCGCATCGATAATTTTGAAGGCGAATTTGACTTCTTGAATCCAGAATACAAGTGCCGAGTTGTGTTTAATGGCATTCCGTTCGCTTCTGTCGCCCATGGGCTGCGCTTCCTACGATTATCGCATAAAATAGGCGGCCAAGAATACCACTACGATGGATCGGACCATTTGCCGGCGCACGTCTCCAACTTTGTGTCGACTATGGACGTATCCACAGCACCAGAAGGCGTTGAGGAGGTGAGATTCCTGTTAGTTACTTGGCTAAATTTTGCCACAAATTCCAACCATAGTGTCTTCGCATCGCACAATCATTGAGGCATCATTATATCACTAATCGCGTGTCAGAATCCTCTGTGGAATGCGCATCGCCACGAATGGCTAGAATTACTGCTTCGCGACAAGTACCGGAGGAACGGAGGTAGTCTATATACCGCCGCGGTCTAATTTTTTCCAGACATACGCTCTCGTCTCGGCAAGACTGGGGATAGGCAGATCGTTTTTAAATCCGATGATCTTTTTCTGGGTTCTGACGGGAAAAGCGGCCAAAACAAGGTCGGACGCATCACGGAGCAAATACGGGAAGATATGTGTGCCTACAAGGACCACCGAAGTGAGCTTATTTTCATGGTTGTCTGTATTACAGCATGAATTTGGCCTTTTCAATGGGTTGTATTAGAAAACCAATTTAGCATTGGTGTTACATGTGGCCGTTGGGTGAGCTACCAACTCATACGACAGATTCTCGTTATATTCCACAATATTGTGCAGTGTGGCTATTAATGTGCCAAAACATGAGCTCCGAGGATTTTTGGGTAACAGTTGAAGAGACGCAGGGTGACTCCGGCGTTTGCAAACACCGGCTCGAGGGCAAATGCTTGTATGACATAGGGCGCATTCCTTCGTGTGACCTAAAACCTGCCAACCCTTCCATTAGCCGAGTTCACGCTTCGATATATATGAACAAGCGCGGTCACGTATATATTGTGAACTACAACGATGTTACTGGTGTGACCGTGAACGGCCAGCGGTTGGAGCCTCATGAACCTTTTGCTCTGAGGAATGGCGACCGGTTCACGCTTGGGGCATCAAAACGCGTGTACCGTATAGTGATTGACCGCGACTTGGTGTCACGAAAGATGGCAGAGATTGCGCGCAAGAGTCGTGAGCTTCAGCATAAGGCCGACCTTCAGGCGAAGCGCGTCAGCAACGAGCTTGAGACATTTTTGAAGGGCCATGACGAGGTGGGCAACTATATTTGTTTAGTGTATGCATTTCAGGTGGTTGTGCTCAATGTTAGTTACAAGACCAAGCGTGCGGATCTGTACGACTTCTTTTCGTCATGCGGCGATGTGGACTCGATTCAGCTACCCCAGCACCGGGGTTCAAGTGATGACCCTGCGTCGGACGAGACTCTGGCACGTCGCGGCATCGCGTTCATTAAGTTCAGGGACAAGAAAGGTGCCGCCCGGGCATTGGAGCGTGATGGCATGTATTTGAATTATCGCAAGATCCAGGTGAAGTATAAGTCTGAGGACAGCTGGGAGCCTGTGCACCGTCGTGAGCAACCGAGATCGCGTTCTCGATCGGGGTCTCCGCCACGACGTCGCTTTGCTGGACGTGGACGTTATGACCGTCAACGGCCGAGCGTAAGGCGGCGAAGTCGCAGCAGAAGTGCATCACGGCGTCGACGGCGCAGCTCCGATTCCAGCAGCTACAGCAGAAGTAGTAGCTCCGGCAGGTCTCGAGACGATTCACGGCGAAGCAGCACTTCACGTTCCAGCCGAGGCTGAAATTTAGGCCTAGAATAGCATATGGAGTGCAATACTTTTGCAATGTAAATTATATTTGCGATGCTTATAGGGATTATGTGGGTGACCAAGCTGGCGCCCCTCTTTGGGGGCAGACACGATTTGTTGGCCCAGGGCAATACTATATTACGCCTGCGGGCCATCCTAGCTCAGCCACTGCTTGAGATACGTACACTTGGATGGGCATACGTCGTGATATTTGTCTATTTGACATGCCTCCACTTGTTCACACCTGAAACACGGCGTGCCGAAAGCTTTCTGAGCAAAGCTGGGGGTAGCGCTTCCAGACCACTGCATACAACGTTAGTTTTGCGAATATTGCACGTGCGAGCGAATAGTTCTGACTTACAATGTATATGGTGTCACCCAATGCGGTTGGAGCGCTGTAGACCTTGTCCTCCAGCATCAGGATTTGTATGATGGAGAGGACATCCTCCTCTCGAACTTCCTGTAAATGCAATATACGGCAATTCGCTTCTTTATTACCCCGCTGATGTTTTCCAACGTCTTTAAGAAGTTGGTGATTTGAGTGAGGGATGATCCCTGGAATTTTGCGAGAAAGGATCCGACCTGTTCTTGTATGTGCTGCACGCTGATGAAACCTCGTCTTTGTGATGCCGTTCTATAAAATTCGCGATGTTCCAGAGCGCAATTCACCGTAGAATATCGGTGGCCCTTCGCTCCAACAACGATATGGCGTTTCACGATTTTCGCGTTTGGTTCAGTAGGCGCACCAGTAGTAGTTGAATCACGGTGCGCCTCCAGCAAAGCAAAATTCGTGAAACAAAGTCAAACCACCGCCACGCTTACATAAGTGGAATAGTCACATGTACCCACCTCTACTAGCATTTCGTTGAATTCCCCGTTTAGATAGAAGGAGCCCCCAGTTAGCTGCAGCCATTGACAATAGGGGCTATCGCACGTACCTCTCTGGCGGGCTTGATATTGAAGAGCATGTACAGCTTCCTGCTCTTCTGGTGCACATTTGTGACCTGCTTGACGAGCCCATGCTGCTCCACCAATACCTTCAGCGTTCTGGTGAGTTGGTTACCCTGTGCTCGTTGGTGGCATGCCGTATCTACTCTCACCGTGATTTCGCAGAGTTTTTTGATATCTGCCGTCCATATGCCTCTGTTTCCCGCAGTTTCTATGGTGCAGAAGACCGCGTATTCCACATCCTGTAGGCGTGCGACCTGTTCGCGTGACTCCTTGTCCCTTAGCCTGACGTACTTCTTTCCATCGTCGTCATGGTGGAAGCTGTACTGTCTGGAACCTTTTAGCAGTTTGAGAAAGTTAAGAAAGTCGACAGAGTTCGACACCAGCCCGTGCTGTATTGAGTGTCTAAATTTAGCGATATGTCGTCCGAAAATTTCTTCCGTGAAGATTCCATCGTTTTCTACACACAACTTGTAGACAAGCTCCGCCTCCTCCCTAGATAATGCCATGCTTTTAAGGTGTTAAATTTCCATTTTTTGTTTTCCAGCGAAAACCGCTACTGTCGTCGCAGCTCACGGCGGCCGGCGTCACACCCCTCGGAGATCGAGACCGTAATAGCCACTAATCAACCAGCGGCACACTATTTCATCGCCACATGGCTTATGTGCTTTTACTTCAGTGATACTAAGTGCTTTTGAAGTTATTCTGCGCGTCAAACCGCGGCAGCGTCGCAACGACAAAGTTGTCAAAGGCGTTCCCCTCTAGGTACTTAAAACCGCCTAGACACTTCATAACGTGTGTTTGTGCGACTTGTTGGCGTAGCCTTCAGCAGATTTGTTTACACACCTGAAACACCAACCTCGACTGGGCGCTCATAGAAGTCGCCGCATCGCTAACGGCGTCGCCTGTGAGCAGCTGAATGAAGCTGTTGTTACTTGACTTGGTCTGTGCAGACGATGGCCTCTTTTGTGGCCGCGTAGCAGGTCGCCTGGCACCTTCGCCGCGTGCGTTGCTAGTCTCTTCAACCGGCGGCTGCTCCGACGCCTGGTCATTCAAAAGGAGACTGTCACTGTTATTAAGCGACGAAATCTGATTTGAAAGAATGCTGTGAACTTTGCGCTTTGAATTCTGCGGCCGCGGTGTGTCGCGATTGATCAAGTAACACTGCTCAGCGATTAGCGAGTTGGTTGAGCGCGACATTTCACTTTTACGGCGATAGCGGCTTCTCACTCCAGTTGTTCGCGCCGTGGTCCGCCTTTACTACACTGTATAGCCGCCGCGCAACGAGCGACCCAGGCGCATCATGCCAGTGACGTAAAATATCACCGTCACGGGGAAATTTGATGATAAATAAGAAATTCCTTAAGTCTATGCGCAATGCCTGTTTATGTGCTCATGCTGTATCCCTTTGACTCACACCGTTTCAACCTGACAATACCCCGAATGATGACAATGTGCGTGGGCCGCCGCTGAAGGTCCAAGTTCGAGAGGTCGACAACCGAGCAATTCCATTTCTTTATTTCGTAGTGTTTTTTTATTCTATGAACCTCAATAGGCGGTGTGCATTCCTACGATGGAAAATGTGTATGTCCTGCTGCAATGTGTATAAGGCCTGGTTGCTTTGTTGAGGTCTCTATAAATGGGACATTCATCTGGACTACTATCGCGGGCCATATATAGATTTTACGGTTCTTACGTGATGTGATATTTGTCCACATAGTTTTGTTGGACGTATGAACACATACCGCCTTCCGGATCTTTGCTAAAACATAACCAAGTCTTTCGGTTTTGTAGTATACGCATATCAAATGTCTTTCCATACACAAACAACGGGCATATTGATACTTTTAAAACAAACTCTGCGGACGAGAGGTGTCTAATTGTACGCTCCAATGCCTGGGTGAAGCAGGCCACTGGTGCAATTTACTTAAGGCCTTGCTCCTATTGTTTTAATGCTATATAATAATTATGGGGGGGTTGATCGCTATTCATAGCGTATCCGATGTTATCAAATGTTGCCGATGAAGAGAGTTCAAACCTCTGCATATTACGGCGTGCTGGGTTGACATTAGCGTGGCAATGGGCTGTGTACGGTTTACGGCATTTTACGGTTTAAGTGAGACCAATACGTTGACATTACAACGGATGTGACATGGCTACAGGTATACTGTGGAGTGGGTGGCATATATTTACTTATCGGATGGAAGACTGGGAGATTTACGGAATAGATCCGAGAACACATTTGTATGCCATTCAATAATGCCTATGTTTAGAAGTGCGAGGATGATGAAGATTAGGCCAATACAGCCGGCGAGGACGCCTGTGGCGATGTATTTGGTTTTGCAGTTAGTACAAGTCTTTACTTCAATTTTGTGAATACGACCACCACCACGGTCTTTCGTAATTTCAGTCATACACGAGCACTCCTGACCCATCTTCACTACAGATCGCTCGAACCAAATCACCCTGCACAGCAATGAAAAACGTACCGAGGTGGTAGCAATTGTTATGCGATGCCTGGGTTGCCGCAGAGGATACGCAAGCAGTAATCTATACGCTATGCAGTTTTCTGCAGAAACTAAAATGTCCCTCAGGGGCCTCTGTTTAAGACGCATGGCGTAGAGGGCAAGCATGGGCCACCACAGGTTCGATTGGATCCAATATATCCCACCTTTGTTCCTTTAATGTGATTATATAATGCCTTAATATGTTGTGTCAAAATGCAAGACCTTTGACATTGTGTCGCAAGGTCCTGTGCTGCTCGCGAGGTGAAAAAAAATATAAAGTGCGTTATTGAAGTGATGAACTGCACTACTGCATGGAGTACTACAATTATAAGAGCATTAATTCGCCGCTTAATTGTGAATTGCAGGTTATCATGGCGCCGTACTACGCGTTGAGAGCTATCCCGGCAGCTGTGGATAAAGTGTCATGCTGGACGTCATTCATTTACAAGGTGTGAAGATTGATTCTACAACAATACCCACGATTGTCAACTGGACAATATTCATAGACATGACTTCCATCTGCGTCTGCAACGAGGCCGATACTAAGTTTGGGATTGCTATTCGAGTTGCCTCAACCCGCATCACCAATTGGATTCCGCTGTTGCAATTCTCACAGACCGGATAAGCAGTAAAACCAAAAGCTCTTAGGAAACATTGGCCAAGTACACATCACTGGGGGCTCAGAAATGGCTTAAGAATTGCTTTTCAAAGCTATGTAATTAATATCCTTGTTAGCGATCTTACGGTTGCAGATGGAACATTGTTACAACGCCTTTGCAGAAGCACCGTCACTTCCCTATCTGTGGGATTCAGAATGTGGTAGCATCTGTTGCCTTCAACAGTGTTATCCGTCACCATCATCTCCACATCCGGGTTTTACCACAACAGAAACGGCAGCATTGCTCGAAGCAGTCTTCAGTGAAACATATCACGTGGGCGTTCTACGGCATATTTCCGTTGAGACGTGCTTCTAACAAGACCTTTTCATCCCCCTGCTAAACAGTGTCCGACCTTATTCAAATGGCTCTCTAGCGCAAAAATCACGGTTGCTCAGTTCAGCGATTACACAGCAGTAGTCACTGAGTAGATACTTATGCTGACTGCTCGTCGTTAAGCGGCATCTGCTGTTGTCATGGTAACAGCTTTACCATCGTTTGAGAAATAATTCGACAACATTGGAGGTCGCTTTGACTGCCGAATAACCGTCCACTGCCCTGATGTTCTGCAATTCCCTGTCACATGTTGCGAAACATCTAAATTTGGCAGTAACGCAAAGTATATGAGTTACAATAGCAGTATATAAAATGGTTGTTGATGTTTACCCGGATGATAATGTGAGATTAGCCCCCCTGATGGGTTGCGCACCCCATGCGTGACCACCGTAGCCCGCAACGTCTGTTAAGATTGCGGCGATGCAGATAACATAAAGATATGAACAGCTATAACAAATTGCTGTAGGGTATGATTATACGATGCCCCCAAACCTGCGCGTCATATGCCATTTGCGGTGCCATACCCAACTGATAGACGTAAGGCCACGTTGCCCCAAAGTAACGGATGCCATTAGGTGAAATTAACGGTGCGAATCATATATTGCGTACAATAGCACTGTATGATAAACTGATTATGTGTTGAGTGTGGATGCAGAAGTGGGCGCCATGGCTGAGGTTGGCATGTAGGTTAGTGATGGTGGTGGTAGCTGCCAACATTTGGTATGCGCTGCGGGCCTATAAACGTTATCAATGTAATGAATATGACATCGAATCTGAGCAATATCTTTACCATGCAGGCATGTCATGACAACATTAATCCCAGACTTAAAGATGCAAAGCACGAGCAACGTTAATTCTTGCAGGAGTTTGGAACATCCGGAACATTTGACGGGTACAGTGCGTTGTATCTATATACGATGTTGTTCCTCGCATAGAGAGGATTTCGAACCTAGATAGGCATCTGCATTGGCTGTGAACATGGCGCTAAATGCATGCGCATATATGGTATCCTGGTGGTGCGATGCTTTATGGGTGGATATGTGTAGATTAAAAAACGCTTTGTAACGGATATTGCCTAACATCCGCCATGTAATACATGTCTCATGATAGATTGATGGCACATTGATAAGCTCAGGCCTTCATGCACGTTGTTAATATCTTTTTAGGGTGGTTCGTTGAGCAAACCCGCAGGAAGATGTCGGGAACTGAAAAATGGTGGCAATACACTGTAGGAGGCATCGGTGCTTTATTGATCGTCCTCATCATAATGATTTACCTTTCGTATTCGACTCAGGGATTCAGATTGTTGAGTGACTCATTTTCATTCAAATCAAAGGCTGTAATAGAATAGGATATGTTACCAAGGGTATATTTGACGCACAGATCAGCACGCATATAACTGAGGAGATGGAGATTGACCGCCACTCCGCCTTCCAGACCAAGGATGTAATATAGCTTCACGTAGTGCACGTAAGATTTTGATATCGCAAACCTAATTTTAATCACAATGTAGAGGTTTCCTTCTATTTTTTTCTCAACCCTTATCGCAGGCACGACTATTTCAGTGCTATTCTGTGAATATCAGACTTATCTGTGGGTCGTTTAATGTTTTTGCGTATTTATCAAATTATCTAGGACCGCATCCTAACATCCTGATTATAAAATTTGGATAGTCTCACTCAATTGGCAACCTTCCCGATTATGTAGTTTTATCTATTATCACGTTAGGTTGTTGCTTAGTGCCTTACTCGTGGCACGCGCCCGCGTCATCCCGCATAGTCAGTGTACTGTGAAGCTGGGTGGTTGGCCTTCAACGTGGACAGCTGGTGACTGCCGTGCAAGGCGAGTTACTTGGTCGTCTGTTATATGGGTGGTTGACATGTTAGTTATCATGTGCGTTGCTAGGCAATGAATGTCGCCAGAACTCTACGACGTGATGGCCAGTGAACGGCATGGAAACATGGCATCTACGGACAACATCGTGGCGATCACTAATATGTTCAACACGCACAGCAGCGTATCTAGGCACTCAATAGCGGAACTGAAGCGCTGCACGTATTCCGCCGCAGTTCGAAGTGAAAAGAGTGTGACATGCCTGCATGTACGTTGTGGTATCCCTGGTGATAAGTCGTATAAAGTTCATCGGAGGCGGCTTGGCGCTTGTACCGTTTAACGCTAAAACATGCGTTTCATCGCCGTGCAGAATGGAGGCCTATGGCCTGTCAAAGGAGCTGTTGGAAAGGTGGAGGGGGTGTCCATGTGGTATTCGCGAGCAGAACTGTGGTTCGGATTGCCTGACATGTGAAATTCTGAGGGAAAGCGCAGGTGGGCAGAACTGTGAATGCCCATGCCATGTACGCGCACGACTTGCCACCGCTGCCCTTGCTTCCCCCAGTGACAACAATTCCACCACCGGTGTAATCGCCTCCGTCATTGTCATCGCAATCATCGTCGTCGTAATAGGCATTATGGGATGCTTTCGCATCCGGCCGTTCCACAAGGTCCGCGATTCTTTATTCGGCAAGTGAACATTTGTATCGCATTTTAAAGCCCTTCCGGCATTTTTATAATCGCAGCTATCGCACCGTTCTAGGCAGTACCGCACGATTCCAAGGTAACAGCGTGTTATTTAATGTTTTAAAATCCTGCATAGGGAGATGTCCGGTGAACGCTTTCATGAATTACATGGTGGCAGCGTATTAGTTAAAAGGACGGGATTAACACAGCTCAGTGTAGTATCCACATCCGCTCGCACATTACGCTGTCGGCAATCTCAGCAAGCTGCCCTACCTGCAACCCTGACACACCACCTCAGCCACACTCACCTGACTCACTATGTAACATATTAGCCCAACTACCACACAACCTAACCTATAATGTACTCTATGCTCTGAGCTGCCCCCTGCTCGTCACCTTGGTCAGCCACCTCAGCAGCCTACTGCCGTCGTCCCAGGTCTGGCGGTGGAGCATGGTAGACATAAGGTGGCAGTGATTTTGTAATAACATTGGTGCCATCACCTCCACTAAATACACTCTTCTTCATCATGTTACCAAGCTAGGTACTTGGATCACCGAGGCGGAGAAGATCCGTAAGGCCGCCGAGGATAAGGCTAGGGAAGCATATGACAAGTTGAAGGTTAATGCTGAATTGAGCAAGAATGTTGAGAAAATTGTTAACGCCAATAAGACAATTAAAGAAGTTAATAAGAGCCTTGAAACTGTACATAGCATTTTGGAAACGTGGAAGGGTCAGGCCAGCAGTGTGCTTCAAGGGGCGATTGACAGGGCCAATGAGGTACATGATGCTTTGGAAATGGATACTGGCTCAGGGTATTTGAAGACACAAATTGGTAATATTAGCTCAGCTAGAGAACAAATTGAATCTGCAAACTCACAACTTGCCACCGAAGTTGCCAACTTAGGCAAGTGGAAGACTGCCGCCCAGGGTGTTATTACCAAGGCGGAGGGGAAGTGTGACAAAATTTTGGAGAAAGTTAAAACAGATAAAGGTTCTCCAGGTCCGATTTATGAGAATGCTCAAACTTTAGAAAGTCAGGGTAAAAAGCTTTTGACTGCGGCGACTGAGGCCAAAGATGAAGTTGGCAAGAAAGTCGGTGACGCACTGAAAGCTGTTGTGGAGATGGACAAATCTCTCAAGAAGGATTTGAAGGAAGTTAAAGATAAGATTAAATTGGGGATAGGGAGTGTGATTAAGAAGTTGGAAGTTGATAAGTTGGATGATAAAGTGAAGAGTGATTTGCAGAGTTTGAGGGAGAAGATTATGAATCTCAACCAGAATGATAAGCTTGTTACGGATAAGTTGGAGGCACTTAAAACGCAGAAAGATGCACTTGATAAAATTGCTGGTGAGGATGGGTCAATTAAGAACCAAACGGATAAACTTGTTGACAACTTTAACAAAGAAATCAAGACTCCGCTTGACGGTAAAGTCCAAGCAGTTAACCAGGCGATTGGGACGCTTGGCGAGAAGTTTGGTCTGCCTGAGGGAAAGAAAGATAAGCTTGCACAAATTTTCGGGCATATTAAAGAACAAGTTGGGGAGATTAAGGGGGAGGCGGGAACATGGAATAGTTCTAAACGTATGAATGAAGGCTCGGGTCTTCTGGGTATTTTTAGTAGACTGCAGAATTATGCTAAGGTTATTGGCGAAAATGTGGTTAAGACTAGTGGAGGAACTGTGAGCGGCTGGGTTGAAAAGATTCTGAATGGGAATGTGTTGGTTGGTGGATGGATTGATGAGTATGTTAGTCATAACAATAACAAATTTCAAGATAGTACAGTGACTGCCGAAAATCAAAAGATCCAGAAAGTGAAAACCGTCATACAGAATAAGATTCAAGAACGTATTAGAATCGTTAAACCGAAACCAACGGGTACGAAAGATGTTGGTGAAACTTTGAAGGAGATTCAGGCGTTTCATAATGCCGTCTCTCAAACGATTAAGGCAGAGCTCGCCCCGGATAAGGCCGACGAGATTGCAGGGAAGGTTAAGAGTGATGTGTATTATGCGGGGGGAGGCAACAAAATTGAACATCTCCAAGGCGCAATCAAGTCCACCCTCGCACAGCTGCCTGTGCTGGTCAAAAATTCGGGAGACGAAATAAACACATTCGCCGACAGCAACGCCGCACTTGCCAAGTTGGACGGCATTCTTAAACAAGCCACCACGCTTCACGGCCAGCTTAAAGCGGCGACTAACCCTGACCCTCCCACCGCCACACAAAGCCCCGCCGAAGCCGTGGACAATACGTTGAAGGTGGTGAGGGATTTCGTGGAAGGAAACAAGCTTAGTCAGAACTTTAAAGATAAAGTGACGGATGAACTTAGCAAAGCATTTACTGCACTTCCCGAAGCCGTTCGCGATTTCGACAAGCAAGCTCAAAACCAGATCAAGGAGGCCGCCAAGACGGCGATTGAGAAGGCGGCTGGGGAGATTGAGATGGACAATAGTAATCAACAAGTTAACTTGAAGACAACGGTGCCGCAATTTGATACTCACTTCACTACGATTAAAGATCCCGAACATGGTCTCCAAAAGCAACTTGAACAGCAAGTTGATGAGCACATTGGGGGGGATGATCCGGCAGGTGGTAAGGGTGCTAAAGTAGAGAAAGTCATCATCGATAAAACACAATTCAATAATTACGATAATCACGTCAAACAAATGTCAGCAGGCCTTAAGGCCGGTAAGCTAGAAGGCATTAAAGACGAAGGCCAACTTCCACTGGCGATCGGGAACATCAAGAATCATGGTCTGAAAGAGCTTGAAAATGCTTTAGGTGACAGTGAATGATTATGGATGGGGTCAAGTCTGCGCTTGTGCAATTGCAGTGGATGTGGTCTGTGACGCGAATGCCTAGTACGTGTTGTAGAACTATGTAGGTTGACGAGGCTATGAATTGAAATATAGACGTGTACAACCCGTGTATAGAAACCAATAAAGTAAGACTCTTACAACTCAGCACAGATATTGAGCTGACACGTACAAAGGTTGCGCATCGTACAATGTTTGGAGTGCTACATAACCGATTTGTTTTGCAAAAGCTGGGACATTGGGCCTGAGTTGGCGACTTATATGGAAGGGCCATTGGATCATTTAATGAACGTAGTTCTTGACACAATTGGATGCGGTGGCGTGCTACCATGGTAGTGCCACGGGAGATGCAATAATGAGGTGGTGAGGCGTGAGGTGAGTGGAAATGTCCCTGTTTTCGGATGATACATAGCTAAGTGCAATGTCATCGTTACTATGTGAGTGACATGTCTCATTAATGCATGTAGTGGTGTCAGTGTCGTGATCTGCGACCACGCTTGTCCAGGTATCAAGTGCACGGCTACATGCATGCGTGAAGAAAAACGATGACTCTAAATATCAACTATGGAAGGACCCTGACTTACGCATTCCGTCGGTGTTGCAGGTTTGTCGTTTAGTGGCATGGTATTATGTCGCGAGGAATGTTCGATGGTACGGTCTTCCGTTTCGGTTAAGTTGTCCATCGCTGTGCAGGGATGACTATACCCGAGGGGGATCGGCGGCAGTGTATGGAAAAACTAGCAAAGGCGGAGCAAGAGTTTTCGGAAAAACTGAAAAATTGGAGGGACAAGATTTTGGAACCCTTTACAAAGGTCTGGGATAGTATTTATAATATTCTGACACTGAAACTATGCCCGTTCTGTAGGGCTGGTATTGGTGATGGTCAGCAGTGCAACATTGGTTGCGTGTACATTGTGTCTGTCCTCTTCATACTACTTATCATAGTAGCGTATTACATATTACGGAGCCCGTTGAGATTTTTCAAGGGCTTGTTTTGTTGCTTCTGCTGATCGAAGCCTACCATCGCTTACTGTTAGCAACGTCGATCAGAACTTATAGCCTCCCTGTTGCCACGCTGCACCCAGCACCAAAGTGGTAGCGTTTACAATAACATCTACCTCGGTGTCATCACACAGTGACCACTTACAAGCGTCATAGTATATGGCAACCAGTGTGCGCTATCGACGCATAGATCTGCCATGCAGTATTATCATGAGCTTATCCGAACAGTCGCCACGCAGCACCAATTGTTCTTTCCATGCTTGATGAGATGGTGATGAGTGCGGGCGTTGTTTTTTACTGCTCATTGACCACTAAATCGGGTCGAAATGCAGATGGGCCTACGGAGGCACATTAGCAGCCGTTGCTATCCGGACTGAGAATCACTGGTTTCATCCGCCGCCTCACTATCCTATGTGGCCTTACTGAGGCACTTCAGAAATGATACGAAGTATATGTCTCGATTTAAATCGCCATTCTTTATACGCGTTCGCGCAGAATAGCAGGGAAGTGTGTCGCCATGCTATTCGGGGGTTGACTTGCTGGCACGCGAACTTCGATGCCGCTGTCCGTCGCCATTGAACGATGCGGCAATCTCATCGGATTTATCGGAATCGTCTGGAGACCCCGATGGTTCGGGCTGCCATGCACCCGGTACGCAGCAACCCACACCAGTAGAGTGTAAGGCGAAGGCTCTGAAGAGGCATAAAGGATAAATTCCTGCCAAACATAACCAAATGTCACAGTATACAACTAAAACCCTACATTATATTGAGCAATATATAACCACGTAACAAATGACAGTGTGAATGTTACGATTATTGTGTGACGCCGAATTGGGCAATAACATCTTCGTCGAAGTAGTCGACGTCCTTGTAGAGTGAGAGCATCCTGCGGCTGCCGGCGAGCAGCGCCTTGACGTCGATGAGGTGTGAGGCCCTGGTGGTGAGTAGGTGCGAGCGGATGCGCAAGACGTCCATGCGGTAGAGCAGTGAGTGGGCGATGTAGAGCGTGGCGATGAGCCAGAGTGTGACGATGGTGTAGACGAAGGGCGTCCTGATGCCGTAGAGGAATGTGTCCATGGCGGTTATGAGATCGGCGATAGGCTTTCCGGCGACCACTTCCTCCAGTTTGGTGATGACCTTCGAACACGTGAGTGACGGCTGCAGCATCCCGCCCGGTGGCGTGAACCCGTGAGAGTAGAGGAGGGGCAAGGACTTGGGGCATTGGTGGAGAGGCTTGGAATTGGAGTCGTGACATTGAAGGTCCTCGAGATCATGATGCAACCGATGCAGTGACTCCGACAGTCTGTCTGCCAGGTAGGCCGTCCAGCTGAGATAGTGGTGGGCGAAGGCCGGGGAGTACAGGGCGTAGGCCCGGTGGGTGATGGGAGAGAGAAGTCGTGTGCAGTTTACATTATCGATGCCGCAGCCAAGCAGAGTGGACAGTGTCTTGGGATGGTCCTTTTCGTGGTTGGAGTTGGAGTTGAGAGTGGCGGAGCCCCGGAGGTCCTGGATGGCATTGAGGTCGGCGGCCTCAAGACAATCCCACTCGGGGCAGTGAGGATGTGGCTTGTGGAGGGCGGAGCCCAACGGAGAGAAGTGTGAAGATGGTAAGTGCAGCTCATTCCCGAAAAGGTGGAAGAACGAAACAAGCTCCCCGGTGGTGCGCGGCGTCCTCCTGGTGAGGCAGCTGAGGTAGGAGGACAGCTTCAGCAAGGGATCGTCGCCGCCGCAGCTAGGAGAGAGGATGGCGGAAATATGCTTGCCAGTTTCGTGAGATGCAGGCAAATCATCCTTTGTGAATCCCATCCTGATTCGGCTCTTGAGGCAGATGTCACACGGGTCGAAGGGATGAGTCTCGAACTTGGAGTCATGGGCGTCAGTCAGGAAGGCTTGGAGAGGGGAGTCGGGGATATTATTGCCATATTGACAATCCTGCCAACCACTGTCAGATTCCTTCCGAGAACACTGCGACTTTAGGAACTCCAACTGGTGGTAGCAGGCGTAGACGTAGTCCCGCAGCTGGCAGAGGAGGGCGCAGCAATCAGGATCCTTGGATTGGTCAGAGACCTTAGACGCTGAAGTTAAAGACGGCACCGCCATCCTCCACTCAGGCGCGAGGGCATTGAGCACTGAGGCTGCAAACATGGCGACAAGCTTAATGGTGTGAAGGACATCTTTGGCGGCGATACTAGAATCGTTGACTGGGAGTTGGAGGATGGCAGAGTCATCATCTCCGCGCTTGAAAGCGTTTTTAATACACTGTTTCAGAGTCTCTTGGTGTTTCGGGTGTCGCAGCCCGGCGATCCAAGTGAGCATCTCCCTGACCGTGCGCGGCGCCTCGGAGGGGAACAGTTCGGTGTCGGGGATATCGGTGGAGTCATGCGTGGGTTTCTGAGTAGACCAATCTGGTATACACATTGGTACATTTGGGCGGTTGATGTTCTTGGTGTCGAAGTCTGTGCGTGGTGAAGGTGGTCGATATGCTTGATGTTCAAAACTCAGATCGGCGGCGGTGGTAGATGGAACGATTGGGTCAAGGAGTTGGACTTCGGGGATAGTTGGAGGGTCATAACCTACGTTTACGTCATATGAGGAGTCCTGAAGTGCAAGTTTGGGAACGTATACATCCACGTCCAAATGGTCGGAACTTTGGCGGATCAGTGACGATATGGGCGTAGCATCAACTGTTATCCCTTCTGGCTGATAGGCGTCTCTGCCTTTCATTACCTTATTAAAGTATGCGCTGAGTTCTCTATCATACTCTCTCTGTTTGTGCGCCTCATACATTTTTGCCAAATCACTCTGAGCTTTGAGTTCCCTCTCACGATCTCTCAAAATATCCGTAGTGTCTGGAACTGTTTCACCAGTGAAGGGGAAATCTGTAATTTCACCACGGAGTATGACATCTTTCTGAACACCTTCCAAGAATTTTACATGTTGCACCTCCTTTTGTGCGGCCTCAATATCTCTCTTTCGCTCTTCATCCACGTACATTGATATCAGTTTCAGCTCCTGGAGCTCACGCTCGCGCTGTGCAATGTTGGAATGTATTTTGCGTTCTGCATCGTGAATGTCCATAAGCTTCTGGTCTTCTACTTTAATTGAATTATCTGGCAATACTTCTCCCACCAGACCGTCTAGAACTCCGCCGCCTAACGGAGGCAGGGGGATGCCTGAACCTTCAAGCATGGGCACCTTAAGATCGTGGGATATAGGCGCCGCCGCCTTCTTGTGGGCCCGTTTCTTAGGGCTTTTCCCTCCGAAATTGTCATGGTAATCAGTCCCCGGGACAATACTATGCTGCGATCTAATCTCATTAAGTTTTTTGCGTTCTTCTGCGTCCTGTCTCCGACGTTCTTCTGCCTCCCTTTGCTGCCTGAGCCTCTCTTCCCTCTGACGTCTCCTCTCTGCTACTCGTTGGTTAGCTTCTTGAGCTTTTTTATCCCACTCGTCGTGCATTTGCCTTCGTGCAGTAGAATCCCACGTCTTACCATTTCGGGGGCAGTAACTTCCACCACCGAATTCAGGAGGCAATTTTATTGGATTAGAACACCCACTACCTGAACCTCCAGCACCTCCACCAGGCTGCGAGGCACCCGACGTAGTAGTGTTGCCGCTTGGCGTTTGACCAGAGTCGTGACTTGTTCGTTGAGTAATTTGTTGACCAGCCCCTCCACCACCTGGTGTACCAGGCCCCTTGTCACCAGTTGTCCCAGCGCCTGACCCTGAAACACTCGGAGGCTGAGTAACCACAGTGACTTTAGGGGAAACAGGCTTTTGACCTGGAGAAGCATTGCCCGGCGAACTCTGACCCGGATCCCCTTGCTGACCAGGGCCTCCAGGAAGAGGGGGGGAAGGCGGCGGAGGTGGAGGAACAAGCGGTGGAACTGCTGTATCTTGATCCGGAGAAGACGGTTTGGCCCCTGGCCCAGGAGGCCCTGGTGAAATAGAATTTTTACCTGCTTGATCTTGGGCCGTGGACACTGTAACAGTAGGCCCTTGCGGGCCTTGAACTCCTGGAGCACCGGGAGGCGGAGCTGCAGCAGGCTTTCCACTTGCTGAACCTGAAGACGCATCTCCACTAAGACCTTTACCTTGGTTCTGCGCTCCCTCAGCTTCCTTGCCCTGGTTCTGCGCTCCTTCAGTACCCTCAGTGGCAGTCGGCTTCGCCGCCTCCGCCTTGGTGACCACAGGTTTTGCGGCCTCTGTTTGGGCAGGCGGCACCTTGGGAACTTTCTTCTCGGGTACTACTTCCTTGGGGGGCGTAACTGGACACACCGTACCATTCAAAATGTCTTTGAGCTCCTCCAGCCCTTTCCTCGAACCAACAAGCGTTTCCAAAACACTGGGCAAAATTTTCAATCCCTGTTCCCACGCATTACGTTTATGCTGGTTCAACACGATGCCGTAGGGATAGATGTTTTCTGGGGTGAAGCTTTCGGGGCTTTCAGCAAAATCATCAACGCCCTCCTTAATATCTTCCAAAGCCTCTGTAATCCGCTGCCAATGCTTTTCGAACCATTTTTCGAATGCTCCGGCAAACGCGTCAGGCTTAAGAGCAAAAGGGGTAAACGCCCTCCCAGTAGTGGAGAAGGGTTTAGGACTGAAATCATCAACCGCACTGCCAAACAATTTGTCTAATTCGCCTTTGAGTGTTTCGCAATGCCTTACCAGAGCGTCCCAGTCGAAACACATCTTTTTACGTCTAAGCTCCTCTTTCAATTTCTTTCCAAGCGCACCGTCCTCTCTTTCGTGCTCCACATAATCACAAAACGCCCACAGCAGAAGCAAGACGTTGCCAGCGTCTAGGTCATGCCAATCATCTTTAACCAAATTGTTGAAGAGAACGCTAGTAAAAACGTCTGGGGTTATTGTAGTCCTGTGAAGGGCATTGTTTAGATTGTGGGCCAGTGTTTTTCCTAGCACATTTTTCAAGTCACTTGGCAGGAAGCCTCCAGGGTTAATGCCGCCGGTGATAGACGAATCGGAGGACGTGAGATATCCTCTAAGCGCGTTACCGATTGACTCATCTCCCTGTGTCTCAAAATTTCCCCATGTCCCACCTCCCACGTTCCTGTAGCTATGGTCAACATTGTACACCAAATATGAAAACGCAGCGTGTACCTTGGGGAGGCACTCGGAAAAGGCATCGGTGATATGCTGTGCGTCTAGGCTTTGATAACTAGAATAGTTCTTATTTATTTCGTTGCATATTTGCCCGTAAAGCAATGAAGTGTGACGGAGAAAATTGGGTAATGAAAGTTGAAGCTGCCCCTTGAAAGTGGAATTATTATAATATGTGGCAATACGTTTAAACAGAGCGTCAGTCACCTCCCCTTGCTTACCACTATCTTTATGCAACCACTGCAGAAACTGGAGACAGTCCTTGAGGGTGTTGAGCGGAACTCCGTGCGCCGTCATCCTGCTTACGAAGGCAAAGAGCACAATGACACTAATGAATGGGCACTAGGCTACTCGCACAAAACAATCGTGAAATGTTTTAGATGAGTTAACTAGGAGACACTAAAGCGATAACACGTCTAAGGCGACACCGCTTACATAGGCAGCGTAGCCAAACCGCTAAGTGGGCTGAGTGAACAGGCTACAATGTGAGAAGCTGAGTGGCAAAGAAGTACCTCATGACGCTAAGAAACAACTATCCTACGCCTTCCCGCAAAATAAAGAAAATAACACGAGGGTTATACAAACATCCCGCCTACCTGAGGGGGAATGAGGGCGTTAAGTCCAGCCATCCAGATCGATCAGGAGCCTACTAACGTGAAATCCAGGCGCGCGGTGGGAAGGCGGCATACCCCACGGGGATTCCGGGTGGAGGGCATGGCAGCTCACCTTACCCCGCATCGCGACGCCGCCAAGCCCTCTCCCCTTAGCGTCACCCAACCATCCAAGAGGCGATCACCCAAGCTACCGCCAGGGATACTAGAGCCGCGCGCCTTGCACCACAGAGATACTACGCCCAGCGATGATGCAAACTTCGAACATTACCCCATATCTATCTGGGCAAACGTCTTGAGTGTTATAAATTTACGCATTGATTGATACGATCAGTTCACAATTACCAATACAAAGATATTGCATGATCGGCATGCTCGTACATTGCTGTCTGCCTTGTTCTTGTTGCCCACATCCCATCTGGTTTGCGCATTGTACTATTTACCCAAAGACACTTGCGGCATCAGTCTTACACCTAAGTCTGTGAATCACTACGAACAATCACCTGTGCAAGACGTGTATTCTACGTTGTCTTGATAGTAACGCAGAATAACGCATTCTGAGATTGCCCCTCACATCCAAAACCTAATGTGATCGGATACATTGACCTGATTATTGTCGAGCGTTTGTCATTGATTTCCTGCAGTGGCCCCGTAAACCACATAGTACACAATGTAGTCACTCAGCAGCGTGTAACAAGGCATTCCAGTTGTTGCATTCAACCTAGCATATTAAGGTAGCACGCCTTTGGCTGTGAAGTTGTAATTGGTTACGGCGATGTGAGTGCTGTTAAGTTCTCGTGCTCTGCCCTTTCCGATAACGCGCAGTTGAATTATAACGCCTAGATATCGTTATATCCCGTGTCTTTCTGAATGATGCTGGTTGGATTAGACGTAAACGGTCTTTCAATTTCCAGTTGAAGAGAAGCGCTTGGTTCTTTCGTTTAGCTGTATAGACACTAGAGAGACTAGTGAGATAATCGTTATCAGGACGGCCAAACATGACCAAGTGACGATAATGTTGAAAATACGGTCGCGCCTGCTGACATACAGAGATGTGTCGTGTATTATAAGTCCCGAATGTAGACCTTCAAGGCCAGCAAGCATGTTTGAGTACGCTTGCTGGAACACAGAAATCGCATCTAGTGAATCGGCGGTCGGTGGATGGCTCGACGCTGCCTTATTGCGGCGCATCACATCTGCGATTGCGGTTGAATTCGATTCGAATGTTGGGTCGTCTCCGCCGAAATTGCGTTTAGTTTGTTCTGTGTAAACCTCATAGGCGTTTAAAAGCTTGTGATAGGTGGAACTACGCATGCTCGCACCGATGTTGAATCCAGTTTTCATGTACACATAGTACCACAGTGGGTGGCGTGTTGGCGTTGTGGAGGATGTGGCGTCAAGGTAGGCATCCTCTTGGTCAACCGAAGCATCCACATGGCGCACTTCGTCTGGAACAAGTTCGACGTCTACGTTTTCTTCTCCCTCAGGGTTGGTTGACAGCGCCCACCCTGCATCACGGTTAATGGTGTTTCGGCTGCGCAGCACAACCATGGCTTGCGGCTCAAACCACCCTCCTAATTCGCGGTGAGTAACGTTTACACCTCCAAGATCGCTTGCTTCGAACTCTGCCTTTAAGAAATCCCTGCTCGTCTGCAGCACCAGTTTGGGCGGGAAAAACGTACAGTAAGGTCCCATGTCATGCCAATCCACAATGTCAGCCACTAACCCATCGTCTGTATCATATGGGTAACCGTCTTCGTGGAAGTGCTCAATACCACCCAACTCACGCAACATGTCCTTTACAGAATGGGCCCATGATTCGAAGCGCCTGGAAGAATATGTTTGGAACGGTTCACTAACATCATATCCGGATATAATATCGTCCAAAACTTCACACGAACGTGAGCCGCACAAATATCGTCTGGGGTTCCTCAACCTTCGATAATCACTGTATCTACCGCGATTCATTGCACTGTTGCCCACCTCATCGCACCATACCGAACTTACATCTGACAGGCATAGAGCACATGATGGAGGCGGTCCTACGGCGCTTGAATAATTGTCACTCTTAGATGGTTGCGATGTCAGCACAGATTCGTGCATAGCAGCAGAATAAGAATCCAGGCTTCTTGAAACCGTCTGGTTTGAATCGGCAACATTGTTTATGGGGTTTGGACTAGATGAAGGCGTTATACCCAAAGTCGCTTGTGGACTTGAAGGTGTCACAAGATCGCGGTTACCAGAAACAAGTGATTCAAGACTGCTATGCGCAGCAGTGGATGGAAGCGAGTCACAACTACTAATTCCGCGCACCAATTCGCTGTTGTATGCAGCGGGGGTGGTAATGTCACGATCTTGTTCATACACGCTCGCACCTTCACCATAAACCTGGGTACTCGACTGGTCTATATAGACATCACCATCATTTACTAAAGTGTCCACCGGAACTCCTTCATTCAAATGATCGTCATACACATCGGATGTGGGTACGCGCAAGAATCGACGTGATGACATGTCAATGTCGCTGGAGGCAGAACGGCTATCGAACGACTCATCGTCGCATTCAACAAAAGGTGACTTCGACGTTTCTGCTCTTGCTGATGAACGGACAATGTCATCGTATGAATGGGCTTCTGCACTACTCGCAGTGTTGTCGGCTGCTAAAGAGGTACTTCCGCTTGAGCCATCCGCCTTGCTTTCAGATTTGGTCCGACGGCGACGCACCACTGGCTTTCGCATCCATATGTCACGGTCGAACGAATCGACAACCGTGTTTAGTTGCACAACAGACCCCCAAAGTGGGGTGGTACGATGGGCGTTCGATGTGAGCCTCCCAACTGCGGCGCCACCGGCTACAGGTGAAGTCTCACTGCCTCCAACGGATACAGCTGACTCATGCCTAATGCTAATGGCGCCATTGTTGGGAGGTGGTTCAACATGAGGGCTCTCTTTATCAACGACTGCGTGTTCACTCTCTACCTGCGAATTCGATGTACCATGTACCGGTTTATCCAGTTGCACATCCGCGTGGCCTGAAGCCACAGGAACCCGACGTACAGATGCCCTAGGAGTTGGCACAGGTATCTTTGACCGGTTATTATCCTTGGCGGACGTGCGTACGTTTTTTGTAGAAGAGTCACGCTCAACCTCAACAAGATTGCGACGGGTATTTGATGCGCCAACAACTACATCGGGAAGGACAGCTGCTCTGGTGTTGCCACACGGCTTTTTTGGTATTGCTGATATATCACCTGCAGGGTCAGGTCCATGTCCCAATGCTACGTCAATGCCCGTTGCCGATGCCGAAGGCCCAACTGAAGGAATGTTATGCACAATATCACGTTCATGTTGCTCTTCCACCGATGTACCACAGGTTCCATCTGATTCTGTAGGTGCACATGTAACCTTTATGGCAGGTATGGATATCGAACCCATCGATGCCGATGCATCAGAATCCACATTGTAGCCATTTCCGCTATCTAAACGAGGCATTTCCTCCAACGATGCAGAATCAATATTCGGTACAGTGCGCATACCAGCCTCCGATGGGTCACGAACTAATTGACCTGCACCTTCAATGTTTGACGTGGCATGTTCACGGTCCCTTCCAGTCTCTTTCACATCGTTTGATTGTGTAGGTATTTCTTTTTGCGCGCCTTCAACGGCATTTCTGATAGGTATACGTGACGATTTATCCTTAGTGTATGCATCTAATTTGGTTCTGGCCTTCCATCTTAAATACAGCTGATCGGCTAATGACAGACTGGGGGTTGGCTTCCTCAAGCTGCTAAATGCATCTGCGCATTTTTCGATCGACGAATGAACTTTGAGTTTATTACTTTGCACCGCAGAATTGCCCTTCATGGCATCAGCTTCAGGATAGAGCAAATTGAAGTTACCGAGGCCTGACCCCGGGGTCCAAACGTGTTCAAGTGCTACTTCAGGCGGTTTCTTCCCCTCCGCAATGGAGGTATCACTATACGTCGCATGCTCATTTCGCCTGTTATTAATTATCCAATCCATCAGTGAGGCGTATACACTGCAAGGTACCCCGCTCCGAGGAGGTGGCATGCTGTGCTTGCTGGTCGAGTACAAAACATATATTTGAACAACAGTGGGGTCAATCTCCATCATGTGCTGAGCAGAGAGTAACTTGCTGAACCTTGGCATCTAAAGTGTTTGGAAGGTTACCGATGACGAGAATAACAAGGCAAGCTTGACGTAACCACGCACAACCCAGCGCCGCTGGAAGGTGAGCAGCGTACAGAGAAACTAGCATTTAACCCATATCATGAATGTTGATTAATGTTGTGTCCAACATAAAACGATTTTTCATATGAATGTCGGAGACTCTCGCATAGCATTCACCAATCAACCTACATTAACGGGCGATGTTTCTAGACCGGTGGAAATTTTGAGTTTATCAGCCAGTTCTGATGTTATCATTGCTATACGATTACTGTGAATCGTTACACCATAAGTGTCCTGAACTTACCTTTCACCTGAGGCGTCATGCAGATGCGCATTTGCCGTTTCACAGTCGTTGAAAACCAACAGCGGCAGCATCCATACGGACAGCTGTGAAACCGTTCTCAACATAGTTATCGGCATGGTGATAGGTCTGATGATTCTAGAGGTGCGTCGACCTCGAGTTCAATATCTACACGTAACGTGTATAATGCATTCTACTTGCTGACCTACGTGACGGACGCGTCTGTAATAATACCAGATATAACCAAAACACAGTCCAAAAGTTTTCAAATAGCGTTTTAAAGTTTGAAAAGAGCAACATTTTAACACCTCAAACGCAGTTGTGAAGAATTGGCATAGTTACACAAGAGGTTGGGGAAAACGTCGAGCGCGGTGTGGTTGCACACGAAACGCAACCAGCCACACAATAGCCCCGCAAGAGAGCTTCTACACACAGCAGTGCAGCGTGCATTTTGTGTGCAAAAACCATGTGCCACCGAATCGGCTTCCCCCACATGTAGACAAGATAAGGTGGTGGTCACACGGCAGTCACTATATATTACTAACGTTTAACGCCACCTACACAGCATCATGATGCTGCAGCCATGCACAACTGTGGATACTCGGAAATCATAGGCGAGCTGAGAAACTTCGTCGAAGTCCTCATACACGCCGTGTTCCACAAGCATTGCATATATCCACCGGGTAGGCACCCGAACTGGAATCTTAGCCTTCTGCAGAGTCGTTCGTCGCCGCTAAGCGTTTCGGTATAACAGTAAAGTAAGCAACGAACGAATGCTGAACATACGGCACGAGCAGATACCACCAAAAGCAGCCAGTCATTCGTTACGTACAAGAGGTACAACGTAACCGGGGAAATCGATCGATAACTTGCAGATCGCGGCGTTGTTTCACCAAATACTAAGGGACAAGGCACTCATCGCGTTATCCCTTACCGTTAAAAACAGAGGGACGAAACACACCGTCGCAACGTACCATTTGCAGGTAAGGAGGCCGACGCGGCTGTGTAAACATAGGCAGATTGAGCCTGCTCTCTACGCACCAAACCTAACACGCTGCGATTCTAACGGTTTGAAAAACGAATTGGCCAAGGCGCTTATGAGACTGGAGCTGCAAACGTGTCTACCAGGAAACGGTAACAGCGACAGTAGTTGACAGTACACATAACGCAGAACGCTGCGAAGTTGACGTCGATTTCTGCACCAAACTAAAATTGACAGGTTAGGGAGGGGATGTGTAAAGGAAAAAAATCATCTATAGGTGCCTTAGTAAAGGAGCTACGTCGCCCTGAATCAACTCCCGCGGCGGCATACACGGCCACCCGTCCGCTTCTACGTCTCAGCGACAACGATTCGATATTTTCCACGCCAAGACAATACATCAGTTCAATCTTCGTGACTACCGATGGCGGAAGACAACATGAGGGTGTGAAGCTTCCAGTCGTACAGCTCTACAAAACTGAGTAGTAACGCAAATCATTGAAATGTGTAACAATTCCGTTTAATATAAGTAGCTATTTGATGATAAAATTCTAATGTGTAACATGAGATGCTGGGAATCCTGTCTCTAGAAGCCAAAACATTCGATTGGTGACCGACCGGCCGGCGCGCATGCTGTGTCATCTGATACACGATTCAGGGCAAACGTGAACGAAAGACGACATTATAAATGTGCAAAATTGCTCTTTAGTTCACTGTTCAGCGTATCTGAACCGATGGCACTTTGTACACGCCATCTGTGCAATATGTTATAGAACGGACTAGGATCCTAGCGTGACATTATGCCAGGATTCTTCTCCCCGACAAACCACAATCTCTGACCTTTCACATACACGATTGCATAGGGCCTGGCCATCGCGTTTCCCAAGAACGGAATCGCCTGATTCGGCCAATGACCATTGTTGTTTAGGTGGGAGCATTGCTCACATATTCTCCACAGCCGAAGCCTAATTGTGTGCGGCATTTGTGCTCTACCGTGTGGAAGTAGGACTGCGATCATAGTGCCAAGCAGTGGGCTACGTGACCTTCATACCAACCGCAGCGAATCAGCAGATCCGAAAGGCATCAAACATTTGTATTAGTATCTGCGACAATCCGCATTTCGCTGCCGATACACAACACAATACAAATAGCTGCATTTCAATATTCAAATGAGGGTTTTGTCTCCTTAGCGCTACAGCGCAGCGTACCCGATCGTGCCCGTGGATTCTGCCAAAAACAGTTTCCCATAAACTCCACCGTATCCCTAATGTGGAATTAATGGCGTCTCCACCATTTGGCAGTTGGTGACCTGAACGGCAATCGTCAATAAAATGTTCGGTAATCCTTTTGACGCTCCAAACACGGCAGTGTACAGTGCTTAGCATACAATCGAAGTGAGCAAAGCACTGTTAGTCCCGCTGCGCCAGATTCGAATGGCGAAAAATCTGGAACGCCAAAGACCTGACCACCGCAAATAGGTAAAATACCACCAAACCGCTGAAGAAGAGTAGTGAATAGTAGCACTTCTCGAAGTGGGTACTCGGACTGAAGAAGAAATTCACGATACAATTGGAGCAATGACACTCAACCTCCCCCTCATTTACATCTGGTAAGTTCTTGGCCACGAGTGAGCAGTCGCGGCACGAAGCCTTGTAGCAGTGGAACCACATGTAAAAGACTGCGCATATGCTGAACGTCGAAAACAAACACAACACCAATCCACGCCTTCGAGCAACCTTGCGATCAGCCGCTCCCTGGCGGAGGAAGTCACCGCCAAAGAACGGCGGAACCCATAATCGGCGCACGTTGCCTAAGCTCTCTTCACGAAATGGGTCCGGCTTGGCCGGGGACGGTTCGCAGTCAAACTTCTTGCCATAACGATCCTGTAGACGCTGAATCCACATCTTGGTTCGGATATTGCGTCAGGGAATTACGGAGATGATCCTATGTCGACACTACGGAACACTAGAATCCAGAAGATGGGCGAATGGACGACCGACCAAGCTGCTCCTGCAAATTTCAGACACTTAAAACACAATACATACCGTAACTGGTAATAAAACCGCAACGTCTGACGCTCGTTGCCGTCGCGCTCAACTACTGTGACGTAAGGGTCACCGCAGAGGTCCAGCAAGACGGTGTCGACGATGTCGGAGGAAGCGGACCAAGAGCTCCTCGACGGCAAACATGGGTCCGCCAAAGATATGCTTCCGCCACCAACTCGAGCAACGTAGTCTGAAAGCGCGGCAGCGTCAACCTCGATGTCAGCAGTAAACGGGAACACCGAGACGAAGGCCTTGCAGCCGATGTTGCGCTGGAACTCACGGATCTTCCCAATTTCCGCTGGCTCACGTCGCCAGGAGACGTCCTTAAAAGTCTCCAGATGACCAAGAAACGTTCGTATTTCGACAGTCTGCGACTTAAGACGCTTCAGGGCCTCACCAAGTACCTGCGCGTGCTTCCACACACCTATGCAACACACACCTGTAACAAGTGGTTCTCGTTGTAGGAAGGCTCGTACAAATGGTTGAATCGGCGTAGCAACGATAGGAAACACACAGAATCCGGCGCTACACCCAGCGAAAAGCATAACCATAACATCTTTCCAGCCGTGCGCAGGGGCAGGTCCGGGATTACGTGTTTAACATATCCCTCAAGCCTCGCCAACAGATCGGGCTCCCCAATGGGACCTGCTAGAGTAAGTAGGTCGAGCAACTCCAGCAGAACGGGCACCTCTATAGTCTCGATGTCCCGCAGCGCCTCCAATGCCAGTTGCGGCGCAGCGGACAGCCACATCTTGTGGCGATAGCACGCCTTGAGGAGCTGCATCAACGAAACAAACTCCAATGTCTGGTCAGAGTCCTTGTTGTGGACGGCCTGTATGCACCTCTTAACCAACGCTGCGTCCGGGTTGTCCATTACGTAAAGCAACATGGCTTTGCGATAGTCCATGTCATCTAAGTCTTGACCCTTGAGAAGGCGGGAGATACCAGCTAAGGAGAATCCCACTTCCTTGCCATATCTGCAGAACATAATTCGTTCGACAAACGATTGTACCTGGCAACTGTCAACAGCTCCTCGCAGCTCAACCACCCAGGGTTCAGGGACTGGATACGCAGCACCTTCTGGTATAGACCCAAGAGTGCAATGCGTTTGTTACATAACGAATCAAATATCCGGGCAATGTTGCGCGCGTTGAACTGTGCGGAAAGGTATCTCGAAAGATAGTGGGCGAGGATGACGTAGATCTTGCTACCTGGCATGGATTGGTAAAAAACCATAACGCCACATACTCTTTGCCCACTCGAGCGATATTAAACACTCAGATACAAGGTTCAATGGCCATCTGAATGCAAGGGTCATGGGGATGTTGCGTATCAAACGGCCAAACGTCGCGCCGTCTCCAAGCCCCAACTTGCTTAAAACCTGAACGCTGTGGAGTAAAGGTCCCACCACCTACCACAAGAGCCTTGACAGGGTAGCCATAACGCAGAGTATACAAATATTTCCACAGTTCGGTGGAGAACCGCACGCGAACGGAGCTCTGAATGTTGAAGAGGCCGTAAAACTCGCCAAGGTCAACCAGGTTGTAGTAGCTGTACTGGTGCAAACAAACAGGCAGTTGCGATTCCAGACACCGTACGTATGAACTGGACGTCACATCGAAATCATCAAGAAGTGCCTTAGTATCCGAAGGCCCAAATTCGCGCGAGTAGTCTGCTGTAGCGCCTATCTCCATCGGTTGAGCACGAGCGTGAACGCTCTTCACCAGGTATCGAGCAAAGTTGCAGACTTGGTCATCACTGAAACACTCGAATTGGCGCGAAAGGCGATCCGAGTAATATTTCATGAAGCGGCGGTCGCATACTGCAAGGCGCTGGTATGTAAACAGCAGATCATCTAATTGGCGCTCAGTCACGAACACATCTCCCGATACCAACGATACGACCATATTATGATACACCGGAGAGAAGTTAGACACCGAATCGCCGTAAAACGCGCAGAGCTTCAAATAGCATGCCACCACATGGTACGCATCCGCGCTGCTGTCCAGGCGACGAAACAAGGACTCGAAAGTCTCCCGGCATGACAACTTGATGTTGGCACCATTCACCGAACTCGACGGCAAACACCGCACGTTGACAACACACGACATAGAATTCAAAAACGTCAGCGCATGACCGGAAGTGGTAATGCACGGGGCAACCCGGTTCACGAAGTCGATAAGCATACGCTTGTCACGTCGGCTCAGGCCTACATAGCCTAGGTACTGCAAACGCACATTGACATCTTCGAATAGCGGAGACGGATCAACCAGCGATGTCGCATCTTCTGCCGCCGGCGGGTCAGAAGAAGCAATTACTTCATGCTGCTGGGCTGTGACCGCAGATGCTGGATGCACTTCACTGACGCGTCGTGTGATTTCATCGCTTGGCAACTCTTGTGTAGGCACAACATCTGTTAGCAGCCGTGTGGTAGGGACCCCCAATTGTCCACCAGCAAGTGCCTTGGTACACCGCTTGAAGAATAAGTGGAGAGCTTCTCTGGGCTGGACTGCTCTAGCAGATAGAGACTTCCTGCGTTGATAAGCCTTACGGCTGTGCAGCTCCCAAGGAGGGATGCATCTCGATATGCGAGGCCGCATAGAAGGTAAAATTCACGACGTTACAGGCAAGGTTATACAAACAGACCTATCAACACACAACGGCATGAATTACAGCTCAATAACCACACAATACGTCTCTATATAATGTGTCGGAGACCAATTGGTTCGAGAAGGCTGCATTTTGGCGTTTTTCTCAATCCCGCCGGGCGCCTACCTGGGCAGTGCGTCCGCACGCTTGGCGCTGCGCAGGCCTATTGCCTAAAGACACGACAAAAAACAAATCTACATGACATTATCTCCAATGTCACAACACTACAAACGGGAAAAACAACGTAACAAGCACAATATGCGTGAATGTGAATACACATTAGCCGCTGTCTGGAACGATAAGTGTGTACCGCTATAGCCTCGCCCGGGTGCGATTCCGTTGTAAAGCCTTGCTCATGCGCTTCACATACTCCTTGGCGCCCTCGGCAGAAATCGGCTTCACCACGGAGCCCACCGCGATACTGGTCTGAGAAGAGTGTTGCTTCAGCGTATGCAAACCCACCTTTGGCTGTATCAAATCGGCGTGCATCTTGCTGGTGTTCCATTCAGGGCCAACTGTAGTTGCCATCTTAGCATTGTAGTCGTGTTTGTTCTTGTGCGGATGCGGAACCTGCGAAGTGTAAAATGCTAGCAGTCGACATACCCGGTGCAGGAGGTACTTGCCCAGCTTCGCGCTCTTCTTGTTAGACACCTTAACAACACGCCCTTTTTTATCGGGTTTCTCAGGAGCCGGCTTAGCAGCCTTTGTATCTACAATACCAAATCCAGTCCAGCTGCCCCAACCCTTCAGCTGGTCGGATGCGGCCTCCTCAGTCTCCGACTCCTCTTCAGACAGTTGGGCTTCATCATCGCCTCTGGTTACAAACAAACGCTGGGCCATCTCTATAGTGGCGTCACGCTTCTTGGCAGGCCCTAGGTTTTTGATGAAGTTGTCCAGACCTGTGTCCTCGGACAAAAACCCTGCGGCAGCTGAAGCCGCCTTGGGTTTAGCATGATTGACCTTCGGCGCACCGGCCACTTGCGATTTGACAGTATCAGACACAGCGTCTGATTCCCGTTTAACATCGGATTTGACCTTTTCGATAGGGCTGGCCTCGGGTACCTGACGCGCTTCTTGGCGAATAGGCTCCTTGTGCATGGCCTGTGCAGAGGTGCTGGCGCTCGTAGTGGCTGTCCCAAACATCTCAGTCTCCTCGTCGTCAGAGTCATCACCACCTCCTAGAGCCATCTGAATCTGCTGCATAGCCTTCTTTAGTTCCTCGTCGCTGTAAAATATGTGCGCATCCGAAGAATACCACCTACCTAACTTTCGGAGAGGGCTTCAGGGCGTCAGACTCACGTGCGGTTTCGCCGGCCTCTTCTTCGCTGTCGGATTCTGACGCTATTGATTCGATGTCATAATCGTCTTCCTCCTTGTCCCGTAGGGCTACTGCCGAATGTGACCCCGAGCCGTCCCCAGCATCCTGTGCTTCTATCTTACTCTGTAACGAATCCTTCATAAACTTAAGAGCGAATAGACCCTTCTGAGGAAGTCCCTCTGCCTTGGGGTTTGCGATAACCTTCAGCTTCGCCAGCACCTCGTCATCGGGGTCGCCGGAGGTCGACTCCACGTCAGACGAGGACTCCGAACCATCATCGGATTCATCGTCCGAGTCGGATCCCTCCCTATCGGCAGCACCGTCGATAGTATCCTTGATCAGACTAAGGTCATCCTTCAGCTGCTGCTGGGCGCTCGAAATCTGCTTCAAGACGCTGCGATCGCCGAAACGCATGGCCAGCTTGGCCCACTTCTCCTGTGCCATGCGCTTGCGCAAAACACGGTGCTTGGAACGCTTTTGTTCGAAAGATTCAAGAAGCTCCTTCGTGAGTTCGGGATCATCGGACTTCTCGATAAGTTTGGCGTACAACTCCAAATCACGCTTCTTTTGGCGCTTGTGCCAATTCTTACTCTTGATGCGATTCACACGTTTGTTCTTCCTTAGCTCGCGGGCATGCAGGGCACGCTCGTACGCCAGATTAGCATGTGCATCCAGTTCCTTCTCAAGCTCTGTTTCGGCATCCAACTGTAACATAGAGCCGCAAGTGGGATCGGTGCGACTCTCTGCGCCCCCATAAGACGTATGTTTCTGACGCTTGATGTGCTGCAGCACAGGCTCCCATCTCTTGCTGACCGTCTTCTTAGTCGACGCATAAAGCTCCTTTCGCTCCTCTCGGCTCGCCTTGGAACGAGATTCCTCACGGAACACATCGGGCAGATCATCGCGAATTTCGCGAAACTTCTGGATCAGCGACGAGTATTTGCTGTCGCCATCAGCTACATCCGCAATCCAATCAAAGCCTCCTACGTCCTCTCTAGACACATCCTCCGTGAATAAGTCAGCGTCCTCCTCCAGGCGTGTAAACGCGTATTCAGAATCAGGGGTCGGACGTGGCGCAACATCAGTTTGCACTGGCTCCGGTTTTGCCGTATCAGCGGCAACTACCGCAGTATCGACAGTATGTGTATCCTCTGCATTCTCAAATAGGCTGTCCCAAAGCTCCCCCTTGTCCTCGGAAGGCTTCCCACGCTTCGACTGGAAGAAACGCCCATACTTGGCTTCCTCTTCCTCATTAAACGCATCGTCCTCCGATATTTCCTCGTCATCAAGTCGCTTGGACTTTCGGGGTGGCTTACCCTGGAACTTGGCCTTCATACGGGACCGCGCCATCACGATGTCAGACAGACGAACCAACGAAGCGGGTACTGCAGAGGCTGTCGAACAAAGATGGCATATCAACGCACTGGATAAAATATTTGTGGATTAGAATTCCACGCTATCTGCCGGCAAAAGGTGGGTTTTCGCGGGTAGCGACGCTACAAGGCTACCAGCGCGGACACCACCAACCGAGTGCCGTTTGAGTTTCAGCGCAAATCAACCGATAATGTGGGTTATTATACTTATTGACTAGTGCCGTTGTGTTTACCAATCGGTTCTGTTTAGTGTTTAGCAACGGAGAATCCGTAGGTTATCTTACCATACCTAGCCACGATCATCGCATCAAATATCCCGATTGGAACTCATACAAACCAGTAGATAAGGCGTTGACTACGTTTATTACAAAAAGATACCGCAGTTGCCATATAAAAGGACGTAGCGGCTGCGAATATATAACCGGAGAGAGAGTGCGTAGCGAGGTTAAATAAAAGACGTCATAACCAACTGCACATAACTAATACGGTGCTATAATAACCAATTAGCTCAAATAATCAGCACATAACCGCGTACCCAAGGCAGGGTAACCAGATACGGAATATTCGCGACACTACAAAAGCCGAGCTCCTGAGTGGCTTGCCAAATGGGAGGCAAATCGCAGGGCAACGGCATCTTATCTGCTTTCTAAATATTTTGCAAAGTGAAAGTAGCACACTTTCTCAGCAGAGACACCAAAATGACCGCGTGAGAGACTTGGCATGGACGCGGCGGCAAAGCGAGGCTTCCCTATTGCGGGAAAGGGCCGAACGGCCGAAATTCAACCCAAGGATCTGCCTAGAACTACTTTAAAGGCATTAGGACCCTATGTGCAATGCAACATATGCGGGAGACTTTGCTCCAGACGTGGACACATCAAGTGTGCCGAATGCAAATCATTCAACTCCTGCGTGAAATGTTTCTGCCAAGGGCTTGAGAAGCCGCCTGCAGAAGCTCACAACAGCTCATTTGTTCAGCTGCCGGAGAATGAGGACGCCAAGGAGCACAAAAACTGCCACAAGTATACCCCAGTAGGACCGAATGACTTCGCACTTTTTACCAATGGTAAAAACGCTCACCAGACATGCATCTTGGTATATATCGTGTGATACAGTGTTTGTGTATATCAGGAACCCGCTCCATCAGAGGTGTTAATTTGTGGCACAAGTGCCATTTATTGTGCAGAATGTCCTTGTGAGATCTTTTACTTCTCATTGCGGCACGTAATTGCCCAGGTTGCATTTCGAATAACATAAAATACTGATTTCTCATTGCCATGCAGACTGGAGTGCCGAGCAGGAAATATTACTGATAGACGGCATCGCGAAATATGGACTGGGCAACTGGCAGGTGCGTTTGCATAACAAGAGGTACACTCTGGTGCACAATCTCGCGCCACACAGTGTTATTTGCGCAAGAATATTCGCAATTTTGTGTTTACACGTTGCTAATACGGCGGGCTTAATCTGGCCGTCTGCAGTATTTGCCACCTATGGGGCCGGACTTGATGAGCAAAGTCGCTCAAACGCAGTTACTACCAATGTAGAAATCCGCGGTGCTATATAACTTTAAGAGGCTGAAAATTGTATGCAAAACTTATGGATATGCAGGAAATCAGCGAGATGGTCTCGATGACCTCGGTGGGGTACAAATCGTGGGAGGAGTGCCAGCAGCATTACTACAACGTGTACCTAAACTCTCCAACAGCACCTTTACCGGTATGTTTCAACACCGGGTGAACTATAATACGCAGGACATGACAAGTATCATACACGGACCGAATGGAGAGCCGGTACTAGTACCTCCCAGCACGGTGGTGCCGCCTAAAGAGGAGCCACCAACTGGTAAGGATTGGACTAATAAATACCAAAAAATGGCTGCAGTTACACAAACCAAGCCCGCCAACAAGCCGCAAGTAGTCGGATACTGGCCACTTAGAGGCGACTTCGACATTGAATACGACAACGACGCGGAGCTCATCCTAGCTGACATGGAATTCAGGCCGGAGGACACACCAGAGCAGATCGAGCTCAAGCTCAAGGTTATCGAGATATACAATTCAAAGCTGGATGAGCGCATATATCGCAAGAAAATCATCATATCACGGTGAGTACATTTTTCCAACATCAAAGGCAAGAAAACACCAAGTTGGGTGGAAATGGCGCAGTATGAAACCCTGCACTTTTATTCGCCCAATTTGGGAATTTAAACAGCATGCAACTGCATACAACGAATCATTGTGATCTAAAATTCATGTTCTTTCAGGGGACTGCTGGACGCCAAGGCTATGCAGCAAAAAGAACGCCGTTGCACTGGAGAGGAAAAAGAACTGTACAACATATTACGCCCATTCCTCAGATTCCAAACGGTGGAGGAGCACGACCACACAGTACGTCTACTAGTGAGGGAGAGAAAGCTGCGCACGCGACTATTCCAACTCATGATATGGAAAGCGCTGGGGCTGGAGAAGATCGAAGACATCGCCGTACGTATTAAATGTAATGCCCATCATCTTGAGCAGAAATACGAGGAACGTATGAGCAGAATAGATGCCTACAAGGAGCAGATGAGACAGGATGACCCCTGCCGAAGAATCGAGCGCAGGCTGAGAAACCCGCAGGTGGACCACGAACTCAACAACCTCAACGTCAACAAGATCAAAATATCGGATTTCTTGGAAGAAAAAGAGGTGCAGTTCTGCGAGGCGCTACAACTCCCACCTGTGGCCTACTTCCTCGCAAAACGCGTACTGCTACACGAAGTCGCGTGCAACCCCTCGTACACTATTGACGATATGTGCGGAGAGCTCAAAATGGATGGGACAAAACACGGTCGCGTATTCGATCTGCTGCTCTCTCTGGCACCGCGGGGATTGGCAGACTTGCCTAACCAGGTAGCCGACCTGTCCAAGGCAACCTTGGATAGCAACGGCTATCTCAGCAACAGCGGCGTAGCATCGCAGATGTCCATATTCTCGGCGGGACAGAATTTCCAAAGGCAGCCGCCTAACAAAATCAGCAACTACTTTGTACAGAGGGAGGCGGCCGGCGAGAGGACACGCAAACAACACAGGCCAAATCCACCTATGGGGTGAACACGACTCACGATAGCACACCGCTTTTATGTTGTAGGGGCGGCGACTTCACTGGCTGCCCATTTAACGCCTTAATATTTAAAAATGGCGCACTTTCTGGCGGTACGGCGCTGCAAAGTGCGTCCCTTTCTCGCTGCTCTAATATGTGCATAGCACCGAGGTTTGGACGCATTTTATAGAAATCGGACCACATATAACAACGGCTTAAGCTCAAACTATATTTCAGTGGTACGCGGGGATACTGGGACGAAAACAGCGTCAATTGCAATGTTTTCCAATATAACGCAGATCAAACATTGCCGCAGCTGCTTAAGTGTAAACCGTTGTAGCACACATGTATGGATCCAGAAATTAGTCAAAGGGCAGCTTATAGTTCTACCCAACATTCCAGATGCGTATCAGGCGGCCACACTCTAACCTCCACTTTACAGTAAGATCCTGCTCATCATGATTGCGGATACACGTGCTCAATAGAACCCACGGAAAGGTTTTAACGTTAGCATCTGCGCTGCATATATCTGAATATTAGGTTGGAGATAGTTCGTTGATGTTGGGTGCTGCCTTTTGGAAACGGTGAGTGGAGAAGCTACATTTTTGCCTCCTGCTACTACACCATGTGCTCTAGCTTCACACACATCATTGTTACATAGTAGTACTATAATACACACGTTGATGTTTGAACTACTCAGTCTCTGGGTAAGAGGCGAACAGGGCATTTGGCAGAGGTCACCCAACACCCGTACATTATGGGGATACATAGACATACTAAGACCATTACTGATGTCTAATATAGATAAGCTGTTTTACATTTGTGGACGTTTGTTATCCACAGTATGCTCAATCTGTCTGCTAAGCTAAACCTATAATATTGACAAACAGTTCCATGGAATAATGCCATGTGGGCTTGGTGATGCTATCATAGGTTAGTGGATAGAAGGCTTGGACGACTTTTGGAATATATTGGAAAACACATTTGTCTCCAATGCCAAAAACCCGGTGGTCCAACATATGGCGATTATGAAGATCATGCAAACTACGCCGATGAGAACGCCGAGGGCGACGGAGAAGGGGATGAAAGGGGCGGAACATTTAGGGCAAAGTTTTACTTCACCACCACTCCTAGAACTCAACTGACGACTACACGTCGGACACAGCTTAATCTCCGTCGACTGACCTTGACCCATTTTGACCAAATCTGCACAGCAATGAACAACGCACCTCAAGACACGATCACTCTTGGCCAACTGATTATGCACAATGTCCATGCCAATGGATCTAGCCCGCCATCCTCATAGTGCTGGGGCAACCGTTATTCCCGATCAGTAAACGCAGACATACCATTAACTCCGCTGCCAGCATGCGTTGATTAGGCAAGTTGGACAATGTACTGATATTACGCGGCATCCCACCTATAAGCAGGTCTGCACTCTTCTCACCTTGTCGTCATCATGCCACCCATTCACCTAACATGTGACCCACTACCTCACCTAGCATGGTGCACAGCACCCACTGGCTTGGACGACACCCGCCTAGCTGCACGTCGCAGTGCCACAACCGGCGGCCATTGCTTACGACGCATCATATGCAGTACTAACAAAAAAGACGTCTGCTAGATTAAACAAAACTGCTAATTAGGTTAGATGAGTGAGGTTATGAGATTGCACTGGAGGGAGCAGCTAAGTACGAGGCGGGAGGCTTGACATCTGTCCTAAACCCATCCCTTATTTAAAGTGCCAATTTTCCTTCACGTCCAGGATATATCTAGTAGATGAGTGCGCAGACGGGAATGACGGAAAGGATGGCGATGAGGGCAAGTCCAACGTATATGCGACGATTTTTGTAACCGTCGCTACCACCAGTTTTATAAAGGCTGACGATTTAACACCATCACATTTCTCCGCTCACTTGACAGTGTAAAGCAATGGGCAATTTACTCTGAAGGTGGCACAGTTGAGAGATGCGGCACGTTAATAACGCGTCAGGAATATGTGTCAGCGTCTTATCCGCGCTACGAGCTATATGTCAGCAGCGGTGTAAGTTTTAAGTGTACTGCGACGTGGACTAGGCGCGGCAGTGGGTAGGCATGATATCATGTGGCATTGTACTGAACCAAATAAATAACAGCGACCAATTGCGGAGTGAATGCATTGTTATAATAGGTTCTATCATGATCGAAAACCCTAGCCTCCACTCCGCCACGTGCTGTGTATCACGCGCGGTCTGTAGGCAACCATTTGCGTGATTGAAGTTACCAACGGCATCATCGTGTCAATCAGGGCAATGACAATAGCATCAATGTGCGGGGTAATTGACGGGTACTGTTATCAATACGTTGGGCTACGCTCTGACGCTCATCCCCGCGGCCGCGGATAAAATGCACCGCTGGACCTTGGCACTCAGAGAGTTGCGATGCTTTATTGTCCAAAAATAAAATCATTATGAGCAAACACTTAACGTTTCATCATTATTCGCACATGTGCTCTATAGGGACATCGATTGAAACTTTTGGAGGTTTATAATAGAAATAATTTCACACGCATTTTCCAAGAGGCTTCGGCCGTTGCAATCACCACAGACCAGGTGGAGCATTAAGTTAAACAGTCATAGGAAGCATTGACAGGCCACGCATTGTTACGCTTCAAAGATGCGTTTAGTGTCAGCTTTCACATCCCTTCGATAAACCTCCCCAATCGGGGTAGGATTTTCGTGGCCGGTAGATGTTTGCCACTCCTTTGGAGAGCATCTCCATTCGCCATTCATGTCGCTCCATGGTGTCCAGGACTTCTCCGTATTCAACCGTTTACTCTGTCATCGTTGCTTTGCAATCTGATTCTCATACATCTGTGCAGCAGCAAAGCGCGGGGCAGTATCCACTCAGCCGTGTCACATCTAGCATTCTCAGTCCACATTATAAATATGATTACTGTCATCGTATTGGGTCTTCTACTTCCAAAATATGCCATGTATTATTGAATTGCCCATCGCTGAGTGGGTGCCGCTATAGCGGTGTGCTAATTACAAACATTATGCAGCTTCATATTGTGATAACATATATCGATATACGCATAGCATAACTATATGCTGATGTCAGCAACTTAACGCCAGGACCATATTGTGTTCAATAATCCAGCCACACCAAAAGCTAAGGTTTAGGCGGACTTCGACCGCTCACCACAATAACTGTTGATGATCACATGGCATGTTTAGAGACTGAGGCCAGGCCGCATCGTAGGGATTGTGAGGGGCAGCAATAAACGTGAGAAGGAGTGTTGATATTGGCACATGAAACGATAATGCGAGATACGCACTATGGCGGATTACTCCAAACAATAATTGAAGAGGCTGCTATTATACAGGTTTTAACCTATGGGGCGCACATTTTGGCAGCTGACGACTGCTCTGCCAGGTGAGCTACATGGTCGTCTGCTAAGTGAGTGCTTTACACGTTAGTTATCATGTACGCTTCCAGGCAATGAATGTCGCCGTGAATTTCAGACGTGATGGTTACTCTACTGCCATATTAAGTGGCTTGCATGCCTACATTTTGGCAATCACTAATATAGTAGACACGCGCCGTAGCACAGCCAGAGACCCAGCAGCGTATCCATAAGCGGTCAGTGTACAATACGCATTCTGCCGCAATTCGAACTGAAGAGCCTCTGCCGTGGCTGAATGTACGTTGTGGTATCCCTGGCTGTGGGACGCGTGGAGGTTATCGGAGGCGGCTTGGCGGTCCTAGTGTTCGGGGCTCCGGGTACGTGTTTCATACCTGTGCAGGTTGATGATAGGGGAGCAAAGGGAAGATGAGTGACCAGTGTAATTGTCTTTCAAGGGGCGGGGAGTGTAGTGGCAACGGTTGTAAGTGCTGCCTATGGTGTTGTCCAGGATGCCAGAGCGATGAGTGCAGAGCGTGCACAGAGTCGAGAGAGGATTTAGTGACACACAGTCATTCTGAATGTGGGAAATGTGCACCTCTAGGTTGGTGGAGCTGTGACTGTAATTGTTGTAGAAATAAACGTATATACATTGCCATCCCTGTAGTCATCTTCATAATATCCATCGTCGTATGTCTTATGATCATTAAACGTGTTCGGCCGTTACACCAGGTCCGCGATTGTTTCGTCCGCAAATGAACTTTTGTATCACATTCTTTAATCACTTACGGCTTTTCTTATAATCGCACTTATCGCACCGATTAAGACAATACTGGCACATCGCCAATGTAATCACGTCTTATATAATGTTTCAAGGTTGGGCATCAGCAGGTACCAGTGAGTGCGTTTGTAAATTACGTCGTGGCAGCGAATTGGGGGTGCATTAGTTAAAAGGGCACAATTAACACAGCTCAATGTAGTATGCTTATCCACTCCCACCTCCACCAGGCGCCGTGCCAGCCGGCGCAGTAGCGCCGCTGCTTACATTTCGATCGGCACCAGGACTTGTTGGTAGAGTAACATCTTGACCACCGCTTGACCCAGTCCCCTTATCACCAGGTGACCCAGCGCTTGGAACTGAAGCACTCGTAGGCTCAGTAAGCCCCTTGACTTGAGGTGCAGTAGGCTGTGAACCTGGAGCATCACCGGACGTTGAAGATGGAACCGCGCCACCTGGCTGAGCAGGGAGGGGAGCGCCTTCAGGAACAGGGGGGGGAGGAGGCGGAAGGGGAGAGCCTGGAGGGTCTTGAGCAGTAACTTGCTGAGTCTGAACAGCTCGTATAACTGGTGAACCTGGAGCTGGAGAAGACACCGTGGCCCCTGAATCAGGATGCCCTTCCTGTCCTCGATCACCGTTAGGCCCTGACGGGCCTGTACCTCCGTGATCACCGGGAAGCGGACTTGCATCAGCAGAGTCTGCAACTGGTGATAGTTGAAGAGTTCCTCCACTTTGACCGTTACTCCGATTTTGATTCCCCTCCGCTTTCTTCCCCTGGTTCTGCGCTCCCTCAGCCTTCTTGCCTTGGTTGGGAGTTCCCTCAGGGAGCTTGCATACTCCTTGATAAGTTCCATTCAAAATATACACAAGCCTATCCAAATCGCCGTCACTGGATTTATGAAGCTCACCGATTACATCGGACAAATCCTTCGGCAAATTCAGCACATCGCATAACGGTATAGCAAAGCGGTCTCGAAATGTGAACCCGTAGGGGAAGAAATGTTTCGTGAAATATGTACCAAGATGTTCTTCCGTATTTTTTTTTAATTTCCCTCAAATGTTTCCGCACTGTGGTCACATTTCCTCTCAACCAATTCGCAGTTTCCTTCGCCAGCTCCTCTTGCTGAAGATTTCCGATATCCGTCGACTGGCCCGTGAAGTCGAAGCGTTTCGGGTCGTTGAAAAGCTTGCTCAATTTATCTCGAAGCTTAGCGCAGTGGGTTTTTAACTCTTGCCAGCATATGGAATTTGAGGACCCGAACTTTTTAAGATCTTCTTCCAATTTTTGTTTTAATGTGCCGCCTTCTTTACCTTTCTCCGCCTCCACAATATCGCAGAACGTTCTCACCAATGCAAGAGTGTTTGCCGTGTTCTCTTTACGACTGGCCGAATTACCAATAACGGAAGTGACAAAGACGCTGCGGAAGAAATTATAATTGCCTTTTCTCACGATGGCTTGTAGGTCCCCAGACATAGCAAAACCCTGGTGGTAGCCTCTGTGCCAAAAACGTGAGCTATATTTTACTTCGTCTTTACCGAACCCACCAGGTATGACACCGTACTTTATCTCGTTGGATGGAGCATGGAGGTACTCATCAAGATGACCTCCACCATTCGTGCCCCATCCCGGCCAGTCATATTGCCACCACCCGCCGCCTAGCTTTCTGAATCCATTGTCTATGCAATACCAAAGGTAGTAGATCACGGCGAGGAATCTGGGGAGACATTCGAGAAGGGCGTCGGCAATTGTTTTTGCGTCCTTAATGTTATAATTCCCTGGCGTTGTGTAGTTGCACAATCTCCCATAAAAGTTTGACACGTGGCTAAGGAATGCGGACAGTTCGGATTGAATGTTATGCACTGTGAGAAATGGAGATTTACTTTTACCTACTCTAGGAATTGAGGTACTAAAATATTTACTAATACGATCATATAGATGACGGGCCACCTCTTGAAGCTTACTCTGCCCATTCCCGTTATGCAGCCACTGCAGGAACATGAGACACTGCTTGAGTGTTTTGAGCTGAATGCCGTGAGACGTCATCTTGCTTACCAAGACACTAAGAACAGTGACACTAATAAATGGGCGCTAGGGTTATGTTACAAAAGCACAAGTGGAAGCGTCTTAATTGTGAACTATGAGACACTAAAGCGATGAAACCTCCAAGGTGATGTCACTGCTTCCAGATAACCAAGACACTGCCAAGTTGCTTGCAGAGGTATAATTGCGCTATTGATAGGTGACACAGTAAAGGTGTTAGTGGCGATTGGTGACCTATTTTATAGGCACAAGAGGGGCGTGGTAGGAGGCGTCCGCAGCCTCAGTCCACCGACAAGGTGGGATGACGTAAATACGTCCACGAGTAAGGCACAATGCAACGTACCAAACAACGAACATCTCAACGGAGCTTGTATATTACTTAAGAGGCTACACGTTTAATGAGCCAGGTGAGTAAGGCCTTGAAGGCTGTTGAGGATAATGTTACTGAGGCGTTGCAGGCTGTTGTTAACATGGACAAAAGTCTGAAGGGGGATTTGTTTAACGTGAAGAAGAAAATTAAGGAAGGGATAGAGAGTGTGCTCGGACCTTCAGGGCTTAATGTGTTGACGTTGGATCAGAAAGTGCAGACGGATTTGGTGGCGTTGAAGGTGAAGATTGAGGATGTTACTAAAGATGATCCTACTACTATTAGCCTTATTCAGAGTCAGTTGAAGGATCTTGGGACGGCGAAAAGTGAGCTTGAAAATAAGCTCACAGGGCCCGATCCCAATTCAATTAAAACACTGACGGATGGGCGTGAGACCAACTTTAAGAATCAGATCAAAACTCCGCTTAACGCTAAAGTCAGTGCAGTTGACTCGGCGATTGAGACGCTTGGCGGGAAGTTTAACAGCAACGGTGCACTTAAGACTTTTGATGAGATTTTCAAGCATATTAAAGAAAAGGTTGCGGAGATTATTAATGGTGATAAAGGCGATAAAGGTTTAAATGGGATTGCGAAGGCGGTGCAGCAGTACGCCACGGACGTTTACAAAAATATGCGAGAGAGCACAATCAATGACTGGCTTCCTAAAATTTTGGGAGACAAGGATAAGCCGGTGAAGGACCCAATTAAGGGGTGGCTTGAGAAGTGTGTAGGGAACCCAAGGCATTCAAATGGTTCGCCTACCACTGAGGATGAATTGCGTAAAGGTATTAAACATCAGATTAAGGATAAGCTTGAGAAGAAGGTTTATGATCAGGTTAAAGAGAAGCACAATGTCCAAGCAAAGGGCCAAGTTGCAGAGGATTTGGGAGGCCTCAAGACATTTCTGGAGGAATATGCCAATACGCTTGATGATCAACTTAAGCCCGCGAGTGACAGCAGTGATGCAAATCCGTTCGTCTCTGGAATAGTCGGGCAGGTTGGGGATCCACCCAGCCAAAATCCAAACAACCAACATCTCACATTCATCGTTGAAGCGATCTTTGTCGCCGTTGCCGCCAAAGCGAGGCGGGCCGGTGAGGAGATTGGCACACTACTTCTCGACGCCGGCAGGGTGGGCACCAACGGCAACAAAACAAGCATCGCAAAGGCGTTGGATGATGCGCTAAAGGTAGCTGCAGAGCTTGACGGTCAGCTTAACAACGCGACTACCACTCCCCGCGTCCAACCCGAAAGCCCCGCCAAAGCCGTGGACACTAAGTTGAAAGAGGTGAAGGATGAGGTTGGTGGACAAAATGACGATGATAATAGTATTACCAGCAGGTTTAAGAAAGATGTCAAAAAGTCAATTGATGATGCAGTCAAAGAACTTCCTGAAGCGGTTAAAATGTTTGACGCTGAAGCTGAGCATGTTGCCGATAATGCACAATAAGCTACGCAGGTTGATGCTTATATGCGGCAACGAGCTGAAAAGCAATAAAATTGTGGCTTCACCATTGCAGAAAAGAGGATCTTCTGGGCAACTACCTAACTAAATGCGGCTACAAAGTGTCATCCAAGGAAAGGGGCAATGACGGAGCGGCAAACTGGCAATAATAGGCCACGGTGAGCTAGGTATTTACATCTTACACCTGTACTGGACATCAGGTATGCACTTGGTACTGCGCCTTTGGCATGGCAGACTGATGTGACTGCGAAGCTGCTGTGACAACGGCGAGGTGAACTTCGCAACTCTTAGATCATAAGGAGTCGTTTGCAACTTTATCGTTGTCATTTTGGCAACAATTCTTGTCAATTTATCTTGGCTGTAAAGGTGTATAGTATGTCAGAGTTGCGATATCTGGTATCATGCACGCCCCAGCACTAGGTGGATGGCATCACGCATGTATGGACATGGCCTTTATATAATCGCGTCTTCAAGAGTGTTCGAGTGTTTCGGCAAGCGGTAAACCACCGTTAAGAATTATTTCTTAAGTGAGCTATTGTAAAGATGTCGCATAAGTGTCCGTTTTGTAGACAGGATTGCCAGTGTAGGTGCGTGGGCACTGGCAGTGGCATCGCTGTTGCCGGCGTTTTCGGTTTCATCGGCCTCGTTGTCTTGCTCCTTTATATCTGCGCTGAAGTGCATAACCAAATCCTTGGTACAATCATCAACCAAATAGAGTACGCCTTCACTGGTTCGAAGCCCGCCACCTGCAAGCCTCACATAGTCCACATACCTTCCTGTAACCATGTCACATCCGATCTCAATCTTGTCCGTTTCGCTAGACAAACAAGCCGTGCATCCAGCAGACAAAAGCAACCCGGAAACGTAAAGTAGAGCTATATTATTTCGTAAAGCCCGCTAACTTCATACTGCGTTGCTGAACATGGTTAACATCATGTTACGTTCGGTCGTATGCATGTCTGATAGTGAAGTTGGCACCTTATGACTTTTGTAGCACGTCAGCTGAGTTAGATAGCAACAACACAGCGTATGATGCTCAAATGAAAAGGTACACGACACTGAACGGAGTGTCACTCTGCGTGTGACGTGAGATACGAACCATCTACTTCACTATAAAGAAACAATAGCAACCATTTACGTCATAGGTGTGTTACCCTAGTAGTGCAGATGCCGTAATTTTGTGGTTAAATGCGGGGATAAAGTCAGACGAGTGTGTACACATCCCTGTCTCATGCACATGTGTCACTCTGCAATTTCGTCATCAAAACATGCCTTAAAATATGCACATCTCGCATTTTCCAGGTTCTGTAAGTGTATATGTGACAGCATGGACGTACCGTATATTCGGCGGCATCCTTATATCAAGGGAGTTACGGACGTCAATCTGAGCCATTGCATCAAATGCGCAGCACTCGTCCTGTCTGGAATGTTAATCCCCGCTGATTGTACACAAGATGACTATATTCGTACTGTGTCAACTGACTATGTTAGAGAATCGGTGACCATGGACACTTCTGTGTCATATGATGCGGCATCCAGGGAGTAAGTGTCCACGTCATAGGAGGCATCCTTTTACAGAAACATTCGAGACTACTTTATCAATGTTGTACCTGACGAAATAGCGAAGCATCCTGGAATTTCCGCATCTCTTGTGGACGTATGTTTGACGAAATGACCTCTTCATCCGGCGTTAGATTACCGAGTACAATCGCCTGGCCCGCATGCGGGGATTTAGGGAAATAAACAACAACGCTGAGGTGGCGTACCTCATTTATACTCATAGGGATATTCACAAGTCGCTAAAGTTCTACCCGGAGCGCCATCGAGCACGTTGGGAGACCGTTCGCGTTGCCGTAGACGGGGTCCTACAAAGGCGCACGTTCAGAATCCCTCTTGGTGACGGCTCCCCAGGATCGTCGCATTATACATGCGAATTCGACTACTCGTTAAAGCCGCTGCATGACCTGACAACGAACGTTTACGACGAGGTGGGCAAGCTATCCCTATACCTCGACCTCCGTAAGAAGTATGCTGACAAGTCGCAACAATACGACGTGTTGTCTCTGGCTAATGCCACACCAGACTTTGCTGTTTTGGGTTACATGCGACCCAACTATGACCAGGAAGATGTGACAGTGCTCGTTCATCGTACGCGTGGTTCGTGGATACAAATCGCGTCCTTGCTGACCGTTAAGATTCTAAGAGAACGAGACATTGGCATACGGTTTACGTTAGAAAAAGACACATCTGCGTATAAATCATGCCACGAGTGTTTGCATTCCAAGGTAGAGAAGGTCGGATTTATGCACGATGACTGGAGGGACTGCTGCGTCGCTCCCGAGATGCTAGATACGCACGCCCGTTTGACGTTCGAGGATTATCTCTGGGAGCACCACAATGTGTACGCAAATGGCATGCATCCGTACCAACAGTCTGTGTTACTCCTGGCCTGTGGAGCTGTGCATCACTCCCTGTATTCGATGCAGCACAATATGGGAAGCCCTTCCGACATCAATGGAGAATTGAATACATATTTAAACAATGAAGCCGTAGGCCCCTATCTGTCGTTGATGAAGCGTATGATCGTTCCTACCCCCATGAGTGAAAGCTCACTCCCAGAGGCGCTCCGCGGTAAAGAGGTCACTCGTACGGAGTACCTGTTGGGATTGTGGCTCGCCTACATGAATTCGGTGCAAACACTGCGCAGGGAGCTGGCTTCGGTCAAATTTGAGGATTATGCGGAGTTCATGACTACAGACGCTCTGGTGACCGACCAGCAAAAACTAATGCTCATGTCACTAACAATAATAGCGGTAGTCAGCCTATTCTCGGCGCTGATCAGTGGATATAGATTCAAGTACAAGCAACGGAAAGACAAGCTCGAAGTATCTAAACAGGAACGCGTGTTTCACCCTGCCACGCCAAGGTTCTACGACGCAACCGACGTGGATACCGATAGCGTCCATGAACACGATCTTCGTAAATCCGCAACATGGACGGCTGTATCATTCAGTTGATAGCTTTTGCAGCTGATTCCGCCATTGTATGGGGCATAACCACTGAGGAGCTGACGACGTGCAGACAATCATCTTTACAAAATTGCAATACGGACTGTCGCGGTTATGGAAACGCATGAGGACATCCCAATGCAACCGGATACGCTGATGCACACCCCATATACGCGGATAGCATCTACAAAATCAATGCACCCCTGGCATACCACCTGGGTTTTCACAACTCAGGGAACCCAACACCAAAAATAAAAATCCCCGCTGACAAAAGTGGGGAACCGGTGTTAACACCACACACACTTAATCGAAACAATAACACTATAAATCCCTTGTCTGGAGGTAAATAACAAGGACCGTTAAAAACAGTGTATAGCGGAGACCCATACCTCCCACAGCAATTGTAACAACATAGACATGATTAAAGCGTGTTGGTTCGCACCGTACACAACTTACGGCGCACATCAGTCAGTCGATATACGCAATGTCGATGTGCAGCAACAGGCCGCAGCAGTCGATTTCAATGAAACGCTGGTCTAGCAGCTGCACCCACCTGATCCCCGGGCGGATGCGGTTAACGGGCAGCGCGGATTGCCCTATGAGCTGCGCGCCCATGTTGTCGTAGTGCTTCACTGTAAGCAGCAGAATGGAGAGGTTCGGCCGCTTCACTACGAACTCGAACGGCGGCGTGGTGTCAGCCCACACGGGGTTGAAGCCATTGAAATTTACAGTGTCAGTTCGCTGGACACGCTCCCCTTCACCCACCACCGCAACCTCTACAAACGGGCAGCATGGGTCAGCCCGTGATTTAACAATGTTTTCCGACTTCTGGATCAAATGGCTGGTGGTTTCGATGCTATCCGTGCCATCGCCCTTCGTGCCCTCATCCATCGTAAATCTGTATTCGCGCCGTTCTCTCCTGGTAGGTCGCTTGCTTTTGCGGGGCTTTCCAATCTCTGCTGCTACCTTGTCCATGTCGATTTCGACCCCTCCTTGCTGGATGGAGTAAAGCACGTTGCCCAACGCATTGGAAAAGTTGGTCTGCTCCAGTCCCTCGTTTGGCGGTGATAGCTGTGACGCCGATAGAACGTGTATCTTGAGTTTTATCGGCCTATCGCAGAAGTAGTCCGTACATTCGCCTTGCCGGTACGTCACGGGCCGCAGCTCCGGCGGCTTCAACACATAACCAAAACTCTGGTTGAACTTCCCATAGTTGATCAGCATCGACCTATCACACGACTGGTAGTTGAGCGCCGCACACTGCACGCCTACCGCCCACGCACTCATCGGGCAGAAGTTGGTGCTGGCTAGCCTAGTGCCCGACGGGAACACTCTCAACATCGATATATCCGCCAGCTTTACCACGAACTCCGAGTCCGCAGACAGCTTGGCGAATTTGCTCTCGTTCATACTGTACATATCGTTGCGCTTCGCGTGGGAGATGTTGTCCGGAGTAACCTCCGCAATCTTGTAGCCATGCAGCGCCACAACCGACATCCACTCAGCGTCCAACTTCGCGTTTTTCACTACGGGGTCCGTGTGCATCTTTCCCTTGATGATGAATTTAGAGAGCAGGCAACCAATGGGCACCGACGCGACATGATCCACTGGATCCTTGGGGTCGGGTAGATACAGGTAGTCACCCAGGATCTTTTTGCACAGTTGGGCCGTCTTGGCCTTGCATTCTTCGCTACCCGTCATTTGCATGGACAGTATAACAGGCAACTTGGAGGTGCTGAATGCAGTCTCCTTGCACGCGAGGAGCGCCTCCTTCAGTGTAACCGACCCGGTGAGCTGACAATGCTTCCATGAGTGACACAGCACGGGTTCACCGTTAGCGCCATCCTGACAGTCGAGTTCTATGCAACGGCACCCCCTAATCAGCGCATCCGCGAGTGCTCCTGCGGTGGCCGTACCTCCTACCTGGCTACCCGTAAGGTAAGTGTTGTGGGAGCTTGCGATCCAGAACGAGGTCAGCGGATACTGCAGCATGTGCGCAATCTCTTCCGCATCCTGTGGCATTACAGCTGTGTTGAACTTTTGGGAAAGAGACCAGTGGAACCCCATGATGGTGAGCATTTTAACAGGCAGGGATGAGTTGGCTGCTGGCCTCATGCAGCACCCCTGGCTGTACTTCGTTTCCATGAATTTGGACGCCGTAAATGGCGGGCGCGCGTCCTTTTCGACTATACCTAACAGGTTATCTGTGGTCTCCGCCCTGTTGGCCCCCTGCACGTTCTCCAAGAACCTCTGGTACTGCTCGTTGTCTATGGGCTTCAGCGGGTCGACCTCATGTTCCATCCAGTTGTCCCGTTTGGGAACCCCGGAAGACGACCACACAGCGGCGGATGAATCCGCATCCAATAGCCCGTCCATGTCACTTCCTTTCTTGAACTTTGACCAACGTTTGAAAAAGTTGATTTTCCCCTTTTCCTCCTCTGCAGACGGGACACCACCTTCATCATGATCCAGATCACCATCACTAGTGTTATCTTCAGCGGTGTTGCCTTCCGCAGTGTTATGTTCAACAGTTTTATCATCGTTAGTTTGATCGCCATTCGGCAAATTCTCTTGATTGTACTCCGCCACGTTATCCCTGATGCTGCGGGCTACTCGGGATGGTTTCTTTTGGCCATGATAGTCGTCCGTGTCCAACACGTTGGCCACAATGGAGTAGTGCTTTACCACGTTAAACATCAACTTAATAACATCTTCCTCTGACATATAGTTGTCAAAAACAAATACCTCATCCCTAGACGAATTAATCTCAGCGTCCATCGCCCTTAAGTGATAGGCACAGTCGGCCACAAACCTCACGAGGTTGTCGACGCGGTTGTAATCTGACTTGATCAGACTCTGTATGAGTTTATGCAGCCATGATTCACGAGTTGCTAGTATCTCTTTCACCACGGTAATCACGGGCTCCAGAACATCCTCGCGCCTCACCAGTTTAAGGTCAGTGAGCCTTTCCACTACCTCATCGACCGTGTTTGGCATATCCTCCTGTTCGCCTTCGTGATCACGTTTGCCGGCCGCAATGAGCTTATCAAGTGAATTTTCTTTCCTAGCTAGTTCCTGCGTGATGGTCTTGGACTGGAAGGTGGGAATGCCATCGGGTTCGCGGAGGGCGAACCACGTTGCGATTTTGTTGGAGTTTGCTATCCAAGCGCGCGCGTACTCATCGCGAGCATGTCGTGCAATGTGGTACAGTCCACAGATCCAGAGCAGCGCGTCTCTTTGCGTGGCAGCCGCCAGGCGCAGCGAGAACGCCCCCGAGAGAACAAAAACAAGCTTGTCATTGGCATCGGGCTTGCTCTTGTTGTCAAAGCTCGATATCTCGTCTCCACGCCTGATCGTGTCGACCCCGCACAGCGCGAAGACGGTCTCACTCGGGTGCTTCCGCCACGAGTGCCATCTGAGGAAGAAGGTCCCGCAGACACATGAGACCCAAAAGTAGCGCTCATGGGAACGCGACGACGGCTGCACTGCGAGGTAGCTAGTGCCGTTTTCGACGAATTGCTGTGTTTGCGGCTTCACACCTAGGCCGTGTTTTTGTTCCGTCAGCGGCTGGCCGCGCCTCCATTTCCGAAGGAGGTCGCCCGCAAGCACACACTCAATCGCTTCCACGACGGGAATCCCGATTATTTCATCGTACAAGCTGTCGCTGATGTACGGGGACGCATAGGTGCTGCCAGCGGCGAGTTCCTTCATCCAATTTTCGTTAAGGTTCTTTGTCATCGTCCGGCAGGTGCTGTGCTTCTGCTCTTGGATCGCCAGTCATGACGGCCGCAGTGGCCCTAAGATGGCCAATTTCCCAAATTCGCAGTCATATTATGGACGTGACTTGCGTTCAAGAATGTTCCAACTACCGTTTGTCTGAGTGGTCTCCCAAACCGCGGACGTCGCGGCTATACTGCGTGATGTACACACATTGTAAAAACCTAACAGGAGCAAGCTCCCTGAGAATCTATAACGCCGTAACCAGTCAAGGGGCGGAGATACCGTCACCACAGATGTCGATGGCGGGCCGACTTAATCAATGTGCAGTACTCCCTGTAACCTCACACAGTGAGACACGTTATATCTAACAGTACACAAAAACGCACTTTTGAGCAACAACTCAATACCAACTCGACGAATGCGTTATTTACCAGACCGCACAATGATTCCTTACTGGGTTGCGGGGATTCCAACACCGTCCTTAAATTTACACCGTTAACATGTATACTTTTAAGTTGATGAATAATTTATAATAAAAAGCCACCCGATCTACGATGTACCCCGCTTTTTGTTGTCTCACAACATTTTGTACAGGCTCCTAGACGTAAAAATCGGCCTTCCGGCGTGGCGCTAGTGGTCTAGGGGTAAGATCCAACCCTCCCAAGGTTGGGGCCCGGGTTCGAGTCCCGGCTAGCGCATTTTATAACTGCGCCAGCATACTTCACAGATTATTTTAATGCCAAAACGCCGTGGCATGTGAACTGAATTGGCTGTGAACGCCTGCCTACCCTCCGCGGGCGAAAATTCCAGCCGCACGTGCAGCCTCCGGCGTATGTCCAGAGGCGTGCATCCGATCGGGTTGCATCGCCCGGTCCTACACATCACGCCTACAATCGCACCCACAGCCATATATTGTATACTGAATTAAATGTGTCAGTATGGCGGAGATTGCGTCGTCCATGGCCGTGGGCACGCACCTCTTCGTTTGCTCGGAGACGGAGGTATGTGTTGGCGTCCGCCTGGCTGATTCGCTTTGCAGGTCTGGCAGGAGGCCGTCGTCGACAGCATTAGCGATGGAAAGGTCTTCGTCCGCGTCAAGGGAGCGCAGCCCGGCGAGCTCGTGGAGCTGAAGGCCGGAAATAAGTTCCACCCTCACACCGAAGGTACGTTTTCGCCTCCATGCGGCAAGAAGGCGGCTCCAAGTGCGATTTTGGCTACATATCTTCGTGGTGTGTGATATTTTGCCATGGGTGTGTATGGGCCGCCGCCGTATCCCTGTATGTACCCTGCACATTGCAACAGATCGCTTCAACACACCAAGTGGATACCCCGATGACCTCTGTAACTTGACGTATTTGCACGAGGCGTCGGTGCTGCACGCGCTGGACTGCCGTTTCGCCGTCGACGACATTTACACCCTGACCGGGAAGATTCTCATCGCCGTAAACCCTTTCAAATCCATAAAGGGCCTCTACGACGATGAGACTATCGTCCGGTACCTCGAGATGTGCGACCATGGGGTCCCGCACGTGTTCGGAGTCGCCAGGGATGCCTACAATAACATGACCAAGAATGAGCAGTCCCAGACAATCCTCATCAGCGGCGAGTCCGGCGCCGGGAAGACCGAGTCCACCAAATTTGCAATGAAGTTCCTGGCTATCGCAGGCGCAGAAAGTATGGAAAAGAAGTCCCCAGCTGAGGTGAAGGTGCTTGAATCCAACCCGCTGCTCGAGTCCTTCGGTAACGCCTCAACTGTGAGGAACGCCAACAGCTCGAGGTTCGGCAAGTTCATCGAGCTGCAGTACCGCAAGGAGAGCCCTATCAAAGCCAGGCTGGTGGGCGCCCGAATCGAAACCTACCTGCTGGAGAAGGTCCGCATTTGCCAGCAGCAGGATGGGGAGCGCAACTACCACATTTTCCACCAGCTGACCGCAGCAGCCAATCGCGGCGAGAAATACCAGTTCGCTCAACCAGATGCATCGGGAGATGAATCAGGCACGCCATGGGAGTTTGACTTGTCCACGTTCCGTGGCAATTTCCGGATCGTGCCGCCAGACTCCGAGAGGGACTTCGACTTGCCCACCTTCGACGAAACGCTTGCAGCTCTGCGCACCGTCGGCTTCACGTACGAGCAGGTGTCTGTCGTGTTCGACATTGTGGCTACCGTCCTCCACCTTAGCAATATCGAGTTCGTGGAGAAAGGCAGTGAGGGCGCCATGATCAGCAACATGGAGGCCGGGCACTGCCAGACGGTGACCACACTGCTGAACGTCGACAACGTCTCTCTGATGAACGCGCTGATGACCCGTACCATCAAGACCGCGAACGAAATGTACACCAAACCGCTGCGTGTCGAGGAGGCCTGCGACGTCAGGGACGCCATCGCCAAGAACGTGTACAGCATGCTCTTCGATCACCTCGTAGAGCGAATCAACGAATCAATCGGTTACGTTCCCGATGCGAATCTGACCACGGGCATTCTGGATATTTTCGGTTTCGAGTGCTTCAAGTTCAACTCGTTCGAGCAGCTGTGCATCAACTTCACGAATGAGACGTTGCAGAACTTCTTCAACAACTTCGTGTTCCGCTGCGAGGAGGAGCTGTACTCTGCAGAAGGCATCTCGTGGAACGCCCTTGACTTCCCCGACAACTCCGATTGTGTCGATCTGTTCAAGAGCCGTCCCTACGGTCTGTTTGCCATGATCGACGAGGAGTGCAACCTACCTGGCGGGCGTGACCAATCGCTGTGCAACAAAATCGTGCAGCGCCATTCCAACAACGCAAGATTCGCAAAGGTGAAGCTGGACCAGAGCAGCTTCGTGGTCAACCACTTCGCTGGCGCCGTGCAGTACAAAATCGATGGCTTCATGGACAAGAACAAAGACCAGCTTTCCAACGACGCAGTCTCGTTCATCCTGTCGACAAAGATCGACAACATGCGTAGCATATTCCAGTCGTACATCGACAAAAAGGCCACCGCCGTCCGCCCCGGTGGCCGGGCGGGTGGTGTCACCAAGCAGAAGACCATCTGCACCCAATTCTCGGGACAACTTGACTCCCTCATGACAAAGATCGGGGCCACCAGCCCACACTTCATCAGGTGCATAAAACCCAGCCCAGAGTGCCGCCCGAACCACTTCAACCGGAAAGTTGTGGATTCGCAGCTGCGTTGCAGTGGTATGCTCCAGGTGGTCCAGGTGTCACGTGCCGGTTACCCGGTTCGTTTCCCGCACGCCGAGCTGTTCAACAGCTTCCGCTACCTGCTGGAGGCGAAGGAGGCCGATTCCGCCATGCAGATCGCCGACAAGCGCAAGCTGGGCGAATTCGTGCTCAACATCCTCGTCACCCGGTACATGACCTCGAAACCACCCGAGGAGGGCTCACTCGCGGTCGGAAAAACTCTTATCTTCATGAAGAACGGCCCCTACGAACAGGTCTGCCTCGCCATGCAGGGCCTGCGTAACCGCAGCGCCATAAAAATCCAGGCACGCGTTCGTTGCAACATCCAGCGCAAGCGCTACCTGGAGGCGCTGTGGAGCATCCGAACCTTCCAGATCTGGGTCCGCTACAAGATCAAGAAGCTGCAGCGCCAGCGGGCGATCCGCACCCAGGCGATCATGCTCATCCAGAGCATGTACCGCATGTACGTGGAGCGCAAGCTCATGCGCGAGCTGAGGGAGAAGGTGGCAAGGCTGCAGTCGCTGTGGCGTTCCGTGAATTCGCGCGTACAAACCGAGGAAAAGCGCATCCATACCATGGCCACCAAGCTGCAAGCCGCTTGGAAAGGATACAAATGTCGGTGCTACTACCTGGAGCTGCGCAGCGCCACCATCAAGGCTCAGCTGCGGTGGCGGTCGATCTGCGCCCGTAGGACGCTACGCTCGCTGCGCATGGAAGCGAAGGATCTCGGCAACGTGATCAAGCGCGCCCAGGTGCTCGAGGAAGATCTGAAGAAGGAGAAGGCCATGCGTGCGGACGCGGAGGCGCGGGTGCTGCAACTCACTGCCAAGCTATCCACCATTGAGAAATCGCTTGAGGAGCTGAGAGGCCAGGTCGACACGCTCACCAAGGAGCGCGACGGGCTTGCGGGGCGCTTGCACGAGGCGGAAACTAACACGCAGAAAGCACAAACTGACCTCCGTATGATAAAGGAATTCGTCAGCAAGGAAGCTGTGTCGGGCAACCAATCCGACTGGCTGAGCAACGTGCTCGGTGGCCAGGGAGTTGAAAGGGCGACAGGCGACACCAGCGCGGCTGCCGCCGCTTCACGCACTGGAAGCATGAAGTTAGAAAGGCACTCCAGCCGGTCGTTGCACTCGCCACCAGGCGTACGCACGAAGTCCATCGAGCATGGTGCTGACATCGTGCTTTGCGGCCCACCCGGCTGCGGTAAGACGCGCCTGCTGGAGATGGCGCTGATCAAGAAGGGCGATGACAAGAACCTGCAGCTGCTGCGCAACGTTGATGAGGCGCGGTCACGCAAACGCAGGATGGCACCAACGGCCTTCGAGTTCACCGTCAGCCCAGGTCACTCGATCTCAGTGACGGAAATTCCTGGGTCATACTTTGACTCCGACGATGCCCGCACAATCCTGCGTAACGCCCATCTTGTGGCGATATGCTTCGACCCCGGCAACCAACAAACCTATGATGACGCCAGGGTGATCGTGAAACTGCTGAAGCAGCTGGTGGACTGCAAGAACACCAGGATATGCCTCGTGCAGAACGACTACATCATTCTGGAGTCAGCACGACCAATCGTGTGCGACATCAACCAGGTGCAGACCTTCGCCGTGGAGAACGACCTGCTGTACATGCGTATCCGCGACCTGATGGAGTTCGTGGAGCAGGTGACGGGGTACGTTGAGAGCAAGAGAGGGCAACGCGCAGCTGGCGCCGGCGATGCGTCAAGATCTGGCAGAACGCCAAACAGGGGCGCATTGTCGCTGTTCTACGAGAAGTTCCGCAACTTCTGGGCGGGAGTCAACTACTCCGGATTCCAGAACAAACTCTTGGTTCCCACCCTAGTGGCACAGGAGGGCTACAAGCTACCACCGCTGTCGTTGAAACGTGTAGCTAACGTCAACAACTACACGGCGGCAGTGACGTGCCTGGCGTTCCGCCCCGAGGACCCCAGCGACGCCTACATAGTGCTCGCCGTCGGTCGTCGCGACGGTTCTATAAACCTGTACCACTGCTTCCGTACGGAGACGGAGTTGCGTGCTCTGAATTCCGGCAACTTCGACGAGTCAGCGCCGCACCCTGTTGACGACAACGTGCTGATCACGGAGTCGTTCACGCTTGCGATCCACGACAAGGCAGTGACGTGTATGTGCTTCTCCAAGGTAGAGGTCAACGAGCTGGTGACTACTTCCGTCGATTGCACCATCCGTGCCTGGAACGTGATGAGCGGCCAGCTGATCAAGGTCTTCAACGACTCCGACCCGGGTCTGGCGGTCATGTTCCACCCCGTGGACCCCACCCTCTTCATCTGCTGCAACGCCAACCCTACCATGAGGATCATCCACTACAACCAGGGCACCGTGCTGCAGAAGATTCGCACCAAGAGCGAGCTGCGCTGCCTCGTCTTCGACGACACGCGGTTCAACTGTATTGCCGGCAACGAGCGTGGCGCCATCTGCATATACGAGGCGCAGGCTGATTTGCACCTGAAGCTGTCAACGACCAAATCGATATCGCGAGGCCCAGTTACTTGCGTCAACTTCGTGCCGTCATCGTCTCCTGACGTGCCGCCCTGCATCATCGCCAACGTGTGCAGTGGCCAGATCACTATCCTGAACTGCGTGTACGATGGCTCCTCCGGGAAGATCGCCGAGATCACCTACCGCTACACCGTCAACAACGCGCACGTCGCATTGCCAGTACGCTCGTGCTACTCGCGCTTCGGTGGCGGCTGGTGCATCTCTGGATCCGAGGATCGCAACCTGCTGATCTTCTCGTTGCTCGAGGAGAACATGCCGTACACCATCTCCTTCCACCAGGGACCGGTGGTGGCAGTGGCTGTCAACCGTCTGGACACTCTGTTGGTCACTTCGGACTCAAAGGGTTCGGTGGCCTTCTGGCGCCGCATTCTAGTCTCCAGCAAGGCTTGATGCCCATCTGCCTAGAGGCACCGACATGTGATTTTTCACGGTTATCCCCGTGGATTCTAATATACTTTTTAATAGAAGTTCATACATCCATACTCGTGACAAAATGTGGCTATGTATGTGTTACGCGATCGGCATGTCACAGTGAAGCTGTAATTTTTAGGATTCTCCCCTGGAGGTTGGCGCTTGTTAGCCAATGCAGACTTGATGCAATTGTAGCAGTTACGACAACGTAAATACACACACAACATGTATCTAGATGTCCGTATTAGCGACGTGTTGGACAATTTACGCGGCAATGCACTTCACACGTTATGGCGTTGCGATGGTTTCTAGGCGATGCATAACCTCTGCAACTTAAAAGTGGTTCAACACAACAAATCAGTAATCAACCTAAGCTCACACAAATGGAATGTATACAATGCGATTAACTTTCAGAGTTCCGTGAAGTTTGGGGTGAAACAGTGGAGGGCGTTGTCCGTCCCTACACTGGCCAGTGTGAATCCATTTTTCATGGAGGCGGCCTTGAGCCACGATAAGTCCGATACAGCCCCCCGATGGCCCACGTGGATGAACCGCAGGTTTTCCTCAGTCGATATCTCCCAGACGCAAACCTGCTGGTCCTCGGAGGAGGAGGCCAGCATGCCGGCCGCAGCCGGGCAGAACTCTACCTGCGTAACCGACTTCTTGTGGTGGCTCAGCCACAGCATAGCCTCCTTGGGCTGGCGAATGTCCCACACACACACCGTACCGTCCGATTCGCCTGTGGCAACGATGTTGTCGTTGAACGTGTTGAAGCTCAGGCAGTTTACCTCGGCCTCACTCTTGAGCTCAACCTGCGCATTACCACTGCTATTGTCAGTGCGCATGTCGAATAGCCTGGAAACATAGTCATCCGATACCGCCATGTACAAGTGTTTCCTCGTTGGTAACACTTCGACGTCGTTGAAGGGAGAGTCCTTCATCTCGAACTTGGTGACGGGACGCACGCATTTGGTGCCGTCGACGTACCTACCCGTGTCCTCCACAGCCTGAGACGGGGCGTTGACATCCCACAGACAAACGGATCCATCTGTGGCAACCGATACGATTTTGCTGTCGTCAGCCCAGCTGGCACCAAACCCGTCCGCTGAGTGACCTCCAGTGAGCACCACTTGCGGAGCTGCTTTCGCAGTGGTCCGCGGTGTGGATGGATGCTTCGAATAGTCAAATAACAGCAGATCACCGAAGCAAGTATGCGTGACGAAGTGGAACTGGTTCGTTGGCGAATGCACAATGCGGTTGACCTCGCCGGGGTGTACGAGGTTCGCCTTGATGTCGAGCGAAGGCATGGGGTGCCCTAGAACCGCCAAACGGTGCGTCTTGTGGTAGCTGAAGAAGCCGTTGAAGTTCTCGCAGCACGTCAGATTCGAGCGTACTCCCGCGACGGGCATCTTGATCTCGCCGACCACGGCGTACTCCACGTCGCTGTTGGAAGTGTGCGTGCCAAACAACACCTTGTGCGCCGTTATACCATTGCGGCTCTTGTACACGGCGTCAGCCACGAAATCCACCACCAGGGACGGCCAATCTAGGCGGTGTACCAGCAAAGCGTCGTAGAGGAACGGAGCGTTCCTGCGCCATACGTAGTAGTCGTCGTACTCCTCCTCAGCCGGTTCTCCTGAGAACTCCGCAGGCAAACCAGGCATGGGAATGTTGTCCGAGAAGCCGGATGTGCGATTGGTGAACGTTACAGCGCCCTGAGGCGCTGGGTAGCGCCTCTTGATTTTGCACTGGGCATTGCCCTTTAGGATGACGGATTCCATTCCTAAAACCCAAATCCCGGCAAACAAATACCCTTAACGCGTATACACACCGAGAACTCCCTATAAATTCGCGATTTACTCGCGTTAGCGCCGCTCGGAAGCGGGGTCTTGGCGTCGTTCAGTCACAGTGTAACGCCCGTATGGCGGCGAAAAAGCCCGCAAGAACCACCGTATCGAGCGGCATATGCTGGTGTGTAATGTTACCGATGGTATAGGTGAGTGATATTCCAGCCTTGCTGCAAGTTCGCTCCTCGTCGCGACACCACTCGCCGGCATCGTCGGGCGCTGAACCGCGACACAACAGGCTACCGCTTGACTGTTACGTTACATGAATTATTAGAATAGTTTTGCGACGTGGATTCTGAAAGGGTTATCATTTGTTTTGGAAGCAATATCCGTAGACAGGGGTGTGCCTTCTGTCTACTAATTTCGTCGATACGAATGACCTTATGAGATTCGGTTCGTCAGCTGCGCCGCCGCTCCCGTGCGCCTCAGTATGTAATCCAACCATATGTCGTAAATTCGGCTGCGTATTGTGCGGACGCGCAACTCCGCTCGGCGACGAACGATGCTGACGTAGGCATCCACTGGGATGAACTTGGGGAAGCGATCTGTTACTGGAGGCGGAAGGATCAGATTCATGAACCTGTCCATCGCCAAGAAGATCGTGTCGTGGCTTTGACCGCTCGAATTCGCGCACTCACGGATCCCCGCGATCATGCGTGTCAATATGGCCGTGACTATTCCTTGGTCGTGTTGAATTTCGTTCGAGTAGGCTTGTAGTTCGTCCATAATGGCGTGAATGCGCACGACATCCTCAGGCAGCAACCGCACAGGCCCTGGAAGTTGAACGTTAGCTCCCATAGGCCTAGGAGGATACGTGTAATTAGGCCCGGCTTCCGCCAACTTCGTCGTGACCACCAGTGCAAATAGTGAGACCCATGTGGCCCCAGCAAAACGAATGTAATCCATTGTTAACTCCAGATATAGAGCTCCTCTCTTACAGTTTAACTTCACGCACCGTCGAAGCCGGCCATACTAGACAGCTGCATCAGTCGGTGGAAGGTCGCCTAAAGCCGCTTAGGCGTGTACGGCTATCTTGTGTTGAGCCGTGATTGGCGGCTACAGTTGAATACCTTTTCGAAAACTTTATGTTCAGCTGAACAATATTGTATAATAATTGCCACGGTGCGGACACCGAACTAGCACGTCTGGCTCTGCGCATGTTCCAGCTCACCGGGGTACTTAAGGATGTAACAGATTCCTGTCTTGGGGTTTCATCAGCGTCCGTCTCGGCTGTAGAATGATGTCTAGACATCTGGCAGCTTGGAAATATACAATCGATTTTCAAAAAATGGCTAGTTGAAATTTATCTGACGAATGTTCCTAGCTAGCGTTGCATGCGGTTCGCCGGAAAATTTTAAAAGGTACAACATCGGCCGACCAAATTAACAAAAACACATCGTTGGATTCCATCAAGCGTGGCTACTGGGTTACGCGTAGAACGACAACAATCGCATTGTGTTCTCGGGAAGTCTACACCAACGCCTGTCTACTCATTGTGGCTTTTCAAGGACTCACCTGTAAAATATCCGCAACAAGGATATCCACACTTATGGCAACAGATTGACGGTCATATACGAATTTGCGGTCATAATAGGCACGAATCGCATTTCCCAGTACCGAACCATGGAGTATGTCGGATTGTTGTGTGATGGTGTTGCGGGCGATGCGCTTGGCACCTTGACTTGCTTCCTCGAATTTGAAGACTTCCTCAAGCTCTCCGCCACCTCCAGGTGCATGAGAGAATTTCTGCTGTCACGTGAGAAACTGTGGGGATGCTTCTTCGAAAGGAACGCTGTTAGTTGCAATAGGCCTGACACCCTGGATATCCTAACGGGGAAACGCCGGGAGTGCCGCTGCCAATATCGCATAAGGCCATTCAGCGAATCCATTAATGGATTTAAGACCCTAGCTGACCTTGCATCGCAATGCGGCCTCGTTGACAGTCGGAACAAGCTGGATGGTGCGGCCCTGCTCCACCTTGCCATAAGCTCGGACAGACATTCGCGCAAGGTCACAGTAGACCGTGACATAGTGAGGGATCTGAGGACAATCGGCAAGCCGCTGGTGGCAGTCTCTAGGGACGGAGTTGGATGGCCGTTCGCCGTGCTGAGCACGAACAGGATCCTAGGCATCGGCACGAGCCGGGAATTCTTCGACATCGGGCAGCCAACGCCCATATCAGACAAGCATATGTTTCAGCTGGTGGCGTGTTGCTGGGTGCGTTCCATACAATGCCCACGCTGCAGCTGTGGAGGAGGCGGATGCGGGGATAAAACACCGCGGAAAGGTGACGATGAAGAGCATGTCAACAGGCCGTTAGCTCTGGCCATGCTGTACACCTGCCGCGGGCAGGACCCATGTGTTTCCGTCTACACCTATGGCAAGGAAGGATTGGAGCGCAATCCGCCGGTGACGTGGAAAATCCCAGCCGGCGATGACGCTGTAACATGTCTGGAAGTGGTGCAAGGAAGGGGCTGCGACCACTACTTCGCCTTTGTGGGCACCGACGAAGGCTTCATCCACTGTATCCAGGCGGGAGCCATGTCGGTAATAGCAAACACCAGGAGTCCCATAGAAGTCATAACAGCCGCCGCGAGCGGGGACAAGATGATCCTTTGTGTCCATGCTGCGGGGGACATCCTGGTGATGCACGTGGAGGAAGATATCAAGCGTATGTACCGCATGGAGGAAGCATCAATATACGCCATTGACACGGAGAACCTAGTGCTCGTGCAGTGCAACTACGGGAAGTGCACGTTAAGAATCGGCAGATTCGCGGGTTTTGATGAGTACATAAGTGTGACTAAGCCGCCTTCCTTCATCTTGTACCTTCACCGCAGGTCGCTCTGGGCGCTCGTTATACGCAACTACGTTAAACTGATACAGGTCTTCGGCCGCGGGAATGACTTACGGGTCAAGCACCTACGTATCCTCAACGGTCACACGGCCGATATCACCGCGTGCCACGCCGATGGGTGGTCAAGAATGGTAACTGTAGACGCGGCGAAAATCCTCATCGTATGGGACTTTATCCGGGGAGTAAAGGTGATACGCCTCTCACTGATTACTGCCAGTGCGTGTATGAAGCTGCCCAAGCCCAGCCGAAAGGGATCCGATAAAAACGCTCGCAAGCGCCGCAGTGTCAACAGCGACATTTCGTACGCATCGCTGCACAACGTCAAAAAGGATTTCAACAACCCACCTCCCGCAACCTATGGCGATGACTCGTCTGACAATGGCGATCAGATTGTGCACGGCATGGAGCGCCTGTGCACGCGGCCATCTCCGACGGGCGACAAGCAGACCGTCTACATTTCGCTGGACACGGTATGCATATACTATCACCAGCACTCCTACCTGCAGGTTGTGAACCTTAGGTGAAGTGCCAACAGGTTACGGTGGCCGCCGTAACCAGGCTAAGCGCAACCACAACACCATCACCACCCAACCTGCGTGTCCAAAAGATGAAATCGCAAAACTATAGCACGCATGGACACCAACAAGCAAGTTTTCAATAGACGCTAACGCGTTATGTCAAGCGCTGACGCAAAATTCCAGCTAAATAGAGTATGATAAATTATGTCATTCCGTTTGTTGGACGTCATGCCTCCTGCGGCTTCTCGTCCTTCTTATAGTCGCGCTTGGCGTTGTTGTGGTTGTTGTACCTGTGTTTGTATTTGTTGTACCCGCTGAATCCGCGTTCCTCGCCGTCGGCCGGGAAGCGCTCGTTGTAGTTTTTGCGCCTGCGGTCGAAGTAGTTGGAGCGGACGCCGTCGTGGCGCCTGTGGCGGTTGACAAAAGTGCTGGTCTCTTCGCCAGCAGGCTCGTTCTGTTCCCCTTCGTCGGCAGCGGTAATGTCGGACGACATGGAGTTCCTCAGTTCCGCTGCGTTGTCGGCCGGCTGTTCCTCACTCTCCTCGGCGGGCTGAACTTGGTCTTCCTGCGGTGGCTGTACAGCCAACGAGTCGCTACTTGAGGATGCCGGGAAATAGTTCGGGGAGTTCTGCGTCTGTTCCGAGCGCGAGGCGCGCTCCTCCGCCGACACTTGCGAGTTGGGTGCCTCGCGTTCGCGGTACGGGTTGTCGTTGAGCCTCCTGAATTCCCTAAACCTGTTGCGATGCAGCTTAATCATAGCCTTCACGATGTCATCGTCGTCGGCATCGTAATCGGTGCGTCGGCGGTGCTGGTCGTGGCGGTAGTAGTTCCTGTAGTTCTGCCCCTCTTGCAGATTAGCCGCACCCTTGGCAACCGAAGCGTATGAATCCATCCGATTGAAGCTAATCTTGTTGTTCCCGTTTCCACGTCCTCCATAGTGCGGTGACGCAGTTCCGCCGCCGTTGTTAGCGTTGGCGTTTTCCTGCTTCGAATCGCCCTTGGCGTTTGAGCGATCATCTCCTCGCTGCACTGCTTTCACATCGGATTTTCTCTCCTGTTTTCCGCCGGCAGGAGTTTCCATTTTTTGCGGGGTGGCGTGCGAATCAGCCGCAGCTTCGCTAGACTGCGGTTCCTGGTGGTTGTTAGCGAACTCGCGCTTATTCATCTCCGGCATCGACGAGCTTCGATACTCCGTTAAAACTGCAAATTCCTTTCAGCAAAATGCGATCAATTTATCCTATTAAAACGACAGGCTTGCTGGCAGATAAATGGCATTTCTCTTCTTACAGGTATGCGTGGGCGCTTCGCCTTGGGGTGTAGGAATAACCCACCGACCCTGCCAGGGCATCACGGCATTTTCGCCACACGCAGCAGCAGTGCAAACTTTCATGCAACTCCAGCCTGCTATGCGTAATAATGTCGATCATTTGCCGGAGAGATGACGCTCGTGTGTATGGCTTGCTGCAGCTGTGTACCTAAGCTAGCTGCTTGCTGATGGCACGCACTCCGTCGCAAACACGGGAAACCTGCGTTTACAACCGGCAAAACCGTTCAATGCACGATGCGACCTCCTTGACGTAAGCGTGGCGCGTCGACGCCACTAGCCAAAGGGAACAGCCGAAGTGTGTGCCGCTGGCTCACGGGGAAAGCCACACCCTGTCATGACGGCTTCAGCTCGTTGCCATTGCTCGATTTAGCAATCTCGATGGCTGCTTTGAGGTATTGCTCGACGACCTGCAGGCTCCTAAGAAGCATGCCGATACAGGAGATGTCACCTACCAATTCAGAACCCGTGTATCTGTTTGTACATCGTCATCTTCCTTTTTGTTCTCGGGATAAACGGGCACCAGCGACCTGCATACTACGGCATTAGCTGCAGAAGAAGAGGTGTAGATGCCGTTGTTGACGCAGCTCAAATCAACGGCATGTGTAAAGCGACCTACAGCTGTTCTGTTGCTCCTCGTACAGTGGATACTTTATAATGAACCCTGTGTGACGCATTAACGCGGCCGTGATGCCTACGAACCCGATTCGTCGTCCCACAGGAACAGGCTGCACATCCATGTAACACAGTAACAGTTACTTACTATTCATGATGACTGCGGGGAGCGTCCTTGCGGACGATAGTTTGACCGCCTCTTGGTGTGTGACCTCGCGAAAGACCGGGACCGGCTTCCGGATACGGTAATGCAGGTTCCACGTAGGCGTTACACCGGCGCCTCTGTCCTCCGGAGGGCAGCTCCACATATGGTGCGAACACGTCCACACGCTTGACACCGCTTTCCCGCGACGAGCTGGTGGTTGCCCGCGTGCTGACGCTTGAGTTGCATTGCCACCGGGCAAGACGGGGCCGTAGCTGCTCAGATGGCTGTGCCGTACTTTTCGGCTTAAACTCCATTGAAGTTGTGAGTGGATGTGTAGGAGCCGGTTCATAGTTGTGTGAGTCGAGGAATCTTCTGCGATTTTTCACGCAGCGGCTCACAGCAGCGCATTTTCGATGCGCTGCTCAAGCTCCTCGCACGCACGCTCTATTTCATGTTTAAAGATACCCCCGGCTACCAACTTACCGTTGTCATACGAACTCAGGTCACAGAAATCCGTTGGCATCCACCCATCGTCCCTCAGCTGTTCCTCAATACTCAGCATACTCGTCGCCATCTGCTCCATGTAGCGGGCCCTTGAGGGGCATATTGGACGCTGCTCCGCGCTCCACTGTCTGTCAAAATGAGGCACTGCAATATTGTACTCCTGAAGCAGACCCTTAAGCGTGCGTGATATGCCTGCATATACGTTAAAGAGACGTCTAATAGGATCACCTGATGGCTTGAACCTGGTGACCGCCTCGTCGCCAATCTGAGGACCAGTGCTGGAGCGCTGGTTCCTGACACGAATTAGGTTTCACTAAATAAGCCCACCTCAGATCCACCATGTTCACGTATGCCGTGAACGGACGGTCGAACTGTGACGCGAGTTTTGCGACCTTCGGCAGCAGGTTGTGTCCGATCTTCACCAAACCGCTGTTGGACCACAGCCAAGCCAGCAGCTGGAACAAGGTAGACTGATACAGGGGGTCGCTGACTAAAAGGTCCACAATGAAAGTCGATCTAGGGGTCGCGAATGCAACAGCGTCACGTTCAATGTGAACCGACACCAACCCGTCTCGAGTCTCCGCATGCTGCTGTGCATATCGCTTCAACGACTTCAACATGTGTATGACATCAGCCACAGTATCCACAGTATGAGGGAGATTGGTGTACTCCCTGAATTCTTCTATTTCCTCATCGTTGTCTTCTAGTTTTACGTCGTTGCCATCCTCCAGCGTCTTTCCGGTGATAGCGGCAGTGTCCTCATTACGGCGCATGATAAGGTTCTGCGACTCCACATAACCCCAAGGAAACCTAAGCAACCCTGCACCCATCATTTATATGCTAGAGAGAATCCACACCTGTCTTAATGTCGGTCGAACGCAGCATGTCACACGCTTGGGAGATCGTAGACTGAGGTGCCGAAGCGAAGAACTGCTCCAACGCCGTCTTCGACTCCGACTCTACAACTTGCTGTAGCACGTCCGCAGCACGCCATGATCCAGCTACAAAAGGTGCATATAGATCCGGGTGACCCTGCTGCTGTAGCAGCGTCAACGCCATATCGACGGCCTCAAGCTGAGCGATCTCCGACGCGTCGGCAAACGTATCCACGAAGTATTCGTTGATAGTACTGGCTTCCAAAGTGTCAAGCAGTTTGTGGTGAAGGCGCAACAGCCTCACCGTCCGTGAAAACTCCCGTGCTCCAACCGCGCGGAATAGGCCATTGACGCAAACGTATTCCTTGGCACGGGTATTGTACATTGCAAATCTGTACTCAGATACAACACCACGCACAACGCGTACCTACCTGTAAAGCGCAGCTTCAACGTTGCCAGCGAGGTCCTCAAGCGGCTGCGGCCGCATGGCAGGACTCACCTCCCGCACCAACCGCCGGTTGAGTGGCGAGAAGATGATCTCGCGCGCATGCTGCACCGAGGAAAATGCCAGAGGAGGCTCTTTGAAGCTCCGGTCCGAGTACACATAGTTCAACGCCTGCAGATAGCCGTGCTTGAAATACCTGCAAAGGTTTACAGCCATATGCAACGTCCCTACCTTGACATGCGCTCACTTGGGACGTTGCTGGAGCCAACGAAGTGAAAGACGACATTCGCTACCAGAGTATGTCGATCTCCGATTGCACAGAGCTGCGGAAGCACCTCCACCATGCGCTTGGTGGCGTAGATGGGCCACCTCCGCGGCGGCGCACCCATGGAAGGAATGCGTGCCCAGCCTCCGAACGTCGGTTCGCATTAACAGGAGCTAAGACAACGACCGATGCTCACCCATAGTGGCATTGAGGGTTTGAGATGCCCATTTAGGGCATAATAGTGTGTACAGCAATGGAATCTTGATAGATGTGTGGCAGCGCCGCGCTGCTCAATGTGGGTGTCTGCGTAACAGAACTACGACCTATGCTGAGTCTGATTCCAGGGGATTAAAATATCTTTCACGTTAGGCAGTGCAGCTGTGGAAGACTTTCCAACGGTAGCCCTGGATTCTCCGATCAACGACCGTTGACATATCCCGTCGACGTGACCGGCTTCCATACATCAACGCCAGCATCGGGGACTAAGTAGGCGAACCAGACCGCAGACAATTGCCTACATTTTGATTGGTACACGCCGCATTGCGCGATATCACCAATTAGCGTGTTTGCTGATCGCGGCGACACTGTAGAGACGGAAGACACGATGGGCGCGCCCAGCGGCGAAGACCGTACGACGTACGAGACTTCGGAAGAATGTGAAGTGGTGGATTCGTTCGAAGGGCTCGGCCTGCGCGAGGAGATCCTGAAGGGCATTTTCGCCTACGGTTTCGACCGGCCCTCGGCTGTCCAGCAGCGCGCCATCAAGCCAATCCTCAATGGCCGCGACGTGATCATCCAATCGCAAAGTGGAACAGGCAAGACCTGCGTGTTCTGCCTCGGCGCGCTGCAGACGGTGAACGCCGCGTCAAAGCAGACGCAGGTCCTGCTGCTATCGCCGACACGTGAACTTGCTGAGCAATCGCAAAAAGTGTGCCTTGCGCTCGGGGACTACTGCAACATCGAAGTACATTGCTGCATCGGAGGAAAACGCGTATCGGATGACATCAAGGCCCTGGAATCAGGGGTACATATCGTATCTGGAACACCCGGAAGGGTCAACCACATGATCTCTGAGAGACACCTCAACACTAGGAACATCAAGCAGCTGATCCTCGACGAAGCCGACGAGATGTTGAACCGCGGATTCAAGGACCAGGTCTACTCCATCTACAGGTACCTGCCGCCCGCCCTGCAGGTGGTGCTGGTCTCGGCCACCCTACCGCAGGAGGTGGTGGACATAACCCACAAGTTCATGAACAACCCATTCCGCGTGCTGGTTAAGCGTGACGAATTGACGCTCGAAGGAATTAAACAGTTTTTCGTCTCAGTCGAGAAGGAACAATGGAAGTTCGACACCCTGTGCGACCTGTACGAGTCGCTGATCATCACCCAGGCCGTCGTCTTCTGCAACACGCGCGAGAAGGTCGACTGGCTGGCCAAGCGGATGCAGGACTCCAACTTCACCGTCTGCAAAATGCACGGCGAGATGTCCCAGAAGGAGCGCAACGACATCATGCAGCAGTTCCGCCGCGGTGAGTCCCGCGTGCTGATATCCACCGACATCTGGGGACGCGGACTCGACGTGCAACAGGTCTCGTTAGTCGTGAACTACGACCTGCCCAACAGCCGTGAGAACTATATCCACCGTATCGGTAGGTCCGGACGGTACGGCCGCAAGGGTGTGGCGATAAACTTCGTTAAGGTAAGCGCCGACTGAACGTTTTCACATGACGCAGGATGACGACATTCGCATCCTCCGCGATATTGAGCAGTACTACTCGACACAAATTGACGAGATGCCCATGAACATCGCCGAACTGCTGTAAGAATCGCACTGGACGTGGCCATACCGGCCTGCGGGTTATTGTCACCGTGGCCCATGGTGGCTCCGGGCTCCAACCCGCAGCACAGCAGGCCCTTACGCACTCCCCTTGTTAAGTCCAGCAAATACATAAAGCGTACCACTGTTAGTATCTACGCTAGGCATAGGATACGCTTTGGTCTTGCGGGATGGTGCTAGTCCACCTGCTGGACGCACAACGCATGCGCCTACCAATCGTACAAATCAGACTCGCATCAGTTTAGATACAAAAATTTAGCACTTTAACAGCGCGTGTGATGTTACAAGCCGCTTTGCGGAGCTTTGTCCAGCATATGCATGGGCTGCAGGATGTGCGAGCGGTTGGCGTCAACGATCCTGCCGTTGGCGATCATCTCGTTCAGGATGTAATGCGCCTTCTCGAGGTTAAACATGATGTCCAGCTCGCACACCGACTCGAAGTACGAATCCATGGTCTCCACCAGGTGGTGGATGAGCTCGAGCAGGGCGAGCTCGTTCTCGCTCTCCGTCGCACCTATGACGATGTAGAGGCTGGCGTACCTGGGACCCCTTAAAAGCAGACAGGACGCGACTCACCTGCGATATACGATCTTATGCTGGCGAATCTGCATGAACGAGGACTGCGTTTCGTCACGGCAGATACACTTGCGGATGATCTCCCCTTCGAGCGCGCATTTTTCGGCAACAGACAGGTCCTTGTAGTACCGACTCAGCCTTGTCTGGCCCTGCCTATTGATCATAAGAACAAATTCTATCATATTTGCGATGTTATTTGCAGTTTGGTGGCTCGGGGAGCCAGGTGTGTAAGGCACCAATCCCGCCCGAGTGGTATGGAATCCATACAGGTGTGTCACGCTCACCCCAGTCTGCGCAAGATTCCACATTACAAAGCATGTATATGGGCTGAGCGGTCATATATGCAGGCTTAGTACGCAAGAAGGCGGAAACTGTTGCGCGTTGTCGCTACGACAACGGATCCAGCAGCTGAAGAGGCCAGCCTAGACGACATGGATCCAGCCGCCCTTGCCCAGCTGCTTGGCGCAACGTCGTTCAAATCGTTAGATACAGCTGTCGACGATGAGTCCACGGGTGATGGCCGATGGGCGGCGCTGAGTGACTCCAGCTGCTCATCTCGTGCTTCCTCTTGCGACGGATTCCTGTCGCTGCCTGTAGACCTGGACATTGCGAACGAGGCCACAGCAGCGCAAAGAAAGGTTGACAAGGAGTCCAAGGAGCCAAGATGCTGGTGGCATTTCGAGAGGCACTTCGACTACCTGGTGGACCGCAACCTGAGGCCTGTTATGGACTACGCGCTGGGCAGGTCACCTATCCTGGCAAACAAAGATGTTCGCAACAAGACCACCGGAACTCCATACATGCCACATTCGCATCCTGCAACGTATACGGGTTGCAATGGAACAGCTCTGCAGGTGTCCCTGGCGAACCTGGTGCGCGGCTACAAGCTCATATGGAAGGAGCTCTTCGGCGGCTACGAGTGCATCGACAACGAACGGCTTAGCACGCTGCAGTGCGGCGTGGATAGGGACTTCCAGCAACTGATGGACTACGCGACCACAGCGGAATCGCCGTGGGTAGGCGCACTGGTCGAGGAGGTGGCGGCAGCCGCGGCGCCATTTGCACCGACCACTACCAATGTAGATGGCGAAACACAAATGCCAGCCACAGATGTGCAGACCATCAATGAGTCCCTATTCAGCGATTCGCCAGCTTCGGCATGTCGTAGCGCCGCATCACCATCGGACCCTGCGGAGCCAACGTTGCCTGTGACAGGCAGCAATGCAAAGAAGCCGGTGCAGCCAGCACCACGGGATCAAAGACCGACCAATTCTGCGGGCAAGAATGTGCTCCACTGCCCAGGCTACAGGCGAAAGGAGTCCGAAATGGTGGCATTATTGAGAAAGCGAGGATTCGACCCGTTTTTCGTTTTCTTGGACCAGCTACTAGGGGGGCTGGAGGGATGCCGCCTGGGAGCACGATACGCATACGCAACTGATCTGCTCACCAGTATATTGCGACTGATGCCGGAGCTCACCTTCTTGCTTATTGGCCCCAGGACCGCTGGCGGTGAAGGGGTCAGGAAACGCTGCTACTTCAAAAGGCTGATCACGTTGGTAGGCTGTTTTCTGAAGTACGTATGGACCGAACGCCAGTTTTCGCTGCCAGATATATACCGTGATGCTTCGTGTGGAGGGGTTACGCCCTTCTATCTGCTAACTGGCGAAAAGGAGCTGGAGGATAGGCATGCCAAGTCGGCGATGACTGCGACGCTGCTGCATAGGCTCTTCACGCTGACCCGACTGATCGGCGAAAATTGCATGGAATGGGTCCTGTTATCGCATGAAGGCAGCATGCCTGCTCGTGCCATAGGTCAGCGTCTGAAGCGGTTCGTCTACTTGCCGCTGCTGTCGATAAAGCAAGTCCACGAACTTGTGATACCGATGATTGGCCAGTTCACATGCGTCCACACGTCGCTCGTCGATTTCGACTATATGCAGTGGGTGCGGTGGTATCTGTTTCCTCCGCCGCCTCTTTATAAGCTGCGTGCCGAACTTGTCGCTATCCTTCGGCTGATTATCGCAACAACACGGCTCAGTCTGCGCGGGTGTTGCCGGCGCCTGAATGAGGAGCTGTGCGCCAACACAATTGCTACTCCCGCTCAAGATTGCGACGAGGAATTGCGGCGTCAGATATTCCTCTTGCTTACGGGACTGTCCTTCTTCTTGGCACCCGAGTTCCTGAGCACGTGTGTTAGAAACCCAGAATTCTTTCTGGGAAGCTATTTCATCCTCCTCCCCCATGCGCAGTGCGGTTTGCAAAGGATGAGCATCGACGGATTCGCGGAACGGGAAGTATACCCACTCCAGGAGGCTGTGCTTGGCCTGTTAAAATCCACTGTTGACGGAGACATGCTGTCACGGGACGACCTGCTCGGACTTAATGACTTTTCACCCGTTCATTCGACAATTTTGAGGCGCATACTAGCGCTAGCGTGGCACTACGCCAGCGCGCCTTTCATCCGTGACGACGAGCACGGCATCCCCCTGCGGCCGGTGGTTGCACCCGTGGGCAATGCGAAGCGCGGTAACAACCCGTGCAGCGGATGGTGCCGTACAATGACGGCATATTCCGTGCCGTGCAGCGTCGATTTCTTGGGCCACATGGCGCTTACTCCAGTGCGCTTCCGCCTGAGGCGTGTCAGCATGCGTCCGGTAAAGTGCATCTTCACGACAGCCGATGAGATGGAGGCAAAGGTACGGGCCGGGGAGGAATTCATCAACCACTCAAGAGTCGCCGAAAACGATTATGTGTACATTAAAGGGGGCGTGTCGAGGCACAACCCGATTGAGATGATCTGCGAAAGCGAAGACACGGCTAAAAACAGCGGCAAGGATGCCGACGTGCCCAAAGGAGCAGGCACAGATGCAGTAGAATTACCACGAAGCGCTACCACACCCGCGAAACGGTGTACACTGGGCTGCATGCTGCGTCTACACGCGCCCTCAGCTACCACGCAGAGGGTGGACGACCTGAGGCGGTCAGTCATGCTGCAGTGCACTGGCACCCTGACGCGCTACATGAACAAACACTCGGACCCCAAAGTCCCCTACGCCACCACTGCCGAAGCTGCGTTCGGCCCCCTATCACCCATTTGGCGGGCACTGGCGGAGCTTCTGTGCTCCACGAAGCTCAAAGGCCAGATGCCCGTCAGCAGAGGCCCCGGCGTTTGCAACAAGCGTGAGGTATTCCTAGGCCACGCAGTAGACAGAGATCTCCTATAGAGAACCATATATGTTTGTAACGAATTTATGGTTTAATTATAGTTTTTAAAGCGGTATTGAATATTCCTCTTGTCCCTCAAACACAAGCTACTCTGCAGGTCACCACAGCGGAGCAAATCACCTTACCCTCAAATAACATGGCATCAGACGCCTATTGAACGTTAGAAAGCCGCATGAAACATGAATTGTTATTGTATAACATTACATTATTCACATCGTAGTTTAGGGCTGCTGCATGCAGGCCCTTCTGCCAAGTGTACTTGGTTATGAGTTTGATGTTTCAAGTGAATCCAGAGGCGGGTGTACGCCTGTCGAATTCCTCAAATGAGCGAAGAGGCTAGACCGCACGACACAGGATTTACTCAGTCTGGTAGTAAGCTCCTCCATCCATTTGGGAGGGCATCTGCGAGTAACCGGGCTGCTCCTGGACGTACGATGCAGGCTCGTAGCCCTGTTCATAGGCGTCATCGGCAAAGTCGGCATTGACATCACGCGAGTGCAGGGAAGGTGCCCACTTCTCCAGCAAAGGCTCGAAGCTGAAACTCCAGACAGTGGCGCTCATGATGGCGGCGAGCAGGAACAGGCTGAACAGCGCACCGTAGCCGGTGAAGACCATAAGCAGCTCAGTGAGACCCGCAAGGCAGAAGAGAACCAGGTTGGTCCACGCAATTTCTTCGGAGGTGCCCTCGTCGTGGTATGCCTCTAGGTAGAAGAAGGCCGCACCGTACATCACCAGGGCGAAGCTGTTGGTGAAGCTGCCGAACTGGAAGAAGATCCAGTCGGCCTTGGTCTGCTGGTAACGCGTCCACCACTTCATGCTCATGTAGAAGTAGGCGTAGATGTACTGCACCAGCCTCAGCATGGAGGAGATAAGGTCAAGCGTCACTGCGGCGCTGAGGATCTTGGAGCCAGCCCTGAATCCGCGCACAGCCTTCGAGTTGTCGGAAACGAAGACCTGGAACATCGCCACGTAGAAAGTTCCCAGCAAGTAGAGCGCCATCAGAGAGGAGACGGTGAGGTGGAAGGGCCTGGAAATCTTCACACTCTCGGGTGCGGCGTAGAGATCGAAGACGAAGATGCCATTGCCGCCGAAGGCCCAGTAGAAAATGAACATCAACGCGAGGGCGGTGCACTGTAAGGTGATTCCGGTGCGCAGGAGTTTGGAGCTGAAAAAGCCGACCATGGGTGTGTGCTGCTCGCCCCGAGGGCTGACGATCTCGTTCTCCATGACATAGTCTGCTTCCATCTGTCCGGTGTGACTGTATTGCATGCCATACTGGTCCTGCTGCTGCCCCTCGTAAGGGTACTGCTCGTAAGCAGCCATGTGAGACATTTCTTGCATCGGGAGCTCCGTCATTTTGGCAACGATTGCTGCGCTTCTGTGAGCTCACGCATTCACCAATGAAACTTTACACACTACGGATGGTTCGTGCTAATTTAGGCGCGAATGTGCGCGGCGCATTACGCGAATGGGCCGCGATATCCGATCGACGCGCTACCAACCACACGCACACGGGGATGACCACTTACCGCCTGAGTGCGTCGCGGCAGAACGTGCTGACGGGTTTGTAAACTCCTCGCTGGAGGTTACCAAGAGATGTGTAATGGCAGGAGTCGGCTGGCGCCAGGGGGCATCAGTCGCGACACCCTACCGAACCCAACACAGTTCGGAGAGCTCGGCTGTGCCGCTGTGCGCCATTAAGGCACTTCAGGTATAAGATGCATATCTTACACACCTTTCTATGCAATGAATTTTGTGTCTTTATACTTGCATCGCAGTCGCCCATTGTCGGCATGTGCCCGCGCCCAGAGGAATAACGCCAATCTTCACGTGGCTGTCGCACAGAGATAATTTACGGCCGGTACCGATGTGTTTCGTTGATTCTCTTATCATGTGCGTAATGTGTCAACTTGTTTCCACGGTTCGCCATAAGTGGCCTCTCGTCCACATCGGTGCCTTTACTGTTGCCAGGGCATGACCTGCGTGTTTGCCTATGAGTTGAAACAAACCGGATTGGTGTATAGAATCGTTATTTTGGAATTCTTCTAGCGAGGTGTGTCCACTACCATCCTGCCTACTGCCGTCACGCTAGCTACATCACTTGATACGATGTAGCTACAATAGCAGCCGTCTAAAATTACGCACACGAAATTGGAAGATGCACTGAAAGGCGAAGTACCCTGCGGCGAGCGGCCGATATGCCACTGTCGTCGTTGGCCTTCAATCCTTCCCCTTCCATGTCTTTCCTTATCGCATTAGGGCTACTCATTTGCCCTATTTTAGCATCATGGTCATTCAGAATCGCATCGCATAAGCGGCAATGGTCAAATATCGGTGACTTCCGGTCTGCCATTCAGGCTAACCGGGGTGGTCTGGATTCCCGTATTGAACAGGCAGAAAGTGCTTTTGGCGTACAAGGAAAAGATGTAGCTTCACCATTTTTGGCGGAACTAATCGATCGTGGCGTAGTGGCGCAGGCGACTGACCTGTCTAAACTGGATGAGCTTCTTTGCTTGCATGAGGCTGCGCCTGAATCAGCTAACGCGCAAGTACCAGCCATATATTACGGTAAAACGAAACAAGCATATTTATAAATAGATTGTAGGCATTGACCTAACTGCGAACTTCGTGCACGAGGGCACGCTGCTACAACTCTTGCTGCTCCGCAGATTCTTGGCCCACGGCTTCAATGTCGTCATTGTGCTCGGGGGTGGCACCACACCAGTGGGTGACCCATCGTTCAAAACAAAGCGCACAAAAGCAACACTGGCAGCAACAAGTGGGGAGGTGGTTGGCAACAACGCCATTCTTGGTTCGGTGTCGACATGCCCATCAGTGTCCAAGGAAAACTATGACGGTATTCTCAATGTAGTCAAGAAGTTGTTAACACGAGAAATAATAACCGACGGGGGAGAGAGGTTCTCTCCAAATCTGTTTTTTGTTTCTCAGATGGGAGAAGCTGAAATCGCACGTATGAGATCCAGCCGCCACAATGTGGTTGTGGTGAATAACCGTAATCTCTACGACAACGTCACACTCACCGAGTTCCTCAACACTGTAGCACGCCATATGAGCGTGGGGAGGATGCTGTCGCGTGAAAGCATCAAATCCAGGCTGATATTGGAGGACGGCAGAGGTGCAGCTCCACTACGCAAAGCTAACATGGACCTGGGCGAATTCATGTACATGGCTCTGCAGGCCGCGGATTTCGTACACGTTGCGTCAAAGTTTAACGCTGTTATACAGCTCGGTGGCAGCGACCAGATGGGAAATATTATGTCAGGCGTTGAGTTGGCGGGTAGCCTGATTGAACTGAACAAGTCGTTGCTGGGCGTGACCACACCGTTGCTACAGACGAAAAAAGGGGAGAAAGTCAGCAAGTCAAGCGCAGAGTGCCTGCTAGCTATTACTGCGGAAACTCCTGCGTTAACATTGTGGTCGCATTTCAGGAACCTGGATGACGAGGTGGTGCCAAACTACCTGAGATGGCTCACGCAGGTACCACTCACAACAATCGATGATACTCTCGCCACACATGTAAATCAGGCTAAGGTGAGTTCTAATCATCATTCATTTAATGTTTTCAGGCGTTGCTGGCGGATGAATTGACTGCGGCAATATACGGCAACGAGTACAAGGAGGCACTCCACAAGCATTGGCTATCCGGTGAAGCAGCACAATTACATCAGTCCATAGATGGGTGCGATCCCGAAGAATATGGCTCATTCGCAAGATTCGTGAGTTGCGTGCCGCGAGTGTTCCTCAAAGCTGAAGAACTGGAATCCGGTGTTCCATTTGGCGACCTGTTGGACAGAGTACGTACGCCCCAACTGACGTCAGGGCTCTTCTACAGTAACCGGCGCGCGATACGCGAGGGCACATGCCGTATCAACGGAAAAGTTGAGACGCGAGTCGATCGCTTCATAACCACTGACGACCTGCTACACGTGTCTTCCACGGATGGACGTGTCATCAAGTACGTAGCTCTGCAATTCGGGAAGCGGCAGCTACACCTCGCAGTGCTGGAATCTTCTCACACCGCAACGTAGAAGCAGAAGCACCGGTATTGTTGATTGTCATCGACGTGGTTGACAATCTTCCTGCGCATTGTTATAGGACGTACTGTGGACAGTGTGCATACCTGGCAAGAGACTGAGCGATACGGGGGCTAAACCTGCTCGAAAGATGCGCCCTGAGGAACCTCCGATTCGCTTGGCTGCGTTTAAATGTCGTGTGTACTGCAAGGATTGGCATACCTCTGGTTTATTGCGTCGGCATCCGACGCATTGGACAAGTATGCGATCGTGATGTACGGCACGTACCAACTCGAATATTCGACGTGCTCCAAAGAAACGGCAATTGTCGGTGTTCTGGAGGCCTCATGGCTCCTCAGTAAAGTAACCTGTTCGTCGCTAATTGTTACCAATGCCACATCTATTGGCTTGCGGCAGTCAGCCTTTATAATGTCCACCACCTTGGCATTTGCATCCTTGACAACAACTTGTACATTTGAATACGGAACATCGGTCCTGCGGCAATATATGGTAATATTTGGGTGAAAACATACTCTTGATCGAACCAGAAGATCGCAATCGTATCAATCACGAAGGCGAGCGTAGAGAATATGGCGTATGCGATTACAATACCCAGTATGATGTTCTGTGCGAGAATCCACTTAGAGTTCGGATGCTCGAATGTTGAAAGTGTTGCGAACGACACTCCCAACAACATACAGACGAATGAGAAGTGGTTATCTGCCCTGCTTACGTAGGGTCGCGCCGCTGAAATTCATCGTGATTGCGCAGATGAATTTATATACCCACCCAGGAATGCCGTTGCTGCGGCTCCGTGCAGTGCGATCTGTATGGCGGTTAGCAATGACGCTACTTTAGTGCCCGACAAGAGACCAGCGGCAGCACATAACCCGTCAAAAACCTTTAGTGCCGCAACTGCTTCGACTATCAACGGCAGGCGCATATTCCTGTGGAAAATTCCAATGCTTCCACCGTCATCCGCCTGAAACCGAATTTAAAAGCTAGCGGAGTAACGCACCTGCAGCTGGTTAACCTTGGACTGGACTATGGTCCTCATCTTTAACACACCGTTGAAAACGATATCTTGGGAGAATCGCGCGGTGTTTTTGACAAGGTTATATGTGATATAATAAGTTATATGCCGTGAGTCCACTGCAGCAATAACCTTGTTCCAGAACCGGGAATCTATCCTCATGATATAGTCCAGCTGCACCCACAGAGGCGTATCGCCTGTCAGACCATCATATGGTGGGACATTACGATATTTTGGCGGCGACGTACGCTTCTTTGAGACAGAAATATTCCGTGACTGTGCCGCTGAAGGAGCGTTATTTGATGTAGGACCATCCCACGGGTATACGTCCACCACCTCGGGGATATTCAGCTCCAAGGATGCGCCCGTTTCATTCAGTATATCGTAATCCGTACGTGATACAGGTGACGATTTGGCTTCCAACGGCATATGAGTCTCGTATAGGTCCAACTCCTTTATTTCGGCCGTCAATACGCAGAACCGGCGGTTAAACATGGGGAACATTTTCGTAGTCATTCTGCCATTGGTATAACTATGGGCACTAACAACGTACGTATTGCATAACTGTGTAGATAGCAGGTAGCTGTTGCGATTTATCCAGAAACCTTCGGTTTTATTCTCTTGGTAAGCCTTCATGTCGGAAACCACCTGGTCCGTATCGCTACCCTCGTAGTAAGAGTACTTATGTTGGAATTGGTGGTCAAAAAAGTCTGTGTTTTTCACCCAAAAGTAGTGACCGTCTTTGATGTTACGCCACGTCAACACAAGTCGTGTGACGATATTCCCTATGTAACGTTTCATGGCGATGAGGACGAGAATGGCCAGAGGGATGGCGCAGTATAGTCGCAGAAACTCGGTCATCGACACGAGCAATTTCGTCATAACATTGTCTTGTATAGGCTTTTGTACGACTTCTATTTCCAAAATGGGTTCATCGATGGTTGTCATAAAAGGCCCCTGATAAATATGGAGTTACAGCTGTGTTGAGCGTACCGTTGCTGTCATGACAGATAGGAGCATCCACGGAAAGGCGAAAAGTCTCGTGATTTCATAAACGGGTATGTACCGCTTCAACGAATGAGATCCAATGCCATCCGTCGTTTCTTTTCGTATGGCCAACGCTATTAACAACAGGAGAAGGAGAATTGCCAGGCTTACCTATGGCAGGTCAGTGTTTCACACCTATCAGGACTTACATAGAAATGGAACAGCATCTGTACTGGAGATTCGGTATTATATCTCTTGCTCGGCAACATGATGAAACGGCTGCATATTTTGCTCGTCTTTTCATCGGCGCCTGCACAAATCACCTGGGCAAGGTAAAGGAGTGGTTCTCCTGTGACAGGGACCGTCTCAAATATGACACCAAATTGAACTCTTACTATATGCGGCAGTAATGTTGTCATAACGCTGGCCCAATAAGCCACCACTATTAGCGCTGCCACGATGCTGTGCTGCATTTCGGCAATCGGCTTCACCGCCGTCCTCGATGTTACGACGAACGTCTTGAACTCATCGTCGCTTATACCGTGAATGACTATACCTTCCGACATATCGAACACCGGAGTTACTACACCAGGTCGCACTCTAATGAATTCCTGAGCAAGAGTTGTATAGTTTATCATGTGAGGCAAATTTGCAAAATCCACCCAGATGTAGTCAGTAGCCACCATTCCCATTTATGAAATCACACTCATTTTCCATATAAAACTTCAAGCATAACTAACCTTATCATATTCGTGGACTTCCTTTACGTATCCGTCTACTACATACGATGTGGGTATAAGGTACGTGTAATTAGGATCGGTTTCCACGACCAAGGGAGAGAATCGATGAGTCAATTCCGAGCAAACAATCAACCCATTACCATCGGACATGTCTTCCATAATTTGGCATTTAGTGGAGTCAAAGAGCGGCATAACTCTAACCGGAGGAGGAATTCCTTCCCCCGCATACGTGGCAAATGTTACGGTGTAAGTGGTCTCTTCCACGATTTCATCACTTTCCTGCTTATGCACTTCACCACATCTGATTTTCACATATCTGTTGACGTTTTCTTCTTTCAGTTCCACGTTGACTACATTGTCGGGGGTCGTTAGGTCATCAATGGAAGGTAGACCATACCGGCACTCTGCATAAAACTTAAAGGTCTCCCCCTTCAAGTGCCTTCCAGTCACCGTGTAAGATCGATACGCTTTCGACAGTGCAGGGTATATCTGTGCTGGCATGCCATCGCTTCGAGTAATTTCCAGGGCTTCAAGATAATTTTTCTCTCCACCAGGTACCTCGACGGCAAGCAAGTATTGAGCCGTTTGCGAAGGTTGATGTTCTCGTATCGATGTTATTTCAATGGAGAATTTGCTTGTGATGCCACAGCGTATGGGCATCATCGCATAGCCCTCGTCACCGGGATCTATCTGTATGCCATTTATGGCGATACGAACTTCGACCTCGTCCAAGTCGTTCGTTTCATCAACTACTACATCGTTGTCCTTTACAGATTCCGCCGTCTCATCTTCTGCTGGTGCATTTGCACCAGTATCGCGCACTGATGTGCGTTCATCTCCCTCATGGTTAGCCTTTTTACCGAACAGTGTCCCCCAGAGTTTGCTGAGCTTGTCTACTAGGGAAGTTGACCCTTCACTTCCACCGGAACCTTGGTTTTGCACCACATCACCGCTTTTTGTAACACGGCCAACTTTCATCCACGGCTTCACACGGAATAACATCTCTAGGTGGTCACAACAGCTCTCCACTTTGATCTTGTATTCGTGAATGTTCTGATCAAATTTGAAGTCTGAGTCGGCTATATACATCCCTTCTATGACATCAAATGCATTACTTTGATTCGATGATATCTTATAAGTCTCACCCAGCATGCCATCTCCCGATAGCAGTATTGCCAATGCGGCCAACAGAATGCCGCACAACGGCAGCACCCGTTGTGATATAATTTCCCCGCTCTCATCTAGGCTTTCCATTGATATAGATCATTCTGATATGCGCAAATATGAGCTAAAACTGGTGCATGAATCATGGTAAGTTCGGTATGAGCAAATACATTGTGTCTTGTTTAGCAGCCTGCGGTACGTGACTTTAAAGTGATGCGATATTTTTATATTTTTCACGAGGCCAGCTTCGACGAGCATCGCCATAGATGATGCAGGTGTTTACACTGCGTCTCCGATTCATGTTCGGACGCGTTCGTGGCGACAGTATGCGTTGCCGGATCTATGGGTGTTATATGAGTCGTTGCATTTGAGCAGTTTTCTACCGGTAAGAGCGGCTTAGAGACAAGTATCGGCGCTTATACACATCGGAAAGTATCAGAATTCCCCAGTTTAGCATATATGTCGGTGTCTTATCAAAAAATAAAGCGACATACACGGTGAGATGTGCAGGCATCTGTGGAGGACACGGGCATGGAAGACGCATAATGCAGCCCTATTTGTTGCCATATGCGAAGCAGTATTGAATTACAAGATGAAAATAAAGCTGATGATGTTGGTTATTTAGACATGAGGGCATAACCGTGTGTGGATAACCCGGCATCGCGGCGGTCGTGCGGTCCCACCTAGGACCACTCATTATGCGCCGCAATCTGCGGGGACCTGCCAGCATACAACAAGCATGATGCCGCAGGCTTCGGATGGCGATGCGCCTTCCGGAGCCTTCCTGGCGACGGCTTCTCTGGACGACATCGTCGCGCACTCGCTGGAATACGAGCCGGAGAAGGACGTCTCCGATCTGAAAGTAAGGGCATTATACTGGTAGAATCTATACTTCTGTACCCACTAGATGCCTATTTTGACCCCTAATTGACGTTTTTTCAGGATTCGGAGAACGTTTCGCTGGTGTACCACTTCCTGCGGCACATCTGGACGTCTATGACCGATGCCTCGGTCTACGAGCAAAGTGACGGTTGGTTCAGAACGTATTAGGCTACCATGCTTAGGTCTTGCCGGCGGAAGCGACGTGATACCGTTTCTGCATTCCGACGAATGGCGCCAGCGGGTTTCCAAGCGCATTCTGGACCTTTTATCGCATTTCCGTGAGGATTCGTCTGAGGACGGCAATGGCAGCGGTGAGCAGGCGTTGCCTGCACTACGCAATGTGGCCCAGGGCCACCTGACGACGTGCTTCAAGATCTTGTCAAGTTATCTGCTGGTTGGTTGGCAGCAGTCCATAACGATCATGCTTCGTCAGTCGCGCCGAGCGAGCCAAAGCTTCCTTCCCAAGTTCAGCAGCGCCGCTGTGTGCTTGGTTGACGTGTACATGTACATGGTGCCTATCGCCATCGACCTGTCGTCCTTTCTGGATCTCTTGACCGATCTGGTGAAAAGCCTCCCCGTGGAGAGCGCCAAGGTGCTATCCGACTTCCTGTACAGCCGGGTTGCATTTCTGCGCAACAGCTTCGAAATGCTAGAGGCCTCTGCTGGCAACGCTCGCCTGGTGCAAACTGCAGGGGCCAAGATGATCGGTTTAGTCCGTGTGCTGGAGGCCAGCCTCGGCGAGAGTGCGGACGGTGACATCCCAGTGCACATCTTCAACCTGAGGCTAACCCTGACGAGCTGCCTGCCAATATCGCATCTGGGCGTCTGCAACCGGCAGTCTCTTAGCCAAGAGTTCACCCCCGTTACCAAGGTCACTGCTGATGAATGGACGGACATGGTCACCATGAGCGTGCGAAAGCGCGGGTTCGGCATATCGCAGTTTGAAATAAGCAACTACGAGGCAGTTGCCTCAAGCTCATCACTGTCGAGCAGCACGAGTGGCCAACTGTTCGACCTGAAGTCGCTTGCCGGTCGGGGGGAGCAGCGCATAGAGATGACCGACACATCGCAGCGTATCCCCAGTTATACGGTCTACGTGCACTACTGCGACCTACTGAACTTCGTGTTCAACCCGTTCGTGATAACGGAGAAGACCCAGGACTACATGGATGACCTGCAGGCAGCGTTCGCGTCGGTGACCAGCCACATCATCTCGCTGCTAGAGAAGCCGCAGCCCCCCGACACGTCGTTGTCCTGGATAATCCCTCTGACGAGCAGCGTGCCAGTATTCATCGCGCGCAGCACCAGCTTGAAATTCTGGACGAGCTTCCTGTGTGCCAGCAGCTTCGCCCTCCAGTCGCTGAAGATATCGCATAAGCGCACTGCGCCCACTGAAAGCGTGTACTCGCTGCTTCGTGAGAAGGTAGATGCGATTACATGCCGAATGTAACACCTCTGCAGTCAGCAGCATCGCTAGACGCCATCGAGAAAACGCTGAACCACTGCATCTCCAAGATCAGCGGCCTGTCGGTGAAACTGGAGCGACTGATGTGCAGGGAGAAGGAATGGGTGAGTTATTGTGACATTGTGAGCCCGACTGACAACCTTTTAGGTGCTGTGGAAGCAGCGCGGTTGTACCACCGACGTGCTTGAGCCCGTAACCGGTGATGTCTTCACCTTCCCGGAGGACGTGCCGTCCTCCGACGGCGAATCCGAAGAAGGTGAAATGATCGACTTCCTGGACGTTCTCGGCCAGTTGGAATCTGTGAGCCCCGTTGGCGAAAATGGCCTACCAGAAGTGGGTTCCAACTTCATTATCGACGTCAAGGACCTGTGCCTGAACCGCCAGGCCACCGCCTGGTACCTCGAGAAGCGCGCAACCGACAAGCCCGCCGTCAGCGCCCACGAGAAGCTCTACCAGATGCTGGAGGACTACATGGAGAAGATGCGCATGGACGCCGACCCTGCGCAGGGCATCGAGGAGGCCGAGCGCAGCAAGCACGATCCGCTGTTCAGGTTCCGGTTCAACCGCCTGTTCGCCAATCGGTACGTGCACAAGTACATGGACTTGAGCAACGAGGACGTCACCTCTGGCAGCATCGACTGCCTGGTGGAGTCGCTGCGGTCGTATGACAGGATGGGCAAGAGGGTTCGCAAGCGCCCAGGCACGTGACCTGCGCGCTATTTGCCAGACTTCCAGCTAAGGCTTTGATACTTATCGCTACTTACGGTGCACACGTGCTTAGTTGTAATCGACATGCTGTGTTACATAGGCCTAAATACTAAAATAGGCCGGGGGCCCGCTACTCCGCTGAGGTGTGTATAACTAGCTGTGTTCCTCTTCCGGTGAGCTGCGGGGAACAGCTCAAGGAATACCTTATTCGCAACTATTCCATCGCCCACTACGCTCGTCAACTGACAGCATCAACGTACTGTCTGTAGGGACCCAAGCCGCCGTGGTTATCTATACGTTGCGCGGTGGGGCCTGCTCTTGTCTCAGGAAGTCTGCCGCAGCGACGGTGCCCCGTAGAAAACAGGTTTACCACAGATAGTGTAGACACTGAGTTTTACTTTCATTTTGTAGCTTGTCTGGCACTTGTGTGTTTCTGGGAACCTCGTCGACGTACGTAAGTGTTCCGCTCGCGTCTATCTTCCTGGCCAGCCAAGTTTCGATAAGTCCGTCGCAGGTTAGTTATCCGTTTTTCTGCCGTTGTATTTTTCGTGGCGTGGACCGTGTTGTCTATTTGTGCGTTGTGTGACGTGCTGCCGTTCTTCTGGTTGGAAGGATTGCCGCAGTGCGTCTAGTTGCCGATGTAACGTATTTTGGCGAGCAATTTGGTCTTGCGGTCGTACTGAGTACCTAACAAACACGGTGTTTGGCTCCGCACGTCACAGACACGCGCCCCTGTGATCGTTTGATATATCCTACGATGGCTTGCTGAGCAACTGGTCTACGCAGTGATTTGTTCTTTTACGTAATATTACGGCTGTTATTTCGTTATGTAACTGCTTCGTTTATGGCTGTCTAACCCTTCATTTTTTGCTATCGTTACCGCTTGCCACGCCGAGTGGCACTTACGGTGTGTCTTGCCGGGCTTTTCGCTGTAACGTTGCCGTGCCATCTATCGTCTTTCTGCTTCGTCGTAGTTGTGTCATAGATACTAAATCGTGCCCGATTAACACTTCTGAATTCGTTCACAATTTGCTCATTATTTTGCAGCAATGGCTGAGGAAATGCCCCAATTCAAATTGCTCCTTGTGGGCGACGGTGGCGTGGGCAAGACCACTTTGGTGAAGCGCCATCTTACCGGAGAGTTCGAGAAGAAGTACATCCCCACCCTGGGTGTCGAGGTCCACCCCCTCAAGTTCCGCACCAACTGCGGTGGCATCCAGTTCAACGCCTGGGACACTGCCGGCCAGGAGAAGTACGGTGGCCTGCGTGACGGCTACTACATTAAGGGAGAATGCGCCATCATCATGTTCGACGTGACGAGCCGCATTACCTACCGCAATGTGCCCAACTGGCACCGTGACATCGTCCGCGTTTGCGACAACATCCCCATGGTGTTGTGTGGCAACAAGGCCGACGTCAAGGAGCGCCAGGTGAAGGCCGGCCACATTCAGTTCCACCGCAAGCGCAACTTGCAGTACTACGACCTCTCCGCTCGCTCCAACTTCAACTTCGAGCGCCCTTTCCTGTGGTTGGCCCGCAGGCTCCTCAACCAGCCTCAGCTCGTGTTCGTTGGCGAGTGCGCGAAGGAGCCCGAGTTCAAGATCGACCCCGAGTTGGCTGAACAGTGTGAGCGCAACCTGGAGGCCGCGGCCAACGTCGCCATCGATGATGATGGCGACCTTTAAGTCGTCTAGCAGCACGGCTGCAGCAGTTTCGGCAACTTATGAGTCGCTGACCCAGAACCAACACACAGTAATTAATTCTGATTGCACGTGTACATGTGTGAAATAGAGATTTTGAATCTTGGGGAAGGTAGCATATACGTACGTGCAGATGCTTCTGCAACTGGCAGTAACCATTTAGGCTATTTTACCGTGTGATCAGTAATGATCGCGATACGCAATTCGCCTTGTTGTTGCGACGCTTACCGACATGCTGAAATAGCAGTTATTGCTCTTTGCGCAGTACGACGTTAAAATAGTACATTTCCACATATCATCCAGCACCGCAATACACCACGTCAATAGACTACATCGAAAAGCCATCATACTCGATGAACGATCATATCACTGCAGTTGACGCAAAAACACCTTATACACAAATACGGTCCACATTAGATGAACTACATTTAGAAGTTGAGGTCGGGATGACCTTAGCATCGCTCAAATATGCGATATAGCAAGTCGAGGCTTGCCAACTTGATGACCGTACCCCTGTCGAGCCTACGCTTGGAGAGGCTCAGGTCAGGGAAGCGCTGTACGGCCCTCAGCAGCACCTTGGAAATGTAATGGTGGTAGTTCTTCTCGTTCGCCACGGGGTCGGTGGTAGTGATGCTGTGAATGGGCGGGAAGGTGAAGAACTCCGAAATGATATGCGATATGTCACCGACAGCCTTGCCCTCGTCGACTATATCCAGCGAAAACAGCGCGAGAACGAGCCCGGGCAGGTACTCCGGTCCTGGGAAGTAATTCGAGATGACCTTGGGGATGCTGTGCAGCTTATTGTCCTCAATATTGAACCCGAAGTACTTTATCAGGAATCCAACATGGAACTTCTTAATCATTTCCTTGGCCTTATTGCTGTTCACAGTGACACCATTAACGGGGTAGAAACTTACACGAACAGCGGTTTTTCGACTTGTCCGGTGCAACCCCTGGTCTGGTAAGCCTCCCTGCCCAGCGCGTAAGATAGCAGGTCCACCAGGCAGAGGGGCGGGTTGAGGAAGAGTTTGGGCAATTGGCCAATCCTCCAAATAACCGACTGGAAGATGCACTCTGAACGGAGTTGTGAACATAAAATGAATCACTCACCCTTTGCAACGCGGATGATGTCCACCATGTAGAGTTCCGTGTTATGCTGCAGTATGACATAGTGCTTGTCCGCCACTCCGACCAGCACCGAGTTAAGTACGGTTTCCGTGAGCTTTTTGTCCCTGGTAGACTCGAATTCGTTGATGAACCTGCAGCGGTGTTACTGCTGGGCATCAGAAAGCATGACATACTCTCTGATGAACTGGATATTCCACATGTCGCAGAAACCGTTCTCCTCGCCAGTGATATCCATCAGACTGAATTCGGTGTTGGCAAGTCGAGGTAAAGTCGCAGGATTATTAGGAATGTCTTCATGTTGAGTGTTTGCGGCTGTAGATGCCGAGTCCGGGGTGTCGGTGTCCGTGTCCCCTGCATTCTCGTCCTTAACGGGGGCATGGTGGGCGAAAGAGTCCAAATCGGCATTGGATTCCATGATGTATGACGGGGTGACGAAAGCCGCCATGTCCATTTGCTTGTAGTCACTGCGTACGCGGACTTTGGCATGCGGCTTCGCCTTCTCAAACGTCTGCAAAGAAAGGTATAATAAATAATTCGTTGGTATACCTCGTAATTCCGCTTGAGATGCGGGAATATCGACTCGTCAACAGCGTCATGTCGCGGATTTAATTCCATTTGGTTGTAAGCAGAAGCTTTCTGCACATTCTCGGTGTTGATTTTGAGGATACCTCGTATCTGCTCCTGCGCAACACTGTCAGCTTGTCGACAGTGTACACTACTTACCCTGAGGCGTTCACCAATTTCGTCGACGATTTGATCCTGGTGCTTGAAGAATATCTTCTCCTTTGAGGGGTGCACGTTTGCATCGATGCGATCATACGGCATATAGACAGCGAGGTAAACAAATCGTCTTTGCTTTTTGTGCAGCAGCTCTTTATAAACACAGTCTATGTTCCTTCGTAACGTGGGGTGGTCGACCAGCCGATTATTGATGAACAGGATAAACGAGTGACACCTGTTTGGCTGGTTGGGGTGAGTGAAGAAGCCCTTGCAGTTGTAATAAACTTCGCCAGTGGAGTGCGTTTGGAAGTCGTACAACGAATTTGCTACGGCCGATCCGTATACCTCTTTTATTGCGGCTCGAACCCTATTCAGATCCTCCTTATTTCGCTCCTCCACATGCTCGCGGTAGTGCACGAGCTCCGGAGTGTCAACAGCGTCAGGCGGGAAGAAAGTGACCTCTTTGAAGTGGCGCTGATCGAATTCGTGCACTGCACCAAGATCCTCTCTCCCTTTGTTGTCTCCCTGGGTGTTGAGGTCGAGCGTGCTGCTGCCGACCTTGTGGAAAACGAACTCGAGGTGAGGATAATGCACAGCATATTTCTGAGCCAGCTCTAGGCACAGATTAAACTCCACACTGGGCGACGCCGACAGTGTTTTGCCTCTCGTGTTCATGTTGAAGAACAGGTTCTCGTAGGTAATGGTGAAGCCCACCGGTCCCACCACCTGCCCCGCGGTCTCGTCAATCGGCTCCCCGTCATGGTATCGTACGACCGTTCTTTTCTCCTGGGCTGCAGTACGCGAAGAAATGGTAACGTTCGCCGAATGCGATAGCGCTGCAAGCGCTTCTCCCCTGAAACCGAAGCTCTTTACGCCATTGATGTCCTCATATGTCTTCGATGTAGTGAACCTCCTGCATATGACCTTCAGGTCGTTTGGGCTCACTCCGCAGCCGTTGTCTGATACCTCAGCATAGTGGAGCGGATTTGCCGCGATTCGGAGCTTAATCGTAGTAGCGCCGGCGTCAATACTGTTCTCGATGATCTCCTTGAGGGCAGCCGCCGGACGAACCACAACCTCTCCCGCAGCGATTCTAGCGATAACCTTCGGGTGGAGTTTGCGGATGACATCCTGAGATTCGGACATTTTGCCCTAATGTCGGCCGAGTAAGCTGTGCAATTAGACAACAGCAATATGCGGTGAATGTCGATTTGAATGCATACAATGCATGTTAGTGAGTGTGTAAATGTTTAAAATGTGTTATAGAGCATATTTTGCGTGGGTTATGTCGGTTGTCGGCCTTTACAATCAGATGTGTAGGCCACACGTGGTGATACGAAAGGGTAACACCATGTAAACAACAATTGAGTCGCATATTACCTAATATATAGACTTACAACAGATTATTATATAATATACAAGTAAATTTTCAAGTGTCTATTAGCTCGATTTGGCATATTGCCATGCCACCAATCTCTGCCAATCTGCTACCGCAGTTCATGGAATCTGGTTCGATGTGTGATATATTGCCGACATAAGCATTATTCCTATGTTATTATCAATCGCATTATGGGTTTTCATGGTAGCCGACCACGTATGTTAGCAGCGTGGATGGAGGTGCACCAATGAGCATGAGAGTGAAAAACGTCTCTGACCAGCCTGTAGCCTTCGAGTCAACGCTTCCTGTAATGTGCGGCAGCAATTAAGCCACTTAACACATCTACTGTAAATTATAGTGGCTGTTTTATAGTCAAAGCGTCACTAAGTATATGTCTAAGGCCGGCGCCGTCTGACCAAACTCACACCTTTCGCCACCCCTGCCGATAATGCGTCAGTTTCAGCCGGAGATTGATCAAGGATATCGGAATCTTATTGTATGCATCATCTTCATGCCCTCGCTTACATGTCTTTCTGTTTCGTATGGATGTGTAAGCTTCATTGACGCTGGGAATTCATAGGCTTTTGGAAAACACATTTGGCCTATATCGCGCAGGTGTATTTGTAATTGCACACAAATTGTATGTGCAACCTTTTATGTGTATATTCGTGTCCATATCTACACCATTCTCTGCAGCCGCCTTAGCTTATTGGGATCAGGGCACAAACGCGTTTTGTCAATTTAGTGAAATCTGAAGAAACTGAATAGGAACGTTCTGAGGTATCTTACAAGTTATTACGCGTGTTTATATACGTCATCTGGGAGTTTAAAACGTAGCTGATCGTAGGTTTGTGAGGTCCATCGCATGCAAGGTTTGGTCGACTGACCATTCTTGTTCTCATGCCCGTTTGCCACCAGGCCGCTAGTAATCATCGGAGGCACTATGGAAAGCTCGGGAGACATATTGAAACGTGCTCGAGCACGCTACGCCGACGCTAAGTTGGCAGCAGAGAGCACCATGTCGGAGCACATGTCCCGTTCGTCCAGTCTGCTGAGGCAGTTTCAGGGCCGTATTAATGGTATGCAACCTCATATGTCAACGAGGACTCAGATGTCATATGTGAGGTCACTCAAAGGTGGATCGGGTGCAGCGACTGATGACAATCCCTCTGCATATGACAACACACTGAATATGCCGATGTTCTGCAACCAGGCCCAGTTATCGTCATCGTGGCCATCGACCCGTCACACGCCGAAACAAATGACACAGGCAATGTGGATATCGCAGACGGCAACTGTGCACTCGAATATTTCCGAGATATCAAACTGGGAGGACACGGTTAAGATTCCGGAAATCCTGATGACCGACCCTGCCGACGTGCTGTGCGGCAAGACGACAGCACTGAACAAATCGCAGGATGAGGAACGTGACACTCTAAGCGAGCTGCTGAAGGACACAAGCTACGAGATGGCCCTCGAGGCCGATGTTGGAAACTCGCATCGTGCCGCGCCAATGTTTTCGCAACATGTGGCTTCTGTCGTGGATTACGCTAAAACCACTCCAACATCAACGGACCCGAAACGTGATACGGTTGCAAACCAACCCCTTCTGAGTACCTTGGTTAACGACACGTGTACGCGTCTAGAGGGTCTTACTCGGGAATGGCAACCTGCCAAGGGAAGCGGGGCACGCCTTGTTGACGCCAACGGTGGACTGTTAAAGGTGCTTAATGACTCGTGCGACGACAACAAGCTGAGTGACATCGATTCTCTGTATCTGAAGACTTTCGGCACTCGCTCAGGCGTGTCGAACAGCGACAAGGGTTACACGCTGACACATGCGCTTCTTCACATCAACCAGCTTGGTAAGTTAGCGTTACAGATAATATCCAATGCGCCACAGATAACAACCGTGAGGCTGAATTGGCGCCGAAAATATGCGTCGTCCGCCCACTGAACGAAGTTTCTGCCACCCGGAAGGCATCTACACCCTCCCGTCTACCAACGGCAGGAGCTGTCACACCCCCACCTCTAAGCGAGACAGTTGGTAAGTTGTTGCCACAAAACTACTCAGAGTTTCACAGGCCCATCTAACCTACTCGAGAGTGTGAACATCTTGTGTGAAGACAAATACGCGGTCCGCCTGCACAAGATGTCCGACTTCAACAGGTCGTTCGCCCACGTCGGCGCCAAGAACGGAAGCGATGTGGAGATACAAACGGACGCGGTCAGCATGCCCGAACCAAAGAGCGCCGATCCGCTGAAATCCGCCAGTAAGGTAAAGGTTGTCTACTCCGGCAATGTGGACCGCATCCCGGGGTCTGGGGAAGATTCGATGACGATAAGACCCAGCAATCACGAGGTCGCCGCGGAGAAGTCCGCCTCAGCAATAATTTCGAATGTAAAGCCCAGGCTACCTGATCCCTCCACAAGCCATGGTTCTCCCATTCCTTTGAATCGCAACCCCATTCCACCCTTGGACGTCCGTGCACGCCGTGACGTTTACAGGGGCTGTTTGGACATGCTAGACGAGGCCGAACGTCGCCGTTGGCAGCAGAAACGCGCACCACTCTACGAGAAAATGCGTGATATGGAGCGTTGTGGGATGCGCATGTCGGCAGTCTGCCGAGGCGGACGCAGGGGCGGTTCGCGTTTGACTCACGGTGCGCACCTTGCTTCTTCGCCGCAAGAAATCGCATCGACCTCACCAACTACCAAAAATGCTGACAACTCGCCTCCAAGCACCCTGATATACGAGTCCCCGTCCAACCGCATTCGTCAGCAACAGGAAGCGGCGGCCACCGTGGCTCCATCGGTTCAACAGCAAGCCAAAGTGGACTCTCCGCGTATCGCCCGAGGCTACTACGGATACGACGACATGCCCGCGATGAGGGTCAAGCCAACGCAGCGGGTGCATACGCGCGAGTTCTTTGCAACTCCAGCAAATCGCCCATCGTCGCCACGGGCGGCCAACCTGAAGTCTGCCGTCAAGGGTGTTGCGGCCCCGCCCGCAGTGGCAAGCGGCCACAACCCGTTCGAAGACTTCGACGGCTGGTGGAACCAACACAGCGTTCCTCTGTCTACTTTGAGGCAACAGCTGTCCATATCGTAGCGGTTTTGCGAAATTGTACAAAACTTTTGCGCCGAAGGCGTATACCGGTTAAAATGTTGTATCAACAGAGTAGCGCCAACTCTAAAGCGTGGCTAGGCGGCGGTAAATTGACCCGCAAATGGTCGGTCGCTCTTAAAGTGTGGAAACTGCATCGTATACGGCCTTTGGCAGGTTGCGTGACTAGAGTGTTGCCAATATTCTTCTGAGAACATTGGTGTCCATGTTACCTTACAGTACACCTTACAGCGTACAGTCTGTTTTGTTACTTGTACGTTACTACAGCGACGGGGAACAGACGTCATCCAAAAGGTGCTGACACAGCGCTCGTTCCCTAACACGTTAAGAGAGGTCTAAAACGGATTCCACACAGTATACTAAAACGAAGCGTGTTTATTCTACGAGTATAACTGCAAGAACAATACACATACACCGAAAGAATTAGAACACATTGTGCAGGGAGCGCCGCGTGTCGTGTTTGCAGCAGAACACCCCTGCCAAGGGTCTCTTGACGAGACACGGAGCTCTGTCACTCCGATCGCGTGTGCGTTCGGCTATAACACACGATGATAAAGTTTTTCATGGCTATAAGCCGCCAATGCAAGGTCCGGCTGGCCAAATGGTTCGTTCCGGTAGACAGCAAGGACAAGGCCGCGATTATGCGGGAGCTATCGCACCTGGTCGTGAATCGCAACTCTAAACAATGCAACTTCATCGAGTGGCGCGACGACAAGCTCGTGTTCCGCCGGTAAGCCGTGCCCTGTCCTCCTCTAAGCCGCCGCAGCTACGCCAGCCTGTACTTCGTGGTATGCGTGGACCGGGAAGACAACGATCTGCTCATGCTGGAGATCATACAGCACTACGTGGAGCTGCTGGACCGTTACTTCAGCAATGTGTGCGAGCTGGACCTGGTGTTCAACGTGAACAAGGTACGTACGACTATATCGGATAAGGAACGCGTAATCATACACTATTTGCATCTACCAGTGTTACATCTATACTTTCATCGCTTATTATACGTGTTTCAGGCGTACTACCTGCTGGACGAGATCCTAATGGACGGCGATTTGTACGAGTGCAGCAAGAAGGCTGTGCTCCGCAACGTTGCTGCGCAGGACGCCCTTTGCGACAAGGGCAGGGGCATCCTGTCCAAGGGCTCTGCAACATGAGTGCTTAATTGCAGTTTTTGCGTGCGAAGTCCGCAGTGAGCTCAAGCATCTTGTTCAGCCGCCCCAACATCGTACGGGGGTCGTCGACGATCCCAGCGGCAATCGAGGCGTTGTCATAGAGCTGCTCGACGAGTGTCTGAGGCACGAGTGAGCATGCGTATCACATTTTTGCTTGTTTTGCAAAACACAAAATAAAAATATAATAGCCTTACCTTGGCCACCTCAGGGTCGTTCTGCATGACGTGGAAAATGGTCACGTTGATGCTGTGCTTGGGGTTTAGCTCCAGCGTCGACGGCATCGAAGCGAGGCTGGCACCGGCGTCCGGCGCCCCCTTCATGGTTGCCTTCATGACCTTGCGCAGCGCGGCAGAGAGGAATCCCGTTACAACCGCAGGGGAGTCCACCAGACGCTCGGAGAACTTGACGGCGTTCACCTTGGAACCAAGGGTGGCCTGCATGAACTCCGATAGCTTCGTTCGCTGCTCCTCGGTGAGCAATTCGAGCTCTGCTTCGTCTTTGTCTACGTTCTCGAGGTCAGGCTCGAAGTCCTCTTCAGGGGAGTCGATGGCGACCATCTTCTTGTCCTTGTACTCCTGAAAACACAGATGCCCATAGTCCACTCATGAAATCTACCTGGATGTTCATTGAGACGAACTCGTCGATGTCCTCGTAGAGCAACAGCACGTTCCTGTCCCTGCGTTTGAAGGATTCCATGTAGGGGCTTGCAAGCGCAGTTTCACGGTTGGCGGCGCAGAAGTAGTAGATATTTTTCTGCTTTTCCTTCATGGTGGCGATATACTCATCGAATGTGAAGAGTTGATTGGGTTCGCCCTTCGACGACTCGTACCTGATCAGCTGCAGCAGCTGCTGACGGTATGGGCCGTTCTTGTGCGACTCGTCGAGCAGACCCTCCTTCAGGTGGTAGTGGTATTTGTCATAGAATTTCCTGAACTTCTCAGGGTCGCGATTGCTCTCGTCGTTCATGAATTTCAGAATGCGCTTGACGACGGTGTTGGCGAGCTTCTTGACCAGCTGGCTGTCCTGCACCAGCTCACGGCTGACGTTCAGTGGGATGTCCTCACAGTCGATGACACCCTTCACGAAGAACAGCCACTTGGGGATGATGGCATCGGCCGACTTTTGAATCAATATTTTCCTATTAATCGTGGGGACTGGCATTTTAAAGGTTAAACCCACCTAGAGTGCAGCGAAACTCCCACCTCCGCGGAAGACTGGAACAACCTGCTGGGCGCATCCTCTGGGATGTAAAAGAGCGATTTAATAGACAGCGGAGCATCGGAGTGGAACGATATTTTGTACATAGGCTCGCCCCAGGAAGCGTTGTTGAGGTACCTGAAGAACTTCGTGTGCTCCTCGTCCGATGCGTTGGTCTCCATCCATAGTGGCTTCTGGGTCGTGATCTCAACATCGGACTCCTTCTCCTGTATGTATAGCGGGAAGTTGACGAAAGCCGAAAACTTCTCGGCTACGCGCTTCACGTTCGCCGTGTTCGCGAAAGTTAGGCAGTCGTCCCGAAGGTGGCATATGATCTTGGTTCCGCGAGGCAGATCGTCCACCTCCTTAATGGTGAATGAGCCTGCACCGTCAGACGACCAGTGGTACCCCTTGACACCCTTTTCCGGGTCAAAGCTGCGTGTGAAAACTTCGACGCTCTTAGAAACAACGAAGCTGCTGTAGAATCCGACACCGAACTGGCCAATGATCGCATTCGCCTTGTCCTTGGCGTTGAGTGACGGGTCCTCCAGGAATGCTAAAGAGCCAGACTTAGCGATGGTGCCGAGATTGTTCACTATCTCGTCCTTGGACATACCTACACCGGTGTCCTGCAACCTCGTCAAAATGTTAGAACCTCGAACCGACCTCGATGGTGAAGGTCTTCGATTCCGGATCAGCAGATATTTTGATCTTGTATGACACATCAGGATCTACCTTGGTGCCGGAGAGACCTTCTTGTGTCGCCTCGAGAAATCTGAGCTTCTCCAGCGCATCGCTTGCGTTACTGATCAGCTCCCTGATGAACACCTCCTTGTCGGTATAGAGTGAGTGGGCCACAATTTGGAGCAGCTTCTGGATTTCAGCCTTGAACTCGTATCTCTGAGGCCCATTATCCACTTAAAACACCAACGTACGTCACCCTCTGCCGATCCCGAGGAAAAGGCACGCAACTGGCGCAGAGAGGTTAACTGGCTTTGGGTCCGGATAGGGAGCCCATTTGACCCCTTGCGAGCAAGCGTACCAATCCTGGAAGCCGCCTGCTGCGTCTCGGCACGAGCAAGATACCTGCTGAACGTGCATAAAGACACTCCGCCCCTGCGCCTTCCAGAGGAAGCCAGGCTAGGGAGGAGACCGCGAAGCGCCGTGTTTTGCTTCATAGACTGAAGATTTTATGCCAAACCAATGTAATCCCAAGTTTAAAGTGTTTAACACCGCAGGAAGGGTAATATTTCGGTGGAAGAGACCTAGTTTAGTGTGTTACGTTCCCCACGGTATCGTCGCGATGTCGTTCACCCCTATGCCGGCACAATACATATCGGTTACATATACTTACAAATTTGTAACCGATTAATGTATCTGTATTTTTCATTGACTGCATAGCTGCTATGCTGTGTTGAATATTCGGGACGAACTTCGTGCCGGAATCTACCGTCTCATTTCAGCACGATCTCGGGCTCAAGCCGAGTTTTACAGCAACCAGTTGCCTCGTATCCTTCCGAGAGCTAATTACTGCTGGTATTATATCTGTTATGTCGTGAAAAGTTCCGACCGTGGCTGCACATTTTTGTCATTCAGTATCGCCGCATACTCTGAAGGCCAAGATTTATTTATTGTGCGCTGTTAAGCTCTTCTGCGCATTGGAATCGCATAGAAACTGCTGTATAGGTATACCGCCGTTTATCATAGAAGCCCTAGTGGTCGTTTTGTTGGACTTCATTTAGTACCAACAACTTTTTAAAGCTGCGCATGGACGAGAAGATTTGGGAACCTGTCGGCAAGATGACGAGGTTCAATCTGGAGGGATCGGAACACGCTTCCAGAGTGAAGAATGTGATCATACAGGGGTTTGCGCTCGTGAATCTCATCACCGTAAAGCATGTGGAGGTCAGCGAGTATGTGTCCGAGCGTAGCGGCCTCCGCATCTTCTTCATGCACTACGAATCGCCGATAGTGAATTCGTACTTCATTGTACCGACCCGCGCAGAATCGCATGAAGGGTTGCCACACACTCTGGAGCACCTTATTTTCTTGGGTAGTGCCAACTACCCCGAGAGAGGCACATTGGATCTGTTGGCCTCCAGGGCCCTTGCTGCAGGCACCAACGCATGGACAGATGTGGACCACACTGTGTACACCATTTCAACGGCCGGACTGGACGGTACCTTGATGATGCTGCCCGTCTACCTCGACCACCTGTTGAGGCCGACCTTGACTCAAGAGGCCTTCATGACCGACGTGCACCGCATTACTCCTGACGGATCGAACTCAGGCACGGTGTACAGCGAGATGAAGGACTGCGAGCACGATGCAGACAATGTGACTGAATTCGAATTGAACAAGCTGTTGTACCCCGGTGGCAGTGGGTACAGCATGTCGTTCGGTGGTCGCCTTGACGCGCTGAGGGAGACCAACGTAGAACGCGTGAGGGACTACCACAAGCGCTACTATCGCCTAGACAACATGTCCATTGCCATAGGTGGTCATCTGAACGATGCCGAGCGTGTGCTGAAAGTGATTGCCGATGCAGAGGAGGCCCTGATCGCTGCCGGTGTTGCAGCGAAGGCAGTGAAACCCGCACACTATTTCGGCATCAGGCAGTGGGATGATCCCGTCCACTACCAGCCATTCATAGAAACGGTTCACAAGACTGTTTACTTCCCCAGCGATGACGAGGAGCTTGGTCAGTTCACCATGGCCTGGAGAGGACCGCAGTGGGACGCTTTCCAGGATATCCGCGCACTGTCCATATTGGGTTTGTACTTGACCCACACACCGATTTCGCCCTTGGAGAAGGAATTAGTCTACACCAAAGACCCATTCGGAAGCGGTGTTGGCTTTGTGTTGGATGAATACAAGGAGACCCGGTTCAACATTACCGTCATGGACGTGCCATGCGGTGAGAAGATGGAACAGATCGCCGAAAAGATAGGCACCGTGATTAAAAGCGTATGGGAAGGGACACTCGATATGGAGCGGTTGCATACCATTATCCGTCGGGAACGTCTAACGTACTTCCGTTCGCTCGAGACCCAGCCGTCGAATGTGTTGATCAATGGTGTCGTCAGCTACGTCGTATACGGTGACAAACGTAAGGACCTGGACGAGCAGATTGAAGGTGACGACCAGATGAGTCGCCTGCTGCTGAAGGAGGAATCGTACTGGAAGGGCATTCTCGAGAAGTACATGATCCACGCCCCGTGGGTGGGCATTCGCACTGTACCTAGCATTGAGGAAAGCAACAAAATCGAACGTGAGGAGCGCGAATTGGTACAGGAGCAGCTCAAGAATGCCGACATGGAGCTACTGAAAGCACAAGAGGAGCTTGTCACATCCATTGTGTCCAACAAGGGCGGCGGTGTGCCCAAGCACGTGCTTGACTCCTTCGGTGTTGCCGCGGTTGAGAACGTGCAGCTTCCAGAGTGGCCTTACATGCGTAACTTTAACTCCGTTGGCCCGGATGCTGACGGAGGTCGTGCAATGTCTGGACGCGTTCAACTATTCAACGTGCACGGCCACCGTGCTGTGGAACACTACTGGCCTGAATTGACGCAGCAGCTGGATGAAGTGAAGATAAACCTGCAGGTGAACCACGTAACGTCGGACTTTGTTCGTTTCATCGTGCTTATCCCGACCATGGATCTGGGGCTCACTCACCTGGAAAAGCAGTCGCTCACCCTGTTGACCAACCTGCTGTTCCAGTCTAACCTGCGCGAAGGCATGGGCCCCAAAATGTCGGCTGATGAATTCATCATGGAGCTACAGGAGGCAACTTCCAGCTACGCTGCTACCCTTGGTTTATCGTCATCGTTCGGCAATGTCGATGCCTACTCCGAGATCCTGAAGATTAGCATCACGTGCCACGTCGGCTATTACGAGCGGGTTTTCGGCATTTTGCAACGCGTGTTGCACGACGTGCAGTTCACAGACGAGATTGTGGTCGCTAAGATCAAGTCGCTGATGAAATCATTCCAGGAGAAATCCCGTTCCGCCAAGGCGAACATGAGGCAGGCCCTGCAGGCGATGCGCCTGAAGCGCGAATCCGTCCGTATGTCTAACGGTATCGCACAACAGATGGAATTCCTGCGTACGGCTGAATATGGTCCCATAACCGCCACGCTGCAATCGTTGTACGCCAAGATTTTCTCGCAACGCAACATAGTGGCCCACCTGACCTGCAACATCGTCTACATGCCTAAATCATGGTTGAGTATTTGGGCGCAGCTGCCAGCATCTGGAGCAACAGGTGACAATTTGAGGGACATGATCGGATTCAAGCTCGCCACGGATGTTGAGCTTTCGGAGCAGAGAGCCATGTACATGTCCATGGCTTCCACCGATGTGGCGTTTTTCAACCACACCATCAAAGCGCCGCTGGGATTCACGCACTCGGAATACGCTGCGCTGTCCATGCTTTGCGAGTACCTCTGCATGCTGGAGAGCCCACTGTTCCGCGCCATCCGCGGAGGCGGTTACGCCTACGACTACATGGTGTCCTACCTGCCGTCACTTGGTGAAATGCACCTTTCACTTATGCAGGCAGTGGATGTAGTGGAGGCGTTGAGAGCTACACGTGATGTGTTTGGCTTGATAAAGGATGGCAGCCTGCCCACTGAGGATGACATCATATCCTCCAGGTGCTCGCTGGTTTTCAACATCGTGCAGTGCGAAGAAACCTTGAGTTCTTACAGCTACCAGACCTTCCAGGATGCGTTCCGCGGTGTAGACTCAAGGTTCACTATGACGTCGCTAAACGGCATCCGTGAAGTGACCCCTTCAGACTTCCGTCGCCTGGCTGAGACCTACCTCAGCCAGTTCCTTCACTTCAACGACCCCTCGAGCACCGTCGCCGTCGTGACCAACAAGAGCCAGGCTGATGACATATACAAAGGATTGGTGGAAATGGGCTACAATAGTCTGATCCGTACGTCACCAAAGGCTATGATGAAGTTTGCCTCCACCGGTACCCTTGAAGAAGCGGAAACTGCCAGTGACGACGAGATTGACAGTCACGGCGATGACTCTGAAGGCAGCGTGTCAAATGAAATCGAAGAATTTGAAGAATCCGACGATGAAGCAATTGAGGATGATGCAAAAGATGATGAGGAAGAAGACGACGGCGCCAGCAGCGAAGACGCTGAAGAAGTGGATGAAAGTGAGGACGAAGACAGCGACATAGACGACTGTGGCTATTTTAAGCCTTAGGTCGGCTGAAATGATAGTTTCTAACGCTATAACTGTCTATTGTGGAATATTTCGGTGGGCAAGGTACGATGACTGCAAGTAAGGGGAATGCTTGTAAAGGTTGTGCCATCGCAATTCAGGAATACCAGATGTCAAAACCAGCAGGTGCAACTCATATTCCCAACCACCTGCTTTGTCACTATCGCTAACGACATGTCAACGACACTTAACGTTGTTATTTTTGGATGTCTAGCTTTTATCACGTGACAAACATGTCGGTGCATTGGCATATAAACGTGCATTCCCAGTAATGAAGTGTGATAAAGACGATGTTTAATGACCTCTAATGGGTGTGTCCGCCCTCAATGCAGCCTCGATATACGTTCATGCGAGTACATTGATGTATATGAACATGCCACTACGGACAGCGGCCGCATAGCACTTAAACCCGCAAAACGGCGACCAATGCGCCGGTTTGGCCATAGACACCGTGTTATACGACTCTAGCTTAGATTATGTTGAATTAAACTTGCTATAAAGGGCTCAAGAAGGCTATTATATGCCCCAGAGCTGCTAACACACACGACGGCGTCGCGAAGCCACGCGAGACCCGTTAACTGCGGAGCCGCAGCGCGTCGCTGACCAATTCTGAACCCTTACGAATTTAAGGACTATAATTGCCGTTTACCACCCAGCGCTTTTGCAGTTTGGTGTGGAGGCAGGGCCGCCTCGAGCTTTGGCGGCTAAAGCAACAGGGCCGTTAGTTGCCGGTTTCGACGCGAATTCCGAGGCTATGCGACCATGAAAACGTCCGGTCCCACAACGCGCGGAAGCGGAGGCGGCAGCGACACTGCTGCCGCCAGCCAGGCTACGCAGAAGGCGATAGGCTCGCCTGGAGCAGGCCCTCAGGCCAAATCGCACCAGAAGTCCCGAGAGAAGAGCACAGTGATCGCGAAGGCCAGGGAGCTTTACACGGCGCAGGTACGGTTGCTCATCCTAAGCTTTCATGCACGCCGTTCAACCATGATCTCAACTTGTTGCAGTTTCCCACCGCCTTTCCAATGGAGTCCGAGCTTTGGGGCATGGACCACTCGCGCGACCACTGGCGAAAGTGTACCGTCGTACATGCGCGGTGAGTTGCGTTCACTTCATCCTTAATCCTCGCAGATCGAGGTTTCCCGACAAGGACGTCACCGAACTCGGGCCCAAGGACTATGATTACTACATACACTGGATTGGATCCGACCGCCGTTTGGACTGCTGGCTGAACGTGGAAGACATACGCACGATGGAGGAGGGACCGGAGCCGGGACAGGCTGTTTGTCACGACGTCGAGGAGGAGACGCACGACCACGCCGGCATGGACGAGGAGTACCTGCGTGAACACGAGATGAACACAAAGTTGAAAACCATCCAACGCATAAAACTGGGGCCCTATCTCGTTGACGCATGGTATTTTTCGCCGTACCCAAAGCCATACCAGAATCTGGACACGCTCTACATATGTGAGTTCTGCCTGCTCTTCTTCGTGTAAGTTTTCGAGTGCCGAAAAGTCGAACGTTTTCAGTCACGAATCGGAGCTGCATTGGCACACAAAACGCTGCGAACTAAGGCACCCTCCGGGAAACGAGATATACCGCGACGGGAACCTTGCCATGTTCGAGGTGGATGGTGCTCTGAGCAGCGTGTACTGCGAGAACCTCTGCTACCTTGCAAAGCTGTTCCTCGACCACAAGAGTCTGCGCCACACCGTGAACCTATTCATATTCTACGTCATGACGGAGTTTGATGACAACGGTTATCACATCACGGGCTACTTCTCCAAGGAGAAGCACAGCACCAACAACGTGTCGTGCATTCTGTCACTTCCACAACACCAGCGCAAGGGCTACGGCAAGTTCCTCACCGCTTTCAGCTATCTCCTGTCGAGGAAGGAGGGCAGAACCGGTACCCCTGAGCGGCCGCTGTCGGACCTGGGACGGGCGTCCTACATGTCCTACTGGTCCGAGGTGCTCCTGGAGATACTCTTTGATCCCAAACTCGAAACAGTCTCCATACATACGCTCTCGCAGATGACGTGCTTCGAACCGGCTGACATCATCATGTGCCTTGAGGAGCTGGGGCTGCTGCACACCCTCTCCAACGGCACATCAGTGATCACCATCCTCCCGGAAAAGAAGAACGAGCTTATGGCCAAGTCACGCACCAAGACAAGGAAGTTGTATATGGAAAAGCTGCACTGGATACCCTATGATGCTCACAACGAGGCTACTCCGGTGTGATTTATCGCAGATTATTACCCATATCGGTTTCGCCCCCAGCCGCTGCCGTCCTTAGGATTCCACAAGAAGTAAGCGACATATAACGCCAGATAATTGGCATGTGTTGTGTGTTAGAGGTGCACAAAGTTTGGCAAACCCTCACTCACATAAGGGAGCAGTGTCTTCAAAAGAACAGTGGTATATAAATTTTAATGTTATACAAAGGTGACACTTTATAATATCGCCTGCACTTTGTGTGCGGTTTTCTCTCCGGTAATAACCGATCTTCGATATAAAGAATCCGTAATCGTGCTAGGTGGTCACCTCTTGCGATTCAGCAGCTTGATCAACGTCCTCAGCGACATTTCACTACGAAAGGTGAATGACTCAGACAACAGCTGTTGCATCAGCCGCTGCGGTATGGCATCTCCGACGCTTGTGAGCACGTGCCTGAAATAGTCGACAGACATCACGGGACCCCTCAATTCGTCCCCTGCTGCACAGCGCAACTCCAGAAGAGCCTTGAAAGCATCAACTATCTCCTGGCATTCCTGCACTGTGAGGTTGATCACGTAGCCGTAATCGTCCACCAAGACATGCGGGACGCCCTAAGAAGCATCAAAGACAAAGAACACGTCCACCTACCTCCACACCCGTGGCAGACAACACAGCGTCGCGCTTCCGCTTCGCGATCCGGTGGAAGTCGTTGAAGGAGAAGTATCTACCTTGAGCGGAAGTATGCTGCGCAAGCTCTTCTTTGGTCCAGACTTCGCCGGTTGCACGCAGCATCATGGCCAGGCGGTCGCCTGGCACCGGCACGAGCTGGTTGCTGTAGTATGCATAGATGTCCCTGCAGAGGGCGTCGAAGTCCCCCGTGTCTGGCATATCTAATTGCCTACATGTTGCGCAATGAGCGCACAGCGGAACGTTTTCGGCGCAATTGACACACCACGGCACCTGAGCAGTGGTTGTTCACCAACAACCCTTCTGTGCTACACATGCGTTGTTGAAAACGCGAATTCAGTTATTATATTAGATGTGTATTGAAAGCTACGGTTTCAATTGTCTGCGGCCGTTCATGGCTGAGTTTTACGGCTTCGGCAACTACGTCGCTGAGGCGTGCGCTGAGCCGTTGGCGGCATTCGCAAGCGAATACTATTAAAGCACAGCAGCTAAAGGTTCATACGATCTAAATCATTTCATATGGTCAGTCGGTAACGAAATGTGAGTCACATCGAATAACACATCGCCTAGTGACTATAACAACTACACTTAGGTCGTGTTATGAAACTCTAGCCTTGCTTGTTTAGCAGCTACCGCGACTGTAGCAACCCGAATTCGCTGTTCAGATGCCCGAAACCATCTTCGGCATCATATTAGGACTGTTCCGACCCTGCCTTCTTCTTGTTCTTCTTCGCCTTCTTTGAGGGCTTCTCAGCCTCGACAACAGCCGTCTCAGTGCTATCTGCCGACTTCTCCTTCTTCGATTTCTTGTGCTTCTTCGGTGCCTCTTCTGCTGATGTTACAGCGGCCTCCACAGCAGGAACTGCTGTGGCTGTCTTTACGGAAGTTGAAGAAGTGTCAGTAAGGGCCGTCGTAGCATCCTTGCTAGACGCAACTCCCTCCAATTTAGCCTTCTTCGACTTCTTTTTCGATTCCTTCTCACGCGATGTCACATCAACATTGGCGGCGTCAGTCGAGCTGCCTTTGTCAGTGGGACTGGCCTTGACCGCAGTAGTCTTCTCCTCAGTTTCTGGTTTATCAGCGATGTCAGCCTTTTTAGACTTGTCTTTCTTAGACTTCTTGGATTTCTTAGATGCCTTTTCGGCGACGGCACCAGAGGAGGCATCGTCGGCGGGAACCGCCGGCTCCACATCAGCCGACACCGGTAACATGGGCTCATCATGTGACGACTCCTTTTGCGGAGCGTCCTCCGAAACGTCCCTGACCCTCTTTTCCGCCGCCTTCTGCGCCTTTATGGCCTGGTACTCCTGCGCTGCAGCCTTCATCACCTCAATGCTGGTCTCATGCTGGGGACCGCCAGCGAGGTACTCCATCCGCTTGCCAAGCAGCTCGACCATCCGCTTGCCGTAGACATTAGAGTTAACGTCACAGAAGCAGTCGAGACGAGCTGCCAAGGCGCATTTGTTGGCGAGATAACGGGCGGCGCGTCCCTTGTGCTTGAGGCTTGCGCGACCAATGAAGTTGGCCTGGAAAATGAGACCATACTTGGGGGTGTTAGACTTTGTCTTCAATGCGCGGAATAGCGCCTTCTCAGCACCAAGAATCTGGATGGAGCTTGCTGACATCTTGGCCAAATTGACAAGGGAGCCAGCATGGCTGATAAGCCTGCCGGTCAGGATGTTGCCAGCCACCTCGCTGAGGTTGGGGGCAGTGATCGCAAGCTTGTTGCCCAGGTGGGTGTTGAGGTGCTCGCGCATCTCTTCAAGTTTGACCACCTGCTTGGCGAAGTTTAGGATGTTCTGCATGCATGGCTCCGAAAGCTCGTGACCGATGGACTGCCCAGCTGCTTTCTTCACGCTGGCGACGAGTTCCTCGTCGCCCAACACCTTGAGGAGCTCCGGTGCACCCGTTTCCCAGTCGAACTTGTCCTTTCTGCAGATTATCTGCACCACTTGGCAGTATATCTTGTTGTCGGGGACGATCTTTATCAGCTCGGGGAAGTGCCAGCCGTACCACTCGCGCACGCGCATGGCGAAGGAGTTCAGGTTCTTAGTAAGCGAATCCAACAGGGCGACGCAATTGATAACCGGCTTGTCCATACGCCTGGGGTCGATTTGCAGCTTGCTGCGGCTGTAGTTGTGGCTCAGACCGACGTGGAATTTGTCCATGTCGAAGGCGCTGGCGCCTGAAGCGAGCCTGGCGATATTTTTCATCTCGTGTTGGCGGCAGCCACGCAGCAGCTCAACTACATTGGGGTCATAAACCACATTAAACCCCTTAGAAGTGAGCGTCTTGCCGAGACCGGGGTCGACAACCGCCAGCTGGGTACCCTTCTTGGGCAGGTTAAGGGAGAGGAAGGCGCTGAGCATCGGCGTCACCTCTCCTTCAACGATTGCACGGATGTTCTCCAGAGCGTCTGAGGCGGTGGTGAAGGGCTGGAACGCCTTGAATTTCACGGTCTCCTTGAACCGCTCCTGGGAGGAGCATACCTCCTCCATGGCCTCCACGTGGCCGATCTGATCCCATTGTTCGATCTGGTAGAGGGCGTAGCCCGCGGCCGTTTCGAAAAGGAAGAACGTCTTAGTCATGGTGACGAGTCCGGAAGGTCCACCGTTGTGCGACAGTATCCGCCGCCGCAAAGTCGTGGCGCCGCGCTACCACGAAAGGAAGCGATTGTGACGGCAGTGTCGAAATCAACTCGGCGAACACAATGCCGTTATTTTACCCTTTTCCCAGGGTATTGCGTCAGAGACCACCCAATAGACCCGAACAGCCCTAGAGGCCACAGGACGCAACGCTCATCCACAGGCGGCCTAACCACTCCGTTCTGCTTGTCTGACGGAGCCTGTTTGTAGTTCCTAACGAACTTTATATAGTTCCGTGTTGTCAGAACGGGCGTTCTTTATACCCAGGGGTGGGTGGGTCACCTCCTTGGTTATGGGCCGCGCCGGCTGGTGGGGAGCCATGGTAACGACTGCGAAAGCGCATCCAGAAGGATTCCAGCTAAAGTTATAATATTTAGGTTGCAGCGTCGTGTAAATTGCAGGAAAGTAACAGCAGTGAATTATTATCTAGAATTGACAGCGTATTTCTCACTATTATCCTACACCTCTCAATGCTAATCGCACTGGCAGTTCCAGCGGTACATACGCCGTACAGAGTAAACAGCCTAAAATACTTATATAATCCCGACAAATTATTGCAATTTGGCGATTCGCCGATCCTCGCTTGCGCACACCCACCACCGTGGATGCCAGCTGTCTAGCCAACTGCCCAGACATGCTCGTCGCATACGACAACCTCCACACACCTCAGATAGTTAACGTACCACAATAAGTTGCAGTGTTCCTGGTTGGATAGAAAGCGCAATAAATCATTACAGTAACCTTCACGAGCTGCTACTGTGACGCCAGCCGCGGGGAGAGCACGGACGCGGCTAGCGATCTTCGAGGCTGCGGGATGAGCGCCATTTACCACAATGATACCAGGTGGAGGAAATAGTCTCGGGTGTTCAGCGCCCGAGGAGGCAGCGCCGGCGGCGCAAGGCTACCAGTACCAAAACGCAGTAAACGGCCAGGAAGCCGCTGATGGTTACGTCGAGGCGGTTGCGGAGCCAATGGTGGAGGATATCGAGCCCTTCTCGGACGATAAGATCATGAGCCTGGTCGAAATCGCACCAGCACCTGGCAAAGGCAGTGAGTAGTGTGTAGGCAAATGAATAAATTCATGCAGGGTGTATGTACGTACGCAACGGCTACGAGCCGGGAGGGCTCATTCTCATCGAGAAGCCGCTCTTTGTCATCGTTCCGAACGACAACATCGAGATATGGAACACCATCAACTCACTCCATGAAAAGCAGCCGCTGCTACTGTCGCCGCTCTGGCATCACGCTGCGTTGATCACGATAATGACCGGCACGAAGGAAAAATTGGAGGTCATGCGAGGGAAGTGGGTGTTAGGTATGTCTTTGTCTATATGGTGATATAAACCTTGCTTCATCTTTTTGCCGTTTCCACAAGCTCATAACCATACCGATATGAGCATGCAAAAAGCTGGTGATTAATACTTCTACATGGTTAATCTTCTATGAGTCGTTTTACTGTATTTCGTTGATTAGTGATGTTATATGGCAATGTTGTCAATATTCCTTAGATCCGGACCCACCTGTGTCGGAAGATGTCTATCGCATTTTGGAGGCAACCTGCGTGGCCCAGGCGGATGGAACTTTCGTTTATTCGAACCAAGTTGTCGTGGACCCCAAGTTCTACCAGTTCCTGCTGCAGGTGTGGCCGCTGAACGCCTTTGGCCACACCACGGACCCTAACGGCCTGGTGTTATACAACAGTGGGTTGTCGTAATTGTCACCGCATGCAATATCGCAGAAATATCTTTCTTGGCTCACAGCTGCGATGCAACGGCCTGCTGGCACCACGTAGGAGATGACTACTTCGTCCTGCGTGCGCGAAGACGCCTGCGGCCCGGAGACGAACTGACGATATCGTACCTCGGGGAGCCCGACCTGCTGGCCCCAACTCACAGTAAGCAAACAACGCTTTATTTTGTCCACAACATGCCGTAGAACGCCGCGAATTGCTGTACAACTGGTCCTTCTACTGCGAATGTCCAAGGTGCATAATCCCCGTGGACTGTGCACGTGGCTTCCTGTGCAAGTTGTGCCGCTATGGTCGCGTGGGATTCTACCAGGACAGCAACAGCACCAGGCTAGTCAGTGACGCATGCACTCTCTGCGATTACGTCTTCACGGAATCCGACATAACGGAGTACCTCGACCTGGAGCGGGCGTACGCGGAGCGCATCGACTGCATCGACGCAAACGACCTTTGCGACATACAAGAGGTCTACAACCACGCGCGCAACGTGTTCAAGCAGCATTGGTGTCTGTACAGGTTGGAAACGCTGTTGTTCGAGTGCTTCAAGGAACGGGGCGAAGCGGACTTGGCGCGTTACTACCTCCAGCAGCGCATATCCTTCGCCGACGCGGTAGGTGGCATTTAGTTGAGAATTTGTGTGTATGTTGTTCAATTCACAGTATCGTTGCTATTCTTTGGCAATGCTTGTATGTTGTTAAAGGGCATCGTGATGCTACTGTTCACAATGGACTTGTTCACCGGGTTTGGGTATTATACGTCTTTTGTTGCCCAATCGGCCCTTTCTGCCCGGATATTAGCTCGTTTATTCGACTGTCATGTATATCTTAGGTTATGCGACGGCCTCTGTACTGTGTCGCATTCATGCACGAGGAATATGCCGACATGCTCCTGGCTTCGGCGGGAATTGACAAGGAAAGCGAACAGATCCCCGAGGTCAACGTTAACGTCGAACTACTGTAAGCATGCGTCTGCCTAAACTAATCGACGTGCTAGGAACATCGTCATGGGCAGCTACTTCCGCGCTGCGACGCTCCTGGCGGTGCTGTCTGGACTTAACCATGCCTACTACTACACAGTTCTGGTACGTCTAATGCAGAAGGTTCTCACGTGGTTCAGCGAAAGCGTCACAGGGTGCAGACTATTTTGTCGCATATGGCTGGCGGGACCTCGTAGGCTGGCCGCCGGTTCGTGGAGGAAGGTGTGCACGGCGCGTCCTGAATCTGCGGACGCATACGCGACGCATTCGAATTTAATTACAGTACAAACACAATCGGTCTCTTGTCAATTTCTCCGGGACTACGCCTATCTCCGGGGTGTGTCGCTGCGGCCGCATTTGCGTAATGGCGCTGCTGAAGGCAGTAGGCCGCGCTCTAGGATGCCTGTTCCGATGGCGTTCAAGGCGCAGTGAACAAATCGCAGAGTTTAAAGAATGCTGCCAGCTTGTCGCGATTAAACGCGCTGGAGGCCAGCTCGACGACGACAACTTCTGGGTACTTTACGGTAGGCAACGTCGCGTCACCCGTTGACTCCTGCACAGGCTTCTTTAAACAAACGGTGGTCGGCGACTTCAATCTGAAGGATGTCGAGGACAGTACGGAGGCTGAGAGGCGCAAATGGTACGCGATAAGGTTTCATGCTCAGGTTTGAGAGGTTCATGGTCCGGTGACATGTGCGCTGAAACATTTTCTTCTACATCGTTCGAAGTGTACCCGTTATTGCACATGCGTATACGCTGTTTGATTGCAGTAGTAACATCGTGCAGGGCATCGTGGCAGAAGTGCAAAGGCATGACCAAGAATGACGCAATGGCCGCATACATCGCTTTGGTCCGGAACCTCTTCGGCTACCCGACTAACACCGACGCCATGCATCCAACAATGTCTAACGCGATCAGCCGACCGAAACTGCAGTCCGATGACGCTTCGGATGCGCACGAAAGTGAAGGCCTGTTCACACTTGTGGCGGAAAACCACGTCGGCATGGTGGATTTGCTGCTGAAAGGTAAGGCATGACATTTACGCGGTCATAGCTTGCAGCGAATCCCCATCTGGTAAATATACGTAGTCCTGAGGGGCTCACGGCGCTCCATATTGCTGCTGACAGGTAGGTAGCATGACCATATCGGCAAGGTTCATCTCACAATCTCATTGATTCATGACGCAAAATACGTTGACATGTTATATTATTGCTGCGTTGTTTTTATGTGTGAGCTGCCCGTTAGAGCCGGCGTTGCCTTGATATGTATAGCATGACCGTCCTTACATGGCCGTGATTAGAAAGCACCGGCTCATACTTTTGTAGGGGCCACCTGGAGGTTATACAGTGTCTCATAAAGCACGGTGCTGACATAGACGCGATGGACGATAATAACGACACGCCGCTGCTGGTGGCTGCGGCGGCTGGCAACCGAGCGGCGGTCACCATGCTGTTGCGCAACGGCGCTATTGAGACCCCCAGGTAAGTCAGCCATGTCCGCAATCATTAGATGATCTGCAAACTAAACGCGCCATATGTGCCGCACGGTTACATTGTTTGCAGGAAGGAGGACAAAGTCGAGGCGGAGCAAACGGTGGACGCCGCGACCTCCTGCATTGCGGCGGCGGACGCGCAACAGTAGCAACATAGCTGGACAAACTCCGGTTGTTATAATTTAGCGGATATAGACGGCCACGTCGTCTATCCCCCACGATGCCTCACAAGGGTCCGTGTCCAGGGTACTGCTGAACTCCACGGCCATGCTTCCTCCCGAGTGACGCATCGACACATCGTAATGCACCTGAACAACGGTATAACAATTCTTGTACATTTATCCCACCGATATCCGGTCAGGGTACTCCTGGCCGCAGCTGTCGATTCCATATCTGACGCAGTCGGCGTTGCTCAGGGTAGGGCACCAGTTGTGCGGCTCTGATGGTGCTGTCAGTGTTTGGTAGAATTGAACTTACGTGACCATACAACGTCCTTGTCTACCTTGAGGCTCAGTGTTTCACCTGCGAATATCGAACAAGAGTGCTAACGACCAACCGTTCCACTGGTCGAAGAAGTGGACACGCCCCGTCAGTCTGATTTCCGAGTGCTGCGGTATTCCGAAGTAGAATCGGTTCACCCGGCCTCTGGAGAGCTTGCTGCGGTGGTGAGTGAGAAGACTCATGGCATTACTAAACTCACCACGGGCCACCGAGGAAGAAGTCGACTGAACGCCCACAAGAGGAAATATGGCCTGGCATCCACGGACTTATCTTGCTGGGGTCGAACATGTCGATATTCCACAGAACCCTAACAGATATTACAGTCAGAAAATGACGTGAAACAAGGCCATTTTATCGGGTGACATGTTCGTAGGTGGAAAGTATCTGACATGCAAAACAAATTCGAGGCACGATGATAGACGAAATACAAAAACATTCACAGTTCCTCCAAATCAGGCGATCAATGTGAACACAATCTGTAGAATAGACGCGAAATTCGGTCATACAATGATTGAAATATCATTTACCATGTCTGGTGTATATGCAATATGTTAATTACTACAATGTATGCTTCGCAACATGAAGCCACCTTTAACTTACCATTGACCCACATCTCCAGATGTGACTTTATTCACAGACAGGGTGCCGTCAAACTTGAATTTGGAGAGGCATTCGAATGTGTCAGGAGTCAGTTTGAGCTGGATGTTGTTCGTCCGGAATGTGAATGCGCCATCCGTTTCGTCGATTTGCGAATACGAGTTACCGCGTTCGAACTGTATCCGTCCTACATTTAGGCTAGCCGTAGAATCTGGCAATTGATTGGCCGCGCTAAGGAACTCGAGTTGTGCCGCTGCGCAGAGCGATAGACACGCCAGCGCAAGGCGGATTCGACGAAGGTTCCAACACACAAGCATGGATGGTTATGGTCCAATATCTTTATACATGTTTGTTAGTTCCGAAGACATCTTTGACTGCAAAGAAGTCGTCGTGATTCCTAACGACGTAGCCAACGTTGTGTGTGTAGGCACCACTGGGTAGGCCACATTTGTTACACATAGTATAAGTATATATACACACATGTAGTTTTTTGCGGCTATAACCGATGTATAGCCGCCGCCTGCTCAAATACCTTGCGGCGGCGGCCTTCTGGCGCTGGCTTCCAAGGGCGATGTCGTTGCTGCACATTCGTGATGGTAAGTGCTCTTCTTTCGATCATTTCGACACATTTGGCTGGATGTGCTAATGTACAGTTCGTATTACTAATTGTTATCATCGTTTGTGGCCTAAGACGCGGTGTTAATGTTTTTAATGAACATGCAGGACCTATCGGCCTACCGAGCAACGTTAGTATCAGGGCGGAGCATCGTCATCACAAACAACGCAAGAAAACTGAAATCCCTAGCGATGTGCCGCCTGCCAAATTGAGCACCGAGGCTGTATCGGAAATCGCAACTGCGTCACATTCGATCGAGGCCATGCGGGACCAGCTGAAGGAAGAGCAGATTCAGGGGATTCACATCGACCTGCCGCAAATACCTGCGAAGTCAGTATTGCAACTCATACCGGCGTTTTTGTACAGTCTGCCGTCGAACATGATGGGCGTCAAGCGTTTTGTCGAGGACTCCACGTACGCTTTGGTCAACATGGGTAAGCTTATATCGATTGGTGTCACTGGCATGTGTTGCTTGGAAGAACAAAGCAATGCGTCCACGTTTTACACGTCCGATTGGTTTAATAATGCCTCAGGACTCCAAAGCGTGCTCGGGTCACAGGTGTTTCGGAATGTGCTCTGCACCCCTCAATCGAATGAGGCGGAAATGCTCATATGCGTGACTGACATGGTCGCCAACATATCACGGGTCATCCACACTGGCATCACAGTGCTGACCCTGAATTTCCGCAGCTTGGTGGGCGGGAAGTAGGTTTGACTGCACGAGTTTCCTCATCCATGGCAGAACTGCGGCTGACGCCCTTGTCAGGCTGAACACGATCGCCGCCAATCCGCTCAACAAAACGTTGATGTATGTTAACAGTTACTTTGTTACACATTCTACGTTCAGGAAGGTGCTGGGAACCACGGCGGTGCTTTATATCACTATGATGCGCGAGTCTGTGCCGGACGAGACCAAGGTGCTGGCCGGATCCATCATGACCGAGCTGACATCGCTTCCCATCGTATCAAACATCCCAGACACATCAAGCGGAGGTTTCGGACGCGTCAATGGTAACTTGATACGTAGAACGTGTCATTTAATGCAGTTGTGTTACCGAGGCCAAGCCGGATGCACCGCGCCGACTACGACATCGCAAAGCTGCAGGCCGGAGCCGGAGAACGAGATTTGCTAAGCTCAATCGCCTGATGCAGACAACCAATTCAACGAACATTAGCAATTCAATATTCACCAAAACTTTATGGAGTCCCTGAGGGGCTTATAGAAGGACTGATCCTCCCACTTGCTGGGAGCCCGTTTTCCAGGTCCCCTGACCTCGTGGTACCTGCGGTAGTTATCACATGGCCAACGGTGACAAACCTGTGGCGCCGATACGTGTCGAACTTCAGCAGCTTCTTCCGCGTCGCCCAGTAGCCGTGGCGGTGGTACCACTTCCACTTGCTCGGTATGAAACACCCTGACCATCGTTAACGGAAGGCAACATCGCTTACCCTTGAACTGCTTCCCCTTCCACAGCAGTATGTGGAGGCCTTCTAGCACCGTGCTTAGACCGTTAGAAGTTCGCCTATATAGCTCATCCAGTATCTGCACAGTATGAGATGTGTAAAGCGTGGCGACGACAGCTGCGCTCATAGGACACATACCGGAGTATTGCAACAGCCTTTGGGCAGTATGTGTGGCGTTATAGCCACATGCGATGTGTCTATATTCCCTTGGTGTAGTCCCTCGGGGTAAATGACCTTCTTGACGGCTGCCGCGGCTTCGCCGTAACGCCTTCGGAGCAAATGGCGCAGCGTTACTCCGCCAATACCGCCGATAAGACCGTGGAGACTCCACACATCGCCACTATGCCGAACGATGTGCGATACTGCCGACATCCTGTCGGCAATTGCACTGGAGCTTCTGTCTAGGGTGGCAATCAGCATACACCGACAACCACAAGTCACAGCGTTGGTAACAACACCCGAGTACACAAATGACACATAAGATACATAGGTTCTACAGCGTTCTAAGCCGTCATAAAGTTGTGAAATGTGCTACAGTTTTAAGAACAAGCATTAACAATTTTGGAATACATAATGCTGCGAAGACAGCATTTACAAAGTGCAGCCTCCCTGCACCTGATGGAGCATACGGCTCCCACACAAGCTTACTCATCCATTTGCTCTACTGCATCCGAGCCGTAAATGGCGTCGATGGTGTAGCGGACGAACTGCAGGTTGCAGATGCCCAGCAACTGCAGCAGTACCACGATGTCACGTTTCACGGATTCCTTTGACTGAACACAGCGTGGCGCTGTCTCCATGGTCTCTGCGATCGAATCGCGAACCCGTTCGTAGGCGTCGTGCTTCGCGAGGCAGCTGGCGAGCACCACGCGTGCCAGGGTCCGGGAGACGGCGCTGACGAAGTCGCGCAGCGCCAGTTTGTTTGCGCCGCCTGCACCACGCAAAGCCACGCTTCGAGCGATTGCGTGCACGCTTTCACCGTCCATATGTCCCGGGATGATCTGGAAGTCACGAGCGAACACCACAAAGGTTGCTGTCGAGATGGTCGCGGTTTTTTCGTCAAACCAATCTCGCGCAACCTGCTGCCTGCCGAACATCGAAATCCGGCTGTAATGCTTGAACACGCGTTGCAGAACGTCGATATCCAGCACGTTGAGCACGTGCTCCAACGCGTGGACGTTGAAGTAGCTCAAAATGTCGTGGCGCGACCTGAAGTACTGCTCCGTAGGCGTACCAGACGTCTTCTTGGCGGATTTGTTGACGCGCTGCGATCCGCTGTCAACCTTAGAATCGGTGAACTTCAGACACTTCTGGAACTCGGGCTTCGTTGTGAACAGCATCTCGTATAGAGGAATGAGGTGCTCCTTGCATAGGTGGTGGAACGCCACCAGCCTCGACGGATGTTGATTATCCCGCAGCATTTCACGATCCCCGGACTCCGCAATCGTGTAGAGCAGGTTCAGGTACCCGATTTCTCGCAAGTAGGCGCACCACAGATGTTCTGGAATAGCCCTGGGTGGAGGGGTAGACCCGTCGGTCCCACCCGACGGGAGCTCTATGGAGAACCGCTCAAACAGCCAATCGAGTTTTTGCACATTTGCCGTCAGGTAGTTGTTTAGTCTCGACTGTAACACGAAGAGCTCCATAGATGCGCGCGATACGCCTAACATCGTACGCCCATTCTCACGTGGGTGCGCCGTGCTGTAGAACATGAACAGTTCGGAGATGCTGTTCTTCAGCCTGACGCTCGACTTCAGGACCTTAGATACGGTGGTCTGGATGTCGTAGTTGTTGCACTTGCGCCAATATGCCTCCACCAGCTTGTCCACCTCGCTGTGTGCTGTGATTGGCACACAGCGACCTCGGACCAACGATGACAGTCGCGTGGTCAAAAGCTCCGGGGCTTCAGTTTGGGTACCGTGTTCAAATGCGAAACCGGGAGTGCCCCGGAAATCGGCGAGGTCCTTTCTCGTGAAGCTCTGGTAACGTTCATCCACAGCTTCCTTGAAGCGAGTAAGGCGGTCGGCGGCCGACTCCACTTCCGCACGCAGCTTTTCCACTTGCGATTCCTTGTGCCCGATGATCGAAGTCCACATGCCCAAATCGATCTCGTCGCACATCTGGTTGTTGATTTGGTCGAATTTGTCAGCCAACTCGTAGCGGTGGAGCTTTCGCAGCTCATCGCCGATGAGCCTGTAGTTCAGAATGACATCACCAAGGTTGTTGAACCTCTTCGCCGCTTCTCCCTTGTGGTCGCTCGGAGACCGGCTGCCCTTTTGGTCTGTGGCCATGTTCTCGAAACTTTTGAGCTCGCGGATGCAGTCCACGATACTGCTGGTCTTGTAGGTGAGCATCTTTTTGTACTGACTCTGGACCAGTTCTAGCAGCCTTCCGAGGCTCTGTAGCTTCAGGGACTCCACCAGCCTGATGTTGCTGGTGGCAGCAATGTTGGCCTTCTCGAGCTCCGACAGCCGGGTCAGCAGTATGCCTGTCAACTTGTCCTTAACATCGTCGGTCTCCACCATGCTGTAAAGCTCGGCGCAGCCGTCGAAATCGTTGTTGCGCACCAAGTCGGTGAAGGTCTGCACCAGGCACTCCGTGGTGCCGGCCGTGGACTCGAAGTAATGCTCGACCTCATTCACATTGCCCACGTGGGGGTGGAATGGTGAACCGAACACGGGCTTCCCATCTATTTCAACGTTAATCTTGCAAGGCACACCTCCTACGCGCAGTGCATGCGGCATTACCGAATCACCTTCGTGCAATTGAGCTGCTTTTAAGGACTCCAGTCCGTCCCTTGGAACCACGACAACGTACTTCACAGTGACCACGCCGTTCGGCCTGTTGTCGACGCTTACCACTCTCGCGTAGTTTTCGCCCCATGCCTGTATGTATGGCAACGCGTGGGTCACCACGTTGCCATGCGCGTCAGCCAGACGAATCTCAATTTCGTTCAGCAGTCCGCGCCTCTCCAGCTGTTGCAGAGCATGTTGTCGACGCTTACGCGTAGATTCAGAAGAGGTTATGTCGTCCATCCCATCCCACGGTGCGCTGGTAACAGCGGACGAACGTGTACACGATCCGACTGTGCCCGGTTCGTTGGCGAGGGTGGTCCTACCGTCGGGTAACGCTGAGCTATCTGCTCCCAAAGTGAACTCCATGGGCAACATATCGTCTTCTGATGAGTGTAAGGATGATTTTGACGGGCCGAAGCTCCTTCCACTATTTAGATTCCCTCGACTGCCTGCATCTGCAGTGCACTTGCGATTTGTATTTTGGTAGGGATTAAAGGTAGGAGCTCGCGGGGACTCTTTTATGTGGCTGTGCGTCGTAGCGGCGCTCTCTCCCGAGAAGTTGACAGACAGTGAACCGTCACTCGAGATACTCCTGCGCGCATAACCGAAGCCTCTCCCTGTCCCACTGCCAAAAACGGGAGGTGTGCCCCTCTCCACATCCCTGTAAACTTGATCGGGAGCTGATTGATGCGCATGAGCAAAGTTAGTTTCATTGCGATTTGAATTATCGGCGTACGAACTGCCGCCAGACATGAATGCAGCCTGCGGTGAGGTGTCGGATATCAAGAATTCATCCGGTGAGAAGTTACCACCCTGCCAACCGCCGGCAGATGCAGCAGACCTATTTGAGAAGTAGCCGCGCATATTCCTGTTGGAGTTGTCGCTAGGCGAAAATTCGTTCCTGCACGATGCCCCTTTTGTGGGCGCATCACAAGAAGCTGCCCTAGTCGCATTCCGCTTAGCCCTAACATGCTCCCTTGACATTGCGTTGCACGGGGACATGTTGGGGAAAATTGCGCGCATGATCTCGGGAACGTACGGTATTGCGCAGCACGTCCCTACATTGCGGCCATACACGCGACATGCCGCTGTGGACGGAGCACCCTCGGAGATGTAGATTCGGAATGGAGATCCGGGGAGCGGGTTGCCATCCAGCTTCACGTGCAACGAATAGGTTCCTTTGCGCGTCACCCGGTACCTGACGTTGAAGGTGCAGCGATCGACCACGCAAACGTCCCATGTGAAAATGTGTTCCAAAGCATCCGCCACCGAGTTGTTGACCAAAGTGTTATTATGACACGATGGCGCATTGTGCAGCATGTCCCGCTCATCGTGATTGCTCGTTAGGAACACAGACGACCTGAAGAATGCATCATCTGCATACTCCAGGTTAAGCCTCAATACGCCACGGGTAACGCTCTCGGTTTTTCGAACGACGAACTTGAGCCACTTGCCACACTCACCACCGTATATCCCATCCCCGTCGACGTAGGTGGTGCTGGGTTGCGCGATTACATGATCGGCTGCAGACACGTTCCGACTATGCGCTGCGGCAGAGCCGTCTGCTCGGTGTACAGCGCAGCCAATCATTTATATAAGGTTATGAAAAGATGCATACAGGGATATATCAGCGCCTGAATCTCATTGCATAGACGCGAATGTCACATGTCGAACAAATGCAAAGCCTACGAGGTCACATCGACTCCTCAACCTGAAACAATGAGTTGCATACCAAACACATCACCACATTTCGGCTGTAATAGCCCAGTATTTATCTCCGATGATGTGTGTAACAGCCGTTGGTGATTAAAATCCTTGCTAAAAACCGGCGGGAAGCAGAGAGTCTTGATGTCTATACGGAGTCACATATAGACATGTTCACATCATTCATTGCGATGTGTACAATTAGAAGCCATGCCTAAAATATAATGTGTACCGGCCATACACTACGGTTATTCGCCGGCTTCTAGAAGGCCCGCAGAGGCTGCTTGAAGGCCACGCGCGGCGATGCACAACCTTGCATAGAGTAGTACGGATAAAAGACAAATTGAACTACTTTTCGTAATAACCTCTAATATACAATAGCGTGTGTTGTGTATTTCGGTAGGCTTATGTGTGTTGTAATTTAAGCTGAAAACCCGGAGCTTGGCCAACACGGGTCATCATGGACCCAGAGCTATACCGAAAAATTATACTCCGCCAACACACCTAAAGGTCATACGATCACATTAATACTTCCAATCACGATAAGATTATGCGACGCAATGTAATGTTGGTGGCAGCACATTTGGCATCCGACCACCGTTGATGGGTCCACTGCCTGTTGGCGGCAGGAATCTCACAAAAAGATTTTAGTCCCCATGACCTCTTATAAATCGCATTTTTAATTTTAATACTGATAATTACAGTATTTATTTGGCGTCCCGAGGTCGACGCCATTTACCATTCATTTTGTTGCCGCCGTTCCTAACGCCAGCTATAAGGGAGAATGGCGCGCAAAACGGCCAAAAAGGCCTCTACCAAAAAATTCAAGGGCAATGAGGCTTTCATACCGCTAGCTGCGGTCTCCGAAAGTTAGTTATGGGCCTCTTTGCTTAAATCTGTGGCAGATGACGACAGCGACGCCGCCGAGTTCGAGGCCATGGCGCTTCCACGGGATTTACCTGACGACGATTCAGAGGATGAACTTGATGACGATGAAGAAGACGACGAAGGTGATGATGACGACGACGAAGATGAGGATGATGGAGACGAAGATGAGTACGGTGATGACAGCGATGACGGTAGTGATGATGAGGAGGAAGGTACCGGAAAGAAGAAGGGAGCTGCCTGGGGCAAGAAGTTGGGAACATACTACGATGAGGGCTCCGAGGAATCGTCTGATGACGAGGACATTAATGATCGCATAGCCGAGGCCGAGCGTATAGCCAGGGATTTGTATGATGGCGTCGATGATGAAGATGCTGAACTGGAGGACATGGTCGAGGCAGAAGATGAGGTGGACACGGAAACTACAGCACTGGATTCTATCCTGGAGGATCTGTCGGCTTCCCTCCGCAACCAGAGTTCATTGGTGGAGCTGCCTCCGGATTTCTATCAGCTGAGTGACGCGGATAAGCGGAAGTACCTGGAAGACGAACACCCGGAGTTCATGGCACTTCTCAAGGAGTTTAAGGAAAAGGCTGAGGTGACTAACGAGCAGGTGCTGAAAATAGTGAATGACATGGGAGTGTCGAAGAAGTGCACGAAGGATGGCATGGAGTATTTGGATGTGCGTAACGAACTCATGTTGATGTATGTCACCTATCTGAGCTACTACTTGCTGCTCAAAACTCACGGTGTACCTGTGGAAAACCACCCGGTGATCAACAGGCTGCTTGAGATTCGCATCATGCTGGACAAGGCACGACCCATCGAATCGCGGTTGCAGTTTGAGATAAACAAGTTGCTGGATGACAATGTGGCGAAGGGTTTGTTGTTGTGTTCACCCAAATTCTCATTAAATGCAGCTGAAGGGAAGGCCCTCAGACCGCGCTTGGATCTCATGGAATTCGACGAGCGGGAGCAGAGTGGCATATACAAGCCCCCTGCACAGCTTCCACTCGCCGAAACGGACTCTTATGTGAGTGCAACGTGCGCATCTTTGACATCTTCACAGGCAAAACACCAGAAGAAATTGCAACGTAAGGAGAAGGTGGTTAGTGGCAAGCGGATGTTGGACGAGGCGCGTGATATGCAAGAAGACGATGAAGATGAGCCTACGGATCGTTACAGCAGCGCCAAGGCTGCCAAGATGGTCAAAGCGCTGCTTGAACGTGAACGCTACGAAATGGAACAGATGCGGCGTCTGCCGATGAACAAGATGGCGAAGAAGGAACTTCGTGAGTTCCAGAAACACCAACGCAACAAACAGGGCGGAATCATGTTGGACGAGCTCAGCAGCTTTGCGGCCGAGGCGATGTCTTCTGGGCAGACTAAGCGTGACGTGCTAGTTGGAATGAACGCTGCCGCACAGATCATGCGGCAGGATATCTTGGAAACCGAGAAGCTGCGTGCGTCGGATGCATACTTCAAACCACAGTTAGTTTACCTGCAGTCTGTAATCACCCGAATTCAGCGTCGCCAAAAAATCGAGCAAGCCTAAAGCAGGATTCGCGCCGATGACTGAAGCACCCGCTCCCAGAAAATCCGAATTCGACGACGAATTCTCAAAGATGAAGCGGCACCAAACCGAACTCAAGGAGTCGCTGAAGGAACGCAAGTCGGAGGTCAAGAAGCGCAAGTTCGAGCGTGAAGAGGTTGGAGGCAAGCGTGGTATGTTGCGTTGTTGCTTCGATAAGCATGTATTAGGTGCCGGAGCTGATATCCTGCGCAACAAGGGTCTGACGCGTCAGCGCAAGAAGACTGCGGGTAACGCGCGTGTTTCCAACCGCATGAAGTACGAGAAGAAGAAGGCGGTACACAGCTCTAAGGTCAGCGGGACCAAGACGGAGACGCCAGGATACTCCGGTGAGACAACGGGTATCAACGCAAAGAAGAAGAAGTCCGTCACCTTCTAAGCGTAATACGCGCTTGACAAACCAGATAACGTTACACCGTTTACCATCCTGATGTGTTCACTAAACGTGGTATGGGCGGCAGAGGGGTTTGCAGTGAAACATGCGCAAATAGTATTACACATCCGACTCCCAAAACCGTAAAACTATGTGTCTACACATTCAACTGTTGAGTAACCTATTTGCGGTTAAAGGTGTATTAGATGCAATACCATGTTACCGATGTGGTAAAAGGACTGATGTGTAACTCGTGGAGGTACAGTGTGGTCTTAGCACTAAATCCTAAAATGAAGACGCCATGCAACAGCACAGTCACTGCTACTTACAGATATGTTCAAAAGATGTTATATGATGCTATGTCAACAAAATGTTGACATAGCGGCGGCGATGTGTAACTTCGGTAAACTGTACGTCTGATACTTCTACTATCGCAACTACCGCCCTTAGACGACGATATAGTTGGACTCGGAGCTTCTAGCTCGAATTCCGACTCTATTTTGCAGAGATGTCACTGCAATTCTTACGCGAGTTCAACAAGAACGTGAAGGAATCCCTCTCCATCCTGAACGAGGGGTTCGAAATTACCAATGGCGTAGCGGAGCTCAGCAACGTACACCTGCCGTACATTCAGCTGTTTAAACGACCAGAAGGTCTAGATGGCACTCCAATTTGCTGTATATTTGGACCCGTAGGTTATGTGCGAACATCAGTAGACCAGCATGTGTCGGAAGCTTCGTCAGTGTCACGGGTTGCGCAACCCACATCGGCGGCTGCTACAGCGTCAGATGTAAAGGAGGCGCCTAGTGCGTCATCCACAGAAACAGCTTCAAACGCAGGTGGCGATGACGCTGGTGAACCGTCTTCACTTCAGGTTGAGGTGGAGCAATCAAGATGTGCACTAGGCGACGGGTGCATTTTGAAACGGGTTGACGCTGCGAGATTCCAGAATTCCATTACGTCTGTTATAGAGATCCTCAAGAGTGTCGAAAATGTTCTATCAAGTACGTCTGTGGCCACTAGGCGTCTGTTGGAAAATCAGGTGATTCCGGCATTATGCAACCTGCTGGAGGTCTCAGAAGTTGCAAGGCTATTCCACCGCCCGAACCCCCTGCTTTCGAAGAAGTTTGGAAATACGGAAACCGTGCATGTGGAACTTCTCGGCATTGTGTCTATAGTACTCAGGTTGATGGATCAGATCCTGGTGTACCCTGAGAGCCTTACAAAGTTGAAAGGCCGCAATGTATTCGAGGCTGACATATCGCCGAGTTTGCAGTGCAATTCTACGGATGTGATGGCACGGGTGGTTGCGAAACTTGCAGGGGATATAGGGGCTGTCGATACCGGGTCTAAGAACTTTGATCATTATGACTGCCCATGTGAATACGAATATTTCGGAAAAGTCGCAATCGTATCCATCACAGATGCCGAACGTGACGCTTTGAAACACCTGCTGGCGCTTCTGAACACAGTAACCATCGCATCGCAGTTCGGAAGGAACATCCTTACAGCAGCAGAAATGTGCATTGACGGACATGGAATGTTAGAACGAGATGTTGTGACATACTCACTGAGCATTGTGGAAAAGCTGTACACGCACAACGATTTTGCCTGGCACCTCCATCAGGCAGATGACAAGTACTTGTACACCTTGGATATACTCGATGCATGCTACGTAAATTGGCAACTAGCATACAAGGGAGTATGCTTCTCCTGTGAACATCCACTAGGTATAGTTGAGATACCAGAATCTATACCTAGTTCTCCGCACGGTACCATTTGCAACTGCGTAATATCCCGCAGCGATCACGCGGCACCCAACCGACATCTTATTGAGAAGGAGCTTGTTGATTCTGAGGTCAATCCTAGTAGACTCATGCGATTAGCGAAGGAATCTGGGGATATGACACTACGAACAAGAGTGACGGGTATTCTGCTGCAGTGGATGTTGAATTCTGCTTCATTCCAGGATCACTTCGTAGCAGAGGGGTGCATAAGCTTGCTGCTGGAAGTGCTTAATGGGTGCTACGTCGATCAGTTTGGACTTCTCAACGACTCGCTTGCCGAAATACCCGCCGAGCTGTCAAAAAAGCAAGCGGCAGCATTGGAGAGTGAACTCGCCATCGGGATGTCGTTCGTGCCGTGCAGCATCGAATGTATCCTCATGCTACGTCATTGTTTAAAGTTAGGACGTCTTGGGGATACGCATATACGTCCCATAATTAAATTTGTAACGCAGTTAGCATCGACCTTACTAAAGACCTGGATATTCTACTACTGCACAAAGCGCGGCTGCGCCCGTGATGGAGAAAGCAGCATATTGAGACAAATTTTGTGCATTGTGATGGACGTGTGCTGCGCATTAGTAAGACCTCGTATGGTTGATATGGGTACAACATTATCGCAAACTCCGCAGAACGCGGGTAACCCCAACCACGCGTTGTCGGCTGTGAGGCACTTAAGGGACTGCGCAAGATCAACGCATGTACAACATTTCGCTGAGCTTATCGATACCGGTATAGCTGAGGAGGTTATGTACGCACTGTATGTACTTTGCAATCGCACAAGGTTTGGTTATGAAGCCCCGGAACACGTTGTGGACCAGCTGATGAGATTCATATCCACTCTGGAAATCGCATCACGGAGCAACACAGAAGTTGCCGATCTGCTCATGAGTAGGATGCAGATGCCAGCTGGTGACCGAATGCCCGCCGTTTACGCCCATGTTATAGACGACATACAAACGCGGGATGTCGAAAACCTCAAACTCACGCCGATAGTCTCACAAATACAAGCACGGTTGAGCAGGTTCCGCATGGAGATATTCGGCGAGATTGCTGAGACGCCTGTTCTGGTGCTGTTATTGCTGTGCCTATTCGACAGCGACGTTGCGGCGTCTTTCAAGGCGCCGTTGTGGGGGTGCGCACTAAGGTTAGTGATCGCCTCAACGATATTTGAAAAAAACGAAATGGCTGCGGATATATTCGACTACGTTAGGGATCTATACCGAGACAGTTTTACCATCCTGGATAACTCAACAGACACCACGGATAAACAGTCATATCTACGCCACCTAGCCAGCATGCTAGACATGTCTCTCATTTTGGTCGACTGCGGAGTTGATGACGCATCGAGAGTGAGTTGCTTGTATCAGTTTGTTATACATATTTTAACAGGGTAAGCTACTAGGTGATGATCCGTGGAATGTCGGCATGGCCGTTTTGGCCGTCTCCATCAAGCTGTTAAAGGTAGATTCTGTGTGACGCAAAGACATACTTTTTCAGCTGCAAAAAACAGATTATAATATCACATTGACAGTGAAAGCACTGTCTTACCTCGCGTCATACCTTTCTATGCGTCGCCATTGCGCTGAGCCTGAGGATGTCGACAGCTCGCCAATAATAGGTAAGCTTGATGCATCACGAGCGCTATTCATCTGCAGAGTGTATGACGTTATACAAGGAAGATACGCAATGCGCAACTATAACACAACTTGCTGCACTAGTTCTCTCTCTCTTGAAAGCCAGAGGAGTAACGCTACTCGATGACAAGGCTACGCTTCAAACTATTGTCACGATGTCTGAAAGTCTAATCGAACTCCATCGCAATAAACAACAGATTCAAGCTCTCAGGCTAATGACAGGCCTGCAACCATGTCGCCGTATAGACTGCATTCTACAGCCCTACGAGGATATGCTGGAGGTGTTTTTATCAGAGACGAACAGCATATGCGAGAGCGACGCACTAGGTGTAGTTGTTTGGAATCGCACAGGACTCTGCGAACTCGAACTCTCTCCCAGAGTGCATTATTTGATCGAACGGTTCAGGTGGACTTTGCACATTCATGTCATTGGAAGAATGGTGGACACCCTGAGGGATTACACTCTAATTCACGTGGACGATGCGAAACGGATCAGCTCCAAAACCGCTGAAGAAGTACAGCGCATGAGTTATATCCACGCGGAAGAAATCGCGTTTGCGCAGGAACGAATCTCGAAGCTTAATAAGCAGGTAGAGGTCATGGCGAAATCCTTTTACAAGGCAGAAGAGGTGGCAGCGGTTAGTTGAGGATAGCAACATACGTAATTGTACTTCAGGGCTATAAAAAGGAATTGGAGGAAATGAGAAAGGAAAATAAACGGTTGCGCAAGCGGCTGAAAAACTCTGGTCATCCTAAGGCTGCGGATTAGTTGCGTGCTGTCCATAATCTAAATAATGGCTAATGATAATGGGAGAAACACGCACAATGTTGAAAATGTCGACCATCCATGTGACTCGACCATTGTACTCCGAGTGTATGGTGGTGATTATGGTTTTCATAAACCCTGTTTACACCCGTATACAAATACTGTTTGCTTAAGTAGGACGTTAAGATCGTCACTTGCTGGGCAAGAGCCTTATGCTGCGTGACCACGCCCAGCGTTAGCTTCGTCACGGTGACTTGGCCTTTGCTTAATAATTAGGTGCTTGTTTACTTGTTGGATTCTTGTTGGTATGCGTTGCATTTCACTCTCCTGTGTATGATTTATGTAGCTGCGTTTTTAAAGTTTTCATTACTTAAAAATTATATGGTGACCAGTAACATTTAATTGGGTCAATTTCCATGTATGAAAAAAATACTACATTAAAAGGACACATTATGCGATGTTAAAATACTACGTTTGTTACGTGAAGCTACATTAGTCCCTTGAACGGGAAGGCGGAGTATACATCGGTGTCAATATCTTCGGGAATCCTTCCACCGGCGAGATTCGTGGATGCGCCGGAACATTTGGGCGAGTCAGCAAATGAAGCACGTAGCTCATAGTACACCTTTCGGAATGGACCAGGATACATACGACAGATGAAAACAATGGCCACTGATACTAGAAGTATGGGGACTCCTATATAGCATCCCCGCATAAATTTGTCTTGGGGACACAGTGTTCCGCAGTTTGTGCACTTGGAGCGGCATTTGCTGCCGAGGTAAAATAATTCGAGCTTTTCGCAGCCTTTTACTGGGCATGTACTAGCTTCTTTGGCGTGTTCGCAGTAATATGTGCCTGCATCATGTTCTTTGCCTTCGCCGTCAGGATGGCTTTTGCAATTCTTGTCGTGTTCGTTGACGCCGTCGCATTTTCCCTCCCCCTGGCATTTAGTGCCAGGATTACACCAGCGACAGCAGCTACACATCGCTCCATTGCATCCACAGTTACAGAGGCCACATATACAATCGCCGTACGTTGATTCTTTGCATTTTTCCTTGCAATCCTGGCACTTTCCGTTTACCTCGTAGCACAGCTTGCCCTCCTCAAAAGCCTTCTCACATCCACACTTACACAGGGTGCATTTACACTTCTCGCCCTTTCTGCAGTTATCCCGGCAGCGCGGGCAACCGTGCTTACTGCACTCTTTGCCTCTGATTTTTCCGTCCTGACATCCACAGTGACAAATAGCACATTGACATGTGTCGTTTTGAGTGCACTTCTTTTTTATGCAGCGTTGACAGTTTTCGGGGCAGCAGCTATTCCACCCTATTGAATAAAACGGTTTATTACATCCTCTACACTCATTCTTCTCTTTTGTCTCCGCCATCCTTCCCTTTTACTCCGTTAACAGAGCCCTGAACTTCATTGAATATCCCACTGCGACCGGAAGATCGCAGCCTCTAGCAGGACGAGGGGTACGTCACTGAGAAACATACGCTGAACAGCGACAACGCACCCAGATGGTGGGTAGCAGCTGGGAGATTCCTCACCTTCTTTACAAGACCCAAGATGTATAGTAAGTTCTTCCTTACCAGTGATTGCCACCTATTATTGTACGGAAAATAAAACGCTTCTCAGGATAATATGTTGATGCGTGGCGCACCTAGTGATATTGGGCCCAGAACACACTGCTTCCCACACAATACAAATCACTTATTTATTCCACACAATAGTTAATGTCATGTTGTGTTTCAATGTTAAACCGAAATCGTAGCTTCCGCTGCGCAAGCTCCCAGTCCAAACGCGGGGTGTAGGAGGTGCCGATTGCATGACTGAAATATCAGCGGAGTTACTCCATTGAATCCTTTAACTTTAGCATCGCAGGGTTGCGAATTAATCACACTTATCTGCTGTTGCTGCGTTAGGCAATGTGCGATGGCCTTCCTAGGAAACACAATAAATATTTTCCCCGCTGCACTTAATGTTCACCAGCAATTGCGGAGCTTCGTTCTACAACTACATTTTCATTATAAAATGCATCATATTTAACTCGTGTTGTGATTGATTTCTCGTGACGATGTAGATTTTTATTCTTTGATTTGCAAGCAATTATTTTACCTCAAGTCACCAACTGCTTCTCTGTGTTACAAACGCCACAGGCCAGATGAGGAATGCTATAGATCAATGCTACAAACCAATACTCAAACGACAACTAGTTCTCCTAGGGCGTGTCGTAAATGTCGATATTCATAGACCTGCAATCAAGTTTTTGTATCCGAATGCGATGGTCGCAAGTGATATATTGTTACAACGCCTTCACGAAAGCGTCGCCCTTTTCCACTCTAGAGAATCCGGAAACATACGTATTTTATTGTTTTCAGAGATTAAACTCATCATTGCCATGTACCAAATTGCGTTGCAGCACAAGGAAGCGGTGGTTATGCTTGAACTTATGTTTACTGCAGACTACCACATTAGTTATTAGAAAGCATTCACCCATTATTTCATCATTACACCATGACATATAATTACCGGTGCCGTATACTATGGCCCATGGTTTATTTTTCCATCGCTGGGCGAATCCCAATGGCGATGCGTTCTTAGTCCAGCCGATACAAGCAATGAATTATTGCTCTCATGTAATTCTGCCAACCGATTGTATTAGAGAGATGATTGCATGGGTACAAGAAATACTTGGAGATGTGAGGTGAGTGAATTCAGAGGCACTGGAATTCGATCATTGTGTTGTCACCACCCACCATCGATGTAACATTAAGCACGGTGGTAATTTTGCCAGACAACCCATGTAAATGCAACCTTGTGCTCGCAAATAACGCCAGTGTGGTGAGACATGAGTACCAAGGGTGAGATGCATCCGACAAGTGAAGACCTTATCATGCGGATGAACGACGTACCAGGAAAGTGTGGAGTGTGGCAAGTGCATTAGGCTAACGTTGGCTGCAATGACAATTTTATGTTATGATTAAATAATGCAGGTGCAGGAATGACGTTGTCATGCGCTATTATAAACTATGAAGATGAACCTCTGTTGAATACCTTCTACTGATGCGTGGTCAGGTCGAGGTGTGGAAGCTTATCCCCTATGCGAACATCAATGCGGCAAGATCCAGATTGACATGGATTGCGTTAGACGTTATTAATGGATTTAAGTGTTGAAGATGAGTGGCCTTTGTCCTTTGAGCGAATTACCTGAACAGGTTGCATGTTCGCCCGAAATAGCCAATAGATAGGCGCTCATTCCACTTTAATAATCTCTCGGCCTCACCCACCACACAGATTTACCGTCTCCATGTAATATTAATACGATCCGGGACGTAGCCTTCGAATCCACAACCCGTTTATGCCTGCGTCCAACGATTACAGTGCTGATGTGATCGTAAGTTTAATGATGCGAACTGCGAAAAGTATTATGTATACACAAGATTTCTAAACGTCTAGAATACAGATTCGCTAAAATGAAACTCAAGTCCAAATGACCTCACTGGGGTCCGACTTAACCGGTGTCTATTATAAAAAGCGCACTAGTGATTCCTTAGGCGGCAAAACCCCGTCACCTTCGACACCACCCTCAGAGCTTTTAAAAAGAAAAATTCGATGACCCAGAAGCCCGCCACACTATTAAATTGTCAGCTCATTACAGCCAACTAGCGCCAGTAGAAGCTCTGCTTCAGCACGTCGATAGGTGAGCGTGTACCGGTGGCCTTTACAGCACTTGACAACTGCTGTATCACCTAGTTCTACTAAGCATTAATTAGCCATCGACTGGTGCCTAGTTTGCAGGGATCTTCACGAGCCGAAGCATCAACCACACCGGACGAGATCCAAAATATAAAATACTCTGGTTACCGATACTCTTAGCATTCTTAAACAGTTATAATGTACAAAAGCTGTTAAACTTTCAAAACCCACGTATGATAAACATTTCTTGAGCTACAACAGAAATTTCGATAACTCACTTTTTTACTGATCCTTGGTCTTGCGCACTCTTTTTAGCGGCCTCATTTGCAACTTTAACTGCTCCTATGTCCGTTTCATACGTGAAAAACATCACAATATAGCAAATAATATTTAGCAACGTTCCCGCCAAAATAATGTACATCATTGACTTCCTTAAAGCTTCTGCATTTGTTTCTTTAACAGCTGCATCCATGCTTTCAAACGACTCCCTAGACGGGACGTATCCAAACACCTTCTCGGTCAAATATGCAGAAATCTGGTAGAGAATTATGCTACTTGAAATGCCTGATATAGTGCGAATGATGGCAGATGCTGTTGCCTGCAAATCATCTTCGATGGCATCCTTCATGATGGCCCTATCTACACCTCCAATCGTTACTAATGTCCCCCCAAGCGTTGCCAACTCTACATAATGATACCAAAGCAACTTCCCACATGGTGGCCTCCCCAAGAAGAATAATATACACACGATTAGTCGGACGACCATCACTGCGATTCCAGAACCAAGTTCAACATATCCTTTTGAGCTGTGTTTCGCAATTCTCTTTATAATTTCTCCTCCAGCTCCGCTTCCAGCTGCGCCTCCAATCAACGTAATTGCAATCGCAACTCCTGCCATTGTGTCAGATACTCCCAAATATTGAAGGTATATGGTCATGTAATTAAACGCACACATAGGAGCTTCTGCGATGAAAATCGTAAATATTAATACCCACGTTGTTGCCCTATTAAGAACTTCTGTAAAGGCCCTTGCTATGCGATTCACAAATTCCCCATCACGTTTAACAGCTTCATCATCGCACTTCTTTTGCATTCCAAACACTATCCCAACACCAAACAATATCCACACGTACCCCAACACAACGTATGACGTACGCCAGCCATAATATCCCAATAATACTTTCTTCGCAATGAGCGTAGTTATAACAGCGCATAACAGGCGTCCGATGCAGTTTAGAGCCTGGAAAATCGTGAACATACCACTAGCTTTTTTTGATTCCGGCAACTCCTCAGAATCAGTTGATCCTTCTTGTCCAGTTGATCCTTGTGGTCCAGATGCTCCCTTTCGTTTCTTTGCATCCTCTAAACCAGTTGAATCCGATACAATCTTTTGTTGCACGGGATAGACACAAGCGAACCCAAAACCGTGTAGGAAACGCAAGAAAAGAATCTGTGGAGGCATTACTAGTGCAACAATTCCAACTTACCGATCTGTACTGTGATGCAGAACTCAGAACAATCGAAGCCATGCCCATGACTAATAATCCACCTCCAAGAACATACTTCGATTCATGGGCATCTGCAAGCAATCCCCAAATTATGCAGCAACCCATGCGGGACATAGTAGACACAGTTGCCAAGGTAGACAACTGAGACTGAGAAAAACCCAAGGTCAACTCGAAAGCCCTCATACACATGGACAACACCTGCTGATCGTAGCCTTCGAAAAATGAGGCCATATAGAATAATGCTTGTCCGAACCACTTATACCCACGTTTTTCTTCCGCATTATCGCCTGCGTCTACTGGAGATTTCCCCGACATTTTGTTGTATTAGTATACTTGTTATTATCTCCAAATGGCCTTTGTACAAACTGTTATCGGCAGCTCATAACATATGCATCAGACGAGAAAGATCCGAATTAGGTATAATAAATGGTACCACACTTCATGGCTTCTGTTGCGATACTACCGCATTGAATGAATGTAGACAAAATAAATCACATGTGCACAATAATAGATGCATAAAACACGACGGGACTATCAAGCGCAATGCGTTTCACCCCAGAACAACGGACTGAGTCTGTCAGAGGAATCAGATAAACGAAGGCAAAACGGATGTTTATCATGTATAAGTAAAATGTAGTTAACTATATTTACGAATTATTCATGTCTAAAAGATATATGAGGCGCACGACCTAACGCTAGACAACTGCCTTCGAAGTGTCGATAGAAATTTACGTTACGCCAGCCACTTTATTCTGATGTGATTCTAGTTGTCTGGTGTGGTATAAGTGACTACGTTGCGATTGGGTTTGTTTTCGCGTTTACCGGGCAAACGCCTTACGCTGATGGTGTGGATTGCGGGGTCCACGTCCTGTTGTCGAGCGCTACAGGTACCATCCATGATGGCACCTATCCTGTCTGGTCTCGGTGGTCATTAAGTCATCATATCGTCTGTGTTTGATGTCCCTTATCACATGATAACACGTCGAATCACTATTTGTTGAAAGATATCCCAACCAGATTCTTCGCCAGGTTTTCATAAATAATCCTCTTGTATGTCTAACACTCGACCAACCTATCTAGGTTGGTAACCCCAATTTCGATAATGGTGATCGTTTCTTCAATAATCTATTTTACTGAACGGGCGATTCGGGTCGATATTGTCGAAATAGCTTATATCCATGGGTGTGACGCCAATGTAGTAGCTTAACAGGCTGAGTGCGTCCAGTGGATTGCCAGCACCAAGGTTGTGCTGAATATACTTGTCAAGAAGTAGATGAAACCTCATTTAGATGTAGTAAAAATCTGTTGTATGTAAATTTGTAGATGAATGTTTGACGTAAACTCTTTTCAACAAATGTTAATGCGTAGGTACCGGTGAGAGTAGCGATGAAGAAATGTTTATCACTCAAAGTTAATTCCCATGAATATGGTAAATCCATACAACCATATGCAAACATCATCAGCATGGCGATTCTCTTGGCTTGGAGGATAATTGGGGTAGCGATACAAGCATTTGGCAATTGTCATTTATGTACCAACGCCCAGGATTATCGTATGCTAGGAGAAACGTTTGAAATGTTCGTAGATATTTTATTCTAATAAACAAATAAATGACTTTCTACTTGAGTTTTCAACTGATCGACCAGCTTACTCATAAGAAACTATATAAAGGTTTGTTTAGGCACACTCGCAGCGAAATTGACCGCACAGATTATTACTTTTTGGTGTAGATTATGAACCCGCTAACATATATTAGTACAAAACAATTCGCTTATTAATGTATCAGGCAAATTCTAGGATATATTTCCTGTGTTTTTGTGTGGCGTCCTACGTAGTGACACATAACCCACTAACCAACTGGTACCAGAGGCTTCAGCGACATAGATATGCATGTCATGATTACACCTATTAGAGATTGAGCGGCGAATTTTAATTTATAGTGCGATTATTCGTCATCTGCTTCGTCTCCTTCCTTTTCGTCTTCCTCTTCATCGTCGTTTTTGCTCTGACTTGCGTTTTCCTCCCCCTCTTCTTCCTCTTGGTGCTCGGAGGCTTCGTGTTCTTCTTCATCACGAGCCTCATTGTCATCGTCCTCATCCCCCTTTGTGGAAGTGGATTTGCTGGACTGTACATCGCCTTGTTCGTCATAAGCCGATGCAGCCCCTTCGTCTGAATCTATGCCGGAACAGTAAGGGATAGCACTTTCATCTATCAGGGGCTTGGCGGTGGCAACTGCGACTGCCTTCCCGTCTACGGTGGGTGATGCGATAGGTTCTACCTTGCTTACAACATCCTGTGGTATAGCGGGCGTTACAGGTTGAGTTGCCGTAGAGTCAGGCTTCATATTTGATTTATTTGCCTCTGCCTTGTTGGCGCCAGCATTTGCGGCATCGGCATTTACTAGTGCTTTATCCGCTTTGGCTTCTTTGTCGGCTGGCTTGCTGGCGGTAGTTGCGGTCTCGGTGTTATTTGTAGAATCTTTGCCACTTTCATGATCCTCCATATCACCCGAATTTTCGCCTGCTTTATGGGATTCGGATTCATCTTGCTCCTCCTTTTCAGTATGTTTTGCATCATCGTCGTCTTCATCTTCATCATCCGCTTCCTCTTTATCATCGTCCCGACTTTTCGTATCTGCAGATTCTTCATCTACGTCCATCTTGGCCTTTGACGAATCAGAGTTTGCGTCTTCGGCCGACGAGCTGCTGCTTTCTGGATGCGATTCGTTTTTCTGCTTAGATGACTCCGAGTCCTCTTCGTTTGCAGAGGCATCCTTCACGTCATCCTCATCGTCTTCAGCGTCAAAATCTTCATCATCATGCTCACCGTGCTCTCCGTCGTGCTCCTGCGTCTCATCATTAACCTTACCGTCATGCTTGTCTTCCTCATCATCATACTCACCTTGCATTTCATCATCCACTATCGGAGTTTTATGATTGGCATCCATTCTTTCAGTGTGTTGGTGATGCTCTTCGTCGGCGGTGATGTGTTCGCCCTTGGAATCCTCTGAGTTTAGTGCATCTGCAGCACTGGATTCGTTAGGGTGTGACGCATCAGCAGCATTGTTTTCTTCAGCAGAATCCGTAGACTGTTGAGCAGATGGCTCCGTTCCAGCATGTTCACTTTCCTCCGTATGTTCACTGCTTTCATCGCTATCAACGGCCGACCCCTCCATCGCGTGAGCATCATCAGCTGTTTCCTCCGACGGTTTCGACACGTTTAATTCTGTTGTTGCAGACGCATCCTCTGAGTTGTGGGTGCGGATATCCATGTCCTTGTGGTGAGTAGCCAGTGGTGCAGTTTCCATGGACTGCTCTGCATCATTGCTGTGCGCCGCTGGGCGAACCCTGCAAGCAACGCCTGTATGCTTATCCACACGGATGTCCCCGGCTGAAATGTACTCGTTTGACGTGACAGCATCGGTATGGTCCGCATGTGTAGCATTTATGGGATGTTGCTTATCAGCGGCACCCTGGGTCCCCGAATGCTGCTCTTCTACGCCTTGAACGATAGTTCCGTCCTTTTGATGATTTCCGACAGGAGCTAGCTTGCATACGGGGACATTGTGGTTATTGGAATCCTTGTTTTCACTAACGTCATCCCCTTCATCTTCCTCATCGTATTCATCTTCATCCCCCTCTTCGTCGTCGTAGTCGTCCTTAAAGTACTCCTCGTCGTCATCCCCCTCAAACTCTTCATCCTCATATTTGGATGAAGAATGCGAATTTTCGTGACCATTGCCGGCTTCTTCGGCTTTAGATTTGTGCTGTGAGTCCCCGCCGTGTTCAACATTTTCATGTTTGGCATCCTCGTGGTTTCCCGTTTCATCCTTTGCGATTTCGTGTGATCCATTCGCTTGTGCTGGAGTTTTGTGAGGATGAACTGGAACTGTGGCGATTGCTGCATATTGTTAGCGAATTTGAAAGGGTTCCCAACCTGCATGAGACGGCTCGTAGAGGAAGTTGCGACTCTCCAGAAAGTCAGGTATGTCTGCCGCCAGGAAGGAAGGGAACAATGGGATTCCGCCGGATTCATCTACTACAATTCCCTTGCGACCGCCTGGGCAGTTGTGTGTTTCACAAAAACTCGCGTGGTGCTTCGAATGGCCATGGTGCGCGGCTTCATGGTGTCCAGAGTGCTCGTGGGCGCCGCCACTGTGGCTGTGGTGGTTCGTTGGATGAGCATGGTTATGTGCTTTGTGCCCTTCTTTGCCATGTTCGTGTATCACATGGTGTCGTGTACCATGCTCGTGCCCCGTACTTTCAACGTGGTGCGAATGTCCATGGCCTTCACTGCCATGGTGCGATCCATGATGCTGGGTATGCCCTCTGTCTGCAACGTGATTATGTTCCTTGTGCGGATTATTGGCCTGAGCAGTATATAGGTTCACAAAAACAATCAAACCTCAAGCTCTCCCAAGAAGCCGTACGTCGGATTGCTCTTTGCTCCCAGTAGCGACAGCGTGGCACTGCCATAGCCGTCAACTCTGTAGATGTGGTGCACCACAGTGAGGCACCAGAAGTGTAGTATAGTTAGTCTCACCCCCATGCTTGCCTGCACAACACGTGAGCACATTCAACCGTATCCCTGGCGCATGTAAGGATTCAGCCACTAAACCACTCGGACAGGATAATAACGACAATTAGACCGTCAGTATGCTGACCGACGATGTATATAGATGTAATGCAATGAACGAAGTCAACGATAAAACGTTATCCACAGTGGTAACATCCGTTAACTAGCACACAGAAGGCAAGTGTATCACCATTTTATGGAAGAAGAATCTCACACACAACCACACACATGACTTTCCCTAAATCCTATATACATTTCGAATGTATTGATGACGGAATATAGGGGAGATAAGTGCATTTTCAAGATTGGCGGTGTGTACACATCAACGAAGCTTCGCTTCACGACACTTCATGGAATGCTGAATATAGCCACAATACGTATACACATTGACATTATGTATGAAGACTTACCGTTTCAGCTTCTTATTCCGTTTAGGGAGTTTAGTGTGTGCTGTGATGTCGTTCGGAACGACATCGCAATGTCGTACCCCATCCTCCACATCCCGCCTTATTCCAGGCTTCTTCTCACGACACATTCATGATTAGTTGCGCTCTATTAGTGTGTATAAACCTCATGTTGAGGAATGTAGTCTGTGATCAAAGATACATTCCATGATAGCTGTTACTTCATGTCGGCCGCGGGCGTCTACCTTCCGCGCTGTCGTTGATATCGCCTCTAAAACATGACATCATTATGACTTCCACTGTCGAGTATTGCGATAATTATAAATTCCAGTCTAATAGTTGTATGTATGTCGGCGGCAATACGTGTCTTGTGCACGAAATGCAATGTGCAACATCACCGTCGGAGGTCAACCGTATCCCGCCAACCTACGGAATGCCTAACCTTCCATACACTTCTTCAGGGATCCATCCTCATGCATTGCGATTATCTTCTCTAGTCCTCCGATGAACACCCCTCGCACATAGAGCTGTGGTATGTACGGGTACTCGGAGAAGCACTTTATGCCAGCCCGGAGCTCCGGGTCTTCGAGCACGTTCACCGTGCGTATGGTCGGTACCCTCGACGCCTGCCATGGTATGTGATAGGCAACATAGATGTTAAAAGTACCTTTAATATGTCGAGCGCATGTCTGCTGAATTTGCACGCTGGTTTTGAGGCGGTCCCCTTCATGAATAGTACTACGTCGTACTGCGATATTTCGAGCCGTATCTGTTATTATTCGTCATAGAACTGGTTGTTAAGAACGTACTCTTGCCTCGGCTGCAGGTGTTAATTCCAGATTCTGTAAAGAATCTTTGGCGTTGGATTCCGCAGCTTCCTGTTGGTGGTGGTCTTGGGGGTTACACCCAGACGGTGCGTAGGTTGAATGGTTTCCATGTTCCTCATTCTGCACGGCTTCTTTGCAGCACGCAATAGCTGCATGGGCTGTTGAACTTCTACGATGAATGACGTACCTGGGAAGGGGCTACTGCCTAAGAAGCGCGACGGATAGACAACTTGTGCTGCGTATGCACCGCAGATACTAATGGCTGCAAATGCGACAGTTTTACGAAGCACTGTGTTGAATCTGTCTGTTATCGAGCAGCTTAGACGGACACCGCGCCGACCAATGCCTTCGAATATGCGCATCCATGGCCGAATGGGCATCTCGTACAGCTCAGGAAAGGAATGCCAGAATTTACCCACTCATACTAAATGAGCACTTTCGTGGTGTCATTGTTTTTGAACCTTCTATTTCAGAGTGAAATTTGCCATGTGTGTCGTTCTCTAGTTGCACCGTCGCGGGTACTGGTGATTCCAACGAGGCGAACGAGCAATGTGCGATGCTTACAGGCGACTTTAATATCTGGCAGACTAAATTGCTATGTCGTGCATGAATTTTAGAAGAAGGAATCTTCTACAAGGTCTGTGTATTAACGATTCAAAGTAAGCGATATCATATTGCTAATGGGCTATAATTCGAATGAGATGTGTTACTATATGCCCGTAAATAATCACACATTGATTCCAGCTGCTATTTTTTCTGTGCAGCTGTAGCAGTGGCCCACATATCGCGACATATAGGTGACAAAGGTAGGGCCTCGGCCCGCTATACATCGAGACGCTTAAAATGAACGCGACGATTTGTTAATATATTAGAATAGACGGAATCTATACGAATTCCTAGCAGTGCTGAATTGGTACGCTTGATGCAGCTCCGTGACCGGGCGCTGCGGGTACGACTGGCGCACTGCTAAAAAGGCTTGTCTCTGGCGCAGATTCCTTGTCGAAGGCATTATTTTATAGTACGTGCTTTCCCGTGAACGAAGGACATTGAATGTGCAACAGTGAAGATAGCTTGAGCGTTTGCGTGTGTTTGACTGTTGAGGAGAGCGCCCTTGGCAAATGACCGAGCCAGCGAAACATCTGCAAATAACGCGGTCCAAATTTCACCACATGAAGACGTTCTTCTGTTGATTGTGACACCGTCTGTAGGAATTGTCTATTTTCAAATCGCTTATCGTTGAACCGGCAGCCGCGTACATTTTAAATGAGCATACAATGGTATAAGATGGCTTCCCGTAGAGCGACCAATATGTACGCTCCTGGCACACCGAAGTTGCAATTGGGCGATGTCCTAAAGCGCAACTTCAAGAATGCGCTGATAGTAGAGGCCGACGTGCGAAATACCCTCGGCAAGTACAACGGTCTAACGCCATCCCTTCGTAAGTCTTTATGAATGCGATTTAATGATTAAACCAGACTACGGAGGTGCCGGAATCCTTATTAATCTTCGAGGGACTATACCATTCCATTTCCAGAATGCAGTATATAATTGTCCGATCCTCATCGCTCTGAATACCGAGTATCCTCTGTCGCCTCCGTACATCACGGTCCAGCCAACGGAGCAGATTAAGATTGTGCAAAAGCACCCGTGCGTTCTCAAGAATGGGGAGGTGGTTATAAGATACATTAAAGAGTGGAATCCTAGGTCGACTCTGGTACGTTGCCATCTGCTGTAAATACACTTTGGATAGGTCGAAGCGCTGCGCCGCGTGCAGGAGGACTTCAACAGAGCGCCGCCCATATACGCCATCGAAGTGCGACGTAGTGGAACTCTGTCCGATGCGATATCACAGGGTGCCGGTGCAGCCGTGCCTCTTAGACACGCCGCGTCAGGTAATGAAGGCAGCGTGATGCACCGCAGCACCAGTGACGACGGATCGCTGGAGTCCGAGTTGGAGTCTATTCGGTCAAAGATAACAGCGAATGTGCGGGATATGCGCGCTCAGCTTATCAAGGAATACCAGTATGACGTAGGGAAGTATGACATCCACCGGCTCATCATGCTGGACTGGGTGCCAACATGTGTCAACATTGCCACATACATTAAGGAGCAATACGCCGAACGCGAGAAGTTGAATAAAGCGCGTGCTGATTGTGACCAGCAATTGCAGACCCTAGAGGGCATCGATGACTACTTCACTCAGGTCATCACCGCCCTCAATGAGATGCAGACGTCCGCCGGTGAAGCAGAGACGACTGAATCTGGGGATAAAGTAGAACCAGAATACAACTTGGAATATGAAAGCAAGCGAGATGAAACACTTTGCCGCGCTGTTGCCTCGGAGGCGGCGGCTAACGAGATGCTGGAGTTGTTGCAGGCTACATATAAGCGCAAGCAAATCTCGACGAAGAAATATATCCAAGTACGTTTTTGTCACCCATTATTACACACTTTTGCAGTATGTGCGAGTGATAAGCAACGAGAAGTTCCGAGCCATGCACTCGCGGAAGTTAGCGGAATCGACACAGTGATCGTTTGGCTCCCAACAGGCAACTGCCGCATCACACATAAATTCGGACTATACCTAATGTATCGCGATACAACATCAATACATACGCATAACATTCAACGACTGTGTAAGGCGCCATAAAAACGATGCAATCTTTTGTTCCAATGATTTGTGAGGTAATTCGCTTCCCATACTACGGCGGAAACTGTATGCAAGATTTATTCATCACAATATGTGGCTTTCAGCAGATTAAAAAGTTGCTCAAAGTTCAAAACGATACAAAATGGTGCGATATAATTTGAGGCAGAGCTCAGAGGTAGGAATTCCTCAGCGCATAGTCGATTGCTGTGAATGCCGCAGCCGATCCGAGGGAGTACCTGGCGAACGCTGGCCACCTTCCCTTGCACTTGTACAACGCGCCAGCGGCAAAGCCTGCCACAGGAGCCACGTATTGATCGTGCTCGTCGGAATTCCTCGTTAGCTTGATGGTACTGTTGATTGCGCAATAGAGCAACGTGACACACGCCGCGCGGTTGCCCAGCCCCGGTCCGTAGGTTCCGCAAAGGTTTAGCAGCGAGTTGATAAACAGTTTCTTTGTCGCGCCGCCCTTAGCTATACCCTTGATCATACCGAACGACCCGCCCAGAAGCATACCTGAAGAAGGATGTACAGATGCGGAATCCACGGGAGAAAACCCGAATTTAATGACACTTACCAGAACCATACGCCAGTCCTACGGAGTAAGTGATTTTCTCTCCCCAATGACGCCCATAGCCGCTGAGATAGAGCTGCTTATCGCTGAAGTTTGGCGCGAGGTACTGCGATCTTTGTGCCCCTACGGCGCCGGGACGCTGGAGAATATCCAGGTTCGGCTGTATGCTTCCCACTTTAAGGTAGTCGTCCATCTCAACCAATCATGTCTAGTGGGTTGCGTGGCGCGTTGCAGCGCTACAGAGCCATAGAGGACTCGCGAGTATGGGGAGTCAGACGCTGGCGAGAGTACGTTTACTGCGGGCGGCAAGGGCTAATGTTTGATAAATTCGACACATCATTATGAACATTAGTGCGCAAAGTACTGGAAGGTTTCCGTTATTGGTGTGTTACGCAGATTTTGCCCACTTGATGGCGCCGTGGCGCGTTAATTGCCTCAACTGCCGTCAATGATGCGGTTTATGGCCACAGTGACGTCCCATCTGTTGTCTGATAGCGCCTTAATTGCGGTTTCGCGGTCTATTCCCATTTCCAGCAGCTTGTCCACCTTGCCTTCGCGAGTATCGCCGCGGTTATGCGCGAAATTGGTCGTCCAGAGTCTGCGCATTATATGATTTCAGAAACAAAATGTTTTCTTACCTTGCCGTGCGCTCAAACTCCCCGTAGTTACGCCGGTACATTGATGCGACCTCGGCGTCCTGAGGGTCGTCAGGCTCTGGAGCTGACAGAAGAGCCTGGATGGAAAGAAGCGCAGTCCTTATCGTCAGCGCCGGACTCCATTCGTTCTTAAGTATATCGAGGCATATGGCTCCCGTTTCGCTGCTGATGTTGGGATGCCATATTTTGGTCTCGAAGTGTATCTGCAACGAAAGTAAAAGCTTGTGCATGCTCTATAACTAACCTTCGGAGGGCTGTACGGGTAGTCCTGCGGGATTTTGATGGCCAGCATGAAGTGCCCTCCCTCGTACGGCGTCTGTATTGGGCCTTTGATGTACCCCTTCCAGGTGTATATGTCGCCATCCACGGTGTGGGCGTCGACGGAGCCCTCAGGATTACTTTGGATATCCTGAAGCTCCTTCTGGAGTCTCAGATCTTGCCGGCTCATTGTGCAGGTCGGGAGGGTGAATTGTGACCTGGCACTCCGGGCTAGCGGCTGCTACACCTAGTACGGAGACGCAGCGGCAAGATTCAATGCGATAGCCGTAGACCAATACGGCAAATTGTAGCTTCTCCGAAACTACGAGGTGTAACGATTTCACGGGGATAGGGATGATTTGGGGGCAACTGCCGACGTCGCTGGGCGCGAACCCGTTGACTATGCCACTTGATCCACAAAACAAAGGCAACTACACATCAAACACAAACTGATAAAAATGGATTTAAATATTGGTGATGCGGTATGGCACCCCCGCAAAATAGATTCTTTCTGCGCGACGGATGTGTTTTCACTGTAGCTGGCCCCTCCCACCACCTGATACCAACAAGTTCAACCTACGAACACACTTCCACGCGTAGTATGTTCAATTTCACATGGGTTGCATGTGACACAGTACGGTTCCGGTTGACTATATCTTGAAGCCGGAAATGAAGCCAAAACCGTATACACTGGGTTCGTTGCAACACCTAGGCCACGTCTCAGCGATTGATCGCTGTAACAACACTGTGTACGGAAATACGGCACGCGTCCGGTAAACAAGGCCTTTGTGACTGTGTACGCAAGGAATACTTGCAGATAGGTGACCGGAGGACTGAACATGCAAACGCCACGCCTATGGCTTGGCGATGTGTACCGCTTACCCAACGGGGGCTACCTCAAATCAGAGATGCCATTTTGGACAGTAGCGTACTAAGTGGTTGCATAAAATAGCCAGCATCGTGATTGCGTTCAACAGACAACTGTTCCGTCGCTGGGTGTATGCGTACGCGCACTGTTGTCTACAATATGGTCCTACAAAACCGCGCATGCACAGCGCGGACTACGGGGATTGTCACGAAGCATATGTGCTGCATCGTTTCTACGTTATATTGAATCCTGTTTTTTGGTTGCCTCGCGGAATGGCATCATATACCATCCCGCTGTCAGTTTGGAAGAACCGACGAGCTGTTGTACGGGAATTCGATAGAATCATGTACCATCGATAATGATTCTGATGGTTGAATAACCTGATTTTGCCACAAAACTGAATGTTTTCTGTCTATCGTCAGATAACTGACATTCATCACCAGGCTTATGTACAATTCTATTCTCGGTGTTGCATTATGTGCGCCGACGAAGATGGCATACATCAGCAACTCATTATGGTTTATCGTTTAAACTATGTTCAAAGTCACAAAATAGAATGCCCGAGCACGGCGCGAATGCTGGTGACGCCCACCATATTGCCTGGATAAACTATCGCTATAGCCCCCCGACAACTGGAAGATGCAATGCAGGCGATACGGTCGTGGGTATGACAATCATGGGTATTCACACTGTCGTGCCTTTCATTAGCTCACTGTTACAAGGCTCACAACTCATATGGTCGCAGCTGATTATACCACGCGACACATGGCCAAACATACATGGAAGTCAAATAACTGGGAAGAGATGGTAGCACCGAGTACATACAAGTGTTCTTGCTGCAGTGCAACATTGTAGGATACCGAAATACAAGCGTGTCCATTATGGGCAAATCACCTTAGCATTCGTATAAGTCAATATAACCTTTAAACGACCAATATGCAAGACAGGCAATTTAGCAGTAGCTATTGCGTCAGCTGCTCATATACAATCGTGTTACGCCTCGCCGCCACAATGCGACCTCGTTGGACACAACTGATGTTTTCACCGGAGCTCATGAACTAAAACTAGTAAGAATAATACACACGGAACCATTAGTGACACGAAAATCAAGTGAACTTGGTATGACTGAGTAGCCAAGCGGCATCGGAGCCAAAAGGCACCTTGCATGACCCATGACACACACACTGCCTTAAGGAATAGACCCGAAAATACTGGAATTCAAGTTGTCTATGATAATTTTTTGAATTATAACGACGTGAATACGATATACGTCGAACTGTTTTGTTTTACACTCGTCGAACCCGCTGCTAGAACTCGGCGGTGTTATGAGGCCCGTTGAGTTCTGCGCACGAGCCGCACGTCCGCTAGGCACTTGGAATATTTCAGGCGAATTTGTCACACCCTAACCGCTTATAGCCGCGATCTTCGGTATACCAAAGGTCACGCAATCAGTTTAGAAGAACATTTGCGGCTAGCGGTGACAATGGTAGGCGACTCTCCGCAGTGCCAGCGGTAATGGCGGCGCCACCAGGTATTTGAATAGTAACGAATGTAGAACAGTTGTGTGTATTTAATGGATAGTGCTCTGGTTGGTAAATGTGCCGGGAAAGTGCATCAAGCGCAGCAACGTTGAACGATGTCGATCTACAGCAGATGGCTGCCTTTCCTTACTTGCAATCGCCATTCTTCTGGGCGCGAATAAATCGTGATAGTTGACATCGGGGTGACAACTGCGCTGTAGCATTGTCTTTAAGGCCGTTGGTGCGGATAGCTTGTGGGCATCGTTTTCAATTCACGTGGAACGACGGTGGTTCTTAGTGCACGTCTGGAACGATCCGTCGGAAAGGGTGTCATCGGATGTATATTAGGGCCCAATACCTCGCTAAACGCAGTAATTCGATTTGTGCAAGATGGCAGGCTATCGATCAAGCTGCCTCGTACCAGTGTCGCAAATGCCAGCGGGGAAAATCTCAAAGGTACTCCCCACCATAGATGGCATTCCTAGCCATGACTCCTATGAGGTGGTGGTAAGTTACCGCGTTGACAGCCCGTTTAAGCCGTGCCCTGAGATTGAGCCGCTGCCGTTGTCCCCCCATGCTGATCTGCTGAGAATTATCAACAGCCCTGCATACACAAATGAGAGTGGCACCAAGTTCTTCCAGTCGCAGGATGATCCTACGTACGACAGAATGCAGGATGCGGACAGCCCAGTCATGCAGACTCCCAAGAAAAGGGACTCCACACCAGAGTTTGGCCCAACAGCGTCTCCTAAGGTGCCTCCCGATCTGGATTTCAGCAATTCAGCATATGAGATGGCGGAGGAAGAAATTCAAAACCTGGCTCTGCGTAGTATTATTGGCAAAAGGTCGGTGAATGTCGACGTTTCCACGATTGAGCAAAGGGTGATGGCGAGGGTCCTGCAGGATGCTGAGGCGCGGCAGGTTATCGTGACCTTCGTGAGAGACCGCGACAATTTCGATGACGACGACCACGACGAAGTGGATCACGAGTTCGAATTGATAAACATGAGCGGTACTCGCGTTATAAACCTGAACGACTCTATGGGCCACGTTCTGGACCATATCGACGGCAATCTGTTCGACGTGCCGTCCCCCAAGGCGCCGTTGAACGCTTCTCAGCCGATTGAGACCGACAACATAGAGTGGTTTAATTCGACTATGAGGTTCAATAAAATCAAGGAGTACAAAAAGCACACGATAATGTTCTCCGGCAGTGACAATTATTACCACGGGGCGAGCAGTTGCGTTATGACCGACACAGAATCCAACAAAAACAAGATCACGCTATTCAAGGATTCACCGAAAAGAGATGACCCCGAGGAAGTTCAGGACATCGTCGAGCCTCCGGTTGAGAGCACGACGGCTGGAGACCAAACGCATGCGGTGAACCCCTCTGCAGAACCGCAATTTGAATTTTTAAAGAAGAGGAACCGTGAAAAATCGGGATCTGACGAACCCCGATCCTTGGATGCATCGATATCGGGCAAATCACTGTCGCGGGATTCTACCACCTCCAGCATTTCAGATAGCTCCGGAAATCTATCGCATCGCCAACGGGTTAGAAGGTGTGTAGGAAATGATAGTGGCAACATCGTGATTGACGAGTACAAGAACCACCCTGAGTACGACGAGGATTCGGACACGTCGCCATTAATGTTGATGGCCGATATGCGCGCCGGTCTCAGCAGCACGTCATTGGACCGGTCGCTTTCTCATTCACGGCACGAAGGCTCAGGATCTCTTCCGAAAGATTATTCAACATCCATAGGGGGAATATCTAGACGTGGTAGGTTGGCGGAAACCCGGCGCTCCTCGGAATCGGCGGGCGGTGTGAAGCCGGTGCGGTCGAAGCACTGCGGCAACCGCGTATTTGATAATGCAGCAATGAATAACAAAGACTGGTCATCAGAAACTTGGGGATCCTTCATCAACGTGATTCTTAGCCGCAAACGTACCCTTGGCCACGGGTCGTTTTCTACAGTGACATTCGCATTCCTAAGGCTGACGCCCTCGCTGGCGATTAACGGAACGCGCGCGGGTTCCAGCGGCAGCGACGAAAACACAGCCATCGCTCCAAAGGAGTCCAGCACTACAGCATACAAGGACACTAATCGCAAAATGTTGGAGAATGGAGAGGAAACAGTTAATGGTCAAACTGCGACAAACTCGCGACGTGCGTCCAGCGATGGAAAGTTGGGGAATCACACCATGAACAACACTGAAGGCGACGTTGTCGACCAAATGTGCAACGTGGTCAGTGGGCATTGCAGCAGTTGCGCCAATGTGCGCGCGGTAGACTGTGCGGTGAAATCGATCAAAGACGCTTTTCCCCATGCTCGTTTCCAGTATATTCGGGAAAAGGAAATGATGTTGCATTTCAACGCTAACGTGTTGAAGCCTCTGGCGTGTCGTACTCACAACACGGATGGACACAGGACCTACCAGTTATTGATGCCTAAGGCGCAGGGAGACTTGCTCGACATGCTCAAGCGCCTGGTGAAGCATCGTACCAACAGCTGTACAACTCAAGTGTACATTGCTAGCCAGTCCACTGGCAAGCAGGAGAGGAAGATAATCGGGCTCACCGAAACTGAGGTGAAGTTCCTCTTCTACCAGCTGTTGTCGGGGCTGGCGTTCATCCAAATGTGCTTCCAAGGCAACATCCACAGACATTCTGACATCAAGCTTCAGAATATCCTGGTGTTGTGCCGCGACGAGGACAAACTTAACCCCATGCGATGGCGTTTGTGTCTTGCAGACTTTGGATGTTCCATCATGCTTCACCCCACGCAACACCTGGAAGGAGCAGGGTTATTCCGATCCTTGCAAGACACTATGTCCAAGGAGTGGCGCTCCCATATATGTAACCAGCTGACGTCTTTTGTACGGGGAACTGTGCGCAGCAACGCTCCGGAGGCGCTCTCGTACGACCGAAACGGGAAGCCGCGTAGCAATCACAACGACCGCCTTCTGGCAGCTTATAAGCGGAGAAAGCTACGCGTGTCGTCTATGAACAAAGATCAGCTCCCGATGCCCCGCGTGTGGGTCCAAGGTAGCGTGAGCGAAGAAGTGACACGTCTACCCCCGAGGAGTGCCACCCGTGTCTCGGGCGCACGGGAAAACGACACTGCAGAATACTACACCGTCGACATGCACGCTGATATGTGGTCCGCAGGGATAGTGCTGGCTGAACTGGCTAAGTTCGGCGGCCCGAATCCTTGTAGCGAGGATAGCCGTAGCCCTAACGACCCGTCTAAGGGCAAGGCTGATTCCTTGCCCGTTGAGTACATCAATCATAGACTTAATGGTACTCTTGGACGCGGCATATTCTGCAGGAACAACGCCGTCGTAAAACTTAAAATGCAGTTGGATGCCGCACGCGAAAAGGGTGGCCCAAAGGCCTCGCTTATGGTGGGGGCGAAAGACAAGGCGCAGCAGCACAGCAACCAAGCTGCTCTCACCGACGAAAACCTTAACTTGGCGCTTGCGACCGATATCGCCGCCAAGTGTGACCAGGAGATCGTCATGCGCGTGCGGAAGCTAAAGAGGGAGTATTGCTGGTGGGAGTATCCAAAGTTCTCAAGTGGTTTCTGGAGCCTTCTAGTAAACCTCCTATCGTATGACCCAGGAGAGCGTTACATTGCGGCGGAAGCGCTTGGTCACGCGTGGTTCGAATCATCAGATGGTGACTCACGACCCATCTTCGACGACATCGACGCTCTCATGGCCGAGGAACATCAACATCTTCCTATGGAGCACTTTTATTACATCGGTTCATCTCTGTCGCTGCACAGCAGCTATAGGAAGGGGCAGTGTAATAATGAATCATCTGCTTTCACCGTAAAGCGTGAGGCGCTCATGCACGTCGGCAACAGCGATGTTGCTCTGGAAAGCATAGGGGAGTACGGCAAGGCAGGACGCACTTCTCATGCCTGGTTCGCAGGCCCACTTCATTTCCGCTTACGTGAATTGCACGAGCCCGGCGTGAATTTGCCCGATTACGTGGCCCAGATCTGCCAGAGGGAGACGATAGTGCTCGAGTCACGCGAGAAGGATCTGTTCGGCGCACACGGGTTCGTGCTCGCGCAGCTGCTGGCACTGAGGCGGCGCTACATGTTCTCGTGGAGCGAGATGATGTCGGCTCGGGCGGTCCACTTGCTGGGCAAGAGCCTGATGCTGCGTGACCACGCCCAGCGTTAGCTGGGGCACGGTGACTTGGCTTCAGCCTAATTATTAGATGTCTATATGTTGACTTGTTGGTCTTATGCGGTACATTTCAATTTCCCGTGTATGATTTATGTAGCTACGTTTTTAAAGTCTTCATTACTTACAATTTATATGGTGACCAGTAACATTTAATTGGGTAAATTTCCATGTATGAAAAATACTACATTTAAATAACGGTTACTGCGATATTTCAACTCTACGTGCGATACATGAAGCTACATTAGGCCCTTGAATGGGAAGGCGGAGTATGTATCGGTGTCGACCTCGGGAATCCATCCACCGGCAAGATTCGTGGATACGCCGGCACTTTTGGGCGAGCCAGCAAATGAAGCACGTAGTCCATAGAACACCTTGCGGAATTTCTCCGGATACACACGCCAGACGGAAACAATGACAGCTACGATTAAGAGTATGGGGACTCCTATGTAGCACAGGCGAAGAAACGCATCTTGGGGGCATAGTTTGCCGCAGTTGGTGCACTTGAAGGTGCATTTACTGCTGAGGTAAAAATATTCATTCTTGTCGCATTTGCTATCGTCGCATTTGCTAGGTTCTTTGGCGTGTCTGCAGTAATATGTGCCTGCATCCTGTTTCGTCCCTTTGCCGCCAGGTTTGTCTTTGCAATCCTCGTGGTGTTCATTCTTACCGTCGCATTTACCCTCCCCCTGACATTTGGTGTTAGGATTACACCACTTACAGCAGCTACACATCGCTCCATTGCATCCACAGTTACAGAGGCCACATATACAATCGCCGTCTTTTGATTCTTTGCATTTTTCCTTGCACTTCGTGCAAAGGCCGTAATAGCACAGCTCACCTTTCCGAAAAGCGTTCGCACATCCACAGCTACAAAGGCTACATTGACATCTCGTTTGATCTTTGCAGTTTTTTCGGCAGTTCGGGCAACCGTGATCACCGCACTTTAGGTCTTTGATGTCTTCGTTCTGACATCCACAGTAACAAATAGAACATTGACACTTTTCTTTGCACTGCTTTTTTTGCAGCGTTCGCAATCGGGGGGGCAGCAATCTCCCCACCATTTTGCAAAAAAAGGTTTATGACATCCATCGCAAGTGTCCTTCTTCGCTTGCGCCATCGTTTCACCTGACACCACTCACACGCTCCCAACTTCATTAAACATCCTAGTGCAACAGGAATATCCCAGCCTCCAGCGGTCCGGGTAACATTACGCCACGGAAGCAACCGCCCCTGCGCAGCGACTGACAACGTAACCGATGGTAGATAGCAGTTAGGAGATTCCATATATTAGTTTCCGCGACATAGGTATGTAGTGAAGCGTTTTCTCTTACCCTTTGCTACCTGACATTGTCTAGAATCGAAAATATTTTTCACCATCTTTTGTTGATGCAAGGCAGGAGTGAGCGTGGACCGACAAACCAGACTCTTATGCATCCGATACAGCTGAGTTCCTTATTTCACAGAATAGTTAATATAATGTTAAGCCTTAATTATACTCCGAAATAACAGCTTCCATTGCGCAATGCCCCAAGCTGGGCGCGGGGTGTAGAAGGTACCATCTGCATGACTGAAATATCGACGGAGTTACTGTATTGAATCTTGCAGTTGTAGCACAATAGACTTATTAAGTGATCCTACTTATCTGCTGCTGCTGCGTTGCGCAATGTGCGATCGCCTTCCTAGGAAACACAACAGAAGCTTTCTCGATGCACTCTGCTCTCACCGGCAGCCGCTGGGCTTTATTCGCCAACTACACCTTCAACATAAACTGCATCATGGGTAACTATTGTGCTTACTTAATGCTTCTAGAGTTGTCGGTTTTCATTCTTTGACTTGGGGACAGAGTCGTTTTGTCCCGCATTTTCCAAGAGGCTTCGGCCGTTGCAATCGCCGCATACCATATGGGTGAACGCGTTCTACGATTATGACGAGCATTGATTGTAAACGCTTTGTTGCTATACTCAGATGTCTTAATCATTGATATTTAAACGGCCCTGCAATCACTATCCTTAAGTGGGACCTACCCCCGCCTGTGGAACCTTGTTACCATGTTTTTACGGGTGCCTTGCTCTTTTACATTCCGTAACGTCCAGTTACATCTCCACTGCTAAATGACTGATGTTCGTGAATTGGACAGATCTCAATGGGCACTGCTACCGAGGGTTTCTGTATCCACTCGGTATGCGACATGGTTTAGAAATGATTAATTATTTCCGAAATATTCATATATTAGCCGCCATTGCCTTGCTTATGATTAGAATACGGCTGCCACTTTTGCAATAATTCATTCGCAGTAATGTGTGACTTGACATCAGACAGCCGCCCACTACATGTACGTAAATGGTGATCACCGCAGCCTAGTCGATTTCCGTTACATGTGAAGTTAACACAATGACCACGAAGTGCTGTGGAAACAGTAAAAATATATTAATATTGAGGTAATCAGCACGATATGAAAACGGCCGGTTGTTTGTGAGGCGCACATTGTAAATCACCTGTGTCCTAGCGCAGAGCTTGAGACAGGATCATCCCCTGAGGATACTGCTATGAAAAGGTGTATCAGCAATATAGATGATGACAATGCATGTCTCTAAAATTCGGCATACGAATATTAAATTTAGATGTCTCCACCAACGGATGCATGCCCGATGCAGTTGGTGAAACTGACAGCCCATGGTGACAGTGATACGGCAAGGTGAATATGGGTTAGAATGATGTTTACACCTATATTCACTCCCTTACTGGGTACTATGAGTGAGCGTAATGTTGGAGACAACGAATGATGTTATGAGATTGAGGTGCGTGGAAATGAAACGGTTGGCAGAGACCCTGTAGGCATTACATACTGCTGCAATTGAAAAACGTTATAAAATGGGGATATAAATAAGAGGAGTTGATAAGATGAATAAACGCTCTGCGGTGTTTCGATATGGAATGGGGGTTGAGCTGAAGAGTTGGGACACTTCCCATAGGATATAATGTTTGTAACAACCAAATCATATCCAAACGCGTTACCTATAGATTGACCTCCTGTTAACAACTTTGGTGCTATATGATGGGACACATAGGTAGAAGGGCGCCTTTTTTGTGGCTGTCATAAGCCGCATGCAATTGCGTGGTATCCCTTGATAGAGGATCGGGGGCGGTCCATTCTAGTCAATCACACCAAGCATCGTCACCTTTGCCCCATTATACTGACATAAATAAAACCGTATTTCTGATTTCTAAAACCAATCGAAGGTGTATTGCTCCACGGCAATATGCTGCAGGTAAGGTAAGTGGTGCATAGCTATTCAGGGGTCTTGTATTCAAGAGAGACGAATATGCCGGATAATACGGTGGGTCAAATTTTAGGTGCCTTAGCTGTTTTCATCTGCCTTGGCATGCTAATATGGGTCATTATCGAGCATAGGATATGGCCATACGAAACATTGCACAAGCGCATCTTCAACCTCCCAGACACATACGAGCTTTACGAGAGGTTCCCGCCGAAGGACCAGTTTTAATTTCACATATTCCATGTAGCAGTTTAGTATCGCAATAATTTTAATGTAAGGCTTCCAGGTACTTTGCTCATAACCCATATCGTGGGTATAACTATTTCAATGCCATTCCATGAAGATCGGAGGGTTACCATTGAACCTTTCGACGTTCTTCTGTTTGTAAAATCATCCTTATACACATCCTAATACTAAGATTATGAAAATAGGACAGCCCACCTAATCAGCAACATAGTGGTCCATGTAGCTGGGATGTTTATTGTGTGCTAGGCAGCGTGCTGGGCAATTGCAGTGTTGTCGTTGGGACTCGGTGTTACCGTCAATTGGCTGCCTTGAACTGCAAAAGCGGGTCACCGGATATCGATGCTATCGAATAACGAGTTGCATCCTAAACGAGCAGTGGGTCACCTGTAAGGTGAATGAATGGCATGTTAGATATTCTAAGTGCATGGCTATAGAATATTAAATGGCGAGGTTACGGACATGCCGCTGGAACGTTGTTCGACGTGATGGGCAATGGGCGGCGTGGTTAGGTGGAATTTGTAGCAACGTAGCGATCACTAGTATGGTAAACAATCACCGTAGTTCAGCTGGCCAGTCATTAGTGCACCAATAATGCGGCAAGCAGACGACACATACTCTGCCCGTGATTCGAAGTGAAGATCTTGTGTGATGCGCTGCATGTGCACTGTGCTATCCCAGGCGGTTTCCTGAGACGGCTTGGCGGTTCAGAGCCAAAGGTAGGTGCTTCATGCCTGTATAGGTTGATAGGGAGAGGCGGGAAGATGTATGAAGGTGAGTGTCGATGTAAAACAGAATCTCAATGTAATATAAAGTGCATATGCTGTCTCTTGTGTTGTGATGGGTGTGACGATGGCGACAGTGAAGGTTGCCCCAAATGTTTACGTCAACACGGTGAGCGCACGGGGTCTCTAGAATGTGACCCTGAGAACTGTAAGATCGTATGCAACAAGGACACTTGTGAATGTACATGTTGTATACGTAGACGTGAACTCGCTTCCGCCAGTGCCCTTGTTTCCACCGGCGCCGCCGATTCTACCGCCGGCATTACAATCTCTACAATCGTTATCGTTATTATCATCCTCATCGTCATATGCGTTATGATCGTCTTTCGCATTCGGCCATTCCACAAGGTCCGCGATTGTTTCGTCCACAAGTGAACGTTTTGTATCGCATTCTTTAATCACTTCTGGCACTTTTTATAAAATCACTTATCGCACCGCTTTAGACAGTAACGGCACTATACGATGCCAATGTAATAATGTCCTATTTAATGTTTCGAAATCATGTATCGGCAAGTGTAGAGTGTAGGTTTTCATGAATTAGATCGTAGCAGCGCGTCAGGTGCGTACTGGTTAAAGGAATGGGATTAACACAGGTCAATGTAGTATCCACATCCGCTCGCACCTCAGGCTGCGAGCCTCGCGGTGCAGTCACATCTCGCAGCAGCGCCAGTTGCCAACCTCAGCAAGCTGAGATACTTCTCACCGTGACCAGTACGCTCACTCGCCTAACTAACTCGCCACACAGCAACTCACCGCACAACCAAATGTCTTATCTAGCGAGCAAAGTAATGCCTAATCAATTATTTGGTAGACGAGGCACTCGATGCTTTAGGATTTTTGTTGTTGCGTGATTAACTTGATGACTTAGTTGAGTATTGCCCATCATATAAGACCTCGGATTTGGATAGCCCAACAGGAAATTCGCCTTCTGGTGACGGTAATAGCGATCTTAGAGGAGCAGATGGTAATCCGGAGGCTTGCGATGGTAGGAGGTGAGCACCAAACTCCAGGCACGACCGCAAAGACGAATAACCGTTGTGAAGAGTTTTAGAACCACGGGAATCGTTACATCAAGGTGGTGACACGGGCGCTCCCTGGGCCCAGTTTTTGCTGAGGAAATACGGCGGTACAACACACATGAATACTACCTCGACACCTGTGTACCCCTAACCCATGCTCTACGCCGCCTCCCAGTAACCGCCCACGTAGCAGACATAACTAGAAACTAGAAGGTAATATAGCAAAAACGTTTGGTTAGCGTAGTAGTGATAACGTAATAAGGGATATTGACGTTGTGACGTTATGCCAGTGGACTGTACAGCCAAGAGATCGACATTCATTGTAGGCGGCTGAGAAGTGCCGTAGTAGATTAGATGCATGGTAGTGGGCCAGTTGAGCGTATGTTGTGTTATTGATTGGGTGGTGGCTATGTAATGCGTGATTAGCGGCAAGAAGCTGGGACTTACTTTCCTTGACCACGGGAAGATGTATTTATGGGGAATTCACAGGTAGTATTGTGGTCATCACTAATATAGTGAAATAGCACTGCAATGTAACCACAGAACCTCACAAAGTGGATGGTAGTGGATTTGGGACTATTTTCATGGACCGTCCATTATTGACCTTCATGAGATCATCACCATGCCGTTGACACAAATTATTAATGCATGCTTGACGTGGATGTTCACGCTATGTCGGCGTTGATAGATCTGGGGACACCTTTGCCCCAACATCGGGTGCACTGGATGCTTGACGTGTCGGCACTGTCATTGTATGTTGTCAGTTGGCCGAGTGTGCAAGGCTAGAGGTACGTTGGTCATTTCTGGACAGGTTATATTGTTGAATGCTCTAAGGGAAGATGACTGACTGGAAAGGACCTGTAGGCGGCGTTGTTGGTGGAATTATTGGTTTCTCGGCCCTCGTTATACTGGTCCTTTATATCTGCGGTAAAGTCCATAACCAAAGTCTTGGTACAACCTTCGCCCAGCTTCGTGATAGCTTCAGCGACTCCAAGCCTAACATCTCACCTTCCACTGTCGGACACCAATAATGTCTTCCATTCTGACCTAGTCCACATAGAGATACTGTATCCATGTGACACCGCAATTTAAATGTGGAATTACATATAATCGTTGGGCTACTCACCTTTATATCTTTGTTTTGGTTTCATTTTAGTGCGCTATGTGGCTACGTGGCTTAGGGCCGATTTTCGTGTTTCCCAGGCAAGCGCCTTAGGCTGCTGGTGTCGGTTGCGGGATCCATGTCGAATTATCGTACACTACAGGTACCATCCATTGTGGCACCCATCCTGTTTTAGCGAGAGGGTCATTCGCAGAGTCGTGATTGTCTCCGTCTCCACTAGGTTGTCCTGATTGGTGATTCCTATTTCCACGATGGTGATCATGTTCCTCCGTCGATCCGCCACTATTATGTCTGGGCGGTTGTACTCCTTGATCTTCTGAGTCTTGACCGTTTTGTCGTACGCGATCCATCCGTGTTTCCCGTGCACTTCGCTCTCGATCTTGTGGGCGTCCATTTTCTCCTTGGGTAGTCCTATTTGCCTCCCGAGTTCCGAGTGGATTATCCTCGCAACTGCCTCGTGCCTCCTCGTATACTCTATACGCAGCATTTTCGGGCATTTTGTTGCGAGATGATCCACATTCTTGCCGTTCTTGCACCTCGGACACTTCTTCGTCGGTGACATCCATGTCAGGTTCCTGTCCTGAACTGCCGCGGCTTGCGCTTCTTCTGAGGGACTGAGGATTCCACTTGTGAAAACTAGAGAAGATCCCTCAATGTCCAAGTTGGGGTCGTCACGCTTGGCAAACAGAACCTTATGTGTTGATTTTACCTCCATTCTGTCGTATAGCCATTTGTTCTGAGCCCTCCTGAGGTCCCTGAGACACTTCTCTATTGTGTCCTCTTGCTCAAACTTCAGTCCATATCTTCCTTCCAGGTGTAGTAGTATGAGTGATATGTGCGCATAAGTCTCGCGGTAATGCTGCATTATGGCAGCTCTTCTTTCTGACGTTGCCTCGTCTGCTGCAAACGTCATCCACAGTCGTAACAACATGGCCTCTTCTCTAAATACCATGCTGTGAAGCCCCCTCCCCATTTCCTTTCGGGGGAGGTAGAGCCGTTGCGTGTTCGCCCACTTCGCGTGTGCTTTCGTATCGGCTATTCTTGTGCGCACTTCCAGGTCTATCCTGTTAAAGTACGTGATGTCCATGGGGATAACTCCCACGTAGTAGTTGATTACACTCAGGGCGTACTCGTTTATGGCCAGCGATAGGTTTTTCGCTGACAGCTTCGAAGCTGCGAGTAGCTTACTCTCCTGCAGATCTCGTTCACGATTGTCTCGTACATCGCATTGCATTCGGTGATTGAGTGCCTGTTCGCCGTGACTCCTAGGTACCTGTACGTGTCTGGTCCTTCCATCATTTTTGCTATGCTTGAGCACGCTTCCGTGTTAGTTGCAGCTTTGTCGCGGTTGATCACGAATCCTGTATTTTTGAAGAATAGCTCCACTTCCCGAGTCATGCCGATAATCGTGCTCTCCTCGTGGGCGAAAAGTTGAGGTCGTCGATATAGAGAAAGTGATTTGTCGCGAAGATCCGGTCGCCTGGCAGGTCTAGCTCCACCGTGGGGAAAAGGCGGGTCAGGTGCCTGCTCAGCGGGTCCAAGCACAAGGCGAAGAGGAGAGGCGACAGGCTATCACCCTGTAGTATGCCCCGCTCGACTTTCTTGTGCATGAGAGTGTTGTTGTGCCACCTTATCTCTATATTCCACTTCTTCACCGTTTGCTTGACGAAGAATGATAACCACCCTGGCAAGTGCAGGTTCTCAATAACCAGTGCCAAGTATTCGTGGTCAATAGAGTTGTACGCCTTCATGAAGTCGATCCACACTGCGCATAACTGTCCGTTGTGCTTCTCATTGAGCGCGATGTTCGACAACGCGTGCTCCTTCGCACCCTGTACGTTGCTCCTCGTGCCCATCTGGTTCTCGGACCGTAGTCCCCTGCCCGCGACTTCGCGCTTTAGCGCTTCCGTTGCACACCGGGTAGTTAGCTTGTATAAGTTAGACATGCACGTGATCGGCCTGTACTGCGAAGCCGATACTGGTTTGTTTCCTTTTGGTTGGAGGTGGGTGATCCCACAGTAGAACCAGTCGTCTTGCGGTTTGCCGTACGAGCATGCCTCCTCCACTAGCCTGTAAGTGACTCTGTGCAGAGACTTGAGCCACTTGATGTAGTAGGTATATATCCCATCCACCCCGGGCGACTTCCAATCCGGCATCTTCTTGAGGATCCTTAAGAATTCCTCGAATGTGGGAAAGCCCGTCACAGATTGTGCCGGCGGTCGTTCTACCAGGTATGGATTCACTGGCTTAGCATAGGAAGTTCGTATTTACAATGATTGGATTTCGCACCATGCAATCGATGCAGATAAAGTAGAAACATTACGAGATCGTCGTTACGTGCTGCCAAGTGTTAAGTGCACGCTCTGCAAAAATGGCAATCGTTCTACGCTGTACAAACTTAGTTAAGATGAACGGTTGCAATTGGTCAACTCCTTGTGACTCCAAAGGGCAAATTTGGTTTGCGCCTTGACATCTACGAGAATTTTGCACATTGAAGACCCATCACTTGAACAGTTGAATCGGCAAGTAAACCTCGCTGGAACCTTCTTCATTAGTTTGTTTTGCTCTTACAGTGGGGGTTCCTTCAATACTCGGCGTTTCTTCAACGTTAGGGGCTAATTCAACAGTGGGTGGCAATTCCTCACTGGAGACGATCCCCTCCCCAGTAACAACAACCGTGTATCCCGCTGCAAGCCCCAGACACGCCACCTTCTCGTGCAGCAGTGCGTATATTAATTGTGGATGGCTACAGCAGTTCTTGAGGCCGGAAGACGCCGATACTCCGGGCTGGCGTTGTTGCTGTACCAACATGTCAACTGATGACGTGAAAATAAGCTTGTGGTCCGACGAGTGTCCCCACGTAAAGAGTTGGTTTCCTGAGTTGACACACGCCGAATGTCTGGGCCCACATGCGACTTTGCTGACTGGGAATGACGAGTCCGAAAAGTCGACCTGCATCGGTGAAGAGTGGTGACAGGGTGGAACGCCACATTGCCCATACATATTTTCCCCCAGTGACCACACTTTTCCACTCTCGTCGAGGAGCAGCGCGTGACGATCACCCGTGGCAACACTGACGACGCCATGGATATGGCGAAGTTTCAAGAGAGTAGGGAGGATGAAGTACGATGGTTCTTGCCTTTTGCCTAGGCTCAGTAGTTCGCCGTACGTGCGATCCCCCCAGCCATAAACGGTTCCGGAATCAGATACCGCCAAACCGAAGCTCTTGCCCAGTGCTACCTGCCGTATTCGGGTCTGGTCGAATGTGTAGAACAGCTGCGGCTGCTGGATCTTCTCCCCAGCGAAGGAGAATCCCCAGTGGTATAGCGAAGTGCCGCCATCGCACGCACAAACTGTTAGAGTCTGGTTCACGCTTACAGTTCGGCACTTCGTCTCGCTGCCCATGAAGGTCAGCTCTCGGGGACTGCAGGTGGTGAACCCCTCCTGGTGGCCCGCCACGTCGTTGCGTCCCCAAGAGAACAGGTTCCCTCCAGAAGCTATGGCCACGCAATGGTATGCGCCACAAACTACCTCTGTCACTGTAGGTAGATCCGATATTGGCGTGGGCGCTGTAACGCGGCGCAGAGACGCACCAAGACCGAGCTGCCCGTAATCACCACGCCCCAACGCGAAAAGCCGGTGGCAGCTCGACAAGAGCATCATATACGACGGACCACATGATACGCTTGCGATACGGATGTCCGGTAGCTGGCGGTATATGCTCGGCTCCCACTCTGCCTTGGCATGGGTTTTGTCGGCAGGGTCCACTGCCGGGTTATCTGCAGCAAGCAATTGCATGACGCGACAAATAGACACCTACTTCCCCATATGTATATAACCGTGCGAAGATCTTTGTATGCCGGTACTCGGTGGACTGCGCATAATAGCTGTTTACACCTCTTGACCTACTCTGGCCGGTCGTGATAACGGATTGCGCCTCGACGGTGACCTAAAACGATGTCAACGCTTGGCTCAGCTGCCTACCTGGTTCACCGTGTTGTACGCCGCAGACTTGCTCCAGATGTGCGACGGCTGACATGAAGACGCAGCCATCGCTTCCGCTCATAGACGACCTTCGGCACACGCCAGTGGACACACATCAGCTCATCGGCGACAAATCACGCCGAGATTACAACACACCATCTACATTCATTATAATTATATATAAATCCGCTCAGTCACATTGAAGAACCTTCCAAACCTGCACGTCACCGTCCCGCGACGACGATCGGAGGGCAGTATCTTAAGCGGATACCCCTCAAAAGCGACGTAATCACGCATATTTCACATCAAATCCGCTTGGCGATGTAGCTGTCCAGCTGTATCTGCCTTCCGAGAATGCCATCATTGCACATCCTGCCACCGGCCGACCGACCCAGGGCTCAGTAGGCAACGGCCCTCAGAGCAGCGTCGTAGGAGATTCTGCCGGTAGCGTACTGTGAAGATTGCAGAAAACAGGCTGCGCCTCTATGAAGAATTACTACGCCATACTAGGTAAGCTTCACGGGCTGGAGGCACAGTTGCTCAGACATCGCGAAGACAGCGACCCAGAAGGAGATCAGGAGCGCGTACATACGAAAGGCCAAGCTGTACCATCCCGATGTGAACTCCACCCCGAACGCGGCGGCCAGGTTCAAGGAGGTCCAGGAGGCGTACAACACGCTGTACGACCGGGAGAAGAGGCAGGCATACGACGCATCTCACGGTGGGTGGAAAAGTCTATGGATTCTTCACTCGCATGCAGCGTTCGGGAGCGCTTCGTCTGCCTCTGGCGGTAGAACTGCCTACTACTCCGGAACTGGCGGCCGGGGTTCGCGGTACCACCCTCACCACGACACTTCCAGCAGCTTCGAGGATCAGTTCCGTGCGGAGGCCGAACAGCTGCGCCGCCAATGGCATGAGATGGAAACCGATAAGTTACGGGTGAGTTCACGATCCGATATTCTGACATGATGCAGCGTGGAGCTGAAAAATTCAAGACCACGTTCACCAACGATGGTTTCCCGGGAGGTGTCCGCTTTATCCACATCTTCCCCTTTACATCGCCCTATAAGCTGAGGTTCATTTTCTACCTGCTGCGCAAAATCGCACCGCTCATCATCCTTCCGCTGTCTTTCCTGTTTTTCTGCGCTAGTGAAGTAATGTGAGTCCCTAGGTGTGACTATGCAATTAATGCAGGTCTAATATCGCTCGAAAGAATGCAAAAATCCACATTGTATACGACTCCTATGGTAGGTTTTAGTCGTGTTATCATGCTATTTCGTGTTGCGGATGATAGGCTAAGGTCCAGTGGCCGACAGCATATGCATTCTATGAGATGTTGCTGAGGCGGTAATCACAATTCGTTCAGGTCGTGCCTACACATACGATGTCCACGGCCGCCGCTGCAGGTAAGTAGCCTCAGGTTCTGACGTTCACCCTGGTACAGGTTGCCAGAATTCGACCGGAGGCAGTGAGAGACTGCAGCCGGGCACACACCTGCCGGCCATGGGCCGCAACGCGCGAACAAATGCGCCACAATAAAATACTAAATTATGATAGTCGAACAGTAGCTCTACATTGAGTGACCGTGAGCCATGGCGCCGCCCGAAAGGGCCCAGTCTCTGCTACAGAGGATCCTGCGCCGCTCGCAGAACACGCCTCGCATCCTCTGGTGGCAGGCGAGCGAGATTCTCTACAAACTGCAGCGCCGCCAGCGTAACGACGTGAAGCAGCACCCCTGTGTGGCCACTTGGTAGGTGTAGCAGCATGGCGGCAACGCCGTCCAGCCTAGGGGATAACTGTCTGTAGGCACAAACTAGTCCGCTGTATGCGCCGCTTTCCGCACAACGCCACATCACGGTGCGCAGGAGAAGCCTCCCGGCATTACCAGTGTACCGTCAAGAACGACGTGAGTTTATCGCTTTCTGAAACTAATTGTTGCAGGGCTGGACAGCCGAGGACGGGGTTAACTATGCGAGGATTCTCGAATCGTAGGTTTCGTTGCTTATGATTGCACATTGATATCAGTTTTGACATCTTCGACACACGAAAACCGACTGTGTTCACCGCGGAGGAGCTGCAGCGTAGCGGCATCGGTAGGTGTCCGACCGATGGATTCACAAACATTAATAGCGGTGACCAACAACTTTGTGCCGAATAAGCGATTCAAGTAACATCGGTAGATTCTCACGGGCGTTCCCGTTCACAAACACACGCCGCAAGCCTGCGGCTCACTAATATCGTACACTTTGCCCATGCTCAGGGGTCATGGCTGCACGCCCCGGTTTTCGGGCAGATCGTTGAAGTACTCGTGGCACAGGGCCTCTCTTGCCGAGATGCGCTGGAAGGGGTCCAGCTGTAGCATTTTGGAAATCAGGTCCACTCCTGCGCCACTCAGTTTTGGGACCTGCAAGGTATGGGTCACTCAATAGAGGGGCAACTTACAATAGCGCTCCACGGTTGGCGCTCAAAAAAACCAAAATCGGGATTATAAGCGGGAAGCTCAAGGACTTGTGGCCACGTTATGATGTCCGGGGAGCCCAAGAGCTTGAATATTCGTTTCAGCTGGTCCTGCTCGGATACACCTGGGAATAGGGGCACGCCGTTGATCATCTCTGTGCAGCGTGTTGTGTCGGCGTTACGCGAACTAACCTGCAAAGATGCACCCTACGCTCCATATGTCGACCTCCGTGGAGTATTTCTTGGAGCCCATTAGCACGTCGGGTGCGCGGTACCATAATGTCACGACCTCGTGCGTGTAGCTGCGCACTGGAATGGCGAACGCCCTGCCATCCATGAAGTTCATCATTAGCTCTGTAACCCACCTTGCGAGCCCGAAATCTGCCAGCTTCAACACTCCTTCACGGTTGATTAGTAGGTTCTGGGGTTTTAGGTCACGATGCAAGATGCGATGGTCGTGGCAGTAGGCAACCCCTTTCAGAAGCTGGTACAGGAACGACTTTGCTGTTGAGGATTCGAGTCCACCTAAAAGCGCAGTTAACGATATATTCAGGAAAATAGCGCATCAATATATAGGTCACAGCATTGACAAGGCAACCAAGTTCTAATGCCTCAACAGCACGCCCAACCCGAATACATATATTGCATCGACATAAGTGCACCGGAAAACAAGATGCAACGCCAAAATACCAACCAAAAACGTGTTTAAGATCGTGAACCGGGTGTTACAAAAGACAGATAAGACCTACCGTCGCAGACATCTAGGAGTTTCTTCAGGTCCTGGTCGAGGTACTCGAAGACCAGTGTCAGACACTTGTCGCTGTGGATAACGTCGCGGAGCCACACGATGTTGGGGTGGTGGAGCTCTTTGAGGAGGCTAATTTCGCGGATTGCTGCGGCATCGTGACTGAGGCTGCGAGACGACTACCTACCGGTGCTGGGAATGCCTTCGTCCTCCTCCTCGACACGTATGTTCTTCAGCGCAAAGATCTCACCGTGGCTATTCTGCGCTTTGTACACGACACCATACGTCCCCTCCCCGATCTTCTCCATCTTGTGGTACCGCTTCATCTTGTCTAGCGACATCGGCGGCGCGGCGCGCTGCCAAGCTTCAACCTGCGGTGCAGCGCGGTCAGCCGCCTACAGTCACCGCTCCTCTCGCCGAGGCGAAAAGTGCCGGCAAAGGAAGTCGGAAGCCGCGGAAGGTTGACGGTATTATTGGCAAGCTCGCTCCGGCAACCACGACATCACAGCAGCCGCCTCAAATACCGGCACGGTATGCAATTTATATCACGTTGTTAATTCGGATGTATTAGGCAATTTGCCCTGCGCCTCACACGTCTCGATGAGCAGTGCGTAACGCGCAGTGCCATCGTCGAGCACGCGCAATGCAATCGATACGCCGCTGGCTCCGCCTGGATCGGTGACCAACGTACATAAGACCCTGCAATAGCTAATCACGGAGATTTCGTCGGGCTTAAGCTACTTCAGCGTAGCATGTCTTTGCTTGCGTTGGGCCTTACTAGCTGCGGCCGCGCCGCGGCCCGCACACGACGTCGTGTCACCGTGGCTCGGCAGCCTTCTCGCCACTGGCGCACCGTGTAACTGTAACGCCGCACATACTTACGCAATTATTTCGCACCTAAGTTTCGCCATTAGGGTGAATATAGCCGTTCGGCCACTGGGTCAGCGGCGGAGGGGTCCACCTGTGTCAATTGCCGAATTCGGTCCCGCAGCGGCACGAAACCCGTGACCGACAGCTGCTGTGCGACTCGCCACAACTCGATCTGATCAAACATGATCCGGCGGTTGGTTCACCTACCAGCGCCGTCAGCGGCGGTCCTTGCGTCTCACCGGTGAACGCGTAGCGGACCACTGGCAGATGTTCGTGGCCTTCAATCGCGTCAAACTCTTCGCTATGTAGCAAATCATTCATCAGTTTGTATAAACACTGTCCCACATCGCTGTTACCAGTTGCATGGTAGTTTACTCCAACCCACCTGGCTGCGACGAGCTGTTGAGCCCACTCGACGAACGTGTCTAGGAACTTCTGCGATTCGTTGTTCAGGAAGTACCCTCCATATCCTGCAATACGCCGTGTGATTCTATTGCATTAGAAGTCCAACCATAGCTGTCGGTGCCCACGAAGCGTGGAGGCTTGTAACGCAGCGACGACTCGATCACTGACACGAAGTCCCGCATCGTGTCGACGCCCTTTTTTAGCGCTGGAGGAGCCCCCATTACTAGGCTTAAGAACTTTTCTGCTGGCATAGAAAGATTCAGGTCCGATGCCTCCGATAGGAACGTCCGTAGCTGGTCGACGAAGGCGAGGTAGGGCAGGCCGGTGATGTAGTTCCGGTTGAGCCATTTTAGCTTGGCCATGTCGAAAGATATCGGGGCTCTGCTCAACAGGTCGACGTCGAACAGCTCTGCCAGCTGATCGAAATCACGGCATTCAGGGTCATCGGAATACTTGGTGCCCAGCATTGCCAAATAGTTCACGATGGGCAACTTGCAGATACCCAGGTCGCTAAGAAAGGGTGAGGTGGCCATCTTGGGAACATACCGCAGGTCTGATATGGTGACTGAATCTTCAGATCGCTTCGCTAATTTGGTGAGGTCCTTGTTCCGCATCAGTGCGCAGTGAACATATGTCGGCAGCGCTGTGCCTACGGCGTGCAAGACGCAAGTTTGCCTGGCAAGTTTTACATCACTTCATGAAATTATCGCTATTTACCATTGCGTGTTGGTCAGGTGGTCGACTCCCCGAATGACGTGGCTGATTTCGTGGCGGTGATCGTCCACGGCACATGCAAAGTTGTATGTCGCGGTGCCATTTGACCGCAGCAAAATGATGTCCTCGTTAAGCTCATCGTTGCTACGCAGACGTATGTTACCATCATATTATCCTGAACTCACCGAAGGCGAACGGTGTATTGCATTCCACTGAGTAGTTTTGAATTCACGTCAGCCGCCTCGAGGTGTGAGCATTGCTTGTCGTAGCTGAGTTCGATTCCTCGTTCTTTTGCCTACGCGACGTGTCTAGCAACGCGGTGCTAACTTACATTCTTCCTCCGATTCTGTACCTCCTCTTGTGTGCAAAAACAACGATACGCCTTGCCTGTCTGCAGCAGCAGTTCAGCCACCTCCCTGTGACAACGTATACACCCAGTGACGCATCACGAAACAAACCTGTAAACATCCTGTCGCTTAGATTGCTGATATCCTTCCGTCTTGACGTTTCCTCCTGGGCCCTCATCCCAGGAAAATCCCAACCATCTGAGGAGGTTTGGTTAGACTGCAGTTGCAACCAACTTTAGGTCCGAAATGATCGTTTCGAAAGATCCGCTCTCCTCTCGACTATCATCAGTATCATCAATCCTCAGTATGAGCGTGCCACTGTGCTTGCGAGCAAAGAGGTAGTTGTAGATGAAGGTCCTCAGATTGCCGACATGAAGCCTTCCAGTAGGTGAAGGCGCAAAGCGAACTCGGACGTCCTTCGGCGAGTCCTTATTCTCTGCAGACACAGAAGATACGTCGATAAGATCTTCATGGTCATCGGAATCTACATCGTTAACTGCACTAAGAGGCAAGCGCGAGGAAGGTTTGTGGACACATAGAGCAAAGGCCGCATTTCGGAAGACAATAGCATTTCTGTTTAACGACACAAATGGCTTATTACGTGCAGCACATACAGAATCAACGTATATACGAGAATCCGTTAAAATGGCGGTCAAAACAACGAAGCTAAGATACATTGCTTGCGCGGCAACTCATTGCGCGCGCCCGTTTTGCTGGGCATCAGCCGGCCACTTTGTAAGCGGCGCGCGTGAAACACGTAATTGGTACATTCTGCGGCGCCGAGCGCCAGCACCTCACGCCTAAGCCAAAACCGGACAACGCACGCAACGCGACACACTCAGTAGAAGGCACCCATTAAGATGAGCTAGCAGCAGAGTTCTAATGCACCTAAAGGCGCAACGTTTACTTCTTGGAGGCCTTCTGGGCTGACTTGGTGATCTTGGCAGAGGAACCGGGCTCCTTCTTCTCGACGCTCTTGATGACACCGACAGCAACGGTCTGCTTCATGTCACGCACGGCGAAACGACCAAGGGGAGCGTACTCCGTGAATGCCTCAACGACCATGGGCTTGCACGGCTTCAGGACGACCATAGCGGCGTCACCGTTCTTGATGGTCTTGGGGTTCTCCTCAAGGGCCTTACCGGTACGCTTGTCCATACGGCTCGTGATCTCGTCGAATTTGCACGAGATGTGAGCAGTGTGGCAGTCAACGACAGGGGAGTAACCGGCCTTGATGGTACCAGGGTGGTTCAAGATGATGACCTGGGCGGTGAAGGACACGGCGGCCTTGGCGGGGTCGTTCTTGGAGTCAGAAGCGACGTGACCAGTGCGGATGTCAGAGGTGGAGACGTTCTTCACGTTGAAACCAACGTTGTCACCAGGGCTGGCAACATCGATAACTTCGTGGTGCATTTCGACGGATTTGCACTCAGTAGTGATCGGGTTGGGGGCGAAGGTGAGGACCATACCGGCCTTGAGCTGACCAGTCTCCACACGACCAACGGGGACGGTACCGATACCACCGATCTTGTACACACCCTGGAGGGGAAGACGCAGGGGCTTGTCAACGGGCCTCTTCGGGGGCTCCATCATGTCGAGGGCCTCGACCAAGGTCTTGCCCTTGTACCACGGCATGTTGGTGGAGCGCTCAACCATGTTGTCACCCATGAAACCGGAGATGGCCACGAAAGGCACCTTCTCGATGTTGTAACCGACCTTCTTCAGGTAACCCTGAACTTCCTTCTGGATTTCGCTGTAACGGTCCTCCTTGTAGTCGCACTTGTCCATCTTGTTGATGGCGCAAATGATCTGCTTGACACCAAGGGTGAAGGCCAAAAGAGCGTGCTCACGGGTCTGACCTTCCTTCGAGAAGGCAGCCTCGAAACCACCAGCCTCAGCGGGCACGACAAGCATAGCGACATCGGCCTGGGAGGTACCCGTAATCATGTTCTTGATGAAGTCACGATGTCCGGGGGCGTCAATGACGGTGTAGTAGTACTTGCCAGTTTCGAACTTCCACAGGGTGATATCGATGGTGATACCACGCTCACGCTCGCTCTTCAGCTTGTCCAAGACCCAGGCGTACTTGAAGGAACCCTTACCCATGTCGGTAGATTCCTTCTCGAACTTCTCGATGGTACGCTTGTCAATACCACCGAGCTTGTAGATCAGGTGACCAGTGGTGGTGGATTTACCACTGTCGACGTGGCCGATAACGACCAAGTTAATGTGGGTCTTCTCCTTCGGCATCTTGTTTAAGGTTTAACGATAGCAAACCTGCGCACAGTTAGCTACGGGTCTAATGGAGTGTGACGCACGACAATACCACAAAATGGCCCATACACCACGAATCACCAACCAAGGCGACGCAGCATCGTTGCGAAACCGTGGCCTACCATACACACGCAAAACGGCCGTCCACGGACGCGCCGTCTAAACCATCACACCCACACGTAACACAAAACGGCGATGCTACGAAACTTACAATATAATAATATTAGTTGAAGATGAACGTTGCCGGTATCAAGCTAGACAGGCCAATAATTGATTAGTGGTTTGGGCGCAAAATGACACGTCATATGGCAGTTGTGGTGCTACCCCGCTTCACTGACGCCTCATATTCAGTCGAACGGTCTGTCGCCTTGCGTACAAGAGGTTATAACATTTATTTATCGTTTAATTAAGGCAATGTATGCCTTTATCGATTCGTCTGTGTGTCGTGTCATAGACGCTTCTATACGCATATGACATGAGTCGATTGCCCAGATTTGACACTACTTCTTATTTTAACGGACGGTACGACAGCGCCGTGCCATTTTTATAATTCACTCATTTAGATTGCGACATGTTACAAGTAATGTGGCGTTCAGTATGCTTTCTGGGATGCCTAAAAGACGATGTGCGGCACGCCTCAGCGTAATCCCACGTTAGACATACAAACGTTGTGATGAAGTTGCAATGTTAGTTATGTGTATTAAGCGTATATAAGTAACTTCGAGTTATCACAGCATTCTGCCGCGAAATTGCTCGCGGAATGTGATTGGCGTGTCACGAAAAATTTTACCACAACATTGCCGGCTATTATATGCACAGAACGTTCATACACTTTTGTGTAAAGCGATGCATCATAAGTAAAAGTGTGTGGTCTTGCTGTGCCTGTTCGGTGAACGGCGCGTGAGATGGTCTAATGCGATAATATAATACTGCTTTTACACATTAAACAAATGACAATGGTACTGCTAAAAAAGGTGTTCAATGAACATCCTGAAGAGTAATTCGGTTTCATCCGCTGTTACCACTATATACCGGTTTACGGCGATATTACCCCACTGCATCCTCACGCCGTATATTGAACGGAAATAAGTCACTACCATTCACTCGCGCTCTGCCGGTACCAGTTTTATAAAACGCAGGTACAATCTAATTGATTTATATTGTAAGTTTCGTAGCATCGCCGTTTTGTGTTACGTGTGGGTGTGATGGTTTAGACGGCGCGTCCGTGGACGGCCGTTTTGCGTGTGTATGGTAGGCCACGGTTTCGCAACGATGCTGCGTCGCCTTGGTTGGTGATTCGTGGTGTATGGGCCATTTTGTGGTATTGTCGTGCGTCACACTCCATTAGACCCGTAGCTAACTGTGCGCAGGTTTGCTATCGTTAAACCTTAAACAAGATGCCGAAGGAGAAGACCCACATTAACTTGGTCGTTATCGGCCACGTCGACAGTGGTAAATCCACCACCACTGGTCACCTGATCTACAAGCTCGGTGGTATTGACAAGCGTACCATCGAGAAGTTCGAGAAGGAATCTACCGACATGGGTAAGGGTTCCTTCAAGTACGCCTGGGTCTTGGACAAGCTGAAGAGCGAGCGTGAGCGTGGTATCACCATCGATATCACCCTGTGGAAGTTCGAAACTGGCAAGTACTACTACACCGTCATTGACGCCCCCGGACATCGTGACTTCATCAAGAACATGATTACGGGTACCTCCCAGGCCGATGTCGCTATGCTTGTCGTGCCCGCTGAGGCTGGTGGTTTCGAGGCTGCCTTCTCGAAGGAAGGTCAGACCCGTGAGCACGCTCTTTTGGCCTTCACCCTTGGTGTCAAGCAGATCATTTGCGCCATCAACAAGATGGACAAGTGCGACTACAAGGAGGACCGTTACAGCGAAATCCAGAAGGAAGTTCAGGGTTACCTGAAGAAGGTCGGTTACAACATCGAGAAGGTGCCTTTCGTGGCCATCTCCGGTTTCATGGGTGACAACATGGTTGAGCGCTCCACCAACATGCCGTGGTACAAGGGCAAGACCTTGGTCGAGGCCCTCGACATGATGGAGCCCCGAAGAGGCCCGTTGACAAGCCCCTGCGTCTTCCCCTCCAGGGTGTGTACAAGATCGGTGGTATCGGTACCGTCCCCGTTGGTCGTGTGGAGACTGGTCAGCTCAAGGCCGGTATGGTCCTCACCTTCGCCCCCAACCCGATCACTACTGAGTGCAAATCCGTCGAAATGCACCACGAAGTTATCGATGTTGCCAGCCCTGGTGACAACGTTGGTTTCAACGTGAAGAACGTCTCCACCTCTGACATCCGCACTGGTCACGTCGCTTCTGACTCCAAGAACGACCCCGCCAAGGCCGCCGTGTCCTTCACCGCCCAGGTCATCATCTTGAACCACCCTGGTACCATCAAGGCCGGTTACTCCCCTGTCGTTGACTGCCACACTGCTCACATCTCGTGCAAATTCGACGAGATCACGAGCCGTATGGACAAGCGTACCGGTAAGGCCCTTGAGGAGAACCCCAAGACCATCAAGAACGGTGACGCCGCTATGGTCGTCCTGAAGCCGTGCAAGCCCATGGTCGTTGAGGCATTCACGGAGTACGCTCCCCTTGGTCGTTTCGCCGTGCGTGACATGAAGCAGACCGTTGCTGTCGGTGTCATCAAGAGCGTCGAGAAGAAGGAGCCCGGTTCCTCTGCCAAGATCACCAAGTCAGCCCAGAAGGCCTCCAAGAAGTAAACGTTGCGCCTTTAGGTGCATTAGAACTCTGCTGCTAGCTCATCTTAATGGGTGCCTTCTACTGAGTGTGTCGCGTTGCGTGCGTTGTCCGGTTTTGGCTTAGGCGTGAGGTGCTGGCGCTCGGCGCCGCAGAATGTACCAATTACGTGTTTCACGCGCGCCGCTTACAAAGTGGCCGGCTGATGCCCAGCAAAACGGGCGCAGAATCACTGTTGTTCGTAGCTACCTTGTACTTTATATACTAAAAAAGTGATTTGCCGTACGATCCGCTTTACTTTGAACCGAATAAATTGTGTGGATTAAAAAATACTGCGATTGCAGCGGTAACCTTCCCTAAATATCTTCTGTTCCCCATTTGTCTAACGGGAGTTTGCTCCTTATACCGCGTTGAATCTGCGGCGAATACAACCCGCGAATAACACTACACACTGTTGGATATTTCCACAAAAAATATTCCAACTCATCACAGCCGAGCACAGCCGGCGCCTTCGTACACATTTCGGCAATGGTTGCCTCGAATACATAAGTGACACGCGGAATCTAACAAAACGAGCACCATGGCACGTGAAAGTGATTGTGATTCGATCAGCAAGCGCATGAAGGAACTCGAGGCGGATGAGTTCCTCCTGGTGGAAGACGAAACTAGAACGGTGAGTTGCACAGACAATACTTTAACGCTGCCACATGGCTGATACTCACAACGCGGCAGAGTTTGTTTCCTATCCGCTATCCACAATTCTGGGAATGGTACAAGAAGGCTCAGGCGTCCTTTTGGACGGCGGAGGAGATCGACATGTCGTCAGATATGAAGGATTGGGAGAAGCTAACTGATGGAGAAATGCACTTCATAAAGAATGTTCTTGCCTTTTTTGCTGCCAGGTATGCAATATCCTGAGAGATACATTTACGTCTGCAGTGACGGGATCGTGCTTGAGAACCTTGCACTGAGGTTCCTCAGGGACGTTAAGCTTCCGGAGGCCAAGTTCTTCTACTCGTTCCAGATAACCGTCGAGAACATTCACTCCGAAACTTACAGTCTGTTGATTGAGCAGTACATCAAAAACGAGGCGGAGAAGGACAGGCTCTTTAGGGCCATAGACACCATCGATGCTGTGCGCGACAAGGCCGTCTGGGCGGCCAAGTGGATGACAAACGATAACCCGTTTGCGGAGCGTATTGTAAGTTGTTCATTTTAACGGTACTTGTGTGGTGTATCCGTTCTTTTGTGCCTGTTTTATGTTGACCATGGTAGATGTTCACGCAAGATACACTGGGCGTATTGTATTACAGGTTGCTTACGCCGCTGTTGAAGGTATCTTCTTCTCCGGCAGTTTCTGCGCCATCTTCTGGCTCAAGAAGCGCGGTTTGATGCCGGGTCTGACGTTCAGCAACGAACTCATCGCCAGGGATGAGGGGCTGCATGCCGACTTCGGATGCTTCATCTACAAAAACCTCAAGCACAAGTTGCCAGAGGACCGCGTTCAGCAGATTATCATGGAGGCTGTCGCCGTAGAACGCGTATTCATTTGCGACTCGCTGCCATGTGACCTCATCGGAATGAATTCGGGTTGGTCGGCTGACATACATGCTATATGATTCTCGCAGTCGTGATGACGCAATACATTGAGTTCGTCGCCGACAGGCTACTTCAGGCACTCGGTGTGCCCCCAGTGTACAAAGTCAAGAACCCCTTCGACTGGATGGACCTGATCTCGGTTCAGGTAAGAATGTGCAATTCGTCACTCATGGCTGTTGCAGGGTAAAACTAACTTCTTCGAGAAAAGGGTCGGCGAGTACCAAAAGTCTGGCATCATGGCAAACGTTGAGGAGCAGAAATTCGCTACTGATGCGGACTTCTGAGTGTTGCGTAGGCAATGCAACAGCCACATGTTCAACGGTGCAGTCTCATTATAGAGGTTTGCGCCGCAGCATACATTTAAACGTGCATTAATGTGGCATTAAAATCGGTTGGTAACCATTCGTGTTCGGTGGAGCTCTACAATTGAGTTGTGCGTTGTCGAGATGTGTACCGCGATGTCGCGCTGTCTAACATGGTCATTGCCACCACACATCGACGTTGCAAGCCGCCACATGCGTTAATAATGCAAGCATAATTAGCGCCATTATGCGATGCTTGCTAATACGCGCTCTGTTGGCCGCACGGCCGGACTTCCTCTGCCGTGGAAGGCACGGGCTCCTTTACGCAAAGCGCAACTTTTGCGTTGAACGTGCCGTAGACAGGGGAAATAATACATTAGATAGTCACCTCAGAAGTCTTGGTAATGCGCAGGCGCGGCAAATAGTGGCTCAGATTGCGCAGAAGAACCAATACCTTAGGACCTCGAAACCAGCTGTCCTCACCGAAGCACTAGAACGTGCCAAAGCTGAGCACCCCAGCTGTGTCATAGTGGCACGTTGCGGAGACACTTTAGAGGTCCATGGTACGGATGTTGCTCTGTGTATCGAGTACTGCGGTCTCCAGCCGACAGGGATTACACCGCATCTCGAAATACCACCTGACAGGTTGCCGCATGCCGTTGAAGCGCTTCGCCGCCGTGGCATCGGCACGGTGATGTATGATTTTGTCAATGCATTGGAAGCTGAGTCAGAAGACGATGAACGTTTGATTCTGCGAAAGTCACTCGTATTTTCGCATGAAGCACAACCAAGGGATGGTCACGTGACATACGACCGTCAGAGCGCTGATGCAAAAATAAGTGGAGGTGCGATGGGAGTAACACACAACAGGTTGGGATATAGCGTGTCGATAATAGATCCGGTAAAACGTACAGTCGAGATTAGGGATCGTCTCACCTTTGCGTCGGCACTGTCGCTGCTCCAGTCAGCAAACTGCCGGGTGATCATCTTCCAAAATGGAAACGCGCAAGTAAAAAAACTGCTGTCACAAGTCCCAAATGCGATACACTATGAACCCTTGCAGGTGAGACATACATGATTCCCGAATTAATAGATTGTTTAGGGTCATAGCAACTCTAAGGCCTTCCACGACGCGGCCTGTCGCAGCATTAAAATGAGGCTGGAGATGCGTGGAGGATTCAAGGTCGTTAACAAGGCCATTTCGAATATGGAACGTGGTTCCCTCGACCTTGAAACTGCCTCCGTGTTGGGGCTCGGTGACAGCGGTGGGGCCGGTCCTGGCACCATGAACGGTCTGCACATGCAGATGTTACCGTCTAATGCACCCCTTTACATGAAGCGCTACATGAGGTTCATGCTGGCGCATCCGCCTCCGGCAGACGTAGCGGATGACGTGAGGTACGTCGTAGGCAAGCTGGCACAGATGCAAGTACCCCTTGTTGACGCCAGGCCTGTATCGCCGTCTAAAATAAGATTTCTAATCTCGCAGCAAATGGTAAGCCGAATGGTACGTATGCACATGTATCATGTATACAGGTGGATGTAACATCTCTGCGCGAAATCGAGGAGGCCCTCAAGGGGTTCACATATTACGCGAAGACGCTAGCTCCTGCCATATCGAAGCGAGTACACGCTATATCCATTGCGGATCTCAACCTCAATTACAAGCTTGCGCAATTGCTATCGGATGCGGAGCGTTGCCTACAAATCATCGATTCAACGATGTCATTCCCACATGCAACCGAGGATATGGAATCGACGGGAATCGACGCCATAGACAACCTTTTCAAGAAATCAGTGAGTTGCAGAGACATATGGTGTGACATTCATATAGGAATCGTGCATGAGACACGTAAATCAAAACCTCTTGTTGAGGGAGCGCAAGCAAGTGGACGAAGCTGCCTTCCACCTCCTGAAGGCAATCGCCCAAGAATACATGTCAGTTCCGCAGTTAGAAGATTTAGAAGTCGATACGGTGGCGAATCGGCGTTCATTAACTGCATGTATACGGAAACATTTGGAAAGCAAGGTAGACAACATCCCAAACCTAGTCGTCAACGACCACTTCGTGCTTCTTAAGTCGATCACTGACTCACCGGACCACACCATACTGCAAACGACAGAGGTGGTTATCAGTTTAAAATTGGATATAAAAGCTCATGCAGACTGTTGTCGCCAACAAGCGAGTTAGGGGATACACGAGCAAGCGCGTGACTGAGGAGCTCCGCAATTATCGCAACAAGTGTGCCATCGAAGAGTCCAATGCCAATCAAACCCTCAGGCATATCGTTGAAGCTATAGCGCCTTACGCTCAAAGTATCATAATATGCTCGCACTTCCTGGTTGTCATTCAGACGCTGGCAGGGCATGTGGGTATGGCGGTGCCGAAAGGCTGGAGTGTGCCGACGTCCTCTAGTACCGGGGAACTGTTATTGAAGAAATTCACGCCGGGATTCCTGCCGCAAGACGACATAATTCTGATAACAATGAAGCTTAACGGGACACATGTTTTACTGGGACCTAACAACTCAGGTCGGAGCACTCTCATCGCATCAATTTTGGGGGCATGCATATCTGCCCAGAGTGGTGGGTACACAAGCTCAACAAAATAAACAATCTGCAGGTCTGTATCTACCGTGCGCCAGCGGGTCAAAGGTGCCGAAGTTCACAAATATCATATATCATTCGCCGCTGAGGTACAATGGCACCGGGGACATCTCGGCCTTCGAGTACAACATCAACGCCATTGAAGACATCATCGCAAAGGCTGATAATCACAGCTTGGTATTAATAGACGACTTGGGCGCACATTTGGATGCATCTCAAGCAACAGGTATTTGCTTTGGAAGGTTGTTAAATTTTGCACAGCTTTTGTCGCCGCCGTCATTCAGCGGCTGATACAGAAGGGCTGCGCCTCCCTGATTGCCACCAACGTTGGACTGGAACTCCAAAGACGTCTGTCGAATGCGCATTTCAACAGCATTGTCATGAACAACGGCAACATGTTGCTTACTGAGTCACAGTATATACCTACCCCGTTGAAGCATGCGCTCGACAAGAGTGACTTCCTGGGGAAGCTTCAGGAGGATATGGATAGATTTGTTACGCAATCGAATCTAGAAACATCTACTGTGGATCTATGTACGCATTCTGGGAGCTCTAACACACGCGACCCAACGACGTCAACCGTATCACAAAAGAAGCGTGCATGCTTCGAAGAGCTTATACGGGAGATACCAACTGAGCTGAGGGAAACTGCGGACATAGTGTATGAGTTATTTGATGAACTGTCTACGAGCTCTGTCAAAAGTGGCTTGGTGCACATTGCAGCGGGCTGTACGCCGCCGCCCATTCTCAACAATGCGCCTGTAACATATGCAATCATAGTGCCTTTTACGTCGACGAGGAGAAATGAGGAAGCGGGGTTGCAGGCTAATTCCTACGCATGTTTCGCCGAAGGAGAATTTTGTGCTGCGGTGTATGTGGGAGAGACAGGAAACCTAGACACCAGGCTGCGAGCGCACAGATCGAAACCGCTGTCTACGGTTGATGAGTACATGGGCAAGACGTACATGAACCATGAACCCGAGATGACCGCATATCTGCAGGCGAAAAGCGGCGTTCCGCCCGAGAAATGTAAACTGTTACTCAATTGGCAGGCCTCTCATGTTTTGGCTGCAAAGATGAACACAAGAAGTGATGCGAAAGTGTTCGAACGAAAACTGATAAAGAGGCTCTACAATTACCAAAACAAGCTAATACTCCTCTCCCAACGTGACGGGGTGTATCGGGAATTATCAGCTATTGACTGAAACATTATTTCACAGGTTGGCGCGCAGCGTCTTCGCCACTACATCTTCAAACTCAGGGCAATTTATCATGCCTCCGATGGTGTACAGTGGGTTTGATAGCACCATATTGACGAGTAGGTCAGTGTATATGGCGCTCATCGTCAACTCCAGGTTAGCCACCTCGGGTGATGTGATGCAGACAAGCTTGTACCCTGCACATCATGCACAACACATGCGTATCACGCACCAGTGATAGTTTCGAAGTAGTGGATCTTGAATGTAGACGTGGCGCAGACGTTAAAATAGGATACGGAAAGTCCGTTAGGCCGCTCCAGCTCGTTCGTCACGTGGATGGTCTTGCAGAAGGAGCTCAGCCCTGCCATAAAACCGACAAGAAGCTTCTCGTAGTGTGGGTTGTACTCAGCAAGCTCGTCCGCTACTTCTGCACTCTCCGTTGGCGATCTTTCCCCGTCATTCCTTGGTGACGGCTTGTCGCGTCCATTGTCCAGCATCATACACCGCTTCACCGCAGTGACTACCGCGTCACTGCAGAGATAGCGGTGTATGCAGCGCTGTCGGAAGAATATATGGAAACTGTGCAGCTCCGCCATTCCGTGATCCCGTTAAGGAGTCCTGTGCTGACGTCTGATTAATGATGAAGTAGCAGACACATTGACCAATAACAGCTAGAAACCGCGGTTTTAATGCTTGTAACGACACTGTCGCTCGCCTCAGTGCTCTATTTCAGCTCCCAGTGAGCCGAACGCCCCTGAGACGTAGAGTGGAAACATCAAGCTGCCGACGCTAATTTCACGCGCGTTAGACGTGAGAAGCGTCCACCAATAATGGAAGTTACATACCAAAATATGCTATAACAAGTGTACAGCGACTATGTGTCGACGAGAAGGCGCCCGAAAGATACTCGGAGTCCCCATTCGAAGCGCAGCAGCACTATCCATCTCCATTCCACGGACGCCCGGCCACTTAATCGACCAGACTTATAAAATCACACTCTAAATTACCGCCTTGTAATAAACTTCAATCCAAGGCGCGCGACAGCTACATCTAGGCGGACGGAAACTTGTAGAAAGCAGGAGGCCGGCAGCGCCTCTATCAGAGTTCGGCTTCTTCGCAGGACTGCATTTTTAAAACTACGGTGCTAGGCTTCAGGTTAAAACCTCGAAATTTTAACGCAAATCGTCTAACACGGTCGCACGAAGCCGGCGCTTCGACCTCGGCGCCGTCACTAAACGCGACAATTGTTCGTGGGCGGACATGACTATTCCGAGTTAGGTATCCATCGGTATATCCTGAGCTCAATCATGGTGTTTAACCGTACCGTACTCCTATGCAGACCAGCGTCAAACTTCAGATACGAGTGCAAGGCCCTCGGCACAGAAGTTGCGCAGGATGAACATTAGGGAGACTGCACAGTCGACAGCCACAGATCTCGGGTGCTCTTTTGAAGGATTCCTCCTCTCTCACTATGAAGAGATCTACCATGAGAGGAGGCTGCCCTGCGTGGTATGCAAGAAGATGGCAGCATCATCGTACGTCTACGAAGGCCAGAGCATCGACTGCCATGGCAAGTGCCTCGCATTTGTCCTGTTCTACTACTTCATGCATTGCTACGATGTGGCCGTTCCGGCAAACGGGCAGGAGGAGGGCCAAATGCCCAACCTTACGAAGCTGTACGAGATGCCGTTCCAACTGCTCAGCGCCGCCGAGTACAAAAGGCACTGCGTCTTCTGTGGAGCGAGGAGCGCCTTTTTCAAGTGCTCCTCGGAGAACTGCCTGAACCACTACCACCTGAGTTGCAACACGAACGCGACGATTGTCGTGCACCACGGCAAACCGGACTCCAAGCAGCCCTGCTACAGGTTCCTCTTCTGCCAAGTACACATGAACAGCTACGAGGTGGACCTCGTGAACTGCAGGTTCAATTCCAAAATATCGCTGCTGGAGGAGTACGAAATATTGAAGGAGGGAAATGTGCCGGTTAAGGACCCGACCCCGAGCGAGCCTCCGACGCCAATGCCGTCTCCAGTCTGTACCAGCGCAAATTCAAGGGCCGCAGCGAAAGTGCAATCACACTTGAAGCTAGAGAGGGTGGACAAAAAGCAGATGCTCATGAAAGGGTCGATTACAGCCCGAAAGACGGATGATCCTGGGATGCCCACAACGGCATCCAACGAAGCGAGAACGGACAGTACCAACATAAACTCAATGCAGTCTCAAGAAAGGCTTGGTCATTCAAAGGACTACATTGCATGCCTGCTCAACGAGTACGGCGTGCTGAAGCGCCATGGGTACCAAAAGAACACGAAGAAGTTCGACTGGTGGCCCTACGAAGTCCTTTTTAGCAAGATAGGGCCCGACCTTTTCAGCAACATCGCACCACTCAACAACGGCCTCGTGGAGCTGTACAAGGACCTGAGGAGCGTCCTCCTTTTTAACAAATGCGTCGAATCGGTGATGGACTTGAGGAAAATGGCCCTCGAGTGTGAGCCTTGCGTGATGAACATTACAGGTTCCATCTCATCGCAGCTGAAGCAAGACGCGAAGCCCGTACAGATGCAAGGCAGCCCAAATTTGAGGTCTGCTCCGGTGCCGGCACATGGTCCATATGATGCGGATGCCGAGACTATGCAGCAGGCGCTGTATAGTCAGAGCGCGCATGTTGCTCCCGGAATCAACCTGAATCTATCGCAAAACAATGTAGAGCCCCCATTGCAGCTGGGATTTTGCCAACTATTGGGGCATCAAACGCACAGGCCAACGTTTGTTCTTGCCAAGTTCGGAAGCCAATCGGTATGGCTATCGACGGCCTACGTCAAGTCGAGACGAGACGGCGCAACGAAGTTGGTTTTGCTGGATTACATCCATGCGGGATCGCTCGAATACGAGTACCTAAGAAGAGTCTTTAGGTCAATATATTGTCCTCCATCGCAATTAAGGGCCATACCCGTGCTGGTGTCCCCAGAAGTTGACGAGACGGCCGAAACCTATCCCGAAGTCGAAACGATAAATTTGAGTGGGTTCTGCTGGGACATTAGGCCGTCAGTGACTGCCTACCTGAAGAACAGGCTTGTGGCATCCGATGTACCTGCTGACGAAGCCGGCGTTGTCAATGACGAGGCCCTCACAGGGATCATAAACACCGACCAGATTGAAGAGGATGCCCTGTTCAGTGACCCGCTCTCCGTGAAACAGCGGTGCTTTGTCACTAATCAGGCAAATGCGCTCGTAGGGGTGTTGAAGGCGGTGAACAAGGCAATAGACGAGCAGAAGGCGAAGCTGCACCAGAGTCTGATGGTAGAACATGCGTACAGTAAAAGGATACATGAGGACAAGTCGCTTGTGGAACAATATACGAAAGTCGCAACTCGTATGAACAGGTGGTCCCACTTCAGGCGCGCTATAATGCAGGCCATTGAGGCATTCAACAACTTCCTGGTTGTCGAGTCGAAAGCCGATGACCAGCAGAACAAAAACGAGAAGATTAGGGCGGATTTGGTGAAGGATACGACAGACAAGGAATTTTGTTCGGTGTGCCTAATGTCGGAACCCGCGCAAAAGCAGATGATGCATCAATGCAGCCGTTGTTACATACGCGTGCACTTTAGGTGTTACGTGTCGTACAAACCAACCACTGTGGAGCCCGTACAGGGCCCCGTGAAAACGGAGGAGACCGTGCACGACTGGTTTTGCGACCCGTGCGAGTACGAAGTGCTCATGAACGCAAACAGCAGAGCTGCGACCTACAACAACGCAGTATGCTGCGTGTGCTACAGCAGCGGCGGTGCGATGAAGCGCGTTTCAGAACACGTGGCGAAGCGCAATGCTCCAAGTATGCCCGCAAAGTGGGTTCACCTTCATTGCGCAGCGTTGTTGATGCCCAAAGTCACATGCCATGATTGGATTGACCTGAACAAATGGGACCTCAGGAATTCCAACGCCGCGACGACAGAAAAATGTTCCATTTGTACGGTCAGCGGGGGTATCATGCTGCAGTGCGCCGAAACAGGGTGCAACAACAAATTCCATACCACGTGTGCATGGGTTGGCGGGGGTTACATCGTGGAGTCGCCCCTCCACAATGCGACCGACCTGCCTGGAATGGTCAGGAACACCCTGTCGTTCAACGAGCTCTTCCCTGCTCTATCCCTTCGGATGTTGTGCGCGGAGCACACGGCTGAGCGTTTCGGTGATGAGTGAGTTTAATCCTATCTAGATAACATTTATTTGCAGAGCTGTCACAGCGTTGATGATGAGACGGTGCTACGCGTACACGCACTACCAGTACTCTCCCCAGAGCACGACGAACGACCTGAAGGGCACAATATTGCCTTTGAGGCCGTGCCCCAGCCATATCATCGTCACCCGGAACGGCGCCATGCACTCGACACCCATGGAGGGCATTCGCCCCAAGGAGGAGCCGGCAACGCCGGAACAAAAGGCGTTTGATATGATCCCCAAGCAGCGGAAGCTGCCGATGGCTCACGCTATGCATGATGTGATGCCCACGCCGGCGAATCCGCACGGAGTTGTCATGAATTCACACCACCCGGGGATGATGATGGTCAGCTCTACGCCCAGTGTTATGATGAATTACCCGCACGGGATGATGGTTAACACTGCGCCGGGCATGTTAGTCAACAGCGGGCAGCACATGCTTATGAACGGTGGTCAGCATATGGTCGTCAACACAGGGCACCATATGATGATGGGCGGCGGTCACCCAATGATGGTGAACCCGCACCACCCGAGCATGATGAGCACCCAGCACACGATGATGCCAAGTGGTATGAGGAAGCCTACGATGACTCCGCTCGTTTACGGTACACAGAACGCGTACATGAACGACCAGCCGCGATACGGAGTGAGCGCGATTGCTTCGCACCTGTCGGGGGGAGGCTACAACCAGCACATGTCCCACACCAACGTGAACCATGTGGAGGTGCCGATGCACCACGTCATGATGCCATACGTCGCGCCGATGACCACCGTCCCCATGAATGGAGGGATGATGCCAGTCGCACAACACCCGCAGTACCACCATAACGGATATGCACAGCCTATGCAGATGGTTCCCAAGTACTGGAACCCGCGGGTAAATCAAATGCAGTACAAGGATAAGCAGCAGCCCCCCGACAACTCTTACGTGGGCGTGGGAGGTATGGGATACATGGAGCAGTGAGGCCGGTCGGCCTCGCTGCGCTACCGCCATCCGCAGCACCTATTTTTTCCAGCTGCGTGTGGCATCGGGCACCCCAGGTCAACGGAGACAGGGGTTCCCATGTGTCTCATGAAGCTGACTAAGTTTTTATTTTACTAATTTTTGTTCCCTTGACTTCTTGAGTGGCGAGGTGGGCAGGCGGTGTGGCACACCTGAGTTATGTCGGAAGATCAGCCCTTCGCTTAACCCATTTATGCATACGTCTTTAGTGTAACTAAACCAACCATAGAAGGCTGGTTTTGCTCTGCACAGCTTCGGATTCGTCTAGGCTGTGGTGCACGTTCGAGTACGCGCGTCACACCGCGCTGTAGCGGGTGTCTTCTGCCGAAAAACGAATGCTTCACTCTTTCTTTAAATAGACGCAAACACTTACGGCTTTGATCTAGCTGTATAGCATCTGGATGTGCTCTAACAGCCGCATGGCACAGGTCACACAGTAAATGTTCTGCTTACCCTTTAAAAGCGGTAGTCTGAGGTTCAGTGTTTCGAACTTCCCAAAAATAAGTTCTTTCGCTAATACCCAAGTTGCTAAAAGGATGACAACAATGACGGCGGTTGAGACTATGGAGGAAAAGAAACCCGGGCATGGTGAGGTTCGTTCCACAATGAGCCACTTCCGCAACAAGGAGGGCATGCTCATCAGGACGTACGCCTCTATTGTGCCTGACGCGAAGGGTTCCATTGTTTTGGTGCACGGCAACCGCTGCCACTACAGAGCGGAGTTCGCCGCGTACAACCTGCGCTGGTACCTAGACACCTACAAGATTGGCGACCCGAATGTGAGCGAGGTTGTGCAGAAGGAGCTCCAGGCGGTGTTCCCGAAGGGTGCCGCGAACGTGCTTAAGACAGAGGATTCGAAGGGTGAGAAGGGATTCGCCATTGATGGGCAGAGCTTCTTCGACCTTACGCCCAGGTTCGTCTATGAAGGCAGCTTCATCAACAAGCTCAATGATCTTGGCTACAATGTCTACGGACTCGACCACCAGTCCCATGGTATGTCGGAGGGTTTGCGCGGCGAGCGCAACTACTATCTGGACCTGGAGAATCTTGTCGACGATGTCATCCAGTTCATCGATATCATCAAGAGGGGACAATTCGAAAACACCGAGGAAAAGTACACCGCAGACGTCATTGGCGGGCCGTCCCAGGTTGGAAAGGTCTTCCTCGCCGGCATCTCCATGGGCGGTAACATTGTGCTCAGGGTTGCGCAAAAGACTTCCATTTACAACAAGGACAACCACATGTTCGTGGACGGGTTAATCGCTTTCGCGCCTATGTGTGACCTTTCATCCTACACCGCCTCAATTGGGAGGAAGATACAGCTGCTCGTCACCAAGATGCTGGCTTGCTGCTGCCCCGCGGCAACGTGCATGGTGCCCAATGAAAAGATCATCAACAACATGAACGCCTTCTTCAGGAACCAGGTTTGTCCAACCATGCACTTGTGGTTTATGCGTATTGCAGGATCCGCATTACTTCAAGGATACTCAGTGCTACGGCGTTATTCTGAGTCTGATAGCCGCAACCAAGAAGTTGCACAGAAACCACCGCTCCTACCCACTCAACCTTCCTACGCTCGTCGTGCACTGTGATGACGACGACACTGTCTCCGTTAAGGTAATTTGGCCCGTCAGACCTTTCAACCGTCGCAGGGTTCCCGCGTGCTTACCAGCAAACTCCTTAAGGACCACACGGACCTGCAATATGTCGAGCTTAAGGGATCTGTACACTGCCTCACTTCCGTCCTCTACGTTGACAACATTATGCCCCATGTATCTCAGTGGCTGGATAAGGTGAACGCGTGACGTGTTACGGAGCAGCATCCGCTACTCAAGCGCTTAATGGAGGTAGTCAGTCCACGATACACAGGCGAAGCTCTCGTAAAATAAATGTAAACTACACAGCTGTGTGAGCAGCAATGTCATTATTAATGTTATAGTTAGACCGTGGTCCCCGCGCAAAATATTGCAGCGTATGGCTGTGGAGTTTTACTTGGTCGTTTTGGTCCGCTTCATCAGCTTGGCACGGAGGTAGTTTTCCTCCAACGTGTCGGGCACAATAACCACTACGTCGTGGCTTAGGGGGTCGAGCGTCGTGCATTGCGGCTCGAACACTTGCGGATTGTAGGTGAACGCGGTGTTGCACGCTGGACACTGGGCGTCCTGCGCCGTATATGGTGTGGAACGAGTATGACTCCTACCGTTTGCGATTTGTATCCCTTCATCAGCTCTTTAAAGGCCTTCTCCGATATGCAGCAGCCGCACTTCCATATCAGCACGCCGCGGTTTGAACCGGTGAACTCGGTGCAGGTCAGTGGGCAGACGAAACGTCGGGTGGCATTATCCACCTGTACGTAGTGAGATGCGTCGAAGAAGACAGGGGAACATTGTAGAACCCATCACTCACCTTGAACTTCACTTCCTTGAAGTCTTTCAAACCCTTGGTGTGCTGCATGGACACCAAGGGCTTCTTAGCTAGGATGTACTCGATTATAGATTCCTTGTTGTATAAGAGACCGATCCTGCACGCCACTATTGGCTGAGAGAGCGGTTGCTGCAGCATTTTAGATCGGTTAAAAAGGTCAAAGGGGCCAATAATGCTGTGAAACCAACCTGCGATAAGCTGCACGTCTTCCACCTCAAATCCTTGATTTGTGCGCTTGTTAGGTGCTCATCCGCCGCTTTTATCTGCGTATTTGGCGAATAACCCATGCCACCGAGGTTACGGACGAATGTGTAACCGGAGGTCCGAACGAGGTCGATTCGGCCCGGAATACTCCCTCCATCGCCTCCCATTCTCGCTTCAGCCGATAGTAGAAGCAAGAAGTAAATTAATGGTTCATTTTAGCCGTATTAGGAGCTTCGTAACCGACGGAATCTCGTTCTCAATTCCCCACAGCCAATACAAAGATGCGAGGCAAACTGCCGGCAATAACGTAATGAGTCAATAAAAATATGGCCGATAATTAAGCTTAATAAAACGGGCATAAATATACTTCCTCAACTGGATCACAAGAACGGAACCAGCTGTATAAGCGTGCTCTGGATTCGGACCAAAAGAGCCACGCGTGAGCCAAGCAAACACTATCGCAACACTGGACATCTACGACCAAGATGTATCTGAAGTACTACCTCGACGCTGACGGCAAGCGTGTCTACACTATGGCGGTAAGTTAACGCGTTTGGCGCCAAAGCAAGGATGTCACAGAACGCCGGACCTAATGGAGAGGTGACGCTGACTGCTCACCCCGCAAGGTTCTCGCCGGAAGACAAGTACTCCAAGCAGCGCATAGCTCTTAAAAAGCGGTTCAACCTTCTCATGAAGTGATGATGGGTGCCCGCTCAGTTGGAGAAAACGTCTATGTTCTGCAGTCCATTTGATCATGCCGCAAGAGGCGGAGGGTCAAGTTATTGCACTTCGGAGAGTGCAAATAGCGTTAAAGGTTTGCAAATGCCGATGTGAACCCTGGAACTTAACATTTATGCTCTTCTACATAATAGTGTCGCTCCGCCAAGCATGGCGACAGCTGATATGGTACTATGCCGACAACCAACGGTTCTTATTGGCTTTGTAAGGTTCTATGTGTTGCTTTCTGTGTGGATTCTCTGCACGCACAGAAGCTCTGCTGACGCGAAACAAACAGTTCGCAGTCCGTGTCTAAATCACAGGCGCCCTTGGAACCTTGGCATGGATTCCCTATGCCAAAACGTGGCTCAATGCAGCATAAAGAGTGTCAAATAGATACCGTTGCATATTCCAAGTTCTAAAACCGTTAATTCGCTTCCGAATCTAACAACAAATGTGCAGACAGCCTGCATCTCACACATCAAGTTGGCGATGGGAGGTGTAAATTGCTCAAGCAAGGTTTACACATTGCTTCTATAGACATAACAATATAGTGGCCATATTGAATCATGGCGCAAGGAAATCGGATGGCTGGGAGACTAGCCTAATGCATAGAAGAATCCACAGCGCGCCACTGCACTTAGACACGAGCGAGAAAGACACTGCGTAGACGGAATCGCATATCTGCTGCATCTGCACACACAATAATACAGGCAATAATGATTCATCCTCGAGATAGCCAATATCCCTGCGCAAATGTACCTGGATTCCCCACTTGGTCAAGGGGCGCTCCCGCTGGAGACGAGCGGGGTCCCGCGAAACATGCGAATGCTTTTACATAGTTAGACAATAAACGTACACCATTCACTAGGTACACATATTCGTCGGGGTCACGGATGTAGTGCGAATCCTTACCGGATGTTTGCGACGCTGTCGCGGTTGTGGAATCGCGCATTCGACCCCGCTTTAATGGAACTTGCGTGCACCGGAATACAACGGTAGCCCATCGCATATGATATAGTCGACGTAAAGGACTTGTCTTCCGTCTGGAATCACGCCGTGGCGTCGGTTTCAGTCCCGGGCCACAAGCACAAGGGACACGCAACGGCACGACGTTGCCGACTGATGTACAAAAGGTCACGCCAAAATGTCGTACGAAGGTGAGAGTAGCTGGCTTATCGAGGTGGATCCGATGCCCTTGTACGAGAAGAACACTCCCACTGGACCAGGCAACACTCACCGCACGGGGACGCTGCACATGGCCAGCGTTTCCACGGGTCTAAGCGAAGATGGAGACAACTCGCCCGATACTTCTGCGCCATTGGATGTAAGTCCATGATCCTTCTGTCTAAATGGGTGCAGGGCAAGAAGAGTATGCAGGAGTATATCACCGAGATATCGCAACTCAACAGTGCGATAGACGAGTTCTCCAAAATCATACAGACCCTGGCGTTGTTCAAGTACTACATAAGGAACAGGAAGGGCAACACAAACGTGGAAGGTAGGCCTTATTGCGTCCATTACATGGCTGATCAGAGCTCCACAAACGCTTCAACACCTTCTCCGTCAAGTGCGCCAACAAAGTTCGAATGATACAACAGCACGTGAACACAGTAAATCGCGACAACCACTACGCTATGTCACACCGAGAAAAGTTGGGGTTCTCGTATTCGGATCTCAGGGCCAGGTTCAACATGCAGGACGCTTCGGTGAACAGGCTTAAAACGCTGATGGAAACCTATCAGTCGGTCATAAAGGAGTATACTGCGGCGGCAAAGACCATCGACGATGCATCTCAAGCTGCCACGGGCGCAAACAGCGCACCGGCCCCGGCGGCTGCAGTAACCGTCGCACAATCGCTACCGGAATGCAATGAGGAGGCACTGATTGACGAGCTGAAATCCAAGTCGAAGGACATCATGGCTCTCGAAAAGAATGCTAAAGACCTCAACCAGCTGTTTACGGAGCTCAATATGACTATAAAGAAACGCGGGGAAAACATATACAACCTCGAACAGCAAATACTCCTCTCCGCAGAGCAGATCGACAAGGGAAAGGAAGATATGGCGATTGCTCTCAAAGCGAGGTGTGGACAGGTTAGTGGATGCAACGACTTCAGTTCTGTATGCTTTTCAGGGCATCTACTGGGTGTGCGTGCTGATCGCCGCTGCGACGTGCCTTCTGCTCATACCGTCACACATCAGAGAGGCTGTGTTTAGGACACAGTAGATGTTTTTAACTGTATACTGAATATCGTACTTATTTAGTTCGGGAGCTGAGTTACTGCGGCAGCAGCCGCTGACGCTCGTGCCACTCCGGAATGTGTACTGTGTCGCAATTGCGGCTACATAGACACGTGCCTATAGAGCAGTCAAAATGTCGCCAGTAGAATTGCCGTATACCCAGGTGCTCAACTGGGTTATGGCCCGAAGAAAGACACCAGATGACTGCCACAAGAGACTCCTAGGTAGGCAACTGACGGCTGTACGAAAACACCTCTACAGCGTTGGAGGATCTTTGCAAAGAGTTCTTCAAGAAGCATGCTAATCTACCGGAAAATGTCAAGCAGCTGCAAAAACATGTCCTCTCTGAGTACACGGAGTGGTACGAGGTACTAACGGAAATCACCGAAAAGTTAAAAGAGGTAAACGGCTGTAACGAAGCTTGGTGGACATCCTGAGTAGGTTGAGGACGCCGAAAAGGTTAACTTTCTCGGACAATATACCTTTGAGCCCCTATACGAGGCCGACAAGATACTGCGGACCTTCCAGAAACACAACCTCCAGATCGTATCATACTGCCAGCTTCTCCAGAAGCATGTAACATACAATGTGCCGTCGATCAAAAAGTCCATAGAGACCGTGAATAGAGAGGTATTATTAGCATGTCATTGTTTACCATCTTCGCAGCTCCTCGACTTCAAAAACCGGAAGGCAGATTCGACGCGGAAGTTGAATAGCGGCACAACGGAGCTGCGAAACCGGCTTAAAGTGTACGGTATTGACCTTGATGAGTTCCCGTTCAACAAGGATTTCAAAGTCCACATCAAGGTCAGGCTCATTGAGGCCATTGTGAACAAAAATGCCAATGCAACAATAGAGAATTACCGGCGAACGGTAGAGCTTGCCCAGCTCATATGCTCCGAAATATTGCCCGTGTTTGTGTCTTTTATCAGGTTACACGGCATGGATGATCTCTACGCTGCGGGGGATACCATGGCGAACATTAAGCAGGCTGCAGAGTCCGGGATGGCCGTAGTGACCTCTGATGGCTCCAAAGGTGTGTCGCTTACGGAATCTCTGATATGATCGTAGGCGATTCCGATGAGAAGCCGGAACAAGGCGAAGACGCCTCAAGCGACTGCGTGATACAATTGGTAAAGGACAACGATCAGATACCCCTTGACGAAGGGAAGAGGAAGCAAATTTTTGATACAAACCTGGGGAACCCCGCCTTTAGACAGCTAGTTATGGGGGAGGTTATGGAGTTGCGAACTTTTGTCAAAGTTAGAATTGACGAAATGCAAAATAGATCTGACTCGGCCAACTACCTCTTCAGCCAGGCCGGTGACAAGATCAACGCGTGTGTACAAACGCCCGTTTCAAAGGTTTGTCAGTTATATTTAGTGATAATCCGTTAGTACGAGGCATACCTAAAAACTCTGGACGAAGCAGTCGAACTGCTCAGCGGTACGGAAGCAATGAAGGCGCTCAGCCTCCTCAAAAACAGAAACGAACTGGACAAGTGAGGATAAATTTGCACTCCGAATATCGTGTTTACAGGTTCGCACAAGTGGAACTGGATATCTTCAATCGCTGCTGCAACGAAATCGAGGAACAGGCGTCGTTAACGAAGCGAATCGAAACCACTAGTGACGCGGTAAGCCACAATCTCGAACCTTGAAAATGCGTGCACAGCTCCAGAAACTAGCTGCCGAACTGGAGACTGCAAGGGCGACGGTAAGGAGCACAAAGGCAAAGCTGGAGAAAACTGCCGGCGATGTAATGGGCGAGCCGCTCCGGATATTCGGCGAAGTCGACGAAATATGACACGATAAACACACACAACACGTATAATATCGCACACAATCTGTTGAAACTCAAGCATTAGGGCCTCAATGTTGCGCGGAGAAATCGCAAAGCACCTTAGGCGCGAACAGCGGTGCTCTTCTTGATCAACCTCCTCCTCTCCTTGTGGGCAACCATGAGCTTGAACCTCTCGAAGTCGTTGAGGTTCTTCCTCCTTTCGGCAAATTCAAGACGCTTGCCCAGGGGGGTCTGCTTGAACGCGTTGATGGCGTCCTGACTCTCAATAGCCTTGGCCAGAGCTCCAGTCTTAGCACCGCGGCAGAGAGTGATTTTGGTGTCAGTCAACTTGATCCACGTAATGGGCATCTGTTGACGCTCGACCCTGACGAGGAGTGAAACAACACGGCGGCGCAAACATACCCAGTGACCTTGGTGCCGTCCACCAAAACTCTGGTGCTGGTGACAACGTCGACGATAAAGCACAACTGAAGCTCATTATACTAAATACAACACCTTTAACCTACCTTGCCGGCGTCAGGGCCGTAAGTGATGAGGCACAGGCGGCCTGGCTCCACAAACTTCGTGAAAAGCGGCATTTTGTTTCCTGAAAAACGAGTGTACAACAACTAGTATCAAATTCATTTTTATGTAACAGGCAGCGCCGCAATTTTGTAGCCGCCGTATGAGGACACCACCCGTTTACCAGGGTGGCTCAACAATACATCGCGATAACGACACCAAAAACATACCCTGAGTCCCTTATACAAATACGATGGAGTTTCTCTGTGCTTCAGAAATTAAATGAAGTTACTCTTATGTTAATCAGCCCCGTCTAGGCCCAGATGCTCGGTCCCCCTCGTTGTGCAAATAGCGCGTGGGGGAATCCGGCGGTGGAGTCGATGATGAGCGGTTTGGGCCGTTTGTAGTCACACAGTCAACCTTCTACCCAACAACTTCTCCGGGGTGTTAATGTGTTAAAATGAGCGTGGTAACAACCGTAGGTGGCCAACCGGCGCTGCTCAGGAGGAGCACGAGAAGGTCAATGCCATGACCACCTTAAATTGCGGTTATGCGGCTTCATATACCTTCTTAATGTTGCCGTATTCATGTTGATAACGGTAGTTATGTTTTTTGGGCTATCAAATGTAAAACGTCGCTCAACGCGCAATCAGCAACCGATAAGTCCACTGTTATGCAAACGTATCCGCCTGAATATGGGCGATTGTGAGTCTAAGTGAATGTTGGCTAAAGGGTGTTGCTGTGTAAAATTACAGCGTCTGGTCTGCTTTTCTCTAAGCGGTTACCCCGAGTCGTGTGTGTCCATCTCACCGTAAAATGTACATTGTAACGGGTCTATGCGTAACACCGCAACGAAATAGCGACGTTCAGTTGATGTGTGATAGTACCGTTTGATATAATGGAATTTTAATGCTTGTCATTGGCCCTACACCTGGCAGTACACTGTACCTGTCCCGATGTCTTATCGCATTGATAACCCATACATGGTCGACATCGCAGTTAAACCTATGCAGATGTGTGTTTAATCAGGGTGATTCCAACACCCTGCGTGTACACCCTAGGTGTGAATTACAGCGATGCTGTCCCTCACGTTCGCGCTAACAGAGGGACACACATCTCAACCATGGCGGAGAATGTAGTAAAATTTGGCAATGGGAAGCCTCTCTCAGCATTCCACAGCCAATTGAAGGCCTTCGAACTCGCCGTAGCAAAGGAGGGTGAGAGACGCAAGGCCGAAGAGGATCAGAAGTTTAAGGTAGTGTGTTGAATGATGCAAGTGACACTTCGTTTAGCACATCATCCAGCAAATCACAAGACTTAGCGCTGATCTCAGGCTCGAAGTTCAGGAAAGGCTAGATGCGAAAGAGGCTCTGCAGAAGGCAACGTTTGAGGCGGCTAATAGAATGCTCAACGACCTCCAAACGAAACTTACACGAAGGGTAAACTCAATTGCTGTAGGTTAAGCAACGTATATGAAGTGGAATAATTGTCAGGAACGGCTGGACGCATTAGTGGCCCGTTGTGCATCTGTTGAGGGTTCAGTCAACGATCTGTCACAGCGAATAAATCAGTCGGTAAGTGGAAAGTGGACTGCATATCACACATTTGCAGTTCGATTTCAAAATGCTGCAAAATGACCTCAACGAACTGCATCGAAACATCAAGAATGATATTGCCGTGAAGGTTGAGAAGGATACATCCTTAGTGAACAAACTCATGCACATGGAATACGCGATTAAATCGCGGCTCAACGACATTGTATTCTTGGGAAACGAGAGCCTGAAGGAACTGCGTGTTGAAATGATGCGCCTATCAGAGTGGGTTTCATTCGTGCAGGGTCGTTCATAGAATATCAGGTGGATTGCCTCAGACGTCGGTCCCATGTCACCACAAATCATGGAGGAAATAAATACACTCAAGACAGCTATGGAGCTTGCTACTAAGGCCAGGAAGGAGTCTGATGAAGGGCTCTTTGAGGTATGATTGTCTGCGATAATACATCAAATTGCAGGCTTTTGAGCAAATCGTAAGAGTCTTGCCACGCAATATACAAAATGAGGCCAATGGCTTACGTAGAGTTCACACCTCTGCACAATGATTAGTTCATAAATCGTAAAATTTTCAATCACTGTAAAATCATTCAAAACATTATGCCCTCAATTGTGCTTTTTCAAGTTTATTATTGGCTTGTGCGTGGCGCCAGGGGGCACCTCGAAATCATCATTTCGTAGTTGCCAATACGGCCTGCGACAGCTTCGCAAAGCATACGTTGTATTGCACTGCGAAGATATAAGGTGAAGATTGAGCCGCTCCTTGTTCCATTACTACAGTTGATCTAACGCGGTCGAGCAGTGGCACAGTAGTTTCTAACCGACATCAGTGGGACAACTAAAGTCTATTCACAATCTCATCATAGTAGCCGTTTTTGCGTCTTAAAGGCATTGCCAATCTCTTACCTGTTACAGAGACATTCATGAGGTATTATCACACTTTCCCAATTTCGGATGGATACAGTGCACGGCAATGGAACGTTTAAACGTAATTCCACATGGCCCTTATTAAACGGCATTGCAACTTACGGATTCGGAAGAGATGTGATAACACAAAATGCTGCTGACATGGCAATGCCCATAATTATGTGTGAGGTTGCATCTGTTTTAAGCTCTATGGTGTGCCATGTGGCTACGTTTGACATGATACGACGTCCGCTCATGCTAGAAGCTCACTGTCTGCACGCCATTCGCGTTGGTTGCACGATGCGCTAGATTGGGGTTGTATACAAATCCGTCTATCACTGCATTTTGAAAATTACAAATGTTTCGTGAGAGTTCGTTGACGGCTACTCACTGGGGAATTGGCTTCAGTATCTGTTGTTTCCGACTCCTTGTACAGATCACGTACGATATCTAATCAGTAGAACGCCCAGAAACCAGAGAGGTCGTAGATAAAATCTAATATATGGGGACCCACACCTCTCAACGCTTCGCGGACATCCGAAGGAGCCAGGCTGTCGCGGCATTCGGGCGCTTTGAAGCCCACGACTTTCAATATTTCTCCCACACGCTCCTTGTCCTGAGAACTCTCCCAAAAGAATGGAATTTTACTCGTCCTACGCAAAGAATGTAGGCCTACGTATAACATTGGCGCAATCCCAACGAAGACCACTGCGCACGCTTCCGGGTCCTGAGCGCATGACGACTCCCACGTAGCTTTCGAACTGTAAGCAGACTTATACTGGTCAGGGACTTTTACATTTTGCAGGAAAAACTCACAACCATTCACCACATGAGCTAAGTCACCTGCGATCTCTTCAGCGTCAACATCCTCAGTCTGTATAATGTTCTTCAAATCGCTGTCGTACATAACCGACTGGCTTTTAAAAAACCCTGTGCACTTGGATTTATCCATAGGCTTATTAAACCTCCCCAACAGCTTGCTCACGGACCACTGACCCTTAAGCCCCTCTTGCTCCAGGAACTCCTTAGAAATAAGTTTTACCTTCTCGAGAGCTGGCAATTCTGTAAATCCAACAGGCTTGTCTGCAAGGAATTTGTGAATTGCGTCACCCAAAGCCTTCAAGTTTTTTTCACCATCCTTCCCCTTCAGAGCTATCAACCAATCGATGCACTCCTTGACGTTGCGAGGAGCCTCAGTCAACGAATTGTACACCATTTTGGAATGATGTGTTATGTCAGACGGATGTTATAATTTTGTGGATTTTGTGTTTCTACAAGCGGATCTGCAAAAAGCCGCGTTGTAATCTAGTGTACACGAAAACAGGTGCTGTTGTCTGCTACTGCGCACGCACCTTTTCAAAGTACACAAGCCAGTAAACACACATAACAGGTAAAACGTGAAGGCTCAATGACGACCACGGTGCCATATCGCAGCCAGATCCATGCCATTGATGTTGCATGCAGTATCCACAACGCATGTCATTATCTTATCCAACTTTCGGACAATGCACATGAACTTTTGACGCGTTAGTATATTTGCAATATGGGTCAAACATTGAAATTTCACGGTGGGCTACAGGTAGCAAATTAGAGAGCCTACGCCATACCGTGGTTGTCACGTAGGGAAGTGTCCTGATTACACGCAGCATCAAGCCGCAGTCATTGCCTTAGATACTCACCAAAGCACTAAGACCATGTAGAGTTACCAAACATATATTATAACCACCTCAACTATGAAGGCACTTCTGATACGCTGATGTGAATGACTTCCCATTCGGCTTCGTAGTCCACTCGTACCATGGGGTGACGCCGACTACTTGCTCAACAACTATGATGGCAAACAACTGGTTAAAACATCGAAGTACATTGTCAACTATGTTGCTAGTTTGCTGTACAAGCTCATGGATTGCGGTTGTAGCTGCGCAAGCGCGGCGATCTTGCAAAACACCACAGTATTATGTGTACCACCTCACATAACGCATTAATTCACTGCTACACCACAAACTATTACAATGTAACGATTGACAACGTAAATGCGATAATTATTACGTGATGTCGAGTTTATCAACAGGGTCATCGTCGAAGTAATCCACGTCGTTGTAGAGTGACAGCAGCTTCCTTCCGTGAGTGAGGAGCGCCTTGACATCGATGAGGTGGGAGGCCGTGGTGGTGAGGAGGTGAGATCGTATGCGCAGCACGTCCATGCGGTAGAGGAGTGAGTGGGCGATGTAGAGCGTGGCGGTGAGCCAGAGTGCGATGATGGTGAAGAGGAATGGCGCACGGACTCTGTAGAGGAATGTGTCCATGGCGGTAATGAGACTTGCGATAGGTTGTCCGGATAGCACCACTTGCAGCTTGGAGATGACATCCGAACACTTGAGCGACGACTGCCCTATACCCTCCGGTGGCGTGAATCCGCGATAGTAGAGGAGGGGCATGGCGTCGGCGCAGTTATCGAGAGATTCGCACTTGGTAACGTGATTCTCGAAATCCATGTAGAGTCTCTCGAGTGAATCATGTAATTTGTCTGCGAGATACACCGTCCAGATAAAGTAGGTGTAGGCGAAACTCGGGGAGTAGAGGCCGTAGGCCTGGTGGGTGATGGGCGTGAAGTGTCCTACACAAGAATCATGCTTTTTGCCACAACCGAGCAATGTTGATAGAGTGTTGGGATGATCATTGTCATGTTCACAAGCGTCCGCACCCCTGAACTTCTTAATGGTTTGTAGGTCTTTGGGATCAAGACGATCCCACTCGGGACACTTGTCATGTTGCGTGGAAATGGAAATTCCCAGTGAGGACATAACCTTAGTATCACCTTTGTGCAGCACTTCTCCGAAATTGTGAAAGAAGGAAACAAGCTCCCCGGTAGTGCGCGGCGTCCGCCTGGTGAGGCAGTTGAGATAAGAGGACAATGTCAGCAAGGGATCCTCACCTCCGCAACTGGGAGTGAGGATGGTGTGGAGATGTTTGCCAGTTTGCTGAGACGCAGGCAAATCGTCCTTTGTGAATCCCATCTTGACACGGCTCTTGAGGCATATGCCGCACGGGTCGAAGAGATGCGTCTTGAACTTGGACTCCAAGGCGTCGGTCAGGAAGGCCTGGAGGGGGGACGGAGTCTTGGCATCTTGGCCATATTGACAATCCTGCCAGCCACCATTGAGTTTATCCCGAGAACACTGCGACTTTAAGAAAGTCAACTGGTGGTGAGAAGCGTAGGCGTAGTCGCGCAGATGGCAGAGGAGGGCGCAGCAATCAGGGTCCTTGGATTGGTCCGAGTCCTTACGCGTTGAAGTTACAGACGACACTGCCACTCTCCAGTTAGGTTCAATGGAGGTGAGCACCGAGGCTGCGAACACGGCGGCAAGGTGGATGGTGTCGATGACATCTTTGGCGGTGATGTTGGAATTGTTGACTGAGATTAGGAGATCTGAAGGGTCATGATCGCCGCGCTTGAAAGCGTTGTTAATACACTCTTTCAGAGTTTCTTGGTGTTTCGGGTGCTGCAGTCCCGCCAGCCAAACAAGCATATCCCGTACAGTGCGCGGCGCCTCGGAGGGGAACAACTCCGTCTCGGGAATATCGGTAGGGTCATGCGTAGGTTTCTGAGTGAGCCAAGGAGCGACGCACATTTCTACTGCATCAGGAGTGTGAATATACTTGGCCGGAACACTATCCGGGAGTTTCGGCAAAGACTCGATTGGCGGGAAATTGAGTGCGACGTCGGCGGGTGTGAATGGTCCTATTGGGTCAAGTGGCTCGGCGGCCGTCGGAGGTGGAGGGTCGTCATCAACATCCAAATTAAAGTCAATATCGTTGTCTGTCAATGTCAGTTTGGGGACGTGTATGTCAATATAGGGAGTTGGGGTGCGAAGGCCTCGGAGTTTGTTCCGCTTCCATACATCCAATCCAATGGGAGGGGGTTGTGCAGGATCCAAATCGGCCGAAACAACTTTGGGATCCGGCGTTTTCACGGGTGATGTGGGAAGGGGTTTAGGCTTCAATACGGGCACTACAGAGGATGGATAAGCATCCAACACCACCCTGGGGATAGGCTTGAATGCTCTTTCAGGCACAGGCGGTGGGAGAGAAGGCAATGTTTTTCTAGTCGGATGCATGACCTGATTCCCCCCAAGTTCAGGCATTACAGGTTGAGAAAGAGCAGCCGGAGGCGCGGCAACTGCAATGCTGGCAAACACATTTAGATGGTCCTCGTTCAAACTATTTCGTCCCATTATTTGTTGTTGCGCATATTGTTCCTCCGCTTGCTTTCTCTTCTCTTCTCCCTCTTCTAGCGCTTTTTTGAGTTCCTCGTCCAGAGCCTTTTGCTTTTCGTCGAGCTCCTTACGTTTCTTTAACAACGCGTCATGTAATCTAGATGCCTCCATGGCATGATCATTAGCTTGGAATTTGTACGGTATAGTGTTACCGCCGACAATTGGATGCATTCCATAGTCATACGGAAATTGTAGTGCATCACGCGGTTCCTCTATAGGAGTTCCGTCAAAGGAGTGTGCCAAAGCAATACTTTGCTGCTGCAATTCGCGTTTATATTCTTTCAGTGCTTCCTGGTATTTACGCTGGGCCTCCTTCCTTCTTTGCTCTTCTAGTTTTTTCTGCGCCAACTGTATTTTGCCTTGTTCCAATACTTTTTCGATTCTGTCTACATCGTCATCATACTTTTTCGCGCGCTTTCCTTCGTTTTGCTCCTTCTTCCATTTCTCGTCTGCTTCTCTTTGCTTTTGTTCAAATTCTTTTTCCAGCTGATCCTCTTCTTCTTTCTCTTGTTGTGCTTGCAAAAGACGTGCGTTGTTGTAGGCGTTGTGAAAGACATCGAAACGGTCTCTCAGCTTTTGCAACTTAACCTCGGTATTGTCTTTCACAGCTACGCCGTCTGCATAACCTATAAGATTATTAGGAATATCCTGTTGAACGTCCATATTCCGCTGCCTGGGCCGCCCCTCTCCTGGGTCATAGTACTGCTTCACAAGGCCGTGAAGTCCACCAATGGGCTGATGTGATGCTCCGGGAGCGGAACGGCTGAGCTGAGGTGGGGGATTGGGAGGAGACGTTGGTGGCTCCTGAATTTTTTGCGGCTCCAAGTTCTTTTGTTGCGCTCCCTTTTTATGTTGTAATCTTTTTTGGGTATCTTCGTGTGCATCATTTAATATATGTTCCACGTTCTGCTGCAGCTTGGTCTCCCAGATTTCTTCTGTGGTTTTTTCGAAGTCTTTATCATGATTCTTGGCGATCTCATTCTGTTTCGCATTCCGTTCTTCAATACGTTTGATGATTTCTTGAGCTCTTACTTCCGAGTTTAATTTGTTTTCCGCATATTTCTTGTCCTTTTCGATCAGCTTTTTCTCTTCAGCTTGCATTTCTGCCATGGAGGCTTTTTTATTTATCCCAGCGGATATGTCATCATGTATTTTTTTATAATAAGCATCCTCCATCTTCTTCTCCTCAGGGTTCGGAGGCTCATCCACAGGACCGCCATCCGCAGGGACATCTGGCAAATTATAATACCACCATGGCCATTCGCTCCCATACATATCATGCGCAGCCGGGGATCCATCGACATCTGAGGGTGTCGGAAGCCCTGCGCCAGGAACGTGACCTACAGGTTGAGGGGAATGCGCAGCATGATCACGAACATTCCCATTTCGAGGTGTTGAAATACCCTGGGTTTGAATGTCTTGAGGATATTTTGGTGGAAATGCTTTTAGTATTCTTTCCTCCTGTGCATCTTTCCACATCTTTTCAATCTTTTCATTAGACAGAGATGAAGGAAGTGAGGTAATAGGCTTAGGTCTCTGAGATTTTACTTCACAGAATCGGCCGTTGCGCGACTTAGGATTCAGAAGTGTAGCCAGAGTACACTCTGGAAGTGGTGGAGGTGGAGGCGGCGGAGGCGGAACCGCAGCTGGCGGAGACCCCTTCCCAGGCCCTTGCGGATCCTCACCATTACTCCCACCTACACCCCCACCTACACCTCCACCAGTCGCCGGGACAACCGGCGTGGTACCGACGCTGCTTACATCTTGACCAACATCTTTACCACCGCCTTGACCAGCCCCTCCACCACCTGGTGTACCAGGCCCCTTGTCACCAGTTGTCCCAGCGCCTGACCCTGAAACACTCGGAGGCTGAGTGAGCGCAGGGGCTGGAGGGATTCCAGGCTGTAAACCTGGAGTAACACCGCCATGTGAACCCGGATCGTGGCCCTTAGCACTTGGCTGACCAGGGGGATCAGGGGCTGCAGCAGTACTGGGGGGAGTTGGTAGAAGGGGAGTCGCAGGCGGGGGGTTGAGATGTTGCTGTGGTTGTACAACTTGATTGCTTGATGAGTCCGGGGATTGAGAAGACGCCGTGGTCCCTGTACTAGCATGCCCTTGCGGGCCTCGATCACCTTTACCACCAGTAGGCCCTTGCGGGCCTGGATCTCCTTCAGAACCGGGAGACTGAGGTAAGACAGAGTCTGTGACTTGTGGTGTTGGAGGATCTTGTGCACTTTGACCGTCATTTGGGCCTGCATCCACAGGCTTTTTAGGTGGCATGACCGGAACTTTCTTCTCCGGCACAACTTCCTTGGGGGCTTCGGGGACCTTGGCAGGCGTGACCTCCACTTTCTTGGGAACTGAGGGCGGAGGTTTTTCTTGAGGCGAAGGCTCTGTTTTAGTTGCCTCACTTCTATCGGCAGTCGGCTTCGCCGCCTCGGGTCCAGGATCCTTGACAGGCGGGGGCACCGGCTTTTTAATAACAGGAATCTGGACTTCGGTCCCATCCTCCTTTAACTCTATATCCTCAGGCTCCTCCAGAAGCTCTTCATCTTCTTCTGGTTTTATATTTGGACAACTTTCACCATCCAGAATCTTTTTCAACTTCTCCAAACCGTCATCTGGTTTATTAAGAATCACGATTGCAGCACTCCATTTTTTTTCCAACAGTTCATACGGAGCCTCCTTGGTGGTAAATTGCTTGGCATAAAATGTGAATCCGTGGGGAATAAAGTTGTTGGTGAAATAAGCATGAAGGGCTTTGGACTGTTCCGTTCGCAGCTTGGCACCTCTCTTTAGCTGATTGATATTGATCTTAAGCTTGTTAGTGCTAAAAGCTTCGATGTTCTCCAGCTTCTTTCTCACCTCACGTAAATTCTTCTTGAGCCAACTGGCCATCTTCTTGGCGATGTTTTGGTCGTTAAGGAATCTATCCTCTCTTGCATAGCCTGTGAAAGAAAAATGGTTCTTGGTGAAGATTTGGCCGAGAGACTTATTAAGTGTGGCACAGTGTTTTTTTAATTCGTCCAAATTTATGCATCTATCTTTCGTGTATAAATGGCTTCTTAATTCTTCAACGCTCTTTAAGCCTCCAAATATCCTACAAAAATCTTGCACCAACCGAAGAGCGTTGGCGACGTTCGGAGTCTCGGCGCCGGATGTTGGCGGAATGACAGATGTAGAATACACGTCGAGGAAATAGTTTTGCACATTTCGACCGGCATGCTTTTCCATGATACTTTGAAGGTCTTTGACCATGGCAGAAGCCGGGGAGTAACCACTCAGATGACCACTTTTCAGCTCATTTGGAGCGAAGCCTCCAGGCATTATGCCGTACTCACTGCCGGATTGGGATATAAGGTACTTGTCGATATTGCGGGCCATAGTTCTAGCGCGTTGACCCATTTGTGCGAACAGTGCAACCCATCCAACCATTTCACTCGCCCACTCCCCTCCGCCCAGTGCTTTGAAACCTTCATCCACCTGGTACTTCAAAAAGTATATCACGGAGAGCAGCTTTGGAACACACTCTAACAGAGCGTTGAGAGCTGTTTTGGCAGTTGCTGGATTATTATTGCTCTGGTTTGCAGATTTGCATATTTTAGTGTGAAATGTGTGTACGTTAGTGAGGAAAGTGGACAGTGCGGATTCGATATCATTTTGATTAACACCTTTATACTTTTCTTTGAGAAGCCTTTCCAATCGATGGGCCACCAAGCCTTTCATAGTTTTTCCCTGACTGCTATTACGCAACCACTCCAGGAACTGAAGACAGTCCTTGAGAGTGGAGAGCGCAACTGCATTTTTCGCCATCGTGTCCAGAACTAATCGCGTACCAATCCCCTCTTACAAAACACCACTGTTAGTGCCCAGGAATGCGGTCTAGGAAACACCATTGTGGGCTCACGTGTAAGGTGATGCCACTGAAACGACGGCGTTGCCAAACCGCTAAGTTGGCTGCGTGAACAGGCTACAGAGTGAGACGCTGGGTGACAACTAAGTGCTGCATTAAAGCAAAATTAAAAGGCCGGGATCACAGGTAATTACGTATTCGCGACGCTCCGTTAACTACATTGAAAACACACGGATATAAATAATGCACTCACCTGAGGGGAGGACGGCGAGCCCAGGAACCCGACAAAGCCGGAGCCCGACTGGCGTGAATGGCTGGCGCACCACGGTAGGTCGGCATACTCCACGAGTGTTCCGGGTGGAAGGTATGGCAGCTCTCGTGACCGTGCATCGTGACGCCGCCAAGCCGTCTCCCCTCAGCGTTCTGCGACCAACCAGGCAACCAACACGTCACCTCCAGGGATACTACAGCCGCGCGTCTGGCACCACGTAGATACCACGCCCACATACATGCATGTAAACAACATGGAAAATGTATCATGCTAGCAACATTGGTGTAAGAGTCCCGGAGACAGAGCTGAAAGAAGCCTATAGAGGCCATTTTTGTATTGCTTTTACTAACAACGCATTAGCGGCGCTAATGAGTGGCACGTTTAGATACGGTTGAGGATTGCGATGTTAGTGGTCTCCACGTTGATGTCGTAAATGCAACTTAACCAGTCCGCTCTGTGGCCATCACGTCGGATGGGCCCGGCGACATTCATTGCCTAGAGCCGCACATGATAACTCACGTGTCAACCACTCACCTAACAGACAACCAAGTAACTCGCCTGGCACAGCAGTCACCATCTGCATACGTTGATGGACAACCAGTCAGCGTCACATCACACTGGCAAGATGGTACATGGTATCCTCGAACCACGAGTAACCAACAAATAAACATCTCATGCAACGAACAACTTAACGCATCGAGTAGCTTACATAGCAGATTAACCATTAGGTAGTATGATAGGCGGTTGGATATGTACTAGGTCGCGTTTTGATGCGATAGGTGAGTATGGCCAAGCAGCAAGTTGAGAATTTTGTCGGCGATGCGTTGAAGGCTGTTGTGGAGATGGACTCAGATCTCAAGAGGGATTTGAGGGCAGTGAAGGATAAGATTAAAGGAGGGATTACGGAAGTAATTAAGCAGTTGCACGTTTATGAGTTGAGTGATAAAGTGACTCAGGATTTGGGGACGTTGAAGCAAAAGATTAAAAGGCTTGGCGATGATGGTGAAGTGAATGGTCTTGTAAGTGGGCAGTTGGCTGAGCTTAATGATCAGAAAACTGATCTAGACAGGCTTGCTGGTAATACTGGCAGAATTAAGACGGAGATGGACAACCTTACAACTCATTTTGAAAGAGAGATCAAGACTCCGCTTAACGAAAGGGTCAAAGCAGTTGACTCGGCGATTGAGACGCTTGGAGGGAAGTTTAAAGAGCTGAACTCAGATGAGCAAAAGAAACTTGAAAAGATTTTCGAGCATATTAAAGATAGGGTTGCGGCAATTAAGGGGACGGCGGGAAACGGAAGTTGGGATAACTCAGGTGGCCAAGGCCTGGAAGGGATTAAGAGTAAGGTGGAGAGTTATTTTAACAACTTCACCGGGAGTAACGGTACCATGTTTAACCAAATTGTGAAAGGCTGGATTGAAGAGACTATTTTGCCGTACAATGGCGCGCTGTTGAGGATGCTTGGGAAATCTCCGGCTTACAAGAAGGATGGTGATAGTAACATCACCAACGTCGCAAATGCTTTCAAGGAACAGCTTGAGAACGACGCAACTGCAGCCGGTAAAAAGGTTGTAGACGGAAACAATGGCGCTGACGGCGACGCTCAAAAGATTCATGCATACGTCAATGCTGTGAAACAAGGTTGCGACGCGTTCGCCGATGCGCTTGATAAGAAGCTGCATAATAATGGGTTCAGTGGAATATACTCCGAGGTCAAGCAGAAGATGCAGGATAACAGTTTCAAACCCACAAAATGCATCTGCGAGAGCGTAGGCTGCGCAAACTGCGGTTGGAACAGCCACGGAACCGATTGTAAGGAAAAGGCTTTCCTCGCTGCCGTCCTCTGCACACTCTCCTCTGTCTCCCGCCAGGTCGGCAACGAACTGAATTCAGTGCTGCTCGCCGGCGAAAAGGAAAACAGCATCGCGGGAATCCTGGACGCAGTGTACGAGAAAACCAGGGAGTTTCACAATCAGCTTGACCAGGCGACTACCCCTGACCCTCCCACCGACCCTCCCGAAAGCCCCGCCCAAGCCGTGGACGGTAAGTTGGAGGCGGTGAGGGATTTCGTAGGAAAAGACAAGCTTACCGGTATTTTTTAAAATACCGTTATAAATGAACTTAGCAAAGAGGTCTTAAAACTTCCCGGCGCCGTCACCCAGTTCAACTCCACCGCCCAAGCACAGATCAAGAATGCGGCCACGACGGCGATTACAAAGGCGGCTGAGGAGATTAGCCAGGATTCAAGTAACATAGTGCTTGGGGCTGAGCTCATGAAAACGTTCAAAGAAACTCACGATAAGATTACGGCGAACCTTGAAAAGAACCTTCATACGGAAGTTCGGAAGCACATTGGGGAGGATGATAAGACAGGTGGTGGTACAGGTGGTACGATATCTGACCTTGCTGGGGGAAGCTTTGACCAATATAAAACTCACGTTGACCAACCAATCGTTAAGAGCTTTGACGATAGTAAACCAGATGACCTAAATGGCAAACTCCCACTGGCGATCAAGGCGGCTAAAAATGAGGGACTGCAAGCGCTTGGAATCATCGGTCCACAGGCCAGTGGAGCTGATAAAATAGATGCAGACACTTTCAAAACGCCGTTCCAAGAAATCGAAAAGGAGCTTAAGAAAATCGCCGATCTCATTACTGACGAAGGGTTTTCCGTCACTGGGGAACCATTCCTAGCCAGAAGGGGCGTAAAAAAGCTGTTGGAAAATCTGAGAAATGGACTTACTAAAGAGGTTCCGGGTGTCTTAACTAATGGTTTAGACGCAATCAGAGAGGCGATTCAAAAGTTGAAAACAGAGACGTATGATAACAAAACTCAGAGCATCGGAACAGCCATCGCCCTTATTAAGGCGGAGCTTGAAGTGCTTAGGAAGAAGTTGAAAGATAAAGGACAAAAGAATGATGTATTCAACGCTTTGCAAGATTTAAATAAAGCAGGTCTTGGTAAGAGTGCTTGGAATGGTAAAAAACTCAGTGGTATTGGGAAAATCGAAGAGGACCTTGGCACTGAAATTGTAAAGTTGCCGCAGGAAACAAAAAAAATCACCGAGGCCGTAAACGCAATAGGCGCTGAGATTATAAGGATAGGATTTCGGTTTAATTCATTTGTAACCTATGATGACGTTGTGGATCAGATGACAAGGTTAGCAAAGCATCTTGGTACATATAAGGGTAAATATGGAAGAAATTACACTGTCAACCTTAATAGCATTTACAAGGCAATTCAACAGCTGCAAAAAGGCCCGTTTATTACGAATCCCGACGCAATCGGTAAAGCCAACAACCTTATCAAACAAGAACTCACTACCCTTCAAGGTGTGTTGCAAGGCAGTCCAGGCGACGATGTCATTGAGACGCTGGAAGATTTGAAGGGCGATGGACTAACTGAGAAAGATTGGAAACCAAATAACAGTAAAAATGAAAAAGGCCTCGGAAAAATTACTAGTGACCTTAACACTCAACAAATTACGTTGAATGACCAACCGAACAACATTGATCAAGGCGTCAACCAAATCACCGACGAGCTTACAAGACTCCAAGGTGAGTTGGAACGTGAAGTCACCGATAAGTTGACGGAACTGAAAAGCAAGGGGCTAACTGATAAGAATTGGAAAAATGAATCCAAAAGGGCTAGAAATACCAATGACAAACTTCCTCCTCCTCATCATCCTTCACTCCACTAAGCACCCCGTGCAAGAACGCCATCACCCCGTCGCACAGCCTGTCAAGGTCTGAGTACACGATGCCAGTGCCATCGTAGCCTTTGGAATCAGGGTTGAATCCTAAAAACTTTTCTAAACCGAGACAGAGGTTATCTAATAGCTTTTTAGGATTTTCATTTTGCTTGGCAATTTCCCCTTGTTTCTTCTGAAGATCATTTATTTTGTCGTGTTCAGGACAGTGGCAAGGCTGAAGGCTTTCCGAATTTTTTTTAAGTTCTTGACACTGATTACACGCATTTATTCCTTTTGTAATGACGCTAATTGCACCTTTAATTGCGTCAGTAACTTCCTGTCCACTGCCGATAAATCCCGAAAGCTGTCCAGCAAGCGTACCAAGGGAGATACGTCTCTCATCAATATCACCTAAAGCACTCTTTCTTTTAGAGTCAGACCCATGTACTTCGGAATAATGGCCATTATACCTGGATTGAGCTCTAGATATTTTATCTTTATCTCCAGATTTTTTGGCTTTATCAATATCATTAAGAAGCGTTTGACAATGGGAGTTAGGACCATAAGGATCCTTATAGCAATCAAGTTCCTTTTGCCTATTATTAAGACTCTCAGTTGCACTTTTAATAGCATCATTAATCAACTTTTTCAAAGCCTCAGCCAAAGGCCCAAGGCCATCACCATTCCCATGCTTAACCTGTATCAACCAGTCGATGGACTCCCGGAGATTCTCCGGACAGTCCGTCAGCTTCTTAGACTGGCGCACCATTTTGAAAGCTAACTTACCGGGCAACTGTCGACGCCTAATTTACGACACCACCTAACACCACAAGACCACAGCTACACTACAGGACACATAGACGACACAAGACAACTATGCCAATTTTAAGCACACCGCCGCTACTTTCACACAATCTAATACTAATGCAAAACTCACCGCGCAAAATAGGCTTTCCCGCTCACCAATCAAGGAAGGCATATGCCTATTAGACGCCTACAGTCTACCTTTCTGGCGAAAAGGGTTCCCTAATCTGTCCCCTGCTTATTCTCAACCAATTCCTTGATAGCGTCATGCTGTGTCGTAATTGTCTCGAACGGAACGGTGAAGGTATTTTTATCTATTTTATTTCCATTGTCAGTTGGGCTTGGCTCAATCATTTTCAAAGCATCGTACACCTCAGTCTTGATGTTCCCGATCGCCTCTGGAAGACGGCCTTCGTCTTGTTCGCCTTTTAAACCACCTACAGCAGACACTTTATCTGGCACAACGTGCTTAATATATTTATCAAAATGATCTGTATTAAGTTTAACCTTTTGCTCACCACCTTGACCACCTGGCGGACTTGGCGGATCATCCTCCCCAATGTGGTCATCAACTTTTCCTTGAAGTTGTTTTTCAAGACCATTTTTAATCGGATCGTAAACACCGTGGAAATTAGTCATCAGTTTCTTAACGTCAGGATCATGACCATCCTCACTGATTATTTTAGCCGCCTCTGTAATAGCCGTCCTGGCTGCATCCCTGATCTGTGCTTCGGCTTGTTGGTTGAAAGTGGAAACGGCGCCGGGAAGTTGATCAACTTTCTGTTGAAGTTCATTTTTAACTTGGCCAGTGAATATATTTGTCAGATCATTTTGCCCTGTTCCACTCCCATTAACAAAGCTCTTCACTCCGCCGATCGCAGTGTCCACGGCTTGCGCTGTGCCTGGTTCGGGGGTGGGAGGTGTGGAATTTTTGGTCGCATTGTCAAGTTGACCGTGAAGATCGTCAGTTGCTTTTTTGGCTTTATCCAACAGGTCTGCGATGTTTATCGATCCGGTCCCCTTGCCCAGCAGCACTGAATGAAGCTCCTCGCTCACCTGCCTTGAGGCGGTGGAAAGAGTGGAGAGGGAGGACTCCACGATTTGCGAGACTACGCATTTTGGGTCCGTGCACTGCGCGCAACCTTCTGGAGTTTTGGGACCATTGCAGTTGCTGCAGCTACATTTGCATTCTTTGACGGCCTTTGCTACGGCATTCTTGAAGTCCTTTGCTTTTTGTCCATACGCCCCGACACCATCCTTCCCCGCCTCCTTGACAATCTTGACTATCTCAGCGACAGTATCACCGCTCCGATTGTCCTTCAATTTCTTATCTATCAGGTCGGCGAATTTTTCGCAATGCTCCTGGACGTATTGAATTTTGTCCGCCAAGGTGCTCCTAGGGGTGGACTTCAAACTGCTAAAAACTTGTTGGAAGTCATCGAAGTGGGCGTCACCGGGTTCAAGATACTGAGCGTTCAGCCTACTACTGATGGCAGTACCCAGATGGGTGTGGTAGCTGTCCCTACCGTCCGTGTCCCCCCACGCAAGCTGTTTCCGCAGAGATACGTGGAATTCGAAAATACTCTTCTCCAGCCAGCCTTTCACTATGCTGTTCCCGAAGGCACGCCCGCTGAACGCTTCATAATACTTTGTCAGTCCCTGTGCGATGCCTGTCAGACCTGTGGCACCATCAATTTGCCAACCATTTTGTGGCGTTCCCTTACTCCCCTTAATCTCCCAAACCCTGTCTTTAATATGCCCGAAAATTCCGTTAAAATCCTTCGGCGCTTCGCTGCCCTCATCTTTAGTAAACTTCCCGCCAAGCTTCCCAATCGCCGTATCAACTGCACTGACTTTTTCGTTAAGCGGAGCCTTGATATGCTTGTTGAAGTTGTCAACAAGCTTCTTATCTGTCTCATCTTTAATACGGTTAACAACTGTATCTAGTTTCGTCGTCTTTTCATTTGAAAGCGCCTTCAACTTATCCGTAACAAGCTTATCATTCTGGTTGAGCTCCTCAATTCTTCTCTTCAACTCCCCCAAATCACTCTTCACATTCTCACCCAACTTCATAACTTCCAAGTTGTCAATCACACTCTCTATCCCTCCTTTAATCTTCTCTTTCACACTCCTCAAATCCTTCTTGAGATCATCGTCCATCCTCACAACAGACTTCAAGGCCTTAGTGACTTCATCCTCAACCGCCTGCTTAGCCTTACTCGCAGCCTGCAAAAGTCTTGTACCATCATCTCGTAACAATTCAGCTTGCTCAAAAAGTGGACTTTTTTGACTACTTTTATCCGTCTTAACTTCCTCCAAAATTGTTTTACACTTCCCCTCCACCTTGGAAACAACATGCCCAGACTCAGATCTCAACCCCTATCACATCGGACGCATTATTGAGTCGGGGGTACTCAAACGTTCACTATTCCCCTACATTGACTCCATATCCAACATGCGCACCACCTTTCCGGCGCTTCACATCCTATCATAGGTCATTTTCTTTTTTCTCTCACCCATACCATGAAGCTGTAAGATCTAGCTGAGTCCAATGACACCCCTCTACTTCCTGTGGTGGGTGAACGAAGTCATGATGACACGTAAATACATGTCACCCTTTTAACAGGGGATGTGACCACTCATACAAGCTATAAACATATATCTGAACGATAGGCTAAGCTACCGAGTTAGCAGCAGTAATTACCACATTATAACCGATAGCGACACGGCTACCTTAATACCCAAATCAACATTGTAACATCAACAATGGTGACAAACTGGCTTAATTCACGAACAACTTGACGCGTCTGTGTTGGTAATTACTTAGAGTAATAGTTCTCGATCTGTATGGTTGAAAGAACGACACCCTTGACGGTGACGCAGCGGCATTCCAACGGCGGTGTCTGGCGCATGGTTTCCCCGAGCGCTACAAGTGAACTGTGAAATCGCAAGATGGCGAAGTAGCTGGACCGAGAATGTGCCAACGACTTGCTAATTGCGCGTACGTGATTGAGGGTACCGTCCACGTAGACCTGGCTGAAGCAGTTGGGTGGGTCCAGGAGGTACGGCGCTTGGCAGTAGAATGCAGCCTCTTTAGCCATATGGAGATCAATCTTACAGCCGAACTGAGGCTTTCCATTGGAATCGTAGAGTTGAGGTGTCTCAGGCTTGAAGAGCTCATCTGATGCGTACGTAACGCCACAGCCTTGCATATAGGGATCTGTGGTCTCGAGTTGAACGTGAATAATGTTCCATGTGTACCTTGACAACGATCCTATGCCATGGGGAATATACGGTGCATATTGATGTGATTTAGATATGTCACCGGTGATGATCGATAAATCGGACGGTTCTGGCGTCTTACCGCATACAAATGTCATCGGCACATATTTCTTGTGATGTGGGTCTTTGGATACCAAAACAGCACCTCTCCGCGATTTGATTGTCAAGCCTTGATATTCTCCGGAGGGCTCGTCGTAGGTGACGGAAAATCCCCCTGTGGTAGTGGCAAATGACTCGTTGTAAGTCCTACGTATAAGCTCTGTTCCATGTGGGGTATCGTTGACGGTATAATAGAGAACTTCTGGGCGCTTGGGCAGCCATGTAGTTGTTATCCTTTCATTATTTGCATCGTGATGGGGCTTCTGATCTAATCCACAACGCATGAACACAGTTGTGCCTACGTGGAGTATAACTGACCTTTGAGAAATGTTGTTAAGCACAAGAGATTTCGGTGATGTGAGTCCCCCACTTAATAATCCTACCTCACTCCACGGCAGCAACATGTGCGGATGTAATGGGTGAGACGGATATGCGCGACGCACATTGAAGCTATAAAAATCTTCTTTATTGTACTCTAAAACGAGTCTCGATTTTTCGTACCCACTTTGGTCGACACACATGCAAGCATAAATGAGACGCGTATTTTTGAAGTCCATTTCTAACACCTGGAACCCTCGAACAGGATAAGGTGTCACATTACGCACATACATGGGAAAGGGCATAATCCGATTATAATATAAGTCGTACCCCGTGTGTTCACAATTATCTGGTAATAATTCTTCGTTTGGCCTGCAACGAATCCCAACCTGACTACGATCCCACATGTTGTCGTATAGGCATTCATAACTATCACCTATTCCATTTCCCATGGATTTTACGGAGCAATATTCACCACCAATATATTTATCAAACAGACTTTGCGGACCTTGGTCGCAACCAACGATACGGTAGCGATGGGTAAATGCGAAAGAGACATTTATGATTGCACGTATCATATCCGGAATATATTGGTTCCTAGACTTCAATGTACAATGAAAGAAGAATGAGTTGTGCCCTCCTAGTGACGTGAGAGGTTTGTCCACATGGTACTTCAGTTTGATCTCGCCCTGGGCAATTTGAGAACGGTCCAACTCAAGGGCATCACCAGCCATGGCCTCTTTGTAGAATATTTCGTCGTAACTCTCAAGGTCATAATATTTTTTCAGTTGTCTCAGAGTTGTTAAGTCGTTAGGCAGGAGATCAGTTTCGTATTCATAGACAGATTGTAGTTGAGGGAATGGGAGGGTTGTAATATCCGCGGCAAAATTCTTGTCAGAATCTGAGTATATATCCATTTCCATATCCTCGTCGGTATAAACTGGCCTAATGTGCTCTGTTGGCAATTTTATTGTCAACGTGCTCCCCGGATGGAGGACAACAGAACACCAAGGTACACGGATGGGCTGCTGGCGGTTGCCGTCGATCATTTTTGCAATGTCACATACGTGATCGGTTTTAACACGAATCTCTATCCTGGCCTTTACCTGCCCTGTTTCGGTATCCATGCATCTACAGTAACCGTTGAAATGGGGTAATGCTAAGTCATCAAAATATTGCGCTACAACCCATGGCTTCTTGTTATATAGATTCCTATATGAATGGGGTTGCGGAACAGTCACAATGGTGTCGTTGTTGTCTAGAAGATATTTCATGCAATCATGGGGTTCGATCCGGCCTTCACAAATAAATCCTATACGCGATTTCGACATCGGATTTGCTACACATGAACGTGTTCCGGTGACGGGGTCTACAGTGACCTCATTATCCATAGCGAAAAGTGGCGAAGGTCGGCTACCGCAACCCTGAAGGGGAAGGAACGTGCCTCTTCTATTCAAGAATACCACCCCCAAACCCTTCCCTATCTTGGCTATTTCCTGAGTCAAGTGTGTGGATGGGGTCCAAGGAATTTCTTCTGTGAGACGAAATCCATTGATAAGGTCAAGGTGGCGCTGCAGAGTATCACTCAGAACCAAGTCTCGAGGGCCACATATGAAGATCAGACGGTTTTCAGTGATAGCATATATGTCATCATCGCTGATGTTGATATGCAAATTTGTCTGCAACTCTTTCGATTCCACCCAAAACAAGGCACGTGTTGATTCTGTCACTATTAAGTCGGAAACAGGAACAGAACGAAACTTTCCATTGTCACCAACGTACGCATTGAGATAACCCGACGCATCCAAAAATGGTTGAGGATGCCAGACGTATTCGGTGTCGTTGGATCGGCGTGGGCAGATCACAGTTCCGGAGCCTAATAAGCCGACATCCATGTCACACGTAACGATAGCATTTCTGCTAAGCAACCCATATGACGAGCTAAAATCACAAACAAGTGCGCCAGCAACTCTAAACCAATCTAACCATATTGCGCAGAAGACCAACGCAACTCTTAAAATTTGGGCCATGGACACAATTTTTGTATTATAGGATCAATAAAGACGACCATAAATACAAAATTGTAACATTAAAAGGTACATTTTATGAGTATATGAAATGAAAGGAAAAAATGTAATTTATAATTTATGATTCATAGGGGGAATGGATGCCAGCGAAAACCCCATAGCAGCAGCTAGCTGCCTAGATACGGAGGAATTTTCACATTGTAAGGCAACTGGAATATTCATTGCTGCAGATGGATGTGATGTCAGACCACATTTTAAAAATATAGATAAAAGAATTCCTGGTTGTTATGGCGTTACAAACTGGGCAGGGGATGCATCGCCATCTTGCTTGCCCGTAGTTATAATCGTATGGCCCACCAGACATAATACTGGCGTACCGACGGACGAACGCAAAACTATCGGGGAAATAGGGGTAACAAATAAATACGACGTAGTTGGAGTGAGACGTCTACGACTCTGACTGACCCTCGCGCCCAAAGAGGATGGATGCCATCGTTGATAGTACCTGTAGCGTACGATAATTCGACATGGATCCCGCAACCGACACCAGCAGCCTAAGGCGCTTGCATAGTAAACACCAAAACCGTCAAGTCACACGTCGCCGCATAGCACACTAAAGCAAGTCAAAACCAAAATGATTGAACTGAAACGTCGAGTAACAATCTGATTTAGATGTCAAGTACAGTCACGTTGTACTACCGATTAGCTGCACCTCTACATTTCTATTGCACCATGTATCTGTCTAACATGAAATTTCGTCGCTGCATACATGTCTATCGGTGACGAAGAGGTAAATTGCGTCGTAGACATCCTGATGGTTGACATCACTTATTACATTAGGATAAGGTTGCGCGGTCGAAAATTGTTGAAACCTTAAGGGTCAAATTTTAGCGTTGTTATAATCACGAGCACAATGGCAAACTCGATCTTGGTAACTCGACGAGGGTTGCTAGGTATTATGTTGATTCTCGCTTTCTTAAAACCATCAACTGCGCAGATCAATGTAAAGCACCCGGCAACCTTATTCAACGAGCACGTAAGGCTATACGTAAATGGCCAGCAAGTGAACTTCGATGAGTTGGAAAGACGGACATCACCGTCCGATGAACAGATATACGTGGCGAGTTCCGCATATGTGGCAACCAAAACGTTTTTCCTAAGGAGTGCCATTGCCCGATACAAAGCTCCACATCCCGTGAAACCGTACCTGGAAAAGATCGTTGGCTTCCTTCTGCACAAACTTGCAGAAGAGGGAGGAGACTCATTTCTGACATTCGAATCTGTTCAAATATGCAGAGAATACGTGAAGTCGCTAAAAGGTGTCCTTGACGGTTTCAAGTCGACGCCAACATTCAAGTGCGATGTACCACACTATTATGATAGTGTTCTACAGTTTTATGACGCAACCGTAACGATAGACAAGAGTACTATGGACACTTTGATGCTTATGTGCCAGCATATGTACGTGCAATGCTCTGATAAATTGCAAAAACTAGCTACGAAAAAAGCAGATGGTCAGCCGGGAGGAAACATCGTCACCGCTCCACCTAGTTTTCAGGGTAGCAATGACGCCAGATGCAGTGAAGAAGCCACTGTGAGCGGTGCTACCAGCTCCGTCATCGCTGAAGAGCTGCCTTTAAGTTCCCCCCAAACCATCACCGCCTCACCGTATGTTAAAGGGTCGTTGGGAGCATGGAAACCCGGACCATCGGGATCTACAGACCATCACCATACGTCCGATGAGATTTCAGAACCATCGGACGATGACCGGCATCTGAGCCGACATTCGAGTGTCAGCATGGAAACCCCAGAACAGCAGGACGACACACTCTCCTACTACTCTGCCCACGGTGAGGCAGGCGAGGAGAATGCTGCAGACTGGGACAAGTACTTCGACTCGTTTCTGGAGCGCCTCAGAATATCTCCAGAGGATGGTGAGGCAGAGAATGAAGCCAATAAACCACTGTCTAGATGGCAACGGTTACTAAAGTGCCTCCGTAGGCTTATGTGCATTTCACGCGGATCTGGCAATCAATGAGCAATAGACAACAACAGTCATGGTGGACCATGTAGCCAACAGTGCGTATAAGATACTAGTATGCGGTAACCACCATCACATCAAGCATCGAAGCAGGCCAGTTGATGAAGCGCAGCAATCAGGGTTTATCTGCATTGTTTATGAAAGTGCGTGATGCCATCATTGCTACATCTGCAAAGTTTGATCATAGCGTGACACTGTCACCTCACTTAACCTTAGAGTAGCTCATTTATCACGTTCTCCATATCCCCGGTTTATCACTGCTAACACAAGGCAACGTCCGCAAAATTAACATACATCTCACTTCTAATCTTTATTGATAACATATACGCCGATATTTATAATCTTCACGTTAATTTCACGTTTTGAAGAGGCAAAAATGTGGTACCCTGATTATATCCGCATCGGCGGTAGGGGGTCGGCGGGTTGCATGGGCGTTAACCTCTATTCTGCTTGGATTATTGCAAAAGAAACATCTGAATACTATTGTAACTACGCTAGTTGTACTTCGAGTATGAGCCCAATGAATGATTGGTTGTCATTAAATGCCCCCAACTAACTGGACTGAGCAACCATGTTTGTTGGCGCCCAATCATAGATGACCAATTCAATAACATCAGGCCTAGTTTAGTTGTGGAAATAAAATGAGACTATTGGAATCCCGCCACAAAGGATATATGTGTGCGAGCGGTCGACGTGATAAGTTTGACTATGAATTCAAACATCGTTCTTGTTGTGCTGAAACACATACTGGATGGCGATAACTACGGGTAATTTAATTCAATAACAGCCGTCGTATGAAATTATGTATGTTGTAAGATGGCAAGTGTCGATGCTTTTATATAGACATGGTAATAATGTTCCACTTAAGCGCATAAGACTGCTAACAAGGAGATAGGTTACACCGATTTGAAGAGCAACGCTTACACCATTTCTGGTCCCTAACAATGGTTTATATAATCTTCTAACACCATCGGATATCCGATAGGTGGTGATTTTAGAATATAAAGGGGTTAGTGATGCGAGTCCTAATGATGTGATTGAGGACTTCTCAAAAGGTTCCCATCATTGCCGCTAGAGAAATAGACGGCAACAACGTTGTAGTATGCGGCATCTAATTATACCGATGTAGTTGTGAGAAGGACAATAGTTAAAAACTGCTGACGCATACTGACATCCACAGGGTTGTATTATTTTGTAGCCCCGGGAGGGCCATTTGCGGTCGTGCGACCTAATGAAGACCAGCTGGTCTGATAAATTGACAAATCCGTGCTCTCCTACGTGCAATGGGAAACGTAATTGCGCACGTTACATCTAGTACGCAATACATTGTTTTAGCTTCGCGCCTCTCACAGCGCGGGACGCAGTGCCGGCTAGGGTTTTAAAGTTATCATATAACATAATATAGCACTATATTCACTCTGACATTGATTGCCGTAATTTGCTTTGAGCAGTCGAATGCTACGTGTTACCATGCCTCCTCACTGCCACGAATGGTCAGTGTCTCATTACAACTACAACCTTTACGACTACATACGTTTAACTCGTCAAAGCAATAAAGGATACTCTGACATATATGTGATACTGTAGATAGGGTACCGCACCGCTCAACTGTACAGCCTCCAGTGTAAGCTGAAAATCGCCATGCAGGGGTGTTTACAATAGGTGTGAAAGCAGATTAAATTAGACTGAGACCAAGTAATAATGTCGCCGATATATGAAAAATTTCAACAGTAGATGCGATGGCATAGGCACTTCTATTCTTTTCATCCTGATTTGTCTCATCTGGTTTATATATCCGGAACACGCCCGGGATTCAGCACGCGGTATAAGGAATGCCTTTAGGGAGGACTCAGAAGCCTACCGCATCATACCCAGCTCCTTCCCCCACCAACCTTACATAGGTCCACCTAACCGGCAACTGCACAGATAAACTGGTTCTACGTGTTTGGTCGGCCCAGCCGTAAGCCAACGGTGCTGTCCCGCGGTAACTGCACCGTGACGTTTGCTGGCTGGGGATCCACGTTGGCAGCTTTCAAGTGGCATGACAGGTGAACGTACGCCGCATACATATAGGTTATTGTTTTGGTAGCTAAAGGATATGAAGTGGCGTGATTATGGACGTGATTCAGGGCAATGCCTGGACTGTGCTGCGTGATGACCACGGGGGAGTGTTGACTCTGCAATATACTACCCGCAAACCACGGTTACTCTTCAACCTTATGACGTGTCCCTGCAAATGTAGTAAAGTCATCAGCTTCGGTGTGTGCCATTATTGCACACTTCAATGACATGCGTTGTGGATCCTGCATGCAACATCAGTGGCATGGATCTGGCACCTAGGTCGTCATTGCGCCTTCACGTTTTACCTGTTACGTGTGTTTACAGGCTTGTGTACTTTGAAAAGGTGCGTGCGCAGTAGCAGACAACAGCACCTGTTTTCGTGTACACTAGATTACAACGCGGCTTTTTGCAGATTCGCTTGTAGAAACACAAAATCCACAAAATTACAGCATCCATCTGATATAACACATCATTCCAAAATGGTGTACAATTCGTTGACTGAGGTTCCTCGCAACCTCAAGGAGGGTATTGACTGGTTGATGGCCGTGAAGGGAACCGATGCCGAAACCAACTTGAAGGCTATGGGCGAGGCAATATACAACTTTCTCGTAGACAAGCCTCTCGGTTTGAAGAAATTGCCAGCTCTAGAGAATGTTAAAAAAATTTCTAAGGAGTTCATGGGACAAAAGGAACTTAAGAACCACCCGTCTGTAAGTACGCTGCTCGATAGATTCGATCAGCCCATGAATAAATCTAAGACAGCAGTATTCTTTAAGTTCCCCTGGGTTAGGCATGAAAGCGATTATGAGAACATCTTAAAGAGCCAAGGCCTCAAACCCGATGACATGGTAAATGAGGTAGCTCATGTTATGGATGGTTGTGAAAAGTTCCTGGAGAAAATCAAAGTCCCTGGCCAGTATAAGTCTGTTTACAGTGGAGAGGCTACGTGGGAATCTTCATGCGCGAAGAACCCGGAAGCTTGCGCAGTCGTCCTCGTGGGTATTGCGCCAATGTTATACTCAGGCCTGCGGTCTTTGAAGGATGCGACCGAGGCTGCCACCCGCTACGGGAAGATTCCTAAGGCGGAGAAGCGTTTGGGAAGCTTGTTGAAAGCCGTGGGCTACGACGAGCCGGAATGCCGCCCTGGCATGAGTGGTTCAGATATCCTCAAGGCGTTGGACGGTGTCGATGTAGACATATTGATCACACTCTACGACATCGCTGGTTTCTGGGCATTCTATTGAGTGGGCATTGCCGATGCTGTTATGGCATCTCGAAGGCAACTTTGCACATTGGTCTCCAGTGAGTTGGCATCATGCGAATTCCCGAGGAGATGGACATTAAATCCCACGCGGCCCTCCCGTGCAATGATGTACGCTGGCTTCACGTAGAGCACGTAAAATTGAAATATCGCAAACACAATTTTAATCGCAATGTTGCAGCTTCCATCGCCGCCATTTGTTTCTACATGGGGAGCCTAGTATTTCTGTACGAATATGTTCTCCAGCATCTCCCACCCTTCACTATCCTCTTATGGCATTACCTGTTTCACGCACTGCCGTCTCACATTTGCTATAAGGTTGTTACCGTGTTACGCTAACCCGTAGCGTCCCGTGCTAGACGAAGCGGCACGAAGGGTCAGACTAGTATTTATGATATCCGTGCAACGCTCCTCTCTGTTTGGGGCGTCCCACCTAACCGCCATGAATTGCTTACAGTGACGTCAATGTGACTTATATTGGTGCATGATTACATTTGCTAGGGGTAGCTTGGTTTTGAGGGGCCACTAATTTGGCAGCAAAGTATTGTTATGCAACACAACCGCTCAAATCAACAAATCAAGACGCGTTTGCAATCTCGACGGCCGATTTTGCAGCCGAATCAAAATCTGGGCAAAAAATGTGTGGTATTTGGGCTTCGTGCAAAATTTTCTTTGCGGCGTCGGCTCTAGTGCCCTGGAGACGCATGACGACAGGTATTTGCATTTTTGATTTCTTTGTGGCTTCGACAAAGGAGGTTGCAAACTTGTCACAGTGGACGATTCCACCTACAATATTTACCAACAGCACTTTTGCATTGGTGTCCGACGCGACGATATCCAGCGCTTGTCCGAGCATGTCGCTAGTGGCGCTTCCTCCGACGTCTAAGAAATTAGCAGGTGTTCCTCCATGGTGCGTCAGCAGATCTAATGTGGCCATAGCGAGCCCCGCTCCATTAACAATGCAGGCTACGTTACCCCCCAGAGATATGTAGTTTAACCCGGCTTCCACGGCTCGTGCCTCTAGTTCGTTTTCCGGCGGTGCCACGGATGCAAATATGTCTTTCTGTCTGAAATCGGCATTGTCGTCTATGATGATTTTTGAGTCACATGCAACCAACTTTTGATCGCTAGTTTCCGATATTGGGTTGATTTCCAACAACAGAGCGTCATTTTTGACGAAGGTATCGTACAGTCCTTTGACAACCTTTTTGGTTTCTTCCTTGAGGCTCTCCGAAAAGTCCAGATGATCGGCTATTTTGCTCACTTCGACGTCAGAGATGCCCTTCATTGGGTTTATACCTACAGTAAGAACGGCTGAGGGATCTTTTTCTGAAACCTCCTCCACATTTCCGCCACCATGTTTTGTGGCGATGGCCATTATCGTACTGGACTTGCGGTCAAGCATGAAGGAGATATATCTCTCCTTGGCGAGGTTCAATTTCTCAGCAACAATGACTTCCTTGCACTTCAGCCCCGATTTTCCTGTTTGTTTGGTAACAAGGATGTTGCCGATCATTTTTTCGGCGGTGGCCTTGGCCAAATCCGGAGATTGCACGAGCTCAACGCCGGACAATTCAGTGCCAACGAACTTCCCTTTTCCTCTCCCTCCCGTGAGTACCTGTGCTTTCATGACCACATGGCCACATTTTGTGTTATCCAGGATTTCACGCGTGATGCTTTCGGCCTCAATCGGTGACCGCGCCAGGAGGTTCATCGGCGTGGGAATCCCACGGTCCTTGAGTAATTTCATGCCACCGTATTCCGAAACGTTGAGGAATCGCTTCGAATTGCGGCAGTGGTAGCACGTGGCAAAGCTACCCTTCGGGGCAAGCCTTCCCCCGGCCACTGAACGGGTGATAGAGAACCCACGACATGAGAGGTTGCTCATGATGCCGCACACTAGATAGAAAAATTTTGATTGTACCTGTCTCGATAGGTTTAGCTACTCACCGCCCTCCCCATTTGGCCCGCTGGCCCGAAGACCATGTGTGTAGCGCACAGGAGATTCCGAGCGCAGACAGCACTTGTTTCACAAGGGAGTGCCCAGCAGGGGCAAGACGAGCTGTATTTCATCACATGAATGTTTGTTAGGGTGTAATATACTGCTTATTATAGAGCAGGGTCCTTTATGCGATCTCAAAAGAAGTACATGCCACTGTAACCTGAGTCCTGCTGATGCTTGACTTTGCATTGGTAGTGTGCAGGTGCCGGTTGTGGCTGCGGTTTCTGCCTCAGCACCAGCTGTGGTTGACTGTAAGTAGTATTCCTTTGGACGCTCGATCCGCACGTGTTCTGGAAAAAGCCTCGCCAGGACTGAATGGGCAACCTTGAAGCTGGTTGGGCGACATGTGTCTGTAGAGCCGGTTGTTCCGCGACAGGTCTCAGTTTTGCTGCGTTCTTGTGAGTTGCAATTAGGTTTCCGAGGGCATGGGTTGAGTAGGAATTCCGCTCCTTGTTTGCGGTATACTTGGTATGCCTACCTTCATCGGCATTTTTTCCTATGGTGACAGTGTGTGATGGCTCCTTGCTGGGGTCTGGTGAACGAGGCCCCTGCTTGTGTTCCGGTACCAGTGCTGAGACTTCGTCCTTGTGCGTCCTCTCGCTGGACTTCCTCTCTTCGATGTACCTGTATATGAGCCGGCGGTAGTTTGCCACGTCATACTTGACGTTGTCACACACGGGAATTTTCACTGCCTTGGGTAGCGTAGCCAACGCATCGTTGGATTTGTGGAATGACCGGATGTAGGGATGGTTCAGGGCGTGGAGTGTGGATATACGCTTGTTTGGGTTGAATTGTAGTAGCTTCTTGACAAGGTCGATAGCATCATCAGGGGCGTTTGGGAGATACTCTTTGATTGGTTTTTGCGGAATTTTCGTGAGTGAGCTCATCATCATCGCGGTGAATGGTGAACCGAGCGACTCCATGTCTTCGTCGGTGGGCATCCCGGTAAATGCGACTACCTTGGAGAGTTGGTTGATGGTAGAGGACCCGGGAAACAGCGGTTTGTTGATGAGTAGTTCCGCAAGGATGCAGCCGATCGCCCACATGTCGACACCTTTGGTGTACTTGGTACTGCCCACCAGTATCTCGGGGGCGCGGTACCACCTGGTGGCGACGTAGTCAGTAAGAACAGGCGCCTCATCGGTGATTTCATCATGCGCTATGCTCCTCGCAAGGCCGAAATCCGCCAGCTTTATATTACACTTTGCATTGAGCAGGACATTTGACGGCTTGAGGTCCCTGTGTAGCAGGTCGCCTGAGTGGATGAAGTGAATGGCCTTGATGATTTGGTACAGAATATACTTCTTGTGCACTTCCTCCAAGATATTAATTCGTATAACGGCGTGCAAGTCTGTGTCCACATACTCGAAAGTTAGGTAGAGATCCCTATCGTTCTTTGCAGCATATACATCCTTAAGTTCCACAATGTTGTTACACTTCCTAAGATAATGCAGGAACATAATTTCCCTGTACGTCCTCTGCGCATCCGTGGAGTTCCTGAAAGCATCGAATATCTTCTTCAGCGCCACCACCTCCTGGGTCTCTTTGTTCACCACCTTCCAGACGATGCCATATGCACCCTTGCCCAGTTTCTGGAGTATGTGGAACTTGCTGAGGATGTGTTCGTCGATGTGGTCGCTCATCCTTCCGAAGTTTAATGCAGGACTACGTTGGAGCTAATGTACTGCATTACCTCATTCTTGCGACTTGCGTTGTAGTCACGCTGCTGGTCAAACACCGATGACGTCTATCGCTTCATAAGGTATACACCAGGGTCAACGAAACCGCAAACAGACTACACACCATTTACAACCATATGACACCCAATTGACTAATCTTCTGCGGAACGTAGTCCTCAGAGCACGAACGGCGTGTGGGATGTGAGTACATACGCGCCGATGCGAGCAATGCTGACCTCCACGGAAGATAAAGCAGGAAAATTTTTTTTAAACAACAGTGGCGTCGACGGACTTGCTAAAAGACAAATTCCTGCATTGCGACAACCTTCCACATACGAACCTCACCAACCTGTCGTGGTCCCGCACAAATTATGCACACTAAACCTCACAACGGCGTGTTGGCGTTCAGTGAGCGTAATTTGTGACGGTATCCGTCACACGTGAAAAGTGAAGCTTGTCACTCCGGTACGGTGTCGTTTTTCGACGTGGAGCCGCTGGGGTGCACGTTGAGGTCGGCGTTTTTTTGTGCTTCGGTCAGCTAAACTGTATAGGTGCATGCAGGTGTCCCCGACACATAACGATGCTTTTTATAGTAATTAACGTGTAACTGTGTCTTGACCGCAGTGGTTCGTGCGGCTTGCCACGCGTCGTTTGCGTCGTGAGCAACGGTGCGGCGGACGTCGATATCTCGTACTGCGCTGCGCGTGTCCCGCAAAAATTGTTGCGTCAACGTGCATATCTATGCACTATTATGCTTATTTCGTGACTCTTAAATGAGTCCTATGACGCATAGTTAAAGGCTTTATCTGCCGTTTCGTCGGTGTGCAGGAAGCTACTTAGCAGATCGAACGGTGTTCTTCATCCACCTGTTTGGCTCCTCAATTGGTCATCTATATATTGTTTTCCGGATATTATTTGGTGTGTAGTATGGATGTTGACGGAAGCCTGCTGACCGCTGTTATGTGTGTGCTGTCGAGGAAGTTGTTTTAACATTATTACCATTGTGCCTTTTTTGTTGCAATATATCGGTTCTGTTTATACTTGTACGCGTCTTATTATAAAATATAGATCGTTGCGTCGCCATGGTGTTCTCTATGTGAATATCGCATATTGGCTATGTTTTGGCATAGGGTGGTTTGCAGTGGTTTATCGAATTTGAATATATGAAACATTGATATCGTTTACAAATACGTTTCTTTATGTCGTGTTGGAGAGTCACAAACTGTTGTCATATTCCTAGGGTCACGAATGCGAACGGTGTCGTCGCTACCCATTGCTTAGAATAGGCTGATCGTTTGTATATTCGCTGTACGTAACGTCTTTGACTTAAAAGTACCATGCTATATTGCTTTTCTCATGAGACACTGTGGCTCCACCGTGCACCTACTTTCCGGGTGTCTGCAGTTGACGGCTTTGGTGCCTTTACGGTCGATGCCGTCTTAGACATTCAAACACATCGCACACATAAATCGTATCTGGCCGCCACGCTTTACCCTCTGCCATTTTGGAAATGTGCAGAGCGCGGTGGCGTCGGTCCCGACTTATCGCAACATGGCGTCTATCGTTGGCGCTGCTTGGCATTTTGGCCTCTGCAGGACCTGCTAGTGTAGGTATGTATTGAGCATAGCGATGTGTGATTGTCTCACGACTCTACAGGCGCTAGCCGTGTCTTCCCCAGTGGGCATAATTTGGGAGCTGCTGCGGCACCATATGACGCAAGCCAAGAAGGCTACGGTGTATGCGTAGCGGCAGGATGCAACCAATTCGAGTCAGAGAGTTCGAATCCGCAGCAACAGCAGTGCGGCATGCATACTGTTTGCAAGCGGTGTCCAACTCCGGGAGTAAGCAACGCTGATATTTGCCATCTATTCCCCCCTACACAAGGGCGCATTAATGTAATAGAGGGTAGTTTGGACACGACCAGTGCTGCGCACCATGGACACGGTGAGGGCGGATCATCTGAGGGCGACGAGGATGATGAGGGCTCTTTTCTGCAGATCAACTCATTTGACATGAAATTTAGGCCATCCACCTCAAACGCTGATATTAAAACCTATGCGAAATCGTGTGCAGTTGACAGGGAGGGATTCGTAGATGTTGCCGTTCGAGTGATTTTGCAGTGGTACAAGGTACCAGGCAAGGAGAGCCCCAAGGCGGCGGCCCACGAGGAAGAAGACGACGAGGGCATGCTCGAGGTAGAGCCAGCATCGTCCTTATCATTAGATGATATGCGTTTTTCGTCGGATAATGAAACCGATTCGTTTCTCGAAATATTCCCACGTTTGGGTGAAAAATTAAAGGGGATGTTTTCGTCCGACAAAGATTCCGACGATGACGGTTCGGAAGATGGCGGCCATGGTGCCGTCGGAATGGTTATGCACGGCTTGGCCTCTGCCGGTCACGGCGCCTACAATCGCGTCAAAAGACTTTTCAAGTCGCCCAAATTGCAGATCCACTATGCCGTGAGCCACCAGACGTTATCGAGCTGCAGGCAATCTCAGCGATGGAAAGGATCGGTCTCTGGTTCCTCGCTGATATTCACATCTAATCAGAACATCAGGATCCCGTTGTCGAATCTGCAGAGCAAATTCTTTATGGACAACATAAAGATACACGTGACGTGCAAGGATTGTGAACTGCTTCAGTCTCGTTCATGCGTTCAGGTTCACTGCGCCCAGAAACAGCCCCCTACTCGCAGTCATGCGTTGCGTAGCTTTACGCGACCGCCAACGACGCCCATCCTCCAACCTATCGCTATGCATTCGCCGCCTGTTGCCGGGGCCGGACACGCCGTGCCTCCTGTCGCGCACGCGGCTGCCCACACGGCACCGCTCAACGTTGTCTACAACCCTGACACCATCGTGGCACATATCGCACCGCCGGCACACGCTGGGAATTTTGCAGAAGTTCCCGGCGTCATGATTGCCACCATCGTTATTCTGCTCTGCACAATACAACTGCTAGATTAAAGTTTTTAAGCATAAGGTTCGGCGGTTTTCTTCTTGTCAGTTTTGCGCTTTCCTTTGATGAGGAATCGCATTTTGCGTTTGGTCATGGGCTTTTCTTTTACCTCGGGTATGTCTTCTCCCGTGGCCATAAGCCACTGCTGGAGCTTCGATTCCTCTCGCTTGACCTCGCTCGACACTTTCATGTCATTATTTAGCCTTCCCGTTCCTTTGCCTACGATATTCAGGTTGCTTAAGGATTCGGCTAGGTCCTTAGTTTGCTCTGTTTCAAACTCCACCATGAGTTGCCTGCACGTCGGGGGCCATGCACAATACAGCAGGCTGCCGTTGACGTAGTCCTTCACAACAAGTTTAGCAGCTCTTCCGAGATCAGGCTGTCCACCCTTGCCTCCGGAGTAGAATTTCCTACTGTGGCAAATGAATTCGAGGAACTTTTGGCTGAAGAGAATCGGTTTGTTGTCCCTTCCGAGTATGACACATTCCGCTCGATCCACGTCGTAGCGTTCGCAGAGCTGTTTCGGTATGCGATTACATATGAGCTGAACTGCAAATATTAGGCTGCCTCTGAAATGGGCAGTTGCGACAATGCCGTTTATCAGCAGGTGGTGCTTCGTCGACACAATATTGGGGAAGATAAGCCCTGTATTCGTAATGTGGCCGAAAGGAGATTATTCTTACCCGGACAATCGCAGAGCGTGATATTTTCTTTTTTCAACGGCAGGGTTTGCAGGTGTTTCGTTTTCCCCGGTTGGCAGCTCACGTTGGTTTTCGTGGCCTCCATGAGACAGTTGATGAGGGAACTTTTACCCACATTGGGGTATCCTACAAAGCCCACAGTGTACAATGGCATCTCTGCATTATCCGCATCATTAAGTTCGGAGAACAAAGCCGCCTGACGTTGGCGGTACCCGTTAATTTTTTCCAACAACATGGGCACATTGTAGACCTTGCAGGAGGGATCCTCTTGCTGCTGCTCAGCTTCTGCATGCGGCCTGACATTCTGTCCCCAAATTGTGGAGAAGAACACGAAATCGATGCCCTGCGTTGCAATGAATGGATATTGGCGTTTGCTTACCTGTGATTTGAAGTAGTCTGCCCATGCCTTCCGCAGTTCCAGGGAGAGATAGTCCGCCTTGTTGAGCACGAGTATGGTTTCCTTCCTGTTGTCGACCTCTTTGACATACGTTTCGAGGTCAGGCACCCTGTAAAACAAGGGGTCCCTTGCGTCGATTATAATCAGCAGGATGTGGCTGCGTTCGATCACCCTCCACAGCTGCCTCCAGAACTCGATGTTCTTTTCGTAAGGTGTTACAATTCTCTCCTCCTCATCTTCAATTTGTGCCAGCAGCTTCCTCCACGTGTAGAAGCATTTGGTTTCGACGCGGTTGAGTTCGTTGGCATCCATCTTGCTTATGTCTACGCTAGATACCTCGTGCTCTATTGCCGTTTTATATTCCTTCACGTATTTGAGGTCTCGTACGAACTGTTTGACATTTCGGTTTGGCTGCGATTCGGGTATTTTTTCTCCGCTACTTTCCGCAGACGCAGGTGCGGAAGCTTCGGGAGGGGGTGTCTCCACAATCTCCTCGGTCTCGAAACCACTGTCGTCTTCATCATCTTCTTCTTCTTCCTCCTCCTCCCAGTCATCATCATCGCTGTAATCCTCCTCCGAAATATCGTCGTACTCCTCATCACTGCCATCATCTGCCTGCGAGGTGCGCTTCGTTATGTTGGCTCTTGCCTTAAAGACGCCCATATGCCCCGATTTAAGTGCGCTTCCAGCCGGTTGGCGGTGAGTTTTGGTGGCGCCAGCAGAACTGTGGAGAGGTTCAGCAAACCTTACGGAGCGCTTCGATCGTGAAGGTGGCGCTGGCGTTTTTGCAGCGTCATTCCTATCCTCATTTTCGGAATCTTCGGATGAATCTTCCTGATCGTCGCTGTCGTATTCCGATGACCCCTCAGACTCATCCGAGCTTTCATCTTCTTCGTCAGTTGCGTAACCGGGTTCTTCTTCCCCCTCCTCATCGTCTTCCAAATCGAAGTCACTAAGGTCTTCACTGTCGCTGCCACTCCCAACCACGTTTCCACGCGATGCGTTTTTCATTTTTGTACGCAACTTCAGCGGATCAAACATGCCATTGACCGGTTTCGGCCCTGATCCGTGCATATACATGTCAACAAGTTTTTTGTTCCTGCGTTTGTTGACCCGTTTCTCCCTAACGTGTTGTGCGTGCTCCCGCTGTTTGATAAGTTTGGCGATGGTTTCCCTCTGCTCATCGTTGAAGAAGAGGCATCTGCGTGGTATCGGCACGGCTGGAAACACCCTGTCATCCTTCGATTCCGAGTAGTCTACGATACGCGCGAGTTGGGTGTTGAAGTCCGATGCGAGCACCTCCCTGGTGCCGCCACGGGTGCTCAGATAAGTCTCCAGACCGTGTTCTGCGGCGAGCGTAAACTCATCCAAGCTTTTGCGCTCCACCACTGAGTGCTCCACTGGTCGGTATGGGCGATCGCCGAGCATCGAATCGTCCTGCTTCGCCTGCCTGGCGAGGATATCGTGCGCCAGCGTCCTGCCGATGAAGCCATGCTTGCCACCTTTTTGGCTTTTCCCACCTCCCATCGTAAGCGTTTACCGTGGTTCGTCGTTTATCTATTGGTAGCGCACGTGCAGGGTGCATTTACGTTTTGACGAATACACCTCTCTTCTCCATACCGCCATGGCCTGCGTAATTGGTCTCTAAAAAAGTGGCAGCCAAAATTATTGGCACCTATATACCGTAGAATTGGTTGGAAAATGGAAAAAATTCGTTGTCTATAGCACCGTCACCGGTAGCAACGGTACTTCCGCGGATGTGACATTATCAGGTAGTCGCCTCATCTGGCCGACCGAAGCTCAAAGCACAACAACATTGCGTAGTCGCTAAATTTACATGGGTTTTTCGGCGACGGCGCGGCTCGTAGCTCACGGCCAGCGCGGCCGTGTGTTTCGGAAGTTCCGTGGCCAGCCTCCTAAGCGCTTCGACTGGTTAAAGTTCGTTGACAGTATTTTCATGTCTTCTACCCCGCAATGACTTGTTAAAGTGCTGTGCAGGAACCATCTCGATCGTCTGCTGCGTTTAGGACGCATAGAGTTGACGCTTCCGCGTGCGAAGGAGCTACAGCAATATGCCGAGGAGGTCGTATTTCACGCAAAGAAGGGTATGTGATTAGGTGCATTTCTAGTATATATTGCGATGTGTAGACACTCCTGAGTCCGACCTTCTAGTTGAGAGCATGTTGCGAAGCCCCGAAGCCCGGCAGAAGCTCTACGAACGTTACGTACCGCTCTACGCGGACCGCCCTTTCTTTTTCACTCGAGTGGTCAATCAATGGCGTCTGAGGTTTACCGACGCTGCACCGATGGCCTATCTCGAGTTTGTGGACCGGTAGGTACCCGTCGTTGTTGTTTGCATTGCTGCAGGCCGGGTGAATTGAGGCCCGCTAAGCCGGTTGGAAGCCGCAAACTTCTTCACGTCCACGCGCTGATGCAAGCTTCGCGGCGCGACTATCGCAAGTACTACGCAGTGAGTTGGTTGCACGAGATTCACCATCCCAAAGCAGTTCGCCAAGAGTCACGGCATGCTCGACAGCGAAGGCAATCTGCTCCCCGACATCAGTCACCTGATAGGTGACTCGGAATCGGCGGTGAGTTTCTGCATGTCACTTGTTAAGTCTCTTCAGTGGCACGAGAAGGCCGAGACTGTGTCCACGATTAATCCTCAGTGGCAAGAGCACCCAGTGATGCGCCAGCGTCTGGAGCGCATCCAGTCTGTTGACCTGAAGTCTGAACGCGCCGAGGAGACATTCGAGTCGACCTATGAGGAGACGGCTGAGCGGCGAGTGCCGACGAGCAACCCTGACTTGAGCTCTGCTGTGCGTCGACCGCGGTTCAACCCGTGAACCGATTTCGCAACAGTTGTCACCTATTTTGTCATAATAAATACTTTTGTACTATGTGTGACCTTTTAAAATAAATTGTCTTATTGTGTCCCCAGCCGCGCGCCTGCCTCGCCATCTTGTGGCAACCCCTCGCTCACAACTCTTTTCGGCACCAATGTGGCCGTTTGAGGGTAGATTCGACTTTTTTGGATTTCTGAGGCCGAGGGTGGCGCACGGCGAGGCGCCAGCCGCCGACCGGCCCCGGATGTCGGCGGAGGAGCGGTATCCTCTCCCCGAGAAGTATGCGGAGAACCCGGACTTGATCCCGAAGTACTACGCGTTTCAGTCCAACTTGGTGACCGATGAAGACCTGCTACCGGGTATGCTTCGCCAGCTGGAGGTCGACAAGCGTCTGACTCTGCCTACGCGTACTCATATACGCTTTCTGATCACTGCGACCGACGTCATTCACACGTGGTCCGTTCCAAGTCTCGGAATCAAGGCTGACGCCGTGCCTGGCCGCCTACATCGCGTGAACACGTTCATAATGCGCGAGGGCGTATTCTACGGCCAATGCTCTGAGATGTGCGGGACGTTGCACGGCTTCATGCCCATTGTCGTCGAGGCCGTTGCGCCCGAGACCTATGCGGCGCATGCCAAGAAGTACTATCGCGATGACTAAGCGTTAATTTAATATAAAACTAGTTTCATTATCTGGTAGTACAGGGAAATGCGGCATCGCAAAGAGTCTCGAACTGTTCCTGCGGGCATGCTCAGGTTGTTTGTACAGAAAGAATCCCCACCTTCATTGAGACGCTGAAGAATGACAAATCTGCAGTTGGGAAGCAGGGCCCATTGTACGATTCCGGTGCGACGCATTGCCCCTTGCCTGTGAGCGATGGCGGACAGTTGCTGGAAGGCGTTTCTTACCGACGTGTTTCCATCCCTGCGTGAAAAATGTGTGTTCAAAGGTTTAAGGTAACATACCTCGGGACACCGTTCGTTGTAGTTCGCGGTGCATTTTCTCTGTTCGCTTTTCATCGGAGGGCAAGTTCAACAAACCTTGCACGGCCAGGTTACGCCGCACCTGTTACTCCACAGCACCCGTTCATTAGTGTGCATTTTGGACAGATCTATTGGATATGCGCACGGGCCTGTTTTGGATTTTGCTAATGGTTTATTATCATTTGCTTACCGTGATAGGCGGGTGTGGGCATGCACAATCCATTTTCATGTTGCCAGAATTTGGGGCATTTAGCCTCGTATTCCTGGTCACACTTGTTGTAACAAGGCCTGTGTTTTAATGAGTATCTGGCAAGTGATATATTAGTATACGTACCAGTTAATGCGGCATTCCTTCTCCATGCGTTCCTTGTCGTCTCTGCTCTCTAAGCTGGGCAAGAGAGTAGCACAGGGACCGAAATACGATATCGGCGCCTCACACACCTTCGGATACAGCGATGACTCCGTCCATCCTGCATAACATTCTCCGTAAAGTACGATCCATGTCTACCTTCTGCACACGGTGGCCTGCATTGGCAATGTGTAGCTGTCGGATCAGTTTTAAGGCAACTTACGAGTAGTCCCTAACACATGTGTTGATCTGCGGTTCCGCCAGCGACGGGCACATCGTCGATGCCACTATTGCGATGAGGTAGAGCAACGACATACGGTCGACGATGTCGTTGCGCCGGAACGCCCGAAGGGCTATCATCCGTGTCTTGGGCAGTATCCGACACACTAATTTACATTTTCCAAAGACGCTTAAATGTGTAGTTGTTTGAGTGTCGAATCTGTGATGCCGTTACTGTAGGGTCCTCAGTACTGGCAGCGGACCTTCCATCGGCCATTGCTTTCTTTTAAAACGATGGAGAGTTTCTACGTGGATTTAATCGCATCTGAGATAGAGAAATGTGGATATAAACGCATTGCAATCCAGTCCGCCGATCTGTCGGCGGGATCGCAGTTCTGCCATGCCATTCAGGCGCACTTCAGATCATCGACGGAGCGTCCGGAGTTCTACGTGCTGGGCGATGTATTCATTGGTAGCTGCTGTACGGACGTCATAGCTGCGAGAAGATGTGCGGCAGGTTAGTGCTGTGTTTGATAATTGCCTCCAAACCCCTATGCCGGCTTTTAAATTTGTGTTATATGCTCTGTTATACCGTAATATTCCTTTGCAGACTTCGTTGTCCACGTTGGCGTCTCTTGCCACAGCGTAATGGACCCTCCTATGCCAGTGAGGCGCGTTTTTGACCGCTCCGGAGTCGACTGCGGGAAGCTGTGCCTCTACTTGCAAGACGTATTGGCAGGGTGTAGCTACACGCGGCTGATATTGATGTATGACAGCTCCATGCATCATCTAGTAGATGCTTTCGAGGAATGCCTGCACTCGTCGGGCAAACTGTCGTTTATCGCAGAATGCGTTGAGCGGTCGGGAGGCAACTCCGACCATGCGGAGAGTGATGACTATTTTTGCGGGCGACGTTTATTCGCTTGCACGAATGATGGCCAGAGGACGAGAGCATCGTCAGCAGAAGCATGTATAGGGGACAGCAAAACCCTTGTTATGTACGTCGTCGACGGCCCCGATCGCGATGTCACGACTGACTACTTGTCGCTGTCATGTGTTGGCAGCCAGTTTCATATGATAACCGCCGACTCCAACGAGTTTTCACATCGCATACTGGATGAAAGGGGTCACAAGCTCCGCATGCGGCGCTATCAAAAGGTCGAGAAAGTGCGTGAAGCGTCAACGGTCGGCATTCTTGTGATTGCACGTACTCTCCGCGGCTCCAGTGCGCTGCGTCACAGTGTATCTAAACTTTTGGAGAGTCACGGCAAGCGATGCTACACGTTTTCCGTGAATTGTCTGACGGAGGCTAAGCTGGCCAACTTCCCCAACATCGACGTGTTCTGCCTGCTGTCTTGCGGGGAGTCCGTGCTTTCGCTGCCGGAGGAGCTTGCACGCAGGGTTGTACTCCCCTTTGAGGTGCTAGTCGCGCTAGAGCACATGGACTGGTCGGCACCGTACGAGTTTGACTTCGCGAAGTTGTTGCCGCATGCCCAAGTTGAGGAGGCTGATGAGTTGCCGGCATCAGGAGGCGAGATACGGCGCTTGCGCGGCAATTTCGAGTTGCGAACACAAGTAGAGAGTTTCATGGGAACGCTACAAGACAACTCAAAGCGCACATTCGGCGGAGTTGACCCCTTGCACGGAATGTCTGACGAGGTGACAGTCGTGTCTGGCTTCCACGGTACCGCGAGTGGTTACGAGCACGAACGCCGCGTTTAGAGCGTGCAGCCTACACATATAGAAGGCAGAGGTATGCTTAGGCCAATGTGCATAGCTGTCACGTCTTTTGGGGCACCACGTCGTTGACGGTCGCTCTCCCCTGGAGGTGTGTTGGCAGAAGATGTTCCTGCTTTCGCTGGAGCGATCTATTAAACAACACATTTGCCGATTAAATTTACTTTACAGTGGCGCTGGGTCGTCTAGCCTTTTTAAATGGCGGGGTAGGGGCATCGGCGTTTCGCGGCCGGCGGCGTCGAGTGGCTCCGTAAGCTCCCCGCCTCGTGACCTCGTGGTGGTAGAGGATGGACGGTTGCGTGGAGTACACTACCGAAACGTATTCGGCTCTGAAGAATCCGATTCTTCTGCCGAAGCACGCCCGTTTACGCCACATCCCTTCAATAGGCGGTTCGCCTTTTCGAAGCGTCCGTTGTTCCCTATAGAGCCCAGAAACTTGCGCATTTATGTAAGTTCAGCACGTGTAACATGATATGTTTACGTGATATGTAATTTTAATCCTCTTTGTTGTATGTGATGGGTTCCTTTTGTTTCTAACTACTGTCTGCATTGAACTTAGGGTCTAAAACGTCACAAGAAGCGCGGTCGCGGCAAGAAAAGTTCGGCACGTGGTTACCGTTTCAAGCGACAAAAGCATCGAGGAAGCAAGCCCAACAGTCGCACGTTCGAGGGTGGCCAGACCCCCTTGTTCCGGAGGCTGCCCAAGTGGCCTGAAGCGTGGTTGTCACGGTAGGTTTAGTTTTGGCGTGGCATCATTGGCTTAGTCAGCGCAAGACATTTGACCCCTTGAACCTTGCGAAGTTGCGCTATTTTATTGAACGCGGCCGTTTGGACACACGTTTTCCCATAACGCAGCGGCACCTGTTCGACAGCAAGTGCGTCAAGGTGAAGCGGGGAGTTCAGCTGTTCAACGTGGTAGGTTTTGCCTTGGTTTAATATATACCCGGTGATTACAACACTGTGCATACAACGTTTTCGTGTGGTGTTCTGCGTCATATTTGTGAATGGCTATTATTTCAATTGGCCCTTACATCTGTAACTGCTATAAAAGAGGTACAATCCGGTATCCCGAGTTGTCCTGTTAAGTTGTATGCACATTACGTGCACTTAATTTGGGGTTTGTATTGTGGCCAATTCGATGTTGCATTAATCTTATTTCGTTTAGAACGATTATCCCTTCCCGTACAAGATCGACATCGAGGTCGCTGGAAGCGACCAGTCCTCGATAGACGCCATAAAGCGAGTTGGAGGTTCGGTAACCATCGTATATTACGACCGCGTGAACTTACGAGCCCATTTGAAGCCGTACAAGTTTGAGGTGCTACCGAGGACGGTGCGTTATTGTCATAGTGCCGATTATTTGCAATCAGGCTCGTCCAAGCATCGAAAGGGTACACTACTTGGAGAAGATGCGTGCGCGTGGATGTAACGTGGTCTACATTAAGCCCATGTGGCTCATAAAGGAGGAACAGGCTATTGCTGCTGAGATGGCGGAGCTCGAGGCGGAGACATTGACAAGTTCAAACCTCGATCCTGACGGTGAGTTCCTCCATCTGGTCCTCACATCACTATTACAGAGACGCCCTCGAAGCGAGAGGAACGCCTGGTGAAGCTGTACCGCGAGCGCCTGCTGCGCTTCGGCCGGCCCTACGTATGAAGGCACCATACGGACTACTAATTAAATGCCTGGCGGAACCGCAGGCAGTTGTTAGTTATGTGATTGTCTTCGTGTTTGCGCTGGTGTTCAAGCACAAGCCTGTGAGCCGTCCGCTGCTTGTGGTAGAAGTGCAGAATGAACACCCAGACCATGGCCCCTAGGGCGCCCGCGAATACCTTGCGTAGTTGCGATGAGTTTGCGTCTTCTGCGAACTTCTCGAGATCCAGAAGCGCTTCCGCAGCGTTCTTGCACCCGCCAAGAGCGTTGACGCCCTTAGCGGCGTGGTTCAGTGACAAGAGCACGCAGCACAGTCCGACCAGCCACCCCGTGGTTTCGCGTTGTACGCCGAGTCTGGCCAGAAAGGGGTGTGGTAGTGTCATCACAAACTCCCCGTAGTGGTTCCAGAGAGCCGTTTTGGTGAAAATACCCAGCGTGATCACAACACCCGTGGCCAGCACGGCGTAAACGGCGTAGTCCATGCTTCAGCTTCTCCTTGGTGGACCTAGTGCTCCAGTGCGGCGCGACATGGGTGTAGGCCCCTGAAGCACCTACACCGCAAACGAGGACCTTTTGGCGTGCTAGCGCAGATCCTTCTGCTGGCGCGTCGTCGCTGCGGTGTGCCCCCGGCGTAGTGTGTGGGTGTGCCGCCCCCGAGCACGGAGTCGCGGCGTATCACCTGGTGGATCAGTCTGAATTGCGTGGAACGATGGCTCTCGGGAAGGTATGTTCGGACTCAGACGCGCCCTGTCCGATCTTCTTGGACCTGGACGGCGTGTCGGACCGGACGCTGGCGTCGATAAGGACGAAGCTGGAGGACTCGAACAGCACGAAGAAAATCGCGGCGCTTGAGCAAACGATTTTGCGTAGGTGTTTGGTGTGTTAGTTGCGTGACTTTCGTGCAGATATGCTCAACGGCGAGGATGTGTCGTCGCTGCTGATGAGCATCATCCGGTTCGTGCTTCCGAGCAACGATCACCGTCTGAAGAAGCTGGTACACCTGTTCTTCCAGATCTTCGACTTCTGCACGGCCGACGGGACCGTGCGCGAGGAGAGTATTCTGGTCTGCAATGCGCTGCGTAACGACCTGTGCTCTCCCAATGAGTACGTGCGTGGTTCTGCGATGCGTCTGGTGTCGAAGTTGCGCCACTGGAACATCGTGGGACCGATGCTTCCGGCCATCTTGGACAACCTGAAGCATCCGGATCCGTACGTTCATCGCAATGCGCTCTTGTGTTTGTCGAAAATCGCCGAACGCTTCGGCACTGAGTGCGTGCTGTCTTCGACTGAGGACACTGAGCGTCTGCTGCTCGGCAACAGCGGCGCGTCCGTGAAGGCACATGCGTACAACCTGCTGCGTCTCTGCGAGCCGTCGCTGGCTGTGCAGTACCTGCTCGGAGTGGAGGGCACCATGCTCTCCTTCCCAGCTCGTTTCCATCTGGAGGTCCTGTCATCCTTCTTCTGGCTGTATTCGTTAGACAGCCGGGTACATTCGTTGATGATGCGCGTGGCGCTGATGTTGATGGATAACAGTCCTGACAACGATGTTCGGATGGAGGGTGCCCACATAATCTGCCGGCTGAAGTCGACGCCCATCGAGGCTCGCCGTGCTGCGGCAAGCGCTTTGATCAAAGTGTTGTTGGACGAATCCGATCTTAATGTGAAGATGCTGGTTATTGAGAAGCTGAACACGCTGCACGCTCGTTCGTCATCTCTGGGCGACGTGCCCAACGTGCTTGAGGAGCACGTGATGGACCTTGTTCGTGCTCTTAGCGGTTCAAGTCGTCGCGTGACCATGGGGCTGCTTTCTCTGGCGCTTCGTTCGGTCACCCGTCAAAATGCGGACGCTCTTTTGCAGAGTTTCAAGAAGGCGTTCACCACTGCGGAGGACATCGCGACATACAGCCAGCGTCAGATTGCCCAATACCGCATTATGCTGATCAAGGCCATTCATTACACATGTGGTCTCTACCCGGAGCGTAGCGGAATCGTGTATGACATGTTACTGGGCTATCTCAGCCACCGCCATGCGGAGACAGCCGAGGATTGCGCAATGTTCTTCAAGCAGTTAACGGAGTTGCTTCCCCAGCTCCGTGAGGAGACTATCGTGAAGTTGCTTGCGTTCATAGACTTGATTCCCCACTCCAGCGTCCTATCGGTTTGTTTCTGGGTCATCGGGGAGTACGCCGGCTCGGAGCAGCTCGCGTCACACTGTTGCAACAAGATTTACGAGTTGCTCTCGCCGTACCCGTTAGTGGTTGCTACTGGCGCTGAGTCAGCCTCGGGCTCCCTCGATCGCGCAGGCACCAGCGGCAGTATCGGATCAGGTGACAGCCGCGCTGACAATGGCATGGCGACGCACACTGTGGTGCTACAGGACGGAACTTACGGTGCACAGCTGTCGGACAAAAAGTCTAACATGCCCACTGCCACAACATTGCGTGGGATGCTTGTGGATACCTGCGACCCTTTGCTGTACTGCTCTGTGGCGCAGTGTCTGTTGAAGCTTTCCTTCGCCTGCAACGATACGGACTGCATCGCGAAGGCTACACTTGTGGTAGCCAACCTCGTAAGGCTGGTTGGTCGGCCTCAATATGCATCGGTTTACTCGCAGCGTCGTCTGCGCACCATCCTGAAGCTCTGCCTCGGCCTTCTGAAGGAGCCTGGTAAATATCGGGCCCTCGTCGAGGAATACATATCGGCATCGTGTAGGAAGTGGTCGCCAGGCCCGTCAAGCATGCCTCTGGAGCCGAAGAACGACGTTGATGAGCGCATCAATTACAGTGCTCTTTTCGGTGACGTTGGCGAGGACGAGTGGTCCATTGAGGATGAGTTGGAGGCGGGCGGACCTAGTCCCGGTGACAACTATGAGATTGACAAGCTGCTCAGCACAGGCAACGCCATCTACAAGGTGCGAACCAAAGACGCTGACAAGCGTAACCTCGGCACCATCCATCAGTTCACGTCGTTGATGGATGCGCTTTACATCGAGGCCACCTTGAACGTGATCACCACCAGGCTCTACCTGACATTGTACCTGCGCAACACCACTGAGGTTTTGCTGCAGAACATCCGTGTGGAGTTGTGCGCAAACGACCGTCTGGAGATGGCCTCGAGCATTCCGGTCATCACTTTGGCCCGCGGCGAGAGCAGGGTTCTTCAGGTTAACTTCAAGCTGAAGCGCAGTCTCAATGACGTGATTTACGGACACGTGTACTTCGACAAGGAGAAGTCCGGTATCCAGGAATGCATACCGTTCAACCCCATGAGCGTTTGCATGTACGACTACGTGCAGCCCAGCTTCATCTCCCCCTCGCTGTTCCGCACCTACTGGACTGAATTCGAGTGGGAGCACAAGATCCAGATCCACCCCTCAAAGGCTGACCCTCTGGACCTGCTGCGCGGCCTGCTGCAGGTGACCCACATGACCGTGGTGTGTCCCGCTGCCCCGCCGACCCTCAAGAGCGCCCCTGGCCCTGCCGGCCAGGCCGAGTTTTTGTCGAAGTACATGGAGTACCTCAAAGTGCAACCGGAACTTGCAGCGTTGCTGGGTGACACGAGCTTCTTCGCGCTGAACTTGTTCTGCAGTACACCGCATGGTACGTTGATGTCGCTGCGCTTGTGACCCTTTTTCAGGAGAGGAGGCTCTGGCCAATTTGAGCGTTGTCAAGCAGAAACAAGGGATGTACTCGGGCTGTTTCAAGATCCGCTCGAGGACTGAGGTGTGTTTTGCGCAGTTATTTCTAACCTTGTGTTCAGTCTGTGGCGCTCAGTCTGGGCGACCGCGTGTCAAGTCTGCAGCGCACATTTGTAATTTAGCGCCGGCGCAGGACGCCTTCGTCGCTTAACTCTTTGTTAGAATGTCCTTCCATGTAGTTCATCGATGTTAACGTTGTCGTCGGCGCGCGCAGCCGGTAGCCTTCTGGGCTCCGGCTCGGCGCGTTCGCTCCGATGCCTTCACGGCACGAAATTCTACGTCAGCTGCTTTACAGCTTTTGGCGGGTGTCACCGCTGCGTGGCATCGCAGCCCGGGCTTGCTTTCGGCGAGATTTACAGGCCGAGCACAGCCCAGGAGCGCGCATTGCAGAGCCAGGTGAGATTTAGACATCTTCGCTCACCAAAGCGCGACAGATAGCTGAGAAGGTGCCATTCGACATGGTGGAAGACTGGCAGGAACGCAACGATCGCGTGTTCCGTGACCGCTTGGTCCACATGCCGGAGCAGTTTGCGGAGGCCTCTCAGCGCTACAGCAGCGACCCGCGAGATTACCTTCTATCCTCGCTCTTGCGCCATTGTGCGATGCGCCGTTCTCGCGCAAGGTAGCTATAAATGGTGTGGTTATATACCTTTTGCAGGGGGTTAGACGTTGAGCGGAGCCAGTTTATGTCATCCGTGGCTGACGGGACGGCGGAATTGATAGACAAGCTGCTCTCGTGCGAGTGTGGCATTGTACTCCGCTGTTTTCTGAAGATGGATTATCGCGATTACGCGCTCCAGCGTGCTCTGATCGAGCGCATGCTGCAGCGGGGGCAGGCGTTCAGTCCCTATGCTGCAGTTTCGGCGCTGAGCACGCTGGCAGAAGGTTACTCGGGCGGTGGCGCTTCCCAGTGGCGAAACAGGTTGGAGGACACGGACCGGTTGCTGCGGAGGCTGCTGGCACAGGTGCGCGCTCACATGGATCGGTTTAACCTGGGCAGCCTCGCGCGGCTGACAAACACAATATCACGATTACCGTGTGACGTTGGTGGGGTTATATCGTCCATTCGTGACACATTGCTCAACCGCCACTTATCGGCGTCTGATACTGCTCTGTGGAGCGAGGAGGTGGTACATTTTTTGGCCAACGGCTTTTCTCGAAAAGGAGTGTTGGACAAGAAGTTGTTTGACTTTCTGCGGGATCGCATCATCGAATCGTGCCCCGGCTACAGCGTTGACACATTGGTCTCATTGAGTAACGCGTATTCGAAGTTCGGCAGCGCGGAGGCAGCGGGGTACATAGAACTGTTCACTCGTCTGGCGGAAGAGATTGTGACCCAGCGCCACCATCTAACAAACAGGCACGTTTGCGTCGTAGCCAATGCTTTTGCAATGTCGTGTCTGTGCCACGAAGATCTGCTAGAGGTGATTGATGACAACTTCGTCTTTGGCATCGATGCCTACGATGGCCGTCAAATCGCAATGATGATTCACGCATTCAACAAGCTGGGGTACCGTTCGCGCAATCATCGTTTCATCTGGCGCAAATGTACTGAGGTGGGTTGCCTGATGTACACGCCCCAAATAACCGTGCAGCACCTGGATTCCTACTCGTGGCAAGGCTTGACGATGATTTTCCACGCCTACACCAAGGGGGAGATCCGCGACCAAGCAACGACTGACAAATTCTGTCGACGATTCGTCCAGCTTTTCGACGATTTGGAGCGCCAGAAGTCCGGTCTGACCGCACATGGCCCAACATGTTCTGACCTGCCGCAGCCCACAACGTATGTCTCCTTGGTGTACTCGCTGGTGAAGGGCAACATTCTGCAATGCGACGATCTGCTGGTGCATTTGGCTAAGGTGAGTGCTACCACTTTGTTTGTTGTATCGACGTGCAGGGTTGTCTGTCCAATCTGTCTACCTATGAGCCGGACGAAATTGCTAATCTAACCTTGGCATTTTCGAGGATCCGCAACAATACGCTGAATGATGGCGACGGAACTAGGCAGGAGTTGTCAACGTTAAGCCAGGAGATGTTGGAGGGTTTGACTAGGCGTCTGGGGGAATCACGCCTACAGTTTTCGGCATTTTCGGTTGGTGAATTGCGTCATTCCGCGATAACTGTCGGCTGCAGATGGCAAAGGTCGTGGAGGCGCTGGGTGATTGCGCGTTCATGCAGAGCGCTCAAGCAGTTTTGGGACTCATAAAGCGCAACATTCTCATCCTCGACCGATTATCGTACACCCATATTACAGCAATCGTAAGTTAGTCAGGCTTTGTCTAACAGATAACAGATGCGAGCGCTTTCGACTATGGGAGTTCACGACGACGACCTGATGTCAGTGCTGAATTCGTTGAAGCACAACAAGCGCATTCGTCATAAGCAGGCGAACACACCGCCAGCTGTGGCTCAACATATCAGTGTCTGACAGTATACTGCCATATTCCTTATACGCGGTCTTCCCCAATTACATTCACTGAGTAAAGCCGATGGATATTATTCCGCAAGCGTGAACTGTTCAAATTGTTAGACTAGCATCACCAATCTTCATGTCACGTGTTAGTTCGCGCAATTTTTTAAAGACACCATGAAAGGTGTGATGCATACCCTTTCTCCCCGATTAAGCTCCCATAAGTATCACGTCAAGAACGGTATCCTGCTGTATGCGTTGCCCCAATTTGACTATTTCCTGATAATTGGGTATGCGTGGGTCAACTAGCTGCCTACATTGAATGGACTTGCAACAGTAAGTTGACAATTATACATGCCTACATAAACGATGTGTGGGCTACGTGGAGCTCTACGCTAATAGTGGGGCAGAGACGTTGGGGACTGCCACCCAGCCCCGCTTTGCTGGTCACAACCAGTAAACAACTCATAATACCTATAACTGATCAACCCACACCAATAAACAGCACCCACTTGTTCGCTTGATTTGGTCGCAACAATAACATGTGTCCTCACAGCACCGACTACGATAAAAGAATGAAGTTGTTGAATGATAGATACATCGCTTATTATGCCTTTCACTCAGCGGCCACCCTGCATTCCTGCAACTGCTATGCTACCGAGCTACGTCAGTTTGCACCAAGAACGTAATTGAAGAGACACTGAGAATCGTGTCTCGTTTAATTTAACGGTAGCAGCATTATATATAAGAAACTTGTATACATGCAGCTGGTTATCACAACAATTCATAAATTTAAAGTGTCTTGTGGGAGCTAAAATGATGCCAACTAACTGGCAGACCGGACAACTCATGTTGTTGATCTGCTTGTACAGATCAGCTGCAAACTCCACTCAATAGAAAGCCCAGAAGCCACAGAGGTCGTACATTGTGTCCAACATTCTTGTAGTGGTATCTTCCAACGCATCGGTGATATCTGAATATCTCATGCCAGCCCGGCCTTCCGCCTTCTTGTAACCAAAGGTTTTCAACAACTCTCTCGCACGCTTCCCCTCCATAGTATTTGGTTCTCCCCAGACCCCACCATTACTCATCTTGCGCAAAGAAAGTAGTCCGGCGTACAACATTGGCGCAATCCCCACAAAGATTACCGCGCAAGCTTCTGGGTCCTTCGAACACGATGCCTCCCACGTCGCTTCTGAACTGTATGCAGACCTATATTGGTCAGGGTTTTTGATAAATCTCAAGAACTTCTCACAACCACTCACAACATCAGCCAAGTTCTCAGCTATGTCGATAGCAGTCACACCCTTGGTCTGTATGACGTTCTCGTTATCGATTGGCTGGAAATGAAAGGGGCGCTTGAACCTTTTATCAGGATTCTTATGCAAAGACTTATTGAATTTCCCCAGTATCACTTTTACGTGCCGCAGCTTCTTAAGACACGGCTTTTTCAAGAACTGTTTACTAATCTTTTTAATTTTCTCTAGAGCTGGCACTTGCATCTTGCCAACCGGCTTGTCTGCGAGAAATGTGTGAACTGCTGTGCCCAAAGCCTTCAAGTTCTTTTCCGCATCAGTTCCCCTCAGAGCTATCAACCAATCGATGCACTCCTTGACGTTGCGAGGGGCCTCAGTCAAAGAATTGAATACCATTTTGGAATGAGTCAGTGGCGTAGGCGATTAGCACAAATTGCTGGATTTGTGGTCTATTCGCAGGCAGGTTTAAATACAGGGCGTATATTCAATCAGAGGCGTGAACGTCAGATATGTATTAATCGCGGAGGAGAACACAAGTCCTGTTGAATCTGAATACATACGCGTTTAATTGCAATATGAAATTCCGTCGATGCACCAAATATGCGGAAGGTGAATAGATGATTACTACCGAGGTGCCCGATTGCAGCCATGTCTACACAATTAACCTGCCACGAAGCATGTATAACGCGAGTCACTGTCTACGCACATATCAGAGATGAATGGCACACACTGAGCCTAGATATGCTGGCCCATTAAGCAGCGAGCGTGGAAGTTTAAAATGTTACCATGGGTTACGAGTAGTATATTGCGGCGCCCATGGCGTGTTGCGGGGCCTAATTGCTAACAACACGGCAGCAAATGAGGAATGCGAACAGTCGCTGTACCGTCTTCCGTCATTGACATAGCTGTCTGCTTTGAGTGGTTGCCGCGGCTTTCGTTTCGAGCGCTTCTCGGCTCATAACAGCTGCAAATCACGACACATTGATTTAGTTTCTTCACAAAACCATTTATAATATCGGCTGTGACCACGGCACCTTGTGGAATCCAGCGCATTACCGTGATTGGTGCTACTGTGTGTGTACGGGAGATGTTGTGTGCGTTTATCACTCAGATTCGTACGCTTTTGGACTAATTCGCTCGATGGGCATTTATATTACAGCATTACTTTGCAGATGTTTAGTCTCAATCTTTGTAGCTACTAGCCAGCCTCCAATACGGCATCACAGAATCCTGAAGTCAGCCGTCGGGACGAATGCCGAAATTCCTGAACTACAATTGCCCGAATTCCCGTACAACATTTCTTTATCCCAATGTAAGCTAATTTTAATTTCAATGGAGCGTGATGCCGCGATCTTATGTCACCGCCTTCCCACCGCATCCGGCTGCCGCTCTACTAGTGGGTTAAAAAGTGCCTGCGTGGTGAACGGCGCGGGATTAAGTTGTAGCCGATTCACAGAGATGAACCCACAGATGCGCAACTTCACACACTTTTGGCGCCCAAACTATCATTCGCATCCCGTACACGGACCCGGCGAGTGGCTTAGTACCTAGGTCAGCACGGCACTCCCGCGCGGCCGGTCTGGGTGGCCACCCATATTTCCGCAAAAATAAATTATTCAATGGGATCCGGCTACATTACCTTCTAGTTGCCATCAGTAGGTGTGCTACGTGAGTGGTTACTGGAAAGATGCGTAGAGAATGGTTGAAGCGTACACAGATGTTGAGATTGTTTACATGGATATTTTACCGCCTTATTTCTTCTAGATAGACTCTGTCAGGGTGAGTCACTTAGTTTGTCTTTGTTTTGCTTTAATTAGTGTGTTATGTGTCTGCGTATGAGCAGCGCTTCTCACCTTACTGAGGACTTACGGCCTGCATGTCGTTGGTATCTGTTGCGGGACCCACGTCGTGTTATCGAACGTTACTGGTGTCATCCATCCTATTTGGGCGCGAGGATCATTCACAGTGTCGTAATCCTCTCTGGGTTTCGTGTCCCTCAACACCTTTTGTGTTGCTTGGATCACCATCCGTTGAATATGGGTCTCTAAGCGATCCGATATGCCCAGGTCTCGCCTATACTTGGCGTGTTCTTTCGTCAATATTCGTCTCCACGTCATAACGTAGGGGATTGCGCTTATCCCTGTCTTTTTAAATTAGAAAACGAGGAATCATAAACACCAGCTACTGAATTCAACGCGACAAATCACTTGACCCAACGCAGTGAGTCCAACCTCCGAGTAACCGTATCGCTAGTAACTGTAAAAGTGTGACCGACGTAGACTATGACGCCTACATGGCTGCGAGAAAGTGTTTGTGGAGATCAACCAATCTAAGCTGTGTAGCGGTGTTACGACACATGCGTGACAATGTAAGTAGTGAGAAGCTGCGAAGCTTAAAAGAAGCCAACAAAATATGACACAGCATACCATATGCGGTGCAATATGCTGTGCTCCAAGGCAATCGCAAAATTCGCGGCGCCTTCCAGCAGATCAGGAAACGTAATGGCAACAGTGACATCCGTTTCGCTTAGGATGGATGCGACGAATCATGAAACGGACCATAGACGCCACGCGTATCCTTATTTAACATGTGGCGTCTTTGGAGTCGTGAGCCTTCCACGTGTGTGTTGGTTGTGACCGGTAGAAGGCTGGTGCCCGACATACCTTCCAGGAGATCTATCGCCGTGGAAGATATGTACGCATGGCGCCGATTTGAGTATAGAGTTTAATATTTAACTACAAAATGAAGTTGTTCCAATCCGTGGCTATCCTGATCCTCAGCGGAATCGATGTTTATGCGGTGACATCGGCGCAGCCCGCCCCCTCACTTCCAAAAGAGAAGGAGGAAATTCATTATTTCCCCGTCCTACCCTTTTTTGACGACACGAAACCGCCTGCGGATAAGATAACTACCGATGATGACGAAGTTAAAGGCAATCCAACTCCGTCGCCGTCTAAGGAGAAGGGGCAGTTTATGCCTTCCATTGTCCCAAGACTTGTTGACGATACTCATCCGCCAACTACGGTGACAAGCGACCGCGACGGAAATAATGCTGCGGCAACCGGGAAAGCATCTACAGGTTCTCGGAAAAAGATGTTTAACTTCAAATTCAAGCCCAATGTGAGCGTTGAAGTGGAACCGAATCCACACGCATCGCCGAAGGACAAGTTGAAGGCTCGCATCCACGTCAGGCGTCGTGACGGTAAAAGGCCAAATAGTGCTGGAGAGAAGGCTGTAGGAGCGTCTAATGGTGTTCCGTTGCCGCCTAAGGAGAAAGGGGAAATTAAGTATATCGCCGTCCCACACCTTGTTGACGATACTCATCCGCCGGCGCATAAGCCCAGCAGTGCTGATAAGAAGGTAGGTGCTGCGAACGGTAATCAAACTCCGTTACCGCCTAAGGAGAAAGAGGACATTCATTTTTCCCCCGTCGCCCCTCTGTTTGACGACACGCAGCCACCTGCGGAAATGATAACGAATACTGGTGACGAATTAAAGCGTAATCCAACTCCGTCGCCTCCTAAGGAGAAAGGGCAGTTTAAGCCTATCTACGTCCGTCCTGCTTTCGACGACACTCATCCCCCAGCGGAAAAGATAACGAATACTGGGGGCAACACCAATCCAACTCCGGCATCGCCAAAAGAGAAAGGGAGAATTCATCATTTCCGAGTCCTTCCTGCCTTCGACGACACAAAACCGCCAGCAGAGGAGTTAACCAACAATGGTGATGAATCAAAGAGTAATCCAAATCCGTCGTCTCCAAAAGAGAAAGGGATAATTAACCCTTCCCAAGTCTGGCCTTTTTTCGACGATACTCATCCCCCAACAACTGTGACAAACGACGGCAACGGCAATAATGCACCGAACACCAAGAGATCATCTACAGGGCCTCGGAAAAAGATGTTTAACTTCAAATTCAAGCCCAATGTAAGCGTTGACGTAAAACCGAATCCACACGCATCGCCGAAGGACAAGTTGAAGGTTCGCATTCATGTCAGGCGTCGTGACGGGAAAAGGCCAAATAGTGCTGGCCAGGTTGCTGGCGGGATGATCGCAGCAGCGTCTAACGGCACTCCTTCGCCGTCGGATCCAAAAGGGAAACGGATAATTTGGCCTTCCGAAGTTTATCCTGCTTTCGACGACACAAAGCCGCCAACGAGAAAGCCAAACAAGGGCGGTAAAAAGAATCAGGCAGCGTCCTGGGATACCCGTAGGACTACACGCAACATCCGCAGCAATAAATTTTGGACCAACGACCAAGAATGGGTTGGAATGGCCTCACTATAAGTGGGCCGATTAGCGATGACTGCGTCATCCTGGAAGGATCAATCTACTAACGTGGTAAACCCCGACACCGTTCTAGCCGCTGAGGAAGAAGTGTAAGCATTGTTATGCTTCCGATACACGCGCCACAGCACCTCTCAGCGTAGCCCACAATCGAAACTATCAGTGATAACATAATGTAACATATTGCACAACACAGACGAGCGCCGAATAGCGGAGACGAAAAACGCGGTGAATCAATACGGTTGACCAGAACCCGAAGCGATGTTAGCAGCTCAAAAGGTGGCAGCACCTACGGTGGTGACCTGGGCATACCGTGCGTAGGTTGTTTCAAGTCCAACCCCCATGCTGTGGATCGCAGAGCTCCACAGTGAGCAAATAAAGCACGCAACTCAATCGCAAATTTCTCAAGCCTGTGATTTAGCACATAGTTCTGTATTTATGACATTTTTGACGCCACCCATTTCCAGATACATTGTGGAATCGAATATTATAGACCTAATGACCGATAGCGCTTCGTATTCAACATCCGTGTATATTTTTGAGCTTATTGCATTGCAATATATGCGTTAGGTCACCCTTATCGATCCCCCGTCTCTGGTTTTAGCTGCCCACGGTGAGGCATGCACCAAATTTCCATTACACATGAAGTCGCTAAAGTGACAGCTTGTCGAAAGTTCTGAATAGAATTTGCGCATATGTGAATACTTTGCTTTACTACAACGCAAATCTGTTGCCATATGTGCCGTTGGCGAGTGACGCACTTCATCCATTGAAGTAAGTCAGCCATGGCCGCTACCTTCGAAGCGTGTTTCAGCAAATGCCATTATACGGTATTTAGCACCATTGGTAGAAATTATGTCATTGAAATAGTCGTACTTCGACTATTCAGTTAGTATAGTATAGCTTGTTAATTGTAACCCTGCTCAATGAAGGCGTTCGCGACCCTGAGGAACCCTGCAATATTGGCCCCTGCCACGATGTCGTTTTCGACATTGTATTGTGTACATGCAGTCTTGCACTGGGCATATATTTTGTGCATAGTGTTGCGTAATTGAGTGTCAACTTCTTCGCGTGTCCATCTAACACGCTGACTGTTTTGCGACATCTCAAGTCCGCTGACTAAAACGCCGCCTACGTGTGATGAGCATGGCAACGCGTTTGGTACCCACCTGCATTCGCTGCTTTTCCCGGGCATACAACGATTCCGCGCTCCTTTAGTAGCTTTACAGCATCGTTGTGCGTCGGCATGTTGGCGCCCTCCACAACGAGTTTCACGTTGCCGTCGACCAGACGAAGTGCGTCCTCAACGACGATTTCGTTTTCCATGGCACAGGGGAAGGCGATTTCCGCTGGCACTCCCCACGGCTTTTCGTTGGGGTGGAAGGATGCAGTTTTGGAGAACTGCAGATACTCGCTCAGTCGCTTGCGGGATGGGTTCTTCAGTTCCATGATCACTTGCAGCTGCTCCTTTGAGAACCCCTCTGGTTCGTACAAATACCCGCTGGAGTCGCTGAGGGTAAGGACTATTGCACCGAGATCTATCAGTTTCTCGGCGGTATACTGCGCAACGTTGCCGCTGCCGCTAACGATGCATCGCTTGCCGGCGATGCTCATTCCGAATCTGTCCTCCAACACGGCGGTGGCAAAGTACACAGCTCCATATCCTGTTGCTTCAGGCCTGATGTTGGAGCCTCCCCATTCGTACCCCTTCCCAGTCAGCGCGCCATCGAACGTATTCCGCAACCTGCGGTATTGTCCGAACATGTACCCTATCTCACGTCCTCCAACTCCAATGTCCCCCGCCGGTACGTCAGTGTTGGGGCCTGTATACGATGTTTTATACATTGGCACAAAACGCACCGATATGCCTCTGGAGTTCGGTCATAAACGACTGACAGAATGCGCGGATCTCATTCTCCGACTTTCCGCTGGGATCGAAGTCAGATCCACCCTTACCGCCTCCTAAGTTGAATGTCGTCAGACTGTTCTTGAATATTTGCTCGAATCCTAAGAATTTCAGGACGCTCAGGTTGACGGAGGGATGGAAACGGATTCCACCCTTGTAGGGACCAAGAACGGAGCTAAATTGGACACGGAATCCTCGGTTATATACCTGAAACAACGTTTTGTGCCAGATAAATCGTCTTCCTACCTTTTGCCCCGTATCCTTCGTCCAAGGAACTCGGAAAACAATGATTCGTTCGGGTTCTGCGATGTGTTCGAGCACTTCGATGTATCGCACATCCTGCTTGAAAACGGGCATCAACGACTCCACAACCTCGCTAGAACAGGTGTGTTGAATGGAAGTCAGAGCTTACTCGAACGCCTGTAGAAATTCCCGTTCCTCAGGGCCACGCTTCCTTACGCGTTCCCGCATTGCCATCACACGGGTGTGTACCTCTTCTTCGCTGATAAGCTTCGACATTTTGCTTATTTCGCAATATTAAATGGTATGTTGGTGTACTGCATGGGTGTTTTGCGGCACACATTGGGCCGTTGCAATGCATACGGCTGCTCCAGACAACGTCAGTAACAACACCGGGGGCCTCCGGCGCTCACTGGCGACCCGGTGACGTTGACCAGATTATTAGAGTGAGATCAGGAACGTGTTACTATTCAATCGTTGATTGGCACCACGGAGAGGTCTCCGAAGGTTGCGTTCCCTTGTGCGATGTAGAATCCTGCATCGTATCCAACGCGAGATGCGATAACCTACCGAAGTAACCGGACGACTTATATGGCATTCTTGAGGTCGAAGTAATTTTACGACCGTCGATTAGGATATCGATTTGCCTGAAGAATATTGCGGCGCCCTTTTGCGCACTCACCCCTTGTAGCCTGTGTCCCTTATCTGTACCTTCTGTATAAATTGGCTGTTAATTTTGTCCTGCAGCGCATATTAACCAATGAATGGCAGCTTACGCAGGCAACTTCGCTAATAATGTCCTGATACGCGCCGTTGATGCTCTTGAGCGTGGCGGTCTTTGCGAGCGTGTTCATCTCGAATACCACGAAGTCTTGATCTGAGCCACGGATGATGAAACCTCCGCTGCTGTCAACACCCTAGGCGGTAATTAAGGCGATTAAAATCCCTGCTACGCACCAGTTTGATTGTTGCCTCGTACGTGGCAGCGTTGCAGAGCGTTGCCTTTAGCTGCAGTTGTGCTGGTTTGTCCAGGTTGACTTGTTTGTTATGCGTGATTCTGGGCGCATTCGAGTCGTTGACGAGTATCCATCCATTTTCCTCTGCGTCCTTGAAGTCGCTGCAACCGTTGACTACCGGAAGTTGGTAACCCACTCTAGCGATAGCACCGTGGTGCCGTATATGGTACAGGAGGACGACACTACAGGCGGCACGGGCTGCTGATCATCCGAAGTTTCTGTGGGAGCACTGCTCTGCACGGAAACATCCTGCTTGGCCGGGGCTGGCTTGTTGCACTCTTTGAAGAGGAACCACCTGATCAGCATGCCGTCTGTTACGCATCTGCCACTTACAGGAATTTACACGCAAATTCGGTTGGCCCATTGTTTTCTTCTGTGTTTTCTGATGCTATTTCCTGGGTAGCAAGTCCGTTTCCTTGTGCGGCTTGGTTCGCTCCCTGGGCTGGAGCCACATTAGCAGCTGCAGCCGTTTGGCCCTGTGGCTGGACATTAGTCCCTGCCACCGGATCCACTACAGACACCAACGTTTGGGAGTAGCTAGTTAGCTTTTCCGGGTTTGTCACAGTCATGCCATCCGCGGGCTTGTCTACCAGCATCTGCGGAGCTGCCTGCAGGAGTGATACTTGCTTAGACAGTGCTCCCAGCTTGCGATGTCCACGGCGGTGATCCTCGGATGACTCCGCGTGGCTGTGATGCTGATTAGTGGGATGATGATCTCCATGCACGCCTCTTTTTGAGTGGTTCACCGCGGTGTGTGTGTAGCTGCCATCTGAATGCGATGCATCTTCCTGTTGGCGTCTGTGCCTGCTGTCCGTCAACGCTCCCGTCCACGGCTGTAGCGCTATGGCTATGAATATCAGCGGCACCAAGGAAACCATGGTGCGACGTCTAAATATTAGATGTGTAATGGAAGGCTGGTGCCCCGACACGACATCACCTGATCATCAGCGGTGTGTAGAAGGTTGGGATCACCTATGAGTTCAGATACTGAACCTACAGACGTTACAGCTCAAATGACAGTTCTGTGAGAGGCTAAAGTGGCTCATGTCACGAATGTGTAGACGTCTCTAGAAGGACGTTAATGTGTACACGGCCACCATACACATTGCTTTTAAAGGCCGAATCCTCGCTTTTCAAACCACCGTTATGATCATATGGCACCATCAGCTGCAATATGTTGCGGATTCTATTAGCATGTCCATTCCGGTTCAGGGGGCGCGTAGTACGTACCCTACCGAAATCAGCGGTAGCGTACGTCTTGCAACGAAGTTCGTACTTTTCTCTACATGTAGATAATTTCAGACGCATTTCTACATAATCACGCAACGGTGGTTATTTGCCAATGGTCTCCGTGATACGCTTGGCTCTACGCCATAGAACTGTCCCGACGCCACTTCAGGTCGCAGGCAAATCGCACTGCCTACTGCCTATCTAACACGCGCAACAAGCATTGTTAGTTCTGGTGGACAGGAAATCATGGCGTCTGCTATTGATGTTGACCATGCGGCCAACATCTATTCGCTACTACAGGCATTGGAGCACCTAGAGCAAGCCTTCGTATCCGGCGATGCCACCAACGAGGAATACACGCAGGAGTGCACGGAGCTGCTGTCTCTGTGCCATATACTCGAAGAAGCGACACCGAACGTGTTCACCGACTTCGCCGCTGTAGGTGTCTATTACATGCGCAGCATTGTGCCAATCGCACCGCCTATATATTCGCGCAGAAACACAACTTGAAGTGTCCACTGGCGATGAACCGGCTGAAGAAAGGTACTCCAGGCACCTGCGCCACGAGTCAGCCCAAGGCGCCAACACGCAGTGAGGTAGGACACAACTTCGACATGTAAGCCTATATCACTTCGCAGACATACATCATGTTCGAGCTGAGTGAACACTTCATCACGCTACTCGACGCCCTGAAGCTGGGTAGCACGCATGTAGAGGAGGTGAGTTGCAACATCATACCCGGCAATGACATTCGCGCAGCTGTTTCCGCTACTGCACGAGCTCGTTACATGTCTGGATTATGTTCGGGCGTTGGACGAAAAGTCGTCCAACAGTGTGAACGTCGTGCCGCACCTGGACAAGTTGCGGGTGTGGCGTTCGCGGCTGGAGGACTTGCCCGCGCACCACGGACTAGAAGCTAACGACATTAAGCAGTTAACAATGGAGGCAGAGGCAGCTTATAGCGCTCTAAAGGTGTTCCTGAGGATGAAGACACATAGTTAAGCTGATTAATCTAACACACCTGCCGCGGCGCAGCGACTGTTTACTGGCAGCGAAAGATAAAGCCATAGACGAATAACATACGCAGTCATAACATCCGTCTAAATGTATTGTCACGATATCACTCAGTACCCGTGTCTGCGACCAAACCAGGTGCCGCTGGGTGCGACCCTGGTCGCAGCGGTTTTAGACAGCCAGCATTCCGTATCAATGGGCCAGTATGGCTAGAGCGTCGTTCGTACTTGCCATTGTATGGCAAGTGTGCGCGCTCTTCTCCGGCCGGTCGGCTCTGGGATCGCAGATACGCAGCCCTGATAAACCGCAGGCGCTCGCTGGACTGCCGGAACCCAGTAGCGGCCAGGCGCCTCCGGAAACCGTATATTCGGGCCCTCCACCGAAGGTACGTATTGCCACATTGCGATGTGTACGCATGTCTGCCTCCCACTCACGTCGCGCAGAGGATTGTGCCGCTCATACCCATACAACGGGACATCAGCCGGACGGAACGCCTGAGCAATGAAGTGAGCATTCGCTCGTTATCGCCAGAATCGCATCTTGTGAAAGTCCACACGTCGAACTGGGACAATGTGGCGGCAGGAAAAGTACACCACGTCTTCGCCGGTAGGGGCCCCAACGGGTCACTGGGCGTTGACGACGATACGGCAAGAAGACATGCCAATCGCAATGCCAACAACTGTGGCAGCGGTTCCACATCAAAAGCAACACCGGAGCCATCGGAGGACATCAGCGCTGGTAATGGAGAGACACGACACGAGGCTATCTTCCCCCGCGCTCCTGCGAATGCATGCCTATCAATAGGGAGCCTGCGACACACGGTATTGGTCATGGAAGCGTTCATCGGATCGCCTGTACAACGGTTCCTGCCAATGTTGGACACTGGCAGCACTAACGTATGGGTTGTGCACGAGGATTGTGATTCGGACGGTTGCCGTGGTTCGATGAAGTACGACCCCAGGAAGTCCAGCACCTTCCGTCCGGCACCTGATCAGAAGTCGTATGTGCGCGCGAAGTTTGTATCGGGTGAGGTTCTGGGTGAGTTGGGCTTCGAGGACTTTACCATCGACGGTGTTACCGTGCACTCACAGCCCTTCGCCATGCTGCGTCGCATCCCCGACGCGACGACGAACAACGTCCTACAGGTGCGAATATCAATATTAACGACAATAATGATGCAGGCGACCCATTTCCACGGGATGATCGGTCTCGCGTTTCCTGACCTCATGATAGTGAAGTCCGAGCCGCTGTATGAGCGATACTTGCGCGCTCTTGAGGCGGCGCCAATATTCAGCTTCTACTACTCACTCGACGGCCACCATTCTGCTGTTCTACTCGGAGGAGCCGCTGATAAGCTCCATAAAGGCCCCATTCGAATGATACCGGTGGTCACAGGCTACTACTGGCAGGTGGTTCTCCGAGAGGTCTGGTTGGGTGAGCGGAAGGTTTGCTGTGACGGCGCGGCCTACGCGATTTTTGATACCGGCACTGCTTTTAACAGCATGCCACACCACTCGTTCGTGCAGTTGATGGATCTCTACTCGTCGCTGGGTTCTGAAGGCGAATCGGTGCAACGGCTCTCCGACATGCCAATCATACGGTATGTCTTTGGGAATGGTGTGGAAGCTTCCGTACGTCCTGAGCAGTATTCCTTCGTCTCCGGCGGTGTTTACCGTCCGGCTTACATGCAAATTAACGTCAACGTGGCTGGCGGACCTGCATACATCCTCGGTAGCGTCGGCTTCATGCCGCACTATTACACCGTCTTCCAGGGTGGTAGCCACCCAATGGTAGGTCGCAATTTTCTTTGTCTCAAATGACGCAGGTGGGCATCGCACCAACGGATCACGAAGGCGCGGCATCGTACATGACGGCGCACGGCAGCAGTGCTGTCTAGGCGTGTAAACATGTCGTATTACAGTAGTGATTCCTAAGCGTCTGCGGGGAAAATATCTACGTAAATAGACACAACGGAAGCATTGCAATAGGTGCAACATAATTCTTGGCCTTTTAAAAGTATTAATGATTAACACTCATGAGGTCGCATGGAGCGGTAGACACGTGCCCAACTCATGTAAACGGCACTGCAGCTACACCTTGTGGAACACTGTTCTTTTCCTTTCACCATTAATAGATGTCTTAAACGGCAATACGTCGCCATATATTCATCCTATTATGAGACATTGGAGTCGTTCACGCCACCCATTTCCTTAGCCTGTGAGCTGGCTGGGCGATTCCGGTGGCACATCGGAGGCGTCAATCCCAAATTGTACGTACGTCACAACTCTACACGTCAGAATAATCCCATGAATTGCTGCTTATCTTTGTTTTGGTTTTATTTAGTGCGCTATGTGGCTACGTGGCTTAGGGCCGATTTTCGTGTTTACCAGGCAAGCGCCTTAGGCTGCTGGTGTCGGTTGCGGGATCCATGTCGAATTATCGTACACTACAGGTACCATCCATTGTGGCATCCATCCTGTTTGGGCGAGAGGGTCATTCACAGAGTCATAATCTTCTCTGGGTTTCATGTCCGTCAACACTACTTTTGTGTTTCTTGGATCGCTACCCGTTGTATATGGGCTTCTAAGCGATCCGAGATTGTGCCCGGCGACGTTCTTCTATGCTCTGTTCAGTGATGTCTATGAAAATCAGCCGTACGTGTCCGGTAGATCTATATTGAAAGATGTCCTTGATACGCATCTTGAGCCTCAGTTGCGGCATGGCCACAAGGGGTTTACTCACGCCATCCCCCAGGTGGCCGACGGCCTCCGCAACTATAACGAGGCTGTCTCCACTTCGAACGAAAAAGTGAAGAAGCCGATAAATGAGTTGTTAAAATATGTGAGTGATGGTGGTGAGTTGCTTACAAATGTTAATAGAATTCAGGTACCGGAAGAGGCTACGCCTCTGAAAGATGAGGAAGCGGAGCAAGCCGTCACGGCGGCGGAGACTTTGGTGAGGGAATGCACTGAGGAAGCTAAGAAGTTATATCGTGCTTTCGACAGTGGCGCAAGAATCAACGTTGTGGCTGAATACAATGATCTGAATTTGCAGCTGCGTGAGAAAATCCGCAATGCCCGCAGAAATATTGGCCATGAGGTTAGGCGGCTTAAGCAGCTCACCAAAAAAGAAAAACAAAACCTGGAGGCCTTCATTAAGATGATAAAGCAGGCGCTCAACAAGCTTAAAACTGACGTGAATGAGCAGATTACCAAGAAAGTGAATGAGCTTGTTAACCTTCTCAAGGATAAGGTTAGGCACATTTTGCAGGCGCTGGAAGGCATCAGTAAATCGCTCGGACAGTACATTGTGGACCTGGACAAGTGGATTGAGAAAACAAAGGTAGACATTGATGCGGCGCAGGATTTAGTCCAGAAGATTCTAAATGAGGTGAATGATAATTCAGAAACTAAAAATCTGGAGAAGCTGAACAAGGCGATTGAAACGGTTGAGAGCAACTTAGATCTCAGAGCTAAGGATTTGAAAAAATGGAAAGATGCAGCAGACAAAGTGCTCCAAGGGACGATTGAAAAGGGGAATGATGTGCATAAGAACATGGATCCCACTCAACAAAAAGATCCCCCTAGCGACGCCACAAAGATTGGCAAAGGACTTCAGCAGATTACTACGGCTAAAACGGCAGTTTCAGGTGTTATCACTGGGCTTCAAACTGTTCACCAAGATTTGCAGAATTGGAATTCCGCGGCAAGCGAAGTGCTCAGCCAAGTGGTTACTAAGGCGCAGAACGTGCATACAAGGTTGGATCCTAATACACATGATGATCAGCATAAAATTGGTGAGAAACTCGGTGAAATTGATACCGCTAAGCAAGGACTTGACGAGGCCAATAAAACGCTTCTCCAACAAGTTACGGCATTGGGCACTTGGATCACCTCGGCGGAGGAGATCCGGAAGGCCGCTGAAGACAAGGCCAAGGAAGCCTATGATAAGTTGAAGGTTAATCAGACTCTAGATGCGAATGTTAAGAAAATTGTGGACGCCAATGAGCGAATTAAAGGAGTGCATAGTGGCCTGAATGGTGTCCATGGCAATTTGGAAAAGTGGAATAAGGAGGCCAGTAAAGTGCTTGCCGGGGCGATTAGCAGGGCGACGGAGGTTCATGAGGCATTGGATCATATTCAACGTGACCAAACAAAAAATCCTATTGGCCACAATATACATAATATTGAGACTGCTAAGGGACAAATTGATGACGCGAATGACTTACTTGGAAAGGAAGTTGCCAATTTAGGTAAGTGGAACATTGCCGCCAAGGAAGTTATTACCAAGGCGGATGGGAAGTGTGATAAAATTTTGGAGAAAGTTAGTACCAAAGATCCTAAAGGTAAGATTTTTGATCAAGCTCAAACATTGCAAAATAAAGGCAAAGAACTTTTAAAGGCTGCTCAAGATGCCAAGTTGGCTGTTGAGCAGAAAGTCAAATCAGCGTTGGATGCTGTTGTGGCCATGGACGAAAGCCTTAAGAAGGATTTGAAAGATGTTAAAGATAAGATTAAGGGAGGGATTCAGAAGGTGATTACGGATTTGAATGTTTTGAAGTTGGATGCTTTGGTGAAAAATGATTTGGGGGTGTTGAAGAAGCAGATTGAGGGGCTTGCCACAACTGTTGACAGCAATCCAGAAGAAAACGTTCTTGTTAAAGATGCTTGGAAAGGTCTTGAGCAGGCTAAGGTGACGCTGGATGGTACTACTGGTCCAGGTGGTACAATTCAAGGTGCGATGAATCAGCTTGAAACTAAGTTTAAGAGTGAGATCCAGACTCCGCTTCAGTCTGCGGTCACTGCAGTTGACTCGGCGATTGGGGAACTTGGGATGCATTTTGTTATTAGCGGCACCGAAGATGATAAAAAGAAATTTGATAAGATTTTTGGGCATATTAAAACAAAGGTTGGGGAGATTAAGGGGACGCCGGGGGAAAGTGGTGATTGGCATAACTCAGGCGGCTCAGGCCTTGAAGGGATTAAGTCCAAGGTGGAAAATTATTTTAATGCGTTCACCGAGGGCAACGGGAATAAGTTTAGATATGTTATAGTGAAGGGCTGGCTGGAAGACACTGTTTTGAAGTTTAATGGATCGCTGAGGACTAAGCTAGGGTGGGGGGATTTGGATAGTGCTACAAGCTACCACAGCCATCTGGGTGGAGCCATTAGTGGAAGGCTAAACGCTCAGTATCTTGAAGATGCTGCTAAAGACCGAAGCTTCAACGAAACCCTGGCTAAATTAAAAAGCAACTCTAAGGACAGCATGACGGACAAAATTAAATACGTCAAAGACATCTGCGAAACATTCGCCGAGGAGCTTGATAAGAAACTCAAGGAGACTGAGAGAAGCGGAAATGTCAACAAAATAGTCAAGGAGGTTAAGCAGGCGTTGACGAGTGAGATTGGCGATAACCAACAAAGCAGAAAAGAGGCCTTAGCAAAGGCACAATGTAACTGCAGTGAGCATTGCAGTAAGACAAAACCAGAAGGCTGCACAAAATGCCAGAAGCCCGAGTGCATAATCTCGCAGGTCGTCGACTCAACCCTGTCGGGGCTTTCAACCGCCGCCAGGCAGGTGAGTAAGGAGCTGAATTCAGTGTTTCTCAACATACCCGATGACCCCGGCAACGGAGATCCCAGCGACGGGAGCATTGCAGCAATCTTGGATGACGTTTACAAGAGAACAAACGAGCTTCACGACAAGCTTGACCAGGCAACTAAAACCCCTGATCCACCCGGCTCCGGCTCCGACCAAGATAGCCCCGCCAAAGCCGTTGACAGTAAGTTGCAGGGAGTGAGGGATTTTGTGAGTGAAAATAATCTTACCGGTATCTTTACTGGCCAAGTTACAGATCAGCTCAAAATTGCCGTTCAAGGTCTTCCCGGCGCCGTTGAGCAGTTCAACACTGAAGCTCAAGAGCAGATCAGGGCTGCGGCCAAGACGGCGATTCAGCAGGCGGCTGAGCAGATTAGTGATAGCAGTGGTAAAGTAGAACTTGGTGGTACAAAAAAGCTCATGGAAAAATTCGAGAAAGCGCACAGTCAGATCAGAACAGGACTCCAAGACAACCTTAATAAGGAAATCGAGAACCACATTGGGGAGGATGATCCGCCACCTGTTCTAGGTGCTGTTCCACCAGGTAAACCAGCAGATAAAGTCACGCTTTCACAATTCTTTACACAATACATAACGCACGTTGTGCAAATTTCAGAGGGCCTTAAGGCCGGTACCCTAACTGGCACTGCAGGCGAAGGCCTTCTTCCAGAGGCGATCGGGAACATCAGGAGTGAGGGTCTGAAAGCGCTTAGTATCATCGATAAAAATGGCGTTGGAGGCAACGCGGAAATTACTACAACTACCTTCGACGATCCGTTCGCCAAAATTCAGAGCGAGCTTCAAGAGATCAAGAAATTGGTTGATCGAAATAACCCGAATGGCGTCCCTCCATTTCTACAGGCAGACCCGGAAAAGGGCATAAAACCCTTAATGAAACATCTCACATATATGCTTGGCAGCGGTTGGCAATCATGGAATCATGGAGCTGGGAAAGGCCTCGACGCAATCAAAACGGCAATTCAAAATCTGCAACAAGGTAAGTTTACTAGCGGACCCGCTGCAATCGGCACAGCCGTCGAAGACATTGAGAGGGAGCTTGGAGTGCTTAGGGGGAAGTTGAAAGATGAAGGACAAAAGAAAGATGTAGTCAACGCTTTGGAGGATATTAAAACTGTTGGCCTTGGCGGTAGAGAGTGGAACGGGAAGCAAACTCAAGATGGCCAATCTCTCAGTGGTCTTGGAAAAATCGAGAGTGAGCTTC